GTTTATATATATATGGAGGGTGTGGTTTTTCTGGTGTAATTAATAAAGAGTGATCAGCTGTGGTTGATCTTCTAATGATATATATAGTTAATATTGCCAAATGTCTTCTAATGATGATGTTGTTCGTATTAGTTCTTTCCATAACCTAATCAAGCTGATAAATAAATAAAAAAACATGTGATCCATAAATTAAGAAAGATTAGATATGTTAGCATTGTCATTTTTAATTAAATATAAGTTGCCCTCTTCTAAAATTTCTTCAATGTGAAAAAATAAAAAATAAAATCATTATATATAGTGTTTAATTCATAAATTACCATTATTGTTTTTACATTATAATCTTATATCTACCATCAATGTTTAATGATGTGAGCTTCTTCATTTGGAATTGCCATCCACTTCTTTAACAAAAAAAGAGTATTAACCCGCTAGAATAAAGGTTATGGATCATATGCTGAGATTATATTTTAATTCAGCATTGCTGAATATAATCTCAGCCACTAATTTTGCATCTATAATCATAATTATACAAAAGTAAGTAAGATATATTACCAGCACGGCTGATTCTTATGGATTCAGCATGTGATCTATGTTGTAGAATAAATTAAATTTCAATAAACTAACAACAAAAATAAATTAGGAATCAAACATATACATATATATATATATATGATTACATTTAAAAGTTTGAAAACCCTAATCTTAAAGGTGTAACTAAAATGCTACATGAATCCATGAAGTTATTAAAATCCTAGCTCACAAAGCACGCAAGATTAATACGCCTAGCAACTTTTAATTTATTTCTTTTGTATTTTATTAATATAAAATATTATATGTTTCGATTCTCTTTTTCCAAGTAGAATATTCATCGAGCAACTTTAATGGCGAAGGCCATGCATGAGAAGTAGGCTAGAGACAGATAAGGACATAATTCTATGATTTGGATCCACATTAGAATTAAGGATATACTAAATTATGAACTAATAAGTCTAATTTTACAAAGTGCAAACTCAAAAAAATCCCAACAAACAACACATATAAAGCTAAATTTGTAGGCATTGCCCCTTTTCGACTTTATGGGAAAATATAATTTTAAAGTGGCTTGTCTCTATTCAACTGCCAATAATAATTATTGGCGATATTGATATTTTATTCTTTTACGATATGATAGGACACTTTTGTGATTCAATTGAGCGTTAATTATTTTATTTGATGAGATAGGATTTCATGTTGTTGATTTAGCTTAAGCATACGACATGAAATGAATTTGATGTGAAATTTGATATCATATTATATGTGTGTTTGTTTGGGGGTTTGAATTTTAAATCGGGATTTGAATAGTAAAAATTTTGAATTTGAATAATTGTATAATGTGATATAAATAGATGTTGATGTGATATTTTGAATGTAAAATTGATTTTTAGTATAATATAAAAAATAAAAAAAAATAGGTGTTTGATTTGATGTTTTTGGAGAAAAAAAAAATGGAATAGAATAGTGTATTTAAAATCCAATGCCCAAAATTGTAATTTTATCCTAAAATTGTAGCTCTAGTTTTGAAAATGTGGCAACTTTGTAATTTGATCATATAAAAATGTATATTATTATTATAATTTTGTATGTACATATATATGTATGTATGTATGTATTATTATCTCCACTACAAAACTAAAGCTGATATTTGGCAAGACAAAGCACTTTGATGTGGCTAAAAAAACAAATTAACCATAATTCAAAGTGATTATACTTTATTTATTTTATTAACAATGAGTGGGAGTTAATTGAATGTCATATTTTAATCACAAAACATTGGATTTCACATGTGTTGGCCATACAAATTGTTGTGAAATTATCTAAATTGACATATTTTGTTATACTTGTTTTGAAAAAAAAAGTCTTACATTAATATCAATTTCAATGTGTTGGACATGGGTCCAAAAGCAATTGAACGTGAAGGATACTTAAAGATAAAAGTGGAGTCAGAGCTCATTGGCCATGGGGCCGCTCAATAGCAATGGAGGTTCAAGCCTCGGAACCAAAAACTGTTGCCTCCATAGAGCTGAAGCCAACAGTTTCCATTGGATTGTGGTACTTTCACAGTGCCGAAAGCAGCAACCTTCATGGACAGTAACTCATTGGACTATGGTGCCTCTATCCTGGAACAATGTTTCCATAAGATCAGAAAGTGTTGTCTCCGTTTGGTTGAAAACAACTAGGTACATTGGACTGCGATGCTTCCACAAAGCAGAGGAAGGTTGACTCCACAATATAAAAAAAAGCAATAGCTTCTACAGATCATGGGATAACTACCTCCGTTGGCCTTGTGTTAATAATTTTGTACTTAACATTAGTGGAAGACCTATGCACTTTCATATTTTATTCAAAAAGCTCCATAAAACAAGTCAACAAGAGGAAAACCGAAGATTTTATTTAACTCGAGACTGTTGGGGATACATCCCCGTGGACCGGCTAGGAGTACGATGGAAACAAGTCAGAGTAAACGGCATATCTGGTCCAGAGGCAATGAAAGAAGTTCAGAGCAAGTGGAACCTGGTCTAGAGGCAATGAAAGCAGTTGGGAGCTGATGAAATGAGGTTACCAGGTGGTTAGGAGCTGATAGAAGGAGGTTACAGGGAACGGATGAAATGAGGTTACTAGACAATTGGAGGTAGTGGAAGGAGGTTACCAGGCAGTTGGAGGCAGTAGTGGGAGGTTACTAGACAGTTGAGAGTAGTGGAGGAATAATTAAAACTGCCTCTTTTAGTGGGAAGAGACGGTTATTCCATTTTAAGATTAAAACTAAGGAAAAACACATCACACACACACAAGAAAATGAACTTGCATATTTCTCTATTTTCTTTTTGTAGTTTTTAGTTTCCATTTATGTATTTTAATTTGAATTACATGTCTTTATGTTTCTAGCATATTTTTATCCTATTTCCAGTAGATTTATCCAAGTTTTAGTAGATGTTAGTTTAAATCCATCGAAATCAATCGTTTAGGTTCGAAGCCTCGTTTAAGATCGAAGCCGTGCAGGCTCCACCGAATGAGCCGTCCCAAATCCGACAACGGACAAGCTCTTTGGAGTACTTTCGAAATCCACACCGATGAATCGACGAATTATTTTGGAACCTCCGAATTTTAGGATCCAACGCAAAGATATCTTATCATCTTGTGAAATTGAAGTATTAGATTATTAAACCATCGCCATCATTATTATTATTATTATTATTACGGTAAACTGTTTTTTTAGTCCCGTAACTGGACCCCTTTATCATTTTAGTCTCGTAAGTGGAGTCTGTCGCAAACTAGTCCCATAAGTGAAATGTTTTTGCTATTTTAGTCCTCCGGCGCCGGAGACGCCTGCGTGGCTCGCCGGAGGTGACGTGTCCCGCCAGGTCAGCGCCACCTGGCGGACACGTGGATTTATTTATTTTTTTAATTTTTTTTAATTGGACCAAATAAAAAAATTAAAAATATACAAATAAAATTAAAAATAAGTTTAAAAAAAAATTTAAAAAAAAAAAAAAGTCCACGTGTCCGCCAGGTGTCCTGACCTGGTGGACACGTCACCTCCGGCGAGCCACGCAGGCATCTCCGGCGTCGGATGACTAAAACAGCGAAAATTTTTCACTTATGGGACTAGTTTGCGACAGGCTCCACTTAAAGGACTAAAATGATAAGGGGGTCTAGTTACGAGACTTAAAAAAACAGTTTACCCTTATTATTATTATTATTATTATTATTATTATTATTATTATTATTAAAACTTTAAAAAATAGGAACAAAATAATAAAAATTATAAAATTACCAATCCAATCCAACGCAACCCAACCCAATCCGATCCGATCCGATCCGATCTGAATTGAAATATTTGAAACCATTATGGCCCAATTAATAGAATCATATTTGATTATACAAACAATTAATGAGTCTACATCACACTATCAAACTATTTTTAAGGTACAAGAATGTTCTTTTTTTTTAAATAGTGAATGTTTCAATGTTATTTATTCAATTGTATTTCTTTTTAAAGTATCTTGTAACATACTATTCACAAAAATTCTTAGTGGAAAGACATATCTTTTTATTATTTTTATAATACAGTAATATTTTATTAATTAGTTAAACTATATAAGATAATTTTATATTTTGTCCTTATAACTTTATAAAAATTAAAAATATTTTGATATTTATAAATAATTACTTTATTATAATATAAAATATATATTTTTTAAGTATAACAAACAAAAATTGTCAAATAAATATATTGAGTTGTATAGAAAGGAACATTTGTTTTTCTATTTTTAATTTAAATTGTGGAGGATATGTTTTTCTAGATTTTACATTTCAAATTTATTTTTTGAATTATGAATAAAAATTTTAAAAATTGATTCTTTTAAAAAAATTATTAAATACAAAATATAAACTAAATATTTTTAATTAAAATGAAAAATATATTACCTTCCGTTCCGTATGTTCTAAGGCTCTTATTTATATTTTATCTCATTGTATTTAATATTAAAAATATTTTTATATTTATATAATTGTTTTTTCAAATGTTATTATAATAGTATTGTAAGACAGTAATATAAATATTTTTGTTATTTTTTATTTATTTGTACTATATTTTTATATAATAATTAATATTTAAAGATTAACCCATAAAAAATGAATGAAACTGTTAAAGTAGGACGAAAATAATATTATTTTATGAATGCCTAAAATATATATATATATATTATATTGCAGTATTTTTTTTAATAAGAAAATATGTCAGAAAATTTGTATAAAAGTAACTCATATTTGTTTTGTTGAAATTAGTAAATTTGAACAAAATTTATTTAAAGTACTTTAAAAAAAATAAATAATGGTTACAAATTTCACATCTTTAAAAAAAAAAAAAAAGAAAAGAAAAAAGAATTGGGTTGTTTCGTGAATTGCTATTTTTATAGGGATTATTGTGTCAAATGAAAAGCCCCATAAACCCTAACAGAGGCATCCTGCTTTCTTTCCTCTGCTGAACAGAGCAGAGCAGAAGCAGCGATTTATCCCTATCGCGGCTCCAGGAATGGTTGGACCGCTGCTCCGCTCTCTTTACTCCGCCGCCGCTGGCAAATTCTACTCATCTTCTTCTTCCTCATTGGGCCCTGCCTCTGTCTCTGCCTCTGCCTCTGCCTCCCATTTCTTGAGGCGCCTGAAAGCTCATGGAAACGCGGGCTTGGCGAGGCCATATTCGTCAGCGCCGTTGCCTTCAGCTGCGGATGCTCCCGGAGGCGCCGTCGATCCCAGTCGTATTCGGAATGTTGCTGTAATAGCTCACGTTGACCATGGGAAGACAACACTCATGGATCGGCTCCTGCGCCAGTGCGGCGCCGATATTCCACATGAGCGTGCGCTGGATTCGATCAGTCTAGAGCGTGAGCGTGGCATTACCATAGCCTCCAAGGTGTTTGATATTTGTTTATTTTTCATAGTTAATCTATATATTGGTTTGGAATGAAAGACCTTGGTTGAATAGAGGTAACCAATTGACTGAGCTCAAGAAATTGGAGTTGTTTTGCAAATTTTATTGCTAAAGTTTATTCATTTTATATTTTAAAGTAGTCAGTTTCCACCTTTGGTTTGATATAATTTAAAGGAGAGAACTTGTGCTCAATTTGAAGCTTAAGGTTTCTTGATAACATTTTGTTGAATATAGTGGTATGCATTGATGCTATCTTTAAATTGACATTATATTCTTACCGTCTTTAATATTGACATGGGGTTTCCACTGGCTGTGATGAAAAAAAGGCCGGACTTACGGCTGCCACTATTGATTGGTAGCAGATTGAAACAGTTGCCATCAGTTGTTTGGTAGTAGATTGATGAAGTTTGAAATAGGTATTATTTCTGAGCCAGTATTATGATTGGGCAAAACTCTTAGCTAGCTGCTATCAGTATAACTATAAACTGTATAAATGCATGTCTGATGGAAACTGTACATTGAATTCTCAATATATTGCTGCCACATTCTGATACATATATATGACACACACACACATACAGAATCGGGTGAGTAATTCTTTGGATGCAGAATTAACACCTTCAATAAAGCTATTTCCTAGTCTATGGACACTACATCATCTTCTGAACTTTTTTGTTATTTGTTTGATGTAATATTTGTAGTGATGTCAATTATTCTTGACTTTGCAGGTTACATCTATTTCCTGGAAAGAAAATGAGCTAAACATGGTTGACACTCCTGGACATGCAGATTTTGGTGGTGAAGTATGCCATGGTCTTTATATGGGAACTGAATGTTTTTGTCTAACAAGCTATATATATGTGATGCATCACCTGAATCTTCAATTTATAACTGTTATACGCTTAGGGCTTGTTTACTGTGGAAGATAGGAAATTTATATAATATTTGTATGAGAATTAATACACAAATACACAATTACATTATATTATTGTAAATTTATAATCACATCTTATCAAGCTATTAAACACACCCTTTTAGAATTAAAGCAGGAGCATTGTTTCAGAAATCAGACTAGTGTTTGCATGCAGTTAATTTGATCATGTTAAGGAAACTGGAATTCATGGAAGTACCTGTACTTCTTCAGTTGAGTTCATGTTGATATTTTTTACTTCTTTATTTGAGTTCATGTTGATATTTTTTAAGCAACAATGGATGAAATTGTTTAGAGCCTGCAAGAACATTGGAAAGTCATTTATTTATTTTTGCTGATATCTTGAAGGCTTCGATAATAAAAACCACTGCAGAAACAATGATAACATTTTTAAATTGCTCAACTTGCTTGTTCAAGTTGGCGACTATAAACCTTCCGTCACCGAAACCTTATATTTTTCTTATCAGTCATTGATGCAAGCATCCTGATCATATTTATTATGTATCAACTTTATGACTGTGAATGATTTCCATTCTAGATTTTGTTTCCATTTTAGTAGGTTTGAATGCAGATTAATGGTAAAAAAATTGAATGTCATTTCCATGGCTAAGCCTGAATTAATATTCTTGCCAATGGTTTTTGTAGATGAATAGCACTGCTTAAGATTCTTTTGCTTCTTATAGGTTGAACGAGTTGTGGGCATGGTAGAGGGTGCAATTTTAGTTGTTGATGCTGGTGAAGGTCCACTGGCACAGACAAAATTTGTTCTTGCAAAGGCTTTAAAATATGGTCTACGTCCTATACTTCTTCTAAATAAAGTAGACCGACCTTCAGGTACCTTTGTAGTAAGTTTGATTGTAAAATTCTTATGTTTGAAAAAAATCAACTAACAGGGTATTTGCTTTCATTATATCCTCTATTTCATTATCTCATCAGGTTTTTTTATGCTTTCGAAGTGTACCTTTTGACTAATATGCTATTCGTATAGTTTCTGAGGAGAGGTGCAATGAAGTCGAGAGCCTAGTGTTCGACCTTTTTGCAAATCTTGGTGCCACAGGTCTTTGATATGTTACATTTTTTAAATTATAGCTTATGTTTGTTTTTTAGTTTCTGTATTACTTGTTTTGCATTTGTTCATCAGAGGAGCAATTAGAGTTTCCTGTTCTTTATGCTTCTGCAAAGGAAGGGTGGGCCTCATCCTCCTACACCAAAAGTCCTCCCAGTAACACAAAGAACATGTCTGAACTACTTGATGCAATCATAAGACATGTTCCTCCTCCTGTTGCTAGCCTTGATGCCCCTTTTCAGATGTTGGTTAGTGCCTGTGCTTGACTATCATACATATCTATTGTACATGTGCTTCTATAAAAGTTGCGTGTGCATTTTTGAGCAGTTAGAATGAGCTTGATTATTTCCTTCGATCAATATGTAGGATTATTGATGATCTAAAGATCCAAGCCTTGATATATATTGAATGATTTGTTTTGATGAAACCTGCATAGTTACTGGGGATCATCTTCTCAGCTTTTACTCATTTGATATTAACATAAGTATGATTTAAAATTTTCCATTTCCTTCTTAATTATGTACTGTTCTTAAATTTTTTTATATGATTGTTAAGAAAGAATTATTTTATCTATTGCGCACTTCCTGAAGCTTCAATTCACTGCACCATTACCATTACCATTGACCATGGAATGGATATAAATTTAAATATGTTAAATGGTGTGTATTATTATTGAAAATAAGTGGAATGATATATCATCTATGATCTTTATGTTAATGGTACATAATGATAGATGATCTCATAACATGTACAAATAATGATTAAGTGTCAGGCATAGGGCTTCAGTGAATATACAGTTTTAGATTTCAATCTGAGTTTAAATATGCATTATGATCTATTGATCTAAAAATTATTATATGAAATTTTTTGATTAGTGTGTGAGAAACAATATTCACGTTACGATTGATGTGTTAGGTCAATTTCTGGGCAATTTTCAAATTGACATACAATGTGAAAAACATTGACAATGCATTTCATAATCAGATTTAGATTGCCTAATTGGTGTCATCGTATTAGTGAGGATAAAAATGTTTAGGGGTTCACATAAAACTTTTAACCCTTATTTTGCTGTCATTAGTTTCTCTTTAACAGTCCCTTAGTCTATCTTCTTACTTCATTGATGTTCTCAGCTGTTTTCAGCTGCTATTTATTATTTATTGATGCAATTCTAATCCTTTTACAGAGGAACCTTGATAAAGTTGTCTGATAACTCCTTATTCAGGTGTCTATGATGGAAAGAGATAATTATGTTGGGCGGATCCTCACAGGTCGCATATATTCTGGCGTCCTCCAAGTGGGTGATAAAGTGCATGGACTTCAAAATACGGATTCTGGGACTGTCAAAATTGAAGAGGGGAAGGTTTTGGCCTTGAAACTGTTGTGATGCTCTACTTTTAGTCAATTATCCTATGTGGATATTCTTAAGGATTTTGCAAAATGTGAAAACCAGATTTCTTAAGCATGTTCGTTTCTTCATATAATATAATGTGTCCTTTGATCACTTGCTCAAGATTTGCATTATATTATATGAAGAATGAACATGCTTAAGAAATCTGTTGTGTAAGATATCATGATGCCCTATTTGTCTCTTGTGTATTTATAGGTACTTATTGTATGATTTGTAATGGTTAAACAGGATTTGTATAAAATTGTGTAGGTTGTCAAGCTGATGAAAAAGAAAGGCATGAATATTGTGTCAGTTGATAGTGCTGGTGCTGGTGATATAGTGTCTATAGCTGGGCTGTCTAGCCCAGCAATAGGGCACACTGTAGCAACCGTTGAGGTATACTGATTACTTTTCACTAATACATACCTCTGCTGTCAACTGCTTAGATTCAATCCTAATTTAGCAACTTTTGACTCCTTTTTTATTTCCTTAATCTCTATTTAATTCCATGAGCATGTTGGAAGTATTGTGGCACCTATATTTTTCCCTTCAATCTCTATTCATTTGTTTCTCATAATCCTTGTTGATCATAATAGAAGTGATTGTGTTTTGGTTAACCTTTTTATCTTGTTTAGATGATCACATTATTACTTTTGGCATGTTGTCATCTCGATATATTTACGTTTGTTCTAATACTATATATGCTATTTTTTTTAGGTTTTGACAGCTTTGCCTACTGTTGAGCTTGATCCCCCCACCATTTCCATGACTTTTGGAGTTAATGACTCACCATTAGCTGGCCGAGATGGTACTTATGTAAGAAAATCAAATTTCCTTTGTTTGCTATGTTACATGTATCTTTTACCTGCCACATCTAATCCTCTCAAATTTTGTCCCCCAGCTTCACTATGCTTAACTTTCTGGCATGAATGTATAATAAATCTTAATGAGACAACTGCTAGTTGTCCTTCTCTTGATGTGTCTAAGTTCATTTTCATTGCATGCTTCTCTCACTGATTTCAGTTGGGCATAAGGTATGCTGTATGTTAAATAATTTTATGTGTTCTCTATACATGTAGTTAACTGGAAGACAAATTGGTGATCGCTTAATGGCAGAAGCCGAAAGGAACCTTGCAATAAATGTTCTCTCTGGTACATCAGACTCTTATGAAGTTCAAGGAAGAGGAGAGCTTCAATTAGGTGAGGTCTCATGCTTAGATATTATTCTTTCCGTACAAAGTTACTTATAATCTTCTGTGTTTATTACGTAAAATTTAGTTGATCTATGTTGATGTTGTCATATTCCTTTTTCACAAGCTAGTATTCCCTAATTAACAGGTATCCTTATTGAGAACATGAGGCGTGAAAAGTTTGAGCTTTCTGTGTCCCCTCCTAGAGTCATGTAAGTTCTTCTCCTGGGTTTTTTTTTTTTTTATTAATTTATTTACTTTTTATATTGTCTTCATTTATTTCTAAGTGATGTTAGTGAAAATTCATTCTAATGCTACACATCTATGAGTACATATATTTCTAGAATAAAAATTGTAGTCTATTGGGTCTTATTGAAATGTTTTATTTCAATTATATACGGTCCTTAATGATTTACTTTCAGCTTATTATTACTCACTATACCCCATAGCAGTAAATGGTTCTGTTATCAAAGATGTGGATGATGTTTGTATGTAATCAGGTATAAATTTGAAAATGGGCAAAAGCTGGAGCCAATTGAAGAGGTTACAATTGAGGTGATAGCACTGGAGCAGAATTTGTAATTTCTTAAAGCCAACCATAACTTTGATAATGACATGTGCCTTATATGTGTCAGGTAAATGAAGAGCACGTGGGTTTGGTTATGGAAGCTCTTTCCCATAGGCGAGGTGAGGTTACTGATATGGGGCCAGTCCCAGGCAATGTTGGTAGGACTAGAGTTTGTCTGACTTGTCCTTCCAGGTATGTACAGATATCCTTTTTTCTCATTCTTAGAATTATGTTTCACCTCCATTTTTTATTTATTCATCCTTTTATTTGTTTTAAGAATGCAAATTCTTTATGTTCTGCTCTATGGGCTTGTTTACACTTACATGACTATTAAATAATCGTGTTATAATTTACATGATTGTTGATTCATCACCAATCATGTTTTCCTCCACAGATTTTTTTTTTTTTTTTTTTTTTTAACTTCTAAATTGCAGCATTCACCAATTGAGTATGTGATTTTTATTTTAATTATTATTTTAATAACTGTCTAAAAATATTTAGTCCTGATATTTTTACCTCACATGTTTCATGTACAGGGGGTTGGTTGGTTATAGAAGTGTTTTCAACAGTGATACAAGAGGCACCGGATTTATGCATCGAGCATTCCTGAGTAATAATGCCTTTCCAACCACTTTTACATATCTTTGTTTAAAAATTTGTGCCTTGTGTTGTGATGATTGCCCTTTTTTTGCTGCTTCTGTTACTGGTTTATTTTTATTTAAAGGGTAATCTTGAACCAACATTATTTCTTCTGACACATACTGTACTTTGCCTGCTGGCTTTTTTTGGATAGTGAAATGATTTTTTGTGCATTAAAATAGGTTAGAAAAACAGAGCTTTAGGAAGTGATAGGTAACCATCAGTGCAAACTGGCCAAATGAATCAAAATAGAAAACTCAAAATAAGAACACTATCATCATGAAGACAACTCATCTCAGATCCTAGCTCTGCACTTTGCAAGAAAGTCATCCATATTTTTTCCAATTCTAGGAATTGATGGAAAGTGATAATTCTGTATCTTCTGACTCTCTTATCTCTTGTCATGATCTTTAATATTTTAAACTTTAAATGCATGAGATATTTTTTCTTGCGGGCAAGCCATCTTATAGACAACTTCACAAATTTTGTTTCTTAGGGAAATAAATTTAATGCTATTATTATTGATGCTTGGGTCTATTAATTATTTGATACTTGCTTCTGCTTTTCTCAGGGTTTGAGGTGCCACATGTATATGTATAATAATTTACTTTATATTTATTGTTTATGCAGAGTATGAGAAATACCGAGGCCCCCTAGGACATGTCCGAAAAGGAGTACTGGTAAATTTAACAAGTTGCAAAATTGATGTTGCTTTCATACTTGTTTTTAACACTTTGATCTATGTTCTTCCAACTAAATAAACAGTTCAGTTATACTTTGACATCTAAGTCAATCTTAATCTCTACTCTATTTACAGTTAATACCCTCGTTTAATTGACTGAACGTGACTGAATAGGTATCAATGGGATTTGGTACCATCACTGCTCATGCATTGATGAGTTTGGAAGCTCGTGGCATACTCTTTGTCAAGCCTGGAATGGAGGTTTTGATGATTATATTCTTTACTTCTCTTGGCATTTTGATAATGAGCAAAACAATTCTATATTTTCTGTTTTTCCTATATTTTTGCATTACCCAAGTTACTTACAATTTTTTTTTTTTACTTGAACAATGCAGACATATGATGGCATGATTATCGGTGAACATTCCCGAGATACAGATCTTGATGTATGGAAAATGTACATTTATAGAATATCATGCTTCCGTTCAGTAAAGTATATAACCTCAATTCATGCTTGTTGTAGGTTAATCCTGTGCGAACAAAGGAGCTGACAAATATTCGTGCACCTTCCAAGGATGAAAATATTAAGCTAACTCCTCCCCGAATTGTATGTCCTCCAATTCATTCCTTTACCCTTAAATTGGTTCTTGATCTTACAAATGAGTTTACACCAATTGATTGGACTCTTATGGAATTTCTCAATTCAGGCTAATATAAATTATTATTATTATTATTATTATTATTATTATTATTATTATTATTATTATTATTATTTAGTGACAGAAAATATTGTTGCTGCATTACTTGCAGATGACTCTTGAGGAAGCGATTGGGTACGTTGCTTCTGATGAGCTAATTGAGGTATGCACTTGCTCAAGTTTCAGTATATTATTTTTATTATCATTAGAGAGGTTCATGAAAGATGCACTTTAGGGAAACTATCCATATTTAGTTGGAATGAAATATTTATTACATGAGTTTGCATTTGTGATTTCTAGTTTGGTTCTTCTATGGATATCTGATCAATCAGACTTCTCATTCCCTTTTCACCATTATTTGGTGTTTTTCTCGGCTATGCAGGTTACTCCTAGCGCCATTCGTCTAAGAAAGAAATACCTGGATGTCAACAAGCGGAAAGCTATGAGTAAAAGGCCAAAGGAGTGAGACTACTTCAAGCTCTACAATTTTGTGAGCCAATACCTACTCTTTTTATTTCCAATTTACACTTTTGCCGAATTTTCCCATACGAATTGTTGATATATATAAGGGCATATATAGTAATTTATAGCTTGTAATAGTCTATTAATAATAGGTTAATCATTTCTGTCATATTTATCCTCACTGATGATTTAATAAGGTATTCTCCAAACTGCAAGATATTGCAGCTGTTGTTGTCACTTTCCATTATATTTAAAGTTCAAGATTTAACAGAAGTGCTGCTGATAGATAGTGAATGGTTTCTTTTCATTTGTAGTAAAATTGGTTTTGTATGAAAAGAGATGTTGGAATGTTATTTGTACTATGGGATGTAAATAGACATTGATCTATGTAAAATTATTTTAAAGTATAATATAAAAAATAAAAAATAGATATTTGATTTGTCGCTTGTTTATTAACCAATAATCGATGAGTTCAAATATTAGCAAGTACTATGATTTAAGGCAATCTATTGAAAGCCAATCTCAGCTAACTTGCTTGCCCCTCTTCAATGTCCATGAATACTGAACTAACACAGTCAGATTCACGGGACCATATTTAAGTTGATGGCAACATAACCTGTTGTAGCGGTATATCTTCGAGCAAGTTGGGTGTGGACTTGGAGGCGTCAGGGGTTGAAATTCATGACTTATTACAAGTTCACTCCCTACAATGGTACCATCAGCTATCCCTTATGGGACAATTTGATTATCTTTTTGTTTAGTCATACAAAAAAAAAAAAGGGAGAGGCAAGATATTTCCTTGCATACACACATTAATGTAATAGTGTGCCCACACTTTAAAAAGGGTGTCCGGTGCATATGGATGATGAGTGATACTGACACTCAATATTTTATTTAATATATTACATTACCTATTTTTTCTATTATATATATTACTAATATAAATTAATTTAAAATAAAAATAAAATAATTTTTAGAATGTATTTATTTAGTATTTTTAATTTGAGTTATGTTTTATTTTTAAACTAAAAATAAGCAATCAATTGAATCAATTCGTATTTAATAGGCAAATTATATAATGATATTATGGGGTGTTTAACAATTAGTTATAGTTTTTAATTGCCAATTGATTAATTATTTAGTTTAATTAGTTGAATATATTAATTATTTGTATTAGAATATTTGATAAAACAATTTTTTTATGTTAGTTGTTTATAAGTAGAAGTAGAATAACAATTGAGAATATTTTTAGAATATATATATTATTTTTATTGTATTACTAAAATTATAGTTTTAAATAAATTTATTTTATTGTATTTCTTTTTAATATATAAAAATTACATGATAAAAAACATTATATACGTATATAAATAAATTAGCACTGTCTTAATAAACTTATGTATATTTTACGATTAAAATAATTTTTATTTAAAGGAAAAAATTCAAATGTTTTAAATTTATAATATTATTCATATTATTTAGCAAAAATAGAAACATATTAAATAATATTTTAATAACTTTCCATATTTTACAACTATAATAAATTGGATACAAAAAAATAATTCACTTACTTTAAATGTGTAAAACTATAATTATAGTTTAGCAAAAATACAAATAAATTAATATACTTACTAAACAGCATTTTATAGTAAGTATTTTCTCAGTAAATCATTGAGGCTACTGTTCATCGTCTCCCTCTTCTATATATATATATAAGCTTAGATAGACAATACAAAATTCAAACGATATCTATTATCATGACAAACATCAATGGTAATTTCGAACTGCCTAAGAACAATGGAGAACTACTTGAGGCTCAAGCTCAAGTATGGACACACGTATTCTCCTTCATCCACTCCATGTCTCTAAATTGTGCTGTCAAATTGGGCATCCCCGACATCATCCGTCGCCACGGACGTCCGATGTCGCTGTCCGAATTAGTCGAGGCGCTTCCTATCCACAAAACAAAGGCGCATTGCATTCGTCGCTTGATGCGCTTGCTCGTTCAATCGAAGCTTTTTATAAAGCTCGATGAGATTCAGGAGAAGGGAAAGGATAAGGAGGTGCACTATTGGCTAACCCCGGCGGCGAGTCTCCTTCTAAAGGATAATTCGATGACGGTCGCGCCATTTGTGCAACTTTTCTCGGACCCCGTCATGTTGAAGCCGTGGCACCACATGAAGGAATGGCTTGAGAGCGGGCATGAGGGGTCGCCGTTTGAGATGGCGCACGGGAGAAGCATTTGGGAGCATTTTGCCGCGGGGGAGTTGAGATTGGCTAACTTTTTTAATGAAAGTATGTCGTGCGACACGAAGCTTGTGATGTCCGTGTTGCTTCAAGATTACAAGCAAGTGTTCGAGGGGGTCGGGTTGCTTGTGGATGTGGGAGGGGGTATCGGGACGACAACAAAGGCGATCCTAGACGTATTCCCCGGCACGGAATGCATTGTTCTTGATCTCCCACATGTTGTGGCTGGCTTGGAAGGAACACATAACTTGAAATTTGTCGGAGGAGATATGTTCGATAACATTCCTCGATGCAATGCTGTTCTTCTCAAGGTATAACTCATGCCCGATTTCATCGGATTCAATTTATAGTTTCTCTACCGTTAATTGACCATCTCATCTAAGATATAATCATTTTAACATGGTATTAAGGTTGCAAATCCTGTGCTGATCTGACCAAAGTCAGCATGGTGCTAATTTGATCGGATCAACATATATTATATGGATAACATATGACATATGATTTGTTATAAGATAATATATGCGTAGTTATAATGTAATATATATTGTATTATAAATATATTATAAATATGCTAATTTGACCGGATCAGCAGATGATCCATGCCCCGGTATTAAAGCCTAATATCTTGTTTTTTAGTCTCATCATCCTCTATTTGTCATCATTCACGTACAAGTTTCATATGTAGTGTAAATCTATCTTATCCATGAAGGGGTGCATTGATTGACTATATAATAAATATTGATTTGTATCCCTTTAAGATTAAACTTTTTGATAAAATTTTTATTTAATACTTACATGAACAATTCTTTGTTATTTTTTACGAGCATGGAATTGACCAATTTAATCGACACATACGCTAGCTACTAACTTTGTGGTTTGGATCTTTAACAGTGGATATTGCACGACTGGAACGATGAAAGTAGCACGAGGATATTGAAGAAATGCAAAGAAGCAATCTTGGAAGGTGGAAAAGTGATCATCATCGATATTGTTCTGACCGATGATTGCCCGCGAGACAATGACAACGTTGTGGAAGAAGCTCAACTGATTTCAGACATGCTGATGATGAATTGTGTTAATGGAAAAGAAAGAAGTGAGAGTGAATGGGCAAAGCTTTTCACAGATGCTGGCTTCACTAACTATAAGTTTAGTCGTGTGTTAGGTGCCAGATCTGTAATTGAGGTCTATCCATGAAATTAAAGTTGAGATGATGATTATCTGTATATCTATGATTTGCATCGATCGTCTTAGCATAGTATAACTAATTAATAAGATTTGCTAGACAAGCTATCCTCCTCCTAGGATATTTGTGTGGAAAACCCCTTATTGTATTAATTTGCCGATCGATATCATTGATATTTCTGCCGTAGTTTGAAGTTGTTTAAATGGTGTTTGTTTTAAGAGCCAACAATTAATCGAGCAAAACGATAATAAAACAAATTTGATAGGAAAAAAATGCGAGAGTTTTATGTATGTTGATTCAGCTAATGTGACTTATTTTGTCATGGCACGGGTCATCCTTTCGCGCGCGACTAGTTATTTATTTATTATTTATTTTTTTTGTTGACTAGTTATTTATCCACATCTAATATATTGTTGTTCTATTTGAAGCTCTTTGAAAAGATTTTCTATGTTTCTAAAGAAATATGAGGGGAATGTAGTTTTTATCTACATCAACAATCAAACTCAAAGCACAAATCTGGCTTAGATTAGGTTGTTTGGGCCATGGCCAAGGCCCAAAATTTTTGAGTCCTTGAGGCCCTCTTCATGTATATATATATAATATTAATAATATATATGTATCCTATTAAAACAAAAAAATACTACTAAAATTAATAATTATATGTTTTATTCTAATAAAACGAATAATTAAAATTTTATTTTTTATAATTATTTATTAAAAAGAATAGGTAAATAGAAGCTCAAGTTTTTAATTTTCTAGAGGGTACTGTTTAAGACCAACAATATATATATATATATATATATAACTGCAATCTAATGAATCAACATGAAGCATGTTGAATACCAAACTATCAATCTCGAAACTTATTGCAATTAATTGATCATATTCAACTATATTAATTTTCATTATTGTCCCACTTCTTAAAATATGAATTATTATCTAATTTGGACAAATTAAGTTAAATACTCGTGTCGTTCACGTGTCTATGTTGCTAAATAAATGTCGTGGTATACGTTAAACCTGTAATGATTTTCTTCAATAGTATATCATAGATATTGGTTCAGATTTGTTCTAAACATGAATATACCAATATGGTTTAATTATTTGTATATATTTTGTTGGTTTTCCTTCTGCCTGAAATTTGATTGGTTTTGATGAGATTTGGTTTACTTTAAATAGATCCAAGTCACAGTCGGTGGGGATCAAAATTTTTGGAGCCTTTTTTATTAAAAAATATATGTATATTTAAAGTAATTATTATAAAATATATATAATATGAAAATATTCATCTTAAAAATTGTCGTATATTTATCCTTGTGATAGACCAAAACGGCTCTGATCCAAATCTATCATCATCAAAACCAAAAGAAAACAAAAAAGCTGAGCTATGGATAAGAAAAGATAGGAACGAGTGAAGCCAAGTGAACAAATAAAAAATTATATATATATCACAGGTATGATCAGGTGGGGTTGATTGGAAGATCCTTTGTTGTAGTGAAGCAGATTTTGTTTTTCATGAAGTCTCATGGTTGATTTAGTGGATTTTTGTAGATTTACTTCTTACATTAATTGAAAAGGGACCATTTATTTTTGTGTTTGTATTAGTTGTTTGTCTTCCTCAGGTGTACTTTCTTTCCCAACATATATATCTGCGTGTGCTTAGAAAGCCAAATGACAGAACTAAACAATATCAGTGTACGAAAAATGGCAAAGCTTAATGGTGATATGGAGCTTTCTAATAATGAAGAACTACTTGAGGCTCAAGCTCAAGTGTGGAACCAAACATTCTCCTTCATACACACCATGTCTCTAAAGTGCGCGATCGATTTGGGCATCCCTGACATCATCCATCGCCACGGAACTCCAATGTCGCTATCCCAATTAGTCGACACGCTTCCCATCAACAAAGTAAAGGCACATTGCATCCGTCGCTTGATGCGATTACTTGTTCAATGTAAGGTCTTTGACAAACTCGAAATCTTGGACAAGCCGGGGGATGAAGAGGTGCATTATTGGCTAACTCCGGCCGGGCGCCTCCTTCTAAGGGATGATCCTATATCCATTGCACCATATTTGCAAGTCATTTCGAACCCGGTCATGATGAAAACATGGCACCATATGAGTGAATGGCTTGTTAATGGGCATGAAGGGTCGGCCTTTGAGGTTGCGCACGGGATAAGCATTTGGGAGTATTTTGATGGTGACGAGCCAAGATTGGCTAACCTTTTTAATGAAAGTATGGCGTGCGACACAAGGCTTGTGATGTCTGTAGTGCTCAAGGATTACAAGCAAGTGTTCGAGGGGGTCGGGTTGCTTGTGGATGTGGGAGGGGGTATTGGGACAGCAACAAAGGAAATCCATGACGTATTTCCGGGCATGGAATGCGTTGTTCTTGATCTCCCACAGGTTGTAGCTGGCTTGAAAGGGACACACAACTTGACATTTGTTGGAGGAGACATGTTCGACGACATTCCTCGAGGTGATGCTATCCTCTTCAAGGTATATAGCTCATAATTTTCAAAATACAATATTTATGGCATAAGTATTTCTTAAATGAAATTGATATTGAAATTCCATCCTAAAAAATAAGTATTGGGATGCCTTGAATCCGGTGTTTTGATATTTGTTTGTCATTTCACTGAATCGTACAAGTTTCTCCAATAAGATTATTTTCTTTATGCTATAGACGTAGTCAACACCCCTGTCGATGAATCATATAATTCTATTTTTTTATTTTTTTTGACTTTTATTATCTTTATTGTATTCATCACAACAATAAGAGTACTACCACAAAGAAGAAAGTGAAATTTGTCGCAAAGAAATTAATGTCATCACGACAAAAGAGTATTATTAATATAAATGCCACAAGATATTGTTTTCATATCAAATCATTACGGTAAAACTCAATTTCTTTTTTTTTTTAAAAAAAAAAAAAAGAATTGTTCAATCATAGAATTGAGCTAGTTAATCTGAGACACTACTAACTTTGCGATATGAAAATTCGACAGTGGGTATTGCACGACTGGAACGATGAAAGTTGCGCGAGAATATTGAAGAAATGCAGAGAAGCAGTCACAGAAGGAGGAAAAGTGATCATATTCGACGTGGTTCTGAAGGATGATGGCCAAGGAGACAACAACAAGATTATCGAAGAAGCTCAACTCTTGTTCGACATGGCGATGATGGCTTATGTTAATGGCAAAGAAAGAAGTGAGAGAGAATGGGCAAAGCTTTTCACAGATGCTGGCTTCACTACCTATAAGATAAGTCCTGTGTTAGGTGTGAGATCTGTAATTGAGGTTTATCCATGAAAATAATTTGGATGGTCCTATGTTCAACTTGCTTATGTTATTTGGTACCATCTTTGCATTGTAAGAATTATCAAACATGTAATATATCCTTGGGATGCTTGTGTGGAGATGTAATTGTTCTATCTTTTCGGGGAAGGGATCACCGGCCCCTCCCCTCCACGCCCCCATAATATATATATATATATATATTATATTTATATATCATATTTACATACATATATTGTATATATATCACTTTGGGGGGGGGGGGGGGGGGGGCGCATGAAGGAAAAGAGTCAGTGATTCCATGCCACATATCTATTTGTAATTTCAAAGGTGTCGGCTAGAGTGCTGATGGGTCAAATTAGCAAATTGAGCTCAAAATATATATATTTGTTATATATAATTATATAATATGTTATATATTATATTAATATTTGTTACATTCTTTATAAATATTTGTTAATTAAGTTAAATTATCACCATACTAATTAACCCAATCGACACGATCCTGGAGCGAACTTCAAATTTTCAAAGTTTGATTATTGTTCCGAAATTATTTATTTGTTGTAATTCTAATTTTAAAGTTTAAAAGTAATTGAAAGTTTTGCCATCTTCTGTTTTTTAATTACTTAGTGCTAGAAGCTCGAGAAATTGGGAAAGATGGTTAATCTCTTGCAAGTAGTCTTTTAAACTTATAAAGCATAATGCGAGAAAATTGCAAAAAATATCTCATACGTATACTTACTTAGGATGTCAACGGGGCGGGTTCGGAACGGGTTCTACAAGCCCCGATACCTGTCCCGCTAAAAAATATTAGGCTCCGAAACCCGCCCCGCCCCGAACCCTCGATCCGGCAAACCTGTTTTTTTTTAAAATATATAATAATAAATATTTTTTAAACAATCGAATACCAAAACAAATAGCATTAAAAAAAAAATCTAAAAACAATCAAATATTTGATCCATAAAAATAAGATAAATAAATAAATAATATATTTTTATTATATAAATATACATATATTAATTATTTGGAGCAGACGACTAATTGAAAGTAAATAAATAATATATTTTTATTATATAAATGTACATATATATTAGTTATAATAATTTTAAAAGTTATCCGGGTTCGGGTCCGGGTCCGGGTTGGGGCGGATTTTTAGTAAAACCCGTAACCCGACCGGGTTTAAAATTTTAAATCTACAACCCGTCCCGAAACATATTATTTAGACCCGAACCCGCCCCATTAAGAGCTCCCCGGACCCGCCCCATTTGACATCCCTATGTATACCCCATTTTATTGTATGGCAAAATATATTTCACATGTTTGCAAAAGTCTTTATTTCTATTCTTTAGTCGCGTGTGGCCACGCGTGGTGTAAATGTGACGCACGTGCAAAGGATATGAATAGTGATGTTGGTAAACATGTGTTATATATTTTAACAGCAAGATAAATATGGAGTACACGTGTATGCATCAACATAAATAAATGTAATATATATATATATATATGTATGCTAAACTTGTGAATTGTGACAAAAGATTTTACTAAAAGATTGAACATCCACATAAAGATTTTTGTGTTTCCCATCCTCATATTGAAGAACTCCTAGACCTCTCATGGTGGTTTAAAACTCATCTGATGACTGAGAAGTTGTAGGTCCAACCATAGAAGACATTTTGCTAGTATCATAATTGTATGATGAATGATCATGGATTTCTTGGGCAATCGTAAAGAGAGTTATAGAAGAGGATAGCGCATGTATACCGGGTGACAGTACTTAGTATTGAAATTCAGAGTTTTACACAAAATTTACTCAACAAATATCAGTGTATTAATTTATTTTTAAATTTGACCATATGTCAATTGTTATGATATGGACAAAAATAAAAAATATGTCAATTAAAATAAGACAGAAAAACTATAATTTAAAGTTTAGTAAAACATCACAATTGCTAGACGATGAAGAGGAAGAGACATAAGATATTTCTACCGATATTTACAAACGTAAGATTATCATACTTCAATTATTTTTAAAAAATAAATACATTCATATAAACAAATGTAATATACATACACACGTTTATGATAACTCTTGATTTTGACATATTTTATCATTTATATTTATTTATTTATGTAGAATTTTGATATTATTTATGTTAATTTATTCCAATAATTATATTTATTATATTTTATATGTAAAATATTAATTTATTAGTTTTTAGATATATATTATAATTATTTTGGTGTATAAATTAATTAAATTAATATGTTTCTTTAACTATATTTTAGGCTGTCATTTATATATTATTTATATATTTAATTTTAACTAAATTAATTTATAAGAGATTATTTTTATGTAAATAATTATTTATTGAATGTTTATTTTTATTAAGGTGAGATTTTGCTTTAAAACTATCTTGTGAGCCCAAATTCAGTTTTGGAGCAAAAATACCCGCGGCCAAAAGTCAACACCGACGAGGTTAACATAAAAGGAGAAAGTAAACCAATTATATTTATTAAAAATGTTCAATTTAGGTGTATTCTGAAACATATTAAATTAATTAGAACAAGCCAGCTGATTTATATATATATAATTTTAATTTAATATAAAAAATTATTATATTTTTAAATATTTATATTTATTTTTTTAAAAAAATTTATTTAGTGATAATAAAGCGGCATTTATCCAACAACATTTAATTTCAGCGGCAACAATTCCAACAATAAATCATGCATTTATTGTCGCTGCAATTTAATTTATTGTACTATACTTAGTCAACTTTTATTTATTTTATGTATATTTATTCTAGAACTTACTGAAAGATACGTGGTTATTAGTAAGTTAGATACGAGCATATTTGGGAAATAGCTTATTCGACGCTTTTTGGATCTAAAGGCTCATTTTTTAAAAGCTCATCTACAACTTTCTTTGTTTTAATTTTAGTTATTTTTTATTTACCTTTAAAACTTAATTATTTATTATATATATAAATATATTTTTATAGCAGTATTTATTAATTATTTTTAATATATTTAATTTATTAAATTATATTTTTATTTTTATAAATTTAAAATAATTACTATTATTAATCATTACATATAAATTATTTTATTTGTAAAATATATAAATTTTTAAAATAAATCAAATAGAAAAAAAATTATTAATTTATTTATATATATTAAAATAATAATTAACATAATAAAAATATACACGAAAGATTTATTATTTCATATTTTACATAATTTTAATAAAAAATTATTATTTTTTAGTAAAAATAATTTTTTCAAATCTAAATAATAAAAATAAAAATAAATATTTTATAATTTTCAATAATTAATAACAAAAATTCTCATAAATTTCAAACCAAAATTAACAAAATTAAATATAACATATCAATATTCTTAATAGTCATTTTTACGTATAAACAGCTAATGTCAACCGTTGTTTTACCAAACACTTTAATACAAATCGCTAATTGAATCGCTAGTCAAACCAGCTTATTGAATCAGCTAACCGCTAACAGTTAATTGAATCAGCTAGCTATCAGCTAATTGTCAAACGCACCCATAGTCATTAATAGTTATTTTAGAGATAGTTATTTAATTAAATCTAGAATAGTATTAATATAGATTATTATCAATTTATGTGGGTTTAATTTATTTTTAATTTATGTTTCTTTAATTTATATTGAGTTAAATTAAATTAAAATATTTTATTTAACTATTTTTATTTAAGTAGAATTATCCGTAAAATACGTTACTTTCTTGAGTCAATCGATTTTTTATTGTGCTTAAATTGAGTTTGAATTTTAATACTTTCAATAATTGAAATTCTTTTAAGTATAAATATAAATCAGGATTTCGATAGATTTGGTTAATATTTCATTCGTTTCATTTGTTTTATACTTAGTTTGATTTCAAAAACTTTTGTTCATTTAGTTTTGCTTGTTAGCGAAGATGACAAATTAAGTTTCCTTATGAATATGATTGACAAACGAATAGTGTGAAGAGGGGAAAATTGCAAAAAATATCTCACACGTATACCTCATTATCACTTTTGTCCTGTATTTATTTCTCTGGAAAAATATATCATACATGTTTTCAAAATTCGTTATTTCTATCATTTGACCGCGCGTGGCCGCGCGTAAAAACGCTTGGTGTGAATTTCACGCGCGAGAAAAGGACATAAATAACGACTTTTGTAAACATGTGGGATATATTTTGCCATGGAGATAAATACGAGACAAAAATGATAATAGTGTATAAGTGTGTGATATTTTTTGCAATTTACTCGTGTGAAGAGGATGCCCATTATTTTTCTATACGACTTGACTTGGAAAAAATAAGACGACACGAAAAATGTCGAAACTAGTTTATTATCCATAGAAAAGTCTACCGGACTGCCTTGTTTTTCTTAATTTATTGTATCAAGTAATTTGTAGTGCGGCATAATTAAAACCTTGAGTCGTCACAGCATTTCTAGAAGCTACTCCAAATACTTGAGTTTGAATATATTTTAAGAGATACAATTTAGAATATTAATAGACAAGTGATAATGCAAAAATGACTTAAAGATTTAAACTTTAGCTATTCACTTAGACACCATTGTTGATATTATCGACAATATTGAATTCTTATTTAAATTGTACTTGAATTAATTTGACTAATTGAATTATTGAATGACGAAAAAAGGTTAAGTGTGAGTACGCTAAACTTGTGAATTGTGACAAAAGATTTAACTAGAAGATTGAACACTCCTCCTATATGTGACAATATATATATATATATTACATACATATGTGCTTAGAAATTGCAATTTTGCATATCACATCACTAAACAAAATCAGTGTTAGAACAATGGCAAAGCTTAATGTTGATATAGAGAGTAAAGAACTACTTGGGGCTCAAGCTCAAGTATGGAACAACACATTTCCCTTCATACACACAATGGCTCTAAATTGCGCCGTCGAGTTGGGCATCCCGGACATCATCCATCGCCACGGAAGTCCAATGTCGCTATCCCAATTAGTCGACGCACTTCCCATCAACAAAGCGAAGTCAAATTGCATCCATCGCTTGATGCGCTCACTCGTCCACTCTAAGCTCTTCATCAAACTCAACACCACGGAGGATGAAGAGGCGCGCTATTGGCTCACTCCGGCCGGAGACCTCCTTCTAAAAAATAATCCCATGGCTGTTGCGCCATATTTGCAAGTCATGTCGAATCCGGAAATGGTGAAAGTGTGGCACTATATGAGCCAATGGCTTGTTAGTGGAAACAATGGGTCGCCCTTTGAGATCGCGCACGGGAAGACCGTTTGGGAGCATTTTTCAGGGAGTGAGTCGAGATTGGGCGACATGTTCAACGAAGCTATGTCGTGCGACACAAGGCTTGTGATGTCCGTATTGCTTAAAGATTACAAGAAAGTTTTCGAGGGGGTGGGGTTGCTAGTGGACGTGGGAGGGGGCGTTGGGACAGCAGCAAAAGAAATCCTCGATGTATTTCCGGGCATGGAATGCATTGTTCTTGATCTCCCACTTGTTGTAGCTGGATTGGAAGGGACACAGAGCTTGAAATTCGTTGGAGGAGACATGTTCGACGACATTCCTCGCGGTGATGCTATACTCTTCAAGGTACCGCCATCTTACAAAATACAATCATATATGGATCGATTAGTATTGTAAATCCTTAACTAATTTGCCTTGTGGTCGACAGTGGGTCTTGCACGACTGGAACGATGAGAATTGCACGAGAGTGTTGAAGAAATGCAGAGAAGTTCTGTCGGAAGGCGGGAAAGTGATCATAATCGACATGGTTTTGAACGATGAATCTTGCCGAGGAGATCATAAGGACGACATTATCGAGGAATCTCAGCTGTTGTTCGACCTATTGTTGATGACTTATGTCGAAGGAAAAGAAAGAAGTGAGAGGGAATGGGCAAAGCTTTTCACAGATGCTGGCTTCACTACCTATAAGATTACTCCTGTGTTAGGTGCGAGGTCTGTAATCGAAGTTTATCCATGAAAATAATTTGGATTGGATGTGTTCGAGGTCTGATTTGGTTGTCCATGATTCTTAATTCATGTTCTCTTAGTTTATTTATCGTATCTTTAATTTGTATTGTATTGTATTGTATTGTAAGAATAATCAGACGCTTTGATATATGAAAAATTGTAATAAAATATTCATGTATTTAGTTTACTAGCAAAATATATATCACATATTTATAAATATTTTATTTCTATTCTTTAGCCGCATGGGACAAAATGTCACACGTAGAATATATACCTTTAAGAAATTACATATAACTATTAGTATTTCATTTAAGAAATATATAAATATAAATATAAATCTATGATCTATTCTTCACTTCACTCGTTTTTATTCGCATTCAAAATCTTTATCTATTGGGTTCTCATTCACTCGTTCACTCGTATTTTTACATTACATTATGATGCAATCGAGATAACAAGACAAAGTTCAAAACATTGCAAATGAGTTCGACATATACTAGAATTTTTTTTTATAATCAAAATTTAATCCAATTTCTTGTATATATAAGCCTATAGTTAAGCACGGTCGACCTTTATCGGCCTAGGCCCAATAGAGTTGATCTTTCATGTCGGATTGGCGTGGCCCAAATTTTTCGGAGTATATTTTTTTTAGATTAAAGCACAATTTTTTCATGCTAGGTTTTGATCAAATTTTTTAATCGTGTTTATTTTTATCCGTTGTTCATATGGTGTTTTCTATAATTAAATATATTGTTGAGAGAATTTTTTTTATGTACTTTTTTAAGAGATAATATGTTGTTGATAAATAAGTCCTTTTTTTTTGCAATATATTCATATATAAATATAGTTTGTTGTAGTTACATAATATGTTAAGTATAAATATAATATATGTTGATATAAGATATGATTTAGATATAAATAATAAAGTATGTTAAGATATTATAGTTACATATATATTTGTTTCTTTTAAAATGTTACTCTTTCCGGTCACTTAAAAATATGCTCAATTTTGTTTACACTACTTTTAATATGAACGTATATTTTTAGTTATTTTTTTTATAATAAAAAATATAAATATTTTATGAATAATTATAATTACACTAAAATAGAATTGATTACCTTTTTGTGATATTAATGATAAATTTATGAGTTGGAAAAAGATCTAAATAATTTGAGATGTCTATTTATTTATATTTGTTTCTAATAATTACACTTTATGTATAATAGTATTTTTATTTTGATATTTAATAAGTAATACTACTAAAATATCATTAGTAATAATTAAATTATATAAAAACAAAATTATAGTAATAAAAAATACTACTACTAATTATACTAAGATTTATATAATATTATTATTTTCATCATTATTAGAATAATAATCATATTAGAGTATTGGTATAGTCATTATTGTTACTCCATTATTTTTTTATCTATCTCATTAACATTGTATTTATCTCAACATTCAAATTATTTCATTTATCACCCGTTCCAATAAATCACCTTTAATACATTACCTTTACTATTTTATAAATCCACAATAATTTATTTATTTTTATATATTTTTATTACATAATAATATATATATATATATAAATAATGTATTTATTTATATATATTTTTATTGTCTAATGATATTTTAACTTTTAAATATTAATATATATAATAATTGAAATTATTCAAAATAAATCAGCATATATTAATTAAAAATAACATAAAAATAAATAATAATAATATAATATAAACGTATAAAATAAATATATTAACAACATAACTTAAAATTATTGCTTTTATTGTCAAATCATGTCCAATAATTTAATTTAAGAACTTATTGAAATGATCAGTATTTTAACTAGCCATTTTGTTTAATTGAATACGAAAAAGATAAAAAATTGTTAATGAAATTTAAATATATTTATAGATAAATTTGTTAAATTTAAACTTTAAAATTTTAAAATTTCAAAAAAGAAAAATTAATTTCTTTTTAATTTTTTTTTATTGAAGGTAATGAATTTTTTATAAAAATAATAAATTTTGATAAATATATTTTTTATTAAATATAATGAATTTTGTTACCGTAAAAATTAAAAAATCAACAAAAATAGATAGTGCGAGAGGAAACTATTAGTGACACGTTTCCTTTTAAATTTGAGGGGCGGGCCCGGGGGGTTGGTGGGATGATTGATCGAAAGGGTAAGTAGTTGTGAAAACACACTGAATTACAAATTATTTTGTGTAGGTTTCAAATTATTTAGGGTAGCCCCACTTGCTTTTATAATTTTGGGGGGGCGTCTATAATTAATTGATACTGTGGGGCTTTCGTGTAGGGACGCAAAAATAAATTATGTATTTGGCAGGTGTAGGTAGAGCTGTAAGCTAATCGGGGTAGGTGAGCGGCACACGATTGAAGAGCTCACGTGGTTTCGAAGGAGTGAAATATTCTGTTTTATATTAAAATAATTATAAATAATAATAATATGTTAAAAGTGGGTGGATTTTTTTACTATATAACATTATATTCTTTTTAAATATGGTATCTAATACTCTCTTTTGTTACAAATATGTTGCATTATTTTTTATTTTGATTTATATCACATATTTTGCAATATTTCATAAAAAATAATTAATAATATTTTATCTTATCGCATCATTCGAATAAAATATATATATATATATATTTTTCTATTTTACTGTGCGACATAATTCTCATTTTATTTTACCTATTTAAATTCTTATAGCGAAAATCAAATTATTGCACCTGAAGTGATATGAATCTATACTTCTCATATTATTAATTTGTTTATTAAGAGTGTATTTAGTCTTAAGATTTTGAGTAATTTAAGACATTGTTAGCAATTATATAGTTTGGATTGGGTAATTATTAATTGAACATTTAGATTGATTTGAAAAGACTGCATAAAAATATCTTAGCATAATTGAATGAAGAAAATACTGTTTATAAAGTAACGTAAAAAGAATAGAGAAATAGCATACACTTTTAAGTAACAAAATGTTAAATAAAATTATCCGTACAGTTAATTTAATCCAATCAGCATATATAATAAAAATAGTAGTAATTCCACTATTATTAACTAGAAGAATGATAATAAAATTGTAGATAAATAAAATTGTTTAAAATTGTTCATAAGTATAGCAGATAAACAAAAATAATAATTATATAATTTTGACAATATAAAAATAAGTATTATATATATTTAGTATATATATATGTTGACTAACTCAAATTAATATGATTTATTTTATACAATCAATGCAGATTTATGTGCGATTGTAAATTATGTATTGTATATTTCTATATTGTATGTGGTCTGGACTATAGAACATATATATATATATGTAGCTATATATTTTTTTCTACCCATATAATAATATTTTATTTGATAGTAAAAGTTAAAAATAACTTTAAAATTTTGGTCTATATGTTTAAAAATTAAAAATTATTTTGATATTAATATATAACTATTTTACTATAATAAAAAATTAATATTTTTAAATAGATATACAAAAACGAAATAAACAAATACTTTTAACTTGTGATAGAAAAAATACATATTTTTCTTATGATATTGTACCCGCGCCTAGGGATGGAAATAGGACAAGCTAAACCAGACTCTGGATAAATAGACTTGTCCTATTTTAAAAATATATGGCCTAAGTCTGGCTTGTAAACCTGAAATTTTCTTTTTAAAAGTCTGAGTATGGCCTTTTTAAAAGTCTAGCCTGGTTTGCAAATCTATTTAAAAAATTACATAACATTTTTATTTATTTATTTATCTGCAAATTTGATTAGAAATAAAAAAATAAATAAAATATAAACAATTATTTAATATATACAAAAGTTAAAAAAATCTATTTTTTATAATAAATTTATAATTAAAATTATTTAATAAATATTATTATTAGATAGAAAATTATTTTTAATATATATAATTATAAAAATTATTTTTATAAAAAATAATAATATTAAATAGGCTGACCTGTTAATTTAAAAGACTTTAAATTTTTTTTAACTCTATCATTTTAATAAATAAATCAGATCAGACTAGACTTATGTAGGCCAGCCCATGGGCCTTCACAGGGTCGGTCTATTTCCATCCCTACCAGTCCCCCAAATATGTACTTTATTAAAGTTATTGAACTGAGACAAAAAATAATAATAATAATAATTGAATGCTGACCCCTATATATATGCTTGAATGTGCAAAACCGTTACAAACCACAGCAAAAAAATAAAAAAAAAACATCTCTTAGCTTACCTTAGCTTACACAAAAATGGCGAAGGTTAACGGTAATGCGAAGCTTGGTACTACTGAAGAAATGCTTCAGGCTCAAGCTCGTATGTGGAAGGACACATTCTCCTTCGTATACACCATGGCCATAAATTGCGCGGTCGAATTGGGCATCCCGGACATCGTCCATCGATACGGTCGTCCCATGCCACACTCCAAATTAGTCGAGGAACTTCCCCTTGCCAAGTCGAAGGTACAAGACATCCATCGCATAATGCGCGTGCTCGTATATTCCAAAGTTTTCGTCATAGACGAAAAGTCCGGAAACGACGAGCCGTATTATTCCCTGAGTCCAGCCGGGGCACTGCTTTTAAAGGATGCGCCTATGGCCGTGGCACCATATTTCCCGGTCATGTTGAACCACGAGACGTTGAAAGCGTGGAGCCACATTAGCAAATGGTTTGTCGCCGGGGACGAGGATTCGCCTTTTGAGACCGCGCACGGGAAGACACTTTGGCAATGCTTCTCCGCGAGCGATCCCAAAATTGGCAACTCGTTCAACGAAAGTATGTCATGCGACACGAGGTTCGTGATGTCCATTTTGCTTAACGAGTACAAGCATATATTCGAAGGGATCGATTTGCTCGTGGACGTGGGAGGGAATGTCGGGACGGCCTTGAAAACAATCCTCGACGTATTCCCCGGCATGAAAGGCATTGTTTTTGATCAAGAACGCGTCGTAGGCTCCTTGAAAGGGACACACAACTTGACCTACGTCGCCGGAGATATGCTCAAACAAATTCCCCGAGGCGACGCTATTCTCTTCAAGGTATAATAAATTTTTTCTTTCTTTTCAGTTAATTTTAAAGTTCTGATTGGATCCAATGCGTTTAATTTTTTCTTCAACGCCCTAATAGTAACTAACTTTGCGACATGGTACTTTGACAGTGGATATTGCACGACTGGAACGACGACTATTGTCAGACGATTTTCAAGAATTGCCGGGAAGCGCTACCGGAAGGAGGGAAAATAATAATAATCGACATGGTACTTAGCGACGATTACAAAGCGGACAACGACAACACGGACGTTGTCCGCGAAGCTCAAATATTGTTCGACATGATGGTAATGACATATTTGGGAGGGAAAGAAAGAACCAAGAAAGAATGGGAAAAGCTTTTTGCAGATGCAGGCTTGACGAACTACAAGTTCAATCATGTCTTAGGGGCAAGATCCGTTATTGAGGTTTACGTTTGAAATTAATTACTAATTTATAATTAATTAAGTTAGTTTGGATTGCGTACGTATCATCTTTACTTCATTTTCCATGATTTGCAATGTAAGATTTACCAAGGTTACGATGTTATCCTTGGGATGTATGTTTCAATCAACAATAAAGTTATTATTTATTACTATGGGTTTGTTTATTTTATTTGGGGATTTTTAGGGTTTAAGTTTTATTTTAGCTTTAAATTGGATGTGTGTTATGGCCAGAAGAAAATAATATCTTTTTTTGTCACAATTTAATTTTTTTTTTTAAATGATTGATAACGTAGCTTGTCGTATATAGTGCGACATTGCCTTGGAATATCAAACAAACCATCCTTATCCACAATTAATGCACTATAAATTTGTTGTAATTATTTATCAACTAGAGTAAATATTAACATCAACCGTGATATCCCTAATTCAAAATATTATTTTTATTTATTTTAAAGTATTAATTTTTTATTTTAATAAAAGTAATCATATATTAATATCAAAATACCATTAATTTTTATCTAAATTACAAATATATCATTATATATAATTATTTTTACATAAAATCAAAGAATAAAAATGTCAAAATTTATTACACACTTCTACTAATTATTAAAATATTATTATTTTTTAATCTACTAAAAGATTTCAAATGACCAATTTGGACAGGGACTGAGAGAAGAATAATAATAATAATAATAATAATAATAAGTAAACAAAAATACTCAAAATTACTAAACCACATAAAATATCAATTTTTATAATATTTTCATTTTTTTTGTATTTCAAGCTAAAAAACACCTAATACTAAAAAAACTAAACAAACTTTCTCTAATTTATATATATATATATATATATATAGAAAAGGAATGTACATAAATGAATTATATTAAGCAATTATTATATACATAGAGTATCTCAACGTCGGGACTGAAAAGGGCAACCCGCACCATAAAAGGAGCAGCAAGTTTTAGAGGACAGGAAATTGGCAACTTCCAGATCAGATATCTATAACTTAGCAACAAATGGGGACCTTAGGATCCAACTGCCCTTTTGTAAGATTTTATTTTCCACTTTTTCATTTTTTGTCCTTTTATTATTAATGCAATAATTGACTTGTGGTAAGGGTAAGGGTAAGGGTAAGACCCATGTTGATGTTGTGGTAAGTGTTGTGTCAGCATCATTTTCATTTTGGCAATTTATTAAGACAACATAAAAATGGTGGAACCATGGGACCATTATAATAATCAATACATAGTGGTAGGCATGTTACAAGGCATAAAATATCAATTTTTTTTATTTATTTAATTGTATTTTGAAATTAAATATTATTTTAAATAAAATTTTGATATAATATTTTATAAAAAAAATATATATTTTTTTTTAATTGAGTATGATTTTCATACTCATTTGACCGGATAAAAATAAAAAAGTTTCTTTTATATTAAAGAAAAAAAATGTGGCATTGTGTAAAATAATGACAAAATCAATAATATTTTTTAAAAGTTATTAATGTTTTAGTAAATTATAAAAATAAAAATAAAAAATCATATAAATAGACAAATATTGAATAAACATATATAATATTTTAACATAATATTTTATAATTGTTGAAACGTGACTTGGATTTAGCAGTCTACCCGACCATAAACCAAAGCGAAAGGGCTCTTTCAATTGGCAGGATTCCTTTTGGGCTTATCCTAATTGATAACAAATAGGCTTACGGTTTAGGGTGTTTTGAGGTGCTTATAAATAGACAACTATGGTTCTTAGTCGGATGACATATTGTAAATCTCTGAATCAGTATAATAAAATCTCTCCGGTTCCTACCCGTGGACGTAGGTTGACACACCGTCATCGAACCACCACCACGTAAAACCTCTGTGTTCTTTATTTGCTTTCTTTCTCGTTTTCTCATAACAAGTGGTATCAGAACCTAGTTCGTTGATAGGGTGGATTGAGAGGAATCGGGCGTTGGATCGTTGTGGGAATCCCTTGTGACCTGCGGAGGTGCCTTGTGTCGAAAGTCTCCTGGCGGTGTTGGGTCGGTCCCGACTTGTAGGTCAGGCAGCGAGTCCCTTTGTGATAGGCGGTGCAAGGTTGGTAGGGAAGGATAAGGGTTTCGGCAAACGCAGCGGAATATCCGATGTGCTCTCATATCAAGTGAACCTTATGTTTGTTTGTGGGAGTCAAGATGGGTGATCGTCATGTTGTCAAGGTATTCGACGGTATGAACTTCGATTTCTGAAATATGCCGATAGAAGATTACATGTATGGTAAAGATCTAGATGCGGTATTGAAGGAGAAATTCGAAGACATGGATGAAGCCGAATACAAGAAGATCGACAGGAAGACGATGAGTGCGGTTCGACTAACCCTTTGGGAGAATGTCTCGACTGAATTTAGATTTGAGGCAAAAGGAAAAGGTGAAGATCAAGAATGGTCAAAGTTGAAGTCGAAGAATAAGGACAAGGAAGATGCAAGTCAAGTGGTATATTGGAATTGCAAGGGGCATTTGAAACGACAGTGCAGGGCGCCGGAGAAGGATCAGGGTTCAGCAAACGCAACGGAGGAGATATCCGATGCGCTGATTCTGAGCGTCAGCAGTTCAATGGAGTCATGGATTTTGGTCGAGCGTCATTCCACTCATGCAGTGATTCGAGAATCATGGAATCTTATACCACAGGTAATTTTGGTGTTGTCTATCTTGGAGATGATGAGACACTGAAAATTGTAGGTAAAGGAATGATTCGAATCAGAACACGGAATGGTGGAGAGTGGAGATTGGATGAGGTATGTTGAAGTGGAAGATGAAATCAGTATTCAAGTGGGAGATTGTTAGGATATGAAGCCTGATTATATCCTAAAATCTAGGGATATGATTTGGATATTATATTTTAGATTTTAGATATATGATTTGGATATTATTGTCAAAGGCTTAGGCTATAAATATCCATGTATTCTCACTTTAACACGTGCCTACGTACTTTATAGTAAAATTCCTGGCTTGGCAGCGCCCCCAGACGTAGATCATCGTGATCGAAATGGGTTACCAAATTCTTGTGTTCTTTTGTCTTTATTATCTCATCTTGATTTCCTGAAAATTTTCGTAACACATACAAATTAAATATATCATTTTTATAGATTATTAGTACCATCTCTATAATATATATATATATATATAGCTAAAAATACCAGATTGTGTTTGTTTTGGTTTAGATATTTATTAATTTCAAGACAAAATTTCACACGTAAATTTCAGTTAAAACGTGGAGTATTATCTATTCTAACAAAATATGATAAACGTTCAAACACAATTTCACATACTCAAACCAAGTGAACCAATATTACACAAATCCAAACTAGATCTGCATCACATGTATTTTAATTTAAATACAAAAATTTATTTATATATTTCCAACAAGATCTCGACAACATAGAAATTTTCTAACATATTCTTTTCACCTAAAAGAGTGGTAGCTATACATACAATCAAATTTGTTAAGTTAATCTCAAACCTAAACATCCAGTGACAAAAACCACTTTATGCTTCTGTGGTCGTTGGCTTTCAAAAACAGCAACTCTGAACTTGCTGGTTAAATCCAATCATGCAGCCCCTGTATCCCTTCAAGTTTGGTAGCCGCTTAAAGACAAAATGGACATCTCGAATTTGTCCTTTTGTGATCAGAACTGATTTGATACAACATCATTCTTTAGTTGGATCAAAAAGAATTTATTGCATGTCATTTCATGGCTGTTGTGGTGTGTTTAACAGTGCTAGAGATTTGTGGGAAGTAGTGTGAGTGATTTTGAGAGATTGGGTAGTAAGAGAATTATTGTGTTTATCCTCTCAACCATTTCCCTTCCACCTCCAGGTACTAAGTGAGTGTTTTACACTGTATTCCTACCGGAGAAACTTGGAGATTGAACGAAGATCGAAGTTGCAATCAGGGGAACATTCGAACTATGTGCAGCACAACTATATATCGCTTGTTAGTACGCGTTTGTAACAACTTATGTCTGTGGAGGGAATTTCCTAGGTAATTAATATGTAGTTTGGGTTGGTGGAGGTTTGAGTGTTTTGTTATTAATTAGCACTGATTAATGGACATCTCCTGGATTAGTAAATGTAGGATGATTTATATCCGAACCGGGTAAACAAATACCTTTGTCATTTATTGCTTTGAAATCCTTTCATTTATTTCATTGACAAGTCGGTGTTACGAGGATTTATTGAAGTAGCACTTATTTCCATCCCAACAAAATTAATTAATATTTTACCCAAAATATACATACCCAAAATTATTGATCCTTATTACTATTATTAGTATTATTATTATTATAGTCCATTAAATAGCTAGCCTCGCAGCTGGCAATTTGTTTTTTCCCTAGTGATTTTTTTTTTTTTTTTTTTGGCTAATTATTATTAGAAAAAAAGGAAACAGACAGCAGCAATTAATGAATATCACATGGTCTGACTGCATGTTGAAATAAAATAAAATAAATAAAACCACGAGTGGATCGATTATTTAAATACTTGAAAATAATCCATAAAGTGAGAAACCTATAGCAGCTTTGGAGGGCAAGTTGCAAAATTATGTCCTTTAACACCTTATCTTATTAAATATTTACAATTATTTTTAATATATACAACAATAAATTCATGGATATTAACAGTAAATGTATTTTCTTAATAAATTTATAGTGCATTGAAATTTAAGAATTCGATGATATTAAGTTATCTTCCATCTACAAACTTCATTTACACAATTTTAATTTAGAAAATACAATCGCTATGATAGCGGTTAAAATGGATTAACGGTTAAATTAGCCCATAATTCATCGTAATTCGTAAATAAATAAATTGTTTGCGAATCAACCTACCACGGAGTAGAATTATGATTTAGACAATCCAACTCGATCTATTGGCTGGTGGAGCACCAAGCGGGCTAAATCACATATGTTTTATACTATAAAAAATAATATTATATTCGTTCATTTTTTATTCTATAAAAGATATAAGAAATTGTAATGTCCCGATTTCGAAGTATATAAAATAATATTATTATAGTAAATAAATATTTTTATAATATTTTAGGATTAAGAAATTAATATTTTAAAATAAATTTTATTTTTATTTTATTTATTAATTATGATTAAAAAGACTGCTAAACCAATAAATATTGATAAGGATAAATATAAAATATAATAATATAATAACGATGGTAAGGATAATAATAATATATAATAACGTTAATAATAATATAATATAATTGTTGAGTAAGAAAAAACTAATGTATAGGATTTCTTGAGAATGAGCTTATAAATTGGATTAATGTATAGTCCAATGGGCCTGGTAATGGTAGTAGGGTCTTAAATGAAATCGGGCGAAGGATGAGATGGGAGGTCGGACAAGATAAGGTCGAGCAAAGAAGGATGAGATGAGAGGTCGGACAAGATAAGGCCGGACGAATAAAGATGAGACGGCCGATACGAAGGTCGGTCAAAAGGAGGTCGGGCCAAGAAAGATGAGAGGGCGGAGGTCGGACAAAAGGAGGTCGGGCGAAGAAAGATGAGATGGCAGATACGGAGGTCGGACAACAGGAAAGGTCTGTTAATTGGTCAGGACAAAAAAAGATCTGTTAATTGATCGCTTAATTAAGCAACCTGTTAATCACCTGATTGATTGGCAGGTCATTTGGTCAAACAGTTGTTCAGCCGTTTAAAGGGACTGGATGGTGGTTGCTTGATTGGGCGACCGATGAATTGTCTGGACGAATGGTTGTTGAGCCGATTGAAGGGACTGGATGATGGTCGCTTGCTTGGGCGACCTATGAATCTTCTGGACGAATGGTTGTTCAGGCGATTGAACGGACTGGATGGTGATCACTTGATTGGGCGATCGATAAACCCGTCTGGACAAATGGTTGTTTCAGCTGTTTGAAGGGACTGAATGGTGGTCGCTCGAGTGGGCAACTGTTTAGTCGTTTGGTCTAGTGGCCAGTTAGTATTTGGATTGGTCGGTTGGTCAATCGTTAGGTTATTCGGTAGGTTCAGTCGGTGGATGGTCCAGGCAGTCGGTCAGCCTGCAATCTGTCTAAAGTATGCCGGGCGGTTGAGTAGTCGTTCGGGACCAGCCGTCCATTTAAGGAGGTAAGATGCCCAGAGGCGGTCGGTCGAGCCAGTTGGGTTCTGTAACTGGTGGGAGCGGTTGGTGAAACAGTTAAAACACGTGTCAATAGAAGAGGAATTAGTGGGCGGTTGACGGCGGTTGCTATAACCGAACATACGACAGTTTCTCAGTCGGATGGTGATTTATGAACTGTCTGAAAAGACGGTTAAGGGAAGTTACAACCGGCGAGTGGATCGAACAAGTGAAAGGCGAGCAAGAGAAGACGTAGTAGCAGGTGTGCTGGTCGGACGAAAAACAGTTCTAAGACGGTTGAGAGAAGTTACAACCGGCGAGCGGATATGAAGACACAATCTGGTTGTGGCGGTTGACATAGGTTTTAAATAGGTCTGTTCATGACCTAAAGAAACCATCTTCAATCGACATCAAATTCAATGAATTTCTTTTGGGATCACCATTTTACTTTTACAGTCTGTAGTATTTATTTTCCTATTTTATTTATGTATCGTATAGTGTCTAGGGATTCTTAATCTTAGACATTTTATTTTATCAAATTTGAAGATAATTTCTATTTTCGGGTTTTACTTTTTATTGTTGAAAATTTGCATCAACAATAATATAATTATATATATATAAACAAGCAAAACATTACCTGCGAAGGAAGGGAGAGGAAGAAACGAGAAGGAGAAGAAAGAAGAAAAAGGAAAAAGAAAAAAAAAAGATTTAGCCGTTCGATTCTGACTTTGATATTGTATTCCTTATTATACGTAGTATTTAATTATAAATTTTAATATGAATTTAGATATTGAAGATATTAAATTAAAAATTTTTTAAAAATTCATAAATGGCTATTTGGCTATTTAATCAACGAATTTCATTAGCTAATAGTCTATTCGTAGTCTTAGCATTATATTATGAGAATTTCGTATCGATCCGAGCCAAATTGAAAACGGCATTGTACCGCACCTGCTTGTTTATTCATATCTCTAAGTATTTTTATTTAATAATTGGACGATATAAATATTATGAGGTATAAAAATTTTATATAGAATCTTGTATTCTACTAAATATAAAAGTTTGAAACCAATCGAGCTAATTATAGAAATTAGCTTTTGAATAAGCAGGTAGCTCATGTGAATAAACATATAGCTTATCTGATTTGATTTGAGTGAATAATGGGGCTGGTGTACATTGGAGGAGATTTGAGTGAGATTGCAAAAGCTAACGAGTACCGATAAGAGGTAAACAGTAAGGAATTTAATTTTAAGAAATTAGGTATGTATGTTGCATGCGATGCGATTCTGATTAATATGCTAATGTGATATTATGTGAATCATTTTGTCAGTACATGTATATATTTATATATATATATGTGCACGTGGGAGACTTCACGGTTCATAATATTTGATATACGTATTTGATCGCGTTGGTGAATTTATGAAAAGAATGATAGGTGAGCTGTCTCACCAGCCTTTTTCGGTAAATTCGCGCCACACATATTGCATGATTTATCGAATATATTTTATGAATTTATCGTCTAATCGACGTGTAATGGATCTAATTTCACTTTACGATTTATCGAATATATTTTATAAATTTATCATCTAATCGGCGTGGTGCAGCGGGTCTAATTTCACTTTAAACTTTTCAAAAGGGTTCAAACTATGTAAAGTTAAATATTATCTTAAAATAAAAATACATATATATTTCTTTTTATTTCTCCGGTGTGAAACTTAAGTTTATTCTTTTTCCAACAATAATGAAACTCAAATTATTTTGCATTTGGGCAATTAAATATAACTATTATTTATAAAGAATTCAAAGACAACACAGACTCAAATTATTGGATAAATAGTGAAGAGACACAAGTTTGCAATAAATTTCATTTTCTTATACAATTAATCATAAAACTAAAATTATATATTAATGCTCTCCTATATATGTAATTAATCAATTATCAACACACAATCCTCTTCCCCCTTAATAATAGAGTTGGCTAAGAACAAGTCCCACATACTTTTATATAACAATTAAATATCAAACATTGAAGGGACCTAAATCAACGTGAAGCCTGTGGATTTTAACCCAACCAAATTCAAAATTATTGCAATTATTTTATTAGATTTTTCATTTTATTTTTTATATTAAAAAAAAAACTGTATATTAATTAGTTCAACAAATTATATGTACTATCTACCACCAATATATATATAAGGATCTGGAATGTATACGTGTGTGTGTTTTTTTTTTTTTTGGTGAGTTTAAGAAAAATTAGTTTGAATTTAGTATTAAAATCATATTTGATGGAATGTCTTATGAGAAAAAAATGTGTATATTTTTTTTTCGAGAAATACAAAGTCTATGTGATAAAAAAATTTGAAGAAACTTGGCGAAAGAAACACAGATCCATGGAATATACATGCATGTGTGTGTGTGTGAATTTTTGTAAACTTGTGAATTTTGACAAAAGATCCTAACATTTGATAAGATGCTGAATAATATATATATATATATCGAAATAGTTAGGATGCTGATTAGAGTATATTTTGTCATTCAATATAATGTGTGTAGATTGATATCTACTCTATTTTACGCTGAGATTAATTTTATAACTACCGTCTATACAATATAATATCATATATATATATATATATATATAGGCTTAGAAAGCCAAATGACAAACAATATCAAGTGCTAGAAAAATGGCAAAGCTTAATGGTGATATGGAGCTTTCTAATAATGGAGAACTACTTGAGGCTCAAGCTCAAGTGTGGAACCACACATTCTCCTTCATACACTCCATGTCTATAAGTTGCGCGATCGATTTGGGCATCCCAGACATCATCCATCGCCACGGAACTCCAATGTCGCTATCCCAATTAGTCGACACGCTTCCTATCAACAAAGCAAAGTCGCATTGCATCCATCGCTTGATGCGCTTGCTCGTCCACTCTAAATTCTTTGTCAAGCACGACACCTCCGACAAGCCGGATGATGAAGAGGCGCGCTATTGGCTCACCCCGGCCGGGCATCTCCTTCTAAGGAATAATCCCATGGCTGTTGCACCACTTGTACAATTTATTACGGACCCGGTCAATGCGAAGGCCGGGCATTACATGAGGGAATGGCTTGTTGGCGAGCACCATGAGTCGGCCTTTGAGGTCGCGCATGGAAAGACCTTTTGGGAACACTTTGGGAATTGCGACTCGAGATTGGGTAACTTGTTTAATGAAAGTATGTCGCGTGACACGAGGCTTGTGATGTATGTATTGCTTAAAGATTACAAGCAAGTGTTCGAGGGGGTCGGGTTGCTTGTGGATGTGGGAGGGGGTGTCGGGACTACAACAAAGGCGATCCTAGATGTATTCCCGGCGATGAAATGCATTGTTCTTGATCTCCCACAAGTCGTAGCGGGCTTGGAAGGGACACATAACTTGACATTTGTCGGAGGAGACATGTTCGACAATATTCCTCGCAGTGATGCCATCCTCCTCAAGGTATACCTCATATCTCTTATTCGATCTTCATTGTAAGTTTTACCTTCTCTCCTTTATGCGATCTTTTAATTTTCAAAATATAAATTTTTATGTGAGATGATCATTTTAATATGATATCAGATCAAAATTCTTATGTGATGTAAATCCACCTAATTTTTTCAAATATTTTTCAAAGTACCAAGCAACTTTAAATGTTTTGTTTTATGAGAAATAATTTGTAATTATAAAAATCTAAAGTCTTTTTAATCTTCTCAACCAACCGATCTAATTAGAGCGGTACTAACTTAATCTATTGTTTGTGGTATGTCAATGTGACATACAGTGGATATTGCACGACTGGGACGATGAAAGTTGTGTGAGAATATTGAAGAAATGCAAAGAAGCAATCTCAGAAAGGGGAAAAGTGATAATAATCGATGCAGTTCTTGGCCATAAGGGCAAAGGAGACAACAACAAAATCATCCAAGAAGCTCAACTCTTGTTCGATATGGTGATGATGACTTATTTAACTGGAAAAGAAAGAAGTGAGAGGGAATGGGCAAAGCTTTTCACAGATGCTGGCTTCACTAAGTATAAGATTAGTCCTGTGTTAGGGGCCAGATCTGTAATTGAGGTTTATCCATGAAAGTAATTTGGATTGGATACGTGGTTTGGTTGTCGGACCTAGCATAATTTGCAGGATAATAGATTCGGTCGGGAATTTACCTAGTACGCACTTTCAAATAGCGACTGCGAATTCTCGCGTTATAAAAAAAAAGAATATATATATATTACAATTTGTTGTTCCGTAAAAGATATCTCGTGATCGATATTCATGTTCTCTGCTTCTGTAAAATAACTTACTAGAATATAAATACATAATGAAATTTATAACCTTACCTACCATACAAGAATATGCAATCATGTAGATGCCAGTGTATCCCAAATATCAAGCTATTGAGAAGTAGGAATTTCTCGAACGAGTAAAAAGAAACAAGCACGCAATCGACAGGCACACAGAGATTCATATCCAAATATCAAATACAAGAAGGTTCCTGAGGGCCGAGACTCTTCGACAGCACTTCTTCCCAACATAGTTTTACAAGAGTAGCAACAAGACAACAGATCAGACAAGTATATCCTACAGCCACCAGTCATCATCGTCTCCTTTATTAATAAAGCTTTGAAACAACAAGAAAACAAGGTAATGTTTATCAGCTGCGGCTCATCAGGCCTCAAAAACCTAGAGAATAACCACTAATGCTGCGCTGCTTTTAGAACAATCCATTTCCTGTTGGTCGATAGGAATCCAGCGTTCTAAAACAACACTAATTTGAGGTTCAATGTCGCAGCAGTTTAGAGCAAGGGACCAAGCTTCACCAGAAGATTGATAACACCGGCCGACAGATGGAGTTAGAGAGTGCTTCTGTGTTCGTCAATGAAGGAGGTCAGACTGGTCGAATGCTGACGTAGACATGTTGAGACAAGCAACATATCAGATATTTAAAAACCATAATGTAAGTGGCAACTATGAACTTAATCAAAAAAGCTAAAAATAATTTGCCCACCAAGTAGGCGGAGTTTTTTGAACTGCACTATTGATTTGGTTTAAACAAAATAAGTCCATGTTCATGAAACAAGTGCGAATATGAAATATTAAGAGTTGCATACTATCCATAACTTAATCATTTGTAATATTTAAATAGTTTCTACAGCATCTATTAATATATTTTATTTATTGAAAGCTTTTACAACTTCAACAAGGCATGCTACGGCATGCACCAAACACTATGGCATGCTAAAGTCTTTTGCGCTATAGTAAGTAACCAACAACAATGTCTACTATCCTTAAAGCATTTTAATAAATTAGTATGGTGAGCATGCATCAATACATAGAAAAACACAGAGGTATAGCTATCGAAAGAAGGTAAAACTGAAGGATTAAGTAAACAAAAAGGACAAATTATTACCTGCACTTCACACACATGCATTCATATATTCATGAGTACTCATAAATAATTCAAAATTGAGCTGTATTCTACACAGAGAATGGCTGTTAGCATTATTGCTTTTTTTACATCGCCACGTCTAAATATCTCAATAGCTTATTATAAATAAACGAAAGCTCTACACAGTAGTAACTGTAGCTTTATATCCAACACAGAGCTAATGGTGAATGAAAAAATGCCCTTTGAAGCCATTTCTTGTAACAGGCAATGGCTAAAATTTATAAATTCCACCAATTCAACAATTATACCATACTCCATCTATCATCCAAATTTATGTTTAAAATGTTATTGTTCTCGTTTTAGTAAAAAATCATATCTACCTTTTTAGCTATAAAAAACAAAAAGTACCAATTAATACACATCTATATTAAAACTCGTGCCAAAAAGTATAAGCATATTTTTACATGACAGAGGAAGTGTACATATGACTTAAAATTCATTCTCAATGTGATCTAAGCAATAAAAGAAGCAAAGGACAATCATTCTTTAATATATACATCAACAAAAATTGGTACTGCTCTACTTTGTATGAAATGGCGCTTCAAAACAGCTTCCAATAGTATCAGAATTATTAAAATATTCAACATAAATGCTCAAAATTCAATAATTATATCTTCTATTAACCAGCTGGTATATACATATATACACACATAAACACATATATTACCGTGGCTTGGTCCATCTCAAATAATTAATTATCTAAACATGTCTTTCTTTCATTTCTATGAAGTATTTTAATCTCTTTTTGTGTAGATTCTACTTCCATCTTTCCGAAGAATGGCACTGGTGCAATATAACTCCACGCATCAAAAACCAGCATTATATCCAAAACTTGCTGGTTCATTTGAGCCATTGAAAAGGGAAGATAAGAATCCAATTTAGATTATATTAGCATCTTCGACATAAAAATTATATAATCAAATTGAAGAAAATGTAAAGGGGGCAGTGGCTGGACAAACCAAGCTAGTATGTCACACTAACTAATGGTAATGCCTCATCTAGACGAACACTGTGGATATCAATCAAATATGCCCCAGTCACTTGGCATCAGAGAAAAGTTGCTAATTCCTAACAAAAAGCTAAGTTACTAAAAAAATTTCTGAGATGCTCACACAGAAAGATCACTTTTGTCTCAAGTTAGAACACAATCAAACATCATCACATACAGCATATAAAGTGATCTTTATCCGCTTAATTGTATTTTCAAGCAGATTGTTCCAACACTTAATACGTGACATTTTCCAAGACTTTTATTCTAGTCAGTTGGTGTCATAGAACCAGTACAGAATAAATTTGAGAATTAACTTTCAAATTGTCATCCCCTCTCCTGTAGCCAAAAGATACCGGACAAGAACAAGAAAACAAGCAAAATGTTTAGGAAGATATCTGTGTTCTGGATCGTTTAATAAATTCAGTGGAAATTACCGCCGCTAGCCCACCAAATGTGATTTTTTTAATGTTTATAAGTACATAAACAAAACACAAGACAGCTTAAACTAAATGTTCATAATCTTTTAATCATAGCGAAGCAAGCCATTAGCGAAGAATAAAATCATGAGCTATTGTTCTGATAATACGACAAAGCAATTAAATATTCTAGAATAACCTATCTGCAACTCACTGCTTTCATATCCCATTTAAGTTCAGTATGACATACTCAGCTCCGTTCATTTCCAATATTTTCAACCAACAAACTTTTAAATATAGCCGAAATACGTTACAAACCATGTCAAGATTTTGTCTTTTCCAACTACTTAACTGCGAATCAATCGTCACAAGCATAATCAAACAAATATGAAAAAGGGAAAGAACATGAACCACCATCCTCAAACATCTCATCTCCCATACCTCGATGGCAAACTATCCAATAGCCTCACCCATAAAAACTACCACCAGCAAGACATATTTCAAAGCTTTAATCGAATAAAACACATTGCATCTAATGGCCATTAATGAGCAAAGCAAAAAAATTGAACATTTTTCCAAATCCAAGAAACTAAAGAAAAGTAATACGGAGCAAGATCATCCAAAACAAGACATACGAACATATATATATATATATATATACATGAAGATGAAGACGAAGACGAAGATGAAGAAAAGGGATCATACCATCATCCACTAGAGCTGGGCCGGGTTCCACTCGAGCCAGGGCGATTCAGATCCGTCAGGTGCTCATACCCACCGCCGGACTTGGGCCTTCTCTCAATCGGATCCAAGCCGTGATGGGGACCGGAACGATGCGGCGGCCTGACCTCTGGCTTACCCTTAAAACTACCTGCCCCACCCTTCCCCAAATCGGATCCAGGCTTCTCCTCTTTCCCCACAAACCCTGGCCTCAGATGCGGCGGAACAAAGCGATCGGACTTCACGGGCGGCGGAGGCAAAGGCGATACGGGAGACGGCAAGGGAGAGGAAGCAAGTGCTGGACCAGACCCGGTTCGTCCCTGTGGACGGAGAGAAATCGAAACCGGCTCGGGAACGCCGCCTTTGGATTGATCCGGCGCCGACGCAGCAGGAACGACGGAGGGGCTCTTGTCTTGGGGCTTCTGGGGAACGGATATGGGCTTGGGGGTGGGTCGGGTCAAAACAAGCATGTGGCCATGGATGCGGGAGTTGGAGAGGACGGTCTTGCTCTGATTGGGGAACGATTTGGCGGAGGAATTGTTGGTGGTGGTGGATTGTTTGTTGGAATTGTTATTCAGCTTTTTCTCGAAGACATCGTTGAGATTGATGGAGGTGTATTTGTTGCTTCTTGCCATCCACCTGTTCCGCCGCCGCCGCCGCAACCACGAGACGCACCGCCGTTAGCCACTGTTGCAAGGAGGAGGAGGAAGAGGAGGCGAAAGGCGAGGTCGAAGTTTCGGCCCTTTGGACTTTTGCGTATACGGAAATAAAAAAGGAGAAGAATAGGCGGTTTTATGTACTAAATAATTAAATCTAAATATATATATATACATCATCTATATCACGTAAGTTTTGTTTTATTTTTATTTTTAATTTTAATATAATTGTTTATAATAAAATAAATGCTCCCACCCTATCGGCCAAATGTACTTCGAATATGAAATTTTATAAGATAAGAATAAATTATTATAATTGATTATTTAAAAATATGTAAAATATTCTATATCTATCCAATAATAATAATAATACTATATTTATTTACTATTTATTATATTTGTATAATTTTTGTAAAAAATATAGTTATATTATTATTATAATCTAATAGGTATTTTTTTTTGTCAATTTTTTTTAATTTATAATATATTTTGATATTATAATTAATATTCAAATATAACAAGACCAAGTAAACGAATACTTAGTTACAGGATGACCGGGAAGTATAATTTTTTTATTGTAATAGAAATAATATAATACTTCTTCAGTCTCTTTCGAAATGATCATTTGAGGCTTTGTAGTAAATTAAAAATAATATTATTTTACTAATTAGTGGAAGTAGATAAGAAATTTTGATATTTTTTATTTTTATATAATAATTGAATATGTAGTGGTATATTTGTAATTTAAGTAAAAATTAACTGTATTTTAGTATTAGTGTATAATTATTTTTTGTCAAATATGAAAATTTGTGATACAAGATGCAAATAAATTTATTTGACTACAGATAGATTAAATCTTCATAAATTATGAGACTAAAATTAATATTATATATAAATGTATTTTTACATCACTAAAATAAATCTTTCTTAAATAATTAAACATATTATTTTTTCGCTTTTTTAAATTATAGACAAAGGTAATTTGACAAACTAATTAATAGTTTTGATGGATTTTATTTTTCTCCATTTAGTTTTGCCCCTATTTGTCTCTAAACTATTCTCCGATAATTTTAACATATGTCGAAATTGAAGGTCATCAATTTCGCGATCTTTTGAAGATGGAATGGATTGAGTTGCTATTGTTTCCTCTTGCTCGTTCTTGTTGGATTCTTTATATGCCGTTTGTTCATAGCTTGTGAAAGAATCAATAATGTCACTATATCCGCATTCGCGCTTATAATCTAAAGTCAAACTCGAAAGCTCGTGAGTTACGTGTACATGATGAGGCACACTCTGTCGACAAATAAATCTATATTAGTAGCGATTCCGATTTCTTTTTAAAAAAATCTATATTAGTAGCAATTTCATTGCAATAACCTTGTTATATATATAAATGAAAAATAAAAAATAAAAAATAAAAAATAAAAATTAATAATAATAATCTACTACACATAAAAAAAAAAAAAAACTTTGCAATTTGTGAATTTTTTTTGAATTTTTTTTTCAAAAACAACAAAAGATAGACTTATAAATCTACAAATGTCGCATATTTTACTAAAATATGCAAATAATTAAACCTTGTTACAAGGGAAATTGCATTGTATTTAGAAAAATTTAAAACAAAGTCGAAGCTCAGTTTAGATAAAATATATATAGTTTTGAAAAAAAAAAATTAGAAAAATTAGAAAAATAAAAATATTTAATGTGATACTTTGTAAAAATATTAATGCATAAATTCAAATATTCTAAAAGTATATATATATATTGTTGCTCGATTACTAACCTCTAGGATCCATCCAATGTAAGTCGCATTGTTGACATGTTGGTTCATGTCCAAATCAGCACGTCTAGGCTACAAAGATAAATGAAGCTAGCTTAGAGGGTTCCGATAAAAATATGTTATGTATTTAAACTGTTAAAAAAAAAATGATGACAATATTCTACAAGAAAAAAAAAAATAGATAACTTAAAAAAATTTAAATAACTTTAAATAAATGTCAATTTATATAACTCGTAAAACCAATTTCACTTCAAAATACTACCTAACTTATTATATTAAGCTTCTATATGATATATGCATGCAATTTTTACCATTAACCTCAACTTGGTATATTGAGTTGGTTCATCAAATCTTTCGATTTTCTTGAGGACATTATTATTCCCCGGAGGAAACGCAAATCTGTGCTCTCATAAAATAAGTGAAGTTACAACATTGAAATCAACAACTTCTTCATGTCCAATTATTTAAAACATGAATAAAATAATTGATCTTACCTTGGTTGTTCTGAAGAGTGTTCAACAATTTCCTTGAGAAGGGCTTCCGGAGCTTTTTGAAGCCTTCGAGTCTTTTGGTTTAATAGTAGCCATTTACTAAGAACAAATTTTATGTCGAATGTCTTAAGATCATTATATATGTATAAATTAAACTTAGTAATACACATGCTCTAATATATGTTTGATTTAAATAATGACACTATTATGTATAGAGCTGCAATCAATTAGACTGTTTAGTATTCGTACCTCGTAATTTTAAGCAATATAACTTTTGTTCAAAGACGAGGATTTGTTCATATATCTATTATTTATAATCATAATTTTGGCAATAGGTATTTTCTAGTAATTAATATGGGTTCTCACCTTGTAACCCTTCCGATGACTTCGCCTGTGGTACAATCGGTTATCGTCCAATCGCGCCTCATGTTACGGCTTCCTTCGCCTTGGAACCATGTCTCTATCTCGATTACATCATTCCTATGAATTGCACACAATTGTTCTTTGTTCCACAACCATAAAAAAAAATGTATATATACAAACATTACAAACAAAAGTAAACTTAAAGGCACTAAAATATAACTTGCTATTACTAAGCAATTCTCATATTTCCTAGAAAAGAATCCTAAGTTAAATAAATTTACGAAATCATTCTTGTATTATTACAATTGTAGAATTACATTAGTATGAATTATATTCCATGGGTATCATATCCACATTTATATTTTCATTCTCTACACAAGCTATTTGTAATTTATCTTTTTTAAAAAATGTATGTTCGACCCAAAAATACTTTTATAAGTCAAAGTTGAAACCATCGACAATTTACCATGTTGGGTATTTAGAGATCTCTATGTGCATGCGCGAAGTCACCCATATGAGATCGTGTTCTCTCATGGAATGCGTAGTCGAAAATCCGTCTTTAGTTGTGTATCCTTTGCTTAGAAAGTGGTTACACCCAACTTCCTACATTATAAATATTGGAATCATTTAGAATCAAGAAATTTACATTATGATTATTTATATGAACAATTTACTATAAATTTTGATTTATAATATTAATGAGAATTATCTTATACATATATCATTGATTTAGTTATTTTATATACCAATTTCATCAACTCAAAAAATTTTCAATTGTGTATTTTAATATCTAGTGATGTCTTATTGATAATATAGAGTTCATTTTTTTTTAAAAAAAAAAAAAACACTTAGTTTGAATCCAATTATGATATAATCCTTTATTCAAAGGCTTTGTCCATAAAAACATTCTTAGAGCACAACATGTTAGAAGGATTTGAAAACAAATTCATGAAATATATATTTGTTGAAGATTTATCTTTAAAAGCAGGGCATTCTGATATATATATATATATATATTGTTCTATTTATTCAGGTGATTTTACTAAAAAAAAAAAAAAAACTTAATCTATAATTCTTACGTTATAAAATTATAATTTTATCCTAAAAAATACCATTTATCCCTATTATAAAAAAAAAAAAAAATCAAAAGTCCGACGCCTTTAAGTTTTGTCTCGTCACACATGACGTCTAGTATGACTTGTCTGGTCGAATCTAGTTCGCAGACTATTATGTTCGACGGATGATTTACCAAAGCGCACTTAAAAAGTAACCGTTGCAAGTTCTCACATAAAAAAAAATAATAAAAAAAAAAAAAATTACCAAATAAACAAACCCTCCACCATTTTAAATTGCATTGTTAATGAACTAATTGTATTGCGATTTAAATCTATAATAAAAATTTTATTATGTCATTTTTGTATAAACTTCAACGAGATTTGTTACTTTCAAACATTTAAGATAAATAGAAAAAAAAAATCAAAATTTCAAATGTAATGATCATCTACTAATATTACGAAACTATAATATTCATATGTATCTTTAACATACCTGCAAGAAGTTGGCAATAGATTGGATCTTTAGAGCTCCATTGATTCCAACCTCGTGGAACCTCACGATGAATCTCTCCTTGTAAGAATAAGGATCATCGCCCAAGTTCTTTAAGTATTGCTTGTAATCACTTACAAGATGATGTGCCTCTAAATCCGTCTCTCTCTTCTCCACTTTGATGGCTTTAATAGAACACCATCCTAAATGTCTCCGAGCTACTATATTGTTGGCATGTTCAACTCGATAATGTGAAATTTTGGGATAAGATAAACGATTGTTATAATTGACGCCAACATTATTCAATGTTAGTAATGTGGCTCCTCTTATCAACATTGGTTGTGCTTCCTAAAGGTTTTGAATTCATATGAACTTCGTCGAGGCATGCTTATATGGTAATATCATTTATACAAGATGGACCTTCAAGCTTAGCTATGGCATTAGACTAGGGAGTTTGGCAACCTACAAAATATTAAAAGCAATCTCCCACCTATTCATGGATGTGTTATACTCCCTCCGTCCCACATACCATGTCCATGTTGCTGTTTCTGTCCGTCCCATATAGCATGTCACTTTTCTTTTTTGGAAAATAATTACAAACTTTAATTTCATTTTAAACTTTTTAATTTTATTTTATTTTTTAAATTTTAATTAAACTAATTAGTTATCTTAATCTTAATTTATAATTATTTATATTATAGAATAATTATTTTCACTAATATATTCTTAATTATCTACTAATTATATCCCTCCTAAAATACCGTGTCTACAGTGTAGCAGATGTGGGAATGAGGTAGTATTATAGTTTGTTGTATTTTATTAAAATAAGCAAACGAATATAATATTTTATGAAAAAAATATTTAATTTTAAAATACTTTTTATTAAAAATCGCGGGAATTGCATACTTAAAAAAAAAGTTAAAAATCAAACTCTAAAAAAATAATTGATTAATTATTATTATTATTGCCTATTAATAAATTAACAAATAGTACTATCAAGATCATTTCTATATAGCACTACGGTTAAATTGTCATTTGCGTAGTTTAATTAGCAAATAATTATTATTAGGCATAGTATATTTTGAAATTTTTTATATAAAATTTTATAAAAATTACACGAGACTTTTTCACATTTTCAATATTTTTGTACATAAATCTCAGAAGAAGATATTATTTATGCAATGTTCTTTACAGCATGTAGGAGTTTTACATAATTTTAAAATTATAAAGGAAAATAATGTAGTTTTTTAAAAAAAAAATTGGAACTTTTAATAAATACACTTTAACCACTTTATTAAAATGACATGTTTATAGACTACTATGCTCTTTAAATTAAAGTGGCTAATAGTACTTACACTTAATTTTTCTTGTTTAATTTTTTAAGGAATTTGAATTTGGCTAAATTTTGTAGGATTGTAGATAATGAATTAACAGTGGCCATCGTTAGGCTTACATTAAATGGCTATGCCTAATTCATCATTAATATATTCTTTCATATAAAGCAATACAATGATACCAATTGAGTTGTTCTTCGTCAAGAAATTTGGTAGAACGATACCAAATGTAAAGAAAATATATAAATTTCGCTCCGCCGTGCATTTATAGCGTGAATTAATTTGGTATTATTAAAGTTGAAATAGTTTCGATGATGTGAATCATATGTATACAAATACGATGACATAACAAGTCATGTTAGCCGGGCCGTGTTATATTAGAGTTATATTAATAAAACAATTGTATCAATTTGTAAGAATACATTTAGATTAAATATTTGGTAAGAGGAAACTTCACATTTCGATAATCGAAAAATCAACTGTTAGCTCTATACAATTCAATTTTAAAAGATTGGATTTTTATTTCTATATTTTTTACCGGACTTGTTATCGAAAGTCGAAGAAAATTAATAAAACAATTATCCAATAAAAATGAAATAGAAAGAATTTCAATATTTATATAAAATTTACTATTTTTAAAATCACATCTAACATAACAATATATATATTTGAATTATTATTATTTTAAAAAATTCATACTATTTATTAACCCCAAAAATAATATTTATTGGATCAAGTACTTATTATGAATAATTAAGCCCTGAATTGTAAGCCAACCCAATATGATAATGAAATTTCACTGTATAAATGGTGTCTATTCAAACTACAAAATCAACAAACATTTTAGTTCAATCTAATAATGTATACCTTATAATACTAATTGTCTATTTTAATTTGTTTTTATTATATAATAAAAGATATATAATTATCCTAGAAATATTAATTTATCTGAAAATAAATAGTATTTAATTATGTTTTGGAAATATTTTACCTAATAACAAACTAAAAATATATACAAATTTAAATATAGAGTGGATTTGAAAATAACAAACATAATACGATATGCTGTTCGTGTAAGTGGGCCCAGCCCACCAGAAGCTGAGGTACAGTCATACCACACACTCTACCCGTTTCTAGTAGCGCGTGTCATACACGCATTCATCGATTTTAATCTCAACCATTCAATTCGTACGCGTGCAGCACAAACTCCGTCGATCAAACCCGTCGAACAAAAAACATAAACTCAAACATAAATGTCGATCCGACCCAGATCATCGAACCAGTCTAGAGAGAGAAAAGAAGAACAAGAAGAAGAGAGAGAAAGGAAGAAAAAGCAGAAAACCCCGAAACCACCCATCCAGAAATTCATTCGTGGATCAAACCCTCGGATTTTTTAATAAATCCTCCAGAGGATAAAAAAGCAAGAAAACCCATTTCCCTTTGACTAACACACACGCGTTAACTTCAGCTCGCATCGTGTACTGTGCTCTCTCTCTCTCTCTCTCTCTCTCTCTCGAATGGATTTTCCTCCTTAGATTTTTTTTTTTTTAGATATACACATATATGCATTTACAGCATCACATTCGATGAAAAGAGCGACCCAACCCACAATTTATTTTCTTCGAAAATCAAAGAAACAAAGATAGAGAGAGAGAGAGAGAGAGTGATGGGCAGTAGGATTAGAAAGAGAAACATGAATTATAATTATTATTATTACTATTGTTGTTGTTTTGATTTGGGGTTCGTGTGTTGTGTATTCATTCCTGTTGGTCTTTTCTCTTTGAATTCTTACCCGTACGACAACTGCTCTTTTTTATTTCTTCTTTCTTTCTTTCTTGCCTTTATCCTCAAAACCAAACTGTTATTATTATTATCATCATTAATAGTATCCAAATTATTTGTATTATTGTTTTTGTTTTTGTTTTCGCTTTTGGTTCTGATACGGGTATGGTCTGCTATGCAGCAGCTCTTCCTTCCTGCACTATTAATTAATATATATATATACACATATTTAATATCGGCATTCGGTGAATCTTCACCGCACATCTTTTTGTCAAACTCGGCTGTTGTGTATTTGGGTTTGAGTTCCAACGCCCAATAGATTATTATCTTGAGAAAGACTTTTGCTTTTCGATTACTCATGGTGGGTGTGGGCTGCTGCTTCCTGCAAACCCTAAAATTTGGGGGCTGGCTCTTGGGATTCTTTGTTTCCTTGTTAATGGGGTTGGGTTTGGATTAGTGATCTGTTTCAACCCTCCGCCAAGCCTTTGTTGATTGTCGATTGCTGATTGACTGATTGGTTTTATTTCTTGGGGGGACTTTTGAGTTGCCTGTCCAATGGAAGTCGACGGATCTGGCGACGCTGATGGCGGCGGTGGAGGTGCTGTGGAGATGGAGAAGAAGAACGTTGCGGAAGGAGAACCCAAGGTCAAGCGCAGAATGAAGACTCCTTCACAGTTGGAGCTTCTGGAGAAAACTTATGCTGGTGAGTTTCATCTCTCTCTCTTAAGTTGCCCTTGAGATTTAATTTAATTTAATTTTTTTAATATATTTTTTTTAGTTAATTTTTTAATTTACTAGGGTTTAAGCGCAAAAAGATTGTTAATTTCATACAGCTGCATTGTGATGAATGTAATGGTGGGGATTTTTGTGATTTCTGTGCAGTGGAAACGTATCCTTCCGAGTCATTGCGAGCGGAGCTTTCTGTCAAGTTAGGGCTCTCTGATCGGCAGCTGCAAATGTGGTTTTGCCACCGGAGATTGAAAGACCGGAAGGCACCGCCAGAGAAGAAGCCAAAGAAGAGTGTTTCACCATGTGCTGTGGAAGGGACCTCTTCCGGAAATGCAAATCAAACAGTAGTTGATAATAATGCCGCGGCAGCACCAAAGGATCGAGGTGGTTTAGGTTTGTTTGGGAGTGTGGATATCCAGCCGCAGCAGCCTCCGCCCCCACCGCCGCCGCCAAGAGTAGCTCATAAAGTTGGGACTGCTGTGCCGAGGATATCGACGGAATCACCGGCCATCAGGAGGTTCTATGAGCCGCCTCTTGCTATATCCGAGCAAAGGGCAATTACTTTTGTTGAAGCCCAGTTGGGAGAGTCATTGAGGGAGGATGGGCCGATTCTAGGAATGGAGTTTGATCCTTTGCCACCCGGTGCATTTGGGGCACCAATCGGTATATCTCTTCGCTCAAAGTATTATTCTCCTTTTTGTTATGTTATGCTAGTAAAATTTTCTTTTTGTGAGTCGTGCAACTAACCAGGTAAAACCCTAGTTTTTCGATTGGGAAGCTATTATTATGTCTATTTTGAATAATGGTTAATATCTAGTGTCTTAACAAATAGGAGTTTATGATTGGCTCGTCTTAAATTTTCGAGCAAAAAAGTTTGAAATTTTCTAGTTGAAGACACTGACTATTGTTTTGATAGCATTTTAGCTTTACTTTCATCATAGTGCATGAGTATTTGCTAGGGAATGTTTAGGAATGAACTTTTTTTTTTTTTTGTCAAAAGATTACCGGATATTGGCGAGAAATATTCTTACTTTTAGGATCTTGAAAATAGGCTTTATTCAGGATTTTAGCGTTTGGAATCATGGGTTTTAGAAGTGGGAGATAAAGCTTTGTCGATGGCTTGTTAGTTGGAAAACTAATATGTTGGAGGATCTTTTATAGTGTGTTGAAAATAGCTATTTAGGAGAATCAAACATAGATAGGCAAATTTGGAACAAACTAGATATGTATGGGAATTAGGCCTTAGTATTAGGTTTGTCAGACTTTAGTCACGTGCACCAAGCTTGTCATATAAATACTCGAGAGTCGAGACTAGGAGCTCTAAATAAATGTTGTGAGGATTTATCCAAATTGATCATTGTACGATACATAAATAGAGGTAATACACCCAAATAACATCTTTTTTCAAATAAAGTATCAATCGATCTTGATATTTTGTGCACTCGTGGAATACTAGGTCAGAAACAATATGTATTACAGCTTTATAATCACAAAATAACTTCATCTTTGGAATACAAACACATTATAGCACAAGATCGAATTACAAAACTTTACTTCTTACTCTTCCAAAATAGATACAATGAATATGCAATATCCGAATGGAGACTACTTGTCAGAAGGTGATCTTACCAATCAACATCTGTATATATCAAACACGTTGCGTGTGAACTTAATTCATATATAATAAACCTTGACCAGAGGATCTTTCACATATGATAAAATGCAAATCACGGCATCCCAATGAGTGCTATGTGGAGAATAAAAAAACTGACTAACAAAGCCGACAACATAGAAAACATCAGGGTATTTGATATAATAAGTTAATTAAGCTTACCAACTAATTATTTCAGGTAACCAATTCCTGCAAGATGCATTCCCTGTTCCGAAAGAATTTTCGAGTTGATATCCATGCCTGCTTCTTCTAAGATATCCAATGCATATTTGCATCATGAGATAAGAATCCCCTTGCCCAACAAAGCAACCTCAATGCCAAGAAAATATATAAGCCGCCCCAAATAATTGGTTTGGAAATGTTGGAATAGATGTTTAAGTGTGTTTTGATTCCCATTTAATAAATCCAAACTCATATATAATAACATTAATCTGTCAAACCAAGCAAGGAGAGATTGTTTTATACCTTACAGTGAATCGTACACACATGGAGGGATAGTCATGTTGCTCGACACATGCAATCGACAAATGTCAAAGTTTCATCTGACTAGCTTTATCTCAAGAGCATTATATAAAATTAATGTATAATTGTTTTGTAGAATGTAGAAATATAGAAATGATTGTTTTTGCAGTTTAGGTTTTCTTTGTCACTCTCCTCAAAACAAAGTGGTTAATGTTTAGTATTATTGGAGATAAGTTCGAATAAAGTATGGGATTCAAAACATTGAACTCTTACAGATGTCTGATACATGGAGTTGCATAAGTTTCGACATTTGATGTGAATTCATGGAAAACACCAAAAGCATGTTTTGCTTTAAATGAATTTATATGTGGTTCCATGTACTATGTCATGGGTATAGGTTCATAATGTCTCTTCTTTTCTGTTTATCGGATATGTTGTATGCAATCAAGTTTGAACCCCATGTTATCTGTATATTTGCTTTTTGTAAAATTCCACAATTCACCCTGAAAATTTTTCATATGTAACAGTTCCCTCAAACCAACAGAATGCAGTTGGGCGTTCCTATGAGGGCCAATCATATGAGAGGTCTGATAGTAAGTCGAGCACGGTGAGTCTCTTGAAAACCTTTTAACTTTTGAGGTCCCTGTGAATAGCTTGCTGATTGGATGATTTTTTCAACCACTCATTTAAGTAATTTTCTAAATGACATAATTGTAACATTTTGATGCCTTGAACTCTAAATTTGACATGAATGTTTATTTATCTATTCACAAATCACAAACATAGCATTTTCCAGATTACAGAGATGATGCTAACTCAATGTTCCATTCCCACTTAAAGCTTGTTTTCTAAAAAGTTGTTTTCATAGTTCAAAGTGTTATGTAATGACTGCAGAATAGTTGCAATTCAGAACATACTAACCCTTTTTGCTGTGGGAAATATGCTTATCTAATGTGGTATCTAAAATTCTGAACAAGGAAAAGAAAATAATCGATAGCCCATCTACTGGCACTTTGTCCATTATCTTTTCTCTATGTCAATTAACTGCTTTGTGTAAGTTTGAAAATGTTAGGTTTGAAAAACCTTCTGTTTTTTTAACTAATCTCTCTCTTTCTCTCTCTCTAGTTTGATCAAAATGAGTCTTGTTGAATTTGACATTGCAGGGTGGTTCAAAGGCTCTCCACGAATATCAATTTCTCCCAGAGAAGCCATCTGTAAGAAATGATGCCTACGGAAAGGCCGTACCACCTCATTATTATGGTTCACAAATTGATATCCATAATACTCGAGTTTCGTTGCCAACCGGAAGATCTGTAACGCAGAGCAATGAACCAGTACCCTCTGGATATAGTGTCCATAGTCAGATGCCGAGCGTAAGTCTTTTGACACAGCATGGAAGGCAAAGTCACCGATCGTCCCCAGCTCATGGAGAGGTTGAGTTTATTCCAGGAGCAACACCCTTGGCAAGTGTCGGCATTGAGACTCATTATAACGCTCACTTGGTGAATGGAATGAACAATCTGTCTGTTACAAAAGAGCGACGAACTGTTAACGATCAAGAGAGGCTAGAAAAGAAGCGCAAGGTGCTTCTATCATTTTCGTGGAAGAAATTGTTATATATCACCCATATTATTCAGATAACTTAATCCCTATGCTGAGCCTTTTTAGCAAGATGCTCAAATCAGAAGCAACTCATTTGATTTGAAGCAAGTGAGCCATGATTTCTGAAGTTCTTGCGTTAATTTTTTGCAGTCTGAAGAGGCTAGAATAGCCAAGGAAGTGGAAGCTCACGAGAAAAGGATCAGGAAAGAGCTGGAAAAACAAGATATGCTGAGAAGAAAGGTAATGCTTAAGGTTCTAATTTATTTACCTCATGTTCTTTTTTTCTGCAAGATATCTCCAGATGAGAAGGTTATGCAATCTTTTTCTCATTTATCTTCTATAGAGAGAAGAACAGCTGAGAAAGGAAATGGAGAGGCAAGATCGTGAAAGGCGGAGGGAAGAGGAAAGAATATTACGTGAAAAGCAACGTGAGGAGGAAAGATACCAAAGGGAGCAAAGACGTGAAATGGAACGAAGAGAGAAATTCCTTCAGAAGGAGTATATTAAAGTTAGTCCTCACACTTGTTAATTTATCATGTATTTTTATCTCTATAGTGAGTATAGTTAGCAGTTAATTGTCCTCCGTTCTTGTTTTGCAGGCAGAGAAGATGAGGCTTAAAGAAGAACTGCGCAAGGAGAAGGTAGCTGCAAGGCTTAAAGCAGCTAATGAAAGGGCAGTTGCTCGAAGAATTGCTAAGGAATCAATGGAATTGATAGATGATGAGCGATTGGAGCTTATGGAGATTGCAGCTTTAACTAAGGGTTTATCATCAGTTTCAGCACTTGACAGTGATGCTTTACAGAATCTTGACTCGTTTAAAGGTATTAGTCATAGCCGAAATTTATTCATCATCTTTAATCTTCAGTGGGTTTTAGTTCAATTCTGTAAAGAGTTCCACATCAGCAGTAGCATATCATTCCTGGACTTCCTTTCTATTTTTATTATTTAATACCCGACATCTTTCTTTCTTCAGATAAACTTCCAGAGTTTCCACAAAAGTCTGTGAACTTGAAGAGTCCATTTGGTGTAGAGCCATGGAATAATTCGGAGGAGAATGTCGGTAATCTTCTTATGGTGAGATAATTTGCCCCTCTGGAATTGATTCTTGTATTTTCAATCGTTAATGTAATATCTAGTACCAATGAGATGATGTCCTATCTTTATATCTCACCTCTGTATTGTTATTAATTGCATTTTGTCTCAATTTAGCATGTCTTACATGCTCAACTCTGCATCCACTTGTGGTGTGGATTAAAACTATCCCTACATTGTTTGAAATTTCTGGTTGGTAATTAAAAATATATTTATGTGTAATCAGAAAGTGATCAACAACTCTGCTCCTGTGTTTTTCCAAGTTGAACAAGTTTGTTGCACCCAGAATGCTAACTTAGGATTAGTTTAGAATTTAATTTAATTACAGCAGTATCTTATTTATTAATGTAGAGTTATTTCTAAGAGCATGACCTTGTGTAGGTTTGGAGATTTTTAATTACCTTTTCCGATGTTCTTGATCTGTGGCCTTTCACTCTGGATGAGTTCACTCAAGCATTGCATGATTGTGTAAGTTTTAGATGTTCTGCTTCGTCAATTCTATCATGAGGTTACCTTTTGATATTTTTGGAACTGTTGAGCAAATATCCATGTTTGCAGGATCCAAGGTTGCTTGGAGAGATCCATATAGCTCTTCTGAGATCCATCTTAAAAGACATTGAAGATGTTGCTAGAACACCAAATACTGCATTGGCAGCAAATCAAAACTTGGTAGCTTTACCTGGGGGTGGCCATCTACAAATTGTTGCAGGGGTATCTGCTTATTCACGTGCTGGGATCTGTACGATAGATTTTAATTGATTGTGAGTGAGTCACTCAACCTTGTATCTCATAACAGGCACATGCTTGGGGATTTGACTTGGCTAGTTGGAAGAGCCACCTCACTCCTTTAACTTGGCCTGAAGTTTTGCGGCAGATTTCTCTAGCTGCAGGTTTTGGGCCAAAATTGAAGAAGCCGAATGATGGGAAACCATATCTTCACGATGATCATGAGGCACGGGTGGTTAATACATATTTGCTTTGTTTTAGTTTTCCAAGTTTCATGTGATAAAGTGATCCACAAATACGAGTTTTTATGCATGTGTATATGTGAATCTTTTTGAAATGGAGAATCTAGTAGAGCACATATTATCTCCTTGAGATTCCATTTTGTGAAATGTTCGCTTACGGGAAAAAACAAACAAACAAAAAACAAGAATCTTCAGCTTATGCCACTGTTGTTAATTTGTAAAAATTCCATTCAAGACATTTCATGATTATTATGATTCACCTTAAAAGTTTTTTTTCTTTTTTCTCTAGTCTAGCGGTGATCTGATGTAAACATATGATGAACTAGCTGGAAGTAAAGGAAAAGCAATTCATCAATTCTTCTAGCTATAGCTTCGATAGAGTACTATCATCATGTCTTAGTAATATTGCCCATTTACAGAAAATTTCGTATAACTGAATGTATTCTAAATGGCAGAGTGATGATGGTAAAGACGCTGTATCCAGATTGAGAAGTGGAGCAGCAGCAGAGAATGCAGTTGTTATAATGCAAGAAAGGGGTTTATCAAATCCCCGGAGATCCCGGCATCGTTTGACCCCTGGAACAGTCAAGTATGCAGCATTTCATGTTCTTTCGTTGGAGGGAAGTAGGGGACTTTCGATTTTAGATGTTGCTCACAAGATTCAGGTAATTTTACCATGTAAATCCATTGCCTGTTTTTGCCACCCTGATACTGACAGTCATTTATCACTTCTTGGAAGAAATCTGGACTTCGGGATCTCACTACAAGTAAGACGCCAGAAGCATCCATTTCTGCTGCTTTGTCAAGGGATACAAAGCTCTTCGAGAGAACAGCTCCATCAACATATTGTGTACGCTCTCCTTACAGGAAGGACTCAGGTGATGCTGATGCAGTACTCTCTTCCGCCAGGGAAAAGATTCGAATATATCAAAATGCAAATTTAGATGGGGAAACAGAAGATGCTGAAAAGGAGGACGCTGAAAGAGATCAAGACTCTGAAAGTGATACTGCTGACGATCCTGATGTTGATGACTTGGATGCTATTGCAAAACTTAACGAAGATACTCATTCTAGTGAGCAGAGAATCGAAGATCAAAACTTCTCCATGCATGGAAAGGATAACTCCTGCAATGAGTTTATAGAAAACCCGGTGGATAACCCTGAAACCCCAAATAACATTTTGAAGCAGTCCGTAGGTCACATAACCCCTGATGTTGATGACATGGATGTTATCACAAAAAATAAGGAAGATTCTCATTCTAGTGAAGGAAGAACTGAAAATCAAAGTTGCTCGGCATATGGAAAGGTGAATTCCTACAATGAGGTAGTTGAAACTCCAAGTATCAGTTTTAAGCCTTCTGTAAGTAACATGGAATGTAATGGAACTTCTGGCGATCCATATGAGGGAAATACAGGGATCGATACCCGGATTGGTTTTACTGATCAAGAAGATAATGTAATAAATGAATGTGGATTGGGAGAACCATGGGTTCAGGGACTTACTGAAGGAGAGTATCCTGATCTTAGCATTGAAGAGCGGCTAAATATTCTTGTTGCGTTGATCAGTATCGTGAATGAAGGAAATAGCATGCGCGTGGTTTTAGAGGTATTCTGGAATTCCTAAAGTATCCATGTTACTTTTTGATCTCATAGTTTGTAAATTGGCTGATGGAAATAATTTTTCAGGAACGCCTAGAAGCTGCAAATGCGTTAAAGAAGCAAATGTGGGCAGAGGCAAAGCTCGACAAGAGGCGTATAAAAGAGGAGAATGCTTTGAAATTGCATCATTCATCTGCTGCATTTGATCGAACTGAACACCCGTCCTTTGGCACCTTCGAGGACAAGCAAAATACACTTAATTGTGACATAAAAAATTCTTTATCATCATCGAGTCATGCACTCCAGATGGTGGACTTAAATGAGCAACAGAATGAGCAAAGCTGCTGTAATGACGGCAGTGAGAAGACTCGTCTAGTGCAGGAATTTTCTGTGGGATCTGATAACTTGTTAGTCCAGCAATCTGCATATAATTCTGAAAAGTCACGGTCAGTGCTGAAGGCTTTGATTGGTCACCAGGCAGAGGAGATGTGTGTGTACAGGTCATTGCCTCTTGGGCTTGATCGCAGACGAAATCGATATTGGCAATTCATTACATCTCCATCGCGAAATGATCCAGGTACCGGCAGAATATTTGTTGAACTGTGCAATGGTGGTTGGAGGCTTATTGATTCTGAAGAGGTAATTTCCATTTCATTTCATTTTAAATTGCTAAGGCACCTGCATCTATGATCGAATGCTTTTACTTAGTTCTGAGATAATATTTTTAATATTGTTCTAACCGTTAAAATTTTATAGTAGCTATATGTGTTACTAAAACCACCCCTATTGCCGACATCGCTTGTTTGGCCATGAATATATATGAAAAAATGTAGTTGAGGTGTTCCCTTTATGCTGCGTGCAGGATTTTGACACTCTAACGTCTTCTTTGGATATCCGTGGAGTTAGAGAGTATCATTTACATTTGATGTTGCAAAGGATAGAGGTATCTTTCAAAGAAGCTGCTAGAAAAAACTCGTACAAACTTCGTGAACAGCTACATGACGATCAAAAGGATAAGGGATTTCTGCCACTGAGACCCAAGCCTGAAAAGCAGCTCGGCAATGACACACAGAAGCCATATATGACTTCACCAGATATTACGGCATCGTATTCCTTTGTGGTCAATGTCAGAGGGGAAAATGAGCACGTCAATAGGTACAAAGATGCCGAGAGGTGGATGTGGGATGAATGCTTTGATTCCAATAGATTGAATGCCGTAAAATCGGGTAGATTGAGATGCCAATTGCTGTTGGAAATTTGCAATTGGTGTCGCGACCTGTTTACTTGTGACGACAGCCACTGTCCATTTTGTCATAGGACTTATAGTACTTCTGATGGAAGTTTTGACTTTTCACAACATGTTTCTCGATGCAATGGGAAACTGAGCGAAGAGCCCGATCAAATCACAATGAACCTTTCTCTTTCCCCGAGGTTTAGATTGCTGAAAGCTCAATTGGCCATGGTTGAGGTTTGAGAATGTCCCTAGAGATTTAATTCATGTTTCTTGACAAAAAAGATACTTCCCTGCATCTTTTGTTCCATCGACTTTTCCATTTAATTCACTCGGTATTTATGCTGCAAGTATTTCTTGATTTGTAGGCCTCCATTCCTTACGAAGCTTTCGAATGTGTTTGGTCCGACGAGTGCAGAAGATCTTGGGGCATGGAGTTGCATAGGGCATCAACAGCTGAAGAGCTCCTTCGGGTATCTTTCTTTTCTTATTCTTGTTTTGGTTATATACGTTGGTTACCGTGTACACGAGCCTGTTCAATAACTTGTTACTATCTTATATTGTTAATATAAGATAGGCTAGGCTTATAGTGCCATTGTGTAGTAAAAGTACCCTTCTTTGCCAAATCTCCATACATATCATAAATATTTCATTGGTAGTCATGTCTCGAAGTGTGTATTACATATGTATTGACATTTGTGTCCATCGGTGGCCAGATTTTGACGATGTTGGAAAACAGCGTCAAAAGGGACTTCATATCAGACAATTACGAGACCACTGCTGAAATGTTAGGTTTCACTAAAGATGTCGTGATTCCATGGATACCTACGACCACATCAGCTGTGGCTCTCCGGCTCATGGAGCTTGATTCGTCTATCTATTACACACTTCGTCAAAAAGACACTCGACAAGATGCCAATGAAGCTGGAAAATCTTCTGTAAGCATTTTTTCTTGCTCATATTTCATAAAACCAATACTTCTACACAACTTTTCTGCTTCTAACTGAGGCCATTGTCTGTTTTTACTTGCGCAGAGGCTTCGACCAAGTCATGATGCGATTGGCGGTGTGACAGATAACACGCCCCAAGGTGATTGGGTTGATTTATTATCTGTGCAAGCCAATGTGAAACGAGGGCGAGGACGTCCAAGAGGTCCCACTCGCGCTCGTGGAGGAAAATCAGCGAGAAAATCCATCAATTCCTACGACGAATCAGCTCATGGAACTACGTCGAGCAATAAATTTGGAGAGCTTCCGGGGTGGAAAGGTCGACCACGTGGGCAAGGTGGTCGTAGGAAAGGTCGCCGTTCAATTAGATCACGGCAGAAGCCCGCCGAGGGAAGGGCAGGTAAGAATATTGCGGCACAAAGTGGCGCAAAGGGCTCTAGTTTTGATAATGCACCGGACATCGGGCAAGAGGAATGGAATATGGACGAAACACCTGCAGAAGTGGCAGAGGCTAAAAATGGGAGCAGTTCTGAAAGATCAGAATTTTATGAGGACAACAGTCAAGCATCGGGAGATGAATACGATGACCTCTCGATGGATTATTGTGGCGAGAGGAATGAAAAGTTCGCACACTTAGCTGGTGGATCGGATAATTATAAAGCCGGGACTGATGTAGATGACAATGATGAAGCTGAAGGTGATGGCGAGGAGGAGGAACGGGAACAGGAACAAGAGGGTGATTTCTACGTCGATGGATTCATCACCGACAGGGATTTCGAGGAAGGAAATCAGTTGAGCGGGGGAGGGCAAGTTAGGAATGTAAATAGGGTCTCGGATGCAGGTAGTTTAAGATCATTGTCGTCTTCGTCATCGTCTGATTACAGTTATTAACCAACTTCTGACCTAAACATCATCAATATGTACATGACTGAGAGACTGCACAAGGCAAGGCTAATGTATACACCTACTTCTACAATATTTAGGATGATGAATCCAATGGAGTCTTCTTTTTTGGTTACCTGCTTCACATACTCAACAAAATTGGGTAATATCTTTCTAAGGCTTTAAGAACCCCAGATCTCATTTCCACTCTCGGCTATGCTTTTCTATGTAATCTCTATAGAACACAATCTTGATTTATAATGATTTATCCAACATAATATATATAGCTTATATTGAAACTCACAACATTTAACTAAAAAGTAAAAACCATACACATATATAGAGAGAGATCAAATACATGGGCAGACCATATTTATGACTACTCATGAGGGGGTGTGGTAAAGTTAGGAACACACCCAACATTTTCAATACCCTCACATGGGAAGCCTAAACAAATGTATGCTCTACGAAATCATTATTGTCAATTTTCATGTCCCACTCCCACTGACTTTTTCTAATTCCCTCAATCCCCGCATCATATTTCGCCTCACAATCACTACTATGTTTCTAAAACTAACCCCTTTTCCTTTTTCTTTAATAAATAAAGAAATGACAAATCCAGCATCAAAGATTTCACCAATAGAAAACAGTATTTGTAAATAAATAATAACACCAGCATGCATATATATATATGTGTGTGTGTGTGTGTGAAGAACATTAAAACTTACCAGCAATCTTTTGCTCCAATCCATTTGCTCTCCTAATGGCCACATTTGCCACTCAATTCTCATGTCTCTTGCTCATAGTGTTGTTTGCTTGCCAACAATCTAGCGAGGCCAGAAAGACGATGTTCTTCTCAAAATACATCCACCTTGATGAACAAAGTGTACCTACACCTCCCAGCCCAGCCCCTGCTCCTGCTCCCACCACCAGCCAAATCAGCGCCGCTCCCACCTCAGCACCAGCTGCAGCTCCAGCCACCCCTCCAGAAACTGACGATTTAAACACCTACAAGACGAGCTACTTGATAGATGATGACAACAATATAAAGGAGGATGAGTTCTCTGATGATGACAAAGAGTTGAGGAGTGAAGATCCTAAGGAATACTACTCCAATGGAGGTCACCCTGATAGCTTCAGCAATGTCGGCAACAGTGCCTTATGGGGCTATCAAGGTTACAGGAGTGAACCACAAGGGATGAGCGACACTAGGTTGACAGATAATGACAACAGCAAGTACTACTACAATGGTGGCCGCCAAGGTGGCGCCTCAAGAAACAACAATGCAGTAGGTTCTTACTATACAGACAGGCAGAAAACGAGGTACGAGTTTGATTCCATGGAGGAGTATGAGAAACAGGAAGGATATCCAGATTTTCAGCTGGATCACTTCATTCCCTGAACATTATTGTCAGTCTTTATGCATATGATTGGAAAATTGCTAATACATCGAATGAGTAACGAAACACACATACACATGCAAGCACACATGTGCCTCTGTACCATGTGATAAGAATATATTGCCTGGAATCATTTTTTTTCCTTGGGCTATACATAGTTCAATTCAAGCCTGATTGCAAAACCTTCTCTTAGAATTTGTGCATTGAATCTTTAAGTTCTCAGATAATTTGTTTGATAAATGAACTGTTTTCAAAATCCGTAAAATAGATACATTACCATAACATGGATTGTCTGATGAATTGATCTACTGAAAACATGAGCATGACTCATGAGCAAATGCATAAATTTATTGCTGAAACACAGGTAGATTTTACAACATCATGCTGTTGAGATTTTTCTAAAAGCATATATCTTTGGGTTTCTTCATCTAAATCTCACTTGATCAGAGGTAAAGGTATTCTAAGCAATGAAATGATACAAAGTGCAATATAGATAAAAACAAACTATTATAGCAAGAACAGATACCTCAAACTTATCAACAGGGTTAAGATTTCCCACCACCTAAAAACATCTCTAATATGGACACTTTGAAGGATTGTGCATACTCATCATAGTTCATCATCGTGAGCTGTTTGACTAAGGAGAAATCAGACACCGACCATCAATAGAAAACCCTGTCAACTTGAAGGATCATGTGTACCCATCACAGATCGTCATTGCAGGCTGATTGATAAATGAGAAATCAGACATTCATCATCAATATAAAACCCTCAGTCACAACATAATGTCTCCATGTAATTGTGAAACAAAGAAACATGCAATGTAATATTTTCTAGGAACAGAGTGCTCAATTAAAACTTCATCATTTTCTCCCATCAAATTAGATAAGAAAATCGATGCCTTCAAAGTTCATCACACACCATTGCGGCCAGCTGGTTAAATCAAGATGAACACACAAGTGTTAATCTTAGTACCCTTCTTCTGTAAACAAGCCTGGATACTAATCCAGTTTGATCGAATAGAATACAACAGTGACAATCAAAGGTTAACTTTTTATTACATACTCTGGCAATACAAATAATATACAAGAACACAAATGCACAAAAATGGAAGTAGAGGGATCCAATCATTAGGTTTTGAATGAGCAAATCACATATAAAAGAAAATCAATAATGTAAGTTCAAAACACCTTGTTTCTATATACCAGAAGAAAGCACTAGTTTATATATGTTCAAGTTAAAGTACATTTTGTTGGGTATTACAACAGGCCTCTTTACTTCTGGATGTCATACAGTTGAGGGGAAGCTTATGCCAGGAAGATTAAAAAACATGCTCATGCATCAATGTTTGGAAAGCGAATTTGGAAAAACACTTGAAACAGCTTGAAAATTTTGGAAGGAACAAACAGAACAGGGCAATTATACCCATGCTATTTATCACCTAAAAGAACAAATGTAAGGTATACAGTGGATAAAGGGACAGAAGGATATAGAACAAACTATTGTTGAATTTGACATAGTCCAGTTTATTCATATCCCAGGTCTATTAACAATGTTTCTGGAAGTAGGAAATCATCTATAGTTCACTAACTCACCAGATAAACCAAATTAGGATACAAGCAGCAAAGAGAGCTCTACAAACAGCACTAGATACCTAAATCAAGAATTAAAAAGTCATTGATTAGTCAGACTATCAACACTTACTAAATCAAGCATTCAAGCCTTCTTCTAGCACAGAGGAGTAAGAATACACATATAGAAGTTATCCACTGGATTTGAGCAGTCACAAATGGAGCATACACAACAGCAGAGTTTGATAACGAAACATATGGGTTCAAGCATCTTACAACTTACAAGGTTGACACGCATAAAAGGCTTACATCTCTAAAACCCCAAAATGCATCTGTACTTATATTCTTATATTCCAGAAGTGTGAACTGGTCTAATGAATGGAATTTTTACACTAACAAGAGGCACATATTATACAGTGTCAACATATCCAATTATCTTCTTTTTAGTACCAAAAACATCTCTTAGCATAAATCATATACCATTATTGGAATAACTCATTCAACAAATAACCAACTATTAATAATGGATTACAGGGCCTTAACCCCGCCGTAAATTTTCACAAACAGAGTAACTCAAATTAACTCAAATAACTCAATATTCAACAGAACAACTAATATTGTAAATTAGTCAAACACCTTCAGAAAGCCAACCAAAACCACAGCGGGAGACTGTAAGCATCGACGTCATCAATGCGGAGGCAGTGGCAGTGTGGTAAGGCTGCATTGATTTCACGCACGCGCTCATTTCAACGGGGATCCTTTAATCAACCAATTAGAAATTGAAAAATAAAAAATAATAATTAGATATCAACTAACAACGTATCGAATCTGCAAATTGAGTAAAAACAACGCGGTGTTCAACAAACGTAGCATACAAACCCGAAGAATTGTCTAGAGAGCGGTGTTCTCGATTGAAGGTGAACCGAGGAGCCAGCGGCTTTCGATTGAGAGGCAAGCCTCGGAGCGACGGTGGCGGCACGGACGGTTGAAGACCGGAAAACAGATCTCGCGGCGGCGGCCATTGTCATCTCGACGTCCTCTTCGTCGTTTGCTACGGTGGAACGAAACAAGGGTTTTGGCCTAAAACCCAAACCCCATCCAACATTAACGTAGTCTAGATTACAATTCATCAAATTTTAATTTTAACAAAAAAAATATATCAATACAGTATGCTTATATATATTTTTATTTAATATAACGTCATATTTATTGATTGCTAAATTTTATAAAATTTAAAAAATGATTGCTTTAATCTTGTGCATAAACTAAAATTTATTTGATTATGTCAAGACAACATCATATTTATAAATGCAATAACTGTCGAATGCATTGCATTGCATTGCCCATTGCGTAAATTGAAAGTTACAAATTATAAATAAAGTTTGTTGGGTCAGTTTAATTTATCGGACAAATTCATTAATGAAATTTAATTTTATTAAATACGATTCGAACATAATATGTTTGAGTAACGTAAAATCTACCGTTAAAGAAGAGTAACTGCATTATTATACTGGACAAAGATCATGCATTGTTCCAAAGACAATTTTTTGGTCACAAGGTCGTTAGTTCAAACTCCCGACGTCGATCGAAACCGGTCGTCAAATTACAAAATTTCGAGGAGCAAGGAATGAATGAGAGTTGTTTTTAGGTTAGGATTGGTTGGGTTTTTTATTGCAAGTTTTTCTAATCGACAAAGAGATCAAACGGCTTTACAGAAGAGATACAAAATCATAGTGCAGTAGTAACTCCATCTTCCTCAATTTCATCATCATCATCGTCGTCTCCATTGCTAAATCAGGCAAACTGATCTGTACATACAACAAACTTACAGACATATATAGAACAGACACCATTGCAGGTAAGAAAGATTGATCAACAGTCAAGTCAGACAGACAGCTGCAACAGAACAGAGCTTTCCAAAATTATGCTACTACAAAGAAAATAGTAAAAATTTTGTGAAGAGGAAGAAGAAAAATTGTTTGATCAAAGAAAGGGGATTCTGATTGTATAATTAATTAATTAATCGATTTGTATTGCACAGCACATACACAATGAAACGGATTGATTCATTGATGATCAGATCGCCGGCGCCGGCGGCTAGTCAAAATCGGCGGCGGCGGCGTCCGATCGGTTGCGGACGAGGGCGAAGTAGCCGAGGACGGCGCAGACGGCGGCGACGACATTACCTTCCTTGATGAGGACGCGGACGACGGAGCCGGTGATCTCCGCCGTCAATTTTTTGCCCTCGACGACGAGAGCTTCCCGCGGCTTGCCGCAGAAGGTGAGGAGGACGAGGACGGTTATCCAGGTGACGACGGTGGCGGGGACGGCGACGGCGAGGGCGGCGACCATGGAGAGGACGCCGAAGGCGAGGCCTAGGAGGGCGGAGGCGTAGAGCGCCGAGGAGGAGGAGGATAGGGAAGCTTCGTAGCGGGAGAGGGCGGATTTGAGGAGGTTCCAGGAGAGGGAGAGGAGGGCGGCGTAGACGGAGACGAAGAGGAACACCCAGGTGCGGCGCTTGCTCATGAGCTTCAGCAGGAATGAGGATTGGGGTGGGATTTGGGGTAATTGATTCGGATTAATGAAGTCGTCTTCTTCGTCCGCCATGGTTAGGGTTTTGCAGCTCTGGTCAGGTCTGATATGAAGTGCTGTGGTCTGGTCTGCACACCCACCGCACTTTCCTTTTGCTTTCGAATTCTTTTGGTCAGACACGCGCTAGAAGGCGCGTGGGGGATGTGACATGGGTCGACCCGAGGATGACGTAGTATACATAGACATAGATGTACGGGTACGGGTAACCGTTTCTTTCTTGAAATGGGTGGGTCGGGTTGTGGATTATTGGATCGTAATCTTTTTAGTTATACTACATGTTAGGAAACTACTAAACTCATTTTGAAATATATTTTGTTGGTCATTTATAAACAATTTATTTAAATATGAAATTTACCAAGCTAACTACTTGATTATAATAATTTATTATGTTTAAATGTGTAGTGGGGGCAAAACTGAAGAAGGAAAAAGAAAATAACAAGAGTTTGATTCCTAGTGGGAGACAAAAAAGAACAACAAGTCAGTCCAAGTCCAAGAAAGAAGAAATCAATAATATGGAAAGAAGAATTGTTTATTTTTATTTTACATTAATTATTAATTTTATTCAAAATATTATAAAATACTTTAAAAATATATTGAAAGACACCCTTAAATTGTTTATTTATGAGATGGCGTATCAAGACTCATCTCTATACAAGTTTTAAATTTTGTAAAATTCAACTTCTCTTTTAGGTACAATAAAATGGATTGACCACCAAGTATAATGCATTTGGACAATTCAAAACAAATATGGACATAATTAATTTTTTATTATTATTATATATATGTGTGTCATGTGTTACTAAATGTTATAAATTTATGTTAAAATAAAATTGATACAGATATGATTCATCCAAAATTTAAACAAAAATCAATAAAAAATCACACAGTTGAACAAAAAGTAAACATATAATTGTCCCCGATTCAAAATTATTATTCCCTAGAGCCAAAACTCAAATTTCCTTTTTATTTTTGCATTCTAGAATCAAGAATAATAATAATAATAATAATAATAATAATAATAATAATAATAATAATAATAATAATAATAATAATAATAATAATAAGAAATATAGTATTTGGATTATTAATTTTTATACACGTGCGTTGAATTAGAAATGATCATTCCTTGTTAAGGATGGAATGATCGATTTGATTTTCATCTTCCTCATGGGCTTCTTCATCAACGGGCTTTGGCTTATTAATTTATTTTGATTATATATTTAAATAATTGATTTGATGCTATATTTTACTAGAAAATTACTTCTTTCACCTGTTAATGTACTATTTTTTAAGTATTTATTTTATATTATAGTAAAACAAAAAATTAATCAAAGCAAATAAAACTAATATAATTCAATAAAATTTTACATGATTATCAATTGTCTAATTTTTATTAAAATAAAAAAGCAAGTAATTAGCGACTGAAACAAGTTAAACCGCACGGATTTATTTTGGATATCCTCTAAAATGTCTCATACATAGTATGTGGGACTTAGATTTGCACATCAACAATATATATATATTAAAAACTTTTCAAAATTTTGAAATTTGCATTAATTTAGTGTATAATATATATATATATATATAAAAGAGTAACTTCGAAATAACTTTGCAACATATATATATATATATATATAATTGGAATGGGTAGATAAGACTGGTTAAATTTAATTAATGCATGCATGTTCTAGTTTTAAATGCACGTTGACTTTTTGCAATAATTACACATGTCAATTATTATTCAAACAAACAAAACTAAATATATATATTTTTTCTTTTTCTCTATTCTTTTTGCTATGCAATATCTCAATTCTTTGGAAAGCCTTATAACCCATATATATTTTATGTACAATTGCATATAATAAATTATTTTGTCTTTTAAATATCAAAATTCAAATTAAAAACCCATAAATAAATGCATTAAAAAAAAAAAAAAATCTACACAAATTCATAGATTGTTAGGTGACAGAAGTAACTAGTATACAAATCAAAGTTGTATAATAATATATTTGTAAAGATTTTGCCAAGTAACCCTACTGGCTACTACACTAAATTTTACAATCCATCCACATTATTACATCAAAAGATTCACACAAGCACAAGATCAAACCCAAATTTTTTCCAAGATCAATCCTCCAATTCATTACTCATTAATCATACTTGTCCGACCAAGTGTAAGCAAAAACTAAAACCCATGAAAGAGCCAACACTAAATCCCCGACGAGCTGCCGCGGCCAATCCGACGCCAAATCCTCCAATCGTCTTTCAAAGAATGCTCTCCATATGGCCATCAGGAAATGCAACACCACACATCCCTTGGCGAAGAACAATTGGAACTCCCGATCCCGGACGAACCCCACCATGAAAACCAGGCCCCCTATAAGGACCAGCAGCAGGCCGGAAAACGAGTTTGACACCTCGATGATCAGCTGATCATGCGGCGTCGATCCCCAGAGCATCCTCGCCGTCTCGACGCCGTGCCCGAAGGCCAAAACCTCCTTGTGGTAGAACATAATGAGGCCTCCACAGGTTAGGGTGATGAAGGAATGCAGCATGCAGATGATGAAGAACACTGATGATTGTTCCATTAATGGAGATTGATAATGTGAAAATTTCATATATATATATATATATGTATAATTAGGGTTCTTGTAGAGTTAATGGAACAGTGAATTGAGAAGTTTTTTTTTTATATATATATATGATCACAAGGAGAGGATGATTAAATTTTCATTTTCTGCATTGGAATCTTTATTGGGATTGAGGATTGCCATTAAGGGACAAAAATAGGAATGGGGATTGGGGATTTTGGAAACCCTAAAAACCCTAATTTCCAAAAAGTTGGAGAGGGGTCATTGATAAGTGTGCCATGTAATGTTTGGTCTTGTTCTTCCTTTTGGCAATTTGGCCAACTGTGTGATCAATCAATTCCCCACACCTTTTCATGAAATAGAAATTTAATAATTTCTTGTTTTCTCACCTCTCTTTGATTAAAAAGAACCAATATACTTTTAATGAAAATTCGTTAAATTTTGTTATTTTTTATTTTATTCATAATATGTAAATCTGCTGACCAAAGCAAAAAATAATATGATCGAATTGAAGTAATACTACATCGAAAGCCACCCGAAGAAACGATCAAATTAAGTACAAAAATGTGAGACTAAAATCTCATATATATGGACAAACATATAAACTATGTTAGTAGTAATAACCAAAACAAGACTGAAGCATTTTTCACAACCTCCAATGGCCTAAAGATCAAACCACACTTAAAACAACTAGTCCTGTAATAATTCATTTTGCAAAAAAGCTCGATCATCGACATGATATAACAAAGGGAACCTGCAGATTGTCCTCGGTGAGTTCCATATAAAATTTGGACATGAAGAACGGGAGACTTATTGCAGTAAACAGACGAAAATGTGGGAGAGAGTAATCACTGTGAATCCAGTTTATGCCTCGGAGCATTCGGTGGTTTTCAGCTCTGCGCTCAGCATATGGTGCAGAAGCATGTCAACCCTCTGATTCCTCGACTTAGCACTGCCACGGCATAAGCACAAATTCGACAAAATAAATAAATATATATAAGATCGAAATGTATCTCAAGCTACATCAACAAAGAAAGAAAATGGTGGCAGTAGACTTACCCAAGACGACGCCTTCGCTCCTTTCCATTGTCATCCTGAACATGGAGTTCATCGTGTAAATAATTTGATTTGATTTGATTTTCTATTGCAATGTATATAAGAAATCTATATGCTGTGTGAATTCTAAGATAACCAAGCAACAGATGATCCTCTATTGATTAATCCATGAGATATATGCTGGAGTTTGATTATCCCGAATTATGATTGAGAAGATGCATGTAATGAAAGTAATCAACAGACCTTAACATCCACCTCTTCAGATTTGTCAGAAGCTTCGAGTTCCATTTCCGCAAAGAAAGCTTCCAAGACAAAAGCCACCACCTAAAAATACAAGTGAAAAGAAATGTCACATCATATTCTCTTACTAGAGTGATCAGAGAACTTGATAGCTGGAGAAAATGTTCCTGAATATGGAAGTCGTAGGAAGCGAACAGAAAACCTTTGAAAAACATGTCTCAAGAAACATTTTCCTAGTTCGGGATCATAGCATGTGACCATATTATCAGTGATCAAACCATTGTTTCGAAAAAAATAGGGAGGGAAAATGCAAGAAGCATAGCAACAATTAATTTCAACACTCAATTGTACGATAATGCCAATTAGTCTCAGATTATGCGAGAAGTTTGTGATGCATTACTGAGTATGACTTACCAAATTCAAAAGGAGTAACACTGTAATGAGATAGAAGCTGATGAAGTAGACGTAGACCCAAGCTGTTCCCGTCAGTTCCTTGTAGCTCTGGAGTTACAACCATTATCGAATCATATAAAAGAACAATGGCACTAAGAGGTAGAATACCCAAAAATTTACAGTGCTCAGAGAAGAGAAATCTAGCATGCAATTCGCATAACATACTAAATGCAAGCAACGTCAAAATGTTGCAAAAAAGAAGGTTTTAGCTTAAAAAGAATGATGCAACGATTGAACTGCTGCAACGAGTTTCTAATGTACGTTACCTGCATCCATGCTTGCCAATTTCCCATCACTAGCAAATTGAAAAGCGTAACCATGCCATTGGGGTAGTCATTGAAGTTGAAGAGTAAGTAGCTAAGTTTGTCAAGGAAACTTCATGAGAAGACGATTAACCAATAATGTTACTTCAAATGTTCTCAGGACACTGCACAAGGTAAACTCCGGCAAGAAAGTTATGCATTTCTTTTTCTATTTTTTTTTGGTTTACAACCCAAAATCAGTAAATCTTTACATGTTTAAGGATAAATATATAAAGACTAAATGAAATTCACTCGCAACCAAGGATACTCATTATCTTTCAGGTCAGTCCGGTCGAGATCCATATTCCCATCGTAAACTACCCCACCAAAGATCTACAATGTTCAGAAGAAAATTTTAAATAAAAACAGGAGTGAAATATCAGGAAGACAAATTCAACTGTTCATTATCATGACCTTTCAATTATCTATTAAAAATCAAGAACCAAATATAAGGGGGTATCAAAGATGCATTAGCTGTGTTAGAACACAAAATCTATATATGTATATATTGTTTTTCGAATTTTGTGTTCTGTTTGAAGCTACTATTTTGAAGGGGCGGAAAAGAGAAGCAAAATATAGGAGAAAACTACATCGAAAAGCAGTAATATACCTGTACACCGAGGGAACAGTATACACACATTACACAAAATATGGTTCCCAGGTACGGCATTAGACTTGGTATTAGGGTAAAGAACGTAGCCACAAATGCACGATACTGTGGAACATGCATCAAAAGCCTAATCAGTCGTAGCATTCTTGCTATCAGAAGATACCGAATCCTGCAAATTAACATCCACATTCACATTTAGACAAATAGAACTTAATGTATGCATAGAAGACGCGCAAATGAACCACATCTTCAAATGTGCTAAAAATCACCTCAATAAATAGATATACAATCGAAAGAGCTTTATATTACATTTTGGTAAGCCTATAACTCTCATCTTTTCCTCATGAACATTGCGGACACATAACAAACAGCTCAAACCACAACAGCAATTTTGTACAGGTGTCAGGTTAGGACTTATGCTTTTTATATGAAAGAATTGCTATTCCTGATGTAATATATGTTTAATGTGAAGGATGGGATGGATAAACGAGAATTATGGATAAGTTAATCAAGCTTTTGAAAAAGGTTAGAAAGAGAAAGGAGATACTAATGTTTTGTCAATACATTGTGAATCTGTTATTATCTCCAATCTCTTCATCTAAAACAGCTTTATACTTTTGTTACTGAAGAAAAATTGGAATTTTTAGAAGAAAAATTGGTGGAATAGAACATCATAGAAATCATATGTTAAGGAACCTCACCATTCACCATTCGAGAGGAAACTGCCTCCGGTGGGGGTGATAAAAGTTGCTGTTTCTCCTATTACTGTAAAAAAGAAGACAGTATTCAGCATTAAGTGTTATAAAAATAAAGAACAAACATAAACTTCAGGAAGAAATTACGACGTTGACACTTTTTCTAAATAATTTCCTCTTTTCAATTCTGACTTTCAGCAGTCATACATGAAAGATCAATGACACATATCACAAAGAAGTTGCTTTCAGTAAGTTTGGCGGCAAAAAGTATTAGATTGTGCTTGTTGATTATGTGAAGATACTGATCAAGGAACATGACTATTTTCTTTGCTTTTTTACACTGGTTTTGGTATTTAATTAGCTTTGACCATGCATTATTGATAAGAATAATACATGTTTCAATCTTGCCAACAAGAAACAATGCTCACACAAACACACACACACACATGTGTATATGAAATTCTATAAATGGAAGATCAACTAGAAGTTTGTTTATCGACATGAATCTAGAAGACATGTTTCATTAAATTGATAACCATACTTACCAATAACCCATGTAATTATAAAGTCAAAGCGATTTTGTCCGTCCCTCCAATAATTTTCAAACCCATAGGCATAAACTTTTAATGCCATTTCCAGGACATAAATCCATCCTGTGAAAGGAAATACCAATTCTTAGTTTCATATATGAATAAGATTGCAAAATACAGACCAAGACAGCCACTTTTGAAATGGTAATAAGAGAACGATCAGTTAAAAACTTAACCAAGTAAGAACATTTAGAGAACTTCCACGAAGCATATATTACATCTAAAATGTTTCTAGCTAGACCTCGGTATCATTTGTAAAATAGAGATCAATACATACAACATATATATGTATATATATCTAAATGTAGATCTATCTGACAATGCTTTAGAAGTAAGCACATTCATTTTGATAGTAATGTCGAAAACTGACACTTGATAGTCCAGTATAATGTTAGGAATCGTAAATAACATCTGCCAAGAGAAAGTACAGTCAGCAGTGAACACCATTCTCTTTTACTTTAATATGAGAATAATATAGATAAATTTTGCGTTGGATAAAATCTACAGAAATTAAATAAAGATTCCATATTAACTCAGAGACATGCAAACAATTTGAATCAATTTCATAGCTTCAATATTAGGTTTAGTCGCACTCAACGATTTGAATTTGAAGGAACTTTATGATAAAATCATAGCATGTAATTCATGAAGATTTTACCAAATACAAACTCCAATTTCTGCCAAGCATCTTGAGCAGAATTATCCTCGATATCAAGCTGCAGTGCAACAAGAAACACGTAAATAATAATAAAACAAAGGCTTCACTTGTTAAGGAAGATAATATTGATTCTCTTTTAGACACTTTTCCTATTTCTTCTTTATTGTTATGATCTGCGTGCTTTACGCCAATGCTTATGTGAGATTATTTACTGAAAATATCAAGTTACAAGTTAGGTTTGTAGGGCTATGAGGAGAGGATCTCCCATTGTAAATATGACTTTCTTGGTCCTTGTCAAGCCTAAAAAACACCACTAGTTCTCTACAAACAAGAAAGTGCCAAAATAAATAAATAAAAACAAAAATATTTCTTGAAACACCTAGATTAAACAGCCATACCGTTGTCTCAATAACAACAGCAACAAAGTTCAGGATCAGAATGAATGCTACAATGTAATTGAATATGGCGCTTCGAACAAACTCTTTTATTTTCTCAGATGCATAAGAGTTGTAGAATGTGGGACAACAATTTCGAAAAACAGGTTCCTGCAGAGGCAAAGCAGCAGTAAGTACCCAGTAAGAGAGATCAAAGAACATAGCTCTTAAGAAGACGTAAAGATAATTTACTGATTCCTCTTTCTGAAATCTGAGTCCTATGGCATGCGACAGATCAACAAATTCTTCCAAATTAATCTGCACGTAAATCAACAGAACAGAAAAACAGTAAATGTGACAGTATATGGAGAAAGCCACCTTTCGATGCAATCACTTCTATAACAAAATGAATCCCATTTTGATCATATCCGTGTGTATATAAAACAATTTGAAAGCACGAGCATTCAGAATCTATACATGTCCAGGGTATAAGACTACAAAACTAAGCAACACAGGTGAAGACATGGCACTGGATGATAATTGATCTTGAGAAAATGGAAAAAAGTGGAAGAGTTACCTTGACATCATGACTATCATCCAACTCATAGAATATCAATTCAAAGTCCTCGCGCGATATTTTGGGCAATGTCCTACATATCATGGAACAGAGTTTTTGAATATTCAGAGCTGAATGATACAAAAGAAAAGCATCTTAATATATATACACATATATGCATCATATAAACAGGTAACAACCAACAAGAACATGGCTAATGTTAAGGCAAAAACAATTTGAAGTGAAAAACATTTCTGAAGAGAAAATTAGGGGTGGTTCCTATATCATATGTTTCTAGAATAAATATTACTCCTATTAAAAAAAATATAAAAAACCTGTATTTGTTCAGTTCTGCAAATAGACGAATGCACTGATCCTTGTCAAGGTAACCAAGCTCCTGCCAATAACCAAAAAGAAAAGAATAAATCAAGCAAGTTCATGAATGATGCTTTATAAAAATAGGATTTTCTCCAGTTACAGGTAAATTAAAAATTGAAAGTAGAACCGACACATCCCTTGTGTGTAGGAAACATATCAACACAGATGGTGTTTCAGAGCCTACTACGAAAGAAGTTATGGCATCATATGATTTTTTACATACCTTGTAATCCCAATTAGTGGAAAATGAAATATTACTCACATTCTCATCAATCAGGTTAAATGCTTTCTTCAGTACCCTTGTTCTAGTTCGATCCTTCTCAGCCACTTGCTTCACAAGCTGCAGAAAAACAGATCAGTTACTTATCACACTTCTAAAATGAGAACAAATAAGGGAATCCATATTCACAAGGTTGTCAAAATGTTGATGCATATGATTCAAAACATTCCTTCAGAAGGTAAAGTTCCATATTTGGACTAAGATTTGAAGGATGCATAGCCTCTTTAAGGAATGAAAAACCTAACTTTTTTTCCCAGTAACAGCAATATAAAGATATGTGCTCTTAAATCTACAGCCACCATTTAAACACGAAAAACACTACCTCCATCCACACCACACAATTTTTTTTCTCTGACATATCGATAAAGGGGTCTAATCTTGTGATAGACTAATTACAGTTTTGCAAAATATTCATGCCACAAACACTAATAACACCTTCACTATATTGTATGGCATGCAGTTTAGGTACTTTCGATGCGTTAAACCATATATATTTCAATAAATAATTAGGGACAGAGCGCACCTCACCCTTGAAGCTATCATAAACAACGGCAAGAATCAAGTTGGTGACAAAGTAAACCCCCAAAAGCACAAAAACGACAAAGAATAGAACATTCCACCGTGATTGCCTACATAGAAAATTAGATTGTCGAGTTAGGACATTTAGAGATTCAAACACAATACCAGAATCAATAGATTGTTGCAGTTAATTATTCCAGCCTACGTTTCTGTGTATTTGCGGCACAATATCCATTTTCGAATGGCAAAAATTTCAAAAAGAGATGCTAACAGCATCCAGTATTTGTTTTCTGCAGAAACTTACTTGTATGCAGGAATCCAGACGTCTGGATTGTTGGAAGTTGTGAACAGAATAAACATCTCGTACAATGTTACACCATAAGAGGTAAATGTAGTTTTGCCCTGTTCAGTGTCTTCGAAGATAACATACGCCAACCAACTAGAAAACAGAAGGAATAAAAGCAATAAAGCCTGCATTTGGTTTTCGATTACAACCAGTCAAAAGAAAAAATGATAATCAATGAATTTGCTTCGAACTTTTTGAAATTTAGTAGAAAACTTTGAAGTGAATTTTTGAGAGAAAACACACCATGACATTGAGATAAGTGCCAAGCATTCCATAAAGAATGATTATGCTATCCCGTATGTCCCTGTAGTCAGTTAAAAGAATCCTCAGTTTATCAATCAAGTAATGAATGGACACAAACATTTTTCACAAACAAATAATGAAACAAGCACATTTTGACGAGCAAGTAATAGAACAATACAGACATTTTATCTATATAATGTTAATTTTGTAAAGTATAGTTAATGCATATTTTACTTTAGATATTATAGGTTAAATAATGATAAAGACGATCTATCAAACAGATTTCCACAATGCTATATTCTCTTTTCATAGAGCAAAAGTTCTCCATTGAACATGAACTATCCAAGGCAATATAAACATTATAAGAAAAGAAAAGAAAAGAAAAGAGGGGAAAAAGGAAAATGTTTGATATCAAAGGGGGTAAATTGCTATGCAAAAGCACAAAATAATCTAAGAACTAGTAAGGCCATTGCAAAATGGATGCACCCTTACCTTATGTTAAGAATGAAAAAGACAACCCGGATATAAGGTGCAATACGGAATGGAAGAGTATCGAATGCTGCTGGAGAAAGATAAACAATATATACTGATAGATCAACAATAAGTATTACTAAAAAGAGTACCTGCAAATGAAATACAGCAAACAGAGGCAAAAGATTAAGGATCGTAATTCATAAAATAAGTTCATTATAAGGAAAAAAAAAATCAATATTTCCAAAAGTGTTAGAAAACACATGCACATTTTCTATATAAATAGACTATGCAGCCATCAGATAATTATGTTAATATAAAGATGATAGAAACTCTTAAATGGCACAGAAATCATTTGCAGGGAAAATGCTGCCAGAAATATCCGGATATAGATGGTACGGACATATAAAAGTCCACCTTCGATACTATGTGGGAGATTGAGTTATTGATGTATTTTTTTTCTTGAAATATAGAATCTAGGTTTCATGATGCAGAACCAAATGCAAGAAATAGATTCTAAAAGATATATCGCCATTACTGTTTCTTTAGCAGACAGGTCTATGTACCCTCAATACACGACTTCAGATGCCAATAGTTGAACCAAAAGAAATGGCACGGACTGATTATTACACATTCCCTCAACCTTCTAGTCCTCATTATAAGCTCGTAATCTGAAAATGCTAAATCACTTTAAATAATACATTTTACTGCTACAGGCTAGGTGTCTCCCTCACAGCATTCTTTGATTGTTTCTAGAATTGAAATAGAAAGAGAAAAAGTGAGCAAACAGTAGCTATGATCCCAAGTCCTAAGAGGCAATCTTGAATACATGCAGAACGAATACCTTATCATTAATCTTCTCTTCTAGGTGTTTATTCTAGATGATTCACTTGGTCTAGCCTCGGAAGCAATACTCGTTTATCGCTTCCTAACTTTTTGTACTCTAAACTACCTTATCGAAATAGACTAAGTTATTTATATGGATCTGGTATGAATAGAATACAACCCCAACAGAAACAAGCTCACAATTTCATCAAACGGCACATAATCTACAGCAAAATAATAATTATCAACAACTCCTTTGTATGCTAAAAGCTTTTATACTTAAAACAGAAAATTGTTGTAAATGTCCTTGGCTATGAAATGATGTACCTTGAGTCTATTAAGAACACTCTTCCAGAAGATATTGAATCCTTCATATGATACTGGAAAAAGTATATGTACAACCAGAATCAAAAGAGTCACACCCTGCAAAAAGTGGAAACATAGTGTATGAGATAAATAAGAAGCTCTGACAGAAACCCCACTCCAGAAAAAAAAAAAAAAAAAAGAAAACAACAACAACAATAGCTTTAGTTTTCATATATGGGATTAGACAACAGATTCAGAAAATGAAAACAGGGATGTGTGCGGACATATAAAATTACAAATCCTTTCTTTTTTCCCTTAGTTACCATCCACTATACAATCTTGCTATTGTTAGTTATTCCAAGATTTTCAGCATTATTCACATCTATATTGCCTAGTAATCTTTTCTCTCTCTCTCTCTCTCTCTTGGAGAGAAAAGTAGTAGATTATGTTCTAGGCAAAGTAGAGAAAGATCAGAAATCAAAATATTTAGAATACAGATGCAATATCTAAACAGTAACATAAAATGAATTGAGCAACTCAAAAACAGTCACAGGCTATTCAATTAATAATATGCTAGTTACCTCATAAACAAGACTTTCAGCAGTAGTGAGGAATGGAAGCTCTCCTAGAAAGTAGTAGTCGCGATTATTGCAGTTCTCAGTGCACCATAAAGGTTTCTTAGATTCCAAACAATTATTCATGAGTCAAGATACTTGCTTCAGATCTTATAATTCAGACAACATAACAAAAAAACAGTTGAGAGACTCTACAAACCTCCAAGAAATTCAGAGCAATTAAGGCAAAGTAGTTGACGGTCCAAAGGAAATCAAATCGTGAAAACATTAAATATGAGTTTAAGGAGGTTCCAAAGCTAGATTGATCAAGAATCTCCTCTGGTATGCCAATTCCATCTTCAGCCTGCAGAAGCATCCACATTTGATATTGTTAGAAGAACATTCAACACAAAACACCAAAATTGAAAATAGTTTCGACATGAATACATTTATCCCCATCTAGGTCATGAAAAACATTACTTTATCCAAAATGCCATTACTCTGAAAAATGGAAGTTACAATAAGCCAGGTCAGGTCACCTATTAGAAGTTTCCTTCAAATGACAGCAAAATTCAGAACTAAAGAAAATTGTGCAGTCTGCGACTTCGTGTGCATTAGCAAGCCCGAAACATGCAAGCTAACTCATTTAAAATCCATAGTTCATCCAAAGTGTATATTTATGCTACATCAAGATATACTCCAGCAATATTTTCATTAAGTAGGACCTCCAGAAGAAATAAAAAGAACGAAATCTCGTGTTATCATCTCTATTTAGATTTACTAAAATTGAAATTATTCTATAGAACCTTTGCACATAGAGAATAAAGTCATAGTGAAAGCTACAACCATGAATGTTCCCAAACAACACATTTCATAACTTATTTTCAAGATGATGCGTATTTGTCACAAAACGCATAATCCTAAACAAAACGTTCATATTCGATATTCATGGAATATACTGTTTCACTTGTTTTATTCAAGAAAATCAAGAAAGTTGCCGATACTAATAAACATCAGAAGAACCTCCTTTTCGGGCATTATCTAAACCGCAAGACAATGCCATAAAAGCAACGCAACTCGACGAAACCAAAAAAGACGAAAAACAAAAAAACGTACAAGATCAACCAAAGCAGCAGCCTTCTGATACGTTGATCCGTGAGCAATAGCGTCGGATCTTCTGTCGAACAAACGCTTCCGGTCCCATCCTGCGCCGCCGCTGCCGCTGCCGCCGGCCTCTCTGCGACCACCCAACAAAGCTTCATCCATGTCTTCCCCCAATTCGGATCAAGAACAGATTTTTTTGACTTTCAGTTCAGCTATCTCGAACAATCTCAGAGCATCATGTGTCCGCATCCATTAATAAATAATTAAATATACACGAAAGCATGTGAATGTGAATGTGATCTGCAGGTGCAAGTGGAGTTGCTGGGAGTCAAAGAAGTTAATTTATGTGATGATTCGGCGATGAAAGGGAGAGGTGGGGTTGGGAGTGGCGATTGAATGAGTGAATGAATGAATTGTTTGATCAATAAGAGAGGGGGGGCTACGCGTGAGGACTGCAGATCGACGAGTGTCGTGAAGATCCGAGTGATGCGTGGGATTAACGGACTTAACTACAAATGGATAATGTAATGGAATTGTGTCGGCAGCGTTTGGTGGGACTGGTGGCATTGAATTGAATTGAATTGATTTGTCAGTTCTTGAGCCTTCCTCAGAACGGTGTCGTTTCATTCTTGATTGAGCTTTCTTGATAGTTAGGATGTTGAAAGAACGTATTGTATTGTTTTAATCCATCAAGACGACAGTAACATTTTTATATTGCTATTCATAAATTCTTTAATGTTATAATAAATTCTCTACAACTACATGTATAAAATTTATATTTAAATATTTAAGTGATACTAGTGTGTTTGAATTTTGAATTTGATATTTAATTTAAATAATACTTTTCTTTTCGAAAATAATAATTGATTATTATTAATTAGGATAAGAATAATAAAATTATTTATTATATAAATAAATAATGTATAAATTTAACAGATAAAAAAATAATATAATTATTTCCAATAAAAATAATATTTTATTAAAAAATAATATATTTTTATTTAAAATTAAGAATTGATAAATATAAATTAAAAATTAAAAAAGAAAAAAAAAAGTCACAGAATCCTATTATGTTACTGTATTGTACTTCTTTGTATTGTCCAATTATTATTATTTTTTTCTGACTTTGTATCTATATACTTGGCATTTTCCCAAATTTTGTGAAATTTTTTTTTTTTTTTTTGGGTATGTTATGTGATATGATATGTATATTTTGAATTTCTTTTGTATGGTCCTAATTGATTATACATTAAAATAAGAATAAAAAAAAAATTACTTCTTTATAACTTTAACTATTCAAATGAATAACGTCTAAAAAATAATATTTGATGTGTTTCTTTTGCTTGAGTTTAGAAAAATTTGATTTTGATTTGGCATTAAAATAATATTTGATGAAATATTTTATAAGAAAAAATATATATATTTTTTTTTGAAAAATATATAGTTCAAATAATAAAATTGAAAAATTTTGTCAAAAGAAACATACCCAATATATCTCACTTGTGGACATTCTAATTGTCTTATGTGGTGAATATATAATCATGTCCATGCAAATGACATGTAAAATTGTTTATTGTCATACAAAATTTTACAGAAAAAAAATAAAATTACAGAGCATAAAACATCACTAATAAAATTACAATAATTTATCATTTTTTTTTCTTTATATAAAATAAGTATTCTTTTTGCACTTAACTTTTACAATTTCTAACAAATATATATTAATATTATTATGATTAAATATTTTATCAATGAACACCAATAGTTGATTTCACTATTTCAAAAGTGGGCTTCCACCACTATTGGATTGAAATTTCTAATTAAAGAATTGACTTGTGGATATATTGCCTTAAAAAAACATGTATATTTATATTTGTCATAATATATACTAAATATTATATTAAATTTTATTATGTAATTAAGTAATATATTTATATTTATTATAAACAAGTATTATCTTATAAACAAATATATAACTATCCTATACGAAAATAAACATAGATTCATAAGTTTTAATTTGCAAGAAAATATTAAAATATTATGAAACATATATATACATATAATATATTTTTTTAAAAAAAGTATTCAATATATATCATTTGAGTTTTGAGTGTTTTTAAAACTAAAATGAATATTTTTTTGTTATTTAAATATATATAATATAACTTCAATATATTTTTAAAAAATAAAAATACATCTAAGTAAACAAATCCAAATAATTGTGTTGATTTTTAAAATTACCATTGCATTGTTTATAAAACTTACATAAGAATTACTGTAGAAAAGAACTTGTTGGATCAAAAGTGTTTTACAAAGACTGTACATTGGTAAATCTAACTTTTCCAAAACTAGTTGAAAAGAACAAAAACAGAAGATTTATACTTCATTCTTGTATAAATATTAGTCTCGGGTAGTCATAAAATAATAATTAAAAATAGAAAATAAAAACTTAAGAAATGGAAAGACACAAATCTGTAAGAAGCTTACTTGCAATGACACATTCCTTCAAATGCAAATTGGATTGTCTAAGAGGTGTCTTCTTCTTCATCTTCCTTATCACTCTGATCAAGAATCGAATACTTCGAAAATGGCGATCCACCGTGGTTGTTCTTGGCCTTTAGCAGCTTCTCGTATCTGATTCGAGTCGAAATTAGAATCAGAACAAACAATTCATCAGTTCAGAAGAAGCACAGATTTGCAGCTTTGTTTTAACCTGTAGTGACATGCAGATTTCATATAACTTCGAAAATGTATCTGGTCACTATGCAATGATCTTACAGATATTATCAACATATGAACTTAAATTTCTTGTCTAGGATCAGAAAAGAATACAGATGAATCTTGATTGCTTACTTGTACCAGTTAAATAAACTGACTCCAACCATGGTGATTGCAAGGCCAACCCCCTTAATCCAAGTGAACTCATCATGGAAGTATAGCACAGCCACCTGAAAAGAACATTCGAGGTTCTGTAATTAGTCGAGGATCGAACATTTCATAGTTGTCTGAGAAGCAGGTACACTCAATGACTTAATCAGTGGAAATCAAGCTGTAGTGTAAATGAAGCTTTTGGCTTGACCAAGAAGCCTAAACCTCAATATATTCGATATAAACTCAATAATAATGTCGCGCTTGGCGTACCAAAATAGTTACGACTTCCTTCACAACCCCGGCTATTGTGACAGTTACTGCACTTGTCACAGACACAAGAATGTACTCAGACAACACCTGAAATAATTTAAACAGGCAAGCATTACTCGCCGAATTAAGATAGCATTTATCGAATCTTAATAACTATGAATTGGCATATCCCTCTAGGACTTTTTAGCTTGTATTCGATGCAATATTTCAATATTTAGACATGGTAAGAAGCATTCGATGTGTAAGGCCTATGACAAAAATAGATATTAGACGATAAGCTAAGAACTTGACAAGAATTTCTGCAATGAATATCAAAATAAGAGATCATGAATTCTTTACCATGACGAAAGCTAGAATTCCCCCAAATGACATCAGTAGACAACTCCTCACTGTATGCCACCAGCTGTTAAAGTAATTGCTCATATTGAACTCATCCCAAGGATCTAACAACAATGACAGTACAGCAGTTGCAACCATCATAACCGGGGCCACATAACTCATCAACGTAAGGGGGTTCTTGAGACCTTGAAACATAACGGTGAAAAAATGACACAGAATAAGATTATATGGTTTCTTGGATCAGATTAACCGTCTATCGTGTAAATAAAACTCTTGAGCATTATCAATGTACTTTTTCTATAACTTGTAAAAGTAAAATATAGGGATAGATATGAAAGCTGGTTTTATTAGACATTAAGGATTGCGTACTTACAAGTATCTCAAAGTAAACAAGGCCTTAGTGGTTAAACGGCATAAAATATCTAGCATCCTTTACTGATAAATTCTTCAGGCTGATTATCCATTCTTGAACATCAATAAGCTTCATTTTTTCATCGAAAAGATCCCCCTAGTCATTTTCCAAAATATTCCTAGAAGTGCAAATGAGGTGGTCTTCTTCGCTAAATGCGGCCCTAAGGGAAACGTTGATCCATCAATTGGACTATAGTTTTCATCTTTATTTTTCCCTACCCTTTTGTCTATGTAGCTAATTTTTAATTCCTCTCCAATAAAATTATATTCATCTCCACAAAATAATGGACTTATGGAAACACACAATCTTTTCTCTATCGAGCATAATGTTTGCTTAGGCAATTGAAATTCATGTAAATGATTCTCCAGCATATACACATTAAATCTTCCAGAATTTTAATGAGCCAAGTGATGTATAATTTTGATGCAACAGAGACAAACAGAACTCAAGTAGACTACCTTCGAAAACTGCATACATTAGTCCAAGGTTTAATTAAGCTAATATGGTGTAACTGTTAGTTAATAAAATTTCCTGATAGTTGTGTAAAAGCCATGTTATAGGGTACACTTACCATAGACTTCTTTCTTCATGGCAGTTTGATATGAACATCGTTGGGCGACAAAATCAAGCACAGACAAGTTAGTGCATTCTCCAAAATCTTAAGCAACAAAAAAAAAGCCAAGGCTTTTTATCATATGGTTGTCAAATTATACTGATGCTCATACCTGGAGAAGAATTTGTGTCATTGTCCACCGTAACCCAGACATAAAAGCCGAAAGCATAACTAATAAAAACCCCCAAAACTCAAATTCTGTCTCCTTTGCAGCTGCATTATACACACAAACAGATCAAGTTGTATTTACTAGTTAAAAATGCATAATATGCCTCATAAGCTGATTATTAGACCTTAGCTAAAGCAAAACTTTATTCCATTGTTGTATATATCCACTTAATTTGTCAAGTACAAGGAAAAATACATTATTGCGAAATCAAAATATTTGATATTATCTAGAACACATTCTCAACATACATGTCAGTTTTAGAGAATTTCAAACACACTGAAGAATGATAATTATTATGAAGATCTCCCTATATAATAAAACTATACCAATAAAGATCATGAAAGAAAATGGAGAAAAGGTACAAGAGTCTAAGCAATATTAAAATGAACTTACATTTTTTCTGTGAAGTTACCTAAATAACTTATGATTTTGAACAACTACTTTTAACAAAATCACATTTTATTAGATAAAGGAAGTATTATATCAGACGAATAATTAATGAAATATAAACAGAGAACTATTAGTCCTTTACTACGATGAAATTGATAGAATCTGTTTGGAGTTGGGACAATTGTTTGTCTTGTAATTTAAATTCAAAAGTGTAATTACTTCACTTTATGTTTTTCATTCCCATAGAGAAATTCCAAAACTCCTCATTTTACCCCTTCTTTTTCAGGTTCATCTATGTCAATACTAGTTTAATTAAATAGATAAATACTAGGTTTTATTCAATGATATCATAGGAAAAAAGTGCATTTCGAATACATGTTACCTGTTAATAATACACCCATGGAGATGATTAAGATTATTCCAAGCAGCTCAACACTTGGAGACTCCAATCTTGGTCGTATCAAAACAAATACACGTACAACAAAACAAAACAGAGGTGAATCAGATGGCAACAAATTTTGTGTAACATTTAAAATGCTAGATCTTGAATAATTATCATGTCTAGAGGTTCAACTAACATTTATAGTATGCAGCAGAGAGATAGGATGTATTATAAATAAGTTAACTGGTAACTACCTGAAAGCAAAGGCAAACAGTAGAAGAAATATTGGTGATGCTGATTTACACTGCATAGAACAAATAAGGACTTAGTTATCTAAATATGAGATACACAAACTCAAAGCCTGGTTGGTTTTTCAACACGAACTCAACACTGTTCCTCTATGATAACTCATTTATAAGAGAGTGTCGAAAAGGATAATCTGGGAACATAAATGAAAATTTATAAAGCTTGTGGAAAGTTGAATCTTCTTAAACAGATAATTGAACATCTGACATTTCTGCTCAATCTTTCTCTTTCTTTTTTGTTAATTTACTAAGCATGCCCATCTATGACATTCATTTAAATTTTGTTGCTGAATATATAATAAATTTCAACAATAAGATCAAACCAATATTTATAGGATCTCCATCAAAATGAATAACTGTTGGCTTCAATTCTAGGCTGATTCATCTCACCTGTGCTTTCCTCCTTCATTTAAATAGTTAATCACACACATTAAGCATACATACCAAGAGGACAATTCGAATTGTCATCAATTAACTGCCATAGAAACTAGACTTTTAAGAAGGGATGAATGACCATGAAATATGATCAAAGAAAATTGACTAACCATGGTGGCAAAGGTAACAGAGATGAAAACCAGGGAGGCATTGCTTAAATCAATATCCAACGCAGTGCTGACAGCCGTCGGTACAACTGTGAAAGGTAAAGGCCATCTGTACCATTAGTTGTTAGAGAAGTTAATGATACTAACAAATTACGTAGAAGGGAAATACCAATTTAAAGTAACACTATTTTTAAACAAATATGAACTTATGTTATCCTTGGACATGGATCGAATGGTTGAATTCTTAAGCACAGCCCCTTCTCCTAATTAGGTACATCATTAAGCTCGGTATATTTAGTGAGTTAAGATTACTTTAATCAATCAATCATGTAGTAATCAATAGATTCAAGATGTAGTCCATAACTAGCCCTGGCATAAAATATCATCAATTAAGGTGAAAGTTGAAGGACATTAGCATTGTGATCATAATAATTTATGCACAGGTGAAAGTAATCTGAAGAGCTCCGATCAGTTTCACTTATATAACACTCACTACTAAGTTCATTACTTACATCTAAGAAGGTAAGTCATTAAACACTTCGTTTTTTTCCCCATATTTGAAGAAAGAATTTGTAGACAAAACACATGAATAACAACAACACACACACAAAAGTACCATTTTATAACTTCTTTCATATGACTAAATAGTGCCAAAAAGAGTCACCTTGTTGCTCCCACCTTTGGATAAATAGTCCCTCCAGGACATGACTGGGGAATGATGCTTGTCAGGCCAAAACCTTGTTATAGCCATTGACAAAGTAGCTTGAATAGCAAAATGAATGGTGTTCATCAATAGCGGAGCAGGGAATCTCCCCATATGATCCCCAAGTAAAGTTTTATTATACCTAAAAACAACAGAGATATTAACAATACAACAGCTTAAACATTTCAGAATCTATAATACATGAATTCCACAAGGAAACTAATTACTAATGAAGCAAGAAAGCACTCACAGTGTGAGTAATGTACTGACTGTGTACCAGACGAATATAAAAAACGCCGTTTTCAGCAAGTATGCTACTGTAATCGAACTTTCTGATTCCAATTGAGATGAGCTACGGTAGTCCATAAGATTAAAGCTATTCGAGCTAGTGTTACATCCTTTATCAATCATAAGAGGTTCGAAATCATTACAAGGCACATCGCCAATTTCGGGATCAACTTCCATCCTTTCTTGAAAGTTAATTCGATCCAAATCTCTTGGTATCTAAGCTTCTTTCCTTAGGCAAATGCTGTCCAACTAAGGACAATCCAAAATCAAAATCATTTTCGGATACAACCCCCTCGCCTAATCTAGGTGCATTATGTGTCCATCCCCATTCCCCAACTTGCATACACTTATACAAATTTCAAACCACTCATTGCATTCACTGCACATTGTGAGAGACATTTAAAATGAAATCAATAGACACAAAAAATAAACCATTTCTTTGTTTTGCAGCATTTCGTCGAACACCTAAAGGGCAGACAATGCAGAGAAATCGTTAACCTCTACCGGTTCCAAATTCCTTCCGAACTACGTCAAATTCAAATTTTACCTCTTTCAATTGCGCAAACTGTCCAAATTCTAACGAATATCCTGAAGAAATCGAAACACAAACTTTTTTCAACTAAGGTCAAATGCAACCTAAAAACAAAAGACCGCATCATCCCATGAATACGAGTAAATTTCTACTTGAGAATCAAAATTGACCACAGATATCAAAGTCTCTTTAAAGATTTCTTGCAAAATTATAGGATCTTTTTTCACATATGCAAAACTCAAGGTAGTCCCTGTGACCAGACACGTTGCAATATATTATTAGTTTCAATTTACCCAAAATCATGATTTGCACTTTTTGATCTATTTTTGGACTGTGGGAATAAATTAATTAACATTATTTATAATAAAACTAAAATTATAATTTTTTTTTCATATTAATAAGTAGGGATGTTTTTTCCCTTTTAACTCGATTAAAAAATATAGCAATTTATCAAATAAAGTTGAATGGGTTTTTCATATTGATTGTATTCTGTTTAATTCTCACAAAAAAACAGACCTATAGATTAGAGTCAAATTCCCTTTTCCATGTAGCATTAACAAATGTAAAGATAATGCAATAGTAGCTTCCTTGCACCATATAGCAAGTTCGCCAATTTTGAACTCTCAATAGTTGTCGAAGGAAAATCCAAAAGGGAAATACATACAATAATCTTTTCCAACAAAAATTAAAAAGACAAAAAGAGGGGGGAACAAAAGCCGCAGATTACTCCCATTAATGTCGCTAAGGAAAGCACAGCAACTATGGTTTCTTCATCTAGGCCTTCCTGGTTGCCAGCTGGGACTCAGGCTGCCGGAAAAATATATCAATTGCAGGTCAGAAAACGGTGTAAACAAACATGGAGGAAGAAATATGCCCGTGTGACAAAACAAAGAGGAAAGAATGGGGCACATTTTACCTCTTTCTTGACGGGCTCCTCCTTCTCAGATAGGATCACCTCGATGTGGCACGGGGATGACATATATGCTGTAAATGAAATCAGTAAAATGAATTTTGCAAGAACCGACAGACAGGTGGTTAAATGAATGAAATGTCTGCTTACGATTTATTCTTCCGTGAGCTCGGTAAGTACGGCGCCTCTGCTTCTGAGCCTGATTGACCTGGATGTGAGAGATGTGGAGAGAATCCACATCCAAGCCTTTGACCTGCAACAAAAAAAGTGTAATTGGGATTGTAAAGTGCAAAGCAACAAATCATTTATAAAGAATTAGGAGACAATATATATACCTCAGCATTGCTTTCAGCATTTTTCAGCAGATCCAGGATGAACTTGGCCGATTTTGCAGGCCAACGTCCCTGTCCATTTGAATGCCTGTTTTTTGCTTGTGCAGTTCGGCCAACACCTCCACAAAAGCGAGTAAAGGGTATGGCCTGCTTGTGTGCAATTACATCCTCCAAGTACCGCTTGGCCTTGTTAAGAGGGAGTTTCCTAATAGCATGGGCAGTTTCCCTAGTGTTCTACACAAATGAAATTAATCAGTCAGCTTTGTAACTAAAGTTATTAGATCAAATAAGCAGCATACATAATGAGATAGATCCATAGTGCAACAGAAAGTAGCAATCAATGTTTACAACTAACCCTTCAAGAACAGTCTATTTAACATGTCAGTGCACTTTCAAGCTAATAGCCTCAAGACACCGTAAATATATCAAGATTAAAATCCCTCATTGTTTAGGAAATAAGATTTGCAATATTATATCATCAAGGGTAATTCAACATTCTCTTGGACACACTACAGCAATTTAACCACAAATAATTTAGTAGGAAACCAATCATACATCTGGAATAAACCAATACTCAGAATCAATCTTTTCCTAATTCGTTCATCATATTCAAGGAGAGCACATACCAACAATATATACACAGCGGGGATAGTGTATAAGTACAAGTCTCAACATTAGCAGGAAGTAGTCTGTAAATAAAGACCAAACTCTATCTTTAGAAACAAACTAAAGATATTGCATTGTTTACTGAACCATCAATCATTGAAATAGCTCAATAGGTTCACCCAATAACATTGCCATTTTTTATCCCTGTGGTTTACGAGAGAACTGTTCACATATGGCAACAGATCCCTGCTTTTTTCATCAGGTTTACATGCATAATCCCTCATAGAAGATCCAAACGCCACAAAAGACAAGAAAAAAGCAAAACTAAAAAGTAGTTATAGAAACCAATAACAGTTGATTAGTGCCTAAATTACAACACAAACAATCGAAATAAAGATATTCCATTGTTTACTGAACCATCAATCATCGAAATAGCTCAATAGGTTCACCCAATAACATTGCCATTCTTTATCCCTGAAGTTTACGAGAGAACTGTTCACATATGGCAACAGATCCCTGCTTTTTTCATCAGGTTTACACGCATAATCCCTCATAGAAGATCCAAAGGCCACAAAAGACAGGAAAAACATAAATAAAAATAGTTATACAAACCACTAACAGTTGATTAGTGCCTAAATTACAACACAAACAATCGAAAATCATACGCCGACCAACAATATTTAAAATCCGAACCTTGAAGTGGACTCGCAGTTGAGATCCCCGAGCATTGCAAGCTACCAAAAAAAAAAAAACACAGTAAATCAACAGTAATTAGCAAATCAAATTTAAAGAATTGCAATTACACCAAGAGATTAAAGAACAAAACGCAGGCTAAAGTACAACGAAATTACATTTGGTAGGGTTATCGGGCTCTCTCGAATACTTCACCTGCAGCAAAAAACACCATTCGATGAAATATTAAGACAAATCATTCTCCAAATCCAAGAACCTGATTATAGTAGACGTACCATTGTCTCTGTTGAAGCGGCGGCGCTGCGGACTACTCAGGACGAATCTTTCTTCGACGGCAGTGGAGCAAAGGCAAGGAATGCTGCTGCGCCATCCTTTCTATATATAGAACCCTAATTTAGTGGGCCGGTGTAAAATGGGCCGGCCGATTTAGACTGGAAGCCGTACTCTATCGTGTTAAGTATTTTAAATTATATGAATCGGGCTTATTCAGCGTTACAGTTATTTATTCTTTAATGTTAAAATTTTTCATATATTCCTTTTTATAAAAAAATTAGTTTTGTAATTTAATCCGAAACAAATAATATCTTTGCTATTTCAGCAATAGTTTCATATCATTTTAGATACATTGTTGTATGAACCTTTAAAAATCAACAATTAATATATATTGGGTTGTTGATTTATACTATAACAGCCACACACTTGATGACTTGATGCTAATACATAACTTCTACAAGCCTAATTTTAAAACTTGAATCCAACGGCTCTTTAATTAATTAGCCCTCTTCAGCTATCCCATTTCCGTCCTTCTCTACATTGGAGTGAGATGAGTCAGTATACAGCTCATTTGTCGACGTGCTCCGGCTAACTTCCGGCTGCTGCCAGAAATGGTTCCTTATCGCCTGAAACTTGGGATCCACGGCCGAAAAGCCCGGATCCGAAAGCAAGTCCTGGACCGGAGTCCGACCCTCGAGCATGCTCACCACTTGCGACATGATCGGCCGCAGAGTCGGGGCTGCATTGGTGCACAGAAGGGCCACATTCAGCAGCACCATCGCCTCTTCCGACGAGTACGCAGATCCCAAATCGGGATCCACCAGCTCCAGAAGACTGCCCCTCTCTTGCAGAACGTAGGCCTGATTATAGACGAATAGATCGATTAATAAGGCTCGATAAAATGGACTATGGAGAAATGGAAATGCGGATGCTATGTGTACCCAGTCGAGAAGATAGACGAAATCCTCCGGTCGATAATTGGTGTTGCTTTTACCGCTGATGATCTCCAGTGCCACCACGCCGAAGCTGTAGACATCCGCTTTGTTAGTGAGGTAGCCGCGCATTGCATACTCCGGCGCCATGTAACCTCTGCAAGACGACAGATAATCCGTTGATAAGTGTTCCAAAAAGTGTATGATGTCGGGAGTAAAGGAGGAAGAAGAACGTACATAGTCCCGGCAATTCGAGTGCTGATGTGAGTCTTATCGTCTTCGATGAGCTTAGCGAGGCCAAAATCGGATATCTTTGCATTCAGATTCTTGTCGAGCAAAACGTTGCTAGTCTTGATGTCTCGATGGACTATCTTCAGCCTCGATTCTTCGTGGAGGAAAGCTAGGCCTTTTGCAATGCCGAGACAAACTTTAATCCTCGTTGGCCAATCGAGCTTCAACTTTTTCTCGGTGTCCTTTCCTAGGAAATGTAAGAGGATGGATTCATCATGGAAGTGAATCGAATCATAGAGCCTCGGCTGATACGAAAACGATACTCACCGAATAGTGCACGGGATACACAATTGTTCTCCATGTACTCATAGATTAGCATCAAGTTATTGCCTTCAACACAGCAGCCGTAAAGCTTTACTAGATTCGGGTGCTGCAGCGCAGAAATCATTCCTACTTCGTTGACGAATTCGCGTGTTCCCTGTTTCGACTTCGAGGAGAGCTGCTTCACTGCAATTATCGTTCCATCTGACAACAGCCCCTGCGTCGCGTTAGAGAAGAGTCAGTTTTTTATTTAATCAACAGAAAAAGACATGAAAGTGTAAGAAGTTTCGTCAACTAAGCACATATGCTAATACAACAGTACCTTGTAAACTGAGCCGAAGCCGCCCTCACCTACCTTGTTTTCTGGATCAAAGTTCTTTGTTGCAGCCTTGATCTGCTTCAATGAGAAGAGCCCTGTTTGCAGATCAAGGCCTCGAAGCTCTGTCCAAACAAATCAATACGTTACATCAAACTTTTTTGTATGCCACAAAATTATATTGCTTGCGTAAATGGCTCTCGAAAGCTACATAGCATTTCAAGAGCTCAGACAAGAATGATCTGCTTAGGCTCGATTGCATGGATCTCAATACAAAATTCTTGTGAGGATATTCATTAAGTGTTCAAATGAAAGTCGAGCAAGCTAACTTTCTGGGAAGCGTAGTACCTTTATCGACAGGAGTTTTCCCTCCAAGGTAGCCTTTCTTTCTCAAGATGACTAGAATCAGAGCTACAAGTAATGCTCCAGCCACTGCTCCACCAGCCACAGCAGGCGTATTTATCTTGTGGAATACCGGTGGTTTAAAATCTGCAATATAGAGGCATCAAGAGTCTTCAATCTTGTAGGATCTTCGAAGTTTTATCATGAAGCAAATTGCTAAGGATAAAAGAAACTTACTAGGATCCACAGATATGGCAGATATAAGAGGCCCATAAGTTCCACGCTGTGGAATACCAGTCGTTCCTCTCCCCGCCCAGTACAGATGAATCTTCAGAGTGTGGCTCGTTATCGCTACAGTGAATTTTCGCACAAGAGGCTTACCCGGTCCGCCAGCCTCGTCAGCAATGTTGAAATCCTTCAACACTAACTTTTCCTGCATGAATCAGTTCAATAAGCATCACAACATAATGGAAGATTCAGCAGCAAAAGGCTCAGTGTGAGTGTAACCACAAGTACCTGCAAGTAGACGTCGAATATGCGCCTGCCAAGGCTGTTGAACGTGCTACCGTTGGTAAAAGCAATTTCTGCAAAGTGAAGCTTCACAGTGTAGTTTCCATTTAGGAGACAAAGGCCATAATAAGTGAGCGAAAGGGGAGAGACGCGTGCAGTTTTGTACAGCTCTGATACTGGCTCAGTGACATTATATAATGTAGAAACATTGGTCGCTATGTAGTTATCAGAATCTAAATCATTGTCCATGAAGTTCCCGGTGCTGCTGAACGCCCAGTGGTTTTGTTTTGGGTAATACATGGAAGCACCTCTGGGTTCCGAATCAGCATCAAATGTCGAATCTCCAGGGATGTTTATTTGTTTGCCGCCACAATTGATGTGCAATGAGTAATGCTCTGTCGATTGGAAATTCCGAAATGTATATCATGAGCTGACAGGAACAGTTAATAACATATATACATATATATAACATTCGACCCTGAAAGTGTCATAGGCTAAAATTGAAGTGTCGATAACTCTCGCTTTGAATCAATGCATTTAGATATTGCAATTTGAATGACATAAAATAAGCAAACTGTGCAAGATTATAGGAAGTACTAACGCTTTTTTCTGGGGTCTGAGCATGGAAACTCCTGCCTCATGCACGGATGAACTCTACAATTATATAAAGCTTTGTCATAAGATTAATGGTATAGTTCAAGAATGTATAGCCTTGAAGTTGAATGATAGATTTAAAACAAAGATATCGTCTTACGGTTCAGTAGCTGCTGATGAAAAACTCTCCACCAAATTCCTGAAGGAAATGAACCAGTTAAATCTTCATGCAACATGAAAATCCATAAATAACAAAGAAAAACAAATATGTGAAGGACTTACACACTCCCTCGTGGGCACTCAGACGGGGTGGAACTTTCGGAGGTGAAGTTGTTAAGAGATAGATCGCTGTTTGCCAAATAGTATGAACAATATGAGAAACAATATTACACAAAACTACAATGCTGCAAAATCATCAGGAAATACACTTTAACAGAGGAATGTAGCTTGAGCTAAGTCACTTAACGCATTCTTATTTCGTTCTAGGATCCACATAGGAATTTGTCCAGTAAGTTCATTTCCCGTCAAATACCTGAAATGAAAAACTGATTATTTCTAATCGAGCACGAATATAATCATATGAGAAAGGCCAAAGGTTTGGTCAGCAGATGATCCGCACTTACAGAAAATCAACCCTGGTAAGACGGCTGAAAGCAGCTGGAATTTCTCCAGTCAAATTATTAAAGCTTAGGTCCCTACATTGCAAAGCTTAGCATAAGATTTCATCGACCATACTATGTAGAAGCATATTAGGCTATGCATTAAGTGAAACTATTTGGGAATGAAAACAGAAAGACAGTATTTATAAACAAGTGTCTTAAGCTGCAGATTCTACAGCAATGAGATGTAGCAAAATGTGTAATATGCTTACAAGACTTTCAAAGTCTTCATGTCTGCAATGTAATCAGGGATCTGGCCATGTATTAAGCAACTTCGGAGTATCCTACAGACAAAGAGCTTAGCAACATCAAAACAGTCTATTTTCTAGCATTAGCACTATAGCTGGGAAAAGATTTAATCTTACAGCACTTTGAAGGACTTTATTTTGCTTAGAGGGGGAAACACAGATCCTCCACCTGTTAAATCACTGATCCTCCTGAAAATCTTAAGTTGGAGTATAAAACACGAGGCATGCATAGAAAAATAAAATGAATAGGAGAAAAATAAAATAGACGCTCACAAATCAGTCAATTTTGTTAGGGCTGAGATAGAAGAAGGGATTGGTCCCTTGAGAGAGCAACCTTGCATATGCCTACATTAACACACCGCCGTTAACAAGGTCTCTACATGTTGTCTTGCTCTGAGTTAAACTAGTGTGTTATGAATAGTCCATACAAGTAAAGGGTTACATACAGTTTTTCAATTTGCGTCCAGCTGCTGATAAAATTGGGAATATGTCCAGTGAAGTTATTGTCATTTATCCTCCTAAAATTTGTCACATGAAATGATAAACTTTCAAGGAAATATTATGGAATCCACAAATAGAAAAATGGTAGCATGATGTATAAAAGATTTTCTACAAAAAGAAACAGGTGAGAGTTTTTCTTAGAGAAGTGATCAAGTGAACTTTACTAGATAGTGAATACATATGCTTGAGATAATTTGAATTGAACAGTCATTACTCACAGATCAATTAAGGAGGTAAGCTTCGAAAAGGCCTCTGGTAAATCTCCTGTGAATGTATTTGATGATAAAACACTGAAAGGATGGAATCAGATCTAGTCTGGAGGAAAGCATAAGTGAATTTAAGGATACAGAATACACTATTTAAAGCCAAAAGCACTTACAGTTTTTTCAAGTTGACCAATAGGCCGATTTTGGAAGGAATAGACCCAGAAAATTGGTTACCCTCAAGACTCCTGCATTTATACAGGAAACTCAATCTCAACTCGAACGTAAAAACAATTAATACATGGAAACAGCTTATAACATGAGCAAGAAGGAGAGTAATATCAAGAAGGAGTTTGATGGTTTAATCAGCACAAAGAAATTGGAGCAGTAAGAGCACTAATTTAAAGGAGCTTGAAACATACAGGTTTACAAGGGTGGTCATTTTGGTAATCATCTCTGGAAATGGACCAGATAATCTGTTTCCCATGAAAGACCTGCATATATTCAACCCCGCCAAAAAAAAGCACATAACTTCAATCCACTTTGTACTATGAATGGCAATGAAACATTGTTTTTACTTGAGCTATATACATCAATATTAAAAAGCCTAGGAAAAGGGATTTACAAATCAACCAAACTCATTTTACCCCACTGAAGAGGTATGGAACCATTGAAGTTATTACGACTGAGATCCCTGTACAGCAAGGGAATAAAATTCAGAGACAAACAGAGATCAAAACTTTAATAGACTCAAATCCATTTCATTGATGGCTCACAAATGCGTAAGATGGCGAAGTTTGGCAAATTCCGGCGGAACGCCTCCTGTTAGATTCTGGGATTTCAAAGCTCTGCAGCAGTTCAAGGGGCAGAGTTAGAAACAACTTGACAAAACATATTTGTTAATTATACAGTAGTATCAGTTGATAGTGGATTTTTATCGAATTCTCATGCATGAAATATAGAAATCTTGTGGGGTTGCAACATGTAAAAGAAGAAATTATGATACTTCTCTAATTAAATTTTAGAGACAACTAAATATCATAGTCAAATAGTGGCTATTAACACCAGTCAATCGGATATACCTCCATTCAAAATCACGGTAGCTTTTGCGGGACATGCGACCATACTCAAATTTTAAATGTGTGACTTGATCCCATGCAACTGATCAAGCCTACCATCTAACACATTTATTTTCACAGTGCCAACAACTAACTTCAAGATTATGACCCATTGGAAAGACAAAAGAAAGAAAGAAACAAATAAGTTGCAGCAGGCATTGTGTCTGCATCCATCAAGACTATATATGCCCCTTAATTAAAAACACAATCCTCAGTTAATTTTTAAAACCCAATGAACACCTACTTCACAGTCATTTCAAATCTATATGAACAAATAATCTTCTGATTGTGGAACTTGATTGGGTGGACACGCTACAGTGCACTGAATTTAAACAATTCAATACAAGACAAGCCATGTTGTCTTCATTGAATTGAATTAAAGGTTGTGGGACTCTCAGACATTGGGGTCCTCAGCCAACCACTGTACAGCTGGAAGATGGAAAAACAATCATTAGAAAGTCAACGGCTGAGCGATCCAGAGTTGACTGGTTGCCCAGTCAACACTACTCTGCCATGAACTCATCGACATCTCCAGCCATCTAGAAAGTTATTAGTTTCACACAACCACCAAGTCGAGATTTTCAGACACCAATATGAAACAGCAAAGGATTCCCATACGTAATAAAAAAGTGCATACAAACCCTCTGCAGCTTCCACATTTTAAGGAAATTAATCACACAAGATTTTCCAATCTTAAACTCTAAATTCCTTATTAGAGCCATTACTGAGACAACTTTCCATGCTTGATTTTCTAGTTAGAGCTGGAACACTACATTTTCTTTTACCCAATAGACTACTTCCTCCAAAGATTTGATTTGAATCTGATAAACATAAGTTACTCTCTAACAAGCAGTAACTAATAAAAACTACCGACATTAGCAAGCAAACAAAGCTCTGGTTGAAATTAGTGTTCAAGATCGAACTTCAATTTTATCCAGATTGAATCTACAAAGTTGAGATGAAGGATGTGAGCAACTTACATGCCAACAACATGGCAAGTAGAATTCTGATCAAAAGTGCAGTCACAAGTAACAGAGCTCTCGAATCCTTTCCTGAGAATGGGCAAACTCCAATTCCCCTCTCCACTGCACGGATCCTTGCTGAAATCCCAATCCTTCTTCCCCATTTTCCTCCCAATCTCCTTCAACGCCCTAACTGCATACAAATTTCAAAAACAAGTAAATAAAACCCTAAATTTGACTCACTCACTAACTCACTTTCGTGTTATTACCTTCATCCTGGCGCAGCTGCGGCGGCTTCTCGGCAGCTGAATCGGAAAAGCTCAAGAAAATCAAAATGAAGTAGTATATTGGAAGTGCGGAGCTACTTGTGGCATTATTCCTCTTCATTCTTTCTAGCTAGGTTCTCCTCTCATAGAGATGTTGTACTAACTAACTAACTATCCATCCCCTTGGTGTGTCTGCCATTGACAATGGAGGCATGGAGCTGCTATAAAAGAAGGAGATATTTTCCATGTGGGGAAAGGGACAGCCTCTCTCTCTCTCTCTCCGTGTCTAGGACTGGGCTCGTCTTCATATGTGGAATTTGGCAGCATCCATTCCACATTTCCATAGCCATAAAATGCATCCAGTCAGATTCTAATAACAATTCTTTTTTTATTCTATTGCTGCACAGCACTCAACTCATTTCTCTGTCAAGGATTCAATCAATCCACTAGGTTGCTGTCCCTACTCCCTACTGCTTAAGGTTACTTTATCCGATTTTGAAGTGAGATGTTTTTAATACTATAAAATTATATAAATAGAGAAATAAAATCTGGAAATTTAATTTACAGGTTTATTCACTTTCTGTTTTAGATGTGTAATTTTTTTAATTTTTTTTTTGCTGAATTCAATGAATTATATTGATTATATAAATAATAGTAATATATATTTTATATTTAATTACTACATAAAAAAGAAATATAACTTTCAGTTTCAAAATATAAATACATAATTATATACCATCCAATATATAAAAACAATTAATTTGATTCCTCTTTAGTCCAGCTTTTGAATATGTTATATTTAGGGTTTGTTATTTTAGTCCGATTTTTTAAAATTTTACTATTTGAATTACGTTGTTTTTCGACTATCTCGAAATATCATCAAATATTTTTTTTTACTAAATACAGCAATATAAATGTAATTATTAACATATATGTTAATTGAATATATGACTGTGTTTGTTTGTGAAGATTGTTGAAAAAAAAAAAATTATATGAAATTTAAATTGTACCAAAAATATAATAATAAATATGAATAATATATTAATATTTTAAAAAAGACATCAAAAAAGAAAAAAAGAACAAAGTTATAGTTACTTTATTATAACACTAAGGGTGTGTTTACCTGTGAAACTTGATTTTTCGATTTAAAGTATCAAGTCAAACACTCATTTTTTATTTATTTTATTATATTAAAATTTATTTTTACATTCAAAATATAACATCAATACATATTTATATCACATTAAATAACAATTTAAATTCAAAATTTTATTATTTAAAATCAAAACTTAAAATCAAAATCATACAAGGAAACACCAGCTAAACTTCCACTAACAAAATTAAAAGAAAACACTTCGGGTGTATTTTTTTGGGATTTGAATTTTGAGTTGAGATTTGAATAATAAAAATTTTGAATTTGAATAAGTGTATAACGTGGTATTGATGTTATTTTTTAATGTAAAATTGATTTTTAATATAATATAAAAAATAAAACATAGAGATTTGATTTGATATTTTTAGAGGAAAAAACAGATGAATAATATTGTTAAGCACAAAAAATAATAATAATAGTAAGTGGCAGTAGGATTCTGGGTAGGGTCTGAATGAAAGCCAAAAGGTCTGGTCGGGCAGAATAAAGGTCGGGAAAAGGAAGAAAGTTAAGATCTCAAGAATTGATCCAAATCCAGACTCAGGTACTACCAAGAGATGGTTGTCCGTGATCAGCAGTTCGGGCTGTATTCAGGTCGGGCGGAGTCTAAAAAAAAGGTGTACCCAAGTCGGGTAAACCGTAGATCGGATGGAAGGCGAAGTCGGGCAGACGCGGAGGTCTGTCAAGAGGAAGGTCGGGCAAGGAAGAGGTACGGACAGACGCGGAGGTCTTCGGTCAAAGACGGAGGGCGGCTGATGCGGAGGTCGGCCCAAGTGAGGTCGGGCGAAGAAGCAGGTCGGGCGAAGGACGAAGTCGGGCAAAAGAAATTTGGCAGTGGACAGGCAGGTCGGGTAAGAGGCAGGTCTGAGTTCTGTGACTGGTGGGAACGGTTGAAGGAAGTTGTAATACGTGTCAATAGAGGAGAAATTGGTGGTCGGTTGACAGCGGTTGCTGTAACCGACCAGACGGCGGTTCAAACCGTTTTCTCTGAAAGGCTATTTAAAGGATTCAAATCCGTCAGAAAAGGCATCTTCAATCAACTTCAACAAAGCAAAGTCAGATTTGGGGATCACCACTTTAAATTTCAGTCTTTTATTTTCCAGTTTATTTTCTGTACCATACAGTGTTTAGAGATTCCTAATCTCAGGCACTAATTAATCAAGTTTAAGGATATTTTCTATATCTTTGAATTTTACTTTATTTTTGTTGAAAAATTACATCAACAAATTGGCGACCACAGTGGGAGAAAGGCAAGATTGCTGATACTACATCAACACAAAATGTCATACAATTGAGGTCTGGCCGAATCATCAGAAAAATCAATATGGTAGGCACACAACCTCAAATATCATCAGCACCGGTGGGAGAAAATGTTTCACCACCAGTCATGCCAAATCCAGGGGAGATTCCCCCACCACCTACCGATTGGTTGTCTTATGTTCAACAAATGAACAACCAGCAAACTTTGGTTATGCAGAACATGTTGCGTGAGCAACAAACGAACATGTTGCGTGAACAACAAAATCTAATACAGAACATGGTGGATCAGGCATTCTCCAGATTCACCATGTATCCAAACATGCTTCCAGCCGTGTCACCTGCTCGTTTTCAGGCGATTTTTCCAGGATCAACGTTTGCAGGGCCAACGTACGTTGACAGTATGTTTCCAAGCGTCACAACTTTCAACCGAACAGATATGGGGAAGATTCCTCTAACTTTTCCAGATAATGTTCCTTTGGGACCGAGGGTTGATAATACCCAGCCGAATGAGAGATTAGGAGGACAGACTCATAATCCCATTCCAACCGAACCAGCCTTCTCTAGAGAAGAAAGGTTGGAGGGACAGACTCATAATCCCATCCCAGCCGAACCAGCCTTCTCCAGAGAAGAAAGATTGGGAGGTCAGACTCACGATCACATTCCAGTGTTCGACCATATTCCACCCAAGGGACAGACTCATAATCCCATCCCAGCCGAACCAGCCTTCTCCAGAGAAGAAAGATTGGGAGGTCAGACTCACGATCACATTCCAGTGTTCGACCATATTCCACCCAGAGTAGATCCGGAGGATATTGCTCAAGTTCTGCGGGTGCATTTCGGAATGAATCCGCAAACGGTGAACAGGCCGGTTTACCAGAGGCCATTTCCAGAAAGGATCATTAACGATCATCCTCTCCCGAGAAATTATAGGCCACCAGACTTCTATTCTTTTTCGGGAGAAGACAGAGCCTCTACCATTGAGCATGTGGGTCGCTTCACGGCTCAATTGGGAGAAGTAGGCAACAATCCGTTTCACAAGTTACAATTGTTTGGGTTGTCGTTCACAAGAACAGCTTTTTCTTAGTATGCCAGTCTGCCGCCTGGACAGTTGCAAACTTGGGAAGATTTAGAGGCAGATTTTCATGCAAGGTTCTTTAATCCTCTGCCGACAGTCTCATTGACAGACCTTCTGGAGATCACGCAGATGCCGGAAGAGACCGGCTACCAATTCATAGAGAGGATGCGATTGATGAAAGGACGATGTCCTACGATGATCAATGAAAGCGAAATGACCAATTTGGTGGTCAGGAACATGCATACCAGACTTCGCGAGGCCCTGACAGCCCACGACTTTCAAGATCTGGCCAGTTTAGCATCCACGGCAAGAAGGTTAGAATCCTTTTTTACAGAAAATAATCATGACTTCCGTCAGGGGGGAGATGCTGAAGCAATGTTAGTGCAAGATCGACCAATGTCCAGGCCAGCACCATTCCGCGATAAATGGAGGTCGGGTCCAACGTAGCCTCGAAGGATGGAGGTCGGATCTGAGGCTGACGTAGCCTCGGATGCCGGCCTGCAAACTCCTAAAACATCACTGGAAGTGATGTTTAGGAGTCTTGAGGAGGAGGCTTATTGTTAAGCACAAAAAATAATAATAATAGTAAGTGGCAGTAGGATTCTGGGTAGGGTCTGAATGAAAGCCAAAAGGTCTGGAGGTCGGGCAGAATAAAGGTCGGGAAAAGGAAGAAAGTTAAGATCTCAAGAATTGATCCAAATCCAGACTCAGGTACTACCAAGAGATGGTTGTCCGTGATCAGCAGTTCGGGCTGTATTCAGGTCGGGCGGAGTCTAAAAAAAAGGTGTACCCAAGTCGGGTAAACCGTAGATCGGATGGAAGGCGAAGTCGGGCAGACGCGGAGGTCTGTCAAGAGGAAGGTCGGGCAAGGAAGAGGTACGGACAGACGCGGAGGTCTTCGGTCAAAGACGGAGGGCGGCTGATGCGGAGGTCGGCCCAAGTGAGGTCGGGCGAAGAAGCAGGTCGGGCGAAGGACGAAGTCGGGCAAAAGAAATTTGGCAGTGGACAGGCAGGTCGGGTAAGAAGCAGGTCTGAGTTCTGTGACTGGTGGGAACGGTTGAAGGAAGTTGTAATACGTGTCAATAGAGGAGAAATTGGTGGTCGGTTGACAGCGGTTGCTGTAACCGACCAGACGGCGGTTCAAACCGTTTTCTCTGAAAGGCTATTTAAAGGATTCAAATCCGTCAGAAAAGGCATCTTCAATCAACTTCAACAAAGCAAAGTCAGATTTGGGGATCACCACTTTAAATTTCAGTCTTTTATTTTCCAGTTTATTTTGTGTACCATACAGTGTTTAGAGATTCCTAATCTCAGGCACTAATTAATCAAGTTTAAGGATATTTTCTATATCTTTGAATTTTACTTTATTTTTGTTGAAAAATTACATCAACAAATATATTTAAAATCTAATTCCCAAACAAACACATCCTAGCTGATACTTAGGCTTTTATTTTTATTTTTAATAGGAGTAGCTTATTTTTAAGTGATCTAATCGAAACTTAATTGCATTTTTATATTTTTAGACACAATTTTTTTAATACATTGTATCTATAACAAAAAGTATAAATTTAATTGAGAAAATAAAAAATTATAATAGAAAATAAAATAAAATTGATGATATATGTAATATTATTTAAATAATTTTTTTATAAATTCATTTAATTTTGATTTGAAATTTAATTTTTTTTTTTGTTAAATAATACCATGCTTACTTATAATTAATATTAAAATACAATTAAATATATCTCATTTTATTTAGTTATAATTTGAAATAAAATATTTAAGTTAATTTTTTATTTAAATAATATTTTAATATACTCTTTCTTTCATTTAAATTTATTTTATTCTTTTATGGTAAAAGAATAATTTTTTTTTATTTTTTCTTCATTATAAAAGATATTTTTTTAAAAAAATTCTATTTTTATATATTTTTCTTAAAATTTCGTATTTTGTCAAATAAGAATAAAATTTAATGACAAAGAAAGTAATACTTACAAAATAATACTTATTCTGTCTATTTTTTAATATCCTATTTAATATTTACACGCATTTAGGCAATTAGGGTTTTATTATAAAATGACAAATGAAAAATTTGCCCTTAATCTTGTGTATAGAAAATGAAAGAGTAAATAAAGTAAGGGTAAAAGAGTAAATTTTATGTATAAAAATAGAAAAAAGACAATAATTGTTTAACATTCAAGATATGAAAGTAGGATATTAGTTCGGATGGAATATATTTTTTTATTGATATAAATTTAAATAAAACTGAAATAAGAAACAAACACATTCTATATAAATCGAAAACAATTGGCTGCCTATAAATACGCCCGTAGTGACAGATAAGCGAGCTCGCCGTACAACGAAAAAACGCAGCTGCATAGAAAGCATCGACGCCTCAGGAATGGCAATTATCACCTGAAATTGTTCGACGATACCTTCTCCGGTTCCGATCTCGTCCAAGGGTATGTTTTGCCCACCCCTCAATCTCTTTCCCTATGGGTTTTGGTCGTTTTCCAGCTGATTGTTGTCTAGATTTCTTTGACGGGGGAATCTTACCTGCGTATCGTCTTATTTATGCTTATTGATGCGTGAGATTGATTTAATTTCTTGATCTTGATATGCGATTACGTATCCAGATTGTAGTCTTGTCGATTTTTTAATTTCAATTCCTGAGGATTTTCTGTTTTCACTTTGATTAATTGTGAAGAAAAGTTAGGATATGTGGAATTGAAGAATGTGCCTCTTTTTGGAGTGTTTGATTGATTTTCGTTCTTCGAAATAATCTCGGCTCTGCAGGGGGTGTGAGGAGGCGGTAGTGTTCTATGGCAATGCTGAAAGTGCCGTCGCTAGTTGACTTGTGTGTTCAGGTGGCGATAAAGTATGTTAGGTATCTAGGAGATGTCGGGGAAACCGATTATCATCTCTTAGACCGGATTCTATCTCACTGCACTCTTGATCAGCTGAAACACATTGAAGATTGTACTGAAGTAAGGCATTGCTAACATGTTATGTTAAATCTGTAATGTGCTTTGTTTGATATTAGAAGTAGGTTGTGAGCTGTTTTGTTTTTGTGTTACTGCAGAGAGATCTCAGCCCTGTAACTGACAAATTGTGGAAATCGTTTTACAAAGCTCAATTTGGGGTCGAAAGCACAAATGTTGTTGTTGAGAGGATGAAACAGAAGAAAGTTACCTTCAAATGGAAGCAATTGTTTGAGGTGATTTACACCTTTTTAGGGTTATTGAATTAACAATCTCAGGTTTTCCCTTTCAGTGGCATGTTCAAATTTCCTTTTTCATTACTGTATTTAGGCAAAGGTAGAAGAAAGGGAAGAGGCAACGCAAAAATCGCTTGATCGGATAAGGCAACGATATAAAGAAGAAGATGCCAGTATGTTGCCTTTATGTTAACTAAGATTACCGAATCCTTATGCTGATTATCTGCACTGATTCATAAATGATACGTACCTTAGGTTTCATAAAAGCATGTGCATACGTGGATTTGTTTTACTAGCTTTCAAATTATAATGATAGATATCAACTAACTTCCAACAGTTCGGTTATTAATTGGATATTGACTAACCTCCGACAGCTCGGTTATTAATGTGGATATCTTCCACGTGGTGGAAGCGAGATTGTCTTTTTTGCTTCCCTAGAGATATTTCTGTGTGCGTTGGTGTATAATGCCAAGAAAATTTTTTCTCCCCATCGACATATCACAAGGCAACGTGTCGTGTTTGTTAAACTTATCTATATTTCCCTCTCAAATTTTTTATTGGTGATAGTGTTGCCAGTTAGGTATAGAACAATTAATTTTTTTTTGTCCTATTCTTTGATGTAAGATTGAATTTCACATGCGAATCTCATGCCTTCACCGTACTTGAGTATGCATTTCCACTTCTTGTTAAACTTATATTTACATAATATATCTGACATACGGTCATTTTCTGCTTTGATGCTACTGCATCAAAGTCCCAAGCATCCATGGCTGGATGGTTAAAGTGCCAGCTCACAATTGGCGAATTTGTGGGTCCAATTCCTACTGAATGGACGCCCAAGGGACCTTCCAATAAGTTCATTGGAATCGGTTTTGTATCAGTGGAATCTCATCATCCACACATAACAAGTTGGTGTGGTACATTTCATACTATAAATATATGAACTAGCATTCTTATTGAGACTAGAATTCATAGGGTAGAAGATCAATTTATGGATGGAATTCATTATGCATTATATACATAGAATGTATGTGATTATTGGAGAAAACTCAATACATTTCTATTGTTGAATTTGGATCAACTAGGACATAATTTAAGCTTTGGGTGTCAACTCTTCGTTGGCGTGTATGTTTGTTTAGATGTTTTTGTATAGTAAATTTCCATAAGTAACTTTATTACCTCTATTAACATAGCCATGTTTACATGGATATTAAGGTGTGTAATGTATTGTAATATATGTTGCTACGAATTTCATAGTTATTATATTTTCTCTAACATTGTGCTTGTGGTTATCCTATAATCATTTTGGTTTGTCCATGCATCTTGCTTCTTGCTCTTAGACCTAATTTAAACTCGTCTGCCTAATCTTGTAGGGAAACAAAGTCGACAGGTGAAGCTGTGCACAAAGGCTCCACCTTCAAGCAAAAAAAGAACCTTTTTTGGAGGTACTAAAGAATTAGATTAATTTCAACTACTGTTCTGAGCTTCTTCAACTTTGAAGTGTAAAAACTCATGCGCCGTTTATTCAATCATCCATATAGGCGCAATCGCTAACAACATTTACAACACCAAAAGCAGCTTGTTGAAGAAAGCCAAGATAGACTATGTCAACAGGTATCTTCCCCATGAAATCTCACCTTTTACGTTCATATCCACTGCACATTGAAGAACTTGTTTGGTCTCCAGTCATTGTTCCGTCTGTTTTTCACAAACACAATAGTTTCTTTCGAGCACCTTTAATGCCTCTGCACTCCTTTTTGCAGCCACGAGTTCAAAAACTTATCTGTTATGAACAACAAGACAATTCAGAGGAGACCTAGGTAATTATATTATGCATTGAGCATCCATAAATGGTATTTTAACGACACGAAGATATATAACTGGATTTTTTTACAGCGAGCCCTCTCCCATCCGGAAACCAGTTGCGGCAACTGCATTATCTAAGCCTTCACCTTTGCCTAAACCTTCGATGGCGGCTACAACTGCAGTAACTAAGCCTTCGCCTTTGCCTTTGCCTTTGCCTAAACCTTTGATGGCGGCCACAACTGCAGTAACTAAGCCTTCGCCTTTTCCTAAGCCTTCGCCGGTGACCAAACTGGCGAAGCCATGGTCACAAAGAAGGTGAGCTATTTTTCTCCTAGAGAGCGGAACTGTGTATCTTATGTTCTTGTTACAGGTGATGAAATCACATTGGATTTGATATGTAAGATTAAAACATCTGTTGTGTCTAAAACTACATGTTGTTTCTCTATCAAAATGGTAATTCGGATTTCTAGTTTTTCTGGTTTGTTTGTGTTTATATTTTGTACATATATATACTAATTTGATGTAATTTTTTATGTAAGTACTAGTCATTTTTTTTTTAATAGGGTATTAATTGTATATAGCCTATGACAATAGGGAATCATGTAAGTGCGTGACCATCAAATCTATTTTTATAGGATTATTGTAATTCTTGTTTTATTGTGGAAAATTCTTCAATGCCATAATGGTATTGTTATGCTGAATCTCACTATGTACCAAAATGTATAAATTTTAACCTATAGAGAACATAGTAAACGTATATATACACATACATATATTCATACACCAATAAAAATCATTCTATTATCAAAGTAGTTGTGTCTATATGTTATTAAGTTATATATTTCAATACATTGTTTTAAATTTTTATCATTCGTCCGCACATATATACACACACATACAATTTTTACTAACTCTCCAAAATTATAAAATACTTTCAAAATATATGAGTAATTTAAATTCAATTCGATATATATATATATATATTTATTCATATTCAAAGTATTATTGAATTACAAACAAACCAGACTTCTTTTTTCCCTATACATAATTACTTCCCACTGAAAGCGTCGATTTAAAAGTTCCATAATATGGCTGATAAATGCGTATCAGCAACACAAACACTACAGCTTTCACTTGTGGGAAACTTACCACATTCTACAGAAGTTCCCAATCATCAAGCTCAGAAGGGCTCCTCAAACCCGGAATCGACAAAAACGACGACGTATCTGCATTCTCGTTCAAACCGGAATCATCCTGTGTTGAAACGAAGCGATCATACTTTCTTGTTGATCTCAATTTCGATGAAAGAGCTCTGCGGATTTTATTCTGGAAAGAACGGGGTCGGGACTCAGTTCAATTGTGAATGCAATGCATCGAGAGTAAATACAATGACAAAAGCATCGGTGGCGAACCTTGTAAGATATTCTTGTTTTAGTCTCCTGAGGATGGGAGCAAAGTTTGTATCCTTCCACAAGCACGCAAGAATTATCCAAATTTGCGTCCTCGAATGGATCAAAATTGTCTAGTGACGATCCAGTAGCTTGCTCATTTGTAATCAACTCAGCTTTGAATTCGTCTGAACAGAAAAATGTGATATTGAAGGCAGGCATACAAATTATTAACATTTTCCTTTCTCTCCATTCGAATTTAAGCATATCAATATGCTACCACTATATATATATCTATATGAGAAAGGGAACGATTCATTAAAAATTGATCCTACATACTAATATTTGCTATGAATATGGCTATGGTGTAAATTTTCGCAACACAAAGAAAGTTTGATTTGTCTTTTCCTGTTCGCTACGAAAGCTTATCGAATCGGAATATAATGGTACAGTTTAGTTATAAATTCCACAGATATATTATTTATTTCCATCTCTGTAATTCTTTACCGACAAAACTAAAGCGAGCATATAAGCTAGTCTATATTACCTTCATCACACATTGTATCATCCTCATCTCTGAACTCAACATTGCACATATTACTGCTCATATCCGATGAGCCCCCTAGCATGGATTTACCTGCGCAAAAAAATAAATAAGTTGGAATATAAAGGTTTTGATTTTCTTTAACAGATAAACCGCTAGATAATTGATGATATCCATCTTTGAAACAGTATATAACCTTCATTTGTTCCAATTGGCTCGGCCTCAGATTCAACACTACAAGCATTAGTTTTCATACTCGAACCCAACATAGGAACTGAAGTTTCATCGGTGGATTCACCTGTCAAAGAACAGAATTTTTTACAGCAGTTGAATGAGAAGACGCAGTAGATTCCATCAGATAATGCTAACCGGTATATTGTGTGGGCGAGTGGCGACAGGTTGATGCATAGTCGGAGACTTGATTCTTTTTCATAATAGATTCTTTGACATGCTCAGAATCATCTTCATTTTGCCACAAAATCTTGGCTGACAAATTCGTTTTTGACTCAGACAGAGCTGGGGAATTATCATCCTTAGGTTCATTTTCTTTTACAGTTTTTACACATTTCTTATCCGAGGTAGAGAATGGTTTAACAGTTGTGTTGGCAAAGGCTGTTAGAGAACTACTTCTCATGTCCAAAGATACAGCATCAGTATTTCTGTTGCCCAAAACAGACGTCACCCGAGAGGAATCATTTGCAGGATGATCATCCTGAGAATTTCTTTTAATTCCAATTCTGCGTCTGTATGCTCCAAGTTTCTTGCTTTTACCGCAAAATGGTTCATGCAATTTGTTATCCATAGATACTGCAGGAGAGACGACATCAGGAGAGTCAGCACTGTCACTGCAACGTCTAGTGGACGATTCTTTTTCAGATATCATATCAGAGATAACTCTATCTTCATTTAGTTTCTTCTCCAGAGATCCGTGATTGGCCCATATGCTAGGCAACGGCTTCTTATTTACATCAGTACGATCATAAGGGTTAAGAGACAAGTCATTGGTAGATTCTTTCACGGGATCTACACATGATGGAGGAAGCAAGTTTTCCATGACTTCAGAATAGAACTTCTTCACACAGACGCCGACTTTCTGCGCCTGATTTTCCATGTATTCAACCGTGTCCTATTGAAACCAGAGAATACATCATATTGTAGTGTACATGACCAAAAGCACAGTAACACCTGCAGTGCTCGAATCAATTTACCTTAATAAGATTTGAAAATGTATAAACAGCATCTGACAACTAAAATGATCAATCAATTATTGGTTCATAAAAAAGAGAAGGCAAACAAACATAGTTCTGAAGAAACTCAATTTTCATTCTATAAAATGACTTTGGATTTTCATTTACGACATGAATCATATATGAACACAAGTAAAATGGAAGATGATTACATTTGTTGTAATCATTCAGATTCCATGTCACAAAGTAGTTCCATAAATTCAATAATTGGCGAGAAACATCACTGACTGAAGTACAAAGAATGCAAGTGTGACTATCATGGTTAAATTTAGAGTAGTTGTTGGCTATATTTGAAGAGATTTAGATGAATATTCCATCATTTTTCTCTAAGATATCTTGTTACATTAACTTGTGAGGATTACAAACCGTTGTTACATCCTTCTTTAAAGAATCGAGAACAAAGAAGCTTTACCTGGTACATAACCTCTTCCATCTCCAGGCACATAGCCTCAAACTTATGGTATATATTTTCCATCCAAGCTATACCTTTGACATCCATAGCATGGCGTCTTTTTGAAGTCAAATAGAGTTATCTGTACAATTTCCGATATGAATTCTTTACTCAGCTGTCAGAATTAAGACAAGTACAAGTTTAAAATCAGAAAATATCCAATATTGCTCAATGGTTTTGTTTTAACTGTAGTAGTTAAAAAAAAAAAAAAAAAAAAACACTGGCTGCATAAATGTCAAAGAACTTAAATCTGATGCATACGTCAAGAAAGAGACGCCAACTAAAGCATTTAGTTTGAATTCGAAAAATAAATTAAAATACTTACATCCAGGAAAGCGAAAAAGCGAAAGTAATTCACACAAGATAAAAATAAATTCACCATATGTACTCACAAGAGCAAAAGCTTAATCAAGAAAAGTTGTATGCAACCTGGATAAAATAAAAAAAAAAAAGCTACTCAGACGAGCAATTGATCACCCTAACAACGAAGCCACCGAAACTGTTAAAAAACAGAAGCATTAGTCAAACCATCTTGTCCATAACATGAACTTACACCAACAACATGAGGATGGCATCCACAAAAACCTAAACCACCATTAACACACATCTCACCTCTTGATTGGAAAATAAAAACTTGCATAGGAGAAATCAAAACTAGGGTTAGCAAAATTAAAAGGCTCGAAAATAGTGCAGATTTACCCCCAAGAAAAGAAACCCCTTTATCGTGACTTAGGAGTTTAAACAAGAGATTCTTAATCGCCACAGTGATATGCAAATATTCTCAGCACAACTTTACATCAAAAGGAAAACTTTCTAAGAACACTTTTTGGAACATATTCCTTCAACAATTTTACTTCCATCAAACCAGCAGTCGCTCTCTCTCTAACTCGAGGCTTCCTTCAACTGACCTAAATTAGTTCCGAATTCTCAGCTTGCGTGGTGTCAACAAATTAATTCAACTAAAAGACAAGATTGAAACGCAAAGCTTCATCTTCAACCATTGCTTTCAGGAAAGATAAACATCAAAATTAAATACCATTTGCCTACCAACTCCCATCGAAGAAACAATTACAGACTTTAGAACAGTGTAATTGGAGCATATAAGTCCAGAAAACTCACGATCGAAGGAAGAAAATCCGCGATGAACCTCTCGAAACAGGTTTATTGGGCGAACCATAGGCGCTTTCAAGCAGAACGATGAAAAAAGACACAGAACAATATATATATAAATATATATTTGTGGCTTTAGATTGAATATATAAATAAAAAATATATATTTTAATTTAATAATTTTCAAATAGAATTTTTTTATTAGTAAGCATCGGAAGACAAAATTAAGGGCAAAACGGTAATAGTAATTTACTGGGAACAAGTCAACATAATTTAAGCCACCAAAATAATTTATCATAAATATATTATAGTAGTAATGACGGCACAATTATATCATGTTACAACGACAGCCATATTTATTTTTAAATACTTTAAATATGAGTGGGACTAAAAATGAAATAATTCATTTTATAAGACCTGGTTGCAACAATGATTTAATTTGAGGTAATGTTAAGCCATAACAAATAACAAATATATAAAACCAACAGAAACAAACACACAGAACAGATCAACAGAAGCCACCTGAGTTACATATACTGTATGTATGTATTGTGTAGTATAACCAACAAAAACACACAACACACATTACCCAGCAGCTTGAAAATCTCCAAAATCATCGTCGGGTACATTTTCATTTCCAGGTGGCTTCGACTCCTTTACTCGATCTTCCGGCGCCTCGGCTGCCGAGGATTCGTCGAGGCTGAATTTTGAGGGAAATTCTCCGGGAGATTTCTCAGGTGACGTAACGGGTGAGAGAGGTCCAGGCGGTGGGGGAGGTGGGGGCAGAAGAATACCCTTTGGGGTTTCGGGTGATTTACTCTTGTCGTCCAATGAAAGATTGTTCAGGCCCTGCTCGAAAAACTTGGATTTAATAGCGCCGCTGCTGCTTTTCTGCAGCAAAGAGTGGATCATCATCGATTTATTTATGATGACAAGCATAGGTAGATGGAAAGAAATCGAAGTTAGAGAATTTACGTTCTTCAATTGAAGCACCAATGTTTCCCCGTCTTTTAAACTGTAATCGACAGAGGAGGTGTTCTGGAATTGCTGCTCCATCTCCTCGGCAGTTTTCTTCTTGTTGAGGTACCTTCAGAGTGAAGTTGAACACGCAAGTATAAGGACTGTTGTATACATACATAAAATTGTGTGCAGGTGTCGATAATGCAACTAATTAGGATAGTGCTAAAATCTATATATGAATGAAAGTAGAAGGCGAAACAAAAAGGAGGCAATGAATCAAGAACAGGGAAGAATACTTCATGTGATCGTGAAGGGCGGCTTGGAAATCATAGGCTTCGGGTCTTTCTCGAAATCCTATACCAACAAAAGCATGGCGGAGGCGGCCATCTGAAAAACACGCAAATTTCCATTCATGAAATTGAGTCGTGCAAATATGTAATGTGTAATGCGTAGAAGACACTTTGCTAATGTCTTTTGACACCAATTAAATGATCAACATCACCATAAAACTATCGTGCTTACTTTGGCGGGAAGACATCACCGACACCAGTTGATATGAGAACTCAAGTTGTCTATAAAATGTTTATAAATAGTCATTACCACATTACAACCAACAATCAGTAATAACAGTGATCGATACACCATAACCAATTACGGTTCTTCGTAGACATGACATTAAATGAATGCCCCAAATTTCATGGCTCACTAAATGACATCTTTTGAATCGACATTAGTGCTTAACTACTTTGCTAAGCAAAAAATATCACTAAGCAATTGAACCACTAAATGAATGCCCCAAATTTCATGGCTCTTCAGTTAGCTCAGGAAGAATGTAAATTCAGACCATGCAAGCACAATTTAACAACTGTAATGTTCTTTCAGTGAATTAACGGGCACTACAGCTTGTAAGAAATGGCATAAAAGAAGGGGAAAAAAACATACCAATATTCTCTTCAATCCGGAGAACAAAATATCTGTTCAGGCATAAAATTCATAAAAAGAATTAAATGCTGATAAAGCATGTGACAATAATGAGGTAAATATATTTATGTGTGTGTATATATATATATCTATGTATGTATATATGTCACAGGATCTTAAAGTACATAGAAAACAGAAGCAGGAGATGTCAATTCAAAATGGACATTCCAACCTGCTGCTATCGATTACAGGTTCCACTGGATGTGGCTCTCCCTCTCTAAGAAATGCCCGAGCATAGAGTTCACCTATTTACAGATATAATAGTTGGAAGTTACAAATTTCAAATAGCATGGATCATTAAGGTGAGAGCTGAGATGAACCCTGGTATCAGTAAATCACCAGTTGTCTTATCCTCTAACCGAATAATGCATTCTTCTCCTTTACTAACAACTTTTAGAGTGCCTTCCCATGCCCATTTGTTAACATTCCATTCGTCAGCCCTACAGTAGAGAACAGTTACTTTTGCATTCTTGATCCCAGGTATCAATTCACGAGAAAGGAAGTTTGTACCAAGAACACAAAAGAATAATAATACGAAGACAATCTTGTCACGAAGGCAACACATAATATTGAAGCAAAATAAATTTCATCAATCATAACTATGGTGAAAATAAATAAATAAATAAATAAATAATAATATTCTATGAAGAAATGGTCTTTCTACCGAATTCTTTTCTTCTTAGAATAAATGATGTAATACAAATTACAACTACAACAAGACAGTAATCAGCCAATGGCAACTTCACATCTGTTACATTGTGCGGAATCTCAGAATTGCATATTATTATTGATGGAATCAGGAGTCTAAAAATAGGCGTAATATTTAGACGAATAATAATAATAATAATCTAATCTAATCTAATCTAATGGATACAGCCAAATAATAAACCACATAATGTAGATAACAGAAATCTAATCTAAACCTTAAACTAAATATCTAAAATATCTCATCGACACCAAAACAAGATTTTTAAGTATTATTTTATGAAAGGCTACCTGTAGGATGCTGCAGTTTTTCGTGGAGGTATCTGCAATGAGCAGACATGTCAAAGTCAGTTCAAATTATAAATTTCAATTGTCAAACAAAGTTTCAACTAAAATTGTGGTCATACCATAAGACCATTGTAAGAATATTGCATTTATATTAACATGCAGCGAATAAAACATCCCCGTGTAAATATTTTTAGAATGCAGAGCAAGTTCCGGAAACTAAGGAACATGAAGTAATTTTCAAAGCATATATCTTTAAGATGCAGGTAAAGGTCTAATGCCTCGCAAAATATTTTAGCATAAATTATGCATCGGGTGTGAACCACATTTCTAGGGTCGACAAGGTCTGCTGCAGAAGCTAACGTTCAATGAGCAAGAGGTTGTAGAATCTTCAAAATAACAATATGAGTGTAGAAAAATGCTATTCATCTTCAATAAGTGTCAATTCTTCTAAAAACTTTCTCCAAATCAGAGATCTGGTTCATATACCCAAGAAAATTGGTAGAAAATGACAAAGGGAAAAAGAATAAATTTAAACAATAACTGTTGTATGTAATTGCCTCAATTCTCTGAAATTTTCATAACTCTTCGCAATAAAATTGAAAAGATTTATCAAAACTACTTCCATAAATCCAAGGCCAAGGAATAGCTGAACCAAGCAATCTTTATTGCAAACCTATGAGCATGCAATATGGCTCGTGTGCCAATATAAAGGAAAATAAAAATGATAAATAAATAAATAAATAAAAGAAAGAAAGAATCGACAAATGGCATAACTATAATCAGTCATCATAGGTATGGGGGGCAGAATGAAGATGGTAATAAGCACTAGTAGTATAACATTAAACACGGCGTATAAGGTTAAACATATGAAGACAATTCTCTGTCATTAAAGAGCAGAAATAGCTTTCGAAGGTTGGAAAAACCGAAAGGACCAATTACAATACCTTACAAATTACAATAGAGCTAACGAACATTGATCAACATAAACATTAGTTCCCAAAGCAAATTCATGAACTAATATAATAAACTCAAACAGAATCTTTACTACTTGAAAGTTCAATCCACCAAAACCCAAACGACGAACATCAAATATTTGGAAAACCCTAAAGAAGTAAAACTAAGAATGTGAATTTGTTCAATTCCACCTCCTAACCAGAAATGCTTCAAATTACATTCGGAAAACCTTACCAAGGCTACTAGGCATCAATTGAGAAGCATGAAACAACTCCCAAGAAAAAGATTTCAACAAGATCATATGAAATTAAACATATTCTCATCTTAATTCTTAACCCCAAACTATTGAAAACCAATTCACCAGTCAGTAACCCAATCTAAGTTCAAATAAAGCCCGAAGAATCCCAACAACATAATTCTCGGCCGCATTTTGCATATGCATTAGGAAAATAAAGAAGCGTGATTCGAGCAAGGAAAGAGGAATTACCAAGTAGACATAGCATTCGGAAACTTGAAATAGAACAAGTTCGATGGCCTCTTCCTCTTCTTCTTGACGCTTTTCCTCCACTTTCTTTCCCCTATCCTCCATGCGATCGCACTTCCCCAATCGGCGAGATCAAACTCAGTCGGAATCCACGTGAATCCGATTAACCTAGCTGAATCGGTATTTAATTTGGGAATGGGTGCAAGCAAGTACGTCGTCTTGATCTGGACAAGAATCTCCCGAGGGGTTCTAATCGGAAAGAATGTATAATTTCTTTTTCAAGATTTGAACTTAATTTTTAGTTTATTATTTTGATCGTAAATGTAATTTTGGAATGTTACGTATAGTTTGGTTTTATATAAAAAAACATTGACCATTGAAAAACTATTTTTAATTTGTTTAGCTATAAAATTTTTGGAGATTTTGAGTTTTGTAGTTTTGAAAATATAAAAAAATTAATAATTAATGTTATGGTTTATAACAAAAAAAAATTAATTTAAGTTTAAAATTTTAATAATAAAAATGCCATTCATTTTAAGCGTAAAATATATTATTACTATCCTAATATGTATGTTTTAAATTAAAAAAAAGAAATACAGTAAATACATATACTCCGTCTGTTCGTCCAAAAAAATTGTTTTATTTTTTATTTTCGTTTTTATTTTATAACACAATTATTTTTACTTTTTCAAACTATACTTAATTATTATTACTCTTTAAAATCCTTGATTCTCCATGCCAACTCCAGACATCTTTTTGGGACGGAAGAAGTATTTGATATAATGTTCATAAAAACACAATACAATATTTATATATTTATGTTAAATATTACTTTGTATATAAAACTTATAGATATCACCGTCTTGGAATAAGATAAAGAATTATTATTGAACATGAAAAAAAAAAACTTTTGTTATTAATTTGATCGGATCAACATATAACACGTGGATAATCGACATATATTGTGTTATATAATATTTTATAATAAAGTGTCAGCATCTTGCTGATTTGATCGGATCAAGAGCTCTATATCCTGTCACAAATGTCATTCATCTTCTGAAAGCAACAATGCAATACTTTCCAACAAGGTTATTATGGTGTCAAATATGAGAACATACTTGTACAGAACACATGTAGTAAGAGGTATGCAGTCAAGAAAGATAACAGCCAAAAATGTATGTGACCACTTCTACACATCAATAATCTTAACAGGGTACCGTAGCAGTCACAGTTCGATGTCTCGGATCCGTCATAACAGTCTGCACGTTGATGAAGCCGGCGTGCTTCATTGCTCCTTCAAGATCAGTCAGGTAGTATTCGTCCAGAAAAGGTTCTGTGCTCTTCATCAATGTGAACAGAACCGGCGGCAATTCCTAACACCACATAATACATATATATATAGTGAAAAAATGCCTTAAGTTCATGATGAGTTCATTCACTTAAGCTTGTTTCATATCGAATGATTTATTCCTATGCACACACTTCAGCTATCAATAGTTCGGTGAGAAGAAATAAATAGAATCTTGATCATAAGACAAAATGGAGTACCGACTGCCAAGAGTAGGTTCATAGTCATAGAAGATTTTGAAGCTGACTATTGAAGTATAATTACCTGAAGAGTCTTCGATTTTGGCTGCCAGAAGACAGAAAAAGAAGTGAGCAAGGTTTGATAATTCTGCAATGGATTTTGGGTGTGGAATTTTCACTTCAAAATCATGATTTTATTCTGGTATTTACCGAGTTGTCGGTCACAGAAAAGGTGCCTCCAGGTCTAAGTAGGCGGAACGCTTCCTTTACTATATTTCTGATTGCTCTTTCAGGGCATTCATGGAACTGCATTCATCAAAGTCCAAAACAACAAACATGTTCACCATCTTTTATAAAACATAAATTATAATTCTTGATATTATTCTCCAATGTTGTTATGCAGCTAGCAAAAAATTATGATATCCCCAGGGTGAAAGAGCCTTAGGAACTGCTTTATTACATAAACACTCCCCACTCCTTTCTGTATATATCTTTTACTGATATCTTACAATTGGTTTGCAAAGTTCTGGGAATAATGATAATGTCTTCTTATTGAAACAAATGAAGGAGGGATAATTTGATATATCTTGCAGATTCCAAAGATTCTAATGTTCTTTATAAATATAATTTCCCACAGCATTGTGAGTTCTTTTTAATCCTTTAACAAGGCAAACAACGAAACAAATGTAGGAAGGGTGCAATATTAGTCAAAAAACTAAAGATTTTACCACATAAGCAATTGAAACAAGGTCGAACGATTTTGAAGGCAAGCCTGTGTCTTCACCATTTCCATGGATCCACCGTATTGGTTCTTTCCTCTGGTTTCTTTGCTTTTCCTTATACTGCGCGACAGAAATGAAGTACGGAGAAAGATCTAGTCCCTACAGAGTATGAGCATGTAAATATTATTATGGTCCATGGACTGCAGGACAGTTAAATCAACAAGAATCTGAATTAAGCAGTGGATAATAAGAATTGCACCAATCATTAGATCTTGCTATTTCACCTCAAGAAAACCATAAAAAATAGTGAAAGGATATCGAGTAATTATAACAGTTTATGATGATATACGTACAGTGACTTTAGCAGCGGGGAATTTATCAGCAAGACATGTTGTGCTCACACCAACTGAGCATCCAATATCTAATACGTCTTTAATTGGGAAATTTCCTGAATATTTTTGGTGGTGGTTTTCAATTGCCTGAAGCCAGTTTCCTCGAACCACTTGTTTTGCTTCATCAAGCGATGAAGCATATGGTATGGCCCTTAACATCATAGACATAGTTGCAGCCTCAGCTTCTGCTGCAGCCTGTTGTAAACAAATAGCTACAGAGCATTAGTTTCTGTAGGTCCACTTCTGGATAACAGTGTAAGTGAAAATTTCCCATGAATCTAGAAGCATAACAAAAACAGAATATGAATATTGATGATAAAAGATTACACATTTGAAAAATCAGATAAATAAAGCCAGTACAAAAAATCTAGATTCAAAGATACATTTATAAATATGAGAGAACATACAAAATACTGAATAAAGTAGTTTAACAAACCGTAAATAAGATTATTCTAAGTTAAAAGATCAATGTTGAGAGAAGAATCAGAGATTACTACCAGCCAAGAAAGGTTTCCCTCATCATATGCATGGAAAGGATTGAGATAATCTGCATAGATAAGATAGCAATGAATAAATAATAATCAGTCACAAAACCAACATATGAAGCATCTTCAAATTCATCTTACTCATCCTTCTAATTTAACATTCCTATGTACGCTGCCTGATATTTGCATTGAGGGTTCTTAGCATTAAAATGAGTTGAAAAGGTCTGATAACCACAATCATGTATAGACACATGTATAATTTCATTTAGATTTAGTAAATGCATCAAAGAGAAACCAGTATCAAGCAAAGGGATTCATGATCACCACTGATCATTTTGGAAAAAAAAAGGTTACTAGCAAAGAAAAATCAAGAAATTGATAAAGTCAGTCTAAAGAATGCATTCCAAATGCAAGAATGCAAAGAGCTGAGGAAATTACAATCAGGATAAACAATAGAGGGGTCCATAAGATCATCCATCTCCTTGTAAACATCCGACTCTAAAATCTCCTTGGTCATCTTCGTCCAGGGAATGTTGGCTTTCTCAGCTGTACTGTCCAAAGCAAAATCACAAATTAAATAAACATACTCGGATTTAGAAGATCACAAACATAACTTGACAATTCTAAGCTAATGAAAACAAACTAAAACAATCCATTGAGTTCAGTAATTATAATAACTTGTAGAAGAACCGTGGTTATTAAGCAATAACAACAACCATTATTACATGAAGAGAGTGATGCTCAGTGCTCACTAGTCACTACACTGTTCATCTAACAACAGTTAACCAATAAATTCAGCAAACAAACCGAAGCATGATGCTCAAAATACTACAAATCATCACAATATGATACAACAATCAACCACAAATTGAAATAACAAGGAACTTAAACTAATCCACAGAAACAATTACTACGCGGAGACAAACGAATGCAAAATTTTCCTGAGGATGCTCACAGATTCACCTCACCTGATGAAAACTTGTCGAGCACCGAGTTTGAGAACAGAGAACAGAGGTCTGAAGGAAATAAGAGCCCCGACGAATCGAGACAGCGGCGTTTCTCCAGTCCATTTAGGTCTCTCCAGCTGCCCCTCTTCGAACTCCACCGTCATTCCGCCGCCACCCGTCTGCGCCGCCGCAACTCGGATTCTGTCCGGCCTGCTCCTTCCGCCCTCGCTGTATCTCGATCTGATGGTGGTTATCGCACAGGCGTTTGCGTTGCTGAGCTTGGAGACAATGCTGAAGGCCATTTTTCTTCCGGAAGCTTATGGGGAAGCTACTATGCTATGGAGTTCTTCGGGGGACTTTGGTTGCCCGCAGGGACGCCGTTGGTGGTAATGGTCGTTGATATCGCCGCACTACCAAATCTTAACAACCAATCCTCCGGCGACACGTGGTTAGGATATGGTTGGGATTTCCACTTTCCGCCACTAATTTTTTACTATATTTCTATTTATTTTTATTTTTCGAAATTTATTTGCCTTAGAAATGATTTATTTCATACTTTTATCAAAATACATATATTTTTATTTAAATTATTATATTACGATGATAATTGGGTGCTGGAAATAAATACATCCAACTATTTGTAGTATTAGAATATGCTCATTAGTATTTAAATGAGCTCCTATCTATTTTTATATTGAAACATAGATAGATTAAATTATTATTATGCCTCAAGTCAACTTACATTTTTGATAGGTTAATATTTTATTTGTCTAATTTGTTATACAAAACTCATTTAATATTTGTATTATTCAGTTAGTATAATATACATGTTAGTTTATCTACTATGCACTTAAAGGACAATAGCTCAAGTTCTAGTGTCTAAAAAAACATACCCTTTGACATAAAACAATAATTGTAAGTTTATCTACTATTAATATAATTTTATGTAAATCATCTTTATTATCATAAAATAAAAAATATTACACGATAGAACATCCATGAGGATAAACGCTTTATTATTGTTGTCATCGTACTATTAATATAATTTTATGTGAACCATCTTTATTATCATAAAAATTTCAAAATAAAAATAAATAAATAAATAATGTTACATGATAGAACATCCATGTGGATTTTCATCGCTAAAAGTATCGCCTGTTCGACTCCCAAAGATCGTTGAATTTCCATTATAATAAATCCGAGAGCCATTGTAAATATTGTAACCATGTTTGTAGTAGTTGTATGACGATGCTGGGGGTGGAGCTGTATAGTAAATCGAAGGGTTGCCAGAGTTGTGATGGTTGAAGTGGTGGTTGTGGCCGGTGTAGTTGTGGTTCCTCATTTCGGGATTGTATGGAAATTGCCATAATTCAGCCATTCGTCCAGTTTTCCTCACCGTCTTAAGGACTTTCTTTTGGTCGGCCCATCCGGTCACTGTAACCTTTTGCAAGGCCATGTCGATGTCCACCTCATCAACACCTACATATTAAAAAAAAAAATTAAATTTCTATATACTTTCTTATCAGTTCGAAAAAGTTATATAAATTTGTTTGGACATAAAGACTAAAAAACAATAATATTTTAATATTAAAGGAAGTAAAAATAAACTATGGAATATTATAAAAATTTATTAAAAAATTAATAAGCCAATAGAAATAATAGTAACGAATTGTTATCAGAGTATGAATGATAAAATGTTGGGTGGATAAAATTATTTATTATAAATAGAGAAATTTAACGGACGATAAAAAAATAAAAATAGTGATATAATTTTAATAGCATTTCGCAAATTTCATAATAAAAGCGTAACTAAAGTACATTTGTCACCTTTAATTCTTTGGAGGGCCTTCCGAATCTTGCTTTGGCATCCGGCACAGTCCATATGCACCCGCATTTCTGTAATCTAAAAAATTGAAATTTCGATCAATTCTAAGATATTTCTATAACAACCATGGAGATCGACGATAAAAATCATGAAAATCGAGAGATATAAATACCGTTGTCATGTCAAATTGCCGAAGATATATATTGGTTAATGAATCCCTTTCAGCTACTCCATTGATCGATCTATCTAATCTTCTTTAAGCTTTAGCTAATCTTAATGTCGAAATTAGAGAAAAGTATATGTATATATAATTAAAAGTGTGTGTGGTCAACTAACTAACTAACTAACTATTAAGTAACCATGGTTAGTAGTGAGTGAAGCAACTGCATGTTACATGTTCACCGGCCACTGCATTTATGCCTTCTCTTTCGGCATCGCATGTTGCCAACGCTGAAATAAAATATTATATTTAATGATTATTTAAATACGAATACCAAAAATTAACAAAGTATATATATATAAGGAACTAAAATTTGTTGTGCATGCAAAGCAAAGGGTAAAACGACGACGTAGTAATAATAATAATATTATTTTTTTTTTAAAGCGTGAGTCCAACTCCTACACCACCAAGTTATTTCTTACAAGACACAATATATATATAAATATATATATTTTATTTTTATGGTTTATGCACCAATAATAAAACATTTTTACATTTCACATGAAATTACCAATATATCAATATTTTATAATTTTTCCAATTTATATAATGTATTTCATTTTATGGCCCGTGGCCCAATATGTCGGCCCAATAAAAAATTTAAAGCCCTGCTGTTCGTGGCCCATTACTGGTTCCCATACCAAAAGAAATGAGTACATACAAAATGAACAAAAGAATATAAAATATATTTTGGACACGATATTTGGTTGGTTTAAATATAATTTAATTTAAATTGAATAAAAAATAAATTATAAAAATAAGATAAATAACGCGTAAAGAAGGCCTACACCGTTTCCCACATTTGCATTTTGGTAAGGCTATAAATATATAAATATATTTTGGAAGACATTTGATAGTGGCATCACATCACATCAGATTATATTGAAAAACGATGTCCATATCAATAAATGCACCGATATTCAATTAATTAAAATAAATTAATAGCGACGCGTTATCAATTTAATTATTTGTTAATCAAATCTTGACGCTTAATAATAATATTAATAATTAATTAATTAATTAATAAAATCGCACCCAGACAAATCCAGTACACATGAATAGCTTCCTTTCAATAAAAACTTTGATAAAAACAAAAGTTATCCATCAACATTACAATAATTGTAATAACACCAACATCAGCAATAATTATTATAATTATTTTTTTTTAGAGATAATTAAGTAGGCTTTTACTCGGAATTAAATTATTTTATTTTATTTTTTAACAAAATCACATGAAATTGACATATATGTATACTTTTATTATTATTATTATTATTATTATTGATAGAAATAGAGATTGCATTTTGTCAACAAGTGGGGAATTATATATTATTATCTTTTGTGTAATCCTAATTCCTATATCACTAAGTGGGGTTTAGGCTACTAATATGGACAAATTATTCCACCAACAATATAATGCCTCTGTTCTTTTCATGTCTCATTACTATATTTTTATTTTTGTTATATATATATATATTTGATGAAATATTAATTACTTGGGGTATTTTGCATACAAATATTATATTTTGGCTAAATTTTTTTTTTAGTTCCATAACTGAACTTCTTTATATTTTAGTTCCGTAGGTGGAGCATGTCGCAAACTAGTTTCATAAGTGAAATTTTTTCATTGTTTTAGTCTTCCGGCGCCGGAGACACCCGCGTGGTTCGCCAGAGGTTATGTGTATGCCAGGTCAGCGACACTTAGCAGATACATGGATTTTATTATTTTTTTTTTCATTTTTTTTATTTTATATAAAATTTATTTTTAATTTTTTTATTTGATCCAATTGAAAAAAAAAAATAAAAAATAAAATAAAATCTACGTGTCCGCCAGGTGTCGCTAACCTGACGGAACATTTGGCGGACACGTGGTTTCCGGCGAGCCACGCGAGCATCTCCGGCGACGAAGGACTAAAACAACGAAAATTTTTCACTTATGGGACTAGTTTGCGATATGCTTCACTTACAGAACTAATATGATAAGGGAGTCCAATTACGGACTAAGAAAACAGTTTACCATCGTATTTTTACTAAAAATGATCGTGATGAAACAAATATTGAAAAAAATTTAAAATAAACAAAGTGGTTATAATGACTGTTACACCAAAATTAATTATAGGAGCAATTATATATAAGTTTCATGACAATTTTTGAATAAGATATAATTTAATAATTTCCTTGAAAATGTGAGACATTATTGATTAGAAAATAATTGTGAAGGTCATTGTAGATCACCTAAATAAGCTTTTAAACAAGGGTCATTATAATAACCTAAATAATTAAGGGTCTTTAAAATAATATCTCTAAAATCAAAAGCTAATGTTCTTTTGATATTTGCTTCAGTTTTTTAATTATTTAACAATTACTAATTTATAAAAACATATATATATATTTTTTTTTTTAAAAAAGATCACATTTAAACTACTATTAAAATAAAAGAATAAATTAAACTTAAATATATATACCAGGAAATAAGCTTTTATATTTATTAAGTTTGAATTCTGTCTTAAGAAGCAATCATTATGGTGTGTTAATTTTTATTTTGTATTTGTTGTATTTATTTCAGTTTTTTTTAATAAAAAATAAATATTAAATACTAGTATTTGAATTATATATTGAATATATAATTTTTTTAATTGAAAAGAAATGATTTTGTTGTAAATTGTATAATATATAAAGAGTAAACTGTTTTTTATCCCACCTTTATCATTTTAGTTCTGTAGGTGGAGCACGTTGCAAACTAGTCCTATAGTGAAAATTTTTCGCTGTTTTAGTCCTCCGGCGTCGGAGACGCCCGCGTGGCTCACCGGAGGTGACGTGTCCGCCAGGTGTCCCGCCAGGTCAGCGACACCAGGCGGACACGTGGATTTATTTATTTATTTTCATTTTTTTATATTTTTTAATTTTTTTTATTGAACCAAAAAAAATACAAATAAAATTTAAAATAAATTAAAAATAAGTTTTAAAAATTTTTTTACAAAATGAAAAAAAATAAAAAAAATCCACGTGTCCGCCAGGTCAGCGACAGCTGGCGGACACGTACCTCCGGCGAGCCACGCGGGCATCTTCGGCGCCAGAGAACTAAAACAGCGAAAATTTTTCACTTATGGGACTAGTTTGCGACATACTCCACTTACAGAACTAAAATGATAAGAAGATCCAGTTACGGAACTAAAAAAACAATTTACCCATATATAAATACAGATATAGATACAAGTAACACATCCTTCTTCTTCTTCTTATTATTGTTTGGCACACTAATGTCAAGTTTACACTATACTCTATTATTATTCTTAAGAAATTATTATTTATAAGTAAAAGTAAATAAATAAAATAATAAATAAAATAATAACAAATAATGAAATGAAATGACCTCATAAATAATATATATACATGAAAATTCTGATAGATAATTTGAGTTGGGGGTTTAGAATCCAATGTGGACACATTTCAATCAAACACTTCTACTTGACCAACTTTCTAAATAAATTCAAAATATTTTTGATCTATCTTTGAATTTCGTATATATATAAAGGTGGCTTGCCTTATTGTGTTTTTCAATTTTGGAATAGTAAAAAATTTGACACATACACAGATTGTAGAGAGATTCAGATCTGTAACACCTGTGAATATATTTTGTCTTATTCATTTTATCTCATCTTTTCAAATATTCATACAAAACAAATTGATAAAATGAGAATAGTCAATGAAATGTCAAATTTATATTGAAAATTGAAAATCGTATCATTCAATTTATATGTCAAGTGAATTAATTAATTCTTAATTTACATTCAAACGAGACTGTTGTATACACAACATAAGACAATTTTGGTTTTGAGAGAGCACATTTGAGAGATTATTCTAGAGAGAGAAACTATTGTTGAAGTTCTTATTTGAGTCCCTTTTCATCTCCATGATTTTCACTTGTGTTTGATAAATAAAAATCATCGGAGGAATTTTCGGAGAAAAAAGTTTTCAGAGATCCAATAGGAGGTGACGATCAAATAGTTGACTGTATTACTCTGGACTTGTTGTAGACACTGGTGTTAGTACGTGTTTGTGATATCCAGTACTTATGCATGTAAGGTAAGTCTTTATGGAGGATATAAGTTAAGTGAGTTTGAGGTTGTTTTGTATTATATTCAGTATTGATTATAATAAAATATTTTATGAATTGAGACTCCTAGATGTAGGTTGTTTTAACCGAACTGGATTACTAATATCTTATCTTCTTTATTGTTTTGGTGTTTCACTATTTGCTTCGTTAACATAAAATTGTTATTACTCTGAAATAATCACACTTCAGGGTGTTGGTCCTTTCTTGATGTTCGAAGGAGTTTTGATCGATCCACCATTTCCCAACCGTAGTCACTGTAGATAATGTTGTATACAATTATATTGCCGTGCTTCTAAATGTATATAAAATTGATTGAGAGGGAACTAGAAATAATTGAAATTATATAATACAGCCTGATATGAAAAATAAACTTACTTTAACATAGTGTTTATTTTTATTTTTATTTTTGTTTTTAATAGTATGAAAAATAAAAAAGTAATTAAAAAAGTAAAAAGCATTATAAATCTTTTTTTTACAAAAAAAAAAAACTAAACATATTTTTGATAATAAGAAAAGTGAGTTTATGAGAGGAGGAAGTAATCGAAAATAATAATATTTTATCATCATTTAAAATTTTTTTAGAAATTACGAATTATAATAATAAAAAAAATTGATAATAATAATTATTATTTGTCTATTATAGTAAAATATATATTTTTAACTTTTTTTTTTTGTAACAATTTAAAAAAAAAAAAGAGTAAATTTAAATAAAGGATGGATTAATAATAAGAAACACTGCATATGGCCCATTGCACGTCAACTCATTCATGTCATTTTCCTTTCACCCTTATAACTTAGCAGCACCCATAATTAGCCATAGCCTCAACAATAGTCAAGCAAATAATAATAATAATATTATTATTATTATTATTAAAAATAAAATAAATAAATAGAAACGAAAACCTCCCCCACCCCACCCCCCAATTCTCATATATTCTTCGTTAATTATTAGTATTATATATTATTCCTCCCAATTTGTGATATTTCAATCCCATGGACAGCACCGGCAGAGACTTACCGGACGGCTCCTCCGGCGGCGGCGGCGCGGCGCCGAGCCGGTACGAGTCCCAGAAGCGCCGCGACTGGAACACCTTCGGGCAGTTCCTCCGCAACCAGCGGCCGCCGGTGGGGCTGTCGGAGTGCTCCAGCAACCACGTGCTGGATTTCCTCCGGTACCTGGACCAGTTCGGGAAGACGAAGGTCCATCTCCAGGGCTGCATCTTCTACGGTCAGCCCGAGCCGCCGGCGCCCTGCACCTGCCCGCTCCGGCAGGCCTGGGGCAGCCTCGACGCCCTCATCGGCCGGCTCCGCGCCGCCTACGAGGAGAACGGCGGCTCGCCGGAGAATAACCCCTTCGCCAGCGGCGCCATCAGAATTTACCTCAGGGAGGTTAAGGACTGCCAGGCCAAGGCCCGAGGCATCCCTTACAAGAAGAAGAAGAAACCCGCCGGCGCCGGCGGAGGCTCCGGTAGCGGCAGCAAAACTCCCGACGACGATTCCAGTTCCTCTTCCATGCCCTTCTCTTGAAGGTAAGTTTAACTTTCTTGCATTATTAATTAATTAAATAATTCTTTTATATATATATTTGCCCATTAATTAATTAAATTAAGTTTCTTCATCTTCGATCGCATCTCATGTTCTGATCTCTCAATATATAATTTAAGGATATGAAATTAAAATCATAGTATATACCTAAATAGTTATTTCTTTAACTTTTTTTTTTCTTTTTCTTTTTTAATTGGTGTTTTTGATCGATCGATCGATCACCTCACCGACAGTTAGACAGATGGGAAGTAGACAAGAATAAACGTACAGTCGTGTGGTGTCTGAAAATAGGAAAGATTTGAGTTAAGTTTTATAACCTCAAATCCATAAACCCTAGATGGGACCAATAATGCATTACCAATTCAAGAAACTTTAATTAATTGCTCCATCTTCCTTCAAATATATATATATATATATGTATGTATATTATATAATTCAAAATTCCAAAGGGTTAGAGTGTTGATTAGGATTAATCAGTATAAAAAAAAAAAAAAAAAAAAAAAGGTATATAGTATTAGCATGTATTGATTTATATTGTGTTTTAGGATAAATTATAGTATGTGATATGAAAGCTCTTTTAATATATTGTAAATTTATCATTTATTATCTATTCAACATTATGTGCCGTTAGCATTGTGCTACAGCCGCCTATATACATATATATGTGTGTGTGTGAAAATAGTTGATACTAAGACAAAATTTACTAACTTGATTCTTACATTATATGTTTTGTTAAAAATTCTAAGTACACTCGGAGCATACTATATTAACTATTAGTAATTTCATCGAAAGAATTAGATCTAACTATATTATTATGGTTAAGTTGATATGTAACATTTCTTCTTCAATATAACTTGTTAGGTTGTTGAATATTATTGTATTATAAGCAAATATAATACTTAATGAGAAAATCATTCGTTCGATCTCGATTCTCCATTTTATCTTGATCTATATATAGTTGGTGACGATAGATTCAACCAATGTGGAATTATATAAATAATTTCATCGATAACTAAATCAAATTATAGTTTTTGTTGCGTATATATACTTAATTATAACCTTTTTTTATATATACTTTTTCGTGTTTGTAATTTGGTCTCATAAGTTTTAGTAATGTCCGATATGTGATTTTGTCATGTTTCAATTACAAACTGAATTCTAATTGTAAAAAAACATGACAAAATTACATACAGGACAAAAAATTACAGGGTGTGTCCACTTATATTAAAAAAATAAAAAATAATAAAATTTACTCACATTTTTTTAAAATAAAAATATACTGTTTAGTTTTAGAAAATATTTAAAAACCAATAAAAAATAACAACAGTCAAACATTACAATTCCCTAAAACACTTTTACAATTTCCAACAGTTAACAACAAAATTTTCACTGTTTATAAGACAGTACTGTGTTTGATTGTAAATTTACAAGATTTTCATTGTTTATAAGACAGTCCTGTATTTGATTGTAAGTTTACAAGATTTTCACTGTTTATAAAACAGTAGTGTATTTAGTTTGTAGATTTACAAAATTTTCACTATTTATAAAATAGTATTGTATTTGATTTGTAGGTTTACAAAATTTTCATTGTTTATTAAACAATATTGTGTTTGGTTTGTAAATTTAGAAGATTTTCATTATTTATAAAAAACGGTATTGTGTTTGGTTTGTAGTTTTGCGTTTTGAATATTAAAATTTTGAATTGAAATAAATATAAAATTTGATAATTTTAAAAAGAAATTCCTTTTTTCTTATACAATAATAAAAAACTCCACACAAAACCTACAAATAAACAAAGTCGAAAAGAACACAACACATCCTCATTTTTGCACTAGGTAATATAACAACATAGTTTTGGTACCCAATATATATATATATATATATATTATATTCAAAGCTTATTTAAATCCAAAACATAAAAACAGACACCAATACTTTATTAAAAGATCGAATTATATATAGAATCCAAAAGATATATATAGAGATATAAGGTTTAACATTACGTGATGTTAAACCTTAGCTTGTCCTAAAACCACCTCATGACTTACATACCTTACAAAACAAGAATGAATATACATTTTTTTATTACTTTACTTGTCAAATCTACAGATCGATCGATTTAAGTCTCTATCATAAAAAAGAAGAAAAACCCACACAAACACATCTGTCTGTCACTGTAAGTTTATATATATATATATATATATACTTTATACTACAACGTAGTAGTAGTTTTTTATATATACAAACCCTAAAGTCCAAATTACCTGCTGATGAGAGAGAGAGAGAGAGAGAGAGAGAGAAAGATAGAATACAATATAATCTACTTTTGTAGATATGTTGGGGAATAATTAGGACACGACACAGGTGACATTAGATTCTTGCCCATTTTCAATTCTGACCAATAATAAATTTATTTATTTATTTATTAAAACAGAAAAATATTTATATATATATATATAAATGGACCCTTAGCTTCTTTTTCCACTGACACTAAACCAACAAATAAAAATTTTGAAAAAAAAATTATCATTCTCTTCTCTTCACTTGTTTTTAGGTTTAGGTTTAGGGTATGTACATATATATATATATATATAATTTGGTGCCATTATATAATTGATTAATATTTGATGGGCCAAAATGGAGAAAGTATATATGTTCAATTATTCTTCATTTTGCTTCACAACTTTTCCTATACACTGACTGAGTGAGGTCATATAGGGTGTGTTTGTTTGGGGGTTTAGATTTTGGATTGGGATTTGAATAGTAAAAATTTTGAATTTGAATAGTTGTATGATGTGATATAAATAGGGTTTGATGTGATGTTTTGAATGTAAAATTGATTTTTAGTATAATATAAAAAATAAAAAATAGGTGTTTGATTTGATGTTTTTGGGGGGAAAAAAATTGGATGAATAGTGGAAATCCTCCAAAATCCTTCAAACAAACACACCCTAAATATATACATATATATATATATAATTTTTATTTATTTTTTATTGTTTATATATAAAAATATTCTCTCATTGCTTCACACACTACTCATCCATCCATTGGGCTTCTGTATTTTAGCAATTATGATGTTTGCTCAAATAATTAATATATATATATATATTGTGTATCTATTTATGTTGTATTGTTCCATAGATCTAAAAATATTCTCTGAAAACTCTGCACCCATAACTTGCAATTTGTGTCGGAATCATTGTACTTCAATATTCTTTTTTATTTTATATTTTTATATATAGTTTTATTTATACACTCGAAATTATACAGCATGTTTTTTTTTTTTTTTATGACGTGAAAATCCACACTTAATAATCCTTTCTTTGAGTTATTAAAATTGGGAATTAAATAATGTATGTATTAATACATAATTCAGAATGATGATCATGCTTATATATACATAAATAATTTCTCCTTTATATAAAATTATGAGTATGTATGTGTGTGTACTTAGGTTAATTGATTAAGCTATGTCTAAGATACACAATACACATTATGTTTGCTTATTTAAATAAATATTTAATTAATCATATTATGTATAGGTTTAGTAAGTGATACACTTATATTTCATTATATTATTATAAAGAAATTATTTTCATACTTGTATTTTTTTTTAATGTTATTTTTTAAACTGTTTATAGGAATTTTTTGAGTTAATGAAGTCACCCATTAGCATATAAATAATTAGATTAATCAATCATGATTAAATTAGTTAATATTAATATAATCTTTGAGTGCTTTCTAGAAATTTGCATATAAATATAGGTGAATGTTTTTATTGCATCTTTATTAGATTGCCTTCAGTATGTTGAGATTTTGTGGGGCATCCAAATTATTCCATTTTGTCCCAATCTATCATTAATTTTATTTTTAATTCCCATATTTAATTAATTAAAATAATTACCAATCTGATCGATGTGAACAAATTGGATCCATCCTTTTGTATTTTTCCTTACTTAAAGATTCAGTGCCATTATGAATTTAATTATCAATATACATTCTATTAGTATATATATTCAACTAAAATAAATAAATAAATAATTGAAAGGAATTTTTAATTTGTATATTTTTTTAAATAACTATTTCAATTGAAAATTTTGGATATTAGTTATGCAAAATATATTTCAATTTTGCTTTACGAAATATATATTTGAATTTTCACAAATAAATTGTATACCAAAATTTATCATGAAAAGAGTTATGTATATATATATGTAACTTTAATTCGAATATACTCGATGCAGCCAAAACAAGTGCATCGTCTATTGAAATAAATTCGATTATATATGAAATCTAGAACTTGCTACTTGAGTTATGTATATTACTATAAGATGCATTATTACTTTCATTCTTCTTGACTCGTCAACATATCTTCATGTAGTTGTTTTTTAGGTGCCAAGACACTACAAGAAAAAATTATTTTTTAAACAAAATTTTTTTGTTTCTAAATCTATTTTTTCCGTTACTAATGACATTAGAGTCGGAAATAGGAATGGAATTACGTTAGCTACGTGAATTTTAGGGACGGAATTCTGTTACAAATATATTATTTTTTTTTTAATGAGATTCAATTTATTTTTGCATTATTTTTACAATGATTTATTGTAAATGACACTTAGATTATAAAAAATCTTGAAGTCAATGTGATATTATAATCCCATGTAAAAGATCGAAATTAGATCATCCCGTTTCTTGGAAGAATTTCGATTTCTTCCTATGTTGTCTCAAAATCTTTTGAAATATTTTGTATAGTAATAATCCAACAATTTAAAATAATGGTAGAAATAGTTTATCGATACCATAATTGCGTACATGATATGATACCCTCATGGCCTGTCAAGTGGCATTGACACATCAGCTACAAGGGTGTCATGCATGCAATTTCGGTACCGGACGACTGTTTTTACTATAAAAAAATAAAAAATTAAAAAAAAAATCATGGAAAAATTATATTTCTATACAAGATTTGCTTACTGTTCTAAAATTATAAATGAATCGTTATGATGAACTATAAACAGATTATATTTATTTATTTTACTTGGTTCAATTCTATAATTCACATGATTGTCGTGTTATGTAAGGTTGAAGGCGAAAAAAACTAGAGTATGTTTAGATATATTTTAGAAGAGTTTTTGGAGTTTTTGAAAATTTTTAGTGATAGTAAAAAGTTGAATAGAAAATAGATAATAGATTATTAATATAAAATTTTAAATAAAAATAGATATTGAATGTGTTGTTTTGTATAGAAATAGATTATTAACATAATATTTTAGATAAATATATAGACATTGGATGTGTTATATTTTAGAAAAGAAAAACTTGTAATGTATAAAATTGAAATTGAGTCCAAAACATGTGTAAAGAGAACCCTAATAATTGTAACTTTTTGTGATCAAAATATAGGGTTTGTTTGCTTTGTATTTGAGTTTAAATAATATATTGATGTGATATTAATCGTACACATAAGCCAAACTTACAAATTTTCTTTTGAAATATATGATGTGTGTATATATACATACATACACAATATTACCATACATACAACTGATCTTCACTTTCATTGTACTAATTAGTTCATCTGTTTTTTTCTTCCATGTATGTATGTAGTCATATATACTTCATCCGTCCACAAACTAAACGTCCTACTTTTCTATTTGGAATGTCCAACAATTATTGTCCAATTTCTATTTTTATATACAGAATTAACTCTTTTGCCCTTATTTTATTTGCTCTTTTATTTTCTATACGACAAATTTGTCATTTTATAACAAAAACCCTAATTGCATAAAAATGCGTGTAAATATCGAATAGGACATCAGGAAATTGACAGAGGAAGTATTAAACTAGAACTTACTAAGAACTGATACTTAGCCATAGTGTGATTGTTATAATTCAAGCAGTACTTAGTCATATATATATATATATATATGCATAACTGTGAATTGTGCTAACAATAATTTTTATTATTTAATTTCAGTCTTATCAATTCTATTCAAATTTTTGTAAAATATATATATATATATGTATATTTATATGATCTGTAGGAGCTATGGTAGGAGTGGAAGAAAGCATGGATCGGCTGTGTGGATGAAGGAATGAATGAATCCGAGTATTAATTAATTAATTGTGTTCTTCTTTGAATCATATCATCGATTATGTACATAAGAATGTTTTGGAATTTTTCGACCAGCTCGTTATTTTGCGCATTTTGCAGCTATTTTGGAATTTCATTTATCTCTTGTGAGAACATGTATAAACCCTCATGATTTATGTCCGGCTTATATATATATATATATATATATATATGATGTAAGTTTTCTTCTGGAGTTCCATTGGATTAATTGTCTTGCTTATTTCCTATCTTAAATATGTTATATACAAAGTAGTATTTGGCTGGAATTAAAATAGAATGGTATAAATAATTACTACTATGGTTCATTGTGTTCTATTAATGTGTAGCATTATGTAATGAAATGAAATGAAATCAATTATAGTATGTATTATGCACACTTTTATACTATAATGGTTAAATTTAATTAGTAGTTTGATTGTTGTCATATATTAAAGCATATATATATATATATATCGATTAGAGAGTGACAAAATTTTGTGGTGATGATTGTTATATATATATATATATATATAGTTCTTTTGTTGTTTAAGCACAGCACAATTTTTATAAAAGAAAAAAAAAAATTTGCAATTCTAATCTTGTATATATATATATAATTAGGTTATTGTTATTATGTTATAACTTTATTCAACTATTTTAAAATCGATAGTTATATATAATATTTTATTTTATTTATATCTAGCGTATATATAATGAAAATTGACATTTTTATGCGCTACATAACAATTTGCACCTATGTAAATGAATTCTTGTTGAAAACAAAAACATAAAAACTATTGTGGTACAAGAGAAATTTTCTAGTACAACATTAATTTCCTCATTGTATTCTTGCAACTATACATATCAATACCATTAAAAATGCCAAACAATTTTGATGCAGCGGATGCGGCGACTCCAACACCAGTGATGATTTAAGCAATAATCTTTGGTACACCAGTGATGATTTAAGCAATAATCTTTGGTACGGCCTCCGAAAAGAAAGAAAGAAATCAACAAGTGTAAGAATCTTAAAAAGGCACTCTCTTACAAGTTATAAGAACTATAGATAAGGTGTTTGTCTTATATTTTGTACACAAAATTTCTTTTCAATGAAAAATAAATTTTAAATATTAAATACCATACTTTTGAAGAAAAATTAAACACTTCATCATAAATTGAACATAGCAAAAAACAAATTCAAAAACACAAAGAAACATTTCCTTACCTTCATACATCGAACATTCATCAAAAACAAGATCAGATACCCATAAGAGTTCTCCCAAACGCTTCAGTAAATCGCGTCGCAAAACCGGCTCAATGAAGCAATTGAGAGAACTCCTAAGGAAACCCGATGGAAACACATTTCGACCATTCATATATATATATAATATAACTATTTAGCCAATGTTCGAAAAACCTGAAAATTCCACCATTGTGTTGTATCAATATATCCCCGGAAGTTCCCCCAAACGCTTCAGTGAAATGGCTTTTTTTCAATCGCCCACTCAATGAAGCGTTTGGAGGATCTCCCGGGGAAATCTGATGAATGTATTGATGATTGATGGATTGATCATATCGAAACCGGCATATATATATATATATATATTGGTTGATGTAGGGATCCATGCATTCGATGTGCATGAAATATTAATTGTATACGTCGAAGAATGAACCTCTTCGAGGGTGTTGGGAAACCGGGCAGATCGAAACTGAACCTGGCCAAGAAAATGGGACAAGTGAAGAATAATATACGAAGAGATAGATAGATAGATAGATGGTATGAAGGAATATATAGAGATTATATTCTTGATCCACACTTTCCAACTTGTCCTAGTTTCATCACAATTACCCTCTAAATTCATCACTCACTCACTCACTCTCTGGTGATTCAATCTGCATAATTGTGAATGGCAAAAAAAAAAAAAAAAAAAAAAAAAAAAATTAATAAGAAAAAGAAAGTCAGATAATCGATGGGAATGAGTATGGAGAAAAGTGGAGAAATCTGGACCAAAATCCTAAAGTTGAAGATGATGATATACATACATACATACATACAAATGTCAATTTCTTTCTCTTTCTCTTTCTCACTCCGATCGATCCCTCTTTCTCTCTCATTATTCGGACATGTATGTATGTATGTATGTATATATATTATTGATATTAGCCACAATCTTGGCCAGGTTCAAGCAAATATATAATGCCATGAATTTGATTGCTTCAGTGGTCCTCTCTTTCTCTCTCGAACATGATATCAATAATGTTTCAGAAACTAACTGGGAAAAATTATATATGTATATATATATATATGCATCCAACAACACTTTAATTTGATCATAATATTCGATCCCGGAAAATGCACGTCCCTTTTTGGCTTGATCCATCTTCCGCACTTGTCCCTTCTTCTTCTTCTTCTTCTTTTCTCGAGAACAAGTATAATCTTATAGTTATACTAATATTAAGGCTTTCTATATACACATATATGAAAATTTTAACTATGTTGATCAATAATAATTTTTTGTTTTTTTTTTTTTTTTAAATAAAGAGTTCGATTAAATATCTAACTGTTTATTGTATAAAATGTATTGACATGTTATAATAGACTCACACTAAGAAATAACTTCATACTTACAAAAAAGAAGCACCTATTAATATTCCATGTTCCCATCTATATTCGTTGAATTTGAATAGTTGTACGATGTGATATAAATAGGAGTTGATGTGATATTTTGAATGTAAAATTGATTTTTAATATAATATAAAAAAAATAAAAAATAGATGTTTGATTTGATATTTTTTTTTAGAAAAAAAATAAGATGAATAATGGATTAAAAATCCAATGCGCAAACAAACACACCCCAAATTAATTTTGGCATCGCCTAGAATAGAAGTTTTAAAAATTTTGCTAATAATAAAAAGACATGATGTTTATAAAAATATATATTTTATTTAATAATCCATATATTAAAAAACATGATGTTTATAAAAATATATATTTAATTTAATAATCCATATATTAAAAAAAAAAAATAGACTTTCTTTTTTATTTGTAGTATATTTACTTTTTACAAAAAAAAAAAAAAAGTAATCATATTAAAGCATATATATGAATCTTTTTTTATTTTGTTGTTTTAATGAGGGAGGTAGTTTTTTTTTTTTTTTTCTGATAATTGACTGGACAATGGTAGAATTCGAGGTTGAAATAAAGGGTGCGTTTTTTAGGGTTTAAGACCTTCTAATGTATTGTTAAATCGTTATATCATTCATTTTGTCATTTGTGTTATTCGAAGGTCTTGCATTGCCGTGCTTCATCTCTGTGCAGAATTTGGGTGATCTCTCTCGCTTCTGCTCTTACTTGTTAGAAGACTCGACTCTGATTCTTGCGTTAATGGTGGATCTTATGATTGCAATCATAGTACGAAATGAATTAGTATAATAGTGTGGGGCGGATGTCGTCGAAGATATTAGCTTTATCGAAGAATTAATTGCTTAATTTGAAGAGTTTCTATTCATTCCAAATTGTTGATTAGGGTTCATAGAAGCTCGTTCATTTGAGCTCTCTGCACTCAATTCCCATGGCGATTGGGGATATCAATTCAGCATTATTTCAAGGTTTGAGTAATTTCGCTCAACTCAGAGGCATTCACGCTCACCTTCTGCGCCTCCATTTCCATCGTGATCATTATCTTTTAAACATGGTTTTGAAATCCGCCTTTCATTTCAAGCACCCAGAGTACGCTACCTCAGTGTTCAGCCACACCAACGACCCCAATTTTTATCTCTACAACACTATGATCCGCGGTTTGGTCTCGAATGATCGTTTCACCGAAGCCAATGAGTTCTTCCACTCGATGCGGAGACAAGGATTTGTACCAAACAACTTCACCTTCCCATTTGTGCTGAAGTCTTGCTCGAGAATTATGGATTCATGGTTAGGTTTGAAGATTCATTCTCTGGTAGTTAAAGTCGGTTATGAAAGTGATGTTTTCGTGAAAACTGGATTGGTTGGGTTCTACGCCAAATTAGAGAGCTTGGAGGATGCACACAAGGTGTTCGACGATATTCCTGAGAAGAATGTAGTTTCTTGGACTGCCATAATTGGGGGTTATATGAAGGCTAGGAGATTCAGAGAAGCTGTAGATCTATTTAGGAATTCATTGACAAAGGGATTAAGGCCAGACAGCTACACACTTGTTCGAGCTCTATCCGCATGCAGTCATCTTGGCGATTTCGGAGCCGGCGAATGGATACATAAGTTCATTCTTGATGTAGGAATGGGAAGGAACGTGTTTGTGAATACGGCTCTTGTCGACATGTACGCCAAGTTCGGGAGCATGGAGAGGGCGCTCGCCGTCTTCGACGAGATGCAGGAAAAAGATATCGTAACTTGGGGTACTATGGTCCAAGGCTACGCAGCGAATGGGCTTCCGAAGGAAGCTTTAGCCGTGTTCTACAGAATGCGGGAAGAGAATATGAAGCCGGACTGTTATGTAATCGTTGGGGTTCTTTCGGCCTGCGCGAGGCTTGGAGCTTTGGAGCTCGGAGAACAGGCGAGCGACATGATGGATCGAGAAGAGTTTAAGTCGAACGCCGTTATGGGGACTGCGCTGATCGACATGTACGCCAAGTGCGGGAAGATGCGTGCGGCTTTGGAGGTGTTCAAGGGGATGAGAGCGAAGGACATCGTAATTTTCAACGCCGTAATTTCGGGTCTGGCGATGACGGGCAGCGTGAGGGCTGCTTTTAGCTGTTTCGGTTTGGCGAAGAAAGAGGGGTTGGCACCGGACGAGAACACCTTTCTCGGCTTGCTTTGCGGGTGCACTCATTCTGGCCTTGTCAACGACGGTCTTCGGTGTTTCTACACCATGAGTCGCGCGTATTTCGTAGCTCCTACCGTCGAGCATTACGGGAGCGTTGTCGATCTTCTTGCGAGAGCAGGTTTGTTGGAGAAGGCGTATCGAATAGTTCGCAGTATGCCAATGAAGGCTAACGCGATAGTTTGGGGAGCTTTGTTGGGCGGGTGTCGATTGTACAAGGATACTCGTCTCGCCGAGGTTGTACTGAAGGAATTGATTGCGTTGGAGCCTCGGAACTCGGGGAACTACGTCCTCTTGTCGAATATTTACTCGGCTAATCGGAAATGGGAGGAGTCGGAGAACGTAAGGTCGATTATGAAGGAGAGAGGCATCCAAAAGGTACGCGGATATAGCTGGATAGAGATCGATGGAGTCGTTCACGAGTTTCTTGTTGGAGATACGTCACATCCGATGTCGGACGATATATACGCGAAGCTCGACGAGCTATCGAAGGAGCTAAGAAGAGTCGGGTATAGGCCGACGATAGAATTCGTGATGTTCGACATCGAAGAGGAGGAGAAAGAGCAATTCTTGGGGTGTCATAGTGAGAAGTTGGCTCTAGCATTAGGCCTAATTCGTCTCGAACCAAATTCGGTGATCCGAATAGTTAAGAACCTTCGGGTATGCGGCGACTGTCACGCCGCGATCAAGCTCATATCGAAGATTACGGGTAGAGAAATCCTCGTACGGGACACGAACCGTTTCCATCACTTCGTCGATGGATCGTGCTCGTGCCGAGATTATTGGTGACTACTAATGTCATATATTATGGACTCGAAGATCGATCGAATCGTCAAAGATTTGATATTTTAGAGGCCCGGAAAACAAAGAGAAGATGTGTAAGAACGATAATTCCAGCAACCTTTTAGAGGCCCGGGAAACAAAGAGAAGATGTGTAAGAACGATAATTCCAGCAACAATAGTGTTGGATGAATTATATGCTACACATGAATAGAAAGTAGTTAAAGCTACACACTTCCCGCCACCGTAAAACTTAAAAACAATTGAAGCGTTCCTGCTAAAGAATTTATGTAAATTTTCCAGACATCTATGTATATAAATACATACATATATATAATATATATGTGGGCAGAAGCTAACAAGAACTTACTTGCAATGCATTCGTCCCGACAGTCCGACTTGAGAGCGAATGCTTCACAGCGACGTATCTACAAACAACTGTCTGTTACAAGGAAACGGAACAAGTAAACACAACATCGAATCGAATATAAACCTTAATGATTGCGCAAACTGGCCATAAACTTATAAAGAAAACTGTCGAAAGATCCCAAGAGGATATCAAAATGAAGTCACCAGTATCCGAGTCTTATTACACAGACAAGAGGCTCATCTTGACAAAAAACAAGTATTGTTTCGCCGTAATTCGTAGAAGAATACTACTTCAAGAAACAACCATTTCGAGCAATTTATTAGAATGCAACTGTTTCACTCATTCTCATCAAGAAAAGAAATTCCATCGATCCATAATCAATGATGAGTATTGTAATCAAGTGGAACACTTGATAGAACTTTCAAGATGAACTACACAATCAATAAAAGCTCGTGGAAGTCTCAATCAACGCATAAAATTGCACGATTTTCAACCTAGGAAAGTATATATTTCTTGTCAAGAAAGACAAAGTGTCAGTTTTCCGAAAATAATGTCACAACATCTATCTGTAAACATGATTCAATGCTTTGGGAAAGATTCCAAATGACTCCACGGTTAGCGAGTTCAAATTGAGGACTTAAAGTACTTGAAACTTTAAATCGACAGTCTCGATCCATCAAGTTGTTATGATGAATATGAACTCCAAATTATGAAATTCAATCGATCCAAACAGATCTTTAATTACACAGCCAAGTGCAATATTATACAGTAAAAAGACGAAAGAATGGCTTGAATTACAAGTAGGTGGAGATCCCTAAATGAATCTCGTAACATCAAACAACACTGTTCATATTAAGATCGCTTCCTCGAAAGATTTACCAACGGGCAATTGAATACTATTATGAAATCACAAATTAACAGTGGCGAGAGAGTTCCGGTATTCTTACAATACTGAAAGTACCTTAGCACCTTATTAAACATGTCGAAATTTCCATAGACAACAATGATGCTTTTGTCTCTGTATGATTAACAAAAGGAACAAAATGTTTCCAAAAAGTCGAAGATAAACTTGAGCTTAGTGATTACTAAGGCTAAAATACAAGACATTGTCATTATTTCTTGTTACCATTTGAAATTTCCAAAACACTGAGAATAGTCGAAACAACCAGAAGAATGCACATTCGAAAGACTGTTTGGAGACACAACCCGAGAGATTAAATGTCTACTTAGACAGTCATTCAGAGGAGTGAAGGGCAGCAGATTCATTTCTTCCATGTTTTTATCAGAAATCATACGTACAATCTAATTTGATGGTTGCATTCGAACAATTGTTTGCACTTATAGTTTCAGATTCTTCAATTATCCATGAAGATGATGAGCAAGAAAATCAATGAATATCTTAAACAGAAAGCACAAGAAAGATCACCACATTCCGAAAGCAAAAATAAAAATAAAAATCAGTCTTGTAAAGGATTTTTCAACAATTTCAAGAACACTAAACACCAATCTAACAAAAACTCCACGACGAATAGCAAGTTGTAAAGGACAGATTCATCTTTCGAAACGATATATACATAACACAAGAAAGCTGTAAGAATCGACTAAATATGGGATAACCAAAAGCAAATATTGAAATCAAATCAAACCAGGGAGGAAGATTTGTTGCAGCACTTACTATTCTTTAGCTTATGAAGCTGGACCTGCGATTCCATGAAGATCTCCATCCTCTGGATCTCCAATTCCATGGTGAACTGCATCTTCTGCTTCTCTAACTCCAGGATCTGCTGCTGCTTCTCTCCTTCTACTTTCTCATATACCTTTCCTAATCTCATTATTGCCTCAGCCAGCATTTTGGAGCCCTTCCTTTTCCGGCCGGCTGCTGCCGCCGGCCGCCTCCTACACCATTCATCTTCTTCGTAAGCATCCTCCATTGCGGCGGCGGCGGCGGCCATTACTGAGAAATTGCGTTCAGCCACACTGCGTTTTGACCGAGGTCCGACGGGTACCTGCCAGGGGAGCTTCAACTGTTGACCTAATTTAGGATCGTTTTCTCGGGGATGATTCGTCGCCGATTGAGGTCTAGGTAGGGAATAAATCGTGGCCGAAGGAGGAGGCGGCGGAGGGGTGATTTCCGGCGAGTTTGGAGGTTTCCGGCGGGGGTTCCGGTTGGGGCCGGGGGTGTGAGATTTGGAGAATGAGTCGCCGATGAGAAAGTCGAGGCTGGGGAAGTGCGGCCATGTGGAGACGTACCGGCCGTTGGATTGGAGGGTCCTGGACTTCTCGATCTTGTATTTCTTTTTGATGGTGTCGATGCGGTTTTTGCACTGCACGTCGGTCCGGCGGAGCTTGACCGAAGCGGCGTTGACGGCGTCGGCGACCTCTTGCCAGTGCTTCTGCCGGAGGTTGCCGCGGTTGAGCTCGAGGTAGTGGCCGCCCCACGCGTCGATCAGCGTACGCGTCGCGTCCTCCGACCAGAAGTCCTCTCTGGCCGGAAAAGCCGGGGTCTTCGCCGCCGGCGTCGGAAGGTCTGACGAAACTCCGGGCAGAGGAGAAGAAGAAGGGGCGGGTTTGCCGTCGTCATCGGGCATGGGCTGTTTTGGAGAGGCGGCGTCGGGAGGCGGAGGGGATGGGGTGGGCGGTGGTGTCATGGCGGCGCCGGCCGGCGAGAGGAAGGACGGCGATTTTTGGGTTTGAAAATGAGAAAAGCGATGTGAATCGAAGGCCCTAACGCCGGCAGTTCGTGACGGAAAGGACTTAGCCGTGGGACCTACTTTTTTATTTTTTTTTTAGTTTTTTTTTTATTAGTATTTATTTCAAGCTTGTTTGTTTATTTGGCAAGAGAAAATTGTTATTTTAATCTAATTTTTTATTATTTATTTAAAATAAGGCATAAATAAACTTTTATTGTTAGCCATTTTAAAACATCGAAACATCATCAAAACACATTTAGAATAAATCATATTTTTAAGGGAACACTCCCAATAAGTAGCCGTATTTATTTTTTGTCCATTAATTAGTTATGATGATTCAATTGTTGAATAATTAAAAATTATTAAAGATTGAAATATTCATTACATCATTTTATTATATAGATATTAATTTTTTGAAAAATTGGAAAATATTATAAATTAGTTAAATCTAATTTCTAATCTTAATTATCCCATAATAAAATAAGTAAAATCCTGTGATATTTTCTGTTTTAAAAATAAAATAATAATTAAATATGGATGGGTTTGATTATAAGTATATTCTTTTATAAAACATCATATTAAACAAACTATTTTACCAATAAAACAACAAACTTTTACTCCTTCCATCCCACGTATCATGTCTTGCCGTTTCTGTTCGTCCATATTTTATGTCACATTTTTGAAAAATGATCTTTAATTTCATTATAAACTTTTTAATTTATTTTTTTAATTTTAATTAAACTAATTAGTTATTTTAATCTTAATTTATAATTATTTATATTATAAAACAATTATTTTCATTGATACATTATTTACTAATTACATTTCTCTTAAAATACTATCTCAAAGCCAAACATAATCATTACATTTAATATAAATTGATAAATGAAAACCAATAAAAACTACAAGAAAATAATAAGAAGAAAAATAAATAAATAAAATAAAATAAAGTAAAGGATCTTCTATTTCCATCTGCACTCTCACGACACACTCACCAAAAAAAAAAAAAAAAATTGCTATATTATAAATCACTTCACCATTCCGTTCTTTCAAAATTACTACTACCATTTTCCAATTCCCATTCACAGGTATCCTCTCTACCAACCCTATTTGAATGTTACTGTATTTTAGGTTTTAAATAGTTTTGGAAAAGAATAGGAGGACACAGAGTGAGCAGCTAATCAATGGAGAGGAGAGGAGAGGAGAGGAGAGGAGAGGCCTCCAAATCCATTTTGTGTTTAGGAAGGGGTAGGACACAACACACAGATAACAAGGAGTGGTTGGGTGGGTGTGTGCAACTACTGATTAAGAAAAGTGTACATAACAACAACAAACAAATAACAATCAACCGTGTGTTTCCGCACAATCACACTCACAATTGTCGCCCAATGATTAGGGGAAAGGTGTTATAAAATTTGAGCCGAAAATACAGGATAATACCTCCTCAACTGGTGTCGTTTGATTTGTTCGCGCTGTACAGACAACACAATGTAGCTTACCATACCATACCACAGTATCAGCAGAGTGCCAATTCGCAGTCTAACAAGCGCGTAAGGATATCCTCACAACGGGGCCGTTCATGTGGTTCTGCCCAACAGTCTGCAACAAACAAGCAAAAGAAGATGAAGAAGACGACTCGGGTATGTACAAGTTTGTATAACAACAAGTAGCAAAATACCTGCAATTAACCTGCCCAGTGGCCCTTCAGGTATCTCCAGTCGCGAACCCTCGTTTGCAACTGTGTAAACAACCTGTATGAGGCAGAGGATAAGAAGACTGAGATGAGCAGACCACATGCATTCATTATTACAAGTGGATCTTAAGTGTGAAAATTGGAAGAGATGACTAGTGCCATTGAAGATAATGTGAATGAGAAAGTGGAAAGGAAAAGAAAAGAAAAGAATCTTGGAGCATACCCGCTCGGGTGGAATCCCATCCCAAGGTCTTTTAAGCGTGCATAGTTCCCACATGACGACACCGAGGCTGAAAATGTCACATTTCTCTGTGAAGGGTTCATTTCGGATGAGTTCTGGAGCCATCCATTCTGGTGTCCCAGCTGAGGAAGAGTCGGTCATGGGTGTACGGGTCATGATCCTCGAGAGCCCAAAATCGCAGATCTTAACAATCCAGTGCTTGTTGACAAGGCAGTTTGCACTTTTAATATCACGGTGGACAATCTTCATCCGATGTATGCACATAAGGCCTCTGATGCAAACCAGAGAAGAGTTGTAGCGTGTTAGGATTACGAAAAATAAATCATGCTTCCAGTCTATTTGAAACAGAATTCATATAGAGATTCAGGTAAGATCTTTCAAATGCCAGGTTCAATTGCATAGGACAATCGAGGGGTTATCAACATCAGAGTATCATTTGTAGTGAAAATATCTCAAGTTTCTTGGAAATATATTATTTCTCTAGTTTAGGTTCCAGTCAGAGGACCTGAAAGAAACAGTGCCTCCCATCGAAGGGATTACTTCTACATGAAACTCCTCGATGACAAGCAATTCCAATTTCGTCATGTAGCTTCTAATCTAAATTATGATTGTAGCTCAGAAATATGCCGTTATTTGATAACACCAACAGTACATGCAATAACTATTTCAAGAAATTGCTATGCAAAAGATTTCAGTTGCATTGAAAGTTTATAACCATCTCGGAAACAAATGATTACGTGATGATCTAATCATAATATCTGCCAACAAAACTGCTTTCAAAGACAACAAAAAGTTGAAAAGGACCAAACAGAAACTGAGGCCTGCAAATTATTGGCCAAACGCCAAATTTACATAAGATTTCTTGCAAGGTATAGATTCACAACTTGAGATCAAACATAGGAGATGTGCTAATACTTAACCAACAAAAAATATAATTGCAATCCGCCCAACCCCAGCTCCAACCTCGAAATCTTATTGAAATACACAACTGACCTGCATATGTCACGTAGCATCTTGATTCTTTTCCGCCAACTGAGCTTCTTTTTCTGACCACTTAGATGAATCAAGTAATACAATGACCCCATTTCCATGTATTCAGTAACCATGGACAGCCTTGGAGGTTTCGTACATGCACCAAGAAATAGTATAACTGAACAAAAGCACCAAGGAAATAGTCAATAAGTCAATCCAGCTGGACATGTGAAAAGTTCTTATTCATTAGCTAGCTAGCTCCTAGATGCGATTTTAGAACTTGGAAGATTTCTTAGGTGGTCAAATATAATCAAAATAGATGATCAGGAGAATCAAAGCTATCTAATACATAATTCTCCAAAACTATTATGCAATCAATATATCTTGGAAACTTTAAATACTCCTTGGGTATGTTATAAACTACATGCCCATGTGTTACTAGGCTCAAACAGCAACTAAACCTATTCCCATATCTTAATTACTAGCATCACTGTCTGGAGTTTCTAATGTGTTCTCTCCTGGGACCTCTAACCATCCTATTCCACTCAACTTTACAACCAGTTGGTTAAATTGCTTCAGTCAAGAAGATGTTATAAGCATAAGAAAAATTACAAATCAAGTGTAGATTTGTTTAAAATTGTACATGTCTGTGAGCCAGGACAGATAAGATAGGAGTGTACAAGTAACATGTAGCATTATATAGCATACAACAAATATGCACAAGTTTCCAGAGACAAGTTCTTGTGCATGTAATGCAAGCAAGATGGTGTCTGGTTTTAGGGAACAAGAAATAGAACATATGAAATCAATATCTTTATTTGGATGAATAGTAAGAGAATGAAAGCTATAAACAAACCAATAAGAAGGGAATCCCAGAACCCTCCAGGGTTCAAATTTTTTAGTTAATCAAATTTGAGAGGGGAATGGTTGCAATTCCCAATTATGAATGAAACACCTACCAAGTGATGATAAAGTGAAATTTCAAAGTTTTTGTTGTGATTATAAATTGCAAATACATATCAGCACTGTGGCATCAAAAAGGGAATTGAACATGATTGGAATCCAACTTCTTCACATATGTTAATTACAAGAAGCTCATTTTTTTGCTTTTCACAAACTTTCCTCGCTAGCAATAATTAGATTTGCAAAACATGTAAATAATATTAAACTGATGACTGAATTTCACATTCAAATAAAAGAAGTTGCAGAGATATACCATTTGGGTGCCGAAGGCGACTGGAGTAAGAAAAAAACAGACAAAGTTAGAACTATGCATCAGGATTAAAAAAAAAAAAAAAAAAAAAAAGACATACACAACCAAATAAAGAGAAAGGCCACCTGAGGATAGATATTTCATTGCAGAAGTCCTCCATGTTTTCAGCAGTGAGATCTTGCTCCAAAAACACTTTAATTGCAACTTCAGTTCCATTCCAAATACCACGAAAAACTTCCCCAAAGAACCCTGAAATAATAATCTTACTACTAAATCAAGACAGTTCCCAGAGGAAAACTTGAAGACAGGGTGACATATCGAGACATTTTTTCAAGAATTCCAAGTATTAAAACTTCGGCTTTATCAACAGTCAACACTACAAATGAAAGGAAGAAATAGTTCTCACCAATCCCAATTCGAGTGCCAACAGTTAACTCTGAGAAATCAATATTCCAGTCTTCAAATGGTAACAGAGGCTTATTCTGGAAGATAGGTAAATCCAGAACCCTGTTCCATGTGGAAACCATGTCTTCATTTACCCTGGGAATCCCACTTCTTTCTGGAGATTGATTCCTAAACTCGTGAGGAGATGAGGGCAACGACACTGCCTTCTGAGAGCTGTGCTGCCTCAGAGGACCATACAAATCTGGCCTTCCACCGGACAGTTTGGAATGATCATATTCGGTACTGGATATCTGAAGGTAGTACAAGGTAATTGGTAATTGCAGACAACACAAATATTTTGAAACATAAATCTAGCAAAATTTTAACACTCATGTTTCTCCAACAACTAAAAGCATATAGAAAATGCTTTCTGCAGGACCACAGTGGACCAAGTACCAGACAATAACTAAAAGGTGATGCAACAACTAATTATGGTTTTTGTACTTTAAGTCTGCCTTCTCTAAGCCAAAGAATTATTAAAAGGAGATGCATATCTTGTATTTGTCAAAACAAAGCAAACTTATTTGCCAAAGAGAATTATTTTCAACACAAATTAGATTAATTTCTCTATTGAAATTGATCATTATCGCGGAAACCTTCTTTTGATTAAACACCATCCTCAACAATAACAATTATTTTTTCTACGATCTGATTTCATAGGGGTCATGGGTCAACATAGTAAAGCATGTAGAAGAATATCATAAAATTTTCTTTTGAAAGGTTGCTAGGGAAGGGTAAAGCAAGCCACACTGTTTGCACAGGTTATAAGAAACATACATCTTTCGATTGACCAGCATTATGTAGGTCATTTGGACCACTCTCGTTTGGTTCTCTTAGAAGGCGATTCTGCTTCAGTGATTCATTCATAGCTCGAACAGCCCTGACATGATTTCAAATGCATTTATTCAACAAGAAGAAGTGATTAAGACGAAAAGTTCACCCAAATATCTCACACAACATATTGGCTAGTGCTGGGACTTGTTTCAGTATATTCCATTGTTAATGTTAGGGACCACATCCATATAAACACAAACATATATACATGCATTTAACTCAGACAACAAGTTTAAGGCGTTTATAACTTTCACAGCTTAGCAATTCCTATAAACCACAGATCGTGTACAACATCCAAACTTTATAATAATTACTAGGAATAATCTTTACAAGATCTACCTAGATGAACATCAAATTTTATATTATGTTCACAGCTCTAAAATCTTAAATGCAGAGTGCAATTGCCTAGACGCTGCTTTTGCCAAGATTTTCCAGCGATTGGACATATTACAATGATTCTTGCCTGATAGAATTAATAGCAAAAACTTCAACTAGTAACACTCATGTTATCGGTTAAAAAATAGAACTTTTCACAGGAAACTGAATTCTTCATCCTCACTTCAGCATTGTTTACAGAGGAAAGTGGAGTGAGTATATGAAGAGTGATCATGGAGTTTGCATGAAGTAGCTTTATACTATTCAAAGTCATACAATTATGAAAATGTTGAGTAGACATCTATGGGAACAAAGATGACACTATATACTAGCAATTCATGGAATAAGTCAGTTCAGTGCAGCACAGAACAACTGCCTATCCAAATTACAAGAGAAAATGCATTTCTTCGGAAGTTCAGATGCTTTTTCCTGTTCTAAAGGAAATACGCAAACATTATTTTCAGGAGGAAAAAAAATTGCAACAACAATTTGAATAGTGAACTAAAGTAGTTGGTCAAAAATCAAACAAGCTATTTTCTGAAATTAAAAGAATTCATTTTCAGTTGTATGTAAGATAATATTAACCTTACGATGTCATCGCTTATTTCTGGAGTCACACTGATACTTCTTCTCCTTAGTCTGCGTGGTTCTGAAGTTGATGCACCTTCCGACCTGCAGTAACAATTAGTTGTCTGGTCAGAAATTTTTTCTCACAAAACAATAAAGTTAAAGGTATAATAGGTCAACAATCAACCTCAAATAATAATTAATAGGGTAAATATCAAAACAAATTCCATTGACCCTGCCAAGTAACATTTTAGATCCCGCTATAAATTTTGTAACACTTCTAGTCCCGTTGATATTAAGACAAAGGTAACATATTTAGAACCACTGATATTAAATGTAATAATTTTGTCTCATTCCTCGGCCCATTTGCTTGACCTAATGGCATGTTTGGCAACTGCCTTATGTGTTATTCAATTCTCTGATGTTACATCTGATTTTTATACCATATGCCCATATTCTACTGTTTAAGCTTACATGATGTGGCGAAAAAATGTAGAGGTACCTTGACGTAGCAATCTCATCAGAGTAATCTCTGGTAGATTTGCTAGTTCCACTAAGCACAGAACGGCCATGTGCTCGAAGTGAAGGATGTTCAGGGCTGAAAAATGAATATTTTATACATAATCAACGAGTAAGACCAATGCCACCCAAATCTTCAATTTCACACAATCAATTACATACATGCTTTTTACCAATGTAGTGCCTAATTTATTTCCATTAAATCTGCCAACAAAAAGCTCTAAAAAAGGATCCAGTTATGTTAGGAACTAGTGTTCAGTTCTCAAGAAAAACCTTGAGCTTGCAGTCCTTTGTTCTGAAATGACCTTTCTCCTGCTCCTTTGCCAAAATGTAGCAGCAATATTAGGTTCACTGTGTGACAAGCTGGAAGGGTAGTATTAATCCAATATAATTGAATCTTGAAAAAAGTTTACACAGCATAAGCACGAATTTGAAGGTTATAGAAAAAAAGCCACATTGAGATGCAGTGGTACCTGAGATTCCTATCTACAGAATTTGAACGCAGCATCATACTCCTTAATGAAGGGCCTGCTGCATTTGAATAGGACTCTAGCCTTCGCTGAAACAGCAGACCTTCTTCTTTGTCACCACTGCAGGCACTTAGAACAACTATGTTCAATTGAACTAGTCTTTCTATTCAATATGACTCATCATAGCAAGCATATTATACAATCCAGATAACTTCATTTAATGCTAAAACAGCCAATCTTAAAGCTAGTGCAGGATGCAAGTGTAAAAAGGCATATAACTACTAACCTCTCAGAATCAACTCTCTCAGAAACCCCATAAAGGGGGCTGTTTGGTTCCATGGGTGAATCACAAGAATCATTTTCAGCAGAATCACTCTCCCCAGCAGCTGATATATGAGTCATAAAAATCGCCTTGGTAGATCGAGGTATCAATTGGCCAGGAAACCGCATTAAATCAACCAACATTTCTACAGAATTCAACACAACTATGACAGACATATGTTTGTCAGAGTCACCACACTCAGCAGCTCCGTCAGTCGGTAAACCCTGATAACACATGAACTTGTTATAAATACAGTGATGAAAAAAGTTGAGGACCTTCTGACTTATCACTAACTACCAGCCAAACTAACAAAAGCTTTACAAGAAATGAATATCATGAGTAAAACATCTTACCACCATGAGTCTACTTTCAAGTCCTACCGCATCTGCAAGAACTTTAAACAATATTGCCCGAGGTCTGCAAGAACCATGTTTTATATGTCCCAGCATCTGCACACCTCGATTCTCAGAAAAGTGTGAGGTTTCCTCCTGAGAAGCTTTATTGGGACTTAGTTCTGCATTGGGTCTCTTGTAAAAATCAGATACCTGTCAAGGAAGTTCAGAGTTGAGAATTTCCACAATTTAGATTGAAGAAAAGACAAGAACAGCACAAACAGCTAGGTAAGAAAACAAATGAACATGCTTTTATTTAACAAAAATGAAAGTTCATACTTAAATTTTATTCTTTTGTAAACTAAAATAGCAATAAATTCAAGTTAAGACTCCGGATGAGAAAATTAATTGCTATAGCAAATTAATCAAATACACTAATATAAATAATAAAATTCTCAATAGATATATAGCAGACATAATACTAACATACAAGGGGATTCAGTCATTAGGCAAACTACTTACAAGTAGAAAAGATAAATATATATATCATAAATTCAAACCCATCATGCATCATGTCAAGGGAATCCAGAAGAGTATGGTGATACTAGTAATAGAAATGCTCATTAAAGCTTGAGTTAGCAAGGTAATCTCACCAATCCAGCAATCTTTTTTATTACAGCTGCAACATTTGTGTTCAAACCTTTAACCACAGCTACAATGAACTGTTTCAGCTTACAGAGCTTTCTGTCTCTTTCAGCATCTACAAGAATAACATCTGCTCTCAAACCCTCAAGTTCCAAAGCATGAAGCTCCTCCAGAGTAGGTATATCTTGAAAACGTTCCTTAATCTTTTTATCCTGGCAGTAAAAACATAGTTAAAAGGAATTCACCATCAAAAAAACATAGGATAAGAAAACTCATGACACATGACTTATAAGCATAAGGATTTGGCTTTCAGATATGATGTGGTGCAAGCTATTTTCAGGAGCAACTTAGCAGCCGAGTTTCACCTTCTGGGTTAAAAAAGAAAATTTGAGATACATCAATTAAATTGCACTACATAAGAGGCAGTACATCAAGTAGATTGCATTTCGTCATTAATCTAATGAAGAATGTAATGCTTGCATTTTCTTCCTACACAAGTTCGCCTGTGTCTTCCAACTATACCAATAGGATGAATATCAAATTTCAACATATGTAATGGTTTCATATGTTGAAAATTAAATAACAAAAAAAAGGAACTTGACAGAATAAGTAAATTCAGTCCAAATTATGAATATCATCTACAGTGCAACTTTATGACTCATGACTGTAAAGCCCTTCCCAAAATATTCAGTAAAGTTCATGGCACATCCTCATCATCAATTCAATTATTAATATCAAGTTTTCATGCTCTGCTATCAAACTGAACATATCTTGGGAAATCAACAGATACCTACAGATCTCTACAAAAATTCACTTAAAAAAATAAATAATAGTAAATAGGAGATACATTACAAGGTAATAAAACAATTACGGATGTTGCGTTTCATTTTCTGTCATAAGCAGGACATAGAACCTCAACATGGTTGAAACTTGGAAGTAACAAGTTCATTTGCACTTAATACTCACCACTCAACTGGTTACTCATACTAATTAATAGCTTTCTTTCATGATTATATTGAAAGAACCAAAACTACACACTATACATAATGCGTTATTAGTTTAATTTTAGAGCTTACAGGTACAACAGAGTAGAAACCATTTGGAATTGGTTCAGAAAGAACTCCAGTGGTCCATAAGGTCTGTGATGCTCTTCTGGAAATTGATCTATCATAGTGCTCTTTGTCTTTAAATTCCTCATTACTGGGAGTCTCATCCTTAGAGTCTAAAGATATAGATCCAAATGAGTCAGCAAAATCAGAAGGCCACCATGCAGGAGACCTCTGCTGTGTGGGTCCAGTATTACCTTGTGTATCCTCCATGTTCATAATTCTTGAAATGCAACACCATCTCTTAACCACTCTTAACCCATACAGTCACTCATCAGTTGCAAAATTCAGTACCAACACCTACGTGTTGAATAGGAACTTTCTTGTCCAACTTCCCAATGCTGGGCGCCATAGAACCTGAAAATTTATGAAAATAAACTCATATGAAATGTTCCCACCTCCAATATTCACAGGACCATCTAAGGCTCAAGGTGGCCAACAAGTGGGAGAAAATATTGAACAATATAAGCTACTCAATTACATCACCTTATCTAGGGCAAAGAAAACAGGACTTCCATAAGCAATGCAAAGGATGCAATTCAGAGATCGGAAACACTTCAGTGTAGCATCAGAAAGTGCAATACCAAAATAAAGTGAAAAAAAAAAAAAAAAAAAAAAAAAAAACAGGAAGAAAGAAATGAATGCAGTAGAACAAAGGAACTGTGTCAAGACAACAATGCACTATTAATAGACAGGGTTTATCAATTAGAAATATTTTATTACATTAACTAGCAAACCAGTAGAACAACACCAGTGTAGCAACTATATCATGACACTGTTTAATGTTTCTTTTCTTTTCTTTTCTTTTTTTTTTCTTTTTGTGTGTGTGTGTGTGTGTGGTGCTTTTGAGTTGTTTTGGAAGGATTTGGAATGAAGACAAGTGCTTGAAGTGCTATTCTCAGCAAATGGTGGTATGCTTTCACAACGCTATTTCCATCAAGAACAATGTGACTGGCATTCAAAATATTTTTGACGGTATCTCTACTCATGTTAAGTTTAGCATTTGGTAACCACCAGGATGTACATATATAATTATCCCTTGAAATGCTGAATTGCTTGATGGCGTAATTGTGGTCTATTTTTTAAAGTAGCATTCAAATGAAAAGGTTGTGCTTCAAAGGTTGTTAGCAAAAGTCTGTTGTATATTCACCTCCTGCTCCATCTTTATTGACTGAAAGCTCACCTACAAAGTAGCACATTTTTACCATCTTTAAGGGAAGTAGTAGATTTCGTAATTTAGCTTCTCTTGTCCTGTAGCTAGTTGGTTAGATGTCTAATTGGCTTACACTTGTCAAAAATTCTTCCATTGCTCAGTTGCAGTTTTGTAAAGTAAGTGAGCGAATTATTCCTACCATGCATCACTACAAAACAAAAGCAACCAACCAACAACGAATTTCCCATACATCCAATTTCCAGATCTTCAATAGTTAACTCAACGCTACTTCAAAACCAAAAGGCTCAATGACTAACCCTAGGCCCTTGCTCTACTCTCGCACACAAAAACACTTGGATCGCTCATCTTCATTACAAATCCACCCAAAACAACTTCAAAACGCCACGAACCAAAAAAAATTAACTACACAAACCAACCAACAAACAGCAGCAACGCGCAGGCTAAAACAAACACAATCGCGCACCATAAAAAAAATAAATAAATAACCACACAATCACACGCAAAGCATACCAAACGTGATCGACAGTTCACCGCCGGCAGATCTTAGACCCAAAACCTCAGCTCGCATTTGACTCCAGCAGCTCCTCGAACAACAAATTACGCCATCCAACTCCACAAAACAGACGTAGAACCGAAAAATCCAACCTGATTGGGTAGAAGTTCGAATCGCAATTAACTAGCTACAAAGAGAGAGGAAATGAAACGCATTAGATGTAAACGAGGCAACAGCACAACAGTAGCAGTCCCAACAAATTTATACCGGGTGTCAAGGAGGCCGGGGGTTTTATCGGACCCGGTTACCCGATCCCACGTACGGGTCGGGTTTCCTGAATCGGATCTGAGGTTAGAAATAATTAATTCTTCGTTGAATGGATCTAGCGGAAAGTGATGGCGTTGCAGAAAAGCATTTGGACCAAATGTACAACCTGTAATGCACGGAGCACAATGTCCAATGCTGTCCTCTTCATTCCTCCTCCTCCTTCTTTATTTTTTTTATATAATTAATTAATTAATGGGTCTCATAAATGTTGGTTTGACCTAAAATTTAATTTACATTGCTTAGTGAATATTTTATTTATTTTATGTTCACATTAACAGATGAAATGAAATCATAAATTATTATTATGTATATTTGATTTGTGTTTGTTTAAGTTTCAATTTTTTTTTAGATTTTATTTTAAATAGTATTTTATTACTATGATAAATCAATACTTAAAACTTAATAGCATAAAATTATTTGTATAATACACCATTTAATTGTATATATGTGAATAAAATTGTGACAACATAATAAAGCTATATACTTTTTAAACAAATAATATTATGCATATAGAAATATAAAAGAGATATATTCAAGCAAAATATATATATATATGTTAAGCACAAAAAATAATAATAATAGTAAGTGGCAGTAGGATTCTGGGTAGGGTCTGAATGAAAGCCAAAAGGTCTGGAGGTCGGGCAGAATAAAGGTCGGGAAAAGGAAGAAAGGTCGGGCGGAGTCTAAAAAAAAAGGGTGTACCCAAGTCGGGTAAACCGTAGTCAGATGGAAGGCGAAGTCGGGCAGACGCGGAGGTTTGTCAAGAGGAAGGTCGGGCAAGGAAGAGGTACGGACAGACGCGGAGGTCTTCGGTCAAAGACGGAGGGCGGCTGATGCGGAGGTCGGCCCAAGTGAGGTCGGGCGAAGAAGCAGGTCGGGTGAAGGATGAAGTCGGGCAAAAGAAATTTGGCAGTGGACAGGCAGGTCGGGTAAGAGGCAGGTCTGAGTTCTGTGACTGGTGGGAACGGTTGAAGGAAGTTGTAATACGTGTCAATAGAGGAGAAATTGGTGGTCGGTTGACAGCGGTTGCTGTAACCGACCAGACGGCGGTTCAAACCGTTTTCTCTGAAAGGCTATTTAAAGGATTCAAATCCGTCAGAAAAGGCATCTTCAATCAACTTCAACAAAGCAAAGTCAGATTTGGGGATCACCACTTTAAATTTCAGTCTTTTATTTTCCAGTTTATTTTCTGTACCATACAGTGTTTAGAGATTCCTAATCTCAGGCACTAATTAATCAAGTTTAAGGATATTTTCTATATCTTTGAATTTTACTTTATTTTTGTTGAAAAAATATATCAACAAATTGGCGACCACAGTGGGAGCAAGACAAAATTGCTCATTCCAATTCCGGCGATAATTTCATACGTCTAAGATCCGGCCGTATCATCGGAAGGGTCCATATGGCAGGTTCACAACCTCAATCATCTTCGGCACCGGTGGGAGAATCCGTTCCACCACCTATCATGCCAAATCCAGGGGAGATTCCCCCACCACCTACCGATTGGTTGTCTTATGTTCAACAAATGAACAACCAGCATACTTTGGTTATGCAGAATATGTTGCGTGAGCAACAAACGAACTTGTTGCGTGAACAACAAAATCTAATGCAAAACATGTTGGATCAGGCATTCTCCAGATTCACCCTGTATCCAAACATGCTTCCAGCCGTGTCACCTTCTCGTTTTCAGGCGACTTTCTCAGGATCAACGTTTGCAGAACCATCATACGTTGACAGTACGTTTCCAAGCGTTACAACTTTCAACCGAACAGATATGGGGAAGATTCCTCTAACTTTCCCAGATAATGTTCCTTTGGGACCGAGGGTTGATAATACCCAGCCGAATGAGAGATTAGAGGGACAGACTCATAATCCCATCCCAGCCGAACCAGCCTTCTCCAGAGAAGAAAGATTGGGAGGTCAGACTCACGATCACATTCCAGTGTTCGACTATATTCCACCCATAGTAGATCCGGAGGATATTGCTCAAGTTCTGCGGGTGCATTTCGGAATGAATCCGCAAACGGTGAACAGGCCGGTTTACCAGAGGCCATTTCCAGAAAGGATCATTAACGATCATCCTCTCCCGAGAAATTATAGGCCACCAGACTTCAATTCTTTTTCGGGAGAAGACGGAGCCTCTACCATTGAACATGTGGGTCGCTTCACGGCTCAATTGGGAGAAGTAGGCAACAATCCGTTTCACAAGTTACAATTGTTTGGGTTGTCGCTCACAAGAACAGCTTTTTCTTGGTATGCCAGTCTGCCGCCTGGACAGTTGCAAACTTGGGAAGATTTAGAGGCAGATTTTCATGCAAGGTTCTTTACTCCTCTGCCGACAGTCTCACTGATAGACCTTCTGGAGATCACGCAGATGCCGGAAGAGACCGGCTACCAATTCATAGAGAGGATGCGATTGATGAAGGGACGATGTCCTACGATGATCAATGAAAGCGAAATGACCAATCTCGTGGTCAGGAACATGCATACCAGACTTCGCGAGGCCCTGACAGCCCACGACTTTCAAGATCTGGCCAGTTTAGCATCCACGGCAAGAAGGTTAGAATCCTTTTTTACAGAAAATAATCATGACTTCCGTCAGGGGGGAGATGCTGAAGCAATGTTAGTGCAAGATCGACCAACGTCCAGGCCAGCACCATTCCGCGATAAATGGAGGTCGGGTCCAACGTAGCCTCGAAGGATGGAGGTCGGATCTGAGGCTGACGTAGCCTCGGATGCCGGCCTGCAAACTCCTAAAACATCACTGGAAGTGATGTTTAGGAGTCTTGAGGAGGAGGCTTATTGTTAAGCACAAAAAATAATAATAATAGTAAGTGGCAGTAGGATTCTGGGTAGGGTCTGAATGAAAGCCAAAAGGTCTGGAGGTCGGGCAGAATAAAGGTCGGGAAAAGGAAGAAAGGTCGGGCGGAGTCTAAAAAAAAAGGGTGTACCCAAGTCGGGTAAACCGTAGTCAGATGGAAGGCGAAGTCGGGCAGACGCGGAGGTTTGTCAAGAGGAAGGTCGGGCAAGGAAGAGGTACGGACAGACGCGGAGGTCTTCGGTCAAAGACGGAGGGCGGCTGATGCGGAGGTCGGCCCAAGTGAGGTCGGGCGAAGAAGCAGGTCGGGTGAAGGACGAAGTCGGGCAAAAGAAATTTGGCAGTGGACAGGCAGGTCGGGTAAGAGGCAGGTCTGAGTTCTGTGACTGGTGGGAACGGTTGAAGGAAGTTGTAATACGTGTCAATAGAGGAGAAATTGGTGGTCGGTTGACAGCGGTTGCTGTAACCGACCAGACGGCGGTTCAAACCGTTTTCTCTGAAAGGCTATTTAAAGGATTCAAATCCGTCAGAAAAGGCATCTTCAATCAACTTCAACAAAGCAAAGTCAGATTTGGGGATCACCACTTTAAATTTCAGTCTTTTATTTTCCAGTTTATTTTCTGTACCATACAGTGTTTAGAATCTCAGGCACTAATTAATCAAGTTTAAGGATATTTTCTATATCTTTGAATTTTACTTTATTTTTGTTGAAAAAATACATCAACAATATATATTAGTTCCGTCAACTTACAATATTGAAATTTATTTTTTTATATCGATGAATATTAATTATTATGTGTAAAAATAGTAAAAAAAAAATGACAAAAATATTTTTATTAGTATTTTATAATATAAATATAATGATATTTGTATAAAAAATTATACTAATAATATTTTTAATGTTAAATATAATGACTTAAAAAATAAATATAAATTTATTAAGTGAACAGATGGAGTATTAAAAATATATATTGTATGTATATGTACTCTAAATTAAAAATTATTTACTTAAAAAGGAAAATTTGATGTAGGGATAATATATAAGTTGTTTCCTACCATTTTATTTATTTATTTATGCCCATACTACTAACTAACTGTAAAATTTAAAATTATATATTAATTTTAAATATCAATAATTTTGTTCTCTTTATATATCATTTCCAATAATTTTACTATGAAACTATTAACTACATTGAAATCAAAGTCTGTTTTACAGTTTTTATTTTTTCGTGAATGAATTATACATTAGGGCATGTTTACTTTGTCTGATCAAATTATACATGATAAAATAATTAATATTTTAATATAATATATTGTGAAAAATAAATAACTTATTTTTGGTTATAAATAAGAAAATTAATTTAAAATGGAAAATAAGAAACAAATGGTTCAAAATGGTATACTCCTTTCGTCAATTTCGTTCGTCCATATAATTTGTAATTTTTTTTTGTTTGAAAATATGATTATCTACTTTAATTAAATTTTAATTTTTATAATTTTTTTATTTTAATTAAATTATTTATTTATTTTAATTTTAATTTATAATTATTTTTATAAATATATTTTTTTTAATTACTTACTTTATATTTTACCTAATTTTTTTTATTTATGTCCAAAATATATGGGAGCAGGTAGTAGTAAAAAAAATATTAATAATAAAGAAATATTAAGAATTACAGTAATAATATGGTTGGGTGACAGACAGAGAAACAGCTGGCGGTGAAGGGGTGGCTTCACAACAGCCACTCTTTGCCTTCCCTTCCGCGTGATTCTCTTCAACTCTCTCCGATCCATCTGTCTGTTTGTTTGTCTTTCTAAATTGGATTTGTGATTTAAAATAATCAAATTATTTCATATTATCTCGTTTTCAATACAATAGTCTTATTTACTATTTTTATTCTTCCTAAAATAATAATTTCATTTTTATAAGTAATCATATAATTGTAAAACTATCTACTTTTTTATTATTATCACACAATTGTCACTATTTTTTACACTAATATAAGACAAAAAAAAATTATTTATCTTTATTTTTTATCAATTACCAATATAATATCAGTATTTTTTAAATGTCGTACCCAACATAATAAAACTATACTTTTCGAACAAATTGAGTATAATATATAAATATTGATGCTATAATTTCAATATATTTATTTTGTCATATAAATGTAATTGACGCTAAAAATATATTTATATATAAAATAATATTTTATACCTACATCTGTATTATGTGATAAAAATATTTTTTAAAAAAATTTGTACTATATATAAATATAATATTAATATTTAAATTTTGACACGATAATTTTTTCAGTTAGAATAAAAGTTTATTTTGATGTTTGTTGGACTGGGCTCAAATAATTGGATCGGGCCTTAATATATCATAGGCCAAAACCCATAAACCTCCGTATGCCGGCTGTTCGGTTGGGTTTATGTCTAATTCAAGAATATGCATTTGCCTTTATTATTATTAATTGTAAATTTCAATTTGTTATTAATTTTAGTTTATTATGAATTTATTCGATTTTTGTACTTTTTGTTTACGAGATAACGTCAAATACTAAAACACGTCAAATTTTGAATACAAATACACAACAGACAACAGTATTTTATTTTGATTTTCATTATTTTATGCTTCAGCGTGCTATCCACGCCCCTTTATATATATATATATATGTATTTTATTTTTCTTTTATGATTTATGAAATAAAGTTTCAAAAAAAAAATAAAAATAAAAAAACATCTAATTATTAAAATTGAATGTCTTTTTTGTCTAGAGTCTTTTATTTAAAGGTTTAATAATTTAAAATTACACGTTAATTTCAAAATTCCAGAAACAGCCGATCAAAAATTGAATTGTACAATCATACCAAATATAGCCATAATGACGAGAAGAATAAAATAATCTGAATCAATCCTCTGCCTATAATAACCTCTTAGTTGAAGTGTCAACGACTGGTTGATGAAGCGTCTGATTGGTTTGTTGTGATAATTAGAATGATTAAAACCAGCAGAACAAACAGAGCCATACAAAATACTGTATTAATAGTCACTATCATATAATTTTAAATTATACACAAGATTTCACCAGTTACAGACTTAAAAATTTAGCCTAGTAACGCAATCACGCCTAACAGAGTCTCCACAGTAAAGAAGCTTTTCATTTTTCTTTTTTCTGGTAACACGTTTGGCGCACTGAAAATAGTTATAAGATAAAATTTGGGAGAAAAATGACGCAATTCTTATCTATGAGCAGTGATCAATGTCTCGATGAATCTCAATCCATCGAATCTCGGCGCAAATTTCTCTGTAGACGATGATCCGTCCGACGACGAGTTTTCACCGGTTTTCCGGTTGTAATCATCCTTTGAATGAAATTTTAAGAAAAACAAACGCAATCAGATCAGATTATACAGATTATTCGAAAGCGAGATTCCGAGAGAGGAGAGCATTTATTGATTTTCCAAATAATAACATGAGAGGACAAAAATCGTGATATACCTCCCGAGGAAAGTGAAATTTGGACGAGGAAGATGAAGAGGAGGATGCGGAGATGGCGGTGGCGGAAGCGGCGGTGACGGACGCAGCTACGAGCGCTGATTTCTTCATGGCGTTTGGATGAGAAATCTGTGGCTTTCCCTCTCGGAATCTGAAAAATTGAATTTGAAGGTAAAGATTTGTGGGAAAGAGATTAATTAAGAAATGGGGAAGTTTGTGGCCAAGAGGCTTTTTATAGTGGTCAATTTGTTCGCGGGCCGCGCTGCGGCGACAACTTTGGCATCTCTACCCCCACATGTCAGTTGAAATTACAGTCGTACCCTTCTACTTTTTTTCTATTTACAAGTCATTTCAAAAGGGTATGATTCGTTTAGACAATTTTTTAAATTTTAAATTTTTTTTTTTAAAAAATTAGCATCTAATTTGATATTTTATGAAAAAAATATTTTTAATATAATAATTTTTTTAAAAAATAAAGAAAAATAATTATGTAGAAAATGCATATGTTTGCCTTTTCATTAATATATTATAGTGTGAGACTCTTTATCATATAATTTTCATTTCAATTGTCCACAGAATATATGAATCATTATGTCAATTAAAATAATGATAATAAAAATTTACACAATCAAATTAGTACAGTACAAAAAAAGATATAAATAATATGCGTGTATATAAACAAACTGCAATTACATTAAAATAGTAAAAATTGTCATGATGTGAATCATTTGAGATTATAAAATTGAAATTCCCATTTTTTTTTTAGAAAAACTTCTAAATTTAATATGTTTTTACTGTACTATAAATTGAATTAATTAATGATATTGATGTGGCAATAAAAATATTTAAGTAAAAGCCTTTTAAATAATAATTGTAGTCAAATCATGTCATAAGCATCATGGGCTCAAATGATTTGGTATCAATTTGGAATTATTCCTTGGAGCCATGTTATATATTGAGATTAAATAAACGAATAGAATAATCCCACAAAATAATTTAAAATTATATATTGGGAATACTGGGGGTAGTCTGGTCAATACACACAAGAGATAAAGAAAGTGGTTTTGTGCGTGGGAAATTGGTAGTAGGAAATTGTGGAATTTGGACAGACAAACAGCCGATATTTGGAGGTTGAGAGCAAATCAGAGGAGGCCACGTGTATGGTGGATATGAAGCCACGGCGACATCAACGCTGTACACACGTTGTGCGTAGGGCCCGCCCAAGTGGTTGAGTCGTCACGGCTCGCTAACCACATGCATCACACATAATAATCAGTGCATTTATTTATTTTCTTCGTCCCATCACTTAAGACACATTTTTATTTACTTTACAAATTTAACTTTATTTAAAATAAATAAAAAAATATCTACTATTAATTTGATATAAATATAAAATTTAAATATAAGTAGAAGGTATTATGGGCCGAAATAGAGCCCATTGCTATTGTACGGAATATGGGATCGTAAATGACCCACAATAGTTGAAATCAATACAATAAAGGCCCATTTATTAATTCTAATAATTTTTTAAATAATGGATTTATCTTTATAATATTTAAAAAAATAAAAATAAAATAATTTAAGGCATTTTGAATGTTATGCACGTTTCGTTTATACATTTTTTTTTAATTTATAATAAAAAATTAATATTTAAATAATACTTTAAACTATATATTTAATCTACTATAATAAAAAAATTATGAACGTTTTTGTTTAGTATTTTGTTTTAAAATATTTTTATATTAAGACTTTAAGTATAAATAATTTGTGTAATATAAAAAATAATACTTTTTCATTTAATTATTGAATTTAGTGAGAAATATATATATATATATTATATATATTGAAAATTATGGTAAAATTTTTTTTAATTATGTGAATAAATCTTATATAGTGCTAAATTTTAAAAATTTTTATTTTTTATTTTTACATAGACAACTATTTTACGCTCTAAAGTTTTTTAAAAAATTGTGTTTTCCTCATCCATTTTTAAAATATACATTAATTCTTTTTAGCTCGGAAATGAAAAAGTAATTATACAATTCAAAATATAAATATATTTGTAAATGAATCTAAATACTTTCCCGTCTCATAACAACTATATCATTTTCATTTTTACCTGTGCTAAAACAAAGATATTATTTTTTTACTTAGTAATTATACTATTGCTTAACATAATTAATACTTTTATAATTTTTAATATATTATACAAATATTATTATTTTTATATCACACAATGTAATAGAATATTTTGTAATTTTCATTATAAATAAATATAAAATTAATATTAAAAAATCAATGTGTAAAAGTAAATATTACTTTTCTTTGGAACGGAAGTATAATTAAATTACAAAACTTGAAATGTAATTTTAAATGGTAAAAGATGAGATTGATTAAAATGGAAAGAGTGAAGATTTTAAACGGAACGGAATGAAAGCCGTGATCTGATGTTTTTATAATTAAATAAAAGATGCCATCAAACATAACAGACCCACGCTTTCAATTGAAATTTGCATTAAAAACGTGTTTCCAAGAACAGTATCGTGAAAACGCGCTTTTGTCCTCGTAGAAATAAAATTGAAGTTATCAATTGACCTCACATCACATGAACGCAGTGCGCATCAACGATATTCTCTCTTTGTTCCATCTATCAACGATTGCTCGGAAGCTACGCAAACTCGCAGACCATATCGTATCTCTACTGCGGGGTATCTGCTGCATCTCGAGGCACCACTGTGCGCGCCGATGGCATCTGGATCGTCCGGTCGGACTACCAACTCGGCCTCCAAGGCCTTTGATTTCGCGTCCGATGATATTCTTTGCTCCTACGAGGATTACGGAGCTCGGGACGGGACTAGTGGGAACCATTCCGATCCTTCAATCGCAGCGAATTCGGGGAAGGTATTTTTTGTTTGTGTATATTTGTGTTTTTATTTTTGTGTAATTAGGGTTTTTGTTGGCCGGTGAGGGCTCCGAAGCTCCCTTCGTTTATCTGCTTAGGGTTTAGATTTGAACGGGCCGTGTGTTTTAAAATCTTAAGATTATGTTGTCGGTTGAAGATGTTGACTTGCGTGCGTTCGTGTGATCGATGCAGGGTTTTGGTTTTTACTGGATCGACTGAAAAGTATGTGTTTATGTAGAACTTGGGTTGCTACCATTTCTTGTTACCTTTCGATTCAATAATTTTTGTGAAAGTATGTAATGATATTAATCATTTTGTTGGTTACATAAGCTGATTTTGTCAATTTCTAAACTGAACTTGTAACTCGTTCTTGGGAACGAAACGTTCGTGTGGTAAGGATGCAATAAGGCAATGAATTAAGTGATGGAAAACTACACAGTAGGTTGGGGAAGTTGATAAGTTTTTTTCCAATGCATGGTCATGATTCAAATCTTATCTATCCTTACTCTGCTGGGCTGCGGTAGCTAAAAATGTTGCAAATAACAAATGATTGATATCAGCGGGTGAAGGAGAATCCATATTAAATTTTGATGAATTTCCTGCAGGTTGTTGCCACTGTTTGCTGCCTGTTGTCGATTAATTTTGTAGTGAAATTGCCTGACCTGTACCAAATTGACAAGCTAGAAATCTTGAGCTCACTAGCAGAAGTCAATTATTTTGTGTGTTAGTGCAAATTAAGAAGTATAGTCTTATGATAGAAATTAAATTTATGAGTGTTCAAGATAAACAGCATGAAATAAGTTGCCTTTTTTTCCTCAAAAATTCCTTCTAGGTTTGTTTTTCTTGTATTTCTGTTCTCACCTCTCCTTTACATTTATATTGCATATTGTGAGAAGGCTGCTTTAATTGAGCAGGAGTTCCACAAAAGCAGAATGGCAAGGGGATCTGTTTTTCCTGCTTCGTACAGTCCCCCGGAAGAGTCTTATAACCAAGATGTTATTTCCACTGTTGAAAGCACCATGAAGAAATACTCAGACAATATAATGCGCTTTCTTGAAGGAATTAGCTCACGGCTATCACAGTTGGAGCTATATTGTTATAATCTTGACAAATCTATTGGAGAAATGCGCTCTGATTTAGTTCGTGATCATGAAGGGTCAGAGGCTAAGCTCAAATATCTGGAAAAACATATGCAAGAGGTATTTACTTATAATATTGCATCTGTGGGCTCCTATATTTGTTAGAGCCCTCTCATTTTTCCATAAATCTTGCCGCAACTATCATATTCATTGTTTTGGAATGGATAATTTCATATTAAACGTGTCATGAATGGGTGGCTGGTATGCACTATATTCTTCCCCCAACTATGTTTTACATTTTCTGTTTTCTCATAACATTGTCCATATTGATGCCTATCAATTTGCAAACTGCTGTGTAGTTGTCTAAGTTTGGTTGTGGTTCATAAAATTCATGAATTTTATAGATTGCCTTGTGGGTTTGAGTTTAATCTTGGAACACTCTAGATGATAATCATCATGTATTCCACTTCATAGGCATATTTGTATTCTGATGCTAGCGGGTATAATAGCTTTGGTAAATTGCTATCGTTGTTTGGTAATAACAGAAAAATATGAAAAGAATTTTTATTGTACTTTCTTTTTTTCCCCATGGTTTATCACCCTTATCCTTCTAATAAATTACGACGTTTTCATTCTAATATATGCAGGTTCACAGGTCTGTGCAGATCTTGCGGGATAAGCAGGAACTTGCCGATACCCAAAAGGAGCTTGCGAAGCTTCAGCTTGCACACAAAGAATCCTCTTCAGCTGGCAATAATTCTCTACAGAACAAGGAGAACGCTTCACTGCCTGCTTCTGAATCCAAAGCAAGCGAGCATTCATCGGATTCTCACGACCAGCAATTGGCACTTGTGCCTCACCAAGCTGCTACTCAACCGACTCTCCCTGCCCAGCCAGTCGACCATCAGCAGTCTCCTATGCCACCTCCCTCGACTATGCCTCCACAAACACTGCCACCACCTGGGCATGCTTATTACCTACATCCAGCACAGACCAACCCCGTTGCAGCCCAATCCCAGCCATCTCAGGGTCAATATCAACCAGCAGCATCTCAGATTCAAGACCCATCTAGAATGGCCGCTCCGCAACTTCCGGCACAATCTCCAGTGAATCAAAACTCACATGTTCAGCCGATACCTTCATATCCGCCGCAGTGGCCCCACCAGCTACAGCAGCCTGGTCAACCGCCCCAGCAGGCAGTTATGCAGCCGCAGATCAGGGGATCGTCCCAAGTGGTCTACTCCAACTATCTCCCCAGTCAGTCGAACCAGCCCTCTGCAGAAATGGCTCCCAACAGTATGCCTATGCAGGTGCCATTCGGGGGAGCCTCACAAACAGTTCCTGCAGGATCCGAGCCTCCAGCTTATGGCTTTGTTGCTTCCGGAAGACCGCCTCAACCACAGCTTCCATCTCAGCACGTCAAACCTGGCTACAACCCTACTCAACCAGGCGATGGCTATGTCCACAGCGGGCCGCATCCAGCTCTACCCCCGGGAAATGCTTACATGATGTACGACGGGGAAGGAGGCAGGATGCATCATCCTCCTCCCCCTCAGTCACATTACCAACAGAACACTTATCCTCTGAATAACATCCAGCTGCAGAACCCGCAGCGAATGCCTAATAATCCTAACATTGCTGTGTCTCACTCTATGCGCAGCCACCCCTACAATGAGCTGATCGAGAAGCTGGTGAGCATGGGTTACCGAGGCGACCATGTTGTGGGAATCATTCAGAGGCTGGAGGAGAGCGGGCAACCCATCGACTTCAACTCGGTGCTGGACAGGCTCAATGGACACTCGCAGCCTTCCGGTGGCCCCCAGAGAGGATGGTCTGGTTAGTGTTTAAATATTTTACCCATTCGTGGTTTACGTCTTCTACTATGAGTTTCCATGTTTTCCTTTACCTGCTTGGTTGGTTGGCGGTGCGCGTCGATGGGATGGGAGGGAATAAATAATGAAAGAAGGTTTGAGGCATGTGTGTATGGAAAAATGCTACTGCTACTGCTAGAAGGATAAAGAGATGCTCGTTTTTAGATCTGTATTCTCTTTTCCTTCCTTCCTGTTCTAGTTTGTGTTTTGTTCTTACGTTGTAATGCAGCTGCAAATCGTCCTCTTATCTGTTTCTTGGATATTGATGATCTTTTGCCTTACTTTTACGATGGAATCACCTCTTTAATTTATATATATTACTGCTGTCGTGTTAACATATATTATGAACTGTTAGTTTATACTCACTCGCCTTGGAAGAACTGAACTATATGTTAATTTTATGTTTATTGGTGAATGAGTTACACTTGCACAATCAGTTTTTATGTAGTATATGTTGGTATTTTCATTATAGACCCGGCCGGACCGGACCGGACCAGACCGGACCGGACCGGACCAGGAATTTATATTTATCTGTCTCTCTCTCTCTTAGCTTTAGGCATAGCTAAAATGAAATTAGCTCTATTTTCATAAGTAATGTTTAATATTTATGGATTTTACGTCCCGTCTATGAATTAAAGGGCGTGTTTGATTTTTATTTTATTTTATTTTCAAAGTCAAGATTCTAATTTCAAATTAAAATCAAATAACAATAGAAAAATAACGACATGATTATAACAACCTTGTATAGCAAAATACCGGTATGAAATTGATACTTGATAAATTGATGCTTTGATATAAAAAAAATAAAACAAAAATAAAATAATAAACGTAGTAAAATGCATATTTTAAATGCCTGGTATTAATGACGTGAATTTGTTGACGATAGTATCAACGGTTGATTGAACATGGTCGGTGAGGTCTACCCATTTTAACCCACGAGCTTCGATCGGAGGATCGTGTCTCTGTCGAAATCAAAATCCGAAGACATAATAATATCCAATTCAATGCACAACCGGGAATAATCTTCAATCCCGAACATCGTTTTCAATTGTGGATGAATTTTGTGAGAATTTTCTTGACGTAAATCGCCAGCTGCTATGGCGTCGGGGGCAGGGCAGGCCACTGATACGCCCTCCGGGTTCGATTTCGGGTCCGACAACATTTTTTGCTCCTACGAGGATCGCGACAATCCGGATGGCTGTAGTGGACTCCATCCCGAACCTTCCTCCGGTTCTAATTCCCCCAAGGTATGCCATTTGATTCTGTGTTTTACCTTCGACGTTTGTTAATTCAGAATTTTCTTTTACTGCTGCAGCTGTTCTCTTTGTTCTTAGTTTTCGTCTTGTTGCATGATGTTTAATAGAAACTGTTTCATACAATTACTCGTTTCTTTTGGTGCTAGAATCACAAAAATAGGTAAATTTGTTGGTGTTTTTGGTGTTGAATATTTCAGTTATTCGAAGTTCATTTCTGCAAGTTATCATGGATTGATCTTTGTTGGGTGAAAAATGTAATCAATCTCGAACAACTCTTACCTAGTAGGAGATCATATAGAGCATGATAAATGTGCTGCTGTGTCAAGGTGGTCACGACAAGCTTTGGTTGTAATTACTAGCTAAGATCTTTAGGTTCCTTCCTTTTAGGTTTGTGCAACCAACTATCTACTCATTGGTGAAGTTGAGGCCATTGAGAAAAAGGAGGTTGTAATACAAAGCTTGTAATTGTTACTTGTTAACTATATTGTACACCATCTGAATCTCTAGTTATCAGCCAGTGGGCAGAAATGAACATGTTGAATTAAAAAATAGGAGTGTTTTTAAGTGTACGTTGTGGGAATTCACATAATCTTTCTTGGAATTTATCCATTGGACATGAAATTGAAGACAAATTAACAGTAATCTAGAAACCTCAATCAAAGTTTGTCTAAGTGTATTTGATCGTACAGTCTGCAATATAACGAAGACATGATTGCTAGGAAAGAAGAGACATATTTTGTCGGAACAATTGTATTTCATAAGTTTAGTTTGTTGCAAAGTATAACATTGTGTCGTTTTTTTCTAGTTTAGTCTTTTTTGTGCTGCTTTCCTTTGACTATGTGGTCTATTCTATAGTGATTGGACATTGTGATATCCACTCTACATTGAGCAGGACTTTAACAAAAACCGAATGGCAAGGTCATCCGCATATCCGGCAGCAGCTTATAGTCCATTGGAAGAGTCTTCAGGTAATCGAGTTGTTGCCTCTACCATTGAAAATACAATGAAGAAGTACACAGACAGTGTCATGCGTTTTCTTGAGGGCATCAGCTTGCGGCTATCACAATTGGAACTATATTGTTATAATCTCGACAAATCTATTGGTGAAATGCGTTCTGACTTGGTTTCTGTTCATGCAAAGTCTGAGTCAAAGCTCAAATTGCTGGAAATACATATTGAAGAGGTCCATCTCTAAACTGGTTTAAAGTGTTTGTTTGTTTTTTTTTTTTTTGAATGTGAGATAAGATAGTATGATGGATGGTAGGATGTGTTGAATAATGTAAATGAGAGATAAAAAAAGCATAGTATCAATTAGTATTGATATGTTTGTTTAATAACTTTGATTCTCAACAATGTTGTCAGATATGCACTTGGTCTTATTGAAGGTGCTTAGCTTTTATCTTTTTGTTATTAAAAAAAAAAAAAAAACCATTAAAAGACCTCTGTAGAAAAAGTTATGTGTATCTGTTCTCTGAATAGAAGTTAAAACATGATGATGGCAGTAGCACATAAGGCAGCTGTATGTTGTAGTTACTCTTCTTTCATTTGTTCCTTCTTTGTCTAACCTTGTGGAACTTTGTGCCATAGCTTGATATTTGACGGACCTTTTGTTTTTGTTCTGTTTTCTGTGGGCACTCTGATATAGCATCTGATCGGCAACATTTTCTGATTTGTAAACTGTTGTGACACGGTCTTGTGGTAATGTCGCATTCCTAGATCTTGTCTTAATTGTTTCAGCATTGAAAAAGGCTTTCTATGTAGCATGAGTTTCCTGATTATTTCTCAGAGCCTTCCAGCAATTATCTTTGATATAATATGTTCTTTGACATGAGATGATTAGAATTAGCTTGGAATTTGGCTGGACTCACTATTTTTTATTTTTCTGTCTATTGTCATCCTCTACTTGATAATCGGTGCTGCTTTAGTGCTGGTGGAATTTTTATATATTTGCAATACATTTCAAGGTTTACCTTGCAGCTGCTAAATGATTGTCCCGATATATTAATCACATCCAATGCTTGGTTAAAAGGGCTTCTGTGGTGATTTTTCTAAATCTTGTGATATCTATTGTTTCTACTCTTATAATATGGACATCATTATGGAGTTTTTCCAAAAAAAAATTTTTGATAGATTTGTGCTAGGCCGCACACCATAAGACCCAAGACTTCTTTGGCATTGTGCTTCACTTGCAGTTAGTTAACAGCTATAGCTCAGCAAACATTATAAATTAAATGTGTCGAGAGATAAGTCATGACATGAGAAGGATGGAGTTGTTTCTCGGCAAGAAAAGCTTTTTAGGCTTGGCTAGAAACCGATTGCTTTGTTAAAGACACATCCATAACAGAGCTCATGCTTTGGTTTTTGTGATTTGAATTTGCCTTTGCCTGTTGTGATCACATTCTTAATATGATCCCTTGATACCTAATCGAATTTATTGCGCCATACTGCTGAATCCAAGCACAGCTAATAAAATTCTTTCCCCCTTTCTTTCATTTCCAAATGTAGGTTCATCGGTCTATCCAGATCCTAAGAGACAAGCAGGAACTAGCCGACACTCAGAAGGAACTATCAAAACTTCACCTTGCTCAGAAAGAATCCTCTTCCACCGGAAATTCTCAACAGAGTGATGATCGAGATAGAGCTGCTACGCCAACGTCCGAACGCAGAGACAGCAATAACTCCTCCGATTCCCACAATCAGCAGCTGGCACTCATTGTATCCCATCATGTGTCCCCTCAGCCTTCTCGCCACACCCAACCACAGCAGCCGCTCGACCACCACCAGCAACCTCATCTGGCATCCCTCCCACCATCAATGCCTGCATATTACTTAACCACACCTCAAATGATGAACACCGGAGGAGGCGTAACTCAACCATCCCAGCCTCAATACCTTAAACCGCTGCCTCATGTCCAAGACCACTCCAGAATGCCAGCGCCATCTGTGCATTATCATGTAAACCCGAGCTCACATCCGCAGCCTGTGTCTGCATTTCTGCCACAGTGGTCTCAGCAACCGCCCCAACAGCCTGTTATGCAGCCAAAGATCAGAAACCCTTCCCAAGTGGTTTGCTCTGGCTACATGACGAACCAGTCGAACCCCCCCACACCAGAAACGGCTTCAAATACCATGCCTGTTCAAGTACCATTTCCCGGGCCACCCCAGCCTGGCTTCACCAGTCATGAGGCAACCTCTCACGGGTATGGTGCTGGAGGTCGGCCGATACAGCAACAGCCTTCAATGCAGCACATCAAGACTGCATTTTCCACTGCCCAACCCCAACCCGGGAACAGCTACTCACATAGTGGACCTCGCCCGGCTCTTCACTCAGGAAACACATATCTGATCTATGAAGGTGAAGGAGGACGGCCCCCTCACCACCCTCCGGCACAGGTTCATTTCCAGCAAAGTAATTTCCCATCGAATGCAGTCCAGCCCCAGAGACCACAGCAGGTGTCGAATATGGTAGCTCCTCACATGGCGCGGAGCCATCCTTACAGCGAATTGATTGAGAAGCTGGCAGGGATGGGCTACAGGAGCGATCATGTTATCAACATAATTCAGAGGCTCGAGGAGAGTGGTCAGGCGATCGATTTCAATGCTGTCCTCGACCGGTTGAATGCACACTCTGCTGAAGGATCTCAGAGGGGATGGTCCGGGTAAAACTAACTTCATCTATTTTACCTGATTACTCCTGCTTCCATAGCTAACACTTTGTAGTGAATACGGAATAAATCGAGCATACCCAATTTTGGTGAATGCCGGCCCGGGATGGAGAGATGCTTTTATACACACTCTTCTTCCCAATGTAGTCGCCGCTGCTCAGGCGACGGCGACATACTTGGCTCCATGACTGGTAATGGTTTCTTTTCTTCTTCTTCTTCCCTAACAGCAGCCGTAGTTCATACATTTTTATGTCGTTTTGTTCATCTTTGGTGCTCTTGATCGTATAGATTTGTCCATTTATGGAGTATATAGTCTCTGGTTTTCTGAATTCAAATTGGATAAGATTTTGATGTTAGAAAACAGCATAAAAATGTATGTATATGCTAGAGAACCTCTTTTGTTGAACATTTATCTCCATGTGTTGATCAATTTTGTTTGTATGCATGTATTATTAAGAAAAAAATTAAATGACAATGGAATTAAAATATAGTACTACAACAATAATAAGTTATGTATATTATGCTACGTTTTCTTAAAATTTGTGCCTATCTGTCACTAAAGAAGTATTTGTCCTTGATTAGTCAAAATTAAGTAAACAGTTGCCCAAAGTGTCTTTTGCTTAGGTGAGCAGTTTTGTGTGTTTCCTGTATTTCTTAAGTTTTTAAATAAAAAATAATGATTGTATATGATATTTTGAATTGTTTCATATAGAATTACTATATTGTGTATTGCATAGAATTCAAGTAATTTTATTTTTGGAACTATACTACAAATTATTTGTGCAATAATATTTTTTCGGTTTGGATATATTAACTTTGATCTTGTGTTTATGTTTTGATATATTTTTTTTATTTAAAAAAAACAGTGATTATATTATCTATTTTTATAAAGAATATTTACAATAAAACATTTATTATCAATTAATTGTTTTATTTGTTTATTGGTATATTTCAGTATGGGGAATGATCTGGAATTTCGTCTGAGGATTGAAGAATGATTGTGTGTGCAAATTGCAATTGCCCATACTCCCATGTCATCCTTTTCTTATGCCCCAAATACACGCTATTGTGTTCACTAATAAATAAATAAATAGAAGTTGATTTTTATCCAAAATAAAGTTGTAATAATAATAATAATAATCCCAACCAAATTAAAATGTAAAAATCAAATCAATATCTGCTTTTATTAAAAAAAAAATAAAATCATTTAAATTATTATTTCACTTAAAAAAATCATTTAAACAGACCCTAAATAACTCAAATTATTTCACTTCAATTCATGTTACTTGTTCTTGCTTGCTAAATCTAGTTTGTATAGTATAAATTATCTTTTCAGTGTACTAAAAAAATTATGGTTACAGTTATAATTGTAGTTATCATTATTAAAAACTATTATAGTAAAGGAATTAATTATTTTATAGCAGAGGCAGTATTCCAAATTAGGAGTACCTTGTGAAAATAATATTTAAACCAATGAAGTTATTTTAGATATTTTCAATAATAACGTCAAAACACTAATAAAAACAAACTTAATACTACTTTCATAATTACTTATGTAACAGCCTTTTATATCAATTAACACACGCTTTTAACCTTTAAAGAAGCAATTGTAATGATTACATATAACATTTTTTTGAGAAATGTAAATTAAAATAAATAAGATAAGAAAAAAAAACTTAAATAAACTACTTTTAATAAATAAAATTTTGAGGTAGTGTGATTATATTTTATTGTCCAAAAGGGTGCAAAAGTAAACACTTCGAATTAAATAATTTTCCCGGTCTGGAAAATGGCAAAGTTGACTGACAATACAGGCAGTGCAAACGCAATAGCACAGGGTACAACAAGATGAAGCGCAGGGTGCAACACGTCACTTCAACACCGCGTAGATTGTAAAACGACGTCGTCGTCGTTTGAAATTTTCAATTTCTTAATCACCTCGCCATCGTCTTTTTCGTTCCGTTCGTCTTCCCGACCCGACCAAATCTGTATCTCTACTCCACAAAACTGAACTCCCATTCTGCGAAATCTAAGCCCAAATTCCATAGCCAGACCCCGGAGAAACCCCCCCACCCACTGAATTTTCAGATCTCTTTGTGGCGCCGGATGCCACGATGAATCAGCGGCCGCCACGACCGGAGCAAGACGACGGGGTTTACAATGTTATTCCAATCCACAACCTCCTCGCTGACCACCCATCGCTCCGCTTTCCGGAGGTCCGGGCGGCGGCAGCCGCGCTCCGGACGGTCGGTGACCTCCGCCTGCCGCCGTTCCAGCCGTGGAAGCAGCACTACGACCTCCTCGACTGGCTTGCGCTCTTCTTCGGTTTCCAGGCGTCAAACGTGAGCAACCAGAGGGAGCATCTGGTGCTCCATCTCGCCAATGCTCAGATGCGCCTCACTCCTCCTCCGGACAACATCGATGTTCTGGAGCCGTCCGTCCTCCGCCGCTTCCGGCGACGTCTTTTGAGGAACTACTCCGATTGGTGTTCCTACCTTAACGTCAAGTCCAATGTTTGGCTCTCGGACTCGCACTCCCGGCACTCCTCCTCCGATCACCGGCGGGAGCTTCTGTACGTGTCTCTGTATCTGCTGATTTGGGGTGAGTCCGCTAACTTACGCTTCATGCCGGAATGCATTTGTTACATATTTCATAATATGGCGATGGAGTTGAATAGGATTTTGGAAGATTACATTGATGAGAACACTGGTAGACCCTTTTTGCCGTCCATTTCTGGGGAGAATGCTTTTCTTGATAAGATTGTGAAGCCAATTTATGATACAATTAAAGAAGAGGTGGATAACAGTAGAAATGGAACGGCCCCTCATTCTGCCTGGCGGAACTATGATGATTTGAATGAGTATTTTTGGAGTAAGAGGTGTTTTGAGAAGATGAAATGGCCAATAGATGTTGGGAGTAATTTTTTTGTGACGGGAAACAAGGGGAAGAAGGTGGGGAAGACAGGGTTTGTGGAGCGGAGGTCTTTCTGGAATTTATTTAGAAGCTTTGATAAGATGTGGATCATGCTGATTTTGTTTCTCCAGGCGGCGATTATTGTGGCTTGGGAGGACAAGCAATATCCATGGCAGGCGTTGAGGAGTAGGAGGGTGCAAGTTAAGTGTTTGTCGGTTCTGCTCACTTGGAGCGCCCTGCGGTTACTGCAGTCTTTGTTGGATATGGGAATGCAGTACAGTTTGGTGTCAAGGGAGACCAAGTCTTCGGGAGTGAGGATGATTCTGAAAACCATAGTTGCAGCTGCCTGGATTCTGGTGTTTGGGGTGTTCTATGGTAGAATATGGCAGCAGAGGAATCGGGATAGGAGATGGTCGAATGCTGTGGATAGAAAAGTGGTGGAGTTTCTTGAAGTTGTGGTGGCCTTTCTTATTCCAGAGCTGTTAGCTGTGGCACTATTTCTTCTTCCATGGATTAGGAATTTTTTGGAGAAGAGAAATTGGAAGATAGTATATTTGTTCTCGTGGTGGTTTCAGAGCCGGATTTTTGTGGGTCGGGGGCTTAGGGAAGGACTTTTTGACAATATTAAGTATTCCCTTTTCTGGATTGCAGTGCTTGGGACAAAGTTTATGTTTAGCTACTTTATGCAGATTAAGCCTATGATTCGTCCAACCAGGACATTGCTGAATCTGAAAAATGTTACTTATGAATGGCATGAGATTTTTCATAGAAGTAATCGCTTTGCAGTGGGGCTGATATGGCTTCCTGTCATATTGGTTTACCTATCCGATCTGCAGATCTGGTATGCTATTTACTCGTCATTTGTTGGGGCTGCAGTTGGGTTGTTTGATCACTTGGGTGAAATACGTGACATGCCGCAATTGAGGTTGAGATTTCAGTTCTTTGCCAGTGCTATTCAGTTTAATCTCATGCCTGAGGAGCAGTTGTTGAATTATGGTGGATCATTTAAGAGCAAGATCACGGATTTCATTCACAGGTTGAAGCTGAGATATGGACTGGGTCGGCCCTTTAAAAAACTTGAATCCAACCAGGTGGAGGCCTACAAATTTGCGTTGATATGGAATGAAATTATTAATATATTTAGAGAAGAAGACATAGTCAGTGATCGTGAGGTTGAACTTTTGGAGCTCCCTCAAAATGACCGAAGAGATCCTAAGAGTAACTGGGAAATTCGGGTGATTCAGTGGCCGTGTTTGCTCCTCTGCAACGAGCTTCTGCTTGCTCTCAGTCAGGCAAAAGAGTTGGTGGATGCTCCTGACAAGTGGCTTTGGCACAAGATCTGCAAGAATGAGTACAGGCGGTGTGCTATTGTCGAAGCATACGATAGTTTAAAGCACTTTCTACTTGCAATTGTCAGATATGATAGGGAGGAGCGGTCCATAATCCGAACCTTTTTCCAAGAGATTGATCAGTGGATTCAGCTGGAGAAATTTACAAAAACCTATGATATGAATGCACTTCCGAAAATACATCAAAAGTTGGTCCATCTTCTTGCTCTTGTCCTCAGTCCAGATAAAAATGTTGATAAGGTGGTGAATGCTCTACAGGCCCTTTATGAGGCTGCCATTAGAGATTTCCTGAAAGAGAAGAGAAACAATAGCCAATTGAAGGAGGATGGCCTGGCTCCTGCTGCTTCTGGTGAAGGATTGCTTTTCCATAATACAGTTGAGTTGCCTGATGCAAATAATGGGACTTTCTATCGTCGTGTTCGGCGGTTGCATACCATCCTCACTTCTCGAGACGCTATGCAAAAGGTTCCTGAAAATATCGAGGCTAGACGCCGGATTGCCTTCTTCAGCAACTCCTTGTTCATGAATATGCCTCATGCTCCTCTTGTGGAGAAAATGATGGCCTTCAGTGTTTTGACACCATACTATAGTGAAGAGGTACTTTACAGCAAGGAACAACTTCGAACTGAGAACGAAGATGGGATTTCAACTCTTTACTACTTGCAAACCATCTATGCAAGTGACTGGAAAAACTTCTTGGAGAGGATGCGTCGAGAAGGGATGAAGAGTGAAAGGGAACTGTGGGGGCCTAGTAGACTGAGAGATCTTCGACTGTGGGCATCATACAGAGGCCAGACACTTGCGCGAACGGTAAGAGGGATGATGTACTATTACCGTGCTCTTGAGATGCTTACTTTTCTGGATTCTGCTTCTGAGATGGATATGAGAGAGGGATCTCAGCAACCAATCTCCACGAGGCATAATGATGAGGTGGATGATCTGAGGTCAGAAAAATCTCATTCCTCAAGAAGTTTGAGCAGAGCAAATAGTTCAGTCAGTGTTCTTTTCAAAGGTCATGAGCGTGGAACAGCTTTGATGAAATTTACTTATGTAGTAGCATGCCAGATTTATGGTTCTCAAAAGGCCAAGAAAGATCCTCGTGCCGAGGAGATACTTCAGTTGATGAAAAATAATGAAGCGCTTAGAGTTGCCTATGTTGATGAGGTGTCGTCCGGAAGGGATGAGATACAGTATTACTCTGTCCTGGTGAAGTATGATCAGAAGTTGGAGAGGGAAGTTGAGATTTACCGTGTAAAGTTGCCCGGCCCTGTTAAGCTTGGAGAGGGAAAACCAGAAAATCAGAATCATGCTCTTATATTCACTCGTGGGGATGCAGTTCAGACCATTGACATGAACCAAGATAACTATTTTGAAGAAGCTCTAAAGATGCGGAATCTTCTGCAGGAATTTAAACAATACTATGGTATCAGGAAACCTACCATTCTGGGAGTTCGGGAGCACGTTTTTACTGGTTCTGTGTCATCACTTGCTTGGTTCATGTCTGCACAGGAGATGAGTTTTGTCACTTTGGGGCAGCGTGTTTTAGCTAATCCATTAAAAATTCGGATGCATTATGGGCACCCTGATGTGTTTGACAGGTTTTGGTTTCTATCCAGGGGAGGTTTAAGCAAGGCTTCACGTGTGATCAATATCAGCGAGGATATTTTTGCTGGATTCAATTGCACATTGAGGGGTGGAAATGTTACCCATCATGAATACATCCAAGTGGGAAAAGGAAGGGATGTGGGGCTGAATCAAATTTCGATGTTTGAAGCAAAAGTAGCGAGTGGAAATGGCGAGCAAACACTGAGCCGTGATGTTTATAGGTTGGGTCACAGGCTTGACTTCTTCCGGATGCTCTCATTCTTCTATACCACGGTGGGATTCTTCTTAAATACCATGATGATTCTGCTCACCGTGTATGCATTTTTATGGGGCCGGCTGTACCTGGCATTAAGTGGCGTTGAAGGCTCTGCCTTATCGGATACAAGTAACAATAGAGCTCTTGCTACAATATTGAACCAGCAGTTCATCATCCAACTCGGTCTCTTTACAGCCTTACCTATGATTGTACAACTTTCCCTCGAGCATGGTTTTCTGAATGCCATTTGGGACTTTATAACAATGATGCTCCAACTTTCTTCCGTATTCTATACCTTCTCCATGGGGACCCGTGGCCATTACTTTGGCCGAACTATTCTGCATGGTGGTGCGAAATACCGTGCTACAGGCCGCGGTTTTGTTGTGCAGCACAAGAGTTTTGCTGAGAACTATAGACTATATGCTCGCAGTCATTTTGTGAAGGCTATTGAACTTGGATTGATACTCACCGTATATGCTTCCTACAGTGCCGTAGCTAAAGGAACTTTGGTGTACATAGCATTGACCATTTTCAGTTGGTTTTTAGTAGTATCCTGGATTTTGGGGCCTTTTGTGTTTAATCCTTTGGGCTTTGATTGGTTAAAGACTGTGTATGATTTTGATGAGTTCATGAACTGGATTTGGTACAGGGGTGGTGTGTTTGCGAAATCCGAACAGAGCTGGGAAAAGTGGTGGTATGAGGAGCAAGATCATTTGAGGACAACAGGACTTTGGGGAAAGATTATGGAAATCATTTTGGACCTCCGGTTCTTCTTTTTCCAGTATGGCATTGTGTATCAATTAGGCATTGCTGCTGGGAAAAAGAACATTCTGGTTTACTTGCTATCATGGACTTACGTGGTTGTGGCCCTTGGACTTTACTCACTAATAGCATATGCTCGTAATAAATATGCTGCGAAGGAACACATATACTATCGTTTTGTTCAGTTCCTTGTCATTATTCTTGGTGTAGTCGTTATAATTTCGTTGCTCAAGTTTACGGCATTTGAATTTGTGGATATCTTCACCAGTTTATTGGCGTTTCTTCCGACTGGGTGGGGGTTGTTGTCTATCGCTCAGGTTCTTAGGCCCTTTTGGGAGAGGACACGGATTTGGAAGACTGTTGTGTCTTTAGCTCGCCTTTATGACATAATGTTCGGAGTTATTGTCTTGGTCCCTGTTGCTCTTCTATCATGGCTTCCCGGGTTCCAAAACATGCAGACAAGGATTCTTTTCAACGAAGCTTTCAGTAGGGGCTTACACATATCACAGATTGTCTCTGGGAAGAAACCAAAGGTCGAAACGTAATCTAAGGTAAATTATCAGTCTGATCATACCATTTTTAGATCTTGAGGCATTTCATATAAGTTGCTCATAATGCTTGACTTGAATACATCTTCGTTTCACAAATGAATAGTTTGGAAAAATTGTCTTGTCATTTCTGGTATATTGTATTGTGCATTTTGGTATTGCATATTTTACATGTGTTATAAAATTGCATATTTCAATCACCCCATATGATCCTCCTGAGGTTTCCCTTTTCTTGAAATTTAAACACTGAATCTTTGTGAACCATAGTCAGGCTTCACATAGCCTCAAATGTATTGCTGCTTCATTGCACAATCCTGAGTTCACTGGTCCAATGTTCCCTAAAGAACAAAGTAATTTGATGTGTCCGGTATTATAGTACGTAGTCACTTAAGGTTTTCTTCTTCTTTTATTTTTCTATATGCCCAACTTCATGATGGACGGACGAGCGTATTAGTACTCTCTGCGGGGTGTATGCTGTTTATTTCTTTCAATTATATACATTGTGAATGAATTTTTTCGTGGCAAAGATAGGAATTTTAAGTAGTTCTATCTATCCTCGTTGTGTTGGTGCTGCCTCAGTTTGTTTGTCCCAAATATTCATTTAGCCTCGGGACAATGGATTCCATTTTCTGGTTCTTATCATTTTTGCACCATCAGCTTTTGGATGAATCTGAATACAACCCTTTTGTTGAACTTCCTAAATTGCAGCAAGTGCTTCTTGTTTACAAATTTCGATGGTTCTATTTATGTGTTTCTGGTGTGTTCTTGTTAATATCCTCCAGCCATTAAAGTAAAGTAATTATCTGAATGCATTTGCTCGTGGTTGCAGGTCTGAGTCGGAGTATTCGGTTTGGTTTGGTTCGATTCTTGATTCGGAGCAGAGTTTGGGGTTATTTTCCTGTGTTGTCGTTTATATAGGGGCTGCCATTGTTTGGGATGCTGCATTTTACGTCGTGTAATTAATTACAATCAAGTCGACTTGGGGCTTACATTACACATTGCTGCTGGTGCCCTTTTTGCTCAGATTAGTGATTCACAGTGTTGGGAAGTATATGGTTTTGTAAGCAACAGTGTTAAGAGTGTAATTTTAGTGAGAAGAACGTATATTGTACCAACTACTTTTGTTTGCTTCCATTGTATTAATTAATTAATATTTTCATTCATTCCCTATTTATTCATTTACTTGGTCATTCTTGTGGTGTTTAAAAGTTAACCATAAAATTGTATTGTTTCCAAAGTAGATGCACAGTTGCACACATTGCTAAATACTTCACAATTGTAATGTAAACAAAACAAAAGGGAAGATAAACTACAACAACGTAGTCAGTCCACTTCAGCAGCAATGTAATTAAATAAAAAGTGATGGAAATGAACAAGAAAAGAGACCAACATTCCAGTCTTATTGCAATACCACAACCCATATTCACAAGCAAATTGCAAATGCAAAAACAACAAACAAAGTCAATCCTATGTAGAGTAGAGTAGAGTGGAGCAGAGCAGGTCTTACCGGCGACATGTACAGTGAACGAACGAATATCTTGGACCACAAAAAGCCAGCAAAAGAGCGAATCCCAAGTTGTCCAGCAACGACTCCGAGGTAGGTTTTGTCATTTGGACTTAAAAATCGAAGGCTCTGTAGTATGTATACCGCCTCAGACAGTGGTCGCTTACAACAAATTCACGAATCAGTTCCCGACCTCAGTCCACTCTTCGGGTTTTGATCTGAGTTCATTCAGAATCAGAACTAACAACAAAGCGATGGGCGAAAACGGGAACAGAAAAATCAACAATTTCTGTCATACGGGCATTTGAAAACCTGGTGGATTTTCAAGAAAAAGAAACATGGCTGAGTCGTCTTGGGAGGTCGTCAGCTTCATCATCGGATGAGGTTGCGGAATCTGTAGCATCAGCAAGAGAGTCGAGCATTGTCACCACTTCTGAAGAGTCGTCAAGATAGTACTTTGCTTTGCTCGGTTTTTGCCCTACGGTGCACGCGAATACTTCAGTGCTGTAGGAAAGAAGATGCGAAGACACAGCATTAGCGATTATTTCGAACATGTCCTCATCTGATCTGTCGTCGCCAATGCAGAGCACGAAATCGGCCTGTTTCCCCTTCTCGTTCATCGATGTCAATATTTTTTCAGCCACCACACCTTTGCTGACACCCTGCATACATTTTTTATTATCGAAGTTATTGAAATGCTTTAAAAAATGATTCTGTAAACACTCGAAAGCAAATTAACACATGCATGCCTGAGGTTTCACTTCAACAATGAACTGGCCACTCTTGACAGCGACGGGTTCATTCGCCAAAACACTTTCTAGATGATCCAGCATTTCCTTGGCTTGAGAAAAACCGAATCCAGGATCAGCATCCTGATAATGCCAGACTAAAGCACTTTCCTTCCTCTCTATCCCGGAGCCATCAGTTGCTTCAGCATATGACTTCATGACAGGCTCTGCAAGCTCCATCCACCCGAAGTCGAAACTCTGGCCATATGTTTCCCATTCTTCGTGTTGTGGCCACCTGCCGATATTTGTGGAAAACTTAATGTACTAATAATACATAAGAAAAATATCCGAAACAAATACAGGCGTGCACAGGTGAATTACACAGCATCCCAGGCACAAAACAAAGAGTAGATAGAAAAAGGAGTTGAAGACAATGGATCCTAACTAATATAAACAAAACTTCGCTCAAGTTGAACTTGGATTGTAACAAGCTTGCCCAAGTCTGAGAAAAGATGACAAGTTGTAAAACTTAGTGAGAGTGCACATTCCAAGACACTTCCACAAGAATTGTGCAATAGTAAGAAATCGAAAAACAACGAAGAACCACACCAGGCCAATTAAGTTACAAGAAAAGACTAGCTCATCGATGCTATAAATGACACAGAAAAATACAACCACAAAGATATGTCGTAGAACATGCACAATCCACTCAGCAGAAAGCAACAAGCCCCACTAACAAGGACACACAGACAATATGAAAGCACAGGTAAGACACAACAACCTTAAAAGGGCTTCAAACAACAACATGACAATGGCATAGGTAAGATTCTAACAAATCCATATTGTAAGATGTTGTGCAGACAAACTCACACAGCATAGCTCAATAAAAGATTTAAGAAATGTAGAGTTCAGATCAATAGCTTCTTCTAGAAAAATCAGCACATGCAAGTCTAAGGAAAATTTAAACCATTGAAAACTAATCAAAACCACTAGAAATTAAGAACATTTTTAATACTGTGTAACAAAGGAGTAGGTTTATCCTTCATTTGGAGAAATAACCCCAAAAATATATGCATAGTCTTTAACCAGCATATCCACATTCAATACGACAAACTTCACATCAGCAAATCGAAAAAAATAAGACTTCATAGATATAGGTATATACAAGTCCAAATAATTTGGTCATATTCCCAACACCAGACAAACTCCTGACATCACCCGGCACTCACATCTTGTCCATCGACTGCAGTCAGCAAACAACCCAACCCTCAACATGCCCAATGTTGGTGTGCATGTAATTATCCATATGCTCTAACCTGTAATGCTTTTACACATAGCCTTACACACCATTTTTTTAACCTTTAATTTTTTATTCCAACCTATGACATCAAACAATAACATTTACTTCAACTAAACCTCAATCACACATCATCATTACAAACTCAAATTACAATCTAACATCAATCTCAACATTTTCAAATTTTTTAGAGGAAAAAAAAACCTCCAACTTCCAATCAAACGCACCCAAAACATATGTAAATAAACCGAAAGTATTTAGAATATTCAACACCAACTAGAGAGTTCTAAGCTTAATAAACTGCACTATACTTGACCTTATTAGTTCAAGGAAACTGAAATCAACTGTTGCCCATTTTCTATCAAAAACTACTTAGAAGAGAATATCCACTTGGCCTTGTTTGAGCTCAATATCAAAATTTTTCTGTGGTGATCTCAAAACATAAATATTAATTACGGGCACAGACACGGATCGTTAGTTGTAGATCTGTCAGGCACACTACTTCAAGCACATTCAACCAGTGAAGAGAGTAACTTAAATAAGATGGAGGAAAGGCACATTACCTTATAAAGTAGCCATGTTCAGCAGCAAGTCCTAGCTTCTTGCAAGGATGAAACCAATTACTTAAGCTGTCCCTGCCTCTTCCGCTCACCGTAAATACTAAATTTTTGGGATCATCACATAGTTTGTTCAAGAGAGACAGAACGTGGGGACTTGGAGTCTTGCTGATTAAATTTTGAGGCATGAGTGTTCCATCATAATCTAATAATATAGCTCTGCTTTTAGCCCGACAATAAGCTGCAACAATATCATCTACTGAAAGCTTTCTAAAGTTTGGATCCAATGCCACCACCCGAAAACCGAAACCAAGACCAATTCCCCAGCATCTTTTCCTGAAGTGATCAGCGCATGTTCTCTCCAAATCTTGGAAGAAACTTCTCGACCAAAAAGCTACATCATGCGTGCTAACATATCGGTAATGCTTTTCATGCCGCATCTCCTTTTCTGATTCAGCCATTGATATGGCCTCATTCATTGCTTCGGCAGTTGATTCAACATTCCATGGATTAACACGAATTGCACCACTTAAAGAAGGCGAACAGCCAATGAATTCAGAGACCACTAGCATGCTCTTTTTAGGCCCACTCAAATCAGAGCCGGCTTCTGCACCCGAAACCCCTTGTCTGCACACAGTATATTCATAAGGTGTCAAATTCATCCCATCCCGAACTGCTGTGACCACGACACATTCAGCAATACTGTAGTAGGCCATTCTCTCACTAATGGACAAAGGCCGATGGATAAGCACTATAGGTTGATATCCCGAACTTCCAAGCTCCCGGTTGATTCGATTGCAGCTCTCCTCTATTTCAGCCTGTATTTCGTCCAAATCTATCCCTCTCCCTCTAGCAGGATTTGCAATCTGGACAAGTACAGCCTTCCCATGCCAATTCTGATGCTGCTTGAGCAAGTTCTCCATGGCCAAAATCTTCAAATTGATACCTTTAAATATGTCCATATCATCAACTCCTAACAACACGGTTTTACCTTTAAACTGCTCCTCTAACTCTTCAACCTTCAGTACTTTATCTGCCTGTCTCATCACTGATTCAATGTGACCCATGTGTATTCCAACAGGCATAATCTTTATGCCTACTGTCCTTCCATAATAATCCAACCCTATGTAGCCCCTTTTCGATTGATATTCCAATCCCAGCATACGACTGCAGCAGGAAAGGAAATGGCGAGCGTAATCAAAGGTATGAAAACCAATAAGATCAGATAGAAGCAGAGCCTTGAGGATTTCATCTCTTACAGGAAGTGACCTGTACAGCTCAGACGAGGGAAACGGGCTGTGAAGGAAAAACCCCATTCGCAAACGAATGAAGCGCCTTCTCAAAAATGTGGGCAAAACCATCAAATGATAGTCATGAATCCAAACATAATCATCCTCAGGATTCAAAACTTCAATAACTTTCTGCGAGAACAGCTTGTTGGCAGATACATACGCTTCCCACATTGAACGATCAAATCGACCCCCATGATCAGCTGAAAATGGTAACATATAGTGGAAAAGTGGCCACAGCTGCTTCTTGCAAAAACCATGATAATACTTCTCCAATAAATTAGGCGGTAGAAAAGCAGCGACACATTTAAATTTATCCAGAAGATAGCTGGCTACATCATCCTGCTCTATGGGATCAACATCAACAGGCAAAGAGCCAACATATAAAACCTCCATATCCTCCGGCAACCCATCCTTAACCCGCAGAAGTAAGGAATCCTCATTCCAGCTAAAGCTCCACCCTTTATTGTCCGGCCTCCGTTTCGCCTTCAGAGGCAATAGGTTTGCAACAATAATAATTCTCTCACCGGCTACTGAGGACTGGTTCTCTGATGCAACACTACTAGCTTGTTCATCATCAAGCTCAGTAATATTCCCGGGAACCGTCATCACCCTCGGAAAACGCTTCTTCTCCCGACCCATTACGGGGAAATTCCCCGACGCCAACTCCAAAAGATTTGTATAAGATCTGGACATCATCTTTGCAAGCTTCCTTTCAAACTCCCCCCAAAAATTACCTAATTCGGCCCCCAAATCTAAAACCCTCAAATCCAATCTCTCTGATCTCTCTCTCTCTATATTCTCCCTATACAAATGCTATATTCAGCCAAATCCTTCACTACCAGCTGCATTAAGTTAAACAAACAAAAATAAATAAATAAAATGATTCATACCCAGCCAAATCATTCATACAACTAGAAAACCTTAGATTCAATTCCAAACAAACAGACAATAAATCCAAAAACTTCAGCTAATCGAGCTAAATCATCGAATCAAAAAGAGCTCCCGAAGCTACCCACCGCGGAAACCCTCGTGCATCAGAAAGAAATAGCACAATTCTCAAAAACCCTAGTTTTTCAATTCGATTTGAAAGCAACCGTAAATTGAGATTGGAGTAGCGACCGAGTGGCTGACCTCAGTGAGTCAAATTTCGGGTTGCAGGTAGTCCGAAAGATTCAAGCTTGAGAGAGGGAGGGTTTCCCAGAGGTTTGGTTTGGTTTGGCCGCTGCTGGATACAAAGGAAGAAATAATTAATACTAGTAAATCCGGAATTCGATAAACAAGATTTAAAGAATCGGCGGTCGCCTTCAACCTGTAAAAAAGAAAAGCAATGGACGTGAATATTCAGAGGAATAATTAAATTTATTATTGCATATAAGTTTAAAATAAAATTGAATAAAATAAAATTGGAATAGAATAATATTGAGATAAAAAGATGCCATTCCACCCACACCCTCACCCTCACCCTCACCCTCACCCACCTTCTTCGAAACTTCAATTTGCCAAAATGAAAGAAAGAAAGAAAGCAGGCGAGATAAAGCGGCGACCTTTATGTATATATAGGGCAACGGAAAGGTGCCGAGACGCCACCCACTGTAGCTACTAAAAGTTGCCAGTAAACAATTTCAGTTTTTTTTTTTTTTTTTTTTTTTTTTTTTTTTTTAAAAAAAAAGAGAATTTAAAATTTATTGGTTGTAATTTGAAAATAATTTAAAATTATTTACTAATATTTTATTTCAATAGTATTTTGATATAATTTTTATACATAAAAAAAAAAAATTAAAATTTCAAAATAATTAATTAAATTTTTATTTTTGTTTACTCTATCTTGCTCTATGATTATAAGTTAAATAACAATGAGGTGGAATTATGCATTCATTTATGGTGTGTTTATTTGGGGGATTGGATTAGGTTTACACTCTTTATCTAATTCTTTCCAAAAAAATCAAATCAAACACCAATTTTTTATTTTTTATATTATACTAAAAAATCAATTTTGCATTCAAAACATCACGTCAACATTATTTATATCACATCATACAACTATTCAAATTCAAAATTTTTACTATTCAAATTCCAACTCAAAATCCAAACCCCTCAAACAAATACACCCTTATTTCATAAACATATATACACGAAGCAAATATATTTATATTTTTATGTGAATTAAGTGATCCAGTAACAATTAGGTAATGTGATTATAGAAAAGTGTATACATATATTTTATTTGGATGATGTGAAATAAAATATAGTCATTTATTTTATATTTTAAAATATTGTTGGATAATTGAAAAATGTTAAGGAAATAAAATATTGTAAGATATGTTAACTATATTTTTAACATAGAAATAATATGTTCATTACTTTTGGGATTTTTTATTTTTGGTGAAAAAAGAGAAATGGTAAAATAAATCAAACCTATGTGAGAGTAATCTGCGAGAGAGCAATTATTCTATTGAATGTGCAATCACTGGTAAAATAATATATATATATATATACCAAAAAAAATAATAGTTTATAATTTATTGATTGGTTGACAACTTTGTTGAAAAATACTATATTTAAAATTGAAATAGAAGTTAGAAAAATCATGCTTTCTCCGTTTCATAAAAATATATCCATTTGCTTTTTGCAGAAATATTTATATTATATTGGGATATAGTAGAAATAAAATATAAATGGCTAAAATAATATAAAAGTAATAGTTTGTAAGTTGTAAGGGTATTTGTAATGTTAGTTAGATTATACAAGAAATTGATACTTTGTTATGAGACGGACTAAAATGAAAAAATAAATACTTTATTACGGGACGGAAGTAGTATAAAGAATACAAATAATATATACTGATTGTGAAATAGTGATCAAACATTGATTGAAATAAATAGACAATTCACATATGTAGTTTTAATCTACACAGAGTGTTATTTGAAATAAACAAAAATGATTAAGAATATTATGAAATTAAATCATTCATGAGCACATTTATATAAATATGTAAATAGTTATGAAATTAAATGATTTAAAGGTATTGAATTTTTTTAACATTGACCATACTCAACACATTGAATTTTATACTTAAGACAAATAATATACTTAAAAATCAATATTGACAAGTTTTTTCAATAAAATTCTAAAATGGTGAAGAATGAATCAAAGCAAAAGCTACTAATAACGAAAACATTATTGTCAACACCAAAATAATTAATACAAGTCTATTATTGAGTGTGTTTGATTTTTATTATATATTAAAAACAATGCTATTATTTAGTTCTTACAATTTCTAATAATATATATATATTTTATAAAATATTACATTGAAATATTAATTAAAAAAATCAAATTCCAATTCTAATTCAAGTAAAAATCAAATAAAGAATTTTCAACAAAATAAATATTAATTTATATAATGCATACATCATATATGTATTTTATTTTAAAAAATACACTATATATTTTTTTTTTATTTATAATGTGCGAACCAGCCATGCCCGAAAGTGCGTATTGAGTAATATAGTGATGATTAAACTTCATACAATTTAGAGGGAAGGTTTAGATTAGATTGATTAGTCTAATGTAACTTATTTTATCAAATTTAATTTATAAATTATTAAATTTAATCAAAAATACCTAAAGCACACTTGAAAGAATAGCTACTACTATATGATAAAAAAAAAAAAAGGAAAAATTGAAAACATGACCGTGTTGTAAAATAAAAGCTATTTGACTTAGTGTTTGACCATGGCGGACCTTTTTACAATATAATAAAAATTTAATTAATATTTAAATATACAGATATAATGCTAATAACATAGCAATTAGCATACACTATCATGCTATTGCTATTTGCTAGTTGACTCTCACTGCGTTTGACTTGCGTAAATGAATAAATAAAACATTTCAACTCCCAATCAAATACCCATTATACCCTTCCGAACCTCACCTACCTGTGAGGCTAAACCCGTAATTACATATCAAGGCAAAAGCGCTATGATATATCAGCGACTTTTGTTAATTTTATCATTACTACACCGCCCCAACGGCCAACCCGAAACCACGCTTTCCGAGAAGTGTCGGAGTCATTAATAAGTATCCCGGGAGCATCGCACCCGGTCCTTGCTGTCGTTTTATTTTCTGGCCTCCGAATTTCGCTCGCCTCTGTCTGTCCGCAGTGAAGGAAGGGAGGAAGGAATACTCTCCAATGGCGCAGTTGCTTCGGGCCGGGCTTTCGGGTCGCATATCGGGTTCTGGTGCAGGCGGAGCTGTGAGATCCATGTCCACGGCGTGGTGGAGCGCTGTGCAGCCGGCTGCCAAGGATCCGATTCTCGGCGTTACCGAAGCTTTCCTTGCCGATCCTAGTCCGGAGAAAGTTAACGTCGGCGTTGTGAGTATTTAGAAGTTGCTAAATTTGAGGAAGAGTGATTTTTTTTGGCTTTTCTATTGTTTTGCAGTTTGTTTTAAGGAGTTTTGGGAAGTCATTTTGATTAGGCGTTGGTGCTTTTGGCTGAACGTTTTGACTGTGTGTGGAGTTTGGTTTGCTTATTAATGTTCGGAGTTCTTCTGTTGTGATCTTAATTGTGGAGTTTTTGCCGAGTTGTTTTACGTCTTCGGAATTTCGTTAGTAAAACTTAAATGATGATCGAGTTGTGTTCATTGTCGTCTGATCCTGTTTTTGTGAGCTAGGGCGCTTATCGTGACGATAATGGAAAGCCGGTGGTGCTTGAGTGCGTCAGAGAAGCGGAAAGGAGGATCGCCGGAAGTCTTAATATGTGAGTTTCTGATTTTTTTTTTTGGTTCGATCCGATCTCTTACGATGTGCTGTATGATATTCGTAGTTAATACTTTCTTTGATCACTGCTACGATCGTACTTCTGTTGAAGAAATTGGCTGCCTGGACTGTTAATAGTTATGTTGGCTCGCCATAGCCATCCAAGAGTTCTGCATCAAGTCACTGAGTAGATGTCAGGCAATGCGTAATTTAATAATTTGATGCTTTTTTTTTTTGGGTGCCACTGACTGACTATGCAGTGGTCCTATGGTCGAAGCTTTTTATCTACACTTGCTATTCTGATTCCTCCTTTAGAGTAGATAGGGATACGATTGGTGGATGGTTTATTCCTTGTTTTTCAGAACACTTGAAGTAAATAAGCTATAATATCTGGAAAATGAAATTTCTAATGAGAAGGTGAAATGTTGGATAAACAAGATTTAGATCTGTGGTGTGGTGTGGAGTGGTGTTCCTTGTTTTGGTTAGAAGTACATGGATCGTGAGTTAGTGAACTTTAATTCATCAAGGGAATATCTTCCAATGGGCGGAAGCGTAAAGATGGTTGAGGAGACATTGAAGCTGGCTTATGGGGAGAATTCCGGCTTGATCAAAGACAAACGTATTGCTGCAGTGCAAGCTCTTTCGGGGACTGGTGCATGCAGGCTCTTTGCGGATTTCCAGAAGCGTTTCTCCCCTGATTCGCAAATATACATTCCTGTGCCGACTTGGGCTAAGTAAGTATTTGTTCACAAGTTGTTTGTTTCCGGTTTCAAAATTCTCTTTGAAATTGCATGAACATTTTTGTAGTTTGTTTAGATTCTTAATAGTTCGATAAATTTTTGACTTACTGAAATACTTGCAGTCATCACAACATCTGGAGGGATGCCCAAGTTCCTCAGAGAACATACCACTATTATCATCCAGAATCGAGGGGTTTGGACTTTGCTTCGATGATGGATGACATAAAGGTACAACATATCACTCTGATAGGCTGGACTGGAATTCATTTGCTTGCATGTTTTGTTGAAGAATGTAATTAGGCTTTTTTTTTTAATAAAAAAAAATCCATTTCATTTCTTTGTCACAGAATGCTCCCAATGGATCATTTTTCCTGCTTCATGCCTGTGCACATAATCCAACTGGAGTGGATCCAACAGAAGAACAGTGGAAGGAGATATCATACCAAATGAAGGTGAAACTCTTTGATTAAGTTTTGGTTTCGTAGGTATTTTCGTTGTGATTTCTTTTGAATCTCTTGTGTATATTTGCGTTGTGGACCACCGATGCATGTTGTTTATATGCAAACAAGCTAATTAGGTAATATCTTCAGGTTAAAGGACATTTTGCCTTTTTCGATATGGCATATCAAGGTTTTGCAAGTGGTGATCCAGAAAGAGATGCAAAGGCTATTCGAATTTTCCTCGAAGATGGCCATCAAATAGGCTGTGCCCAATCATATGCAAAGAACATGGGACTTTACGGTCAGAGAGTTGGTTGCCTCAGGTAATGTTCCAAATATATTTGAAATTTTCGCCTGCATTCGATTTATATACTACTAGATCGGAATCAAAATGATTACTGTAATTATCAACAGTCACTTATCAGATAATGTTCTAGAACCCGAGCTTATTTCTCTAGGCAAATGCTTAACTTAGACATCGCTACATATTTAGTCAGTTTATGCTTTACTCTCATAGTCTCATTCCTTTATCTTCATCGCAGTGTTGTCTGCGATGACGAGAAACAAGCCGTGGCAGTGAAGAGCCAGTTACAGCAACTTGCAAGGCCCATGTACAGTAACCCACCTGTTCATGGCGCCCACATCGTTTCCACCATTCTCGGAGATCCCAGCCTGAAAAGCCTGTGGCTCAAGGAAGTAAAAGTAAGTCTCTAAACTTACAGACTAACAATGCAGTGGTGGAAACACTAGTTGCACGATGTTGTGGTTAAAATTTTAATTAGAGACTGAACCATACACAATAACACAACAGTAAACCTTAAGGTTCTCCCTGATGCAAAGAGGCTTCACAATTTTGTCACTAGTTATTAACAATTGGCACTTTTTCCAGGGAATGGCGGATCGAATAATTGGAATGAGAACTGCCCTAAAAGAAAATCTCGAGAAGTTGGGTTCACCTCTCTCATGGGAGCACATAACCAAGCAGGTTCAGCTAGCTTTTCCCGGCATAAATAAATTTCATATGCTCGTGCAATTCATTAAATTTAGAGAAGCTCATAGATCGAAGCGTTTGTGGATCAGATTGGCATGTTTTGCTACAGTGGAATGACACCCGAGCAAGTAGATCGCCTAACAAAGGAGTTCCATATTTACATGACTCGCAACGGCCGTATTAGGTATAACTAACATCATTTTTGGCCCTCACCCGATAAGTACTACGGCGTGTACTCAATCTTACGATGTATGTGTGTTGTAATGCAGTATGGCTGGAGTGACGACGGGCAACGTCGGGTACTTGGCTAAGGCTATACACGAGGTCACAAAATGAGGTTAGAGGTGTGTGAATTGTTATGAAATTATGATGATGATGATGATTCTTCATTTTTGATACATAACATAACATGAGGAGACTGAATAAAATGGAATCAGGAGATGATAGCTTCCTCTTGATTTCAGAAATGTTATTTATCATTTTTGGTGGACTAATAATAATAATAATTTATGAATGAACTAACCATTGGAATTGCTTATTACAAGGTTTTTGTTATATTTGTAGTTTATATATACATTGTTTGGAGTTTCTATATATATATATATATTTAACTGTCTGAATGCAAGCAAGGAAGCCTGAATGAAGTTTGAAATTTCAGAAAATTTCATAAACAATAAATAGTAGGGTGGGTCACTAGTGTAATGAAAAAATTACACATTTCACAAGGAAGCCTCATTAGGATTGATTTCACAAAGTGCATATTTTTATATGATAAAAAAAAACTTGATGTATGTGTGCAGAGTTAGAATCATGAGATAGAAAGAGAAGTCACGAAATATGTAGTAGGAACTTGACCAATTTTAAATGATAATCTTGAACCGAAATAGAATAAATAAAAAATTTGGTAAAATCATACAATATCAATTACTAAAATTCCTCCAAAAAGTCACTTGAAGGTAACGAAGTAAGTTTTGTATAAATTTTATTTATTTAAGCGTACATTTCTCATAAATATTAAAAAACATATATAATATACAGATATTAATACAATATATATATATAGTTTATTAATTTATAAAAAATCTAACAATTGTTTGTTTTTATATTATCTATAGTATTCCTGTTCTCCCCATCCGAATTCTTGTTTTATTATTTCTGTTTGTTATAAAATATCATGTCACTGTAAATTATTATTATTATTACAACACAAATATCACCAAGTGAAAAGGCTAGGGTAGCAGTGTAGCAAGGGAAAAGACACTTGAGTTGCTACATCGCATCGCATCATATAGATTGATAATAAAAATAATAATAGCTAGATATGCAATGAAATCTGAAAAGCAAAGTAAGCTCAGCATTAAAAACAAATCAAAGAAAAGATAGGATTTGGGTACAACAAAACATACTATGATTATGACGATGAAGATAAGAATGAATCAGCAAAATTTGATCATTGCTGCAATCTGTTGATGCGATCGGCAGCCATCGACAGGGATTGTATAGATACGCGGAAGGAACTTCCCATCTGCACAATTTCACCACACATCACATTTTATTATTCCTTTGATCAGAGATAGATCTGATTCCCAGTATGCATTGCATGCTATTATTGCTAACAAAAGAAGAATTAAAACATGCATGCCCAAGGCTTAATACAATTCATTCAACAGACCGCCAATGGCACTGTGCAAAAGAATGGACTTCGGTTTCCGATATGTAACAGAAAAGTTTACACAAAACACTTGTAGTACAGTAAAAAATCTTATATCACCAGCTGTGCTTCATTTTTATTATCAGAGGTTTGATTTGTGAATAAAAATGGCATATGGAACTAGGAATTAGTAAAAATGATTTAAACTTGAGAAATATTTATATATTTATGAAGTTTTGAATGCCGTAACACTAACATATTTTAGTGTTTGCATTCTAATCTCAAGTTTCTCTGAGTAACAAGTATAGATTTCATGAAACATAACAAGTTATGCTATTATAACCCATTTGCAAAACCTGCCTTCTCATAATTAGAAGCAACCACGGTTATGTTATGTTTATTCATATTTGAAATCTATGTGCAACGATATTATCACGGGATACCAACTATGGACTAAATTAATAACCAAATGCTACTAGGATTGAGATGTAATGATTCCACTCGCATTGTAGAGAAAAAGGGGGAAGAATATGCTTTTTCATTCGAAGAGAATACACACACACAAACACACACATATATACATATATATATAGGTAATGCTAGATAATCTATCTAACAAACAAATCTAATATCTAATTTAGAGCAGCAACACACAGAAATCTAATTTATAGGCTTACCGTACTGCAGATATGGAAGGAATCGATATACCCAGCAAACTTGGAACCTGCAAATAGTACAGCAGGAAATTTGATTAAGCAGTAGAGCAGTTATAAACCTCCTACCAACACTGACTTATGCTATCTTAGGCACAATTAAGCTACTCATGATAGTTCTCATTCAGTTTTAAGAGCAAGCAGTTCACTTCCTATAAAAATACAGCCATTGGATGTAATTATCCTTCCATCATAAAGTACACGAATTTAACGAAAATAGAATAGTTTATCCTGCAGACAGATATGGATAATCACAGAGTTAGGCATAGTGTCATACTTCCTTCCATCAGGAAGTAAGATCCTTGTTTCAAATGTATAATCAGGAAACAATTGTAGAACCCATACAGCCTTAATATCGTTACACTTATTAGCTGCTTGGCAGATGATATACACATTGTGCATAAAAACATACCTAATATGTAAAAGGGCTTAATCAATCAACTCTATTTTCTACTTTCTTTCTCCTGAAGGGCTTGCTGGCAATACATATCCACTTGGAGATTCACAAATTGGAAATAGAAAACTCACTCAACATTCAAGACATGAGAAGGATGGTCGAAAAACGAACTTTTTCCATCCATATAAGAATAAGTAAAATGAGACTGGAAACATATAATAAAATTCCAGAGCTAAGTCAGATAAATGTAAACCAAAAAAAAAGTATCCTCAATGCCAAGAAATCCATCCATGCGTAGTTTCCATATTATAATTTTTTTGGAACTTCTAGAAATAACCCTATTTCAAACATTTACAATGATATAATTAACAAACATGGTTTGCCACAACATCATTTATTATAGTGAACTAGTAGCATGAAAAAACTAGAAATTGTACAATCATACATATATAAAATTAGTTTCCAACGAAGATTCATCCATCCAGAGTAAATAGAAACCAGTGAGTGGCCAGTTCTACTGCAAAAGAAATAGCATACAATGAAATTGAAAATGCAAAATGGAGCTGACTTACTTTTTTTCAAACCAGCTGGCTTTGCAAGCAAAAGAGCATTTACAAAAGCACCAACATTTTCCCTTAAAGCATCCTCGGAAAAACTAAGCTGCAAATTGTATGTTATTTACAATCGAAGTATTAGAAATAAAACATGTGTATGTGAACAAACAATCACAAATAGAATAAAATAGAACGGTAGAACACAATCATACCTTCCCCAATCCTACATGTACAATCGCAGTTTTGTCTTTCTTGAATTGAACACTCTGCTCTTTTGCTTCTTTGACAGCCCGAGATATATTATTGGTCAAAGTACCTTTCTGCACTTTGACAAGCTCATTAGATATTTCTACAATTTTTGGCGAATTAAACAATAAGGTGTTGACAGGAAAATATATAATTACATATATATATATATATATACACCTTGGTGTCTGGCATTAATTGTTTAAGATTTCTTGATAACTGCACAAGATAAAACAGTTAGACAAACGTTGAGTAGAACATGCTAACTGCAAAGTAGATAAATTTAAAACAGAAACCTTTTTCACATGCTCCATCATGGATGGAGTAGCAATACACTTGTCAAAATCTACTTTGACTTGACCTGCATGTAATCAAAACCACTATTCCCATCAAAACCCACATTCATAGACTATTTTACACATTTCTTCTAGAATTCCAAAGGAAAAAGAGCCCTGATCCAAGATCTATTCTTTTGAGTTGCAAACTCGTAACATAATGAAGTATAACAGGAAAAGAACAAATAATGGCAATAGCAGTGAACTTTGATAATTGGTTTAGCTTTTGGATGCCAGAAACAAGCACAATCCAATGATTCTCAGAAAAATTATGTGTTCAATAACTTGTCAAATGCCAATATAGTTCCAACAAGGACACAATCAGAGCAGGGTATGTTTATCACATTAAATGCTCATAACTACTCAATATAGCAATATGGTGTCACAAGAACAATAGTTCATCACCTGTTCGGATATTCTCCACCAGCTCAGGGCCGCCAACAATATCGGCCCCAGCTTCTGTGGCCTCATCTGCAGCAGCTCCTTCCGCAAAGACAGCCACCCGATATGTCTGATAAGATCTTCAGCCATCAGATAATACAATATGGAAGCAAATATAGAATTGGTGAATATTTATATGGTCAAATCATACAGCATCATACCTTACCAAAACCATGAGGAAGGCGCACAAAACTATTAAGTTTCTGCAGTTCAGAAAAAGAAATGTTTAAAGATGATCCTCCTTGTGACATTTTACAAGCATGTGCCAGTTTCGTAACTTAGGATCCAAAAAAAATAAAATTCAATTCTTGCCAAATGTCATTTTACAATGATTTAAGTCATTTCTTACAGAAACTAGCCACCGAAAGAAGACTATTATCTTCAGTCAGCCTATAAATGATCAAAAGATCTTGTCCAGACATTTCTAATAATCAATAACGAGCTTATAACTAATATTCTCCAGGTTATTAAAATTTGTAATACCAAACCTAAAGAACTTGTCCCCAGCAAAAACTGAAAAGGGTGCAGTTTGATATCACTACTCAATCAGAAGCACAGCACATAGATCAGCTGCCTAATATCTAAGAATACATTTAATAATATGCAATGTAGAAGCAGAAGCAGAAGCAGCATGTAGCACAATATAAAATAGTGGAAAGGCAACACAGTCAAGTCGAACAAAGAAAAGAAAAGCATCCTGTTAAAGATACAAAATAAATTTCGTTGCCAGATGTACACTACAAGAAGCGAGGTATGCCTAAACTATTCAATCTCAAAAGCTCAGTGATCGCAGAAAAAGTTAATTTCCATATGCCCTCAGTTATAGAGCACCCGACTGTCCTTGAAATTATCATACAAGAAACAAGTGACAAACATACCAGATCAGTTCTTCGCAATTCCGGGGTCATTTTAACATGAGCTTCGAAAGTTTCATCGAAGGTTATTCTGGAATTACCCTGAGCAATTGCAAACATGTCATCCATCATATGAAGTTACTAATATGAAGACTTAGGCAATGAAATATGTAATCATATAGAAACTGTAATACCTCCTTAAACCACCCACCAATTTCACGTCAATTACATACAATATTACATTAATTAACTTAATGATTGCATTTCATTCCTAAAATTCTCAAAAAGCAAAGACTGGGTATATTTCACAGATTTCTTCCTATAGGAAACAAATCTAAATACAAAAAGAACTGACCTTGACGAGCTTAATAGCCTCCTTGAGATCGTATATAGCCTTACTTTTTTTCTTACTGCTTTCATCGTTATTCTCCACCTTAATCAGCTTGGGAAACGGCAAAGCCCTATCTTCCTCCTCATCTGCAAATCTGTGCACTACCCGCCGCCTGTACTCGTCAATATTCCTCCTCTCCCTCTCCAGCTCCGCATTCCCATCGCCCTTCTCCTCCTCCTTTTCCGACGCCGGCACTGGTGCCTCGGGCAGCGGCGCAGTCCGCGCGGCGTATGAAACCGGCGAAATCGAAGGGGCGTCCTTCATGTACCGCATTTCATCTCGGGTCCACGATCGAGCTTCCGGGGGAACAGCCGACGACGCCGCCCTTTCAGGAGGAGATTCCTCGTGAATTTCCTCGGCGACTGGAGGTTTAGGCTTAACTGGATACGAAACGGGCTGGATAGGTGTTGATTTCCGAGCATCGTCGCTGGGCTCGGGATTGGGAAGCGGTTGCGCCGGTTCGTTGGAGAAGCGGCGGCGGAGAAGAGAAAGGAGGTGCGGTGGCGACGGGGACAAGCGGCGGCGGCAACCAGTTTGAGAAAGCATCAAGTGTCTGAATGCCGCCATTGTTGCGTTGGGAAGGGAAGCGCTGATCTGAAGAAGAGCACTGTGCAAAATATGGAGTGGGGTTTTAGTTTTAACGAGAAAAAGGGTTTTGTATTTTTTCCTGTCTCTCTCTGAAGACCCATTTTAAAAACAATTTCTAAAAATAATTTTATTTCTCTTAAAAAAGGATGAAAAAATATATTTTTTTATTAAGAAAAACTATAATATATATTTTTTACGACAGTAACGACACAGAGAGAGTATAATGCACTAATTACATTAGAATAATATTTAAATAAAAAAATTAAAATCAACACTAAAACCTCATAATTAAGTTATTGTTATTATTATTATTATTATTTTAAACATGAAGAGAGTATAATAACTGCCATGAGCATTGAGAGTCAAAACAAATTGTGAACTATGTATTGTTATGGATGCCAACTCGGTGCGTTCGGGATAGATTTTGCAGGCTCGAAACCCCGAAAGCTCCAAGTTCAGAGCTTACCCAATTTTTCTTTTAAAATTTTTAAAAATAAATTAAAAATATAATTTATTTTAATAATTTAATATTTAAAAAATAAGTGTTAAAGCACTAAATAAATTTTAGTTGGTAGTCTACAGTAACAGTGGTAGAGAGGCGTTGTTGCGAAGAGAATTAAAGAAAGAAACGTCAAAAACAAATTTAATTTAAGAATTAAAATTTCATTTTATATTTTAATTTTAAATAAATATATAATTTATATTATATATATATTAATTTTAATAATTATTACAATATTCGAGTTCGGTCCCGATCCGGAATGGGCTGAATTTTTAATAAAGCCTGCAATCTGCCCCGAACCCGAGTTTAAAATTTAAAATCCATGTCCCGCCCCAAAACAATTTTTTTTAGACCCGAACCAGCCTCATTGACATCCGTATATATTGTTGATTGGTAAAATAATTGATACTCCATTAATAATATCTTACATAGATCTTTGGCTTTAACCAACTCAGTATATAAACCTTTGCACAGCAATTCTTCCCGCTAAGAAAGTCTCTATGGCCAGAGTTGAACGTCAGATGGCTATTTTTTTGAACTTGGCAATAAAAAGGCCACTGGTAGATGATGTCAATGGATCAAACCTTAGTGTCTTTTGTATTCTTGCTCCACCACACGGCCAATTCTTGCCCGCTTCTATCTCCACCAATTCTGTCACCAAATACACACAAATATGACTCACTATCAATTTCCCAGAAACAAACATATTTATAGATTATGAGGAACGATGAAACAGGACCTACCAGCAGATGCATTTTGCGAAAGGAATTTCTCTACCACATCTTCATTTTGAGCAACTGTCAAGCTGTTCATTCAATCACATGGTGAAAACAAAGCTCGCAGTTAAGAGCAATCACAAAAAAAAAAAGACTAAAAGCTTGCTTTGCAAATATCAGAAGATTCTTCGAGAGGCACCTGCAGGTGCTGTAGACAAGGGATCCGCCTACTTTGAGTAATTTGAAGCCATTCGTTAGCAACTTTAACTGCAAGTAACCTTCTTTTAGCATAAGAACACACACAGAAACTGAAGTGAAAAAATGACCAAAAAAGGGTAAGGTGGACATTTGTTTTAATTTCTTGATGCATTTGAATTACTAAACAGATTTCGATGAAAGTTTTAAAAGGAGAGCAATGTGAACTCTGCCAAAAACTACTATGCTTTCCCAAGAGTCCAAAATCAAAATATTGTATCTGTTAAAAGATGTAGAAAAGATAAAACTATACGAAACAAATCACACACTTCCTTTCAAAGCCTAGGCAAACTAATAACTGATATAAGGTCAGACGATATTATAGTTTATGTTAAGAGTTAGACAAGGAAAGAATGACTGAGTTTACTTAGATTTAATCGTGGCACAAGGTTGACGACTCAAGGGTGGGCTTCTGTTTTATTTTATTTTAATTTATATTTTAGTCTTTTATTTAATATGTCTTGAGTCCATGTAAATAGGCATATATGTATTCATCGAATCCTCAATAAAGTTCACTATTTTTTCCAATGTTCAATCAATAACAATCAGCCCTCACAAGAATAATTTTAAAATGACAAATTGTGGAATGAAGAGGAGAAGATATGCATACCTGAAGAGCTGTCAAGTCATCAGTTCTTTCAGCATCAAGTACTCGGCGTGAAAGTGTCTCCCATCCCCATTGCTCAAATTTCTGGATATGTTTAATTGAACCATCGTGTGTGCATTCTGCATCCACAAGGACCTGAACTAAATTACAACTACTTGGCAGTCTTTTCGGAGAATATAAGACAGGATAGTAAAAAAATAAATTGCAAGAAGAGAACCACGGACTATCACATACCTTGTCATAGCCAAACAGTGAAAACTCATGGTCCTTTACATCTTGGTAAACATCACTTTTACTGAAACCAGCAACCCCAGAATGACGCCCGTAGAATATCAACTCTGGATCTTGAATATGTAATGATTTATCAGATGTAATATTCTTCTTCCTAGAATTAGCTATCCTCTTTCTTTCTTTCCAAGGTTTCTTAGAAGTCCACTCCTTGAATATCTCAAAATTTTCTTCCAACTCAGCATTCCCTATTGAAGATGATTTTCTTTCATGTTACAACAACCATAATGTCGAACACTAGAACGATTTCAAAATAGACGAAGTTAACTTATTTACCACATTCAATACATGATTTAGATTTTTCCAGAACCCTCGTTGGAATAAGGGAGAATTTTGTTCCATCAGCAACAAAAAGTCGACATCTTTCACCAAGCTTGTATTTTTGAAGCATAGTTCGAGAAGCTGCTAATCGATGCCTAGAGATATCAACACCAGTTACAGAACCTGAACCGCCAAGAAGGTCCAAGATCATACAAAGTTTAGCTCCTGCAAAACAGACAGGACAGATAAAGCAAAGGGCTGTTGAGGAAATGCATATGACCGTGAGAACTGTTTCTGCCACAAACTTTTTAGAGCATGTGCAAAAGAATGAAATTTTAATCAAAATTAGGTGATACGATTTTCCATATAATATAATGTGTAAGAAGCACATACCTGGGGCTGCACAGAGATCAAGGACATGGTCTCCCGGTGACACACCCAGAGCTGAAACAGCAGCTCCAGAAGCAGCATCTATGCCGTATACCTATATGATAGAACCATATGATTTTATTTATTTAGTTTTTAAAGAGGTATTTTTTGAAACATTTTTGTCAACTTTCATTAACATGTAAAGTCTAGTGCGATAACTTGCCTATTGGGGTTGAGAGATGGTGAAACAAATAGCCAATACTTGTGATGGAAAACAATGCAATAGCATAATAAAAATATAACCAAAGTACTGGATGCACATGCCGCATTTGGACCAAAATGTTTTTTGAGGTAAGCAATAAGATACAAGTACCATCAAAATCTCGTGCACCGTATGGATTTATTCCCCTTTTGCTCATACTAAAATCCTAAGTCCCAAGATTGTGACATTCCACACTAAGTTTGTCATTGCATACTTCTAGGAGTGTTTTTAACTTTCAATTGCTCGAGAAAACTTCTAACAAAGATTTTATCTTCCCAGTTCCCGTTACATAAATTTAGGGCCAATCATGCATTATCATCTTCTCAATTCTTGCCATATATTATGCAGGCATGCGCGCACACACACACATATATATGAAAAACCTTGTCTGTCATAAAAGTGTTTTCGAAGTTATCATCTTTTTCCTCACGTGCAAAGAAGAATTAAACCAAACAATATCCATTGCAAGACATCCAACTTCATATATACCATCGAGTAAGAACTAAACATCCACATTTATCACCTGTCCTTCTTGATAGGCCTTTGTGCTAGCTATTCCAACATCAGGTGGAAGACAATAAAAATTTGGCAGCCAATACACTTCTCTAAGCTCACAGTTAATTTCAGCTTCAATTTCTGAAATCCGATCTTCACACCCTGGTTTTAATCTTCCAAAAAAAAAAGAGTAAAAATAAGATACATTATCACAATCTTCCATATAGCAAAACTACAGATTTTATCCCAATCTGTAACAACAAATTAGCACTCCACGTCCTACTTCAAAAGGTGTCGCCAAGATCACAATTCATTAATCAATAAACAAATAAGTTCAATTTCCAAAACGAAGCACCAATAACGAAATCAACAAATAAAGAACACACAAACATACCCGGGCTCAGAGAACAAAAAATTATTCTCCCGAATATTAGAAACACGCACCTAATGTAGCGAGGGATGGATTGAGTAGCAGCATAAATTGAAGGATCCAAACCATTCTGGTTGAGAAAATTCAGAAAGGCTTCCGGTAGCGGTAGGTTGGAGGAACTTTCCATCACCACCTCCTCATCCCCGGTCTGAAGCATATGGCGAGAATTAGGGATAAAGAACAAAACCGAGGAAAAGTTTGCGCTGATTGCATCAAAATACAACACGGTGGCGGAGCGGCAGCAGGCGGCGGCGGCGGCGGCGGGGGTTTTCCCCTTAATTGTCCAGGCACAGTTCCATTTTTTTTTTTTTTTTTCTATAAAATAAAATCAAAATTTGTTTAACAAAAAATTATGGAAAAAATAAAAGTATGGGGTCAAAATGAACTGAAGTTGAAATTAAGGGCCGAGAGTGAAATAATGATAAATATAAATTATTAATCGATCAGTCTGATAATTGAGATTGACCGACGCAAAACTTACGTAAACAGTTGGCCGCCGGGCGAGGGAATCATGGAGGAGATAAACTGAGTGGAAGAAATCCGTCGAGAATTTGATGATGATGAAATGAGCAAATTCTTACTCTGCGCACTTGTTTTCTGCTGTCTGACCAATCGCAGCTGTTCGGTCGTCCAGCTCAAATCCGTTTACACTTCGTTCCCGGACTCCCCTGCCAGATTCAGTAGGCACTACACGATCGATTTTCTCGTTTCGGAATTTGATAGTGACTTGTTATTTTTATCTGATTTTATTTCATCTTTTTTGCAGCTGGAGGATTGAACGGCAGTGCAATCTGCGGGGATTTGCGGTTGGCGGATCCAATCGACGCCTGTTCGCCGTTGCTGAATGAAGTCGAGTACAGCGAATCGGGGAGTGAGAGGATTGCTCTAATTGTGAGAGGAGGATGCGCGTTTGAGGAGAAGGTGAGGCATGCGCAGGATTCGGGGTTTCGAGCGGCCATTGTTTACGATGATGAGCACAATCAGGACCTCATTTCAAGTAAGGCTTGTGCTTAGCCATTGCTATGGTTGGATGAAAATTTTGAGGTTTTTGACTGTGAATTTGGTGTGTTTTTGTTAAAAGTTCATCTTCATCTTCCTTCTAGTGATGTCTAGGTTTTGTTCGGATTTGAAGGATAAAATAAATGCCAAATAAACCTAGAAATCTACAAGGAACCAGAAAAACTAATGAAAAATGTATGGAATGATAAATCAAGGGCGAAACCATTGAAGTATATATTACACGTAATAAAAAGCAAGGCATTATGATAATTTGTTAGGATGTAGGAACAATTTCAATGTCCATTCTCTATGGTGTATACTTCCCCAGTGTTTGAGTCGAAATCATTGAACCAACTTTTAATAGGTTTCATGGCAATGTTCCTTTAATTTTAAGCTTCTTCATCTGCTAGTGATTAAGTGTCAAAGGGACAATATTATCTGTAAAATTAAGTGTCGGGATACCTGGAGTTTCTAGTGATTGCCCATTTTCTCTTTGTTATATTGAATATCATGTTGCAATTTCCGATTCGGTTTGGGGTTGCAGAGCATAATGGCATTGTTTCTTTTCTTGATGAAGCAGTGATGGGGAGTTCTGAGGGAATATGGATACATGCCGTGTTTGTGTCGAATGCAGTAGGGGAGATCCTAAAAGAGCAGGCTGTAGCCAAGGGAGGCGAGTGTTGCATAGCGTCGTTTCTTGATGAAACTGCCTGGACAGTGCTGGTTATATCGTTTATTTCTGTCCTTGCAGTAATAACCCTACTGGTTATGGTCTTCTTCTCGTTCAACCACAGGTGGAATCATATTCAGCAGCCGGGGCCTATTGTTATGGAAGGCGAAGAAGTGGATGTTATTCCCTGCATCATGTATTACTCGGCTAATCTAACTGGCCATGTGGGAGAGACGTGTGCGATTTGTCTCGAGGATTACAAAGACAGGGAGAATCTAAAGCTGCTTCCCTGCAACCATGGTGAGCTTCATTCTTGTCGTGCGCAATACTTAATAATATTGATGAGCTTTGAAGTTGCTTTCTTGCAGTATTTCATGCTACCTGCGTGAACTCGTGGTTGACAAAATGGGCTACATTCTGCCCAGTTTGCAAGCACGATGCCCGGGTTGGAATCGTATCCTCAGAGTGACCAACCAAAGAAGATAGAGAGGCCTACCATGCACTGCTGAGGTTTTAGTTTCTGCGAGATTCTCTTTCGCAGCATATCAACCAGAGTCCGTCAGTTTGTCGGCTGTGCTAATTTACTAAGACTTTACTAAACCTCTCGCCTGAGATTATCACGAGATTACTGAAACAGATTTGGGTGAAGAAAAAACAATGGTACAAGGAGAGAAATCGAGGCTTCTGGGAGAAGCATGCAGTTGCTAAAAGAAGCAAATGCTAAGAATGTCTACTGGAAATGTGGCCTTGAAAGCTTGTTGCATACATGTATTTTAATGCACCTTTTTGTGTTCCAGAAGTTTTTCTGCTGTGTAGTAGTACTATTGAATGTTAGTTATTTATATATTATCCCAGAAGCAGAGAAAAGCAAAATTGATCGCTAGTCCCCCCAATGCACATTCCTCTAGTTATTATTATTTCTAATCAAATGCATTTTTTACTTCGCTGCTTCAAGTCAACTATATGTAACGTGTTTTAAAATTCAGCCAGGTCAACTATTAATAAAAAAACTTACTGCATTGAATTGTATGTTTCTTTGTACACAGATTTACCAGTAGATATGAGTTGACCCCATCACAGGAGTATTCCCATTGTGATTTTATTCAAATATCATTACTAAACAAGGGATCCAAACCACCAGCGAGCAACCCACCGTAGGGAAAAGCAATGTGTAACTTCAAGGCAACCAATATAAGAATTGACTTCAAAAGCTGCAGAAAGATAACTTACTTACCGAACAACTCGTAAAGGCTCGGGATTTCAAGAAACCACATTTCCACACTATGCTTCAGGTATAGCTGCCAGCATTCCCTGATACACAATATGTGCCACAACGTGAGCCTGAACAAAAAATGATCGGATCACTTAAGTGTAACAAATAATCTTACCACTGAACCATGCAGATGGCGTGGCTGCAGCTTCGTACTAATCGTAGCTTTAACCATAGTTTCCCACTTGACATCCTTTATAGGAGCATCTGGACCATGGCTTTGAGCAATTTTCGATGAATTCTTCGAGATGGAAGGTAATGTACGAAGAAGCCAAGAATCAGATGGAGATTTGGGTAAGGGTGGAGGAGTGAGGAGATCGGTGTTTCCCGGTAATTGGTTTTTGAGATTCTCTGTGGCTGTTTTTACAGGTTCTGTAGTTCCTGTAGTAAGCCAGGCATTTGGTGTCTCCATCATGTGTTCTCCATTTGGTTCATCGAATGACGAGGAAATAATCGAGCCATCACATTTGTGAGCATTGGGCAGGTGTTTCTCCTCTCCATTTACATCATCCAACCTTTTTGAATCAATGGCTGTTGAATCTGCTACATGGCTTCGATCGATCTTTTTAGTAGTGATCTCATGATCTTGGTCCAATCTAGGAAGTCCCGATGAGTCTTGTGTATCACTGGTGTGCAACGTCCGGTTCGGGGATTCCAGATTCTGTACGGTATCTATATAGAGAGTTTTCTCCGTGATGCAACTTCCTGAATTCGGCTTCTTTAGACTGTCCTGATCAGCCAACGCCTCCTGAAAGGATATGAGGCCCTTTCCATATTGACTTGAATCATTATCGATTGCATATTTTTGTTCTTCTGAGCCACTGAGCACTTTTGTTTCAAGAAAAGGGCGATTTGCATGGCTATATGTTGCTGTGATACGACTCTCGAATTGTTCCTTGGCATTTCTCAATGGAGTCTTTCTTTCGATGAACTCAGCTGGTTGAGCTTCTTCGAAAAAGAGATTCTTGGATATGTTGCTCTTTGACTGCTCAAACAACACAATGAAAAAAATTACACAAGCACACATAATTTAGTAAATGCACTTTAACTTGAAAACTCGGTAGCAGAAACAGAGATGTTACCTCATTGTCCATTTCACTACAAGAACCCGAGGATGACGACCTAAGCCGTGTTTTATCAGAAGATATTGGTGCTCGGGTCCTCACACTCATTCCAGGAACTGGATTTAAGCGGCCGATGGAACCCTTAAAGCAAAACCGGGGTAATAAACCACAAGCAGAAGGCAACTTTGCCTGATGATCATCATCATCATCTTCTTCACTATCTTCTTCTTCTTCCTCTTCATTTTCACAATATTCAGAATACCTCTTTGCAAAACTAGGTCCATATCGTAGCGATGGCTTGTATTGATTTACTCCTTTATCTATCTTTTTCGGTTGATCTTGAACTACAGGTTGCTTTTTAGGAGTATAATGAACTGTATCAGAAGCCATTGCCTTTGCAGCCGGGAGAAACCTATCCATCATGAACTTTTGAGCTTGTCGATCCGTCGAAAAGATTCCAGATGAGTCCACATCCAAATTATCCAATTCATGTAAGCCACTAATACTACAATTCAAGAAATTGGATTCTGTTCTCGAGAGTGTATCCAGTGCATCCACAAAAGCATCACTATCCCCAGAATCAGAACTCTCCTTCTCTACTGTCATCCCTTTACTTCTCTCAACAACTTTGATTTTTTCATCAAAGACATCTAAAGTTTTCCTCTGGTTTTCACTAGGTGGAGCAATAACGGCTTCATTCTTACCAACACTAGAACTTGTCGAAAGTTTATCACCATCCTTCTTATTAGGTTTGACATATCTCCCAGGAGGAAGCTTTGGAGGTCTATCATGGTTCTGATTATCAGGTTTTGCCTCTTCTTTAGGACGACCGGGAGTTTGTTCCCACAGAAATGGCACCAAACCAGGATTCCTAATGGGACCAGATTTTAGCTCGGATCTGTGGGGAGGAAGGCGCGGTATAGCAGGGTGAGAAACATTGGTTTTCCTAGTATCTCTCTGTTCTGGCGGCAATGCAGGTGTGCTTCTTCTTACTGATAAAAACGGTTGATCAAAATTCAACAAATTGTTCTCCATGACATTCTTCACCAGCATCAACTGCAGCAACCGATATGAACACAACTTGTTTCTTCACCTGTGGCCAACACGAGAATCTAAAATGGTTAGCTAATTTTAATACACCAACACAACAATTTTAAGTCTAATCAATCATTAAAATACCCGTTCTGATTCATTATTGCAAACCTTCAGCTTACAGAATGTGTAAGTATATATATATATATATATATTTACAACCTCGTGGCTACTGTAGCACTCGAAGGATTAAACAAACTCAGATATCCATAGCAATCTATCCACACGCACAACCACAAAAGGGTGTATACACACGCACATACAGATTAGTCTGTAAGCACTACACAGATTCCGAGGAGTTCCTCGAGCTTCAATTGAAGATTGCTATTGATCCATTCAGGGGCAACAATAATCTAAACTCCTATTTGTCACGTAAACTACACACACAACACATATTTCCAGTGGAAGAAGAGAACAGATATTCTGGGTATAGTCCTTCCATAATCTAATTGATTACCAATCGATTTTCTAAAACCAGTAACTACTATCTTAAATACACGTACACACCCACCTATTTAAGATCTGCACCTTTGACTACTCAATCTGACAAAAAAACTCATAAGATTGACAATATATTCTGCATCACTAAAAACATACTCGTTGCGAATAAATATGACGCAAAATCTCAAAATTATGCTACAATTCGACATAGTAAACTGTTAAAAGGGATCCGGCTACCAACCTAAAGCGGAAATTCAATAAAAACAGAACCACAACATCTTTCATCAATTTAAAGCTTCACCGTCCGCATTCAAAAAACTCCGACGCCGCCAACAAAGATGTGAACACAATAAATACTCCTCCAAACAAGCAACAGTAGAAACAGATAGAAATAAAAAAAAAAAAAAAAGAGCAGCAGCAGCACCTTCGCGACGGACGGCGAGGAATCTCGAAACTTGAAAGAGCTTTACAATTGAACTCACTCCTGCAGAGAATCCTGTCGAAACGCGTCGCGTACTCCACAGCGCATACTCGCAAGCTTATGGAATGATTGATTATCGTCATTAATTTTATAGTGACTCGTTTTCAGTTATTCAGAGACAGCAAAACAGTAGCTTACCATGTGACTGTATAATATATATATATATATATAAGTAATAGGTGCATGTATACATATTAGTTATACTCAGTCATGATCAAGTGGAATTTATTACTTATAAATACCTTACTATTATATTATAGGAAACTTATTTATTTTATTATATTATTGTATAAAATTTTATTTTAAACCACAATGATTATTGACAATATGTAATAAATTAAAAAATATGAATAATTATTATGCCCACTTTTAACTCTAAATAAACAAGGCTCTTTTAAAAATGAAATTTAATAAGATGGTATTTTATTATATAAAAATAATTAATTAGTGCGAGTACAATTTGTATTTTTATAACAGACGTAGTAAGGAATATATATTAGGTGGGGGGTGGGGTGCAATAAAGAATAGCAGGAATTTTGAAAATTGAGTGCATGAAAATCTGAGAAGAGTACGCCAGTTGTACCAGACGCATAAATGTTTGGACCTTAGAGAGGAGAGGAGAGGAGAGGAGAGGATCATGTGAATGTCATTTAATTATAGGACCCATAAAGTCATAGTCCCTCCTACCCCACACATGCATCCTTATCATTTCCATGCATATCTCCTTGAAATTTGAACTAATTTATTATAATTTAGTATTTTATTATTGAAATTTTGAATATAATTATTGAATATGATATTTTATAAGTTTATTTATTTTTTTTTTTTTTTTTATGTAAAATAGTTATTGAATATCATGAATTTGTTTTTATATATACTTTATAAATTCTAAGGCACATTTTTTTTTTTGCTATAAAAGAATAAATATAAATTTTACAATTAATATACTACTATAATTTTATAATATATTAGCGTATAATTACTTTTAATCATTTACAATTCAATAGGGCAAAATTTTGTACACCTCAACATTAATGTATTTGGGCATATGCTTTTGTCCCTTTGCATCTCCTTTTTTCCACTTAAAAAAGCCTCAATAATTTGCTTCTTTTTAGAAAAATAAAAAAAAAAAGTGGGAAAATAAAATAATAATAATAATAAATTTTAAAATACTATTAGAAGATTACATCTAATTTATTATTTAAAAAAAAATTACCAAAAATAAAAATAAAAAATTCTAATCATAAATTCTAATGTATTAATTGTTCCTTTTTTATCTCTTTTTTTTTTAATAATTCATTCAAATTGCTATATATATATATATTTTTTTTTTCTCTATTTTATCAAAAAAAAAATATAATGATCTAAACTAAATTAATTTTCTTGATCCAAATGCTGCATCTTTTTACAAGAAAGGAGAGAATTAATTCACTAAAACTGAACTCATTTTCTCTTTAATCTTTTTTACATTCATAATTGAATTTTCTATTTTGTAGATGCAATGTATACTTTAACTTCCATTATATATGTACCATAGTTTCTTTAAATTGATAATCGAAATGAGTCAGCACTCGAATATAAAATAAAATAAAATAAAATACGTTGCATAATTGAAACGTACATCGACAAGAAAACAGAATACATGTTGTGTACAAGACTAAACTCTATACAGCTTTATTTGTCCGTACAGGACACCTGTCCTCGTTTTAATTATTTGTTCTTCCTCACTCGATCACTATCGCCCAATATCCCTTCACCTGCTATCAGGTCCGTCGTCGTTTGCCCGATCTCCACTATAGTTTCCCCAATTGCTTTCGCAATCCCTCCGCCGCCTCCGCCGCCGTATTCCGCCGGAGCGGCTGTCTCCTCCATGCCAACTCCTCCGGCGGCCTGCTGCACCTGCACCGCCTCTTAACAGTCTTGCATTAATTAATTATATATATAGATTTATAACTAGTTATTTCCCAGGAGGGGTAGGATCGTCATTTTACGTACCTCTTGGGATGCTGTCTTCTTGTCCATCTCCGCCTTCTTCTCGGCGGCGTACTCCGCCGCCTTCTCCTCCGCCGCAACAACGGCTTCCGTCGCCTGCGCGAGCTTCTCCCCGGCGTACCCCACCGCACTCTGCCCCACCCCGGCCACCGCATCCTTCGCCGCCACCGCCTTCTCGCCGGTGTATCCAGCAACGCTGGACGCGACGCCCTCCGCCGTCTTCGTCGCGGCGGCAACCTTCTCCAGAGTGTAATGCGCCGCGCCCCAGCCGGCCGCGGCGGCTTGGTCCTTCACCTTCGCCGCTGTTTCTCCGGCGTATCCCGCCGCCCCCTTCCCGGCCTCCACCGTCGCATCCTTCGCCGCCGCAGCTTTCTCGCCGACGTACCCAGCAGCGGATCTTGTAGTCTCCGCCGCCGTGTCCTTCGCTGCCCTCGCCTTCTCCGCCGCGTACTCGGCGGCGGTCATAGAAGTGTCCGCCGCCGTGTCTTTCGCCGCCCTCGCCTTCTCCGCAGCGTACTCGGCGGCGGTCATAGAAGTGTCCGCCGCCGTGTCCTTCGCCGCCCTCGCCTTCTCCGCCGCGTACTCGGCGGCGCTCTTGGCAGCGTCGGCCGCCTTGTCCTTCGCCGCCGCAGCCTGGACGGCGGCGGATTGCCCGATCGCCGAAACGCTATCCGTCGCTTGTTGGCCCTTCTCCGCCGCCGCGTTCTTCAAAGCTTCAGTTTTGGCCGAAATGACATCTTTACCCTCCCCCGCCTTAGTATCCGCCAGACGACTGCCTTTGTTAGAAATTACATCCTTACCCTCGACAGGCTGAGGCTCTCCCTCCGTCCAGTGTGAAATTACGTCCTTGCCATCGTCGGCAATAAGTCCCAAATCCTTGGCTTTCCGGTAGCGGTTCTCGGCGGCCATTACAGCGTCGATTGAATTCTGCTGCGCCTGCGACCTCAAGTCGGAGATCTCCTCCAAGGAAGGGGAAGAAGACGTTTCCATCTTCTTCTGGTCGGATTCCGGCGAGGTGGTCTTGACGGCGAGAGACTCGTAATGAGTGGCCAATTTGGGGACTCTATCTTTCTCCACGACGTCTACATTATGATCCTCGTCTCTCCTAAGTTGTTGCCGGTGCTGTTGAGAAGCCATTAATTAATTAATTAATTAATTAGCAGAGTGTGCTGATATGGTTATGATTATGAATATGCAATGAGAGTAGGAGAAGCAGAGAATATGAATCGAGGAAGATGTAGTTTTTAGGAGATGGAGGGGTATAAATATAAATATAAATATAATAGAGATGAGAGAGGAATTGGATAGAGATGGAACTTAGAAGTGCGGAAGGAGGAGCCATATGCATGGCACGTGTCAGGTATTGGTCTAGGTGTATGTGTGAGTAGCCATATAGCCAGCTGACTTCTGTTCTCAGAATACTACGTGGCAGTCACTGGCACAGGCACATACCCAGCAGAGCACCTCATCATCATTAATCATTAATATATATGTCCACTTTCGGACTTTCCTCTATCTATATTAAAATATTGATATATGTAAATAATAAAAATTAATTTTAAATATAGATTATATTATTAAATTATTTATATCAGTGTAATTATTCATCTAAATAAAATATTAATTAAATAAATTAATTCAAGTATATTTGATTATCAGTTAAATAATAACAATAAATTTAGAAAATCAAACAAACAGACCATATGTTTTTTATTATCTAGTGTTAGATTTTAATTGATATATATTTTTCAATTTTTTAAAATATTACATAATACATTCGTTTAAGATTTTCTGTTTTTATCTCATATATATTATAAAAAGTTATATAAAATTAATTTAAACTAGTTATAATATTTATTTATATCGTATAAAATTTTATTTTGTTGTAAAGTATTCTTATAAAATTTAAAACATTTAAATACATAATATAATTTTTAATTATATACTATATTTTACATCATAAATAAAATACCTAAAACCGATTTTAAAACCAACGGTAACCAGACAGAACCTAGCTGCTCCGTAGTATCGTGCACACAAAAGTATTACTGGTACAACCATGGCGGGGGCCGCCCGAAACCTCTGGGCGGTTCTGAACAATCCGGCGAGCATCAGAACGGCCGGCGAGGCCAAGCAGCTACACGCCCGTGTCATCAAACTTCAACCAGCAATCGTTTCCTTTCCCGATTCTTCTGCAGCCATTATCCTCTCCATCTACACCAATTTCAGCCTCCTTCAATACTGCCTCTCACTCTTCAACTCCTTCCGAAAAATCCCTCCCAAAAAGGCATGGAAATCCATGATTAAATGCTGCGCTTCCACCGGAAATTCCGTCGAGTCCGTCGCCTATTTCAACAGAATGAGGACCTCTGGGATAACTCCCGATCCGAACGTGTTCCCTCTTCTGCTCAAAGCCTGCGCCGATTTAGGAGATTTCCGCCTCGGCCGGGCTGTTCATGGATGCGTGGTCAGGCACGGCGTCGATGGCGACCTTTTCACCGGAAATTCCCTGATGAACATGTACTCCAAATTGGAGCCGCCTATGGACGCCCGCAATGTGTTCGACGAAATGCCTCAACAGAAACGAAAGCTTAGATTTAAATATAATGGTGTAGAGACATATGTAGGCTCTCATTTAAATGAAAACGAGGGAGATTCGCTGGAGAATTGCTTGGATTTCAATGGCAGCGAGAAGAAATTCTATGTTCGAAGCAGGGATGAATTAGACAGTGTGAGTAAAATCTTCGAAGCCATGCCAGTTAGAGATGTTGTCTCATGGAACACTGTGATTCGAGGACTTGTACAGAACCGGATCTCCTCAGCAGCATTGTCGGCATTGAAGGACATGGTGAGGTTCAATGTGAAGCCCGATTCCTTCACTCTGTCTACCGTTCTTCCCATCATTGCCCGCAACGTCGATATTGTTAAAGGAAAAGAGATCCACGGATACGCTGTTAGGTGTGGCTTCGACAAAGGGTTGTTCATGGGCAGCAGTTTGATCGATATGTATGCAAATTGCAACCGACCGGAGGATTCGTATTGCATTTTCGCCGCGCTGCCATTGAAGGACAGTGTTTCTTGGAATTCGATGGTAGCTGCGTGGGTGCAGAACGGCAGGTTCGACGACGGATTAAAACTGTTCCGGGAAATGCTGGCTGCGAATTTCAAGCCAGTGGCGATTTCATTTTCGAGCATAATGCCGGCCTGCGCTCACCTGACGACGATGTGTTTGGGAAAGCAGCTCCACGGCTATATAATCAGGTGGGGTTTTGAGGACAACATATACGTTGCGAGTTCGCTTGTCGACATCTATGCGAAGTGCGGCAGCATAAAGACGGCGAGGTGGATCTTCGATAAAATGGAGTTTCACGACGCGTTTTCTTTGACGGCGATGATAATGGCTTATGCGACGCACGGTCAGGCTCACGACGCAGTTTTGCTCTTTGAGAAAATGTCGATGGAAGGAGTCGAACCGAATTCCGCATCGTTTCTCGCGGTCTTGACCGCGTGTAGCCATGCCGGATTGGTCGATACAGCCCGCGGGTATTTCGCAAGCATGGTTGAGGATTACGGAATCCATCCGCAGATCGAACACTACGCGGCAGTCTCAGATGTTTTCAGCCGTGCGGGAAGATTAGACGAGGCTTACGAGTTCATTCGCGGGATGGATGCCATCAAACCAACGGTGGCGATTTGGTCGACATTGTTGTCTTCTTGCCGAGTGCACAAGAAAGTCGAGCTAGCCGAGAAGGTTGCGGGAGAAATGCTCGCGATCGATCCTCGATACGTAAACGCTTACGTTCTGTTATCGAACGTTTATACCGCGGCTGGAAGATGGAAAGACGCGACGAAGATGAGAATGAAGATGAGAAACAAGGGAATGAAGAAGGAAGCCGCTTGCAGCTGGATCGAAGTTCGATACGAGTCGCACGTTTTCGCGTCGGGTGATGAGAGCCACCCGGATTACGATCGAATAAACGAAGCTCTGCAAGTTCTTACGGAACAGATAGAACACAAAGGGTGTGTTCTCGAATTGATTGAAGATAGCGTAACCTTGTGACAATGAAAATCCGACGGAGCTATCGAGGAATCGTATCATCCAAATGCGCGGATCGAAAATGTGATCGATCAATATTCGAAAATTGACGCAATGTTTCGATACAACACTACTTACATGTAAATGGCGAGCAACAACGGGAGACCAACGACGAACGTGTACAACGACGAGGAGGTCGGGGAAATAACCGGGACGGCGGAACTTGCTGTAGCTTGTGGGTTTGATTGTGCGTCGACCCCGTCGCACGAGAGGCCTTCCTCTCGATCTTTGCACAATGACGCAAAGAGTCCCGGCGGGTACTTCCCGTACAAATTAACGTAGCTGAAAAAGGTATCGGCGCAGTTGCTCTTGAGGTCGTTTACCTGATCTTTGTAGGGGCAAAGCAATTGCTTTAGAGGCGGGCAACACCGGTCGGGCGTGTAGTTTGGGCCCTTGCATTGGCTCGTGATCACCGTGTAGTTCATGTGCTCGAAGTCGACGTTGCAAGCTGCAATATGTCGACGAAGTTATTTATACGATAATTTTCTATATAAAAATATATTATTGTTCGTTCGAGTTTCTAATGGAATCGAACATTTTTAAGGTATGAAGACGATTTGTGTCTTACTTGTCTTTTGTTGTAGAAGGGAACGACCAATGTTACCATCTGACGTGATAACTCCATCTGTGTGTAAAAAGGATCGATAAAAAATATGAATAGGCATAAATTGATCGACAATTTAACATAAAATATTATCACGATAAACAAATATTATTGAATTAGCTGAAATATGATGGCTACATGAAATGTGGGACGAAGAAGAAGATGCGAGATGAAAGGCGACGACAAGAAAGAGAAGAAACAAATGCAACGAGGATCGTTTCAAACCCATTGTTGCCTTGCCGTTTCTTGTCCTTTTTCAATTTCTATGTTTTGATCTTTCTATTTTTCGATCTATTTTCGTTTCTTCTTAAATCTCTTGGCATATCTATTTTTTATATTTATGGGATATATATATATATATATATATTTCCTTCTGGGGCAAGAGAAAAAAGTGGAGGAAACAATGGAATATATTCTATGACATTCGTATTTTATACTACATGGTTTTATGTGATTCAATAAATTTATAATTTAACAATTTTTATCATTTTAATATATCTAATAATTTTACATCAAAAGTCATACATATATACAAGGTACAGCGGAGGGATGTTTTACCAAACAACAAAGACAAAAAGATTCATACCTAATTAGATTTCAAAGAAACGCCATCCTACTATATGCACATTTGCAATTAGACACGAACTAAGTCCAGAAATTGGACGTTTTTCAACCGTTAGGGACCTCTTCGTCCCGCCGACTCGACTGAGAGCCATCGGGAGATCCCGGGTGTAATAACTTTCTTAACTCTACCTCTTCAATGCCCATGAATATCGAAAGAAGGCTGCATTGATCATGTTTCCTTCTCTTCGAGGAATCCAAGTCATGATGATCAGTCTCATCCTTCTTCTCCTCATTAGATTCTTTAGGAATTTCATTCAATTCTTCGGTTGGAGGGCTTCTTGCCTGTTCCCTATCTCCCCTCAAAGGTGTCTTCTTCGCCCGTATCACGGATCGTATGTTCACAACATCCTCATTTCGATGAGCATATACAACACCTGAACAAACAACACGAACGGTTAAAGTTTGCTTCTGTTTTCTCCAGAATTTGCAAACGCTACATAAATACGACGACCCTGAACTCGTAATCAATGGCACCTAATGCAAACATACCGAGGTTTCTAAACACTGGATTATCTATCGCCATTTCTTCTGAAAGGTTGGAAGCTATTTGTTCCCCCCGAGGGTCAGATTGATTTCCGTCCTCAGTCAAGTCCAGCACGGCGCTGCAACTGTAATCAGTTTCTTTTCCGTCCTTCTCGTGTAATTCCACAATCTCACTAGTGAAAAGCTTATTGGAAAGATCACGGAACAAGTTGCAGATCCCAAACAACTCGCCCTGAAACTCCTTGCAGTCCTTTACGGATATCGTAGAAGATGATAGATCATGAATTAAATACACATCAGGAGGAAACAGTTTTGATGTTATGGAAGTATTTTGGCTACCTGCACGCCTTCAAAATATCGTTTTTCCATTTTCCCAGCAACAGAAACATTTGATAACTGTTGCTTATATATCTGCCTTGTGTAGACGAGTTCCTCAAGAGAACCAGCTGCAAGAAGACGGAAAACTGTTACATGCCTCTTCTGGCCGAAACGAAACGACCGGTCTTGCGCCTGCAGATCCTGAGCAGGGTTCCAGTTTGGGTCAAAGATTACAACCCGATTGGCACTAACAAGATTTAGGCCTAGTCCACCAGCTCGTGTAGATATCAGGAACACCTAATGTTAAAAAACAGACATTTCGAAAACAAAACTTGAACAGAAACAATTGAACTCAAGGCATTAAGGCAGAAAATCGACCTGTTTACTTGGACTTGAGTTGAAGTCATCTACAAGAGACTGACGCAGACTCGTTGGAGTGGAACCATCTAGTCGTGAGAAGCAATAGCCTTTACGTATGATGAATTTTTCAAGTATGTCTAGCATCCTAGGATAAACATGTTTGTTAATAAGAATTTGAATGCAAGACAAGCCAACACCACACTTTGCAACACAAAGGTAAAACATAGACGAAAGATGCCAATCAAAACAGATAATGTGATTGAAATGCAATTATTAAGATGACGCTTGAAGTCTGCCTCCATGATATGCAAGAGCAATTTCCATATGTAGATGGTTTCAGACTCCAACATTATATAATCAACTTGTTCGGAGGAAACATAATAACAAGAAAATATATTACTATAATGCAGTGAAACTAATCCAGGAATGTACATAACTCGACATATTACCTTACTGAGTAACTAAATAGAAGAATCTTGTCCCCCTTAGAAATCCATGAATGAATCAGTCTCTCCAATGTCCTCATCTTTCCGCAATGTCTCACATCACTAACCCCCATGAAACTGTCATTTTGGATGCTCCCTCCCACTAGATCAATATCTGCACCAAATACAGTGGAAGCAAATTCCGCATCTTTTCTTTGCTTATCTTTATCATCCTTAGAGTTAGGTTTGATAAGCTCCAGGTGATTACTTATCTGTCATAGTACAGCCAAAAAACACAGCGCAACGATAAGTAATGTTGAAACAGGCACGCAGGAAGGATATATACGCTGTAAGATTAACATCTAGAAAATGTGTTGCAAGCAGCATTATCCTTCCCATCAAAATTATATTGGTTTGTATTGAAAACAGATACCTGTTGAAGCTTGACCAGGCAAGGCAGAACAAGGCAAAAAGGACAAGAATCACAGCCGTCAGGATTGTCTCGATGAAGATAAGGCCAAATAAGACCATCTGGCACTGTTCTTTTACAGCATTCAACTTGTTTCAGAGGGCTCCCACAGCTGCATGGAAGGTCCTTATTGACAAGGGTTTGGATGTCGGGTAGCTGCAGTATCCTCGTATAAACCCGTTTTTGCAACTCACTCATGGCACAAAATACAACATTATCTTCTTTTCCCATCATAAGATGCCCAATTGTTTCTTCTTTTGTCCTTCTGAGCATATACTTTCGCAAAACTGATACCAAATGATTTTTTCGCTCGTTAGCAATTGTGACAAATCTTTCTGGGGCACTTGATCTTTGACCGTGCTTGATAGGTTCATCGTAAAACTCTCTAAAGTGCTCCCGTGCCCCCAAGCTGCCAGGTACTGCCCAATCAAAGAGATTGAACAGTTCCATCATTTTGTTCTGCATTATAGTTCCTGTAAGCCCATATCGTTTCTTGGTCCTAATCTTCAGACATTCTGTATAAAGCTTCGACTTCTGATTCTTAAGCCGGTGTGCCTCATCAATTACCACAATCTCCCACTGGATATTTGACAAGATGCTTCCTTGCAATCTATACGTGTCAAAGCTGGTTATAAGAATCTCAACACTGTCTAACTTAAGTTTGTCAAGTATCAAATCACGATTTGGTCCATGGTAAACCGAAGCGTTGAAAGTAGACCATCTGGAAATTTCATTTTCCCAATTAACAATTATGGAACTGGGGCAAATGATTAGCACAGGACCCTTCTTCTCTGTTTGTTTTCCTTTGTCAGATGCCGACTCTGGCTCCAGACCTTTCCCATATACCGCAGCCAAAAACGCAATTATCTGAATAGTCTTTCCCAATCCCCTGATGTAGCAGCATAAATTCCAAAGCAGAAATATAAGGAGAATTAAACTGGACAAAAAGACGGAACGAAAAAAGAAACACAAATGCATAACTAAGAGCTAAGCCATGAACCGTATGACAGATTTTTTCAGATATTTATCGCACAATGTATGAATGCATCTCAGTTTTAGAATATACACAGGTATTTTTCATAAAGCATTAAATGCACCAAAACATGACAACAGTGCTTGTCAAAGAAGTGTTCATATATACGGCCTTCTGAGCAATCCATATATTTAAAATTAGATAATTTAACTTAAATCGACTTATGTAAAATATAATGTAAAACTGGAACTTACATATCATCTCCTAAAACACCTCCATGGTGGTTTCTGTACAGGTTATATAAAAATTTCACTCCATGTCTTTGATGCTCCAATAGTCTACTATTTATTGATGCGGGAACCTGAAAATTACTTAAAAATGGAACAATATCCAAATTACACCCAAGGATGGTCTCATCAAGATTCATTTTTAATAATATGCAAACATATGTTTGATATATTATAACTTGTGCATAGGGAGTCTTTAAGTTCCCATTGTCAAAATACAGAGAACATATTATCATAATCACTAAACACTTATCGTCATGTTTATCAACAAAGGAAAAAAAAAAAAAAAAGTAGAAACGCTTCAGTCTTAACCAATATTGGACCAACCCTTCAGGAAATTTTACAAGATCACTATTATAAAAATAAGCTACTCTAGAGCTTAATGGTGTGTCCATGTTCAAAGTTCCAGACTATGAGTAATTTCCTCTAGTCTCAACCCCAGGCCAAATTTAATTGAATTCCATTCCCCCTGTAGAAATAGACCAGTTACTCCATTTTGGAAATGATTCATCCTTCCTCAACATAATTTGCAGTAAAAACCACCTAGACTAATGCAGCTGACATAGAAACTCCACCCTTGGTGCAAACAAGCACCTACATTTAATGTATATAGAAAATGAATGCCTGTGCTTTCTAGTGCATATATAGAAACCGAATACGCAGTTCAGGCAACCAATAGTAGCACAATCAACGAGTCCACTGAGAAACCCTAATCAATCAGACACAAATTTGTGAACACATAAAGCTACAAAACGCGAATTGAAAGGGCTTGCTACAAAATCCAACCTGCACAACAGGATTCTCGCCAGGCTGAGACAGAAGAAGAGGCTCGTAAGGTCCAGTGTTCTCAATCTGACGAAAACCCTCTGATTCAAAATCTCTCGGTTTATTTTCCTTCTCCTTTTCGCCTTTCACTTCACTGAGACCATTTTTTCCAGGATTCAGATTTCCCTCCTTTTTTGATTCTTTCAATTCGATTTGCGGACAGAAATCGGCATCTCCCTGGAGGCGCAGAAGCTGCTGAGCCACAGATGATTTAGGGGGCTTTCTGGGTACAATTGATGGATCAAACTCTCGGGAAATGAGCGAAGTAGAGAAGGAAGAATTCGGGGAGGTGGATGATGTACTGCTGGTTTTGCAGGGCTTTAGAGCCTCTTTGAAGGCGTTAAACGACATGGGTAAGGTGGGAAGGGAGGATACAGAGAAGGCGGTGCGCCGCCGATGGAAAAGGAAGTTAACAATGGCGTTGGTCGGCGGGCGGTGACTTTTATCTGTATTCGCCGGAACGATGATATTCTTTTCCCCGACTTTTGGAACAAAATTGTTTGAATTTTTCTACCTTTTCTATTTGCAATTTTTCCCACTCTCTGTTTTTAGTCTTATTTATGATTTGTTTTTTTTTTTTAATATATATTATTTAAAAAATTAATACTATATTATATATTATTCATTATATAATATTTACAGAATTCACTAAAATAAATATTGTTCAAACCAAATATAACAAAATAATTCTTTTTTTAAACATCATGCTTGTTCAATTAATATTTTTATTTATATATAAAAATGAATAATATGATAAAAAAATATTATTTTTATATTATTTTTAAGGTTGTATTTGTCTTAAGTTTAGAATTAAGTTCTTTTATTTGAATTTTAATTTAAATTATATTTTAATATAATATTTTATAAAATAGAGTTAGTATTTTTCTTACAGAAAATCGTACAAAATGAACAATAAAATGAGACAAATCATTGATTTGACAACAAGAATTTTATTTTTTTTTTACGATCATAATATCCATAAATCCACGAGTTTAAAAATTCATTTTGTTTACTTTGATATTTTTCGTCCAATATTTTTACTATACAATTTTGTAGCTTTTTTTAAAAATATATAACAATACATTTTAATAAATAATTATTTCATTTTAAAAATACAAATAACACAATCAAAATCAAACACAAAATAAACACAAATGCTTCGGTTCATTACAAAATATTTGTTTGATGACCAAATGAAACTCAAACTTTTTTTGTCGATTATAATAGAATGGCTACAACATCAAAGACATATTATACTCGAGTCACACCAATAATTGTTATAAAAATAAATACATGCCAATAATATATTAGTTTCCGAAATATTTATGAGATTTTTTTAAAAAAAATTATATTTAAATTTATTGTTTTTAATAGAATATTATACTAAACCATATATTTAATATTTATTTATATCAGATCAAAATACATAACTTTTATTTTAATTGTTACTATTAAAAAAAAAAAATCAAAATTTTTAAACACTCTCAAAACATATCTAATATATAAAAATATAAAATAAAATTAAAAATTACACACACTATATTATTATTGTTATTGTTTTCATTCTTATGACAAATTAAATGACAATGAGATGAATAATTGTTAATGTTTGATTAAGTTGCAATAAGACATAGAAATCATACATTAAAATAATCACACGTTAAAAGATAAAGTCCAACCCCAACTGATCTGCTCTTAATAATAAATAAATAAATAAATAACTCTTTAAGAGATTGAAGGGACGGATTTATTTAGGATGTATATTTTTTTATCAAAAATATCTAACATATTCTTTTCTCTTTTTATTTTTTTTTTAAATAATAATATACTTCATTCGTCTCAAAACTATAGTTTGAGTTGTGTTTGACATAAGATTTAATGAATATTGATATTATATTAGCCGTGGATAAAAAGTACAGGTAAAAGAATTTTTTGCTCTTGTGAGTGTAGCAATTGCGTAATAATAATGAAAAAGTAAGTCTAGTTTTACAGTGATATGGTTATTTATGAAAATGACATTATTGTTTTGGGATGAACAAAACTGGTAAATAACAAGACTATTGTATTGGGATGGAGGGAGTATTATCTTCACAATTCTTTATAATTCATATTAAAAAAAAAAAAAAGAAAAATTAAAGCAAAACACAAAACAAACAAATTCTAAGTTTTTTTTATTTGTATTTTAACAGAGAATACATAAAAAAAGAAAAATAAAATGCAAATCAAATAAAGTTGTTATAGATACATAATTCCCTAGATTTGTACTATTAGATCTCATATGTTTTTTTTTAAATAAAAATTATAAGAATTTTTAATTGAATTTCAAATCCAAATCAATAAAATTAAACACACTCTTGTATTAATATAATTATCTATACAAACATCGCCATCAAAATGTAGATAAAATTTAAATACAGACAAATATTTTATATTATTATTATTATTTTATTTTAAAAATTTGTAAGTATTAATTATTTATCTCAAGTAGAAGAAAGGATTAGAGAGTGTAAGCTTAGTCAAGAAACCTGGTTCTAATGAATTACTGACAAATATTTTTGTTTTAAAAAAGTAGATTAATATGAAAAATAAATAAATACTTGGAATCCGCCACGTCAGGAACCCCTGGCGTATTATCCAACTATACCTGAAAGCCCGGACCTCAACACCCAAGACATCTACACCGTTGATGATATGGGAGAATCAATCCGATGAACGGTGTAGATCGACCTGGCATAAAGATCCCGAGAATCACGCCGGGTAAAATTCCAAAAGCGGTTACAAATTATGTCACCCTCAGCATATACATATACGTATACGTATACGTATATCTATTTGTACGTATGTAGATATCTATATCTCTATATATATATATAAGTAGCGTGTGTGCGGCCTTCTTCCCATACAGCACTCTGTGGATACGAAGAACGAAAGCAACAGGCTTCTCATCTTCTGTACGGTCCCCACTGCGAGGCGAGCAAGGCGCGCACGCGATCACCTTTTGTTTCAACGGATGTTCAAGGTTATAAGTTGTTTCTGTAGTTTTTGTTTTTGTTTTCTGCATTAATTATTGATAGCTTCTTCCGTTTGCGATCGGTAACTGTAAGAGTGAATGGAATTGGTTGCTTAATCGTAGAACTGTGTAAAAGAAGGCTGAATTCGTGAATTACCAGGAGGTTTCCTCGTCGCTGGATTAGCAGATGCGTTCGAGTTGATTGAGTAATGCTTTTCGTGCAGTTTTCTTTTTCTTTTTAAACTTTTTTAGGTTTCTATTAGAGGAATTTCGTTTTGATGCTTTATTGGATTGAGTCTGGAGATTATCTTTACCTTTATCCGGCGAGAAAAATTCTCAGTTGTGGTGTTGCAATGACTATCTTATCCAATTTGCCATCACTTTCTGGATAATTGTATTCTTCGATTGTACATTGAACTGCGTTGAGAATACCACGCCAAACCTCAGATCATCATATCTCAAAGTTTTTAGGAAATTTCATTCACAGAGACACCACTTTTTTTCAGCCTTATCTCTGGTGATTTGAGCACGAATCTGAGCAAATCTGATTCCTCACATATAATCCGTAGCTTTTGAAGGTTTTTACCATGAATACGTTTTATTTTGATGCCTGATTAAGGTAGTGCTGTAGGTACAGTAGCAATTGTCTGCTGCTTTGTTCATAAGGAATTAATTCCTCTAAATTGAAGGAACATATTAGGTCCGCAGTCAGGAATTAGGTGCAACGCTTTTGTCTTCGGAATCATGTTGATTAAACGCCTCACCTGATTTACGCACGTAAAAAGGATGATGTTCTTATTTCCATTTAATACCAATAACCTGAACTCATCTTCGAATCCATTTATGAAGTATCCGCAATGCATAATTCAGTAGTTTAGATCAATCTCTACCTGATCAACTGCTTACAAAGAACTTGCAATCTCATGCTAATAAATTTTCTTATACCACAATCCTCATTGTTCGATTCCCGATCTCATTTGTTTCTCTCCTTTCTTCTGCAGTGAAATTTCGTCCATGTCCATGGATCAACGCACGCTCGCACAGAGTCCTCTGGACTACAAAGTAGGAGCTTCCTTTGGCAGCCACGATGAAGCAGACGACAACAATTTGTTGCACGGATTCGAATGCAACATCTGTCTGGACGCCGTGCAAGAGCCAGTCGTGACATTCTGCGGCCACCTGTACTGCTGGCCGTGCATATACAAATGGATCCAAAATCCGAACCACCAGAAATCATCGCCATGCCCGGTGTGCAAGAAAGAGGTCTCACTAACCACCGTGATCCCGCTCTACGGCGCAGCGGCCGCCGGCGAGGATAAAATGCAGAATCGGATACCTGAGAGGCCTCGGCGATTCGACTGCAGATGCAGTGCGTTGTCGCCGTCGCCGGTGCTGCGAAGTCCGGCGCCGGCGCCGGCGTCTTGGGCGGAGAATGCGAGTAGCAACTACATGGTGGACCCGATGATCGGGATGTTAGGGGATATAATATGCGGGGAGATGTTTGGGGAGTCCGGGACCGGGACGACGTCGTTTTACGGGCATCGAGTAGCGTACGGAAACGGGAATTGGAATAGGAGGCGATTTATGAGGCGGAGTGAAGAATCGTTGGGGAGGATATTATTGTTTCTCTTCTGCTGTGTTGTGCTGTGTCTTCTCTTGTTCTAAGCCCCCCACCCCCTGGATATATTATTATTATATGGGTTATATAGTTAATGTATGTAAATATTGATGATGATGATGATGAAAGTATAAGATAAAAGACAAGGTGGTGGTGAGCGGCTGTTGACACACTGCACAGCTTATATGTGAATATAACTATGAGTTACATTACATAACAATTAAAAATATTTATAAGCCTGTGTCACTCTACTTGTTGCGGCTACTTTACAGATTATTAAATCCGATGAGTTTTAAAAAAATAAAATAAATAATAATAGTACACAATTACTAAAAACATACATCATTTTAGGGTATGAAAATTCGTATTTGAAACCTTATCACGTAAAAATAGTAACTAACACGAATATATCATAAAATATATATTATAAAAAAATTAATATAATATATGTAAATATGTGGATATGATATAGTCTTTGTATTGTACTACAATTTTATATGATTGTTTTCATATGCCATCTCTTTTTATTTTTTTTTCATATAACAATAATAATAATAATAATAATTACAATAAGTTGACTTATCACTTAACATATACATTTAATCATATTTTTATTATCTGTTCTCAAACGAAAATGAAAAAAATAATATTTGATACTAAATTAAAATTATTAAATCATCTTTAAAACTGCATGTAAACTAAAATAAACTGTTCAATTATACATAATGAATTAATGAAAAGATAAAAGAAATTAATTAGTTCTGAAGTTTGGTTGGTTTGTGCTTGTAATTGTATTTAAATTTTGATTTATATAATATTTTATAAAATAAAATAATATATTTTTATTAAAATTTGTACCATCAATTCTAGATGAATTCATGTTCTTTTAGAATTTAGTTCTTTATTATTTATTACTAGGGTGATTTTATATAAAAAAAATATTTTTTCCATCATAAAAAATGATGTCTATTTGATTGGATACGAATTTTAATAAAAATATATAATAATAGTTATTTTTTATAATAATATATAAGTAAAAATTATGCATAAATTTGAATGAAAAAAGAAAAATCCTAAAGAAAACACACACATTTAATTAAATTGGATATATATCATCAAATTTATAGGTTGTACATATCACGTTCATAATCAAATAATAAGAATGAGCAACAAATTAATTATATAATAAAAAATAAATAAAAATTGTCTTACTAGCCAATTTTACAAACATATGAATTAAATTATTAAGAGGTGTGACCTAATGACAATGACTCTAACTAATTTTATAATATAATATACACAATTTACAAACCTTAATATAGTTGAATAGGTTGTGTAAATCACTTTCTATCTTTGAACATTTCAATATATTTCCTTATTAATATTGACATCAAACAAAAACATTTAAATCATACAATTTATTTTTTTAATACTTAAATGACTTAAAATAATCATGTAATAGTAAATATCAACTTGCGTGTCAACAACTAGTACTTTAAAAAATTAAATAAAAATCATTGTCATGTTGTGAACACTAGATACAAATCTTCAATAAAAGTATCAATATACTTATAATTAGTTTTATACTCCCTCCGTCCCAAATACCATATCCATATTTTCGTTTCTGTCCGTCCCACATACTATGTCACTTTTTTTTTTAAAAAAAAAATGATTACACACTTTAATCTCATTTTTTTTAATTTTAATTAAACTAATTAGTTATCTTAATGTTAATTTATAATTATTTATATTATAGGATAATTATTTTCACTAATACATTCTTAATTATCTACTAATTACACATCTCCTAAAATACCGTGTCTACAGTATAGCAGACACGCTATCTGGAACGGAGGGAGTACTATTTAGTAAAACAAATTGAAAATGATATGTGATAGATTTCATTTAACACATATATACATATATTTATATATATAAAAAATATAATTTTATTATATATATGTTTTGAATATATGTTATCGAATATTTACTCTGTTGCCTCACATAATATACATATTTTTATTTTGAATTATATTATTTTTTTCTATAACTCAAATTCCCACTTGTTTAAGTTTTGATTTAAACAAAATTTTGATATAATATTTTACACGATAGAATAATATTATATATTTATTGAAAAATGTATAAATGTATTACAATAATACAACTAGTTTGAATTACAAACCAAACAAATTCGAAATCTTTTTACTCAAAAAAATTTGCTGAGTGTTACATGTCCGGTGGGTTTATTTGTATCAGATGTAATTATTTGTATGAAAAGATAATACCCCCTCTGTCCCATAACAAAGTTTTTATTTTTCTATTTTAGTTCGTTCCATAACAAAGTATCTATTTCCTTTTTTTTTTAGTAATTATATTATATACCTAATATTACAAATACCCTTACAACTTACAATATATTACACAAATGTCATTATCTTTATATCACACATACTAATAAGATTATTTTAGTCATTTTTACTTTATTTCTACTATATCCCAATATAATACTAATATTTCTAAAACTACGTGCAAAACGCAAATGAATATTTAATTATGGGACGGAGGAAGTATTAAATATGATTTAATTGAAATTATATATAGTAAAAGATTTTAAATCGTAAACATGTATTGCACTTTTACCACAATATTGTATATATTCCATAAGTTTGCAAGTTGCTTTCGATATTAAGAAATACTCTCTCCGTCCCAAACACAAACATGCAACATTTTTTTTTTGGTACTCCCAAATACCCTACAATATTTCTAAAATAAAAAATAATTAATTATATTTAATTTTTACCCCACACTTTATCCCCTCACATAATCCAAATAAAAAAAATAAAATATATATTTCTCTCTCCATCACATCAACTAATTTCTAAATTATCTTACTTAATACTACCCACCTAAAAACTCGTGCCAAAAGTAAATGTTACACCTTGTTTGGAATGGTGGGAGTATGTTATTGCAAATGTGTTGTTGAACAAACATTGGTTGTTGTTTTAATAATATAAGCTAAATTTTATCCTAAGATAATTAAGTTCGTTTAGGATGTGTTACTTTATTATAAAATATAAAATCAACACAAATCTTTCAACAAAAGTTAATTAAAAATCTTTCAACCCATTTTATTTTAAGGAAATCAAAATAAATAAAATATAGAGAAATAAAAAAATAATGATTTTGTTGCTGCCCAGGATCGAACTGGGGACCTTTAGTGTGTAAGACTAACGTGATAACCACTACACCACAGCAACTTGATGTTTTACTAATAATTTTTTAAAATTTTATTTATTATATTTAATGTGTCATTTTACAATTCTGTTTTTTCGTATCTGTTTCTTCTTCGTCTTCCCATTCCATCAAATCAAACCCTAATTGATTCCCGACCGATTCAATCCCGACCCCTTAATCTGATGTTCTTCTGATTGCTGGAGTTGGGATTTTGGTTTCCATTGTCAATCTGCAGTGTCGGTTTTGGATTTGGGATCTTATTGAAACGTAATAATTTTGCTGAAAATAAAAAATAAAAATGGGTCGAATGGCGCGGAGTTGCATCCAATCGATGCTAAAGCTCACGAATTCGGTGTTAGGAATGGTAGGAATTGCTGTTGCTATCTACGCTATTTGGATGCTTAGGGTTTGGCTCCGCCACTACGAATCCACGGAGGTCCCTATTCCCTGGTAATGTTTCTGATGATTTTTTGAATGTCTGTGCATTGTATAAATCGAAGCTTCGTGAATGGTGCTTGGTGCTTCCGATTTCATTTTTAAATTTTAATTTCTGAAATTTTGCTTTCGTTTAATTGGAATTCAGGTTCATATACACTGTTCTAGGGCTTGGGGTTGCTGTGTGCGTGATTTCATGCTCAGGACACGTTGCGGCCGAGACTGCTACCGGTTGTTGCTTGTACATTGTATCTTTCGTGTGTTGGTTATATTCAATTGATCAAATATGGATTTGATTTTCACTATTGGCATGCATAAAATTTCAATTTAGGTGGATGGAACTTGGAAGGCTAAGGCATTGATCTTTAGGAGACTGCTAGCCTCTTTTGTTGATTTAGGGAAATTTCATTGTGATCGATTGCGGGGTGTTTAATTTCTTATTTATTGTCTTGAAAATACCTCATGCATGTTGTTTGCTGAATTTGTCCTGCACTTAGGAATGTTCTTATGATTAGTGTATTTGTTTCTCCTGCTGAAATTCTTTATTTCAGAAGATTTCGACGATACATCCGTTTTTTTAGCCTATCCATTGTTGTTTAGAGGTGCTGATTAAGGAGACGAAATTACATAATGTATTTCCTTGTGAAAGAATATGTGTAACTTCACTAATGCTAAAAACTGTGTCGTGCATACGTATTATAAGATTTGGCATTTAGATGTCTGCCTGTGGAGTGTTACGATCAATGAATTTCTACGAATGAATTTCTACGAAGCAGTTGTTCTTGACCTTAACAAATGCAGTACATGGTTTTTGTTTTTCTGCTTTTTGTGCTGGAAGCTACAGTCACTGCTGATATTTTCCTAAACCATAATTGGAAGGAGGTTTGCTCTAGTTTTCGACTTCATATATATATATATATCAGTAATGTACAATTTTATAAATGTTTACTTTCTAATCTTGATCAGGACTTCCCGGAGGACCCAACTGGAAATTTTGATAATTTAAAGGATTTTATCCAAGAAAACTTTGATATATGCAAATGGATTGGCCTTTCAGTGGTTGCTTTAGAGGTTAATTTCTTTCTATTTTTGCACCCTTTGTCGATTACCTGAAGATCGATGGTAATGTAGACTTTTCTTGGAATTAGAACTCCGAATATTTCCAGTTTCATTTATGCAATAACTGTTTGTTAGTCGTGATTACTTATCACAAGGCTGGAAGCAATTGTAGTAATTAAGTCAATGTGATCTTTTTATCTAATAGATCCAACTTAGAATAGTTCGATACTTCAATCACTGTGCATATTGAACCCATAATTATGTGGTAGCTGCAAATTTGACCCAAAAAAAAATTGTAATTTCCGAATTCCTAGTAGCTTTTGATTCCAAGATAAGTTGAAATGATTTTTTATGAAGTTTGTCACATGACTAAGAAGATCCGCCATCGGAAACTAACTTCAAAGTACATTTACCATACTTTGTCGTTTCAAGGCCTAAAAATATTAAACCAATAGATGGATTAAAACTAAATACGTAAACATATCAAAATAAATTAAAATTTTCCTGAGAATGGATTGGCGAAAACTGTATGACATGAATTCCGTGCTTTGTAGTGGCGTTTTTTTGTCATATCATGCCTCTTACATTGTTTTCTGTTTACAGTGTTCCTCTTTAAGTATACTAAGGTTGTAATGGCTTTTCTTGCAGGGGATAAACATCTTGTTGGCGATGATTCTCAAAGCATTAGGACCACATCCCGAGAGATACTATGAAAGTGACGATGAGTATCTACCAGCTAGAGTACCTCTCCTAAAGAATTATATACCCCCACAATCCTATGTTGTTGGCGACCCAGCCTATTCGGTGAAAAATAATGCTTGGAACATGAGAGTTAATAGTAAGGTTTGTGATCTTTCCTAACACACGATTTCAAAGAACTTCAACTGCCTACGTTATGAGAATTTATATCACTTTTTTTGCCATCGTAATTCACATTTTCTTTTTTTTTTTTTTCCCTTCCAGACAAGTCGATAATCAATTTTATGGCCATGAAGCAGATGGAGGAGACATCAAATGTACATGGAATTTAATTTATTTATTTTTGTCATGGAAGGAGAACTACTTCCTCGTCTCTGGTACGCCTAAATTTCAATAAAACTGCATATTTTGTATATAACTCAAGATAATCATAGCAATAATAATGCTTGCATTTCAAAAGATACACATTTGACATTTTATTGATGTATTATATATCATATTTCTTTCTACTTGAGAAAGATTTTGTCCAATTCACAATGAATGTTGCCTGAATGGTAGGTTTCTTAGTTATAGCATTAGTTCCTACATTTATGTTTATATATAGATATAGATATATGTATATAATGTTTCAGCCTTTACAAAGCAAAAAAATGGAAGTGCCACCAGTTTGTGTTATCTTGTGTCTTTTGCTTTTGCATATTTGTTTCTACCGACAAAGTTTGTTGGTGCGTGACCAAATTAAATACTTGCATTATTGGGGCACTCCCCCCCCCCCCACCCCACCCCCACCCCACCCCACCCCACCCCACATACACACAACAGAATAGAGACATATATAATTATATATATGATAGATATTATTGTTCAACTGCTGCTTTTAACTGCCAACGGGGTGTCCGGGGACAGTACAATTAAGGCGACTCTTGACTTCAATCTTAAAGGTAAAGCTTCTCTTTTTAATAAGTATTTGATTTTCACTTTATCCTTAGCACTTAATTGTTTAATTTATTCATTTTGATTATGGGTTTATTACACTCTGTTTAATTATGGGTTTGTTTTAATAAAAATATGTTCTTTAATGGAAAATAAATGCTAGAAACGATGAATTTTAGTGGAGATTTTTCCTTTTTGGCTGTGACTCGTGTAGTGGGAGAAAAAGGGACAAAGGCACATACATATACATACATTTCTAGTGATTTGAGTGAGTTTTTTTAGAAAAGTTGTCACTGGTGGTATTCTTATTATATCAATGTTTGGTAGGTTTTTGTTCTTGCTATGTTATTACACAATTTATTGTGATTTGTTATGAAACTTGATTTCTATTTCTAACTTCATAAACTTGCTATGGTCTTGTTATAGTGTTAGTTTTCGATCATGCAATCCAAATCTATTTAATTCGACGCTATGTGGCGATTGTTCGACTTCGACGCTAGCTATTTGTGTGGAAAGTGGGAAGTGGCGTGAGGAAAAAGTTCAATCAAGTTGTAAGGTGATATTAAATCTTGGCCGAAATGTATAAGGTCCACACTCAAAATAATGATACATATGTGTCAGTGTGTGTGTATATATATATAAATGGTCCACATGCAATCACAATTTTGAGGGCCGAAATGAGTCACAGATTATGTGGATAACTTCTCTATAGTCCAACTCCGTTTTCCTATCGAGTTTAAATCCCAACACCAACGTTAAATATCCAATTGCATACAAAAATGTGTTGTGAGTTGCATCTTTAACTTATTAATGTGTGATATTGCAATATTTGGTAAAGCATATAGACTAATATAATTTTCAATTGATATGTTTTTGTTTTTTTATTAAAATATTAGGAGTGTTATATAATTTACTCTAATAATATAATAATAATACTTCCTTGGTCCGGGAAATTTAGTCCATTTGGGTTTGTTATGCAGAGAAGAAAAATAAATATTTTATTGAAAAAGTGAAAAGGTAATTGATGGTGTTTTTTTTAAGTTTAATTAGAAACTAAAGAGAATTGAGAGAGAATATAATAAATTGAGTGATATTTATTGGAAATAAGAGTTGAATGAAAAGTAATAATTAAATTTTGATTTTTTTTTACTTTTTCAAATATAATACTCCTTCCTTCCCATATAGTCTTAATTGGGTTGTACACGGAATTTAAGGAATATTGATATTATCCTGTAGTTATAATTAGTAAAAAGTATGGATAAAATACTTTTTTTGCCTTGTGAGCGTATCAGTGTAAAAAATAGTGGCAATAGTGTAATAAAAATGAAAAAGTAGGAGTAGTTTTACGGTGATATGATTATTTATGTAAACAAGACTATTGTTCTGAAACGGATAAAAATGATAAATAATACTATTGTATTGGGATGGAGGGAGTAATAGATAAATTTAAAGGACGGACAAGGTGAGAGTGCAGATTCAATAATAATTATTGAAGGATCTCTCCTTGAATAGTTAAACTTATAAATTGAACCCCTAAGTGACATGTGAAAGCACATGGCGGTTGGTGTTGAGTCGCGGTCGATTTTGGAGGCACCGTTCCTTGTTCACATCTGCTCTGCGTCTGCATTTATTTATTTGTATTCCCATTCACATTCACATTCACATTTTCATTCTCAACTACTTATTACCTTATACAAACATGTTTCAACTCATATGGAATATAATGCATGCCTTCTTAATTAATTATATATATATATATAGATTATTGACTTAAAGTCATCACAAAGTAAAAAAAAAAAATCAAAATCGAAACACCTAAAACATAGACAGCGAACCTTAAATTATTTTTCCGAACACTTTGTATAAAGAGAAGAGGAAAAAGAAAAAGAAAAAACTCTACTATAAATTGACGTACATATATTATTGACAAGAAAAAAGATACAGGAAATTGAAAAAAGGCAACTCACGTGAAAATATCGTGTAAGAAGATATGATCCAAAGGAAACAATAATACTACAACACAACAATATTGAGAATGCGCCACGTGTCTCCATCCTGGCCGCTTTAAAGAAACAACAACAATGCATCACTAACGGTAGAATGTTGAAGGAACGACTCAAGCGTAATGACCGAAATACCCTTCCTCATCTGACACTCACAATCAAACACGTGGATGCTGTCGTGCGGATTTAACGCCTTAACTGTCGTCCGGTCCCACTCTATAGTGGACACTCGCAGTGGCTCCCTCGTCATTAAAGCTAAACTCCATGGGCCATATCGACTTTTCAGTTTTTTATTACCCATTTCAATCCTTAATTTAAGCCGTCCGTTACCTTCCATTAGTTTATATCATAATTTTATTTTGCAATTATATTTAAATTTTGTTAAACCACTTCAGAAACTCGCGATATCATTTTTTTTTAAAAAAAAAAATATATATTTTAATGGAAATATAGATTTCTTTTTCTCTTTTTTTTTTTGGGAATAAAGATGGTGTATAAATAAAATATAAAAAAAAAATATTTGTATATATATATATATGTACACACAGATACCAAGCAGACTACACTAGAGAGAGTCATAGTACACAGTACATACGGGTGTGTGTGTGTCCCCAACAGCGCTATTCTTACCACAAAACAGAGTAAAAAACAAAGTGAGAGTAAAAGTGTCGGCAGCCCCTCGATCTCCACGCGCCGCCGTGAAATGGCTGCTCCGAGGCGGCTGCTGCTGCCGCTGCTGACCATTCTTTATAACTTCCACTGCATTTTCATTTTCCTCGCTCTAGCCGGCCGCTCCGCCTCCGCGGTGGCGGACCTGCATTGGCATCCGGCGACGGCCACGTGGTACGGCAGCCCGGAGGGCGACGGAAGCGACGGCGGCGCGTGCGGGTACGGGTCGCTGGTGGACGTGAAGCCGTTCAGGGCGCGCGTCGGCGCCGTCAGTCCGGTGCTTTTCAAGGGCGGCGAAGGGTGCGGCGCGTGCTACAAGGTGAAGTGCGTGGACCAGTCGATCTGCTCGCGACGGGCGGTGACGGTTATTATCACCGACGAGTGCCCCGGCGGCTACTGCTCCAATGGCCGCACGCATTTCGATCTCAGCGGCGCCGCCTTCGGCCGGATGGCCGTCGCCGGAAATGGCGGCCAGCTACGCAACCGCGGCGAAATTCCGGTGATCTTTCGGAGGTAATTAATTAATTATTTATTTATTTAATTAATTTTAATTTAGTTGTTGATTTACTGTTTCTTAACGGTCTTCTTCTGTTTTGTCATTTTGTGATTTAAGATTTAATTTGTTTATTTTTATTAATGGTTAACTAACCATGTTTACCTTTACTTTTGTCACCGTGTTTAAGAAATAACAGTATTTTAATTATATATAGTGTAGCTAAAAGTAGTATAATAATATTTTTGCCTTTATTTTTTTATGTAAAAATAATGATGTGATAAAGTAAAAGCATTTGTAAAAAAAAAAAATATTTAATAAAATGTTAACTTTGTAAAACGTCCCCAAATAAGAATATTTAAATATTGTAAGTGAGTATTAATTTGTTTTTTCCAGGTAGGGTGAGTAATTACTGGTTTGTTTCAGTTTGTTAGTTAATGGTCTCTGTCACGATTAAGATATGACACGTGTCATTGGGTCAATATTCATAAATTCATTCCAAAAAAATATTCTTACCTACAAAATTAGTATATATATATACGTATTTTTCTCTATATAAATTAAGTCTTGAATGAGGCACAAAAAATTGTATAGGTTCAATTGTGTTTTGTTTTCGTTTTTATTTTCAAACTTTATTACGATTTTTTTTGACATTTTTAAATGAAAATTAATATATAAATATTACTAAAATGAAAAAAAAAAAAACAAAATTAGGCACACTCTTTATAGTATCTTTATATTTTTCTTTATAGTCAATTATTGTAAAATAATAATTTATTTATAATTAAACAGGACACCTTGCAAATATCCGGGAAAAAATATAGCTTTTCATGTTAACGAGGGCTCGACAAACTATTGGCTATCACTCTTAGTAGAATACGAGGACGGGGACGGTGATGTTGGATCGATGCACATTCGAGAGGTAAATTTTCGTAATTTTATTTACAAAAATGTTTTTTTTTTTAAAAAAAAAAAATTATGATATTCTACATAATTAGCTTATGGGATTTTATTTACTTCAAAATAATAAATATAATACATAAGTATTATATAATAATAATTTACAATATCAAACACTATCTAATATTCTTTTAGAGAAAATATTGCATATGTTGTCTCATGACCCGACCACGTGACAAAAGCATCATCACTAAGTTTCTAAGACACTCTTGGTAAAGCAATATTATTTCTATTAATTAATTATTTCTTTATTTACTTTTAAAAAGATTACTATAAAAGGAATTGTTTCTCTTTCTTTTTTTTTTTTTTGTTTTTTGCACAATAAAAGAAATAAAATATTTTGGCCATAGTCAAAAGAAGCTTTTGCTATTCTAGAGAGATTTTTTGTCGACACTTTCACATGGTAAAAGTACTTATTTACTACTTTAAACTAACATTAAAATAATTAATTAGCAAAATTTAAAATTCATTAGAAATCACGTTACACAATATTGCTTTTATTTTTACTTTTTTTTATATTATTTAATATTCGAATCTAAGTCTTTCACATTATTTATAGATATTTTCATCTAAAGTATTGTAGTATTTATATAAGATTACATACTTTTAAGAGTTGTTCTTTTTTGTATTTCCAAGTGTTTTAGTTCTATAATAATAAATATAATAGAATATTTTTACACCTATTTATTTCTAATTTATTGTATTTAACGACATGTAGGCGAATTCGAACCAATGGCTACAAATGACACATGTATGGGGCGCGAATTGGTGTATCATTGCCGGGCCTCTTCAAGGCCCGTTTTCGGTGAAGCTCACTACACTTTCAACCGGAAAGGCCCTCTCGGCCCGAGATGTCATTCCAAGAAATTGGACGCCATTAGCAACATACACCTCTCGACTTAATTTCTGAGCACATTTTTCACACCAATCGAAATAGGTTAAGTCAACCCATACCCTAAAGTTAGGGTATATGGTTGGTTGGTTGGTTCAAAGAAAAAAGTTGCAACCATTAATGGCCAAACTTTTTTCTAATATATATATATATATATATATATGTGATATAGGGTTGTTTGTTTGTGTTTAATTTTTAGTGCGTGAAGGAAGGTTGATGACATGTAGCCCTCTCCAAAGGGAGAGAGTGCGTTGTTCCCTTATTAGTGGCAATATGTATTTTATAGCATATAATAATTGTTGTGTTTGGTGGGAAGTTTAGGTATAATTTGTAATATATATATATATATATATATGACATTTTAAATATAAATAAATGTTATATATAGGTTGAATGTCATTCGACATGTGACTTTTATAGTTAAATTCACATCCATGATTGATGTGATTATTTATGTATAGTATTCCTGTTTTTACATATAGTTCATTTCTCATGGTCACAAGTCCAGCTCCTACACCACCGGCCATCCCTTACGAGACGGTTTCTCTTTTAGCTTATATAAAGATTGAAGATGATGTTTTCTAGTAATACATGTGTATATTAAATGTTATGTTATTTGTTACAAAAAGAAAACTAATTATGAAATAGAATAATAAAACATGTAAAAAAACCCAATAAACCTCGTATATACAATTTATTGGGTTGCCAGCCCAGCCCAGCCCAGCCCACTTATTAAGCCTTGTCATGTAACTATAGTGAGGAGGCTCCATGTATTCATGGATTTGAATATTTGTATTTTAATATATTTATATATATTATTGTTTTGGAGAAATATCACATATAATCATTATCTCAATGAACTCATACTTTCATCCAATTGTCAAACTATAGCTTAGAAATATACATTAAAATGCTACATTTAAAAATTATTTTCCTTATATATTTAAAATATTATATATATATATGTAATCTTAAAATTTCGTTAAAACTTAAAATCTGAAAAATAATTTAAAACAATCCAAAATATAAGTAAATGTATATGTATAGTCCAATGGGGCCCATTAGAAAGCCCAATATAGGCAGGCCTTTTTTATGCTGAGCGTTTGCCCTGTTTTCGGACACTATGTTGGAACCCCAACACAATGATTAGCGTTTAAATATTACACCCCGACCGGACCGGTCCGGTCCGGTCCAGTTAAAAGATAAAGGATAGGGTGGGCCATATGTTATAATTTTCTGACAGCTGAGAGCTGTTGGGATGTGAACACGAACGTGATTCCGAGAGTCGAGAACGTCTGTGGACTGTGTGGCTGTGCAATTTCGTACATGCTTTATTATTTTATTTATTTATATATTTGTGGTTTAATTTATTTTTAATGTAAATATGACTTTAAATTGAAATTCTAATTAATATTTTTTTATAAAAAAAACTTTTGATGTCATATTTGTTAAAAACTAAATTGATGGAGAAAATAAAATCTTCTAAAAATATTACGGTTATTCATAATATATATTATTACATCAAATAAAATATCAAATTAAGTCAATAACTAATTAACTAAAAATGGTTAAGCCGTTGAAGTGAATAAAACTGAATACAAACCCTATTAACTGCATAACAAAATTATCAACATGAAAATTATTTAAAAAAATAATAATCTACTATACATATATAAATTTCGTGAAATTCCATATTGGATGGGCCCCGCAAGAAGTGTACGAAAGAAAGATATGTTTGGCATCCGAATCAGAGTCGGGGCATATTCTGCTCAAATGATCAAAAGGAAAAATATAGAGGTGGCTGTATTCTTATAATATTAAAAAAAAAAAAAATTAAAATTTTGTTATTAGTCCCTCGTTCAAATCTATACTCACTTTTCTTTTTGGTTGTTATCGAAAACTATTATTGCTTCTCTTTTAAATAAAAAATTATTACATTTTTATATATTTTTTTACTATAAAAAGAAAAAAGTAATAATTATTACTCATTTTTATTAATTTTGATGCCCGATCAAATGAGCACAGACTTGCATGACATGAGGGAGTATTATTTTTAAAAATGTTATAAAATTTTTGTTTTTAAATAAATACTATGGTATGTTTAATTACAGTTTCAAATCAAAATAAATACTATACAATTCTGTTCATAGTTATTGTAATATTTTTTATACAATATTATTTGAATTAAAATAAAAAAAAAAAAGAGTTAAATTCAAATCAAATACTCCATCCGTTCCTTAACAATTTATCCATTTTTTCATTTTGGTCCGTCCCATAACAAAATATCCGTTTTTTTTTTTTTAGTAATTGTACTATCTACCTAACATTACAAATACCCTTCTAATTTACAATGTATTACACAAATGTCATTACTTTTATATCATACAATACTAACAGGGTTAATTTAGTTTTTTTACCTTTATTTCTACTTTATCTCAATATAATACTAATATTTCTAAAATCTCGTGCATAAACAAAATGGATAGATAGATTGGGGAGTAATAATTATTTTAGATTATTGATAGATATAAACAAGTCAGAACAAACAAAACACATGGTTTTCACGACTCACATAATTCAATTTATCTGCATGTCCGAAAATGCTTAGGTAGGGTAACCTTTAATTATTTACTGGACGTGATGCAGAGAGTCGAGAACGACTGTCCAACTATTACCCCACGTGCCAACAAACACACGTATAAATATATTGACTATAAACATATTTTTTGTTTTGTTTTGGAAGATTGTGGGTTTTGAAAATTTTAAAATAAAAAAATATATTTAATATAATATTTTGTAAATAATATATATATTTATTATGTGATATTTTTTAATAAAATAATTTTATATTTTAATATTCCTTAAAGAATAAATAAATAAATAATCTCAGCAAACAAACCTACCTGCCAGCATTATTGAATATTGTAATTTAGTAAATATTTATACCAAATAGTAGGCGCAGCAGTACTCCTATCCCTCCGTCCTATTGAACGCAACACTAAATAATTAAAAAAATTATTAATAAAAATAATCGTATATTAAAATTTAAATAATTTAATTAAAATTTAAAAATTATAAAATTTAAAATGTATTTAAATTATATAATTATATATATATTTTTTTTAAAAAAAATAAATGATGTGAAACAGACAAAAATAAAAAATATGGACAAATTATGTGAACTGAACAAAGTATTTATTACTTCTCCACCTTCTATACGACGTCGTTTCACGGATAACGCCCATCCACTGCCACGTCATTGGTATACATACTGTATACGTATGTGTTCTCGTGTGTACGTCTATATATAAACATTGCAGGAGCCGTGTCCTAACTCTTACCCAAAACAAATAATAACAAAAAAAACATCATCGGAAAAGTTCTGGAGGTCAGAGAAGGGTATGGCTTCAGAGAACAGCGCCGACGCGGCGGCGGCGACTCCGCTGCTGGAAAAGACGGCTGAAGGATGTCTGAACAAGATTGTTGACGTGGAGGAGGCGAAGGACCAAATATTCCTGGCGGTGCCGATGATAGTCACCAATGTGTCGTACTACTTCATCCCGCTCGTCTCGGTGATGTTCGCCGGCCACATCGGAGAATCCGAGCTCGCCGCCGCCAACCTAGCCAACTCCTGGGCCTTCGTCACCGGTTTCGACCTCATGGTACTAACAAATTTCTCCTCTCTCGCTCTCTCTTTGTTAATTTCTAAAAATAATTTTAAAATTAGAGAAATAGAAATAGCCGCTTCTGTAGATCTGCTAAAACAGATAGAAACCTGAGGACCGCCGTCGTAGGGTTTATTACCAGATTTCCCTTTCACTGCAAGAACAAGTGTTGTCTGGAATCGCCCGATTGGTCACTAACCGTCAAAAATCGCTAATGCGATTTCGTGTTCTTCCGAAAGCGCTAACACGACACTGGTATTAGTGGAAGCACACGGTTCGAGCTGCGTAACTGTTTTTGGACACAGTGAGTGTGAATAGTTTGTAGAAATTCTTACAACAATTGTATTCAATTGAATGATCCTCACACTGCCAAGCTGTTTGATCACCCTAGATTGTCCTAGATTTCGAATTTCCGCTCTCGTAAGAACAAAGTTTGCTGAAAATGATTCAATTGTTGTCCTAAAGTTGTTTGTAGTAGTTGTTAACTTGACTAGTGTCTGAGATTGGCTTGATTCCTCTGTCGAACCAGGTTGGCTTGACCGGCGCTCTCGAGACATTGTGCGGGCAAGCTTTCGGCGCTAAACTACATCGAATGTTAGGATCGTATCTTCAGGCATCCTGCATTGTTACCACGGTCTTCTCCATCCTAGTTTCTCTGCTCTGGTGGTATTCAGACATTGTTCTGACTTTACTAGGCCAAGACCCTCAAGTGTCGAAATCCGCAAGGCTCTATCTGAGGTACCTCATCCCCGGACTGTTCGCCTACGGTTTATTACAGAACATGCTGAAATTCCTTCAGACACAGCGCGTCGTCGTGCCACTTGTCATCTGCTCGACGATCCCGCTTGCTCTCCAGATCGGCATCCGCCACATATTTTCTAATTGGACATCGTTCGATTACGGTGGCGCGCCGTTGGCAGCCTCTGTATCACTGTGGATCTCGGTTCTCATGTTGGCACTTTACGTGCTTAAGGCGAAGAGATTCAAGGAGACCCGCGAGGGATTCACATTTCCGTCGTGGAGCTTCGTTGTTGTCGATTTGAAGCTCGCTTTGCCGTCTGCAGCCATGGTGTGGTATGTTATTGTATGTAAATTTGGTTTTTGATCCTTTACGTAATATTTTTTTCGTTCTCATAGTGTGATTTTTATTTTTTTTTGGGTACTCGAAAAGTTTGGAGTATTGGGCGTTCGAGATTCTCGTTTTGTTAGCAGGGTTGATGCCGAACTCAAAACTATCTACGTCGATTATAGCGATGTGGTAAATACATTTCACGGCCTCGCGATTTCGTCATTTCTTTAGTAAGAGTTGTGTATATATGATTCGTGTTTTGTGTGATTTTAGCGTAAATACAGAGTCGATCGCCTACATGATCGCCTATGGTCTCAGCGCCGCAGCGAGGTAAGAAAACCAAGCTTCGTACTTACCAACTTGTTGCATGTAATAATCTGAGTGTTCGATTTAATTAATGTTCGCAGCACGAGGGTGTCGAACGAGTTGGGAGCAGGGAGACCCGATCGAGCAAGGCGCGCAACTTCCGTGGCTCTTAAACTCACTGTCATCCTTTCGCTCTGCATCGTCGTGTCCCTTTATTTCGGGCATGATCTGTGGGCGGGATCCTTCAGCAACAGCCTGACGGTGATCGATGCTTTCGCCTCGATGACGCCGCTTCTTTTGGTGTCGATGGTTTCCGACTTTGTTCAGGGGATCTTATCCGGTATGTAATTAAATATCGAATATATGCTCAGCACAGTAACAACCTGCAACCTGTCATATCTATATATATATATATATAATGTGTGTTGTATGTAGGGGTTGCAAGAGGTTGCGGATGGCAGCACTTGGTGGTGTACATCAACTTGGGAACGTTCTATTTACTAGGCGTGCCCGTTGCTGTTCTTCTAGGTTTCAAATTCAAATTATACACCAAGGTAGTATTGGCATATGAAATATGCTAGTCCAGTCCAGTTTCTGTCACGTAAAATTACGCTCATTTAATTGGATACTAGTTTTAAGAAAAAATAGATAAAAATATAATTTATTTTTTTTTTATAGTAAAGAAAATATAAAAAGTACAATACTTTTGGATAAAAAATAAAAAATAAATATAAATTTAGATGAAAGAAGGAAAATGTTATTACATATTTATTAATCTTGGAATAATTAAGATTAGTGTAATAATTTTGGTCTCAGGGATTGTGGATCGGATTGATCTGTGGATTGACGGTCCAGATGATTGGTCTTTTGGTGCTCGCAAGATTCACAAAATGGCGGACGGTCGAGATTTCCCCGGATTTGCCGTCGAAGACAACTGTTGCGGACGTCTGAATTTTTTTGAGATAAATGCATTATTAGTCTCGTATGTATGTATGTATTATATTATCAAAAATATGCTTAGCGATAAAAGTGTAAAACTGATGATGGATCATATATAACATATGAGATTGAAAATACATTTATTTAATAGCATATTGTAAATAGGGATAAGGCCGCTATAATAAATGAAACTTGAAAACGATACGTTTTATTTTATAACATTTATTAAGATTGAATTAACATTCCATTTTTGTAAGTAAAAGATGTACTATTAACTAAAAAATGAATATTATATTTTTTATTATTAAAAATGTTTACTTAAATATTTTCTATTCTATTTCAATTTTAATATATTTTAAACCGTTGATTTTTTTAATTTTTTTTATTTAATCATGTAGTTTATTATTATTTTTTGTTGTGTAAAAGAAAATGGTAAGAACCAACTTCTTCATTCACTTTCATTGATTCTGAATCACTTTATTTTATTTGATTCCTCTCGACACTGTAGAGATCATAGAAAATATATATATATATATATATATAACCGTAAAGTAAAACAATATAATACAATGGCAGTAATATTTTGGATAATATATATTTTTAATAAATATTTATAATTAAAATGATTATATAGTATCATATATTAGAATAATAAAATAAAAGATAAAATAGAGTAAGATATTTGAATTGGCGGCAAGATTATAGAATTAAAGAAAAAGTATAATTTTTTTATATTAATTAATTTATTTTTTTTTATCATTTTTGTTTGTTTTATTTTAAAAAATTTAATCATAATTAATAAAATATTATTATTTTTTAATATAGTGTAAAACTCTCAAAAATCATCTATTTAGGACGGAGAAAATATTTTATTTTATTTTTTTAAGGGCTTGGGAAGAAAATGAACTTGGGTCAGTTGCCCTAGTCCTTATGTCCTTCCCTGTGTGTTTGTATATGTAAAATTATTTTTTACTTTACTTGGTGAATATATAAATATGAACTTGACTAATATTCTTGACCAGATGCATTCCATGCGAAGAACTGCACAAAATATATCATTTTTCATTGTCTATGTTCTTAATTCATCTCTTCTGCCACATTGTCGTCCAGATACATCGGAGCATGTTCAGTTGTGAAAAACAATAATTTGAAATTGAAAACACAAGTAAATTCTTCTTCTTCTTTTTTTTTTTTCCTTTTTTATTTGTCTTGAATTAGTGTAATAATTTTATTATTATCATTGTTATACATATTCAATAATAATAGAAATTAAATCATAGATTATGTCTTGTCCAAACATGTATTTAATGTATTTTAAGTTACACGTAAGATTTTTAGTTTAAAAAAAAAAATATATCAATTATATAACCAAACTAAATTAATTAATGTATAAAAAATACACGATTTTCTAATATCAAATTTTATAAAATACTTTATTGATCGTATTTAAAAGTATTTTAATAAGAATAATTGCTACTTAATAAAAATTCAAACATTCAATATAATATATAGAATAGGCGGCATCCATAATAATTACGTACAGTGCAGTATCAAAATTTGGGCCATATTAAAAGTGGGCTTTGATGAAATCAATTCAGGTTACAGGCCTTTTGCTTCTTACAAACTTTACGAAGCCCATTAAAAGTACATTTTTATATTTATTTATTTGTTTGTTAAATATACAATATCATTCATTTTTTATATAAATAATTATACTAAAAATATTTTTATTTTTATTTTTTAAAAAAACACATACCGACACAGCCCAAGGCCCATTTATCCAGGTTACAAAACCTAAATTGTTTTTTTTTTTTTTTTGTCTTTAAGATTCTCTCAACATTTTTACACAATTTTATTTTTTATTTAAAAGTATTAAATTGAACAATTAATTTAAATTTTTTATTTCTTATATTAAATAAAAAGTAATTTTACACATAAAATATTACATTAACAAACAAACACACCTTGGGTTTAAATAGTATATTTATATTTCAAAAACAATATCTTTATGTGTACAAATAAAATATATATTTCAAATAATAAATTAAAAAAACACGATATTATTGGAAAATAATTTTAAAATCTTCACACATTTTTACATTTTATGATAATAAAATGGATAATAAAATATCTAAATACGCACAATTACTATATTAGATATATATAATCTTTTAATATAAAACGATAAGTCAATTATTTTTGTTTCCAAATATTTTTAAATATGGAAAATGCACTTATTGCATCTTATCCAAATATATATATATATATATAGTATGCATTTAAATACTAACAACTATATATAACATCTATCAATCATTTAATTAATATTTTTTTCACTGTTACAATATACATCATTTTACCGTTAAAAATTTAAAATTTAAAATTATAAACAATATTGTAAGTTTTGCTAAACAAACTTTAACTTAATCTTGATATTATTATTCTATAAAATAATACGTACTCTCAGTCTACTTAATATATACATATATTTATTTATTCACAAAGTTTGATTAAAATTGCATATTAATAATAATCGATGATAATTTTTGTTTCATAAAACTATTGTATTTTTATAATATGTAAAATTAATATGAGATATTAATGTAAATAAACATAAATATAAGGTATTTGTAATGTGTATTAAAGTTCATACATATTTAAATAATAAAATATATACTTTGTATTTAAATAATAAAATATTATACTTATGAGTGGATTGAAGTAGTATTTTTTGAAACGAGTGAATAATTTAATTATAATATATTATTAAAAGTGCAATTAAAGCATTATTATCATGTAGCTAGAAGAGTGTAGTTTTACGGTCCCAACTTCCCAAAGTCTATCTATCTATAATAATAATAATAATAATAATAATAAAAGTCGGTGGCAATAGAAATATTCTTATCAACAAATTAATTATTATTCAAACATAGTAATTAATTAAAATGTTTAGCAAAATTGTAATTATTGGATTGATGTTTGTATGTTGGTTATTTTGCATAAAACCCTCAATAATTAAGTAGAAAAAAATACTTACTCTTTTAGTAAAATATTCTATCCATTTCAAAATAACAGTCTCGTTTTGTCGTTTCGTCCTCTCAAAATAATAGTTTAATTTTTATTTTTTGACTAACTTCTCATCTTTTTTACAAAATTATTTTTATTTTTTCACAATAATTAAATAAAGTAAGAGTATTTTGATTTTTTAAAATCACTTTTACACTATTGTCAATATAATATTATATATATATATTAATATGTAATATTAATTTAAAAAGGAAATTTTTAAAAAATACTCTAAAAAAAAAAAGAAGAAAGAAACACATATCTGTTAAAATGTTATAAATTTTGAAAGATATCCAAAATTCGTGAACAAGTTTAATTTCGGACAAGTCTTTCCATACATTATTTTATTTTTTAAAAAATATACACAAATAATCTTACCCGATCCTTTTCCCATTCCAAAATTGTATGTATACGTAGTACGTCGGCCAATGTATGATATCTATGTATCCATCGATACATACATACATATATATATATATATAGATAAATAGATACACACCCACACACAAGTTATTTATCTTCAATATACTCCCTCTGTCCACTTGGAAGGTTGGCATTTACTTTTGGCGCGATATTTAAGAAATAATAGTATTTTAATTATAATAAGTAGTTAAAAGTAGTGTTATGATATTTTTGCCCTTACTTTTTTTTTTTGTGTAAAAGTAATGATGTCATGTAAAGTAAGGGTATTTGTGAAAAAAGTAGGGTATTTAATGAAATGTTAACTTTGTAATTGGACGTCCCAAAATAGAAATATGTAAACATTGTAAGTGGACGGAGAGAGTATATAACATTGTGTTTGTTTGGAAGTATGATTTTTATTTATTTTTAGTTAGAATTAATTTAGAATTATAATAGTTGTATAGGAACTATAAATAGATGTTGATGAAATATTTTTGATATATAATATAAAAATTAAAAATAAATATTTAATTTGATTTTTTAAAATTTTTTATTTTTTTTAAAAAAAATTAATAAAAGCACAAATCCACAGTGGTCGTGTGAGTAATGTCTGCTTCTCCTTTTCGTGTCCTATCCGTTGGTGTGCCTTCCTTCCTTCCTTCCTGCCTGCGTGTGTATTGTGTGTGGACTGGACAGGTGTGTGTAATAAAAGTGCAAAAAAATTTGACCTACTTAATTAATACTCCGATGGATGGATGGATAAATCAGACACCCTATTTATTACAATTACAATATATATATATATATATTTAAAATAATAATAATAATAATGTATATACGTATTTTGCAACGGTAACCTGATCCCTAATTATCTCAATCAATCAATATATATCACCCACCCCTGCCCTTGCCCCTCATTCTACACTAGTACTTACTTACTATATCTTCAATTCTCTCTCTCTCTCTCTCTCTCTCTCTCTCATTTTCTTAAAAGGCTTTTAATTGCTACTGCTACTATTTTTGACAGAGGTGTGGTTGTTGCTTTTACTTTTGGCGTTGTACGTTGTGGTTGTTCTTCGTCATATCATCCATGGCTGCCGATCATCATCATCATCATCTGGTGTTTATTAGTATTATATTAATGTCGTGTATGGCAGTGCCGCTCTGCCATGGATCATATCAGTTCTCTGTTTCGTGGGTCGTTAATCCCAAGGAACCCTACAATTCCTGGGCGGGGAGAATGAGATTCCAGGTTAATGACACCATCGGTGAGCATCGTTTCGATTTCGATCTCGATTTCAATTTCGATTTTGATTTTGATTTTGATTTAATTGTATTGTAGGGTTTAGTTACAGTAATCCGGCGGATTCGGCGGTGGTGGTGAGCAAGGATGGGTACGACAAGTGCGACGCGGCGAGTCCGATTAAGAAACTGGGGAATTCGGAACAGTTCAAGTTTGATCGGTCGGGTCCGTTTTATTTCATCAGCGGGATTAAGGAGAATTGCGATCGGGGCCAGAAGATGATCGTCGTCGTTATGGCTGTTAGGAATAATGCTACCGGAGGAGGAGGAGGAGGAGGCTCGACGCCGCCGTCCACGTCGCCGGCTCCGTCAGGTGGTGGCGGAGGCGGCGGGGGAGGCTCGACGCCACCGTCCACGTCACCGGCTCCATCGGGTGGTGGTGGTGGAGGTGGAGGCGGAGGCGCAGGAGGGCCCTCGACATCGCCATCGCCCTCCGGCGGAGGCGGAGGCGGAGGTGGAGGTGCAGGAGGGCCTTCTAGGTCGCCGGCTCCGTCCGGCGGTGGTGGCGCAGGAGGGCCGTCGACATCTCCATCTCCGTCTGGCGGTGGCGGAGGCGGAGGCGCTGGAGGGCCGTCGACTTCCCCGTCCCCGTCAGGCGGTGGCGGAGGCGCCGGAGGGCCATCGACTTCTCCGTCTCCGTCTCCGTCGGGTGGTGGTGGCGGAGGCGGCGCCGGAGGGCCATCGACTTCTCCGTCTCCGTCGGGTGGTGGTGGCGGAGGAGGCGCCGGGGGGCCATCGACTTCTCCGTCTCCGTCGGGTGGTGGTGGCGGAGGAGGCGCCGGAGGACCTTCGATTGCTCCGGCTCCGTCGAGTGGCGGCGGTGGTGGAGGAGGAGGCGCCGGAGGACCTTCGATTGCTCCGTCGCCGTCGGGCGGAGTTACCTCGCCGTCTTCATCACCGGGAGGATCACCGCCGGGCGGAGGCGGCGCGTCACCTCCATCCACGGGAACCGGGGGATCATCGCCTTCGGGATCACCGGGCAGCGGCACTCCCGGCGGAGGTAATACTCCGGCCGACGTTCCTCCTCCATCCGGCGGCGGCGGATCTTCGCCTCCGCCGCCGTCGGCTGCGGTTCAAGCCGGCAACCCTTCATTTGTGTTGGTGATGACGCTGTCACTTCTATTGAGTGCGGCGTTGGGTGACATTATCATTTCTCTTTAAAATAAATAAATATATTTTTCATTTTTATTTTACATCTCCAGCCCGTTGCTTATATATTTCTCTGTAATATTTGAATTTTAAAATTATTTGTGAGACATATAATTCATCTTAATCATATCTTCCTTTCTTATTTTATTTGTCCTTTTGTTATCAGTACCGGTCTATTTTATTTTATTTTTAATGTATTGCACTTGTTACTTTACAATTGAATAAAAATGTAACAAAAGAAATTAAAAAAAAAAAAAAATGTAACAAAAGAATTTATTGTCAATCAACATACTTCTTTGACTACAAGGATGTTTCTTCAGTCAAGAATTATTTATTACTCCATTCTTTTTTGTTATAAATGAAATTAGTAATATAATCTTGTATGTGTCTAAGAAATATATGAAGTCATATAAATATATAGAAAAATAGTGCATAAAATCTTAAATAAAAAATATATTTTGTAGACATATTAAAAATGAGAAAAATGAAACATAGTAATTTATTGTTTAAGAATTTTATTGTTAAACTATTATACAAATATATAATTATAAGGAATAAAATAAAAGTGGTAAGTATTATTATAATAATAAAGGAATTAATTATATAGGATAAAGATGAGGAGATGCGAATGGTCATATCAATTGTTTGGAAATGAATACGTATAAAATTAATTAATGATTAATAGAGCGAATTAATCAATGATCTTGTGATATTCAGACACCACAGCACATAACATCTTACCACGTCCACGTACCTACTGATTGTTTTAGTTGTTTTCTTGTAATGTACAAGTAATTATAAGAATATTAGATGAATGATGTTATATGAATTTTTATTTATTTATTTAAATACTCTATTTGTCCCAATAAAATTTAGAGGAGGACAAGAATATTTATTTATTATGTCATATTATTTTGATTTATGTATTCTATAAATATTAATCAAGCAGATTGTATATTCTATTTCTCCCTACCTACACATATAGATTGGACGTCTTTTGCTTACAAATTGTACTCTATATTGACACTATGTTTTTAATTATTATTTTTTTAATATCTAAATTATTTCTATTAAAACTATTTCGTTTCTAATCTTTCATTAATAAATAAATATATATATGTTTAGAATCTTATCAATATATTTGGTTTGAGTTACAAAAACACTATTTAATTTATATTGTTTTTAATAAAAATATTATTTATATCAAACTTCAAATACTCAGATTTAAATCAAAAAATCAAACTAGTCCTCTATCTTTTGTATATTAATATTCAACAATATTATAATACGAGACATTTTCAAAACGTTTAAAAATAAATTTAAATGAATTTCACTCAAAACTAACAATATCATATTTATATGAACTTACACTTATTATTACTCCCTCCGTCATGCAAATGTTTGCTTATTTGACCGGACACGAGTTTTACTAAAAGTGAGTAATAATTGTTACTTTTTTATAGTAAAAAAAAGTATAAAAATATAATAATTTTTTACTTAAAAAAACAAAAAAATTTTTTTTATGACAATCCAAAAAAAAATAAACATATATTTGAATTACAGAGAGAGCGTTGTTTTTTAAAGTTGACAGGGACCCACTCACATTTATAATAGGAGAGGATTGAAAATTTGTTTATTTATGTATTTATTATTAACTGATTTCTGGTCGACATTAAGGGTGTGTTTGTTTGAGGGTTTGAATTTTGAGTTGGGATTTGAATAGTAAAAATTTTGAATTTAAATAGTTGTATGATGTGATATAAATAGGGTTTGATGTGATGTTTTGAATGTAAAATTGATTTTTAGTATAATATAAAAAATAAAAAATAGGTGTTTGATTTCATATTTTTGGGGGAAGGAAATCCACCAAAATCCTTCAAACAAACACACCCTAAAATTCTGTGAGAAAAAAGCGACACCTCGCCGCCCCCCACCCCTCCCCCCAAAAATGATACTTTTAGGTTTCAATTGATCCCTTCCCCTTCCACGCTTCATCCTATTTCAGTTTTTATTTTTATTCCTAATTATTGTATAATTTTATTTATAACTTTAAAAAAGGAAAACATTTTTATGTGAATTTTATTACATAAGTTATTTAGTATCAATAAAAAATATATATACAAAAATTATTTTTATATTGGAACTATATATTTATATGTGCTAATTTAGTTTGTATATATAATTTATTCTAACAAAAATAAGAATATAAATTTTTGTATAGTCAATTTTACCCCACAGATTTAGTGAAATTTGGACACAATCCTTATATATATTTTTTTAGTTTGAGTTAGAGACTTTGTTTAGATATGAGTTTTTGAAATTTTGGAAATTTGAAAAAAATAAAAGATTATTATTTGATTTGATATTTTATAAAAAAAAAAAATATTTAATTTAATATTTTTTAAAAACTTAATAATGTTAAATAGGTAAAAGTTTGTAATGTAAAAAAGGAATGTGTAACTATTTTGCCCTTAAATCAGTATAGAATTCGGGTGTGTTTGTTTGGGGGATTTTGTGGAATTTCTACTATTCCCACAAAATTTTCCTTCCAAAAATATCAAATCAAACATTTATTTTTCATTTTTTATATTATACTAAAAATCAATTTTACATTCAAAACATCACATCAATGCTTATTTATATCATATCATACAACTATTCAAATTCAAAATTTTTACTATTCAAATCCCAACCCAAAATCCAAACCCTCAAACAAACACGCTGGCGCTTGTACCTCTTTTGATCCTATCTCCAATAATCCTCCTCGTGACTGACACGTGACATTCACACTTTTTTTTTTTTCTTTTTAATCCTGATTTTTCAATCAACAATATTGAATGGACCTAATAAAATCAAATTTTAACAATGTTGACTAGTCATTCCACGTGGCATGTGATATTTGCTTTTATTATTAATATTATTATTATTTTATTTTTGGGATTTTAATGTTGTCGGCAGCAAGCTTATCTCGCAATAAATAATGCTTCACAAATGTAATATTCTGCATCACACATCAGGTTTCAAATCCTACGCTTTGCCACGTCTTTTTGCATCATGGAAAATATATATTTCATTTTTCGTCCAATTTTATTTCTATTTTTTCAGATGTCATTAAAAGATAATCTTATTTATATATATATATAAATTATATTAAAACGTGTGTTTGAAAGTATGAACAAACCATTGGATGTCAAGAGTATTCCCTAAAATATTGAAATTTTTGGTATATATTTTTTCAATCTCAATTTAAATAAAACTTTGTAAGTTGCCCTCCATTGTGTGTGTTTTATCCAATTTTGTAATTCGCACTTTTCAAGACTTAATTTTGATAATACATTTCAATATCAATATAATAATAATAATAATAATATAGTTAAGTACGTACCATTGCATCAATATAAATTAAATATTAATTCAAATCTTTAATTTTATGATTCTATCACATATACGTAAGAAAGCATGTTTTAACTCAAAAATATAAAACAAAAAACCAATAATAATAAAAAGAATTTAATTGATATGTAATGTAAGGTCAAAGTAGAATCAATCATTGGACCATTCCTAGTCATTTTCGTACATCACCAATCGTATTCTCCATTTGTCGCTCGAAACACGTTGAATGTTGATGAATAACTTCAGCCCGGCCCAATAAGCTGAATATGGGCCGAGGTGAAACAGAGTCCGGTCCAATTAAAAGTAGTATATTTACAAGCCAAAAAAAAGCAATAAAACCCACCATATTATTCGAAAAAACATTCCCACAAGTTCAACAAAACAAAGCTTAGAAACAGCTAATTCTTGACACCCCAACAATAATAATAATGATAAAATTCAATACGGTATACCGTACCGATCCATCCCAACCCATTCATTCCTCTCAATTTCTCGGCTCTACGACCACAAACAACGGGTGAAGCTTGTGAGTCGTCAACCCGACAGTGTCGATGTTCGCTTCCTCCCCTTCCTTCAACCTCCATTGAAACTCCTGCACGAATCGCCCGATCGCCACGCAAGAAATCAGCATCGCCTGAAGTGCTCCGGCACAGACCCTCTTCCCGGCCCCGAATGCCATGGTCTTTTGCAGCTCCATCGTCTCGCCTTTCCCGTTCAGAAACCTCTCCGGCATCCAATCGTCAGGACTCTCCCAAAGCTTCGAGTCCATGTTGCATCCGTATATATTTATCGCCAACTATAAAACACACCAATATAGACGAGTATTAAAAGAATGATCTAATTTTACGTGAAATTTGAAGTTCACGTCGAATACCTCGGTGCCACGGGCGATGTGATATCCACCGATTTGAACGTCTTCATGCACGTATCGTAACGGGACTATAGGTGCAGGGCTGTACTTCCTTATTGTTTCATGGAACACAGAAGTTAAGTACGGGAGCTGCGATAATTTTTCTTCGGTGATCTTGTCGGATCCGCAAACGCTTTGGATTTCCATCAAGAGGCGATCCTGTTGAATGATAAGTAAACAATGTTATCCATTCATAATTAGATCAAATTCGAAACATGGGGTGTAAAAGAGACCTGTCTCTCGGGATCTTTTGAGAGCTCATAAATCGCCCATTCGGAAGTGACTAATGTAGTGTCGGATGCTTCGATGATTGTCTCCCAGACAAGCATCTGCAGCTGTTCTTCGGACAACATCGGTGCTTCAGCCAGCAAGTAGTCGAGATAACAGTTGATCGCCTGTCCCGACAAAGGCAATGTAAGATATTAACCAGACCGAGGCAATTTATATACACATGACAACACAAGTTGTTCTTAATTTCGAGAAACAGAGGTTACCGTTCCAGAAGCTATGCGTTGTTTCTGCTTATCGACAAGTGCCTTCATGACAGCCATCCTCCGGAAATGCATCTGATTGAGTTTGTATTCAAAGCGCTGATTCGGAATCCATTTCAGATAAGGGAAGAAATCCCTCCAATCAACCTCAATGGCGCCTCCCATGGGGGCAACTACTAATATATCGAAGATTTCCTCTCTAGATACAACCCTGTCAAATTCGGGGACATAAATGGATTCCACATCCTCCCCGATCGCCTGAACATTGAAATTATCATCTCATCACAAGATTCAAACAACATTAATAGATCAAATCACTGTGCTAATTCAAATAAACTCAATGACTCACCTCTTTCATCGATAAGCTGAAAAGGTTAGACTGAAATATTTCCCTGAAATTGACAGGCTTAGAGCCATTCGTCTTAACGTGCTCATGGAACTGCTCACACATGGTGTTTATAATGGTGTCCCGATGTATGCGATGCTTTTTCTGAAATAATTAATCAATTAAAGCACAATTTATCAATCTAAATCTTCGACGCCGAATTGACATTGTTTCAGTCACGATTTCGAACCTGTGCATTGGGTCCAAGAGTGCTTGTAAGAATGTTCCGCTTGGCCGTCTTGTAAAACTCGTTGTAGTCGCTCATGGCAACCATGCTTTTTTTGCAGGTGAGGATGTTCAACGCATTCGACAGCTTTCTCGTCGAGATAGAGGAATAGTTCGCTACCATAGCCTAAAAATCCAAAGCAATATTATGTTTGATCAACGAAATTATTCATCAAACCATGATTCTTCTAAGTTCTAAGTACTTTTTGGAGTTCGAATTCAAGCTCAATGGCAGAATATTGATTATTAGGGTTAATCGGAACAGTTACGAAATGGAGAACTGAATTGAATTGAATTGAATCACCTCTTTGGCGAGATCGGCTGAGTTGACAACGACCATGCGGTTGGAGCCGGCTTTAATGGAGTAAATGGGGCCATAGAGTGCCGCCCATCTTGCGAAGGTTTTGTAGGGTTTCTTCTCCTTCAGCTGGAGCAGATTCCCAAGCACAGGCAGCCCAGGCACCTCTGCACATCACAATTTTTAGTTAATCAATCGATCGATCGATAAAAAACACTAGCTACCTCCATGGCCATGGAAGAACTGAGCAAATAAACAAACAAGTACAAGTACAAGACAACAATGAATAACGAACCTGGAGGCGAGGGTAAGGCGGAGGATCTGCTGTTGTTATTGTTGCGGCTATTCTTCACAACGAAGAGCAGAGTGACGCCGACGGCGGCTCCTACTCCGACTCCGATTGGAAGAGGTGGAAGAGTGACGACCGCATCCATCGTTGCAGAGACGAGAAAATTAATCGAGTAGAATTGAAATTAGGGAAAAGTAGCTGCGATTGTGCTAATTTATTTAGTGATGGATGGATGAATGAATGAGATGAGGTCAGTCGAGTTGGTTCGCCTTTGAGAAAGTGGAGTGAGTGGGGGTGCGGTGCGGTGAGGAAACCATTAATTTATTGTTGTTTGGGAAGAGAATGGAAGGGCAAGGAGCATGGGGAATGAAAGAAAGAAAGAAAGAAAGAACGGACATTAAAGGCGACGAAAGAGGGATCGCCATTGACAGGCGAGATGTGTGTGGGGAACTACCAACAGAATCAATTTGAGAAGACGACAACACAATACAACAATATGAAATGAAAATTATGAAATTGCATTGCAATTAAATTAAATTATCTGTCTACCTATTGTATAGGAAATTGCAAATTTTGTTTAGACTTGACTTGAATCCAAAAAGCTAACACCACACGAGTTTGCACCGCTTTGATGATCCCCACACACACATAAACCTACTACTTCAAACAAGTACCTCTATTCATATTTTGCAATGTTCAAATTAATTTATATATTTGTTTGTCCTTCTCACAGATAATTTTCGCAGTTTAGATTATTTTAATTTTTTTATTCAATGATATTAATAATTAAATACTAATATATACAAGGTTTAGGTGTCAAATATCTCGAAACAAAGTGTGTGTGTGTGTGTGTGTGTATCAGTGTATGCATGTATGTATATATATAGTCGGAAAAGTCCAGTGGATCGAGTTTAGGAAATTAATTGGATTCTGACGACGGCACAGATTTTTTCGCATCTGTACTTGTGACAGCACATACCACGAGGATGTTTGTTGGTGGATTTACATTTCTATTTCTTATTTAATTTTCGCGCCTAAAACTATCACAAAACTCCCCACATTTTTTAGGAAAAAAAGAAAAGAAAAGAATCTCACTTTTAAATTTATGCTCTTTATTGCTATGAAATACCTAATTTTACACTTCGTAATTTTTTTTAAATTACTAATGTCCCATCTAGATGGGTTTCTACATATATTTTCAATTTAGAAATTATATTTTAAAATAAATTTAAAAAAACGTAACAAATAACATATATACATTAACAATATATCTCTTTTTGATAATTTTAAGAGCGCATTGTTTAACAATACATCATTTATTGTTTCACTAACATAAGACATTTGCAAATACTGTAACACTTAACTATTTTCTCTATACGTCCCCACCAAATGGTACGATGAGTCATATGGAGTGTCAATAAAATTTCAACAGTAATATGGTAGATGAAAAATATGCAATAAAGTATATAGACAGTGGGAGCATTATCATGTATTTACCTTTTTTTTTTCCAATAGATTTCCTACAAATATAATATAATAAATGTTTTCAATAATTTTGATGTAAAGAATCAAACCAAAATACTATATAAACACATAACTAAAGAAAAAATACAAAAAAATCTTTAAAAAAACAATCAAACTATGGGAGGAACAAACAATGTAGAAAATCAAATCTTACTTTAAAAATCTTAAAAAACAATCAAACTAATTTTACCACATATTTTTACTATTCACATTTTTTTTCTCTTAAAATATCATATTAAACATTAACTTTTTTTTTTTTTTTATACTATACTACAAATCTAGTTTACATTCAAAATATCCCGTCAGCCTCTATTTATCATCAAACAACTATTCAAATTCAACTTTTCATTACTAAAAAATTCAAACCCACAAACAAACACACCCTTAGGAGCACGATGAGGACCCCATTGCAACAAAATAAAACCAACAAGCCATCAAAATTCTATCAGACCAGTCAATTTACTTGGTAGAAACTCCAAATCACAAGAAATTTCTAAACTCAGAGATTATTTACAATGCAGGACGAGGAAGATCAAAAGAGCCACCATCTCCGTTGCTTTCTTGGATTTCTCTGCACCAAACAGCAATAGTTTTGTTCACTTAAGGGTGTGTTTGTTTGGGGGATTGGATTGGATTTACACTATTCATCCAATTTTTTTCCCCCAAAAACATCAAATCAAACACCTATTTTTCATTTTTTATATTATACTGAAAATCAATTTTACATTCAAAACATCACATCAACACCTATTTATATCACATCATACAACTATTCAAATTCAAAATTTTTACTATTCAACTCCCAACTCAAAATCCAAACCCCCAAACAAACACACCCTTAGTGTTTTTAGGTGAAACGATTCATCTTAATATTATTAAAAAATATAATATATACACGTATTAACACATTATATATGTGGTGTACCTTTTGGTCTTGGCTTCCTTGGGAGGCCGGCAATACTATCGCCTGTGAGAGGACACTGTTGTCGCCGTTTTGCAAGTATGGCTCCGTTTTCTCTTTTAGCATCTCATTCAACTGAAAATTATATTTCTGTAGTCGTCAGCTAATGCACAAAGTTACCGTGTAAATAGTTCTTCAACAGGTAAATTAAGTCGGCGTGCTTAACTCTACAAACAATGTAGAAATATGGATCAAACTTGGAGAAAGACGAGGCTCATGCAAATTGGATATATAAATTGTAAAATATTTCTAGAGACGGATTGTTATCATCCATCGGCTGCCCGAGGACACTAGAAAGATAACTGACCTTCTCTATTCGCCACGTTGCTTCCCACTGTGAGTCTAGTATTTTATCTGCCATTTCTCTTTGTGCGTTGAGAAGAATTGTCTTCTCTTCGCGCTTGTTTGGATCTTTAAGGTCTTCCTCGCTCCAAAAGGATTCATTTAGCGGCATATCCAATTCCTACGCCACGAAAAAACAGAACAAAAACATTTCCATTGGTGCAAGTAAATATTCACAAGGAAATAACATGGCAATGTTTTCGCTATTGAATTTTCGAATAATGTTAAGCTGGAAAGACTGACAACACTTGATGAGAAAGTGAATCGGAAGCAACCAGAAAACAACAAAAGAAATTTACCCCCCAATTTTTGGGCCGTGGTGGAGGATCAAGATTCATTACTTCCATCTCCAGAGCTTTTTTGGCCTTGTAAAATGAAACGTTTTTCACAACAGCAGGATCATCCTTAGCACGGTCGGGATCAATGGAGATTAAAGCCTGCCGATGTAATAAAGATAGCAGGGTAAACAATAGCTTCTCAATCAACACCCAACTATTATAAATCACCTAAGATTATTCTTAAAAGCCACAGGATATCAAACATTTTCCATGCTATGCTTTTGCCAATAATTTAAATCCTTCTATTGTGCACTCAATACCGGCACACACCCGCTACCCTTTGGAAGAAAACGATTTTATTAATAGATAATCATTCCACCTGCTGCAGATGCTCCCACCCAGGCTTCCGTTTGACAACCTCATCGCGAAGTTGATCATACCGCATGGATTCCTGAACAATGACCAGAGAAATGTAAGATTATAGCACAAAGATAAAAAGCAAATGCAATTAATTGATTTTTTGAAGAAGATTTCATATGAAAGGACTTCCCATTCATCAATGCATTAAACAATACTAAAATTTCAGTGATAGACTAGTAGTGCTTATGCACATATTTCCAATCACATAATAATCGAGCCTCAAATACTTTCTTTTGCCTGCTGCAATTTTTTAAATGGTAATGATGTATAAAACTGGTTTATGATACCCAACTTCAGAAAAATTGGAGAGCAAAGAAGGAAAGGTGACCTTGTATTCCCACCAAATTTTTTGCTTAATATCTGCATCGTACTCGAAACCTCCAACAATCTCAGGTAAAGTTATCAACCAAAACGCAGCGATGCTGGGGTCCTTCATACTATCAACTATATGCTGCGAAAAGTAAACAAAAACAGTCAACCTGCACTGTTACAGTATATAATTTAAAGTCCATGGGAAGCTTCTGTGATATTGTTTGACACTACATGAGTGAATTTCAACAGCAAAAAATCTAGTAAGGCTATATTTGCTATAATAATTGTATCAAAAATTGAAATTTAACACAATAGAATAGCACTAACCTCATATGGATAGTCCATCTTTTGCAAGATGTTATAAGCTTTCCATGGAGGTTCCATTATCTGATGAAACAGGCAACAAAATGAATGAATAAACTAATGGATTGATAACCTCTGCCACGAAACACATTAAGTAGCTTATATACATGGAGTTCCAAAATTACACTCCAAGCCAAACACTAGCAAGCACCAAATCTTATTAGAAATTATTTTAAGAAATTATTTGAATTTAAGATTCCAAAAAGCATAACCAAAATTAGAAACAACTGCTCAAATAACAATATAAAAGCACCAAATCTTACATCGTCCGCAGATATTCTGACCGGAAACTTGCCTTTGCATTCCGGACATTTCATAACCCCCTGGCGAAACAATACAATTGAACATTAGTTTATGTAACGAAATGGCCTCTTTTGTAACAATAATAATAGAAATTACTGTTCCAAAGGTGCGATGTTTTTAAATCAAACCGACAATAGAAAAAGGTATGAAAACTTTAGTTTATGGTGCCAACTCCTCTTACCGATCCATCACAACTGGGGCATTCTTTAGTGGGGAATGGCAAATGTAGGTCAACACTAGACGGTAAGTGGACCAACTCTGCTCGGTTTTCCGCGATTGCATCAGCAATGTTTTCAGCCGTTGCCTTCTCTCCACTGCAGAAACATATCAGAACTAAAGAACAATCTAACAATAAATACACAAAAGTTTAACTAATCAAAGTAAATTCATATCTAAGCCAAAGCAAGGAGACATCCACTACACAATAGAGAATCAAAACCATAACATTATACCCGGCTAAATATTGGTTCAAATATTATTAGTCACGACCTTTTGCATCAGTTCAAACTCGAAAGTGGTCTTCGATAAAAAAATTCCGTGAATTCAACCATTGATACATTAAATAGAATAGATCTCTTCCATACACACAATATTACTCAACAACGCATTAGCAATTCACCCACCTTCTCAGTGAATAATTTTTTACTTGGTATTGAACCTTCCCCGAGCCTCTACACATGGTGCATTGCATAGCCTGCCATCCAGTGCAGGTCCGGCAATTCCTGCATTTCATTCACCAACCATTTCACACCATCAATTCGTGGACAAACCTTCTGCCATTAAATACATCATCGAGAAGCAAAAATCTAGAGACAATCACATTTCTAGCAAAAGTATTAATATACAGAATTTCACTACAAAGGTAAATAACCAGCCTCCATATTCAATTAGATTATAACATCCCCACATTTTTCATCCCTAACATTCAATTTTCGAAATAAAACTGGCCAATATATACAATTAGATAGTCACCTCTGACATATAACCTTCTTCCCCAATTCAAACCCAATATCATAAGTCCCTAGAGCAGCCACAGCCTGAAATAAACTCATTGACGAACGAATTAACGAAGCCATCAGATTAAGAACATATAAGAGAGCGGAAAATAGAGCAGTAGCAGAGCATACGAAGACGGCGGAGTAGGAGAGCTTGGAGATGAATTCGGGGATACCAAAGCCGCGCGGGGCAGAGCCGGCGATGTCGAAGGGGAGAGTGAAGGGCAGAAGCACGACCTTGATGGGGAAGTCAAGGATGTCAGAGATTTGGTGGCCGTAACGGTGCGAGAACAGCTTGTACTGCTTGTCCACAAATTTCTTGACGCTCTCAACAAGTTTTTCCGTTCCCCGAGACATCGCCGGCGGTGGAAGAAGCTCTGCTCAGCTCAATCCGGATAACGAAATGAAAACAATAATGGGTTCGATAAAGGCAGCACACACTCTATCAATCTGGATTGGGCTTTCTCATTTCCATTTATCTAAGCCCTAACAATTTCATAAATTTTATATATATATATATATATATATATTTTTTTATTTTAAAAAAAGGCATCAAAAGAACGCACTAAAATCCCCCCTTTTTTTATGGAATTCTGAATTTATAAATTATATCTATGTCGTAATTTTTTATTTTTTATTTTTTAAAAAAAGTAAATGAAAAATGGGATAAATATATAATAAATCCTAATATATATATATATGTATGTATATACATGGGATTTCAACTTTTTCTTTGCAATTAGTTTCGTCAACTTATATGTCCAATCAATGGGAATCAATTTGGTTTTATATGAATCAATAAATACGCATGATATATATATATACACAATTATAAAATTCCAGCCATCAATGTTCTATATGAATGATTTTTGATGTGATATAATTGCAATAGCTTTCTAATTATCTTGTCTTTGTTTAGTATAAAGAGGAAAGGTACAAAAAAAATTGAGAAATTCCAACTAGAAATCATAACAAAACCTATACGAGAAAATTTTATTTAATTTGTACATATATATTAGGTATTGAATATTAATATATTAGGTGATATATACGATAATAATGACAGCCATGTTTGTGTACCTGCATTGCATGCACTATTAGGTTATTTTCCGTTACCATTTCTCTTCAAATTCAATTCAATAAATTAAATTATTGCCTTCTCCAAGCTGCAGTAAAAATTACGAACTAATAATATTACTGCAATAATAAGTACAAAAATCAGTTGTACAAATCGCCGCCTAATTAATATTATTTTATAATAATAAGTAATAATTTATTTATTTATTTAATTCCGGTCGGCGGCGGCGAAGTCACCGGAAAAAGCGGCAAGAGGCGCGGCGAGGCGGCGCCGCCCCTCGGCGATGGATGCAGGTAGAATTTCTTCTCGGCGATGGCCTTCTCCTCGGGGCTGAGGGCGAGCGCCGGAAAATCGAGAATGCTGGGGGACAAGATCCCCGGCGACTTCCCCGGCGGAGCGTCGATAAAGAGGCCGTTCTTGAGGGTACTGTTCCTCCGCTCGTAGAGCTTGAAGCTTTGCTTCTTCTTGATCGGCGGTACGAAGAAGCAGCTGCCTCCGCCTGCACGCGGCGGCGGCGGCGCCGTGTCGGAGGTGGAGCCGGTGAGCATTTGCACGACGTGCTTGAAGGTGGAGGTGTCTGCTTGGACGAAAGTGGTGGGATAAGAATTACTGGCCTCCTCGTGAAATCTGCACCGGACGGATCCATCGGCGGTCGGCGGCGGACGGTGCTTTTCCGTCCCCATTAATATACCGGCCGGCGGCGGCGAGAACTTTATGGTGAGAGAAATACTGAGTGGGTGCGATCGATCGGAAATTAAACAAAATGTGGTTTAATATATATATATATTTTCACGAAATTAAAATTCACAATGGTTGTTCTTTATATTTTGGATAAACTCTTGCCAAATCTAATATCATATAAATTAAATTTAAAAAGACAAGCCATACTAAATAAATTTATTTGGACACCACTAGACTATTTTTTTTAAATGCATTAAATATTAAAAGTACCCTAAAATTATATATATATATATAGCCCAATAAAATTTAAATGCAACATTTTTGTGAAATGGGCTCACTTGAAATTCCCTATCGAGGATTGGACTGTACGAAAGGCTCAAATTTGAGCAATGGATTCAATATTTAATTTATTTCACAGTTACATGTAAATTAAAGGCACTAAAAACGTCAATTAATTATTCAATAATTTTGCACTAATTAATTTTTTTTAAAAAAAATTCAAATTAAATATTTATTTTTTATATTATACTAAAAATTAATTTTATATTTAAAATACTACATCCAACATTCATTTATATTACATTAAACTAATATTTAAGTTTAAAAGGTTAATACTATTAAAAAATCTAAATTCTCACACAAATAGCAGTACACCCTAATGAAAAATAATAAAATAAGTGAATGAAAAATATATAATATTATATATAATGTAATATATATTTGATGCAATATATATTTTTAAAAAATACTTATGAATAGTAGTAATTTTTTTTTAAAAAAAATGTAGATAAATAAAGTCATAGTTTTTAATAGGCAGTTTTGAAGTAAATATGTATAAAAATATATCTATTTACGCAACAATTTGAATAATTTTGAAATTTTTCATCAAGTCAATTGAAATCAATATTTTATTTTATTTTTTTATATGACATAGGAATCTGCAGCGGCCACCAGAAATCAAACTTGTTTTGATTTGATTGAGCTATTTGTTAACCCAAATTTAAATGCCGTATATGTAAAAAATATATATAATAAAAAATAAAATTGTTTGATATTTTTTAATATATATTAAAGTGTCAAAGTATCCATTTTTCACTCTCTAAACAGTATGTATATTTCCGTCGCGCCTGGTTTGCAAGGTATTAGGTTCGGCCGGGGGTTTACCCAGTGAGTACTTTCGGATAGCGGCTGCGGGTTACTACGTTATTAAAAAAAAAAAAACAAAACAAAACAGTATGTATATGCAAAAAAATTAAAATAAAAAATAAAGTGTAATAGCTATTTGTATACTTTTTTCAATTCGAAAGCAAGTACTGTTACATGATTGAGAATTACTTTTCTCCTTATTTTGCTATGGGACCAATTTTGGTTCCATGGAAAATGAAGGAATCAATTTATTAACATATATATATATAAATAAATAAATAAATAATCTACAAAATATATATTGCTTTTCTTTCAATTTACTTCATAATAATCTAATTATGAAACTTTAACTAATTGAAACCATGATTACACAACCACATAACACATCTTTCTTCACTTCCCACATTTGAAGCAATTAAAAAAATTATGTACATCAATTCAAATAATACTATTATTTTTCTAGTTAATTTTTATTTATTTATTTAATTACATTTATTTCTTACTATTGCACCCTCTCAATGAAGTGAATTTAATTGTTTCTTTTTTTTTTTTACAACCCATATATATATATATATATAGTACAAGATTTTACAATTATTTTTTTACAACAAAAAGAAAAATAATAATATAAAATATTCTAGTTCATTTAAAAATAATAAAATAAATTTTCATACATGAAAACTAGAGAGAGAATGAATTCAAATAATAATAAAAAGCAGCTACTTTATAATTAAAAATAATGACATCCATTTTAGCAATTGATCTAAGCATTGTAGTCAAACCACATAATTATTAAATTGATAAAGTGATTAAATTCAAATGGAATAATCATCACACTATGAACACATTAATTTATACAAACTTATTTTTAATGAAAAAAATAATAATTATTCTCTTTCAACTTACACTATTTCTATATATGTCTAATTCCCTTCCCTGTGGACCTGAAATTTAATTAATAATCCTGTTGAAATATAATGAGGTCCCATTTTATTTCTTTGCTTGTGTTATTGTTCGCATCTCTATTAGTTTAATATTTTTATATATATATATATATATTTTTATCTCAAAACATTATAATCATACATTTATATAATATGATTCATATTAAATACTATATATATATATATTACATGAAATAATTATAATATAATCGGTGAAGAACCTAACTTATAAATAATAATAAAACTTTTAAATAAGATAAAGGCTCTGTTTCATTTGGAGCTATTTTTTTTATTTTAATTTAAATTTAATATTTTGTAAAATAAAATAATATATATTTTTAAATAAAAATGTATAACAGGAAATGAGACAAAATTAAAGTCAAGCAAATAGAGCATTGTACAACATAAATGACTCCACCTTATCTATATACTAATATATGAATTATAGTAGTAAATTTGTATACACTGAATAATAATAAAATGGAAGGGTTGGTGTGTATATATATTTGAATTGAATGTGTTGCATGAATATTTTTAGGGAAACCCTAACCCTAACCCGAACCATAACCCTACCCTACCCTACCCTACCCTACCCTAATTAATTGAAGGAGACCTACTTCCTTAATTAAACAAATTTAGTGTCACCCAACTCTCCCTCGTATCATCATCTCACATTTCTCTTCATATATATATATATACCCTACACACTTTAATTTCTAACCACAATAATTAACTCTCTATATTCCAATTTCATTAATTCCAATTCCATTGAATTTTTATTTGTTTATTTTTTTTAGAAAAATAAAAGTGAAAATAGATATTGTAGTTTGTATATGGTACATATTAAAACATAATCGAAACGCAAGTAGAACAAAAAATATATATATATATATATAATCTTAATTTTAAAATATTATATAATTATTTGTATTACTTATGTGCATAATATTTAATCATGAATTATGAATAGCGACTCCTCAATAATGTCACCGACACATATCATCTCACACATTGAATAATTAGTTATATTTATAAATTTTAATATCTTAATTTATTTAAATATATGAACTATAATATGCCATGTTTATCGCATTAACGGCCACTGGACCATTCTTATTGTATATATATATATATATATATATTTTTTTTTTTTTTCAAAAATAAAAAATAAAAAATAAAAAAATCTAATGATAGTTATATATGATGGCAATAATGTAAATTTATAATTTCCTTCTATTATCAAATATAATATAAATAATTGTAAAGCATGGACTTATTAAATTCTCGATGACATGAGTACTAGGAAGAAAGACGTGAAACAAAAGAAATCATTGATCAATCCAATCCATGCTACTCACCATAAATCACTCTTCACTTATTATTATTATTATTATTATTATTATTATTATTATTATTATTATATGTACGTAAATGGTGTGTATATAATAATAATAATAAATTCTCATTTAAAATTTTATATTCAAAATTTAATACTCTCTCCGTCTCGGATACCGTGTCGGTTACACCATAGACACAGTATTTTAGAAGAGATGTAATTAGTATATAATTAAGAATGTATTAGTGAAAATAATTATCCTATAATATAAATAATTATAAATTAAGATTAAGATAACAAATTAGTTTAATTAAAATTTTTAAAAAAAAAATTAAAAATTTAAAATGAGACATTTTCCAAAAATAAAAAGTGACACGGTATAGAGGACGGACAGAAACAGCAACGGAGACATGACGGAGGAGTACTATTAGTTTTTAATAATAATAAAAACACATTAAAAAAGATCACGTCAATGACAAGACTTAAAAATAAGAAAAAGAATCAATCACCGTAAATCAATGACATGGCCGGTTTGCTCTAAACCCTGTTTTAATTTATTTATATATATAAATAAAAAATAAAAAAATAAAAATTGGGACCCTATCTAATTTGTCTTTCAAATTTTCTTATAACTGAATAAATAATAAAAAAATAATATATATCTTTAAATAAATAAAAAAAACAAATAATAAAAATAAAATATATATTTAAATAAAAAAAAAAAACTAATAAAAAATTAGGACATAGCTAGTACTGCGTAATATGCGTGACACGTTGGCTAGTTTAGATATCCATATTTATAGGGAAGAAAGTGATATTGAAAAATCGAAAGAACATGTGTGAGGCATGATTGGATCAGAAAAAATTGATGCCGATGATGTTTATATATATATATAAGTGGAATAATTGTGAATTGAATTTTACAAATTGTTACAAAATGTTATAGTTAATCATTATTTTATAGAAAAAAAAAAAAAAAAAAGATAGATTTACTTGGGTGTGTTTGTTTGGGGATTTGGATTTTGAATTGGAATTTAAATAGTAAAAATTTTGAATTTGAATAGTGGTACGATGTGATATAAGTAGGTGTTTGATGTGATATTTTGAATGTAAAATTAATTTTTAGTATAATATAAAAAATAAAAAATAGGTATTTGATTTGATATTTTTTAGAGAAAAAAATGAGATAGAACAGTTTATTTATGGGAGAATCCTCCGAACAAAAGTATTTTTAGTGGATTGAAAGGATGGTGATTGTACCATAAAGAAAATGAAGAAAAAAAAAAAAGAAATCTCAAAATAGATACTCTTTCCGTCCCATATAATATGAGTGTATTACTGTAGATACGACAATTTAGATAAAGTATAATTAGTAAATAATTAAGAAATATATTAGTAAAAAGAATTATTATTTAGTAAAAATAATTGTAGACTAAGATAACTAAATAGTTTAATTAAAATTAAAAAAAAAATTTAAATTTTAAATTTTAAAATATGATTAAAATGTATAATTAATTTTCCAAAAAAAGAAAGGACAAATTATGTGGGACGGACGAAAATAAAAAATATGAACAAATTATGTGGGACTAAGAAAGTAGTATTTTAAAGTATGTTTATTTGGTGATTAAAAAGAATGTTAAATGTTAGGTTGAGTATAATGTTTTATGAGATAAATAATACTACTAGTATAATATTTTCATAGAAAATCTTGAGACATGCATAATAAATATCTACGTTATTATAAATAAGAAATTTTAAATAAATAATTATGAAGTATATTAATAAAAATAATAATTGTATAATATAAATAATTATATATTTAAATTAAGATAATTATATAATTCAATTAAAACTAAAAAAAATATTCATCCCTTTCAAAAAATATAGTCTTATTGTATTGAGCACGAAATTTAAAGTAAAAAATAATGATAAATGACTTTTTTACCTTGTGAGTATATTAGTGTAAAAGTAGTGACAATTGTGTAATAATAATGAAAAAGTAGGGATAGTTTTACTGTGATATTATTATTTATGGAAATGAGACTATTGTTTTGTGACGGAAAAAAATGATAAATAGGACTATTGTATTAGGACAGACCGAATATAAATTATGAAATTATAAATATAGTTAAAATATATAATCATTTAAACAAAAACTAACAAAGTGAGAATTGACTAAAAAAAATAGACAATATGAAAAGAGTAAATTTGAGTGCCAAAATTAATTAAATGAGTATATGATTGATTCTAAAAATAAAAGAATATACAAATTTAAAAATATATTATAAAATTCAAAATACAATTAATTCGGGAATATGAAACTAGGCATTATTGATAGTTTTGTTTGATACTCCGTCCGTGCATTACCGTAGATACGAAACTTTAGGTAAAATATAATTAGTAAATAATTAAAAAATATATTAGTAAAAATAATTATAAATTAAGATTAAGATAATTTAATTAAAATTTAAAAAAATTTAAAATTTAAAATACGATTAAAACATATAATTATATTTTAAAAAAAAATGACAAATTATAAAAAAAAAAAAAAATAGAAACAAATTTGCAGGACGGAGATCATACATTGGTAGATAATAATAATATGATTATAATAGTCAGATTCCGGTAGAAGGAAGACCAAAATTCAAAGGCAATTTCCACATGACAATGACGTCGTATTAAAAACCTGCGTAATTCTCTCTGAAACTCGACTCCACACCATACTTTCATGGCGACAAAATCCAATCACTCACACACACACACACACTTACTGATGACTACTCTCTTCTCCTATTTACGCATAGACGTACCACTTCTCTCTTTCCCTCACATTTTGGCAACCGACATACTCGATCTCCATTTTTACAAATCTCAGACAGTCGGAGCATTTCTTGTCGGTGGAGCTCATCTTTCCGATCTCCCTCTCTCTTTATTTCCATTCTCTCTCTCTCTCTCTCTCAAAACAAATAAATGAATTAATTCTGCTCTGCAACTCCAACTTCCGATCAATCAATCAAACAAACAAACAACAGTCAGTTTTCCGATGGGCTACGCCGCCCCCGCCGCGGCGGAGAAGCGGTGGATCTTCCCACTCGCAATAACCTCCCTGGCATTCATTTTCCTGATCGCCACTTCCTTCAACGTCGGCCTCGTTTTCTCACTCCACACCATCCTCTCCATATTCTCCGCCCCGGCCGCCGCCCCTCCGCCCCGTCCCGCCGCCGCTCCGCCGGCGCCGGCGCCGCCGAAGCTGGCGTACCTGATATCTGGATCGAAGGGGGACCTGGAGAAGCTCTGGCGGGCGCTGCACGCCCTGTACCATCCACAGAACTACTACGTCGTCCACCTGGACCTCGAGTCCCTGCCGGAGGAGAGGTCGGAGCTCGTGCGCCGCATCACGAGTCACGCCGTTCTCACAAAGCTTGGAAATGTTGTTGTTAATAACAAGTCGAATATGGTTACGTATAGAGGCCCGACAATGGTGTCGAACACGCTCCACGCTTGCGCGATTCTTCTCAAACGATTCCCCGATTGGGATTGGTTCATCAACCTTAGCGCATCGGATTACCCATTGATGACTCAAGATGGTCCGTAGCGAGTGAGCAATGTCGATTATATCCATTGCGCACCTTCTACATTTCTCTAACAAGTGTTTTCTTTGTTGTAGATCTTCTCCACGTGTTTTCGGGTTTGAAGCGCGAGCTGAATTTCATCGAGCATACGAGCGATTTAGGATGGAAAGCGTAAGCTTGATCCACGCTTAATAGCGAGCGATCTACGCATGATTATATAGTCTTATTATGCCAAATATATTTGTTTTTTTCCGGCAGGCGCCATCGGGGAATGCCATTGATATTCGACCCTGGGCTATCCCAAACGACAAAGTCGGACTTACTATGGGTTGTCGAACAACAAAGAGATCTTCCCACCGCGTTCAAGTTGTTCACCGGTTAGTTCAACGATCAATCATGCTCATTTCAAATCCTCGATTTGTATACGTCCCGTTGTAAGTCTCCATCGATGATGCATGTGTAGGTTCAGCTTGGATGGTCTTGTCCCGGCCATTCGTCGAATACTGCATATGGGGTTGGGACAATCTCCCGCGAACGCTACTCATGTACTACACCAACTTCGTCTCATCGCCCGAGCATTACTTCCAGACGCTTGTCTGCAACGCCCCCGAGTTTGCGCCAACGCTCGTCAACCACGACATGCACTACATCTCATGGGACGACCCACCGCAGCAGCACCCACACACCCTCAGCCTCAACCACACGGCAGCCATGGTCGACAGTGGCGCAGCCTTCGCTCGTAAGTTCAAGCAGGATACTCCTGTCTTGGACTGGATAGACAGGGAATTACTCGGGAGAAGAAACGGGAGCTTCACGCCAGGAGGGTGGTGCGCCGGCAAGCCCCGCTGCTCAAAGGTGGGCAAACGGGCCAAGCTCCGGCCGGGCCCGGGTGCCAAGAGACTTCAAAAACTTATAGATAAGATGGTTTTTTCAGCTGAATTTAGGCAACAACAATGCAAGTAGAAATCATATGATGAAATGGAATACTGTGTATGTATATGTCTATCAAAGTTACCTGTTTTTTTTCCCCTTAATATCTATGAAAGTCTCAAGTACAAGGTTGAACTCAGAGGTCTATTTGCTAAATTTTGAACCATTGAATTCTAAAATTCGATTTTGAAACTTAAGAACATAAACCTTTAATCCTGATTTACCTGTGATGAGTATAGCAATTGCAATATTATAAACTGGTTGATAAGTTTTCAACTAATACCTGTGTAAAATTTTATGCCTGAATTTGGTCCTATCCCTGCCAAGCAACAAGACTGGAAACACTATACTCTTTTCATTCAAAAAATGACGAAAAAAGTGATTATCAGGAGAAGAAACTTCCCCCTTTTCTGGGAGTGGCTCGGTGCCGTTTTCTTCTTTTGTCCCTTCCTCGGCGCACGATAACTCTTCTGGGAGAAGGTTTGTCATGAGCTAAAGCCGGGGGAGGGTGCCTTCTGAGCCTTGACATTTGAGCTCTTTGTTCCAATAAATCTCTGTGATAAGCCTGTAAGATTTCAGGGTACTTTAGGATCATGGAAGAATCACGGTGAATGGATTCGATAAGACGGGGTTACAGTGGATAAAAAGCTACCTGTATTACAAAATTGCGCCTTTCACAGTCTAGAAACATGTTGACACTCCAGTTTAGTTGGGCTGATATCTTATCCCTCACGGTGGAAAAGCTCAGCTGGTCCCGGGAAGTAAAGCGATCTACTTCATTGAACCATAGACAGCTGAAAAGATTTGTTATTGGAATGTGTTCTCTAATTATCACACACCCTTCAGGAACATCTGCAAAAATTTCAATGCAGATCAGTATCGAGACAAAAGGGTAAATGCAGATATGCCAGTCATGTATAACCGTACCACTTGTTATAGGTAGCTTTGCAATTGTGTATGGTGTTAAACCTTCCTTCCTGTAAAATTCAACTTGGTAATCAATAGAAATATTATCGTATTTCCCTCCAGCTTTGTTTGCCTCAGCCTCCTCAAATACGTCAAAGCGTCTGTAATGTCTTGATATAGCAAAAGTTGCATTTTTGCGCCAAAGGAATCTGGGTGATGAAATGGCAAGTGCAGGCAAGAAGGGTGACATAAAACAACTTTACACTAACAAATAATGAGTAAAATAGATTAAGAGTTAGTGGGAGGGGAGTAGATACCTCTCAAGAATCTGGTATGGATCGACAACAAGCTGAAGCTTCCCATCTATCCAGATAGAGAATCGTGTATTTGAGAAAAGCCTATGCAACAAGAGCTTAGGCACCTGCCATGACAAATTAGCGCCAAGTTGCGTATTGAGGTTATTTTACAAGAGCATGGAAAAAAGATAAAATAATTAGAAAAACAAAGAACTATGATCGGAGTGGAAATTCATTGTTCAGTAATGAATAAAATAGATTTAACTCCTTCAAATCAACTCACCAAATTCACAAGTGTAGACAAGGAAAGTAAAGGCATATCACGGACCCAAGTAGCTAGAACACATATTGAATCAACCACTTTTGAAATCAAATATGCATGATCTTTAATTGTACATCCATATTGGTTGTAGAAATTTTCATCGGCAACCAAACAGCTGCATCTAAAATGCCAGTTTGCTTTGGCGCAAACAGCCAAATACACAGGCTTTAGGCTAATTAGATGAACAAAGAAAACTATAGGTACAAACCAAATTCAAACTTCACAGTTAAAATGCCTGGTGCAGCAGACAAACCTTTCCATTTCGTCTTGAATCCGTGTAAGGAACATTGTGCACCACTATAATTCTCCATAATCCTACATGTTTGTCGTTGCTCAAGAGGCTATAGTTCTTTATATATGATTCAGTCTCTTCATCCACAAACATGAAAAAAGGAACTTTGCTTCTTGCAGTTTCACCAATATTCATTGGTTGTTGAATCACATCATAGTTTCCTACAAAAATATACAGAAACCCAAAAAAGGCAGCTAAATAATGAAACTTAGAACATTAAGAGATCATGCATGGCACAAGGAGGTGGACTAAAAAACATCCAGACACACTAAGGATAAATTTGTGAACATTAGATGTAGCTTATGCTTGACAGTACCGAAAACAGCAGAGGTTACAATGACCTCATGGAATTGCTCCAACACCTCAAGATCTGCCACATCAATGTCAAATCCAGTTTGATAGCCAGCTCTGCATCCTTTGATAAATCTGAACACGTGTTTATCAACCTCTGAATACATGCAGAAAAACAACTTTGGAGAAAATCTATTAATATTGGAAATCAAGAATAGTATGACCTACCCACAGTGAACAGTCATCGACTCTTTAATATTAAAAGAATCATTCCTCTGTTTCAGAGAAGGATAACCACCAAAATTAGAGCCTCCATTAGGTTCAACTTTTAATGGATTTTCCTCAGATAAATAATTTAAATGATGAAGCACAGGAGATGGAGATGGGACTCTGGGCATACGAGCTATAGCTTGCTCCACCGGAATATAGCATACAGGGCACGCTGAGGAGTAAAAGAAATTTAAGCCAACTTAATCTATAAAAGCTAGTCCAGACACAAGACTTAAAGAAACATGCTACAGAAATAAGAGCCTGAAATTCGTATGAAACAAATTAGCTTAAATAAACGTACAAGTGAAAACAACTTACGGCGTGGACCAGCTCGCCTCATATCACCGGGAGGAGGGGGTGGAAATGCAAAATCAGCACATGGATCAGTATAATCAGTAGGCTCGTTGGAAGAATCATCCATGGGCATACTATTGAAGAGATATTCCCATCGAGAACTACCATTACACACTATAACTTCATTGATCTTTGGATTAATATTTGATAGCATTGCTTTTCTAGCAGGCAACAGTGAATTTGCAACATAAGAGTTGTTAAGATATCTGGCATCAAATACCAACCAAGAGCTTTTGAAATCATCCTCTGACAAAAAACAAGCAGTCACTTAAATAAGTTACAGTGCTAAAAAAAGTGTTAGGAATTCGTGAGGGGATACAGAAGAGAATTAAAGGCTAGACAGATGCTCGAAGAGGATTAGAAATATGACAAATATGAACAAAGTATATCAAAACAGTTTGCTCCTTTTTAAGCAATACAAACATTTTGGAAATCTGACCATTTCAACATTGCACAAGAAGGAAAAAAGGCAGCTAATCAAACCTTTATTGATAGTAAAGAACCCAGTCATGAACGCAAAGAAGGCAAGCACAGCCAAAATTAACATTCCCACTTTCTTTCTGGGCAGATATCTGAAAGCCGAAAGACAAGATCTTTCCCTCTCCCTAGAACCATTGAGAGACGTCTTCAAAGACCTGCGTACGTTATGATTTCCTCCATTCTGTGCTAGCTGAGGCAATGATCCAAAGCTACCAGACAGTCTTGATCCCAATGACATTCCAGTCATTTTATCTTCGGTCGTGCTAAAGCAATTTTCATCTCTTCTCTTAAAATTTTCCTTCAATCACTAGAAGAATTGGAGTTTACTAAATATCTCAATCAATTACAGATGCATCAACCACCAGATTATGTAGAAACACTACATCAACTTCCCAATCTCAAGAAATTTCCCATTTATGCAACAGTAAGAAGAATCTTGATTAATTTCACAAATTAAAATTCTGAACAATGAGAATATGCTCCTAGGTCTGCAATCACATCACAACTACAAATGTTCTCACAATATCAATACCTAAATACCGAGAAAAACAATGCGAATTCACAAAATTTATTCCATACGTTTAATACAACAGAGATTACACAAAAATTTCGGAACAGCTCACTCTAATTCAAAACAAAATTCCTCCTCCGAAACTCCTAGTTCAACAGTAACTCAAACATAACTACTTTCCCATTGCTTTGTCAATGCCGGTTCGCACAAACTATACAAATACAAAAAACAAAAAACAACTTAAAAAACAAACAGAAATCTTACAGAAAACATTTCGATTGGTACCGACTTCAATCAGAACAAAAAAACAGCCAAACTTTCAACCGTTTCTGAGAATTCAAATCTGGACTAACACACATCACTGTTCCAGCAAAATTAGTTCCCAGCGATCGAGATATAATGAGATTACGCTAAACAGCTCACCTACGGAGACGACGGCGGTGAATTTTCCATTCGGAAAACGGAGCAAATCAATTGCGACCAGTAAGAATGAATTTCTAGCTGAACAGTATGAGATTCAGGGGACGAAAATTATAAAATAAAAAATAATAATTAATAAATAAAAATGTTGTGTTGTCCTCTTCCGGTTGTTTGGGTTTGCGCATCGACTTGAGTAATTGGGTTTAATTACATGTTTATTTTTATTTTTATTTTTAATATATTAGGTAATGATTTTGGAGGATAAATTAAATAAAAAAATTTTGTGTTGCAAAATGCGCGCCATTATTGGAATTTCAGAATCCGAGAAATATTCTCCAATAATTAGAAAATATATACATATATATATATATACTTTTCAGAATATATGTAGGGTGATGGTATTTTATTTTTATTTTATATTTGAAATATTGAATTAAATATATTTCTCTAATTGTATATATATAAAAAATTATATTATATTTCTTTATATTTATAAAAATAAAAATATTAAAATAATTTTACATATTTTTATTACTCAATAAAATATTATTAATTTAATAAAAATAGAAGTAAAAGTAAATCTAGTTGGAAAGAAGAGAATAAATGATTTTAATTCTTGGTAATAGTTTAAGCTCCTATATTTAAATATAAAAAATTTTAAAACCAAAGTTTTATTGAATCTTTGGAGCATGGCCTAAGACTAAATATAATTAGTATATTATTAAAAATGTATTTAGTAAAAATAATTATCTTATAATATAAATAATTAATAATAAAAATAAAATTAAAAAATTTAAAATGAAATTAAGATGTATAATCATATTGAAAAAAAGATTTACATAAAATATGAGACAGATAAAAATAAAAATGTAACTATAATAAATTGAAGGAAATAATACTTCCTCCGTCCTCTTTGAAAGTTTACATTTACTTTTGGCGACGTGTTTAAAAAATAATAGTATTTTAATTATAGTGAATAGTTAAAAGCAGTGTAACGATATTTTTGCCCTTACTTTCTTGTGTAAAAGTAACGATGTGATGTAAAGTAATGGTATTTGTGGAAAAAAGTAGGGTATTTAATAAAATATTAAATTTGTGATTGAACGTTTCAAAATAAAAATATATAAATATTGTAAGTGGACGAATGGAATACTATATTTAAACATATAAAAAAAAAAAAAATTGTAAGATATAACGTGATGAAATATGCTTGCAGCCCACCATTATCCATGTACAAGTCTGCATCCAATCATTGTTAACGGGAAAATACAAATATAGTCAAAAGGGGATAAATTTGTAATTGTGAAGTTATGTATTCAAATTTCGATGTCTTTTGGTTTTATTTGTCACACATAACTTGTTTAATATGATTTGTTTTATCAGACTTAATTTGCGAACTATTAAATTCTACTAAAAATTTACCTAAAAGATAACGAGTGTAAAATTTTTTTGAAAATGAAACAAACAATTTTGAGTATTTCAATGGAAGTTAAGGGGCTATTTGGTTCAATGATTTGATGGGATTCATGGGATTTGTATAAAATTTATGCTTGGTTAAAAAAAAGAAGGTGGAATTTAAAATGATGAGATTTGAAAAAATGGTCTAAAATCTTACAAATAAGGGATTTTTTTTTTTAATGGAATGCCATGTTACTTTTAAATCTCAATTCTTGAAATTTTAATTTTTACATTTATATCCTCTTATAAAAAAATAATAGTATTATATTTATATAAAAAAATTAAATAATTTTAACATTAATTATTATTTTAATTATATACTTAATTAAATTTATATTATTTTTTATTGTACAATATTTTTTAAATAAATTAATAAATTCATTATTTAAATTATTATTTATTATAAATTTTATTTGAATTATAAAATTATAGAGACCACCATAAGTCGGATTCAGTCGGAATTGATATTCATCCCAAATATATTGTTAAATCCGATATTCAAATTGGATCCGATTATACTAGATCCGACCGAGATTATACCCGGTAAGACTTGATGGATCCGAAAAATCTATTTTTTTTACCATTCTTAAATTTTAGTTTAAAATTACACATGTATCGGATCCAATGCATTAAAATTTATGTATTTTATTAGAAAATAATGAATACGTTAAAGTCAAAAAATATTTTTAATATAATTATATTATTCGAAATTATTTTTTTGATATGTATGGTTGATATATTATTATATTACCCTCATCATGATCCGGATCCAGGCTTAATACTCAAATAATTGGACTCAACTTCAAATAAATAGGTCGGGTTCGGTCGGATCTCGAGTTTACGCGAATCTATTGTCGTTCTATAAAATTATTGATGTCTTTTCAATTTATATTAATAATTAATTAGAGGTTTAATTTGTCAAAATAAATAAAATTCATAAGAGGACAATTATGTCATTTAGAATATAAAAAATCCAAATCCACGAAATAAAAATCCCACTATATTTTACCAACCAAACATAATATGAGATTCCAAATTCTAAATATAATAAATCACGTCACATATAAATCCTATTGTGAAATCCCAATTCCACAAAAAAAAATTCCTGAACCAAAGAACCCCTAATAGTTACATTTTGTACTTAGGTTTCCTTGACATTTTCCTACTGAAATTTACTATTGAAATTTCATATTTTTTAAAAATAAATATTTTTTTAATAAAAAAAATTTATCAAATATTATTTAAATATAAAATTAAAATACACGTGTTCCTATAAGCTATAACAGCTATTACATCCTACTATGAGATAGGGTGTAGCACGTAAACTCTATTTAAATAAAGTCTTTTAAATTTTATAAAATTCTAAAAATATAATAATAATAGTTAATATGATATTTTATTAAAAAAAAAAATTATCTATTTATTGTTAATTCTAGACCTAATATTTTTGGGGCGGGGTCCGGTGTGGCGCATAAGTAATCGCATAAAGAGTGCCTTGACTAGCACGCAGCATCCACTCTATAATATACGTAGGGTATCACCACGTATGCTAAACCTTGTTGGGATACAATACAATTATAATAAATTTGATTTAAGAATCATAAAAATAAAACTATCAAAATTTAACTTAATTATATATATATATATTTAAAAAAAAAGGAAAAAAGAAAAAAGTTGGACTCAAAACCGATGTTTTAAATTTACTAATCCAAGCATAAAGTATTTCTTTTGAAGGAGTTTTAAGAAATTGGATTTGAGTTTGGGTTAAATTTGAATTTTAAAATTAATTTTGATTTTTGTGTTTTTTTTTTTTTTTTTAGGTTTGATCTGGATTTGGAGGATTTGATTTTTTTTAGATGATGTGGGAATCTGCAGTCGCCACCTAAACGTGTGTACTGAAAAAATCAAGTTCGACAGGAAAGTCACACTAGACGAACCATATGTGACAGGTGATCTGAGATGTTGGGAGTTTGAATCCTGACCTCACGGTCACAAGTCCAACGTCTCTAAATTTTATTAATATATGAGATTTCAAAGGTTATAAACGTTAAATTATACTTAAAAAAATAAATAAATTATTTAGAATAAGCAAAAATATATATATAAAAAATTTCATTCGAATCAATGTTACGATTAGGGTTATCATAATTAAGGAATAACTTGATCAAAACCGTCCACAAGAAAGAGAGAAAATAAATATTTATGCCAAATATTACGTTACTTCGAAAAAATGCAATTTTTTATTTTGTTAACCATTGATGAAATTAATTTTTTTTATATGATATTCATAACTCGTTTTCTTTCAATCCAACAATGAAATTTCAACATGATCTCTATATTATAACAAAACTTTTGAGGACAATAGTAGATTTTTTTGAAATTGATTTTCTTGATCTTCATTCTTACTTAAGTTTGTAATATTCATTGATTAATCAATCGGTGTTGAGGCGTGATTATATGCAATTTAAATGATTTTTGCATTCAATTGTATTATAATATGTTTTTATTATTTGTTTTGGACTATGATTTTTTTTTTTATTTTTTATATTCACTTTAAAATTTTTTATTGTTGCCTCATTTCATATTTTAGTTATAAATTTTATTCCTATTACTTTTCATATTCTTTAAATGATTCCGTTCCTTCAAAATAATAATTTTTTAAAAAATATTATATTAAATAGTTATATATTTTTATTTTATTATTATTATTTTTTTTTTAAAAAAACCTTATATATAAAAACATTTTGTCCCACACCTCTAGTGGCCATCTAAAGATAGTCATAAATACTAAGTTAGCTTGTTAAATATTTAAATACTTTATTTTTTATTTTTATTTAAAGAAGCTCCAAAAATTTTAATTTATTATTTAATTTGATATTTTATAGATAATATCTTAACTTTATATTTTGTAACAAGAAGCAATATATGTGCAAATTAAATATATTAATTTGAATTTGAAATTACTAAACACATCATCATATTTGATTTGATTTGATAATATTTTAAAAAATTATTACTAATTAATATAGTAAAATAAATACATAAGTGTATATTTTTATAATATATCACCATACGTGGAAGAAGGAAGTATAAAAAAATTAATATATATATATAAACACATATTTTTGTTAAAATCAACGATAATATTTTTATAAGATAATTAAAAAAATAAAAAACATAAGATATGAATGAGTAATGGAGTATTATTTTTTTAATGTATAAAATCTCTTAAATCTCATCTAAACGCAGCCTATCTTTTTAAATCACAGATATTTCATCCATATAATAATATACACACACATTCTTGATTTCTTCTCCAAATCTCGAACCAGATGCTCATAAAGCAGCTTAGCTCCTCCTTCGATGAATACAATAATACATATACATAATCATAATCACCAATTGATTTGATTATTTGCAGGCTGAGGCCACTTCTGTAAAGTAAATCCTCTGCAACGACGACAACCAACCTTCAACCAAGAAGTTAACGGCAAGGTATCACCACGATAAGCTTCCCTTGTTTGCTCATAAATCGCCCAACAAACCTTCCTTTTTCCATTCCATTCCATTCCATTCCATTGACCCTACCTCAATCTTTTTCCCTAATCCGCATACCCCACACTCACCACGCTTTGTTCCACCAATCAATCTTTTCTGGATCTGTCTCAGTCCGCCGACGCCGGAGCTCCGGATCCAGAGAGCCGCGCGCTTTTGAATTTCCCGATGCTGGTGATGATTTGTGTTGTCGATTGTTTTTTTTTTTTTGGAATAATTGAATTCGATAGTTTCTGTTCATTATGCAATTGCGGAATCGTCGTGTAATTGCTGTTTTTGATTTGAAAGGCGAACGGGGGAATGAAATTAGGGTTTACGAATAGTAGTGGTAAGAGTTGTTTTCCTGCTATTGTGATTTGGGAGACGAACGGGGGATGAAATTAGGGTTTATTTTGATTTGAGAGATTGGGGATTGTTCTTCAATAAAACTGTTTGAAGTGAAGTGAGGAGTAAAGGCATCGCTGGAATTAGGGTTATCACTCATCAATGGTGTCCCCTGGTTTTTTCCTGATATGCATGCTCCACTCTTTGGTCGCCATTACCAGTGGAGCTCTGATGATGTTCTATAGAGAGGAGATCTATGTGTTCAGCCATGGCCTAGACCATGCCAGCAAGATTTTGGGGTCTACTCCCCATGATCAGCTGTTGATCCAGACATCAGACTCGTTTTCGGGCCTGCTTCTATTCGCCATAGGTTTTCTTTTGTTCATGGTTGCTTTTGTCAAGGACAGGGAGTTTCATGGCTTCTTCGCGAGGGGTTGTGTTCTTCTCCACATTGCAATGGCCATTTGGAGAATTTACTTCGAGAGGAAGGTGGAAGTTCTTGGCCACGATTGGCTGAGGCAGCTCATTGGAGACATTGTTTTGGGGCTTTCGTGGGTATTCTTTCTCGTGTTTTCGTGGAGAGAGAAGTATGATTGATGCTGGTATTTTGTTGAGGAGAATTCGGTGTGGTATTGCAGCTATTTGCGCCCGATTTTTCTCACTCGACGAAGAATGGTAAGATTGGAAAGAAGCTTTTACAGGAAAATTTTTGAGGGGATTTTAAGAATTTGTGTAGACTGTGGATATTTTTCTTGTTTATTATTATTATTGTTTTCTTTCTTTATAATTTTCGATCTTTGCGCTTCGTTGTTTATTTATTGTATATCGATTAAACTGTAAATTTTCTCTTAATGGTGTAACTTGTTTGAGCCTCTGTTTAAAATTTGATGCTTGATCACTTCTTGCGGCGCTAATGATTATTGCATTCGACTTGGTTCATCAAAAAAATTGCATACTTTGTTATCTCTGTTTTTGCTAGACATCTTTACATGATGTATTGTACTTTCTACGGATGAATATCCGTCATTCTTATCATGGCCACGCGCTTATATTTGTATTAGCATGTTAATGTTGTAGTTTTGTTTCCTTGCCGTTATTTCTGTTAACTTATATTTATTGATAGTCTGCAGAGAGGTTTCTTTGTCGAATGAGTTGTTCTGTCGCCAGGGGAATGAATGTTTTTATGTTTAAAGTGAGATTTGTATCGATTTTTTTGAACATTTTGAATTTGTTAGATGATTGCATTAGCATTGGCTTTCTCTAAGACCATGCAAGCATTTGCAAGATTGTTTGGTCTCTGAATTTTGCCTATAGATTTGTGGGTTAGGGTTAGGTCATATTCGGAGTAGAGTAATGAGTTCATTATGTTCAAAATTTTACAGCACTATCAAGCTGAGTTGCTCCAGCCCAATATGTATGTTATTGTTCCAGAGAATTAATACAACCGTGTCAAATTTGGTTTTAAATTTTAGATGTTCCAAGGCTTGGTAGCTTTTCCTTATTTTTATTTACTCATAATTTATAAATTATTTTAAATAAAAAATAATGGTAAAATAATGTATGTCAAAATTATACTTCTTTAATTTATCAAATAATAGATTAAAATGCGATGAGATAAATATTTTATAATTTGGTTATTATTTGTTAAAATATACTTAGGGTTTGTTTCATTTTGTATTTTTTATTTGAACAAATATAAGTTGAAATGGATAGAGAAGGCCACATTTGTGATTGACGTTGTCCTCCATTTAGCATAAGAATAGAGCTTTTTGGGCAATTGGAAATCCTCTTTTTATTCAAATTGTATGGCTTATAAACATCGGGAATTTGTGCCTCCCTTTTATCAGACTTCCACACCAACACGACAACATTATTCATTCCCTCTATCTCTACGTATCTATTCATCATCTATTATTGCTTGTCCTTCCTTAATCACTCCAAATAATTCATACACTCATCTCTTTTCAACATCAATTTTCAAAAGTAAAAAATATCATCTCTTTACAATAAACTACGATAATTACATATTAAAAAAAATAATAATAATTTGAAATCAAACTCCAAATAAAAGAATCTAACATCAAATGAGCATCCAAAAATGGCCGTGAAAAAGAAGATAACGACATACATTAACATTGCCGACTCCACGGCACATGATTCCTTAGCTCCATCGCCTTTTTCCTCGATTCCCCGGCGCCCTCCACCGCCTATAAATTCTCGTTCCTCCATGTATTATCACTTCATCATCGGCATTTCACTCTTCCTAGCTAGTTTCCTCGACAACTCTCGTCATATCGATCATGGCAGACATCATTTGCGGCAACTGCAGCTGCTTTGACAGGACACAGTGTGTGTAAGTCCTCGCCTTCTTCTTCAACTTCATTTCGGCGTTTTTCATTATTCATTGAATTCTAACATAAATATATATTCTGTCAATATGTTGTAGGAAGAAGGACTCCACGGCTGAGGCCATCGAGCCCGCAAGGTATGCATGCATATATACATACATATATATATATATACAAGACTATTATCGATTTTCTTGAATTTCTAACGAGGTTTGGTCTGGTCGAGTGACTTGCTTTCGTTTGTGCAGCTACATGAATGCTGGCGGCGTTATGGATGCTCCGGTGGCGGCTGAGAACGGCGGCGGCTGCCAGTGCAAGTGTGGGCCGAGCTGCGCCTGCCCCAACTGCACCTGCGGCCATTGAATCAATTCGACTACTCATATCGCATCTTTATATATTTACATACTACCAAAATAAAAAGATACAGTTGATGAATAGTCCCTATTGTACTATTAGTGTTACTATGAAAGGGGTGATCATCAATAAGTTAGTTGTGAGTGATTGTTGACAGTGTGCTTTTAGTGTTTTCACCAATTATGTAATGGTGTTTATGAAGTAATTAATATATATATATTGGTTGCTACTATCTTTTTTTTTTAATGAGCATCCCCATACATATATATATAAACATCATAACAATTCTCAATAGACACTAATAACATGAAAAAAAAACTACATACAAGGAAACAAAGGAGCTATCATAGTGAAGATAGTGAGTGATGGATGCTACAAGAACACAAGCATCAGTGCACCGAAAAGGGTTGTCGATTCCAGAAATGAGAACACGATATTCTAACAGCATCGATGGCTAGGCGCATAACGTTCTCTCTTCAACAAATCACACGGGAAACAAGCATGCACAGAAAAGATAAAGAGTAGCTCTACGCAACTCATTCAGTGTGAATTAAAGCCGTGGAGAGAAAATGGCATACATACCGTAGCATTAAAAGCGCACTATATCCTGAAGGCAGTCGTAGAAGTGCGAGATATTAATCTTCTCTTTGCCAGAATAGATGGCTTCAGCGCTACCTCCGAGTTCGCCCTGAGCAGCCATTTCGATAACCATGTAGATCTTCTTCAGGGGCATCTGGAGTGAGCATCAGGATAAACCAATAACAGTAGTGTATATCAGCAATTATGTTGTCCGTCCTGTTGTATAATGATATTCGTAATATTATGTAATAGAGGTTTGTTGTTGGAATAGACTTACATCATTCAATGCTTCTGCGGCAGAATCAATATCGTCGCTTGAGAACACATTGAGCTTCTGTAGCACCTGTGAGGAGAGCGGGAGCATTAATAGGTGGGGAATCGACTCGCAACACATACATCAGGAATACAATCTTCGGAACCACAAAGCTTATACTGATTTCCATGCCTCAAATGTATCAATATCATCAACAGTTCATGTTTCCCTTACCTGCTACCCCGCCTTCTTTCATTTTTTATCCCTCCTTTAAAATCACCAATTCTTAAGCCCAGAATATTATCATTGTTATTACATTATCCATTTCCACATAACATATCTGTCCTAGATCCGAAAGAGCAAAGCATGATTGCAATTGCAAGAATAGACACGATTTTATGGGTCATTACGGCAAAGAGTTTAAAATGTCTGAAGTTAGTGAGGAAAGCGAGGTTATTACATACCTGTTTGGCATCTTCTTTCTTTAGTGTTGGAACATTGTAGGAAACTGAGAATGCATCCCTAAGGCCAATAGAATCCAGGAAATTGACTTCACTTGTGGTTCCAATAACAAGAACTTTTTTCCCCTGAGAAAATAAACACAAATGTAAATCATATATTGTTCAGAAAAAAAGAACTAACAAGACTATATAAAATGACTGAAGGTTATACAAGACAATCGTGTTAAAGGAAAATTTGGGAAGGAGTTTCAAACTAGAGTTGTTTCCACTCATAGTTTAATTCTCAAATCTGCTCAAAGATTGCTCCTGATTGTCATACTATTTTCGACTTATGCCCCAGAGGAAACGGATGGAAATAGTGTGATTACCACAAATGATTTCCATAAATTCTCCACTTATGAGCAAAGGTAATCACTAGTGTAGTGCAGCAAAATATGGAAGCACCCGCCAGCCAAACATCAAAAAATTAAAATACCTTTGGAGGAAGCCGTTTCAAGAGCACCAACAATGTCTGAGAAATTAAATTTGAGAAACGAGGTCCAAGCGCAACATACTCCAGTAGCCTGGAAAGCAAATTCCGAATACATGGATTGCTGGGGCATGCTCAATAATTAAGATATCCATTTTCCAGCATAATAACGTTACCTTTCAATATCATCCAGGATAATAATGCTTAGTGGTGACTTATAAGCATCTTCAAATACCTACAAGGGGAACCAACAAGCAAATTGTCCTCAATACAACCAATACATATGTGTATATATATCAATTTGCAGAGACACGACACTATGATGCATTCTGAAGTATATATTTTTTCAATCAACAACGAGCTGCTTGGAGTCGGCAAATGAAACTGGGTGACGAGCAGAATGAGATACAACTTTTCTTATTAAGATATAGCTATCCTAGGCTGTAGCCTAGACTAAGATAGTGTTTAAAAGTAGAGTGAACAGACCTTAACAATCCGAGCACATTTAGTAGATTCACTGAGTCCAATCATTGTTTCAGCAGATATCTAAAATATTAGCAAATAAGGGAAATAGTGAGAGAGAGATTGTCAAAGACCAAAAGACAAAAAATATCACTACCAATTTATATACTTACTATCTTAACATAGGGGAAATCACTTTCAATACCAATTGTTGAAGCCATTGCCGTCTTACCACTGTCCAAGAAAAAAAAAAAAGATTTTGTTGAAATAAATTCTACACATATAATCAAGGAAAATGCGATTTTTTACCTTCCACTTGGACCTTCCAGAAGACAAGTAATAAGTGGACTTCCATGACTAACTTTAACTTGTTCTGCCAAAAGCATAGTTCTTCGGTAAATATGGTCGTGCCGTGGCCCACAGTCCATGATGCCATTAAGTCTGAAGGAGAAATAACCCTTCATAGCATCAAAGAAGGCGCTCACATTTGTTTCCTAGATGATAACTAATTACTCTCCGTTTCTACAGAATAGTATTAAATAAATGATCGGTTACCATAATATATCTTTGAGACAAATGATCATACACACCCAGCTAATAGGACCAGAGGGAGGAGAGTCAAGAGAAAGACTGTTCAAGAAACTAAAACAGCTCAAATAAATATTAAAATATAAATTGCTACACTTTTTATACCAACTAAAACTTCCAAACCATGCAGTCATACTACTTCCATTTGTATTACTGTATTTTAATCTCGACTATTGCATATTCCTATAAATTAACAGCAGCTCTTCATACTTTGACGTGTTTCAATTACATATCTTTAATCTGATTCAAAGAAAACTTAGACGCTGGAGACTAGTTCCTGGCAGATTTCATGTGATTTAGAGAACAGCACAATGAGTTTGATAATATTTTGTAAGCCTAACATTTCTGAGAAATAGGAGGTATTGGAAATGCCTATGATCCACGGGGTGAATAAAAAGCCCCGGTTAGATCATGAAAATTTGACCTTAGCTCTCAACTTATCACAAAGGAAACTTAAAATGGCAATACGGCCCAGCATTTACTGAAGATATTTACAGAAACCTCACAGTTAATTGTGTACAAAGGAATCTCAGAAACAGACCACGGCAGCAATCTCAGACTTGTCTACCATTTAAGCTGGATTTAGCATAATGTTACTTTTGCAATAGATCAACCAATCTTTACTGTTATCCACTTCCAGCTGATATAACTGGAAGTTATTAGCCTAATCTGCCTAGAAGCTCACATCAATATTATCTTGAAGTTCACCATTAAATGCATATATGTATAGTGAAGTTACTTGATACATTAGCAAAAGAACTTTCATCAGGTAATTGTTCATACCTGCAGCGCTCAAGATCATCTGTGGAAGCTCCAAATGCTGGAATGACTTCTTGAAGGGCATTCAAAAAATCATCCATGGTGACTTTGATGCTTTCCTCATCCACTGGTTTGGTAAGATCATCCATACTTAGTTGCCTATTCAGTGCATATGACACTGCACTTTTTACAACACCTTCAAGCTCTGCTCCACTATAATTTTTTGTCCGAGCAGCTGCATCCATAAAGAGAAGTAATGCCCTCATATTTTGTTAGATTTCAAAAACCATTCTGTCTTGAACTCAAAAATAGGCAATACTTCCACACATTATCTTAGACAAACAAGCAGAAATTCAAGTCCAAATATCAAATTCACTCTCTGGGATACCAAGCAAATCACATACCCAGCTCTTCCAAATTCACATCAGGAGCAAGAAAGGAACTTTCTTTCATCTTGTTTGTATGAATCTGAAGAATTTGCAAACGGCCATTTTCATCGGGAAGGCTGATCTCAACTTGAACTTCCAGGCGTCCAGGCCTGAAAACCCAGAAAAGTATCATGATATATAGATACACTCACTCTGTTAAAGATATACTGTGCATTTGCAGACAAATCAGAATGCCAGTATCTGTAAAAAAATCGATACAGAAAACCATTTTCACCTCAAAAGAGCTTCGTCAAGCAAATCTTTCCTGTTTGTCATTCCAATAAGTAACACATTGTTTAGAGATTCCACACCATCTATCTAAACAGCAAGTGTTGTGAGTTAGTAATCACATAATATCAGCTGAGTAGAGGTGGAATGAAGTGGACCCCCACCTTCATACCAATAAACTCCAACAAAAAGCTTAAGATACCTTGGTTAGAAGCTGGTTCACAATACTATCATGTACTCCAGTCCCATCTCTGGTTGAACCTCTAGACTGAAAAAATAAATCCAAAATAGTGTAATGAAATAAGAACTTTACAATTACAACAAAAGAAGGTACAGCTGATCACATGATTTGACAAATATATTAGGTTGGATGTATTAAAAAAAAGGAGAACACAGAGGCTGGGCATACGTATATAGAGCTCGTGGAAATTGTAAACAAATAATCAGGATGAATTTCACTGCTACCCAGCTCTAAAGTTAATGTAATACTATGCATTTGATCACAAGTCTCATCGAAAGTTGCAGCCCACTACCACGGGTAAAAGTAAGGAGGAGAATAAGAGATGGAAGCTATTCTCAGGGAGAGAAAATAAAAATAAAATTCATAATAAAATTAAAATCCTGAATCCTGTACAATAGAAATTCTGTCTTCATAATATTTACCTTACAAATTGCATCTATTTCATCAAATATGATGATATGCAAGACACTTTGATCACCTGAAAAATGAAAGAGAAACAGTTAGCCAACATATCAAAGAACAAAGTTTAGCTCTCTAAGTTTCTACCTTTGGTTCTTTGATCATTTTCAGCATCAGCAAATAGATCCCGCACATTCTTCTCAGTTTCACCAACAAATTTGCTTAACACTTCAGGCCCATTGACAATCTAAAATTCAAAATCATTAAACATAAAAACAAAGGGTGGTAGCAACATAATGCATAACAACATTATCTAGAGATTTAACTACAGTAATTGAAGGACTTCCAGACAACTATCAAAGATCATACATATAAGCGAAGTAGCATTGATTCATGCAATAAAATATCTTTTGATCATTTACCTTTGGCTCCCTCCCATTCAACATTTTTCCAATTTGACGAGCCATTAAAGTCTTTCCAGTACCAGGAGGTCCATAAAGCAGCATACCTTTAACATGCTTGATACCAAGTCTGCATTGGAGGACATTCACAAAGCCACATAAGAAAAAATAAGAATTGAAAAGTTAGCCCATGTCAGTATAAATTACAAGATGTAGAATTAGGAACATTACTTAGAGGTGACATGTGCAGGGAAAACCCTGGAAGCGAAAGCCCTACGGAATATGTCAGCAAATTCTTCACTCAAACCACCTATACCAAATGACTGAAGATTGAACTCTTTGTGCCTAAATATGTTGCTACTAGCAGCTTCACGCTGGTTGACAATCTGAAAAACTCAGCAGAAAACATAACTCACAGAACTTTATACAATGATTCAACGCATTGCATTCGATATCATAAAACAAGACATTGCCGCATTTTTCCAAACCTTTATTCCACTTGAATGTGAGGCTTCAAAAATTATGTAGGTTTCAGCTGACAATATCCCTCTCTCAATGCCATTTGATTTTTCTTGCCCTTCTATAGTAGCTTGATTGACAGTAAATATATATCCATTGCCTTGATATTCAAATGTCACCCTTTGCCCACTTGACATGACCTATATATAAAAGCAGTGTTGTTTTGAGAATAATCCAATATGCAGCAGTGATAATTTATCCAAAATCTCTCATTGTATATATTTGATATCACTTAATAGATTTGTAGATACAGAAAGTGCATAGATAGAAATTCCAAATACATTATGACAGTAACTTTTATCACATTCCAAACTCCAAAGGAAGAACATTAAGTAGACCACATAAACACCCTATAGCTGCGCAGGTTAGGTAAAGACTTCAATTCTTAAAAAGCTACTTATATCAGCTTCTATTGATTACAAAGACTGAGATGAAGCTCCAACCTGGTTTGAAAATCTTTTGTGAATCTGCTGGGACAAACGAACAGCATCCAGCTGCATGGTAAGACAATTCAGTTTGTAAGACATAAGACATAACAAGGAAAAGTAATAAAATAGCAGTAGAGAGGTACAAAAAAAATAAATAGATAACTTAACAAGTAGAAATGAGAAAAGAAGGGGAAATAAAAAGTTCAAGGCAAATACCTGTTCATCCTTTGCCCCTTTCTTTACAAACTCCAATTCCAGGGTTAGCAATGCAAGGTTGAAATTTTCAGGAGGGATAAACCTAGAATTGTAATAGATTATTGCAAAAATAGTGCAGCCAGAAGATATTCATTTTATCAACAGCTGTGAAATGAAATCTAATATACCTGCTAACAGATATTGAGTCTCCAGTGGAGACTTTGGCAAAGCGCCGTTGGATGGCATTAAGAGCAATTTGGCCACTAGGAATAGAATCATGCCCAGTATATTGAAGTTAAGATCACAAATTAAATAATGGAAGAATGCAACACCAATACATCATCTAATAGCTTGCTAGTCTCACAAATATATATATATAAATACATTATCCTGTCGTTCCAGCACGATGACATTGATCTAATGATGTCAAAAGCAGAATAAACAGCAGGAATCATATTGGTACTAGCAGAATCACTTAATAGAACAGATATAATTTGCACCATTCAGGATGATGACCCTTCAGATTTCCACTAGAAAGCTTCTAGGAGATTGAGCAGCTCACTAGCTCATCATCACCCAACAGTTATATTTAGTATTGGTTTTCAAATTTTACATAACAGATCTGTCAGATAACCAAGATATAAGGTTTGGCTCTGTAAGTATCATTCAGTTGTGTTGCTCTTCTTCATCGGAAACTGAAACTATCGTATAATAAAGATAGAGAAAAGGAAACAAACATCAATAACTATTTCATCAACACCCAATTGTCTCGTATGCACGAAAAATATAATTCAATTAAGCACCAGCTGAAAATGCAAATAAAATAATTCAAATCAAATCAGCGTAAGGTTCTTCAAAAACCTAACAGGTGTAGCACTAGCACCGTTGGTTAAAAATTGAAATCAACTGGTCAATAAAGGACGATTCACACACGATCAGCCCCAAACAAACGCAAAGCAAATGCATCTCAGCTCAAATCAAACGTCCCAAAGTCCGCACGCTATAACACATATTCTATGAACTAGAGAGCATCGAAAACCGAATTGTATCGCAATTTGCATACTAAAAAAACAATCACGCTCGTGCGAAAATACACAGCACGAAGCATCGACAGAGTTAAAATAAATGAAAGTAGCAAACACAAGCGTGCAGAAGTTGGAGATCGATTAAAAAGGATATGCGATAGAAAGCACGAAGACATCGCCGACCAAGGCGTAGGCAAGTCTGGATCCAGGTAGGATGAAATTGCGGAGATCGGAGGGCGAGCAGTAGGCGAAGTTGGTGTAGGCGAGATCCCTCGATGGAGTGTTGGTAACAATCATCGCCGGCGAACGTCCCGCCATCGTTCAGCTGATAGACTCTACTCTGTTTGGTTCAAATGAAAGTAGGGGAGGGATTTTAATGGAAGAGGGGATTGCGAGGGAAGGGATGGGAGGGACTTTAATGGAAGAGAGGGGGCGGCGAGGGATGGAAAGAAAATATTATTGGAGGCTTTTGGTTTTTTTTGCAATTGCACTACAAATGGAGTTTCTGCACTTCAATGCAGAGCTATTTTTGACACCACAGATGATGTTTGTTACAGTACAAACTATAGCAACGCTATTTATGACGTTATCTTGTTTTGTATTTTTTTTTTTCAAAAAAATTACATATTAATTCTTTTATTTTTTTAAATTTTTTTTAAAAATAATATTAATTATAGATATAAAAAATAGTTTAAAATAATTTATAAAATAAAATATTAGAAGAATATTTTTTTTTTGAAGTAAAAAATAAAGTTGTTAGTTGAAGTAAAAATACTACATAAAGTGTGTGGGTTAAAATAATATTTTTATATTTGATTAATCAATAAATGGAAAAAAAAAATAAATTAGAAATAAATAAAAGAAATAAAAATTTATTAATTTGTTAATAAAATATCAATTTTAATGCACTTTATTTTACTTTTAATTTATCGCATTTTAATATAATATTAATATTTATAAAATTCTTTACGCAAATACTAAAATTTTAATTTTTATTAAAATTACAAACATATTATTAAATATATAATTATTTTAAAAATATTAACCATTAAAATATTATTATTTATAAAATTTATTACAAAATTAAAAAAGAACGGAACAAAATATGAGTGTGTTTGTTGGGAGTTTGGATTTTGTGTTGAGATTGGAATAGTAAAAATTGTGATATAAATAGGGGATGATACGGTGGAAAAATTTTGAATGAATAATGAAATTTTATCCAAATCCATAAAAAAAACACACCCTATATGTATGAAAGAATATTATAATGTAATTTAAAATATTTTTGAAGTAATACTGAGACTTTGTCTCTATTTTACTTTTTTATTCCACATAATTTTGTTTTTTCTTAAAAAATATGATTAAATATTTAATTTTAATTTATAATTATTTTTATTAATATATTTTTATTATTTATTAATTATATTTTACCTAATTTTTTTATTTACAGTGAATACAAAATATATGAGACAGAATGAATATTTTTTACGGACAATTTTACTTAAAGAAAAAAATAATGCCATTTTATTTTGAAACGTAGAATTTATTTGGTCGGGTTCCGACCTATTCAATTCATTGCCAAAGGCCCGCTTACTTGAAGCCCGCATCAGATTGTGAAAACCGGGTCGGGAAATGGATCGTGCTCCCGAAGTCCAGGCCCACGTAGACCTCAACACGCTACTACGGCCTTTTCACATTTCCCACTGTCCCACTATATATATACATTTCAAAGCGCTTGTAGTTTTTCGATGATCCAGAGTACGGCGTTTCATCTGGCGACGGCGCGAACCCAAGACCAAGAGCAGCAACCACACACTCGCTCGCCCACTCCGGTTTGGTTCCAATCTTTGTTTGTTTGTGGATTTTATTCATGGCGGAGTCAATGATTATACATTAATATATCGGTCCTTGTGTTTGTGTATAAATATGTATATTTGCAGAATCCTGTTGGGAAACGGAACCCTCGTATGGTAAATTCACACTGCCGAGGGAGTTGATTGTGGGGAAAGCTTGAGAGAAGGCTCTCCAGCTTGAGTAGAAATCTATCCAGCCCTAATTTGAGTCGAACGTCACTGCGATCTATCTCATGGAGTCGCCGACGCCGGTTTCGCGATACATCGCGAGCTCAAAGTAAGCCCCATATGCGTGTGTGTGTGTGTGAGAGATTTTGCTATTGGATTTTCTTTGTGGGAATCTGTGTTTGCGGGTTTGGAATTGCTGATTTGTGTGGTGATTTGGTCAGGAAAAGGGTTTTTCCCGCCGGAAGCTCTTCGTCGGCGTATAAAGACGCTGAGGTGTTGGAAATATCGCCTCCGGCTAACCGAACATCGATGCCACCCATGTCGTCCAAACAAAAAGAGGTGAAAAGCTTGTTCTAATGTATTTTTATGCCCCCTCTCCATTTCGTATGTAGTTGGGGATTTTACTGTCCCTATTTATATGATCTCTGGGCTTTGGTTTATCTAGATATCTGATTTATCCTTGAAAGGTTTTCTTTTGTTTTCTCTTCACTGTGAAATTGATTTGTGAATAGTCATCTTCTTGGTATTAGAGCTGCCGAAGTATGTGTTCTTTTTTATGTTGCTTTTAGATTTACAGCATTGATAGTTGCAGCAGCATCTGCCCCTTATATTAGTTAAACGTGCTTTTGATATTGTAAGTGGTTTTGAGGCTTATCGCTATTTGCTAGTTAAATGTAGTTTTCTGTTTGAGATAATTTGTGCAGCCTGACTTGAGTACATATTTGCCCTGCAGTTGGGTTGAAACAGGACCTGTTTCCTCTGTGGTGGACTGGCATGTGAAATATTGACATAAACTTGCAAATTGTTTTTAGTCTTCTGGTCATTCAAACCTCGAATGAAGAAATGCTTTTGCAATTTGTTTGTATGAATGCAGATTTTCTGAATATGTAAAATTGTCTGACTAAACTGTATCGCTTGTGGTGCATTTCTGGTTTGGTAAATATGAGATTTATATATATTGAGATTTGAGGCAGCATAGCAACATATTGTGTGCTATGACATTTCATAACTTGTTAGGATTCATTGTGTGCTGGGCATCCTTGTATTTTGGGATACTGTCCTGTGTGTACTGTGTACTTAATCACAGTTGTGGATGTTTTACATTTAAGTAAATGAAAAGTTGTATATTTCTGAGTTAACTAATTGTTAAGACAAATTATTTTAGAAAGGGGAAATTCTGGAAATAATTTTGATCATCTGTGTGATGGCAAGATCCTTTATCTTTCTTAATTATTACTATTATTACATTTGAGATGATTTTTAATTCTCTGTTAATGCTTCTGTTAACTTTAAACCGAGTGGCTCATATAATGTAGTATATTTGTTAGCAGTTAACTTTAGTGCAACTTCTTGAATTAGGTTATGAATTGATAAAAATACACTATGTCTATTTCATGCATTGCATTCTTCAGAACATAATTAGCTTGCTTTAGTTTTTATTTTTCTATATTACCCCATTAACGGTTTGTCTCTGAATAATATCATTTTAGATGTGTGCTAACATCCAATGTTCCCCATTTCTTGAAGGTTATTCATAATGAAATAATAGATGTTGACATGGACGATGACCCTGAAGAAATTATGTTGACTGATGGTGAATTTGATCCAAGTGGCAAAGGCAAGGTAGAGCAAAGTTCTGGCGTAACTCAATAGTTGCTTTTAAAGTCTCTCAGCTTCCTGTTTTCCTATTTCCATATAATGTACTTGGCTAATTTTTATTTTCTGCTAATAGGAAGTGTTGCACCATACTTTCGCTGAATTCAACAGTTTATTAACTGGCGAATCTGATAGTAATATTCCGATGCCAAATTATGGTGTTGCTGGCTTGCATGATTCAACCTACGTTGACGACTACAGCCCTGATTTATTCTATGAAGAGGATGAATGGATAGATACCTATTATGAGGACATACTGTTCGATGATTATACTGTGCTAGAATCACAGTTTGATCATATGGATATTCCACCTGGAGTGGAGGCACCATTCCCATGGTTTCCAAGTTCACCTGGAAGTGATTCCAAGGCATTACCAAGCAGCGCTCCAAGTAGTACTGGCTCACTACTTCATATGGATACTGCTGATCATGCTTCTAACCCATACTGTCCTCAACCCTCATTTCCTCTGAAACACATCCAAATAGGAAACCAATCAACTCCACGGATCAAATCCGTCGGCAGTACTCAGTTGAATGTTGACAGACAACATGCAAAGGAGAAGCTGCTAACTTCTATATGGAAGGAGCATAGTATGGGTCTAAAGAATCCACCTACTTCAAGTAGCACCTCCAATTCCTTTTCACAATACTCTAAGGCTCCGTTTCCTCATAAGCATGGCAAGGATGTTTTGCAGAGTTTGTCAAAGATTAAAAAGAAGTCTCGTGCATTCCACCCTATTTTGTACAATCAGCCTCCACCCTATGTGAGTAATATTAGCAGTCCCAATAGCCATCCTCCTTTGAGCATTCCAACAACGGCACCTGGACAGGGAAATTATATGCCTGTTTGGAAAGATCCCCTAAATATGTTTGAACCTCTTCTGGGCTCTTCTGAAGTTTATCCTGGTGGACAATTCTCAAGCTGGACACCAGATCCTGCCATTGATCAAAAGGGTGCACCTCCTATGGATACTTCACTGACCCTCACAGTAGAGCCAAGAAATATGGATCAAATTCTCCAGAACTTTGACTCTTTTAAGAAGTTTGATACTGTTGAAGATTATGACGATCACCACTTCTCTAAAAATGGTTCTTCTGCGAAACTGGTGAATACTACTCTTGAATGTACTATATTCTTGTGCCACACATCCTTATTTCCTTGCTTTACCGAATCATCTTTACTGAATGATGCAGGCTCCAAAAACTTGGGCCAAGAGAATACATGAAGAATGGAAGATTCTGCAAAAGGATTTGCCTGGTAAGTTAAAAGTCCACCTATTTTACTTTTAAATATGATGCCACTTCTTTATATGTTGGTTTTTTGCATTTGTTAGATTTATTGGATTGTTTTGCTGACATTTCTGAACAATTGTACTCACGGCATATTCTTCTGATATTTGAACAGACAAAATTTTTGTGAGGGTCTATGAATCGAGGATGGATCTTTTAAGAGCTGTGATAGTAGGGGCAGATGGAACACCGTACCATGATGGCCTCTATTTCTTTGATGTCTTCTTTCCGACCAGTTATCCCAATATCCCCCCTGTATGTTTATGATTTCTAAATCCAGTGTGTTTACAACAATACTAGTTATTTCTTACTTTGACACTTTTTTACTTGTTTACTACTGTTTGCAGCATGTCTATTACCATTCCGGTGGTCTCCGAATCAATCCTAACTTATACAATTGTGGAAAAGTGTGCCTCAGCCTTCTTAACACCTGGTCGGGTAGCCAAAAGGAGAAGTGGCTTCCTGGCACATCAACTATGCTACAAGTTTTGGTATCCATACAGGGGCTGATTCTGAATGCCCAACCCTACTTTAATGAACCTGGGTATGCGACTTTAAGTGGTTCTGCTAGAGGAGAAGAGCGATCTTTTGACTACAATGAAAAAACATTTATGCATTCCCTGCAAACTATGGTTTACAGCATGAGAAGGCCTCCCAAGGTATGATAAATTAATGTTTCACTATGACTAGAAGATTTGCTTTACTGCCTTTATTTGACTCCAAGCTCCATTATGTTTCATGTGTAGCATTTTGAGGACTTTGTTATCGGGCATTTCTGCAAGAATGCCCGTGACATTCTGGTGTCGTGTAAGGCCTACTTGGAAGGGGCCCAGGTGGGCTGTCTTGTGAAAGGCAGTGACATTCAAGATGTGAATGAAGGCGACAAGAGCTCCTCACACCGGTTCAGGAGCAATTTGGCTCGGTTCATCCCTGTTCTGGTAAATACATTCTCCCAGATTGGAGCCCAGGGGTGTGAAGAATTTCTTTCATTGGCCTCGAAGGCAAATGTGCCTGCTCCTGCTACTGCTCCTGCTCCTGCTCCTGCTAATGCCTCCTGGGTAACCCCAAACTTTCCCTTAAATTATTGATAGCACAATTTTGTGACATGTGAGGTATGCGCACTCCTACTCTAGGGTATTATTATTATTATTATTAGTTGGCTTGGGAATGCATAATCATCGGTCATATTCAACAATAAACATGTGTATAAGTGGATATGATTCTAGGTGTGCATTTTCCTCCTAATTCTTGGTGATAATTGCAGAGACAAGTTATGCTACTTTGTTCCGATCGTTTTGTGCTTTTCCTAATGTGAATATGGTAAAAACTAATTGCCAAAATTTCTTGTGGTTTTTTTTTTTTTCATATCCTTTTGAGTTTCTGTTGCTGTGAAGTTCCAATTGTGTGTGAAATATTTTTGTTTTCTAATTAATAGGTTCTACATGCTAGCCCATTTTAGAACCCCTGTTCTGTTAATTTAGCCTAGATTTAAGTTTTCGAACACAAACAAGTTAAGCTCAGGATTTTGTTCATATCAAAATCTCTATAGCACAAACTGAATTGACTTTACAAATATTGATTGTTCTTAGTATGAAATTAATTGACAACCCTTAGAGATCACCCATAGAAAACATGCCCCGAAGTGTCGTATGTTTTAAATAATTAGGGGTTTGTTTCTAGTTTGAATTGAGAGGATTTGGTCTAAAATTTAAATGTTGTATAATTATAATGTGATATTGTATATGTTTTTCGAAAAATACATAGTACAAAATATACCCTAAAGTAGGAATACTAACTCCTCTAATCTAGAGAGAGTGCAAGAAACTACCCATTGAGTAAATATGATAACAACAATAAATAGAAGTTAGGATACAATTTCAGTTTGCATCCTTGAGCCTTCTTATCATTGCATCAAGGGATTTCTTCTTAGGATTCTGCCTAGCTCCTCTTGTTCCAAAAGATGCAAATATTCTGTCAGATTGATCCTTTAATTTCTCCGAAATTGCGACCACTATCCGATGGTCGAGCTTGTTGTAGCTTCTTTCCCTTATCACTGGATTCAAGTAGTTCTCAGGATGACTACTCAAAAGCAAATTCACCATTTGCCTCGACTCGGCAAGCCCCGACTTCAATTCACTTGCATCTGCCTCCGACATAATATGCGCCTGATTTTCAGCAAAAGATTCCAACAGCTTAACATCGACATCAAGTCCCATGATCGAATTGATGTTAAATCTCTTAACCGAATCCCCATGTAAGGCCCCGACAATCACCTCCGATATATGCGCAAGAACATCTTGCAAAACCCGTTTCAGTACTTCAACGGGTAAGACCTGCTGCGCAGTCGAAACCAATGTTTCCAAGAAAATTATCACCTCGTTCGAATACTCATTCCCTCCCTGCGGAGGATCATCCGCCATCCAATCCACATTTTCAATCAATGTTAGAAAGCCATCGACTTTTTGCTTCAACAACCCCGAGAGCGCCTCCTCTGCAGCTTCCCGAGCTTTCATCAATGGAAACTGTCTCCTTCCTCTCTCAGCTATCCTCAAAGGAATCCCGGACAGCTGCGCAGCATGACGGAAGAAAAAATCACAAGCTCGTTCAAACACCGACATATTCGCTGCCATCTGCATAGCTTGCGCAACTCCATTGATCGAACCACTAATAACTTTAGACAATGCCCTGTCCAAAACCTCCGATAACAGCCTGTCCAAGTACTTTTTAACGACATCGTAAAAGTCTAGCTGCCCGCTATATGCCATGAAACTCACCGAATCCTCTATAAACGACCTCACAATTCTACAGCAATCGGGCACCGTAGAAGAAAATGGAGCGACGTATGGAAATGCCGGCATGATGCTTGATGTTTGCAGCTGAAAAGAAAGAACATTCATCGAATACTCGTACTCCTTTTTCATGTACATCTGCTCAAGCTTGTCGGCTGCCAGAGCTTCGGCGAACTGCTTTTGACAATCGGACAGTAACAGCTCATGATACTTGTCCCTGTGCTTGCTCAAGACGTCGAGCAAAGCATCAACTGGATATCCAAATCTACGGAGAGTAACACCGAGCAAACTCACGTAATCCTTTATCAACAGCAAGTGATTAGCAGTTTGCATCCTGGAAAACTGATCTTCCAACACTGAGCACATCTTGCTCACTGCAGTATCCCACAGATTCTCCACCTCCATTTTTGAAACCAATCCTCCTCCCGTCCTCAAAACGCTATCCTCGACTATGAAGAATCCTGCAATTTGTGCAAAAAATGTCTGGTGGGACTCGAGGAATGGAGTCATTGATGAGACCTGGAAATCAGATGTGAGCTGCAGCTTCCTGTTCTCGAAATAGTACTGCTTAAAGGTTTCTTCAAGCCCTAGGGTTCGATGGATATGGTAAGCCCTGTGCAGAGGCATTAAATCGAAGCTAGAAACTCCATTTCCGTCGACCTCGCTGTCCATTTCATCGTGTTCCTCTTCTTCTAATGCATAGGCACAATCTCTCAAGCTGAGGCGGCTTTGTTCCTCGGCTTGGCGCTGCTTAATTCGAAGTTCTTCTTCTCTCTGGCGAGCTGCTGAGGCCTGTCCGATGGCGAGCTGGCCTAAATTTCTGCTCACGGTTCGGATCTCGACCAGCCAATCCCCAAATTCTTTACTCGATTTTCTCTCTATGTGAACCCTAATTGCGGGGATCTGCTTCTCCAGCATCCTTTGCAGAGTAGTCGACGGCGTTTCGGCCAGGAAATTCGATTCGATTGAATCCAGGCATTTCAACGCCATGTAGAAGTTGTTTTTGGAAAGATGAAAATTCGCACGCCTGCAAAGCTCCATAAGCAGCGCGCACTCGTTGAGGGAGTTTATGGCGAGGGTGATGTTGGAGCACTTGTTTTTAGCTTCGACGAAGGAGTCGAGGGAGGTGAGGAGAGGTACCGCGACGTTTTGAAGTTTGGAGTTGGAGTTGGAGAGAGAGGATTTGAGTGAATCGACATCGGATAATAGGGATCGGAGATCGTCGACGGCGACAATGAAGTCCTGGTAGTGAGCGCGGCAGACGTCCTCGATCTCGGATTCCTTGGATCTGGAGAAGCTTTTGAGGAGGTGGAGGAGGGTTTCGGGTTTGCCTGAGGCAAAAGCTTTGCGGACGAAGGGGCCGAGATCTTCACCGTTGCAGATGGCGGCGGAGAGGAGGAGTTGATCTTGTTTATCGGAGAGGTCGGCGGTAGCAGGGGCCGGAACGATCCTCCGGCGGCGAGATTTTGTGGAGTGCATGATGCTGGTTTTGTACGGAAAAGGTATACAGAATGACGGAAGTGGGTTGTGCAGTTGAACGACGACGAGGTTTGAATAGAAAAGGAAAGGAGAGAGCCATTCTGTTCTTTCTACTATTTTTTTAATTTATTTTATAGTATAAAATTATATAAAAAATAAATAAATAACCTAGTAATTGAAAAATGTGTGCTTTTTCTTATTTCAAAATTTTACATCATTTAGTTGGATTTCATATTTTTAGAAGAGAAATACTCGTGCTCTTTTACCAAAAATTATTCATAATATTTTTTTTCAAAAAATTAATATACTATATATATTTATTATTTTTATATTATTTAGATAATTTTTTATATTTTATATAAAATAATTTTAAACCAAAAACAAAATAAACACACCCTCTCTCTCGCATTAAAGTGTATATTTACTTTTAATTTATCATTAAAATATAATACTATCGATAGTTAAAAATAATTAATCAATACGCTACTCACATACATATGAGATAGGGACCGTAACATTCAAATTTGAGACTCATGATCTTAGATAAGAGTATATAAATAAATTAATGATACTATCAATTTAAATTTTTAGATGAGATGGTTATGATTACATAAGTTTTGAGTTTATTAAATTAAAAATTAATTTAATATTTTAATTTCAATTTTTTATTTAATAAGTAGTTTAAATATTTTCTAAAACAGTAAAACTCGTTCCTTTCCATGTGTGTATATTTAAGATTTATTTGGCTTTAGTTTGAAATTGATTTGATTTCAAATAAAATGTTTTGAATTTTTATATAATTAATCTTTTGTTATACTAATATTTATTTAAAAATAATAGAATATTTTTATTAAAAAAATATGTAAATAAGTAGTATTAATTTAAATTTAAAGTTATAAAATAACGACAAATATTGTGTAAGGAGTATTTATTCAATGCACCATGTGCAGTGATGCCGAATTATAAGTTTATTATTCAAAAACATCATGTGATGAATTTATTTTTATCCAATTGTATCGACTCTGTTCAGGGTTAGTTATTATTATTATTATTATTATTATTATTATTATTATTATTATTATTTTTAATTCAATGATGAGTTTGTTGAACAAGATCTAGTAGTGGCATCAGTTGGATAACAACGTTACATGATTACTCAAAGAAAAAAAAAAAAACTCTACATGAATACTCAATCAATAAATTTATTTTGGATCCATGTTTGTTTGTAACAGTTGTTTGCTAAAATAGGACATGCAGGTATTAAATTCGACCTAGAGTTTATCCAATATTACAATGTCAGATAGCAGCTGCACATTTCTACTGTTTTTTTTTTTTTTAAAAAAGAAAGAATTAGATACTTGATTAACAAAAAAACATTTCAATATTTTAAAAAAAATTGAAAAGAATATTTACAAAATAAATAATAAAATTAAATATATAATGGCTAAGTAAACGGACTCCCTAATTCGCAATACATTTAATATATTCTCATTGAGCAATTAAATTAATTTTTTTTACTCTTCAATCCAAATTTTCAATGATATTTGATTTTTATTAAAATATCAATTTTCAAATAATAGCAAGCCAAACAAAACCCTCTACTATTTTCTACAAGCATTTTTTATTATACAAACCATCTTATAATTTCATATATAAATATTTTGTCATAGACTTCCATCTACTATTAAATCTCAATCAAGGACAAGTCCTTAGTTTCTAATTACCTAATAAATGCACAAGGCCCCCACATCAGTCAACCCCCAAAATTTCCACAAAAAGATGGGGCCCACAAAAAAATTAAAAAATACATTAAACAAACACTGCCCACTGATCAGCCAGTGTTGACTTTGACTTAGACAACCTTCCTCAACACCATCAAGTACTCCTCCTCCTCCTCCCCCCTCCCCGCCGGCCGTCTCCCTCCTCCAACTTCCCGCCGCCATGGCTTCTCTACCCTTCCATCTTCTACCTCTCATCTCCGCCGCCTTCCTCTACTCCTCCATTTCCGCCGCCTCCTCAATCCCTCCCTACAGCGACCACTGCTCCGCCGTCGTCCCTCCGTCGCCGCCCACGAATCCCACCTACAAAGACGACCTGCCGTCTCTCTCCACCTCCTACTTCACCGGCGGCGACCGCCTCCTCGGCCTCCGGAACAACCACTCGTTTTACTACTCCGGTAAGTCCCTCAGCCTCCGGTTCCGATCCAGCTGCCACGAAACCGCGGTCTCCGGCGTCTACAAAGTCGACGGCCTCCTCTACGTCCGCTCTCCGTACGCCGCCGACTATGGCAACGCTCCGTCGAACTTCACCTTCGCCGGATCTTACAACTACCGCCGCCGCCGATCCCGCGGCGCCGTCAGGTTCACGTTGACCGGATTCTGGTCGGAGAGTAAGCGGACGGCGTGCTTGGTCGGATCGGCTTCCCTCAAATTGGGAGACGGCGGAACCTTAGATTTCTCCGGCGTCGTTAAATTGCAGTTCGCCGCCGAGAATCCGACTCTCCGCACTGCCGTAACCTCCGGGACCTTCCAGAGCACGCTCCCGAAGGGAGATCCCGGGTACTTTGATCCCATTTCCATCTTCAGTTACCCTCATTTTCCTAACTACAACTATACCCTGCTTCTAGAAGATTCCGGAACCTTCCCCCGCCGACCTCTCCGCCCTGAGGGGTTCCAATTCTGCAACATACTGTCGTGGAAATCGTTCTCCTTCGACCTCGACTACTCCGCCGCGAACTGTACGGACCCCCGCCGTTGCTCACCCCTCGCCACCACCGCCGTGCCGGAGTCTCTGCTCCTGATGCCGATTCAGTGCTCAAACGAAGATAAAAAGATTACCACGAGATACATTGCTACATTTCAGAACATCACTCACAATGATCAAAGCTTTAGCTTCTCCTCCACGTTGATTGCGGAGGGACTTTGGGACGAAAATGGCGGTAGGATGTTCATCGAAGCCTGTCGAATCTTAGATCCGATCCACCATTTCGGCGAATCTGAATCCGTCGGCGACTGCGGGATAAGGATGAACTTGAGATACCCTGCAGCATGGACAATCCGCCATGACTTGGGAATCTACGGGGAGCTTTGGAGCATAAAAAACATCGATAAAAAAGGAAACTTTAATAGGATTAACCTCACCCTCGTCAACAACGACATGGTCGACATGGTTGGAGTTCTCGGGCTGAAATACGAGTACACGGAACTGAAAAGGGTCCAGGACTCGTGCCCTGTGGCAAAGCAGGGGTCGAAGAAGAGGAAGGGGAAGACTTATCCCGACGAACGATCCTTAGACATGAGGTTCGATATGTCCGTTGGGAATTCGAAAGGTGAGCCAACTGCTTGGGGTAATGCAATGCCTCTATTTGTCGAAGATGAGATGTATTCCTTCGGAGTAGCCATCGCTTTGGCGCCTGCGTCGTCTGTCGCAGTATCTGATATGGAGATCATCGATAGAGCCACCACAGTGTTTAACATCAGCTACAAGATCGTTATCCCTAGTTATTTTGATTACAATTCGAGCAAATGGATCTCGGTTCTCAACACGTCACTCGATCGTCATCCTCAGGTGGAGATCACGGCCGAGGGCGTTTACAGATCCGACACCGGGGAGCTCTGCATGATCGGGTGCAGGAAGCTGAAGAACGAATCGACAGATTGCGAAATTCTTGTGAAGTTCGAGTTTCCTCCGGTGAATGCAGGGCGAGACGAGCGAGTGATTAAGGGAACGATCGCGAGCACCCGATCGAAGGGGGATCCTCTTCGCTTCGACGAGTTGAAGTTATCAGGCAGCGCGTACTACACGGAGGCATCCGAGGCTGCCGTGTGGCGGATCGACATCGAAATCACGCTCGTGTTGATCTCGAACACGCTCTTCTGCATCTTCATCGGGTTGCAAATCTTCCACACGAAGAGGCATCCGGAAGCTGTCGAGGCAATCTCGCTCGTAATGGTCGCGATACTCGCTCTCGGCCACATGATCCCACTCGTTCTAAACGTCGAGGCCATCTTCTTCGAGGGACACAGCCGGCAAACGGTGTTCCTCAGCAGCGGCGGATGGGTCGAGGCCAACGAAGTCGCCGTCCGGGTCATCACGCTCGTCGCGTTCTTGCTGCAAATACGCCTTCTCCAGCTCGTATGGGCTGCAAAGCGCGACTCTGGCGGCGAGAAGAAGGCCTCGCTGATCACGTTACCGATCTATATTGCTGGCGCTCTGATCACCGTCGTCGTTAATTTGACGAGGACCCAATACGGCGGGAACCGGACCTATGGCCCTCATGGGTATCGCAACTACTCGGTGTGGGGCGGTTTGAGGTCGTACGCCGGGTTGATCCTCGACGGGTTTTTGCTCCCGCAGGTTGCGATGAATGCGGCGAGGGGCTCGACGGAGAAGGCGCTGTCGCATCCGTTTTACATGGGCACCAGCGCTGTGCGGCTGGTGCCGCATGCGTATAATCGGTACCGGGCATGGAGTTATCCAGCGCCGTTTGTGAACGGGACTTACTACTATGCGAACCCGGCCGGCGATTTCTACTCGACAGCGTGGGACGTGGTGATTCCGGTGGTGGTGGCGGCGATGGCGGCGGCGGTGTTTCTGCAGCAGCGGCGCGGCGGCCGGTGCATCCTTCCGAAGAGGTTTAGGGAAGTGGAGCTGTATGCAAAGGTTCCTACTGCTGAGAATCAATGAAAAATGAACTTGCACAATGTTATTTACATTGCATGGGTATGTGAGTGAATGAATGTACCACTTTGCAATTTTCTGTTTTCTTTGTCTCAGATTGAAAGGCTCTAATAAAAAGTAGTAGGAGGACTATTTTGCTATTTATATAAACAGCCTATCCGTAGTGAATGGGCCCAATAGTGTTGGAACTTGGAAGGAAAGCCCATATGATCCTGATGCCACACGTGAGGATTCCTCTATCCTTTCGGGTCCATTTCATCCACAAAACGCAGATTGTGCGCTTCGAGTCTCTGTAGCTATGGCTGGCCTGATGGAAGCACTGTTCGTCCCTCGCGCTTCCGCAATTCCTTCTTCCTCCTTGGCTCCGGTGGCCGGATCCAGCGCTGTCAGAATATCCGAATACAGGGGACTCAGGATCCGGCCGGTTCGCTCATCGGTGAAGCTAAGGTCAGCGTCGAGACTCGCTCGTGGCCGTGGTAGGATCGTTTGCGAGGCGCAGGAAGCAGCTGTTGAAGGTACGGATTTTCTATTTCGTTTTTGTCTTTTTTGTTTGTGATATCGATGAAGGGTTTTGTGCTGAATGAAACGAAATTTCTGATTCTGCCGAAGATTTCTGATACGATAAGCAGCGTGATTGCATGGTGTATCAGTTTAATCCGTTAATTGAGGAACTTTTTTTTTTCATTAACTAGATTTCGTATGGCATCTGATCATATTGCTTTGGGTAGGAATTATTAATTTCCTGAGCTCCTTGGAAAATACACTTCTCTGATGAACGTCAACTAGTTTAAACTTTTTAGGTTCGATTAGCCGTTGATTCTGTTCCTTGGCTGCTGTATATTACCTGCACAGTATGTAGACGGATGATAAAAATGGAGATGCTTATCTTGCTACGTAGATTAACCAATACTGCACTAAACTTCTTAAGAAATGGTGGGTAAGGCTCATTTAATGGTTTTCCTTGAGCCTACAACATAGCAAGTAAGCTTATTCTCGTTGCACATCTGCAGCAAACGAGTTTTTGGGCGAAGATAAGTGATTTGTGACCAGGTAATATTGTGATGATGTCCATCCATTTATTGACAAAATCCTGCAGTGAATGTATTAGTTTGGTTAACATTTGTTAGCAATTATCAACTAGAGCAAGCTAGGTCTTTGTATTATTGGATTATCTTAACAACTCTAAGTAGTTTGAACATCGATGAGGTTGGTTTCATTGTTCGCTACTTCGCTTACTTTGTGCCTTACGTACATCTGTTTTTGAATACCACATTCTAAATTCAATCATTTGGGACGCTGACTGATGTTTAGCCTTTAAGTACACAACAAATTTTCAATTTGATTTGATTTGATTCAATAATTGCGTAGTTTTAATGATACTATTGCTCTGTATCAGTGTTCGTTTGTCAACATCGGGACCATGATTCTTTTATATCTGTTGTTTGGTATGTTCAACATGTTGGGTTTTGGATTGCTTGGATGATCATATCGCATATCAAGTTCTATTCTTTGTAACATAAGATGTTTATTCAATTCAAAAGCATTATGCTGTGATTTTGCCCGCGTCGGGTAGTATTATAGCATCAACTAGAGCTGTTATTCATTCTCTCTCTTTGAAAACCTGCAGTGTCTGGTGTTACTGACTCGACTTGGCAGTCTCTTGTTCTTGAAAGCAGTTCACCTGTTTTGGTGGAATTTTGGGCACCGTGGTGTGGCCCATGCCGTATGATCGACCCTGTTGTTGTTAAACTGGCTAAGCAATACGCTGGAAAGCTCAAATGCTACAAGGTCAATACTGATGAGTGCCCTTCTATTGCGACCCAATATGGCGTCCGGAGCATTCCAACCGTGATTGTCTTTAAGAATGGTGAGAAGAAAGAAGCAGTGATTGGGGCAGTCCCAGAATCGACATTAACAACCTGCATCGAAAAATTCTTGTAGAAGGGTGAGGGTATGTATATACACAATTCTCTCGAAGATCCAGTCTCATCTACACCTAGACCTGGTCTTATCCTTGTTGCTGCGCAAAAATGGCTCCGATCGACCTTTAAGGTATGATGTATTTAGTTGCCTTGACGCTGATCTATGATATGTTTATTTGTGGAATAAGTGAATTGTTTTTCGATTTGGTGCTAAATATGTTGTTTTGAAATTTTATGATCTTTGATCATGTTCTAAACAAAATTATATGGTCATATCAACAAAATGTTTTGCCAACAAATGTATTGTTTATGACCTTATAATTTTGTCGATCAGAAAATTTAGTTATTCAGATGTATAATGATGGGTTGATAGTGGTTAAGTATTAGAGAAATTATGGTTACTTGGTTATAGTGGTAAATATAGAGTATAAGTGAATAGTAAATACCGTATTTACTACTTACTATAATGAACAATAGTAAGTGAATTAGGAATATCTACATATATAAAAGTTGTGCTGTGTAAATCACTATTATATATTATATATACTATTATACCATTTTTATAATGACATTTACTTTAAAAAAGAAAAAAAGGCAAGAGATATTTTGTTATGCAATAAAATTTGTGAATGATAAACACAATTAATGGAAAAAAAAAGGTTAATTTAAGTGGCAAATTTTAAAATGATTTTTAAGTTATATGTATATACACATCATTGTCAACTCTATATTGAATACAATTATTATATTCACTTATTGTTTTTTACTTAAATAATCAACTAAAAAATCTTTTTAAATTAGGTATGCATATGTATATAAAAAGATCAATGCATGAATAGACAATGAATGGAAGGCTATTATATATTCATTTGATTTAAATGTGATTAAAAAATATATATATATACTATACATGATGTTATAATCAGAAAAAAATAAATAAATCAAGAAAGTCTTAAATATCATATTAGGATAATCATAAGGTATTATTACAATAAATATATAAATCTGTTTGTTATTTTATTTTTTTTAATTAAAATTAATATTATTTATTAGACATCATTTTTAATAAAAATATGTTTTTTTTTTTTTAGATGAAATATCAAATCAAAATAAATTTAAATAAAACAAAAAAAAAAAAACAAATCACCAATTTGAAATCAATTTCAATAACAAAACAACACAACCATACAAATTAGGCAGAGGAGAGAATAGATGTTCGGAGGCGCGTCGGATTCCCTGGCCCCGCGGCAGGTGAGTTTTTATATGATGCGACGCAGGCACAGTGCACCTAATCTTCCCTCCCTCCGTTCCTGTTGTTCTTTCTATTTATGATTTCTGCAAGTTTTCTCCCCGATTTACCTCTCTCTCTCTCTCTCTCTCTCTCTCATCCACATCTCGTTTCTTCCCTCGACCCCTTCCCTTTGCCTTCGCCCTTCTTCTCTGGTCTGGAGTTGTAATAAGTTGATTCTATCATCATCCTCCTCCTCCTCCTCTTTCATTTACCCAGGTAGGTGCATGCGTTCTCTCCCTCTCTCTCATTCCTTTACCCTCCCCATTTCTCGATTTCTTGTTCATTTTCCGCAAATTTTCTCTTTCATTTTTTTGTTTGTAGCTGATTAGTTAGGTTGCGTCGTTTCATTAGATCCGACGCAATTATTTGTCGGATTTTTATTCTGAGTGATTGTTTAGAATCGATGGAAAGAAAGGGAACGTTGGATAGCTTGCTGCCTTTATATGCTAATTTCAGCACTTTCATCTTGTTACTTGTATGTATGTATGTATGTATGCGTGTGTTTTCTTTGATTTTGGTTTTTTTCATTATGAAGTTTTGGATGTAAAGTGCCATTCTGTGGTTATTCTATGTATGTGCAAAATTCCTTTGCAGAAGCTCTAATTATGCAAAGCTGAATCCTATTTTTATAGGAAACTGAAAGGAATATATTGTTGACTTGCTTGTGACGGTAACAAAACTTTGGAAAAAGTGACCACCAAGCAAGAGACATAGTTCTTAGCATCATAGACTAAGGAATCTTCGGAAGCTATAATGGGACAAGCAAAGTTGTTTTCCATGTGTCTGTTTTTTCTTGGTACGAATATTATACTCAGATTGGTGTTTTTCAGCCCCCAAAGTTCTTAGAGTTCATATGTGCCATCTTTGTTTAATGGATTGATTGGATTCTACATGCTTTGAGCTCAGGTACTAATATTTACTATCAAATATTACATCAAATACTTAGACTTTTACTATTAACAGAGCCTAGATTTCATCACATTCCTTAAATCTCTACCCATTTATGTAAAAAGTAAAACCATGGTGGTTTTTCTCAATGAAATTGGACTAATTTGCAGGCACTGAGAAGGTTGATTCTTAATGATAGTGCTCACATTAGGAAGCATCTACAAGTGCTTTTATTCAATTAGATAAAGACTTTGGGTAAATAGGTCAACTTTCTGTCATGAATAATGCCATGTGAAATTTTAGGCAATATATTTTAGACATGTGGAGAAGTTTTTAAAGAGAGAGAGAAAAAAAAAAAAAAAAAAAAGTGAGAGTGAGAGGTACCTTTTTAAAGTATTGGACCTACTACTAGCACTATTACTACAACTTTGCACTATGTCTAAATAGATAAGTTCTAAGGCAACAATGGACCCACCCAATTGATAGTTTTGTCTTATTTTTATGGAGTTATCCAGCCTAGGATAAACTTTTCATACTTTTTAATAATAGCTAGGTCGGCAATGAGTTTCTAGAGAGATATTTTATCAAAATATCCTAACATTATCTACTTATACCTACCTTTATTTATGTCTTAATCCTTCTTGTATGCATCGACACTTCTGTAGAATTGAAATTGCAAGTTATCCACTTGTTATTACAAAACAAATTTGATAACCCTAAACCCTTTTATGCAGGTGTTGTGTTTTCATTATGCCTTTTCAGCAGAGAGAGGCTCGCGGGGCGCATCTTGAGACCTTAAAAGAGTGCTTTGATTGCAATATATGTTTAGATTCATGCCTTGATCCTGTGGTGACACTATGTGGCCATCTCTATTGTTGGCCCTGCATTTACAAATGGCTTCATGTTCAGACCACTTCGGCTTCTTTTGAGTCGGAGGATGATCGACCCAAGTGCCCTGTTTGTAAGGCTTACATTTCTACTTCCTCGCTGGTTCCCCTCTATGGTCGAGGTCAAGAACATGGATCCGAGGTCAAGAAGCCCCCCCAATTGGATTTGACGATCCCCAACCGGCCTTCGCCACTTAGTGTCGATTCCCTGCTTGCAACAAACAACAATAATCTGTCATCATTCCAACCTGAGAGCCCTGGTTTTCGGCCGCAGCATTACATTTCCCATCCATTCAACAATCAGGGTTTGATCGCACCCCCGAGCCCTAGTGCAGCCAGCAGCTCATTCAGCCCGACAATTAATATGGTCAGTGAAATGGTATTTGCCGGAATGTTTGGGAGTTCAGACACTAGTTTGTTCGCGTACCCGTATCAGAACTCCTACCATTTTCTAGGAAGAAGCAGCCCCAGGTTAAGAAGGCAGGAAATGCAGCTGGACAAGTCACTCAACAGAGTATCCATCTTTCTTTTTTGTTGCATTGCCTTGTGCCTAATCCTTTTCTGAGTTCTTGTTTTTTTTTGTTGTAATATAAAGTGCTGCTGTGTATAGATGTCAGCTGCTTCCGAGCTTCGGATATAGACTTGTTTTTTTTATGCAACACATTTAACACACAAAGCAATATTATGTACAAGTACAACATCTCATGTTTGGAGCTTTGACAACAAGAAGTCGATCAGCTCATTGTGTTATATATGACTACAGCTCTACTTCTATTTTATTGGGAAAACAAAGATAAGGTTTCATTGGATCATTTATAATGTATGCTTTAGGTTTTTGGTACAGATGATGCTTGTGTATAACCTAATGCAACTCTAGATAGAACTTTTCTTTTTCCTTTGTTTGATGGTTAATAATGGAGATGCCCTTAGCAAATCATATCAACAATCCTTTATTGATCTTAAAAATACTCTATATATGTGATACCTCTTATCTCTTCTATATTCTAATGTGGTAGCTGTTTTAGGCACAATTTTTGGTGCAGGATACTTTAGTTTTCTTTCCAATAACCAAATTTACAAACATGTAACCAACACTCCAAGTATAACTTCATTCAATTTTATTCATTATTGTTCACAACAGATTCTACAAATTATGTATTCTAACCTCTAACCATTATTCACACCAACAAGCAAGTTCTTATATTGCAGCAGATTTATAGAAATAACCTTCCATGAGACCTAATCTGATACATGAATGCAAGAAATTCTTAATATCAAAGAAATAAAAAATTGCCAAAACAAGGCACAATTACAATAAAAGCTTTAGCTTTCTATGTATGGATGCAGTTTACATATAAGATGGTGCACCTATTAACTTGTACCTGATTCAAGCAGCCCATAACTGTTGAATTGCTGAAAGAGTTCAGGAAACCGGACGGCCAGCAATGGATGCTAAGGATGTTACCGACATTCATCTGTGAGAATAAAAATCTTACAAACTAAAGAACCATTTAGAAACAAACACGATTGGATTTATAAGAAGAGAACCATAGTTGTGGGCTGCACAATAGAAGCTGCATGTACTTTAAACAACTAAAACATGTCCCAGAATAGATAGATCTGATCGACAATTTAGTCCACATATACAATCATCATATATCTCAAAGAAGATGAATCCTGAAAGCAATGCAAAAAGGGTTTATCAGTTATTCACTTATCAAATGTAGTAAGCTATTAGACTTAAAATCGACAAAAGCAAAGCAATATCTTATTAGTAATGGATAAAATTAAATCATTTGCCAAGCCTGAGTCATGAGTTAAACATGCAAAGACAGAAACATAAGGCATTTTCCATGTTTAGTATTTCACTGGTTCATAAAATATGAGTTAGTGAGACATCTAAACACCTCAGAATGGATATCGAATAGAGATTACACACAGTACACATTCTGCCCCCGCTCGCCCTGCATGTAATGCACAAATGACAAACACAGGAAGGTAAGTAAGCAGAATTCCTCCAATCTGTATCTCATTTGGGGGCAAAATTTTGGAAAATAAATCAGCTATGCTTGTGGAAATTTTCTCCATCCAAAGGCATTATGCACATCATGTGTAGTTTCAATTCAATCGGTGACATAACCCGAGTGTCAACAATATCTAGGCCGTACTTGTTCCTTTGATTCCATATCTCTGACGCTATTCACAATGTCTTGGATCTTCTTTGCAAGAGATTGGTTGTGTTCCTCGATATGTTCGAAAAGCATCTCCAGATGCCTCTTATACGTTGCAACCTTCTTTTTTTCAATGGCCAGCTGGTGTGATAGTTCTCGGATTTTGTCATGCTCGTTTGGATATTGATCATAAATTAGATCTTTACGGCCTTTTCCAGGAGTCATAGGATGTGTATGCTCCTTCACAAATTTTGTAATAACCCATTTGCCAGAACTAACCTTTCTAACTAAAATCATAGCTCTGCAACCAACCCTCGTCTCAGCCCTTTGCCTTACAATTTTCTCTCGCCTGTCCGGTGTTCTAAAGCCCTCTTTGTTGCAAACAAGAGCACGACCAATTGCAGATCCATCACGCCTTGATCGAGAAAGCTTGCTGACACGAATAACAAAACCAGTCCTTGTGGCATATGAATGATAAAATGCATGCGCAGCTGCTTCAGATTCAAACTCCTGCCCCACATAGGGTTCATCAATAGGATCTAAACAGTTCACGTCTTGTAACTCATCCAGTCTATACAATTCCCTGCCGGACGAATCGTCGTCTACCTTAATATCTTGTTCTTGCTGAAGCACACTGTTGACAGAACTTCCCAAAATTCCATCATCATCGTCTGTTCGTCCTTCAAAATTAGTAGAACTTCCCACAACCTCACCATTTACATCATCATTGATTGTATACTCCATCAAAATTCTAGAAAGAATTAATCCCTGAGTAATAAATTGATAATTAGCAAGTGAAGTCGTAAATTTGATAAAAACATTCCTGATAAAGGCATGAGTACATTGTCCAACTACTGCTATGCATCATTTGATTCATACATCAATATAAGAGCATAATCTTCATTTTCTTGCATCCTTTGAAAATATAGCTAAAAATTTTCATAACTTAATTTATATAAAAGATAAAGCAGAAATAATGAAATGAGGAAACAAAATCACACCACTTAAAACAGAATTCCTTTAAATGAACCAATCCAGCTTTAACTTTTTATTTGCGCTGAAATACTTTTATTTTCTTTATGCTCTTGCCTTACTTAATATCGTTTCCGTATCAAAAGCAGTTGAACCTCCACTAGTCTTCACTTTCCGACACTTGTTTGTTTTTCCTCTATCCTCGAATTCGAACGGTTAATCAAGCGATCCGATTCGTGTAACGCCAATATACACACACAAAAGCACGAAACAAATCGTGAAGTAGCTCAAAGAAGAAGGAATCGTTCCAGAAAAACGAAAACGAAAAACAATTTTATTGCAAATTGAGAAAAGAATCCGCAAGATTCACCGCATGTTAAATCGAATCGAAACGGAAGCATACCGGCTGCGGGAAGAAGGAAGAGCAGGTGCGGCTGACTTCGAGGAATTGGAGTGACTCACTCTGCCCACAGCCCGAAACGAGGAAGAGAGGGAAGGCGGGGTCCGTTCCGACTGAACGATTCGAAGACTCAGACTGAAGAGGGTTTCCAATTGTACCTTCATATTATATACTCCTCCCCCTTTTATTTTTCTTTCTTTCTTTATTAATTCAATAATTAAATTTAAATTTAAAACACTATTCTTATAATTTATAAATCCTTTTATTTTTCTTTCTTTCTTTATTAATTCAATAATTAAATTTAAATTTAAAACACTATTCTTATAATTTATAAATGACCAATGATTGGTATTCCATAATAATTTTAATTTTGACATATACCTTCAATAAAAATTATGATTTTAATGAATAATAATATTGAATCTATTATATTTTATTGTGCAATAGTTCTATTTTCCATCAATTAATTTGGAAGTAATATAAACACATTAAGATTTTAAAATTAATATTTTTTAAAAAAATAAAATCTAATTTAAACGAAAAAATACTCGTAATTTACATGTATATATTAACACATTTTCCCCCAGATGAAATGGAAATAATTAGACTATAGTGAAGATGACTTCTAGTTACTAATCTAGGCTGATTTCACCCATATTTGTGTATACAGCAATTAAGTAACATAATCACAACCCCAAATATCAAACACTCTCAAACCCAACTGCTCAAATCACTTGCTATCTCAGATCACCTGTCACATATGAACTTGTTCGAGCCTAATTTGCAAAGTATTAAGTTCCTGCCACATATCTATGACTTCTTTTTCTTTATACTTGCAAACACTTTTTGATATTTCTTTGTATCCTAATGTGGCATCGACGACGATCTCGGCGCCATCTCCGCCGCGATTACCTGAGAAACTGGGGAAGAACCCGTGCTAAAGGGCCGTAGAAGAGGCGTTCCGACTCGACTCGAAGTCTCGTTCGCGACCGGAAAGTCGTCATTGATAACAACAGCAGCCATTTGCCGCAGCTCGACCTCGACATCCGGCTGAGGGGCAAACGGAGGACTATCCATCGCTTGATTGCTGTCGTCGTCATTTTCGTCATCTACCGACGCTACCGTGCTTGTGTCCGTGTGGATGGTCGATTCGTCAGTGAATACGCCCATCCGTCTTCTCCTCCTCACAGCCTTTCCCCATCCGTGCATTGTATCACGGATTCTTTGCGGGAGTAGTGCTGGTTTATAGTTTGAGCCCATCTGAAGAAGACGAATTCAACATGTATGGATTTACGTAAGGCGGGAAACATGCAAATGTTTCGATATAGAGTGATATGGGTGTTCGAATGTCGTACCTGAGTGACCAACGCGTAGAGTGGCAACGTGCTGTAGCTGCATAAAAATTGCGCCGCAAACCTAATCGAGGAAAGAGTTCAATACTCGTCGATATTGAAGCAAGAGGTTACATTTAGGTTTGCGCTTACCCGACAAGAAGTCGGAGATACAAGAGGGTGTGGTTCCGGATGAAGCAAGAATTATACCCGAATTGCCACTGCAATCAAAAGCAAAGCATCGAGTGAAATTCTGCGGATAAGCACTGTCATAATTAGTAGAAAAACGAAGTAAAGACGGGGTCGAGGGAATACCCAGAACCAGAAGAACGAAGCGAGTTCGAATGCATTCTGCAAGTGTCAACAAAGAGTGACTCATTTCAGCATCAATGCATCGTTTATTTGAATTAACAGGGTGCATGATCTGTGAAGAATGTGAATGAAAAGGAGAAATTAAACAACCTGAAAAAGGATGAAATGAATGAGGGACAGCAACATTTCGGGCTTATTAAACCAAAACAGCTCGTCCCGTGGCTTTAACTTCGAATCTGAAAAATTCCCACTTATTCCGGCACTCTCTAAAGCCAAGGTTGCGATAACGTGCTGCAGTTTCGTGCCCACGAGCAGAACGAGCTGCAAGTAAAAGCAATGAATTGTTTGAACAAAATACGCATCCTCGTCTGCTTGTTATGCATATTTTTTAGCGTATAATGGTGCATTGTGTTTCATATCGAGTACTTACAGTGGCGGGTATAAGTGCAATCCAGAAATAGAGATTTGATCCTGCAAGAAAATGAAAATATAACCCGGCGATCATCGCGAAGAAAACAAAAGATAAGATTTGGTTTGATCGATTAACCTTTCACATTAAACAGCATAAAAGCCACAACGAATCCCCACAGCGGAGCACTGTAAAAATCCAACAAAAACCAGGCGACATCACCGTAGTTTCGTTTTGAATTTAAAAGAGGAACATTAGGAACATCAAAGACTCAATTATTCCTTACCTGACACCAACTATTCGTTGAAATTCTTCTTCCATCGAGCGAATCATATAGCTGTGAAAATCATATTTCGATGTGAGGTTGTGATTCTGCCAGAAAATAACAAGTAGAAAAGAATGTAAACAAAGAGTTTTGACATGTGAAAAGTTCACCAGAAGTCGAGCTGACAAAAATAAGAATCATTAGAAAATCGATGATCCAAAACAAGAAAGGAAACCAAAAGAGGGTGATGAAGTAGCATGTTGACTTACTGAGATAAATCCCTGGCGTAGAGTGAGGTAATCAGCACGCACGACTGATTTTCCAAACTGGCGAAAGAAACAAGTCTAGAAAACAAGAGCATTATTATACTATTCAGAATTAATCTGCGCCAAAAATTTTAACTAGCATGTGGTCGATATTTGCTACAGAGTTGAACTTACCACCCAAACAAGAATACTGTTCCTGTCCATAGGATTTGAGGTATGAACTCTCACAAAAGTCGACTGCCTCCGCATTGTCAGGGCTCTGGTGATTTCTGCAATAAAGAAAATCATAGTAAATATACTTAACTCTCATCAATTTCTTATTTTACGGTAAGTCTTCGGTGAGAATCATCAGTTCTGGAGCTTAAAATGATGGCTCAACTTATCAGACAGAAATTGCCATCTAAACAGAGGACAGTTGTATGGTTGGCATAACATTTTCATTATACTTCTATAATCAACCATGTTTATGGCTATGGGCTCGTGTTTGTTATAGTTTCCCAGTTATTCGATAAAATTGAAAAAGAAGCATGGAACCACCATGAAAATGTCAGATTCTTGAAGCAATTATGTAATAACATTAGCCTGAAAGAATCGCTCCAAACATACCGCGTAGTGAATTGTTTCTATCCAAGTGAGCTTCTTCCTCCCATCCTCTCCAACTGTGAACCTGCCGAAAATATTTCAAACAAACAAACAACAAATTTATCCCAAACAAGAACGAACTGGTTCAAAAAATTTACATCATTACAGCTTCAGTTTGTTCAAACTAATTTTTCAAACTCAATTTAGTAAAAATATCATATGATAGAAATAATTCATCATACGGGATATATAACACGCAATCATCCAACAGGAAATTTTTTTATCGAAAAGCAGACAACGAGGCTTAGGCAATAAACAGAAAACAAATTGAAGAAACTCAAGTTCAAAGGTGACTGCAGATATTGCCGAAGGGTTAACTGCTTTAGCAACATAACCAATGTTAAGGAGCTGTAAGATAAACATGGAAACGATACCTTAACAATCGCGAGCAGCATTGTTAAGCAGCTGTAAGTTATATGCGTCACTGCCATAACAAAAATGAAACGATGGAGCTGCTCAAGTCCCTCGTACGACACAAATGGTTCGTAGCCCTGCATGTAAAATCAAGTCAACAACACGGCACCGGGAAAAATCATCATACAATCTATACTACTGCACTCGCCAATTATCATTGAAAATCGACTTGCCTTTGAGCACTTATTCTGGTTTAGGCCCGACAGCATCCTCCTATGCAAGTGAGAATCCATGAAAGTCATCAAGAGTTTCCGCTCCTTTGAATCATCATTGTCCCTGTCTACCTTATCTTCACTTTCAGTGCACGGAGCAAACATCGGATTGTAGAACTTTGAGGGTATGCATATAGTAGAAATGAGTTTCGAGGTTGCCGTGAGGAGGAGAGATATGAAGCCAAGAAGCATCAACTCTGCACGAAAGTATCGTTGCAATAATGGAGACAACAAATTTAAAACAAGAGAAGTACTGCTATAGATATTACCTTCCTTCATTTTCTCGACCGCTGCAAGTAAAGGCTTTCTATCTGTTTTCTTCAACCACTGAACAATAATGATCAAACAACATGAAATCAGAGATCATAACCTTTATTCGGTGATAAAACAGTAATTGCCCTAAACAGTAAACACCATGGATGTCCTGAAGTATACTGAAAAAAAATATTCATATTTATGAATGAGCAAGAACAAAAGATTGCACAAAGAACAATAAAAAAGAAGAAATCATCGTGGAAAAGTACAAAAAACAATACCTAGTGGCTAGTAACACAACAGAAATAAAGGACCAATGGAAGACTCGATTCATTGCTCATTAGGAGCAAATTCCAAATTCTAATCGGACTCAAGAACACTTTTCAATTGAAAAAATAAGGATTCTGGAACTACTTCCAAACAATTTGAACTACAGCAAAAAAATCTCAACAATCTTAACATAGGCAACGAATGAATTTAGTACAAAATAGAGTGTGACTCACATTACAGAGGCGGTAAATTGAACGCTCGACTAGCAGTGAAATAGCGACGAACACAGTCAACACCGCGCAGACAGACCAAGTTGGAGTCGAGCCGAGGGACCTGAACTCCTGACTACGTGAAACAGATTCCGCCATTTTCTGAAAATCCAGTTAGCAGTCAGGACTTCCTGTTTGGTTTGTCTAATAATAGCTGAAACCCATTCGACGACGAAGCTGCTGAAACCTAATCTGGTATGGTATCAGTCAAGAATCATAGCAGATTCTGGGGGGATACATCATACATGAGATTACAAAATGCAGCCAGTGAGTGTTTCGCCAATAGGGAAGAGTAGAGAGAATAATTGTGGAGAAGATTACATCTCATTACAACGCAGCAACCGCGAAAAGGGGTTAGATAGAGTCCAAATCAACTTTAGCAAAAAGAAGAAAGGTGAAAACAAAAAAAAAAAAGCTGATGGTCAGCAGCAAATGAGCGCGTGGAGTTGTGCAGCACCAGTTGTCGTTCTACATTCATTCCTCCCAATTCCGAGCTTCATTTAAATTTGTTAGAGAAGTGAAGAAGAGGTGAAGGCGGAGGGGACGGGGACGGGACCCAGACAAAAAGAGTCAGTAGCCACGCCTATGGGGGAGGTCCAGCTGTTGACACCCGGAGTCCCCACCAGACCCGCCATCGCCATTAATAGAGGGTGACCCAACGTCTTTTCCATGCTCGACTTGTGTTCTTCGTCCTCAACACTGCTGACCTTTGTCGTCATTATGTACAATTTTTCAAACCCTAAAATTAACCCCAACAATAGTTACTATTATTATTATTATCATTAGGAATTTGACCTAGCTATTTTTAAATAGCAGTAAATTTTCGAATCAAGTGATTAACAACACAATAACAATTTGCCAAGTGCCTGTAACAACCCATCAATTAATGGCAAGAACATGTAAAAAAATAGAACATAAAAAACACATTACAAAAATAAATATTCTAAAAACACAAACAATTACTCTCTCTGTCCACTAATTTATTCTTATTTTATATTTTATTCACGTACTACGTAACTTATTTTTTCAATATAATTATGTTGAATATTAAATTTTATAATTTTTTTAATTTTAATTAAATTATTTTTTTATTTTAATATTAATTTATAATTATTTTTACTAAATAATAATTATTTTTATCGATACATTTTTATTTTAATTTTTTAATTACCTGCCCAAAATATCTGGGAGAAGATAATATTTTTTTAATTATATTTTTAAATTTTTTTATTTCTTTTAAAAGTCATAACTTACTGAATGATCTATAATTCTGTGTTATAATTGATTTTTTTTTTCTATTGTTCAATTTCTATATAAAAAAAATAAAATTATATTATCGCACAAATAATTATATAAAAATTATTATTCAAAATAAAAAATAAAAAATAAATTTCAAAAAAGAACAATTACTATATATATATATATATATTATATCAAAATTATGCAATATCCCAAAACTTTTGGTTAGGTATGTGTGTACATATATATATGTGAAAAGCGACACAAAGAGGATAGGTCGATTTCCCCATGTTCAAGACCCACAAAACTGATAAATTATTGATTGAAAATAAATGTAACTAAAGAAGACCTAATTGACAATTTGCATCCATAATGTGACGAACATTATTGGGCCTTTTGTAGTTTTATTTCTACTTATTATTCGTGAATTATTTGCAAATATGCAAGTATTTAGTATTTGAATCGAACTTACTTGATTAATTAAAATTTTAATTTAATTTAGTTCGGTTCAATAATTCGACATTTAAGTTCAATTCTTTTGCCAACTCTTATTAAAAGATTCAAAACATTGCAATCAAAGTAAAAGGTTATGAAATTATAACAAGAAGAGATGATTTAGTGAGATTAAAGAGTAAATTTCTTGTTGGGGTTTAGGATTTAGGTCACAAATCCTATTATTATTATTATTTTTTTCATTTACTTATTATTATTATTATTATTTATTTTTATTTTTTATTTTTTTTACATTACATCAACTTATTTAGCAACGGCAAAGGATTATTTTTAAAAATATCACGTCTAATTTAAGAGAAATTGTGAGGTAGTAGTGTTTGTTTAGTATCCACATATTGATTCTCCTTTTTGAATTTTTTTAAAACATATAGTATATTTTTCTTTAAAAAATAATAAAGTAGGCTGTGTTTTTAATGGATGCCCTTCTCAATTCATTATTCAAAAATTTTAATTAAATATTAATTTATGATATTAAAATTTTAGTATATTAGATTAATCATTTATTTACCCATCAAACTAATAGTTATATCATAATTAATAACTTGTATTTTTCATCTACTTAAATACTAATCAACACTTTAAAGTTTAAATACATAATAATAGTTTGATCATGTGTTTTTTTTTTTTTTTTTCCAATTTTCTCTATTTCCACTATTCATAAATTTTATTTTTTAAAAATCAAATCAAATATTTATTTTTTAAAATATATTATATTGGTAGTTAGTAAAAAAATAAAAAAAATGACTTTTTGCTCTTGTGAATATATTAATGTAATAAGTAATGATAATTGTGTAATAATAATAATAAAAAGTAGGATAGTTTTACGGTGATTATTTAAAAAAATGAGACTATTATTTTTAAACGGACAAAAATGGTAAACAAGACTATTGTATTGAAACAAAAGAAGTACTAAAAATTAATTTTATATTCAAAATATCGTATTATTTCAATTCAAAATTTTTAATATTTAAATTCTAACAAAAATTCCAAACTCGCAACAAACACTCGTTATATACTATCCATTAAATACAATCTATAATAATTTTTATGAAAAAAATTAATACTATAATTAAATTTTTTATATTAAAATATTATTATTTTTTAATTAATTTGCATCGTATAACTAGATTTTTTATTTTATTTTATTTGATCATTTTACTCATTTGGTTAACACCGCCTTAATAAAATGAAAATAATAAATGGGAAAAAAGTTGAAAGGATAAGTCACGTGCGAGGCACGGTACGCTAAGGGTTACTATATAATCTACTTCGATTACCTTCTGTATTCCCCTCTTGTTTGGTTTCCTCTGGTTCGGCGTTCTGGTCTTCCGTCCGATTCGAGGTAGGAACGACGACTCCTGATCCGTTCATATATGGGCTGCTCTTCGATTCATGATTTTTCTATGTTTGTTATGCCTTGATAGTTTGCACAATCAATTTTTCCCTATCCAGTTCCTGTGCGTGCTCTTGGATTAGGGAAATAATTTGCCGCAGGTTTTGAATCGAATTCAGTACAATTTCCTTGTAAGTTTGTCAAATTGGTTAATGTATCGAATAAAACACGGAATAGCGAGTTTGATTTTGTAAAACGTGAGGGTTATGAACTCCGATGTTTTTCCGCGCTTTGAATTGGAGGTGAGTAATGTTTATGGAGGTTCGAGGAGAGTTTTATACGGTGGAAGAAGTAGGCTCTAAAATTGGAACAAGAAAAGGCTAGCGGATGTGCATATGAATAGTTTTGTTGATTTATCTACTTTGCCTGCATTAGGAAATGAATTGTTAGAAACTTGTGGATAGACAACAGCTTTTATGGTTTGATTCTTCTCCAATAAAGGAAAATTCGTTGTTATATTACACATGAGAATGTAACGTCTGGATAATTTTCCTAAAGAGAAATTGTTCTGTTTTGTTGAATGATGCTATTACATTTCTTCTTCCTTATTGTCAATGTTACAATATGTTTTCAGGGGATACTACGGTTTAAATTGAGATGTCGCTGAGTAACACTGTTGCTACTCCAATCACATTGCCGCCTACAGGTATGCTGACCTCCTATGATCAGAACAGCTGAATACTTGGATCATCATACTGTTGACGAATGATTTGTGTGGTTAAATTGCTTCATCTGATTATTTATCAGTTAGAAAAAGTGATGTTGTGCTGAATCTATGTACTTAAAAAAAAAAAATTTCTGTTTACAGTTCGATTTGAGGATCAGTTCCTAAAGATTAGGAAGAATGTTCTATTCAGACCAATGGGCCTGACGCCCCTTCGAATGCAATTTCAGTCTGTTGGAGGACGAATCATAACTTATACTCCCCGAGTCAAGCACTCTTCTGTAATATGTGCTGCTGCTCTGGTAATTTTACTTTATTCTATGCTTCTGACAATGAGCAGTAATTAATTCATTAAGAACATGATCTTTATTTGTTTCGCTTAAATCTATCCTACATTTAAATTTGCTGTACGCTTTTCTTACTAGACAAAACAGCACAAGTCTTAGGTCCTTAGATTTCTGATATATCAAAGTGTAGATTGGGCTTGGTTTCTTCCTGTTTACGCCTAAAAAATGTGAAACTTCATGTGGAGGGTAATGTCTAGGAAGACACTCTTATAATTTCTGAACTTGGTGGTGAAAATTTTGGTTGTTCCAAGGTTGTGAAGGCTTCTAGCTTCTAGCTTCTAGCTTCACAGTTTGGCTCACAGCAACCTGTGGAAATGCATTTAATTCTTTCAGGAGGCACTAGAACTCCTCCCTAATAAACTATGTTATTGATATGCGGCTTACTTCCTAAATTTCTGGACTGCAGAGTGCTACCTGTGCCGCAGAGCAAACCCAAACAGTAACACGGCAATCATCTACAATTACTGTGGCGCCTATTGAAGGTAATCACACATTTTCTGTTCCTGTTTAAAGTATTTGCAAAGCTGGATGGTCAATACTTTGAATAGATTCTCGAAATCTGCGTAGATCAAGTTCAAATTCTTGAGCTACACAAGTTTTGGGGTTCGTAGTAGATGAATCGTTTTTACCTATGGCGACATTTATAAAGAGGGGGGGGACATTTGAGAAAATTCTATATAAACAACAAGTTTCAGGGTGTGAGAAACATTGTTTGTCAACTGCAGGAAAGGAAAAGTCCCCGGAACTTGATGATGGTGGATCAGGTTTTCCTCCACGTGATGATGACGATGGTGGCGGCGGAGGTGGCGGCGGTGGTGGCCACTGGTCTGGTGGGTTCTTCTTCTTTGGTTTCCTTGCTTTCCTGGGTTTCCTAAAGGATCAAGAGAGTGAGGGGCCATACCGGGACGGAAGGCGCAGGCGATAAGAGTTTGGATGATTGTCCTTGGGCTTTCTGTGTGTGATCTTCTTTGGCTGCTGCTGCAATACAGAATTTTATGGAGATTCATTATTTGATCTGAACGCAAGTTTACACTTTTCTTGTGCTAGTTATACCTCCTTGATACATCTGTCCATCGCGAAACTAGTCATCTTCATTCATAAAGATAGTGTGGCTATCCATTTCTGGGTTGCATCATCAATCAGTCTCATCATTGTCTGTCTTTTTGCAGGGTATATTTGTGTCTTAGGTGAACCAGAAAATCAAAAATTAAAAATTATCATCTATTATGGTTGCATATTTAAATTTAAGTGGGATTTTCGTAATTGTGAGATCGGTTGAATGCGAAAATTGAGACAGGATTTTAGACGCAAAGGTTAGCTAGCTAGCAAGCATTGCAAACCCATAATATTGAAGAGTTTGAAGGAAGGGTACTCGTAGATCAACAACGTACGCACATATGGCCATTCGTTTCAAGCGCAAATTTTGTTAAGGGGAAATGAATGTAATAATGATAAACCTAGCACAAGAATTTAACATGGATGTTGCGTTACACATTCGTATAGTTTAGCACAACAACCAATGACATTATTCATCAAATGAATTTGCCATACAGGAATAGGAATAGGAATAGGTATGCCTCAGGGAGAGGAGAACAAACAGACATGCAAATCACATCACGGTCAAGTACCAAATCTATTGATCGATTAATTAGTTGAGATAATAATAAGTGATGAAAATTTAAAAACTCATTAGCCTACCATCATCCGACATAAACAAAACCCAAAGCAAAGCAAGATCCAAATCCTAAAAGAGAACCAAAACAAAACATAAGTAGAAAAAGAGAAGAGAAAAGGGAGGGGAAGGGGGGTAGAAGCAACAAATACCAGCTAGAGACAGGGCAAGGCCATCCCATCTTATATAATAATTAATTTAGTCGACTTCCTCCATCTTGCTGCCATCGGCATCAGCATCGCCATCAGTCTCCTCCAAAGCCGGCATGTCAGCATCAGCATCGGCGCCATCCTCATCGATGCTCAGCCCCAATTTCAACATCCTGTGGATTCTATTCCCAAACATGTTGGGGTCATCCAGACTGAATCCGGAAGTCAGCAGAGCAGTCTCAAACAGCAGCAGCACCAAGTCCTTCACAGACTTGTCATTCTTGTCCGCATCAGCTCTCTTCCTCAGCTCATCCATGATGGGGTTCTCAGGGTTGATCTCCATTGTCTTCTTGCTCGACATGTACCCAGCCATGCTCGAGTCCCTAAGAGCTTGCGCCTTCATAATCCTTTCCATGTTAGCAGTCCATCCGTATTCCCCAGTCACCAGACAGCAAGGAGAGTCGACCACACGGTCTGAGACAATAACCTTCTCAACCTTGTCCCCAAGAACATCCTTGATCACCTTGCACAGCCCTTCAAACTGCTGCTTCAGATCTTCCTTTTTCTTCTTCTCGTCCTCGCTCTCATCCAGCTTCAGACCTTCCTTTGTGGCAGACACAAGTTTTTTCCCCTCAAATTCCTTCAACTGACCGACAGCATACTCATCAATCGCATCCACCATGAACAGGACCTCATATCCCTTCTTCTTTAGCTTCTCAAGGAAGGGAGAGTTCTCCACAGCCTTGCGGCTCTCACCGGTAATGTAGTAGATGTCATTCTGGCCTTCCTTCATCCGAGTCACGTAGTCCTTCAAGCTCGTCATTTCATCACCACTCTTGGTTGAGTGGTACCTCAGCAACTCAGCAATCTTTGTCTTGTTCTGGGAATCCTCGTGGATTCCAAGCTTGAGGTTCTTCGAGAAAGACTCATAAAATTTGTTGTAGTCTTCCTTGTTCTCAGCAATCTCAAAGAACAGCTCTATGCACTTCTTGACAAGATTCTTGCGGATGACCTTCAAGATCTTGTTCTGCTGCAACATTTCACGGGAAATGTTGAGGGGCAAGTCCTCAGAATCCACAATACCCTTAACGAAGCTAAGATACTCAGGAATCAACTCCTCGCAGTTATCCATGATGAAGACACGGCGGACATAGAGCTTAATATTGTTTGGTTTCTTTCGGGTGTCAAAGAGGTCAAAAGGTGCCCTCTTGGGAACAAAAAGAATTGCCTTGAACTCAAGCTGCCCCTCAACTGAAAAGTGTTTGACAGCCAAATGCTCCTCCCAGTCATTAGTGAGGCTCTTGTAAAAAGCAGCATACTCTTCCTTGGTGATCTCCTCTGGCTTCCTCATCCAGATTGGCTTCTGCTTGTTTACCAGATCCCATTCATGAGAGACTTCCTTGATCTTCTTCTTCTTCTTCTCAGCTTTCTCCTTCTCTTCATCAACCTCCTCAACCTCCCCTTCTTCATCCTTCTTCTCCTCCTCGTCCTCATCATCTGAGATTTCTTTCTCTGTGGTCTTCTCAACCCAGAGAGAGATAGGGTAGCTGATGAATTCAGAGTGCTTCTTGACCAAGTCCTTCAAACGGCGCTCCTCAAGATACTCAAGCTGGTCTTCTTTGAGAAAGAGAGTGATCTTGGTGCCTCTACCAAGAGGTTCACCAGATGTGTCCCTTGTAACAGTAAAGGATCCGCCAGCTTGGGATTCCCAGACATACTGCTCATCATCATTATGCTTTGTTGTGACAACAACCTTCTCAGCTACTAAGTATGCTGAGTAGAAACCAACACCAAACTGCCCAATCATGCTCACATCAGCACCAGCAGCAAGTGCTTCCATGAATTCCTTGGTGCCAGACCTTGCAATTGTACCGAGATTGTTGACCAAATCTGCAATAAAAAAAACATATTAGCATCAGTCATTCATAACAAACTTAGAATGAATCAGTCTCCATAAATAAATGGAATGAAAATATTGATACTGATACTAACCTGCCTTGGTCATACCAATACCACTGTCAATAATTGACAGGCTGTTGTTAGTTTTGTCAGGAATGATATGGATGAAGAGCTCAGGCTGCGCATCTAGCTTGCTTTTGTCAGTCAAGCTTTCAAAACGGATCTTGTCCAGAGCCTGAAGGGGCCATTTATAATGAGAATCCAAATACACAAATTGAAATCCACGGTAAGAGCAATTAAATAGCCACCACATAAAGAACACGAGCAATTGCAAATAAACCTCAGGTCGGATTTCTACATGCCCTGAACGAGGCACAAACATGGACAATGAATTACGGGGTAAAATAGCATAACTAACAAATAAAATTGCAGTGTAACGAATAAAGACAATCTGCTCATATATTTTTCATTTTGCACCGTAAAAACATAGTCACTTCGCTGTAACAGAACGTTGACAAGTTCAACACACAATGACAGCTTCCCAAAAATGTCCAATTTCAATTTCTACGCATCACATATTACCCCAAAACATCCACAGTAAACAGATCTAATCAAAAGGGTAAGCATAATTTACATACAAATAAAAATCATAAGAAAAACGGGAAAACCAGGCATGCCGCCACATAATCACATCTTAGTTCCCGAAAAGAATAAGGAAAAGACACTTACATCAGATGAATTACTGATTAACTCACGGAGGAAGATCTCCTTGTTGCTGTAAAACGTGTTGATAATCAGACTCAAAAGCTGATTAATCTCCGCCTGGAACGCAAACGTCTCGGTTTCCGCCATATTTGCGATCTCTAAGCAACAGCAGAAGCAAAGCGAAAGAAAATAGCAAATCTACAAACTGCGAACGAGGAAAAATGAAGAGGCAGTGAGTCGAGAAATGGGAGAGGGGTTTATATAGTTCATCAGTTAGGGTTTCTAGAGAGTTCGGAAGCACCGTCCTTATTTTTAGTAGTTGTAATATTTTTTATTTCGAATTTCTTGGAGAGAAGTTAAATGTGGGTCCCGCGTGAAAATTCAGGTCCGCTTTTCTGCCATGGCAAAATTGGATATGGATCACGTAATAGTTACTGGGTCGGATCTTGTGGGATAAAATGAAATATTACTTCCACGTCAAAATACTTGCTAATTTTTGGTTTTGTTGTTTTGTGACTGTATCGTCGGTTACAATATAAATATATATTATTTTAATACTATTTAAAATTTAAAAGCATTTTATTTTAAAATTTTAACTATTTTATTTTTTTTTGTTTATGATTAATTTATAAATTGTATTGATAAAAAATAAAAAATAAAATTGCAAACGTTACATTTTTAAAAAATAAACATATAATAATAACACAAATTGTGACAAAATGAATATTTAAAAAAGCGCTCTCGTTTCCGTGTCTTTGATTGCAAAAATGAAATGTTTTAGATACTATATTTTAAAATTACATTACATGCATTACTATTTTTTTATAAATATTATATTTAGTAACTACTAACAAATATTAATAAAATGTTCAATGTTAAGCCATTTCATATTAAAAACATAATATGCTGAATATTGAAGTTGAGGACATTAAAACATATAGGAAATACAAATCAATACTATTTAATGCATGATTTCCAATATAATATACTTATTTTTTCTCACAAAATATTATTCAAATAAAATTCAAATCTAATACTCTATATCATATCAATTTCAAATCAAAATCAAAATAAAAATCAAACATACTGACAAATCATTCTAACAATAGTAAATATATATGTGTGTGTGCCTGTTGTTTACTTGTAAATATCACCAAAAACATGATGCAACAATGCAAGAATTTGCAATCTCAATGGCCATATAGTATGTTGTTTCTGATTCAAAACTATGTACCAAAACAATATGTGCACGTATACATACAGGCAGTCATCTCACAAATCCATCTCTATTTAATGGCCCATGTATGTACTAGATATACTGGAAATATATATATATATATATAAAAGGCAGATCAAACATATATATCAAAAACCATTTCAGAAAATTTGTTGGAAAAGGAAGAGGAAGAGCATTGCAAAACAAAGTAAGAGAGGATTAAGAAAACAAACTCTCAAGAATTACATCCTCTGAAGTGAGGCTTCTATGGGTGGATCATCAGTTTACCGCGAGGTATGGATCGACTCCTTCGGAATTCCAGGACACCTGATGAGTTGCTGGCTTCCTTCCCGTTCGAGAATTTGTTATCCCGGGCTCCAATTGGCGAGGAATCAATTGGCTCTATGGTTTCCCTGTTTGAGAAAGAAAGTGAGCTGAATGTACTGTGATGGCCTAAAGTTTCCAACAAAAATATTAGAGTAATACCTTTGATCAATGTTTCGAGAGTTTGTGTGGGGATTCTTGACGCGGGGAGCACCGGATGCCGGCGCCAGTCTAACTGGCACAAGCTCATCTTCGGGGTCTAAAAAATCTGTATTCTGAGCCTCCTCGAAAAATTTATCCGAGTCAATGTCAGAAAGCAGTGTTTCAGAAGAATTGTTGGACTTGGGAAGTTTTGCCAAAGCCTGATGCTTAGTCTTGATCTTACTCTCTTGTTTGCCTTTTCTGATGCCGCCTTGGCGAATATTCAGTGCTTGTTTAAACTGCTCTTCTTCATGTGGAGGGTGAGGTTTTCGAATCGTCACCCTTGAGAAGCTGTTCAAGGCATCTGAAATAGCCGTTTCTTGTGAAACTTGATTTTGATGTGCGGGCACAACTACTGGAGGGGCATTGGTAATAGATTTGCTGACTGATATACTAGCAGGGAATGGCGTTTTAATGACTGGCAAGTTTTCGGGTAAGTTGGATTTTGCTTTTGTTTTGATTGTGGCAACTCTGTCAGTGGATGTCGATCTTCGAACTGGAGGAGATGGGGATCTTGGTTTGGTGGAGCTCACTGCTCTTTCTTCAGACAGGACAGGCAGTTTCGGCAGAGCATCTTTGTCACTGAATTTGGAGGGATATTGAGACCTTCTTTGCTTACCAACAGAACAGCTTCTCACCTGAAAATTAGCTTGCCATTTAAGGAAGTTTGAACCACAGCAGAGTAAGAAATGTAGCAAAGATTATACAAATACACCTATTCTATTTTTCATAATCAGAAGCCATATTTTAAGGTTGTTGATAAGTTAAGCCACAAGTCATTCAGTGTTTCCTCATTCCATTTTTAGATTTAAAATAAACATACATGGATTTGGGATGTTTTGGAGGGACACAGAATGAAACTGTAAATGGTTTCATTTGAATACAATATGAGACTGGGGGTACCTCTATGGTTTGTGGATCAACATGCTTCTCACTGATCTCAGGTTTTGGATTGCTCTGTTTCGCCATCCTAAGAGGTGAAGCTGCGCCTCGAGTATTTGGGCGGCTTTTCAGTTGCTCCAATTCAGCCTCCTTCCTTTCGAGCGATGTTCGAAGGTTGGATATCTTAAACAAAATTAGAATAATAGTAAAGCGAGCTAGTAAGCCATTAAGGGATAAGAAGGAATCAAGACTCAATTAAAGTATTAGAACAGACCTCTTCTTTGCATTCTCTAAGTTCACAGGTTTCCTTGTTAGATTGAGCTGCCCCAAGCTCCACCGTGGCTACTCTTTCAGCAAATTTCAATGTGCTGAATGTCTCTCCGAGAGCATTAACCTCGGGGTTTATGTGCACAAACATCAGTGTTTTAGCATGCCCCCCTGTGGATAAAATGAATGCGGTAAAAACGTGATGCACGTCCAAGCAATCATCTAAGCAAGTTCTGTTGTGAAAGGAAACTATACATATGCATATGTATAAGTAGTTCTCAACAACCAACAATGGAAGAGTGAACCGTATCTGGGTGGTGTTCAAAGTAGGGTGCATAAATGCAGTACCTAAAGAATCTTGTAAAACTTGCGTTAGCTTGCTATTTCTGTAAGGAACATGAGAACTTTTTTGTGCCAGAGCAGCAATGACATCTCCAAGGGCGGATAGAGACCTATTAATATGTTGAGCTTCTTTCAATCTATCTCCAACAGCTTCAGATCTATCGACTCTCTCACTTCCAGCAAGATCTACTAGGTGAAGGCAACCTTTCAATGTGGAACTTGAAATCAATTCTTTCCCTCGAACATGAACTGTCAAAATGCTGCAGCAGAAGAGGTCAATTATTGATTCGATAACATAAATAACATATCCTGAGTGGAAATCTATACACTTAGAAGTATTTAAAATTACCTATGAGATCGACTACTGCGCTCATTCAAAGCTGTGGCACCAATAGCTCGATTTCTTTGTCCAATTCTCATTAAATCAAGAACATCTTGAGTACATTTTACAGGAATCAAACTTGCATCAGGAACATTGAGCCCATTGAGCTGGGAGTTGTTACGAATATCTAACGTGTGCATAATTAAGGACAAAAAGATTTTTTATCAAGGAAAAACCATCATGCGCGAAATAAAGAAATTCAACAAGGATATCTTTGATTACTCCCATCCATGACTAACAAATCCCTCACTTGTTCATTGTATATTTCAATCATTTGGACTCCAACTTCATATTTTATGACATCCATTCTGGCCTTTGATATGTGGAATAGGTCCCGGAGAGCACGATAATTCACTCCCCATGTCTCCTCCGTTGTCAAGTCTGGACCACTCTAAAAATGGAAGATAATAAAATGTTGAAGGGTGTTGAAAAGAAAAAGAACATACAAAATTAGTATGCTTGAAATATATTGCATGTTTGTGAATATTATGCTGCAAAAAGGATCAGTTCTCTTAAATATACCATAGCAAGATTATGTAATTACAAATTACCATAGTGTATGTCTTCCCAGAGCCAGTCTGACCGTATGCAAATATACAAACATTATATCCATCAAGAACAGATCTCACCAAGGGTTGAGTATCTGCATATATTTGACCTGCAAATTGATGGTCAAAAAGAATAAAACTGATTAATTTTCAAAACCTATATCCTGTATCCAAGCACAGGACCCATAGTTCTTGTATACAAGACAAATTTTGAATAAGAAAAATGTCAATAGACTATCTGATCCTCCAATGAATATCTTCAGATGTCTATTTGAATGTTTTTATAAAGATAAAGCAACTTGAAAAAATGGTTGAAAAAGAACATACGCTGTGTTGCATTAGTTCCAAAAACTTTGTTGAACATGAAGATCCTCCTTGCATCTTTACCCTGCCTGTGTGGATTAACAATCATAATACTTCCATCTTCTCCAATGTAATCTACGGTGGAATGCCCATCTGATTGCCCAGATAGGAAAGGCCTTACCCTACAGTAAACTCTAATAGTCCCTGTAGAGACAGCATTAGAATTTATTAACTCTCACTAAGTGCATAAAATTTTATGTAACTTCGAAAATGAAAACCTTTAAGGTCTTGGACTTGATTATATAGCAAACGGTTTTCCTCCAAAACTGTGTGATATGAAGCAGCTGCGACCTCAAGACCCTTGACATGGTGTCCTGATCAAGCAATCATTTTATCAGTAGTCTACACTAACGATGAGGTGCGAAATAAAATGTACTTCTAGGTTATACACAAAGTATTAGTACTATACAGGGAACTGCTTGCACAAAACACACACAGAAGAAAAAGAAAAGATTAAATAAATGAATGGAATGAAGAAATGAGTTAATATAAACAAATCGTAGTTTCTCACCCAGCCATAGAAGTTCCTTTTCCCATCCCAATTGTGTCCGATAGACTTCTTGCTTGGTCTCAATATAAAGAGCTTTTAAATCCTGAAAATTGTTGGATTTGAGACAATAAATAAGATATACTGAATTATATTTATGCAAACCAGCATAAAAACCATTATATATGTGGAAAACAGTATCCCTCTTTACACAAGTCATACCTCCAATGGTTTCTGCAGCAGATTAAGCATTTCTACATTAGAATGTGAGGGATGTTCCCTACTCTCTGCTTCTTTTTCAATTCCACCACAAATGCAAAAATCTGAAACATCGCTTGATACAAGACTTGTCCTTCTTTTTAAATACTTTGACGTAATGTCAATGAATTGAGATTTGTTATGAGGTGTGCAAGCTTTGTTCAAAACTTTCTTAAGAAATGATCCAAGCTGCAGTTCAGAAAAATAAGTATCAGTCAAACTGCCCACTCTTCATGAAATTTGGTTGTACTAGCTAGAAAATGAGATCGAAGAGGCAGCAGAGCAGTAGAGAACTATTTACTTGTTGCTAATACCTGATTGCCTTGGGAATCCAGCAATTCTGAGAAATCTTTAACAACCTTCCTTATCACTATATCAGTGACCTACATGTCTCAAACAATTAATTATGGCAAATGCTCTAAGAAAATGGAAAGAGAAATGTCATGGTAGATTCTTCTCTCTGTGTGTATATACATATTTCAAGTGGGAAATCTATAGAAACAAGAAACAGTCTATTTTTGAACAAATTGAATGTTATGGACTCCCACTTCAGATTGATGTCATAAAAGAACTAACTCTCATATACCTTTTTTCCTGAAACTTGTTTCATTCAAGTGCATATAAGCAATAGAATTAACACTAGGCTTTGTGCTCATGACATTTATCAGTCTCACCTACCATTGAATTTAAAGGGATGTCCTCAAATGCGTTTGTTTCTGTCACATAAGCTTGCAGGAGACCAATGCTATAATAATCAAACATGAAAGTGAGTATATTGGCTGCCCTGGAATCCTCGAGTGAGTTAGTGTATAAGTGGAAAAATTCCATCAGAGGATCATATTGGGATGATTCAGAATCATCTAGCGACTCATCAGCACTTTCACTGCTCACGACAGATGATGGAAGGTCTTTTGGTTGAGAAGTAATTCTCACTGTTCCTCCATATTTCCAGACACCAACGCCTCCAGATTGTTTCCATTCATAATACCCTTTCAAACATAAAATGCAGTCCACTACTTTGCTTGAAGATCCTCCCTGAAAATAAAATATGAAGGTCGCATCACATTTTATTGCTCTCACCGGAACATGGTTGCATATTCTTCTACAGATATGACATTAAACCACTTATGCATATTCTTTTGTTGCTTGAGTTTATTTATACACAGACCATTTCAACATCAATTCGAGCAGATGGAACTACAGTTATCGTCACCTTTCCTCAGTCTAATTAAGCTGTTGTATCTACAAGAAAGAGTAATTTATGGCGCTATCGCATTATATCTAGAAGCTTAAAATCGCAATAACCAGCTATTCAAACCTTTTCAACATCTGACGCTTCGAATGTGAGCAGCTTCATCCTGCCAACAGAAACGAGGAAGTTTCTCATGTTCTCAAAGTACTGAATGGCAGCCTGTGCTGCACCTTCCGTAGCCTGCACGTCCAACACTTCCACCACCTACACACATCACAAACAGGACAGGAACCATCACACATAGCTCCAAAGAAACACACATCTGCCGCGCGGACAACCGATTGCACACAGCTGTCTGCATTACCCGTGGCACCGCGCCGGGATTGACTTTGTTGAGGACATTGCAGAGAATAAGTCCACTTCGGAGCGCGAAACGGAACTCCTCCTCCGTCGGCTCCTTCGGAAGCGCCTCCGCCGCGCCACCGTCCATTTTCCGCAGCCATTGCGCCGCCTGGTGCCGCCGTGCAGCTGAAACACAAGCATGGAAGTCACACCGACAGTACGATCGAATTTTATAATAATATAAATATATAAATTAACTATAAAATAGCGAAATAATTAGAATCAAATATTTATGTGTGAGGGAATTATATTTACTAAATATTTTAAATAAATAAAATTGGGAGCGCCAGTTCTTTCGAGGATACCCGCTGAAATTTCAAATATTTCAGCCTCGATCCGATCCACTAATTTTAAAAACATATCAGCCGTAGATTCTCATAAAATCAACGGACGCGAATGCGCAATCCAGAATGTCTTGGATGGGCATTCTCATCCGTCGATAATGGTACATAATCTACGGCTCTCAAATGCTCCCCAGTCGATGAATTTCCAATATAAATTCTCCCCAGTTGCGAATTCTCGCCAGACGCAAATTCATCTGAATCCCTAACTGCGTTCCTTCTCTCAGAGAGTAATTTCCATCAGAAGAAGCGAGAATGTCTGGCCGGGGAAAGGGCGGAAAGGGATTGGGGAAGGGCGGCGCGAAGCGGCACAGGAAGGTGCTGCGGGACAACATCCAAGGCATCACTAAGCCGGCGATTCGGCGGTTAGCTCGCCGTGGCGGAGTGAAGCGTATCAGTGGCCTAATCTACGAGGAGACTCGCGGTGTGCTGAAGATTTTCCTAGAGAACGTCATCCGCGATGCCGTTACCTATACCGAGCATGCTCGCCGCAAGACCGTTACCGCCATGGACGTCGTCTACGCGCTCAAGAGGCAAGGCCGTACTCTGTACGGATTCGGTGGTTAGGGATTTCTAGGGTTAGGGTTTGGGTGATTAGTATGGATTGGTAAATTTTGAGATTGACCACAGTTGTCGTGTAGACTCCTATTTCCTTACAGTTTTCGTGAATGAAGTGAAATTTACTCTTCCATCCATCATCAATTTGCAGTTTCCTTGCTTACACTTTTTGAAAGATAATGATTGAAGCGAGAATTGTGGTGTCAAAAGCGATATGATTGTGGAATGCTGTAGGGTGCTTTTGACCGAGTGGCGTGGTTGAGGAAGTAGACCCACCGCTAAGGCCATCCGCACAGGATATCGAGAAAAAGAAGGCGGTGATTATGAGGTGGACCGCACGCCTTGAAACCGCCGATTAACCGGAGGTGGAGCTCCGATGACTGTAAGGTGAACGCCTCCACCATTCTCTCTAGCTATCAATACATATATAGGAATGTAGCAATGCATGTATGTATAGACATATAGTATATGGTGTATAGCATACCAGCTTCTTCGGCCTTTCTCTGAGCTAATCCACCGTAATCAATTATTTCATTGGCATATGGAGGTTGGGTGCTGCCGCCATTGATGCTGGTATGTGGAGTGATTAGATTTGAACTTCTGTGGCTTTCTTGTGGCATATTGAGTTGATCTCCCTGTTCGTGTCGCTTAGAGACTAACAGTTGAGAGCTAGGAAGAGAAGCTAAGGAATCTGTGACAATGGCATCTATGGAGACGTAATGCTATTGAATGATACAAAGACAATTGAATGAGAAAGTGGGGAGTAGCTGAATTGGTGAGGAAAACAAGTGATCAGACATGAATGCTGCTCATCATACAAGTTTTTGTCATGCATATAAGAAAAACACTGGGCTCAGTTCAGTTCTCTCTCTCTGAAAAGAAGGAGAAGGGAAAGAAGGCTTGAGGGAAGAGAGAAACAAATGGTATAGAATGGAAACGATGTCGTTTTGTTTTAATGTAAAATTGTATTTTCTTGGTTTTACTCATATTAGTATGTTCTCTTTTCTAGACCATGACTAGCGTTCTTGTTTGGACCATCATGATTTTGTGTCCACTACAATATAACTTATGGAATTACAAGGTATACGCTATATATTAAATTTGTCATATTCAAATACAACAGTTGACTTTAAATATATGTAGAGTGAATTTGAAGGTTGGAAGTTTTAAAAAAAGTCGTGACAACTGTTACAAAATTAATTACATAGGATTCTCTTTTGTCTAAATGATTGGCTCTTGTCATGCTTTTGTGTTTCTTCTCAATTTCTTGTTTGATTATATAATGTTTTTATTTGTCACCGAAATAAGTAGACAAAGGAGGTTGAAATCCATTTACGAGGAACACCGCCGTAAATTTGTTTTTGTGCTTTCTATTGTCACTCAATATAATAATCTAATTTAATTTCACTCCCAACATTATGAACTCGTGCTTTAAAAAGCGTGCTTCTCAGTTATTATCATGTTCACCCATTTTATTGTGTAAAATGATTAATATACATTAAGCATAGCTATTTAATCACTATGTTCTTAGTCTTTTGAATCTGGATCACCACTGTGAATTTGTAAAATCAATCTCTAATTAATCAGTAGTATTTTTAATGTCAATGACAAATAACTGGATTTTTCTTGTAAAAAATATACACACACAGTATTGGTAACAACTTTTAAAATGTGTGTGGTTCAAAAGCAAAACATTTAATGGCCATAAACAACTTATATGGGAAGTTGCCATAATTAATCGTACTTTGTATTTGTCTAAATTGTGAATGCGAAGAAAATTAAAGGTGGAAAAGCCTTCGTAGTGGAATTGCCTTTTGCTTTTATGGAATCGTTTTATATATTTATATTTTTGGGAAATGATAAAATAAAATCAATTTTATAAAAGGAGACAAGAATATCCAACATTGACATTCTTCACTTATTAAAAATGATTCCATGTAACAAAGCTTTTAACACATTTGGAAAATTTTAATTATTTATGAACAACAATTTTTTCAAAAAACATTAGGTTGAATACATATTATTACGAAAACATTATATTGAAAACCTAATTTTTTATTATTTAAAAAAAAATAAAAAAAAATCAATACTCTAAATTGGGAATTCCCTACATAGAATGCTAACAATACAGTTGCAAGCCCAATTATCCAAATTGGACCCAACATCAGCCCAATAAAAACTTGGGCCTAAATGTAATTAATTAAAAGGAGCTTGATGAAACGAACCCATAAAACTTTACGTACTAAGGCCTACTGATTTGAGCTTTGATTAACATATAAATTGGTTTATGTTATAATTTTAATTTAAACATAGCTACAATGAAAATTCAAACAGCAGCAAAATAGATCACGCTAAACCCTAATTTTATAGACAATACAATAAAATCTGTAAATTTAAAAACCATAGCAATAAAATCTGCAGTAAACTGCTAAATGCAAAATCTACCATCACCATTAACCCAGAAAAATGACTATGAAAACTCCATATATAATGACTCTGATTAAATCCAAACTCAACTCACATTAAATCCAAGGTTCTTTGCACAAATTTCTTGGGCAAGGCTCGAATTGCTCGGCACCGGACAGCAGTTGGATCATTTTTCAATGAAAAACAGTGGAAAACTTCAAGCCAGAAACACAGTGGCAAGTAATAACAAACAACCAAATCTAATTGCTATTTGTTGACAAATCCATTATAATAAAAGTAGAGTAATTTTTATAGAGTCCAGACAAATCACTCAAAAGGGAGATGAAACAGCATTCATCATATTCCACTAATTTCAAACTTGCTTAAAGTTAAGTATATAACCTAACCAACCCCATGAGCAAACAATCTAAGGGTGTGGGTGTGAACACTTGTATTTTCATCTAATTCAAATCTACAGGTGAAATATTTTTAATTCCCACCAAAAAACATCGTATTTAAAAAAAGAGCTTTCACTAAAAACAACATAAGAATACAAAACACTGAGTAAATATACCCAAAACCTCATTATCAGTTGCAACTTGCAAATTAGTACAAGGGGTCCCTTCCCTTCTCAATTGGCATTTCCTTAAGGTGGTTGCCTTGCTTGCTTCAGAGTCACCACAGACCATTATTCAAACCTCTTACATCTTCTAAAAGATTTCAAATATATTCACTTTTGCTTTTTCTATAAAGAAGTGATTTGCCCCACCATTATCAGAGATGTGTTCTCTCAGCAAGCTCCAAGGACCTCCAGCACCAGAAAGGATCTCAACCATCGATCCAAGAGTATCAATGGTGTGGACTCCTAGGTTTTTATGTTCTGGTAGCTTCCAAGAACCACTCCCTACCAAAAGCTGCTTTTTGCTATCTCCTTAAAAAATTTAATCCACTTGGCCAATTCTATTTAAAGAAATAATAAGCCATGTTTGTTTCTCTTCTCATTCCTCCAGGCTGAGGGTTTCTTAAACAATTCTTTCATTCACTAGACATAGATGGATCTCCCTCTCCCCCTACCACCCCCACCCCCCTATAAACCTCCATCCCACAGGCAAACCAAGCCATCTCCTCTTCGTCAGATAGTCCTCTCTAATGGTGCCAGGAATCAGAAGATTTCAACACCTGAAGCGCCACACAACAGCACTAAAGTCTCAACACGAGAGCGGCAAGATACGCCACAGAACAGGGCTAAGCTAAAAACAAGGGAGCAGCCAATTCTCCAACATCCTAAGAAGACTAATCCAATAGTATGGTGTGGTGCAATCCTATGTTTGCTCTTCAGCCTACTTCTCATCTTCTTTGGCATCATGACTCTAATAATCTATGTGGGTATTAAGCCAAGGAATCCTGTGTTCGACACACCAGAAGCAAGACTTAGTGTCATCTACTTGTATTCACCGGAATTTTTGAATAGTGATATAATATTTCTTGCTAATTTTTCTAACCCGAATAGGAAATTGGAAGTTAGATTTGATAACCTGCACATTGAACTTTACTTCTCAGAGACGTTGATAGCGAGCCAAGTTCTTCAGCCATTTAGTCTAAGGCCGAGAGAAGTGCGGGTGTCACCAGTGCATTTGCTGTCAAGCTTGGTCTATCTGCCTCCAAACCTTGCTCTTGAACTGCAAAAGCAGGAGCAGAGGAATCAAATAGTTTACAAGGTAAAAGGAATTTTCAGGGTCAAAGTTAAGCTTGGGATAGTTCATTATTCTTACTGGTTGCATGCAAAATGTCAAATGGAGATGACGAGTCCACCGGCGGGTGTCCTAATACGGCATAGCTGCATAACCAAAAGATGAGAGGCAGGAACACTCTTTTTCTTTAAGATCGAACTAAATGAATATTTTCTACTTCAAAGATATTAGATACAAAAAGGTCGAAACACACACTGCTTGAAAGATGCGGAAGGCTTGTGTTCTATGATAGGCTTACAAATTTGGCACACTTGTATACAGCAAAAGACTTAAATATAATCTAATGATTGTATATGTATAGATAATTTGATAATTTCAAACCCTTCCAATGGTTTAAATCCAGTAAAGCTTAAAGAGGGATATACTAATGGGACAAAAAGATTAACCACATCCTTTCCACTAAGTTCATCATGTGATTACTTTGATGCATGTCTGCTTGATCAACTCTAACAAGTGGATCTACCTTTGAAACATAGTATCAATATTGTTGTAGAATATTGACCAAAAATCTCCAAAATGACACTCTGTAGTAAAGGCAACCAAAAGTAGGTCCAGCACAGCATACAGTACATGCAGAATATAAATCTATCAAAACTGGAGAAATATTATTAACTCACACAGCCATTCTAGTGTCCTCCAGTCTACACTCTACAGAGACCTTATCCAATCTTCTCTGCCTTTGTATTATCTCACAAGCCATAAAAATCATATTGCCACATTTTTTCACTATTTCAAATCAAGGATAGAAATTCAGAAGATCCTGACATCATCACAGAGAGTCCCAGGTCACAAAAATGGGCCATAATAGAATGACAAAATTGCTTGTTTCGTGTAAAGTGCATGGAAGGCATGCTCTGCTGAAATGAATATACCAAGAATGCTTGTCTAGCTTACCTCATAACTAGCAACACAGTGTGTTTCTAAGATAAGTTCAAGTGACATGCCTAAATACCAAACAAGGCAATCCCCAGGAAATTAAAAAATATGACATTAAGGAACATATGAAATAAGAGCACCAAACACCATCTAATACACTTATTAAATGTGTGCATGATCAGTATCAATAACACAACTTTCCTGTTTTTGTTATATTCAGAAAATCATTATTGATACAACTAGCATCACTAAATTTAAATACGTGTATATGTCCAAACAACAAGCAAAACAAAACCTTAACCACAGTAAACTTCACCCAGATTCAACTTCCGATGGCGTTTTTGCCTCAATCGACAAAGCATGCAATCCACTATCCAATTCATCTTGCAACATGCTATAAATCAATCTATGCCTCTTAACCAAACTCTTCCCCTCAAATTCTCCCGAAACCACTCTCACATTGAAATGTGTCTCTCCATCACTCCCCCTAACACCAGCATGCCCAGCATGCTGATAGGAAATATCCTCAACTTCTACTTTTACAGCCCTCAGTTCCTTTTCAAGCTTTTCCTTAATTCTCCTTCCTCTACTGCCCAATGCACTCCCATTACCTAACCCCTTCAGATCATCACCAGTTTCCATAGCCACCACTCCACCATTTTCACCACTGTCATTCAACACTCCCTCTGAATTTTCTACAGAGCTTCTGCCAGAACTTTCATTGCTGGAATCACCGGCGTTCTGATATTCAATATACAATTGCAAAGCTTTCTTCTGCATCAGCTTCAACATGTTCAGAAATCCATTATTCCTAGAAGGAGTCAAGCTCTGCTGCAACCCAAGGAGCACCGCAAAATCAGGAGATACCCTAACAATCTCCTCCACCGGCCGCCCCGAAAGTCCTTGAACAAGCAAAGCAGCAAGCCCTTTAGTCAGCACCGAATCAGAATCCGCTTCAAAAACCACATTTCTATCGCTATCCAAATATGCCCTAACCCAAACCTGAGAAACGCAACCTTGAACCTTGTTTCCACTCGTTTTATACTTCGAATCCAAAGGCTTCAAATTCCTACCATAAAACAACAGCTGCTCGTACTTCGCCTTCGGCTCCTGGACTCCATGGAATAGCCTGACGATCTCCTGTAACTTCGGCGGGAGCTCCTCGATCGGCTGCAGAGAAACAGAAGATGATGATGACGAGGGTGAAGAAGAGGCGGAGCGGATAGGATCTCTAGTGGATACTCTCTCGATTGTGATGCTCTTGAAGAATAATTTGTGGGAAACGGGAATTGAATGCGGGATCTTCGCCAATACCGGAGCTGTAGAATGGTGGAAGAAGGGGGAGTGAGGAATTTTTGCGGAAATCGACATGGAGTCCGGAGACTGAGAATTCGGAATTGCAGACGAAGCTCTAGGGTTTTGAATTCGCAGTCGAGAAATGAACAACGACGTAGACGATGAAGAAGTAACAGCTCGAATTGTTTTCATTGCCAATCAACTATAAACTACAATCTGCGCCGCTGTCGTTTTGCAAGAACACCATTTGCAAATTGCAACCACTAATATTTAATTTTTTTATTCTATTCTAGAGCTTTTTTTTATTCTATTCTGGAGCGCTTATTTTTTTATTTCTTTTATAAGTTTGGTAAAATTTTATTTTAAATTTAATATTAAAATAATATTTGATGGAATATTTTGTAAAGAAAAAAAAAATATTTTTTTCAAAAAAATTGATAAATTTGAGATAAAGAAACATTATATTAAAGGGAATTACAAGTACTTACTCGTGTAATGTATATTTTATGTTTTTTATATTTTAATTTGAAGATAAGATGAGCCAATAAATAAAATAAAATGCACATTTTGGCAAGAGGATAAAAGAGCACAGCCAGCTGAGGTGCAAATACTCAACATTTAGTCTCAAGTTCATTTGTAAAAAAAAAATCGAAATATTTTTGCCCTCCGACACCGGAGAGAAAGTTCAATCGTCGTCCGTGCCGAAGTACCTGTCACCAAACTCGCCCATGCCGGGAATGACGCGGTAATATTCATTCAAGCCCATTTCGATTTCGGAAGTCACTATCTTTAGTCGAGGGAAGCGCTGGCAAACCACGTGTATCCCCCGAGGTGCCTGGGGATAAAATGAAAATCCGGTTGAGTTTTAAGCTTAAGGTCAAGGTTAAAGCTTAAGTTTAAATTTTTAGATGAAATGATCATTTGATAAACGACTAGAAACTCACAGAAATGAGATTAAGAAATATGATGTTCGACTCCGGCACGCCTTTGTTGATGATCAAAGAGATAGCTTGAACAGCTGAATTGCCTGAAAGACACATTCATAAAGGTAAGTAGAATGTACATCCTAGGGTAAAATACATACATATATATAATTTAAATTTTACTCCCGATGCATGAAACATAGGCTTTGTTTATTTGAAATTTAGTTTTAACACTCATTGTTTTCTATAAAAATATATTATTTCTCGTCATAAAACATAAAATTCAAATTAAAACTAAAAATGTGTAATAGCATTGTGGAACTTACCTGTCCCGAGAATCGGGTCCAACAACAAGACATGTCTGTCCGAGATGTCTGTCGGGAGTTTTTCGTATATAAGCTGCAGAAACAAAATGATGCGAGTAAAGAAAGAACGTGATCAGCATTGTTCGCCAGGAACTCGTAAAAAAGCTTTTCACAGACCTGCTGACCATTGTCGCCTTCTCTATGAATAAGGATCTTGCCAATTTTGATCCCTTTGCAGCATGCGCGTAAAGCGTTCTCCATGCTCTCACCGCTGAAAATGTTTCGAAAATGTTTCAGATACTAAAACCAGGGAAAGAAGAGGGAGAGATTGCTTTTGAACCTCCTGATGACAGAGACGCCGCATAATCGCTTGCAAAAGTCTACACCGGTGTACACGGATCCTGCAGGAATGGAGCGTCGCCACAAGCAAGCAATTGTGAAAATGATTTATATGAGAACTTCTGTATAAGCTAACTTGATAAAACCCGAGCTTTTCGAATACTAGCATATTTGGTCATATAAAGAAAATAGTTTTAACTTTAGTATCTTACATAGAACATTTTGAAGATGGATCGAATATATTGAAGGGCTCATAATAACTAGCGATGGTAATTGCTTACCGGTTGGAGTTATCACTTGCTTCTCTGTAAACGGAAGATGCCCAAGCCCGTGCTCGACAACCTGGCACAGATGAATTTCTGTAAGTAAAATGAGAAGAAAATTGTTTGCAACTATTCTTTTCCAATGATAAAATAATCCATATTGAAGACGGGCATACCAGACGTATCAGCCGATCAGCGTAGAAGATGAAATCATGCTTGGTGGTTTGAGAATCACGAATGAGTGTGTGCATACCACGAATCTGGACAAGACGAACAAGACTTAGAATCAAGATGAGTGAAAAGGTTAAATTAAAACTTCGGAATGAATATATTTGTAGAAAACAAGACCTGAAAAGTGGTATTGATGACATATAAATTGGGAAAGATTTTACAAAGATCGTGCTGGCCGAGCTTCGTGCGTATATGTTGGACAATCAAGTCGATGGCAACATGATTGTCTCCTCCCCGAGGAATGATAATGTCAGCATACTTCTTCGTGGGGAGTATAAAGTCATCAAAAGCAGGCTTAACAAATTTTGAGTACTGCATGGAAACCAGAAGCAAAGTTCAGTAGGCGAAAAACAAAAATTACTTCTAATTGTAAAATAGAATCAATTCCATTTTTTAATCTTATTACAAAACAAGACATTGCAAACTTGACATGTCGATTCTCACCACAACCAAGTTATCATCAAACAATCTGTTGAACTCAAATAAAGGGGTTGGGATCTGTTGCTACCTGATCGAGCACCATGTCAATGTCTCTACCCTTCTCAGCTGTGTCGCGTCTTATTCTTCTTGCCAGGCGTACATCAGCATCTTTGTTTTAGGAAAAGATCGACCGTAAGCTTTGAATCCAGATATCACACACGGAGCAAAAGACAAACACTAAAGTGCATGAAAAGTGGAAGATAAAAGATAAGAAACCTGTATCTACAAATATCTTCATGTTCATGGCATCTCTAATACGCATGTCATGGAAGACGAGTATACCTTCTAGGATTATAACATCTGCGGGATTTACCTGCCAAATATGAACAACGAAGATGAAGTGTGTATTGACTGAAGAAAACAAAGGATTTCCTAATTAAAGGAAAGGGTTAAGGGAATTACTCTTCGGGTGTGTACATCACTTTTATATGTCTTGAAATCATATTTCGGAACATCAACCGGCTGGCCATGTTTCAGTTTGTCCAATGTGCACAACAATTTATCAGTATCAAATGCATCTGTGAGAAACATGATTAAATGAAGTCAAGAGTAGGGAACAGCATCCGCGTATCATTCTAAAAGTTTCAATTGAATATAACATACACCTGGGATAGAATAATGTAAGTTTTAAAAAATAAATCAAAATAATAGCAACAATATAAAACTCACCCGGATGGTCAAAGTTGTATTCAGAGACATTTTTAAGTTCCTCAGGTGTCAAATTGTGATAGAAGGAATCCTGCCAATAAATTGTAAGAAAAAGAAAGTAAACCAGTTGAAGTGTGATCCATGATCGATCACTGTATAATAAGATAGCAAAAAACATCCAGTGATCCATGATCGACCATGTTCGAAAGCAATGAAAGAACAGAGGTCGAGGTTACTACGAAGAGAGGGGAGTGAAACCTGGTTAACCACCACAACACGCTGATCACGAAGCTGTTCGATGATCATATCACAAACAGAAGTCTTCCCAGATGCAGCACCTCCGGCAACGCCTGTGAATCCAATTCACGACTTACAATTAACACATCCATTTCAAATTTGTTAAAATGAATAATAGTTCACCATTGTCGTACCTATGACAAATGGCTGCTTGACATTTTCTGCAGCAGAATTAGCTGGCTGCTGAGCTTCGGAACCAGTTAGATCACCATTCTCTAAATGAAAACCAGAGAAATGAGCCCCAGATGAAGCTTCCATGAAATCATCGACTGCTGTCGAACCCATCGGTCAAGCTGTGAGCCATCCAATAGTATTACGTTTCAACAACTAGCAAAAAGATGACACACTTGAAAGGAGGATGGAGCACAAATTTCAATTAGAGATCATAAGATCCAAATCCTAACTAATGAATCTGCTTGGAACCAAACACAACGAAAACTTCTTTGAGTCCATACAATTTCACCTAAACAATCAAAAAGACAAGTGCCATTAGTGTCTCTTACGAGCATCCATCATACAACTAACTCATTCAACCTATTAACACATTTTCCTTTTTCAGCCGATACACCTAATCTCAGGACACCGCGAGTCTAACTAGTTTGGCACTACAATGTCTTTGTAACATTAACTTAACAACTACCTACAAATACAAGGTTACAATCACCCGATCACATCAATTCTAAAGCAAAGCCACTAAACAATAATCAAGAGTTAACAACCAAAGCCACTAAACCAAACAAAGACATCAGCAATTCTAAAAAAGGCTTAGAAAGTTACCAGACAGGAGACCATGAACCAACCCTATGACTCCACACAATCACAAGCCTTTCAATCACATGAATCCACTTAACTTGAAAAACAAACAAATGCACACCAACAGAACTTGAATTTACACAACTACATAGCCCACAGTAATTTGCCGCTAAAACCCATCAAACCCTAGGGGGGGAAATCGAATCTAATAAACACATGGATTTCAAACAAATTAATACTTCGAAGAGAAAATATACACTCCAGATTCCAGAAAACAACGCCGCAATGTAACCACACGCTCATGCACCAGGAATTCAAATTTACGAAACTGCAATTTCGTAGTCGAAATAAAACCGATTATGAGTTCCACTTTTCAGCTAAGCGAGACTGACCTAACTGTGGGCGGAAGAAGCAGCAGCTTCAGTTGGTATGGCGGAGCTCCCGATTCCTCAAAAAGTTGCAGCAATCGATACCGCCTGCGGTCCAAAGGGGTTGTGGAGTGGTGGGGGCACCGATGAGAGAGCGACTTGTGGCTGTATTTGTGAATGTTGCTTGAAAAAACTGTACGGTACTGTGTATGTAGTAGGTAGAGAAGGAAATTGCATACGGAATTTGGATAAAGATATTTTGAAGGAATTCCGAAAAGAAATTGGGAGGTTTTGGGTCATCCCTGGATTCTGATTCGTCGAGATTGTGTTGAATTGCGTTTGCTTGTTTGAATAGTGTTTTTTGGTTTCTGGGAATTCTCGGAGCTGAGTCGTTAGTGTTAATTGCAGCGTATGGTGTCACTTCTTGTATCTTTCCTGGAAAATTCTGGGCCGTGTAGGATTTTGGGCGTCATTCCTATTATTCATAACATTTTTTTTAAAAAAAAAAAATATATCAAATTAGACTTTTTTATATATATTAAAAAAATAAGTTTAATTCAAAATTATAATTATTCAAATTTCAGTTTGAAATTCAAATTCTCAAACAAACACACCAAAAGTTTATCTTATTTTTATTAACATTTATAGTGTAAAAATTTAATGGCGAATTTATTTACCTCGGTCCCACCACATGTCCACGTTGTTGTTTTTATCCGTCCACATTGCATGTCACTCTCTTTTTTGGAAAATAATTATACATTTTAATCTCATTTTAAATTTTTTAATTTATTTTTTTATTTTAATTAAATTTGTCTACAGTTAGCAGACATAGGATGGAGATAGTATTTTATACTGCACCAATTTATTTAGTTCTGTATAATTTTATTGTTTAATAATATTTTTATATAATATTATAATCTATATAAATTTTAATATATTGAAATATATAATTTGTTGTTTAAAAAAATTGAAATTATTAGAATAAATCAACATATATATTAGTACATTTAAATTTTAAATTTTAAATTTTTTAAATAATATATTTTGTTAAATTTTGTTAAAAATAATCGATTTTTTACAAAGGTAATAAATAATGAATAATTTTATTTTTTTAAAGATAATGAGAAATGTAACTAATTATCATAGTAAAAATTAAAATGATAATCATAAAGGTAACAAAAAAAAATATGATAAAAAATGTTCTAATATGGAAACTCACAAGTACATTTTTAGTAACCTCTCATCAAATCTGCAAATTAGACCGACAAGATAAATTAGACTATCACGAATCAATGATATATATGTGGCAGCTAAAACAGTACAAACACACATACATAGCAGGTTTAATTGATAGAAATTTAGAAAGTGTAAGGACAAAAAGTATATAGTCAATTCAGTCTTTCGTGGTTTTTTTTTTTTTTTTTCTTTTTTTCATTTGTTGTATTTTTTCAAATAAATGAAAATAATTCTCCAAACGGAGAAAATATATATCGTTAGGATGGCAATGAGTAGGGTAGACTCGAGATTCGACCTGAACTTACCTATTATTTGAGATCGGATTCAATTATTTAGGTATAAAATCTGGGTAGAATCTTAGGTCTAGTAATATATATGATTAGAATCTTAAGTCTAGTAATATATATGGTTAGAATCTCGGGTTCATCTATACATAGGAATGTCAATTCGTATTTTCAGGTCGTGTTTGTGTCGGGTTGAGTTGAGTTATGGGGTAAAAAAAAAAAAATTGTCAACCCGAATTCGAAATTTGATCTGAAATCCTAAACCCGAAGACGACACAAATTCTTTCATATCAGGTTCAGGTTGACCTGAATTAGTTTCAAGTCACACGAAACCTAAACAAACCTCACACGAACAGAAAGATTAAACAGACTCAAAAACTTAAAAAAAAAAAAAAAAAAAAAAAAAAAAAAAAAACCCTTAAAAATTCATTTTTATTTTAAATGTTAAAATAATATATATTATAAATTAAAAATAATAATAATACTCACTCCGTCCAAACTCAAATACATTTTTGTCTGTTTCACAAGTATTTTTTTTTATTTTAGTAAAAGTAATTATACACCAATATCAAAATACCTTTAACTTTCACCTAAATTACAAACATACAATTACATATACAATTACTTTATACATAAAATTAAATGACAAAAATGTCAAAATCTCTTATGCATTTTCACTAACTAATAAAATATTATTATTTCTTAATATACTACAAAACTCCAAATGGCTCATTTTCACTATACAATCTATTATTATTTCTTAATACTCCCCCCCGTCCCATTGAAAGGTTAGCAATTTTTCATTTTCGTTCATCCCAAAATAAAGTTACTATTTCTTAATTTAGTAATTGCACTATCTACTTAACGTAATAAATACCCTTTCAACTTACAAGATATTACATAAATGTCATTGCTTTTATATTACACCATAGTAATGGGGGTATTTTTATCTTTTTCACTACAATACAATATAATACTAATATTCAAAAATCTACATGCAAACAGTAAACGCCACCCTTCCAACGGGACTAAGGGAGTATATAATTTCAGGTCAACCCGAAACCTGACCTGATTTTTATTTCGAGTTATCAGGTCACATGAAACACGATCCAAACATGACATTTTATTTTTTTTTTTGTTTCGGGTTCTGGTTGACCCGATTTTTTACAAACCCGAACCTAAAAAATTTTCAGGTGAAACAGATTCAATTTTTCGGGTTGGATTTAATTTTGACACCCGTGCCTATACCCAAGTCATACTCTACCCATTATCATTCATATATATAGTTGTATATAGTTGTACACGTGTCTCCTTTGGGTAATTACTGAGAACAACTCTCCAACGTAGACCCTGTGTACACAATTACTATCTTCATCTCACATAATTTGTCCATATTTTTTTACTTTCGTCTCTCTCACATAATTTTTCTTCTATTTTTGAAATATAATTATGCACTTTAATCAAATTTTTTATTTTTTATTTTTTAAATTTTAATTAAACTATTTACTTATTAATTTTAATTTATAATTATTTTTACTAATACATTTCTTAATTATCTACTGATTATACTTTACCTAAATTCTTATGTCATATCTAAAAATTAGTAGGGTTTAACTTTATTTCGGATTTAGAAAATTTCAACAACAATAATAATAATAATAATAATAATAATAATAATAATAATAATAATAATAATAATAATATAGATTGATCGTTGATTGCGTGAAATAATAGAACACTTTAGAAAAGATTCACTCTAAAGCGACCCAGATGATACACAAACAGTTTAATAACATTATTATTTAGTAATTAATTTAAACAATAAGTTATTAAGTATTAGAGATTATATAATAATACAAGCAAAAAAATAAAATACTAGTAAATATCAGTCCTAGCTATTTGAAAGCAAGATGTGATTGCAAGTCGTAAAACAAATATATACTCTTAACATATTGCTTAAACCAACTTGCCTGCTTTAATATTTTGCATGTTATTAAAAATAAAAAATAAAAAAAAATATATATTTTTGCCCAACTTGGCTGCTTTAATTAAACACAAATCAAATATAATCAGCAATTTTCATAACATACAACCAATCAACATAAACTTTAATGGCTTAGCTACTTTTGCATTTTAAAGTTTTAAAACTTTTTTCTACAATTTAATCATTACTAATAAAAATATAGTATTTTTTTCCTATAAAATATAGATATCAAACTAAGTATTATTTTAATTTAGAACATATAAAATTAAGGGGAAAAAAATCCAAATCCTAGACATAAAAAAATATAATTTGAATTCTGTATTACAAATATTTAATATGATATATATATATATATAATACTCCCTCCGTCCCAAATATTGTGTCTGCTACACTGTAGACACGGTATTTTTTTAGGAGAAGTGTAATTAGTAGATAATTAAGAATGTATTAGTGAAAATAATTATCCTATAATATAAATAATTATAAATTAAGATTAAGATAACTAATTAGTTTAATTAAAATTAAAAAAAATAAAATTTAAAATTTAAAATGAGATTAAAGTGTGTAATCATTCTCCAAAAAAGGAAAATGACATGGTATGTAGGACGGACAGAAACGACAATATGGACATGGTATCTGGGACGGAGGGAGAGTAAGTATCCCTAAACCCTACGGCTAGATATTAAAATATTAAATATTAAATAAATATAATGAATGAGACCCACAAATTACAGATACCTTCCGTGACAGTTTGATCAAAGGGGACATATATTTAAATAAAAATTAAATATTATATTTAATTGAAGATTCTAATCCTCACTCAAGACAATGCCCCCACCATTCTATTTTATTTAACATTTTATGAATATATATATATATATATTATAAAGAGGGGCAATCATGGTTGCTTATTCTCATTTGGCTTAGATCATCCATTCAGATATTTTGTGTAATTTTGTTGTTTGATTATATAAATTTATATATATATATATAAATCAATATATAATCTAACTTTATTTTATTTGTATATATATATATATATTTTTATGATGTGAAGTCTGTAGTCATTTTTATTTGAAGACAGTTGAATTTTTTTAACTCATAATATAACCGTTACGGACAAATAAACATTGCACTAAAAATTATGGGTACTCTTCACATAGACAAAACCCACTAATGACCACCACCAAATGGGAAGTATAGTCAAGAAACAAATGATCATTTGCACTTGGATGTAATAGATCCTAATTTTGTGTTCTTATTACCCCCTCCAATAAAAATAGATGGTCACTTCTTATAAAATATTACTATGCGTCGCCAAATATATATTCATTTGAGTTAAATATTAATTTTAATAAATATAATATTATATTGGTTAATTATGACAAAATATGTATATTTTAAAAAATATACAAGTTAATTAACAAAATGATATAAACTTTTTGATAGATTAAGTGTGTATATAAATATAATATTAAAAAACATATGTAAAGATTATTTACTATAAATAAAAAATAAAAACTAAAAGCATACATAAATTTGATGGACAAATGTGAAGTATATAAAAATTTATAGACAATATTTAAAATATAATATAATAGTATAAAATTTAATATAAATAGAATTTGACAATACACCATCGTAGTTTACATATAATATGCTTATATTAGTTTTAACACAAGAGATAAGTTTGTATGTATATTTTTTTCCTGCTAATTATTTTCCAATCAAATTATTATTTAAATTAAAATTATATATATATATATATTTTAAAAAAACAATTAAAATGTATCACAGTAGGATGTCATTAGGAACATTATTGCATAAAAAAGGAATCCAAAGAAAAGGCAGAGGCAATTGAAACAGATTCTTTGCTTGTAAGGACCCAAAATCACAAAAAAAAAATTATTATATTCCAAGATTCAGTTGGAAACCTTTGAAATCAACGCACGCACCCATCATCATCATCATCATCAAAAAATGCATCAATGAATGAATGAATGAATGAATTTGGATCAGAAGATATAGAAAGAGAGAGAAAGAGAAGCTTGCCTTCGATGATTGCATAATATATAGCCAGCCCAATCAATTCTTGAAGTGCAGTCTAAGCCAACAACCATCATCACCTGAAAGCAACATCCCCTAAAACAGAGCCTTCCCTGCAAATGCAATCTCATCTCCTCTGCTCAACAACTTCAACATCCATGGCGGCTTAGCCTTGCGTGCTGGAAACCTACCTTCACACAAAACTGTGTAAATACTTACTATAAATCAAGCAAATCACACACACACACACACACACACATACTCTCTCTCTCTCTCTCTCTCTCTATATATATATATATGTGTGTGTGCGTATGTGAGTGATTGTGTGTGGATCGACAGACAGAGAGCGAGGAGAGGGAGGAGGAGATCGTGAACAATATATGAGGAAGAGAGCGGGGAGCTGCAAAGCTGGGAAAGCACGGCGATCAGCTGCTGGAAGGGGTTTTCGATTGCATCAATGAAATCACGGCGGCGCTCGTCTTCTCTAGGATGACCACCGACTCCGCTTACCGCGTCGAAACCACCTCGCGCCTCGCCCAATGGCGGATCGAAAATCTCGCCTCCTGCACTTACCGCAAATCCGATCCCTTCACCATCGGAAAATGGAATTGGTCAGTTCACTACATCCTTTTCCCAAAATTCAAAACCCTAGCCGAGCAATCTAAACACGCACTCAATAACTGCACAATTTCTATATCATCCAATAACCAATCGACTCCGATTTTGCTTCGTTTCTAGGCATTTATCTGTGGAGAAGAATCGTACCATGGCCTTGTTCATTAGATTATACCCTGTGATATCGAATTTATCCAGAGACAAGCCTCCGATCGCATCCTTCGTCATCAAAGCGGTTTCCTCCGCCGGAGATCGCAAGTGTTTGGTTCATCCAGGTAAGATCAAACTCGATCTCCATCCGATCATCACTTTCCTGCGTTCAAATTCCGGAAAACATCAGTTAATAACTGAAATTTCAAAACAATGATTCCTCTCTTACATCGAATGCAGAAGTAATCGACAAACAGCTCAAGAGCAACGAGGATTTCCTCTGGGCGATCGAGGTTCCATTAACCGGAAAATTCATCATAGACGTCGAATTTCTCGATCTCAAAGTCGAATCCCTGGACGTAAGTCTGCACAAATTTCTTAAACATCTACCATTCCGAAAGCTTTGTTTATTCATTTTTATATACAGGGCGCCGGGCCATGCTCGATTTGGGGCGAAGCCTTTGTGCAGCGAGACTCGAACGAAAAGGCTCTTACATCCCTCGGACGAATGCTGTCCGAAAGCATCCACACCGACATTGTTATCGCAGTCTCGGATGGAAGCATCCCGGCGCACCGTGCAGTTCTCGCCTCGAGATCGCCCGTTTTCCGCAGCATGTTCTCGCACGATCTTAAAGAGAAGGAACTCTCTTCTGTGACGATTTCCGACATGTCGATCGAAGCCTGCCACGCATTTCTCGACTACATTTACGGAAACATACGTAACGAAGACTTCTTGAACCACCGGCTGGCCCTGCTCCAAGCAGCCGACAAGTATGACATACCGGATCTAAAAGAGGCATGCCATCAGAGCCTGGTCGAGGATATTGACACTAAGAATGTTCTCGAAAGGCTGCAGAACGCGACTCTCTACCAACTCCCGAAACTTAAGACCAGCTGCATGCAATACCTTGTGAGGTTCGGGAAGATCTACGATATACGGGATGATTTCAACGCCTTTCTACAATGCGCCGATAGGGAACTGATCGGCGAACTATTGAACGAAATCCTCGCCGCGTGGAAGGGCTTCTGAAACATCACATTATATGACCAATTCGACTGTAAGTTTGTTTATATCGATGGATTTCGAAATAGGCATTCTTTTCTTATAAAAACGTCGATTGTGCTTGTTCACTTGTACATACATACATGCATTGATTCGATACGATTCGTTGTGTAAGAACAATGTAAAGGTGAATTTGATGCTTGCAATTTATAAATGTGTTATCTTACTGACCATGCTGAACAATTGTTCGAGGTTTTTCCTCGATCTTATCTTTTGTTAAAACATTTTTCGACGATCACTTTAGGTAGAGGTTTGACTACACTACACGGGCATGTTTGATGTCATTTGAACTGCTGGTTGTTGATATTCATGATATATCCAATTCGATTCGAAATATGTAGAGCTTTGTGTGTGCGACCCGGAGGTTCGGGACGCCGATGAGTCGAGCAACAACAATAATGACTTTTGAGAAGAGCTTATGGATTAAGCCCCTTTTAGGCCAACAGCCACAAATCTTATGAAAGAAGAAGCATAGTCTCAAATATTGTCTTGAATGTTTCACTTCCTTTTACACGATATTTCCAAAGAGGGCATAGAATGAGTGGATATTTTGGGTGACCAACTCCAGAAATTCAATTGTTGAGATGTCTTTAACATCGAGTAGATTAGTTGAGCAAACTTGATTCAAGCTCAAGCTGTTCCATCCATGACGTAACATTTATGGACTTTTGGGGTTTCAACTTATGGGTCTATTTCTACGTCACAAGATTATCTTTAGGACACCTTTCTTTCATCTATGAACATATACATTCAAGTTCTGTATTGAACATTTCTTTAAGACAATCAATGATAACTCTGACTTATGTTTGAAGGCAAAAAGTTTGAGTCTGCCTTCCAAGCAAACATCAATTATCAATGTTGGTTTTAAGGGCACAAATTACTGTACAGCAATCGAAGCAAATCCCCTGTGCTGTACAGAAGATTGTAAAATATCTCTATGGAATTATTGATCGATGATTGAATACTATGCTCATTTTCAATTTACACTAAATGATAAACATATGGATAATGAATCATATCAGATATTTTATTCTGGAAACTTTTTTCCAACAAGAATAAATTCTCAAGCCAAAAATGCAGGGTAAAAAGCTGTGGAAAATATATAAAACCAAACCATAATAAAACAACTTCACAGATGGAAGGTGCAAAAATCAGGCTCCATGTTGCTCACAAATCCTAATGACAATAACCACAATAGATCAACACTCGGAAGGATTAACAACATACTTCATTCCATCAAAGCAACGAATCTATCTAACCTGAAGGCAAGCGCGAGCAGGTGCAGTAACCAGTCGACCATCAGCGCGGCGGAGGAGCGGGCAGAAACGGCCGGCCACAGAAAGTAGTAACGGTTCCGTTCGTGCCGAACGACTCGCACATATGCATCGAGGACTTCAATTTGTCGAATCCGTGCTGGAAAACTCCGAATCCGACCGTAAATCCGATCGCGATCACCACCAGCACGATACACACGCAGCAGCAGCAAATCCTTGAGAAACACATCCCTCCCTCCCGACTCCCTTGCCTTCCTCTTCTTCGTTCCGCTTGCAAAATGCGAGTCGATTCCTTCGAGATCTAGGGAAAACACGCAATCAACGAGCGAATTTGATTGGATTCGAAACGGCGAATGAGGATTTGGTGGAAAGGAAGACGCTGTGGGTGGATTCGGTGAGGTTACTCTTTCTCCGACGTTATTTTGAAAGCGGCTACTCTACGCATGGTTTGGTTTATCTGAAGGGATTTCCGGAACAAAATATTTATTACGAAATTTTAAAAAATAATTCCAGTCACGTGACTTTTCAGCTAACAGCAGACAAACCGGACCGCCGTCAAACCGAACCGATTCTCACACGGTTCAGTTTTGGTTCTTTTTTTTTCGGACGAACCGGGCGGTTCAGAAATTTTTATTTTATTTTATTTTTAAATTATTATTTGAAAGAAATATATATTAACCTCACCGGTAGCATTAGCACGCACCGGAGCGGAGAAATAACTGGTGTAGGCGGCAGCTGTGAATGTGTTTAATGATTTTATTAGGGTAAATATTTTTAAGTGTATTAGGGCCTTTTGATTTTTCGCTTATAATTTTATTCTTGTTTTTTTTATATATATAAATATGTAATTTTAAAATACTTCCTCCATTCTTAATATTATAAGAATATTATATATCATAATTTAAGAAAAATATGATTACTAAATAATTTAAAATATGTAATTACAATTAATTATAATATAATATAAATAATTAAAAATTAAAATAATTATTTAATCTAATAAAAATTTTAAAAATTATAAATTATAAAATTTAAAATATAATTAAAATATAAAATATATTTTATCAAAAAAAACACTTCCTCCGTCTCATATAATATGTGCATATTATTATAGACGCGGGAATTTAAGTAAAATATAATTAATAAAAATAATTATTGTATAATAAAAATAATTATGGATTAAGATAAAAATAAAAAATATAGACAAATTATGTGGGACGAAAAAAAATAATATAATATGTAAGGTGGAGAGAATATCATATTTAAATAATAAAAAAAACAAAAATACAAAATTAAATTCCAAGTGAGGAGAAGGGTTGTATAGTTTGAGGTGCTTGTCAATGTTATTATTTGTTTTTTTTTTTTTTTGTATAATTTTTATATATTATTTTTTGAGATTAAGTTGTGTATTTTTACAGTAAATTGTGATAGTTGAAAATTTTGAAATTTTTTTTCCTCAAAGCAAATAAAGTATTTTGAATCTTTATACAATTTTTTACTATTAGTGTTTCATGTATTATGAATTGATTTATTATATACTCAATATAGGAAAAAAATTGATTTGTATTAAGAATTTTTAAATAACACATTTTACATAAGAAATAATGAGTTATTTATTTTGTATTTTTGAAAAATATATATTTTTATATTAAAAATATAAAAATTATATTGATAATAGAGAAAATAAATAATATTTTCTCTATCTCAATTAAAAAATGTTTGAATCGTGTAGTAAATTAATATATAATACTCCCTCCGTCCACGAACTACCTTCATACTTTCTTATTTGGGACGTCCAATAACTATTGTCTTATTTCATTTTTTAAACACAAATTTACATTTTTATCCTTCATTCATTTGTTACTTTTAAACTCTACTATACAATTAAGGACAAATTTGTGCATTCATAACAAAAAAAACAAATCACCTAAAAAACCGTAGAAATTGAATGGAGAGAGTAATATTTTATTAGTTAATAAAATTGTGTAAGAGATTTTGTCTTTGAATTTATATATAAAATAATTATATATTTAATGGTAGAATATTTTTAAATAAAAATAAAGAATATTTCGTACATAGTGTATACTTTTTTTTGTTTTCTAAAATAAAAAAATTATTTTGAGTGTACGAAGATAAAAATGGTGAAAAAAGGTTTGGAGCAAACGGAGTTTAGTATTTTAATTTTCATATTCTAACATTTAATAATAATAAAAAAAAGACACGAAAAGCAAAAAAGAAAAAATAATGAATAGATGGGTCTGGCCTTTGGTCTCCCAATAGTCAGTGTGTTTCTCTCTCTGTCTCTCTTTCTTTCTCTCTCGTCTTCCGCTCGATCAATTCTTTCATCCACCGTCTCGGGTCGCTCTTCCCCCAAATCCCAAATCCCGAATCCCGATCGCCCACGGATCTGCTCACTGATTCACTTTTCGCAATCAATTTCCAGATCTATCCATACCCATCTCAACATTTCCAGTGTTTTCATTTCAATCCGCTTTGCTGTTTCTTGTATAGTTCTAATCTTAGGGATTTGGATATGGCTTCCGCCGGCAACCCAAACCCACCGGGCGGAGTGCCCTTTGATATGCAGAAGCTCTTCAAGCCATCGACGCCGCCACCGTCGTCTTCCACCGCCATTACGTCATCCACCTCTAACCCTCAAAACTTCGCCAATACTGGGGCTTCCAACACTCTAGCAAACCCTAATATGACTTCCTCCCCATATCCGCCTCCTTCGTCGTCGTACCCCCCGCCCACCGGCGGCGCTACTGGCGGCGGGTATCCTTATCCTCCCTTGACCTCGCCGCCGTTCAATTACCACCCGGTATACGCTGCTTATGCAAATCCACCGCCGCCGCCTCCACAGCAGCAGCAAGAAGCGGCTAACGTGCATCCGCAGAGATCCATGTCTTATCCTACCCCCACGCTGCAAGTCCAGACCTCAACCGCTTCGCCGCAGCACCCCAATTTTCATAATTATCCTAATTCCCAAAACCCTAACGCCCACGGTGCTCGTTTGATGGAGTTGCTGAGCGCGCCTCCTGCTACGCATGAAATCTCGCAGCAACCGACAATGCCCGTGCCTCAAATCCACCCAACATCCTCCGCAGGTTCTGATATGACCGCCCCCCAGAATGTAAACACTGTGGCCGTAGGAGGTGCTCCTGTGGTTTCGCATCAGGGTCCTGTAATGAGGATGCCGAGCAGTAAGCTTCCCAAGGGGAGGCATCTGGTTGGGGATCGATTGGCCTACGACATAGATTTACGGTTGCCGGGAGAGGTGCAGCCTCAGCTCGAGGTTACACCCATCACGAAGTATGGGTCTGATCCTGAACTGGTTTTGGGCAGGCAAGTTGCTGTTAATAAGACTTATATTTGTTACGGGCTAAAGCAAGGCGCCGTTCGGGTACTCAATATCAACACTGCATTGAGATCGTTGCTCAAGGGCCTAGCTCAGGTTGTTATTTAATCTTTGTTCGTGTTTATTTTGAGATCAGTGATAATTAACACCAAATGCTTTAGATTATATAATGGTTATCTTGTAAGTTATAATGCAAATCCACTTCTTAGTCTTGATATTCAATTCAAGCCCATATCTTAGCATTGATTTATCTCTAATAATGCAAATATTTACCAGAGGGTCACAGACATGGCATTCTTTGCTGAGGATGTTCACCTTTTGGCTAGGTATTCAGTAGTCTATTTTTCTCTTATTTGTATGAGGGATTTAAATCTTGATCTGTGCTTAGTATTATAATTTGCTCTTGTGCAGTGCAAGCATGGATGGCAGGGTTTATGTTTGGAAGATCAGTGAAGGTCCAGATAAAGAAGAAAAACCACAAATTACCGGAAGAGTTGTTATTGCCATTCAAATTACTGGAGCAGGGGAATCAGTTCACCCTAGAGTTTGCTGGCACTGCCATAAACAGGTATTCTTTTTATCTCTTATATGTATCTTCCTCTTAATTAAAAATGGCATCTTAACTTCTGTGATCTCATTGAGATGTCATTTGGTCGCAGGAAATTCTTGTTGTCGCAATTGGTAGATATGTTTTAAAGATCGATACAACAAAAGTTGGAAAAGGTGAAAAATTTTCTGCTGAGGAACCACTCAAGTGTTCTGTTGACAAGTTAATTGATGGGGTCCATCTTGTCGGTACTCATGACGGAGAGGTGACTGACCTGTCTATGTGCCAGTGGATGACTACCCGGCTGGTATCTGCTTCAGTAGATGGCACGGTTTGTCAAACATTTTGTCCTTACTCGAACTTGTTTCAATTAATATACTAGCTGAGCTCATGAAGGAGCGAGTGACGAAGGTTCTGCTTGGATGTGTTGGTTTAGAATTACTATGAATAATTTTAAGGTGGAGAGATATTTTTGATTGTTAGCATTCAGTAAATTTTTTAAAGATTCCTATGGAAGTAAGGGCCTTGATGGAAGCTGTAAATCGATGCTTGTAGGAAGTTTTGAAACGGAGAAAGAATGGTTTGAAATGTTTCTGAACAACTCCCAACTGTTTGAAAAATGTTAGAATTAAAAAGAAAAAAAAAATAAATTGATGGCTTTTAAAGAGATTAAGTTTCTACACAGCATGGTTTTGATAAGTTGTCCCATTTTTATGTTGCTAGGTTAGTATTTATTAGATGCATCGCCTTATTAGTGGTTTTTTTTTATTTATTTATTTTTTCCTTTTGTTTTGCGACTTGGTAAAACATGTTGAATTTAAGGAAAAAAAGGACCTTATTGTAGCTTATTTTGAAGCTTTCATGAAGTTGGATGGGAATTAATTTTGTTAAAATTGAAAAGTAAAACCCACAGAATCATAAATTATTTGAGCTATATATATAGTGTTATCTTTATTGAATGCTCTTGGTTCTCATTTTCTTGTCTAAATCTAATCATAATCAGATAACAAATATTTGCATTATTCAATATATGTATATATCTCATGCTATCTTTTTAATAAATTAGTTTCTATTTCCTCCTTTCTTTATTGTCCAGTCTCTGGACTTTATCAGCAGGTGAGAACTAACAAGATCTAGTTATTTAATGCACATATCATATGTCAGCTTTGTACCCAGCTTATATTTTCCTATTCTGAGTTGACTGAATCTCCGTGACGCCTTTCAGTAATCTCAGTAATATTTAAGTCAGCCATGCTCAAACACATTCATACCTGTAATTTTGTACTCATCCAAAGTTCAAGCATCCCTTGACTGATCTGAGTTTTATATAAGATTTTATATGAACTATTCAAACAGTTAATAGATGAAAATTGATTTAAGGTTTAGCCCACCAGCCTTGCAAGTTTTCTACAATCTATGGTTTCCTTTACGGAATGCATGAAGATTTGAATGTAGTTATGAACTTCTTACCAGTCGGATTTTTATCCCAATATGGTAAACTCCTCCAAGTGAATTTGAAATAGTGATTATAATGAGATTTGGAGGTGTTTCCATAGTTTTTGCTGCAACAAAAATGCTTCCAATTTGTAATGATAGATAGTTGGATACTTAATTCATGCTTAGAAGTTCATTTATGGCATGGTAGCTAACTTAAACCACTGTTGATTTCTCTGTGATCTGCAGATCAAGATTTGGGAAGATAGGAAATCGCAGCATACTGCAGTTATCCGGCCACATGATGGACAGCCTGTAAATTCTGTCACTTTTCTGGCTGCTCCTCATCGTCCTGATCATGTCATACTTATTACCGGGGTATGCTGGAGTTGCTTTTATGTTGAGTAAATTGCACACTTGTGTTGGTCATGTGGACATTTAGGGTGTGTTCGTTTGTTGGATTTTGTCAAAATCCTACTATTCATCCAAAATTTCTCCCCAAAAAACATCAAATCAAACACCTATTTTTTATTTTTTATATTATACTAAAAATCAATTTTACATAAAAAAACATCACATCAACACCTATTTATATTACATCATACAACTATTCAAATTCAAAATTTTTACTTTTTAAATCCCAATCCAAAATCCAAACCCCCAAACAAACACACCCTTAGAGAACATTTCGACATGTGTCTAGCTTTTGGTTTCAATGATTATACTTCATATGTTAACTTCCATAAAAATCTGTTCAGGGTCCTTTGAACCGGGAAGTGAAAATCTGGGTATCTGGGAATGAAGAAGGATGGTTGCTTCCTACCGAAGCTGAATCATGGCATTGTACCCAAAGATTGGAGTTAAAGAGTTCAGAGGCACATTCTGAAGAAGCCTTTTTCAATCAAGTTATAGCTTTGTCACAGCCGGGTCTTCTTTTGTTGGCAAATGCCCAAAGGAACGCTATATATGCAGTGCACTTGGAATATGGTCCTAACCCGGAGGCAACTCGCATGGATTACATTTCAGAATTTACAGTCACCATGCCGATACTCAGTTTTACAGGGACAAGCGATATACTTCCTCATGGCGAACAAGTTGTTCAGGTATATTGTGTTCAGACACAAGCTATTCAACAGTATGCTTTGAACTTGTCACAGTGCCTTCCACCCCCAATGGAAAATTCTATATATGAGAAGCTTGATTCTAGCTTCCCCCAGGATGCATCTAGTGTTGATAGACATGCTGAAGTTTATAGTTCTAGCAGTAAACAAATTGAGATGTCTGTATCTAGCTCAGGACCTAAAACTTCCGCTCAGGAGAGTGGTCGGGAAGATGCATCTGCAGTAAGATACCCTGTCACCACTGCTTCTGTTGAATCACCGAAGGCTCAGGATTTAGCTTCCTCCAGTGCGGAAATTAAGTCAACACCTTTGTCAGAGGCTTCTAAAGATGCAAATATTCCTTCTGCTACTTCACCTCCTCTGCCTTTGAGCCCCAAGCTAACAAAAGTACAGTCGGGTTTAAGCACTCATTTGACCAGTTTGGACCATGATTCTACAATGAGTGATCCTAATTTGGAGCCTAAGGTTGTTGATTATTCAGTTGATAGGCAAATGGATGCTATTCATACAAAGTTATCGGATGTTGCATCGCTGGATAATGACCCTAGCAATGATGACAAACTTTCACAAGATAATTCTATGGACCTCAATCCTCCAGTTAAGTTCAAACACCCTACTCATCTGGTAACTCCTTCGGAAATATTGATGGGCAATTCAGCATCTGAAGCGAGCCGGACTAATGAGCCCAAAAGTGATGCTGAACTTAATATTCCAGACGTGGTGATGAACAATGATACAAGGAATGTTGAGGTGGAGGTAAAAGTTGTGGGTGAGATCAGATCTCATCAAAACAATGATGATGGTGCTCGACAAGAACTTCAGACTTTCGTGTCAGCAAGCAAGGAAAAAATGTTCTGCTCTCAAGTATCTGATCTTGGAATTGACATGGCACGAGAATGCCGTGCCTTGTCCCCTGAATCCTACATTGCTGGGGAAGCTAGGCAGTTTAATGTACCTGGTGAAACTGAAACTATTAATGAACAGTCATCTGCAGAAGAAGTTGACACTGCTAGAGATGCTTCTGGGAAGGTAGTTGATCCTCCAGCACCGTTACCAACTCAGCATCAACCTGCAACAAATGCAAAAGGGAAAAAGCAGAAGGGAAAGAGTGCTCAAGGATCTGGCACACCTTCACTGTCAACCAGTGCTTTCAATTCAACAGATTCTAATAATGACCAGGGTGTCAATTCCAGCAATGCTATAGAAGGTGCATCCACACAAGTAAATTCCACTCAAGAAATGCTGAGTCAGGTATTGACATCATTATCTATTTATTATTATACCCATTGTAAGAATGTAGCTTGGAATTGCTATTATCAGGTTCTTAAATTCCTGCCCCACTACTTCATTCACTATTCTTGATGTTTTGGATCTGTTATGAACTATGGACTTAACAATTTTAATATTGCAACAACAATTATCTATTAATAACCCTACCTTGTCGTTGGGACCTACTCAGTTAGCATTTTATCTATTCATTTCTTGGGTGATTTTCTTCCTTGTATCCTTCCAGTCGCTGGAACTTGACTACCTCTAAATGCTAGTCTGACTGGGAAGTTGGTCATTATATATACATATATATATGTATATGTCAATTCCTCCTACACTAGCTTAAGGTCAACTCATAGAAGCTTTTGTTTTTCTAATTATGAATGCTTCTCTGTGACTGCATTTATACCTGTGCTTTTCTTGAGAAGGTATTTTGAAATTGAAATTTGACTGCATTTATTATTTTCTTTCTGGTTTACCCTTGATAGTTTGATAGCTAACAGTTACCTTATAAATAAGGCATTCTGTTGTTATTCTCAATGGAAAACATGGGCTTTTTAATTTCTAACAGCAAGTGTCCGTCGTATCACCTTCATGGTTTATTCATTACAATGTTTTATTTTGAACTTATGAGTTTATCCTTTCTTGCAGCTTGTGTCTATGCAAAGAGAAATGCAGAAGCAGATGACAACCATGGTAGCTAACCCAGTTACTAAAGAAGGCAAAAGGCTTGAGGCAGCACTGGGTCGGAGCATGGAGAAGGCTGTGAAAGCCAATACTGATGCTTTATGGGCTCGATTTCAAGAAGAGAATGCAAAACATGAAAAAGCAGCGAGGGAGCGCATGCAACAGTTAACAAATCTAATCACCAATAGCTTAAACAAGGACATACCGTCAATCATAGAGAAAACTTTTAAAAGGGAACTGGGTGCTGTGGGGCAATCTGTTGCACGGACTATAACTCCAATCATTGAGAAATCAATATCCACTTCCCTCACAGAGAACTTCCAGGTTAACGTTTTTACACATTTCGATCTTTGTTTGGCCTGATCAAAGCGTGAAGTCTTTATCTTATTTGCACGCACAGAAAGGTGTTGGTGACAAAGCTGTGAATCAGCTGGACAAATCCCTTATCTCCAAACTTGAAGCTACAGTTGCTAGGCATATTCAAACTCAATTTCAAACTTCTGGCAAGCAGGCGCTTCAGGTGTTGATCAAAAACTTGTTTTACAATGATTTCAGATTCCAAAGTTTTTATATGTATGTGTGTGTAAGTAAACCGTGTGCACCCACATCAACATGATTTAGAAAGCAGTAGGATACATAAACAAGTTGAAATGCAACTTATATTTGCTTTTAAATTGTTCTTTTGGCCAGTGGGAGAAGGAAAAGGAGAATCATAATGGTGCTATTCTTTTAGCTTGTACTGTATCTTACCAACAGAATCTGAACTTGAAATATTTTGTGCAGGACACGCTGAAATCAAGTTTAGAAACATCTGTTGTTCCGGCATTTGAGATGTCGTGCAGGGCAATGTTTGAGCAGGTTGACGCCACTTTTCAGAAAGGAATGACTGAACATACTGCAGCGGCTCAGCAACAGTTTGATGCCTCACATTCTCCATTAGCAATTGCTCTAAGGGTATATTAACATTGTGATGCCATTTATGCTTTCTTTTCTTTTCTGGCTATTTTAATTTGTACCATATTGAGAGGCCTCGTATTTGGGCATAATTTTTTCAGGATGCTATAAATTCGGCATCATCAATGACTCAGACTTTGAGCACCGAGGTTCTTGACGGTCAAAGAAAACTGTTGGCTCTTGCTGTTGCAGGAGCAAACTCTAAAGTATCAAACCCATTGGTTAGTCAACTGAGCAACGGTCCACTAGGTGGTCTCCATGAGAAGGTTGCCCCTTTGATATCTCCTTGAGAATTTAATTGGAATTGATAATCTATCCTATCCTGTGCTTATCAGTTTAAATTATAAGTAATCTGATATGATGTGTTTACTATGTAAGCTCGAAGCACCACTTGATCCAACAAAAGAACTTTCTAGACTTGTGGCTGAGCGCAAATATGAGGAGGCTTTCACTTCTGCCCTGCAAAGGAGTGATGTTAGTATTGTATCATGGTTGTGCGCGCAGGTATGAATTGTCTTACTGAAAAACATTTCCCTTTGTGGTCACCTATTGTTGGTGTTGGTGCCTTTAGATTTGTGGTTTCATGTCTTTTGGTTTTTTGAATTCTTTCATCCTCCCTTTGCATTATAACTTGTTTGAGTATGGTTTTTTGAAGAGATGAGGCTTAATTATACTCCGGCCATTAGACATATAAGCTTCAAGAGATAATGTGTTTTGACTTCAAGCCTTTATTCTAATATTTTGTATAGGTGGATTTACCGGGAATCCTATCGATGAATCCCCTTCCATTGAGCCAGGGTGTGCTCCTGTCTCTCCTACAGCAGTTGGCATGTGATATCGGCAAGGACACCCCTCGAAAACTGGCATGGATGATGGAGATTTTATCAGCTATAAACCCAGCCGACTCAATGATTGTGATGCACGTACGCCCCATCTTCGAGCAAGTGTACCAGATAGTAAATCACCACCGCAACCTTCCCACCACCAGCGGCACTGAACTTTCCAACATTCGGTTGATCATGCATGTTATCAATTCAATGCTCATGACCAAGTGAGTCGATGTACCGAGTGTTGAGGCCCTTATGGTGAGGGGATTGGCAGGTTTGTACAAATTCTAGGGATATATATAATATATATATATACATACATATATATATATGTGCTCAATGAGGAAGGAAGAGGAGCATGTAGAGTTCATTGTTATGCCATTGTTTTTGTTTTTGTTTTTCTTTTCCTTTTTAATTTTATTTCTAAGTTCCTAAGTTTAAAAAAATTTGTGTAGAAAAGTGAGTTGAATTATTGGAGGTTATTTTGTTGTTATGTTTGATGGGACAATGTGTTTATATGCAATTTTGTATCTGGACTGTACACAACTCACCCACCCCAAGGCCAAGACTCGTGTTTTAATTTAATGTGCAACTCTCTCTGTATTTGTGTTTTTGTTACTGTTTTTAAATATTTCTCATCTAATTTTGCGATATATTTTTTGCAGCATGGCTAGTTGTCATTGTCTAACTTTTACCACTCCTTTCAGTCTCTTTATACTTGTGGGAATGTTTTTTTTCTCGAGGGTTCTAATTAAGTGAGTGATATTTAGTCGTATTTTCAGACAAGTGTATTTCTACTTTATATAAAATTATAATTATGATTAGCTTTTGTCAAACTAATAATAATAGTATTAGTATATGTATGCTGTAATTTACTTTTTAAATTCTGATTTTTTGAAATAAGCGAGTTATTGAATATAATTTTTTTAGATGAAATATATAAGAAAAATATATGCCATGTATTTTTGAGTTATAAGTATGTTTAGAAAAATTATTTATAAAAGTATATTATTTATAAAAATATTTAAGAAAATTGAAAATTGTGTGGCTGTAATTTGTTTTTTCTGATTCTACTAAAATGACCACAATTCCAGCCGTCGCTATGTTCTATAGCTCCCTCCGCTAATAAACAATGATCTTATTGTTTTGGGTCGATGGTATTTAAAACATTTTTCAGTGTGCCGTATGTTTGGGATTTGATTTTGAATAATTTTAAATAGAAATAATTATATAATTTAATATAAATAGGTACTAATAAAATTAAATTTTAATATAAAAAATAAAAATAAATATTTTTATATTTTATAAGAAAAGAAATTTGATGAATAATAATTTTTTGAAAGATCACAAAAAAAACACTATTTAATTAAATCCAATCACGCCCCAAATTTGTTACTACCGTTTACTTTTTGTTTTTACTCGAGTATAGCTTCGATATTAGAGTGAAATGATTTTCACTTTTAATCATTATAACTACTTTTAGATATAGATTTACAAAATTTTGAAAATTTTCTAAAATAAGTAATAATAGAAAAAATTGAATGTAACGGGAAAGGAAGCTGGAGATGATATTTTATAGTAATAAAAAATAAATACCACTATTACTTTTCAGCTAAAATTATTTCACTATTTATTTTGATGGCTAGTTTTATTTATAGTAACAAAACTCAAAATATAAATATAGTTTTAGTAATTCATTTAGCTCACTCAAAATCAACATTTGGAAGTATCCGTATTAGTATCATTTTAGTTCATTGTCAGATTATCAAAATTATCATTTAATTCTTCATCCATTTTTAACTTATTACTGAAGAATGACCACACAGAACCCTCGTTTAAATCAATCACAATTGATTGCAGCTCATTAAGATCTGATTTCTCTTTTTGGCACAAAGGAAAGTGTGATATAAAAAAAAATGTGTACACAGATTTTCCTTGAAAAAGCTGAAAATCAATAGTGAAAGGGAAGGAAAACAAGGATTTACATCTAATTCCATCCGATCCGCGCAGTCTCTAACCTTTTTACCAGCACTGATCCGTCTCCCACCGGCGCGTGGGGTGGAATCTCCTCCGACCGGAACCGTGGAATCCGGTGCCCCACCGCCGCGGCGAATCGACATTCAAATTACAATCGTACATGGCCCTCGCTTTTGGATCTGACAAAGTGGCGTACGCGTTGTGGATCTCGATGAAATCTCGACCATCCGCCGACGACGCGACCGGCGAGTCCATGAATCGCGACCTGGCGTCGGGATGGTACAGCTTCGCGAGCGTACGATACGCCGTCTTGATCTCCGTCTGCGAGGCGTCGCGTTTGACGCGGAGGACCTCGTAGAGGCTCCTCCGATCCAGCGCGGGCGGGGCGAAATCCGATACGGCTTCACAGACGATCCTACGGCTGCAGCGACTGGATTGGAAGGCGATCGCTGATTTAGGAGTTAGGGTTAGGGTTCCCAGCATCTGCTTTCAATTTGGGGATTTTTGGGGGAAGAAGTTGAAGAACAGATTGGATAATGATTGGATGAATTGTTTGGGGGGTTTATATCAAAGTCAGCTGCAGCCTAGTTGTCAGTGGGCCCCACTTCTGCTGACATGGCACATTGGATTGGCGTAAAACTGTTGGCGCGCCGGCTGGAGTGGCCTATGCTTCTAGAAGGTTGGTTCCCGCTTCCCGAGAGTGACTGGCTTCCCCGAGCCAAGCCGATTGGCGCCTTGTGAGCGGCTTTAAAATTACAATACGGCTCCGTTTAGGTTACTGGTAGGCCTACTAAACTCAAGTGGTAATAGCACTATGGCAGTGGTATACATATTTTGTAAATCTATGATATTTATTTATTTAAAAAATAAAAGTAACTATTTTTTATTTTTTTTTAATGCATTTTCAAATAAAATAATAGCAGATATTTTTACGCAAATGAGTCATCCACTAAAGGATGCAAGCATTACTATATTATAAAAATTTTAAATTTTAAATTTCCTCGAGTGTCGTTTTGCTTAGTTTCTTCTGCGTTTAATTAATACGCAGTAGGAAGGATATAGAGGCAGCCATTTCAATGCACGTATCAAATTCCTTAAAATAAAATCAATTTGTTTTATACAAAAATTTAAAAACTATACTCCATTAAAGCAACTCATATTCATAATAATATAGAGAATTAATTAAATTGAGGTATTTTTAAATATATTGATATTAATCACCAGTGTCAGTGCATAAGCGACGCCGTATTATGAGGTGGAGACTTGAAAACGTTTTTAAAAAGTCGCTGGGGGGGTGAAGTGCGACTTCTTACGTTTCGGAGAAGGGGACCGGTTAACGACTTTGATGGAAGATATATAGTGTGGCTCTACTGCTTATTTAGGTTGGGACCACATGGATTGAACGGTACGGGATATATTTGGAGTTTGGACTATGACTGTGACTGTGACTGTTGTCCGGGACAGAACTTCTAGAAGACTGCCTTAGGATGTCGCCACGTGTCCCCATCCATTGGCTTCTAGAAGCCTTTCCTTCTCACACTGTCCATTCATTTCATTATGAATCCTCTTTCCTTTGGTTTGGTTTGGTTTGGTTTGGTTGTGTATAGTGGATTTAAATCAGTAAAATAATCGATTCGAATTTTAGCTATCACATATAACTCGTCTAATATAATTTTTTGTATCGAATTTAATAGTTTAAAAATTAAATTCGATCGAAGTACACTCATATATAATGCTCCTTATAAAATAAATAAATAAATATTTTGAAACTAAAATTAATTATTGAAATATAATATTTTATAAAATATTATTTGTAACCTATTTTTAATTGTTATGTTCCTTTTGACAAAAATTTTCAAATTTTATTATTTGGACCATGTGTTTTTTGAAAATAAAATAAAATAATATAAAATTAAAATTTCTCTTACAAAATATCTCATCAAATATTATTTTAATACCAAACTCAAACCAAAATTTTCCAAACTCAAGCAACAAAAACACACCCTTAAACATCAAAATATTAAAAAAAAAAAAAAAAAAAAAATTGTACTAAGTAAAAGGTGTGTTTAATTATAGTTTGAAATCTAATATAATATATAGGACATTATATAACACAAAATATGTTATGTTCTTTATGACGATTTGCTAATTGTTTTAAATTAATGTTTTAATTTGGTAAGATGTTATTTGTAATGTAATGATTTTCTAATTATTTTAAGTTAGCTTGTTGATTTGATCAAATTAATACCTTTTTGAAAAACTGTGTTATATAAACTACTTGATAAAATCAACGCACTAACTTTAAACAATCAACACCTATCACAATACAAACAATATATGTTAGTGTTATATAAAAGTATGTCTGTAACCTATATAGTTGTATAATCGGTTTATTATATATGAAATTATACTCTCTCCATCCCATTGGAAGGGTGATTTTTATTATTTGCGTGTAGATTTTTTAATATTAGTATTATTTTAGATTGTAGTAAAAAAGAAAAAAAAATATTTGTATTAGTATGGTATAATATAAAAGTAATAACATTTGTGTAATATATTATAAGTTGAAAAAATATTTATTATGTTATGTACGGAGTATCGTTGCTAAATTACTATTTTCACTTTTCATTTCAATGAGTATTATTACTATTTTCACTTTTCATTTCCTCGCCTCATAAAACACATTCCAAAGTTTCTAGAAGGCGTCTTTCGCTATCATTGTCTTTGTGTAATTTGCTCTTACACACTTTTTATTTTATTTTATTTTTTTGGTCCCCTTTGTGAAATCTTAATTAACTTGTGGTGATTAGTCAGGTTTAATGTCGTAATTCACAAAATAATCCATACAAACCCACCAATTAGTACACAATAAATTATTCGATTAATGTTTGATTCAATCTATTTTAATTCAAATATTGATGTTGCCCTTGGTTATGCGTTTGGGGTATTTATTAGTAATTGTTTATATATACAATGCAGATCAGGGGCTAAATATTTTATTCAGTACATGTGCTGACTCTTTAAAATTAATTAGGATAATTAGATTAATATTATAAATGGGTTTTTTTGGGTCAATTGCGATATAGTGAGGTAATACATTCATTTGCTGGTAAATCTTTCAAAAATGGGGACAACATCAATAGATGTCGGAATTCTATTTGCGCATATATGATTAATGACTGCGTTTCTCTAAAAATTCGATCTTTTCATCCGACATGGTATCAGAGCCTAATTAAACTTATAATGTTGTTCCTAAGTTTGATCATCTTCCCTTATTTTGTCCATAAATATGCAAATATCTTCACCTAGTAATTTCATGAAGTATAATTCTTCCAAGTAATAAACCTTTTCACCCTGGTAAACACTGAAATTATTTTATCTAAATATACATCAACATATTAAGGAAAAGATAAAAATTTCACTAAGTTTCCTATACCAACACAAAATCTACAGCAATTTGTTAAGGATGAGACAGACTGATTCAAGCCAAAAATAGAAAATAAAAATCATACTGGCCAAAGTTTTTGTATTAAGCATAGAAGGGGTCTATGAGTAATATAATAGACCCAAAATTTATTCGATTTGATGCAAGTTTTATTATTGGTTTGTATTCTGTATACCTGGAAATGTAAAGAGTAGTTGCATGGCAGCCGACGATCTTCTTACTTTTGCCGTTTATAAATCTTTGCCAAGAATGATTTCAACACTGCCTGCACTTCCTTTCTAGGGTGTGTCTCGATTGAGTTGGTTATCCTCGTGTAGCTGCTCTTTTCGTATTCCGAATAAACATCCTGCGAATCAAACAACACGATGAATTGTCGAATGTTGAGATTCATACAATGCACTTTAGATGTATGAATTAGTGATGGTGGAGACATGAAACCTGTAGCTTGAGAACTTCATAGAGCTCTTTGACTTTAGCTACACATGCAGGGTTGTCCTTTCCATAATTCTCCTGCAAGAAACATCAAATTACAAGAAATCCCGACAATGATATTATGAGACTGATCTAGCATGGATGATTATACATAGAGGATTTTCTTTTGGTCATCGTTGCAGAGCTCGATGGCTTTCGCTACCAACCAAGAGCACTTAAAATCTTCAATATCTGTTCCAATCTGAAAATAATAATAAAAGAAAATGGTAAAAACAAGAAAGGGCATACATGTGTTCACGTGAGATCAATGGAGACGATATGTGCGCTAGAAAATGGAGTCGTTAACAATGTAAAATCTTACCTTGCCAATGACCTCTGGATCGCCAAAGCAATCTAGATAATCATCCTACAGAAATTTGGAAATCAATCATAAAAAGAATGGTTGGGAACTTGTATGAGCTTTTATATGGAGGCATTGTTTACCTGAACTTGAAAGTAGACACCCATTTCGATTAGAACGTCCTTTACATTGACATGATCATCCAAGTTCTCACCAAACATAAGAAGTGCACATGCCACCTGCGTTGATTTGCCATACCAAATTGAACAACCAACTGGTTAAGTAAGATCTTTCAGGCTTAGGCAATGAACTTTACTACATCTTAATTCTTCGAACCTATATTAAGTTCTCATGTCATGGAGGGAATTTATAGATATAGAGGTGTGGCAACCAAATAAAAGTTTTCCACTTTGTTCTGTTCAACTCGTATGGTTCCATGAATAACGAGAACATCCGATATCTTTAGTTTCATGAAATGCAACCTTGATATTTAAGGATCTTGTATAGGTGCACCGGAAGTACTTCCTAATGACAACTATTGCTTTTCTTCAACTAAATATTCTTTAAGAGATAAGGAAAACATGATTTTCAATTTGATGCATTATTGATCAGGTTTTTATCTTATGATCAGCAATATGATCCCTGCATCTACTCTTTCCCAAAAAATTGATCAGAATAGCTCCTATTAGACTATATAACAGAAAGAAAAGATTTAGAAGCCGCCAAAGCCCCAGAAGAAATTAATAAATACAAGTAGATAGATTAAGCAGAAAGAATGGGGCATGATTGCATCTTCTCTCACCTAACTGACTCCAGGCTATATTCTTGTTTAGAAATGAAGTGCTTACTTACAGGAAGATAAAAGGAGTAATAGGCAGTTTTGTATTGAACAATTCGACGATGCCTGTAAAAATACAGGATATTGAGTTTGGAAGAACCAAAGTTATGTAATAACATATGGAAAAATAGAAGCATTGAATGAATATTGTCTATTATATTCACTTCTTCTTGGAGCAAATTTGTATCATGTGTATAAAATATGCATAGCATTCATATCATAGATTGAACATAAGTAAAGTGCGAAACACAGTTATGCAGAAGATTGATGCTTCATATGTGACATTGCTGGGCAATTAAGAATGGGGACGAATCTATTTCTCACTTACAAAGGTAACGAGTACTTTGATAATTCCTTCTCTCCAACAAGTGTAGTGATCAAATCTATCATCTGTCCATGAGTTGTCTGAAACTCCACCTGTTAACTCATGAAATAACATTATAAAAAGGCAAAGTATCTTTTGAGGAAGACAATCAAAAAGCTTATTCTAAGGGTAGAAATAAACCTCATTAAATAAATCTAACAGATCTGCATAGTAAGGCTTTCCTTTAAAATGCTTTTTGAGGATTCTTGGAATATGATTGCGAAGTATTAACCCATCATTTGCAGCTATCATTCCGACCTGGATGTTTTCAGAAAGAGCACAGTTCTTTCCATTCACAAACATTATCGAGTAAAGAAAGAAAAAGTATTATCATTCAAGAGCCATACATTGGGTAATCTGAACCAACAGGGCTGGCCACGGCGCGTATGAGATCCATCCATTATATCATCAAGAACAAGGAAATAGGCTTGTAGCTACGACACAATTGTTTTGTATTAGAGTGTCAAAAATAATTTGCTGTGGATAGAACAACAAGTGAGACAATGTAATCAACTTAAATGGATATGCATCCAGAAGCATTAGAAACAAATCAATAGCGTAATAATTTCATACCCACTCAACACACCATCCAAGTGCACAAGCAAGAAACACCTCATCATCTGTCAATTCTTGCCCTAATTTGAGCAGCTTATAACTGTCAATGACGGAGAGCCCACGGTTCAGCTTTCCTGCAAAAAATGGGGAGAATTCAATTCATCCTGGAGTAGTTCTGCAATGAACCTCATAATTACGGATAGTCATGATTTAAAAGAGCAACCTACGCTACAAAGGAATATGAGTTAGTGCCAGATAACAGCAAAGAGTTTAATAATACCTTTGGGCACATTGTAGTCCAACATCTACAAGACAATTGCAAAAGGTTACGATTAGGCATGAAAAAGGATTTAAACATATGTTAGAATTGAAAACTTGCCAGAATTTGATATTACAAAAGGCAGAAATGTAAGACATATACAAATTCATTTTAGAAAGATGTGCAGAGGAATTCTGAACACAAGTTAACAACCAATCTTGATCAAACCATGTCTATTATGATCGTTAGCAATCATCAACCATGCTTCTACACTGTAAAGTTTGAAATTCTGGAGGAAGGTTAATCAAGAGACTAATTAGATCCATTTTTCTTTGAAATATTTAGAAAAAACATCTCCAAGGGAAAAATCACATCACCATTCAATTTAAAAAACAATACTGCCAAAACACAGGTAAGAAAAACCACCAAAAAGAGAAACAATGAAGTAAGACAGAGACCAAGCTACAATACTCCCTTCTTTACACAGAAACTCAAAATCGTATACACATCAGCGTCCGCTGTATTAATAGCTGTGTCGCGGTCTCTCTCAGTGGTAGACGATGGAGTGAGAATGGTAATCTTTGTGTTTGTGTAGTTCTATGGAACTATTATCAAATTTTTACAGCGAACAAAATATGTTAGCCGAGAATGATTTTTAACCTACAAAACTGAAGATAACTTGTGCTACAAAAATCATCAATAAACTGAAAAATAAAAATTACAAACAGTAGCAAGAAGAATTGCTAAAACATAGAATTATTACCCGCTCAACCCACTGGCGCGAATCGTCGGTGAACTCAAAAGCGGAGTCGTTCAACAGCTCGGATTTCAAGATAGAGTAAACCTCCAAGAACTTAGACTTGATATCGGCCATTGTTGGATTAGAAGGTCCCGACTGCAAGCTTGCTTTGCCTTGCCTGAATCAACGGCAGCAACTTAGGCGGATATGCTCTCTTTGTTTTGAAGCAGAGGAGAATTAGCAGAGAGCTTTCGGTGACAAATAATAAATGAGAATCCTTTCATGTTTTTTTTTTTTAAAACCTATTTTATTAAATGCACACCTAAATAAATTTTATTTTTATTTCCAAAGTATTGTATAGATAAATATATTCTTAAAAATATAAAATTGCATCTGCAATCTTCTTATCACCGCAATTCTTGATAGCAGTTAGACTGTCCGATTTAAATTTATTTTTTATTTTTAAAAAAGGGAAAACAACCTGGTAGAAAAATAAATAAATAAATAAATTATAAAATCAAACTTAAAAATATACATAATTTAGCAGATTAATAGAGTATATCTTAACAAACTTGAACCATCAATATCATGCAAGTATTCAATCCTTTTTCATCAATTTTATCAAATTTCAAATAGTACATAACAATTTTTGAAGTTATAGTTATTGTTATATCATTAATGTACAAATACAATTTTTTTTAATTTTTTTTTAATAACATGAGAATTTATAGTCACTACAATCTTAGCCTACAAACTATAAGTCGGTAAAATAAGTCACACTATGCTAATTATGTGAAACAAATAAGATTTGAAGACATCTAAAGTTGAAACACATAATTTATTCTTTATATAACAACTACATTTCCATGTAGAACAATATTGTTTTGAGAGCTAAAGCATGCAAGTTCCTCTAATGCTACATAGGTGATCGATTTTCGAACTCTTCACTTGAATAAGTCTATTACAAGAATGATTTCAACACCTCTTGCACTTCCTTGCGCGGATGAGCTTCGATCAACTTGGTTATCTTGTCATAACTACTCGCCTCATACTCCAAATAAGCATCCTTTAAAATAAGGTTGTAAATGAAATTGATATATAGTAATGATGTAATGCATTAAAAAAATATTTTGAGCTAAGGTAGACGAAAAAAACCTGAAGTTTGAGAACCTTATAAAGCTCCTCCACTTTCGCAATGCATATGGAGTCATGCTTCCCATAATTTTCCTGATAGATATGCTCGATTAAAGAAATATATTGGCGCCAATGATTGTAAAAAGATCCGATGTTAATGTAGTTTGGATGGTACATAGAGTGTTTTCTTCTGCTCATCGTTACAAAGATCAAGAGCTTTCACCACCAACCAAGAGCAATTAAAATCTTGAATATCGGTACCTCTCTAAGAAAGCAAAAATGGCAAAAGTTTATTCACTTATGCGAGAGGAGAATGCACCATAATTCATGTAAAAGATTTACCTTCCCGCCTGCAACTGGATGACCAAAACAATTGAGGTAGTCGTCCTATGAAATGTAAGAAAAGTTAGTGATCACAGATCACCACCATAGTAAAATCTTCAGGTTCAAGTTTTTTTTGAGCTACAATGAATGTCGGGGAACCAAAGCATTGAGTAGGTATTAGTCTAGTGTTCTTGATTATATGGGATTCATATGCTAAAATCACTTACCCGGACTTGAAAATAAATAGCCATTTCGATAAATATCTCCTGATTAATGTCATGATTGTTATCCATGTTCTCATCGAACATGAGAAGTGCACACATTACCTGTCAAGATCTTGGCAAGGTTAAATAATTCAAACCACTAGAGGTTGAGTTAATGAAAATCATAAGTTCTTCTTTGCCTGCATTAGATAGGTGAGTGACTGATGAACAACAGGCCAGGTGACCCTAAACACTATCCAAATGTATGAAAAACTCCAGAATTACACATTTGAGAGGCTAAACAGAGAATCGGGCGCAATTGCTTTTACTTATCGGGTTGATCACAACCTAAATCATCAAACAGAACATTAAGAGGTAACTCACCGGAAGATATAACGAGTAATAAGCAGTTTTGTATGCAACAGTTTGGCGATATCTGTGACAAAAAAAACATTATGTAAATGAGATATATGATGTGCTAAAAGTAGAAGTATTAATAATACAACCAAATCATATAATGAAGTATCATTATGTATCTATGATATAATTAAGATGATTAAGTAGATGTAAACACAATATTCAAACTTTATATACAAAAATTACAGATCTCACTAGGGGACTCATAAAGACAACTTAATTTTGAGCACCAGTAGTTAAACAGCCAATTTTAAAGTTCTACTTACAAAGACAAAGAAAACTTCGATAGGTCTTTCTCTCCAACACGAGTGTGAACCAAATTCATCACCTGTCCATGAGTTGCACGATACTCCACCTATTAACTCATAAAATGGCATTAGAACAGTGCAAAGGAACATCTTGTAAGGAAACGTATCGAGCTGTAAACAAACCTCATTAAACAGATCCACCAGATCCACATAGTAAGGTTTTCCTCTGAAATGCTTCTTAAGAATCCTTGAAGTATACTTATGAGTGTGAAGTGTTAAACCAACATTCATTCGAAGCGATCCCATCTTAGAGATGATCATAAAGAACACAGTAATAACAATTTCTCAGATGTTATGTAGGTGAGGAAGATAAACAAATGTTATCCTTTTTTAAGGAGCACACCTTGGACACTTTGAACATATAGGAATCATCATCGTGGGACTTAGAGTCATCAGTTACGCCATTAATAACAGAAAAATATTTTTGAAGCTGCATGAATAACATTGCTATTAGCTCCAGCAAGCCACATACATTACCATTAATAAAAGACAAAATGAGACACAATTATGAGAGTAATTGTATTCGAAGTAACACCAGGTCCTCATACCCATTCCAAGCACAATCCAAGTGCACAACTGAGAAACTCTTCATCCTCTGTAAGTGCTTCCCCTTGTTTCAGCAGCCTATAGCTGTTGAGTACAGAAAGCCCAAGGTTCAGCTCACCTGCATTCGAACACAAAGACAGGGGACAAGTAGTTTGACTTCTATTGATACCCAAAATGCATCCAATGATCAAGACAGAAAATTTGATTAACAATTAATGACAGAAAACAATGGTGGACCTTGAAAACAGAAACCAAAACTACAAAGAAAACTGTCATGGTGTAAGAATTACAACAAAGACTAGAATCCTACCTTCCGGAGCATTGTAGTCAAACATCTGCAAAAGAAAAAAGTGGCCATACCAACATAGATATAATTAGGCAAAATACATGATTAATATAAATAGTCTAAATATTTGAAAAATAACTCCCACTCAATAGAAGAACTGTCCATAAATTCAAATTTTTCGGATAACAAATACATATTTATTTGATGTGGGCACATTTTAATATAACAACTTAGCAGTTCGTCCTCTTAGTCCTCCAGGGCCTAAATAACTCAAATTTCTCCCATGATCTATTTGTTTCAATGGACTAAAACTTGAGATACGGGTGTAAACCAAACAAAGATTCATAAGTGGTTGTCAATGGAGTTAAAGTTACCAAAATCAGAGTAATAGCTATCAAGTTATGCCGAATTGCTCCACTTATAGTTCCTCGAACCAGATTTTCTGAACGAACCATAGTCAATCCAAATTGATCTTGTAAAGGATCTGCTACAGAACAAATGCACTACAAGATGGAAAGCCAACTGGATCCATTGAACAAATCTGGCTATCAAACTTTGCTCCCGAGTACCATATGCAAGCATTACATCACTATGAACATAAAATCAAATGTGTTGTTTGGAAAGAATATGATCAAAGACAAAACACAATAGAGAAGAAATAGTGGAGAAATCTTCCGGGCTTTTACTTATAGTGACATTTGTGAATACAAATCCTAAACCTTTGCTCGAATGCCTAGCTTAGTAAACATGTCCAAACCACTTGTAAGCAACCAAATTGCCTAACATAGGAGATTATAAGTAAATTGGAAAACAAGATTAAAATTATCTGGTGAATGTCGAGCCACTATTTCCAAAGGAATGCGAAATAACATTAAAATATAACTCTCAACCTACCAAATTATATATGATTCAAAATCTGGAACTTCAAACAACAGTAATAACAGAGAATTCAAACTGAAGCCATGTCATTACCCCCTCAAGCCATTGGCGAGAAAAGTCATTGTGCTCAAATACAGGGTCATTCAATAACTCTGATTTCAATACAGAGTACACTGCCATGAACTTGGACTTGAGATCCGCCATGGCTGGATTGCTAATCACGCAGTGATTTAATGTGTAGAACAGCGGCAACAAATTTCCGTTGCGCACCTAAATCCGGGAGCAAGAGTGAGCCGAACCGCTTCATTTTCCACTGCATTAAATACAATCCTTTGTGCTCAAGAATCCTCTGGCCTCTGAATATGGAGATGACTTGTTTATTCCTTTTCCTTCGCATTTTTTCCCTTCCTTTTCTTATGATGCGATGCACCTCCTCCACGTTCTTTTCCTGATTTCTTCGCGAAACCTTCGAATTTCCACGCGGGATAAAAAACGATCGAATTGCGGTTGTTTGTTTCTTGGCGAAAGAGAAAATAAAAAATAAAAAAAAAATCCAAAAAATCAAAGCCCAGTATAATCAAAATATATGTCCGCAAGGGATGGGCCGGTGACTCATGACGGTATGGGTTCGGATCATCTGCTATATATAGTTTGTTAATAATTTTAAAATTATCTAATACAATTAATTTTTTAAAGAAAATTATAAACAATAATTCATTTGATTTTTTGTCGTTTTATCTTTTATAAATATTTGAGATATTTGAATAAAAAAATTTAAATATTTTAATTAAGAAAATGCCATAATAACATTTTGATTAAATTTATAAGAGTGCCAACACATATTTTAAAAATTATATAAATATTACATAATAAAAATACAAACTAAAAAAATTAAGAGGCCGTGTACAATAACGATGTATTTGCGTTGTTGTCAAAAAAAAATTCGGAAAAAATTGGTCAAGAAAGAAGAAGGTAAGATGGAAATTAATGCTAAAAATTTAATTAGAATTAATCGAAAAAAACTGTAAAAATATGAAAAATGAAAAAATTGCAGATAAAATAGAAGAAGGAGATCACAATGGTGACTGTGCTAATATTAGGCCTGACAAAAATTAACTCGACCTGATAACCCGACCCGAATCTGACCTGAAATAGTTGGGTTTGGGTTGAGATTTTTGACCCAATTAATAATTGGGTCAAACCCGTTTAACTCATTTAATTAAATGGGTCAGGTTAAGGTCTACATTTTCGACCTGAATATTATTTTAAATTTAAATATATTTTTTAAATTTTATCAATACAATTCAATATTTATGGCCAATTTTATAAAAATAAATAATAAAAAATAAAGGATTGTGTTGTGTACTATTACGTAGTGTTTGTTAATTCAATTCTTGAATATCGGTTTCATGATATGAATAAATAATTTTTTGCTTTAATATGTATATATAATATGCATTAAAAAGTTTTGTTAATATAAATTATAATTTTAAATTAAAATTTAAATATTTTAGATTTAAACGGGTTATATGAGTCAGATTCAAGTTGACCCAATTAATAAAAGGTCCTGAACTCGACCCGACCTGATCCGTTTGCCAATCCTAGCTAATATGCTCTATTTATTTGTTTATTTTGAATCATACAACAACTCCAACCACATTCGCTTCCACCTTTTTTTGACTGCTTCAAATGTACTTAGACCGGCTTGATTTGAACTTTTTGTTCGGCTAAAACGTTGTGCTGGACCAATCCAATTAATTTTGAGCGTGTACAGTTTGTTTAGAGTTTTGATTCAAATAATGAAAAAATACATATATCAAAACAAAATATAGTAATTTATTGTCGCATTCTAACCAATTGAAATGATCTTTTGATCAATCGTGATATTATTTGGATCCCATTAAAAATGAGAATTCAGAATCTCATTTATTGATCAATCAAAGAAAATTCAATTGCTAAAACAATTATAGATTGTTTTGGGATTCTTTTTTTCTTCGAATAAAAAAAAAAAATTGTTTATAATTGGAATAAAATTGATAAATTTATTATATTAAAATCAAAATTGATACAATTTTTGTTATATTATGATTAATATTGAATTTTTTTATTTTTATTTTTTTTTTAAAAAAACACGATTCACGTGTTTAGATAATAAAAATATAGCGACAATTCTTTTTGGGTCGATAAGGTCCAAAATATAAGCGTGGCCCATAAATTGAAATGGCTTGTATAAATAAAGAATATTCCAAGAATGATGAGATTAATATTTATTTATATAACAGAAATAATTATTTAAATTTATTTTTTTACAAGTCCAAAAATCCAAACCCGTAGAAGTGGCCGACATTGACAAAACGGGTAAAACTAAATTCAGCTACCCCTTTCGTTCTGACGGTCTCAGACCACTTCTCTCTCGATCTCATAGGTAAAATTGAATTGAAGGGTGTCGAACCCTAATCTATTGAGGGATTTGAGTCCCTTTGCCGATACGGTTGATTTTCTTGGATCTTGGTTCTATTGATCGGGTTGGTTTAGGTTTCGTTGGCAGGCAGAACTGTGTATAATCGAAGATCGTGAAATTAGGGTTCCGATATGACGACCGCAGCAAGACCTACTTGGGCTCCTGCAAAGGGTGGGAACGAACAAGGCGGGACGCGGATATTCGGCCCATCTCAGAAGTATTCTTCAAGGGATATCGCCTCTCATACGACATTAAAACCGAGGTCTGTTTTCGTCTCACTATTCGTTTGGTTATTGTTATTTTGGCGTTGCTTTTTCGTTTTGGTTGATTTACTGATTCGCTTAATTCGTTGTATGTCGGTGTGTTTTGGGATTGTTTGGATGAAAATGTTGATGCTGAATATTATCCTTCTATTAAACATTTTCCCTTAATGTTTTAAATATCTGTATCCAATTTTAAAATTGTTATATGGAAGAGAAGATTAGCTGACTCTTAAAAGCACTTGAAAGGATCTTTTCGCGGTTCTAAGACATTGAGCTACATCATCTGGTTTTCATATATACTTTTGGTGATGCTTTACTGTCAATTTTGAATAGACATGAGACAACACTATATATATGATTTTCTTTTCTTGGGTATTCGGCTAATTATATATTTCTACTTTATGTATTTCATGTAGTGTTTAATCGGTAAGACACTATTTCTGGCTGGGTTGCCTCGACCTCACTTTATCCGCCATTATAAAAGCTGTCTTTTAGTCCAATTTTCTGTTTACAATATGTTATAGATTGTTCAATTGAAGAGTAGACTCGATTACTGAAATAGGTTTTGGGGATTCTCTTGTTTTTGCCAAAACCCGCTTCTTTTCACTCTTCCATCTCTCTTTTTTAAGTTGTATGAATAGATAGAAGGGTACAGCAAAATGAGTTCAGTTGGTTTATCCTGACGTGATTGTGCTTATTTCCTTGTATTGAAATAAGCGTTTCCCTTATGCTCACTTCTTTTGGTATGAAAATTTGCTTGTTAATTTATTTCTGCAAGTATGTTGCGTTTTTTCCTGCACTAAGACTGTTGCAATGTGATTGTTGCTGCAGAAAAGAAGGGCAAGATACTCATGATGAGCTGCAGAGAAGGAATCTTAGGGATGAACTTGAGGAGCGCGAGAGGAGGCATTTCTTATCAAAGGGTATGGTCTTCTAATGTACTTTATTAAGTATCTCATACAAACATTTTCTTACATTTCTGATGGATGAGGTGTTATTAATTGTGGAGCATAATACATGTTGCAGAGGAAAGGAATCGTCGGAAGGAAGGTCATCTTCTGTTGGAAGGTAAATTATTTGATATTCTTGTTTAGGATTTTAAACTGAGACGAAGTATGGCAGATGGAATTTTGGTGTTTATTATAATGGTGCCTCTATTTTCAGGACCTAGGAGAGATGTTGAAGATCGAATTGTTCCTCGAAGTGTAGATGCTGATGATGCTGATGTGGATGCTCCTAGTGATGATAGGTTAGTCCTATTTCTTTATCATTCACTAGTTTTGATGGTGCTTCTTTAATTACTCTTAATTATAATTTTGTAGTGATGAGGACGACGACGATGATGATGATGGTGATGATGAGGAAGCACTCTTGGCAGAACTTGAGCGCTTAAGGAAAGAAAAGGCAGAGCAGAAAGAACGCGAGGTAAGTCATGCTGATGTCTGGATTCCTGGATTTCCATAGCTGCTTAATAAATTGAATGGTTGTGTTCGAGAGCGCATCAGCATAGCCTATTAGTCAACTTCTATTTCGATTTAGCATATACTCCCACTCCCTCCGTCCCACCTTACTTGTCCGGTTTCTTATAGATACGAGAATTTAAGAAGATTAAAAAATTATAAAGTATAAAATTGAAGTATAATTATTTTCCAAGAAATGAAAGGGACACGGATATGGAAAATGTAGACAATTTATGTCGGATGGAGGGGGTATTATTATAGAACTGCATTTAAGTATTTTCCCATCCGCTGTGTTGAATGCAGACAATATAGGCAGTCAAATTTTCTGAAGGTTAGATTCTGTAGTAAGTTGATTTTATGGAGAAAATAGCTCTGATGTTTGGTTTCAAATTTCACTAGATCTAGAAACTATTTTGGGTTTGTTTCGAGTACCTGCCAATTTGTGCCAAGAAAAGCTTATAAAATGTCAACTTGATTGTTTTTTTTTTTTTGGTACTGATTTATATTGCTATTATAGTGCGTAAAATCTTAGCGAAGTGCGTGTTTATGGCAGGAACGACAAAGGCAGGAAGAAGAGCTGAAAGCTAAAGAAGAGCAGTTGCTGCTTGGAAATCCTCTGCTGAATAATCCCACTAGCTTTAGCGTGAAGAGAAGGTAATGAAAAATCATTCTTCACCTGTTTCTGTTCTCCTCTACACAATTATATCTTGAAGAAGTATTCCTTGGTAAAGTGCTTACTGAATTTCTGTTTGTTCAGATGGGATGATGATGTGGTTTTCAAGAACCAAGCTCGTGGAGAGGCTAAAGCGCCCAAGCGTTTCATCAATGATACCATCAGGAATGATTTCCACCGAAAGTTCCTCCAGAAGTACATGAAGTAATGTCTTTACATATATTAGCCAAAAAACATGTGTGGTATGAACAAGACTTTTACAAGAGCCATAGGTCCTTCGATACATTCTGTCCTCTGTGTGGTTTAAACTTGTTTTAATTGGAACTGATTCCTGTACTGCATGCATTAGACTTGCTTGGCAAATTTGTTGAAAAATTATCACAATCGGTGGACAAGTTTCTTGAGTAAGTTGCATATGTCTTTGGAATGTTTCTAAATGTCCTTGGTTCTTGAAATCAATCATTAAATCAATCACCAATGATCATGTGATGAACATTATCTAAGCAACCCCTTTGCCCTAATTTGTTGAATCAATAACCAACTCAACAAATCTTGGCTGCTACTCAAAAAAAAAAAAAAAAACTCTTGAAGGCAACAAGTGACCAACAGCAGCACCAAACACCATCCATTTCAAGGTTTACCCTTGAATTCACCCACCCTTTTTAGGGGCAGGCATAAACAACTATCAAGAACTACAAGATAAATAAATTAAATGGACTCCTTTCCCCCTCACTAAATAATAAAAAATAAATCTTGAGGGTGGGTTCTTTCCACAACAAACACTGTAACTATCAACCCCTTTTGTAGGCTACATTCCAAATACAGTTACAGGGTGATTCCATTGAAAACAAAATACCCTTTTTCTTTAAATTTATTTTCACTGTGTATGTGTTTTATTTTTTCCATGTGAGCCTGACAGTAAAAGCAGAAGATCCGTGATATCCGACTCAGTAGTTTTTGACAGATTCTTGATGGCATCTTAAGTTTCCTTAAACAAGAAAAAAAGACTCACTTTTTAATTAATGCTGCATCATCACCCTCACCCTACACTACCACCCCATCAATAAAATAAAGCCGTTTCCAGCATTCAATATACCCTTTCTTGTGAAAAACAAAACAACCCACAAAAATATTTCAGTGATTCACTCAGCCATCTGTCCTGAAATTGCTATTCTTTAAGTGACACACCTCATACCTACATAAATGTCTTTACTGCTGCAGTCTCTGATATCATTTTTGGTTATCTGTTAGAGAACCCTTTTCCCTACCCACCCACCCACCCCCAAGCCTCAATCATATTATCACAAGTTTTTTTTCTTTGAGGGTGTACCATGATTTGGCTTTAGCACATCATTCTATTTGCACCCTTCGGCAAATGCATTTATGGGATTGATCAATCTTCTGTTGGGAAGAAATGAGAGAAGATTCATCAAGAGAAAAGACAGTGATGCAGGGGAAGCAGGTTTGTTTTTGTTTTTATTTCATTTTGGGTTTTAGATTCATGTTTTGTGTTCTTGCGAAGCATTTTTTGTAATAATTGTGGATTATGTGTTGGGAGATTCAACAAACCATTTTAATTTCATCCTCGGATTCTCACAAATTGTTGTTATCATTCATTCAAAACTACTTTCTTGCATTCATTGCCTAAAGATCCAATTCATTTCAAGAATTGGTGTCACTGATCATCAATGGTTGAGAAATGAGAATTCCCAAATCAAGACAGCCAACAAAAACCATAATCCTGTGTAGTGTGTACTAATCCATTCCTCAAAAATTTATGCAATAACTCATCTTTTCTCACTACTTCAATAACCAAATTTACAATGCATCTCTTCGATCAGGCCGCGCGTTGGAAGAACTCCGAAGCTCCCTCTACAACGAGCTTCGAACATCCGAAGGCGCCAAGCGACAGCAGCAACGCTTCTGCGGGCCTGCCGTTGCTTTGAGCTTCAATTTTGTAGTGGCTGTTGGCATCATTTTTGGCAATAAGATGGTCTGTCATTTGTCATTTGTTATCTTTCTTGATAGAATTCTTACAGCAGATCATATGAATTGAGAGCATATATTATCACCAAAGTTTCGTCGATAATTATTTATGATATGTTGTTTCTTACAACAGGTTATGGGAAGAGTTGGATTCAATTATCCTATATTCTTAACTCTCATTCATTACACCATTGCTTGGATTCTTCTCGCCCTATTCAGACTGCTTTCGTTGCTCCCGGTGGCGCCTCCTTCCAAGACCACGCCTTTCTCGTCGTTATTCACTTTAGGAGCCATCATGGCTTTCGCCTCCGGGCTTGCAAACACCAGCTTGAAACATAATAGGTGTGTCTATATACTGAATTATCGATTACTTTAGTCCAATGTTGCGTGGGTTGCCTTATAATTTTTTGTTGTTGTTTTCCAGCATCGGGTTCTATCAGATGGCGAAGATCGCTGTCACTCCGACGATCGTTGTCGCAGAATTCGTTCTCTTTAGAAAGCTCATATCATTCCACAAGGCATTACAAAGAACATGTCTTCTTATTACAACCTTTACTCCTCAGCTGTTAAAAAACTTGAGTTGTAATGCTAAGACATCATGTGCAGGTTGTTGCTCTGGTCGTTGTCTCGTTCGGCGTGGCAGTTGCAACGGTGACGGACTTGGAATTTAATGTCTTTGGCGCCTGCGCCGCAGTCGCGTGGATAATCCCGAGCGCCGTCAACAAGATTCTCTGGTCGACTCTGCAGCAACAGGGCAACTGGACCGCGCTCGCGTGAGTGAATTATATATATATATATATATATAGTTGCGACGAGTTTTCTTACAACAACAATTATCATCATCGTGTAATATAATATGTATATGTATAGGTTGATGTGGAGGACTACGCCGGTGACGATCTTCTTCTTGTTAGCTCTAATGCCGTGGCTCGACCCTCCCGGCGTGCTGTCCTTCCCGTGGGACGTCAAGAATGTCACCGCGATCCTCATATCCGCTCTCCTCGGCTTTTTATTACAATGGTCCGGAGCGCTCGCACTCGGGTAAGAATACAATGAAACAGTACTATGTTTACACATATATATATATATATATTGTTAAACGAGCAGTGATACTATTTATCAACAGTAATTTTTGTTACTTTTTTAACTACAGGGCGACATCTGCAACGACTCATGTGGTTTTAGGACAGTTCAAGACATGCGTGATTTTGCTAGGAGGGTATATGGTTTTCGGGTCGGACCCGGGTTTTGTGAGCATTTGCGGCGCAATGGTGGCTCTCGGAGGCATGTCGGTTTACACGACATTGAGCATGAAAGAATCGGCGAGGGAGAAGAAGGGGACGGGTGGCTTTCCGTTGCCATCGATTCAGGCAGTGGCGTCGGTTGGAGACGACGATCGTGAGTTACTCGGAAAGAAATCGCCGGTTGCCGACGGCGGCGGCGGCAACGACAACTGCAGCAACAGTGTTGTTACAACAACATCAGCTGTTTGATATGGGCATACACACACATGCCTAAATGGATTTTGTTGAGTGACATGCAATGCAATTTGTATAGAAATTAAACTAATGAAAGTTCAATGGATTGCATTTTTCCGATCCTTCAAAGTTTGAATTTTTGTATGGGAATAGTAAAAAATTAAATTGATATAACTCTTGATGTTATATAAATATGTAGTTAATGTGATATTGTAATTTTCAAATTGCATTCAAACAGTTAGAATAGGAGATGGTCTTAGGATGGATTTGTTTGAGGGTGGTATTGTCCAAGGGGTTTTAAAGTTGTCAATTAGGCCATTCTGGCCCATTGCACTTTAATTAGTATAAATAGTCTCTCTTTAATTAACAAAATACAAACTACAGTCTACGTTCGCCCGATGTGACTTGTTTGTTGAGCCTAAGTTACAGTATTAGATTCGGACTGAATTTATCCAGTGCATACTATATTATTATTATTATTAACGCTGGTAGATCTTTTAATGGTGTAAAATGATCTAATTCACATCTTTGTAACAAGTTAATATTCTTGTGACAATTAAATTAAATGACAATTACATACATGCCATTCATACACAACAATAATTTTTTTTTTAGGGTTTGTTTGTTCGTGGATCCTGGTTTTTTAATAGTAAAAAGTAAAATTGAATAGTTGTTTGATCTGTAAAATAAATTGAATAATAAAATAATTATTCGAAAATGTACACTGGTCACACTAGTAAAAAGTGACCTAAGACCTCGGTATCCTCTCTAATTTTGTTTTTATATATTAAATTAGATGGACAGACACGCAGTTCAAAATTCTCAAAAGAGAAAACAAACCTAAAATTAAAACACAGCTAACACAATCATATATATATATATATATATATATATATGCAATTGATTGATTTAAATCGATACTTAACAAATTAAATTTACAAGTTTCCTAATTTGATAGTTTACAGCATACAGCTCCCATAACTAAAACATGCATTGATTCTAAAATGTTTCAATAACTACTAAGTCTACATTTTACCAAATTTAATCATTCTTTTTACGTGAGGGTATAAATATTAACATACATATAAATATAAAATAGTCATAGGATAAACATAAAAAATAAATAAATTCAATTTCCTTCATCCCATAAAACAATATACTGTTCATAAATTTTCAAATACATATAATGTATACATTGCCACGTTGATTATTAAAGATATACCGACGTGCTGTATTGACTATAATTATTATTTTTTAAAAAATAATATTTACTTTTTTAGGTCAAATAAAATATATATATCGAGAATTATGTTCCATAATTTTTTTTGAGCAAACAAACTCAATTATTCTACCAAAATTTTTAGTACATGTATCATTTCATAATAAATAGTAGTACCTAACTTAATAATTATCTTAATTAAACCTATATTTTAGGTGTGTGCGTTTATTAATATGTTTAAAACGGATATGCATTTGAATTTGAATTTGAATTTGCAAAATATAAGTTATACTCACTCCGTTCCAAAATTATAGTTTGAGTTGGGTTTCACACGAGATTTAAAGAATATTGATATTATATTGGTAGCGGTAAAAACTACGGGTAAATTTTTTTTTTACCATTGTGAGTATATCAGTGTAAAATGAAAAAGTAGGAATAATTTTATATTATGAAAATAAAACTATTGTTTTTGAAAGGGAGAGAGTATATTTTAAATAAAAAAAAGTTCAATAAAATCAAACACAAAAAAAAAAAAAAAAAAAAATCACAATTTTTTTTTTTTAAAAAATATTCATAGCATTCACTATGTAATTAATTGTCAATTAATATTCCATAATCCTCCTACCTTAATTACTCCCAGATTTCGTTAGAAAAGGGAAATAAATAACTTACTCAGTCCGTTGTGTTGCCAGGAAAGATCTGAACACAGACCACAATTCCGGCGATGTTCATTCTCATCGTCCTCCAAAATTACATACAGCCAACCATTTGCTATTGCCAGTTGCCATTGTATGTATTGGGAATGTGAATTTTGAAAATAATTAGGGAATTTTTACACATTCGTCTTCTAATTTAGTATAAGTGGAAAAGGAAGAGATTCAGACCCAGTTTTGAAATCCCTTAGAATCATTTTCGATCTCCTGTCGTCGCTCTCCAATGGCCGCCGGGAATGACTTGTCGGAAAAGCCACCCAAAAAAGTCCATGCAAGCCTCGAGATCGAAGGTACGCACGTATGCATAAATTAATTTTGATTTGACTGATTTGATTAGGGTTTTCGTTTTGCACTTGATTGAATTTGTGTTTCTGCAAATCGAAGTCGTGAATTCGAACCATTCTGTAAGGGGATCGAAGTTAGGGTTTTGATTTTATTAATTATTAATATTTCATACGGAGATGCATGCTTTGATTTTGGGAATTGAATTAGGGTTTCGTTCCGCGGGCCAAATTATTTCGCAGGCGATGATGACGACGACGAGAATTACTGTCCGATCGAGCAGGTCCGGCTGACGGTGCCGCAGACCGACGACCCGGAGCTCCCGGCCCTCACCTTCCGTACATGGACCCTGGGCCTGCTCTTCTGCGTGCTCCTGGCCTTCGTGAACCAGTTCTTCGGCTACCGCAAGAGCCAGCTCAGCATATCGTCGGTGACGGCGCAGATCGTCACCCTCCCGATGGGGAAGTTCATGGCGAACGTGCTCCCCACGCGCCGGTTCCGAGTTCCTGGGACTAGCTGGTCCTTCTCCATGAACCCGGGGCCCTTCAATCTCAAAGAGCACGTGCTGATCACCATCTTCGCCAACTGTGGCTCCGCCGGCGTCTACGCCGTCGGAATTGTCACCATCGTCAAGGCCCTGTATCGCCGCCCGCTGCACCCTCTCGCCGGATTTCTCTTGGCCCAAACCACTCAGGCAAGTCCAATCAATTCTTCGATATATATAAATATACATTATCCATACATATATATATAACCGTGTTAATTTACAGATGCTTGGCTATGGTTGGGCTGGAGTGTTCAGGAGACTTCTGGTGGATTCACCGTTCATGTGGTGGCCGGATTCCATGGTACAAGTGTCTTTATTCAGGTATAATTAATTAAATAAAATTGAATTGATGATATCTTGATCTTAATTTGATTTATGAATTATTTATTTACAGGGCTCTGCACGAAAAGGACGAGAGGCCGAAGGGGGGTTTATCCAGGGTGCAATTCTTCCTTGTAGTTTTGATCTCCAGCTTCGCCTACTACATCATCCCAGGCTACTTGTTCCCCTCCATAGCCGCAATTTCGACCTTGTGCCTAATCTGGAAGGACTCCGTACTGATACATCAAATCGGGTCGGGTCTGCACGGGTTGGGGATCGGGTCGTTCTCCCTGGACTGGTCCGCCGTGGTGAGCTTCCTGGGGAACCCGATTGCGTCGCCGGGGTTCGCCATTATTAACACTCTGGTAGGGTTCTTCATTGTGATGTATGTGATGCTGCCGATCACTTACTTCAACAACATCTACGAGGCGAGGAAGTTCCCGATCTTCTCGTCCCACACGTTCGACCGCGACGGGCAGCGGTACAACATCTCGCGCGTGCTCAACCCGCAGACCTTCAGCATCGACATGGATGCTTATTTGGGGTACAGCAAGCTTTACCTCAGTGTGTTCTTCGCCTTCACTTATGGCCTCGGATTCGCCTCGCTTGCGGCCACCATCACCCACGTCGTACTTTATCACGGAAAGTGAGTCTGAATTCTAAGTTGCAGAAATTTCTAAATTATAATCTGGAATCGATGATTTTGATGATGATGACGATGGTGGGTGGGTGTGCAGGACGATATGGTCGCTGTGGTCCAAGGCCCAGAGCACCCTGGACAGGAAAGTGGACGTGCACACGAGAATCATGAGGAAGAACTACAAGGCGGTCCCGGAGTGGTGGTTCCACGCCATACTTGTCCTCACCTTCGCCCTCTCCTTGTTCGCCTGCCAAGGCTTCGGCAAGCAGCTCCAGCTCCCATGGTGGGGCCTCGTCATGGCCTGCCTCATGGCCTTGTTCTTCACCCTCCCTGTCGGCATCATTCAAGCCACAACAAACATCGTACTGATCACTCACTCACTTTCTCTCTCTTCCCTTTTTACATCACATATATATGATCTCTCTCTCTCTCTCTCTGAACACAGCAAATAGGGCTGAACATCATCACAGAAATGGTGATAGGCTACATCCTCCCAGGGAAGCCTCTAGCCAACGTGGCCTTCAAGACCTACGGATACATAAGCATGTCCCAGGCCCTGGCTTTCCTCGGCGACTTCAAGCTGGGCCATTACATGAAGATCCCTCCAAGGTCCATGTTCGCAGCTCAGCTGGTGGGGACAGTGGTGGCGTCCTCGGTCTACTTCGGGACCTCCTGGTGGCTGCTGACCAGCATCCCCAACATCTGTGACCAGGACAAGCTCTCCAAGGGCAGCCCCTGGACCTGCCCGGGGGACAACGTCTTCTACAACGCGTCCATCATCTGGGGGGTCATCGGCCCCCTCCGCATGTTCGCCAGCCTGGGTGTCTACGGCAAGCTCAACTGGTGGTTCCTGGTGGGGGCGGTGGCCCCCTTCCCGACGTACCTCCTGAGCAAGAAGTACCCGGAGAAGAAGTGGATACGGCTGGTGAACATGCCGCTGATCCTTGGGGGCACCATGAACATGCCGCCGGCGCAGTCGCTCAACTTCATCATGTGGGGGGCCGTGGGGCTGTTCTTCAACATGTACGTCTTCCGCGTCTACAAGAAGTGGTGGGCGCGTCACGCTTACGTCATGGCTGCGGCCCTCAACGCCGGGATCGCCTTCATGGGGGTGCTGCTGTTCTTCACGCTCCAGTCGTACGACATCGAGGGGCCCGACTGGTGGGGGCTCGACACCGACGACCACTGCCCGCTCGCCTCCTGCCCCACCCACCCCGGCGTTCAGGCTGACGGCTGCCCGACTGTTGCCAGTTGACTATACTGTTTCATTAGTAAGTAAGTACGTTTGGCACAAGATCCTCACTATCATGATCGTGTTGTGTCATGATGATGAGGATCTCTGCCCGTACGTAATTGATTATTTTATTTCTGTAATTTGTGCTTTAAATTTGTGGATAGTCAATTAATCACATGCCATCTTCTTCTTCTTCTTCTTCTTAAATATGTAATCTTGTTAATGTGTTTTGTTTTGATTTTATTTAAAGTTTGAGTGGATTGATTTATGGGACCTTAATTCGATCTTCTTGATTTTGTTTGTTTAAGATGTGCATTATTGATGAATCACATGCTACTACTACTATTTAATTTACTCCCTCCGGCTATAGCCTAAACATGTGTCTAGTTTGTATTTTATCTAATTTAACCCACATCTATATTAAATTATAGTAGTATAATTTTAAATATATTTTTAATCAAATATTTCTAAGGGTCCGAGGGAGGACCATACTCAAACAAAATTAAATAAAACTCATATTTCAACTACAACTTATTATTGCTATTTTTTTTTTTATGAGGTGGAAATCCGAAAGTACGCACTCCGTAAACTCCCGATTAAACCTAATACCCTCCAAACTAAGTCCGACTGGCAAGTTACAGTCACATGTATACACATTTTACTGTCTAATTGATAAGATTCTCAATATAATATATTTTCTTTTCATTTTAATTAGTAAAAATATTATATTATTGTTTGTATACCTTTTCTTTTATAAGGAAAAAAATAAAATGAAATAAGTACTATTTACTTTTACAAAATACTCTAATAAATCAATAATCCACTCACTTTAATAATTCACATGCATTATATCTATTTATGAAAAGTTTATAACAAAAATAATAGCCTATAATAATGCTAGATGTTTATTTTTAGTATTTTATATTTTAATATTTTTTAAAATAAATGTTTATTTAATATAATATTTTACATTAAAACATATTTACTTCTATTTAAGAAATAAAAAATTCGTAATAATATAATAATAATAGTTACTCAAATACTCTACGTGGCCGAATTATTCTTTGGCCCAAGGAAAAATTTCCCCTCCAAAATAATTCCTTAAACAAAAAGAAAATTAATGATTTAAATATATATAATACATAAGAAAAAGAGCCAACCAATGTCAAGGGTTGTCTAGTCTGCTGTGTCAATCTGAAGAAAAACCCTTACCTAAAAACCCTGCGCCGCGCAAGCCGCCCGCTCGCCGCCGTCAACTAACGCACCGCCACCGCCACCGCCACCGCGGCGGAAAATCGTCGTCTTAAGAATATTCAAGAGGTAACATGCTCCGAATTGACGTGAATGTGTTGTTGGCGTACTGGTTACACTTATTTTCTGTTAATTAGCAATGTTTATTTTCGCCAAAATATAGGTGATCTTTGTTATTGTTTAATTCCTGCAAAACAATGAACAAATAGCAGATTAGTTCTACGGGATAAGTTGGGGCGATTGTTCATGTAATGTATTAACGCCTCATAGCATCAGGAGGACGGTTTTTATTTATCATGTTGCGTTTGTTAACTTTCTGTGGTTCATGTGTGCAGTAAAATGGCTGGTCCTAAACTCGGCAAGAAGAAGGGCGGTAGGGCTGCAACTATTCCCCCTAGGAAGAAGCAAAAAGCAGAATTTAGTTTGGAAAAAGAGTCGGAAAAAGAGGACTTGTTTAGTGATTCTGATGTCACAGACGAGCCTGAGAACTTTGGGGAATCAGATGGGGAAGAACCGGAGAAGGATTCTGATTCAGACATGTCATCAGAGGATGATGATCCATTTGCAGATGATATACTAAAAGGAAATAGCGATGATGGTGGTGATGATGATGATGAAGGTACTGTGTTTTGTGGTGGTTAGAGGCATGTTTTAGTATCTTTATATTCAATTTATTATGGTGTTTTGTATGTTTTAATTTTCAGAGGAGAGTTCTGGTGACGACTCAGATTCAGATGCATCTGACATTGAGAAGAGTGCAAGGGCTATTGATGAGGAAAAAGCACAGGAAGAAGAAGATGCAGAGGCCGAATTGCAGCTTAACATCAAAGAAGAAACTGATGAGTTTAGATTACCAACTGAAGAGGTTTGGTTTATGATCTTCCATTTTTCACTGTGAGGTTTAAATTGTCCATTCCACTTTAAACCATTTAGGTATTCTTATTGTGAACTTGGTTGGAATGATATAGGAGCTTGAAGAAGAAGCAAATAGACCGCCAGATCTTTCCAATCTTCAGAGAAGGATAAAAGAGAGTATGTTGGCTTTATATGCATATCTTGTTAGGAAATTTGGAATTATTTTGATTTGAGTGCTGACTTTGAATAATTATTTCAGTTGTGCGCATCCTTTCAAATTTTAAGTCTTTGAGTCCAGAGGGTGCATCACGGAAGGATTGTATCAATCAACTTAAACTAGACTTATGCTCTTACTATGGATACAATGAATTTCTAATTGAAGCGTTGATTGAGGTTGCTCTCCTTCTTCCCAAAGAACTTATGTTCAATGCTTCCATTTATTTTCTTTATTGATTAATGATTTCAAATTGCCTGTGACAATATTTTTTCAGATGTTTCCTGCTGTTGAACTTATGGAACTTATTGAAGCCTTTGAGAAGCCTCGACCTATATGCATTCGCACAAACACTTTGAAGGTAATATTTAATTTTAGTACTTCACTTGCAATCTTTCTCTCGGCCAATAAATTGCATCAGGTTGACATCTGTAAATTGGATGCAGACTCGTCGGAGGGACCTGGCTGGTATTCTATTAAATCGAGGAGTCAACCTTGATCCATTAAGCAAATGGTCCAAGGTAAGATCTTTTTGTTGTTTATAGAAATTCCTTATTTAAGATATAAGGCTACAAGTATACCTCAACAATAATATATGAGCATATTTGTTTTCCTTTAGGTTGGTTTGGTTGTATATGATTCACAAGTTCCGATTGGTGCAACTCCAGAATATATGGCTGGCCATTATATGGTATCTTCTTCTGACCCTCTTATTTCCAGGTCATATATAAGTTTGTGATAAATCTAATCCCTTAATTGCTGGCAGCTTCAAAGTGCGAGCTCCTTTTTACCAGTTATGGCCCTTGCTCCTCATGAAAAGGAAAGAATTGTTGACATGGCGTGAGTATTATTTTCCTGGCCTTTTTGTGCAATTGTGTTTGCGTTACTCACTAGTACATGACCGGATAACATGTTCACTGCCCCTATTAGCAGCGATCTCCCAATACTATGGCAGCATCTCTTATTCATATTGTCTTTAAGATGCATGTGAAAAAAAGATCCTATCTACACTGAGAATGCATTTTTATGTAATTAGACCATAAATGGTGTGGCTACTGTTTCTTCTCTTTTACAATCCTTCCCTTCTGATTTAGTTTGCATTTTTAGGGCTGCTCCTGGTGGTAAAACGACTTACATTGCTGCTCTTATGAAAAATACTGGTGAGTTACTTGTCTGGAGCTATATCTGCCAAGTAGCTATGTTACTTTAATCTCTTTCTGTAAAAGCCAAGAGCATCTGGTATATGTCCGACTTTTATATCCCTTCCCCTGTTATACACTTGTATCTTCAATTCTACACATTTGTTGATGGCTAAAAGAATATTCCCTTCCTTTCTAATGCATATTTTGGTGGAAATATGGGAAGCATTTTTTTTTTTGTTTTTTTGTTTTTTTTTTTTTCTGTTCTCCACTGAAATAAATAGTAGTCATAGTTGGTATGGCAGTTGAAATTCCTTTTTAGTATCTACACTTGTCTGCAATATGCACACAAGCCTTAAATGTAATACCATTCTACTTATCTTCCGCTTCTTCCTACAATATGATGGTTATTATTTATTCTGTCGTTCATATGCATCTGATACACTTCTTCTTTAAAAGGTATCGTTTATGCAAATGAGATGAAGGAATCAAGACTCAAATCACTAACTGCAAATTTGCATAGGATGGGTGTGACCAACTCCATAGTTTCTAACTATGATGGGAGGGAGGTGATGGTTTTAGCTTACTTTCCCTGATTCTGTAAAGAAGATATTATATCATTATTAGCTTTTGTTTGGGGTTTTTTGCCAGCTCCTCTCTGATATTGTTAAATGTAATGTGTTGTTTTTTACCTTCTACTTCAGCTGCCCAAAGTTCTAGGGAACAACTCAGTAGATAGAGTATTATTGGATGCTCCTTGCAGTGGCACTGGGGTATGTAATCAGTCATAACTTAAGTAATAGTTGAGCTTCTAGCCTAGCAGGAGAAGAAAATGGTGTGACTTTTTTTCTTTCTTTCTTTTTTTTGGCAGGTTATTTCCAAGGACGAGTCTGTGAAAACCTCAAAAAATAACTTAGATATACAAAATTGTGCCCATCTACAAAAGGTATGGAGCCTTCTGTAAGAATTGAAGAAATTTCATTGCACCACCTTACCTTTTGTGGGGAATGGACCCTTCTTTTTATGTCCAAGGCAACTATTGATCGTCAGTAAATTTGATTGTCTGTTGTGTGAAGTATTACTTCTTATTTTATTTATTTTTTTCATCCTTTTGCTGTGTGAGAAAGTTTCATCCCATATTCTAAGAAGATACATAAGGAAATCATTTCATTCATGTGTCCTTCGTCAGCCTGTTTAATTTTTGGCCTTAACTTTTGACAGTACGAAGTTCCTGTTATATTTCTTCTAAGTTGTGACCTTCTGACTATAACATCGCTCCATGTATATTCAATAATGAGTTAGGAATATGTTACTCCTTTCCAACATCGTTGCTGCTAAACAGTTTCTCTAATGGTTATTTGCTCTTTTATTGGTGGATGCAGCAACTAATACTTGCCGCAATTGATATGGTGGATGCAAACTCAAAATCAGGAGGATACATTGTTTACTCCACATGTTCCATAATGGTTGCCGAGGTATGTGGCTCTGGGACTGTTAATTCAACCTCAAAACATTTATCTATCTTCATTCTCAATTTTGAAATAAATTTCAGAATGAAGCTGTTATTGACTATGCACTCAAGAAGCGGGATGTTAAACTCGTGCCCTGTGGACTTGATTTTGGGCGTCCAGGGTACTGCTTCTACTTGTTTAATTCATTTTGGCAGGACAATTAATGCATTAGATAATTGTGATCTGACAACATTTCATCCTGTTCAGATTTATTCGCTTCAGAGAGCATCGCTTCCACACTTCCTTGGATAAGACCAGGCGGTTTTATCCCCACGTACACAACATGGACGGATTCTTTGTGGCCAAGGTTTGTCTTCCCTATTCTTTGATGTTAATCAAATTAAGAGCTTTCGTGTTACTGCATTTCATTCCACTACTAAATATTTTCATTAACGCTATATGCACATCTCAGCACAAACACCAAATTTGATTGCATTGATAATGCTGCTTTTCAGCTGAAGAAAATGAGTAATACAAAGCCAACTCCACAACAGTCTGAAAATTTAGGGGAGGTTGAGGAATCTTTGGCATCAGTTGAGAAAAACGATCAAAAAAATCCTCAAGGTGATAAACACAAACAACAGAAAAAGATTGCTGTGAAAGAGAGCAAAAAAGTCACCAACGGCTCTACTAAATTGGCGACAGGAAACAAAGCGATGGGGAATGAAAAGAAGAGTAAAAGGAAATTACCTTCGAGGGAAGAAATTGCAGAAGCTAGGTAAAATGCTGTGGCTTGCAGAATGTTGATATTAATATGATAGCATAAGCGAAATCCACTGCTCTTTGTACGACACCTTAACTTTCTTTCTTCATCATCTGCAGAGAAGCAAAAAGACAAGCTCTATTGGAGGCAAAGAGAAAAGCAAAATCAGGAAAACAAGGCAAGCCCTAGTGCCAGGGAACTTAAGAATACAAAATGATTCGCTTCGCCTCAGTTAATGCACCGGAGGATGCAACATTGTATGCCTCTGGAAAATATCACAGCAGGTAATAGTTGAAATGTGGGGATCCTGCTGTTAGTTATCATCTACATGTTATTTAAAGATCTGTATCACTGGTTGAGTTGAATTTGATGCAATAGTTTGGTACTTTTGGCTGTATAATGCCACTAAATTTTGTTACTTCTGGTCATTATGTAAATGTAATGCCCCAGACGCATTTACCATTTCAAGAATTTTCACATTGCTTACCTGCTCCACAGAATAAATATTGACTAACAGTAGAATTTAATTACAAAAAGGAATAAAAAACACTAATAGCCAAGATGTTAATTAATCCCATGAGGTTATCCAGAGTTTTAACCATGACCAGAGAGAGGTTATTGATAATAAGGATAAAATCAACCTACCACACCGCACCACACAATGCAATGCTTTTGATAATAACTACAGACAAATCCTACTTGGTGTTATTCGCCACAGTTCGTCGTTGTCGCTTGTATGTTCTATGGCCATCCTCCTTGACTGCTGCTGGAGCATTTTTGTTAGTAGCATCAGAATCGTCGGCTGCAGAAGCCTCCAATGCTTCCGGCGGATTGGCAGAAGTATCATGCTTTTGCGCAGAATTGTCGCAGCTTATGGAGTCCATGTCCGGATCTTTCCTTTTCCCTCCGACTGCTGCGAGTGTATCACCATCTGCAACAACAACCTCGCTCGCTACTTCAGCAGAAGCCAAATGCTCGGTGGCGGATATTTGATCCATTGCTGAAGAAGGCACACCCTCCTCAGTCGAGGGCATTGATTCATCGACTTCATGTCTTATGCTATCGAGTGGTGTTAGTGTCACAGCACCTTGGGCCACTGGTAGAGAAGGTTCCGGATTGGACAGAGTGTCGGGTCCATTGCTATCGGTCGCTACCTGGTTAGGCGGTGCAGGGGCTGTCGAACCGTCATGCTCCTCTGCAGCAGGTTCGGAAGAGTCAGGATTTTCGAGAGGTGGTGTCTCAGTAAACTCTACGGTTGCATCGTAATCCCCCCCTGCATTTACAGGGGCCTCGGGTTCAGCCGGTAAGATTTCAGTGTTACTGTAGTCGACTTCAGCTACAGGGGCATCGGATTCGCCGGGTAAGACTTCATTGCCTCTGACATCTTCTTGTTCAGATCCTGGATGAGTAGCATCAGCATAATCTGTGAAGACTGGTGCATCTTCATGTAACGAAAAGTTGGCGCTTTCTCCTGTTTGTAGCATCACTGAATCCTCGTGACTGTGAGGGTTGGTAGACATTCCGAGCATAGAGGGGTTGGCGTGGGACGGGGAAGCTTCTCTACTACCGGTTATGGTGTCCAACTCTATCATCTCCACCTGTAAGTTGTCCTCTAGTTCGACCAACGAAGAGTCCCTCGAGAATGGCGCAACAGAAGGCTGCATATCCTGTTCAGAGATATCGTGCGGAAGCCCGGGGCTGTCATTAAGTCTCATAGAAGTAGAGGGTGCAGGCGACAATGGTGAGTAGGGATCACTTTCGCCGAGCAAGTATCCGGTCATTGTACCTCTTCTTCTCGGCTTACAGCGCTTAGTTTTAGGACCAACTGGAATCGTCGGTTCCTGCTCCAGGAGAATGTTCTGGTTTTTGCTACATGTTCTCAGCGCGCAAGCACAGATATCCTGAATCTTCCCGAGGGCTTGATAGAGGTGCGATCTCGTATCTGTGTAAAAAGGTCAGGTTTAAGAAAGAACGACAATTTTTACAAAAAGGTTTAAGAACGAATGATCATTGGTCACCTGTAGCTTCAGAATCCAAATGCAATGCATTTGGATCCTTAGTGTCCTGGAACTCGGACGCACTGAGTGAAGAATCCCATGTCTGTGGAGTATCAGGCTGTCCAATATTTGATTGAAAAAGGTTCGATGAAAGAGGAGAGTGAGAAACTGCAACCGAGGTAGACATTGTTGCTTGTGCATACGAACCTCTCCTACGTTGCTCAGTAGCTGATCCACCACTAAAGCCTCCTCTTTTCTTGGGTCTGCCTCTCGGCGCTCTTGGTGCAACAAATGGGGTTACAGCAGCCGCCCCGGGCGACAGAAGTTCTGGTTTGACAGTGAGACGATGGGTATCTTGAACTGTTCTCAAGGAATATGCGCATATGTCTTGTATCTCTCGGAGTGCATCTTCGCCGGATATCTCCCAGCCTTGGTGGATCGCATCAGTGGCACGATGGTATATTTTTTGTAAGCTCTGAGCCTGGATAGGAGGCAAAGTGAAAAATTAGATCTCAAGTATAAAACTGGGACACAAATGTGGCGAAAAAATAAAGGCCCCCACCATTCCCTCGACTGTTCCTCCTTCTCCCGAGTATCCAGTATTTGGACGACTAGCCGGATTGCCAATCAGCAAACGAGTAATTTGTCTGTACCATATTATGTATGGATTGTTCTGGTCAACTGGGCATTCAATAGGTGGTGAAGTTACAACACGGTCACAGCGTGCAGCCCACATATCAACAAATTGCTTGTGATGGTGCGCCCAGTCATAGTTTTGTCTTCCGCGACGATCAGTAAGATGGATGTCTGGAATAGTATCGCAAGCAACTGGGATCGGTTGTTGTTGCCCAAACTGACGCAGGACACGGTCAGGGTGGTAGAACTCTACCACATCAAAGCAGATGAGAGGAGACACGGATTGCCAGATTCGTCTACCTGAAATGCAGTACTCAGGAAGGCCATCCAACACGTCAAGAGGATACGGTTCCCACACAAACTAAAACACGGAGCAGAAATTGAAATTTGGTTAGAATTTATTGCATTGCCATGTGTAACTGCAAATACTAAACCAAGAATAACACATAAAGAACCTGATCATCCTTCATATTGTCTAGTTGGTCTCTATACCGCACCAAGACATGTTTTCCTACACTTTCCAGCTTAAAACCAACATTCCACCTGTAAGTAGATACGAAGAGTACAGTTATTTATGTTACCAGCACAGCATAATGTCGAAGCATAAGAGAACATGTAACTTTTGGTTTTAGGAGAATCATGTACCGGGAACCGTAAGGAGCAGCAGGCAAAGGGGGCTCCCCAGCAACAATATCAGGCGGTGGCAACTCTCGTGGTTCTAATCTCCCAGGTCTTATAAATGTCATTCTCTCCCATGCCCAAATCTAATTAATATAAGTAAAGAAAATGTAGGGCTCTCATTGTTAGGGTACTTCAATTCACATATTGAACACCAAACAATTATCGAAATGTGCAAAAGTATTACCTGCAGTAGCACAAGCGGACCACATATATCTGATGTCTCAGGTTTGGTTGCTCGGCAGAGAGCACGGTAAAGACATGCCAGGACAGCGCTACCCCAGCTAAACCTACCAGCTGTCTCAAAATCCCTCAGCAGGGGTAAATACATCAACTTTACTTTATTATTAGACATATCCGACAATAGCTGCCCCCCCAGCAACTGCAAAATGTATGCTCTGGCATAAAACTTCACTGTGTCCTCAGATGCACCTTCTGGCAATGTTTTAAATCTTTCCTGTAAGCATCTGATTTTGAGACGACCACGATCAAAATCCTCAGGAGGTGGTCTAAAACCCAGCAGCTCGTTACATATCTCCTGCCATTCAACCATCGACCGATTGGTATCAACACCAGTAATAGGTTCACCATCTACAGGGAGACCCCATAGGACAGAAATGTCCTGCAGTGTGACGGTGGTCTCACCAACTGGCAAATGGAAAGTATGGGTCTCTGGACGCCATCGCTCAACCAATGCTGTGATCAATGCATGATCCAGCCGTATACGACCGGCTTTGTACACCCCATAGAAACCTGCTTTCAACATCATATGCTGCACTCGTGGGTGCACAACACCCAATCGCCAAAAGTGGCCATCACATCTCCTACATGTCAGAGGCTCAAAATCATGACCATTCCATATATCGGTGGACCTGTGATGGTCCTGTAAAGTAAGTATAGAGTCATCGATGGGTCCAGGATGCAGCGTGTGACCAAGTCCTGCGTCCATCTAACAAAAGCACCTGAAAATGTAATTAACTAATCAACATCGCACTGAGAGCAATACTCGAGAGTCGAGACATAAATTAATACAACAATCCAAAAGAACATATATCAGCTCTCAGAAAACGAGAATTCCCACATTAAGGCCCCTAAACAACATGCATCACAGCAGGCAAATGCATGACATGTGTTTCTTATTAGCTCTATCTCAAACTACAAATCACTTCTCTCCTTATTAATTTCAACATTTCTTACCCCTCTTACCCCACATCCTCATCTCATTATGATCGTGATCAATTTGACAAAAAATTATAGGAAGCAAAAAATTGAAAAGATGATGATTGACAGGTCATAAACTAAAATGCCATATGACACAGCCTGCCAAGTTGTATCATCTACATGGAATGACTTCCCAAGCACAGAAAAAACATATTTCCTATAACAAATATCATGGAAATTCTTATACTTATTGTACGAGGAACGACTCAAATGCACAAAAAACATGCCTTCTTGAATCTCACCACACATACATACAAACACAGATAGAAGTCCCCATCTCCGAGTCAGAATTCTCCAAATTACAAAACCAATTCACTCCACCACCAGCAACAACGACAAATCAGCCACCACCACCCCGCATCACACCAACAAAATTACAAAACAAAAAGTAATCACCACAATCTCAGAACTCAAAAGCATTTCCGGAAAAAAAGAAAAAAAAAAAAAAAAAGGCTTACCGAACCAGAATTCCACAAACCCGAGCGTCCGCGTTCCTCACTCCCTCGAGTCGCACACAAAATTCACCCCGACCAACATCAATCTCACCAACGCAGGCTCCGAGACGGATCCCGTCAAGAACAATAAATTCCTGTAGCCGGGGAAAAAAGGAGGGAACAAATGTATGAAATTCCAACGGCTATTCTTCACTCAGTCGAGTCCAGATCGCCATTAGAGAATCGTAGGCGCGACTTCGCTTCCCCTCTGCGCGTTTTGGGAAAAAGGGATAAAAGTGTTAGGGTTTTTGTTCGGTTGGTTAACCCAGCAACCTCCCAAACCTAAAAGCGTCCCACCCCTTTTCTATCCCTATCTTTGTTTTTCCTCAAAGGGGTCTCCATTTTTCCCCAATATCAAATCCACCTCTAAACTATTACTTATTCTTATTTTCCGCCCACTACTTTTCGCTCTTTCCATTAAACGGCACGAAACTCGTGGCACGATTTTAGTTACGTGGTTATCTTACACCAACAATTTAGATGAATTTTTCTATTACATATTTTTTTCCAAGTAAATAGTACAGTACAGCATATTTAATATCAATATAATATATTTGCGTCATTTAAACTATAACTACATATTGCATTTTTTCTTACCGTATTTGTTATTGTATTTCATGTATGTGGGCCTTATAAATTATAGGCCCAGTTATAGGACTAAGTAATGGATTGGCTATATTTATTTATAGGCCCAGTTATAGGACTAAGTAATGGATTGGCTATATTTATTTATAGGCCCAGTTACAGGACTAAGTAATGGATTGGCTATATTTATTTATAGGCCCAGTTATAGGACTAAGTAATGGATTGGCTATATTTATTTGGTACGATAGGATTTGTGGCCCAATCCAATTTGAGATTCTGAAATACAAAAACCCATCAGCCCAAACCCAATTGTAATTTTATAAGTAAGAATTGATATTTATATTACAGTGAACAAACACTAAACGCAGTCCTAAATTGGAAGGAAGGAAGAAGACAGTAAAGGAAGAACCCTAACCCTAACCCTAACCCTAACCCTAGAATTTGGTGGGTGGGTGGGGCCGCCGGGGGGACAGGTTTGAGCAATTGTAGGGCCGTGTGTTGATTCACACGACAAACTTCCACTCAAATCATTCAATCTGTAAAAGCTATCTTTGACCCCTCCCTCTGTCTCTCTCGCTACAGAGAGTAGAATCATTATTATTATATGTAGAAGGAAGGAGACGATTGAAATGGTAATGTGGTAGGCCCACCCCCACCCCACCCCACCCCCACTGGCCAGTTATCCACCCAAACCCAATTCGCTCTTTTCCCCTGCTTCGACATTCTCAAAAGCTCACCATCTTTCTCTACTGCTTTTTCTGCATCAGTGCAAGTCTCGGAACTCTTCTACAGTTTTGATCATCGCCGAAGTCCAACCGATCGATTGTTTCGCCGTTTCTTCGCTTCTCCGCCAGGTGAGTTTCTGTGCTCTGTTTGAATTCGTATCTTTTATCCGTACAATGAATTAGATAGCATTTTGTATCATTGTGGAGATTCAATGGATCAACCTTCCTTCCAGTTCCTGGTAGGGTTAGCCTAGAGGAGTGGGTGGGTCATTGTTAAAGATCGATCTCTCTGTTCGTGGACCCATTAATTCATTCTCTTCCAGTTGTTCTTGTTTCCTTAATATCATGGATTCCCCCTTTGTTCGTTAATTTATACCCTAATTGATCTGTACCTGCTTCCTTCCATGTCTATGTTTGTATCCCAATTTTGCAGTTCCAATTGATGTTTGTTTATGGAGGATACTGATCTTGATTAATCCTTGTTGCTAGCTAGGCGATGATATTGATCGATTCAATTAATTCCAAGTCTCTGTTTACTGATGGCTTTGTCGCAAAAACACATCGAAACCTTTGGTTCTAAGAAACATATGGCGGAAACCTCAAGAGAACCAAAACTACCTAACCATATGTCGAAGGGATTAGTCAGTTCATTGGCTAGTAAATTGGATCAAAGCTTAAACTTAGGTAAGTCAAAGCCATTGCCATTGTCATTGCCCGGAAATGGAGATCGAAAGCTCCACGATCGGATCGATTTCACCGAGAGCGGGATAAGCAGCAGCATGTGCCGAGACAGCACGGGCTCAGACATGAGCGACGAGAGCAGCTGCAGTAGCTTCAGCAGTAGCGTGAACAAACCGCACAAATCGAACGATCAACGATGGGAGGCGATCCAGGTTGTCCGGAAGAAGGACAGCCCGTTGGATCTTAGGCACTTCAGGTTACTGAAGAAGCTCGGCTGCGGCGACATCGGAAGCGTTTACCTCTCGGAATTGTGCGGCACCAACTGCTACTTTGCTATGAAGGTTATGGATAAAGCTTTGCTCGCCAGTCGGAAGAAACTGCTGCGCGCGCAGACGGAGCGCGACATTCTGCAGTTGCTCGACCACCCTTTCCTCCCGACGCTCTACACTCACTTTGAGACGGAGAAATTCTCCTGTTTGGTAATGGAGTTTTGCCCCGGCGGCGACTTGCATACGCTCCGGCAGAGGCAGCCGGGGAAGCACTTTTCCGAGCAGGCAGTAAAGTAAGCTTAAGATCATCGAAAACGTATTGTTTATTTATGTGTATTTAGTTTTCATTACATATTCGTTTTTTTTTCCGCAGGTTTTACGTAGCCGAGATTCTCCTCGCGTTGGAGTATCTCCACATGCTCGGGATCGTCTACCGCGACCTAAAACCCGAGAACGTTCTTGTCCGGGAAGACGGGCATGTAATGCTCACCGATTTCGACCTGTCGCTCCGCTGCAGCGTCAGCCCGACGCTGATCAAATCCGCCACCCTTGATTCCGACCCGTCGAGGAGAAACGCTGCGTACTGCGCCCAGCCGGCTTGCATCGAGCCGTCATGCATACAGCCGTCGTGCGCAATGCCGTCCTCGTGTTTCACTCCTCGGCTCTTCTCGAGCAAGTCGAGGAAAGACCGGAAGCTCAAAACCGAGACGGGAAATCAAGTGAACCCGTTGCCGGAGCTCATTGCGGAGCCTACCGATGCTCGATCGATGTCGTTTGTGGGGACTCACGAATACTTGGCTCCCGAGATCATTAAAGGCGAAGGGCACGGCAGCGCTGTCGACTGGTGGACGTTTGGAGTATTTTTGTACGAGCTGCTCTTTGCGAAGACTCCGTTTAGAGGATCGAGCAATCGGGCCACCCTTTTCAATGTCGTGGGTCAGCCTCTGCGTTTCCCGGAATCGCCGATGGTTAGCTTCGCGGCTCGTGATCTGATCAGAGGGTTGCTGGTGAAGGAGCCGCAGAATCGGTTGGCGTATAAAAGAGGAGCGACGGAGATCAAGCAGCACCCGTTCTTCGAAGGTGTGAACTGGGCTCTGATCCGGTGCGCCACCCCGCCGGAGGTGCCAACGCCTGTTGAGTTTGGTACAGTTGCCGGACCGGTTCTTGGAACCGGCGTTAAGGCCGCTCCGGTTCACCAGAACTCGGACGGTTACCTGGAGTTTGATTTCTTTTAGAATGATTTTCAGTGATAAGAGTTTGGTGTGATTTGTAGTGTTTGTGTATGGGGAGGAATGATGTTTTTATGATTTTGTTGTATGCATTTGGACATTGTAATATTGTTCATCATCAAAATATATATTTTATTTCAAATTAAGTGGGTGTCTTTTGGCACTGCACAATTTATAAGTGAATAATTTCACTTTAATTTTCAAAATACTCTCCAAGCATATGTTAAATCAACTATTTATTCAATCATTGATCATCATACATCTTCAAAGACATAGTATTATTATTATTTACTGTTACTTTTTCAAAACATGTCCAAACAACATAATAACGACATGCATATATCTTCATCATGTAGGAAATTAGAAAAAGCATTTGTCCTATTCATTCCAACCAAAACATTCATCACATAAACTTAATTTCAAGATTCATCAGACAGAGAAACTTGGCCAAGACACAAATCACTCATCAGGTTAAAAAAACAAAAACCCCTCAGGGAAATAACTTTAGCCAAGCATGTTTGCAAGAACTAGTCAGCAATATTTCCTGACTTCAAACCAACAAGATCCTCAAAATATACACACACAAAAAAACAAAAGCTTCAAATATACACACACAAGAAAAAACATCGATAATTAAGTAAATTAAACTCACCAGCTGGGCTTCTCTCCCGGCAAGTAAGACGGCGACCCGCCGCTGCCGGCAGCACGGCCGTCGACTTGGTTTTTCTTCTTAAGAAACACATTGGTCAGGCTGGGCATCAGTGCTTTCTTGGTGATGGAAGTCTTGGCTTTCTCCAGCTTCCGGGCTTCCGATCCTTTCACTAGGGGCGACTGCTTCGAGATTTGGTAACTGCGTGGGGACGATTCGAAGGTGTTCTCTGTTTCTGCAAGAATACGCGAGGCTGCTTCTGCTGCCTTCTTTTGTTCCCGTTCGCGCCATCTTCTGAGCTCTCCCTCGACAGCCCTCCGAGCAGCCTCCGCCATTTCCGCTTTCTTGAGTGCCTCCTGAGTCGCGATTTTCATCTCTTCAATTTCCTTACGGGTCGCCTCTAGTCTCCTGACCGCCTCGTTCTCGCCGGCTTTCACAGCTTCCACCTGAGCTACTGCAGCCGCAACTTTGATCTCAGCTAATTTCTCGGATTCTTCGACCTTCCGGCTTAGCGCTTCGAACTCGTCTCGGGAAATAGTTATCTGAGCGCCGGGCTCTGAAGTTGAGGAGCGTGCGGCGTCGGTTTTTTCGGATAATGCCCGGATTTGGTCGAGCGCTCTAGCCTCAGCTGCCTTTGCTACTTCAGCTTCATGTGTTGCAAGTTTGAGTTTCTTTTCGGCTTCTTCTAATTCAAGTCTGGCAGCCTCGGCTTCTCTTTTAAGCTCCTCGGCTTGCTGCTTCATCTCTTCGGCTTCGTGCTTTGCTAGTTCTCTCTCCAGTGCCAACTGTTTGACAGTCGCAGTCATGTCATCACATGCACCCCGTGCTTTGTCTTCTTCTGCAAGTGCGTCTTTCAGCTCGGATTTGGCTTTCTGCAGCTTAACATGAAGATTACCTGCAGTTGATTCGGTTTCTGCTTCCTTATCCTTCAATTCAGAATGCTCCTTTTTCAGATTATCCAGTTCTTGTTTGAGGCTCTCGACTAGGGTCCTCAGACCGCCCTCCTGTTCGACTACTTTTTGCAGCGATTCTTTAGCTCCATCCAGCTCTGAAGTAACAGTCTTAACAGAATCAAGATCCGCAGTTCTTTTGCTCTCCATTTCGTTCTGGAGAACTTTGATCTCTGACAATGTTTTGGCCAGTTGAGTCTCCAGACTCTTGATGTGTTCGGGATCAATGTCTTTCTTCAAAGCAAGTAATTTGTTCGACAAATTTTCAAGCCTGGCTTTATATGATGTCTTCTCGTTATCCTTTTCAGAACAGACCGTCGCTTCTCCATCCTTTGCTCGTACAGTTTCAAGCTTGACTTGCTCGACAGATTCATTTACGCTAGCGATTTCATTGGACAGCTCACCGGCTCTCTCTGCATTGGCTTTGGCAGCAGCCTCAGCCATAGCCAATTGCTCTGCAGCACTGTTTTTCGCTTTCTTGGAATCTTCGTATTCTTGACGAATTTTCCTCAGCTCCTGCTTTGCTGCATCTAATTCAGAAACGGCATTCATATACTCAACACTTGAAGTTTCCATAGGAGCAATATTCAATGATCCATCGGTTCCCAGAGGCTTGACATTGTTGGCCTCTGTAAATTGCTTCGCCTGATGCTTAGCTGCTTCAGTGGCCTGTATTGCGGAATCCTTCGACTCATTAATATTCTTCAGCTGCTGAGTTAACTCCTCAACAGTCCTTTTAGCTTTTTCAAGCTCTACCAATGCTTGAGCTTTAATGGTTTCAGCATTTTCTAACTGTTCCTTGAATTTTTTCAACTGCTTCTCAGCCAAGTGCAGCTGCGTCTCTTTCGCCAACACCCTCTGAAAGGAAATTAAACATTTAAACTCTGATGCTAACGGCAAACATCTGTGATAAGATGACAGACAAATTTAATGCAAAGTTGTGATTGTTAAGATATTTGATTTGTGTCACCGTACTTCAGCAGATTGTGGTTTGGCCTTTCGAATGGCAGGCTTTTCCCCTGAAAATGCACCTTCACCGAACAAATTGACAGCATCTTTGACCGATTGAAATGGCGCGCTGGTGTCGATTTCTCCCACCTCAGCTTTAGCTGATCCTTTAGTTTTGTGGAAATCTTTTGCAACCATTATTTCTCACTCACTATTTCTCCAGCTCTTACCTAAAATAAACCACCAAAAAATCCAAAAATAATGACAAACCACATAAACCATAAAATAGCCATTCCTGGTACTGAGAAAACAAAACTATTCCTCCCATGGAGAATGAAAAAACATTTATAACTCGAAAACTGCCACTGCCAAGCTGGTTTAAAAAGGAAGTACAATCAAGAAGTTTGCATGTCTTACAGATAATTGAAGTTAACAAATCAAGCAGAAAATAACCAATCCATATATAATCACATACTGAAATTCAGCTCTCAGGATAGAATATCTATTTATATGATCAAAGGTAGGATACGAATGGATCTAAATTCTTAAAATGCAACTCTGCAACATGTTTAGAAAAACTGATTGCATCTCCAACTATTTCCTAATTTGTCAACCTCATTATTTCATCAAATGACGAACATAATCATGTAAAGTGGCCAAAGCAGAATTCAGGGCCAGTCCAGACTCTAATAAAAATTTACACAGAAAACACAAAAATGATTCAAAGACCTTAACAATTAAGCTAGGATTACAAACTTTCATTCCATAAATAGTTTACCACAAGAAGGTCAACTTTCGGCATCAAATGGAGAAGCGATAAGAAAAATCACCATCGGACAGATTATTATAATTCTACAAAAATCCGACCACCATAACAGAATGAAAAAGAATCAGAATTTGAAAGCAACAGCATCCAAATAGCAATTATTACCAGAAATTTATCCTCGCTCGGAACCGTCCGTTGAAATTTGTTTCTTCAACCTGAATTCGCATAAATATCAACATCAGTAAAACATAAAACCCTGGAGCGTATAATAGGAAAATAACGAAAAAAATTAAGCAAACGAGAAAAAGCTTCACGAGAAGGTACAAACCTAAAACCCTAAATCACAAGAAAGCGAGTGCAACAGCAAAAAGGCAGCGACAAACCCTAGACACAAATCATTACAAAAAATCAAGCTCAGAAGAACTGTTCCTCCTAACAGCAGCAGCGACAAAGCAATTCAATCAAAAGCGAAAAAGAAGAAGTCGGCCCTCGATCAAACTCAGAAACTTTTTAAGAACCTTCTCGAAGTCAAGAAAAAACAAACCCTAAAATAAACTCCACAAGCGCTTAGACGAACCACAACCGAGACGATATCAGTCCTCCGACCTCTCAACTTCAGAGCACAGCCACGAAATTGATCTCAAAGAACTCCGATTTCCACGAAAAAGTAATTCTTTGGAAAATTTTGAAGGCGAAGACGAAAGCAGGGGAGAATCTGTAAAAGAGAAATTCCCCACAGCTGTTGCCTGTGATAGTTTGAAACTTCATTTACGATCATTTTTATATTTAAATTAAAAATTTTAAATAAACAAATACGATGATGATGCAAGAAGACTGCCGCGTCAGCCGTTTATTTTGTTTTTTTATTTTTTGGTAAGAACGAATAATTTTCCCCTTTTTGCAGTTTCACGAGAAAGTAAATATGGAAACGTACAAATGGTGTTTTTGTTTTGACCAATTTTGTTTTGTATTTTTTTTTTTTCGAAAATTGCCCCTTTTATGTATTTTTTATTTGAATTTAAAATTAGATATGTAATACTCACTCCGTCCCGAAAGTAAGTATCCATTTGTTTTTTGCACGTAGTTTTAAAAATATGAGTATTATATTGAAATATAGTAGGAATAAAGTTGAAGTGACTAAAATAACTTTATTAGTATGTGTGATATAAAGGTAATGATATTTGTGTAATATATTGTAAGTTGTAAGGGTATTTGTAATGTTAGGTAGATAGTACAGTTATTAAAAAAAAGAAATAAATATTTTGTTATCGGACTGACTAAAATAAAAAAATGGATACTTTATTATGGGAAGGATGAAGCATTTTTTTAGTATTTAGCATTATTTCAAAAAATTTAAAATATCATATAAAATTAAATATTATTTTTTACTTATTTTAAAATTTTTGCAAGTTTCAAACTCTTGGAAATCTTATTTAAACGCAGTCATAATGGTTGGAAATCAAATCGGTGCTTTTATTAACATTTAACAGTAAATAAAAATATATGCACGTTTTCAATTCCAAATAATTAAAAGATTGAAAAATTTGTTGATTTATCACAATTTTAGGTGTATTTAACTAAAATGTACGAGATTATTAATATTTTGTCCTTTTGTTTATATATAAAAATAATTATATAGTAATATATTTATAAGTTATGTAAAATTTATGATATTTTAATATTAATGTGTGATTATTTTTTAAATATATAAATAAAAATATTTAGTTGAAACAAAAGAAATATTTAATAATGATTTGACCTAATATTTCATGTTATGTAACTCATTTTTATATTAATGGAGTTGGAAAAAAACTCTTGTAATAGAATTCTAATACTGGTTTGGTTTGATTTAATTTACATTTTTATTTAAACAATATTTTAATATAATATCTGGGGAAGAAAATATTATTATACTATTAAACACTTGCACAAACAAACAAATAATAGTGTTTTGGTTTGAAATAAAAACCAAACACAACTTTAGAATTTCAAGAATTTGTTTGATTTATGTATATTAATAAAATATATTATAAAATAAAATAGTAGGATATTTTATTTAACAATAACATACTATAATCCTTCAATCTATTAAAAAATATATATAGAGAATTCGATCAATTTATTATATTTTTGAACTATTTGTCTATATAATTATGAAATAATGCTTCTGTCTCATATCTATATATTCATTTTCTTTTTGCACGAAATTTTAGAAATATTAGTATTATATTGGGATAAAGTAGAAATAAAGGTAAAAAAACTAAGTTAGCTATTGTATGATATAAAGGTAATGACATTTGTGTAATATATTGTAAATTAGAAGGATATTTGTAATGTTAGATAGATAGTACAATTACTAAAAAAATAAATGGATACTTTGTTATAGGACGAATCAAAATGAAAAAATGAATAGATTGTTAAGGGACGAAATAACTACTTATTTAGTCACTATTATATGTATAGTTAATTTATTACTCCCTCTATCCCGGAATTAAATATCCATTTGTTTTTTGCACGTAGTTTTAGAAATATTAGTATTATATTGAGATATAGTAGGAATAAAGTAGAAGTGACTAAAATAACTTTATTAGTATGTGTGTTATAAAGGTAATGATATTTGTGTAATATATTGTAAGTTGTAAGGGTATTTGTAATGTTAGGTAGATAGTACAATTAATAAAAAAGAAAATAAATACTTTATTATGGGACAGACTAAAATAAACAAATAAATATTTTGTTATGGGATGGAGGGAGTATTATTTTTTAAAATATAGGATTCAACGTTTTGTTAATAAAAACGAGAGGGGAGAGTCACGGTGAGGCCTAATATTATTGGGCCTAAGCCCAAAGGCGTTGTTTATTGAAAGGATTATATTGGGCCTCAGCCGAGCAGGATACTTTATTTAGTATGTACCCTTGTCTATATTATATACAATAGTTTAATAAGTTACATGAGTATAATTCAGTCGTATGTTTTATTTTATACATAAAACATAAAGGTTATATTATTTAGTATTTTAACTTAAATTATTTTTTATATGAGATATAAAAAATATACAATTGATATAAAATAGTATAATATTTTATATTAAATGCTGATTTTTTAAAAAAAGAATATAATATAATATATCTTATATATTTTGAAAATTTTATAAGATTAAAAAATTATTTTTCAAACAAACACAAAATATAACCTAAGTTTAATAGTTAAAAATAATAATTGATTACCCAACCACATAAATGTAGGGTCTAGGATGGTGGATGTGTGTGTGTTTGAGTATTGAGTGAAGTTAGAGTGCCGAATTTAGGGTTTAGGATTTAGCATCATACTTATGTCTTAAAAATAAATAATTCTAATTTATATAGTTAATAATATAATTCATATAATCATATACTCCCTTTGTCTTAGTACAATAGTTTTGTTTACTATTTTTATCTATTCTAAAACAATAGTTTTATTTTCGTAAATAATCATATCACTATATAACTACCCTTGCTATTTCATTATTATTACACAATTGTCACTACTTTTTACACTAATACACTTACAAAGGCAAAAATATCTTTTATCTATATTTTTTACCAAATATCAATATAATATTAATATTCTTTAAATACTGAAACACCGATGGAGTAATAATTATTTAAATACAATTTTTTTTATAACAAAATATCAAATCAAATACTAATTTATTTATTTATTTTTTTTCAAATTTCTAAAATTCCAAACTCTCCAAAAACCGTTGAGCCAAAGGCATAAATTTGAACCCTAAAAAACTCTCTAAGAATTCATCCCACACTGGTCTGTCGTTTACTCGTTTCCCAAGAGCACTTTATGAGATCCACAAGCAACGCCAAGTTCAATTCACACATCTTATCCTAATTGAACGTAACCTTACCTGAATCAACAGTAACCATAACCATGGCGAAGAATTCTGAAAGTGAAGAACCGCTGTTCGAAACCAGGAAAGCAAGCGCCAAACTGATCACGTGCCACAGGATTTACGCTGCTTCAGTGCTGGCAGGGATTCTTCTCATCTGGACTTACAGAGCTCTCCTCATCCATGCCTCGTCTGCTTCTGCAGGAATGTTTGGGGCTGAGTTGTGGTTCGGTCTCTACTGGATCATCACTCAATCGCAACGATGGAATCCGATCCACCGTCGCACCTTCAAGCATCGACTCGCTCAAAGGTAGTTCACAAAATCGAATCCAATCGAATCGAGGCTTGCTAAGAGTGCTTGTGTGTGTGTGTGTTCAATTTGATGATGAGTACTAAAACTAATAGGTATGGCAACGAGAAGTTACCTAGAGTCGATGTATTCGTCTGCACAGCTGATCCGGAAATGGAACCCCCGACGATGGTCATCAACACTGTTTTATCTCTCATGGCTTACGATTACCCGCCGGAGAAGCTCTCTGTCTATCTTTCCGATGATGCTGGATCGGAAGCTACATTCTACGCCCTCCTCGAGGCTTCACGCTTCGCCAGGGAATGGATACCTTATTGCCGGAAGTTCAACATCGAGCCACGGTCACCGGAGGCCTATTTCCGGGAGGTGCTTACAAACTTGGGAAGAGATCAATCTCACCATTTGGCTTCAGTTAAGGTATCGATGATGACGACTTTAGAACACCAACAACATTTTAAGACCATAAATTCTCATTTCGTTCGGGATATGAAGGAGATGTTTGAGAGCATGGAGAGGAGGATAGAGCTCGCCGGAAAGCTCAAAAGAGGATCGAAAACTGCATTCATGGCCAAGGAGCACAGAGGATTTTCTAAGTGGGAATCCTTTTCATCTAGAAACGATCATGACACGATACTCCATGTAAATTTCATCGATTCGGACAATCAAATCTTGAAAAACAGAGTCATTTCGAGTTCTAACTACATTCGTGGCTCTGTTCTATGTTTCGTATTCTCCAGATTCTGATAGATGGAAGAGAAGCGGAAGAGAAGGACTCGGAAGGGTGGGGAATGCCGAGTCTAGTCTATTTGGCGCGCGAGAAGCGACCCCAGCATTTCCATAACTTCAAAGCCGGAGCTATGAATGCTCTGGTAAGACAATATTGTTACCACAGAATCGTCGAAAATTAATGCTAAATTTTTATTCTTAGCACAATAACATTGCAGATAAGGGTGTCGTCCGAAATCAGCAACGGGCCTATAATTCTGAACGTCGACTGCGACATGTATTCAAACAACTCTCAGTCGATAAAAGACGCATTGTGTTTCTTGGTGGACGAGGAGAAAGGCCGCGAGATCGCTTATGTTCAGTTTCCACAGAAGTTCTACAACCTCACTAGGAACGAAATCTACGGAGGCTCAATTAGAGTGATTAGTGAGGTGTGTGTTCTTCGCTATACGAGAATTAGTATGCTACTTTGTAATCCAAATTCTCAACTAACTTCTCGGGGATACCGCAGGTCGAATTCCACGGTTTGGATGGCTGTGGAGGTCCTGCGTACATCGGGACAGGCTGCTTTCATAGAAGGGACACTCTATGTGGGAAATACCCGGCTAAGGAATATACAGTTTGATATGGAACAGAGTAGGGCCCCAGAAAAGGGGGAGAGTACAACTCATCTGGAAGAAAGAATCGCCGAGCTAGCGAGTTGCACGTTCGAGAAGAACACCCTGTGGGGGCGCGAGGTTTTCCTACTTCACTTTAACTAATCTATCGAATAAGCATTTGTGTGCGATTAAACTTGAAAGAACACGGCCTAAGATGTCTCGATCATTGTTCGCTAGATGGGCGTAAAGTACGGGTGCCTTGTCGAAGACATGCTCACCGGGCTCTCAATCCAGTCACGAGGGTGGAAATCTGTTTATTTCAATCCTAAGAGGACAGCTTTCCTAGGTTTAGCTACTACAACGCTCGAACAAACATTAGTACAGCACAAGAGGTGGTCTGAAGGAGACCTACAGATTTTTCTGTCGAGACACAACCCGGTGTGGATTGGACTCGGCCGGATAAGTGTTGGCCTTATGATGGGATACTCGGTTTACTTCCTGTGGGCACTCAATTGCTTCGCAACGCTGTACTACTCGGTGATACCTTCCCTATATCTCCTCAAAGGCATCGCTTTATTCCCACAGGTAATCCACGACGACAATGATGACTATATATAGACTACAAAGACTATGATACACCTATCCAATTCTATCAAGTTATAACAGTCATAAAAAATTCCAGGTCTCGAGCGCGTGGTTTCTACCATTCGCCTATGTGATCATAGCCGTGCATGTATATAGTTTCTACGAGTATCTTTCATCGGGAGGAACAGTTCTAGGGTGGTGGAATGAGCAAAGAATGTGGCTCTACAAAAGGACAACTTCGTACCTATTCGCAACAATCGACACATTATTGAGGTTGGCGGGCTATACACAGTCAGGCTTTGTACTATCGAGCAAAGTATCAGATGAGGATTCGCTACGTAGGTACGAGCAAGAGAAGATAGAGTTTGGAACAAATTCTACCATGTTTACCATACTGTCAACACTCGCAGCTATCAATCTGGTTTGTCTATCCGGAATGGTTACAAAGGTGGTAGTGATTGGGGCAGGGAAGGGTGGCGAAGTCATGGTGGGGCAGATTGTTTTATGTGTAGCTTTGGTTTCGATCAATCTGCCATTGTACAATGCAGCTGTAGTGAGAAAGGATAAGGGGAGAATACCAACCTCCATCACACATAAATCCATCGCTATAGCTATCTCTTTATGTGCTACTTATGCTTTTTTGACGTGAAATAGTTGTTAGATTTGATATTTTGTACCCAAACTAAACTCGTCAAATCATCAAGACAATGTGTTACGGAAATTCCAGGAAATTAAACGAGACAACAAAGACAAAAGAACACAATAATTTGGTAACCCAGTTCGATAACGATGATCTATGTCTGGGGGCGCTGCCAAGCCAGGAATTTTACTATAAAGTACACAGGCACCTGTTAAAGTGAGAATACATGGATATTTATAGCCTAAGCCTTTGATAATAATATCCAAATCATATCTCTAAAATCTAAAATATAATATCCAAATCATATCCCTAGATTTTAGGATATAATCAGGCTTTATATCCCAACAATCTCGCACTTGAAGACTGATTTCATCTTTCACTTCAACATACCTCATCCAATCTCCACTCCCCACCATTCGGTATTCTGATTCGAATCCTTTCTTTACTTACAATTTTCAGTGTTTCATCATCTGCAAGATAGGATTCCATGATTCCCGAATCACTGCATGAGTGGAATGGCGCTCCTGAGACCAAAATCCATGACTTCATTGGACTGCTGACGCTCAGAATCAGCACATCGGATATCTCCTCCGTTGCGTTTGCCGAACCCTAATTCTTCTCCGGCGCCCTGCACTGTCGTTTCAAGTGCCCCTTGCAGTTCCAACATACCACCTGACTTGCATCTTCTTTGTCCTTATTCTTCGGCTTCAACTTTGACTTGATCTTCACACTTTCCTTTTGCCTCAAATCTAAATTCAGTTGAGACATTCTCCCAAAGGGTTAGTCGAACCGCACTCATCATCTTCCTGTCGATCTTCTTGTATTTGGCTTCATCCATTTCTTCGGATTTCTCCTTCAATACCGCATCTAGATCTTTACCATTCATGTAATCTTCTATATGCATATTTTAGAAATCGAAGTTCATACCATCGAATACCTTGACAACATGACGATCACCCATCTTGACTCCCACAAACAAACCTAAGGTTCACTTGATATGAGAGCACATCGGATATTCCGCTGCGTTTGCCGAAACCCTTATCCTTCCCTACCAACCTTGCGCCGCCTATCACAAAGGGACTCGCTGCCTGACCTACCAGTCAGGACCGACCCAACACCGCCAGGAGACTTTCGATACAAGGCACCTCCGCAGGTCACAAGGGATTCCCACAACGATCCAACGTCCGATTCCTCTCAATCCACCCTATCAACGAACTAGGCTCTGATACCACTTGTTACGGAAATTCCGGGAAATCAAAACGAGACAACAAAGACAAAAGAACACAAGAATTTGGTAACCCAGTTCGATCACGATGATCTACGTCTGGGGGCGCTGCCAAGCCAGAAATTTTACTATAAAGTACGCAGGCACATGTTAAAGTGAGAATACGTGGATATTTATAGCCTAAACCTTTGACAATAATATCCAAATCATATCTCTAAAATCTAAAATATAATATCCAAATCATATCCCTAAATTTTAGGATACAATCAGGCTTCATATCCCAACACAATGTATCCTCATAAGTTCAACTATAGTTTTCCTAAACCTTCAAGACCATGTATGAACATTATCCTAGTTATAGTTTCAGCTAACTAACTAGCATTGTCACTTGAACTGGCCAGATTCTTTTTTGTAGAAATTTGTCCTAAAACTTGTGGTAATAGAGCAGAGCAGCAAATATCAAACATAGTTCTTAAGATAGAGTTCACTGAAAGGATCTTCAAATTCTAGATTGCATTTGCAAATGAACATTGTAAAAAAAGGGGTTTACTTCAGGCTTCAGCATATAAATCAGCAAATAAAAATTAACTAAAGATGCACAAACACTTTACATGCCACAAAATACAGCAAACTCAACACTCATAAAACCAGTCTAATTGAAAACAACATCCAATTTATGACATTCAAGTTTTCTAAGTAGCATACAAAACGGACCGGTACCTGATACCAGTATACATCATTCTTTCATAAATAAATCTGGTCCCATTCTGCATTGGAGCTCTACCCACAGCAAAACCATTTTTTCTGCAAACCAACCCAACGATTTAGTCTTTGAATCAAGCACCAAAATAAGACAAACAATTTCTTGGGAAAGTAATGTATATGAATTGCAAAATTGTCACAAAAAAAAATAGGAAGCATGCATTTGTGACCAAGTGGAGTTAGCGGTAATTGAAAGAGCAACTCACACGATGAGGTTTCAAAGGTTCCACTTCATGCTTTGTGTCTGCATCCACCCTTGTAGGAGACTCTGGCTTCCCACCCATCTTCTTCTCATCCCTAGCCCTGTTAAATATAACAGAAAATCCCTCCGCCGAAGCTGGATCATTGACATCCCAGTCCCCAAACTTTGGCAGTGGCTGACCCTTGTCCTTCAAGAGGGCAGAAATAAAGAAGTCCAACAAAACTCTCTAATTAGAACACAAATGCAGTGATTACCTGCAGTGACTAAACCTTCAACACAAATTCAAAACTCACTAATGATTATTAGTATGTGATTTAGAACTTAAAAACTTGCTACAAAGATCACTTCTAAAGCTGGTCTTTTCAACCTGCTTACAAAAAGTCAGATAAATTACTGATCATGTGTGGAAGTAAACCAAAATTCATAGTAATCTTTAAGAGCATTACAAGAATTAATTCCCCATAAGGCCAGGTGCAGATGATACCCAGATCAGCTAAAAGTTAGATAAGGAAATGAGTTCACAATTTAAAACCATTAATTGATCATTCGTTTGGTGACAAGTGAATCGCGTATTTTGATGCAATTTCCATTTCAGATGGGCAAAAAAGGCTCGTCTACTTTACCAAACAAAATTCCCTCAATATCTCAAGCAACTACATATGAAATTTAACTAAACCTCGCGAAAATCCGTATACACAAAGTCAAACCTAGCTTAACTTCCACAATCATCTTCCCGTACACAGAAACCGATCAAAGAAGCAATTGAAATCGGTGGAATTTCATCAATAATTAGCGCAAAAAATGCGATTAAGGAGGGAAAAAGCTTGGAAACCAAAAAATCGACCCAAATCCAAATAACCGGAGCTCTTCTCTTCAATAAATCCAAGTAATTGAAATCAGAAGCAGATTGACAACAACAACTAGCGATACAAATTCAATCACATACCGACATGAATCCTGAGCAGAGATATTTATTCGCAGAAAATTGACCCGAACCGTAGGAGACGGAAAGCGCTGGATTTGAAGGAGAGAGAATTAAAGGGTTTTCAGCTGTACAAATATACGTACATAAAGATACATACTTTATGTATAAATAACTGTGGCTAAAAACAAGCCCACAAGGACGTGTTTGGCTGTGCAAAATCCCGAAATTCAGATAAGTCGTAGTCAAATGTGTGTCGTCTTATAATTCTTTTCATTTTTAATACTACTACTATTATTATTATTATTATAAAAACAATTAAACAAATATTTAAATATCAGTTTTATCAGACATACTTTGTAGCTAAAAATTTTGAAAATTCATATTTTGAAAGTTCCAATCCAAAATTGATTAAAATTCTTGATAATCGGACAGGGCATCAAGGGCAGACAAATACAGCTGGCAATGTAATAGTGCTAGGTTCTGTCTGCTGCCTATGCTTTTAAATTTAAATAAATTTATAGTATTTAAATAACAAAAAACAATAATAGTAAGAAATAATCATACAATCATGCGATTTCATTTCCAACTATAATAATCAAAATCAATAGAGAAATGTCCAAACCCTAAAATTAATCTCAATAAACCCTAAAAAAAATATAAATATGTTTTAAATTTAAAATTGTGTATTAATGCATGGATGCATGGCTACATGAAAATGTAGAATATCACAAACAGGCCAATAAAAGCCGTGACGAAGTACGAAACCACCGAGAGCTTGGTGGTGGAATTGGCCGCCGGCGTCCCCAGCTCGCCGGAGTCGAATCCACCGTGGGAAGACGGAGCCGGGGACGGCGCCGGCGCGGCGATCTCCTCCTCATCTTCCTCGGAAGGGTGCATCACCCGGACAATCAGGCGCTGCCCGGATTGGCAGTGATCGGGCTGCCCGCTGATGAAATAGAAGAATCCTGACCGTTCAAATTCGAACACCGTGTCTCCGTCGTCCGATTTCGAGATCGGGTTGGACGTGTCGCAGTGCAGGTAATCCTCCGGGCTGACCTCCAAAACGGTGTCGTTTTGGTACTTGAAATCTGAAAAATACAATTAAATCAACTAATTAAAAACATATACATAAATGTATGACTGAATGGATGAATAAATTACGAAAAACTATTAATAATTAAACAAACTTACAAATGGAATCGGCGATGCGGAAGCGGTTCCTCGACGCCCACTGATTGTACGTCTCCGACTCCATCCCCGTCGGTTTCCTCCACGCTACTTCAAACTCGAAGGCGGACGCCATGGAAGCTGCGAGGAAGACAGAAAGCACAATCACGCTGCGACAGGCCATCGGAACTGAGAATGAATCAATCAATCCGTCGATCGATCGTAGCTGAGACAAGGAGACTTGCACCAAAATCGAAGTATTTATAAGCAGGAGTGACGAATCCATGCGCGGGAGAATGAGTGAGTGGGGAAGTGGAGGTGGACGAAGGCAGTTAAGGCGGTTTTCAGCACTGTGCTTGGAATCAGTCAAACATGGCGCCAATTGGGCTTAATGGGCCGGTCAATGAGGCCCAAAGTGGCTAATAATAAATTAAAATTGGTTACGTGGGGTTGAAAGGGAAAGAAAACGGAGAGGATGAGTTCACATGCGGGGAGCTGATACGACGTCGCTTTCGTGGGTATGAAAAGAGGGCCTGAGTAAAAAGTCGTTTTCGCCCTTAATATGGGAAGGCAGTGTCTGAGTCTGGTAGACCGATAATCACAATTCATGCCTGACTAATTAATTACCTTAATTAATAATGATTAAACACACATATAGAAAGAGAGAGAGGGATTGGCAGGAAGGTTGATTTGGTAGAATTGCTAAGTAGGGATGGATGTGTATGATTTGTTTTCCCCTGGGGAATAAATTCATATCATTTTGAGACGAGCTTGGATGTTGATATATACCGTACGTACCACACTAGTTAATTACTACTGCACTGCCCAATGCTGCTTATTTCATTTTATTATTATTATTATTATCATTAATATAATAAATTGTCGCCTATAAATAAGGAGGTGGTTTCTTGTTTAGTTTGCAACACTACACTAGTACTATTGTATTGTATTATGGTATCGGAGTAGGAGGAGAAATAAGGATATTGTGATGATATTAATATATGGTGGTGTTGTGTTTAGTTTAATTATGAGTTAACAACTAAGGGCGGCCGGCCGGCCGGCAGTGGGCGTCGATCTCCGGTCGATCGGAGATATATAATTAATCACTGATATATATATATATATATAGAGAGAGAGAGAGAGAGAGAGAGAGAGATGGGTTGACAGAAGAGAGAGAGCACAGCCCGGATCTGCAGGAATGATCAAAGAAGGATCGCTTTGCCTGGGATTGTGCTCTCTCTTCTCCTGTCAACCCTAACCCCAACCCCAATTAACCCAACTCAATATTAATTAATTACATACTTAATCAATCTCTAATTCTCTCTTCTTAAATATATATATATATATATATATTATTGTTGCATTAATTGTTGTTATTATATATATAGTATCATTATTAATGTGTGTAACTCTAATGTGCAGGTGATGAATGATCCCTCGCTAACCACAAGAGAATAAATAAAAGGGAAGAGAAAACCAGCTTTCAGAACTACCAGGTTGGGCCGGGTGGAGGAATTTTCTTGCATGCCGCACTGAGTAACATTAGTAGTAGTCGTTGTCCGTACATCCCTGAACCTACGTTGTCACGAGATGGAAGGGATGGGGAATTAATCTAAGAGTATGTTGCTGCTGCTCTATTATTTTTATTTTTATTTTTATATAAATCCATGTATAGACGAACTATGTATGTTAGGAAAAAACTTGAAAGTGTCAAATTTGAACTAAATGACTTCACGATTACGAATTCATTCAAGGTAAATTAGGATTACAGTGAGATGTATATGGGAAGAAAAGATAAAACTATTTTATTTATCTCGTCAGTAATTAATTTATTTTATTTCAGTCTTGACAATCAAAATTTAGCAAAAATGATCGATTAAGATCAAATTTATAAACTTTTTTTTTGAAAAAAATCAACAAGACGGATGGAAAATAAAAGTTAACCCATTTCTACCTGCTAGATAGGCCGGCCACAATAAAAACAAGTTGAGAACAAAAACAAACTGGGCTTTGAAGATGCAATACCTTAGTGGGTTTTTTTTTTTTTTTTTACTATTTTATATATTATTTTTAAATATACATACTTATATATATTTATATAATTTTTTTTTTTAAAGTTCGTTGCTTCAAAATGTTTTTATTATTGAGTTCACATATTCAAAAAAAATAAATCCTTCATCATTAATAAAACCACAAATCATACAGCATATACACATGTAACAAGTTTAAATTCAGTCATGACTTAACAAATCCAAACACAATTAATTCCTAGCTATTACAACATATCGCCAAAGCACTCTCAATAAATCATCAGATTCATCCTAAAATTTACGAAATCAACTTCTTTTTTTGCTTCAAGAAACATACATTAAATAAAGAAAAACTTCATGGAAAGGAAATAAATAAAAATCACAGCTTTGATAACACAAGCCAGATACTCAAAATAACGGCACCAAACCTCCCGGCGTTATATTTAACGGCGCCGTTACCGTCTGAATTTTGATCCGCCGCATCTCCGTCAGGACCATCGGCTGGCGAATCCGCCGGAGAGGATGGTGAAGGCGGAGTGTTGTGCGCCTTCGGAGAAGCCGCGCGCGGAGCAGGAGCAGGAGCCGGCGGCAGAGCTGATTTGAAGAGCTCTACCGGCATCAAAACCTTATCCAGTTCGTGGATTGCCAATGGCTGCTTATCAATCAGAGTGTTGATGATCTTTGCTGTTACGATCTTCGTCTTGATCGTCACGGCGGTTCCGTCGTTCTGGACTGTGAAATCGTACTTTTCGGCGCCGTCGGTGGCCAAGGTGTTGGTTACGCCATTGCTCGATCTCAAACCGGCGAGAGACTCGTAAATAGGCATTCCGTGGTACTCGAGCAAGGATTGCTTACCGCCGGCGGTTAGATTCCTGTATTTCGGCAGAAAGCTCTTCATCGCGTCGTCGCCGGGGCAGAATACGGTTAATCCGCTCTCGACGTTGCTCTCGAACGTTTGTTCCGCCGGGTTCGCCAACAGCGTCTCGGCGAAGACTTTGCAACCGTGAGCGGACATAAGAGCAGTCAGATTCATCTGGCTCGGCTCCGGCGCCGGCGCCTCCGCCTCCGGAGAAGGTAAGATAGAAGAAATCTGGATTACAGATATGTTGTACGGTACAGCTTCGATAGACTTGACGAACGTCGCCGAAACGACGCCGTTATTGTCGTCCGGTGAGAAACCGACCTTTCCACCTTTGAGATCGGTGATGTTGACGAAACCGAAGGATCCTGGCGCCGCGCCGGTGGCCTGGAACATCGTGGCGGCGACGGCGGTTCCGTCGGTGATCTGGTGGAGCTTCTTCGCGTCGAAGTAATCGAGGAGAACATGGAGCGAGAGAACGTTCCTAATAGCTCCGATCGAGAGGCGCTTCGCGAGTAGATCCGCCATTCCGGCGTTGTCCACGGCGCAGACGGTTATTGTCTCTTTCCGATTGATCTCCGGCGCCAGCTGCGTAACCGTCAAGTAGTGGTTAAACGTGGAGAACTCTGGAAGCTTCGAGAGAATTTGAGTGATATTATGCGCGACGGCGGCGTTCGGGAGAAGAAAGAAAACACACACACACATCACCACCACCGCCACGGCGGGCAGTCGGAGCTGCATATTAATCGTAAGTCGTAAACCGGTACAAAGCAAAAGCGGTAGAGGTGAAAACGCGACTTTATACCCAGAGCAACAAAAAGCGCACGTCACTACAGGTCCTCCTCCTAAAACCCTTTACTTAAATGCGACTTCTTATTATTATTACATTTCAGCGATTTTCATATATCTTTCTTAAAATCGTTAAACAAAAGTAGCAAACGCCGGTCCTTTTTCGAGTATGCACTGCACTTTAGCTTCACTGAAAATAGAAACTGACATGACCGTTCGCTGTGGTCCCGTTATTTGTCTAACCACGCCCGGTACCTCAACTCCCGGGGTTGTTCTTCCATCCCATCCCATGTATAAAGATAAAGAGAGATTGTAATATAGTTGCATGAAGATGGGACTTATAGACGAATATTACAAGGATGAATCAAGTATCCCAAATAAGGGAATTAGGAAAAGCTGACATAGGATTGATAGGTATTTCCATTTTCGTGTAATCCAAGATTGGGAAAGAGCTAAAGCCAGATACAGACACACCACGTGGGCTGTGTGTTGTGTGGCTTTGCAAATAAATAGTAGATAATATTATTACATCTTTTAGAACAAGAGAGTAGTAGTAGTTAGGAGGGAGGAGGGAGGGAGGTATTGATTCTTGAAATTGTTGTCAAGAAAAATTAAATATCTATTTTTTTTAAAAAGGGGACATGCATGCAATGCACCACCGATCACGTGATTGGCACGTGCACCGACAATGGGGTGGATGATAACTTCAACTAGGTTTTCCTTGTCTCCTCTCCTCTCTGCAACAGCAGTTGGGATTCGGATTCGGCTGCCAAAGTTTGCCTTTTCTTTTTCTTTTTTTTTTTTTATATTTAATAAATAATAATAATAAAATTTTAGCTTAGCTAAAGTTTATGACTTGATTATATATAAGATTTCTGGAATTTAAGCATCTCTTACATATATTTGTCATAAAATAAAAGAAAAGGTATATATAAGGAGAAAATTAAATTAAAAAATTTGGTAATGAATTTCCTTCTGTCACTTATCATATAATTTTGTGCCTCCATTTTGATGTATATAATAGTCCTTTTCTTTGAATCTCAAATAATAATAATAATAATAATAATAATAATAAATGCAGCGACTGCATGCATGCATGGATGATTTCTATATTTGCTAATTTATTGATGGACTGGATTGTGAATCATTATAGATTATGAATGTACACAAAATTTGAGATTTTCTCTGTCCACGTTTATTATATAATTTATTTTGGTGAAACATGCGTGATGATCTGATTTATTCAATTTGGATTTCCCAAGTTTATCACAAATTTGTTGATTTTAGTGGGTGTTTATTTTTTATTTTTTTATTGTATCAGTATATACATACGGGTATTTTTTAGATTTGATATATATTTTGAGTATGACAAAAACTTTCAAATAAATTATGTGAGATAAATAAATTTTCAATTTGATATATATTTTTAATTACTTTCCATAGTATTTATTACAAGTAATTATTTAAAAAATTTTAAGCCATTCAAAAACTTATCTTATATCAAACACAACTTAAATATTCGACGTAATATATTAAATAAAAAATATTTATGAATTACTTACATTTCATTGCTCATAACAATATTTTATGCTTTCATTCTATTCTATATAGTTTAATTTAGAATGTGTCTGCTTCATAAAATTATATCATAATTAATCATAATTGTATTTATTTGCGTTGTTCAGGTAGTTTTAGGGTTTATTTTTCAGAGTAAATAATTTTCTCTTACGATTATATAGAGCTGGCAATTGATTGATTCGTGTCGGATTGAATACTTTAAACGGGTTAAATTACTCAACCCTAATCCAACTCGTTTATCATCATGTCAGGTTCGTGTTGACCGTTTATTATCATGTCGGGTTCGGGTTAACTCGTGTTGATCCGTATACATATTTAAGTCGAATTTTTTGATTCAAATTAAATAATTTTTTTGTTGTGTTGTCGTGTTATGTTAGTTTTTATTGGTTTGAGCGTAAATTAGGTTGAATTATTTAAAATTTAACTTAGTTTAAATTAATTTATGAGAAAATTAATAAATTATGATTATTTTACATATATAATAAATATATTAATCAATTTTTATATATTATAATCGAGTTGTCGTGTCGGGTTCGAGTTGAGAGTCTCAACCCTAACCCAACCCGTTTATTATCGTATCGGGTTCGTGTCACTCTGTGTATATAATCAGATTGAAATTTTTGACTCAAATCCAATTATTTTGTGTCGGATCATTTTTTGTCAGCTCTACAATTATAATATGAAGTGTACTTTTGGAGTATAATTTTGTTTCTTTATTTTGATTTATTGTTTAAATAGTTATTTGAATATGATCTTTTATAAATATAGATATAGATAAAGTTACGATTTTTGCGTAAAAAAAGAAATTAGTAATAATAAAAAATAAAAAAATCCATACATATGCTATTTAATGCGAGATTATCTTTGTTACAGATTGGGCCTGCCCAAATTTCGTAAGCCCAAATTGCAGTTATATTTATTTTTAAAAATACACATGACATTCAAGTATTATTAAAAAAAAAAAAAAAAAAACGAATCAAAATCCTTTTTTGGAATTTTTTTATAATAACAGTTAAATTAAATAAATATATATTTGATATAATGTAAATAAACATTAAAAAAATATGTTTCAGATTAAAAATAAATTTTAGTAGTATAATATTTTAAATAAAAATATGTATATTTAAGTTTGAAATAGATAATTTTTGCACACATATAGTATCAAAATAAATTTGAAAAACATGTATGAACATAGCAGTGTAATTATTTTACTCTTTTTATCTAATAATAAAATACTCCAACAATCAGAATGATTTAATATCGATTAGATCTTTGTTCAAGTCATCTAAATTACCACCTATATTAAAATGTTACTTAGACAGTACACAAGTGAATATTTAAGAATTCCAAAAATAATAATTTACATCATACATTACTGTCACGGGCTGACATTCCTACCCCTGTTCTCGGTTATAGCTCGTCCCATGTATGCGAGTCCCTTCTTATACCGCCGACTAATGACTCATATCTTGGTGTAGGTACGTGTTTCGCATGATTTTCCCATACTGTATGTTGCGCACATGGGACAGCTGATCTGGGCCTCAGCGCGGGCGTGACCTAGGCGCCGGGCGTGTCAGCTTCCGGACACGTTACAATACACTAACAATCAATGCATGAATTCCCTCACAACCCAATTTTGTCAAATTTGGTCCCCGAAAAAATTCAACCCATAAAACTTAGCAATTAAATACATGCCAATAATTTTAAAAAATAAAAATGAAAAAAAAAACTACCCCACAAAATTAAAAGTGATTTAAATTAAAAGCAAGAATTGAACCTTCTTCATTTATTCATTGTAATAGCACATTTATTGAATCACCATAATAATACACTTAGGATTAATTAGCCCCTCCATAAATTGACCAACACATTTAAGGCCAAGCTGCCCTTCTTGGTTGCCAAATTTCACCTTTTTTGTCTCTAAGATTATTATTATTATTATTATTATTATTAAATAAATAAATCCTATTGTCGGTTTGGATTCGATGCCGAATAAAATTCTAAATATTATAATTATATCTTGAGTTAATTAGACGAGTTTAGATCGATCATCGATCGATGCAGCAACAAGAAAAATTTTAATTAAAATCAATTAATTAGAGTCTACATTTTTTTAAAAGAAAATTGGCCATGTTAATTTATTTCGCAATATAATAACTATTTTATTTGAAAGCATTTTTGTTGAATAAAAGTAGTACATTGATTTAATTAAACACCATAATTAATTTATTGTCAGTGCAAAAGAAGAAAAAAATTAATTTAAATCTCATATTTAAAGTATATCGTCACCTACTAAAATTGTACACTTCCAACAGCTTCTGCAGCTTATGGATTTATTGCCATGAATTCTAACCAACTTTTCATCATTTCCAATTTATTACAACAAATTTCATTCTCATATTTGTACCCTTCAAAACCATCTTTGTTTTTTCCCACAAACATGTGTACCAAAATGTCCAAAATTTCCCTCATTTGCATTGCCCTCTTTGCCCAATATGCTTCCATACTTTGCTCCAAAGATCTCTCAGATTCCATCCTATGGTTAGTCACTAAAAAAACCCTTCAATTTTATTTATTTATTTTTCCAAGGAAAGTATTTTTTAACCATTTTCTTAAAATTCATCCAAGAATCAGGTTTTTGACCATTTTTGGAAATGCCATTCTAATTTCTTTATTCATCTACATTTCTTACATCCCATTGACCCAATGATCAAATTTTTAACCACATTTGTGTTTTCCTCATTTCTCACAACATCCCATCAAAATTTTCAATTAGACTCAACATTCAAATTATTATTCCAATAGTAAAATTTCAAACCATTTCCCAAAATCCCCCATCAATTTTCTCCCCCATTTCTTACATACCATTAATCCAAGATCGTTTATTTAACCAATATTAAAAAATACCCTTCATTTTCCTCTCTCATTTCTTACATCCATTAATCCAAGAACCAATTTTTAAACAATATTAAAAAATACCATTCAATTTTCTACACCATTTCTTACATTCCATTAATCCAAGAACGATTTCTTTAACCAATTTCAAAAACACCCTTCAATTTTCTCCCTCATTTCTTACATTAGACTTTGTTTAGATAGAAATTTTTAAAAAAATTTGAAAATTTGAAAGTTTAAAAAAAATAAAAAATTAATATTTGATGTAATGTTTTTTAAAACGTAGATAGTAACAAATGAGAGTGAAAGTATCTAATATAAACATTGCAGGAGATCCGCCAAGAACTCGTCGGATCAATCAGAGTCGCCGGAACCGAAATCGAAACCGTCGTCATGTCGAACTGGAAATCCCATCGACGACTGCTGGCGTTGCGACCCCGACTGGGAAGCCAACCGCCGCAACCTCGCCGACTGCAGCATCGGCTTCGGCCGGAACGCCGTCGGCGGCCGCGACGGCGAATTCTACGTCGTTAATTCTCCCGCCGACGACCCCCGCGACCCTCCTCCGGGCACTCTCCGGCACGCCGTCATCCAATCGGAGCCGCTCTGGATCATCTTCGACCACGATATGAGCATCCGCCTCAAGGAGGAGCTAATGATGAACTCCTACAAGACCATCGACGCACGTGGCCGGCACGTGGAGATTTCAGACGGCCCCTGCATCACAATCCAGGGCGTCTCCAACATCATCATCCACGGCGTCTACATCCATGGCTGCGTTCCGGCGGGGAACGCCGTTGTCACCGACAAGCCCCGCCACTACCAGCTGAGGGGCCTGTCGGACGGCGACGGGATCTCCATCTTCGGCAGCCGTGACATTTGGATCGACCATTGCACCCTCGCCGAGTGCTCCGACGGCCTCGTCGACGTTGTGAATGCGTCGACGGCCATAACCGTGTCGAACAATTACATGTTCCGGCACAACGAGGTTATGCTCATGGGACATAGCGACGATTTCATAGAGGATCGAGTTATGCAGGTCACGATCGCTTTTAACTACTTCGGCGAGGGGTTAGTCCAGAGGATCCCAAGGTAATTTTAAATTAAAAACTTTTGATACTATTCATCAATAATAATGCCTATTCAAAAAATATAAGTCGAATTCTTGAATGTCGAAAGGTGTAGGCATGGGTACTTTCACGTCGTGAACAATGTGTACACCGGTTGGAAAATGTATGCGATCGGAGGGAGCGCGAATCCGACCATTAATAGTCAGGGCAACGTTTTCATTGCATCCGACGAGCATACTACAAAGGAGGTTAGTTAGTTATTACATTTTTTTCGATATATAGTTATTACAATGATTTTGTTTGAATAGGTGACGAAAAGGGAAACGGATCCAGAGGATGAGGAATGGAAGAGTTGGAATTGGAGATCGGACGGGGACTTACTACTTAATGGGGCGTATTTCACGACATCGGGTAATGATACCTCGGAGAGCTATGTGAAAGCGTCGAGCATGGTCGCGAGGCCGGCGTCGTTGCTGGCCAACATTATACCTTCTGCAGGAGTACTCAACTGCCAAATTGGACAAAGTTGCTCAACCTAATTTATTGCAACAAGATATTGATTAGGATGATGTATTATTGTTTGTTATGATTTTGATTTTGATTTGTTCTATATATATGTGTGTGTGATGTGTGAATGAATGAATGTTCAATTGTGTTCGATAGTTTGTGTCTCACTCTTGATTGATCTTGCGAAGTTTGATGAATCTGCTAAAAATATGTGTCAAAATTTATATGAAGATATATAATTGAAGTGTAGATACAAATAAGTGGATATGGATAAGGCTTCTAGAAGCTTAGTTTTATATCGAATCTGAACTATATAATAAGACGTGATAAGGGAATAGAGGACGTTAACTAAATATGGTCAGGGCGGCGGAAATGGCGACGGCGGCGAGAATGGCCGGAGAAGGATGTGTTGGGGAGTCTGAGGGGGCGGTGTCGTCGATCACCGGTCCTTCGGCGGATCCTGGAGCGGAACTCACCGGCGGCGCCGGGAATATGTCAGGCGACTCTGTTGGGGTCGCGGAAGTTGAGGGAATGTTGGACGACGGCGGCGTTGCGCCGGCAGTCGGCGGCAATTCCGGCTCCGGGGGATTGGCCGGGGGTGAGGACTCCGGTGAAGGAGTAATCACTTCTGCAGGCGGAGACGCCGCTGGAGAATACGCCGGAGAGGCGGATGGAGTGGCTGCTGCAGGAGTGGGACTCGCCGGAGATGCCGCGGTGGACGACGGTGTCGGCGACGGAGAGACAGTGTTCCGCGGCGGAGATGCTGGAGGAGAAGCGGAAGGGCTAATTTTTGGAGAATTCGCCGCCGGTGCCGGCGAAACCACCGGAGACTTTGTCGGGGACGAGTGAGGACTCGCCGGAGACTGTGATGACGGGGGGTGTGTTTTCCCCGCGGGCGGCGCGTGAGTGGCCGGCGCCGGAGAAGGAGCCCCGGGAGATTGTGCATCAGTGGAATATTGGGCGGACAGTAGAAGAACCGCAACGACGGCGAATATTCCGTTCATTTTTTCTAATGCGGAGGGAATATTCCGGCGACGGGTATAATGCGGGAATGAATGTTTGACGATACTGTCGGATGGTTCAGATCGACGGTGGAGATTTATAGCAGAATCTTTCGAAGCGAAACGCTGGTAGGAACCGAAGGGGAAGACCGTTTGAGCAGTGGGTCCCTTAGTTACCGGCTGCAGCCAGTAATATAGCCGTTTGTCTTAGACTCCTACCGGCTGAACCGGTCATCCTTGTCTTTTTCGTTTGTCTCTCCGTGACTGATTTAGAAGACTACAAAACTTCTTCAAACGGTTATATTCAGAGCATTGGTCAATAAATATATTTTTGTAAATAATAATAATATGAAATGGATACAGGGCCATACAACATAAATGGGCTTTTATGCAAAAACTAAATGGGCCTAAAAAGTTATAAATCCAATTTCTCTTAGTCCAATACGGAGTTGGACCTGGCCCAACATACAATTAAAGGAAGCATATGGGAGATTGAACAGAAATAACGTGAGAATGAAACAAGAATCTGTCCAATTGTCAACTATTATTATTAAAAAATCTTTTAAAGTTTATGTTTTCATTTTTTCTTTATTATGCAATTACATTATTTATAAAATAAATTATATTTATAAAATATTAAATTCAAATTATTATTCAAGTAAAAAATTTTAAAAAAAAATGCTAATTAGCTACTGTTTGGGAAGACTTTGGAACATTAAAAACCTCCCCCACCTCACCTCTCCTCTCACATTCTCAGTGCATTGGTCAAACCCCATTTGACTTCTTGGTGGACCCCACCTCCCACCATTCAACTGTCATTCCCATGAGATGCCACTCCATGGACCTCAAGTCCCCGTGATACCACTAAATTGAGGTGTTTTTATTATTAAAACTTTTAGTGTTCTTAATTAGAATATTTGAAAATAAAAAAAAATATGTTTCTAGTGTGATGCTTTATGTATATAGTATTATTACATGGTATGTTAATATTCTGTTTTTTTAGAAAAAAATAAATAAATATATTATATTTTGATCAAATAGCAACCGATATTACAATTATATATGCATTTATACAATATTATTAAAACTATCGATAGTGATATTTTTATAAATAAATCCATTTAATATATCAAGATGATAATTAATATAGCTTATACAAATATACAATTAAATTTATTACTATAAATTATAATAATACAATAACAAGATTAAAATAGATAAAACGCAAACAAACACAACCTAACATTTTGACATTTACTCCCTACATGCTTTCATCGGTTTAATAATAAAAGAAAAGGGACACTACTGAGTGATTTCGCTTTACCATAAAAATAATTATTTTTTATATTTGATTAGATTGAATTTTAATGAATCATTCATCACAATCAATAGTGTTTAGTTGCTTAAATGCTAAGAGTGTTCTAATCAAAATTATTCAGATTTTATTGTGAAATTATTATTAGTATACTTTGATAAAAAAAAAATATTATACAACATAAAATTATAAATTTAGTCAGTAAAATATTGATTAAATAAAATATTTAAATGATAGTAGGATGGAATAAATATTGAAATGTGCAATTTGTTGATTGAATATGTCACGTTTAAAGCAATATAACTACTTTATTACCAATACTCTATTAAAATAATCAAAATAAAAAAATATATATATATCTCAAAATATCTAAAATAGTTTAAAACACTAAGCATACTTTAAAATATTTAACAATGGGTTTTTTTATTTGAGGTATAAATATAATGAATGAATAGTCAAAGTGCTGTAGTAAAACTAACTGAAAGGAATAATGGGAATTAAATGGAGGAAATCAATTGTGCGAGTGGTCCAGGTAAACCACTTACCGACACCAGTTACCTCTTGCCAAGTGGACGTCTCAGATCGTTTCAATCCGACGGTCAGAAGTAAGGCATGGTTATCGACATGGAACGGCCAAGGATCGAACACGTGTCTCATCCGATGGCGTTATTATAGTCTTTGATCCAACGGACCTCACATTCTCTACTCTCTCCAAATTCATCTCATCTCTCCGCCTCTCTCCCCCGGCCGGAATATTCGTCGCCGGAGTATTGCGCGGCCGTAATTCGTGTAATTTTCTCTGCTTTTCTCGTCAATTCGATCGGAATGTGATTTTCCCTCCGTTTCTGGTGGATTAAATAAATCCTCTTTATTGATTCGACTCGTCGAATCCTCGAGTTTCAGAGCCTTCGGTTTCTGAATCGATTGCTTTCTATTTCTCGTTGTCTGTGTTGAGAGTAATTTGTTGATTCACTTTCACCTCAAATTTGATACCGAAGAACAGTAGCTAGTGTTCTCGCAATCTGTTCTGTTCATTCTCAACTTCTGCTTGATTATCATCTGAATCAACAATTCCGAAGCGCAGAAATTCAACAGCTCCTTTGAAATTGAATACATACATACGTATATATCGAGTAGGAATGGCGGATTCGGATAATGAATCAGGAGGAAACCGCGACCACAGTTCTCAAAACGAAGCGTCTCCTCGCGAGCAGGACAGGTTCCTCCCGATCGCCAACGTCAGTAGGATCATGAAGAAGGCTCTCCCTGCGAACGCCAAAATATCCAAAGACGCCAAGGAGACGGTGCAGGAATGCGTCTCCGAGTTCATCAGCTTCATCACCGGAGAGGCCTCCGACAAGTGCCAGCGCGAGAAGCGCAAGACGATCAACGGCGACGACCTGCTGTGGGCGATGACTACTCTCGGATTCGAGGAGTACGTGGAGCCGCTCAAAGTCTACTTGCAGCGCTTTCGGGATATGGAAGGAGAGAAGAGCGCTATCGCAGGAAGAGGAGACAAAGAGACAATCGGCGTCGGCGGAGGAGGAGGAGGGAATGGTAGCGTCGTGAATTTAGGAACCTCCGGCGGCGGAGACGGTTACGAAGGGATGTATGGCGTGAATATGATGGGAGGATCCGTATACGGGTACGGGCAATCACAGGGTATACCCGGTAAAGTGGGATCGAGTTATAATATCGGATCCGGGTCGGGAACGGGCATGGGCGCTGGCAGGCCTAGGTAAATATTTGACTTCTACTTTAAACTAAAGCCGTACATTAATTAATTAGTGATTGATGGGGATTTCTATTATTATTCATATTATTATTATTATTATATTTGTAATATTATTGTTCTTGCATAATCATACATATATACATACATTAATACATACATATATATATATATAAAGCCTTTCCTTTTATTGAAAAAAAAAAAAAAAACATAATTTAATTGGAGGGATTGATATAATTTGATAGGGTGAATGAATGAATGAGTGTGTATGTTTGTATTGTCATTTTCAATTCCCTTCTTACAAAAAAAAAAAAAAAAAAAAAAAAAAAAAAAAAAAAAAAAAAGAAGGTGGGTCTTTTGAGAGTGGAGGGTAGAGAGCATGCAAATAAATAGGGAATAGGGCTTGTTTATTCTCTATATGTCATAATGTCGTATACCAATAGTCATTGTTAAATTTATTCTCACAAGAAGATTTTAATTAACAAAAAAAAAAAAAAAAAAACATTTAAATAGTAACAAATAAAAGTCATTGTTAAATTTTTGGAAGCAATTAGAACAGCATCTTTGTAAGAGTTGAATCGAATTCAAATTAGTTTCATGTAATAATTTATCTTGATTTTTATAATCAATTCATAATTAATTTCCATTAATTAATGGAGGGTTACCCAAACTTTTTGTTTAATATGTTTGTATATTTATAGTTACCTTAAATAATTTATTTTGATTTTTACACAAAATAATTTATTTAACAAATATTTTCATTAAAAACATATATATTTATTTGTTTGGAGGTTGATACAATAGAGTTTCATATTGAAAATTAGCCTTGGGTTTCTTTTTTTTTTTATGATTTTAAATTAATAAAATTTAATGAAAAAATATATTAAATTTTTTTCACAAATATTAAACAAAAATTTAAAACAATATTTTATTTCAAATCAATTTCAATATATATATATATATATTTCTATAAGGAATTTTCGTTGCATAGCAAAAATTTGAAATCAAAGTTAAAAGTTCTATTTTTAATTATAAAACAAAATAAATAAAAACATGTATATTAAACCATTTAAAAACTTTATTATACACTGATTACATATTAAAATTGGAGTGTACGTGAGAAGTGCTCCACTAAGTGATATCTTTTGATGCCAGTGGAAAAAATTATTATTATTATTATTATTATTATTATTATTATTTTAATAGTGTCAAATCGACAAAAATCCAACAGCTAATCAACCTATTATTATCTTTTATTTTAAATTTAATTGTAGTGGTTTATCTGTTACCGCCGCCTATTAATTTTTTATGATTTACTCCACAAAATAAACTTCCAATAAAATTATTAATTTTATATTTACGCCATAGGAAGATGTCACTTGTCACTGTCGATTTATGCTTTCGCTGCCTTCCCACACTTATAGAAAAAATGAATTTAAAAAAATTATGTACATAATAATCTGAATTATACAGTCAATTTAATATTTTATACATGCGGTAAACAAAAAATTCGAAGTACAAAATATGCAAATACTTTGTCTTTGGGCTTACGAATGTTTAATAAGCCAAAATGAAACATTACATATTTTATTACTGCACAGTTCTTAATTAGATATAGTATTCCCTATAAAATAAAATATATATATACACACAACAATAAAAATCGTTAAAAAAAAAAAAAAAGGAAAAGAAAACCACATAAAAACCCATTTTTTCTCACCACCTAAAAAATGCAGAGACTACTACACAAGTGGCAAATGAACAGAAAAGAATAGAAGGGGAAGAGAATGATCTCTTGATGGGTGGTCAATAATTTAAAAAGACTAGTCATAACCAAGCCATAGAAACAACAGAAACCTCAGAACAGTTAAGTCGAATCGACTCGGGTACTAATCCTACCCCTATAGGAAGGAAGGAAGGTCAGAATCTTAAACAAATCTACACAAGAGCTTCAATTCAAATGATGATTCTACCACAACACAGTTTAGAGCATAGCATTCAGAGCAGACTACTTAACATTTCTTTCTAATGGTTGATAACTTACAGCGCCAACATGAAACAGCAGCGGGCAGGATGGAGTGATCGATATGGTATGGTATGGTTGTCTCTAGTGTACACAAATGTATCTATCTGTGTTGCAATCCATCAGCTCATCCCTTGACGCGTACGGTGGTGGGGGGGGTGGTGGAAGCCTTGTTATCATTCTTCTCGGCGTCGCCCTCATTCTCTTCATCATCTTTCTCATCAGCCTCGGCTAGCTTTGTCAGCTCATCCTGGATAATGCTCTTTATCAATGATTTTCTTGATGTCAGATCTGTCTTGAACCGCTTAGCTGATCAAACAAATGCAGATAATTAAATTAAACAAATTGCATCCCACACCAAAAAGAAAAGGTTATATTTCATGGCAATCAAACAACAAACCGACAATGAGTAAAGTGAATGGTAATGGCGATAACAGAGTTCAAAAGAGAGTTTATAAGGGGGCTTACAGAGTAGCTTCACAATGTCAGTAAAGGTTGCCTGCAAAACACAATCAATCAGATAAATACGAAAATGAAAAGGAATACCAAGTAAAAGGAGGCAAGTAAATACTGAGCATGGCGTAATAAAAAAGTAATTCCAAAAAACTAATGGTAACTAAAAATTTGTCTATGTTATCAGGAATCTGAATGCAAGATCCTAGATAATATAGTGAAGTTTATTCTAGTAGCACTTACAAGAACCATATATCAAAAGATTTTACAACTTACTGTGTTGAAGTCAACCTCATTGAGGATTTCCAAGATCTGAACCTTAAGTTCTTCATCACTAGGTTTTAATGTCTCCTCCCTGAGCTTTTCTTTCACTTTCATAATCTTCTTCCCTGCATTCAAACAAGAACAGAATAATCAGTATCGTCACACAATCAGCTGGCAAAATAGTTTCCACATATATATATATATATGTATCAGTTACTATTTCATCAAGCAAATGATATTTCAGAATGGCTACAATTCATACCAGCGCTCTCCTTTGTTGCTGATTCCTTTGGAGGGTCTGACTTCTTGGTTGGTTCCTCTTTCTTCTTACTGGAAGACTTCTTTGCACTATTCCTATCATTGCTTTTCGCTCTACTAGGTGGTGATTTGGCAGCTGCTTTTTTGGCAGTAGAACTGGTCCTTTTAGAAATTGTAGTCTTCTTGGTTTTGGGTTCTTCAGAAACCTTCTTCGTAGAAGACTTAGCTGATCCTCGCTTCTTCTTTACACTCTCTTCCTCTGATTCTGCTTCAGAATCACTTCCTTTCTGCTCACTTTCGCCTTGTTCAGACATTTCCTCATCAGATTTCTCTGGAACACCATTTATGTCTCTCTCTTTCTCATCTTCTGATTCATCTTCTGATTCCAGATTAGTGTCCTTTGTCTCTTCATCATTCTTGGATTCACTCTCACCTTTCTTTTGACGCTGGAGAATAGATAGACTCGAACGATGAGAATGTGTATTTAAACATACCTTTTAACCAAAGCTTTCACATTATTTGATAGGGTACTTAGAAACCCTGGTTAAATGATCCTTCGTATCATGTAAACGAAGACACCAGATTGCAAACTCCAAATTCACTATGTTACTTCAAAATAACTTTGTAAAAACTATCTAAACTACCCAACATGCATCCCCAAGTCTGTCAATTTGCATATGCAAAAGTGCTCTGCAGCAATGATTTGACGTTACCAAAAATTAATTTTAATACAATCCAACATGACAGAAAAGTTTCAATTCCACCAGAAACTTACCTTCGCTGAGCTTTTTGACGGTGTCCTACTCCTAGATGCTGATTTGCTGGCACTCTTTCTCTTCTTTCCCTTAAATGACAGATCACCAGGAAAGTTAATATAGCAACTAAAATTTCCACAATAGGCTATTTCAGTACCGAACCTGATCTTTATCAGCCAGCAAATCAGAAGTAGTTGCACGAGGTTCCAGCAAAAAATCTACCAGTTTAGTAATGATCTCTTCCTGAAAATAAAACAGTTGAATTCAGAATGTCCAGTATTCATCAAGATAAGCAAGAGAAATTCTACAGACAAGACCGCGATGCAGTAAAATTTCTAGAAACAAGAATGTTTTAAACAAACCTTTCTTGCATTAGCCTTGGAAATTGGGATATCAAGAACATCACAGAACTCTACTAGTTTCTCTTTGACACACTTGTCAAGTTTTTCTTTGACTTTACTCATTTGCTTTTCCTGAACATTCATTAGGTACACTGGAAGTTACAACAAATCCAACCGAGGGCTGAAGATGTCGTGCACAATTCAAAAGCGAGTCATCCTTATTTTTTATTACCTCATTAGCAGCATTCCAAACGAAACCAGAGAATCTTGAAATATTGTTCTTCACTTCAGCTGCCTGTCCAAGTAAAAGGGGGAAAAAAAAGTATTAAAATTGACATGCGCCTCAATTTTATCAACATGAGCAAGATAGTCTCCAGCCATGGTTTGCACTTTACACTATGCTTTGCGATATTATGTGTACAAAACAAAGTGTTCTGTTAAGTAAAAAAAAAAAAGTCTAGTGTAGAAAAACTATATTTTTGTGTGTATATTATAAATATATATAATATGCATAGATTGCTTTAATGACATATGCTAATAATCACAATGATTAATTTATAGCGACTATGTCTGTATATTACCTTAAAGTGCATGCGACTGCAGTAAATACAAATATTCACTTAACTGTAGATTTAAGTGGAGAAAGATATACGTAATAATTAGTTTTCGATTTGTTGCACTGCGAAACGTAAATTTGAAGGAATCTATATTTGCTAGGAACATATTTTAGCAGGTAAGATCATAAAAACATTAAGCTCGTATATTTTGAATTTATAAATTACTCTAATACAAAAGGTAAAAAGACAGATGAATGAGCAAAAAAAATTACTTCGGATACACCATCATCCGATCATAGAAGAAAAAGATACGAATGCAGAAGGTAAATTTTCAAAATGCAGATATTAGGACTGAATCCAATATGGACATATTGACTTATACAAGTACTACTGGAAAAGGATGAATTCTTGAGAACAGCATTCTTATGCAAAAGGAGCAGTCATTAGTCATGATGTTTCTGAATGCATTTTGAAACATCAATGTACAAAATGAATTTTTTTAGCTTAGTTGGATACCGGAAATAGGATTTCCAAAAGAGATTTGACAGAAGAACTTTACCTTTCCTCTCCTTCCAAATAGAATAGTATGGAGCAATTTAAAAGTATCATCTGACTTCTTCCTCGACAGCTTATACGCCACTGAAATAGAATCAAGGCTCGGGAATAGTAAGAAATATAGTCATAAATCAAAGCAGCTAAAGTTATGCATAATCTTAAACACATAGCAAAATTCCACCTCCTCAACAGTAAATTCAACGATTATATTAAGAAGTATTGCGAACAATGATGCAATATTTTAGAATATATATTTTTTTAATAATATATCGGGAAATGTATCACCGTCTCACCGACATAAAAAGTTGTATCACACAGCCTAACACATAATACATCGCCGCCACTGTATAAACACACAAGGCAGAACTTTACAAAGATCAAACAACAGAGCATGAAATTGTTAAAATATTAAGCATTGTCCAAAGGAATGTTTGTTACTAATGATTCTGCGTCATAATATGCTAAACGACAGAACACCAACACGTGTCAAAGATAAACAAGTTCATGCTTTTGGTACACGGAAATAAGGAAAAGCAGAAGCTCCAACAGGGAACGCAGTGATCAACAGAAAGAGCTAAGAAATCCATGGAAACAACACTATTTAATACGACGAAAATAAGTTTGCAGTGCCAAAACTTCAGCCTAATTATGGGATAAGTCAAATCATCTCACTGGATTCACAAATCATGGCCCAAAACTTACAAATATCAATTGAAGCAGAGCACCTATAGAAACTATGCAGTAAGAATAGAAGTCAATTAATGCAACTCATCGAAAATTGCAATATTTGAAAATGATTCGCCGACAAGAAGCAAACAAAATTAGTTTAGCACTATACCATTTGGGATATCTTTCAGAGCAGTTCCACGACCCTGCAAATCAGTAATAGTGTGCCACTTGTAAATATTCAACGAACTATTAAATATCATCGATGATGACAAAAACATAACGGTCGAACAGAAAAGTTAAAATTAAAGATACACCTTTTCAACGTGAAACTCCTTGGCATAATCCTTGTCAATAATAGCAACCAACCTCTCCACCGATTTCCGTTCCCGAACAGGGCGATCAATTAAGGCCGCGGAAGGGGTTTTTGGCTGCTTTTTTTCTACTGGGGTTTTAGATTCCTTTGTCTTTTTGTAGGTTGGGGTTTTCAGATCTTCCTTATCTTCAGATTCTTTCTTTTTCACTCTATCCTTCTTCCCATTGTTACTCTTTGGTCTTGGGCGTTTCTTCGATCCCTTTTTTTCTTTAGGCTCATCTTCCTCTTTCACTCCATCAGTCTCTTCTTCTTCTTTTGCTTCTTCCTCTTCTTTCACTTCATCAGCCTCTTCATCAACTTCACCCTCAGTCTCTTCCTTGGTTTTCTTTTCACAGTCTTCCACCATTTCCTCACTCTTCAATTCCTCCTTTTCCCTATCTTCTCCTTCAACTTCTTGCTTTTCTTCGTTAGCTTCTGTCTCTTCCTTCTCACCCCCCTTCATTACTGAATCATCTACATGTTCCTCGACGTTCTTGCTTACATAGGGATCTCTTTTGCCCGAGTCCATATCCTGTTCCTCAACTTTCCCATCATCCACTTTATCGTCTTCTTCCATTTCAGTCGCTCCATCATGCTGCTCCCCCTTCTCATCCGCTGCATCATCAGTCTCCCCCTCCACTACAGGAGACTTCTCCACCTCCGAGTTGCCATTGGCCACAGGCTCAACCTTTTCAGAAACCGCATCTTCCTCACCCATACCGACTGCAAATCAAAAGCAGGCTTCAACAAAAATCCCGTCTTGCTACCCTGCAAACAAAATTATTGCAGACTAATTACTCTTATACACCAAATTCCAAGAACTAGCCTCGAGCCTGTACAATCAATACACATAGTCACTTGAATTTCACAATTTCTAGATCCCAAACGCAGCGGTGTAGTTGAACGAAAACACGTTTATACACAAAAACAGCCACCGCATACCCTCCTTAAAACCCCACCTGTCTTCAGCCAACCCAAACACACAACAAAACAATAATTATGCAAATTAATGCAGCAATCAAGATTAAAAAATCGCCAAAAATAGCTCAAAATTTGCTCACACAACACCAAACCCTAACCAGAAAAACTCAATCCAACCACAACAAAAACCAAACACAAATCCAACTGAATTCAAGTTAACAAAGCTAAGGATTGAGGTTAACGGCGTACAATTCGAAGAAAGCGAACCCAAGAACAGGTGCCAGAACACGCGTCGAGGCTGAACTGAAGTGATTCCACGGCTCAATCCTTCGGCTTGACAGTCGGTTTTGTACTTATCTAACACCACCGCACCTTTTCCCTGCGCAGAAATTTATACAGCGGACGTCAAGTCCGGATTTTAAATCCAGTTTAATGCCAAGTCGGATTGGGAGCGGGATTCTGAAATTAGACACGTGTACAGCTAAGATCGGACTTACTACGCACGTTTTGAATCAACGGCTGCGATTAACTTTGACTATTGGATTATATGGGCCTTACTAATGGACTTAAGCTAGTTGGACCGTAATTACTTAACCCAGTTTTGCATATTGTTTTATAAAACAAAATTGGAGTGTGGGCTTCCAACATTTTTTTTTACTTAATTAATATTATAAAAAATATTTTCATATATATAATTTTTTTATATCAATTCAAATAGGTCATTAGTTTTACATTAAATTAATAAATAATAAAATTTGATATGTAAGATATTTTTTATATTTTGTTCTTTTATAATTTATGCATATATTAATTTGATATATAATGATATATAAAAATTAAATATAAAAATTAAATGATCTGTCCCAAATAAGATGCAATATTTGTTTTTTGCACAGGTTTTAGGTGGCAGTGTTAAGCGTAATAATTTGAAAATTAGGTGATGTGATGAAGAGAAAAATGTATATTTTATTTTTTATTTGGATAATATGGGGAATAAAGTGTGGGCTAGATATTAAGTATAATTAATTATTTCTTATTTTAGAAATGTAGCAGAGTGTTTGAGATTTACCAAAAAAAAAACAATATTGCAGAGTATTTGGAACGAAGAGAGTACTAAAATAGATTAAATATATTGAATTTGTGTTTTGTTCTTTCTCTAATTTTTTTCTACATTTTTTTTTCCAAAAAATTAAAATTAATACACTACTTTCATTGTTTTTATATTTTATAAAGGATTCTCTATACTAACATCAAAAAATTTACTTTACAATAATCTCACAAAATTTACTTTATATTGGATATGATGATTGTATTTTTAATATAAAAGAAAATATTTCGTATCAAAATATTAATTTGATATGAGTTGATATATTATACTTTCTCTATTGGTCGAGTTAAAATTGTGTTATTGTTCCTTTTTTTTAGTCCGTCTGCTAAATTTATGCACTCTTGTAAATAATTTTATTATAACATAATTTTATAATATCTATTTTAATAAATAATAATTAATTTATCATTGAATTTTATTTACTCCACTTATTATTATTATTATTATTATTATTATTATTATTATTATTTTATTTTTATTTTTTTTTTATCATTTTTCTATAATATTCATATTTTTCTTTTTTCTGTATTTTAAATATTAAACTATGTAGTATTATTTTTAAATATACGTGCCAACTAAATTATTATATATATACATAATATTAATCAAAATTATGTTAAAAGATTGTTTATCTTAGAGTTGTGAATTAAATTATAAATTTTTTAATTTAGTTTGATTTGATTTTTAATATAATATCCCTTAAGTTAGACGTTGTGTTTACTTTAAATTTTAATATTATATTTATACATGACATAAATAAAAATATTTTTATTAGTATTGTTTATTATATTTGTATAAAATGTTATATAAATATAATAATAATTCTAATATTAAGTAAATAAATATGAAAGTGAAAAAAAATAAATATTTAATTTGATATAATGATTGTATATATAAATAAAACTTCCTTATCCCAAGTTAATATTTTTTGTTTTTGTTTTTTTTTTTTTGCAAAAATTAAGAGTGTGTTTGTCTTGTAAAATCTTTTGAAGGATGTTATTTTTCTATTTAATATACTCTTCCGTATGTATATTTTTGTTTTTGGTTGTTCGCAACGTTTACTTCATCATCATATTATTATTGTTAAAAAAAAAAAGATTTAACTAGTCACAAGATAAAATTATATTTATATTACTTTTAAAATATTACAATTAAAATCGATAACTCACAAGGACTAACCATGACAGGTGACCTGAAGTGTCAAGTGTAAACCCAGACCTTACGGTCACAAGTCCAATCCCTAACTCATCAGGCCATCCCTTACGGAACTCGACTTTTGATAATGGAATACGTTTCACTTAACTCAGATTTTTTCTAACAATGAAATTATACAAAGACATCAGAGTTTGATCACATAATTTCACAATTATGGTCAGGAGATCATCCTTATGTAACGAGGAAGCATAATCTTTCAAATATAAAGTGTTTCTTAAATTTTTTTAATTTGAATTCAATAATAAAAGTAATATACGATAGAATGTTGGATTGGGGTGGGCGCAGTAGATAGAACCAACACAGAAAACTCAAATGAGGAATGAATAACTCCAATCTATTGAATATAATACTAATAATAACACAGAGGTCTTTCGATAAAAAATAATAATAATAATAAGCACCCCAAGGTCAAGTACCTTATGGGAAGGCATAGTCATACACACACCACTGACACACATACTCTATAGTCTATGGTCTATACCCTAGAGAGAGTATCAAAACTGATCCGGCCACAAAAAGGCGCCCATGGCGAACCGCCTCTTCTCCTCCAAACTACCACTGAAACTCACTCCATACTGCTGGAGAAGCACATCAAGCCTCCATTCCTCCATCTTCTCGTAATCAGATTTCACATACCTCGGATAGTGCACCGGCATCTTAAACGTCGACGATTCTCCATCACCAGCCTGTTGTTTTCCGAATTCCACCGCCGCGCCGCACTCGCGCTCCTTCACCGCCCGCTCGGAAGACCAGTGCTCCACAAATATCGTGTTCGCGAAGTTGAGAAGCCAACCGAATGCCATCTGTATCACTGTATGTACTTTGCAGCCTGCACCGATTTTGTGAAAAGTGATTCCTCTTCTGCGTGCCTATATATAGGCGGTAGCGGAGAAAATATGATGTGCGTGAATCGATGGGCGATTGCTTGGAGGATTTTGCGGTTTGTTTGTTTTGTAAGATTTTTTAGATTTTCTTCTTAAAAATATTATATCAAATTTGAAATTTCATATCAATATTTATTTATATCACATACAGGTATATATCTGTATTTGTATTCAATTTTTTTATTATTCAAATCTTAATTTAAAATCTTAATCTACAAACAAACGCACCCTTATTGATTAATTAATTGAAATTTAATTCAGTGTGGCGTCTAGATGTTTCCAGCTCTAAGTAATGATTCTTTGAACGCCACGCCTTCAGATCCATGTATATTGTCACCGCTAAATTAATGGTGGAGATGTATTGGGACTTGGAGTCCCTGGACTTGTTTAAAAGTTTATCAATAATTTCAGGGGGCTTGTGTGTTGATGGTTTTGGTACAGCTGTCCTCTGGTGCATGGATTTGCCTGCGCCAATGTCCCACCTGATTATTGCCCAATCATTCAATTCTTTATTTTTTTTTTTTTTGTAATTATTAAAATTACGCTATTAAGAAAATCAATCATATTGATTGAGTATTAAATGCTCCTACGGTCATTAAAAACTTATTCATTTTTTTTATTTGCCTTTATAAAATTAGGCCTATTTGTTTTCACTTTTTTTAAAAAATAAAATAAAATATGTATATAGTGTATCTTTTAAAAATAATTATTAGATTAAAATCAATATAGTTTTATATAATATCAAACAATTATTAAAATTTAAATTTCTTTCTTTTTAAAATCCAAACTCAAAAATTTTAATTTCTATATAAAAAAAAAAACATGTACTTTAAGTACGAGTCATATGCCAAAATCAGCAGCTCAAATAATTTAGGCCCAATGGACCAAATAAATTGTTAGTGGACCCAAATCAATTTAAAGTTATATATATTGGGCCTAGAATGTCGGCCCAATATTGTTAAATCAAGCAATAAGAGAATAAGTTTTTATTTAAAAAAAAAAAGAAAAAGAAAAATCTTCTGGATAAAGCTGCAGAGAAATTTCGAGCGAGCGAAGGTGAAGTCTAGGAATCGAGCATGGCCGCAGTCTCTTCTCCATTTTCGGCGGTGCTTTTACCAGTGTGCAATTCCAAGCCACGGATTTCTGCTCCTTGTTTGATTTCATCAAAGTTAATGACCGTGAAAGCCTCGGGAATTTCCTCTTCGAGAGTTATGGCTGCTCCTGAAGCTCTGGAAGCTAACGCCGGTCCTACTGTAGCCGAGGTTTTGTTCAATCTATGTTTTGCTCTCTCGAGTTGAAGGATTTGAAGTTTATAATATATCAAATACCTAAGGATTGGTGTCTGATTGTATTGTTTAATGACTGTTTTAGGGTGAGACTCCATCGAGTGTGAGTATCAGCGCAGATACAGATAAGGTAGATTTTGTATCCTTGAACAAATTTGATTTATTATTATTATTTTTTTTTTTAGCTTGTAAGCTGAATGAAATGTGGTGTTAGATTTTTGGTTTTAAAAAATTTGGCGCAGAAATTCGCTATTGTTGTTTGAGACATTACCCAGTCTTTGCCATAACGAATTGTTTCTTTGTGATAAGCAATGGCAGAAGGATAGCGAGGCTTGAGACTAGAGGTTGAATATTTGATGTTTCATTAGCTTTACTACCTATTCAACTCTGCTTAGTAATGCATTGAATCTCTGACTGCATAGTGTTATCAAATGTATTTCCTGAAAGTTCAAATTGATTTATATATTTTTTGTTGATTTGCACTTTCGAAGTAGTTTAATTAGAGATATGAATTGGAACCATGACACGATTTTGCTCTGATGTGGCAAGTGTGTTGCAAGCTTTTGAAACTGTAAAAATTGTTAAATCTTCACTAGCTATAGATGCAATGTAGCATAGAGTCTGGCATATGCAATTTCTACTTCCTATAGCAATGTTACTGAAGCTTTTTTCTGGTAATGATTATTGTCGAAGAATCAAATGTAAACGAGCATAAAGCAATGCACTACCCTATAATGTACAGCTTTGTGGTAGTTAGGGAGTTTCAATTATATGATCCCCGAGTTTTATCTCAGGTTGCTGCCAAGCAGAAGATCAGAATCAAATTAAGATCATACTGGGTGCCCCTAATCGAAGACTCGTGTAAGCAGATAATGGATGCTGCAAGGACGACGAATGCAAAGACTATGGGTCCTGTCCCATTACCAACCAAGAAAAGAGTGTATTGTGTTCTAAAATCTCCACATGTGAACAAAGATGCAAGGTTCCACTTTGAGATCAGAACTCATCAACGGCTCATCGACATTCTCTACCCAACTGCCCAAACAATTGACTCGCTGATGCAGCTGGACCTGCCTGCCGGTGTCGACGTTGAGGTTAAGCTTTAGACCGGTATGTAACTTCTGTTTCTCATTGCATATACACATAATTGTGACGTATGCTGAATTGATGGCGGGCGAGTAGATTAAGTACAAAATAGTTGCATGCAATTTCTTCATGTGATATGCTACATGGGTTCTTTTTGTTCTGCTTATGATGTGATGCCTGCAGTATTATTCGCATTTTGGGTAGTGAATATTGCCAGAAACTCGAAAATTAGTTCGATTTTGTTGAATATAGATGGCTCCTAAAGATGGCATGTTTAATATATGATCACTTGATCTTATTTCATGAGATTATGTTTCGATTTATTCAATAGGATAGGATACTTCTAAAACTACTATGATGATATCGAACTTAGTTTTAATTTCAAATTGCATTGGATCCATTTGCATTATTGATATTAAATATGACCTAAGAATAGTTGTATTGATCAAGTTATATGCATAGGATGTATAAATATATTCCAAACATTGTTTGTGTGTTGGTAGAAATTTCTTTTTCTTTTTTCTTTTTTTTTTTTGGTTTCCTCAGTTGTGAAAGGATTTTTTTTTCTTAATTCAATTTTGTTATTCTTTTACTTTCAATATTGATGATAGAATTTAAATTTATTGGCATTCTATATGTTTGTTTGGTTTTGATTTGAAATTTAATATTTTATTTGATTTTTGGTTTAATTAGTATTACTATGGTATATGTGATGTCTTTTTTTTTTTTAATTTTTACACAAATGTAAACTCACCTATGCTTTTTTTCCCCTTTAACAGAACTGTCCAATTAGGAACCGGCCCAGCTCACTGTATTGAGTAATGTTTTTAAATGTACCCATTTATGTCACATGTGGTTTTGGCACTGTCCATGAATTTTTTTCATTACTTTTTTTTTTAAAAAAATTGTCTTTTAAAATTTATATATAATCTATTTATAATAAATAATTTTATTTTTTTATTTTATTTTTCATCTATTCTATTTATGTAGTATTAAGATATTTTTTTCCTGTATTTTGTTTCCTGCTGGGCCCAAGTGAATTGAGAGAAACAAATCTTGTTTTAAATTTAATTATCTGATTATTTAAATTTAATTTGATGTCAAACTCTATATAAAAGTTGAATTACAAGTCAAATCTATTAATTTAAAAAAAAAAATTAATAAACTAATATTTATTTATTATATTAATAGAGCAAAATAGATTGGATAATGAAAACAATTGGTATAACACAATTGACCCTTTTTGTGAAAGGGACAATTTCACATGAAATCACACACACACATATATATATACATAGAAAAAAGAGTGGACTACTGCTAACCTCCAAAACATTTTTTACCATAAAACATGAATCACAAAAAATCGAAACTATAGAAAATTTAAAACAAATAAAATCTACAAATTTTAATTTTATTTTTTTGCAGATTATTATTATTATTTTTTTTACAGAAATGATGATGATAGATGGGTGGGTGTCTTCTCGTGAAATTGAACAGTCAGACCAGTAATGGATGACAATTGGGTTTATGAAAGGCCATCCACTGTGATGCGGTTACAATTTTCAATTTTTTTTTAATAAATATTAATTTGCATTTGAAAAAATAATATTCACAATATAATTTAAATAATTAAATAATATAACTATATACTATATTTGTTTTTAATGGTTCAATATGGTTTATGCTGTTAAAATTTATGCAAAGAATAAAAAATATATCTATATACTAATCATTTACTTTTATGCTGCATTTAATGAATATTTTATTTTAATAGTAATTAATGTTAATTTTAATATGTAATTATTTATTTTTCAATCTTTGATATATTGATTAATGTAATTATATTGGTATAAATAAATACAAATCTTAAAATATTTATAATATACTGTAAATTTATATCGATTAAAAAAGAGATTGAAACTTTACCGTGGAGAGTGAAAAATGACAATAGAAATGCATCAAAAGCAGCCGGAGAAATATATTATATTTTCAAATACAAAAAGCATTATATGAAAAAAAAAAATTAAAAATTCCTTTAAGCATGATAGTACTACAACAAAGACACCCCTAACCCTACTAGTATATTTTTTTCAATACACTCTATCAATATAATAGTTGAATTTAATCATTTGCAATCCGTACAATATTTGTGTTTAATAAATAAATACCTAAAAACAAAAGTCCTTAAAGGGATGAGCTGGTGGTGTAGGGGTTAAATTTGTGACCGTAAGGTCATGGGTTCAAACACTTTCTCGTTGGGCCTGATTTGCAGGATATTACGTTCCACCGTTAATTTGAATCAAAAAATTAGATACAATAATAAACGGATCCATTTAAAGTATTCACACGTTAAGTTTCATCTCTTTTATCTTGAAGAATCAACTTATAATAAATTAATAATCATTGTCGACCCCATACATTATATAATATTTTAGTATATAATATAAATAAATGTATTTGTGTTACTTTATTTAGGATGCAAATAACAAAATGGCTTTTACCATTTTCCTACGCGAAAAAAAAAAAAAGTGACAAAAGCAGCCACGGAAAAAAAAAAAAAATTAAATTGAAAACAATAGTAGTATTTGATAATATATAAAAATAAAATAAACATTCTTTTTTTTTGCCCCAGCATCCAATGCTGAACCTAGACCACTACTGCGTCCACATTCCATTCAATTATTGGCGCTGTGCCCTATCGATCACTACATTACATTTAAACGAAGGCGGCGTTTTTATATATAAAGGATGTGTTTGTTCGGAGATTGAATTTTAAATACACTATTCATTTTATTTTTTCTTTCAAAAAACATCAAATCAAACACATATTTTTTATTTTTTATATTATACTAAAAATCAATTTTACATTCAAAATATTAAATCAACACTTATTTATATCAACTATTCAAATTCAAAATTTTTAATATTCAAATTTCAATTCAAAATTCAAAACCCCAAACAAACACACCCTATGTATTGTATGTCGTTGAAAGTATAATGGAGAGAGAATCCTATAATTAATTTTTTATATGAAATATAAATATATTTTATTAATATCCTGAGGATCATATTTACTAGGGGACGATTAACTAACATTAATTGTGAATTCTAAAACAATACATTGATGATAAGTGAGAGTTTTTTTTTTTTTTTTTTTTGAAGTATTTAAAGTTGTCTTTAAATATATTTATGGAAAATATTTTAAAGATAATGTATAGTAGTATTATTATTTTAAATATAAAAACATTAATTTAACAATTTTTTCAATAAAAGAAAATGAAAAAATATATTAAAATTTTTACATAATAAGAAACCCTAATAAAAATATAGGATGGATGCGTATATTTGGATAATTAACTATAATATTTATAGTATATTACAGATTAGGAGAGAATCGATGCAAAATTATTAAAATATATTAAGGTAAATACAAATGTAAAGAGGTATGTTATCTGTACACTTTGTATTAAATTTTGTTTTAAATAATATTTTAATGTGATATTATTTTAAAAAATGCTAATATTTTATATATTTATATAAAAATTGTAACAATTGAATAAATAATAATAATAATAATAATAATAATAATAATAATAAACAAAATACACCCCAAATTACAAAGCATTGCACGTAATATAAGTATGCCGAAACGATAATGATTCTCTCGAATTGATATTATACTAATTTAACTCAATTATTAAAGATAAATAATAATATTTATTATATATAAATATCATATTTATAACACAGTATATATTGTATTGTGTAAACAATATATCATGCTATATAAAAGTATATTTTATTTACCTTCATTATATATTTTGATTGAATTAATTAACATGAAATCCGCATATGTGCAGAAATTTTCTTATACCATACGAAAATTAGCCGTTAAGTGCAAAAGCAAAATTACAAAAGAAAGCTTGACAACAAAAGTTGGATTTAATAATCGAATGGTGGAGAATTAAAGGACAATTTTTCAATGAATTTAAGGGTTTGTATACTTATGCTTTATACAATCATTTTTTACTCTTTTTATTTTTTTCTTTTCTAAAAACTATATATTTTAAAATGTTTTTACCTAAAAAATGAATATAAACAATTAAACTAATCTTAACTTTATGCCTTATGATACTGTATTATATTTTTCACAAAACGAGTATTAAAAAGTCATTTAAATTTTTTAAAAAATAATAAAAAATCATTGCAGTAACATGTAAACAGAAATTAATATATGTGTTTACACACAAAGAGGGAGTAATACTTTTATAACTTTTCATAACTTAATAACCAAAAAAACTAAAATGATTAAATATCAAACAAAAGATTTATATTCCGCTCCAACATATTTTTTTATTTTATCTATTTTCTTATTTTAATATTGATTATAATTAACAAACTCAATTAATCAACAGTCACTATCAAAGTAAGATGTGAGCATTGTATTTTAATATTTTTAGAATAGAAATAGTAATTAAACATTTTTGAATAAAATATTAAAATCATACACTATATATAAACAAATTAAAGTTTGTAATGTAAAATAATGTAATAATAATAAGCAATCCTAAATTAAATATTTAACTGTAGTGTGATTTCCAAATTCGAAATAAGGTAAACCGACATTATTATAAATACCTATCAATGATTTCAAATAAAATCTCAACATATATGGAAAACAAATTATTAATGGCCGCAATTATTTTATTAATTCAAAAGATTCAAAGAATATGCTTCAGCCTCACCCCATTCCAAAGCTCCCGGGACTTGGTCACCGGACGTATCCCCAGAGGCCAAAATAATCTGGACTTCTAACTCCCAGGACCTCAGATAAATCCCACCCCAAAACCTTCTAGAAGCTCCACACCGTCCTAACTCCTAACCTGTGGAAATTCTACAGCCCAACGCTTTTTCGACACGCCGCCTTTCATCATCTTCTTCTTCCTCCTCACAAATCCCACTCACTGACTAATTCCCTCTCTCTCTCTCTAAAAATTACTAACAACCTTCCAATCTCCATTCATCTTCTCTCTCTCTTATAACCTCACGTTTCCCTGCGCCGCCGCCGCCAAATTCTATGCCCCCAAATTCGCTAAGGTCGCCATTTGTTCATATAAGCCATTCCTATTTCATGCCATTCAAGAACCCTAATTTAACCATGGCTACCTGCGTCCACCCTTCCCGAGCAGACCCTTCCCCAAACATCGACGACAACAATCATGTCGTCTTCACCAACTATGTCAAATTCTGCAGACCCGATTTACCCGAACAGGTCACCTGCCTCCCAATCCCAATCCCAATCCCCATCGCCGACGAGCAGCAGCAGCCACTGCTCAGATTCGTCGACGATGACATATGGGCCCAAATGAAGGAAGAAGCAAGGGCAGATGTGGAGCAAGAACCCATATTATCAAACTACTATTTCAGTTCAATTCTGTCCCACAATTCTCTACAAAGTGCCCTAGCCAATTACCTCTCTGTCAAGCTGAGTGATTCGAGCCTGACTAGCACGACCCTCTACGATCTTTTCTTGGGTGTTCTCCTTGGAGGAGATGGGGAAGAGATTATCAGAGCTGTGGGGGATGATCTGAGGGCAGTCAGGGAAAGGGACCCTGCCTGCATCAGCTATGTCCACTGTTTCTTGAATTTCAAGGGGTTCTTGGCCTGCCAGGCTCATAGAATAGCCCACAATTTGTGGACAAACGGCAGGAAAATCTTGGCCCTGATGATACAAAACAGGGTTTCAGAGGTATTTGCAGTGGACATTCATCCAGGGGCCAAGATTGGGAGGGGAATCTTGCTGGATCATGCCACTGGGGTTGTGGTTGGGGAGACAGCAGTGATTGGTGACAATGTCTCAATCCTGCATAATGTGACATTAGGCGGGACCGGGAAGGTGTCCGGCGACCGGCACCCGAAGATTGGGGATGGGGTGTTGATTGGGGCAGGGACTTGTGTTCTTGGCAATGTGAGGATTGAGGATGGGGCCAAGATTGGGGCAGGGTCTGTTGTGCTTAAACAGGTCCCGGCAAGAACGACGGCTGTGGGGAATCCGGCGAGGCTGATGGGAGGGAAGGAGAATCCAGTTAAGTTGGATGAGATGCCTAGCTTGACTATGGACCATACATCACACATTTCTGAGTGGTCTGATTATGTTATCTAAAGATTTTTGTGTGTTTGTATGGTTCTTCCTATGTATGATTGTTCTAGTTTTACATGTACTAGTGATTAAGCAAGGTTACTTGCTGCTTTAGATGTCGACCACGACGCCGACCGGACCGGACTAGATTGGCTAATAGGATCGATGGATCATATACTACTAATGTCTGGATTGGATTTGGTTGCATATCCAATCCAATTCAATCCCTCTATGTGATCGTTAATGTTATTGGAGATTATTGGTATTTCCTCTTTGGAGTTTTTTCTTTCCTAAAAGTTAGTTGTGTGGGAAAGTTAACTATGTGGTGTTTAGATTTGAATTTGGAATTATTAATTTATTTTAACAATTTATTGAGTATCCAATCCTATACATTAAATGAAAGCATACATATACTAAACATAGTAAAAGATAAGATAACAAGATTTTATCGCCTCGAATATTGTAAAATGGCATAAACATCCAAAATTTTCAAGGTTCAAAGCCGCCATAGGATTGAAGAAAAATAAAGGGCCTACTACTAAGGGTGGGTTTGTTTTTTTTGGTTCAAACAAGAGATTTACTTTTGAACTCACGTGATTCTTAAATCAGAACCATAAATATTGCAGACTGTTCAATTGAGGTAACAAGAGCAATAAACTTGTCCACACTTTTGAACCTGTAAATTAATCAAACCGAAATTACTGTTCTGATTTATGCTTAATCGGTTTTAGTTTCAGATCTTAATGATTAAATGATTCTGATTTAAAATTTTCAATTTTGGCTTGAACAGCCACAATTTTAAAATAATTTTATACTACATAAATTATAATAAATTATGTCAAATATAAACCATAGTATTTTATATTAAATTTCATTTTATGATTTTTTTTTTTAAATATATTTTCATTCGTTATGCAAAAATATATTCAATAAATTTAGGCACTAGTTTAAATGTATTATATATACAATTTTTTATTTTATAACAAAAAAAAAGTGATAAAAAAAAATGATACATATTTTTTTGTTATAAAAAAACATGTATATTTTTTATAATAGAAAGAATAATAAATATTATATTTTAAGAATTTTGTTGGGTTAAGAACAAAGTAAAAATCTCAAGATGCTTAAAAAAACTAATGAAAGGCCAAACATAACGAGTGAAACATCCGAAAAAGCACACAATTAGGGGATAGAAATCATAGAATGTTGGATTATGTGACCTCGAGTGCTGGAATGAGAATTAGTTTAGCGAATTACTTTCTGGATCTCGAATTCCTCACGCACTCGGGGACTAATTGAGAATTTTCGATTTCGAGAAAACGATCGGATCGGTTTTCTCACCGTCGAAGTGCTCGACTTCGAACTCATAAATAGAAAACCTAAAATCGCAATGAATAAATCCTCGAATAGGCTAAATTGCGTGAATATATGCTCGAATTTACCTGAGTTACTGACAGATATCATGAACAAATCCTTGAGCAGCACTAACACGGCGGAATCTCGTGCGAATAGCTCCAAATCACCAGCAGACCTGATTCCGTTCAAACGCTCTATTCGGAAAAAGCACTGTGTCTGTGCGGAGAAGAAAGGCGTCGGACCCATATACGACTGTAGCAAACTGACCGTTGATGACTGCAGGACATTTTAAAAATTCAAACCAACAGTGAATTTACTAAAAAGCCCCTCTTCCGTAGCCATTTCCATTCTCGCCAAAGGCAATGACTTGAAATCACCGCCATAATGGAACGACGGCAATAGTATTAGACCGCCACCTATCTCAGCCACACGCGGCGGCGGGATGTCGTGGAACAGTGCCTGAATACGATCGACGACAGCAACTGTTCCGAGCTATTGTACTATTTCAACTAAATTCAACTTATTCAAAAAGAACTACCTTTTTTTCTTTTTTAGCTAATAAATTTGTAAAAAAAAAATACTACATTTTGTTTTTATAGTGTAAAAACAATCACTTATACATACAACTATCAATCTGCAGTGTTCTTGAATATACATACAATGATCAATCACTCACAATAATCAAACAATCGAAAACAAGAATAGTGACTTCAAATATTGGATAATCAAAAAATACTCTGAAAATGGTTCGATCAACAATATAATGGAAATCAACGTGAGTTGAGCCATAGTTTCAGGTTAAACATTACAGTGCCTTTATCCAAATCCCACACTACAGAAACAAATTCTCGAATCATCGAGAAGCTAAGCCACAAGAAACACGCGCACGCGCACACACACACACATGTATATATATGCGCAGAAAAAAGATGGAGAAGAGTTTTCTCACACTAGATCTATTCAATGTGCGGCAAAGCAAAATAATCAATGTACGTCTCAGTGTTTTTCTTATTGAAGGCAAACCTTAAAGCCGGGCGTCGCACCCTTCTAATATCTCACGCTAGTAAACAAACATAAAGAAGCTCCGAACCAGACTCACATACAGTCTACGAGAGAGAATACAGATCCCAGACAAAAAACTCGGACTCTCAAAAAGGAATTAAGAGAAAAACAAATACAAAAATAAACTCTCTACCTTTTTCAAATGTAGATCGTTCATACCACCCAGTAACGACGTCTTTGTGTTGACGAGTTGCACAACAAATAAAGCTAGAAGGGATCTCCCATGGTATATCCCACGCAATCTGATCTTTATATCGATCAAAATGCTGCTAAAAAAGAAGAAGAAAAACAACAGCCTAGTTTACGATACTAAGAATCAAACTTCCAGAAATTCACAAAACTCACGAGACTGCTCTCTCCAAGAATGTATATACTTTGCGCAAAGACCATGTTAGCTCTGTGTAACGGCATCATCAATATATAATTCACAATCGCAATCCAAGTGTCTTTCGTTTTTTTTGTTTTTGTTTTTTTTTTAAGAAAAAAAAAAAATCTCCCCTACGATTTCAGCATACTCAAAAGTTCCTAGGCAGCAATACCTGAGGAGAAAATGAAGGAGACGAGTTAGACTGTTAGATTAAATACTTGTGCTAAACTTTCCAACTAAAGAATGTGATATTAGAGCAATAACTTCAAATAAATACAAACCAACACTTGCAGATATCAACAATTGACAACATCAGTAAGACAATCATCTCCAGAATATATATGAAAGTTAATTAGATAGACTATGGACAAAAGATATTGATGTGCCACAGGATTAGCTAAGTTTTATGTGCTCAATATACAGCTTCAACTCCTAAATTTTGCGCGTATTTTACTTCCAACTGTAAAGGATTTTATCAGAGCTTCTAACAGAAATAGACTAGTCAAGTAACAGCAAGCGACTACTTTTAAGCATGAATACTATCGTCACATAGTGATGGATGACAAACCCATAAATACAAAACAGGATACATGCATCGTGTTTCTTTAATTGCACTATTTGGATCAAACAATTGAATTCCATTTGTCAGTAACACAGGACAGTCATTGATTGAAAGAAACACCAAATCATTTGCAAATTATAATCTTAAGACAGCAATGTTGAAAACAAGATTTACTTTCTTCGTAAGGCTAAAGCTACCAAGCATAATTAAAGCATCAGATGTAAAATGACAAAAGTAGCGCCTTCATATTCACGAATCCCTGGCTCGAATTTCATATCATCACATTATCGGCCCTGATGGAAATAAAATATCTTGAGAGGCCTCTCAATATACTCACAATGTATGATGCAGCTAATTTCACACCTTCAATTTTTATTTTCACAAACAAGAATACATAGAATTCTTACAAAAATGGAATAAACAAAAATAAAAAACTGAGATTTTTGACTGCTCAACTCAGGTGAAATTACTAGCAGATAAAAAAAAAGAAAAGAAAAGAAAAGAAAAAAACAGTTCCTTGAAACCACATTTTCTTATCAGCGAGCTTCTCTTAACATGTGTGACTGTAAGCAAATAAAAAGCAATTCATCTCATCATATCATAACCAGCTCTTCCTTTAAAACCCAGCAAAGAAGCTAAAACCGAAAATGCTTCTGCCTCTGTAATTCTCAACTTTTAGTGCGAGAATGAGAATTCAATACCTCTATTGGATTGTCTATTTGGAAGGTCATAGCCCACGCCATAATCCTCAGAATCTTTAGCAGCAGCAGCAGCATCTTCTGAAGCTCCAAGGGCATAACCAAATGTACCAGAATTATCGAGCTCCGCAGATGTAGTTTGCCAAGTAGGATCACCATAACCCGACCCAATGCGGTATAGATCCCCATAAGATCCTTCATAGCCATGGCTAGAACCAGAAAATGAAGATGCTGTAGCCAGAGCCGTTCCACTGTTCCTTCCAAATCCTCCTCCGGCACCCAAACCATAGCTATTTTCACCATCTCTATAACCGACATTGCCACCACTGTAGCCAGAAGAACTTCCTGCAAGTGAAGTACCGACAGGAGAAGCACCCCAGTTCGTGCCAATGTTTCCAAACATCCCAAACCCGCCACTTCCCGACCCAAAGTAGGAGCCAGAGTTGGCATTATTAGCTGAATTATTAAGGCTGCCACTTCCCCACAGATTTCTGGTTGGCGAGTTGAAAAAAGAATCACCACGGCTGCCACTTGTATTGTAACCAATAGGAGTGTTGTACCTGCTCTGGCTGCTGCCAAAATAGGGATTCATAACACGGCCGTAACCTAAGTTTCCACTAAAGTTAGAGCCCCCAGCAAACCCGGCAGCACTCAAACCTTGCTCCATGTTCATACCCAATCCATAACCAGGTGAACCGAAATGAGAATACCCAGTGCGCGTACTAGCTAATGGACTGTATCTTCCATCCAACCGGACACCGTAGTTTGCCAGTGAACCCACATTATATCCCTGAGGAAAGCTGCTGAGGAAGTTGTTTGATCTACCAAAATTATAATTGTAACCAATAAGAGGACCCCGGCTCGGCCCTGGCGACAATTCTTTAGGAACTGCTCGCTTCACCTCAACCATCTTACCATTAAGCTCGTGAAAGGTTTTCTGCAATGCCCTATCAACTGCATCTTCTGAATCATAGGTTATGAAACCAAACCCTCTTGGCCTTTGAGTGTTGTGATCATACATCACGACAACATCTGTCGTGGTGCCAAACTGCTCAAAATAATTCTTAAAGTCACTCTCAGTGATAGTAGATGGTAATCCTCCTACAAAAATCTTCCTAGTGCGCCCCGGGCCGGGCGATCCCTGAATGCTGCTGCCACTGCTTCTATTTATCAAGTGCTGATCATCTCTTGGGACAGCTTTCTTTGCTTCCACCTGAAAAAATGAAAAGACAGATCGGATAGTCTATACATAGACCTTGAAACAAAAATGCCCACAAAATTCCTACTTCAAACACGAAAACCAGGCCAGATCAGATCAGAGAACTAAGACATTCCTACAAGATCCATTTTTCTGCCATTACTCAGAACAGCAAGTAATTTTACAACACATGTTATCGTATTCGAGCATGAGAATCACTCACAATGTGCGGCATTTCTACACGTATTGCAATTTTATATATATATATATAGATGGATAGATAGATAGATGAATTTTACTTAACCAACTTACAGTTCGTCCATCGATCATGTGCTTCTCTTTAACCACTCTCTCGGCAACAGCAGGATCCGCAAAGACTACAAATCCGAACCCACGAGCACGCCCGGTGGTTCGATCTCTCATGATCACTGCCTCCATCACCTCCCCATAAGACCCAAAATACTCCTTGAGACGATCCTCATTGGTGTCCCAAGATATGCCGCCAATAAATAGCTTGCCTCTATCAGTTTCCATCTTTCCTGCAATCTGCACATCAAATCCATCCATCATCAATCAAACCAGCTTGCTTTCAAACATATGAAATAAAACATACAAACAAACGAAGCAATGGCAAACTCCGATTGCTACCAACTAACTATGAATTGATTGAAATCTCAAATGATTATCTATATCCATCTGATCCATTAACAAATCGATTGAGAAAAAACAGGCGACAACAAGTCCGTTTGAAATCGCAGAAATAATCGAGAGATTGATCATCGGATGGCGAATAGAGCAGATCCGAGAGAGCAAACAAAAATCCAAGGAACATATTCCATACCTTATCCAGAAGAATACAATCGAGCAGAAGCAGCAGCAGCGAGGGAGAGAGCGATCAAAGTAAACTCAATCTCAGGTGGGGAATGCTGGATTCAATAGAGAACCATAAGATCCCTGATTCATCAATCCCGATTCAACACACGGACCCCTAAAAATTCAGCAGATCAAACAAAAGGCGCAATCGGAACCGAACAAACGCATAGAACAACAACGATAATCCAACAACAAATCCATAAATCTCCATTTCCATCAAACCATTCACAACTCACCGATGGAAGGGGGAAAATTACGGATTGGAAAATTGATGAAACCAAGATCTTAGCTTTCTTTTTCCTCGGTTATTCCACTCCCCCCTTTTAATCCAAAACCAAAAATATCAAAATACAAAAATTATACTTATATATATATATATATCGAAATCAAAAGAAATGGAATTCCTTCCTTTTCCTTGGTTATTCCACTCTCTTTTAAACCGCAAAAACAAAAAAAATAAATAAATAATTAGAATCCAAAAATTAAAAAAAAAAAAAAAAACCTTAAAAATTCAAAAATCAAAAGAAATGAAGAATTCCTTTAGCTCTACAGAAACAAGATATATTATTTATATATATCAGAAATAACAATTAGGTAAAGGAAAATGTAGTGAGAGAGAAACACACGCCCATAAATACATATATATATATATATATATAATGAGTGAGCCGATAATCTCTGATCGAAAAGAATATTTGAAGTCTAAGACAGATTACATATATTCACCACTTCTATTTTTTTTCAACTTTTTTACCGTTTTCTCCGTCGTTGAAATAAAATATGTACCTTTATATATAATAAAATAAAATATTGCTTAAATAATAATAAATGTGATTTTAAATATGTATAATTGTGGCTTTGATATATAGTCTTATTTAATATATTTAGGATGTGTTTGTGAATTTATTTCATTGCTCTAATTTAAAAAATATGGTCATATTTAATGATTTTTTTTTTAAAAAATGTATTTGCTAATTAACGATTGCATGGTAAGTAAATGTAATGGCAGATTTGATATGTATGTGAAGAAATATTAGATTTTTTCTTTACTAATTTTAAAATTTGTAAATAAGAATAATAATTTTCTAATGATATTATTAATGGAATTGTGATATTTATAGGATCGGATGAAAAATATTACTATTTGCTGTTAAATACTCCATCCGTTTTATAACAAGGTATCCATTTACCTTTTGCGTCATCGTATTTAACGTTAAAAATATCTTTATATTTGTATAATTTTTTATACAAATGTCATTATATTAGTATTATAAGACACTAATAGAGATATTTTTGCAATTTTTTCTTGATTTGTAATATATTTTGATATAATAATTAATATCCAAAGATCAACATGCAAAACGTAAATTGATACTTAGTTATGGGACGGAGGGAGTATAAGTTTTATATAGATTTTTCTTAAAATATTTGGAATAGTAAAAATTTTGAATTTGAATAGTTGTATGATATGATATAAATAGGTGTTGATGTGATGTTTTGAATGTAAAAGAAAAAAAAAATGAATAGTATATTTAAAATCCAATCTCCCAGACAAACACATCGTATTGATAATTAAAAAAAGAAATTTGCATTGCCAGATTAATTACACCTTTCTGTGGGACTTATATAAATTTATATGACACCATAACTTAAATTAAATTAAATCTTATTTTTGTATATTTTACACATTAATATATATATATATATATATTGTGTGTGGGGTGTGAGAGTGACGTTGAAAAACTCATTTTTTGCCAAATAAAATTAAAATTTTAAGTGGCCTTTTTATAAAAAAAAAAAAAATAATAAATTATGTGGCCAATAATAACATCGTTAATTGCTATTCTTTTTGTGACACAATAATAAAAAATTATTTTGCTATTTATTATATTTTTGTTATTTTACAATGAATATAAAACTAAATATATTTGTGAAAAAATAATTGAACTAGAAATAATGCTTATTAGACCAATTATATAACCACATCCCCGTGTAATGTAAAGTTTTACATATCATAAAATAGTGTGTTTATTTGTGCGATTTTGAGTCTGGTTTTAGTATTTCAATATTGTTTTTTAATAAATTATCAAATTAAATACATATTTTTTATTTATTATATTACATTCAAATTAAATTTTACAATGAAAATATTATATTAATCTGTATTTATATCACATCAAACAATTATTTCAATTCAAAATTTTACTCCCACAAATACACCCAAAATACTTAGCAAATTGTAATTTTAGAATTTTGTTCAAGTGTTTTTTCTTTTTAATATGATATTTTATTAAATTAAACTAATATTTTTTATAAAGAAAATTACAATAATGATATAGTTAAAAATTTAAAATAAAATTACAAAAGAACACCCCCTACTATCCAAAACCTATAATTTCAATAATAAATTAACAATTTGTATGTTTATTCAATAATTTATTGATGATGCAATCTCAATATATATATATATATATATTTAAAAATATACAAATATATGCAATTAATATATAATTCGAGTGTTTTCTTTTTTAAAAAATATTTTAAAATAATATTATTTGATTTTATCTTTTTTCGAATAAAATTAATTTTTTAATTACAAATTATCTTATCAAATATTATTTTAATATAAAATCTAAATTTTTTTTTCTTTTTTTCAAACTCACCAAAAAGAAAACATTTAACAAAAAAATAAAATAAAATGTATTTAATATAATATGTTATACTCTCTCCATCCACAAACTAATGTTATACTTTCATATCCGGACGTCCAACAATTATTGTCCTACTTCCTTTTTTAAATACAAATTTTACATGTTTACCCTTCATTCATTTATTATTTTTAATCTCTACTATACAATTTATGGCAAATTTGTCAATTCATAACCAAAGGACAATCACCTAAAAAATTGTGCAAATATATTTTAGAACAATATAAATTAGACGGATGAAGTATTTACTATCAAAATAAAAATAAAGTGAACATGGAGTAGTATCTTTCTTCCACCTACCTTGACCTACCATAAAAGTGGATTATGTTAATAGTTAAATTGCTTTTTATTCTATTTTTAATAGGAAAAACTTTCAATTTATTATAAATATAATTATTACAAATATAAATGAAAATATGTATAACATTAATTAATTTTATATGATTTGTTATTTGACATTTTTCGTAATATTTATAAAAACATATCTTGTTAATATAAAATTTAAATAATCAACAACAACCAAATTCAAAGAAACAGACTAACTACATGTACTGCTATGTTTATTTTTCTACTATTTATTAATAATATATTTTTAAAAAATATTATATTAAATATATATTTTTCATCTTAAATATTATAATAAAATGGTAATTTTGTATACAAATTATCATATTAAATATGTATTATTATAATTTTAATTTTTTTTTATTTGATTGAAATTTGAAACTAATTTAAATTAAAAAATAATTTGAATTTTAATTTAAATAATATTTAAACACAATATTTTATAAAAATAAATTTATTATTAAAACTCTTGAAAAATGAATAATAATTATTTGAACTTCAACCACAAACACGCTCTAAAACTTTTCATTTAAATAATGTCTAATTTTTGGACAGTGTGTTAATAAATTTATTGACAATACTTCGATTATAGACAAATATATATCACATCAAATATAAAAGCAATTCAATATATATGTATATACATTTGCTTTAAGGTTATGATTTCTTTTTTTTTTTTTTATTTAATTTTTATGTGGATTAAATTTAAAATTTCTTTTACTTTATTAATATAATATTTGATAAAATAATTTATTTATTTTTTCAAATAATATAAAATTTAAATAGTAAAAAATGGAATAAAAATTCAAAATAATATGATTTTAGAAACATTGTGAAAAAATTCTCACTAATTTCTCACTTAGTGATTTTTATTTTTATTTTTATTTTTTATTAGTATTTTAAACTTTGAATGTCTTTTGAAATACTCCTATAAGTTATTAAATATATTACACATTGTTTAAATTTTGAAAAATAAATATATAATATCTATATTTGTATATAATAATTTAAATTTCAATTTAAATTTATGTTGGATTTTGGGTTGTTCATTAGTTTGGACAATACTTGAGAAACTCTTTACAATTTATTAAACTGTTTAAATTTGTATACAATTTTGGAAGACTTCTAAATATGTTTAGTGATTCATTTATAGCTTTTTGATCAACAAGGAGGATAGTATGCTCAAATTGATCTTAACAATTCTATTAAGAAGGTAATGTGTATATAAATACTACAAATTACATAATTAAATTATTTTTAATTTTATAAATATTTTAAATGCAGAAAATATATATAAAAACAAGTCAATATTAACAATGGTGAGAAGTAACAAAGTAGTCAAATAAAATAAATGTCAAGAACAATCAATTATGTCTATTCAGCCCAACAAAAGTTAATAAAAAAATATTGAAAAATTAAAATTTAAGACGACAAAAAAACAGAGTTTTATTTCTTATTTAATTATAATTGTCTGTAATTATGTCAAAAAAATCAATCTTGGAGGAGCACAGCTGCCGAAGGCCTATCATTTGGGTGAGCTAGACACTTGTCAATAATTTTTTTCGTCTTAAATTGGCAATATTATTGCATTCTTTATACGGTAACTCCAAAGTTACCGTCTCGAGTAAACACATTCCGAATGAATATATATCTACAAGATTTGTGTATTGTTTTTCGTGTAACTCAGCAGCCATAAATTCGGGTGCAAAAGTCCATTGTTTTAGCCTGATCATAGATGCAAGTCCGAAATCACCAATTTTAATCTATAAATGTAAAAAATAAAATAAAATCGATAAACATATACTCAAACACAACAAAAATATTGAATTTATCCAATATTAATGATACACTAGCAAATTTATAAATGAACTAATATAATAAAGAATACTTACCTGACCAATATTTCCATTGACGAACACACTGCTACAATTGAGATCCCTATGTATAGTGCCCTATGTATGCAAATAATTTAAGCCCTTGAGTATCTGTAGAGACCACTTCTTTACTGCATCGAGACATGTTTGTGGTTCTTTCTGTACTCCTTCATGTTCCAAACCTCAGTTATGAAATTTAGAGTGTTTCTTTCATTGTCCCGCCACACATTATATAGAGGTATTATGTTCTTGTTTTTCAAATTCCTTAACAGCTTGATCTCCGAATACAGTCTATCAATGGCAGATTCATCACCATAAAAGTTCTGTAGCTGTATTTGATTATAAGCCACCTCAATTCCTTCTTCTTGATCAAAAGATCTGTACATACTCTTTATTGCCCCGGATCCGAGAAGCTCGTTGTAACGACCATATCTTCAGGTGTGATCCACTTCAACAAATGGTTCTGCGTCTGGATCACCATCAATGAATAACATGGGGGCATCTGTACCAAAAACTAAATACTAAATTAAATTATAATTCCATTTTTATGAACACTGAATTATTTATGTCATTAATTCCTTCAAAAATTTCCAAAAATAAAAATTAACAATTACATTCGATATATACAGATTTCGGGATAAATGTAACATGTAGAAATCAATAACAAAAGAATTAAATCTTAGTTTCTTCTATTTAAAACTCATTATTCTCTTAAAATCATTTTTCACCCAAACAATCACGAATCCACAGCAAAATTGAAAATAATCTGAACAAATTCAACGTTAGAATTAAAAAATTTCGAGAGAATGATAGAAAAAAAATCAGGAACCTGGTTTCACGAAGAGGCAGCAGCAGCGATCTGAGTGAAGAGCGAGGATGCGAGACTTACTGATTCTAATTTATATAAAAATTGTTCCGTTATTTAGTTACAAACTTACAATTATATCCCTATGAAAGTCGCACTAGCGCTTTCTCAAAGTCGCTATGTATTTACTATTATTTTCCTTCCGCTTTTATATCATAATTAATTAGCTGTCAGAGAACAGAATATTTGCTGCCTCACTCACTCACAGACTCCATGGATGAAATCCCTAAATTCTTCTTCGTCTTCACGCTCCTCCTTTCCCAAATAGCTTCCCTTGATTCCCAGAAGGGGCTTCTTCTCCGGCCCGGGGATCGGGCGGCCCTCTTGCAACTCACCGCCGGAATTCGAGGCCCCTCCGGCAACTCGACGACGTGGACCGCCGACCGGAACGGCCGCCTCACCTCCCTCAACCTCACCGGGCTATCAATCTCCGGCCGCCTCACGTCCTCCCTCTGCAACCTCACTTTTCTCCAAACCCTAATTCTCTCCCACAACGCTTTCACAGGTACTCTTCCTCTCTGCTTCAATTTCCTGCCAAGACTTCAATTTTTAGACATCAGCCACAACAATTTGAGCGGGGACTTGCCCCAATCCCTTGCTCTTCTCCACCAGCTGTCTGTTCTTGATCTTAGCCACAATTTGTTGTCCGGTGAAATCCCCAATTGGATTGGGAACTTCTCCTCCAAACTTACGAAGCTCGACCTAGGATTCAATGGCTTCCACGGCGAAATCCCGGCAACCTTGTTTTCGTCGCCGCCGCCGCTGCAATACCTCGATTTATCCCACAATAACTTGACGGGGACTCTGTCTGAATTTCGTGCCTCATTGGTGTATCTCAATTTGGAATCCAATTCCTTGTCGGGGACCTTGCCGTGCTTCTTCTCCTCCTCCTCCTCCTTATCTGTGCTCAACCTCGCCGGTAATTCCATCGTCGGCGGGATTCCCGCCTGCATTTCCCATTGCCGGAGTTTGACTCACCTCAACCTATCCTCTAACCAATTGAGCTATGGCCTCTCGCCAAGATTAGTCTTTTCAGATTCTTTACTCGCGTTGGATTTCAGCTCCAATTTTCTGTCCGGAAACCTTCCAATAAACATCGTCGCAACACCGGAGAAATCGAGCATGCTATTCCTCGACCTGTCCGACAATAGATTCACCGGCGAAATCGAAGCATCAATAATGGATTTGAAAAACTTGCAGGGATTGTTCCTGTCGCATAATCTCCTGACCGGAGAGATACCGAAGAGAATCGGGAACTTAACGTATCTTCAAGCGATTGATTTGTCTCATAATTTGCTGTCGGGCTCGGTCCCTTCTAACATCGTCGGATGTTTTCAGTTGCTTGCATTGAAGCTGGATAACAACAATCTTTCTGGCGGGATTCCACCGGAGCTCGACGCATTGGACAGCCTGAAACTACTGGTCTTGAGCCACAACGACATTTCCGGGGAAATCCCGCTGACTCTCGCGGGATGCAAGTCATTGGAAGTCGTCGACTTGAGCTTTAACAACCTCTCGGGGTCGTTAAATGATGCGGTGACCAAATGGTCGAGCCTCCGGTATCTCTCCCTGTCGAACAACAAGTTTGACGGAGCACTACCGAGCTGGCTGTTCTCGTTCGAAGTGATCGAGACCATCGATCTTTCCGGAAACAGGTTTTCCGGGAACATTCCAGATGGGAACTTCAATGTTACGTTGAATTTCAAAACCCGGGACGGCGCTGCCCGGACGAATGCTTCGTCGACTGATCTAAACATGCAGATCTTGCCAGACGTCGACGGAGCCGAATTGAGCCTCGATTATAGCCTCTCGAGCATGGTCGGCCTCGATTTCTCTAACAATTTGCTGCAGGGGAAAATCCCGGCGGGAATCTTCGGATTGCGGGGGTTGGAGTACTTAAACTTGTCGTACAATTCGATCGATGGCCAAATGCCGGTCGGTTTGGGGCAGATGTCGGGTTTGAAGGTCCTCGACTTGTCGCACAATTCCATATCGGGCCCTGTTGAAGACAACATAACTGGGCTGGGAAACCTCGTTCTCCTTAACATGTCGTATAATTGTCTTTCGGGGACTGTCCCGCCAATGCAGGGCTACTGGAGGTTCCCTGGAGCGTTTTCCGGGAACCCGGGGCTGTGTTTGGAGACGTTGCGCAACGGTTGCGGCGGCGGGGCGGGGAAGGGGAAGATGTTGGTGGAGGAAGACGAGGGAGGGGTTGTTTCGATTTGGATATTTTGTTTGAGTGCTTTTGTTAGCTTCTATGGCGGCGTTGTTAGCCTCTTCTGCTCTGCTCAGGCAAGAAACTACATTTTGCAGACTAAGGCTTGATGATGATACATAGATAGTTAGGGAGGATTTAGCATTCATATATGTTATGGATATTTGTTGTGCGTGTGCTTCTTGTAAGATAGAAGAGGTGGTTGTTGCAATTATTTTTGGTTTTTTTTTTTTTTCCTTAAATATTAGCTTCCTTCTATTGAAATTAGATCATTTGGTATGGCATAAAAATAATAATAATAATAATAATAATAATAATAATAATATTTTATTGAAAAAATAATTAACAATTAAAGATATTTTTAAAAATTTAGTTAAAAAATAAAGTAAATAAAAAAAGTGAAAGTAATAGAACTGGTGGTATTTATATAAATGAAGAAACCTAATGAATAATCTATTTTTAATATATTTCAACTTTTCATTTATAGTTACTATAGGACATAATGTTTTATTGCATGAGAAATTTGTTTGTTTATTCAATATTTTTTAATAGAATAATTTTTTATAAATATTATTAAAAAAATAAAAATATTCACACATTAATATAATATATAAATTATTTATTTATAAAAAAATAATTATTCAATACATAATATTATTTTACTTGAAATTGTATTTTCTGAAATTTTATTTTATTTATACTCACAAATTCATGTGACCCGATCCGACCCGCGAATTAGTCCGGAGGGGGGAATGACTATTTACAGTGAATTTCCGCCTTTTGACTTTGGCGTTGATGACGGACAAAAATCTCGAATTCAGTCCCACGCCTTCACTATACTGCTCCGCTGCTCCGTCTCCGACATGTCGCCGGTGAAGCTCCGGATCTCTAGGTCAACTTGCATGACAGGAGCATCTGGATTCAGTCCGACGTCGTTTCTGGAATCCACATTTCCTCTCTCCAGCTTCAAGGTTTTTGTCGTTTTCCACGAAATTGAGATAAAGTTGCTTTGTTTTGCTTTATGATTAGGAACTATCAAACTATTCATGGAACACTTTTCCAAAATGTGCCATTTGTTTCGGTAGCTCGAGAGGTTTAGATTCCGATCCGATGCATAAGTTGATATACTTTTAAATGTTGGGGAGGATATGGAATTCAAATTATATGTTGGTTTATTGGTTAGCCGTTGAAGTTTGAAGCATCTCACAGTACGATATCCACCTGTACGTGCTTAATTATTTGGAATATGTTCTTATGGTGTATTTTAAGTTTCGAGTAAGCAAACAAGGTTTAGTGCCGACGTCGCAGGCCTGTAGTGGGGAATTTCTGGAATTGATTGGATCCGTTGGTGGATACATTATTGATTTGACGTTTGGTTCCTTTTTCCGTATCATGCTGCAGTTTTGTCAATGATTTTCTCTTTCATTACGAGTGCGGATTAACGAATATTTATTGTGAATCGCGCATAATAAAAATTTGCCTTGTGTTGGTTTTTGCGCTGTTGGATTCCGATTCCTGCATTAGAATGTTTTTTTATATTGGAATTCTGAGTAGAAATAATTCCAGCACCTCTAAGCCTTTTTATTTTTCTAATTTGGAAAAGAAATATGTTGAAGTTTCATTGTTGTTTTTTCACATAATGAATCCTTCTTTTGTTGGTTGATGCTTAGCATTTTCCATTTTGAGTTGTTCCAGGCAGCAAACAATTTTACACTTTAACAAGCGAGCTTCTGGAATGCAGCATTATATGTCTTGTTCCATTATGCTTGTTGGACCACACCAATCTTTTGTTGCTATTCCAGTACACCGAACATCTTCACTCAGCCACTGATGCTTATAAAATGATTGATTGTTCAGCATCAGTGGATAAAATTTAATTTTTTATGGTAAGGAAATTCTCCATCTCTTTCTGTTCTGTCTTTGAGTTAGAAGTGAAAAAGGTTGGGTTGGAAAGTATTCCATTCTTGTTTCTTGGGGTGATGTAAATTTAAACCCTGATCTTGAGCTTTTGTAAATCTCACAATCCTTTTTGAAGCATCGACTTATGCAGAATCCTAGGGACACTTCGGAACCATGTGTGGATAGAAGTTGCTCCGGTGACATTATTGCTGATGACAAAGCATCCAGCAGCAGCTTTGAGTTTAAGCTCAGCCCAGGATCTTCAGGATCGAGATTATTGTCACAAACGGTAACGATTCAACATCTCCTTGTGAATATTTTTAATCAATTATGTGTGTTTGCATACCATCCTCTCTAAGTTAATCTTTTTAGAACAACACATATATTGAAGGGTAGTTATCCATTCCATTTCTCTTCTCACTTAGGTTAAATTGTGTTCATCTTTTTACTAAAAAGAACTTAGTTTGGAAAATAAAATATGAGATGTGGAATTTGCAGATTTCCCTTCTTCTCCATTTTATGGCACTGAATGAGAGCTTAATAAAACACATCTTTTGTCAATCCCCTGTTGTCACTCGGTCATTGTTTGCTATGACATTTACTTTCTGGTGAGTTAGCCTCATCCATCTGCATCTCGTCTTCAAGCAATATATGCATTTTTTTTTTTTGTCAATTCACAAGATTAAAGATCAATTGTTTTACATCTTATGATTTAGAGCATTATTCAATGGCTAGATGCAAATCTCAAAATGGACTTTCCGAACATACTGGTGAACTGCTTTCCTTATACAGTGTCCTTAATTGTGTTCTTGCGCGTTTAGATTCTTGCAGGGTTGAATCTAGATGGACCAGTCAATCAAGTTCAAGGTCAAAATATCTCACAATTATCTGTCCCTACTTCAATTTCTCTGTCAGACAAGCAACGCAGCTCAGAGGAACTGAATACATCTACAGCTACAGATATGCCTGAATCTGTGTGTGGTAAAGTTGAAGAACTCGCCCAGGATGGATGGTCAAATTCGAGCAATGCCACGCAGTCATCTGACCAAAAATATAGCATCTCCTTAACTGCAGCTACCAAAAGAACTGATGAGGGGTATAACTGGAGAAAGTATGGACAAAAGGTGGTTAAAGGAAGCGAGTTCCCACGTAGTTATTACAAGTGTACATATCCTAACTGTGAGGTGAGAAAGATCTTCGAACAGTCCCCAAGTGGACAAATAACAGAAATTGTTTACAAAGGTTCACATGATCACCCAAAACCTCAACCCGCCAGGCACCACAATCCAGGTTCCCTTATGTCCATGCATGACAAGGCAATGGACAGAACTGTTTCTGAGTTCACCAGTCAAGATGGTAACTACTATAATTCATTGCTTATTTGTCCTTTGGTTGGTCCGCAGTTGAAGTGTTTGAGATCATGCCTCATTTTTAACTGTATTGTTTATTTGAAGATAACTTGAACACTAATATTATGGAGCAAAATTTCTCTCCGAGAAAATCTCCTTGTCAAGGAAGTAAAGGTTTTACTGGTCCAGAATCCCAAATCCAGGGCATGAATGATGATGATCAATTCTCCAAGCTGAGGTAATTATTTTTAACATTGCCACTGATCCTAGAATCACCACATTTCTAGTAACCACGGTTTTCCAAAATTTGGAGCAGGAAAATAGAAGATGGACTGGATTATACCCCAGTCGTTAAGCCAATTCGCGAGCCACGAGTTATAGTTCAAACCATGACTGAGGTTGATATCCTGGATGATGGATATCGGTGGCGCAAGTATGGACAGAAAGTTGTTCGTGGAAATCCAAACCCAAGGTAATTGATAAGCTGAATATGAACACTTTCAATGCACAATGGAAGTTCAAATCAATAAAAACCTGTCATCATCATTAAAAATTTTATTGTTGCTTTGGCTGTATATATGCATGTCGCATTTCATAGTGTTCTTACACTTTCCTCTGAATCTGAATTTAAGAGTGCCTTTGTTTGGAAGTTTTGAGTTTTAATAGTAAAAATTTTGGTTTGATAAGATTGTTTCATTAGTTGACCAATGTTGTGGCTTGACTTTATTTGTGCATTTTTTACTTTTTGTGTGATTTTTTTAAAAGGTGGTATAATTTCGATTTTTTTTATTTTTTAAAGTTTTTTGTTCTTACTATTTATCTGTTTTTGTATGGATAAAGGTAGAAAGGAAAAAAAAAAATGCATATAAATAATAAGGTGGTGTAAAAATTTTGAGATATCCCAAATTAAATATAATAGCAAAAACTTTGAGATGAAATGAATACAAGTATTTTTTTAAATTGAATGGTCGATCTTTGATAGTTTTCTATTATTTTTTTTCCTCACTAGGTTTTGATACATAAAAAGAAGTGGTCAAAAATCTCTAAATCCATTATTTATAAAGATCTTGCTTTCATAGACGAAAAATTGAATGGTCGTTCTTTGATAGTTTTCTATTATTTTTTTTGCCTCACTAGGTTTTGATACATAAAAAGAAGAAGTGGTCAAAAATCTCTCAATTCCATTATTAATAAAGATCTTGCTTTCATAGTCGGATCAATTATTTTATCTAAATTTGAATTTGAATAGTTTTTTTTGATGTATATACATAGGTGTTTGTTGGATGTATTTTTTTAATCCAGGAGTTATTACAAGTGCACAGTTGCTGGATGCACTGTGAGGAAGCATGTGGAAAGAGCCTCTCATGACCCTAAGTCTGTTCTAACAACATACGAGGGCAAGCATAATCATGATCTCCCAACTTCCAGGCCCACCAGCCATGAATTCTCAGCAGCTGCATTCTATGGTCGACCTTCAAATGCCATGGTAGAAGGGAGTAGCAGTAGCAGTGCATTCGGCCTCCATCTTGGTGTTGGAAATCCATTTTGTCAGCACTCCAGCTAATGTGCAGGTACTCCCCTTGATTTCCTCTCACATAATATTCCATTTATTCTATCTAAACAAATAAATTAGTGTCCTGATCAAACAATGTAATTAACATGAACTTGCATGCATTTGGGGCAATTTTGTTTGCAGGAAATCAAATTCTGTAGCAAACTACATGGGAAGATACACACCCTCATCCAAGATCCAACTAACTATTTATTGACCATGATCCTATGTTCTTGAAGATGATGCTTTTCTTACAGTGGTTTCCCAGGAATGGCTTATTTGTAGCAAATTCTAAATATGGCCCGACGATACTCGGTGCCGTGAGTGATTAAACGAAGGAACAAAGCATTAGAAAGCATGTGGTTGGTTGCCACCAGGAATGTGCTGTGTTTCTAAATAAAATTCTTGACAAGAGTATGGAATTTATAGTAAAGGTTATTAAGCATAGACAATTCAACTACTCTTATCCACTGAGACAAATACCAAAACCTAATTTGCATATCCATAACTGAAAACAAAGCATTCAAATATTGTAGCCATTAAAGCAGCAATTTTGACATATCTTAATTTATTTCAGAACAGCTTCATAATCATGATATATATATATATATACACACTATATATAATCAAAACTCATAACATCAAAGGCTAAAACCTCCCCTGCAACTGCCAATGGCAGATTCCTACCAGAACTTCAAACACGAATAAACAAACGCCAATTTGAAGCGCCTAGAAACAATCACTTCTTGTACTTGGCAACCTCTCCTTCATTGGGGAAGAACCCCATGAGTCTGCCGGCGGAATTCTGGTACGCGTACATGAACCCCCCCATCACCCCTATCAAACCCCCGGTCACCATCGAAGGCCCCCTGATCCCCGGCTTGATCCCTAATAATCCGATTCCGTACCGAATCGGAAAATTTTTCATTATAAATTTCGATCAGAACCAATAAGCTAGGGTTTCCATTCCATGTGAAGTACTACGAAGTGCGTACCGGATAAATAGCCGACGACGATGGATACGCCGGCGATGGTGGTGAGTCGGAGGTAGTCGAGAGTGTTGAAGTTCGCCACCGTCTTCGTGAACGGAGGATTCCGATCGATGACGGGGTACTCCGGCTTCACTAGCGCAGTGATGTCAGTGTTCATCTTCCTCAGCTTCACACCTCACTTCTTCAGTGTCTTCTTCCTTTACCTTCAGATACATTTCATTTAACCGATCATAATTGGGCCTAGTGGGCCTCAAATGGGCCTAGAATTTTCAAACTGAGCCGTTTTTATTAATATGCCAAATTAGGCCTAAACAAATGGGCCTGTACTTTTGTGTGATATTATAGAAATGCAGACATTGGTATTATAATGACTAAAAAGGACCATAGGAAAGTCGATACGACGTCGTGTTGGATAGGACAAGAAGGGTATAAATGTAACTTTAGGTATCTAGGGTTTTGGGGGATAGGAGTTAAAAGACTCGTAGAGGGGAAGGGCTGCTGTTATCTTTCCTGGGTGGTGGCTGCGTTCGATTGCAGACTTATCGGAGCTGTAGAATACACCGCCGGCAATCATGGGTAAGTGTTGGCGGCCACTGTGTTTCTGTTGCCTCCGGATTTTCTAATTCGGTGAATTTGTTCGGTGGTTGGTTTTTGGAGAGTGAAGGGTGTCATGTTTTTGTCGCAGGTATTTCTCGGGATTCCATGCACAAGAGACGTGCCACTGGAGGGAAGAAGAAGGCGTGGAGGAAGAAGAGAAAGTAAATTTTGTTTCTTTAAGTTTCGTTCGGTTGTTATTCTTGTTTTTAATTGCTGATCTTCTTCGTTGATACTTGATATAATTTTGGCTCAATATTTTGCTTACATTTGTCATTAGCAAAGCTTCAACACAATACAATACAAAATATCTTCTAAGCATTTTGACATATGCAATTTTTTTTTTCTTTTTTTAAATTTGGAACATTCATGTGCTAGCTTTGAAGCACAATGAAAAGAAATTTGACTACAAAAGAAACTTAAAAAAAGTGCTCGATCCTACTTCCTCCTATAGATTGGTTGTTTATGAATATGTTACTCTATCTTTAATCAGACCCGAATATGTTATTTGGTTTTTATCTTAAAAGTGTTTCTAGGACCTGTTTCAATGTATTATTTCTGCAAGTTTTTGAATGCTGTCTATATGGGATCTATTTATTTCTCCTAACTGCGGCATGATTATTTTTTCTATTTTGTAATTATCAGGTATGAGCTCGGCAGGCAGCCAGCGAATACAAAGCTGTCAAGTAACAAGACAGTGCGAAGGGTGAGGGTCCGTGGTGGTAATGTTAAGTGGCGTGCCCTGAGATTGGACACAGGAAACTTCTCTTGGGGAAGTGAGGCTGTGACCCGAAAGACCCGTATTCTTGATGTGGTTTACAACGCATCCAACAATGAGTTGGTTAGGACCCAAACTTTGGTCAAGGGTGCTATCATTCAGGTGGATGCTGCACCATTCAAGCAGTGGTATCTACAGCATTATGGAGTTGACATTGGCCGCAAGAAAAAGACTGCTGCCAAGAAGGAAGGAGAGGTGGTGATCCACTATTCTTTTTTATTGCTTCATTGTGCATCATAGAATGTGGTAATTAAAATTGGAGTTTCATAAGTGTTATTGAGCTATAAAATTTTGGATCTTGGATCAATGAGGAAAGGAAATCGTTAACATTAAAATGTATACACAGAATGTTCTTTAATTCCACCTTAGGTGAGTATTCCACACATGAATCAGGGAGTAAACATTGTATTAAGTTCAAAATTGTGGAAATGCTGCCAAGTAAAAGCATGCTGAAAACATTCTAGAGTAAGCTATTGTCATAGCAGAGCAGATTTCTAAATCTATTTTCATTGTCATTTTTTGTTTTTGAGTAGGAAGCTGAGGCTGGTGCTACTGAAGAGGCAAAGAAGAGCAATCATGTTCAAAGAAAAATTGAAAAGCGTCAGCAGGATCGCAAGATTGACCCCCATATTGAGGAGCAATTTGGTGGTGGTCGTTTGTTGGCTGCAATCTCCTCCCGCCCGGGCCAGTGTGGTCGTGCTGATGGGTATGTATTTCCGTTTCACATTTTCATGTTCTATTTTCCCAAAAAGTTTTCCTTCTCATAAAGTGTTTTGGTTGTATAATAGATACATCTTGGAGGGAAAAGAGTTAGAATTTTACATGAAGAAGATCCAGCGAAAGAAAGGAAAGGGTGCTGCTGCTTAGAAGTCATCAAAATTTTCCAATCAGGTACTTGGCTTTCACTGTTTTGATAACCATTCCAATTTCGATGTATTGCTTCGTTGAGCCTCGTAGAATTTCATTGACATTTCAATAGTAAGTTGTGGTGGATAATATTTGGTCTGCTTTTTGTGTTTTTCCAAACATATATTTTCATTTTATGCTGAAGTAATTTAAATTCCATAATGTGTTCTTGACCATTTTAGAGATTATACCATCTATTCACATTTGATGTGAAAAGTTTATTTAATATCTTGTGGGAAATCATCCTTACTGCTACCGATCAACCCATATCCATATTCTAGACATGTATGCTTGCAACTTCTTCCAATCACCAGTGCATCACACCCTTTTGTTATACTCTCTCCATGCTCTTAGGCTTTCTATTGTCAATAATGGAACAGATATTTCAAGTACAATCATGTGAAGTCTTGTCATTTAAGCTCAAATTAAACTTTAAAATGTCCTCATAACATGATTTCTAGGACTGTTTACTCTATGCCTGGTCGTTTGTGTTGGTTTTGTTCAGTCTGTAATGCTCGATCCCAAATGTTGGATAGAAAAGAAAAGAAATAGGTTTTGTTTGGATGCTGGAATTGAGTAGGGAGAAAATGATCTGGAATGGAAAGCTTAGTCTAAAAGAAAGTAGTCACGTATTATCATAACTACTTATATTGGACTGGCAGATTATTTATAAAATTAGGAGTTAGAGAACAAGAATCATTTCCTTTGTGGTTAGTATACTTATAGATAGCAATAGCAACTAGTAATTGTGGAGACCTTTTAAGATTAATTTTGGACACCTTCCTTTTTGCACTCACAACACAATAATAATAATAATAATAATAATAATAATAATATTCATTGATTTCTTCTTGGCCGTAAAAAATAAAACCATAATATCAGTAACCAAATGCAGTACTTAATTCAGATTTCCAGCATCTTGCTTTCTCAAATCCATTGCTACAGCTCTCATAATCTTCCACAGCCTGTTCTATTTCCTCTTGGCTGTTCATCACAAACGGCCCGTGTTGCACCACAGCCTCCTCCAAAGGCTCTCCCCCGACCAACAAAAACCTCATTGCTCTCCCCGACCTGTTCCATGCATTGAGCCCGTCCCCCGGGCCTAGCAGGAGCAGGTGGTGTGGGGAAACAGGCGTGGATCGGGAATTCCCGAATGTGCCCTCACCCTCTAGAGTATACACAAATGCATTCCATGTAGGCGGTATGGCCTGCCGGATATGTGATCCCGGCTTGATAGTGAAGTCTAAGTACATTGTAGGTGTTATAGTATGAACCGTAGAACTTACTCCCATTGCCTCCCCTGCTATCACTCTCACCTTGACGCCGTCTCTTGCAGCTTCTGCAATGTCGGTGTTACACATTTCTTGATACCTCGGCTCGATCCTGTAAGTTAGGAATGAGATGAAATAAGTATATGATCCTGGGACTTACGTTTTTAGCTTTCTTTGTTATATATATGGTTCTTTATCTCTATCAGAATCACTCACATTTTGTACCTAGAGGAGAGGTTGATCCAGAGCTGTAGGCCTTTTTGAGTGCCCTCACCTGCCGGCATTTCGGAATGCACAATACCTCTGCCGGCAGTCATCCATTGCACGTCGCCAGCTTCTATTGTGCCCTTGTGTCCCTCAAAATCTTCATGTGTTATGGCTCCCTGAAGGATCGAAGTATTATTCTATCATGTTGGTTTTGGTTTTAGGCTTAGAGGATGAATGAATAGGGAGGATTTAGGGTTTAGGAACACAATAAAGCATATGTTTTTTACCTGCAACATGTAGGTGACAGTCTCAAAACCTGTCCAAACATAACAACATGCTTTCATGTAAGTTATCTGTAAGAGATGAACAAAATATTGTTTTGAAATCAAGAACCACCACTACCACCTCTATGTGGATGATCAGGAAATCCACCAGGTACTGTTACTACAAAAACCAAATATCAAAACATCAATCAATACAAAGACAAGACAAGACCAAGATTCCTTCTAGAAAGAAATTCAGACTTCAAGAAAGACCCCAAACCTGAGAACTCATCCAGTGCAAGAAAAGGGTCAAAATATTTTATCTCAGGCCTGATTTTAAAACAAGATTATCAGAGCCACATCGTAACAAAAAAGAAAAGAATACTTGATTATTGTAGTAAGAGTTCTTTTTCTTTTTAGTATTAGTAAATTACTACCTGCCAATGCTTCTCCGGACGACAGCTCCAACGCCTTCCCTTTGTTGCCTGGCAAGAAACTTTCTGACAACCGGCCTCGCCTCCCTCACTGCATCAGACATACTTATTTGATGGTTGAATGAATTATCAATACACCAATCTGGTAGAAGCACCAACAAGAACACAATAAAGTCTACCTCAGAAATATATATGTGTGTATATATATATATATATATATATATGGATGGGCTGTCTGCATAGTATTTTCGTCTGCTGTCCATCATCTTCTTTTATAGGGTTGAGAGTGAGAGTGGGAGTGACTATCGATTAAGAAAGTGGGGGGGTGGAGAGGGATACCCAGTGGGGGGAATGGATTGTGTTATTGTTTAGTGAGAAAAAAAGAATATATATATATATATATGTATGTATGAATCGATGGATGAACTCAAGGAGAGGATCAAGTAAAAATAAGTTATTAAGACCAAGTAAAGTGCTCTCAGCACGACGTCGTAATGGCGTCACCGTCTAAAATGCGACTTTCCATGGCTCATTTAATTTCATTTTGGATCAGTGATGAATTCCTCCTTTTGTAAGTTGAAGTGGGATTTTATTACTAAAATCGTTTCAGGTCACTAACTAATTAGTTATTGCCCAACTATAGTGGGATTTATTATTATTATATAAAAACAAATACATAAAAGAAGAAGAAGAAGAAGCGTGCATAGTCTGGTGTGGTTTGACATCGAAAAAGTCAAGTCACCAAATGACAAATAATCGTGCCAGGATGGATGGATCATGGATGTATGATCCAACCATTACGAAATGTTGATGCAACATTTCTTACCATTATTAATATATTTTTTAAAAAATAAAAAAAAATCTATAGTATCTCATTAAAAAATAATAAAATACAATACTTTTCATACATGAGCACATATCCAATTACTATAATCATTATATATATATATAATATAAAATCAAAACTCGGAAAAAGAATGTATTCATGACAAATAAACAAAATTTACAACAACAAAAGTTGAAACTTAGTAAAATTACAAAGAATCAATCATAAATTACACATCCCCAACTCATCTCTTCATTCATTTAAAAAAAAAAAAAAAAAAAAACCAAATTCACCACAAAGAACCCATCCATTCAATTCTCATACTCATCACCAAAGAACACAGCCTGCAAGAACAAAACCTATCACGGCCACGGCGGCGCCGGCAGCCACCGCCGGCTGCCCGCTCGGGGCAGTGGGGCCGGGGGCTGTCGTGCCGTTCCCGCTGTTGGCAGGCGTCCTCGCCACCACTGGCGGCAGAGGTGCCTCAGCCACATCATTTTCCGTCAGCACCGGGCTCGGAGGCTGCGCCGGAGGCAAGGCCTGCTTCGCCATAAGTGAAACGAGACCTGCCGGTTGTACCGGAGACATGTAAGGCGGTATCTCTTTGTACCCTAAACATCGGTTCCCTGTCATCGAAGAAATTTGTGCATTCGTTAAAACAATATCGAGCAACTCATCAATTCAATAAACCTCGAACTTGGCTCAAAAAGTAACTTCATTTCTAGACTCGCTCGATTAGTCGAGTAAGATTGGGCGATAAGAAATTAATCGTGCATGTATGTGTGTAAATGAACTTACGTCGGAATTTTGCAGCCGTTGCAGGGTAGTCAGTAATGATTCCGTCGATCCCCATGTAATTGACGTGAGTGTTGATCTCGACGTACGGATCGGAGAAGAAGTCCCAAGGCTGAGACACAAACTCGTTCTGGAAGTACTGCACGTACACAGAGAGATTAAAGGCCTGTAGCTTTGGCACGATATTCGTCTCGCCCGTCAAAAATAGAAGGTCGACGGGGAAGACGGAAGCTTTGGAGATGACCACAGAGCTTGCGAATTTCTTGATCTCCAAAATGGTCGAGTTCAGAATGTCGCGGACGTTCTCGTCGACCAGGTACACGAACTCGTAATTGCTGCTGCTGCTGTTGCTCTTTAACTTGGACAGCACAGCACTGTCACTCGATCTGATCATGACCTTCTTCGTCGTCTGGGATTTGTTTAGAACGTCCGAGACAGCGTCGGTGATGCCTAGTCCCTGTTTTTGCGCAAGGTACGCCGCGTTCTACATTGCAGAAGCTTGAATGTGACTTGACGTCGTGTAATAAAAATAAAGCAGAATCGGAAATTTTAGTTCTGGGATTACCTCGATGCTGATTAAGACACCGGAGACTGAAGATGCATTGTTGGCGAATCCCAAGAAATCGGATAACTGCATTAAGTTGCCGTCGTTTCTGGCTCTCGGATTCCGGAAGAGCGAGTAATTTGTGTAAGGATTGTAGATTGCAGCTGCAATGGAAAGCATGGATTGATGAAGAAATCATATGCAAGAAAGGATCAATTTCGACTAACTAAGATTTCGATTGTTCACTTACGTTTCAAGGTCTGGATTTGGCTCCAAGTGAGGTTGTAGGCGAAGATGCCGTTTGTGATGTTGAGGTCGGGATTATTCTCCGTGAAGCTTCCGAAGTCCGACTGCGCAACATTTGTTCGGTCCCTAAGGTTAATGGATCCCAAGCAGAACGGTATCCCATCGCTTGACATTTGAACCGGGCAGTCGAGAACATCCACACCGTCCGATACAGCTTTCTCGTATGCCTTATCGCTACACCCCGGATAGTCCCCGCTAGCGCCCTCGTTCGAGATGATCAAAACTTTCGCTGCATTGATTCGAACAGAAGAATCGTGTTAGCATTCCGGGGATTTCTATATAACGAATCATTCAAGCGTTTTTATCCGAGTATACCTTGTACCGTATCGTTCTTGCCCATGTGAGCGAAGCAATCTGCAAGTGAAAAAGAATCGAAGATCATCGGAAAACCATCCCGAAACAGGTAAGGATGAATGCGTCGATACGTAAGAAATGTTTCATAACTTACCTATGGTTTCGGATGGAGTGATGGGGAAGTCGGAGAGCACTCCATCTACCGAGAACTCACCATTGTCGATAAAGGAGAGATACTCGGAGACGGGGTCGAAGCTGAAATCATACGGTAAGGCTGCGTCATTGGCAAAGTTATACGCAAAGACTTCGAGGCCTGCTCTATGTGCGTCGAGCACAAGCGACGTATGATTCAGAAGATACTGTGTGTTGTCGACGGGCCATATGTAAGATTTAGGAACAAGAATCCCCGCTGCAAAAGTTCCGATCGATGTCAGATTTCTCAAGAGTGAACCGTACGTTTGGTTGGTCGTTGGCTCCACGTCGTCGGTTCCCAGGAATTGGAACACGAGCTTTGTCCTGGTCGGTCTGAATCGCGACACGACACCACGCAAGAAGCCCACCTCCGGCGACGAAATGTAATCCACAATTACCGTTCTGGATATAGAAAGAACGAACGTCCTCATACTCAGATTGTGCCGAGCGAAAAATACGTCGTGCTGCAAGTTTGATCGAGAATAAAACCGATCAGGAGTCGAGCCAATAGTCTACAAAAACACAATCAAGAACACTCGAATCGCATACCGCTACATTCAACCACAGTCGAGGTGGTTTTACTCTGTCAGCTAACCCATCGACGGTAAGAATTGGCAGGCCATCAAAATTAGGCGGCCGGGAGAAAATCCTTTGCTTCACTAGTTCATGTAGGAAAGATAAGTCATCGAGAAACAGTAATAGGCGACGAAATGCATGAAGATGACGGTTGTAATAAGCTTACAGCTAACATTTGCGAGCTCGTCGAGCGTGAAATCCACAGATGACCATCCTCGCATCGAAACTCCATTGACATCATAGGTGGCCTGCCGATCGGGAAAGACAATGTCGATGTTGGACGAGTTCTGGAGCATTATATCCGGGAAGCAGATACCGGCCCCGTCTTTCGTTAGCTGAACATCGCACCATGCGTTCAAGTCCCCCGAGCCAGTCTGAACTGCTACCGAATACGCATAAAAGCTCGAATCGGGGAATATCCCTGACAGGCCACCTCTTGCTATAACCAACGGCGCATTCCCTGCAAGGAGCCAATACAGAGGATCAAACTATATAGGCTTGCAGATGTTGTTCTTCACCAATTTATAGTTTGTGTTGATTCTCCAAATCATGGAAGACTATCAATCTAGCTATGCAGAATATCTTCATTTATGGTAAGCATCGAGATACAATTGATTATTAGGTTTTATGAACAATGATGTCATGTGAAATTCTTCTCACGATTTGATTCATCCAACGCAAAATTGGAAAGCACAGATGAGCAGGAGATTATCAGAATAATGGAATTGTTCTGTATCTGATGAATTAAGGAACAGACTAATCAAACAAGGTGAGTTTAATATCATGCCTTGAAAAATCCAGAAAAGGAATTCAAACAACCTACAACGAATTCACCCAATCCTCACTCAAATCTGACAATTCATCACAATAATCCCTAATAGATCGTGTAAATCCAAGAGAGAGAGGTTTTACCGCTAAGTGTTTGCCATTTACTGTTGGATCTTTGAGCAGCAACTGAATCTAGCAACGAGCAAAGCAGGAGAGGCAAAAACAAGGCAAAGACTGACCGGAGCTTCCACATTTCCGGCGGCTCAATTTTCCGGCAAGCAGCGGTTTCTAGCTTCCACTAAAACGAGCCTCTAGCTCCGCTTCCAGAAGTTGCGCCAATCGCGGACTGTTGACAACGATTTCCAGATAATCCTCGTTCCTCTTTGTTTCTATTAGGGTTGGATTCCGCAGGAAACTGACTCCAAGAGCGAGCGAGCAACTTCCGCCGTTTCTGAATAAACTCAATTTCTTTAATGAGCCTGCACGTTCTGTGCGCTTTGAAAGCCGAGTTTTATAATACCTATAACAAAAAAATTACCCAATTGCAATTGCAGAGCGTTTACGACGATTTGAGTAAATTAATGTCTCCAGTAAATCGATCACAAACCTAATCAATAATATAATCCGCAATTTGACCAAAAATCTGAGAAATTATTATCAAATCCGCGTGAAACTGGAAGCCGCCTGTCTGTAAGTAAGTATGTATGTATGTATGTCTTCTTCCACGCGTTCTTACATCACAACCTCCATATTCGTGAACTGGTTTAGCTGGCAGCTGGCGTGTAACAGTGGACGGCTTGGCTTGATTGAGCCGAGCCGCAGAGCAGATTCTCTGCAAGCTGGCTAGCATACAACAGGGGTCAGCGTTGCTCTGGCGTATGACCACGTGGCAGGAGGCCATTGGACGTCATATGTGACGCCAAAAACAATTGGAAAAGGACAGTTGCTGAGCTGTTGAGGTTTGGGGTTTTGTTTGATTCGAGAAAGTACACTGTAGGAACCCTTTTTCTACTTCCAAAAATTTGCAATTCAGTCCATCTATAAATCACATGTTGCATTTCGGTGTATATATGTTGAAGAAAGCTTTGTGACTAGCCAATTAGGAAAAAGAATGACTAGGGGTCCTTTTTTAAAATAGTAAAAATTAATGGGAGGCAATTGCAATTCTCCAAACTGATGAGAGTAATTGTGTGTACAGTTATTGTACCGGTCCAATATTAATGTCTCCGTTATTATTACGCTATATTTATGAATCAGTTCAGTTACTGTAAACAGCACTAACTGTCATTAATGCAAAAAAGCTGTTTGGTTCCTATTTCAAATTTTTCATATTTTTTATTCATACACAGTTTTGTCTTTAATATAATTATAAAAATATATTATATATTTTATTGGAAAATATTATAGATTGAAGATGAGAAAGGCTAAAGACTCAAGGAAATTTAATGGTATATATATATATAGGGAGTATTCATTTAATTTGAATTTAAAACTGAAGTTTGAAGGATGAACTAAAATAGATATTTAATTTAATTTGGTAATTTAAATAAACATAAGAAAACGCGACCTTGTATGTGTGTGAAAGCTGTGTGTTTGTTGAGTATTTCATGTAATGGAGTGCATGAAAATGAAAGGAACTTTTTTAGGCAAATTATTAATTAATTGATCAAATACTTTATGGAATATTTCAACCTTGTTGACATTCTCTACTTAATTAAATCAATTAAATTTCTTGGACAATGACTTTTTTGTAAACTATACATCTGTTGTATTTTTTTCTATCATATATTATTGTATTTTTATTCATTCGTATTTCATTCCCCCCATATATACATATGTAACAACCATGTCACTATTATCATTGTGGTTGGTGTATAAATTCGTAGATTTATTATATGTTATTTTTATTCATACTGTCAACTATTTTTAAAATATGTATATATTTCAGAACTAGAAGATTAAGTTTTAAATCATTATTATATATATTTTTCTTATTTAAAATGTGGAAGAGAATAAGATTTTGCATCCACCCCAACCTATCAACAGCTGTATTTATAAAATTGAAAAAGGGTAGAGGAGTGCACGCCTTTAATGAATTGTAATGACATTTTATATAATATATCTATTTAAATTTTATCTTATATATAATATATATATTGAAACGTAATTTCATTATTGAATGATCCTGTAAGCTCCGGGACCTCAACACCCAGAGGCATTCAAACTCAAGAAAAAACCATCAAGAACAAGAGCAAGAACGCACAACAAATGCAGAATCCTTGTCACAAGCAACAATGTTGAAATTCAGTAAGTAAATCAGGAGGGAGAGCATTTAAAATCAGGCATAATCTGGGGATATATTTACAGGGGGATCGATCGAAACACGATCTTCAAAACCAGAAGGCGAGGTTGTCGTCCCCATCTACAGAAGCTAACTATTCTACTGTCTGGAAATTACAGCACCCGACACAGCCAGGGAGAACTAAGGCTGGCCATTCGATAAACTTGCCATTAGCCGAGAAAGCAAGTCCGTGGAGAGTTTTTTCTTCAGTTGAGAACTTTTGATCATCGGAGTCCTAAATCTGGGAGATCTGAAAGGACATTCGAGTTATAGTAAGCATTGGCGATGATGTTGGTAAAGTGTAAGTCAATTTGGGGATGTCCAATGGGAAGTAAACCTGTGTTTCTTACGACTTCTAGATAAAGCTCTCGATGTTAAATAAATCTAAAGATAGAGATGAATAAAAAAATGACGATAAAATAATCATAAAAGATCAGAAATATCTTGTCTCGTGCTTAAGTTAGGGCATTATATTCAATTTAGCAAACTACTAAGCTGCTCGTACCCTTTACTTGCAAGTCAGTGCTTCCGTCACGATTTCTTGAATAAATGCCTTTGTTCCAACATCTCAGGCATCCTCAATGCGGAAACACTTTCGCATCCAAGAAGTTCTCGCAGTTTAACATCACACAAGATGGACATTGGATTTGAAGGATCCTATGAGCCGGAAAACAAAGTAAGAGAACCACGTGGAACTATATCAAAATTTAACAGTTGAAATGGAAGCAATCGTAACCTGGATAGAAACAAGTACTGGAATGAGATACAGGCTTAAAGAGAAACACCTAAAATGAAATTGTTACAACTACACTTCAGGCTTATAAAATGATTGCACCACTGAGTACCAGAAACAAGTATTGAATTCCCGCTTGTGGTCTAAAAACACTGAGATCCTAAAGCTGCTTAAAAACTTATCAGAGGTGATTCCAGGATTTAAAATAAAATGATATTACATTGGTCAATTTAGTATCTTCTCATGAATATGATTGATATTCTTAATTAAGGTTAAAAGGATGTCCTTTGAAGATATGAATTTAATAGCAAACTTACTACTTTTACATACTCCAGCATTAACTTCTCATTATGATTTGAAGAACAATTGTTCCAACCACAACTTTTAATTTGATTTCAGTTTACAACTATAAAAAATAAAAGAAAATAAAATAGAAGCATTTTCAAATGATGCCTTACTCAGTTGCATACCTCAAGTTGGTGAATTTTTATGTACTCCCACATCTGTCTTAATACTTCTGCTTGTGACATTTCCCTCTCATCAGTTCCCAAGAAACTCCCAAGTTCTTCAGAAACTACAACAATTGGAACAGGCTCGTCAATTTTGGTCTCCGGTTCTTCATCCTCAACCTTCAATTTCTTAGTATTTCGACCTGTTTGCTCTGTAAGAAAGAAACAGCAATATTTTATAACTTTCTTCAACAGAGGTAACCAGTAGGAAAACCGAAACATCCCAAAAAAGATAAGGAACATTTATGCTCATACTAGTCTGCTCAAGCGCAAAAATATGTTTTGCTAGCAACTTATTCATCCTGAACATGTCGATGCAATCAGTCTCGAGCACCAAGCGGAGCTCATCATTGCAAATTATTTTCCTTCTGTTGTTAGGATCTTGAAGGTTGTTCTTCCTTATGTATGCCCACAGCTGCTTCACAATCTGCAAAAGCACTTGTTTTAGAAGGAACCAAGTTTCGGAAGAAATGTAAGAGAAAATAAGCGTAAACCTCAGTTCTTGGCAAGGTCGGCTGGCCAACAATGGTTTGAAGCTCAGGAGAAACACCGCACAGTTTGTTCAGGCCCCCAGGGCCACCTCTTCTTCTTCTTACTGCCGGAACTCTACAAATTACCAGTTCTTGTTAAAGCATATGGAATCAATTGTCCTCACTACATTGCTTTAGATGCTTAAAAGAAACATTCAGCATGTAACCAAAACAAAATCAACAATGAGCACCGCACCGTATCCAATGCCTGTTAACATTTAGAAATCAATATTGTTCTTAACAGCAATTGGGTTGTTTATTCTGACGTACTATTTAATATGTACAATTTAATCAACCTCCATTTATGATCCAAGCAAACTAACTGCATAAGTTAATGGTGATACAAAGATAGCCATTTTCTGGAGATATTTCCACTTTGATGATTTCCGGTCAGTGACACAGTCCACCAAATTAAGGTACAAGTATTCATCAATGCAGGAAAGATTTCAAAAAGAGCATAAATTATTTAGCACCCAAATGGTTAAGGAACAATTAATTCTTCAATAAAAGTCACCAACATTAAGTTCTACATATGAAAAAGATATTCATAACTCTGTGGTGGTTTCTATTCGTTCAGTACAAGAAATGTCCTAGAGTGCAATAAATTCCACGAAGAGACGAATCTGTAGAAACAGCATAAAATAGAAACAGAAGCCACTGCAGTTGGTAAGAAATTGAAAGGGCAGCGAACAATAACTCTGTGACAGAGGTTTAAGTTGAGGAGAGCAAACCAACCTCGCTTTGGGCGACACTCTAGCAACAGTCATTCTAGAGGCGGTGGCCACCGGCAGCGGAGGCGGACGCTGCGATGTTTGCGGCGGAGGTGCGGGGCGGAGACCGTAGCCCTCTGCGGGATTGTAAGCGGCGAAATTGTGAGGCAAATGGGGGTGGAAATTAGGGCTTTGGTTGAGGATGAAACGGCCGTTCTGCTGCAACTGGTGTGGTAAGAAACTCTGCGGCTGAGACCGGAGGAGGAAGTGGTGGATTTGTCCGCGAATGAAGTCGAGTTTGTGGCTCAAATCGACGCCCAATTTCGACTCGAGCTGCTGAACGACGCCGTTGAGGGAAGTGAAAGCGGTGGTGTCGAGGAGTATAGACTCCAACGCCTCCGCAAGTTGCTGCTCCGTCACCGCCATCTCCGCCGCCGCCGCCGTCACGCGCTCACCCATTAATGCACCAAATTCGTCACTCAACACTACCGCTGCTTCCACAGTACCACATGATAACGAACCCTTCCCCTCTCTCTCTCAAACTGGAGAACTGTAATGACGAAATTACCCCTCGAAGAAGACTGGTCGCAGCAGGCCAATAAGAAATAGACACGTTCCAGATAGGTGGCAGACACCTTGGGACCGTTGACAATCTCCGGTCGCGCAACAGTTAACGGTCCGATTTTGAGATTAAAAAATTGCATTAAATTTTTTAACCTATGCCAAAATTCTACATATATACATGTATATATAAAAAAACAAGGCAAAAACAATAGTTTACGTTCGATATCAATTTTATACCATAATTAGTTCTCATTCGTGGGATGATTAAATTTGTATAAATATCATATTGAGTGTATTATATTACGGACGGACGGGATCATCTGTCCTGAACAAAATTCTATCCCCTTATCCCATATACATATTGTATATATTTATACATAAGTGTGTAGGTATAAAATATTACTTTATATATACATAACTTCTCATATTATTATATTATTATATAAGTGAACATATGAATCAGATTGAACTAGTGGGATTCAAGTTGGCTGTAACGGTCCATAATTTATTACGTTCTACATTTATTAAGTGTGGTCCTCATTTCCCGTCTCGGTTCGGCTATGGATTCTGAGATCCGTACGTTCGTCTTTACCTGGTCAACCGCAGTCGCATGCCTCATCTATTGCCACCAGATCGCCGCCAGGCTTCCCGCCGGCGCCGCCAGGCTCATCTCCCTCATCCCTGTCGTCTACCTCTTCACCGTCCTTCCCTTCCGCCTTACAGCTTTCCACATCGCCGGCCCCACCTTCCTCTACCTCGTCTGGCTCGGAAACTTCAAGATCCTTCTTTTCGCCGCCGGTCAGCCGCCGCTCGCCGCTGATCCGCCGCTGTCGATCCTCCATTTTATAGCGTTCGCCATTTTTCCGATCAAACAAAGGTCAACGACCAAATCCGACCGGCGCCGGAATTCGCCGTTTCAGTTTCTGCTCAAATGTCTCCTCCTGGCGGCAATTGTGAAGAGTTATGATTACAGAGATCTGATCCATCCGTTTTTCATCGTGCTTCTGTACTGCTGCCACGTGTACCTCGGCGTGGAGCTTGTCCTGGCCATCACGGCGGCGCCGGTGCGAGCCGTGCTCGGACTGGACCTCGAGCCGCAGTTCGACGAGCCGTATTTAGCGACGTCGCTCCAGGACTTCTGGGGCCGCCGGTGGAATCTGATGGTCAGCGGAATCCTCCGCCCCACCGTCTACTTTCCGGTGCGGCGGGCCGTCGGCGGCGATCGGGGCCGGGCGGCGGCGTTTTTGGCCACGTTCCTTGTGTCGGGCCTGATGCACGAGCTGATCTATTATTATCTGACACGTGTCCGCCCCACGTGGGAGGTCACGTGGTTCTTTGTTCTGCATGGGTTTTGTGTGGTCACGGAGGTTTGGGTGAAGAAGACTTTGATCGGCAGGTGGCGGTTGCCGACGGCGGTGTCGCGGCTGCTGACCTTGGGTTTCGTGGCGGTCACCGGCTGGTGGCTGTTTTTCCCGCAGGTGGTTCGAAGTGGAGTGGACTTGAAGGCCATTGGTGAATACCGGATCTTGGTGCGGTTTATTACCGGCGGCGATTGACGACGACTTTACTAGTCGTTGTGTTTGATTTTTCTACTGTGATTGAATCTACGGTAGCATCCAATTTTGGGCAAAGGCGTATGTTTGAAAAGTGTGGATGAGGTTTTGTTTGGGTAAAGTCGTGGTTCCAAATGAGGAAACGTGTATTGAGTAGTTATTTAATTGGGTAGATGGAATTGGGCTATATTAGAATCTAATTTAATTTGACTTTAAAGTAAATTAATTTAAAATAAATAAAATCTTGTATTTTTATAGAGTTTATGGAAATTACATATTAATATAAAATACTCCGTAGTAATTATTTTATTTTATTTTATTTTTCTCTTCAGAATTATATAATATTCGTAAATAATAATAATAAAAAAAATTTATTACAATTAAAATTATTTACAAAGTTATTTTTTAATAGTACATTAAATATTTATATTCTTTCACTAAACGTTAAATCAAAATGTAGTTTATTAAAAAAAACAAAATCAAAACTCTAAATCTAAATAAAACACTGTGCTAACACACCCTAGCAATATAAAATTGTGTTCCTTTGGGATAATTATTGAAAGAATTGGTTTATATGTAGATTATACTTAACCTTTAAAATAGATTTGAAAAAGTAATTTCTTTGAAATAGTAGATTCAATTTGGGGTTCATAATTTGAAATAATATTAATTTGATAGATAATAAAAGAATTAATGTGAAAAGGATAATATAATAAATTAAAGTTTATTTAAATTAAATGAGAATTACTGTTCATATAAAAATTCCTAATTACTGTACATTTTTTTAATATCAAGCTCTGGGCTCTTGGTTGAGTCAATTGGGCCTATTGGGCTAAACCGGTATATCTTTAAGCCCAAGCTGATTGTTGGTTCGGGGCTGAACCGGGTCTGAGCGCATCGCTGAATCGAATCCTTTTTTTTTTGCAACTGAATTTCTTCCATTCATCGTGGAAAACTTGAATCTAATCAAATCGACGCCGGATCAAGCAGCTTCAACTGCCGTCCAGGACCGTTGCCGGTGGCCGGAGTTTTGGGTAACTTTATATTTCGTCGTTATCGAGTTTCGTCTTGCATCTTGACATTTGTTGCAATTTTACTTTATAGCCTCGATCCAATTGAGTTTAGTCCAGATTTTTTCCGCTTTGCGCTGGCTGACCATTTGCGTTACCGAGTTTTTTGAGTTTTGGAAACGGTTTATCGAATTTGAAAATTTTTGAAATTGGATATTGGATTTGGAATTTTGGATCTCTGAATCGATCGCTTGCTCAAACCCGTGGTGCAGGTATAATTAGTGTCGCGTTGCGAGGAGTTGGGGGAAATGGGTTTCCTCGTGACTACCTTGATTTTTGTAGTCGTTGGGATTATTGCGTCCTTATGCGTCAGAATCTGCTGCAATAGAGGACCATCCACGAATCTGTATGTTCCAATTCCTTTTTCTTATAGCAACTTTAGAAGAATTTCAGTCCGTTTTAATTATGCTTGCAGTCTCTGAGCTAAAAGTAACTGCACCACGATTTCTATAGCTATCAATTTTCTGCTTTTCTTGTGTGGATTCATAGCAAATTTGATATAGTTACTAAGCTTATGCTTAAGGTGTATCGGAATAAAAGTGGGGAAAAGTTTGTTGAGGTTAGCCACTTAGATTGTTACATTCTTGTATGCAGAAGATGAGCTTATTGTTGTATTTGACTATTGTTTCTTTTGCTATGAATTTATCATCATATAGTTTACAAATTTGGCTAGTTTGAACTTTATTCCATTCAATTTCTTCAGGTATAATTACTTTGTGTGATGACTTCCTTAAGTACAAGAAAAACACACAAATTCATAGTTAAATATAAGTACTTGACACTTCCTTAAGTACAAGAAAAACACACAAATTCATAGTTAAATATAAGTACTTGACACTTCCTTAAGTACAAGAAAAACACACAAATTCATAGTTAAATGTAAGTATTTGAGGTGGAACCAATACATTTAATGGGAGAAGGGACGGAGAGATACCGACAAGCTGGGTGATAGAAGAAATTATCAACGACTAGCAAGAGTGATTAAAATGTTGAATTTGTAAGAAGAAGATCTTACTAGATGCATCGAAAAGGTGTTTTAATGATTGAAGCGAAACATACCTAATTGGCTTTAACAAGTGAATGAAACAACTACTCAATAGACCTCCCAACCATTCCATTATTTGTGCCTATATGCTTCCTAATAGCTGGTGAATTTGACCATCAAGTACAATTTAGTCGAAGAAACAATTTGATTGTTATCTGGCATGGGATTATCACTACTCTTTGCTATACAAAATTATCGTGCTTACTGTTCATCACAATCCCTTTATTGGTTAATATTTTTCTCATATCTTATTTTGAACTGCTGCGTGCCTCATGGTAAATTTTTTACTGCAAATTCAGGTTGCACCTGACGCTGGTTATTACTGCAACAGTTTGCTGTTGGATGATGTAAGTTGCATTCACTTGTTTGAGCTCCCAGTAGCACACATTCTCTTGCCCGAATAAATTTCCCTCCTTGCATGCATTGCTTAATAGTTTTTGCCGCCATTTTTATGTCAATTATAATATGGCTTTCATTGGGTAGTTTACTATGCTTAGCCTCTTCAATAAGTTTTGAATATTTTACCCCTTTATAGTAAATTCAGTGAACTCATCCCTTAGGATTCCATAATTTGATTCGATTCCAAGTTAATGGCTAATCTGATGTTTCCGTGGTTAAATATACAAGTGTTTTGTTGTCATTTTCACTGCTTCTGTGTCTATAATTCTTTTTACAATGTGTACGCCACATGCTATTCATTCGACAATTCACTTGGCTCTTGCTCGACACATGTAGGTGGGCTATCGTTTACCTAGCTCAGATGAATCCGCTAATAGTCCCGATTCTAAACGAGACAGAATGATATTATCAAGCTGCTTTGTTATCTATGGAGGGTTAGAGACAGCCAGCCCTGTTGGCTGCATCAGATCCGTATGTATCTTCCATTACTATCTTCTCTGCTGTGAGACAGCTTCCCAAAACTGTCGTAGTTTTATTTATTTGTTAAGGTTTACGGCAACATTTGCGTGGAAGAAAATAAAATGAGTAACAATCTCGATGATTTGTATCTCGTTGCTTCTTTGTGAAAGGAAAAAAACTTTTGGGTGTGATTTTTGTCGAGGATTTTAGTCCTTATGTTGAATGAGTTTGTTAAGTTTTGTGTACATTCAAAACAAGTTATGGTTTGTCTTGTATTGTCGAGATCGAGGAGGTTAGAACAAGAACAACTCGGTAGGAGTTCCTAGCAAGCATGCTACTAGTTCGAAGCTATTCGATAAATAAATTATAAATTAATGTTAATATAATACAAATATCTAGAAGCTATTCGATAAATAAATTATAAATTAATATTAATATAATACAAATATAATATATAAATATTGATAGTTTACGACGAACACATATTATATACTCTCTTTTTTTGTTCACACAATTTATGATAAGTATGTATATTTTTGAAAAAGAATACACAAATTAATTTGATAGAGGTAGAAGTATAATTTAACTTACAATCAAATCTCATAATTATAACTATAATTCCAAAAGTGAGATAAAGTGACAATTATTATTATTATTATTTTCAAAATTGCAAGGCGGAAGAAACAAAAACAACTTTTAACTACAAAAATCTAAAACCCTAAAAACACCTCTTCTGTCTCTCTCTCTCACTCACAGCACAGCTGAGTGATACTGATAGCCCCCACCCATTTACCATTTACGACTTTCCAAAGAAGGTGAGCTTGCTTCTCCTTCATGGCAACGCTCCGATTCTCAGCGCCGGCCTCCGAATTGACCTCTGCGTCCTCCATTTCCGTCGGTGTTTCCCCATTGCCCTGCAAAAGCTTCTTTCTCTCTCGCTCCCGCTTTAATTCCAGGAAGCAGAGGAATGGGGCGGTTTGCTGCTCCTTTATTCCTTCTGAATCCGCTAGGATTAAGGTTGTTGGTGTCGGAGGAGGTGGGAATAATGCCGTTAATCGCATGATTGGCAGCGGCTTACAGGTATTCTCCAATTTTCCCCTATGTAGGAAATTGTTTGAGAATAGAGTACTTATCGTAGATGTGTTTTGATTTATTCTGTTAGGTTTAGAGTTTGTTACTATCACGAACCGTTTTTGGAATTGCGTCTTGCACTCGTTAATTTGTGAACTGCGTTAAGCATTCAATTTGTCCACAAGAAGTAAAGAAAGAAAAACCTGCTGAGTAGCTGTATCCTTCAAGGTTAAAAGTACAAGCTAGTGAAAGATAGCATGTGAGACATGCTATGGAAATTGGAATGTCACAATTATTTGATTTCCAACATATATATAAATTTTTAACCATGAGGTTCGTAACTAAATTTTGTGTGCCATCTAATTGGTATGTGATTATAAACGAGTTGTGATGTTTCTTGCTAAAATATGAAGGGGGTAAAGAAGTGTATGTCAAATCCACATGCCTTGATGTATATTTTAAGGATTCTGATTGTTCAGGAGTAATTATGGTTGAAAAGAAGCTTAAATTGGTTTTGATACTGGGGAATGCCAATTCTTGTCAGATAAAGTGTGGGTCATACTCTTTTGATGAAATGATAAAATGTGTCTATGACTCTATAAATTCTTTCACTATGGATATGCTAATTTGATCCTATGATTATTTCCACGCCCTTTATTGAGAAATCAGCAGAAACATTCCTTACATATTTATGACTTGATTGTATTCTTGTTTAGATATATCTGTCGTTGACTGTCTAAATTATTGGACACATTATTTTGAATAGGGAGTGGACTTCTATGCCATAAACACAGATGCTCAGGCCCTAGTGCAATCTTCCGCTGAGAATCCTATTCAGATTGGAGAGCTTTTGACTCGTGGACTTGGTTAACATCTCTCTTTTTTCTTTAATATTAAGCTCCAGACCTTGTGCAATCTTTATTTTCCTGTGTTCCAACTGCAGTAGAGATTGCATTATGGTTTCTTAATATGATTTCTATCTGACTCTCTAACTTGTCATGGTTGATGTGGTGGAGAATGATGAAAAACAGTCTATGTATTGCAGGCACTGGAGAATAATGATTTCTTAATATGATTTCTAGTCGTCTCTTGATTTGATTTCTTAACCTGATTTCTAGAGATAGCATTATGGTTTCTTAATATGATGTTGTGGTGGATAATAATGAAAAACAATCTGTATTGCAGGCACTGGTGGCAACCCACTTTTGGGTGAGCAGGCTGCAGAGGAATCAAAGGAAGCTATTGCAAATGCTCTCAAGGGATCAGATATGGTGTTCATAACGGCAGGAATGGGTGGTGGCACTGGCTCTGGTGCCGCCCCAGTTGTTGCACAAGTATCAAAGGAAGCCGGGTACTTGACTGTGGGTGTTGTTACCTACCCATTCAGTTTTGAAGGACGTAAAAGATCAATGCAGGCAATCCCTTTTCGTTTCATTTGACATGGCTTATCAATCGATTTTAATGATTTATGCAATTTACCTTCTTTAGGTCTTGGGTTGCTTATTTTACTGTTATACAATTAAGATGTGAATTTTTTGAAAGAAAAGGGCATAAAGAAGTCACTATATCTGGTATTCTATGGCAATCTCCTGCTAAGATGTGCGACTTTACTATGACCATGAACTTGCTAGCTTTTCATGTTTCGGTTATCTTTCTACCCTTTTGAAATATCAAATTAAATTGTACCAATGTATGGTGGGTTGAAAGAATTGTGCTAGCCGAATTCTATTGATTGTGCCAAATTGCTTTCAGGGTGTGTTCCTACAGACTCAATGTTTGCACATACAATTTTGTTTCAGGCTCTAGAAGCAATTGAAAAGCTCCAGAAAAATGTTGATACACTTATAGTGATTCCAAATGATCGTCTCCTAGATATCGCTGATGAACAGACTCCTCTTCAAGATGCTTTCCTTCTAGCGGACGATGTGCTCCGGCAAGGTGTTCAGGGAATATCCGATATAATCACAGTAAGTGATGGTATGAATCTGTAGTGCATTGATTAAAATTTTGATGCTTTATAAACAAGTTCTCAAAACTTAACTATTCTAGACAGGTTCATGTACTAAAATGTACCTTCAACTATTGTCATTGTAGATAGTATGATTTCTCTGTTTCAATATTTCTTGGTAGACTACTGAATTGCCTATGGCGAATATGACATTCTTAATACTAAGGTTACAACCGAGGTTCAATGTTGTATTTTGCAGATACCCGGTTTGGTAAATGTGGACTTTGCAGATGTCAAGGCAGTCATGAAGGACTCCGGCACTGCTATGCTCGGGATTGGTGTTTCCTCAAGCAAGAACCGTGCTGAAGAAGCAGCTGAACAAGCAACTTTGGCTCCATTAATTGGCTCTTCTATTCAATCCGCCACTGGAGTCGTATACAATATAACCGGCGGCAAGGATATAACACTGCAAGAAGTGAATAGGGTGTCACAGGTAGTTCATATTTATATCTACTCTTTTTTTGAATTTCTGTTACAACTCACCTACATATGTGACAATGAAGATTGAACCCTTCTAGTGAAACAATAAATTCCTAAGCTATCCCAATTATGTATGTGTCATTCATGATCAGTCGCCAAAATTTACCTGTTGTGGTTACCAATTTCTTTGCTTTCCAGGTCGTCACGAGTTTGGCAGATCCTTCAGCAAACATTATATTTGGCGCAGTCGTGGATGAACGATACAATGGGGAAATCCATGTGACTATTATTGCCACCGGTTTCGCTCAGTCGTTTCAGAAGACACTCCTGACTGATCCAAGGGGAGCTAAGCTATCGAACAAAGGCGCTGCCACTGGGAGCCTGGAGAACATAAAATCACCGGTCGCCCTGAATTCTTCTCCTCCCTCTACTGCCAATACTTCCAGGAGGCTCTTTTTCTAGCCTTGTTTCTTATTAAATTTGGTCGTTTCTTTATCTTTACTGTCACTCAATTAGGTTAGTTGGTTGCTATGCTGTATGGTTCTTGATTGGACTGCACAATTTCTTCTGTTTTTACTTCTTGCTGATGGAAATGAGTTGGAAATTGTTCATATCTTGAATCAGAAATTTCTTTTTAGATGCACATGATTAAATCAACTTAATATAAACACTTACCAGAAATTTGATTGTAACAAAATCAATAAGATTATGGAAAATTTATAAATTCTCACAACAAATTCAGTAATTCTGCATCCCATTCTTGACAAACGCATAAAAAGTGTTCACTAGCGTTTTGACACAACACACAACGCGGAAAAAAGTTGTATACATTCAGGGCCAACCGCCGAAGATATTGGACTTAAACTCATAGGTGCAAAACCATTCTTACCACAACTAAGATCGAGCTCGATCCACAATCTTCTAGGACAACTCTTTCTGTTCACCATGTTGATTTCATTCCCTATAAAAAGTAATCGGGAGGTGGCTTCTTGGCCGGTGCTGCTCTTGAGTCCTGAATCTCAACCACCACAAACAACTTATAATCACACTAAATATATTTGTGTATATATAAGCATTCAAGAATATTTGATGGTTAAAGCTTCCATTAGAACAAAGGGTGCGGGTCGTTTTCAAAAACTATGGTCTAATTTATCTAAAATAGAATAAGAAGACATGTTTATAAGCGTTAATCAAAATTCTTCCAGCATGTTCTAAGAAATTATTAGAATTTGTGAGCACTCCTAGACTCAGTCGCGCTTTTGAAAGAAATCAAGAAATTGTGTGCTCGAGTGCATTAAAGAGCTGAAGAATAAACCATGCAGAATTTAATCGTAGAGGTTGTACCTGTGGAGCTGCTTCAAACACACGAAACTCCTTTTCAAGGTTTTCATTTAGCTCAAGAATGGCAGCTACATTTCCACATCTGCAGGGCAAGTAGAGTTGATAATAAAATCCACGAAGATTGGACAAAAGAAGTAAGACGGGAGGTGTTTTGCTACCTGTAGCAGTAATTTGGGGCGGACCAGACTGTAACTATCTGTTCATTGAACATCCATTTATAACCTTCCATTACCAGCTGATGGGCGCGGCAAATGTAGTCGATATTGTTTGAATGATTAAATGAAGAGACAGCGCTGCCACCAAATAAAAATCCAGCACCGCGAGGACTCAGACCCCAACCATCAACAGTGTCTTCTGGATCCGACCAAAGGAGATCACACATGGCACCATCATGAGGAACTTCTTGCTTCCGGTCGATAATCCGAATCTGAAACATTGGGAGTTATTATTATATGAATAATAATCAGCAGACCTATCGATTAAGTATAATTCTTACTTCTTAGACCTGGTCTAATGTCGAAATTGCAGGAGACAAACCTCCATGGACACTGAATATCTTGTTCTCAATGAGTGCTGCCAGGCTGAAACAGCAATCAGTGTGGGGCCCCGAGAAAAGCACACCATCAATGCAGGAAATGAGCATTTTGGTAATATAGGCGGCATTAAAATGGAGGTCAAAGAAAATATTTTAAACATTGGCATTTCTATGAAGCAGCGGACAAGTATACTATTTTTTGTCAAAATTTTCTAATTTATAACCTGTATAGTTGAATGAATGAATGAAACTCAAATATTTTACATCCGCATGGACCTTATCAAGAATCTAGAAGATCATACCTTAGGTAATCAAAGACTTCAGTGCAATATCTCCAAACATTGCTGTTACCGTACTTCCGTATGCACTCGTCATAGAAGCCATAAACCTGCGAAGAATATATATATATGTATATAATAAGCACTGCATGCCAAAGATAAAGCACCTGAAAACTCCCAAAAGTGTGACAACTAACCTGTGATATTTGTCGGCTTTCATGGTTTCCTCGAATAAGAGTTATCCTGTCGGGATACCTTACCTGTCAACGCACTAATTATTAGTTGAGCAGGACACACGTCAACTCCATAACTTTAGGCCATTACAGGTCATCAGATTTGGTGTCAGTGCATCACCATAAAAGCTGTTTCCAAGCAAAAAGTCAATAAGTGATTACCTTCAGCGCAAGCAGAAGCAGAAATGTCTCGACAGAGTAATATCCTCTATCAACAAAATCACCAAGAAATAAGTAATTTGTCTTCGGACAATCGCCTCCTACTCTAAATAGCTCTTTCATGTCATAAAACTGCCCATGAATATCACCACAAATCTACATCAACAAAACAGGGGAAAGTTGTTAGTACTATCATTTGGCTTGAGAACAATTATGGCAAAAGTTCATTAACAACACAGAAGAATAGAAGCCTGCGTCAGCTTTCACCCCTACAACTTATTTTATTTCCTATAAAACTATCTATAGGCTTTGAAGGAAATGTATGGCAACTAGTTCATAATGTGGCATGTTTTAGCCATGATGATAGCTTCAAAATCAAGGGTTTAGGGTTCGTGCATCAGCTGAAATCCATTTACATTGGCGAAGATGGACGACAAGCTACATTTACAAATTAGTGTAAGCTTGTACAATGTACACACTTTTACTGTCTGAATCCCTAAGAATTCATTGCTAACGACCAACCTTTAACAAATCATATTAAATTACAGGGCTAAAAGTATCCAAAAAAAAACCTACTTTGAAACCCTAAAAATTACACCAGTTTCAGTTATGCAACTCATCATGTTCTAAATTTGATGCATCTCCTTACTCGCATTACAATTCAGTCAGTGTATGAGAGGTCAAACACATCAGCACATATATCTACAACATTAAATTCCAAAAGTCTGGTTTTTAGGGAAGAAAGTATCCTGAATCTCGAACTTGATTACCACTCCAAAAGTTACGAAATTGAGCCACAATCCGACACAGATCCACAAACAACCAACAATTCAAACAAATCAGCCAAATGCCAGACAAAAATGTAACTTGCAGGTAAGCTAAATTCAAGTCCGTTTCCATCCGTTTATCCGGTTCTTACAGTGACTGGGGCATCAACGCGCTGAACGTTCCCCTCCTCGACGAGGATCTCAATCGCCTTAAGACAGAGGGACTTGACTTCCGATTCCTTGAGCGGTTCGCACCTCTTCAGCTGCTCAATCTGCTGGTCTAGGTCAGACATCTCCCCAGATTCCAACTCCAGCCCACGCAAACCGAATCAAACGAAGATCCCGCGACTCCAAATCTTAAAACGCGGCGAGATTCTAACTTTCCGGCTGGAGTACATTCGCCGTTCGACAGTCACCCGATCAATTGGCGGCCGCCGCGCAGCGTAGCGCAGGCATACTGAGAGTCTGGGTGTTTGTCTTTCCCTTTCTTAGCTGCGTAGAGGGTTTCGAAAATGGCCCTTCAATTTTCAGAATTCTCGACTTCCCCACATACTTTTTGCCTTATTAAAGTTTGGACCTTCAATTCTATAAAACAATCAACTTCAGTCCCTTTCTGCCTTTCTCTACTTTAATTTTAACTAACTATTTAATTTATAGCTTAATAAAAATAAATGAATAGCTTAACGTGTTGTTCAGTCAGACAACCAATACTCAAATCGCAAATCAACAATGGCTGGAATCATATATATACAATGCAAATCACAAAACCCTAATTCCTAACTGGATTCTCTCCCGATTCGTCCATGGCAAGCTCAAATTTGCCTTTCCCTTTCCTTGTACTATATTTTTCCGCTTTTTTCTATCTCTGTGTTCGGTCTCAAGGAGGAGGCTACATCGTGGGGGAAATATCAACCAAGGGAATTGATTTTGTCAAGGATTTGCTTATAGAGAAGGTGGAGGCCTCACTTGTCCCGCTAGGGATTTCCGATATCGAGAAGGCTGTGAAAATCCCGCTCATAGGTAAGGTTCATATGGTTCTGTCCAATATTACGGTTGACAGTATTCACTTGGGTTCGTCTACTGTGGAAACTGGGAGTTCTGGAGTAGTTGTCAAGGTTTCGGGCGCCACTGCGAATTTGAGCATGAATTGGAAGTATTGGTACACTGCGCGGCTAATTCCAGTCTCGATTTCCGACGAAGGAAGCGCCTCTGTCCAGGTACTGTATTTTGAATCAGAAGCTGTTTAATTCGTTGGACATTTTGTAGCATTCAACTTTTTTGGGGATCAGCAATCTAGTCTGTGCTGTGTGCAAGCTTGTTTTACGAATAAATACTACATTTCTCCCTGAGGCTAAAATCACTTTTACTGTTTTCTTTCTACTCTTCCCTTGCTCCGACTAAAGCCAGAAATTTAAATGAATATGGGAGCCCTAGCGCAGCTCTGTTGATAGAAATCGAAGTTTGCAAATACTACAGCTTCTGCTTTTTTACGAGAAGTATGTTAGTGAGATTATCTAAAGCTGTTGCAAACAGTGCTCCATAGTGTGCCTCGGATTATCTGTTGCTTTGCTAGTTTTTTTGGTCTGCCATTTCTTGTATTCAAAATGAAGTGAGGAAATGGTGGATGGTGACCAATTTGTTGCAAAAATGTTTTGGGCGTGATTACACTTGTTAGGGAACTTAAGAGTTCATAGAAAGTTTGGATTCACTTGTCTCAGTTTCAACAAGTAGCCTCATGTTGAGAGAAGTTTGTGCGTCCCTGTGGTAGCATTCTCATATGGGAATTGTATGACCACTTGTAAATCGATGAGTAATAGAATGTTTGGGCAAATCTATAATATATGTAGATATTATCTTGATGTCCATCTCTTAATGCGCTTATGCATCAAACACGTATTCCTCCCCATGTCGACTGTTTTCTATGCATAAACGCAGCTGTCCAAGAACTTGTATTTCAGAAAGGTGAACATGGTTTGGTCTTTACCTTGTGGATTCATGCACTGAATCGATGAACTGTGCTTTTTCTAAGGTTGAAGATATGGAAGTTGTTCTTAACCTCACTCTAAAGACTGTAGAAGGATCTCTGGCTGTTGCTCTCGTGGATTGTGGATGCTATGTGAATGATATTTCCATAACGTTGGTTGGAGGAGCATCTTGGCTTTATCAAGGGTATCTTTTCTGCTTCCCAAACCGTGAAACTATTTGTTGGTGTCTTTTAAAATTTTACATGTGATACATTGGATCGGTGCATTGGCTTTCAAGATTATTCTCTATGCGTGCATTGGCATTGTGTCTTTCGATTAAGTCCAATCCATTTATTTGTGTGTCTGCAGATTGGTCGACGCCTTCCAAAGTAAAATCAGTTCTGCTGTTGAAGACGGCGTATCTAAGAAAATAAACAGTAGAATTGTCAAACTGGATTCCTTGTTGCAGTCTCTTCCTAAAGAAGTACCGGCGACTGACATTGCCTATCTGAATGTTACACTTGTCGATGACCCAAAGCTGAGCGAATCATCGGTTAATGTTGAAATCAATGGGCTGTTCTTCACCAAGCATGAGATCACACTTTCTAGCCACTCCCATAGATCTCTAGAACCTTCATTGTCATGCGAGGAATCGGATGAGATGGCCAAAGTTTCAATCCATGAAAAAGTTCTTCAATCAGCATCATCGGTTTACTACAAGGTGCATTCCCAATCTCTTTGCAAAACATAGGCGACTCTGCAGCAAAGTAGTAACTTGTCTTTGTATTAAGGCGAACAAGATGCATTGGATTGTCGAGGAAGCACCCAATGAGTCTCTCTTGAACACGAGTGAATGGCGATTCATTATCCCACAGCTTTACAAGATGTACCCTAACCGTGCCATGAATCTGAACATCTCAGCGTCCTCGCCACCAACAATCAAACTCGAAAAACAGCAGGTCGTGGCAACAACTCCTTTCGATGTGGTGATTGGCGTTTTGGACGAGCTGGGAGCAATCCCCATCGCATGCATTTCCACAGTAAGATCACCGAAATCTATTCTGATTTAATCCTTTTTTTAGTCTCCCAAATAACGAATCGGGTTTCCTGCAGGTGATTAGTTCTTCCTTAACTGCTGAATTTTCAGGGAACGATGCTGTGACAGGGACTGTGAAACTGAATAACTTCACCATGCATTTAAGGTGGAGCGACATTGGGAATTTACACATTGATTTACTCCAAGGCATAATTTCAACCATGGTGAGGACCGTTGTCGTGCCGTACATCAATGTAAAATTTAGCGGCGGATACCACATACCGGCTTTCCATGGCTACGGGCTTCAACGTGCTCATATCCACATTATGGATTCTTGGATAGTGATATGCAGCGACGTGGCGCGCGTAAAACAACTGGTCAGTATTATTTAATCGACAGAAGAGCTTTTCGACATTAAACATTGTCCCATTGTCATCTATGAATTCCTCGATCACACCGGATGGATACCCGATTGATTGTTTCGAAGTTGGAGTGTGGAATTTTGGGCACAGTGTACTGACTGTTCATGCTCTACTATTTTGTCGTGGATTCGGATTTGAATCGCGGACATAGGCGTGCAGCAAATGGGTAAGTTTGATTGTGTTTTAGAGTTAAAATTATTTTTGTTATAGCGTGAAATTGAACACATTTTAGATTGAAGAGTTCCACGTTAAATGTTATGGTGGTTTGCTTGTTTAAATATGCTGTTTTCATGACACTTTTACAATTGATAAAGAATTAAGTAAATAATGAAGGCTATATTTTATATAAAAAATTTTGGTGGTTCTATTTGGATTTGAAATTGAATTTTTTATTTGAATTTTGTTTAAATAATATTGTTATTTTGTTGTTTAAACAAACACACTATTTGATTTGATGTTTCATACTAACAATGTCTTCCTTTTATATTTTATACTTATTAATAAAATATTATTATTTTTTAATTTATTATATAAATTTTCAAATAATTTTTTTGGATTCGAGGCAGTAACATATTTGGCTCCTATGAAAAGGAAGATAATGGGCCAAGGTGGTGTTGGCATAATTATGCTATTGTTGATCAAATATTTATTATTTTATAATTTAAAAAAAAAAATTAATGTGAATGGAGTTTTGATTTGGATTAGATAGACAAGATCAAAAACATTAATTAAGTTCTCAAAATGTAGGCCTTGATGGTCATGTGTCCATTTTAGAATCACCCCCAGGCCGCGATTTACCCGAGCGAGGGCAAAAGAGTAAAATCACGAATGTAACATGTGTTGAGGAGCTTCTGTGATTTAGGTGAATTATGAATATATGCATAATATATATTCTGCGTATTGCCTCTCTCGGAGAAGTATTTAAATTTATTAGTGTTATTTTCTTTCTAATTTGATTTTAATTTTGATTTATTTTAGTTTTGATTTTGATTTTCGATTCATTCCCTCGCTTTCGTTTTTCCCTCGTCCTTTCTCCCTTCCCGCGATTTCCTCTTAATGGCTTCAGATCTCTCGCTTCTGCGCAGGTGTTTGCGGTTCCGTTTTTGGATAATACGGCGGATCTTTGGATGGAGGCTGCGGCGGGGATGGGGTTAACCGAGGGGGGAGTTGGCGAGAAGCGGCGGCAGTACGACTCCAAGGATGCGAGTGCGCAGCCGAAGAGATTTAAGGGAGGGAGTGTGGTTACCGATTTGAAAAATGTTGCGGGGATCGTGCTGGTGATGGCGGCGATGGGGAAGATGAGGGGAGGGAAGACGCCTACCGAGGCGGAGAAGGAGATGATGAAGGAGGCGCGGAATGGCTTGGTTAAGGTTTGCGAGAGTTTTAAGCCTGAGGAGGTGTTTCGAAAGGATGCTTTTGGTGGAGTTGTTGAGAATTTGGGGCTTAATCGAGTCAAGGCACAAAGGATAGGGTTTCAACCTTCTGCAATGTCCATTGCTCAGAAGTTATTGGACTCGAAAAAAAAGGTGTGTTCCTTTGGCGCTTTTATCACTGTTTTCCGGTTTTGTTGGCTCTGTTGTTGATCTTTCATTTTCTGTGATGAAAGTGCACTTTGATTGAACGTATTGGTTATAATTTTATTGCCAATGTGTGTTCCTGATAATGCTCTTTTAATAGGATGTGGAGTTCATAGTGTAATGGTAACGGATTGTCTCTATAGATAGTCTAGTGTCTTCAATATTTTGGATTTCAAATGTGTTTAACTATAAATAGGTTTTAGATGTAAAATAGTTGTTGCAAGGTGTGTTTAGAATGGAGATTTTGTTTTGTATATGATGATTTAAATGGAAAATAGTTGTTTGGATTCCATGTTTTGAATGATAGTTGTTTGATGTAATATTGTAAATGAAAAATATGTTTGTGATGTTATACTTTTTACAGGACTTTTTTTTTAATTGTAATATGTAGGTTGCATTGTGCAAAAACACGAGCACACACACCAATTATTCTTGCCATGATAACAACTATGATTCGCACTCACACTTACCTCTTGGTGAATTATAAGAAAAGAAAGGGGGATTTTTTATTTTTAAGAACCGGTCATTGTCTTCTGAGACAGTTCCTTTGGGACATTTCATTTTAATATTGGGTGATTTACTTTTGTCTTATATACAGTAGAAATTTTGGTGTTTATATACATTTTATTTTATTTTATTTTTAGTTTGATGTTAGTTGTATTGTTATCTACAACAAACAGAAAGATGTATAAGATGCTATGTTGTTAATTCTTTCAAAAAACCATGGGATACACCCAATAGATTTGTAAACTAAAGACATTTAGTGCAAATTTAATCTGCAAGGTATATAGATTTTCACCCTTTATAGCCTTCTTGTTGCGATATTACTTATTATTTTACGGGGTCAGATGTTTGATTGCATTTTCTTGCCTGGATTCATTTTGTTCTGTGCTTGTGACTATAATGTGAGTTGCTTCTCAAAAGATGTAACATTTTTCTGGTCATTTTTTTTAGATGGAACAAGCAGCTGATTTGGTGTTACCATTAACTCTACCTTTGTCTCAATGTTGCCGAGGGAGTTCTGGTGCGTCACTTCATTTTCAAGCATCTAAAATAGGTATGTCAAGTCCTATGCCTGTATTATATTCTGCAACCTTCCAATCTGCTATACCTTTAGGTGTTGTTACGACAGGAAGTTCAGCAGCTTTAAAATATCAGCTTCCTTCTAGTGAGATCAAACCAGTTGCTTCCTGTGCTTTTCAATCAAACAACTCTGTTTCTGTAGCTCTGAGCCAAAGTGAAAAACCGAATCTGAGATCAGATGGACAATCAAAAGGTTCAACACATGTTTCACAAGCTCAAGGTGACTTTTGTTTTAGATTAATAGTTCGTGAATTTGTTGTCTCAAATATTTGTTGTGCTTGACAATGAAGGAATTTGTAACGTTTTTAACTTCAGAATCAAGTTCATCTTGTTGTGAACCTTATTATATGTTTACATTATTAAAAAAAAATTTAATCACTTCTTCATTTTTTATTGATCCAATAAACTCAATGTAACCCCAACTGGTTTCCTCAGGTACGGCTCAATCAGATATTAAGGTGGTCGAAATTATGTCCCATCAAGTTTGGGGTAGTACTGCAACACATGGATTGACCACTCAAGAGAAGTTTGGCGCAATTATTGCACAAACAGGAACTATACAACCTTCAGAAGTTGCTAATAATGCCCAGGCTTCTATGGAGACTACCCATTCTGAAATTGGCAGTATTGTTAAGCAACTATTGCAACCATTAGCGTCTGGGCGCCGCACTTGGTTTCCACTTTCCCGGGAATATATAAACAAGGCTTTGACTTGTCAAATTTGCACAGCTACTGTTACTGAGATAGATACCATACTCATCTGCGATGCTTGCGAGAAAGGGTATCACTTGAAATGCCTCCAAGCAACCAATCAAAAAGTCATTACAAGAGGAGAGTGGCATTGTGCAAAATGCTTGTCATTGAGCAATGGGAAACCCTTCCCTATCAAGTACGGCCTTGTTTTGAGGAATGCCAACACGTCCTCATCTTCAAATTCAAGTGCTGTTCCATCTGCTCCAACTAAACAAGTCATCAATATTTCAGATGCGAAGGTTGGCCAGCCAAGGGTCACAGAACATGGAAAATCTAGGAGACAAAATGTTCCTACTAATGCTGCAGTCGACAAAGACATTTTTTTGACTGAGGGTAAGATTGATGGTAAAGTGTCTTCTAAGAAATGGCCAGATTTGACAATGGAAACCTCTAATTCTGCTTGTTTTGCTTCATTAAATTCACCAGCAGACAAAGCAGATGATGGAATGGTTTCAAATTTGCCTAATGCTCAAGATGGCACGTCGTTGATATTATATGGTGAATCAAATACGGTAAAGAGATTCCTAGAAAATTGCAGTTCACCTGCAGATTCGAAAGAATCTCCTGGAGACAAGAGTTCAAATCATACATCTACGGTACTGAAGGAGAAAAACCTAACCAATTCTGGATCCTTGGATCAAGATAGATCTTCTGATTGTTTGCATTCTATCAAGTGGGTTGGTGAGCCAGTTCAAGTTTTGGATAAGAAAATCTATTATACAGCTTGCAGCATCAATGGACATGTTTACAGAGTCACAAGCCATGTTGTTATTCATCTTGACAATGGAAAACCTACGCCTTCAAGGCTCCGGGTACGTGACAATTGTCATTGTAAGAATCTGATTTGAGTTTCATTGTAGTTATCCGTGACCCATTAATATCCTTCCATTAGCTACTTCATATGGCTCTCTGTTTGTTGATCGTACTTTTGCCCAATGGACCCGATGGTATGCTCCACTCTTGTTTGTTATTTTTAAAACCAGTGAGCTGCTGCACAATTCTTAATTCACAATCTGCGTACATTATTTTTCTTTGTATTCATAAATAACTTGCAGTGCTCTATGCACTTTCATGAAAATGCCGATTCACCATATACTTGTTTCTTCTGTGTGGAATTTGGAGATACAGTGATGGACTATCTATAATCATACATCTGTAAATCCCTCTTGCAAATCCTTAGAACATCGCCAGTGCATGATATTATGCTGTCCTAATGTTGACCACAGTCGATCATTTCATATGTCTATGATTGGTTTTCATATTCCTTTTACTGCATGACAGGCCGAATATTGTGGTGAGCGGAGCGATGGCTGTTTGATATAGCTTTGTAGTAAATTTGAATACATATGATATGATAAATATGACTATTTTTTTCCTACAGGCTATGTGGGAGGATACTTGTACCTCAAAGAAGTGGGTATCGGTAAATCGGTGTTACTTTCCCGGTGAGATGCCGGAGGGTGTTTGTCATCCGTGTAGCTTGTCGAGCAGTGAGGTGAATCTTCATAACCTTTTGACTCTGATGACTGGTTGGGCAGATGGATATTGCTTCTTTTGCCTTTTTTCTTTTTTGTTTTGGTTCTGTTTTCCCCACTAGTCAAGTTTTCCAATGTCTTGTTCTGCTTATTACATCGATTATGACAGTTGGAGAAACGGTGTAAGATGATTTAATCGATGTTTGTGCAGGTCTATGAGTCTGCACAAAGTATAACGTTGTTGATGGATGGTTTAATAGAAAGCCCATGCAAAGTCCTTCCAGCAGGTGAGTTTGATGAAGAAACTGAGAAGAGAAAGGATCTGAATGGCTGTTTTGCTTCAATTCCGATGTACTTGTGCAGGTATGCATGTTTATCAGTTTATGTTACGTTACTCTCTGCTGAAGTTTTTTGGTGTTTTATGAATTTTAATCAAATTTGTGCGCGCGCGTGTGTGTGTGTGTGGATTGCAGTGATCTACAATGTGTTTGGTGTTTCTGTATATTGTAAATCAATCATATTCATATGCTGTATTTGGCAGATGGATTTACGATGAAACGAAAGGGCTATTCCGAGATATTTCATGTTAACCAACACCTACTACCTACTAGTACGGTAAGGGATGAATTGATCCTGAGTGTTTAAATTTAAACCATGAAGATAGACTAATTCATTCTTACATATATACTCGGTTTTGTTTCGTTTATTACATTATTATATTCTATTACAGACACCAAAGTGATAAACCTTGGTATTGAATGCCTACTTGATTTTGCGGTTTTAAGCAGCAGTATGTAACTGTTACATATGTGTGGATTTTTTCAGTTTTTACATTTATTTATTTATTTATTTATATATATATATATATATATACCTAATGATTATATTAGGTCCATAGAGATGATTTAGTACTAAAACAACGTCCTAAAGTGACGGATCAGAAATTCAGAAGTAATTTGCATGCTATTTGTTCGGCCAGTGGTTTACGCTATCGGCACTGCGGGTTCTAACATTACTGGAAAGCGACATATCAGAAATACAATCCGGAATAAATGTGCACGTGTTAATTGTTATAGTGTCATCGTTCATATATACTACATGTTAAATCATTAGATGCGAAGGTATATATGGAGGAAGAACGAGTGATGACACAAAAAGTAGGAACATAGTTCCACTGGAGAAATAGAAAAAACCATAACTCACTAACATGCAAAACATCTTTAAATAATGCCAAATGAATTAACCTTGGAAAACTTAATAAATAAATGGAGGACACCGAGCACTCATTTTTAATTAGAAGGGAATAGGTAGGTAAAAAAAGAAAAAGAAAAAAGAGAGAGAGGCGAAGACAATATCTTACTAATTAAAGCAAAATAAATTATTAACATACCCTTAATTTCCTCAAGCACAACACAGCTTTGAATTCAAGAAATGCCAACCGTCTTCCCCAACAGCCACAGCACCAAGGACAGCTCTATCCCAAATATTGTATGCAGAGAAGTCCTGTCCAGCATGAACCCATACACTGTAATACCTGCTCTGTTGTTCTCAAAGTATGTCACTGCACCAAATATATATATATATATAACACCAAACCAAATCAAACATTGTGCGAATCAAGTAGCCAAAATACTATATATATATATATATATATAGATAGATACAGATAACGGAATAGAAATTATAAAAACTGGCAAGCTTACCCAGAGCTTGTCTTTTCTGAAATGAGATTGTACTGTAGACATGTGATGGCACAAATTTGGTGTTGTCAAGTTCGTCTTCTTCATCCCCAACATCATCCAACTCATCAGATGATCCATGATCGCTGAAAGGTGGTGGTTCATGCCGGAGCATCTGGTGCCCCGCACCTGGCGTCCCTGTGGTTTCTGGTATGTCAAATGAGTCTATTGTGGCACAGACGTGCCACTTTGCTGCAAGGCATGTCACGGCCAATGCTTTATGCGTGATTTTGGTCGCACTACGGAGTAGAATCAGCAGACCAGCTAGAAGGCTGACGGAGCAGACCTGTCCATCAAATTTATATTGAGCTACTTAGATAATGCTGATCTTGAGCAGTTGAGTCAAGGATTTTGAACTGTGACGTTGTCTTAATATGTAAAATGTATAAAAATAAATATATACGAGCATCACAAAAATTTGTTCGTTATTGTATTTTTCATTGCATCTATTACTCGTTATTGATGTAGTAGATACTGTATAACAGTAATTATATTTATGTATATTTGAAATATTTACACTACCTATTTTGCTTTTGCGACATCATGAAAATTATATACACGCTAATTCATTCTTGTAACAATAATCTCAACATTCATATAGGATGTTTAAACAGTTCATTAATAATACCATTAATGCTTAACTTTTCAAACGCGTTTAATTAATTTAGTTCATATATGGTTAGTTGTAATAAATTTTTAAGAATTTAACATAAAGCACTCATGCATAAGTAGATGTGTATAAAAAAAAACTGTGGATTTTTTGGGATCCTATAAGCTATACTCTGGCATGCCTCAGTATTTATTCATCTATACACGAGTGAAAAAAATAAACTCAATATATATATATATATATCAACAGGCTTACTTATTATAATTAATGTTATAGTATCTATGACTTCGCATGTCAAAGCTAAATCATTTTGCTTGTGTTTATGATTGTATATTTTATCAAAAATAAATATTAAAAGAAAAATTAAAGCGTGTACGTACCGCCAGTTCTCCAGTGTGGTATATATCAACATCTGCGCTAGTTCGCGTGGTCATGAGCAAAGAAGCAAACTGACTGGCGGTGATGAATATCAGCGCCCACAGTATGAACGTTCTGTACCTATGGCTGATTATCCGAAGATGCCTTCTAATCCTCAAATGTTCTCGCAAAACCGACTCAACGTCCGAATCGATCTCGAACACCTCCGCAAAATCCTGTAGGCGGAGAATCTGCAGGCAACAGATCAGGCGAAAAAGAATGCATACCAGGAAAAACACCATCGTCCGATAAAACCAAGAGCACAGCTCCAGAGCGCACGCCACAGTGTTGCTAACGATCACATTTCCAAGGAACGGTATTCGCGTTCCACCGGAGATATACCACCAGATTTTGTACACGCTCTCAGCGGCGAAGCAGGGGAGCACGAAGATGAATAAGAGCTTCAATGATCTCTGAACGTAACAAAATCAACTAGATTAATCGAAATTGATTGAAATCTATCCATTTTGAACGGTAATAAAGTAAAAATTCAACGCAATTACATTGAATTGCTTCGTGTAGCCATTCCTGACGGTTTCGCTCTCGTGACAGAGCTTATCGAAAAACAGAAACCTCCGAAGTCCATACTTGCTAACAAATCCAGACAAACACAGGAACGACAGCGTGGCGACACTGCTGAGGGACAGCTGCGCAACGGCGTCGTACGGTCTGTTGTGAAGGCTATCACAATCGCTGCAGGCGAGCACGAAATGCGAGAGCGAGGGGACAACAATCGTGAGCAGTACAAAAACAAGCCACGAGAGGCAGGTAGTCCACGGATTGGACTGATCGACGCACAGTCCTTTCAGCCACGTACGAAACGCCTTGAGTTCGTCCTGTGCGTGCGACACCGACCGCTCCATCGCTTTGCGCTTGCCGAGATTCAGCAGCGCTTCTCTTTCGTCCGCCATCGCCAGTCACTGTTTGCAGATGTGATTGAAATCACTGTCCAAGGCTTTTATAGTGGGGAAAATGCGGGGGAATCTCGTGCTTTCCCGACTGCGTGAAAAAGCAACTATATAATTAAATCATTAATAATTTAATTTAATTAAATAACTAGCTAATTATCGATTTAATGATTAATATCGATTCAGAGAAAATATAAAATATCACAATACACAATTAGCTGTACGAGATTTAGTTAATGGTAAGCCACACAGCTTGCAACATGTAAGCAGCGAACCTGCTACGCTGCGGCGGTGGGACCCTGCGCTTTGCAACGTGTACATTGTAGACACCTGCTTTTATGCTACATGTGCACCCACATGACCACATGTACAAATCCCCCGTAACCTTATTAATAATATTTTCTTTTAGCCTAATTATTAACAAGTTTACTTCGGAAATTTTACAATTATTAGCTTCATTTTCAAAAGGCATCGAACAAACGGATGAATTTGATAATCAGGTGACAACGAATTTACGTATAAACTTATCAATGATGATGAAAATACATAAATCAAAATATTATTATTATTATTATTCTTTAGCAGTTTGTTTAACACATACATACACTCATCCTATTTAATGACAAACACAGCGAACGTCGTCGTTTTCACGAGCAACATATGACGTGCAGATAAATATAATAGGGTTTGGTAATTCTTGGTCAATTCAATTAGCTTTGGTGGGAGAGGGGCGAAGGCAATACATGTGAGCAATTGATTGGACTATATATAAATTAAATCTTCATGAAGGCCAAATTGGTCTTGAATTTCCTCGACCACGAATAAATTTTTTTGGGGCTAATTTGGACCATTTGGAATAAATATATATATATATATATAATTATAAAGTAGATCTAATCACTTATAGAGCGACGTGTATGCGCCCACCGCTATATACGTGTCCGAAAATATATGCTGCATTACTTGCAGAGGTTTGAGACATTGAGTGTGTTTACCGTGAGATTTTGATATTAAAATTTGATTTTAAATAATAAAATTTTAAATTGAAATAATTATTTGATGTGATATAAATATGTATTGATATAATATTTTAAATATAAATTTAAATTTTAGTGTAATAAAATAAATAAAAATTAAATATTTGATTTTATTTTTTTTTAAGAAAAAAAAATGATTATAATAGTAAAATCAGAGGTAAAATTTTACAAGTAAACAGAGCCACTGTGTTTTGTAACATGGCATTAATATTTAAATTTGGTTTTAGATTAGAATTTTTTTTTTCTCCTCTTTAATCTTAAGAACGTCATTCCAATAATATAACGTTAAATCCTACTATAAAACTAACGGAAATGAATTAAGGCTGTAACCCAAATTAATTTTTTTTAATTATTTAATGTTCCATTATAATAAAAGATCAATTGAATGTGATACTCTCTCCATTATCGAAAATTATATTCATACAATTAATTAGATACAAATTTTAATAAAAAAATTTAAACTTACAATAAAAAATACAAAAGTAATAAGCATAAATTGAAATGATAAAGAATATTTTAAAAATATATATTGTATAGTTAAAAATTAGAAGAAAATATAAAATAGCTAATCCAAACATTTAAAATAGTTGATATTTCATACTAATTTCCCTTAAAAAGTCTGCGGTCATATTTTAAAATTTTGAATAATGATCCGACACCATTCATCCAACTCTTTTTTTTCCCCAAAGTGATGAAATCAAATATTTATATTTTTTTTTTCATTTATTACATTATCAAAATAAATCAAACTTTCATTCAAAACATAAATCAAATATATTCATCTCCATCAATTTTGTTAAAAGGATATTTGATTAAAGTGTTAATTTGATCAACCCCCATGAAAATTAGTGTTGTAACAAGCAAGGAGCACCAGAATAAGTGAATAACCCTAACCTAGTAAAAAATAAAATAATAAAGGGCCGTTCGGCCCAGATTGAGAGGAAACCCTAATTTCCAAATGCATTGCAGCCAGCGTGAAGATTGATAGGAAGGAAGCGCCGAAAAGTGGGTAGGCAGATTTGAGAGAGACAGCTTCAGAATTTAGCAGAGAAGGCTTTACACTATGGACAAAGAATCCAAAAGGCATGCATGCGTATCATGGCATGGCAGCCATGGGAGACGGGCCATGACCTCCCCAAAGTGGCAGTGCCCCGGTCAAAAAGGAAAAAATAAATAATTGCCAGAAACAAGAACGAGAGAGTCCATCCATACACACACACACAGACAGCCTTCATGACTCAAAAAACATATTTTATTCTCGAATTATGAATGCAACTAGAAACATATGGTAGAAGAGAAGATTACATTACCTTGCTGCAGTTGTGTTCCATTGATTCCAGTAGCATTCACAGTGAAGCTGATAAACACAAAGAACATGAACAATCAATTACAATATGCTTCTGGGAATATCTAAAAATGCTCAACAATATTGATCCTTATGAAAGAAGAATCATCCATGAAAATGAACCAAACAGAATACCAATGAAGCAACACCAGCAAATTGGATCAAGAAATTCACTATGGCAAATGGCAAGCATAGATCCCAAATCATGAAGTGAATAATCAAGAGCCCTACAATGGAAATGATCAATCTAGACAAGTAGATGAACTCACAAGAAAAGAACAATAAAACCAAACAAAGAGAAACACCAAATATATCTCTGCAACTAAAACTCCCCATTGACATGAAAATGCAAGACAGGCTCCAAGAAATCAAGATGGGATGCAAGAACAGAGATTATACACAAGATTTAGGCATCATCAGATAAACACAATAAAATACCAATCATAATATCCTCTCTGTAATCAATAACATTAGGGTTCATATCATCGTGATAATAGTAAATTCAATTCTAGCAACACACTCATAGAACACAAGACATCCCAATGTCTTCAACCCCTGCCTATGAGCATATTATCATTCATTCCCCTCTCCATTTTTTTTTCTTTTTCATTTTCCGCAAATTGAACCAAAAAGAAAGAGAAAATCCAGTAATTAACCAAATGGGTGAATTTCTTCCGAGATGAATGGATGTTCATCGGAGGAGAAAGCCACCTCAGAGCCGTAGAGCCGTGCAGGCGAGGTCGTCCGTGTCAGGAAATGGACCTTCCGGTGGGAGCATGTTAAGATCGAAGGGGAGAAGCTTTTTACAGGAGGATGAAGCGATGTTACAATCGGTATCGTCTATCACCGAGGAGGAGGAATCGCAGTCGCTGTGGCAATCATCCGGAGCCACTGGAGGCGACCGTGGATGCTTCCGTTGGGGGTGGATAATCGGCGCCGCCGGCGGTCGCTGCCGCGGTCCGCTGAACGACTCCACCGTGCTACTCATACCGCTCGAGGTCGGCCTCTGCTGCGCGATTATGTTCCGATCCTGAGTATAATATCTCGAATCGATTGACGGATCGTTAGGGTTCGGGTTGATTTGAGGTTGATTCAAAGCGTGCGGACCGAAATTAGGGAAAACACCACCGCCGCCGACGCCGCCCGCCGGAGGTAAGGGAAAGTTCGTCTTCGCCTTCGGACCGCGGAGCGTCCGCGCGGCGGCGTCGTAGGCGCGGGCGGCGTCCTCCGCCGAATCGAAGGTTCCGAGCCAAACACGCGTCTTCTTCCATGGATCTCTGATCTCCGCCGCGTACCTCCCCCACGGCCGCTTCCGCACCCCTCTGAATCTGATTTCCTTAGATACTCCAGATCCATGTCCCTCCGCCTCCACAACCGCCGCCGGCCGCCCAACCGCTCTTCCCTTCCTCATCTCCCAAAACCAAAACAATACCAAAAAAAAAATGAAATAAGACCACCAAACCCTAACCAAGCACCGCCTTCATATGAGGGCCAAAAAACCAAATCCCAAAACAACCACCATATCTACAAAACAAAAAAAAAAAAAAAAAAAAAACAAATCAAACACCGCCACCGCCAAACCAGGCGACGAACAAATTCAACCAAATCCTTCAAAAAAAAGGGAAAAAAACTCCGAATCCCCCTTATCGTCCACCGCGTAAAAAGCCAAAAGCAAACCTGAGGCCCGAATTTAGTTACTCCTTTTTATCATTGAATTTCCTCGAGAACTTCCTTCAGTTCCGAGTTGTTGTTGATGCATCATATATTATCCCAATCTTGAAAGTAAAAATTTTGGGGAAAGAAGGGGCAGGGTCGGAATCGCTTTATCGATTTCTCTACCTTGTCACACGCCCCCACAAACCAACCAACTACTGCACTGCACTGCACTCTGCCTTTGCCGTCTCCCCGCCTTCGTCTGGGTCGGTAATGTAAAATGACTTGAATGCCCCTGGGAACCTTTACCATTTACGTGTGGGATGAGGTCATTAATGGCGGGAGGAGAGGGTGAGGAAGGGTGTCCGGAAAGGTCATTTTCTGTGGCTAATAATTTACGTGGAACGGCAGCAAAGGGAAGTTGGGTTTGGGGTGATGGAGATTAAATGTGGTGCCAACCATACACACACAAATTTTATTTTTATGGTTACGGTGCATTTCATTCTTTACATTTTTGGTAGATAATTTATAACTTGCCAAATTATGTTCATTTAAATAATTTTTTAAGTAAATCAACATTGTATTGATTTTTTGAATAGCACCGATTAAAAAATCTATAGAGCACCAATAAAAAATTCAAATAATATATACAAATAATGTGATATTATTTGAGGAAACCATCTGGTATTTCCTTGCTTATGGTATTTATATTATAAGAAATAAATTATTTATTAGAATTTTATTTATTTTACAGTAGAAATATATATTGAAAATAACTAATAGCCAGCTAAAATAACTTTAAAAATAAATAAATGTATATATTCACGGTTACGAGTTCCCTCTCGTACTATTAGGTTATCATATATTCACCATGTGTGGCAGATGACCTGAGGAGTTGGAAGGTTTGAACCCAATTTCACGGTCACATGTCCAACCCTTACTTTGTTAGGTAACTGGGTTTAAACATGGTTTTGTTTAATATATATATATATATATTATTTGTTTCTATTTAAAAAAAAAAAAAAAAAACAAACAATTGCTTGATATTTAAATTTTGATTTAGAAAAAATAGAGTCATGCTTATTTGAACTTGTCTTTTTGTTTTCATGGCTATGGTATTCAATATGCACTGCATTTATTATGTTTATATTATTTTAAATAATTACATCCTATATACAAGTTCCCTAAATGTTATGGCAATATTTGATATGTATATATACGTATAACAGATATTAATGACGTGCTTACGTAGCAATTTCTTGGAATTTAAATATTGTTCATTTGAAATTTAATTTTAAATTATTTTGATTTATTTTTTACAATTTAATATAATAACATACTGCTCTATTTTACAGAATACAAACAACCAATCATACCAAAACCACCACCAAAACACAAAATCAAATTCTTATTAGTTTTATTTTTTCTTAAAAAAAATTTAAATAGTTGATTGCTGAAGTGTTTTTGTAAGAACATATTGCTGAAGTGTTTTTGTTTATCTGAGTATTTTCTGTGTTTTTTCTATGGTTATGTATTTTCATTTTACTCCAAAAATATTTAAATTATTTTATTCAAAATATTGTACTATTTAATAATTGTGACTCAGTTTCCATAAGATTTTAGAGTTCTGCAAAATTTACAAATAGAAAAAAAATGTGAGTATTAGGAGTAATTTTTTGAAAAATATTACATCATTACTAGATAGTGTTAATATATTTAAAAATGTATATAACCATATATGCAAACAAACTCACTCTAGGGTGTAACATATTTTAATTAAAATATATTTTTAATCATAAATCAGGAGTTGGGGGTGCATAAGTCGTGGTTATTATATTTATTATTATTATATTGATTTTAGTGGTGGAAATAAATATGGATGGTATGGAGGCTACAGCAACACACCAGTCCCATATTGCGGTCCCATTGCCATCTCGGAATATTCCACAGTTGATTCCTTTCACACCGCAATATATATTTTTATTTTTTATATTTTCACTGCAATGTTAATGCTTCTATTTTATTTTATTTGTGTTTGTTTATTGTCCAGTGTTATTTGAGATTGACCGAATTTTAGTACCGCCGCGTGCATTTGTATTTATGAATTTATTCATATTTAAATTACCGAAAACTGTAAAAATGTTTTTTTTTTTTTTTTTTATATTCATTATAAATATTAAAAAAAAATTATTGGCAATAATGTGAAGAAAAAAATAAAAATTGAATACATAAAGGAAAGCACAGTTACGTAATGGACCGATTGATGCCATAATTTAGGGTTAGTTCTCGTGCATCTTTCCATGTTATATGTCCCTTAACAAATTGGTAAGTATTAAAATATTGTGTAAATATATATTCAAATTTGAGGATAAGGATAGGTGTCGTTAATCTATTTAGGGTGTGTTTGTTTGAGGGTTTGGATTTTAAATTGAGATTTGAATAGTAAAAATTTTGAATTTGAATAGTTGTATGATGTGATATAAACAGACGTTGATGTGATGTTTTGAATTTAAAATTAATTTTTAATATAATATAAAAAATAAAAAATTGATGTTTGATTTAATATTTTTGAAAAAAAAAAAAGATGAATAATAAAAATCCAAACAAATCCCTCAAACAAACACACCCTTAAAAAGTTTGACAACTCATTTATTGTCGTTCCTTACGTTTCTTAGGGCATTGAGCCGCTGGACCCTACACTTTCGACTCAATATATACATATAAGATTTCAAATATCAAACCTTAATTTATTTTTTACTCTTAAGACCGGATTGAATAAATTGTTACGCCACTTTCTAATGAAAAGTATAGTAGGATAAATAATTATGCATTAATATTAAAATAATAAATTATGAAATAAAAAATATAATTAATTTTTAAAAATAAAAAATAAATTATGCAGAACGAATAAAAAATAGAACATTTTATATAAGACATGATAGACTATATGAGATCTAACATTTGAAATGATTTTAATGGTTGAATGACATATACACATATATGTAAATAAAATTACATTGTTACCTTCTAATCCCGCTAATATTCTATAGAAAACCTGCTTAAGTTGTAGATTTTTTAATTTATATCATAAAGGAATATAAGGTAAAAAAAAAAGAAGCAGATTTACACAATATTTCCCGATTACTATAATTTAGTATATATATTTTTTAAAAAAATGTATTGTTTGAGTTTATTTGTCAAGTGTTTATATTTCTAGATTTTTTTTTATTATTATTATATTATTTTTTTGTGAGATATGATGAGTGCTAAATATATTGTTGAAATTTATCATATGCTGCATGTTATTATTATTATGTATATATATTATCTATATATTTTATCGGTTTTAATTAAAATGATTATTTATACTATTTTTGATAGTCACATTTAAAATTATTTATTTTTATTACAATAAAAATAATAGTATATTAATATAAAATATTCTTTAACGCTAACAAAAAACTATAATTTCAATTTTAAATAAATTGTAAACATATGGTTGCGAATTCAATATGTAAATAAAATAATAATAATAATATCAAAATCATTTTATATACTTTTATTAATAAAAAAATATTTTTATTTTTTTATTTTATTATAAAATTTCAAATGACCCACTTAAATGAAACAAAAAGAGTTTTTTATTTTATAATATTTTCGTGGAATATATATATGATAAAGGCATTCTGCTATATTAAATGGGCTGAATTTAGGCCTATACATTTATTTAACATCAAGTTCATTGGGCCCAACTGAGCAAACAGATAGAACTGTAGTATTATTATCATATTTATATATAGCTTACGTATTACGCAGAATTAGAGTGGAAACGACGACGTTTAATACTACTCAAATAAAAAGATTTCACTTCGGTAATCGTTTTGCCGTCAGATTACAGGCCCATAAGAATCTCAGCCGTCGCTGCTATTGACCCACGCCTATATAAGGCGTTGGGGGGCGCTGCAGCGGCATTTCGTAGTAACAAGTACAAACTTTGAATCGAAGCGTCAAAAATTTTAATCGGCGGTTATAGCGAGAATGTCGAGCGTTGAGGACGATAAGAAGCCGGCAGATGCGGCGGCACACATTAATCTGAAAGTGAAAGGACAGGTTTGTTGTTTCTGAAGCCCTAACTTGCGTTTTTCCGAATTGTTTTGCCTGAGCGCTTACGATTGTTGCTTTTGTTTTCTATTGAGCGGTTTTTGTTGGTTTATACTGCGAGTTTGTTGCAGTTTTCTTCTTCTCTGAAATCATGGAATGGCGAATAGTTGGTAGATACGTTTTTTCTAGGGTTTTGCTTCAGAGCGAAGTTTAATTTCTGGCTTCATATGACTATGCGTGTCTGATCGTTTTACGTGCTGATGTTTGGTCATTTTATATGTTGAAAGGATCGCTGATGCGATTTTGTTTTGGAAACTGCGTTGGTGATTGTTATTGCAATTCAGGGTCGTACGGTTTTTGAGTTTGGGGTTAAAGCTCAGCGACTAACAAATTGGTGTTTATCATTTTGAGCAATTTAATCTCAAAAGTTAAAACATGTCAATTTTGCTTCTTGTCACATTTAGAATGACTATAAGAGCTTGTGTGTATATTGGAATGACATATTGTAATTTTCATTTACGCGTTATGATCTAGGAAGATATACAAAGTATGGACGCGTGGTTGTCACATTTAGAATGACTATAAGAGTTTGTGTGTATATTGGAATGACATATTGTAGTTTTCACTTAAGCGTTATGATCTAGGAAGATACACAAAGTATGGACGCTTGGTTGTTTGTGCGCTATAATTCATTTATGTTTTATGGTGTAGAAGGCATCATAACATGGGCATGTGGCTGTTTGAAGCTAAATGTGATTATGGTGTTGCTCGTCTGGGATGATTAACTGTTGGTCACTAATCATATGTTCTGTTCTATTGTTCTCACATAGTGGTATTTCCTGCAGTCATTCATTGTACAGTCTCGATTATATTCTGATAAGCATGTTTGTGTGTTCATTGGTTGGTTCTCTGGTTAGATTCTTTTATACATGCAATTACTGTAATCCTACTGTTTGAATGAGATGATCACTTAAATGCATATGCTTGGAGGCATCTAATGTGATCACTTGTTGCAGGATGGGAATGAAGTGCATTTCAGGATCAAGAAAAGCACACAATTGAAGAAGCTCATGAATGCCTACTGTGACCGACAGTCTGTGGATTATAACTCCATTGCCTTTCTGTTTGATGGTCGTCGCCTCCGAGGGGAGCAGACCCCAGAAGAGGTTATTCCCCTTGGCCTAGTCACATTCACTAAAATTTATATGTATCATTTCCTCCTCAAAAATCAATCCATCCTAATTAGTAGCTTGTCATAACCATCATTTATAATATTAAATGGCAATTGATCCTTCAACTAAGAATATCTTTCTTGTATTGCAGCTGGAGATGGAAGAAGGAGACGAGATTGATGCAATGCTGCACCAGACTGGGGGTGTAGCGACTCGTTATTAGCAAGAATGTAGATCCTCCTAGTCATGTCCTTATTGAGTCGTTGGTATCCTACCCTATCCCATCTTATCCTATCCTGATTGACTTCCAGTGGTATTGTTTGTGTTTGTATCAACAGAGTCTTTTCTAGCACACTGGTATTCTTGATGCCTAACTAAACTTAGCATGAATCGGTTTTCTATGACATGATAATATGTTGTGTGGTGGTTTATACTCTCTCTCTCTTTCTGTTTTAAACCCCTACCTGCATATACCCTCTTTCATTTTATCGTGGGATGCCCACTGTTACGTTGGCTCAGCTAACAAATTATTGCTTGTGTATTTTGGTGCTGCCTGTCTAAGCTGTGCTGTGATGCCTGTGTTTGTTCGTCTGTCTTTCAAGGTAAATTTGTATCAAGGCTTATGGGGTGTCACGTGATGTGTGTGAGATTGGACTTTAATATGACATCTCACGTGCCATAATCTGCATTTTTGTGGGGGTGGGTTTTCAATATTTTTAATGATTATATTATATGTCTGGGGAAATTGCAAAATAATATTCTGTGTACTCAATTTGCTTGTTTGATTATCATCGTGACAAAACATATCCATGTGTTTTTTGTTACTTAAGTATATTGACACGTTACAATCTTGCCACTCATGCATGTCACAATTCCGTTGCTTGGGTGATAATTAGACATATGGTCCATATGTTTTAAATTGTTTAGGTAATTATGATAAGGCGTTTTTTAAAAATAGTTATTTAACTTGTTAACAATATATATATTTTTTATTAAATTATGAGTTTTTGCTGAGGATGGTTCATTTTGGGCCATGACAAGTGGCTTGCATTAGACCCACATAAAAGCATCTTAATTTGCTTCCTGCAGAATTATTATCCACATTTTTGGCTCCTGGGCATGTTTGGCAATTTCATATAATGTCCATGTCCAGGGCTTCCATGCATTACACATCTACTTTAGCTAATCTGATCATAAAAAAAAAAAACACGTGTATAAATATACATACAAATACGGAGAGAGAGGGGTTCTCACAATACAAGCATAATTTCTTCCACAGGGAACTTGAAATGTACTGTTAATCAAGTAAACAATGCCAAATTATCATAGTTTTGCACGAGTTAATGTTTAGATACCAAATACATGATTAAGAACGTCAACTGCTATGGCATTTTACATGATAAAAACTCTGATTGTTTAACCTGTTCAATTCTCTTGCCATATTTCCATTTCAGACATTTTATTTCAGACCAACATCCTGTTTGGGTTTATCTTCTAGCCATTTGAACGAAGCAATATCCCAAGTTTATCTCTGCAGCAATAGCAACCATAATTATCCTTGCGATGAGGAACACTATCGAGCTATGTACAATAGAATCATTAATTGGTAAGTCATATTACTCCAGAGAATTACAAATTAACAGACCAAATATTCAATATGAATCAAATTGGTAGGTTTTCTGTTATTTAATTTTATTTTATTAAAAAAAAAAACATCAAAATCTATCGGATATCATACAGACCCAATAACTCAATTCATCTCAAGTTGAGCCTGTAGAGTATGGGCTTAGTCATAAATTGGTTGGATCTATTGTAGAGAGCATTGGTCTTGATAATTCAGGTACCAAGTAACGTGGTTACTGCTAAGGTTCAATAATTTTATTAAAGGCTTACTTGAGGGCACAAAATTGAGGGATAAATTATTTCATAGCATTGTATTGTTATTAATCATGAAATCGAACCCATTTAATTCGTACAACTTATAGAGTGAACCATCAATTTGCACACTAAAATTCTTAGACTCTGGCGATTTTGTGTGTAATTTGCATGCAATAGCATGAGATTAAAAACTCTCCCAAAGATTCTATAAATCTTAAGATGCAAAGACTTTCTAAAACAATAACAACAATAATAACAACGTTAATTTCAATCATTTTTAACTTCATACAAACTTATACTAACAAATAACTGCAACATAAACTCTCGAATCAAATACCTAAATGAAAAGTTTTTAAAGTCAATAAACAAGAGCACTTTAATAAGCTCTTCAAAATGGTGCTTCTATAGGCGCACTATCACTTTCAGACATTTTTAGGGCTCATGGTTGTTAAGTCTACTATATATGGTCACCAAAGACGAGCATATATGCTCAACATATGTTAATAGCACCATCAAACCACATTTGTACAAATACAAGCAAGAAACAAAGCAAACAGTTCAAGGTAAGCACATTTTCAGGACTTTGAAAACAAGTAATATCCTTTCTGTTCTAAAAGACAAATGCATTTGTTCATCAACTGATAGTAGTTTCCAAGACATAAACGTGTAGAAATCAAAATTTTCGATTAGATCTACTTGCATACGCATCAAACATTCAACAAAGATTTAGAAGTGCACAATCAAACATATTTTGCAACTTTGAGAATATACATACACACACACAATGTGTGTGTATGTATGTATGTATATTAATTTCAATCGCAAGCAAAAACTAACCATTCAAGGATTCGATGATTCAGTAGTCGGGAGGTTTGGGTCATGATTCACGACCAGCGGCGGGCGCAGCGCTCTGTGATTAGCTTCTTTCTGCTTCCGAGCATTGTACATTTCTTCAGTCTCAATTGCAACCAGCCTTTTCACCTAAAGTTACAAATGGTGACCAAAAGAACACAAACACGACATTTAATCCAAGCATCTCGACTCACAATCAATAAAATCCAATAATCGGAAAAAAAAAAAAAAAAAAACCTGCTGAAGCATTCCTAGGAGAGAAGGCGTGTTTCGGTGTACGACCGTGCGGTTGCACTTGGCGAGTCGCAAGGCTTCTAATGTGCGGCGGTGTAGCCTCCTCGTCCCCGGAATACCTCTCACCAGCGTGATGTAGAGATTAGGGCTCCACGCAACCGCAGCATTGGCTTTGAATTTGTTGAAAGCACTCATTCCAATCCAGTCTCCAACGGATTAAACTTCTTCCTGCAACCAATTTGATCTTTCAATTATCAAAAACCGATTTGGAATCGGCCGGCACCGATGGAGAAAGTATCTAGTCGAAGCATTCGCGGAGAGCGTGCAAGGGTTTCACGTTTTATAGAATGGGCCGACTGAGGATTTATGCGGGCCGGCCCACATGGATGGGCTAAAACTTAGTATAATAAATTAAATAAAGGGATAAGATTATTTCGTAAATTGATGAAATCTCAAGTAAAGTTGCACAAAACTAACCAATTATGTCACAATTGTAATGATTTTTACTATATCCTAAACACGTATTTATTAACAATGCACTATAGCCATTAGTTCATACAAAAGTACTATCATAGTATTATTTAAAAATTATAATATTTTAATATAAAAATAAAAGTAGATTATTATGTATAAATTTAATAAAAACAAAAAAAATAATAATAAATTAATTTTGACGGCCAATTGATAAATGCTGTGTATATTTCGAAAGTACAATTATATTATTTTTATTAATATGAGATGGTATATTCAAAAAGTTCACCACTAAACTCCAATTCAAGCCCACCCACCATTCTCAAATTGAATGGACGGGACACATTAAAAAAAATGTAGTATTAGATGAAAATATTATGTGGTGTAAGAAAATAGGAATTAGGAAGTAAGTATTTGTTTTTGTGTGTAAGAGATAGGGCCAAGGGGGCACAAAAAAGCATATTCTGTGACACACGGCTAAGAAATTTCCTCATTTTCGTGGCTTCCAATCGACGACGTGGTCACTGTAAAGTTGTTCAAATGATCAAGTCACTATATATAACTAAGTAGCTGCGCACCGCAATCGCGTCTACATGCAGAATCCGAACGCTGCCTGTGACAGATTCAAGATTCGATCCGTCTCTCGCCTCTACCGGATCGATCTCATTTCTATATAAAATATTTATATATATATAATTTTAGTCCAGTGTAGTGCTTTGTTTTTCACCACTCAAATCAAATCCCCAAATCTGGAAATTTCCAATTTAGGGTTTAGAGGCGTTCGTCTATGTTATGCCGAGCGGGAGGTGATCGGAACCCTAGCAAGGAGTAGGAGGCAAAATTGACGACAATCACGGCTCTATTACGAGTAAATCGGCCGGCGGCGGTTGCACATGTCCGAGCAGTCCGACGCAAGGGTTGTGTAACGCTGAGCAACCCTTCGCCGCACGGCGGACGTGGAGCTTTGCCTTCCGAAGGCGGCAGCCCTTCCGACCTGCTGTTCCTCGCCGGCGGCGGTTATTAATCCCCACCCCCACTCCCACCCCTACGCTGTGTAAGCTTTATTTACGTAATAACCCTGTAGAGTTCGAATTCGGTATTCGGTGAAGAAAAAGGAATTGAAAACTAAACATGATGATTCTGAGTATTAAGAGAGTTCCGACTGTCGTTTCCAACTTCCAAAAGGAAGACGCCGATGAAGGCGCCGGCGCCGGCTGCGGCCGCAATTGCCTCAGAAGCTGCTGCCTTCCAGGTACGCAATTGCTGCTACCTTCCTTCACTATTTACCAATTCGATTTCTAGGTTTTGTATCTATGGAATTTGACTCGAATGTTAATTGAATTAGGGGCAAAGCTACCTCTGTATGCTTTTAACAGAGCAAAAAACACTAAGGGATGTGTTGACGACGATGACACCAAAAATCCCCCCGTTGATTTCTTAAATTCCCTTCTTCTCGGAGAGGTAATAATTATAATCCATGAATCCATTACACTTGTTCAATTCACAAATCACTCGTCTAAAACCGATGTTCGTTCTGCAGTGGGAGGATCGAATGCAGAGAGGCCTTTTTCGCTACGATGTCACAGCCTGCGAAACTAAGGTCTGTCTTACTGCAAAACCAGACTATGTCAGACTCAAATTCGAGCTATAATAACCTTCAAAAATAATTTTTAGGTGATTCCGGGGGAGTACGGATTCATCGCGCAGCTAAACGAGGGGAGGCATCTCAAGAAGCGGCCAACCGAGTTTCGTGTCGATGAGGTCCTGCAGCCCTTCGATGAGAGCAAGTTCAACTTTACCAAAGTCGGGCAAGAGGAAGTGCTGTTCCAATTCGGGGCGAACGACGTTGCCAAAACACACTTCTTCCCAAATGCCCTGATTAAGGCAGAAACCTCGCCCAACATGGTCGCCATCAATGTAAGAACTTCACATACCTCACCACACATTATATAAAATTACGACGTCTGCGATCTAACAACCATTTGTGTGCGCGCCCGATCAATCGAGCAGGTCAGTCCAATAGAATACGGGCACGTGTTGCTAATCCCCCGGATTCTCGAGCACCTGCCACAAAGAATCGACCGCGAGAGCTTCTTGCTCGCCCTGCACATGGCTGCCGAAGCAGGGGATCCGTACTTCCGCGTGGGGTACAATAGCTTGGGCGCATTCGCCACCATAAACCACCTCCACTTCCAGGCCTACTACTTAGCAGCGCCGTTCCCGATCGAGAAGGCTCCTTCGAAGAAGATAACCACCACGAGTGGCGGCGTCAAAATATCCGATATTCTCAAATATCCCGTTCGGGGCCTCGTCTACGAAGGTGGAACTACTCTCGAGGATCTCTCGAACGTCGTCTCCGACTCCTGCATTTGTCTGCAGGAGAACAACATCCCCTACAACGTCCTCATCTCCGATTCCGGGAAAAGAATCTTCCTATTCCCACAGGTCTCGCAATTTCATGACCCTATGCATTTTGTTTACCCTTTGCTCGGTATCTAAAGATCATTTTAATCACTTTCGGTGTGATCGAACAGTGCTATGCGGAGAAACAAGCGCTTGGGGAAGTAAGTTCTGAGCTTCTCGACACTCAGGTGAATCCGGCGGTTTGGGAGATAAGCGGACATATGGTGCTGAAACGGAAGAAGGATTACGAGGAGGCGTCGGAGGAGAATGCGTGGAGGCTCTTGGCGGAGGTTTCGCTGTCGGAGGAAAGGCTTCAAGAAGTGAAGGAACTTATTTTTGATAAAATTTGCTGCACCTTCGAGGAGGAAGTAGTTGCCGCCGTCGAGGAGGCGGATGCCGCTGCTCAGCCGCGGGAAGACAGGGATGGGCTCAAAGGATCTCAGCCGACGGCCATGGTCAATGTGTAGCTCAGCCTGAATGAATCGTGTCCTGATTTGCTTTAAGTTGTTTAAGCCCTGTGACTGTTATGCTTTTGTTTAGTGTTTTGCGTTGTTACATCGCTACTCGCAGCTTCTTCCACCGTTTGTAATGGATTTGTGTTCTCTTTTATCTGAGTTTTTATGTTTGCTACTATTATATAGGATTATATTAATTATATCATTTAATTACAATAATTAAAATTTGTATCTTTTAAGGCATAAATGTGCTGCTAAATTTTAAAAATTCAGCAGCACCCTAATTTCATTCATTACAATTTACTTTAATTTAATGGGAAAAAAAAATAAAGTAGATTTGGCTCATGCTGACTTGTAGAAGTTCAATAAAATGTTGAACTTCAAGGATGTATGCAAAATTGCAAATTAATTCGGCTCACGTTGACTTGACAAAATTTAATAATTTTTTTTTATTATTTAAAAATAACTTCAAAATTTTAAAAATTTCTGTCTAAACGAGTTCTAATAAGTTATACTATAAAATACTTAAATTTTTATAATTTTCAAAAAAAAAGAAAAAAGAAAACCTGTTTCTAAACAAGTTCTAATATCAAATAATAAAAAAATTCAAAACTAAAAAAAATCTCAATCTAAACTAAATCTTACTAAGTCTTAACATATACAAATTATAATTAACAAAATTTGGGCGTGTTTACTTAGGAATTTATTTGGGATTTTTTTTTTTTTTTTTTCAAAAAGTAAGTTAGATGTAATATTGTATGAGAAAAAATATCCTAATATTTTACATGAAACAAAAAATATTGCATGGTAATAAAGAATTCAAAGCAAATATTCATCGCTAGTACTTGTCACCAAGTCTAACTAAATTCAAATTTTCTAACAGGAGATATTGCACAACATGAGAACCCAGACCCCAAACAAGATCCATCCATGCATATCAGAACAATAATCTCAAAGGGGATCTTTAATACTGCCAAACAAATAATCATGAAAAGAACCTTACATGTAAAATTTCAGAGGCTCTTCTGATCCGAGGGAGGACCTGTCGCTCAACGAATGGTAGCCGTCCATCACTGGGCAGCAGAGACAGCGAAGAAGGGCCGCTAAGAATAATATACCCTTTCCGCATCAACATCACATACTGTTTTTGTGGTGTGCATCCTCCGACCTGTTGCTGTACTTAAAGTCGGTTTTATTAGATAACACTATCAAAAGTGACTCACCGATAGCTGCTCCTTGTCTTCGCCATAGAACATCCCAGAAAATTTTCCTGTCATTCATATCAAATAATTCCTTCCCCTATACACAACTTTAAACAAGGATCACATGTATTGCCATCATATGCAAATATCAGCCAACATGTTGGGATTAAAACTCGCCCGTTCAACCCAACATATTTTGTGCAGCTGATTGTAGCTTTTTACGGCAACAAAAGCAAGAACAACAGACATGAGTATTCATGATCAAGGACAAGAAGTAGACACACCGATGGTAATAATCATTTGCATCATCAAGAACACATCGAAAAAATTTAGACCAAACACACAAAATATAAAGCACAAGACAAGTCATTAAAAAAAAAAAAAAAACTGCATTATATAAGACATGCTACCTTTTCAAGAAAAAATCTGCGCACGACAATGTAATAAAAACTGCATCATAAGACAACATCTCCTAATAAAAAAGGTAGCATTTTCATAATTAACATCATCCAATTACAGCACCAACTCGGCTTATAAACATAGGAAATAACACCCAGCCCAGTACAAGCAAACCAATTACAACGTCATTGTATTGCAATACACAAAGACATCTATAAAATCACATGCATTTAATAAAATCCCATTTAACATTGACATGAGTGTAGGAGATACCCATTCCTATGGAGTACCATCTGAAACATCATGTTCGTTGAATAGACATTTCTTAATTCCATTCTGCCTAACACTTGCATCAACTTCCACTGGGTCGATTGAACTTGCCTTGTCAATCGCATCAAGTGTTTCTTTAATCCCTACATAAGTACAAAAGTAGTAAATAATAGATTTGTATAAAATACAATATTAAATATTCATACGTACTATTGTAAGCGCGCTTATACATTTCCACATGTTCCTTCCTCATTGCATAACATAGTTTGTCAAACTCGGTCACCAAATTATTAGGATCCAACAGTTTCAATTTTTCTTTCGCAGCTATCCACCTCTGGCCAATGATCTTAAACTCTTGACGCAATGATTCAATTTCTCGAGTCATTGTTATTTCATGCTAAGAACGGTTTAAACAAGATCAAGTAACAATGTCAGGATAAATTATAGTAACAATTAACAACAATAATTTCGTAACATTAAAAAAAAAAAACAACATTACCTCATCGCTTGCTCCTTGAAACATGAATTTGTAGTCTTCATCACGCCTTAACTCTCTTCTCCGATAGTAAGCCTCCGTTAGTGTCCATGATTCATGATTCGCTGAAGCTATAGCCACCAGACCGGAATTAACAGTTTCACTTAAACAAGCTTGCAACTCATCATGCTTCTTTATCCTCCGTTGCCTTTGCCTATTAGTCTTGTTACAAGTCTTCACTCCTTTAACACCAATTGGACATTTTAAATCAATCACACCATGCCTACCTAGATCTGGCAAAGGTGGTCCTTCAACATTGGAATCTATATCGGTTTGTACTACACTAGTACTCGAATCTACTGAGGTCACTGGAGAGTGTACATCAACTACGTCATGTACCTCACTAATTCCACAGCTGTCAACTTCATCCGCCATTACCGGAACCTATTAGAAGATATCAAGTTACAGCAGTTCAATTTTATGCTACGGACAAAGGCAATCAAACCCACTGTGGGATACGAAAATGAAGAGAATAGAGATCAATCTGTAATTACAGTGCCCGTTGGCACTCTAAGAAGCCATTCAATAAGTGATGCTCTTAATACAAGCAAGTATAGATTAAATAAGTTAGCTATTTAATATGCAATAAACGTGTAGACAAATTGAATTTCCCTACAGAAGTTCATACAATGAGATGAATCGATCTATTTACTACTTAGAAAAATAAAACTACCCAAAATTTCTTTTCTCTAGTTTGATTTTATTTCCCCCCATCCAACAACACTCATCAATTGCTACTTCTATCTTCAACAACGCAACAGTCTCCAAACACTACAATGTAAATGTAGTAAAAACCAGATCGTAGAATCAGAAAAATAGGCTTGCATTATTTTGCAAGTATAATTCAGAATCCTCGATCGTGTGAGAAAACTAAACTGAATATAGAGAATAACTAAGATTAGAGAAGCTACAAATATCGAACTCGCAATACAATTTGTTTATGCAGAGTGATGTTTTCATTTTTTTTAATAGTTTGTATTTAAAATTTAAAAATTTAATGAATATTCTGAGTTCTGTATTGCTAGATTATCAACATTTAAGTGGTTTTATGCTTTTAGATACAATGATGAAGTTAACCTCCTTTGAGACCATTGTAGAGCTTATTTGCAAGCAATTCCTACGCTAAAAATGAAGTGAGTAAACAAAACTGAATTCAGCTAGTAATCCATCGGAATATAATCCCACAGCACTTTGCAAACTAAACAACCTGAATCTAAGACGTAAGATTCAAGTAGAACTAAGATTAAAACAGCCACAACCAAATTCAGATCGACTTAGCTTCCCAAATCACCCTCAAACATGCTAAAAACTCACAAAACAACAAAGAATGCCCACAATCAACAACAACACAGATTTTTAAATAACACCAACACACATAGACCGACATTAATCTATACATTCACATTTCTCATTCCATATTGGATCTCATAATCAAAGAAACGTAACCATTTCGCATCAACCCTAAATTCCGAGGTAGTGTATCAATTTCGTCTTGCCATTTTATCGAGCACATTAAGGGGTTTTAAATGCTTCAAATTTCATAACATAAATACAGATTGTGCGATAAAGAAAAAGGCAACACAGACTGACCTCTTCTTCTTTGATGGATTCTTCGGTTTCGAAAACCCGTCGGAACCCTAGTGCTTATGGTTAGGGTGTGAAGTGATGAACCTTTTTTGCCATATGGTATTTATTTGAAACGCTATTGTGTAGTTATATTTTAGAATATTTTATTTTATTTTATATGTATCTTTTTTTTTTTGGATTTTAAATTTAATTATTCTTCTCATTTATTTTTTTTTAAATATTAAATTATTAAAACATTTATTTTTTATTTTTTATATTATATTTAAAAATAATTTTTAAGTTTAAAATATTACGTCGTATAAATCCCCCAAACAAACACCCTAGTAAACCCTTCTTACCGGGTCGGATCCGAATTCGGATCCAATTCCATATCCAGACCTAGATCCGTATCACGTTTCTTCGTTTCCTTTTCTTCTGTGCCGTCTTCTCTTTCTCTGGTTTCCTCGTTACTTCTTCGACGTTGTCATCCAGTACTGGCAACTTTTTTGTCGTCGTCGTCGTTTTAGCGTTTTCTTCTTCTTCAGTTTCGTCTGTGGCTTTGTAAGTTCAGTTCTTGCGCTAATTTTGAATTGTTTTTCTGTTAAAAATTTTTCAATGCCGGTGGTTAGCGCTAATCCGGCTGCTGTTATTGGTTACCGTCTAGCTCAGTCACTGGTGATTATATTTTGTAAATGTGAGCTACTTTCCTCTCATCCCTGAATGCAGACTCCTTATTGCTGATCCTTGGGTAAAACACAGTAGTTGGTAGGATGGCTGGATTTTGAGATGTGGCTTTTAATATCTAGAAATATGAACTGAATTTTACCTCCTTGAGTTCTTCTTTGATTCTGTGGAGTTGTCCTTCGAGAGAGAGATAAAGATATTGTAAACATGAATAGATTGTAGCTCTGATGTACTTAATTAAACGAGCCTTATTTGAGGCTCTGGTTCATTTTAAGATTTTACATAGTATTGTAACGAATTTTTGTAGGAATTTATCTAGATTTCTCTATTCTTGTGTTGTTTATTTATTCATATGTGGATTTGTTAATCATCCTATGGGATTTATTGCTATACTAGATTTATTTTTTAGTTAATATCATTCAGTCTTTCATTACATTGGTGTCAAACACTTAAACAGGATAGATGATTTAAATTTAGTGTAATAAACTTTTGGCAAGCAAATGGGCTGTCTTTCCAATTCTAAGTGCATCTGAGATTTTGTGTAGAGCATGTGTCTGTTATTAACTTTCTTCATGATGCTCTAACTTTGTTAGTATACCCCTTCTAACGATAGAAATGGCTAAGTTTGATGTTTAAAACCATAAAGAAGAAATGCACTAGAACATACTGTATCTATTATACCTTTAGTGTTCCTTTTTTATTTTTTTGGATTAGCTTCTGTCTGTGTTAAATTCTACAAATGAGAATGTTTTGGAATGCTTGTTTTATATGCTCCAGAAATTTTATAGAAGATTTTTGGACTTTTTCTTTGTATCTTTGCTTATATTATATGGATATTCTACTAGTCATCTTTTATGGTTCTATTATAATTGTGTTAGGGAACTATGAAGAAGGGAATCCACCCTCAGTTGCAGTGGATATCATATGTGACTCAAAGCGGGCGGCTGCTCAATGTGACGATGACCAAGATTCATCAAGTGGGTAAAGTGTATCACTTCCGGGCTAAGCGGCAAATGGCACAAAGCATAGGGCAGATTGCCAAGTTTAAGCGCCGCTACGGAGAGAAGAAAGAAGAGGAACCTGAAAACAAATGAATTAGATGCCAAATGCAGACCACTTGGTTTCATGCTTACTGAATAATCCTTATCATTTGATGTGGGTTGGTCTTGTTACTGTGCAGTTTCGAATACTGAGTAATGCTTGTTGCTTTCCTAATTAGTATAAACATCTGTTAAAAGATTGGATTTGACCAAACATTTTCTTTGGTTGTTTTCTGCTGTTCGCATAACATCATCTTCGATTCTGTTTATCTATTCTGGCACTGCTTGAAGCTCATTAAGTGTGGAAGTATGGGGTGGGGTGCCCTTCCTGACATCTTAAACTTGCTTTTATGGTTACACACTCTGAAAGTTTGTTGATCTATTTTATTGCTAGATGATGGAAATGATCATAACTCTAATTGTTTTTGTTGAGAGGATATCTTTATTTAAATATTTCCTCACTCATTAGCGTCCAGGTTTCAATTGATGCTTTACTGGGATGCACGGTAGCATTCCAGGTGAGAAATTTCTGTTAAATATTTTTACTTCTTTGATGGACGCTGCTTATTGCATATAGTCTTCTGAAAGGAAATCGAAAAGCTGCCAAACACCAAGAACCTGCTGAGGCTTCTGGTTGGTGTGAAGCAGCTGCCTGCATTGCGAAATATATTTTCAGGCTCGTCATTTGAAGTTCCTCTGTGTGCAACGGATATCTATCTAGGTTAAGTACCCCACCTCTCTTGCTTAAATTCAGCTGATAGTTGGAAATGAAGCTGTGATGTTGTTGCAATAACCTTGTCTTGATTGCTAGGAAGGAGCTGTTAATATATTTATGTGATTGAAAGTATCAAATGCTTCCATTTGTACGAAATAGTATGATTGATTAATGATTTTCCTTTTGGTATGCCAATTTGATTTGGTTCTTATTGTATATACCTATCTGTAAAAAAATATTGTTTGATGGCTTTCAAACTGTAATACCACAGTAGACTACAGTTATCTTGGCCATGAAATTTTTTTTGAAATTTCAGGATGGGTTTGAAGAAAACAATAAAGATATTGAATTTTCAATTATTGTTATTGTTGTTGCTGCTATTTCTGTTCCAGATTTGATAACCATAGTTTAGTGATGACAATGCAGAAGGATTCCCAAGCAAACAAACAAGAGAAAGAAAACAAATTGGGGGAAAAAAAAGGTTCTGAAGATATTTTCAATGGAGCAAAAAAGTAAGCAAAGAAAAGGTAAAGGTAGTAGTAATTGGCTCTAACAAGTCTTCTTAGACCCTTCACTCTACTTTTCTTGAATTGATTGATGATACCATAACATACCATCCCATAGGGCATTCATGCACTGCATCATAGTCAAAAACTTCATAAACATCCCACCAATATTTTGGTGCACTATCCCATCATACATACATACATATATACATATGAATATATATATCTATATATGTAGTAGCTATAGATATATATCCAGATCCACCTTTTTAGATTCTATAGTCTACAAGAGTAGCAGTTGAGATTCAACCACCATTGCTGATAAATTAAGCTACATGTATGTATTTATCTCTCTCTCTCTATAAATGCATTAATTACATTACATCACATAAGTTTGGTGAAATTTTGCTGTGCACTCTGATCTTGGTTTATGCTAATGACAGGATAGATTCTTGGTGTGGAGTGGAGGTCCCTGGAGCTTCCAAGATTCTCTTTTCCTAAATTGAATTCTTATCTAAACCAGACAAGAGCAACAACTTCATCATTTGATTGATGTAATAAGCCCCCCTCTATTCAAAAGCTAAGGTAACCCTCCCTCTCCCATTACATATATATATATATATAAACTTTTCACCAGCATAATATTAATACCCTCTCTCCTTAGTTATCTTCTTCTGATGGAAGGCCACAAGAGCAATGTTGGGCTTCTTGCAGTTGGTGCTCTCCTGATGATAACCCCTCTTGTCTCCACCCCCCATCGCCTCACTTACCTCTACTTCATCGTCAACATCCTCATCATAGCTGTAAGTGCCGATGCTGGCCTCCTCCGGTCCTCCGCCTCAGCCCATGACAGGAATCATGAAGATGATGATGATGATGATGTAAATGTAGGAGCAGCCGCAAATAAACTCAACAACGATAGCATTGATGATTCAAAGAAGAACTCAGGTGAAGTTGATGAGATGAAGAAATCCCCATCGCCTTCTTCTTCTTCAATTGACTTTGTTGAAGAAGAGAGTGTAGAAGACGAAAACGGAGAACAACAAGAAGGGGGAGTGGTGATATTAGAAGAAGGTGAATTGGAATTGGAATTGTTTGAGAAGGCTGAGATGTTCATTGGGAATTTCTACAAGCAGTTGAGAATGCAGAGGGACGACGACAAAACTAACTCTGATCACTCATTTCATGCTTCCCCTAGAGGTACTCATATTCAGTTTACTTGTTTATAAGTTGCATCATAATTAATCAACATATGTAAACAAAATGCTGTTTACTAAGATTACAGGATGGATCATCTTAGCTACATACACACACAAAGATAGATATAATGTGAGAGGTGTTGTATGATCAGTAGTTGTTTATCATACTTGATTAGTTCTCCACCCTCTTTTTTTGGATGACATGGAAACCCGCAGCCATTACTCGAAAGTGCGCACTGGGTAAACCCCCAATCGAACCTAATATTCTGCAAACCAGGCCCGACTAGTAAGACACACTAGGCTACTCTTTCTAAATATCTTGAATATCAATATAAATTTTTGTAATATTTATTGAAAATATTGTTAGCACCGTGTTAATAATTTTATTAAACACCAAAACTCTCTCTCTCTATATATATATATATCTTTATACACACGAATAGGTGACGATGCAAAGCACTACCTTTTTCTTCCCAATTGCAGTAGGTGGTAAAAAGAACACTGCTGATCTGAGAGACCTGTAATTTTCAACACTGCTTTTTGTTTGTTGGAGGGTCACGCCACGCCATTTCTAAACAACCAAATTAAATAAAGCTGGAAACCATTGCGATTGTCATCATATATATTAGTGATAGACTTATCCAGTTTTTGCAGATTCTTTTTCTTGTCGTGTTCTTACAGCTACATGCTGGGTAATAATATTACCAAAATTCATGAGATTATTCTGTAGGAAGAATAAACATCTTATTACTAACTAAACTGCAATTAATTCGAAAACAAAAAACATTTTGTCATAAAAAACCACAAACAGTGTGGTAAGCTTATGCATCGCATTTTAGTTTAGATTTACAAACATTTACAAATACAAAAATATATATAGTGACACTTAACAATTATAAAAATAACACAAATCATACATATTTCTCAGCTACAGAAAAATTCCATTTAAAAATAGATGAACAAATAATAATCCCAAATAGTCAAGATTATGAACAAATTAAGATAGACATCCATATAATAGCCAGCAAACTACTACGCCATTCACCTCTCTATATATATTATCACCAATTATTAGTAATTCTAGATCGATAGCGACTTACTTGCGAGGCGGAGGAACACCAGCACGATCCAGAAGAAACTTGATCCACGTAAAGGCTTCGAACAGCAGCAGCAGTGTCCCGACGGCTCCGAGAACGCCGACACACGCCCATTTCCAGGCCGGAACCTTTTCGACAATGCGTATCCCTATGAATATGTTCACCCAAATCATCACCAGCAGCGAATACCCGAGAGTGTGATGGTACATGTTCCAATACGATCGGAATGGATCGTCCTCCCTCGCCCGAAGCCACAGCGCCACAATCTGTATCGTCATGAATGTGAAGATGATTATCCCCAGGGTTCGATGCAAAGGGAACGAGTAGTACTTGGAGGTGTTCCCCAGCCAAATCCCGACGCTCCACCCTGTCGCGCCGATCACAAATCCGCAAATCTGGAACCCAATGTGTAACTTAAACCATTGTTTCAGTTCTTTCGGGTATCTTTTTAAGTATCTCGAGATTATTACGCCCATCGGAAGGAGGGTTCCCCACCCGACAATGTTCAGAGTTCCATGCACCTAACGAATAAATAGAAAATATAAAATTTTTTAGGTGAGATGATCCTTTGATATAGCAAATGTTACCTACCGTTACGAGGGCGCGGCGGAGATGGGCCGAGTGGGTGAGGACTTCACCGGTGGTTAAATCGACCGTCTCGGCGGTGGACAAGTGTTTGAGCGAATTTGGGTGCATCAGCGGTGAGTCCTTGTCTGCGGCATATCCAATCTGCCAGACGACGTTGGCCTTGGAAGGGTCATAGTTGTGCGGGAGAACCATGGTGGCAATTACGACGTAGTAGTCAATCTCCTCGATGTACTTGAAGTCGAAACTGCGGACACCAAGGCCGAGGCCTGCGTCAGCTACCGGGATGAGGCGGCAGCTGAGCTTGGTTTCTTCGGAGATGGCATAGCCGTGCTTCTGCAATGAGCCGTTGCTCAGCTTGATGCCGATGAGAGCTTGAGTGCCAACCATCCTTGGCTCGGCGGAGTTGAGCCCCCAGGCCAGCCAGCCGGGATCCTCTGAAGGGAGCCGCGCGCCGAAGGCCATATCGAGCTGTCGCGTCTTGGCATTGAAGCGCCACCCCGTTTGTGCGCCGAGGATTTTCCTCCGGCAGAAGGTTCCGGTGAGATTGAACTTCTCTATTGCCGACTGGAATTCCTCACTGCACATATGAGCATTTGCAGAGGAAGTGAAAACAGCAATGGCCAACAGGAATGCAGGAAATCTGAACATGGTTGGGCTCTAAGAACAAGTTACGGATATGTTCTTCCACAACCTTTAATCACTTTGGAGATAACTATTATGTAGCACCGGCAACTTGGTGTCAGAAGGCGAGTATATGTATATGTACATACACAAAAATCGAGAAAGCAACAAGGAAGGAATGAATGCTGCCATGAAACACGACGGCCTCTCACAACTTACTTCAACATCAATACTCTACTTTTTAAGTGATTTTTGCATCCACACGACAATTGCATGCTGACTCGAATCAAATATTTTAAAGCTTGCTCATAGGTAAGATTTTTAATTTACAGTATATTCTTATGGAAACAACCCACTGCCACCACATGAAGGGACACAGCATTATAGTTGAATATAATGTGTGGATATATATATATGATATTATATGGTCTGCCCTCCTCCTTAACCCGGGCTTGGGACCGGCTGTGCTACCGCAGCACAGGCAGAGTTACAGACCTAGACCTAAACCTAACTAGCTATAATTTAACACACCAAAGACGACAATCGCTGTTTAGGAGAGATGTAAGTATAAATTATACCCCGCGTCAAATATTACTCATTCTTTTGATTCAATTGTATCTACCTATGATTAAATTGAGAGACAACTATTGTTAACGAAATAGGTAAAAAGTTTGGTTAGATATTATGTGTTTTAATCCTACAATACAAAACCCTACAGGTTCACCACGTTTAAAAGAGAGAGATAGATCAAGTTACAAACTGGTTTGACACCGAATGTTGGGTACAAGGGGAATATAACAGACAGAGACAACATTAGAACGCATATTTTGAAATGCAATATATATATATATATATATGTACACACACACAAGCGCAAGAGACCCAAGCAATATAATGACTAGAGAAGTAGTGCAACCGAGTGATCAGACCCAAGTTTAAGTAGCAAAAACCGTTTCAAGTTCAAGATTCTACTATGCATGCGTGTTTATACTGCAGCATCTGAAAACCAAGAGTATCAAAAGTAGACGTTGAAAGAGTGTTATACGACATCATCAAAAACACAATTCCAGTAGCCACATCAACAGAAACCTTTCAATATGCAGTCAAAAAAGAGATTGATGCAGCCACTATCAGAAAGAAAGCATCAAGTAACACCGCACCAGATATGAAAGGAGAGCTTTAATAGACAATATTAATGCGGGAACAGACAATCCCTACTTCAGAAATAGCATCGGCAAGAAAGGTAGATGGGTAAATTTATTTCAGTCTTGAGGATCAGATTTCCAAGAACATTGTACAGAGAAGCCAAGAGTCCAAAGGAGGAACCGCTCAGAAAGATTTTAATTAAATACCCCACTTACGCTTCAATAGATGTGATATAAAGCGAATCCAGTTAAATTAGATCATCAAGCCAAATAGTGCAGGCAGCATAACAGTCTTCACTTGTGCATCTCCATAATTCCATCGAATCAGTGCCAGAAAAGTACTTAGTAGAGGACCCCATTCCAAATATTAATCCTGTTTATTCAGATTATTAAGCCTAGAACTGCAGTATAACAGTCTTTAGAACCATGATAATTTATGACCATCTCTACAAATTACCTTTGAATCAGTGTGGGAAGAGTTCCCAAAGAAGATGCATTCCAAACATTTATCACTAATCAAACTATCAAGCCAAATAATGCAGCAGCATAAGTCTTCATGTAGTTTTACTTAGCAAACTATATATTTGCATCTCCATTCTCAGTGTTGGAAGAGTAATTTGTAGAAGATTTTTAACATTGTTCCTGTTCATTTAGATTACCTAGCAAAGTACTGCAAGAGCTAATTGTAGAAGATTTCAATCAAACAACACTCCTATTAAACTAGAGTAGCAAGCTAAATACTGCAGTATATCAGTCTAGTTGCACCGTCATGTTTGTTTGTAACCATATCTAAAATTTCCCTCGTATCAGTGTCAGAAGAGTTCTTAGTTAGACAATATGAGACGAATTGTTAGACAAAACTAACATAACCTTAGAAGCTTCGTGAGACCTGTTAGTAAGTTGCCAATACAAGTTAGTAAGATAGTGGCATGAGTGATTGGTTTAAGTGTAGAATAATGATGATTGCATTGATGTAGTAACAGTAAGATGGAAATCCACTAGATACTTGACATTAGATTTCAAACCTACAAAGTATTAGCCCTTCCTACTAAACATTATCCGTTCATAAAGGGCTAAAGCAATACAATTAAAATATACAAGTGACAAGTATATATTCTATCTAAGAGCATTGCTACCAACCAAAGGCAGCTAGAACTCAAAGAATAATAAATCAATAGCACAACAGACCAAACAACTAGACAAATGTTACAACTGTATCCCATAGGCAGATCGCTACAGCATACACAAACGAAATGGTTACATTAAGCAGAAGACGAGGACCAACAATATCGAAGAGTAGCTGGCTGAGAAAAGCACTTCAACTCCAAGCAAATTGGACCCAAAGTAACGTAAGTAGAAACCAGTCATTTGGACAGCGCAGGCCAAAGTTCTAAGTCAGGCAACAGCTCTTAGCCACCTTGAGGATTCTACTAGAGACATCATCACCAGGACATCACAGTTGAAATTTTTAACACAGCATCTTTTACCAACTTGAGATCAAAACTTCACCAGCACTCACACACACCAGAAACACTGTGAACCATCATATCATATCCTAAAATAGGAGTTCCATCCACAAAATCAAAACAGACTAACCATGCAAAATAATGCAAAGCAAAAACAGAGAGCTGACTTGCAAAGCATAACCATTTGTAGATACCTCAGTACCATTTTATAATCATCATATCATCCTAGAAGCAGCTTGTTCAATCCACTTATAACACCATCAGAAAGCAAAGAGCATGCATAGACACCTCATCAGATAATGGGAAGAGAGCAAAGTGAGAACAAGTTGTCCGATGAATTGTCCCAATTCAAGAAAGATACAACTTCCAACTTACTATTAGGAGGATCTGATTACAAAATTGGCGAAGAACAATGCATCAAAGAAACTGCAGGGTATACTCCAATAAATAAAATGTCTTCAATACTAGAGAAACACAAAATACAATCATCAACATGTCACCTTCAGCTCCATCAGTCGAGAGAAATCATGAACGGTCAAAGCCACCACATAAAAATAATGAATGAAGGAATCATGCTTAGGAGATGTGGGCAACCTATATTCATGAACGGTCACTTCAGTGCAAACCAACAGAGAACTCTAAATAGTGGATATTCAACTAATGATCTTAAAATAAGAAATCATATCATGAGCATCCACATAGAAACAGAGGGAGAACAGCCAAAATAAGGGCACACCTTGATATAGAAGCTTCAAAATAGAGGATGTGGATAGGCTACTTAGAAACTTCCAACTCATAAAACCCTTTAAAAACATTTTTCTCCAATTCGAACTTAGATCAGTCTTCCAGATTCTATATAAAATAAAAAGGGCGACGACAAATCATGCATGTACAAGGAAAGATGTCGTGGACAATACCACTAGAGATTAGTGAAGAAACCTGTGCCATGCTGCCTGAAAATCATGTAAAAACCACAACCACACTAGGGAAAACAAGGCTCAAAGAGAAGGATGTTCAAAGATTACATATACAACTTGAAAATAAATAAACTAATTGTGAGAAATATTTAAGACAGATTACTGATGCCTGATACTACCATTAGGTGCAGGTACATGCTGGTAAGAACATATTGGAAATTTTCCAGTCATACAAAACACCAAATGGTGGCTACAAAGGCTACAAATCCTTAGCTCCAACAGATGAAAAGTGGCACACAGAAGCTCCTCTCTAAAGACAGCTTTGGCAACATACCCAAAATTCTGCAAAAAATCAAGGGCATATGCAAAAGAAAAACTAAAGAATAATGAAAGTTTAGGCTAAGAAGCTGAGGGATTAGAAAGAAATAAACTAAACCAAGTATATCCATCAATACATCGACTAGTCGATTACCACCACAGTCTCGCTTAAATAAGTTCTGCAACAAAATTGAGAAGGCAACAATAGCTTGTAAAGATAAAACAGGGGCTGCAACAGGCAGGTCATGACCTAATAATAAATGTAAAAGAAATCTTAACAGAAAAGCCATAATAACTTTCAAAAGATCTAAAGGAAGACAACCAAAACACAGCATGATGCAAAAGGGACATTCCCAGCGTTTGTTAGAGCTCTAAACCCAAGAAATCAATGCTTCAAAACAGATAGAGCAGTTGGAATCATAAATTATCTGCAAGAAAAAGAACAGCTTCTACGGACCAGAATTAGAAATTTCATAGGTACTTAATTATCATGACTGCCAAAAGGAAATTAAGAAATCATGTAAACAAACCAAAACTTTGTGTAAAGCACTGAAAGCACTTTTGGCCAATAAACTCTTTCACTGCATTGAAAAATCATTTTAAGACATTAGAATAAACGGCAGCGACAGAGAGAGCAGAGCAGAGGCAATGAATGAAAAACTAGAGCCAAATTGAAACTGAAGATTAAAAACCCTAGAGCATTGCCCTTCATAAACGAATCCATGCGACCTAAAAAAACCACAAAAGCCTACAACACAGCAGATACCAAGCAATTAGGCTGGGCAAAAGGAGATCGGAAGAAAGCAAACACAGATTAACAGACTAAATATATAAATCACTCCCAAATCAACTTCCCCTGCTTGTTAAGGCAAACCACAGCTGGAAACACAAACTCTACAACAGAAAGAAAGCCGGTGATCAGGCAGGAATAGATCACACAGATATGGCATATTCTGAATCAACACCAAAGATTAATTTAAACAAACAAACTTGGGTCCGATCACAGGTCAATAGAAAAGCACTTCTTAGGCAAACCATCTCCAACATAACGTCCAGCACAGTCTACACCAAAAAAGGTTAAAAGACCAAAAAAACAGATAAGAAAGAATGTTAAACCCTAACTAGAGGTAGATAAACGATTTAACCGACTCTTGTCCTCTATGAACAGCCAGCACTTGTTAAGAGCAGATCGCCAGAATAACGATTCGCACAATCTCTACAGCAGGAAATTAGAATACCAAAAGATCAGGCAAAATTGAAACAGAGAATAACGAACGATCTTTTAAAATTTTAAAAAGAAAAAGGGAACTATAGATCAATAGATTCTGAAACTTAGATCCGGTGTCACAGGAGACATGAGCACTTGTTAAGAGTGGACCGGAGCCACGCTTACTATCTGCACAAATTCCACAACAGAGAAAGGAGAAACCCAGGGCTATCAGGCAATCACCGGAACATAGACAAAAGGAACGTTCTTAAAAAAAAAAAAAAAAAACTAGAGATTAATAGATCAGGTAACCGAGATCCAATCGCTTATATCAGCCGTCGGTCCTTGTATAGCAAAATCGTCGAAGGATTACAATCCGCACGAACTCTACGACACAAAAGGAGAGACCACCGAATCAGGTAGCAACCATAGCACGTAAAAGTAGCACGTTCTGGAACAAAACTAAATATTGATGAAAACCAAATATCCGAAAACCACCGAGAAGCAATTCAGAATCAGACTCCAGCGCACGATTTGGCAATCCACCGACACAGATCAAGGATCTCTACAACGGAAGTATTACCAAAAAGTCAGGCAGTAACCAATCGCGTAGAGGGGAACGATCTAAAACGAAAACATGAATCGATAAACAAATAAACCAAGATCTGAGATCCGACGCCGATAAGACGACTGCACGCATCATATTAAACGCCCTCACGAATTCTACATCACAGAAGAGCACACGAGAAATCAAGTAGAAGCCACAGCCGCAAGAAGAAGCACGATCAAAAGACCAAATCAAATAAATAAAGAGGGACGAATTAAACTCCTATCGAACACCAGGCCTCGCAAACTCAAAACAATCCATCATCGGAGCACGGATCTACAACAAATAAGCCATCACCAACTATCGACGATCCACAAACCAAAACCCCGCCGCACCGACGAAATCATCATATACGCTATACCGATTACCAGATGCTACATCAAATCAACAACAGAGGTGCGCCTTTTATAGGCGCCTGGTATCAACATCGACGGACAAGATTAATTTGATCGTAGGGTAGTGAGGAACTCTCTCGAAGTCGGTTTAGGAGGGCTATTATTTTATTCCTTTTTCTGATATGATTCGATGAGCCAATGGCGGTGAAAAATCCACGTTGTTTGACCGGGTTCATCTCTCCACGCGCTTCTGGAATCTTCACGGGCCTCGATGTTTGGGCTTATAAATATTATTAGGCCACAATTTAATGGCCTTATGAGTGGGCCTTCATTAATTGTTTCGAAATTTATGGTCCATCAGGAAGCAAACAATGCAAACTCTTATCAGGCCACAGAAAATAAATATGAGTTTAAAAAATTCATGACTAGCCCAATCAAACAAATAGCATTCTGAGTACATACGAATGTGCTTGTTTACTTGTGATTTTCAATACCTTATTTTTATTTGTTCATATCTTTTGCAAAGTGATAAATAGTAATTTACGGCGTGTTCGGCAATTAGCTGATAGTTGTTAGTTGATTCAATTAGTTGGTTTGACTAGCTGATTTGATAGCTGTTTGTATTAAAATGTTTGGCAAAACAACTTTTTGATATTAGCTGTTTATACGTAAAATGACAATTGATGACATTTCTATTTTATTTTTGTTTCCAATATATTCAATTATATTCTTTTGAGTTTAGAATGTTTAAAATTTTTTGTTATTAGTTATTGAAAATTGTAAAAGTGTGATAAAAGTATTTATTTTTATTACAGTTAGATTTTAAAAAAATAATATATTTTTATTAAAATATATATATAGTTTTTTTCTATTGAAAATGATGTAAAATATAAAATAATAAATTTTTTATGTATATATTTATAATTTTCAATCAATTTAATTTATTTAATTTACTTTTAGTATAAAATTTATATAATGTAATTTTAATATAAAAATAAACTATTTATATTTTATATTTTATGTTGATTTTAATAAATTTATATATTTTACAATTAAAATAATTTTTATATAGTAATTAATTATTTTAAATTTATAAAATTAAAACTATATTATAATAAAATATTCTAATATAATCAAAATATATTTATTTGTGTAAAATGCATAATAAATTTTTGATGACATATAAGAAATAAAAAAAAAAAATTCCTATTTCAAAACGCTGGGTAAATTAGCTTTTTAAAAATTAGCTTTTTGGATCCAAAAAGCTATTCCAAAAAACTAATTTACCAAACATCTAAATTAGCTTTTTAATCGGTCAAACAGCTAAAAACGATTCAAAAAGCTATTTGTCAAACACCCCCTTAATATAATAATTTGTATATGATTTAAATATCTCAAATATTATTACTCAATTATTTATAGAGGTTTTTTAAATATATATATATTTATTTTGTCTTGTAAAAATATAGTTCTTTTTGTTTTTTGTGATACAAGTTATAATATTGTATATACTTTTTTAGAAAAATAAAAAGAGTTTGTTAAAAAGTATTTCATTCTTCCTGTATAAAATGCCTACTTTTTTTATTTTGTTCTATTTTACATAATTTGTTTTTTTTTAAATAATAATATTTTAAATTTCAAACTTCAGTATTTTCTTAATTTTAATTAAAATATTTAATTATTTATATTATACAATAATTATTTTTACTAATAAAATTTTTTAATTACTTACTCATTATAAGTAACACGATCGCATGCCAGTGGAAGATTTTTTGTTCCAAAAGCGGAAATGAGAGCTTATAGTATACTTCCTTCCTATGAGAAAGACAAACCAAGAATCCTCCCTATGTTTTTTCGCTAAAATTATATTATTATTTTTTAAATTTTTTTAGTTAAATTATCTATTTTATATATAGCAAATACTTTTTCATTCTCCTACAATTTAAACATGCATTATTTAACAAATGATAATATATTTTTTTACTATTTTTTTACATATTTTATTAAAAAAAATATTATCAATATTTTAATAATATATTTTATAATATTTCTAATTTATTTTTTATATTTTCGGTAATTTTTTAAATATATCGATTATCGAGATTATTACGCCCATTGAAAGGTGTGTCCCCACCCGACGAGATTCAGAGTTCCATGCACCTGAGGAATAAATAGAAAATTTTAAATTTTTAGGTGTGATGATTATAATTTGATATAATAAATGTTACCACGTTGCGAGGGCGCGGCTGAGATGGGCCGAGTGGGTGAGGACTTCACCGGTAGTTAAAGTGACGGTCTCAGCGGTGGACAAGCGGTGAGTCCTCCTCCACTGCATATCCGATTTGCCAGATGACGTTGGCCTTGGAGGGTCGTAGTTGTGTGGGAGAACCATGGTGGCAGTTACACGTAGTAATCGATCTCCTCGATGTACTTGAAGTCGAAAGCAGTATACTGAAAATTTCAGTACCATACTTGTATGAATTTTCGAAAAGTTCGGTACAGACATTATTTTTATTAAATAATTTAATTATATATATAAATAATAATTATAATATTTTAAAATCATAAAAAAATAAAAATATGTAGACAATTGAAAATTTATTGATTTTTTCATAATATTTTTTGTGGTGGACAATTGTGATATTTATTAATTATTTTAATTATTTTGAAATTTAAAATTATATTTTTGGTATAAACGATATATACCAATATCGTAACGAAATTGGTACGGTATATATTTTTGCCATACCGAGAATTTTGGTACGTTATCGTTATCGATCGATATTTTCAATATGGTACAGTATACCATCCCTAGTGTCAACCATCCGTGGCTCGGTGAAGTTGAGCCCCGCGGCAGCCAGCTGGGAAACTCTGAAGGGAGCTGCGCGCCGAAGGCCAAGTCCAGCTGTCACGTCTTGACATTGAAGCGCCACCCCGTTTGTGCGCCGAGGATTTTCCTCCAGCAGAAGGTTCCGGTGAGGTTGAACTTCTCTATTGCTGACTGGAATTACTCGCTGCACATATGAGCATTTGCAGAGGAAGTGAAAACAGCAATGGCCAACAGGAAAGAAGGAAATCTGAACATGGTTGCATCACATCATGTGTGGTTTCTAAGAACAAGTTACGGATATGTTCATTGACAACCTTTAATCACTTTGGAGATAACTGTTGTGTTGCACTGGCAACTTGGTGTCAGAAGGTGCGTATGCTATATATATACACAAATCTAGAAAGCAACAAGGAAGGAATGGATGCTGCCATGAAACACGACGGCCTCCTCACATCTTACTTCAACATCAATATTCTACTTTTCAAGTCATTTTTGCATTTTAATAAAGCCAATGAGATATGTAAAGCATCCACACGAATACAATTGCATGCCGACTCAAATCAAATATTATAAAGCTTGCTCGTAAGAAAGATTTTTAATTTGAAGTATATTCTTATCGAAACAAACCACTGCCACCACATGAAGGGACACAGAGCATAATAGTTGCATGTAATGTGTATATATATGATCTTATATGGTCTGCCCTCCTCCTTAACCCGGGCTTGGGACCGGCTGTGCTACTGCAGCACAGGCAGAGTTACAGACCTAAACCTAAACCTAGCTACTATAATTTAACGCACTAACTGACATGCACAACTTCACAAACTCACTCCAGAATTATCAACCAATCACGCAAGTTGAGCATATTCTTATGAAGACCGAAGATGTCAATCACAATCTAGTAGATACTAATGTAAAAATTATACCCCACGTCAAATATTACTCGTTCTTCTGAGTAAATTGTATCATCGTGAAAGTGTACTTCATGATAAGATTATGAACAAAAGGCTATGATTAAATCGAGATAAAATTTATTGTTAGCTAAATAGGTAAAAGTTTTTGTTAGATATTATGTGTATTGATCCTACAATACAAAACCCTACAGGTTTACCATTTTCAGAAGAGAGATAGATCAAGTTACAAACTGGTTTGACACCAAATGTTGGGTACAAGGGAAATATAACAGACAGATGATATTAGAACACATGTTCTGAAATTTAACACACACGCACAAGAGACCTAAGCAACATACTGACTAGAGAAAGTATAGTGCAACAGAATGATCAAACCCAAGTTCAAGTAGCAAAACACGTTTCAAGATTCTACTATGCATGCGTTTTTATACAGACTGCAGCATCCGAAAGCAAAGAGCATCAAAAGAAGACAGTGAAGAAGTGTGGTATGACATCATCAAAAACACAATTCCAGTAGCCACATCAACAGAAGCCTTTCAATATGCAGTCATGCTTCAACAGGTAAGTTATACAATACTGCACAATCCCTCATGCTTTGATGTAGAATATTAATGCAGGCACCGACAATTTCTACTTCAGAAATAGCATCAGCAAGAAAGGGAGATGAGTAAATTCATTTCAATCTTGACGATCAGATTTCCAAATACAGTGTAAAGAGAAGCCAAAAGTTCAAAGAAAGAACCCCTCAGAAAGATTTTAATCAAATACCTCACTTATGCCTCAATAGATATGAAATAAAGCGAATCCGGTTAAATTAGATGATCAGGCCAAATAATGCAGGCAGCATAACAGTCTTTACTTTTCAATCTCTACATAATTCCTTCAAATCAGTGCCAGAAAAGTACTTAGTAAAGGACCCCATTCCAAATTACTCCTGTTTATTCACAGATTATTAAGCCTAGTAATGCCAGCAGAACTGTCTTTATGAACCATGATAATTTATGACCATCTCTACAAATTACCTTTGAATAAGTGTGAGAAGAGTTCCCGAAGAAGATGCATTCCAAACATTAATCCCGCTAATCAAACTATCAAGCCAAATAATGCAGCATAAGTATTCATGTACTACCAAATTTTACTTGGGCAACCATATATACGCATCTCCATTCCATCAGTGTCAGAAGAGTTATTTGTAGAAGAGTTCCAACATTGTTCCTGTTCATTTAGATTACCAAGGAAAATACTGCAAGAGCTAATTGTAGAAGATTCCAATCAAACAATACTCCTATTAGATTAGTTAGACAATATGAGATGAATTGTTAGACAAACTAACATAACCTTATAAGCTTCATGAGACCTGTTAGTAAATTTATAACAGGAAGAATGAAGTACTTCTTAACAAACTCTTATTGTTTTTTCTAAACAATATACACAATATAATCACATGAGAGAAGTTAGTAAGTTGCCAATATAAGTTAGTAAGATAGTGGCATGAGTGATTGGTTAAGTGTAGAATAATGATGATTGCATTGATGTAGTAACAGTAAGATGGAAATCCACTAGATACTTGACATTAGATTTCAAACCTACAAAGTATTAGCCCTTCCTACTAAACATTATCCGTTCATAAAGGGCTAAAGCAATACAATTAAAATATACAAGTGACAAGTATATATTCTATCTAAGAGCATTGCTACCAACCAAAGGCAGCTAGAACTCAAAGAATAATAAATCAATAGCACAACAGACCAAACAACTAGACAAATGTTACAACTGTATCCCATAGGCAGATCGCTACAGCATACACAAACGAAATGGTTACATTAAGCAGAAGACGAGGACCAACAATATCGAAGAGTAGCTGGCTGAGAAAAGCACTTCAACTCCAAGCAAATTGGACCCAAAGTAACGTAAGTAGAAACCAGTCATTTGGACAGCGCAGGCCAAAGTTCTAAGTCAGGCAACAGCTCTTAGCCACCTTGAGGATTCTACTAGAGACATCATCACCAGGACATCACAGTTGAAATTTTTAACACAGCATCTTTTACCAACTTGAGATCAAAACTTCACCAGCACTCACACACACCAGAAACACTGTGAACCATCATATCATATCCTAAAATAGGAGTTCCATCCACAAAATCAAAACAGACTAACCATGCAAAATAATGCAAAGCAAAAACAGAGAGCTGACTTGCACAGAATAACCATCTATAGATACCTCAAGTATCATTTTAAAATCATCTCCTCATCTTAGAAGCAGCAGGTTCAATCCACTTATAACACCATCAGAAACCAAAGAGCATGTATAGACACCTCATCAGATAATTCGAAGAGAGCAAAGTGAGAACAAGTTGTCCGATGAATTGTCCCAATTCATGAAAGATATGAGTAAGATACACTTCCAACTTACTATTTGGAGGATCTGATAGTTTTAGATATTCACAACCTCGAACAGAGCTTGACTAGCTGACCAGAAGCTGGTCACACGGCGAAAAATAAAGCATCAAAGCGACTGCAGGGTATACTCCAATAAATAAAATGTCCTCAATACTAGAGAAACACAAAATACAAACTTCAACATGTCACCTTCAGCTCCATCAGTCGAGAGAAACCATCAGAAAATCATGTAAATCATTTCTTACTGTCAAAGCCACCACATAAACATAATGAATGAAGGAATCATGCTTAGGGGATGTGGGCAACCTATATTCAACGGTCGCTTCAATGCAAACATAACGCAATGCTGCAGAGCACATGCTTCGAAACCAAAAGAAGCCATTTACCTCATCCAGTCTGTCAGCAAGCTCTAAGGAGTACTTCTCAATAAGAACCAACTCAGTTTCCAATACTTAAATCCACATGGAGTAAAGGGAAATTAAAATCTGATAAGTCCACATTAAGGGGGAGAGACAATCCCATTTCCTAGACATTAAATCCATGTTTAAAAGGATAATGAAATCTGACAGAAACCAAACCACAAAGGACAGGTGCAATCCCAATATATCCTAGAATTCAATCCATACATAAGCAAAGGTGAAATCTGACAGAAACCAGAATACATGAAGGGGAGGCACAATCAGAGACCAACTTAGAAATATATGTTACAATCCCCATAAGATACGCATAAACAGATTTGAAGTAGATTTGTTCCTTGACAGCCAAAATAAGGGCAACCTCGTTATAGAAGCTTCAAAATAAAGGATCTGGATAGGTTACTTAGAAACTTCCAACTCATGACACCCTTTAAAAGCATTTTCCTCCAATTCGAGCTTGCACCAACCAGGTTCCTAAACTTATATTATGTAGGACCATTCCTCATCAAGTTCAAACTTGCACCAGTCTTGCAGATTCTATATAAAATGAAACGTATCATGACAAGTCATGCATGTACAAGGAAAGATGTCGTGGACAATAACAATAGAGACTACTGAAGAAACCTGTGCCATGCTGCCTGAAAATCATGTAAAAACCAAAACCACACTAGGGAAAACAAGGCCCAAAGAGAAGGATGTTCAAAGATTACAAATTCAACTTGAAAATAAATAAACTAATTGTGAAGAATATTTACGACAGATTACTGATGCCTGATACTACCATTAGGTGCGGGTACATGCTGGTAAGATCATACTAAATTTTCCAGGCATACAAAACACCAAATGGTGGCTACAAAGGCTACAAATCCTTAGCTCCAACAGCAGAAAAGAAGGCACACAGAAGCTCCTCTCTAAAGACAGCCTTGGCAACATACCCAAAATTCTGCAAAAAAATCAAGGGCATATGCAAAACAAAAACTAAAGAATCATGAAAGTTTAGGCTAAGAAGCTGAGGGATTAGAAAGAAATAAACTAAACCAAGTATATCACCAATACTTCGACTAGTCAATTACCACCACAGCCTCACTTACATATTAGTAAGTTCTGCAACAAAATTGAGAAGGCAACAATAGCATGTAAAAATAAAACAGGGGCTGCAACAGGCAGGTCATGACCTAATTTTAAATGCAAGAGAAATCTTCACAGAAAAGCCACAATAACTTTAAGAAAGATCTAAAGGAAGACAGCCAAAACACAGCATGATGCGAAAGGGACATCCCCAGCGTTTGTTATAGCTCTAAATTACCCAAGAAATCAACGCTTCAAAACAGATAGAGCAGTTGGAATCATAAATTATCTGCAAGAAAACCTCCAACACAAAAGACCAGCTTCTACGGACCAGAATTAGAAATTTCATAGGTACTTAATTATCATGACTGCCAAAAGGAAATTAAGAAATCATGTAAACAAACCAAAACTTTCTGTAAAGCACCGAAAGCACTTTTGGCCAATAAACTCTTTCACTGCATTGAAAAATCATTTTAAGACATTAGAATAAACGGCAGCGAAAGAGAGAGCAGAGCAGAGGCAATGAATGAAAAACTAGAGCCAAATTGAAACTGAAGATTAAAAACCCTAGAGCATTGCCCTTCATAAACGAATCCATGCGACTTAAGGAAACCACAAAAGCCTACAACACAGCAGATACCAAGCAATTAGGCTGGGCAAAAGGAGATCGGAAGAAAGCAAACACAGATTAACAGACTAAATATATAAATCACTCCCAAATCAACTTCCCCTGCTTGTTAAGGCAAACCACAGCTGGAAACACAAACTCTACAACAGAAAGAAAACCGGTGGTCAGGCAGGAATAGATCACACCGATGTGGCATATTCTGAATCAACACCAAAGATTAATTTAAACAAACAAACTGAGGTCCGATCACAGGTCAATAGACAAGCACTTCTTAGGCAAACCATCTCCAACATAACGTCCAGCACAGTCTACACCAAAAAAGGTTAAAAGACCAAAAAAACAAATAATAAAGAATTTTAAACCCTAACTAGAGGTAGATAAACGATTTAACCGACTCTGGTCCTCTATGAACAGCCAGCACTTGTTAAGAGCAGATCGCCAGAATAACGATTCGCACAATCTCTACAGCAGGAAATTAGAATACCAAAAGATCAGGCAAAATTGAAACAGAGAATAACGAACGATCTTTTAAAATTTTTAAAAGGGAAAATGGAAACTATAGATCAATAGGCTCTGAAACTTAGATCCGGTGTCATAGGAGACATGAGCACTTGTTAGAGTGGACCGGAGCCACGCTTACTATCTGCACAAATTCCACAACAGAGAAAGGAGAAACCCAGGGCTATCAGGCAATCACCGGAACAGAGACAAAAGGAACGTTCTAAAAAAAAACTAGAGATTAATAGATCAGGTAACCGAGATCCAATCGCTTATATCAGCTGTCGGTCCTTGTATAGCAAAATCGCCGAAGGATTACAATCCGCACGAACTCTACGACACAAAAGGAGAGACCAACGAATCAGGTAGCAACCATAGCATGTAAAAGTAGCACGTTCTGGAACAAAACTAAATATGGATAAAAACCAAATATCCGAAAACCACCGAGAAGCAATTCAGAATCAGACTCCAGTGCACGATTTGGCAATCCACCGACACAGATCGAGGATCTCTACAACGGAAGTATTACCAAAAAGTCAGGCAGTAACCAAAACGCGTAGAGGGGAACGATCTAAAACGAAAACACGAATCGATAAACCAATAAACCAAGATCTGAGATCCGACGCCGATAAGACGACTGCACGCATCATATTAAACGCCCTCACGAATTCTACATCACAGAAGAGCACACGAGAAATCAAGTAGAAGCCACAGCCGCAAGAAGAAGCACGATCAAAGACCAAATCAAATAAATAAAGAGGGACGAATTAAACTCCTATCGAACACCAGGCCTCGCAAACTCAAAACAATCCATCATCGTAGCACGGATCTACAACAAATAAGCCACCACCAACTATCGACGATCCACAAACCAAAACACCGCCGCACCGACGAAACCATCATATACGCTACACCGAGAACCAGATGCTTCGTCAAACCAATAACAGAGGTGCGCCTTTTATAGGCGCCTGGTATCAACATCGACGGACAAGATTAATTTGATCGTAGGGTAGTGAGGTACTCTCTCGAAGTCGGTTTAGGAGGGCTATTATTTTATTCCTTTTTCTGATATGATTCGATGAGCCAATGGCGGTGAAAAATCCCCGTTGTTTGACCGGGTTCATCTCTCCACGCGCTTCTGGAATCTTCACGGGCCTCGATATTTGGGCTTATAAATATCATTAGGCCACAATTTAATGGCCTTATGAGTGGGCCTTCATCAATTGTTTCGAAATTTATGGCCCATCAGGAAGCAAACAATACAAACTCTTATCGGGCCACAGAAAATAAATAAGATTTAAAAAATTCATGATTAATTATATTGTATACATAATAGCATATAGGATAAATTGTTTTTTTAATCCGGTAACTGGACCCTTTATCATTTTAGTCCCGTAAGTGAAGCTTGTCGCAAACTAGTCTCATAAGTGAAAAATTTTCGCTGTTTTAGTCCTCCGACGCCGGAGACGCCCGCGTGGCTCATCAGAGGTGACGTGTCCGCTAAGTATTCCTGACCTTTAGCATATATTATAATAAATGCATGAAATGCATTTTTGAAATGTATATAATGCAAATTCATTACCTATCATTTAAATTCATTTGAAATTCAAACATGAGTTTTAATGATATGGCTGGTTACATTTCGTTTTAAGAAATGTAATTGTTACATGAGATTGATAAACCCCTCGTGAGCATGCTTATAAAAAGGCTTTTCATTCATTCTTTTTAAACAACAACAATAAAGCTTATTCCTCTCGTCTCATATATATATCCTTTCTTTTTCAACCTTCCGGCGACGGTCCGAATTTCTGACAAGTTTTCCGATTATATTTTCTGGTAGCCCTCCTTATATATAATCCCCTCGTCATAGTATTAATTTGTCTCATTTTAGTTCGTTGGAGCTCCGAAATATTGAGGTGCCACCTAATTCGGAAACAAACGTCATTTTATCTCTGGGAACGTTGCGCCACGAACCAGAGGCACTACCGGGCGTATTCGTTTTTTCGGAAAAAAGCAACGTGATTATCGAATTATTTCGATAAATTGATTATTGAAATTTATTTCAATAAATTATTGTATTTATTGAATTTATTTCGATAATTGTATTCTTGCAATATAATAATATTATTATATTTCTAACATTAAATTCTCCATCAAGTAACATGGACAAAAAAGTTGAGATAGAGAAAGTAGTATTATTTTTGTTCACTAAAATTATATCACTGTTATATTTTTCTAATCTATCTATTTTATTTATAGCAAATACTTTTTCATTCTCCAGCAATTTAAACGTTCTTATTTTATCAAATGATAGATCTATTTTTGTTACTATCTTTTTTTACACATTTTATTATTTTTTTTTTATCAACATTTTAGTAATATTTTTATAATATATCTTTTCCAAGTTTATATTAAAATGCAGTATTGTTTTTTATTTTTTACCCAAGCAAACTGCGAAACAAAAATTAATTTCTTGCTAAAAAAAGATTTTGTATTTCATGACACTCATATGAAAAAAAAAAATTATATATATACTTTTATATGAAATGAGTAATACTTATCCTAGTAAAATCGAACTCAATCACGGTTTAAAGAAAAAATACAAATATAATCACACCCATTTTCTTTATTACATTTTGTGATTTGTAAAACACAATTACACTTTTAAACACAACATGTGTCAATAGTTCAACTTCTAAGTATTATTTTGTATTTTAACTTTTTTTATATGATTATTAAAAAAATTTACAATATATTACACAAACATCGTTACATTTATATTATAAATAATATGAGACGTATTGAGTATTACAAATTACTTTATTCATCCCTCTCCAAAGAGGATTTTGTATACTATTTTCATTCACTCCGGGAGGAATATTTTGAGATTTTTGTGTTCTACTTATATATAAATTGGTTGTATTTATAATTTAAGTAAAAGTTATTATTATTATTATTACTTTTTTTTAGTATTAGTCAATAATTTCTTTTGAATAATACAAACAAAATTGATAAAGATAATATTCGAGTAAAGGCAATATATTTTATCTGTCTGCTAATGAAAATATGATTATATAAATTGAATATGAATTTTAATTAATATATTATTATATTGATATAATGTGATATAAAAGTTTTTAAAATGCATGAATAAATTAATAAAAAGGGGAAAAATAGATAAATTAAGTACATAATAATTGTGAATTTTTTTTTACAAAAAAAACAATGTTAAATAGAAAAATTTAAATCTAAATTTCTTTGGTGATGGCATAGCCATGCTTCTTCTGCATCAGCTTGTCGGGTCTTCACATTGAAGCACCACCCCATCATCATAAGGAACTTCTCTATTGCCCCTGGAATGGAATCCAATGACCATTTGCAGAGGAACTGAAAACACCAATCGCCAACAGGAAAGATCTTCAGAAAGATCCTGTTCAAGTAATGACGTCAGACCTTCTGAACATAAAAGAGCACGGCGCATGCGATGTATATATACACCCCCTAATATTATGGGTCTGGGTCTGCCCTCCTCCTTTACCCGGGCTTGGGACCGGCTGTGCTATTATGGCAGGCAGCACAGGCAGAGTTACAGACCTAAACCTATACCTACCTAATTACTCCCTCCCCTCCATCCTGAATATTTTGTTCGTTTTAATATAATTAATAAATAATTAAAAATATATTAATAAAAATAATTATCATATAATAAAATAATTATAAATTAAAATTAAAATAATCAGTTAGTATAATTAAAATTTTAAAAATTATAAATTAAAAATTTTAGAATAAAATTAAAATGAAAAAATAGACATGAGATATGAGCCAAAGAGAGAGAGAAAGAGTATATTATTTAACACTAGTACCTATACCCTACCAACTATATAATATAACTAACACACTCGGGATATTAATCATTCACACACGAGTTAGATCTTATGTGTATCTACAGCCACAAATTATTTATCCTACAATACAAACCCTGCAGGTTCTCCATTTCAAAAGAGATAGATATATCAAGTTACAAACAGGTTTGACAGCACCAAAAAGAGTTACCACAGTACCTTAAAACCAAAAGACTCATAAGAAGACAGCACCAAAAAGAGTTAGATGCAGCCACTGTCAGAAAGAGACATTCTCGAAGACCCAAGTTTTTCAAAAAGAGAGTGAACAGATGGCATATAAGTTGAAAGAAGAAACCGCTCAAAACGATTTTAATCAAATACACCACTTATGATTCGATAGCTGTGAAGTTAATAGTCACCGTGTATTAATATATATAAATATTTCCTTCAAAAAAAAGTAAATGGTAGAAGAGTCCATTCCAAACATTGCTTCGATTATCAAGACAAATATACTGCAGCCTAAAAACAGTCCCTGTGTACCATGCTTATTTATAACCATCTCTACAAATTAGCTCCACATCAGTGTCGAGTTCTTGATAGAAGATTCCAGCCCAAAAATTATTCCAGTTAATTAGATTATCACGCCAAGCCCAACAGTCTTCATGTACCAGTACCACCTATGTATCTCCTTTCTATCAGTGTCGAAAGAGTTACTCTAGAAGCATAACAGTATACATAAAGTCAGCATTCTTGATTCATGAAGTGTTGTAGTGCATCATAAAAAAGCAAGTAGCTGAAATATTAGTCACACTCACACAGGCAAAGCCATTACATAACCAACTCAACTAAGCCATCATGCCCCACTAGACACAGTTGCCATGACATTGGATTTCAAAACCTATTAAGCATTATCCCCTTGTAGAATTAAAATATTGCAAGTTGATGTTAAGTGATTAACCAAAAGGCAGTTAAAACTAAAACAATAATAATAAACTAACTCCACAAAGGACCAGAAGTAACAAATGTATCCCCATACAGATTATTACAAATCGCGACAAGCAATATTAGAGGTACCATCATGCAGAGAGGAAAAAATAAAAACAGCATTTCAACTCCAAGCAAACTGAACCCAATATATCAGCGCAAAATTTTCAAGTCATGAAGCAGCTCTTAACCACACCTCGAAAACTCTACTAGAAGAACCACCAGGACATATCATCCCCCTATAGTAGCACAGTAAAGTTTTGAATTATGCAGCATCTCTCACCACCTTGAGAACACCAAACTTCACCCCAACAGACTTGCACAACAGTAAGTACTTAAAACCATCATATCATCCTAAAATAGCTGTTCCATCCACTGACATCATCATCGAAAACAACCTACCATGCAAAATGATGCGAAGCAAAAACAGAGGTGACGTGAACAGAATCACCATCTATAGAAACCTCAGTACTCTTTTAAGTTGCCATCTCATTTTAAAAACAGTAGGTTCAATCCTCCACTTATAACACCATCAGCACGCCTTTCTTAATAAAGCAGCCTTACTTTGCAAAAATTAGCAAGAGCATTTTGAGAAGAACCTTATTGCATAAAGGGTTGGTAGGAAGAAAGCAAAGTGACAAGAACCTCCCAACTCAAGAAAGACAGAGATAAATCCAACCTGACCAAAAGCTGTTGGAAAAACAAAATGTAATAAATTGCAATTAAATAAATTCTCTTCAATTCTAGAGAAACAAAATACAGACTGTGAAAAAACCACCTTATATTCAAGCAGTCAAAAGAAACTATCAGAAAAGGACGTTAATCATTTCATATCGTCAAAGCCAAAATATAACAAAATATGGCAGAAGAAAAATGCTTAGGAGAGATGCAAACCAAAGAAAACCAAATTCAGAGAACACTCATTCAGTACCTGACAACAACCAAAAGCAACACTTCTTTTCATAGCTGCAAAACAACGGCAATGCTCTGAAACCAGAGGAAGCCAATTTATCTCATCAAGTTTTGCTGCTACCGTGTGGGCTACTCATCAACATAAACCAACTAAGTTTCCCAGTCTTCAATCACATATAAAAGCAACACTTCTTTTCATAGCTGCAAAACAACAGCAATGCTCTGAAACCAGAGGAAGCCAATTTATCTCATCAAGTTTTTCTGCTAGCATGTGGGGTACTCATCAACATAAACCAACTAAGTTTCCCAGTCTTCAATCACATATAAAAGGAAATATAAATCTGACAAAAACAAGATCGCATACAGGAGTGAAATCAGACAGATACCAAACCACATAAAAGGAGAGGCGTAACCCAAGTTCCTAGGAGATCTGAAGAAAACAAGACCACATTAAGGGGAGGCACAATCAAAAACCAACTCTGAGAGAACTTAAAGATACACCAGATTTTATTCTTGAGAGCAAGCATAAAGCACCAAAGCAATGAGAGTCGCATGATGAATGTTTACATAAATGAGGAATCAAATCCTTAGCATCCGCGTAGAAACCAAGAGAGATCAACCAAAATAACAAACGGTAGGTACCCTTGTTAAAGAAGCTTCAAATAATCTGGTAAGCTTACTTAGAAACAACCAACTCAAAACCCACTTAAAGAATATTTTCTTCCCTCTCAAATTTGCACCAACCAGGGATCTAGTCATATATATTCTGCAGACTAAGGAATACCAAGAGATCTGATAAAACAAAATACAATAGAGTTGTGCAAAAAGATACCAAAATTACCAAATGATGGATAACATGACCAATCACCAAATAATAGTCTTTGTCAGCGCCCAGAGATTAAATCTGCAGATTCTATCAATACCATGGCAAATCATGCATATGCAAGGAAAGAAGTTGGGGACTATTTACCAATCAAATTAGTGAAGAAAACAGAGCCGTGCTGGCTGAGAATCTTGTAAAAACCAAAACCACCCTACTAAAAACAAGGTTTAAAGAGAAGGATGTTCAAAGATTACACATATAACTTAAAAACAGATGACTAATTATGTAGCTTGTCTAAAAGATAAACAGATGACATGCCTGATGAATCACTTGAGAAGTCTAAATGTTAAAAGTCTTCAAAATTCTAACATAGAGAAGTCTAAAAGAAGAACAGATAACAGGCTCCTGATAAATCACTTGAGAAGTCTAAATGTTAAATCTTCACAATGCTACCATGGAGGCATTCACTATAATGCTTTCATGTCAACAAAAGGAATAGCAGTGAGGATATTGATTATAAAAATATTGAAGATTTTCCATGAGAGGCATAAAAAATACCAAGTGCAAAACCTCAGCTCCAACACGATAGCTTTGACAACAAACCCAAAATTCTGCAAAAAAAAATTGAGGGCAAAGAAAGCAAAAGAAAAACTAGAGGATAATAAAAGTTTAGGCTAAGAAGCTAAAGGATTAGAAAGAGGTAAACAAAACCAAGTATATCCAAGAATGCTTGACTAGTCATTTGCCACCACATCTTCACCAACATATTCATAAGTTCTGCAACCAATGAGAGAAGGTAGCAATAATGCATGTAGAAAAAATCAAGGCTGCAACAGACAGCCATGACTTAATTCTAAAAGAAAGAACCCAAATGCCATGATGAACTTGCAAAAGATCTGAAGGGAAGACAACCAAACCATGGGCATGATGCAAAAGTTCAATGCTTCAAAAACCAATAGAGCCGTTATTTATCTGCAAGAGAACCATCAACACAGAAGACAAGACTCTACGAACAATCATTAAAAATTCATAATCACCCAATGTTCACGGCTGAAAGAAGGAAATCAAGAAATCTTAAACAAACCGTAATTTATGACAAACCCAAAGTACTTTCTGCCAATAAATATTGCACTGCAATAAAAGACCATTTTAAGACATTAGACAAACAGCAAGCTACAGCTGATAAATTAAGGTAATAAAAAACTAAATCAATTTGCAACCAAAGATAGAACCCCCTATAGCATCTGCTGTTCATAAACAAAACCTGTGGGACTTACAACCAGCACCACGCCTACAGCACAACAAATGCCAAGCAATCAGGCAGGACTCAAGTACGTACGATAAAAAGAAAACTACATATCAACTAATAAATATAGTAATCCCCAATCAATGTCACCACTTGTTAAGCAACCCGCAGCGGGAAACAGACTCTACAACAGAAAGAAAGGCAGCAGTCAGGCAGGACACAAGTAGGTATCATAAAAAGAAAACTACATATCAACTATTATACTAATCCCCAATCAATGTCACCACTTGTTAAGCAACCCACAGCAGGAAACAGACTCTACAACAGAAAGAAAGGCAGCAGTCAGGCAGGAATAGATCTCATAGACTTGGTATATTTTAAGACAGATCCAAAGATCAATTTAAACGAATTAAGGCAGCAGTCAGGCAGGAATAGATCTCATAGACTTGGTAAATTTTTAGACAGATCCAAAGATTAATTTAAACGAATTAACCGAGATCCAATCGAGGCAGCATTTGTTAGGCAAAACATCTCCAAGATTAACATCCAGCACGAACCCTACAACACAAAAGGTGAAAGGCCGAAAAACCAGGCAAGAAATATTCGTTCTAAAACCAAACTGGAGACAGAAAAACCATTAAACCGAGATCTATGAACAGCCAGTAATTGCAAGAAAAGTCACCACTTGTTAAGGACCAGATCGCACGGGCGCTACGATTCGCGCAAACTCTACAGCAGGAATTTGAAAACCAAAAGATTAGGCAGAAACCGAAACTGAGACTAAAGCACGTTCTAAAAAATAGTTAGTCAATAGGCCAAGAAACTTAGGTCGTGTGCCATAAGAGCCATCAGCACTTGTTAGAGCAGACATGGGCCACGCTTACTATCTGCACAAATTCCACAAACAGAGAATGGGGAAACCCAGGGTAATCAGGCAATCGCCAAAACAGAGAGAAAAGGACGTTCTAGATCAAAACTATAGATTATAGATCAGGTAACCGAGATCCAATCGCTTATATCAACCGTCAGCACTTGTAGCGAAAACCGCCGAGGGATTACAATCCGCAGGAACTCTACGACACAAAAGGGAAGACCAACGAATCAGGCAGCAACCGTAACGCATAGAAGAGCACGTTCTATAACAAAACTAAATATTGATAATAAACCAATTAACCGAAAACCACCGAGCACCGATCCCAAATCAAACTTCAGCACATGATATAGCAATCCATCGACATAGATCTTAATCAGGAGGATCTCTACAACAAAATAGTTTTACGAAAAAAGTCAGGCAGTAACCGAAACGCGTAGAGTAGCACGATCTAAAACCAAACCAGAAATCGATAAACCAATAAACAGAGATCTGAGATCCGACGCCGATCAGATGACAGCACGCATCAAATTAAACTCCCTCACGAATTCTACATCGCAGAAAGCACACAAATAATCAAGTAGATGCCAGGGCCGCAAGAAGATGCACGGTCAAAAACCAAATCAAATAAATAAACAGGGACGAATTAAACTCCTATCGAACACCAGGCCTCGGTAACTCAAATAATCCATCATCGGAACGCAGATCTGCTCAGATCTACAACAAATAAGCCTTCACCAACTATCGAAGATCGACCACTCAAAACACCAACTCCGACGAACCCATCGCATACGCGAACCAGAGCGAGATGCTACGCTTGAACAACCACAGCAAGTGCGCCTTTTATAGGCGCCTGAGGTCAAAATAGACGGACAAGATTAATTTGATCGTAGGGTTGTGAGGAACTCTCTCAAAGTCCGTAAGGCTATTTTATTTTATCCTTTTTCTGGTCAGATTCGATGAGCCAATGGCGGTGAAAAACCCACGCGGTTTGACCGTGTTTATTCTTCACGCGCTTCTGAAAGCTTCACGGGCCTTCGATGTTTGGGCTTTTAAAATTTATTAGGCCTCACTATAATGGGCCTTATAAGTGGGCCTTTAATAATTTTATTGAAATTAGTGATCCACTGGGAATTAGAGAATAGAAACTAAACTGTGAATTAAAAATTAATGACTAGCCCAATAGAAGTAAAATGATCTGGCGATGATCCAATAAACAAACGGCCTTCTAACTACAGGCTAGTGTGATTGTTTACTTGTGTTTTTCAATGCCTTATTTTTTATTGTTTATATCTAAATTTTCTAGAGTGGAAAATAGTAATTTAATTTGATAATTTATACTGTGAAATTTATGTACTTTAGATATTATTATTCAAAACAATTAATTATGTTATCTAAACTTATATATTATATTTGACCAAATATGAGTTTAATTTTATGTTAAACATGATTGTTAATATAAAAAAATAATAGTTTATGTTGAATTATTTTTTTAAAAGTGAATATAGTATATTTTGTGTGAATAGAATACAAGTTAAGTTGTGATTGCCTGTAATTATTATCAGCTTTCTTTTCGAAATATCAAATTAGATTTTAATATTTCACTTTCGTGTGCATATTGATTTGTTATTTGTAATTTCATTTTTAAAAATAAAACAACATAATAAATATAAAATTTTAAACAACATAATAACAGAAAAATAAAATAAAGCGAACATAAAAACAAAGTAGATTAAACAAACAGAGGTGGTTGCAATTCTTGTTCCACTCAACAATAATTTGTCTTCTTGTTACAACAACACTGCCCTACTGTGCCTCTGTGTCTGTTTCTGATTGGCTGGCTTCGACATTAAAAACGTGACGCAGCGTTACAAAGTCGTGTTTTTAAAACTGAGTACTCTTTTTCGTTGTCGCGTTTTCGTGATTAACGATAATAGCGGCGGTCAGCGGCACGCCTTTGCGTGTCCCCATGTGACTTTATTCACAAGCACAGCACAGCTGAGCTAAACAACCACGCCGCCCAAAGACGGCCCATTGCTCCTGCGCTCTCTAAGCTCGCCACGTGGCCCAGTAATAATTAAACAAAGCCTTCTACACCCCTATCTCTGCCTAAGCTCAAATATCTACTAAGTCACCAATTTGGTAGAGACATTTGGTATTTATTTAGGCAGCTGTTCATATTTTAATTAGCATTTTAACAATAATAATAAATTTCAAACAGAAAATCTATTAATACAGTGTATATATATATAAAATCTAGTAGCATTATTTAGGCAGCGATTTGTATTTAATTAGTATTATAATAATAAATGAGGAAATGGAAAGCTATAAAGTAAATGGTATGGTATGCAACATCAGAGGGTATACCAAAGAAAGATTCTCTGCATCAAGACAACAAATTCCACACCCAATAAATGCAAAGAATAACTGTTCCACAAAGCTAACTCACTCCTTTTTATATATATATATATATATAGACACACACTAATAAATCACAAATCCCCAACCCTAATTTCATTTTACTTCTTCTTCTTCTTATTCCATGGAGTGGAGGAGGGGGCCCACAATCGGCAGCGGATCCTCCGCCACTGTGTATCTGGCAAACTCCGCCGCCGGCGCGACATTCGCCGTGAAATCGGCGGACGTTTACTCGGCGGCGCCGCTGCGGAGGGAGGAGTCTCTGCTTTCGCGGTTGTGCAGTCCGTACATCGTGAAGTGCTTCGGCTCAGATATCACGCGCGAAAATGGGAAACACGTTTTTAATGTATTTCTGGAGTATGTTTCCGGCGGCACGCTTTTTGATCTGGTTAAAAAGCGCGGCGGGCGTCTCGAAGAAAGCGCTATCCGGTTCTACTTGCGGCGGTTGCTCTGCGGATTGGATTATCTCCACCGGAAGGGAATCGTGCACGGCGACGTCAAGCCGCAGAATATTCTCGTCGCCGGCGACGGCGCGGTGAGGATCGCCGATTTTGGGTGCTCGAGGTGGTTGGGGCGCGGGGATTCCGATGCGCCGGCGTTTTCGGGGACTCCGGCGTACATGGCGCCGGAGGTCGCGCGCGGCGAGGAGCAGGGCTTCGCGGCGGATGTTTGGGCGGTAGGTTGCACGGTTATTGAAATGGCGACCGGATCTAATCCCTGGCCGGGGATGAAGGATCCGGCGGCGGTGCTCTACAGAGTCGGATATTCCGGCGACGCTCCGGATATTCCGAGCTGGTTGTCTGCCGACGCTGGGGATTTTCTCGCCAAGTGTTTGATTCGTGACTGCAAGGAGCGGTGGACGGCCGGCGAACTTCTGCAGCATCCGTTTTTGGATTCTGTGGAAGAGAATTGTGGTTGCGGGGAATTGGTTGGGGAGGTTAAGAGGAGATCTCCGACTAGCGTGGTGGACCGAGGCTTCTGGAATGATTTGGAGGCGTCGGATTCTTCTGAAGCTCCGTCGGAAAATGATATCTCGCCGGCGGTGAGAATTAGGGATTTGATCGGAGACGGTCTTCCGGCGGAGTCGAATTTTGAAGTGTGGACAGAGGAGGAAGAAGAAGACTGGTTAACGGTGAGGGGTAACGGCGGTTCAACGGAAGTATCGTCCGTTACGCATTTTAGCGTGGACGATGACGTCATTCAAACGTCACAATTGACGGAGGACGCTCTCAATGAGCACGCGGAGAATAGTAGCGAAAATTCAGTTAGGAGGGTAGAAAATTATTTTGTATCCAGTAAAGAAAACAAAATATTAATAAGATTAAATTCTTTTTCAATATTAGAATTTTGATATAATTCTTGGCCAAATTCAGTCATCAGTTTTTGTACATTTCCATAGCAAATAATGAAAGGTATAATTGGCTCCGAAAAAAGAAAAAAGAAAACACGCAAATACACAAAATCTTATAATTCAACAAAGTATCCAATAACCTTCTCGGATCATAAGCATTTAAAATTATAGCATGTAATCAATTTAAAGCTTCGTAGAAATAAATCTCCATATAAAAGATACTCAAATATGCGTGTGTTTCAACTGTAATATTGTATTATTTGACTTACAATAACAAAATATTAAAGTTAAAATTCAAAGTACAAACAAAACTATACTTTTGAAAAACATTTAATAATATTTGACTTGTATTTGTCAGCATTATTTCTGAATTATTAAACGCCTAGATGATGAAAAGTATATGGCAATTATAGAACAGTTTGATTAATAATAATAATAATAACAACAACGATAGATAAATGAGCCCATAAGTGAGTTAACTCGCGAGTTGTGGTGTAAATGTTGACTTTTGGGTTAGTCAACGTTGAGACAAGGAGGCACGGTCATGTGTGAACGCTGGAGAATGAAAGGAGCAATTGGATGGCCCAGAATTTGGCATTTGGGTGCCATTTATTAGGTCAACCCTTATTTTTTATTCAATTAAAAGTTCGTAGGTTGCTTCGTCATACCCTACTTGCGAATACATATATGTATATACATTAATTCTTAAAATTTATTTGTTTTGATTGATTTTGAATACAAATTCATACTATTTCAGTACAATTTTTAAATAAAAATAAATATTTTTTTTATATAAAATATTTTTAACTTAATATCATTTAAATAAAAATTTTTAAAAAATTATTTCAAATTAATTTCAAAACTACTATCAAATAATTTTTTTTTAAAAAAAATATTAGTAAAAAAAATCAGTCCCATACCGATCTTGCAACTAGTTCTAGAGATGGATTTTGACATTTTGTGGATGCCTTGGTAAATTGTAAAGAGAAATTATTGAATACTTTTATACAAAAGTAAAGCGACCAAAACTTTTAACACTTAATATTATTATTATTTTTAAGTAGATAGATAATCATTAGAATAACAACGGATTAATACATTGAAATAAAGGCTTTTGGAGATTTAAAAATAAAGAATCAAATAGTTGGCGTGATTTTTTTAAAAAACAATAAATATCTAATATAATACTCCCGTGCAACATTTGTATTTGGCACGGAAATTTAAGTGGAGAATATTAAGTATGATAATTTGAGATAATTTAGATATTAAGTGATATGATTGAAAAGAGAAATGATTATTTGTTTTTTTATTTGAGCAATGTGATCGAATAAAGCGAAATGTATAAAAATATTATTAATTATTTCTAAATTTGAAAATGTTTGCAGTGAATTTGAGACAAACAAAAAATAAATATTGTAGGGTGTTTGGGACAGAGGGATTGCTTTAAAACAATTACACAGTTGACAAATAATATTAAAGAGAGCCATGAATTTAAAAATATCAAGAATAAATCAGGCCGGGAGAAGTAAGTATACCAAAAAAAAAAAAAACACCTAATAATTAAAAAATAATTTTAAGCAGACCAAATAAAACCTAATAATTTTAGAACAGCATATAAAGATTAAGCAGTCAGCATAATTTACGACAAAGGTGGTGCATGCTTTGTAGGAAATGCACAGAGTCAGCAGCAGTCAATCACGCCTTGTCGCCCTTTACACATTTAATTAAAAAAATATATAATTAATTTTTTCAATTTTCACAAATTGAAACAAAAGCAGTGTGTACGACCATAATTCTTACATAATGTCAAATCACAAACACATTATTATTACATGATCCTCAGGCCTAAACCAGAATGATAGCATCACTATTTGGTTCTACATTTGAATGTCAAATAATATGTATATGCATGGCATGAGTAGTTTTGTAGAAGAACAATAATGATTTATCGAAGATTGAGAAAAATATATGTGGGGACTTTTGGCTAACCTGGTAGGAGACCGCAAGAATTTGACTCCCTGTGGATATAGGGCTGGCAGGCAGGCAGGCAGGCAAGATCTGTATGTGTCTGTCCATCAATGTCCACATCATATTGTCCTGAAACAACAGCAAATACACTTTTGCACAAACAATGATATTCACATGTCTGTGTGTGCCCACATTTTAATAACAAGATCCATCATTGTTATCATCTATTCTATTCGATTCTTTTGCCTTTTCACCACTGTATACTAATCACGGTAACATTCTGCCACTACTTTTTGCGAATTACCTTCACAGCTAATGACTCTTGTTAAAGAAAACATGTTAGCATATACCCCGCTAATAATGTATGGGTGTTTGTTAAAAATTTCGAGAGGAAACACAATGTCAAGGATGTCGATTGTGACCAGCATTCACTCATCACGATGTGAAATTTGTCACAGCACTATTGCAGAAGAAAATGACATTCGGAAGTTGAAAGAGAAGAGAGGATAATATTAGTTGCTGTTTCTGCAAACAGCAACTAATTTCTTTCAAGCTATTACCACAAAGTGGAGCCAGAGTATAACAACAAATATATTTATAGAAAATCCTAATTGATCGACCCTCCTCCTTCATCCGGGCTTGGGACCGGTTGTGCTTATCAGGTATATCAAAGCACAAGCGGAGTTGCACGACTCTACCTAACCTAATTAAAGCCAACAAGTTAACTACCTTTAAACAACAGATAGAAAGAGCAACCGTAGAATACACCAAAGAGGGGGTTACATTAAAACACTACAGAATAGATTCGACTCGATCAACAACAGAAGAATCACATGAGAAAGATCAATCTAACCTAATTAAAGCCAACAAGTTAACTACCTTTAAACAACAGATAGAAAGAGCAACCGTAGAATACACCAAAGAGGGGGTTACATTAAAACACTACAGAATAGATTCGACTCGATCAACAACAGAAGAATCACATGAGAAAGATCAATAAATAAAATAAAATGTAGAAGCGGATTACATATAATAGAGTTTAAAGAAATGATTGTGTAGCCAACATATCTTACTTATTTGTTCAACATCAAAGTGGGGTCATACAAAAATATACCGAACCAACTTAAAGAAAGAATGACGAACAAAACTATATTGCAACAGCTTTCAATGTGTTTGCAAATAATACTTCGCTGAAAATTGTAGATGGATTTCATCAAAATCACTTATGATTGGTTTCAGCCACACAATGAAGGAATTCATATCCTACTTGTCAAAAGATTTAAACTGCTCAGATACTCACATTGCATCAAAGTAACAGTAGCCCAGTGAACATACTTAGTAAAGAATTTTAAGCATACAGGTATACATCTAATAATGAAAAGAGTAATCAAGATTAAGTAAAAAGAAGCAAGCCAACTGGGCACTCAAGGCATAGGATAAAGCAAATATTAAGATAAAAAACTAGTGGTGGTAAATATTACTTATGTGTCTTGAAAAACTAACCTGTTCAACCGTTACATTTAAGATTAAAATACATCCCCCGAAAAGCAGACATTCTTTAAAATTTTCACAGACCTCTATTTTAGTTTATTAGGAAATTCCATAGCAAAAGTAGAATCACGTAAAGAAATTTTAAGTGGGATTGGCGTTGCTTTTGGAATTATTAGTTACCTGCAGCATTTAGTTATAAGGATTTGCTACCTTGACACACAAATCCAGATGACAAACGGAATCTTCAAAAAATCATTAACAGCAAGTTATGGTGTTCATTTCATTTTAATCCGTTGCAGCTGAATTTCAAACTTTACGAGTTACTCTATTGGGATATAAGCAAAGAAATAAATAAGAAAGTGACAAGTTAATTAGATTGAACACATTAACATACATATGGCAAAGAGAAAAAAACCAAATGTTAACAATGAGAAACATATCCTCATTCAAAATAATTAAAAAATATATATATTAAAAATAAATATTAAAAAAAACAAAAGAATCCTATGAGTAAAGTTTTTTCAAAAAATATGTATATTTCACTGGGTTGAGAACCATAAAAAACAGGAGCTAATGAATTAAAAATCAACCTAAAGGTAACAGCTTTCCCAAAATATGTATTGTTTCAGTAGGTTGACAGGCAAAAATTGTATCATAACTGGAAAATTTACAGAGGAATTTTTATAAATGAAAATAAACAAATATTCCTGAATTCTTATGTAAAACTAACCCATACATTCTATTCTAAACCATGGATTTAACACATATGAAAGCCTAACCCATACATTTTATTCTAAACCATGGATTTAACACATATGAAAGCTAATCCAAAAACACAATGGGAAAAAATAAATTATATACCATGGTGCACTCTTTATGTACTTCAATATTCATAGTTACAAGAGAGGTACATTAACGAGTTCAGATATCTTATAGAAAACTGTCCCAAATATTCTATTCTAAACCATAGATTTAACACAATGTAAACAAATAAGAAAAGCTAATCCAAATACACAATAAAAAAAAAGAAGTAAATTATAGATATAGTAAGAACTAGTGCACTTTTTCATGTATTTCAATATTCAGAACCATCATTTCTAGTGTTATAAAAGAGGTACTTGAACAAATTTGGATATCGTATAGATAACTAACCAAAATGCAACCAAATAATGCAATTGAAGAAAATGGTATATTAGTAGATATAGTATGTTCTAATGCACTTCTTTATGAATTTCAATATTCAGACTCAGTCATTCTAGTGTTGTGAAAGAGATGCATTAACTAATTTGGATCATCAATATAGAAATTTATTAGCATGTACATAAAAGCTCAGATGCACATGTAATTTGAAAGTCAAACCACTCTCCTCCAAACATTCAAGGCAGTTATTTTATATCTTAATTGTTAATCGCTGTCAGACAAAGAATCACAGAGTCAATAATTGAATTAAGTTGGACCAATTAAACACCAACATAATAAATCTACAGACAATCAGTACAACATACAGATGCATGGCTTCTGCAAGTATATAACAATAACACTATATTTAACCAATTATTCGATTATCACCAATGTTATACAAAAATTGCATAAAATAAATTAAGCAAATAAATCTATTATATAGCGATTATCACATAAGACTATCAACAAAGCTGCATATACAATCCCTGTGTTACATTATCTCACTCTCTCTCCAAGGTCTACACATAATTAAAGAAGAAACCAAAGAGACAGAATTCAGGTCATGATTTTAAAAGCCAAGCCTCAAAAATCCAGCAATCCCACCAACTACCATGTTGCAGCCAAGGATCAGCAACAAGGGGTCTGCATACAAGGATGAGACGTACTAGCATCCAAATAAGTGCAGACATCAGAAGAGATGGTCATCCTAGGGAAGATTCCAGCATGCAAATTACATAAACATGGGACATGGTCATCCTAACCAATAACGTGCATAAGGCAAGATTCCAAAACCAGTGTGAACATGTCAAGGCCTAAATCAAATGCAACCAATAATCTCTAATATATTGCATGATTCCAAAAACCAGTGTGAAGCTACTACGGAATAACCTCTGGTATATATGTCAAGATTCCAAAATACCAGGCATGAAGCAATAACCTCTGGTATATATGTCAAGACTCCAAAATCAGCATGAACATGCAAGGGGCTACCTTAAAAAACCAAGAGTGCAGCCATATACCAGACACTTGAAAAACAACCCATCCATAATCAGGACCGTAAGCTCTTCAACATAACCATAAACATTCCAGAGGGCACTTTCCAAATATTATGAAAGTTCGGCAAAAGAGAATCATTTTCTTTCTCATGCAGGCTCCATCAAGATAGAGGGCACTATTTCTGTGTAAGAACATAAATCTTACTATGGAACCTTTAAAAGAAAGTAATGTGCAGTTACTGTTGAATAACAAATACTAGGCACCAATAACCTCTGGTATGTGGCAAGGGTAGAGACTCCAAAACCAGAATGCACATGTAAGGACCTACATTGAAAGAAACCAATCTCCAGATACTACAAAGTAACAATACCAGGCACTCAACCAGTAACTCATTGATATATCAGGACCACAAGCTCTTCATCTTAGCCATAATCATTCTGCTGGAGGCCACTTTCCAAATAATCAAAGTTCTGTAACAAAGAACCATCAACTAGTATAGAAACAGTCACTTGAAGAATATTAAAGGAAACAAGTTCATGAAAAACATCAAAGTTCACTACTTCCCAACAAAAGCCCCCTCTCTTGCCCATGCAGCTTCAAGATTGGGGCACCATGGCTGTGTAAAACCATAACATCTGATCATATAAAGGCCTACAAGTAAACAAATCAACATACAGATATTTATGAATAATAAGTACCAGGCACTAACCAATGACACACTTAACCAATATCCCATTCACCATAAACTCTTCACCTTAGCCATAAAGATCATACAGGCATCATTCCAAATTATAGGAGCTCTGCATATAAGAACCATCTACCAGCATAGGTAGAGTCACTCGAAGAATATAGACATAATAGTATAAAAAAATGTAGGACATGACACATATTATTGCTTAATCATGCAGTTTAAAAATGCAATTGTGAAAACAAAAACAACTATTCAAATATTAAAATTCCCATAAACCAAATGAAAAGGCAATCCTAAATAGTGGGCAACATGCATATGAAACCTCATCAACACACAAAAACCAAACTAATTTTAGTTGCAAAACCCATACCCAACCATCTCTATATCTCTAATAATAAGAGCTCTTAGAGCTGCCTCACTTGTTGCTTGAGTTTTCCATCCTAATCAAAAATTTGAAATATATAAGCAGATTAATCAGATTAGCCAAGAGCTTGAGTACCAAAATAAAATTTAGAACTACAAAAGAAGTAAACATATTAAATCATCAATCAAGATCATCCCTCCATGTATGAAATGATGCTCGCCTGGCTGTTAGTACCAAAATCCACCAGCACCTAACTATCTCTCCTCAACAAAGGTGGAAATAAGTAGAATATAGGAACACAGGGAATGATCTTATAAACCCTAAATGAATAAAGCTTATGTCGCAGCAACAGACATCATAGAAGTAAATTGAAGGTAGCCCGGCCAAAGCTTAAAGGTATCACACTGGAGGGATCTGGTGAAAAGTTGGGAAGTTATAACCAGCACAAAATATAAGATGACAGACTCATATATACAGTATAGCCAACAAAAGATGCCCTCCTTTCATCAATAAATCAGCAAGGAGAGGATCCTACAGAATCTGAAACTTCATCGTAAATCACACAGCTTAGCATTCGATAGTGTATCCAGATGGCACAGCAGGTTAGGGAGTAATGGACAATACAACAATACAAACCATGTATAGAGAACAACTCGTTCGTAAATCCAAGTCCTGCATCTAGCTGTCATGTCGATAATAGGACATTGAAAATAGGACATATCAACTAGCAAGGCTTTCAGGAACGGTCTAATTGACAGTATCTTTAAATTATCTTCATAATAAACGACGGAAGGAAAGAAACCGAACATATACACCCTATGCGATTAAGCATGAAGTGAAATCAAACCAGATCCCAAAAGAATCGGGACCGATCCGTTGTCTACAAACCAAAAGTTGTGCACGTCATGAATTCCACATCGATTCACTATCAAAACGGTAGCCACTTAGAACATCACCAGAGATTAAGGAAGCAAAAGTCCTAAATAATGAATTATGAAACACGAAGAGAAACCAAACCAGAGAACCACGCACTTAATCAATCGAACTTTGATCACAGATCGGTCGAGATTCATCTGAGTTTCAGGAAACATATGCAACCAAAAACAAAACAGAAACGAAGCCAGACGATAAACAATCAATAGTGAACCGACACCAAACCATATAATCTAGATCTTTGAAAAGGAGTCACTCGAGATTCAAACCGTGTTCCAATCCATCAGTACTCTAGAATTAATAAACGACACGGGACGCAAATTCAAACCCTACCAACGATCTAAACCGTCACAGATGAAGCCGAAAACCGAAATCCATTAGCAGAGACCATTAAACAAAGTAGACGATAAACTACCAGCAAAGAATCCCCGATGCAGAAACAACAGTAACTGGGAGACGATAAAGTACTGAAAGCGGGTTGAGGCGAAGGTATTTATAGAACGCCTTGGAGAAACGGACGGATGAGATTAATTTGATCGGAGGGCCTAAGTGAATCCTTATCCGCGTGGATAAACTACCAGCAAAACCACTGGTTTTGCATCCACAAGTTCCTAGAATGTTCTCGCGACCGTTGATTTTTTAAATAGTTGTTACGATAAAATATGCATATTTTTAGATAATAAAATATTCTCTCATCGTACATGATTATATTTTCATTTTTTCAGTTTCATCTAATTTATTATTTTTTTAAAAAAATATTAATTTATCATTTTTTATTTTTCTTATATATTTTTTTAAAAATATTAATACACTACCTATATTATTATTTCTCACGTAAAAAAAATTATTTTTCAACAATTTTACAAAACAAACATATACTTTAATAATATTTTAAATTTTATAATTATAATTTTATATTTTATTACATTATTAGATTATTTTAAATTTATAATTATTTTTATTATATATTCTAATAATTATTTTTACTAATATATTATATAATTATTTATTTATTATATTTATCCCGTATTTACTATATATAAATAATTAAATTTAAGTAAGTTAAAGTTAAGATATTATTAGTACATGATTATTTTTAATAACATAAAAATTGATATTTTTAAATGAGACAAGAAAAACTATAAAAATAGTAAGAAAAGAAAATCATTTTTAATTTTTGAAAAAATTAAATTATACATTTTAATTATATTTTTAAATTTTTAATTATAATTTTTAAATTTTTAATTAAAATAATTAATTATAATGTAGAATGGAAACAGTAGTGTGTTTGTTAAAATAATTTAAATGAATATTTTTATTTTTTTTGAGTTAAAAGAATTATATAAAAATAATAAAAGTTCGTGACAAATTGATATTTTTGACAAGAAGAAGAACACGCGTAATATCTTTTGTTCTCCTGGTCACTCACATTTTAGCATCATACATCTTTAACTGAACATTTCTAACGTTTGGAAAATCAAAGCACATAACATATCAACGTCTTGGATTGTTTCGACAGAATTTACAAAAATAAGAAACGCGGTTCAATATAAAAAGTCATTCCATTTATTACTTCGATGAAATTTAAACACCCATAGACACAGAACTCTAGAAACAACATTACAACACAAATTCCTTCACAAGAAAACTCTAATCTGCAGAATAAATACTTAGCCTCAAAATCCAAGCACAAAATATGATTTTTCAAGAGGTTTGAGATAAGAATACAGACCTTCGGACTGGGCATTTCAAAGGGAAGGGAGAGGTTTCAAATCGACACTGAATAGAACATTTGTTGTGCTTACATTCTAACTTCTATTCCTGTGTGTAGCAAGTGCTCTTTCACAGATTGTATCGGCACCTACGGCATAGAAGGATAGATTGAAACAAAAAATGAAAGAACAAAAAATAAAAGTAAATGTTGAGGTGATGTTATTGGTGTCTAACCTCCTTTCGATGAAAAATACCGGCAGCAAGGGCAGCAGAGGCGTTTGTTTTGGAGAAAACTTCTGAGAAGTGTTCGACTGCTCCGGCGCCACTGCTTGCTATCACTGGAATGTTTACAGCATCCGAGATGAGCTTTATCAAATCAATGTCGAACCCTTTCCCTTGACCTGGGAACAAATTGACGCGACAAAGTTATGCAAGTTCTTGAGTGCATCAGGAAGGGGGGGGAGGGCGGGGGGGCGATATTGTTACATATATATATATGGGTGTACCGTCACAATCGATGCAATTAAGCAGTATTTCCCCAGCTCCCAGTTGCTCGACAGCTATTGCAAGCTCGTATGCGCCAATTGGACGACCTTCTCTTCCACCACTCACCTAAAGAATGTTCAATTTCTCAACAGAATGTGAGATGATTCAATGATTGGTAGTTTTTATTAACGTTATGGAAGAGTTTAATAAAGTTGGAGTAGAGAAAGATTGCAAACTGCAGAGACGTACTGTGCATTGATACCATGCATATTCCTCGCCATTTGGACCTGAAACCCATGTAATGAACAATTAGAATAGATTTTTTACTTTTTCTATGTCGTCTTCTTGCCTTAAAGGCTCTACTTCGTCACTAAATTTGTACCTGGGTTTGTTACTCTAATCGACTTGAATTCAACATCCTTGGGATCTTTCAAGTACACCCTACGAGGATCAATGCTTACAACAACTGCCTATGATACAGAATAAGACAATCAAGAATAGTCATTGGAACTTGGTGAGGTGAAAATGGGACGGAAAGAATGTGAACTAATCAAGGAAATGTAATATATGTGGCTGGAAACTTACTTGATTTCCATACACTCGAGAGATCTGCTCAAGGCTGCTCTTTCCAGATTTCACCTTGGAAGCAGAGAAACCTGAAATTTTAGACGAACACAAAATAACAAGAAGATTAGACAAAGTAAGAAGTTTACCTTTGTTTTCAAGTACTCTTCTGCAGCATAAACAGCATCACTACCAATGGATATCTTATCTGCACCGGATCGGAAATATTCTGAAGCAACTTCCAAACTAGAGTAATACCTGTCACATATTCATCACATTAATACTAAAAGAACATGTTTGGTGTAGAGTTTATTTAGACACTCAGGAAAGCTTGCTATGACAAACTCAAATATATTACAGAGAGAAAAAGATCATGAGCTATAAGAAGACTATACCTGCCATTTGCATCAGTAAAATCTCTAATACCTCCACCAACTGTTAATGGCACAAAAACATTCTCTGATGCAAGCCTCAGGACCTGCAAGAAAAGAAACAAATAGGTTAATTGGGGTGCTGTCAATTATCCACCTGATGCAACTTCCTTCGTGGTGTAAAAAAAAAAGGGTGACAAAAAGTTCTATGACAAATTCTTCAGATAACATAAAACCATGCGTATAATTTTTGAGAAATGTGAAAGCATTATCATATTTTGGTTAAGTAAATCAAAGTAAAGGGATGAAAGAATGAGCTCACTATTGTATGATTGTGATATGGTAACAAACCTGTAACATTGGTAAATCACCAAGAGGAAAGTCTCGGAATGCGGTAATGTTCAGGAAACTAATCTGAAACAGCATAAATAACCAAAATTTGAGCTTTCACATAGTATGCAGTTTCTTAACATATACATCAAATGAACATGAGGGTAACATGTACCTCATCAGCACCATCTTTGTAATATTGTCCAGCAAGATCAACTGGCTTGCCAAGGTTTCTCACCTGAAGGAACAATAAAGAAGTTAAAGCGTTAGATCACAGAGACCAACACCCACTCATTCTGCTCTGTTATCAATCAAAATCCCTCTTGGGCACAAACCTCATTTTCTTTGGTTTGCTCTCTCACATCATATTGGTCTCCCTTAGTCACAACAAGATCCCCTTTATCATTGGTCCTTACATCAAGGCAAGCAATGACCTGATTATATTATATAAATAGAAAATTAATAATCAATGGTTATGCCCCTAAAAGTTACAGCTACACATGAATCATGTTGAAGCACTTGTATGGGATTTGCTTAGTTGATCTGGAAATGTATAACGCAGCTAGTGGTAGAAGAAAGCCTGAGTAACTAACCATGTGACCTTAAAAACAGAATGTGAGCTACAGCCCAATTTACTCACCCTTTTTGCAAGTTGAGATGCATTCTGTTGGACTGGCTTCTGTCTTCACATGAACAGTTAATTTGTTAAACGTTACATCAAATACATAAGAGACACATGCAAGATACAGGAAAGGCACTACCTTTGTGACCTCATTATTGGGATTCAAAAACCTTTTGAGGACAGATAGGCCAGCATCTGCACATACCAGGTTCAAATGAAAGTAAACACTATTCAAGACAGAACTGAAACAAAGCAGAACAGAGAGTACAGCACCCACCATATATGGATTCAAAACAAAGAAAATGTTCTAACCTCCACTCTTTTCTGGGTGAAATTGAACTGCATGAACATTCCCCCTTCTTATTGAAGCAATAAAATCCCCACCATAGTTGCATGTTGAGGATACCCATTCTTTGTTGTCATCAGACTGCAGCAGAATAAGGATGAAAATGGTTGCATGTTGTGATGGAAAGCAAGTGTTGAATGGTATCAATAAGTAATATGAAGACAATAGTTGATAAGTTACCGGTATTGCACGGTAGGAATGAACAAAGTAGACATGACGGCTCCCAACATCATCCAGAATTTGAGAATCTCTAGCTACTTGGATAGCATTCCAACCAATATGAGGTACTCTCAATCCATTTGATGAGTCAAAACGACCAACAATCCCGGGAATCAAACCAAGTCCTTGCACTGAGTAAAGAAGACCGTAAAAAATTTAGCTCTAAACAACAACAAGAATCAACAAAACACGCCACTGTGATATACACTTCAGCATATAAGTCCAAGTCTATCTCCATCATCAAGAAGCATGCAATACTGTAACTTTGTTGCAAGTACCAAAATATTTGACGTGTGGTATTTCTCTAGTTCAAATTTCAAAATTTGTAAAATCTGGTAAAGAAATGAAAAACAGCTTAAGATAATGAGGACTTTGCAATAACAATCCGCAAAAGAGAACAGGAATTGCCTGGTATTGGAAAGAATCATGATTTTTAAACGTCAACAAAGACTACTACAACCAAGTTCTTAGAATGATATATTACATTGTGTTACATGTTGACACGGTGACAAATATGGCAGTGTGAGATGAAATGAATAATTCCAATAAAAAAATTTACCTGGTCCATTTTCCTCACTTGCCTCAAAAAGCAGTTGCAACCCAAGACAAATGCCTAAAAATGGACGGTCTTGCTCAATGTATGAACAAAGTGCTTCACCCATTCTACAATAATTTTTGTATTAATCAGTGAATGGACTCTAAAGAAAATTCTAATGACAGCAAATAATAATCAGGTCTCACGCCAAACTAAAATTTGATCAGAAATATATGGCAAGTGGCAACAATAAAAGATGACACTGGTAAAAATTAATACAGTTAATTTCTTCATATAACAGACATTCAATCCAAATCGTTGGTTGACAGTTTCAAACTCAATACAAAATGTTCAGAGAAATATGTACACGCTCACCCTGTTTTGTTGAGCACGTCCATGGCTGGTGCGAATGCACCTACGCCAGGAAAAATTAAACGTTCGGCGCTCATGATGTCCTCTGGAGTTTGTACCTGAAAGCAGGATAATAGAAACAAAATAAATAAATAAATCATTACGAACTTTGAAATGCTAATGCCGGCATCCATGCCATTCAAATTAGTCAGTTTGATCTAAAAGTCGTAGAAAACAACTATTACATCTTTAATATCGTATCCAAGAAATCGGATTGCATTTCTGAGGCTCCGTACATTTCCAGCTCCGTAATCAAGCAATGTCACAACTGCAACAAAAATTCGAAACACATCGAGAAGAAAAGAAAATCCACCCTAAAAACCGCACAAGCTTTCTGCTCTTCACCAACACATCATATGTGCCGCCGCAACGCACGCGTAATAAATAATTTACAGCTAAAAGAGCGCACCAGAGTCCCCAGCAGCAGAAGCCGAGGCGCGAATTGAGGACGCCGCTCTTGGCAATTTGAATTTTAAAGGGTTAAACTGAAGCGACTGCGGAGAATGAGAACCGGAAGGCGACAAACACGAGGATGTGCTCTTCGAATAATGCGGAGAAGAAGTGAACGCCGCCGTTGCCGTTGCCGCCGCCTCCATTAGGTCAGTAGCGGTTCGTTCTTCCACAAGCTTTCGCCGCCGGTGCTCAATGCACACAACGCAAGTAGTCAAACATCTAGCTAGGCCCACGCGGTGGCTAATTGGGCTCGTCAAGGTATTAGGCTAAAATTAAATAAGTAGGCCCATTAAATAATGGCCCAAATAACTACAGTGAAATTGGACCTCTGTGTGTGAATTACTACAAGCTCTTTTTTATATATCAATATATTTTTTTTAAGATATCATATTAAATATATTTTTAATAAAATAATTAATTTTTAATTGTTACTAAATTTTAGCTTTAGAATTATTTGGAAATCTTTTAAATCTATTTTATAGTACAATCTTTTATGATTTTTTAATAAAAATTTAATATTTTCAAAAAATATAACAGTCTAGCTATTATTTAGATACAAATAGCATCTTCATTTTATGTTTATTTATACATAAATTTTGATATATATTATTAAAAAATATAATAAATGTGAATAACAATAAAACAAAAAATAATATAAAAATAAAAATAAATACAAAATATTATTACCTATAAAATTTGTGCAATTTATCATGACTCAAAATAAAATATTTAAAATTGTAAATTATGGACAAACGCACTAAAAGTCAAAGACTATTTGTTTTGATGTTCTGGTTTTGTAAATAGATAATTGAATCAAGTGTTACCCGCTACTCCGCTTGGTGTTATATTTTAGATTAAAATATACTCTCTCCGTTCCAAACAATATGTAATATTTTTTTTTTTCATGGATTTTTAGATGAACAGTATTATATAAAATAATTTAGAAATTAAGTGATGTGATAAAAAAATAAATGTATATTTTATTTTTCTATTTGAATGATGTGAGAAAAAAAAATATGAAAATAGAAATTAATTATAATTAATTATTTTTTATTTTAAAAATATTGCAGAATATTTGAGATATTAAAAATAAAAAATAAATAAAAAAATATTGCAGGTGTACGGGACTGAGGGAGTACATTTCTCTATATTAATTATCTAAGCATACAGTACGGAGTTAAATTGTCCATACAAGTTTTTGGACCACAACGGTATTGAATTGACTAATGAACAAAATAATTGGAGTAGACCTAGGGTCGGGTTTTACCATGGTTTCAGCTTGGGTTGACCTATATATTATAAAGCTATTCCTCTTCGGTGGATATGAATACTTGTATTTTTTTATAATTTAATTTATTATTTATTTGTTAATACATATATACATATATATATATAAAGAGAGAAAGCACTCAACGCCTACTTTATTTTCAATAATGATTTTAGTTAATATATATATTGAAAAAAATAAATAAACTAAGATAAAATATAAACTACAACAATAATTGAAAACATTTCATCAATCATTATAATATAGACAACTTCACAGTATACCAAATCAAATAAATGTAGCAATATTCTACAGCCTTTGTTAGTGGTTCAGATAAAACCTACACGCTGACTCCCAGATGTCAACTTGCAGAATTGACTAATATATATTTAATTAGAGATTGACTTTTTAGCTTTACAAACCCATCCATTATCTTTTCTGAGGCTTTTCAGATCAGATGCTTCGAGTCTTCTACGTTCACACCAGACAGAGACAAAATAGACCACTTCTCACTGTCTGAACGCGGCGGCCCGGTTTAATTTAATTGACTCTATACTAACCGGTCCCACAAAAACCCGAGTCATTCAATGCTTTACCGAGTCACACAACTCCGGTCTTCATCGTCTCGCTACTGAGTCAATGAGTCAACTCGGACCGGTTCTTCAACGCCGTCTGTATCTAACCTGTTTACGCAGTCTTCTTTAATTTTATTAAATTAAATATATATTTAAAAATCAATAAAAAAGTAAAATCCGTGCAATGAAAAATTTATAATTATATACTGATAAAATTATCATTGAATTAATAATTGCAATTCCAAATACAGAGTTACATTTTACATTTGTAATTTGCAATGGAAACGCAATGTTATCCCTCGCGTCTATAATCAGTGCATCTTCCGTCAAATCTGACGTTACAACGACGTCATCGTCAACGCTGATAATAGTAACGGAATCTGCAACAGTCGAACCGCCGTTACCCCTCACCGTTAACCAGTCTTCTTCCTCCTCTGTCCAGACTGCAAAATTCGACTCCGGCAGATTACCATCTCCGATCAATTCCCTAATTCTCACTGCCGGCGAGATATCATTTTCCGGCGGACCTCGAGAAGAATCCGACGCCTCCAAATCACTCCAGAAGCCTCCATCCACCACGCTAGTCGGAGTTCTCCTCGTAATCTCCCCAACTAATTCCCCGCAACCACAATTCTCCTCCACAGAATCCAAAAACGGATGCTGCAGAAGTTCGCCGGCCGTCCACCGTTCCTTGAAATCACGAATCAAACACTTGGAGAGAAAATCCCCGGCGTCGTCAGACAACCAGCTCGGAATATCCGGAACGTCGCCGGAATATCCGACTCTGTAGAGCACCGCCGCCGGATCCTTCACCCCCGGCCAGGGATTGGATCCGGTCGCCATTTCAATAACCGTGCAACCTAACGCCCAAATATCCGCCGCGAACCCCTGCTCCTCGCTGCGCGCGACTTCCGGCGCCATGTACGCCGGCGTCCCCGCTAACGCCTGCGCATCGGAATCGCCGCGTCCCAACCACCTCGAGCACCCAAAATCGGCGATCCTCAATCCGCCGTCACCGGCGACGAGAATATTCTGCGGCTTGACGTCGCCGTGCACGATTCCCTTCCGGTGGAGATAATCCAATCCGCAGAGCAACCGCCGCAAGTAGAACCGAATAGCGCTTTCTTCGAGACGCCCGCCGCGCTTTTTAATCAGATCAAAAAGCGTGCCGCCGGAAACGTACTCCAAAAATACATTAAAAACGTGTTTCCCATTTTCGCGCGAAATATCTGAGCCGAAGCACTTCACGATGTACGGACAGCACAGCTGCGAAAGCAGAGACTCCTCCCTCTGCAGCGGCGCCGCCGAGTAGACGTCCGTCGACTTCACGGCGAAGGTTCCGCCGCCGCCGGTGGTGGCGAGAGACACCGTGGCGGAGGAGCCGCGGCCGATTGGAGGACCCCTTGTCCAGTCCATTGAAGAGAATAAAGAAGAAAAAAAATGAAGAATTAGCTTTAAAAACTCCAACTTTAGGTATTTATAAGCATACGCTTGTTTGGCATGGAGTATTTTGTCTGGGTGCAGCGAATGGTGACGGCAGTTTAATTTTTATATCTGAAATATAATTAAGAATAACGGACTTTCTATTTTATTTTAATTTTGAAGTATTCTTGCGAGTGTGAAACGTGGGAGGACTACTTTAAGTGGAGTCACACACGTGGCGGCAGGCGATAAGCCGAAATCGCTACGCCGACGGTGGACGGCGCGTCGCTGACCTTCGAATGAAGTCACGTGGACACACGGTGACGCAAGCCGCTGACCGCCATTGTCATCGTTGGTTACGACGCCATGAAAAACACGACCACTGCACAATGGAAACGCGACTTTAACGTCACAACCGAAATTTAATTTTATATATAAATAAATAATTTAATTTTCAAAATATATTGATGAATTATATAAACCTATTTTAGACTATATACTAAGTTTATTAAATTACACTGTTCACCTAGGGTGTATTTATTTTGTGAAATATATTGTCTAAATAGTAAATCGAACTTATTATTTTCTCCAATAAAATAGAATATGTTTTTATAAAAACTATATATTGTATAATAAAAAATCAACAAAAACTTACATAGTAATCTAAATAGAGCTCTACTGATTTTTCTTGATAAAATAGTAATCAGGGTTTATGAATTACGGTTTCACTATAATAAAATATTGATTGTTTTTATTATTATCATTCAATGAATTGAGCGGATACATTTTCCCTGTATTTTTATTCAATGTACTGCCTTTTCATTGTTGTTGTAGCAGTAGTTTTGATAGATGAAAAGACCTCAATTTATGTTAATAACCTTACATCATTATAATTATGTTTAATAATTATAATAATTTATAACTATCAATTTCTCACAATACATTAGTAGGTTCTTGACCACCCATTTAAATAAGTTTGTTCAATGAAGTCATGTAGATATTTAGACTTACCAAACATTAGGACTAATAAGAGACCTAACCACACATTAGCCATAACTTTCAGTTCTTTAAAGTCATTTCTCCAAATCATGGTGATTCACTATTCGTGGCAGAAATTTTGCACAAAAAAACAAATAATAATAATAATAATAAAACAACCTTTAATCTCCATTTAGATAAAATTTTATTGCGTGTTTATTTTGAGATTCTTGAGGACTTTTGTTATTCCTTCAAAAAATTTCTTTTAAAAATATCAAATCACAAATACTTTATTTTTTATTTTTACACTTACTCAAAATCAATTTTACATAGTAAGTCAATGACAATTCTAATACAACTTTTAATTTGTTTTAAATGTAATTTCACAAAGTTTAAGTTCTATACTAAAGAAAGGGTGATAGTATACACATCTTATACATATAAATGAAATTTTATGGTGAAAATATTCACCAATGTAACATAATTATAGAAATTAACATCTATATCAGTTTTACTACTAAAAATCTTTGAGATTTCATACGTATATGAGACACTATGAGCAAAATAATAATAAAAAAAATTGTTTCCAAAAATTGAACAATAAATATAATAGTTTGTTGACCTCCCTTACCTTTGACACAAATGAAGCTTTATGATCTTTTTGAAGGTGTCTTCTGTGGTTCCGTTGTGCCGGAGAACTTGCAGGCGACAGCAGACCGCTAAGACTTCGTAAGGTTTCAGATATTCAAAAGCCTCCGGGGATCTGTCATAATCCTTGTGGAACAAAAAATTCGGAAAAACCACTTACTATTGGATCTGTGAATTGAAAAACTATAATTATTTAAGGGACAAGAACATAGATGCTAGTGGTTAATGTTTCACCTTTTCTGTTACAATTACAATTGGTTTAGTACCAAACTTGGACTCAAGAGCTCGGAGTCGTGCTTGAACCATCTCAATATCCTAAGGCATTATAAAGCATGTGATTTTGTGTAAACTTATAATTATGAGCATCCAAATGGCGCTTGAAACAAATTACAAAGGGTCAACTGGTAAGAAATCGAGTACCTTTAACTGAAATTTATGATGGTCGCTGAAATCTAGGCGATCCACATGTGCAGGTCCCAACTGCAAAGAGTTGAAAGTTTGATGATGGTGTTGCTCTAAGAATCCAAAAATGGCGTAAATTCACACGTAAGGACATAAAGATACAGTACCCTTTCAATCCTCTTGATGAAGGAATCGGCAGAACCAATGCCTGAGAGGCATAAAAATACTGTAGCAGCTACGGCATTCAGTGGCATTTTACGGGCAGTGTCTTGACACGAGAAGAAGTTTATTGGCGCCATTTTGGTGTGGAATATTGGAACAGATTCTTGGACTTGCAGAATTGTTGATTCCAATGCATCAACATCTTCTTCCGGTATCTGTACGAAATAGGAGCATTTTTACAATTTCTAGTTCAAATAGCTATTGTAAATATGAATCTATGAAATAATCAATGGAAAGGCATAAAGTTCGACGGGCAGAGATTCAAGCTTTCAATACCAAATCTGCGTGATGTATGACGACAATGTTGGCTCGGCCAAGTGCAGTTAAAGGTTCTCTTAATGGCCCAAGAGGAAGCAAATGATGATTTCCCCATGGCATCAGTGCATTCACCATCACAATCTCCAGGTCACGCTGGATGCTTAGATGCTGTCTTTCAAATGTATACATTTTCTCATAAATAAATTAAAATCTCACCTTATTTCAAATTAAATTGAGCATCATATTCCTATTTCTAACAAGGCAAGTTCGGGACTTAGAGAAAGCATCAACTATATAAGCATTAACACCATATAGTAACAAGCACCTGGAAATTTTCAGTCATACCTGCATCCCATCATCCAGGATAGCAACACCAATTTGACTAGGGGTAGATAAAGATTCAGATTTGGTCCCGGTAAAGGGTCTATCCGTAGCACCATTAAAAGCCGCACAACCATATCTTTCTAGGAATCTAGATGCAATAGCTGCGCGATTTGCACCTACTCCAACTTTTGCCGATGTACCTTGCAATTGCCTCTGAAGCATTTTAGCTTCGTCTGCGCCACCATAACCCTGAAATAGAATATAATCTCAATATCCCAAGGACAAAATAGAACATATCAGACTTACATGCATAAATACATAAACGTGCGCAGGGAAAGATTTCTAGTTGTTGGCTGAATATCATTATAGTCTCACAAAACAGTGTCAATTTTGTGTTAATCTTTTAGCCGGTATTTACTTTAATCCCAGTAAATTGAAACTTCCTTGCTAAGGTTGAGTTGGGAGAAGCCCTTCTGGTAACTAAGAAGTTTCAACTGGAGTCAGATTACACAAGGTTTAACTCCTACAGATTTTTAGTCATGAAAATAAATGGAAATGACAAGAATCATATGCACAGCAGTAACAACAGGCAGATATGTGAATATAAAGCATTTGAAAATGCCGAACCCCTAAAATCATATTTCGAAGATCTAAATTGTTAGCTTGCCCTAACTGATTATGGAAAAAAACTGTTAATTCATACAGTGAAAAAAATAATAATAAACTCTAAAATACTTTGTATGCATATTCACGCTTCAACTAGTGCAATTGTTTTCTCAATTTGATCATTTTTACAGAAGACAACTCGAAAATGAGATCCTTCTGCGGGAAAAAACCAATAAACAAACCCTAGTAAGAATGAGAGGTGAGATTCCATCATCAGCAAAAGCGCGCGCCAGGAATTCCACCATCGGAGTCTTCCCATTGCCTCCCCACGTCAAATTTCCAACACTAATCACCGGAACTGGCAACCTTCACCAACATTTCGAAATAATAAATTAGCAGAAATTCATCAAACAAGAGAACCAGCCAACCAATTCGACTTAAAACCTAACATCCATTTTATCCCCAAAAATTCAACAATTTCGCTCGGAGCTCTTCCTAGTTAAAAAATGAACATCACAGACGACTAATATCCGCTTCCATTTATTCCTTCAATCACATTAGATACAGAAAATAAATCACCTGTGCTTGCGGAGAACTCCCAAGATGTAGAGATAGTGGCGGAGGCGCACGGCGGCGGAATAGAGAGATGATACGAGTGAGAGTAGTGGAATCAGAGAGAGCTCCGAAGCGGAGAGATTGGTGAGCCAAAGGCGAGGCGGGATGGAAGATATTCGCGACACCGCCATTTTCAGTTTCTCCATTTTCAAACAAGGAAGAAAAGAAACCGACCGAATCGCCATAGACAAACCCAATTCAATCATCAATCGTCATTAGCCTAATGGGCCTTTCAAATGGGCTTGTTAGTATAGGCCCATTATATAATGGGCTCATTCTTACTGACGAGCTACTAATTGTGTGTATTATATACACCTGATTCCTAAATTAATGGGCCCATGCTCAAGAATGAATATGAGCGTGGTGGTTGGAATTTTTTTTAGATTTTAAAGGGTTCCAAATATTTGGAGATTTTTTGAAATTTAGATATTTGGAAAAAATAAAAAATAGTATTTGATTTGATGTTTTATGAAAAAAAAATATTTACTTTGATGTGATATTTTTTTTAAAAATAAATAATATCAAATTAAAAATATATTATGTAGATAGAGTCTTTATTATTTATATTTCCTCCGTTTTTATCATTTACGTCTTTGATATTCAAAAACAAACACACGCTAAGAATCTTGAGAGGGGAATTGTTAAACTCCGTTGAGTGGTTAAATGGATGAAGATTGAAGGGAATTTATTTACAAATTTGCCTTAAATTTAATTTTCTATTATTATTATTATTATTATTTTAACTTTTTCATTCAAATTTATTTAGTTGTAATTTAAAATTAATTTTAAATAAAATTTTAAATTTTTAAATAATATTTTAATATGGTATTTTATGAGATAAAATAGTGCAAAATAAATAGAGATAAATGACTTTCATTTTTTTATTTTTTCCTCTAAATCATATATTTTTGCTATTTTTTCTTGCCTCTTTCCTACATTCAATTTTAAAAAAGCACAAAGCTCATTTCGGATAATTGATCACAATAATATTTTGACCTGTCAAAATCTAAGACTCTGTTTACATAATCAATTCGAATTCATTTGGTATTATTATTATTTTAAAAATATTACATTATATATATATTTATATTATAAAATATCAAATTTAAATTGACTTTTTACTATATTTTTTAAAATTTTTAAAATTCTATGTGGAAACAGAGCCAATAAACCTATTTGAACACGATTTTCAGTTGATAACAGAAACTTTTGAGAGTTTAACAAAACAACTGAAATAATACTCTAAATCAACATAATTAGGATTTGTTTGTTTTGTTAAAAACCAAAACATATTTTTTTCAAAATAATTAATATATTATATACAATATTTTTTATAACTCAAATATAAAAACTTCTTTCAAATCATTTTAAAAAATAATTCTTTAAATTTTCCTTAGCAAAAACTTTTGAAGAATTTTAAAATAATAAATAATACTACTAAAGTTTCATCATAAATGTATTATTTTATATTACGTCCGTTTTTTTTTTTTTAAAAAAATCGTTTTATAATTAAGTAATTATACTATTGGCTTAACATAATAAATACTATTATAATTTAAAAATAGAGATACAATTATTTTTATATAAAATAAATTATAATAATTAAAATATTTTATATTTTTATTTATAAATTAGTACAGTATTAATATTAAAAATTTTAAAAAATAAATAATAATTTTTTTTGGAAATAAAAAAATATAATATTTTAAAAAATATATATTTAATTTGATAAAAGAAAAAGGTTAATACTAACAAAGTAGATTAGTATTGCATAAACATAGCCTTAAATGTCTATTTTGAGCAACACCGCAGTTCAAATAACCTACTCGGACTGGGAGACGGACAACCGCACAGCACAGTAATAATAATAATAATAAATGTCAGAATCAGTAAGTGGCCCCCACACAGAGCTAAAATCCAGTCGACGCGCTTCGTGTTGACCACGCGCGGCGACCAGGGCACACACCAAAAATCTACGGAGTAAAATCCAGATGTCATAAATGCGCCATCACGGGCAGCAGAGAGCGGGCAGCGGGTAGCCGTCACTCTCAGCCACTCGCTCCGCCCCGCCCTTCTTTCCGTGCCTAAATAATATTTTGGCATTCTATCCGAACCCAGGTGGTTCGGAGTCAGGCTCGGACCACCCAAAGACTTTTTTTGAAACGAAAAATAATTAGAGATAGAAAGCTAAAGGCGACGGCCCAATGGACAAAGGCAAAGGCAAACCAGCTGGCACTGGCAAAAAACAAAAGCTGAAAAAACAAAAGGTATTTTGAAAAAAATGGCGAGAGGAGTGGGTGCGCGAGGGTTTCCGATTTTCTAGAGAGAGAGAGAGAGAATATTGGATTGGAGAGAGAGAGAAGCCGAGGGAGGTGCGGCTGGAGAAGAATCCCGAAAAGGATGGGTCAGATCGTGAAGCGGAGGAGGAAAGGAAGGCCACCGAAGGTAGATCTTGCTGCTAGGGAGCATCGTGAACCTGACTCCGACCTCCGACGAAGCCTCCGCCGCCGGAATGTGAAGTACGTCTTCGACCTCGACGACTACTTCGACGAGGACGAGTTCTTCGCCGATGATGATGAGGAGCGGCGCCGAAGAGAGAAGAAGCTCAAGCACTTGCTCAGCGCCGGGGAGGCGGCCGAGTCAACTCCTCGGAAGGCTGGAAGGCCTCGGCGCGTGGACCACGCGCCGGCCACTTCGGCATCTTCGTCCGACGGCGGGAAGCCGTGTAAAAAGCGGAAAATCGATGAATACGTTTACGAGGATATGGACTGCGAAAATGAAGATGGTAATGGCGGAGAAAATTCTATTGACGAAGATGACGAAGAGGTGATTATCAATCAGTTTATAATTGTTTGGGTGTGCAAGTGTGGAAGTGGAAGTGCCCCTAAATTGGAAAATTAATTAATCGAACATTAGCCAATAGGCAACAAACCGCAGCCATGGTGGAATTGGGGCTACTTTTTACCATAAGTGCTGCACTGATTGCATATATAATTTAGGCGAAGTGGGAAAATCTCCAGCTCATCCAGAGCTGAAATCTGATTATTAATATATCTTGTTGGTCCAGCATCTCTGTGGTATGTATGTATAGGCCACTGATGGAACGGCGTCGGTGGGGTTTGTCTCTGTGTGTATCTATATCTATATATATATATGTCCATCTGGGCGTGTGCAGCATCGACGGTTGGGTCAACTGTCACAAAAAACTAACCCCCACAAAATCTGATGATGCTTCTACTTTCTCACCCATTCTCTCTCTAGAGCTCACAAACAGACATGGTATTATAGTGTACGCATGTTGTCTGCCTTCGTTTTCTGTCTCTGTCTGATAGGCATGCCGACTTTTGCTCCCCTAAGCTGCCAGCGGAGAGGGGGTAGCGTTTCGAGTAGCATTTATTAATAGATAATTCTGTGTTTCTCAGGTGGGCACTTATTATTTTATGAGTTAATTAATGACAATGGTGATTTGGACAGGTTAGAGAAGGAAAGCCAGAACACAGGGTTGAAGATTCATCTCCAGGTCTGCCTTTAATTTCTCATGTGTTTTTGGAATATTTTGGTTGCACTTACCACTGTAAAATAATGGTGGGTTTTTTTGTTGAAACCATTTAATGTATATGATTGATTACAGGGACCCTACTGGCCGAGTCCGAGGTTGAGGCTCCAGCAGGGCTACCGCTGCCAGATGAGAAGGCTTTGGAGTTGATCTTGGATAAACTTCAGAAGTGAGTGATTTTTCTGTATGTATGGATTTATTTGTGGGATTATGATACTTAAAGTTCTTTGGCTTCATTTCAAGCAGGAAAGATATTTATGGCGTATATGCAGAACCGGTTGATCCCGAAGAGGTAATTGGCAATTGTTTAGGGAGTGTATGTCTTGTGTTTCAAAGACTTCTCTCGGTCTTGGTTTGTAAATATTGGTTAATTAATTGATGTGTAGCTTCCGGATTATCATGATGTGATTGAGCATCCAATGGACTTTGCCACGGTGAGGAACAAGCTGAGAAATGGGTTGTATGTAACCTTTGAACAGTTTGAGGTGAGTTCTGCTTTTCTTGATTTTGTCATTTTCTAATTAGGTTATATATATATATATATACACTGAGGAGAGGGTATGCTAGCTCAGTTAGTTTCTTACCAGTTAAGCTTAAACTGATGGCCTAAATATGCTTCCATCCTTTAAATATCAATGTCATCATGTTACAGCTTCTGATTTTGGTATTTGTGAGGGATCAATTTAATTGTTACATTGAGTCATTATTCTTTGTTGATACCTGTCAAGCTGGTACTCATTGGAATTGATATTGCTCAAATATTATAAATGATTTCAGATATTGATTCTCTATGTTCGTTTTTCAACTTTTTAGGCAACATTATGTGATTTGTTTGTATCCAAATTGTAAGAACAGCACCTTCATCTGATCTTGTATGCTTTTCAGCCATCTTTATTTCTGGGTTTTAAAGTGCTAATTGTTTGTCTGTGTTTCCCTATTTATCTGTTTAATTAGTATTTTCTAAAATTGCTATGATGAGGCATCTAAATATTTACCAATGTTCCCCAAAAGAGTCTTAACGCTGTTTTTGCTTGTTTTATCTTGTTTCTTGTTACATACATGTCTTTTTGGGACCTCTACGAAGTGAAACATATAACTCCTTTTGCTTCTATTTTTCCAGCTAAATGGAATTTTTTTCTTTTGTTTCTTGTCGTCCAGTTGGTAGTTCTTGCCAGAAAGTATCTTGCATGCTTCCCCTTTATCCTGTAGTTATTATTTCTTATTTATATTTGGTTCAAATCAGTGTTATTCTAATGTGTTGATTTTATTTTATTTTTGACACAGAGTGATGTTTTCCTTATTTGCTCAAATGCAATGCAATACAATTCGTCGGACACCATATACCATAAGCAGGTAAATGTTCACGCAAAACTTCACATTTTTTACTCCATGTAAACTGTGGATTTATATCTTTTCATTTGTGAAGGCCCGAGCAATTCAAGAGTTGGCAAAAAAGAAATTTGAAAAGATAAAGATGAACACGGAACAATCAGATAGAGAGGTGAAACCTGATCAGAGAATGACTTCTGGTTCAAATTTGAAGAAACAAATTAAAAGATCCGTGAACCGGCCACTTCAAGAACCTCTTGGCTCTGATTTCTCATCTGGAGCTACACTTGCATCGACGGATTTCCAGAATGTTGCCAATGCACCCCAAGCTGTTGGATGTGAGAAACCTAGCACTACTGAAGGGCATGCTGAGGGAAGTTCTTTCTTGAATGGTAATAATATTACCGACAAAGTGGAAGAACCTGGTCCAGGTACTTCAAGAATCCAAGTTAATATGACAAATAACTCAGAACTCTAAACTTATTAAATCTTGGCTAATAGCTATCTTGTTTTGCATATCAGTTTTTGTCTTTCCTGATTACTTTGGTTTTTTGTAGGTAAGGTTCTGCTGTCTCGACTCAGTCGGAAATCAAATGTACTGGATGAAAACCGTCGTGCAACGTACAACACACAACTCTCTGAGCCTGTGGCGAGCAGAGAGTCTCAATCCTCAACTTTTGAGGGGGAAACCAAGCAGTTGGTACCTGTAGGTATCATTAGTTTTACATCTTACATTTTATCAAGGAGTATCGTTTCACCGGCTTTGTTTCAATGCTCCTCTACCAGGTCGGACTTTACTCAGATCATTCCTACGCACGGAGCCTGTCTCGTTTTTCTGCTACTCTTGGATCTTTTGTCTGGAGTTTTGCTTCCAAGAGGATTGAACAAGCATTGCCTCAGGGATACAAATTTGGCCGGGGGTGGGTGGGAGAATACGAGCCTCTTCCAACTCCTGTAGTGTTTCTGGAAAACTGCAACATAACAGAACCTCCTTTTTTGGCAAAACAACAGCCCGTTAGTGATTATGGAAATTTTTCCAAGAGCGCGAGGAATTCCGACTCTTCCAGAGAGTTTTCTGGTAATGGAGCTTTTCAGGAACAAAGTTTGCCATTTCTTAGTTCTAGTGGCATCAGGCCATCTTCAACTTCAGTAATCCCTGCCCAGCAAATCAGAGGAAACACTACAGAAATGAAGCCACCGTTCTTTTTGGCATCCGGGGCTAAACCCGATGCTTCTCCTAGTCAGAGTCACCAGCATCAAAATTTCAGGGGAAGGGAATCTATCGATTCTGAAAAGAAGTCTATAAAGCAGGTTGAGTTAAATGGTCCTCCACCTTCGTCGAACATGAATGCTGCTAAACGGCTCGGAAAGCCGATTACAAAGAGGATGGAATTGGACTCCTCCAGGCCTTCAGAGTTCCCGTCTACCAACAAATTTTCGATGTCTGGATCATTTAAACAACCGGATGGTAATGGAATTGTTTTTGGAGGATTACAAGAAGGAAAACTCATTGCTAATAGAGTGGATGGTAACACAGCGGCAAATTCATCCTCCGATTTGGTTAAACCGACTAGCTATTATCCCCACGAACAGGGTCGGGTTCAGGGTCCAGGTCAGGGTCAGGGTCGCAGCAATCCAGTCCAGTTGAAGCAGATGCCGGGAGAAATTGCTCGAAGTCAGCAGAGTGCTCCTCATGTTATACCTTCTGCTCCTTCCTCGATTGGCAATAATTCAAATAATGCTTCTTTAGCAGCTGCGCGAGCATGGATGTCTGTCGGGGCAGGAGGGCTGAGACCAGCTGCTGAAAATGCGAATATTAACAAGAACCAGGTATACGTTGATCCACCTTACCACACATCCCGTGACATGGCATCACAAGTGTCTTTGCAGTCTAGAGGAGAGTTCCCGCCAGGAATCTATGTTCAGACAGACAAGAATAGTTCCCAAGCTCGAGCATTCGGACATCAAGGGCCGATACCTATTATGCCAAGCAATCAAATGCCTTTTCAGAATCAATGTATGGTTTATCCGCAGTTGGCGACCACCGCTGATCTGTCGAGGTTCCAGCTGCAATCGAATTGGGGGAATCTTACTCCGCAAATGGTTTCAAGACAGAAGCAAGAATCCCTCCCGCCCGACTTGAACATTGGTTTCCAGTCTTCAGGGTCCCCCGGGAGACAATCTTCCACCGTCCTGGTCGACTCACAGCAGCCCGACTTGGCTCTACAACTCTGAAACTTAGCGGAGTATTTATGAAATTCTACGAGAAGTACGACTGCCGACAGCTCGTGAAAGGGTGAAATATTCATGAAGCAACACTAAGTCGGGGCAGCCGCTTCATCTAATCGTAAAGCTGACCCGTTCGTTCGTTCTATGAATTATTCAGGTTATTCGCTTGGCGCCGAAGATAGGCGAAACTGATGCAGCAACGGCGCGACCTTGCAGTGCAATGTATGTTCATTTCGATGAGAGCTGTAAATTGGTGAGAGGTAACCGAGATTTGCTCTTCCTTAACTATTTCCGGTGTCGATTGTTCGATCCTCTTTTTAAATCCTTTCCTATGCTGCTTTCGCTCGTTATTATGAATGGCTGGTGATGCTCTGCCTGTATTGATTTTGTTCTCCCCCATTTTAGGACATAAGATAAGAGGTTTAAGGGAAGAAGAACAATATGTTATTAGATAGATGATGAGGATGATATTGATCTGAGGGTAATAATAATTCGATTGATTATGGGGAAGGAATGAATGTTTTGTAAAGTATTTTAGATGCCTGCACGCATGCATGTTCTCCAGATATCTGTCTATCTATCTATCTATTCTAATTAAACCTTTCATCACATTTACTATGTATTGTTGGCTTTGCATAATTGTTTAGTACTGCTACACATATCTTATGTTATAAGTTCAACGTCATTATTTGCCAGGAATATATGTATTGTTGAGGCGCAAGTAATTGTATGGTATGATATATAATGGGTTTATTTATTTGTATTATTTCTTAATATTTTATAAGGCAAATCTTTTCATTTAAATAATGCAGATAATGAGTGGGACATATTAATTAAATGCCAATTTTTTATTTTTTTTATTTAGTATTCTATACAAACTATCTGCTGTCAACTCAATAAAAATATCACTGGGTGTACGTATCTTTACAGCCCTTTCTTGACACGGATATCATATTTAGGGGCGATCAGTTGGATTTGGGCTTGGAACTTATCTAAATATTTTATTTTTTATTTTTTAAAATAATCAATTCGAACTTAAATTTAAAATTCGAATAAGAAAATCTGAACTGAACTCAAAATAATTTGAATTTTGAATTTTTTTATATTTTTATAATATTAAATATATATTTACAAAATAAATTTAATTATATAATATTTGGTTACATTACTCAATTAAATATAAATATATATATATATATTTATTTTTCGTCTTAATATTTAATTTTCAATTCATTTTACTTATGGGGCTTTTGGTAGAATTAGAATTAATTCTCGTTGTTTGGGAGAATAGAATTCAATTGAGAAATATAAAAAAAAAAAAAATTAAAATCTGACAATAATAAATAATTAATCTAACAAAAGAGAGTGTTAGTAGGTAAAAATTATATATTATATACTAAGATCATATTTTAGTATAATTTTTTAAAAAGAAATTGTAAAAAATTAAATACTTGAATGATAAATTAAATATATTTTTATAAAATTAAAATAATATTATATAAATAATTATAAAAATTAAATAAACAAAAAAATAAAAAATAAAAAAATTATATACTGCAATATCATTTCTCTCAATTTTTCCAAATATCTCAAAATATAGAAGAAAAATAAAAAATAAAAAAAATAAATTTATTTCTCAATTTCGTTTATCTTACTCAAACAAATAAAAAAAATAAAAACATTTCCATTTCTATTCCACTAATTTTCTGTACCAAATACACCCACAGTATACACTTAAATTTTTATAAAATATGATGACAATAAGTGATAAATAAATAATAAAAAAACTATGATCACATAAATTAATTAATAAACAATTTAAAAGAAATATCTCACATTATAAAACCATAAAATAACTAAATAAATTCATTCATTCATATCAGCACACGCGCCTGGCCCGGTCCACATAGTGGCGTGGGGATCACGTCTGTAATGCTTGTTTTCTCTACACTATTAAATGAACAAACGTATACGTAACCTATTCAATCTTCCCTTCCCTTGTCACTGTATACGCACGCTCGATCAATCGGTCGATCGCTCCAAAAGACTCGTCTCGTCCTCCTCGATCGGACTCTAATTTCTGATTGCTCATCGCAGGGTTCCATGGCGAAAAGCTCCTTCAAGTTGGAACATCCCTTCGGTATATTCGGGCGCCCGATCGTTATTGATCCTGTTATTTCTGAACTTTTGAATTAATTCACGGGGAACTTTTGTTTTACGGAATCACTAAGTTTCGAAATCCTGATGCGATTATTGTTGATTGAATCACGTGTCTTTGAAAGTTATACGGTCCGGGATGTAGTAGAAGCTTCTTATTATGGTGATTGCTGTTTGATGTGGTCTGGTGGTGGTTTAGCGGTGTTTGATGATCGGATTTGGTGTTGAAATGATGGAAGTCGATTTCCTTGTTAGTTCTCTGTAGTCTGTATTATAAGAAGGATAAGAGAGAATTATGAAGTTTTCCACTATGCATGTGATGAACTTTTTGCCCCTTTGTGATGCGTTCGTGTCGCCTTTGAGTCTGTGAATAATTTAGTTTGTAATTACACGACGTTGGTTTTCTTTTGTGTACATGATGATTCTTCAATCAAGCTTTGGATGGATATATATATATATATTAAATATACAAAGTCAATTGAACTTGCCCAGCTTCAGGGCCTTAAGTATGACTAATTTTCTACTTGGGGACATTGATGTTCATTCAAGTGCTGAATTCAGTTCCCAATGTTATGTTTCCGTTTGTTTGTCGACGATTCTCATTGCGGTACTGTGTTTACATTTTGCAGCTAGGCGTAGTGCTGAATCTGCTCGTATCAGGGAAAAGTACCCGGATAGAATTCCGGTATTTTTAACTGAATTTCACAAGTGCCAAGCACCAAACTCTTTAATCGAATTTCATTGTCCTTTTCTATTTTTCCATTCCCTAATTTGTCTCCTGGTGTAGGTTATTGTGGAGAAGGCTGAAAGAAGTGATATTCCTGACATTGACAAGAAAAAGTCAGTCACAGTATATTATTTTCTGCAATCCTTTCATATGATCCAGTTGGGTTTGTATGGTTTCTGTAGTTAAGGTTTTCTTGGAAAAAGATTTAGGCACTTCTCTTACTCCTTTTACTCATTTCAACTCTTTTACTCATTTTAACTCACTTAGGCTAATTTTAAATTGTTTGCTGAACTTGAAAATTTTACTTGTTGGAAACTCCGGTTGATGCATAAGCTAAGGAGATTATAGTTACAAATATGTCAAGAACATACAAAATGATCTTTTGGGTCTTCATATTTGGGAATATAATGTTTTTCGTTTGTTTTGGCGATGAATGTCAACCTGCTTACCATTACTGCTAATTGGTCATAGTCTAATGATGATGCTTGAAATGAAAATTGCAGATATCTAGTTCCTGCTGATCTGACTGTTGGACAATTTGTATATGTCGTTCGCAAAAGAATTAAGCTCAGTGCTGAGAAAGCCATATTTGTCTTTGTTAAGAACATTCTCCCCCCGACCGGTAAGTATAAACTTAGGGTGTGTTTGTTTAAAGGATTTGTCTCAAATCCTACTGTTCATCCAATTTTTTCCTCCCAAAAACATCGAATCGAACACCTATTTTTTATATTATACTAAAAATTAATTTTACATTCAAAATATAACATCACCACCTATTTATATCACATCATACAACTATTACAATTCAAAATTTTCACTATTCAACTCCCAACTCAAAATCCAATCCCTCAAACAAACACACCCTTAAGCACACATTGATCCTTACCTGAGCTTACTATATTTTCTTTGGCTTTGCAGCTACAATGATGTCTACAATCTATGAGGAAAATAAAGATGAGGATGGATTTCTGTACATGACTTACAGTGGAGAGAATACTTTTGGATTTGTCTGAAATTGTTTGAGCAGAACTTTATTTGCAGTCCAACAACAACTTGTAAATACACTTTAATTTCGTATATGGTTTCCTTCTTAAGAATTGCTAAATCGTATTCCTGTTGACTTTTCGAGTACATTTTCTACAAACTCTGTTCAGTATCGTTGAAATACATGGTTACCTTGTTCAAAAACCCTTGCCATCTGTAATTTGTTGGTTTCCAGTACTTTTCTGGTTACATGCATAATCTGCACCTGAACTCATCTTACAAATTACCACGAGCATGAATGCATGTATGTTACATATCCTTTGTTATAATTGAGGAATAAATAAGGTATGCCTCGAAGTTGCAGTTTTAGAAGTTTGATTTATTTTTTTACTTTTAATACTCCAGCCTTGAGTAAGATCATGAAAATTATAGAAACAACATAGAAAATAAACTACAGAATTATTAATGTATTCAAGTCCTCAATGATACAACTCACACTACTGATGGTACTAACTTCCCCAAAATCGTCAAAATCGTGGTACATGTATATGTATATATATATATTTATCTAATCTTGTTTTCTTGATGCCTTACTGAAAAAAAGAAAAAAAGAAAAAAGTATCAGTTCTAGAAGAAAAGGTTAAAGATAATCTGTAACAGTCAATAATGGCTGGGATGGGGGTGACATTTGGAGTGTACCCTGGCCCATGTCAAGTTCACTATAAGCTTCTATATCAGGAATCTCGACGCAGTTGTTACTCCATTCTAGCAGACTGGATAGTTCTTCAGGCATCATGATCGTGTGGTCATGTTCCTGATTTTGCTTCCATTTGTTTCCTAAGTAGTTTATTATTGTCGTACAATATGCACAAAAAGGATTATTTTGTTTTGGCTACTATATGAAAATGTATATGTAGAGATAGATATTGCTAGAAAATTCACCTGCATTCCCATTCCCTGAGACTCTGTCCCAATCATTGGATTCCAATGATTGGGACATCAAGACTGGATTGAAAGCTGACTCGGATGTGTTTGTTCGTTGTGGCTGGAGGTATCCCACTTGTGTTTCGGGCCAAAAGTTCTCTATCAACAAAACAACCTCTTGTTTACAGGTTTCTCCTGATGGATATCCTGTTGTCTCTATGCCTCCATCAGGGGTCTGGGTGCTATTTTGTTCGCCTGCGGTATATTCGTGTTCCAAACCACCCACCAAATACTGCGACTCTGCGCGGTTGGCTGCACCGTGTTGTTGATGTGGTGATAAAGTGTAGTTGAAAAGCTGTGACGTCTCTACCAATTTTCTACTATCAGGAGTTTGAAGGGAAACTTGTTGACCTCCCGGAGGTTCTTGTTCCAAGATATGCTTACTTTCTGTACTGCTGGAATCTAGCTTCCGGGCTTCACAGCATTCGTTAAACAGCAAGCTTGATCCCCAGTGTCTCAACGGCTGGGGTGAAGTTTCTTCTTGAAAGGTTTGAACAGTGAACTCTTCACCTGCTATATATCGCTTGGTTCCTGTATGACTGTATTCTTCCCAATTAGCTGCAGGATATTGTTGCTGTAAATTTCCGGGATTTGATGTTTCCATCAGGTTGTTGTTCATGAAACTACTTTCTGTAAGTTTCCTTTCGATCACATTGGAAAATTCTGGTGCACTGATATTCCTGTAGTTCACCCCATCATGCTGAAAATAGGTCATTTGACTACTTCCATTACTGGATTTTTCTACCATGGGTGCAGTACTTTGGCTGTAGACCAGACCAAATGCACCTACAAGAAGGGGATATCTCTCCGAGGATGACAGGTATTCAATCCTTGCTCCTTGACCGAACACATCCCCTTCCCAGAGAATTTCCTGCAATGAATTCGAATATTGATTGGATAAACCTCCTGTTGTTGAGCATGCTTCTGTGTATTTACCATCAGGGAATTGAGACGGGCATGGTTTAACAACCCGGAAATCTGAATTTTCAGAATTTTTACTGTCTCTCTTCTGCTGTGCCTCCATGTTTTCATGTGTGTAATCGACGCCCTTGGAATCATCTATAGTTTGGAGCTTGGGCACATCTTGTGAGCTTGTGAATTTTGACATTTGAATTGCATCATTTTGTGCTGTGGCTTTCTTATGCATATCTTTCGTGATCAAGTTCTTGGGGGGTGCATTTGCTCTTAACATGTTGTGATCGGAATTTGTCGTTCTTGAGTTTCTCCTGCATGATAAGGATTCGTTTACTGTGCTTATTTTGCCCATAAGGTTGTCGACGAGATTTTCTGTTTTTATTTCGTCACTTTCCTCTGAATATCTGTTGAAGGAACTTTGTTTTGTCGAATAATCTGCCAGCCTTCGCATCTGCAACCTTTTTGTTAGAAACCTTACTCTTGCTTCAGCTTCCATGAGTTCATTCATTAATGTGCTGTCGGATTCAATGTCAAGTGCAGCGGCATTTGGAGGGTTGGCGTGATTAATATCAAGATCGATTGGTTGAACTGCTGTCGAATCCTTGATAGAAGATGACCAGCTCGACTGTGCTGAATCGAACTGAGTTCTTGAGTTTGAGATTAGTGCATTTGACGGGAAGCAATATTCTGAAGCCGATCTCTTCATCCCTGCCAGTGAAGATTGAACTGAATCATCCGATGTATTCAACCGAATCGTTGAGTTGGATATCAGCGCATTTGGCCGGAAGAAAGATTCCGAAGATGATCGCTTCATCTCTGTGAAAGAGAGTGGAGCAATTGCCGGGTTGGAGAATGGGACATTTGATTGGAAATCTGAAGGCATTAATGCCGTCGACAAAGCTGCATCAGTCATTTGTGCACTCAGACGAGCTCTTGATGGTAAATTGAGTTTCGATGCAATTGCAGCCGAATGTCCTGACCCCATCACGGAACAACCAGCCGAACATAGATAATCATCGGCTCTGGAGAATCGCCTCGGCCCACCAAGAATCGGAGTCAAATGGTTTGAATGAGAATTCGTCATTGTGGAAGGAACTGCATTGCTGGAATCGTTTGTGGCAACAACGTTGTTGTCGACATTGGCACAGCTCAGGATGTTGGGAGGGTATATGGGAAGGTTAAGTTTCCGGCATTTCTTAGCTCTCTTATGCCAGAAGTTCTTGATCTCATTGTCTGATCGCCCAGGAAGCTGCAATGATCGTCCCATGGGGCTAGTTTTATTGAGATGGAAATATTTTCGAGCGAATGCTAATTATGTGGTGTACCTTGGCTGCGATGCGCGACCAGCTGTTGCCGTGTTTGGCGTGCAATTTGACAATGAGGTCCTCTTCATCCGGGGTGAAGGAGTGTTTCTTCAAATTTGGCCGGAGGTAATTGAGCCACCGGAGGCGGCAGTTCTTGGCCGGGCGGGGGAGGCCGGAGTATTTCTCTACGGCCACCCAATTACGGACGCCGTATAGCTCGACTGCCTTGATTAGCTTGTCGTCCTCGTCCTTGCTCCATGCACCTTTCTTGTATACAACCGGGCTCGGGCTTGCGCTCGGTTTCTCGCTGTTGCCGTTGCCGCCTGTTTGGTGATGCATGTGTTGTTCTCTCCCACGGCGGTCTTTCTTTCCGATGGAAGAATTCAGCAGCAAACATCGTTAGGACGAAGGTAAATCAATCGATAAATCCAATCAAAATGCTAAATTATTTGTTTGTTTGTTAATTTTTAGAATTTCATTTCTGTGAGATGAATGAATGATGGGAAATTTTCAGAATTTCATTTCTGTGGATGGGTTTTTGTTCCTGTTCTTCTTCTCTCGTTTTTCTTTTTTATGTGAACCTAAACTACCAATTAAGGGATTTTCAATCATTCTACTTATGCATTCTATAATTGGAATGTATACCCTGTTACAAAATATTTTTTACTAATTTTATTTAATTCAATAATGCACGAAATAATTCTTATTTTAGTGCAAAAATATGAGCTGTATTTATTTTTAACTTACTTGAAAATAAATTATCACAATCCAGGGGTTATCAAGAGTTAAGAGGATGTGTCTGGTTGTAGACACAAATAAATACTATTCAATTCAATTTTTAAAATATGTTATCTAAATTAAAATACAAAACAGTCTCCAACTTTCTCGACTATAAAACATTTTATAAATATTATTTTATCAAATCCAAACTATTGAAAGTTTTACTAAAGAAACATATGTATATATGCATGTCGAGTTGCATAGAAACAGAATACCTATCGGACTCTGTTGGTCTGTTGCAGCATCTGTGGCCTGGCCACAGGCTCGGCATTTTGCGAAACCAACTGCTCTGAATTTGGAGAAGGGCTTCTTACACATGGTTCAAACCAACTGAATTGCTACCCATCTTCTTACCCAAATTACTTCTCTTAGATGGTCTTGATTCCATCGTTGCAGATTCTTCTTCCTGGTAACAATGTATCGATAGTCAAGAACTCAATAAATTCACATTTCAGGCAGCTAATTTAGGAGCATATTTCATTTTTAGTGATTCAAAGATTTTTTACTATTCTCTACACTGCAGTGTTTGCCAACTCTAACAAAGAGCATTCTGTAATTCTGGAAGAAAAAGAACAGCTGAAATATGCTTGTATTCTCACTTCACTTCTAACTTCTTGATATTATAGAAGGATTATTATTTTTATTTATTAATGCCCATTAATATATATTGTATAAAGTGGAAAACCCAGCTCAGGATTCACATTTTTTAAATGCTTAAAATTAAGATATTCTGATTATTATTGCCTGCTGCTACCTTACATCTACCATTGTTAATTTTAATTGCAAGTTCTGATTCTAACTAAAAATGATAAAATACAGGTTTTTGCAGACAATGTCTAAAGATCTAATATATATATATATAGAGAGAGAGAGAGAGAGGAGAGGCTTACATGGTTGGGATTGGGATTATGCTGTTTTCCTTTACTCGAATATCCAGGAATGGTCAAATTCCAGTTTCGCTCTGCAAAAATGCATTGAATCAGCATAAAGACAAATAGATGTGAGAGAATGAAAGTTGGGAATGTTTTGAGTTTGTATATATGTTAATATTATTCAATTTGCAACGTTACTGTAGAATAGCTTATAATTTTTAACATGTCAAAACACACAAATCACTATCTGATCTTGCATTTGAGGTGTGATAGTTGTTGACCTTCAAATTGTAGTTCACTAGGTGTGCTCAAATAATTGTATGAAAACACTGAATAACATTACCCTCTAAATTAAAATCACTAAACTCCGAAGCAGCTCAAGATTAGCAGCAAAATTGCAATTTTATGATATATGAAAAATTATCCTAAAAGAAATAGCACAAACCTAGATGCAGCAGCACATCTTCTGCAACCAGAGTTGAAGAATTCCGATGCTTTGCCATTTCGCAGGCAAATTCAGTAACCTGCATTGTATACACAAAATTATCGGAAAATGGAAAATAAATTAACATTTAATCATCAAGCTTTACAAAATACCGTACACGTGATTTCAAGAGAATTAGATGCTTTTGTGGGAAGTGTAGCTTACATCGAAGGTGTTAAGTTAAAGATGAAAAAAACTGATACCCACACAGAATCTAATTTTCAGACAAGCACAAAATGAAGCAAAAATAGGATCAAGATGATTCATGAAAGAAAATCAACGACTATCACACAAAAGCCAAAAGGTGCTGCATTAATCGAGACCCTCACCTTATCAATGAAGTGATCAGCAATATCCAAAAGGGTGTCTTCAAGTTTGGGGTCCAGCTTGGCATTCACATCCAACTGTGATGTACAAAAGATTTAGAAAGAAAAATCCTGATATCAGGAAAAAATACTCACGAAAGAAAATGACCAAATGGAAAAGATGATTGTCTTGTTTCAATGGGTTTTCTAGTTCTAGACTTCATGACATTAAATAGAAAAAAAAGAAACGAATAAATAAGAACAACCTGTGATACCAAGTCTTGTAGCTTTCTCTTCCCAAGAATTTGATCGCTCTCCTTTTCCCCATGGCTTGAATTTCCACCAGATGTGGTATTTCTAGATGCAATTGCCTCTGGCTCTGATCCACTCAAAATCAAAGGCTTCTGAGCTCCTGGGGCCACCAATCTCGGAGACTGCTGCTGCTGGAGAAGTTGATCGGGTGGTAGCTCCTGCTGTTGTTTCTGTTGATGTACCTGGGGATGGCTCAACTGCGTTTGTGGCTTCACGATTTGGGACAACTGCTGTGAATTCAGTCCTATCGAATTTGAAGGCGTCTGTAAAGAAGCAATATGCTTCTGGAGAAGAAATCGTTGTTGAATACTGAGAGAATTTGCAGATTGCAACTGCTTTAACTGCTGTTGTTGAGATATAGCATCCTGCATCATACTCAATTGCTTATTTTGTGCCGGCCCCGGAATTTGAGCATTCATATATGATGGCCTTGTGAGATTCTGCACCTGTAGTTTTATGATAAAACCACTCATTAGCTCATCCTCATAACAGGAAAGGTAAAGCAACAAAAGTAAGTCTTAAAAATTTTGGAATGGCTATAAAATTGATGGATATGCATATTAATACGGTAGAATATGAGATAGGCTATTATAAGATCCAAAAGATGTTTGGATGTAGAAATGGGAAATCACCCATACATATTAGGACATTGTTTTTTCAAAATTTGTTTCGATCATCCAAACATTTTAGTTTAATGAGTTAGTTCGGAGAAATTAGCATATTTATAAATATATTGCCTTAAGCATAAGGTGGTCATGTTAACGAGATACAATTCAGTCCAGATATTATCTGAGTAATCCATTGGGAATATAATGCTTTTGGAATTGTAATACTGAAATGGAACCAGGCCACAACTCTACAGGCCACAACTCTACGCATAGACGCATCCAAAATTGCAATATTTAAAACAATATATATATATATATATAAACATACAGGCTCAGTTATATATATGAATCAAAAGATAGACAAGAAGTTAAAGTAACTCATACCTGACTACCAGATAGTGCATTTTGTTGTAGCGATCCTGTGAACCTCATTCCTTGCATTCCTGGCAAGGACTGTCTGGGAGAATGACCAGCATGAGAGCCTTGCATAAACCCTTCTCTCTGTTGTGACTGCAACCAAGATAGCACCGATTCAAAACTTCATGAGCAATAATACAAACTATATGCTTAATTCAGCAAGGAATTTTATTCATTTATTTTAAAAAACTGATGAAATATCATATTATAACAATGAAAATATGCATAAAAAACACCAAGTTACTAGTTAGCATGATTATAAACAATTTGCCACACCATCAGTACCCAGCACAACTTTTATTCAGAAGAACACACGTATATGATACAAATAAATATAAGGTATTCTTAGGCAAAGAAAGAGTTGATATAAAAAACCCAAGTTCAAAGTTGATTAATAGGGAAAAAAATTGGCTCTCGCCAACCTGAAGGATAAAGCAAAAAATGCATGATGAGAAGGTAATGATGAAGCAAACATCTATGCCATATACGCTTGCACCTAATAAAACCAATCACTACTCCTTGGAGCTCTATCTCTTCAATGGGATATAGAACATTATAAACCATAAAAGTTAATGACGATCTTCCCGTGACAATGATAATCTCATGCAAAGATCAACTTTCTGATGTGACAAGGAAATCTATGTAGTGGCCAAAACACCATGCTATGTAAAAAATAACAATATTTTCCATAGAACCATAACAAAATTAATAATTGTATTCCATACCAAAGTCAGAAGCTGATTAAGCGGGGAGGCAGTAGCTGCTGCTTGACCAGATGACATTGGCAGATGCTCCATCAGCATGGACTCTGTTATACCCAGCCGTTCACTCTGCAGCAAACTTAGCTTCTGCTGCAACCAAATCTGCTCCCCCGTTTGTTGAGGTGATAACTGACCCTGTTGCCCAATTTGCTGCAGATGCAACTGATTTTGCTGCTCCATTTGATGCGATTGCAACAGATTCTGCTGCCCCATCTGCTGTTGTTGCGATTGATTTTGCTGCACTGTCTGCTGTTGCTGTTGTGACTGATCCTGTTGCCCATTCTGCTGTTGCAATTCATCTTGCTGCCCCATCTGCTGCAGTTGCAATTGATTCTGTCGCCCTATTCGATGTGGCTCCTCAATTTGTTGAGGTGACAGTTGACTCTGATAGTACTGGTTCATTTTCTGTGATCGCCATTGATAGTACTGCTTCATTTTCTGCTGTTGCAACTGACTCTGCTGCACTGTCTGCTGCTGTGGCGACTGAATCTGGTGCCCTGTCCACTGCTGCTGTTGTGACTGATTCTGATGCCCTGTCTGTGGCTGTTGCAATCGATTCTCTTGCCCTGTTTGATGTGGCTGCACCATTCGTTGAGGTTGCAGTTGATTTGTCTCCCGAATTTGCTGTTCTTGTTGATTATGTTGCCAGATTTTCTGCTGCAGTTGATTCTGTGGTCTCAGATTCTGTAAAAGTAGATTCTCTTGTGCTAGTCTTTGATGTTGTTGATTCAATTGCCCCATATGTCGCTGAAGTTGAATTTGCTGCCCAGTTTGTTGCTGCTGCTGCTGTTGCTGTTGCTGTTGCTGTTCAGGGTGCCCTCTCTTCTGCATAACTTGATGTATCTGCCACATTTTCTGCTGCAACTGATTGTCAGCAGCATTATTCATACTGTTGTTAATATTTTGTTGCTGTTGCTGTTCAGGGTGCCCTCTCTTCTGCATCACTTGATATATCTGCCTCATTTTCTGTTGCAACTGATTGTCAGGAGCATTATTCATACTGTTGTTAATATTTTGTTGCTGATGTTGTTGTTGCTGCATTGCATTCATTCTCCAATTTTTACATCACTTCTGGTTTTTCTACCAAAGAACTTCTACAGGGTGTGAACCCAAATTGAAGAGTAACTTGACTTTTATTTCAAGTGAAATTTGGGAAATCACTTCTTTCTCCACAATAGGCTGCATCAAAATAAAAATGGATATCAATGACAATTGATAAAGAACAGAAAAGCAAGACTCCAAAAACTTGTACATGTATACATAGATAATATATATATAAAGATTGAATAAAAGTATCAATCACAGAACGTCAGCACATTGCCTCTTTACAACATGCTATGTAGAAGGATCAAATTTCAAAACTAAACAATTGTATAATGCAATATATATACATATATATATATATACAGCGTTCAAGGCTTTTTCTATAACCAGCAAAATGACATAATCAACGTTGAGAATGGTAGATTTTAGAGAGTAAGCAACTTTCATTAATTCAAGTTATAATCAGGACAAATATAACTATCACCGATTTCATCCTTTCCAAACACAGGCACAACCGCACAACCAATGCTGAACCGCTGATAATATAACTATAACCTGAACTTCCACAAAACCTCGACCTCCTATGCCTAATCTTGGAAAGGAAATCGATTAGCTTAATAAATAATCCAAACAACGGAAAGCAATACAGATTATTCAATTGCACATTGTAGATAATGGAAGCAGAAAAAGGAAAGAAAACAACGAATCAAAGAAAAGACAATTCCAAAAAACACACTCAAATTCCAATTACCAGAAGTGATCAAGCGCTGAAAACAAATTTAATCACCACTGCGAACATTATACACCCTTAGGCCTTAGTCTTGCAAAATTCAGCGAACTTGCAACTGAAAAAATACTTAAGCTAATCGACAATTGCAATTGCATGTAGAATAGCGAACGATCAGAGAAGAGAATACCCTAGTATATTCCAACTTTAAGCATCATCTTTCAAGAATCCTAAGGAGAGAAATAGAGAATTCGATCATTAGGGTTCCGTATTGGCAAAATATACATATATAGCCGTTGTTTCCCTCTACGCCGATTGGTTTCGAAAGCTATTAAACCAAAACAAAAACCGATTTTTCTACAGTTTCGATCCCAGCGCTATTCGAACCGTGAACCGTTGATTTCGGTTCTAAGCGGTTCAACGTGAACGGAAGAGGAAAAAAAGAGGATACCTGTTGGGGGCGGCGGGCCGGCGGCTTATGTTTAGTCTAAATTTATACTCCTATTTATTTATTTTTATTATTATAAAAAATATTTTTTTAAAATTTTATTTTTAGTAAAAAAATATTTTCTTATACTCTTCTATTATAAAAAGAAAAAATTATTATTATTATTATCCACTCAAGACATTCATAAGTTTAGATGAGAGTATATATATATGTATACAGTGCATTCTGTTTCCATATTTATTTTATATTTTTAGATAAATTTATTGTTTTTTTATGTTAAACATATAAAATAATATTTTTAATAGAAAAAATATTCCTTTATTATGGGACAATTATGTCAAATTTTTATTTTTATTTTTATAAGTTAAACTTATTAACAATTTATGTACACTAAAGAACTTTATATATTTACAATTTTATTATTCAGATTTTAACAAATATTAATTAATTTGTTTTGCTATCAATTTTTGTTTATCAAACTATTTTTTTATTATTATTTTTATCTATTTTATTTTTTATTTTTGAATAAACTTAATTTTATACTAGGATAAGAATTATATCGATAATATAAAAAATAATAATATTTTTTAAAAATTATTAAATTTTTTGTAATAAATAAAATATATATTCTATATTGTATAGATGCTTGTATATATTATTTTTTTAATAATATTTCTCGAAAATCATACTTAGCAGAAAAACAATGTGAACAAAGCATCTATACAATGTGAACAAAGCCAGCATTAAAATACAATTTCCTGTGTCTAAAGATTTTGGGCATACCTCAGAGGAATAGAGTATGTATATATAACATATTATGATATATGTAAGAGTGTTTATTTATGAGTTTTTGAAATTAAATTCAAAATTTTGAATTAAAATAATTATTTGATTGCAATATAAATAAATATTAATATAATATTTTAAATATAAAATTAATTTAATATATATTTAAAAAAAAAAAAACAAAATCATGAGCAATAGAATCCGAGGTGCAAAACTCACAAACAAACAAAAGCCTAAAAAGATTTTATTTAAATCAATATGTAATTTCGATAATAATGCTACCATACATTAAAATCCCAACTGAAAGCAAGCAGGGAAGAGACCAAAAGAAGGGTTAGAAATTTTTCTTAAGTCCTTTATTGTCCAGTAGAAGTAGTAGAAGGGACATAAGGAGGCTCAAACCTCCTAAAGAGCCTGTAACCTGATATTACAGCCAATGCCAAGAAACAAGCGGCGGCAACGACGTGCACGCCCAAAGCCATTCTCAATCGGGTGCACAACTTGCTGTATGAGCCGCAGGCCTCACTCCAGGAGACTTCCCGATCACCATTGTAGGCCAGGTAGAGAAACTCCCCCTGTGCCGCCACTGAGGTCACCATTAAGTACGCCAATATCTGCTCCATTCGTGTCACCGGTTAGAGAACGACAAGCAAGAAACCATTTATCCAAAAAAAATTCGAATCAAACACTTATATATTTCATTTTTCTATATTATATTCAAAATATCAATATTTATTTATATCATATATAATATTCCAACTCAAAAAGTTACTATTTAGAATCCAAAATAAGATGCACAAACAAAGGCATCTAGTATATACAAGCCAAATTAATATGTATGTATCTAGCAATACAAGGTTCCTATCGACTCATTCTTTGCTTAACATACTCATCGCCCAGTTCAACATATTTTTAACATTGTTAGCATTTCGTGTTTAGGAGATTTAGGCTCTGTTTTTATGCATGTTTTCAAATCACTTTTCATACCATGAGTGTGTCTGTTTAGTATTTTTAATTTATTGTTTAAAGTGTTTTTTATGATGTATATATAGAGAAGCTTATAATATCATGGGTCGACTATTGACTTTTTTATGAGTTAAAAAGTATTTATAGTGTGAATATGTGTATATACAGTTTTTTTTTATAATATCAATCAAAAAAATGTATCAAATTTCTTTAATTGGATGTACACATCTTATTAATCAATAGTAATTTTTCTTTTTTTTTTTAAAAAAAAAAAAACATCACATCTATACTTAATTTTTATCTTTCTAATTTCTACCATTCTGGTAACTCTTCAATACAGAAGATATTCAAACACAATGTTCAACATAATTTGCAGTTCAACCATTCAACAGATACCCATTTTTACTCCATTCAATTTTGATCCAAACTCAGGGCATAATCAGCTCGCCACAAACAAATTTCAAAATTTTTCGATCCAAACGCATCATGATTATAGATTTCCAAAATGATATCGTATTTTTAGAGGCAAAATCAAACCTGATCAGCAACAAAGAAAAGCCAAGCTTTAGTGAGCAACCATCTTAGGCATAAACACACAGCACCAAACAGGGCATATCCGCCAGATACAGCACTAACACACACCATGTACCTGTTTCACAACAAATAGGGAAAATCTGAAACCCTAATTTCACTAAAAAGCACAATAATGCTCCAAACATAGAGGGAAAAATTAACCAAATAATGAACGTGAAGCGTTTCATTTCTTACTTGATCCCTGTGAGATTGTCCATCCCCAGCTCGCCATAATCACTGTTATTTTGGCGCGCCTCGACGCCGATCCAAATGGTCGCAACGACGAAGGGAACAACAAACAATCTCAGAAATAAATCCAATTGTTTGAGTCCGGACACATCGCCGCGAAGAAACCCCATAGAGTTCACAAATCAGGCGTATAAAGTTAAAAGAGAAAACAAGTGAGTATTTATAGATTGATTGAGGAAGTTTGGTGGAATTGAAGTTCGGGTGGATGAAAAAAAAGCTTCAGGGGCTCGAAAAGGGGGCGGCGGATTAAGGCAGAAAAGCGTTGGTCGCCATTAAAGTGGGTGGGGAGAGTGGATAAGCAAGCAAGCGAGCAAGCATAGGAGAGCAATGGAGTGGAGCGGAGATGGCTTTTTCGGGAATGCAATTATGGAAGCATGAGGATTGGTTGGTGAGGAACATTTATGCCGTGTTTGTTTGCTATATCTGGGAATGTTTGTAGACCTCTTTCTAGAGATTAGGAAAATTACTTATTGGTTTGTTTTTATTTCTAGAGATTAGGAAAATGTTATATGTAAATTATTGTTCAAATACAAAATTAAAATTAAATCCCAAACCACACATTGTACTAGTAATTTGACTAAAAATATATTGACATAGATTATGAAAGTAAATGATGTAACGCAAATATATGTAACACAAATGGGGTATACACGTTTAACCCTAATTATTACTATGATCGATCAATTCTCTTAGTGCAATATTCCACATTCTTTCATTTACAATTATTACAATGAATGATAATGGTGGGTGGGGCAATGGCATTCGAACACTATATATGACACCTGTCATATATTCTTGTTTTTCCTAATATCACTCAGGATTCTTTTGTTATACTCCTACCTTTTTTCCTCCTTTCTTATTTAATAGTCCGCCAATTAAATTTGATAAACCAGATCACATTACATAAACCCTATAATACAAAAAACAATTTTTATTTAATAGTTTATATATAATATTTTATGAGAGTAATTAATACTTCTTTTATTTATAAGGTAAAACCAAAATAAGTGGCAGTTTAAACTCATATTTTCACGTTCACAAATTCATTTCTCCGGCCACCACCGGCCCATTCCTGAACTTCAATGTATGAGATTTTGATATATAGTATTTTGTTACTTTTTTACTATGTATAGTAAGAAAAATATCTAAAACAAAATAATACTCGTTTTGTCTCAATAGAGTTATCCCAATAGAGTTGTCTTGTCCATTTTTGTTCGTCCCAAAATAATAGTCTTGTTTCTTATCTAGTAATCGTGATTCCCACTTTATAACAAAATTATTCGTACTTTTCCAAACAATCCCTAATTATTATTCTAACATACTTTTTAAAATCATTCAAAAAGCAAAGTAAAATATTTTAGTCTTTTATCATCTACTTTATATCCACTTTCAATTAAATATTGTTATTTCTTAATTCTCATGTCCACTTCCAATAAGATATTTCTTTTTGGACGAAAGAAGTATAATTTATTAAATAAGAAAATAAAAATATTTTTAAAAGAAACAAAAATAAAAAGTAAATACTAGTACAATTTTAAGAGACATAAAAAGAGTATATTTTTAATTTAACAATAAAAAATATGAAAAAAAGAAATTGGCAAGTGAAATATTACGGGAGGATTACGTATCATATCGTCACCACCAAGGGCGAAACCATAGGTCGCCTTCAGCCGCCCTCTGTCCGTCGACTTGTTCGAACATGGAGTATGATTTTTCATTTTTTAAATTCCAAGCAAAGTGAAAGAAGAAAACCATGAAAACTATGTACCTAGATATTATGTTATTTTGAAAACTTGAAAAATTAGCCCCCTCCATTCAATCAATTCATTGCATCCATGAAAGATAGCAACAAGAAATAACTATCCACAAAGCCAATAGCTTCAATGAACAAGAACAAGACGAAATCTAACCATCTAAGGGATAATATAGGATCATGTTTGCACGAATATATAGTTCTAGCCTTCAAATTCAAACTAAACTCAATCTTACCTTTGATGTAATCCCTCGATTCTTCCATTCTCATTCTCATCGAAACAATCCATTCCTTCAAATAATGTGAAGAAAAAGACTCCCCAACCATAACCAAAATGATCTATCTGATCTGTTCTAACATATCTATCTAAGCGCCTCTGCCCCTGCAACAATCTCTAATAACTCACCTGTAATCTTCGCCTGCCTTTCGCGATTATAAGCAATCGAAAGCGAACGGTTCAGCTCCACAGCGTTATCAGTCGCATTGCTCATTGCATTCATCCTCGCCGCAAGCTCGCTGGCGTACGATTCCTGCAAAGCCCTCAAAATCTGGCTGTTTAAATATAATGGCATCAATGCATCGAGAATCTGTGCAGGATCCTGCTCGAACTCATAATTAGCTATGAAATTTGAAGCTTCCGGCGTTCTTACACGATCTCTCTCGACTGCCAGCTTCCCTTCCTTCGTTGTCAATCGGAAAAGTTCGTTGCCGCCATAATCAATGCTCCTTCCATTCACATCACAAACTGTCCCCAATGGCAGCAATGTCTGAATTACTGGTTCAGATTTGATCAGAGATACGAATTTTGTGTATAGAAGCTCGACTTTGTCGACCTCAGCTGATAAGAACAGTGAAAACACCTCGTCGGCGATGACTTGAGCTTCTTTGGCCGTCGGAAAACTCTCCCCTTCGATGAAGCTTTCGACGGTGATTGAATCTGATCGTCTCTGGAAATATGCATTCCCCTTTTTACCAATGCTGATCACTCCACACTGTAGTTGAAGATTCCTCAGCTCTGCAATTCGAGATTCTGCTTTCTTCAGTACAGCGGAGTTGAAACCGCCGCAGAGGCCTCTGTCGCCGGCGATGACTACGAGCGCGACTCGTCTCACCGGCCGGATCTCCGTCAACGGAATTTCTACATCCTCCAGTCGACACTGCTCGTTGATGTCGTACAATACTTCGGCTAGGGTTTCGGCGAAGGGGCGACCATTGATAACTGCCTCCTGAGCTCGCCGCACCTTCGCGGCGGCGACTAATTTCATCGCCTCCGTGACTTTCTGGGTGTTCTTCACCGTCTCGATCCTCTCGCGAAGCTCCCGAAGGCCGCTCCGAATCGACCGGGGTTTCGATGAATCGGAATAGCGATGCGACGTTGAAACGAAGCGTTTTGGAAACGAATTGAGCTGCGAATGGAAGGAGATCGGGCTAAAATGGCTCCCATAGGGTTTAGGGTTTATCGCCGACGACAAATTGAAGGCGGACATGCTATTCAAATTCAATCCGTTTTTCCTTCGGATTTCAGATCAGATGGAATTAGCAAGAAGATGAAAAGATTTGCAGTCGGGATTTCACCGGTGAAGTTCAGCCACCGTGCAACGGCGGCGGCGAATTCTTTTACCGATGTAAGGAAAATGAAGCAACTTTGGTGGGTGGGGTGGGTGAGAATTGAGATTATTGAAAGGAGGAGGTCGGTGAACCCAAAACCGACCCCGCCCAAACAAAATTGTCGAGTCTGTATAGCTGTGGGGATTAAAATTTGAATTTAAGTTTTTAACAGTAAAATTTTAAATAAAATAATTGTTTTATTTTCTTAACATTATTTTTTTATTATAATTATTTAAAAATAATTAATAAATAAAATATTTTATAAAACAATAAAAAATAAAAATATTTATTATAAAAAATTTAAAAGTTAGATATTAAAGCTAAAATAATATATATTTTTATATTTTTGCTATAATTTTTACCATGCCAAAAAAAAAATTATTCAAAAACAATGCGTGAACAAAACCAATGGTTAATATAATATAAATAATAATAATATATTTTAATTATAAAATTAAATATTGATATAATATAAAAATAAGAATTAATTGTTAAATTTGATATTTGAATTAAAAAATTGTTGTGAATAAAGAAAAAAATCTAACTAAAAAAAGAACTAGATTATGAGGCCAACATTTAGCAACTTAATGTTTTATTTAGGGTTTGTTCACGGAGGTTTTTGGAAGTTCTTAAAACTTTAAAAGTTTGAAAAAAAATAAAAAATTAGTATTTAATTTAATGTTTTATAAGAAAAAAAATATATTTGATGTGAGATTTTTTAAAAAATAAATAGTGTCAAATAAGTAAAAATATATTATATAAACAAAGCCTTAATATTTATAGAATTGACCACTAAAATTGTTTTAAAAATTAAATATTATGATTTCATTATATATTAAGATAATAGTAAAATATAAAGGATTTGTTTGATTTTATATTTTTGAATAACTATATTGAACTTTTTTTTTTTTTCAAAAGGAACACTATCAAAATTAAATAAGAATTCATCGTTACATATTGGGAAATAATTAGGTGCTGGTTTGGAAAAATAAATTATTTTTAAATCGGTATACAGTAGAATTTAAAAATAATATATGTTGTGTATAATAAGAATATATATTATATAAAAATACATTTAAAATCAATTGATGTATGTACGGTATAAAATTATATTATACATTGTTAATCAATTATTATATTTATATTATATTAATAATAATCTGTTGTCATTAGTAATATTATGTAATGTTTATTATTAATACATTCTTTTTAACATAAATTCAATACTCTTAACTATGAGAACAAACTCAATTCCAACAAACACACCCTGCATTGACCAATATAATTATTAAGTGATATTTATTTTATTTAAATTATATTATAAATTGTCTAAATTAAAAAACAAAATTGTAACTCTAAAATTTTATCATTGTTATTATTATTTTATTCATTTAAACATATATATTTAGACACAAATTGCGTTAGTTAAAGCATTAATGGTCTCAGGACAAAAGCAAAGACCTGCATTAATGGTACTGTACCGCCACGCATCCTGGGCATCACAAAACTCACTCTCCAATCAGAAGAAGACACGTGTTAAGATCTCCCCGAAAATCTGGTCCCACACCGAACATATGCTGTTGTCTTACTGTCCAAAAGCATTGTCCCGGGCCAGTGCGTCGAACCCACGCCACCCGATTGGATAAGTTATCCACCCTGCAATCGTGTCCGTCCATCGATTCCCCAATGAACGGTTCAGATTGGAAGTCTTAAATTCACCTAAAATTAGCTGTATTGGACGTTATTCCTGTGACTTGTTAATTGTGTGGACAACCGCCTTCCAGAATTTTCCTATAAATTTGACTTCCATTGGCGTCTATTCTCATCTTGAGTTCTTCCAAGAGTCCATCTAATTCGCAAGGTATGCCTTATTGATTAAACGTTAGATTTCTCTCGTTATAGTTGAACTTTCTTCTGTGAATTACGGAATGATCTGCTGTTTGTTCGTTGTTTGATTGTAATTTCTGTCGTGATTTTTTTGAAAATTTTGAATGATATATGCTATTGAGAAAATTGGATTTGATCGATCCTCGCATGAATTTTTGTCGCTAGCTATCCAAATAGATCACTGCAGTTTTAGTTCCAGGGATCGGATGTTGCGATCCTGAATTGGATCGGATGTTGCCATCCTGAATTAGATCGTATCCGATCCTTTCTTTCGATTGAGAAGGGAATCGAGTTTGTGTATTTGATTAAACATTATTCTGTGATCTTGCTTGAAATCTCGTGCTGTCGAAGAATTGTCAAATTTCTACGTACATATTCATATTAGTGCTGATCCTGCCTAAATCATGTCGATCCTGCTATCCTCTTGATGCTACTAACAACTCTGTTTCTGGTTTCGTGGCTAGAACTTTTAATGATAGATTATCAATTAATCAATCATGCCGATTGGAATGTTCTAGGGTTTGGAAGAAAGAATTAGGTGTTTTTGTATCCTGATAGTCGTGCCTAAATCAAGCCTTGTTAATCTTGATCCTGCTTTCCTCTTGTTGCTATGAATCACTCTGGTTTTAGATTTTAATCGTGAACTTATCACCTAAGCAATCATGCAGTTCTCCAAGCATCAGAAACGTCCTAATTGAAGTCACTACCCATCAAGTTTCATGGTTGATCTAGACGTCCAAGTTCCAACTGCTTTCGATCCCTTTGCTGAGGCCAAGGACTCTGGAGCCCCGGGGGCTAAGGAATATGTGCACATCCGCATACAACAAAGGAATGGGAAGAAAAGCCTGACGACTGTCCAAGGACTGCGTAAGGAATTCAGCTACGAAAAAATCCTGAAAGATCTCAAGAAAGAGTTCTGCTGCAACGGCAACGTTGTCCACGACAAAGAACTGGGGAAGGTGATCCAGCTCCAAGGCGATCAGCGCAAGAATGTCTCGCAGTTCTTGATTAGCACCGGGATCGTGAAGAAGGATCAGATCAAGATTCACGGTTTCTAGGTACGAAATAGCTGCTGCCTTGCCTCGCCTTTTAACATATTGATGTTATATCATCCATCTGGAGTAGAAGCCTAATATAATACATGTGATCAGTTTATGATCCTCTTTTTTATTTACTTTAAGAAGGGAGTCTGGTTATTATTGTTACTTTACTTTCTATGTTTATGCTGTGTGAGTTTGCACTCAACCCTTTGATGATTCCATTCCATGGGGTGTTTAGTAAACTGCAAATGTGTATGGTCGTTTGGTAATAATAATTATTTTCATAATTTACTTATTGATAGCGAGGTTGCTACATAATGTAATTTTGTTGAATTACATCATTCTTTTATTTTAAATATATATATATACTAGGAATCAAATCAATGTAATATCATATGATTGCATTTTATTTGAACCCGTCTTTCGGATACATATAAATAGTTGTATAGAAATATTAATTACATTTTAATTGGAAGGGAGTTTCTTAAAATTCTTGATCAACCATATTGCAATCCTATGCTTTTTAATGATATAGAGACTATATATCTATCTTATTACCATTATCAAACGTCTCTTCGGCACACTGGGCACGTTGCTTGCTGCATGAGCCATTCATCGATGCAGGCCCGGTGAAAGAAATGCCGGCAAGTAGGCAGAATCCTAGCATGTTCTCCATTCTCCAAATCCTAACTCTCAAAATTAGTCAGAATGATATACTAACACTTCATATATATATCATGTCAGAAAAAGTGGGTCATAGATTAAATTATATGATGATATTACCTGTAAGCAAATTGCACAAGTGGTTTCTGTAAACCGTGTGCTACTTCTTGTCTTAGTATCAGAACAGAAGACATAAACAGGAAGCTCATTGATCGAACTATGGCGTAATCTCCTTACAGCATTGGCTTCGAAAATCTCTGGAATTTCCATGAAACTTGGGTTTGTCGTGGTGACCTGTGGCTGTGAGTGCCAAAAGTATTATCTTGAAAATTAAACCCCAAACAAAAATAAAAAAATTAATCACCTAGATTAAAGATAAAAAATTGAACATGTAGAAGTAGAACAGTGGAAAGAAAAAATAAATATGTAACGCACATAATTAAATATGGGCATTAGTAGAGATGGGGTGCAATAAATAATGATTTATATATAGTGTGGTTACCACCTGCCATTGCCATTGATAAGGTTTTAGAATTGCGGGATTCATCCATTCCACGAATATCTTCCCATTCAATACACTGCATATTACTGCAACCTGACAAATTTAAGTGTCTCAGGTACCATTAGAATATGGAGTATGGCAAAACTGAATGTATCTCTCTCTCCTATATTTCCTAATTGAGATAGAGATAAATGCACGCATATATTTCCATTTATATATAAAATAATTTGATACCATATTTTTATATTTAAAAATAGTTAATTTGTATTGAGTAATGTAAATTGAATAATAAAAACTTCACCTAAAAAACATAACTATGTATGATTAAAATTTAATGGCGTTGGACTTGTGACCGTGAGCTCACAGTTTAAATCCCCAACCAGTCGGACCTGGTTTGCAGGGTACTAGGTAACCCCCAATGCGCACCTTCGGGTAGCGACTGCGGATTCCCACGTCATCCAAAAAAAATAATTTAACGCCTACATTTATACATATATATTCACATATACCTAAAATTCAATACCTAGGGATTAATTATTAAGTATATCATATGGCTTTTTTCGTTTATATAACAAGTTATAATATAAATATATTGCAAAGTAAACAACAAACATATATATGCTTACTTTATTTTGTAAGACTAAAGCATAAGGGTTCCTTGCTTAAATTATTTTAATATTATGTTTTATGACAAAAATCAATTAAAAAATCAAGTGAAGTAAATATAATTAAAGATTATCCTATGGATAATTTAATTAATCATTATGCGTAAATAAGAATATAAATATTAATTAATTATCTATAGCCCAAAGTGATTTATTTGAGAGGATTGTTTTTTCTCTTACTTTTAGTTTATTATTGATTTCTGAAAATGGAATATATTAAATGATTCAATATATATTCAACGATTACTAGCTAGTGATTATATTTCATGTATATTTATATATTTTCAATAACATTAGGGCCCAAGCTAGTTTGTTTAGTTGTAGGACTAGAATCAGGATTGTAAATTGTGAATTTGAATAGTTATTTAATAAAATGTCGCATTGATTTTACAATTTTAAATATAACATTTATTTTAACATAGATAACATAAAATATAAATAATCAATTTGGTGTTTTATGGAAAAATAAAAAAATAAAAGTCAATACATAATAAAATTACTATGCAATACCACCTATAAAAATTAAATTAAGCGTGAGTTTGCATTTATTTGAAAATAATTTCTTTTAATTATATATTTCAGATTTTATAATGCAACAGATTTGGAAATTAATTAAACACAAACAACTTGAGTATTGATTATGAAATGAATTAATTTAATATTTTAAACGCATTTATGATACGTACGAAATTAAAGCCTGGAACACACTTAATTAATTCACCTTGGAAAATGGCTCTCCACTTGATACGAGATCCCACAGTCGAACGCCTGTAATGGCTCCGGCCACTGCTCCGACGCCGAAGCCGCGCAGGAGCCCTGTCTCCGTTGTGTTGCCTCTCACCGCCCCTGTAATGGCTCCAATTGCAGCTCCTCCTGCAGTACGTATAATAACCCTAATTAGTCTCAGGATACTCGTAGATCTTTCTAGAATCAGGAAAATTAATTCGTGAAAGCTATTTTATCCTATAACTGACGCATTTTATCGAACATGAGGTCGGCGTGATTTCGAAATTCAGAAGAATAAAAAACAGAAAAATCGACTGAATCACTAACGCCTAACGAATAGTTCGCGAGAAACCTAATCAACAATCCTGCAGGAACTAGAATGACAAGGAAATTCCAAGCAACAGTCGAGGAAACAGATCTGAACAACAAAATTCCAAGCAACAATCCAGAAAATAAGTGGAATCGATATATAAATATATATATATATATATAATGAAACCTAGAGCGAAAATGCTAATAGCCAGAGTAAGAGCAAGTTTCTCCACGACGACGAAGATAAGCCTAAAGTGACACTCCGTGAGGCCTGCGCGGAGCCTGGAGAGAGCAGCGGAGCAACGTATCATCATCATCGTCACCATATGTACTGAAACTTGTACTGCGGCAGCACTGACTGATGGCGATCGTGGAGTAAGGTCTGGAATTTATAGAGAGAGAGAGAGAGAAGAGGGTGAGTTTCATTGGAAGTTGAAATGCATGCATGTGTATAAATAGATGAAATTTGGTGCAAATTATTAATTCTGTGATGAATTAAATAGTTTTTCTTTTGGCTTTTATACTTAATTGCTTCTCTGGTTAGTTAACCACTCATTTCTGTTTACTCATTATAATAATAATAAATATATATATATATGCTACTCTTTTGTAAGAAAAATAGGCTTTGTTAATATATATTTTATTATCTACAAAAATAAATAGTATTTTATATAATAGTAATAATTTTTTTTAAAAAAAATTACTAATATAATTATTTATACTTTATATAAAAAAATTATTAAATCAAATCGAATTAAAATAAAAAAATTCAACTCATATCTTTTAGCGAATGAAAACAAGTCGAGTTCAAATACATACAATTTCTGCTGCTTGTTTACAACTCTATTTATACTCAAATAGCTATTTATATATATATAATTTATTATTGTTATTTAAACTGCATATAAAAATGGAGTGATTACATTATTCTTGTTATTCTTGGAAGGAGGCAGTATTATTTTAAATATTTTATTTTATTTTTCGTGGTTGTTGTTCTTATTTTATATTGGATATTTTCATTTTTTATTTTTATTATTTAATAAGCTATTAATTAAAAAAATTATTAAATTAAACTTATAATGTGTTGATCATAAGGGGTTTGTTTAAACTTTGTCTCGTTGGTATTTATTCCAATATTGAAATTTTTATCAAGAATAAAATGATAAATTCATTATTGAAATTCTTTTCATCATTATGAATTATTATAGAAAAGTTCACATGTACATTTGTTATGTTTGCGGTGTCCATTTTCGATCCGTCAATAAATTAATTAACCGGTTTCTTCTCTAATTTATTGTTATTAATTTTACTAATGTGATCATACAAATCGTCTACATAAATACCACATCCCAACACTTATTTTTTTAATATAAATATAAAATATATCTATGCAACTATTTCATCTTTTTTTTTAAAAAAAAAAAAAAAAACTCATTCGAGATTGAAGGAGCATAATATAAAAAGAAAATAGTATATATATAAGAGTTTCTACAAGTATCCTTGTTCCACAATTAAATGTGATCATCATTAATAAATACGACAATTATTTGTCAATTTTGTCTGTCAATAGAAGATGCAAGAAAGATCTAAAGAGATTTAGATTATTACTATTATAGATTTTTATATGATAAAATAAACTTTTTTCCACGATAGTGTATTTTTTATTATCTCATTTATCATTTAAGATTGTCTTATTTATACAGTTTTTTTATTTATTTATTATTTATAGTAACTTTGTTCAATAGGCAATACATTTCATGTAATAAAAATAATACATAATATATTTGTTTTCTATTTCTTTTGAATACTGCATTCTAATTTTATTATTGTTTTTTTTTATTATTATTACTTTTTTAAAGATATTAACAATCAAACCCTCAGCTGCATGTTTAAAGAAAAGTAAATTAGGGCAGACAACATCATGCTAATGTCGTCGACCATTAAATTCAGGGTCTTGTCGTAAATAATAATTATAATAGCAATAAGAACACGGCTGCCTTATTTTATTTTATTTTATTTATTTATTTTTTATGGCAGCAGTTACTATTTCAAGAATAATTAATCAGAATAGATTTCATTGTATACGAAATACATATATCAGTACATAATGGATAAACCAATATTATATTGTATATTTTAATATAATACACAATAAATACTAGCATAATTTATCTAAATATATAAAATATATTAAGACAATATATATTTATATATATATATAAGAACACATAATAACAATCTATCCAGTATTAATGTCATTTAGACTATTAGTATTTCTTTTCAAATTATATTTTATGAATCGATTAGAGCTAATAAAAATGATCCCAAACATATGTTCTGACATAACATATGGGCGCGTTTGGCAATTAACTGACAGCTGTTACTGTTAACTGTTAGCTCATTCAATTAGTTGGTTTGACATTTGTTCGATTAGCTGTTTGTATTAAAATGTTTGGTAAAACAACTGTTTGATATTAGTTGTTTATACGTAAAATGACAATTGAGGACATTTCTATTTTATTTTTGTTTCTAATATATTCAATTATGCTATTTTGAGTTTAGAATGTTTAAATTTTTTTTGTTATTAGTTATTGAAAATTATAAAAGAATTATAAAAGTATTTATTTTTATTACAGTAAAATTTTAAAAAATAATATATTTTTATTAAAATATATAAATAGTTTTTTCTATTGAAATGATGTAAAATATAGAATAATAAATTTTTCGTGTATATATTTATTATGTTAGTTATCGATTAGTTCATTATATTTATAATTTTCAATATATTTAATATATTTAATTTATTTTTAGTATAAAATTTATATAATGTTGTAGACACTAAAAATATATGTCTAAAATCAATTAGATATCATATATTTTGGAAGAAAATAAAATTCCAATAAAATAAATATATAGTATTTAATTATGCACATATGTTAATATAAATTAATATCTTCCAAACAAGGCAATAATATAAAGATATTGTCAATAAAGGAAGTATATAAATTAATATCTTCCAAAATGGCAATGATATAAAAATTTTGGCGAGAACGAAAGGTGCACAATCAAATCCGTCAAGAATAGAAAATAACATCTGATGGAAAATGAAAGATTATAAAATCTTTCCATACACGTGGCACCACCCGAAAAGGAAGCCAAGACCACCCATCCCCTATAAATAGGAGCCATGGTCAATTCATTTGATACACCGAAGTTGTATCGAGGATTCAAGCAAAGGGGTAAGTCTCTAGACTCTCTCTGTATTGTTCTTCATGTTTTTCGTGTCCTTCGAAGCGTTCTTCGTCGAAAGTCACTAATTTGGACAAATGATCCAATATTAGTTAACGAATCGATGAAGTTAACGTTCTTCGTCGTATGTCCAAGCCGGAGGAAGGATCAAAGTTCTCAAAGCCATCGAGGAATCCATCAAAGCCAAGGAAGAGCCTCCAAAGTTTCTCTCAAAGCTTCGAGGTGTTCATCGCGTTCTTCATAAAAGGCGCAAACCAGGCCCTCTTCGATCCAAAAGTCAAAGGGACACGCCGCCAAAAGCGCTGTGGAGCACTAAATCCACATCTTCAATGATCAAAGCTCTCAAAGCCGTTGAGGAATTCGTCAAAACCAAGGGAAAGTTTCCAAAGTTCATCCTAAAGCTTCGAGGTGTTCATCGCATTCTTCACCAAAGCAACAACTCGGCCCTCTTCGATCCAAATGTCAAAGGGACATGCCGCCAAAAGCGTTATGGAGCACCAAATCCACCTTTTCAAAGATCAAAGCTGCAGATCGTTTAAAGAAGACATCAAATCCAAAGCTTAGGATCAAATCACCCGTACGGAGACCAAAGCCCTCTAAAAGCGGCAAAGACAAATAAAAAATTAAAGCTGCGGATCGTCCAAAGAAGATATCAAATCCAAAGCTGAGTATCAAATCACTCATACGGAGACCGAAGCTCTCCAAAAGGCGGAAAAAGGCAAACTAAAGATCAAAGTCGCGGATCGTCTAAAGAAGACAACAAATCCAAAGACGATGATCAAATCGCCAACGCGGAGACCAAAGTCCTCCAAAAGCGGCAAAGCCAAAGCGAAGGTCAAAGTCGCGGATTGTCTAAAGAAGACAACAAATCCAAAGACGATGATCAAATCGCCAATACGGAGACCAAAGTCCTCCAAAAGCCAAAGCCAAATCAAATATCAAAGCCTCGGATCGTCTAAAAAAAGACATCAAATCCAAAGCCGACAATCAAATAGCCCGCACGGAAACCAAAACCCTCCAAAAGCCGGCAAAGTCAAACTGAAGACCAAACCTCTTCAGATCAAAGAAGCCATCGAAAACCAAGTTGGAAAATAAATCGACCCGGAAGGAGAATCAAATGACCCATTTAGAATAGTACCCGCTTTAAATTCAAATCAAATATAATTTGTACAAATTTTGTGTTTATTAAAAATAACACAATTTTTTGTCTACAAATGTAATTTTAATATAAAAATAAATTATTAATTTTTATATTTTATATTTTATGTTGATTTTAATAAATTTATATATTTTATAATTAAAATAATTTTTATATAAAAATTAATTATTTTAAATTTATAAAAGTAAAACTATATTATAATAAAATATTCTAATATAATCAAAAATATATTTATTTGTGTAAAATGCATAATAAATTTTTAAGGGCATATAAGAAATAAAAATTTTTTTCAGAAAAAAACTATTTCAAAACGCTAGGTAAGTTAGCTATTGCTTTTTTTTGTCCAAAAGCTATTCCAAAAAGCTAATTTACCAAACACTAAATTAATTTTTTAACTGGTCAAATAGCTAAAAGTTGTTTAATAAACTAAAAGCTTTTTAAAAACTATTTGCCACAACACCCAATTTAGGGGTATGGTACATGTGTTTTCGATTTTACATTTTATGTTATGTATTATGAAATATTGTTTTTACCCAATTAATACAAAATAAAATCATTTTATATTTAAAGAATATTATATTTAAAAAAGAAAAACATAATTTCATTGAAAATAAGTTCAAATCATACATATGTAACGTTAGCCCAATTAGGTATGAAATTCATGGCCCAAAGTGAGCATTCAATTAGGCCCACCATTAAATCAATACACATAAGTAAGATTTGTTTTGTTTGGGTTTTGATAGATATTTCAATTTATGCATTTTCTATTTCAAACTATCAATTATGGCCAAATAGAAATGTGTTTTTATTTTATACTCCCCCGTCCCGATACAATAGTTCAGTTTACTATTTTTATCGATAGTCTCATTTCCATAAATAATCATATCACTATAAAATTACTCGTACTTTTTCATTATTATTACACAATTGCCACTATTTTTTATACTAATACACTCACAAGGACAATTTAGTATTTTTATCTTTACTTCTACTACATTCCAATATAATACTAATATAACTCCGTACAAAAAGTAAAATTGATATGTACATACAGAACGGAGGGAGTATTTAAAATCAATTGATGTATGTACTGTGTTATTATATTAATAATAATATGTTATATTTATTAAAAAATATAAAATAATTATCTCATTTAAAAGCTTATCTATCTGTAAATGGGAAACGATTAAAATCAAATTCGAGACCTAAAGGTATAATATCATATTAATAAATATAAATGATTATCTTACCTAAAAACTTATTTATCTACTAAGAGGACGATGAAATTCGAATTCGAGATAGAAAACTTTAATACACGTTTAAAAATTATAAACGATTGTCTCACCTAAAAACTTATTTATCAATAAATGAAAGTACACCAACATTACGGTAGAGCTGGCCAAATATGGGGCGCTGAATATGGTATGGAGTACGACTCGTAATGTATCGAAACAGCAAAAATAAAAACACAAAGAGGAAAGAGTACACAACCAAAGCCGACCTAATTTCCAAATTTGCACGTGGTGACTGGTCGACGCACGTGGAGGAGAAGTCAGGTCCCCGTCGGTCCGGCGTCTGTGGTCACCACCAATAATGTAGCCACTGATTGATCATCTGTCTCAGCCTCTGTCTCTGTGTATATATATATAAAGTGCTTATGAGATTGAAAATTTGCAATTATCTATTCTATTCTATTCACGTTTTAATTTACGATCGAACTTTCTAAGATCATCATCAATCCCCGATCGATAATTATATACAATGGCGTGGTGCGCCGCCGTGACGACCTTCCAATTCTCGCCGATCAACGCACCACCAGCGGCTCAGACCGTCAACCACCGCTGCGTGCCTTTGTCCGTCGCTAACCGTTGCCGCCGACCACCGGTGGTCTTCGCTTCCGCCGCCAGTGCTGCTGCTATAACAGGTAATTAGTATGAGCATCCTCCACCGCTGCATTGAATAATTGTACCTTGTGCACTGGCTGCTGTTCCGTTGTCACCATGAAAACTCTGCCAAAACCATCGAAATATATATCCGTACAGCTAAATATATATATACACATATATATAAGGGATATTTTAGACTGTATTTATGTCCAAACTCCAGTCTAAACTAGCAAAATATTTTCTGAAATATTATTATAACATGTCTTTCATTTTTAATTTTTATTTAATCAGAAACTAAATAAATAAATAAACGTGTACGTAGGTAATAAGGAGGTGATTGAAACAGACAAGGCTCCAGCTGCAGTGGGGCCTTACTCTCAAGCCATCAAAGCTAATAACATGATTTTTGTGTCTGGTTCTCTTGGCCTACTCCCAGAGGTCTCTCTCTCTCTCTCTCTCTCTCTCTCTCTCTCTCTCTCTCTCTCTCTCTCTCTCTCTCTCTCTCTCTCTCTCTCATACTAATTAATTTTTACCACTTCTACTACCTGGCTATATATGTATGCATGTAAGTAATTGTAAAACCCATTTATTCTGATTACACAGACTGGACAACTTATCTCGGACAGCGTGGACGATCAAACTGAGCAGGTATAAATATATAAGAATATATATATAAGAAACGGATACTGTGGTGTAGTAGACGCTGTTGTACGTAAGAAACAAATGTCTGAATATATCATATTTTGCTATTTAATTAATTTAATCAATCCAGGCGATGAAAAACATTGGCGAGATACTTAAAGCAGGTGGAGTCGGCTATGATTCCGCCGTCAAGACAACTATTATGTGAGTCAATAGAATCATAGAGAGACACGGATCTATTTTATTCCATAATTATTCTTATTATTTACATCTATATATATATATACATAATACATCATATATCCCTCATTAATTGCAGGTTAGCTGATATCAATGACTTCAGCAGAGTCAATGCAATTTATGCTAAATGTAAGCACTTGCATTTTAAACAACACTCCCCCATTTATCTACACCACACATTCTGGGCACCATTTTATGCACATCTATCACACACTAACCACCCCACCAAATTCCGTCGCAGATTTTCAGGTAGACCCGCCGGCCCGCTCGACCTTTCAGGCCGGAGCACTGCCTCTGGGTGCAAAGGTCGAGATCGATTGCATCGCCGTGCTGCCGTAATCGCAGCAGCAGCAGCAGCCGCAACTCGATTGAGACTCAAATAAGCTTTGTAATCTGCTACCTAAATAACTACTCAATCGAGACTCGAATAAGCTTGTAACCGCTAATCAGATGGATTTCACATAAATAATCATAAAGAGTGCCATTGTCTGAATCACAGATACAACTTCTTAGATTCGACATAATACACAGCCTTAACTCACAAAACTGTAACATTTTGTCGTGGCGTAGACAGGAATCATAAACATGTATTCGGACAAAGGGGTACCTTCAAGTTTCGTGCGCGATGGGTGGATCGATTAGTCGTTAAATCTTCTGCTTCAAAACCTGTCGCAATTGTACCTTCTGGCTTTCGATCCGAGCTTCCAGCAGTCGAGCTTTCAGGCTATTTCTCTGTCCGCTCCGTGGCCATTCTATGCATCCTTTCATTCCACGGGTTATATGCGGATTTCCCAGATCACTCGGGCTCCACTGCTCGGGTACGTCCAGACAGCCTCTCGCTGAAACATGATCCGGCGACGCAATGCCTCCATTTGATAACCTGCCATTCTTACCGTCCTTAGATGGGAACGGGAACTTAATCAATTGCCTGATCTTCGAGTTGACTTCACCATTGTTATCAACAATGGGTTTCTCCTCCTCCCCACAAATTTTCATCTGATATCGTTTGCTAACAGATGGATCACTGCCGTCGGGCGAATAGCTTGAGCCCTGATCCTCTGGATGGCTCACGGTCTCCCATTCACTTGCATCCTCTTCTAGCTCGCTACTTTCTGTATATCCGTCGGGATCCCTATGGGACCGGTCTTTGTTAACCTCGGGAGTCACTGTGTGGATTCTTGATGATCGGCTAATAGGAGAATTGCAAGCTTCGATTCTAGAACCATCACAGGGCTCGAGTTCTCTATCCTTCGATTCACCCAAATTCATATCTTCAAGAACGGAGAAAATGTCGTCTGAAGTTGGGGGCTCGTATTTCAACTCCCGGACATCCTGCATATCGACTGCGGCCACAGCCTGCCGAAGAGAATCTGCCTTCTCGATCGACCCCGATGACTCCATGAACATCTCAAGATTCTCTATTATAAAGTTCATTTGCGCATACTTCTCCTCGAGCATCACCTTGGCATCGACTAGCTTCATCTGGACACGCTCCTCCCGCCACACCTCTGCCATCTGCAGCATCCGCCGCTCGTCCTCGACTTCCTCACGCAGCTTCATTGACTCTCTCTTGAGCGCTTCTACTTCAGCCTCGTCATCCCCGATCTCCTTCGCCAGCTCATCGCAGACCTCCTCCACCAACTCCCGTGCCTTCCGCTCTTTTTGATATTCCTGGGCATATCGCTTGGTGGTCGACTTGGCATCAGCCAACTCATTGGCAAGCTTAGAATTGGCAATCTCCACCTTCTGACGGGCCTTTTTCTCGCGAGACAACTCAGATTTAAGATCATTTATAATCACCCGGATTTTTTCATGTTCTCTGCTCCGCCAAGCTGCCCTCTCCTCACTGAGCTTGTGCAGAAACTGCTCGAGTTTCTTTTTTGAAGATCTTCGCTCGGCTTCAAGATGGTCTATTCTTGTTCTCGCCTGCTTGAGCTCTGCCTCGAGGGTGGATATCACTCGAGTGGCATTTGCTCGACAGTCAGACAGCTTTGATTGCCCAAATATTCGTTTTATTTCATCCGAATCTTTCCGTCCGTTGGGATCCCACTTTGTTGCACCTTCCATTACCGGTTTCAGAGGCGGATATGGAGGCTCAAACTGTCAACAATTAAAGCATATTTCAGGCGCAATAATTAAACGTATTAGAACTACTAACATAATAAGAATCTCATAGTTTAGCAAATTAATAGTAAAGTTTTGTCAACTAAAGACTAATTGATCATCCCACACGATCCAAGAAACCAGAATCAGAGAGAAATTGTCAAATGGCAAGCAGATAGACCATGGATAGAAAACCAATACCTCTTCTAGAATTCCATGTTTTGAATCAGATACAGGTCGTGTATTACGGACCAGCAGATCCTTACCCGAGGATCGATGAACTCTGTCAACGTTGTGACAATGAACATTGCCTCCAAAATGACCACTAACAGGCTGCAGATTAAGAGAACAGAGAAAAATGAATTGTAAATAGGCATCTGCACGACAATAAAATCAGGGAGCCTTTAGACACCATCAAAGTAAACAAGCGCAGCAGCAAATTCAAAGAGAAAGTAACAAACGGTCTGCAATGGCGAGTGTGCATAAAGCAATTTAATGGAGTATATGTTTTCCACTTTACTCTACCGTTGAGAGGTTCGGACGATGATCGGAAAAATAGCAAACCAATTTTGATAATATTGTAATTTGTGCACCCAATCGTGGTTACAATCACCCACATTCGCAGATCATGTAGTGCACGTAATTAACCCAAATTTGGGGGAATTGAAAAAATTAGGGTTTAAGTAAAGCTACCTGATGACCTAGCCTTTGGCTTTCAACCTCCGGCGATTGCAGACGCCACAGGCCGGAGGCAAGACTTCTAGCCGAAATGGTGAGCTTAATCCTCCCCCCAACCCTCCGATTAGCCCCGCCAGACACCTTCTCCTCTTCACTCTTCCCAGTACCGCGCTCGTCAAATTTCCAGCTCAACAAGGGGGTTTCGGGGCGAGTGCTCCATTTCGCCAGAATCGGACCGGATTCCTTCCTCAACCTCACTCCGGAGGCCCTAATTTTCCGGCGAGACGGTTTGCCTCGAAAACTGGACTTCGCTGGGGGCGGCTGGGATTGTTCGGCGTCCATTGCTATATCTGCTTGCGCTCAGTCATCACACACTGGTTCGAGATACCGAATAGACGAAGAATGCGGAGGAAGACGGCGGACGGCCGACGGAGGAATTCGGATCTCTTGGGAGAAAAGACAGCAACGAGAAGTGAGGAAGAAAGGAAGTAATGGCGTGAATGTAAGCGTGTACGGTCAACGTCTCCAATGGTTTTCCGTTTTTTTAATTATAATAATGATTAATTACTAGTATAGAGATTTATATACCATAAAATTACGCTGCAATTTAATACTCCATCCGATCAAACAGTGAATGCAATATTTGTGTTTGACACGAGAATTTAAGTGGAGAGTATTAAGTATGATAATTTGAGATAATTTGTATATTAAGTGATGTGATTGGAAAGAGAAATGATTATTTATTTTTTTTATTTGAATGATGTGATGGGATAAGGTGAAGTGTATATTAATATATATATTATTAATCATATCTAAATTTGTAAATGTTACAATAAGTTTGGGATAAAAAAAAAAAAATGTTGCATGGTGTTTGAGACCGATTGAGTAATTAAGGGTAGGCACCACGTCGTATGGGATCATAGTACACCGAGACGGCGACGTTTCATGCCTATAGCGACACATTCATTCGAAATGGTCTAAAATAGACGTGCGGTGTGACGAATTTATTTAGCAGTTGTAACACCAACAACCTATCCATTTGCTTCTTTAATAATTCATTATAAATAATAAAAAAAAAAAAAATCAATATCTTCAAAAATCGTGTAAATGAGATTTTATTTGATATTTGGAGTATATTATTTCTATGCAAAAATACTGTACTAAAAAATTGTGTGTTTGTAGGTAAACTTTGGATACATGAGATATTTTAGGTTTCTTATAATTTTTTTTAATGGTCTGTGTAATTTGTGGATTTTTTATTTTTAATTTAAAAAATAGTCGGGGATAATATATTATAAAAATAAAAATAAAAATACAATAAATAAAACAATAATATATGACAATTTGAGCGTACAAAATATGTTAACAAAATATATACATAAATAAAAATGTACAATAAATATTAATAATATACACAATATATATTGTATAAATTGAAGATACACAGCATATATTGTATTTAATGTATTAATTAAAGTTAATAAGTATCGTGTTAACTAATTATTACGATTTTATGTATATATTTTGGGATGGAAGGAATGGTATGCATACCATGTGGGCGACAGAAACATTAGTATATATTTGTGTTACATCTTTCTAATTGGAATCCAATAAACTCTCAATTCGTAGACTTGTCAATAAGCTATTTATTATTACCTTGAAAATTTATTTATAGTTTATTTTATTTTATTTTATTTTTTTTTTGTAGAATTTGATGCGAAAACTGCCCGAGCATCCGAGGAGAATGCACACGTGCTTGCAGTCATACAACACATGCCACCCTCTAAAAATTATTGTAGTCAATTTTTTATTAATGTAATAGGTAAAATGCAAACAATATTAGTAAAATATAGTCCGGCAAGAATAGTCTAGTGGTATATGGGTTGGATGTGTGCTACGGATTTCCATGTAAAAAAAAATATTTGTAAAATATATGAAGATAATACTTTTTTTTGGTATGAAATATATGTATTTATATATTTCTTTTTATATATAAATTAAAAAATATTAATAATATATATGATGATAATGAATAAGAATAAATCGATAAAAATGTTACCAAATGAAAATTTATGATTAATTTATGCAAGATAGATAAGTATTATATAAATTTAACAAAGTTTGCGAATAGAGTGAGCATATTACATATAAAAGTAATGAACTAATATTATATATTATTATAACATATTATGATAAAGTATATATTTCCTCCGTCCTATTGAAAGGTTGTCTTTTTTTATTTTTATATGTTCTAAAATAAGGTTATCATTTTCTAATTTAGTAATTGTATTACCTACCTAACATAATAAATACTCTTCCAACTTATACTATATTACACAAATGTCATTACTTTTATATTACACAATACTAATAAGAATATTTTCGTCTTTTTCACTACAATCCAATATAATATTAATATTAAAAGATTTACATGCAAAAAGTAAATGACAATCTTCCTACGAAGACGAAGGAAGTATTATGTTATAACTCAACATATGATATCTTATAATATTATTATATTATGCAAATACATATTATATATCTTTACGTGATAACGCATTTATTTAGGTCATCACTTAATCCGCATCCTTTAACAATGTACAGAAAAAAATAATTAATTACCTCGGAATTGTTTTAAAAAAATATAATAATATATCGTATAAAAAAATTAATACACATTTCTCTACTTTGATAAATTATATATATATTTATAGTAAATTAACAATAATATGATAAAAATATTGTGATTTTAATATTTTTGTTTTTATAATTATAAAAAAGATAAATACTGTTTTTATAAAAAATTAAAAATATTTTAGTGTTTATGTATAAATTATTTTTACTATTGATTAAAAGCCACGAAAATAATAATAATAAAAAATAATTGCACGGTGGGGCTGTGGAATGGTCACGTGAGTGGTCGGTGTGGCGGCAATACTACACGACAGCTCGAAGCGCAGAGCATCCGAGACCGAGAATTCTATACACTTCGATATGTCCTGGCCAATCCAATTTCATTGAAATGGCCCCGAAATTTATTTTAAGCCTTACTATAAAATATTAAAATATGCCACATTACATAAAAAATGTTTATATCACTTGATAATACTTGTAGGGTCAATTTAGATAACAAATCTAAAAGCATTGAAAAGTTTTAAATACTTTTTAAAATAGGGAAACAAACAAGAATTTAATGTAATATTTTATATATAAATTATTTTTTAAAATTTATTATCTTAATAAATTTTAAATACTTAAGTTAATAAAAATTACTTAATCATCATTAATGTCAAATATATATAGAGAGAGATAGAGGGAGACATGCATATAATATATACATATTTATTATATGTAAAATACCAATAACAATAAGCACTCACACACAATGGATATTTAATATGATTCTAAAAAAAATTATAAATTTTTAATATCGATTGCAAAATAATAGTAACAATAAAAAATGAAAAATATATTTAATAATCATATATATATTCAAAATTTGTAGTAAAAATCTAAATTATTTATAATTCATAATTAAAAATATATATTTATTAAAAAATTATATAAAAGCATTAATTATTAATACTATTCTTAATGAAAAATTAGAATTTTTTAATTAAAATATAAACAATAGTTATATATTTTAAAATTATTTTACTATATACTTTTTAAATAATATTTTTATTAAATTATATAAAAAATAGTTATATATTTTCTAAATTATTTCAAAATATATCTTTTATTTTTAAATTACAAATTAAAATTGCTTAAAAAAACTATTGAAATTTTTTAAAAAATTAAATAAATAAAGTATATACAGTTTCAATTTTTTAAAACTAAAATAATTATGGGTACATTTGTTTTATAAGATAATTTGAATGAATAATTTTTTATATGAAATATATTAAATTGTACAAAATATAAAAAATAAATTTATGTGATATATTAATATTTTTTTTAATACAAATAACAGAAATATGTATGAAGAACACACTTTACATTTTTATTAAAGCACAATAATAATAACAAATATATAAATAAATAAATAAAAATCATTCGCCTTCTCCAACATCTGTTGCGATGCGTGTGAGAACAAAATTCTTGAAAAAGAGTCCGTAGCAATAATCACGGGCACTTTTATTTTGATCCAGGTAAGGTTCTACCCAGAATCACGCAACCAATATTACGCATTTTACATTTTTATGCGTTTGGTTACTAATTAAATATTAATATTTAATTATGATATAAAAAATATAATATTTAAAAATTTTAAAATATGTAAAAAAATTACTCAGAAAATTAGAAATATGAGATTATTTTAAAAAAAAAAAAAAAAGAAAAAAAAAAGAAAAGAGAAATTAAAAAAGTAAAATAAAATAAAATCTAAGAGGAGTCATTCAGATGGCAACCAAATATTTTTAGATACGCGCATTCTATATTTCTATGTATGTAAAGAAGAATTGGAATTTTATTTAGTCATTTCTCGTCAATAGGTGGATGAACAGAAGGGCGACTCAGCAGCCATGGAAGTGTTGAAGCTGGCTTTGGCAATGATGGCAGTGCTAGCAGTGTGTGCCAGGGCGGAGTATGTTAGGCCTCCGCCTCGGAAGACGCTGTCGTTTCCGTGGAGCAAGAAGGCTTCTTCTGTGCCTGAACAGGTGGAATTCACGAATTTTTTTAGCTATTATGTTCCAGCTGCAGGAAGAAATTGAATTCGTCCTTTCTTCAAAAATAACAAATAATGAACTGGATTTTATTGTTTTATGGTGCAATTTGGATTTGTTGAGGGTGATTGTAGATGGACTGCTCAGATTTCCTTGATTTGGTTGTGTTTTTGAGGTGGATCTGATGTCGGTAGCTTTTTAGGTTTTTGGATTCGATGCAGTTTCTGTATAATATTTTTTAATATACTGTTGAGTGTATTGGTTCTGTTTTTCGTGTTTTTGCCGATTCTGTTGATGGTTGCATTCTCCATTGCTGTATCGTAGTTAATTGGAGATCCATGACTGCAATGACCTGCTCTGAATGTGAACTTTATTGTTTTAATTTATTGTCACCAAAACTTGCTTCACAAATACAAGTGTTATATATTTAGTGCAGATTCAGAGATTGTTTCCTTTAGGTTCCTGTCATTTTTTCTGTCTTTGTTGGTGGCATAGTAATTGATATTGATTATATTTTAGTTTGTTTGGTATGAATTTATGTACACATGATATTATGCAGTGGTTGCACAAGTGTTTTCACCATAGTTGTTTTGTTGCTTATATGCTCGAATGCTGCTGTGATTTAGAACTAATTATGAGCATGCATTAATATCTCGGTTTTTAGGGTGAATATTTATCTAACCTAATGCATTGTTATAACTAGGGATAACTCTTTTATAGGTGGTATTAAATAATAATAAAATATTATTGATGTTATAAGACTATTTATCTTTCATTAATACATAACTTACTATTAATTTTATCTTAAAATTAAGTGTCTTTTAAATAATATTAATAATATTATGCAATAATCAGTTAAATAAAACATTGATTATATAATATATATTAGAATAGTACACATTTTATAATCCTTAGAAGAGATGAAAGTGATTATCTTTCTAGGATTTTATGTTTAAATGTGAATGTGGTTCTAAGATGCCTAAAAATATCCCTAGAAATTAACCAAACATAGCTTGAATGAGTGCATATATGAATAGGTAAAATGATGGTATATTGGTGCAAAGATAAAAAAAATTGAAGTTGTATGTATATATACCTATGAGTGGAAAAGAAACTATGTACTTGTGTTGTATGTTTGGGAGTTGTTTCTAATGTGTGTTTCTCTATAGTAAAGAGTGTTGCAAATCAGTCACCCGATCTTAAATTGTGTTTATGAACTTTATTAGTAGAAATACTTTTAAATTCAGTTGGTACCGGATTTTATTTGCAGGTTCACATCTCCTTAGCTGGGGAGAAACACATGCGCATCACATGGGTCACTATGAATGCTCATTCCCCTTCTATAGTTGAATACGGGACATCACCGCATAACTACAGCTTTCGCGCACAAGGATACAGTGCTAGTTACAATTATCTCCTCTACACCTCTGGAACGATACACCACACGGTTATTGGTCCTCTGGAAGACAGTGCATTGTATCACTACCGATGTGGCGGTGAAGGTCCTGAGTTTCAGCTGAGAACCCCACCTTCTCAGCTCCCAATCACTTTTGCTGTGGTGGGTGATTTAGGGCAGACAGAGTGGACCAAGTCTACTTTGGACCATATAGAGCAGTGCAAATACGACGTGCTCCTGCTTCCTGGAGACCTATCGTATGCTGATTATGTGCAGAGGAGCTGGGACACGTTCGGGGAGCTTGTGCAGCCTCTTGCGAGCTCAAGACCATGGATGGTGACTCAAGGGAACCATGAGGAGGAGCGCATACCGTTGCTGGAACACAGTTTCAAATCGTATAATGCGAGATGGAAGATGCCCTATGAGGAGAGTGCATCTGGTTCGAACCTTTATTATTCTTTTGAAGTGGCTGGAGTTCATGCTATCATGCTTGGATCATACACTGATTATGATGAGAATTCCGAGCAATACGCTTGGCTGAAGGTAAAAAATCTCATACTCTGTCCTAATTCATGTTACTTCCAATATATATATACTGGTTACCATGCTGATTTTCTCAGTCAGCACATTAAAATCTAGCGGACAACACATGTTTTCAAACTATGCTATTCGAAAACATGTCTTGTCTATTTATATTTATAGGATGTGCAGTATAAGCACATGTGTTATTTGAAAAATGTGGTGTTTGTTTATATTTATAGGATGTGCGGTATAAACATATATCATATACTGAAATCAATGAATGTATGTGTTACGTAGACTATTGTCTTTTGTTGTTAATTCATATCCTATATATATAAATATATATATGTTACTTGTGTGTTTTTGTTATATGGCCATTTTACTCAAAAGTGTAGAATGATAATTATATGTGCCAATTTATATACATGAATCACTCAGATTGCTAATTGTCTTGTACTAATCCAATTGATTTGTTACCGATTCTTGATCCATAGGCTGATCTTGCAAAAGTGGATCGTAAACGCACGCCCTGGTTAATTGCGCTCTTCCATGTTCCATGGTACAACAGCAATGAGGCTCATCAAGGCGAGGGCGATAGCATGAAGGCATCCATGGAAAAGCTGCTTCATGCTGCAGGCGTAGATGTGATGCTTGCTGGCCATGTTCACGCCTACGAGCGCACAGTAAGTTCCACTCCCCAAACCATTTACATAACCATAAAATGAAAAATACTTTTCGATTCCCAAACTCATCAGCTTTATTCCGTTATTACAACCAGGGTCGCGTCTACAATGACAAACGAGATCCTTGCGGAGCTGTCCACATCACCATTGGCGATGGTGGAAACCGAGAAGGTTTGGCAAATGCGTAAGCTCATTTGCCTCCACAGCAGCTACAATTCAAACATCTAATTGTATGTATCTCTCCTCATTCTTGTTTTTTCAGCTAATTTTTAACTTCGTTACAACCCTTGTATATACAGTTACCTGAATCCCCGGCCCGAGTGGTCTATCTTCCGGGACGCGAGCTTTGGCCATGGCGAGCTGACTATAGTCAACTCGAGCCATGCACTATGGAGTTGGCATAGGAACGATTACGATGAACCGGTTAGATCAGATCAAGTCTGGATAACCTCATTGCTCGACTCCGGATGCCTCGGCGACGCTCACCGGAGCCTTCAGCCGGAGCCGTAGAACGGGTATGTAGTTTTTTTAGCTGATCTATGTGAATATATATATATATATATATATATGATGCTACACAATATGTTACATATGGTGCATTTTATTATCTGGTGTGGCTAAATATTAGGTAAAGAAAAAAAGTAGAATTAAAATTTGAATTGAAGCCGAGTTGAATCTTGAAGTTCCCATTTATTCTTGATTCTTTTCCACTCATGACCTTTTTTAAAAAAAATAAAATAAAATAAAATAAAATTATATACATAAATTTAAAACTAGAAGTATTTAAATTCCTTATGTGAAATTATAGTGGATGGATTTATAGTTGATTGAAGGCTCTCTTTAAATAAAAAATATGTATTCACATTTGATATAAACAAATTTGAATGTTTCTATGGAAAATAAATTTTTAATATAATATTTTTAATAAAAATAAGTATTTGATTTAATTATTTTTTTGTTAATTTTTTCGAAACAATCTTTATAGAGTTGTCCATAACCCTGTCTTGTTGTTTGCGTCAATGTGCCCAAACGGGACATAAATGTAAATTCTAATCTATATGTGGTCTCTATAAATGATTGAACTATTTGATTCGATGAATTTATGGTGTGTTAGCTCAACAAATTAATAAATGTTTAATAAAATAATTATATTATGACTCTGTCACAAATCGTGCTATATGCAACAAGTTTGGTGGAGGATGACGATCTATATGTCACCAACTCAACTCATTATTGAATCATTTGATTCAAGTACATCTATTTACATAGAGAGTTTGAAAATTTTTTTGCACTATTCATCTATAATAATTTTTATTATAAATATCATATGGAAAATTCTCACCCAGTGATCATAATTTTAAGACTTTTGTAACATTAATAGTCAATGGTCGTAAGCACATAATTTCAGTTATTAAACTGGGACGTATGCAAGCAGGCACGTATTCTGCTTACATCATATATATATATATATTTTTCTTCCCATTCTCTTTCTTATGACACATCAGTTTTCTCTCTTCTTAAAGAATTCTAATTATATTTTACACTGACGATGAAGAATCTATTAAAATCTCTATATTTTCGATCTTATTAAATATTTTATATATTTTCTTAAAAAATAAAATATACTTTTTTTTATCATATTTATTCTTATAATATTTAATAAAATAAAATATTTATTATTTATCAATAAAAAATTAAAAAATAATTTTTATATACTACTCACATAATTATTAAAATTTTAAATGCAAATTTAATAATAAAATATATTATATTATAATACATATTAAATATATATTATATTTATAAATTACAAATATTAAATAAAATTTTATATAACAAAATTAAAATATAATATTTTAAATAAAATAAATTCTTATAAATATAAAATAAAGAGTATATATTATAAATATTATTTTTATATTTACTGAACTAAAGAAAGGACTATGCGCGCACAAAACAAATAGAAAAATCCAGCAAACTTGCAGTCTAGCATTCTACCGTTTCCTGCGTAAGTCGGCATTATTTATTTATTTATTTATTCAATGCTTATGTGGGATGTCCTAAAGGCAACAAAGTCTTCAGTACCAAAAATGGATCTAAAGCCAACCCCAGTTTCCATCAAAAACCATGGCTATGTTCCTCATCCTCATCCTTTTCCTCTTACTCTTACCTGTTCTTATCCTAATCACAAAATCAAAAAAGCCGTTGGAACGGGTGCCCCCGGGGCAGCTCGGGCTGCCCATAATCGGGCAAAGCTTCAAGCTGCTGTGGGCAATGAGGTCTAATACAGCAGAGCAATGGATTTCAGCCAGGGCCAAAAGATATGGCCCCATCTCTAAAATGAGCCTATTTGGGAAGCCTACAGTTTTTGTACATGGCCAGACAGCCAACAGGCTTGTGTTCGGCGGGGACGGAACCAAGCTCAGCATCCAGCAGACTGAGTCTATGAGGATGCTGTTAGGGGAGCGGTGTCTGCTGGAGCTCGTTGGCGAGGATCATAAGCGCCTAAGGAATGCGCTGACCTCGTTTCTAAAACCCGAGAGTTTGAAGAATTATATTGGGAGGATTGACGAGGAGATCAAGTTGCATTTAGAAGCTAATTGGCATGGGAAAGAGACAGTTACTGTAAGTCAACTTATTGTGAGTAATCAGTTCTTAGAAAAAGTAATATAGGCATGATAACTGTATTTCAAGGTAATAAATCTTGTTATTGTAAAAACTGATAAGATGATCTTATCATAAAGGCAACAAGGAATGTGACGGCAACAAATGCTCTAATAATAAATCATAGATGCTAATTTTTCCAAAAAGAATCACATACTATTCCCAAAAATTTCTAAAACTCCAAAAGTTTATCTAAGCGGAGCCTATACAATTTTCTACTTAATGGTACATGCAATTTACCAATTACTCCCTTGCTTTAATTTAATCAATCAACTCTTGGAACCATCATGAAAACATTTGTGAAGAGGGGGTCCTATTAGTTATATCAAGTAATTAACCTAATCTTTTTTTGTAAAAAGTAAACAATACTAAAGTGAAATGCCAAACTATTTTTATCCAACTACCACATGTTACTGTCTCATGCAAACTCGATTACAAATAAATATATGGATCCATAAATTGAAATGGTCAATTGCAAGACATGGGTGTAGCTTAAATTCAAATTTATGGAAGCTAATTGAAAAATAACTCATCCTAAATTCCTACCAGGGGATTTATTAAAACTACCTGAAATTTTTGGACTTACACTAATGCAGGTACTACCTCTTATGAAGACACTAACATTCGACATAATCTGCACCATTTTATTTGGGGTAGAAAGGGGTGCAATAAGGGATGCACTTGTTGAGTATTTTCAACAAATGATTGCAGGGATGTGGACATTACCGATCAACATGCCCTTCACACGCTTCAACCGGAGCCTCAGGGCAGCTGCCAAGGTCCGGGAGATGTTGAAGGGGGTCGTACATGAGAAAAGGATTGAGCTAGAAAAGGGGGCCTCATCTCGCCAAGATCTCATTACTTGTTTGCTCACCATCCATGGGGATGATGGCGAAGAATTGATCTCCGAGGATGAAATAATACATAATATCATCCTCGTTATGGTTGCAGGGTATGACACATCTGCCGTGGTCATTACTTTCCTGGTTCGACTTTTGGCAAATAATGCACAAGTGCGTGAAACAGTATTACAGGGTAAGGAATTCCTCACTCATTGGGATTTTTAGACCCTAAACGATTATTCAGGACATCTATGCCACGTGAACGCTATGATTAAACCATTAATCAGCAGACTTTAAGTTAATCATAAATTAGACTAAACATATGACCAACCTTCATATAATAATCTAGCAAAATTAAATAGTTCAAACTAAAAGTGGCTTAAAAATATGCTTCGGACAGAACAAGTGAAGATTAAAAACAATAAGCCGCTCAAGGAATTACTGACATGGGAAGACCTGGGAAAGATGAAGTATACCTGGAGAGTAGCAATGGAGACTCTTCGAATGATTCCTCCTATTTTTGGAGGATTCAGAAAGGTCATGGAAGACATTGAGTACAACGGATACCTAATACCGAAAGGATGGCAAGTAAGTGACACTCCTTGTATCATTATTAGTATCTACCCATTAAATCACATATGATATATTGCATGTAATAATCCTACTGTAAATTTACTCATGAGAAACAGGTGTTTTGGGTGACGAGCATGACTCACATGGATGGAGACATCTTTCCAGAACCAGAAAATTTTGATCCAGACCGGTTTGTGAATCCAGCTTCCATACCACCTTACAGTTACATTCCGTTTGGGGCCGGAGCTCGTATTTGTCCAGGATATGAGCTTGCAAAGATTGAAATTCTGTCCACAATTCATTATTTGGTTACAGAATTTGATTGGAAGCTCTGCAGCAGGGATAACAGCTACATAAGGGATCCAATGCCAGCTCCTGCTCAAGGACTTCCAATCCAACTGTGTAAGAGAAAACTAAGTACAACCTGCTCAGAGTAAGAAAAATTATGGTGATTATTTCTTTAGTGAAAACCCTCCTGTTGATTTCCTTGACAAGTAGCTCAAGATTAATTCTGATGTTTCTGTAGAATGTTCAGAAACTAATAAAATATGAGTTCCTGAGAAGTGTTAACATTCATCATTTAATTTGGAACTCAAACCTCACTAGAAAGACAAATGGTTTAGAGAGGGATTCAATAACTATATTGATCCATTCTCAAGCATACATACATATGTATATATATATCTATCTATAGAAGATGGCCAAAAATAATAGCACAGGTGGAAAACATGTATAGCTAGTATAGTATAAAACAAGGTAACCTTCTGGCAAGAGTGTATATACCACAATCTGACCTGTAATTTTCTGTCATCAAGGATGGTTGTATCTTTAGCATGGGAGAGGAGTAGAGGAAAAGGATTCGCTGGATTGAATCCACAGCTTGAAGGATAAGCATATTCAGAATGAAAATCCACAGATCAACTAATACACATAGGAGAGAATATTCATATCTAGATAAATACGATCCGTTTAGTGACCATTCAAAATCCAAAATGAACACAAAAGGAAGGTATGGAAGCATATTCGAACACTCTGTGAACTTAATAATCTAAATAAGGCTTGCTTGTTCACCCAAAATTCCTGTATATTTTTGTACTACTCGAGTGTAAAAATAGCCTATTTGAACCTAATCATCCTTGTAATGAGTAAGCAAATTATCACCCACGTATCAGATGATGCAAGATTCTTGATCTAGATTATAACTTTAGAGAGACTAAAGCTGTGTAGGGATGAAAATTCAAATGCTGTTATCTCATATACAATCATCTTTGCAATACAGCTTGAGCTGACGTGAAAACAAATTGCATCTTTCTGAGAAATTAATAGTAACTTAATCCCTATAGACATTTGCAGCAAAATGTATAGGGTGGTCGCAAGCTGCCACATAGCCACTAGTGTCATATGAAGCTTCACACATGAATCACAGATACTTTCATTAGTAAGTAATGACAAATATGAATGCTTATTGTTCTAATACACAAATTCCTACATCAACATTCGGATAATTATTTTCATAGAGCAGAAGCAATGAGTAATAAAAATGTTCTCAAGCATAGGGTTGTAGTTAAATCAAAACCCTGAAGCAGATATATTCCTGGATCATTGATCTTAAGACTTAAGAAATTACATGTTTATGAATGATAAGATAAAACTCAAGACCCAAAAAACCTCAAACAGAATCTGTTCCTGAGTAGGAAGAGACAGAAGATACGCAGGGGAACCAATACCGGCGTCTACCATCCCTGTGACCATCATCAATCATGGCAAGACCCTCCTGTATTATCCATTACAGTTATATAAGTTCAACTATATATGTTTAATGGTCTGAACCATATAAATAGAAGAGCATGGAAACAATAACTTACTTCTAACAAAGTTTCAAGAGCATCCGTTGCTCGACCAGTCGACCAAGAGAGCCGTCTCTCAACTTCATCAACAGTCACAAATCCTTGACCCTAAAGCAAGAAGAAACAACTGCTGTTATGAGTTACAGCAGAATATAACACATTAACAAGCATTACAGAACACACAATCCACCATCCTAATCCAGAGTAAAGTAAATGTTAGTAAGGTCAAGGAGCTCCAAACACTTTTTTCTCAAATTTGGAAATCAGTTCAATCAAACTTCAAGTAAGAATATAGGTGTGATTGTTTCACATTTCGTGTCACCCAACCTTTTTGGTCATTCCATCAGAACATGTATGCTAAAATCAGAAAATAGGTACCATGGAGTGGAGAAAAAAAGGTGCCAAAAACCAATTCTTCAAGAAGAAATCTTTGTTTCAAACAAATGGTTATTAGAAAAAGGTACAAATGTAGAAATAAAAACGAGAGACAATAGATGGACAAAGGAACCTGTGCCAGCTCTAAAATTTCATTGTGGTCTTTGTTCAATTCAGTAGGAACAGATCTAATGAGCTTCTTTTTCCCTAGAGAAATCACCTCAAAGCCATTACCAAGCACCTGAGGACAAATAAATATTACCAAAAGGATACAATGAGAGAGAAAAAGTGTAAGAAATATAAATGTGTGCCACCGAATACATAATTTAGGTTTTGAGACAGCACAAGCTTGGCTGTTAAAGGAAATCGACCTATAGTGGTGAAAAAGATATATAAGTTAGCCAACATCTAGGAAGCAAATTGTTACACACACTTGCCCTAATTTGCCATTGTTGCCAATTCCCCGCATAGTGATACCATGATGATGAGACCTTCAGATTGCCAATCAACAGGATGGTTGCAGTGTTTATCTTAAAATTCAAGTAGGTAACGGAGTAAATACTGCAAACTTTTCCAGTGGATCTAGATCATTTATCACTGTTACATTATTCTACATTAACCAATTTATTAAGTGATACGTGTATTTGCATTGCTTTAAATTGCAACTGGACCACCATACCTTGAGCTTACTGATAGCACGTAAACAATCATCCTGAGAGACAGCCTCACGAGCCCCCTTCCTTCTTTGTCCAAGCAATTTACACAATTCTTCCAAGCTAATCAACCCCCCATTGTGTGGTCTAGTTGCTAAGCAAATCTCAACAATTTGCACTCCTGTCTAGATGGAGAGTGATTTCTGATTAGAAGTAAAAAAAAAAAATATTAAAAACAAAAGATCACCTCATAATAGTTTACACAGATATCAGATAAAAAAAATGAGACAATCCCAAGGAAGTGGAACAAGTGAGATGCAAAATCAACACACAAACATGGGCTATCACATGACCAAGTAGAATCCATTATGATATTAAAAGAGAATAAGCAAACATAATAAGTAATATACCAAGTTCATAGTAGAAGTCACCAATCCCTAACAACTCAGCCCAGAAGCCCTTATTTGAGGCCAGAGGATCTACTCCAACTTTGGCACACATCTCATGAAATTGTGCTCTGAATGCTGGGTTCTTGCGAATGTCATTCTGCCAAATAAGGGGATGTATACTAGTTCTCAGTCAAGTTACAAAAAGAAAAAATCACTACCCGTTAATACCAAAACAAGGTAAGGAGTAGCGTATAAATTTCCATTTCCTTAAAATTTAAGAATTTCCTCCCTCCTTTTGCATAACATTGAAAATCAAATAGTATCTATATTATCATCACCATACAAGATCCAACAACAACAAAAAATACTATAGGTGTAGCAGTCATTCCTTTCCTTCAACAGGAGGAGACACCATCTAAATCAATCGCCAATTTCTACCCAAATTTACGTAAGAAAAATATATGAAGCATGGCCATTTAACGTCGAAGTTAAATAGCTGTCTTATCTAATGAAAAAGTGCACACCACAACAGTATAATTACACAAATCAAAGCATAACTACATAGCTACAAACAAAACTTGATTCTTCAATTATAAAAGGAAAAAGAACCTTATGTTTCCGAGCAAAGTCTTCAAGCTGGGAACGAAAAGTAGTGAGCTGTTCTTTCATGAGATCAGTTCTCAATTTAGCCACATTCTCTCCCAGTCTTCGATATTGATCCTTCAATTCAATGTGAAAGAGGTAAGATGGAATCAGTCTTAACCATGAGCAAGCTTAATAGACAACAAACATGACAGAAGGAAAGGAAGAACCAACCCTAGCAGCAGCGGCATTCTGCAAACCTCCAATTCCCGGCCTTCGCCTCATTCTAATAATATTTCTACCTCTGATTGATCAATGGGGAAAAAAGGCAAACAACTTTCACTAATTCGTATCAATGCAGTGAAACATTATCAAAATTTTGCAATCATCATTTATAAAATCTTGTAAACTGCAATAAAGAGTATTTGCGAAATATATTCAGAAAACAGTTGCACAATAAACTTCAAACATTGTTTGTCTTATTTTATTTTTCCGAAATAAACACAATTTAGGCATTAATTTATTAAAATTCAACAAAAATTCTTAAAAATTAAAATTCATCATCGGTCATCCATATCATGATAATATCCTGCCTTAAGTTTTCTATGTAATCTTCGATGTCTATACTAATACTCTGATTCAAATCACCATATACTATAATGTTTTTGTGTTTTCCAACCTCCAAATATGATGAAAATTGCTTCTATAAGAAATGAAATAGGTGTAAAACAAGAGTAAAAAACAACTTAAATGCCGGAAACACATCAAAATGAAATAGCAAGTTAGCAACCTAACATAAACTTGGGCAAAACAGTAATATGATATCTTACAAACAGTCAATGAGCCATATACCCATACCAGCAAACTCTCGGCATTGAAATTAATAGCAACAAACAATTCAAAATTAATGCAAGCAATGAACTTACAGAGCCTCCGGTAGAGCAAATGAATAAGAAGACGCCGGAGCAGGAAAATAAAACAAAGACGGACGACGCCGGTGAGAGACGAAACGAAATCGAATCGATGGCGCCTGCGGTTTTAGAAAGTGGAAATGAGAAATTGAGTGAAAGTGGATCCCCGGTTAGGGTTCACAGAATTACGGATGCATAAAGCATTTCTCAATACATGAAAAAATAATGGGTGTGTGCAGTTTTGGTTTTATTTTTGCTATTTTTTTTTTAAAATAATATTAATTAAATATTTATTTTTTATTTATTATATTGTATTTTATAAGTCATGGAAGATGTTAGTATCTTTTATATTTGTATTTTTTGTTTTGCTAAAATTCTCATTTTATTAGTATTATAAAAAGTATTTTTATAATTTTTTATTATATTTGTATATTTTTGCAATTTTTTGTTATCAATGTCTTATAATATTAATAGGAGGATATTTGTAAAAAAAAAAAAAATTATACAAATATAAAAATATTTTTAATATTATATATAATGAAAAAAAAGATAAATATGACAATGAGTATTGTTTAAAACTAATACTTAAAATCAAAATGACATAAATAAACACACCCAATAGTCTTTACCTACTTTACGAGTAAATGACCATCTCATAATGCCCGTGTTTATCATATGCTCATTTTCGGTAACGTTTATGAATTTCATTCTTATTAATTTTTTATAATAATTATATAAAGTACGAATATTTTAAAAATATACTAAATATCAATATAATACTAATAATTTTTTAATTATTATAGTTATCCTAAGGTAACGTTTGGTACACATAATAAAATTGCAGACAAATGAGAGTAGATAATGAAATTGGAGAGTATGGAATTAGTAGATAATAAGAATTAAGTACACATAATAAATGATTAACCGGGTTCCCACTTATAAAGAAAAATTTTAAGGAATGAAAAATATTTTTGGTGATTTTTTTATAAAACAATTATAAATTATATATGGTGTTTTTTAAAACTATATTTTAGTACAATTTCTTTTAAAAAAGTAAAATTTATATACTTAAACAATAAATTAAATTTAATTTTTGTAAAATTAAAATAATAGAATTAAAAGAAAAGTATACAAATTCAACGGTAAAAAAAAAATAAAAATAAAAAATAAAAAAATACTCTCTCCGTCCACGGATAAAGTATACATTTACTTTTGACGCAGAGTTTAAGAAATAATAGTATTTTAATTATAGTGGGTAGTAAAAATAGTGTAATGACATTTTTGCCCTTGTTTTTTGGTATAAAAGTAATAATGTGATGTAAAGTAAGGGTATTTGTGAAAAAAAAAATGATGTATTTAATGAAATTGTTACTTTGTAATTGGACGTCCCAAAATAGAAATATGTATTCTTTGTAAGTGGACGGAGGGAGTATATTGCAATATCATTTTTCTCAATTTATTTGCATATGAGAGATAAACGTAAAACAAATAAATGAAAATGATTTACTTCTCAAATTCAATTTAACTTACTCAAATACACAAAAGAAATGAAATCATTTTCATTTCTCTTACTTTATTTATCTGTATCAAATACACCCCAAATATTCATATTTATTTTAGAACGGAAAGAGTATTGATTAGTAAAAATATTTTGATATGTTTGATTTATGTTTTTATATTTATATTTTTGGTATGATCATTTTTTTTTTAATACAATAAATTATTTATATATAAAATTAAAAAATAATATGAATTGAATATATGCACAATTTATATACTCCATTCCATCTCAATTGAAAGTATATTTATATTCTACTCGTCTCATAATTAGATATTCATTTGTTTTTTTCAAGTAATTTTAAAAATATTAGTATTATATTGGGACGCAATAGAAATAAAATATAAATAACTAAAATAACCTTATTAAATAGTACAGTTATTAAAAAAAATTGACACTTTGTTATAAAACGGACTAAAATGAAAAAATAAATATTTTGTTATATTTAAAAATATATATATTAATACTAAAATATCATTCAATTTTTACTATTATGTTACACATATAATTAAAATCAAATAAAAAAAAATCAAATTTTTTATATATTTTCATTAACTAAAAAATATTATTAATTCTTAATTTACTAGAAAACCTAAAAGTTTCCTTTCAATGGGATAAATTATATCTTTCAATAATATTTAAAACAATCCTATCATTAAAAATATATTAAGCGAAACAAGCCTTTTTTGGGTTTTAAAAATATACAAAAATAATAAAAACATCTAATAAATTAAGAAAAGAGGATTCTGAAAAAAAAAAACGTCATATTCATTCTAAAAAAATAATAAAAAAGTAAAAAGTTAATTTAAATAGTATTATTTTATTTGATATTTTATAAAACTTATATTTTTATTAATGATTTATAAAGACAATAATAAAATATTAAAAAAAATTGGGTGATTAATAATTAAAATATATAATTTTTTTAGAAAATATTAAATTAAATCATATTTAAATATAAAATATAAATACAAATTCAAATTTTATTTTAATTCAATTTAAAACCACACTCGAATAAATATGAGATGAAACCCCAAAAAAGCACAAATTCAGCAAAAAACCATCGGCTAATACCGTAGAAAGATGAGACAAACCTAAAGGCTAAAGGTTAATCTAAAAAATTACGGGTGAAAATCCAACGGTCAAAACGACGGCACTCATAAAGCGGGACTTTTACGCTCTTTCCTCGCCCAAACCCGCATTTCCCTCGTCTCGTTGTTTAAGCCTCTTGGCCGCCGCCGCCGCCGCCGCCGCCGTCGTCGCCGACTTATGTAAAAGTCAGAACTCCTTAGCATCAATTACTGGTTATTTTTTGTGAAGACTTATCGAGACGGCATATTTTCGCAGTAGTATTATTGTTTACCGTAGTAGCGACAGGCTGGGGAGGGTTGCAGTGGCTATGGTTAAAATGGGGTTGTCTGCTCCGGCGAGCCATCCCAGGCCTTCCCCTTTCTGCCCGACGTATTTCTGGTTTTGCCGTCCGAACGGTCTGCTGTTGTCTCGTTCGCCGGGGATTTTCTGCAGGTTCGGTTCATTTGAGCTCAGTGAGGTTATTTTTGTTGTTCGGTTTCGTTGTGGCTATATTAATTTGTCCGCAGGCGATTCGTTGAGTTTGTTTGAGAGATTTTTTTGGCCAATTGAGAATAAACCCTTAGGGTTTTTCGTTGTCTTGGATATTTTTATATTTTTAGGAAAACATAAGGGCTTGTTTGATTCTGCAAGGATTCTATTTGTGTTTTACTGTGTTTCTTTGTGATTGAAGAACTACTACTTGCATTGTTGCTTATCTACGATGTGAATTTTATTTTTCCTCGTTTTGCAATGCAAATTTTAATGTTGAGTGCAGCTAAAACCTTGTTTATCTGCTTCAGAATTCTGCTTATTTTGCAGTTTAAAAGATGCAGCATCCGAGAATGCAAATGGAGCTCCAAGTGCTCATGTTCTAGAGTCAAACCAGAGACGTGGGTACACGACAATGAACCTGACTCGTCGTAATAAGCCTTATAATAATCATATTGAAATTAAAGATAAACCTGCTACCATTGATTGGCACATAATGAACCCTGGAAATACCGAAGAAGAATGGAACAAAGCTGCTAAGCCAAATACTGCTTTAGAAGAAGAAATTGCGCAACAGGTAATGCTGGGGAAGATAATAACTGTGTATTGTTCTCAAGGTGCACATGATATCTTTGGAATTCTCACTAGATTAGCCATCATTGGTAAAGCTGCTCAAGGGAATGCTAGGCAAGATGATAACTGTATATTGTGTTCTTAAAATTGCACATGCTTTATTTCAATTTTTCACTATATTATCCATTATTATTAGTAAAGCTTCTGGGTGATATTAGAAATTGCTTATTTTTTGCAGTATGAAGGAAAAGGCCAGTGGATCAGCAGCGAGGAAAAGGGATGTATTGAGAATGCTGGCCAACTTGGGTTGCATGGTTCCCTTAACCAAATACCACAAGTTTCACATGGAAATCAAGTTGATAGTAAGAATATATTAGATAGGCCGTTCCTGAATGGTGCACGCCCAAATGGGTTAGAAAAGACGCATCAGGATTCAATAAATATAGAGGATGATGTCTTTCACCTCAAGGAAACTGGCTCCACTGATAGAAAGTCTTTGCCAAGTGAGAGTGTTGGTAAATCTATCGGTGAGGAAATAGTTGCTTCTGAAAATGCTAAACTCCAGAAGAGGCTTATTCAGGTCTATGATAAAGTTCTTGTGGTAGATAACGTTGATGCAGCTAGGCAAGTAGTTGGAATGCTCACTGGTAGATACAAAGATCTCGTTCATGCTTGTGATACAGAGGCATGTATTGTTTACTTGGAAATTGATAAAAATATGTTAGTGCATTCATCTCCTAAGTATTTACCCACTTCCTAGTTTAATGTGTTCTTGTCGAAATTATACAACACTCCTTAGCTCTTTTTGTTCTAACAACCGCAGGTGGCATTTATTGATGTTAAAGGAGAAACTCCTGTTGACCATGGTGAACTTATATGTTTTAGTATATATTCTGGTCCAGAGGCTGATTTCGGTGACAAAAAGTCCTGTATATGGGTTGATGTTCTTGATGGAGACGGAAAAGAACTTCTCAAAGAATTTGCACCATTTTTTGAAGATCCGTCAATTAAAAAAGTAAATATTTTACTGTTGTTGCTTATATAGTGAAACGATTAGTTAAGTGGGGATTGATTTTGATCATAGTCAATTTCCTTGTTTATTTATTTATTATTATTATTTTTTCAGGTATGGCACAATTACAGCTTTGATAATCATGTCATAGAGAACTATGGACTTAAAGTTTCTGGTTTCTATGCTGATACAATGCACATGGCTCGATTATGGAATTCCTCTCGGCAAACAGAAGGAGGGTACTCTCTGGAAGCACTCACTAGTGATCCCAGAATCATGTTGGATGCTGAGAAGGGTCCTGGTGAGATGTTGATCGGAAAGGTATCTATGAAAAATATTTTTGGGGTGAAAAAAATAAAGAAAGATGGATCAGAGGGAAAGCTGATCACTATTCCTCCTGTTGAAGATCTACAACGATTAGAGAGGAAATTGTGGGTTTCCTACTCTGCTTTAGATTCGATTAGCACATTGAAGCTTTATGAAAGTTTGGAGAAGAAATTAAAGAAAACCCCTTGGATTGTTGAGGGTGAATGCAAAGGATCAATGCTTGACAACTACCAAAAGTATTTATGCCCATTTGGTGAGCTTCTTGTGAAAATGGAGACAGAGGGCATGCTGGTCGATCGTACATACCTTGCTGAGATTGAAAAAGTAGCTAAAGCTGAGCAACAGATAGCAGCTGATAGATTTCGAAAGTGGGCATCAAAGCATTGTCCTGATGCAAAATACATGAACATAGGAAGTGATACGCAGTTGCGGCAGCTATTTTTTGGTGGCATACAGAACAGGTAAAAATTGACACTATTCAGATATAAGATATATGTTGGTTAGGCTGTAAACAAGATTGTGTTTATGAGATCATTCTAAATTTTGGTGGAAAACTTCAACTTCGTAGCTTCTTGAGAAAGATTTTAATTTTGGCTAAGTAGCCTTATGCAAGGACGAGAAAAACAATAAATTTAGTTTATAGCCACTAGAGACAACTCCCAGCTAATTATGAAATTAAAGGTTAATTAAAGTGTAGCTTCTTTTGGCTTGCATCACTAATACTGATTTGATGTCATACATACTTGAGAGATCATTTTGCCCAATAAACTTGTCGAACTTTTCTTCTTCTCCCTTCATTGTAATTCTGTGTGGATCGACTCTTATTGTTTTATATTTGTAGGAAGAATCCAAATGAGCATCTTCCAACAGAAAAGGAATTCAGAGTCCCCAACGTAGATAATATTATTGAAGAAGGCAAGAAGAAGCCCACTAAATTCTATAAAATCAAACTGCGTAAGATTGTTGTTGATGACATTCAGGTTGAGAAGTTCACTCCGAGTGGTTGGCCATCTGTCAGTGGAGATGTATTAAAGAGTCTTGCTGGGAAAGTTTCTGCTGACTTCGACTTCCTGGATGAGAAAAACAATGAAGAACTTACTGAAAACGCATCTGATGATTTGTATGTGAACGATAAAGCACCTGCAAGTATCAGCACTGATACATCAGCTTATGGAGCAGCTTATGGTGCGTTTGGAGGAGGACAAGCAGGAATCGAGTCTTGTCATGCCATCGCTGCTTTGTATGAACTTTGCTGCATAGACTCTCTGATATCCAACTTTATTCTCCCCTTGCAGGTTAGTTTCTTCTACAGTTGCCAAATTGAACAAGGAAGTTGCTTATACATCGACAAAATGCATAAGCATATATTGTGCCTATATTTGCAGTTATTGGATTAGGATTATCATATTGTTATGTTTCATGGCTGGATTCGCTAATGGGGATAAACTGAGCATGTGTATTTGGTTCTTCTATGTTGGAAATATTGAGGGTTCTCAAGATTTCTTCTATTGCATTGCACATAGGTGCTCGTAATTTGGTTCTTTCTTTGTTTAGCATCATATTTAAATTCCTATCAAGTGCCCTAGCTAGATGTTTAAGTTCCAGCTAATGCATCAGTTCTTCTTGCTCGCCCCTTACATTACTAAAATTTAAGATCAAATAGAGATTCTGTTGAGTTTTTAATATTTCGCCTACCCTTCGTTACCTCAGGGTACTCAGATTTCAGGCAAGAATGGAAGAATCCATTGTTCGTTGAATATCAACACGGAAACTGGAAGATTGTCTGCGAGAAGACCTAATTTGCAGGTTTGAATCACTATCGATATGTTCTACGGTTGCTCAAAGGCTGTTTATTGCCGCAATAATCTGTGTTTCTAAAATGTAGAACCAACCAGCACTGGAGAAAGATCGTTATAAGATTCGCCAGGCCTTCATAGCTGCATCGGGAAACTCATTAATTGTTGCTGATTATGGGCAGGTAACTTCGACTTTAATTTGTCCTGAAGGATCCATTTTTTCCCCATGTTTGTTTCCAAGAAAGTGTTTTTTTTCTTTTGTCACAATCAGTTAGAACTTAGGATTCTTGCACATCTAGCCAACTGCAAGAGCATGTTGGATGCTTTTAAAGCTGGCGGTGACTTCCATTCTAGGACTGCTATGAATATGTATCCACACATTCGTAAGGCTGTTGAGAATAAAGAGGTCCTTCTCGAGTGGCATCCTCAATCAGATGACGATAAGCCTCCGGTCCCTCTGTTAAAGGTTCGTTAGCTCTTCATCTTCTAAAGTATCTATTTGTCGCAATCGATCTATCTGCTTCCTTTTTATGTTTGGTTGTGGCTAGAAGTAAAATAAATGGCTAAATATGCATATGGGATTATCTAAACTTTAGTATAACATGTGATTCTGTTTGTAAGTCAGGTAAGCTATATGATACATCTTTGAATCAACAGCGAACAATTGCTTTAAATTTCAGTCAATTCTACGTTTGCTTTTTGGTTAATCTTTTACTTTGACCACATGCATCTGCTGTGATTATCTTTTATTATTGTGAATTATATTATCTGAAATTGTATTTCAGGATGCTTTTGCTTCTGAACGAAGGAAAGCAAAGATGCTTAACTTTTCTATTGCATATGGAAAAACTACAGTGGGACTTGCTCGTGACTGGAAAGTACGCCTATTCTTTTTCTTCTTCATTTAGCCTTTTGAGTTGGTTTCGTAGGATTTTACGAATTTTATCTACATCCTTAGGTTTCACGTGCGGAAGCTCAGGAGACGGTCGACCTCTGGTATAGCGACAGAAAAGAAGTGTTGGCTTGGCAACTAGAAAGAAAAAAAGAAGCACATACATATTCACGCGTACACACATTGCTAGGACGTGCACGTCACTTCCCATCTCTAAAGAATGCGAGCTCTGCCCACAAAGCTCACATCGAGCGCGCAGCTATCAATACCCCAGTTCAGGTATCGATTGTTCTAAAATTGAGAGATACACAATTCTATATGTACGTATGTATATGTTTGTTTGGGGGGTTTGGATTTTGAGTTGGGATTTGAATAGTTGTATGATGTGATATAAATAAGTGTTATGTGATGTTTTGAATGTAAAATTGATTTTTAGTATAATATAAAAAATGAAAAATAGGTGTTTGATTTGATGTTTTTGGAGGGAAAAAATGGGATGAATAGTTGAAATCTAATCCAATTCCCCAAACACACACACCCTAACTTGAAACTGAAATTCGACAGGGAAGTGCAGCAGATGTTGCCATGTGTGCCATGTTGGAGATTTCCAAGAACGCACGGCTAAAGGAGCTAGGGTGGAGACTTATACTACAGGTTGAGATTTCATAATTATGAATATGAATCCGGGGCTGGTTTTTCAGCTACATAAATGATTTACTTCCATCGGAACAGGTACACGATGAAGTAATCCTAGAAGGGCCAACAGAATCGGGCGAGGAGGCCAAGTCTATAGTGGTGAATTGTATGTCCAATCCTTTCGATGGGGAAAATTTCCTCCGAGTTGGGTTATCTGTTGATGCCAAGTGCGCTCAAAACTGGTACTCTGCCAAGTAGACAAGGAATGTTCGAGCGAGCATTCTGTCACTTGAAGAGTAGTGATTCTGTTACATTCTATTTTGTTTCGGCATCTCACATGGTGCGTTCAAGCAAAAGCGCCGTGCAAGAAATCGAAATTTTCTTCCAAAGTGAATCTAACAGGTGAGAGTGAGAGTGAGTCAGTGAGTACGTTTTGCAGTGTGGTGTACATATAAGGTGAATCCCTGATGCCCAGAAAGAATGGAATTCTTGATGTCAAAGTAGCAATTTTCTTCTTTACTGATTATTCTCTAGTAACCTACTTCTGGGATTCACTTATTCCCAGTTTTCTTTGTATTTATTTGTGAGTTATCTATCATTCTATTCTATTCTGTGTATAGACAGTGTGATCATTATCATGTTTGTTATTAGGAGAAGCTAAACAATCCACCTAACCATCTCTCTCTCTCTCTCTCTCTCTATATATATATACATGTGTGTGTGTAAGAAGGCTGTGTGCCTGCAGGAGAATATAATTAATTAATTGAGAGAAATTCAAAGTAATTTCTTTACAGATGGACTGTGTCAAATTGAAGCACAAAAAAACCATAAGCCAAAAGATAAACATTGGCATCTGCTCAGATATATCCAATCTAGTGCACTGACATAATAAAGTTATCCATCCTACCATTACCCCTCTCATTTTCGTTGGACATGGAACAATTAAAAAGACAAATCCAACTGATCAATGCAACCTTAAATCAAAACCAATTGTGAAAATAAATAAAAATAAAATAAAGCAATTAGTTCTTGAGATTGGAGTTGGTTGTTAGTTACCTCCCAAAATGCTTTACATCAATTTCCCAAGCAGAACCCAACTGATGCAGCAATTGGTCTGGACGTGATCCTTCCAGAGGATGCTCCACTGATGAACATGCTTCTTGCAAATTCACCAGAAGCTCTCTTCTCACCTCCATCGGAATCCCCAATGCGTCGGGGCCGGAATCGATAACAATATCAGCCAGCTGATACAGGGAAGCAATCTGAGTTTTCAAGACAAATGCAAGTAGATAGAGGTGATACAGTGCAACTGAGGGAAGAAGATAGCTAGGCTAGTACCTGTTGAATCCAATACAAGCATACATTGAACAAGTTTGGATCCACAACCAATCGTGAAATGGCATTGACGACTTCACTAGCCACCTCGCTTGATAGCTGATCAATGACGGGACCGCACCCCTCCATCAGCTTTACTAGCAGGAAATCATCCCCAGTGGACACAACTTCAGTGAAAGCAGACTCTACATCCCCGTTATGAAGCGCATCCATAGCATTGCTCCAAGAACCCCAAAGCGGGTCGCCATCTTGCAGACCACCGTTATCACCTAATGTATCATGTACCATTTCAGGCGCACCCAATTGCGCTCTCCGACTGATTCCACTGTCTCCACTGGCCACACGAATAGCTGCCAAGGTAGCTTCATCCTTTGAGGCTTGCCAGATGCTCCGAGCTGAAGGTCCCTCGCTAAACCTGACAGGCCCAGCTCCTTTTCCCCAGCCTCTCCTTGAGCACCAATGTCCATTTTTACCATATGCATGGAAGTCCAACGAGTCGGCTGGGTTGGATCTCCAAGAAGAGCCCCTAGATTTTATTCCCGAGGCAACGCCATCAAATGCCGGAAGCCTCTCCCCATAATGATTGTGCCCATCACTGCCTCTTGCAAACTTGCCATTGGAATAGTCGGGCAAACCGTTATACTTGCTTAGTGGCCTGTTCGAAGATCCCTCAAATCCAGCGACAGCACCGCCTCCCCTCCAGCCTGATGATACAGATAAATCATGTGCCATGTCTTCGACTACTCTCTCAAGACCCCTAACCCTGCTTTCTAGGGTCAACATGTTGTCATGAGATCCACCCATGAACTCCTGCAATGAAGAATAGTTATCAGGGAAATATCTACTTACGTAATCTGTTTTTTCAGATCACTTAGAATTAAATCCACCTGCAACATATTCATGAGATGAGCCTGCTGCTTCTCCAGCAGCAACAATTGCCTCTGGATGGCCAGCCAATTTCCTTTACCATCCACAAATCCTTCTGATCTACATGAAGCTCTGTTGGAGAACTCTCTCTGGTTACAGTCACTCTGACCACCAATAGTTTCCTCCTCCACGACTTCATGTTTTTCTTTTGAGGAACCATTGCCAGCTGAGCCCTTAGGCCTATCTTTCTGACTTGGAGCTGCACTTGATTCTGAACTGTCCTCATTTTCCGAAATTGAAGAATTGTTGGGTCGGCGAGGAAGGATAACTTCCACCGGGACTGAAACTCTTGCTTCTAGTTTCTGGAAGAACTCAGGGTTCAATTCTTTGTCAGTTAATGCAGGTGCCTTCTTCTTTAATATCCCAACTGCCCTGTCCAAGATATTGTTTCCTGTGCCTTTAGCGTTAGGATCGGTGGGAGATGATCCAGAGGATGAATCTTTCACTGACCTTTTATTTTCTTTATCACCATCATTTCTATCAGACATGTCAGCAGATTCCAAGGTATCACCATCTGAAAGATTGAGGATTAGGACATGCAGCAAGTTGAAAAGAATGTACAAATGTTTCTATATCATAAAAAATGAAACTATAAAAACATTCAACCAGTGCATACCATGAGATGAGGCTTTGTGATCATCTGAAGATCCGTCTTTTCCAGCAGATTTCTTCCAAAGCAGCATAGCCTCAGTCATGCTTTCTCTAACTGGCTTTACCTGTGAAACATTTTGACATTAATCTCAGTCAAGTGAGCTATCAATCTATAAATTCCAGCCCTCAACCACATCTAATATAAGCACAAACAGCAATACACCATGGGATTATTCTCCATGAGATACTAATATGTTTAAATACAAAGGCTGAGACTGAATGCAAAAATGATCTTGACACTTAATGAAGACCGATTTGAGTCGGTAAGCTACATGCCATGATTCAGTCATTAGAGAAACCAGGGCAATTTCTATGAATTTATAACATTTGCAGAGAGAACTTAAAATGATGATCAAGAGAGCATAGTTCTTCTATAACCACACCTTATCAAATCGACAAGCCTCGAGAGAATTCAAAGTGGAAACAGCAACTTCGGATGTTATTTTTCCAGCATACTTAGACAGGACACTTAACGTGTCGGCTGCAGCCTTCCTTGTTGCCCAATCAGAACTTCGAAGACAACCATGAATACTCTGCAGCATTGGTTCTAAATTTTGTGGTGTGATTGCTCCTACCTACAATGTACACAGAACATAATAGATAGATCTCTATAACATCAAAACAACTGCTCTTTGAAAGAAAGGAAGATCCTAAACTCACATCAGTGACAAAGTTATCTTGTTCTCGTCCCCACTAATCTGTTCAAGCAATATAACATAAGCTCAAATTTCCTCCATTTCTCAACGCTTAATATGGTTTATGACATCTCTAAAAATAGAGTGAACCAAAAAATTCCTATTCTCAATAATATCATCAGTTGTGCCATGAGTTCATCTGGACAGAATTCCCAACTTATACTGCTATTTTGAAGCACCAATCGTCTCAAATTCAAAAAGTTCAGTAAGAGCACCAAAATTAAGAAAGGAGTCGGATCTAGATGAGAGACAAACCTGCGACAAACTTGATACAACCTGCAACATCGAAGCTTTGGCCATGAAATTCGAGCTATTCAAGTACTTACAAACCCTAGAACACAGCTTCTGGAAAGTAATCAAAGGTGGATCGGCAGCGCATTCCACCATCTTCGCCCAACACAGCGCCCCGCCGCTTTGCGCGGTTTTGTTATTCTCGCTCATCACCTCAAACAATGGCTTCATGAACAGCGACACGACGCCGTCCCCACCGTTCCCGCCCTTCAAATACAACCCCGCAAGCGAACCAATGGCGTCGCGGCACGCTTCCCGCACGTGCGAGTCGGCGTCCTTCAGCCTCCTCACAATGTTGGCAATGATTTTGGTGAGATGGCTAGCGGCAGGGTCGGTGTGAGCATTGCAGAGAAAAGCGAGTAGCCTTACGCCTTCCTTCTTCACCGCCGGCTTGGGGTCGTTCACGGCGTCGTGCAGACAGTTCAACACCATAGAAATGCCGTCGTTCGACAGCGACTGGATGATGCTCTCCAGGTCCTCGACGGCGATCTGGTGCGTGTCTCGATCGGCCAGCTTGTTGAGCGAAGTGAGGATTCGATGCTTCAATTCGACCATCGCCAGATGCGTCGAGAGCGAGGATGTAGCAGAAACCGAAGCCGATTTCGCTGCGGCCTGCTGGTTCGGCGGTTTCGAGGTTTTTGCGGATCTCGAACTCATCTTCCCGATTTCTTCCCCGGCGGTACCTTCCTGTCAACGGCGAAGGAATTGCATCCGATTCGCGCCGGCGCAGCAGATCGCGAGAATCAAATCGATGTGTTACCCCTGACGATTATTCGAAGGTGGAGTGAGGAACAAGGCTCTTCCATGGAGATTGGAATTTGGGGTTTTATTCAAACTGAAAGTGAACTGAAGGCTGACATGGAAATAATAGGATAGTGAGATCTACATACAAATTTGTAACAACTCCATGGTTCCGAACTCCTGAACACTTTATTCCTGTGGGTTACGCAATGAACGGTGGAGATTTAATCGGGATCTTAACACCAGGACCTTTAACTTTTCAAACCAAACCTAATCCCCGCTCCTCCTGATGAGTTGTGAGAATGATTTACCAGAAATGTATTCTGCTTTACACCAGATGGTTACGTACCGTTCGATGCAGGGAGTTTGCAGAATTAACGGTGTAGATTTTTATGGTTTTTGAGTCCGGGAGCCCTTGAGATTCGCCTCTGGATGCCCCCATGTGACTGAGGTCCCGCTAATGCCATAAAGTTAAGAAATAGTGTCAATTATTACCTTATCAATTGTATTATATGACACCCTTTTCTTTTTCTTTTTTATTTTTTTGTGCAATAAGTTTAATTTCATTTTTCTTTTCAAATTTGCTTATTAAATTCTGTTTATATATAAATTTAAACTTACATGCTTTGTTTGTTTTATAAAATAATTTTAATTTTTTTTTTATATAAAATATAAAAAAGTATATAGTTAATATAAAAATAAAGAATACATTTGTTTGGGGGATTGCATTTGATTTTTACTATTCATTTAATTTTTTTCTCCCAAAAATATAAAATCAAACACCTATTTTTTATTTTTTATATTATACTAAAAAATAATTTTACATTCAAAACATCACATCAACACCTATTTATATCAATCATACAACTATTCAAATTCAAATCTCAACTCAAAATCTAAACTCCCAGACAAACACACCCATAATATATTAATTCTCTTAAAAATATATATTAAAAAAAACACGCCATTCATGTCTAAACAAATTATATATAAATCATTCAAAAAACAATGCACTTGTTAAAAAAAATCAAAATATATATAAGATATAATACCAAAAAATCATAATTATATTAAATATTTATTTGTTTTAGTAATTTTATAAAATTTGAAAACTTGAAATTTTAAAATAGAAAACAACACAATTTTAAACGAAGCCCATTAATTATTTCGCAAGTTAAACTAATCCTAATTTTGGTAAGTATTAAGTGACAGAAAACGGTCAGATGGTTCTTCAATCGGTAGCAGGTCCCAGGACTAGATTGAAATTCGATTTTTTAAAATAGAAAAGGATACCCAATCGAAGGGCCCTTAGGTTAGAATACATTGAACTCATGTCACTATCCTCGGATTGATTTTCAATTTTCAGTTTCGCTTTGATGCGTTCAAATCTGTTTGGTGAGCTGTCGACGATTTGATCTGACTTGTTCTGCATTTTCGCATTCTCTGGGAGGCATTGGATCGAAAAACGGCGATCTTCGCACATTTTTTTGGAGCCTGCTGATAGTGGTTGATTTTGTTTGTGAGCTCCAAATCTCAATGATTGTGTGCTTTTGTTTATGATATTTTGCCCCCGCTTTTGTGCGACTGGTGTGACGATTCGTAATTATGTGTCCCAGGGCGTGGATTGAATGAATATTCGATTTTTCAGTTCGAAATTTTACGATCTTTGCTGATGATTTTTTATGATTAAATATCCTCGCATTCTGTTCTGTTCTAATTGGCTTTTTTGGTTTATGTTTAGTCGTGGTTTTGATGTGATTTCAGTTTTTGTTTTTGTTGTGGATTCGGATAGAGATGGAGCTTATCTCTACTTTATAAATTTCTAATGTTTGTTTGAACTTATTTCGTTATATGCCTGAATGGTCTATTTTACGTGGCTGAGAATTGAGAAGTGTGGGCATGCTTGCTTTTGACGTTTTGTGGTCAGGACAAAAACCATGTGTTGATCTTGAAATTTATTTGTGCCATTTTCAATAAAAGCTTGGATTACTTCCATTAGGAGCTTGTCCAATACCTCTCTTATTAAAAATCTCTTGATTCTTGATCTACAAGATGGTTTTGTATTGTCATTAGGTTTATAATTTTGAATGCTGTAGCATACAATGATTTGGTTTTTATTGTATTTTTTGATGGATGAGGAAAATGAGAAGTATGAGTAATATTTCCATGGGATGGTTCATTTTTTTAGGGAAAGTGGTTTGAATATATGGCATGGTGTGCCTAATTTATGCTCGTCCATGCCCGTCGTGCGATGCTTTAGAATCTATTTATTGTGGCCACACCATTTGTTTTAATGCCATTTCCTCGTACGAACACTGCCTTCTCGTGTGGATGTGGATTTAGGAGTGTTGGCTTTTGAGTTGAATGTCCTTGGCTTTTAAATTTCTTGGAAATTGTAAATCACATGTATTGCTCTCATAACTCTCTATATATACATGCACATGTATTCGAGCTCGTATGTAGAAGGCTAATTGTTTTTAAGATACTTCCATGTTTGATACCTACTGTAGATGGAGCTTGTGAGTGAAGACTGTCTGCAGTAGTCATTTTACTGAAAAACGCTTTTGATGGATTTAAACATAAACTTTTATATATGCATTTCTATTTACTCCTTGATTGTATTGAAAAAGAAGGCTTCCTATCATTTGCTTAACTTTTCAAGAATATCATTTTCTTGAATGATGTTCAACTAAAGTTCCCCATTATCAGTATTTGCAAAATTAGTAGCCTAAAGTGTAAGTTACCGTATTATTATAAGGTGTATGCATTGTTCCATTTTGTATTTTACCTACAGTTGCTACTACACTTACAATGAATAAAAACAATCACCTGTACTCCATTATTAACTATATACATAAACACAAACGACTTACGTTGCACGTGATGTTCTTCTGCAGGTTCTCTACAGTACTCGAAACACTATGGTTCAGACACTAGAATCTATCAGGGGTGGCGGCGGATCTATTAAAGTAGGAACTACTGGGACAATCAGTGCACTGATGTCTCGAGAATTAGACTCCGCTAAGTCTGCAACGAAAGCGCCTTCTTCAATTACCTCTGTCTCTGTTATGCTTGGTAACACATCTCCCAGAAAGCTCAAAACAATTGGCGAAGCTAGCAGCAGCACCACGGGAAGCGTTAAAAATCATAAAAGCCCCGAAACTACAAGGAGAACAAAGCGCCATGGCGGACACACTCATCATATACCAATGCTCACTGCTGATAATATGTCTCTAGATGGAACTCCGATGAGACAGAAGCCCATCAAAAAGGGGCCGAATGTAGTTGAAATTGTGGATCTAAAATGTGGGAATCCCGACAGGAACTGGGTGAACCCCATCACAAACCGTCTGAAAAAACTTGGATTCTCAAAGTTATCAGAGAGCAGCACTATCTAAAATTCCAGCCTCTCGACGTCTGCTTTCAGATTCCTGTATGTAAACCGAGAAAAGGAACCTCGCCGGTTGCTTTCTGCTACTTCTACCATAGAACAGAAACTTGGTATCAGCCCTTTGCTTCCTCTCTTCTTTTTCCTAGTATTGGCAGCCATTGACTCAGGTTTCGGTTTGGAAGATTCACCAGTCGAAGCAACTCCTTCAATTTGATGACACCTGGCCTTACTACCTGACTCAAGCTGATCGAAATAATCCATTTCTTGCATTATAAGGGACCCAACTGTGCCTCTCGTCCCAATAGCTACTGGGATGGTAGGCCTTGCAGCAGGCTTTTCGGGGACAGCCGAGCTGTTAAGACGATGTGTAGATGATGAATGCGAAGTAAAACCCATTTTGGCTCCCAGACTTCACTTCGATGGGATTAGGAACATCTGAAGTTGGTGGTTTCAATCTCCAGGTTTGCTCGAATCTCTTAACCTTTTTGATATATGATATATGATATATATATATATATATGCATGTAGTGTTTTGTGAAAGCTGAGTATTGATGGTAGGCATCATAGGGGTTGTGAAGTGTGGTGATCACTAGATTCATGTGCTGACCTTTTGAATCTCATTTAAGTTTGCTGTCGTCTTTGCGTTGCTGCCTTCTACTTTTTCTATCTTTGTTTCAATTCTTGGTCGATTTTCTGGCTTGGCTACCCTGATTGTTTGTTTTTTGGAGTATATTTGGATTTGATTGAACATTTTAAATGAGAAATAGGATTTTGTTTTAGGGTGTGTTTTTGGTAATCTGTTTTTAGATTTTGTTTTTTATTTTAATTTACATGTGATGTTTCATCAGAGAAAATTAGATTTTTACATACAATTGTGAAGGTTGAATAGTGATGAACACACCCCCTTGTACTTTACGTTGTTGTTGATAGGATATTAAAGTAACAATGACTTAGATGTAATATTGACAAAAATAAAAGAGAGAGACTTGAGATGTTTAAAATGTTACTCTTTTTGTAAATATATGATTTTTTAAAACAAATTTTATATATTCTCATAAAAATATGTTAGGTTCTCCTTTATTAATAATAAAAAAGATATATTATACATATATATATTGTAATTTTCTACTATAAAGAATAAAAATATCAAATATTACTAATCTTATTTTTTTTTAAGAGGGATGGGAGTATGTATATTGGATGGTGTTAAAAACACAAAGAGCCACACACTTAGGGTGTGTTCGTCTGATGGATTTGGATAAAATTTCACTGTTCATCCAAAATTTTATCCCCAAAAACATCAAATCAAACACCTATTTTTCATTTTTTATATTATACTAAAAATTAATTTTACATTCAAAATATCGTATCTATCACCTATTTATATTACATCATACAACTATTTAAATTCAAAATTTTTACTATTCAAATCCCAACTCAAAATTCAAACCCCCAAACAAACACACCCTTGCTAGTCTCTTTAGGTCCACTTATCTTTTAAAATTTACTCATTACGTGTCATAATATATGTTGATTTAGGAGCTAACTTGGCTTTTTATGAACATGGGGATCGATGGTCATGAGAACCGTATGATATTTGTGTTTGATCAATCATTTCATGTGAATTCAGATTTTTCAACTATTTAATTACATTATTAAAAAAATAAAAAATAAAAACCATGTTCCCATTACAACATCACACATAATCTTATCACAGTATTGAACAATTTACATCATATGATCAAATCAACAACAAATCAAGAAATCTTCCAACACAACAACAAGAATTTATGAACAATCCAAAACACTCATCAGCAACAACAATAAATTAAAATAAAATAAAATAAAAGGAAAACCCATTTCCTACTTCAAACAAGAACGCCAAATCAAAGAACTAAAACCCCGATGAAACTTGCAATAACCATCCCCACAATCCCATTGGCAACACTACCGGAGCCCTCATTCTTCGGCGGGGCCGACTCCCCCGACGGCGCGGGTGCCGGGGTGGAACTCGTTTCGGGCGCCGGAGATGGCGGCGACACTTGTGGGGCTGGTGCGGGCGGCGACAAATGCGGGGACGGTGCGGGTGCCGTCTCATTCGGGTTCTTGTGAGGTGACGGCGCCGGCGCCGTCTCATTGGAAGTCTTGCTCTTGCCTCTATCGGCCATGACGACGATGACCATCTTTTCGTTCTTGTGGCAATTCTCGGCGACTCCGCTGATAAAGTAATGCGGCCCGGATTGATCGAATTTGTACACGCTGTGCCCGTCGCTGAACTTGTCGAGCACCGGCCCATCCGTGCTACAGCTTGTGTAGGCATCTTTCGTTACGTGAAGGACCGAGTCGTGATTCCCGTCGTACACAAACACTGCATGCATGCGAAAATCTCAATCGACGATGAAATTATACCAAAAATATAAAATCTACGGAGGCGTAAAACGTGAAACGAACTTACGTATACTGTCGCCGATCTGAAACCGGGTCTTTTCCGCCCATTGATTGTAGATCGGAGTGTTGGGATCGGTCGGGACGGCCCAAGTCCCTTTCGATCCTCCGACCTGGAATTGAAACCCTTCGCCTCTCGAAACCGCCGTAAGGAGAAAGGCGATAGCAGCGAGGAACCGGGTTCCGGAAGCTTCTCGACTCAAAGATGTTCGAGCCATTGCAAGCCAACGAAAGGAACTTGGGATTCGATGAGAGATGAGAGGAGGTATTTATAGGGGAGAATGTATCTAAGTTTGTAAAATCAAGAAGAGAATATTTGTACATTAGTTGCCCCTCTTGTTGGATTAAGAACAATGTTGTTTTCTTAAATGAGATATATAGAGAAGATCCTTTGTATGGTTGATGCTTTGCTTGATCATCTTTTCAAGAATGTTCAAATCTTGCAGTTGAGGGAACGGTGTGTGCTTCCAAAAGGGGGATTTATTTATTTTTTTTTTTTTCATTTTGAGTAAGCAAAACTATTATGTATTTCCACCATTCCAACTATTGGGACTTTCAAGCCCAGTTTAACGTAGACACACAAATTTTTAAAAAATATAATTAGTAAATAATTAAAAGTTTATTAGTAAAAATAATTTTTATATAATAAAAATAAAAGAAAAAGTTATTTTTGTTCCAATATAACTAAAATTCATCAATTTTGTCCACGTATAGAAATCTTATCAATTTTGGTCCCAAATATAATCAAAACTTATCATTTTTTTGTCCAAATATAAATTTTTTTTATCAATTTTAGTCCAAATATAACCCAAACTCATTGATACCAGAAGAGGACAAAGTAGGAGCATTTCAGGGGATCATTTTCCTAGAACTCCATACTTTAGTGAATTTTTTTTTTTTTTTTGCAGTAATGCATCCCAAATGATGTTCAGAACTTGTTTGTACTTTAATATAAGAGATTCATACCAATGTTGAGAAGAGGCACATAATGAAAATAAAGAAACTTTGAAAGACAGATGCCAGGGAATTCATTGCATCTCAATAGGAAAAATGCTTTCTGAAGATTACAGTGGAATCCCTGTTGTCAAAGTGCATGTAAATGGAGAAATGCAGGATGTAAAATCTGCATCGTGTAAATGGAGAAATGCAGAACCTGCATCGTCTGGTTCCTCTCCAAATGAGAACAACCGTCTTTTTTACGGAACAAAATGATGAGTTTTGGTCATATTGAGATTAAGATAAAAAAAATTTATATTAAGCAAAAAAAAATAATGAATTTTGATTATATTGAGAAAAAAAAAATTATGAGTTTTGGTTATATTGAAACAAAATTAATAAGATTTTTATATTCATAATTTTTGGGTTATATTTGGGATAAAAATGATTTTTTTACTAAAAATAATTATTGATTTAACTGCGTGTCATCAAAATGTATGCTTATTTGACTGGACAAACGATTTTAAGAAAAATAGTAAAAATAGAAATATTTTTTTTAGAGTAGAAAAATCTTAGAAAAAATAATATTATTTATTAAAAAAATAAGAATAAATTTAGATGAAAAAAAAATAGAATAAATTTAGGGTGTGTTTGTTTGAAGGATTTGTAAAGATTTCTACTATTCAATCTCATTTTTTTCCCCAAAAAACATCAAATCAGACACCTATTTTTCATTTTTTATATTATACTAAAAATCAATTTTACATTCAAAACATCACATCAACACCTATTTATATCACATCATACAACTATTCAAATTCAAAATTTTTACTATTCAAATCTCAACTCAAAATCCAAACCCCCAAACAAACACACCCTTAGACGATAGCCGATATTTATTTATTATTGGGCCTCAATGTAATGGGTTATAAGTCCAAAAATAGTATATTGGGCCTCAAATAGAATTTAAAAATTATATATATATATTTACAGTAGCACCCACTCTTTGAATTTCCCGCGGATGAAGGCGAGGCGATTGGTCCTACGGTGCCGCGGCAAAGTCGCGGCTACAAACGGCCGACGGCTTGAACCTGCTGTGCGAACTGAATTTCAAGGGAAAGAACCTAAAGATAGGCAGAGATGGAGGATGTTAAGGCGTGGCTAAGCCGCCTATTGTTTGTGGATTGGGTGTCTGGATCATTGACTCCAATATCTAATCTAATTGCCCAACCACCTTCTTCACCTACATCGCCCCTCGCCTGAAAATTAACCTGAAGGAAATCAGGAAATAAGTTGTTGCTCAAATATATATATTATTTCTTTGCCTTCCGGTGTGCTCGCGTTTTTTGAGCTCCAAGGATTTCTGAATTACACCAGCTGTTGCTCTTGAGCAGTTTCGGTTTGCTGAATTTCATCTATTTTTAAGAATAATAGTGTTCCAATCTGGCAGAAATCGCAAAGATGATGTGGAGAGATCCAGGAACTCCAGCTGATGATTATTATCCGGTGCGGCCTGAAAGCACTGACGTTCCGGAGAGCACCTTCAGAATCAAGGTTATATATGTATATTATATGTGTTTCATTAGAATTTTGTAGTTTTGAACTCTTGCTGGCTATTATTACCTTTATTGTTTTCTTTATTTTTGCCAAGAGTTGGGAACTTGTTGCCTGTTTTTAGTTTTAATTGCATCAATAGTTTTTATATTTTGATAGAATTTGAAGAGATTCTCTCAATCAAAATGTTTGATTTTCTTTAATGTAGGCAAGTGGCCTGATATCTCAAATGAGAATATTATTAATGTGTCATTTCTAACTGTTATTTGATTGGGAAATGGTTGTTTGTGTAGGGTAATTTTTTCAATTATTTGTGTCTGAACTCCATTTTGTTAACTGCTTGCATCAAGAAATTGATTTTTTTATCATGAATTTGTCTCAGATGTTATTCATGATTTTTCATTCATCTTTGCTCCAACTTCTAAGATTTTCTGAGACAACATGCAGTCATATATAATTTAACTGATTGAGATTATTGAGAATCGTATTGTATGATTTCGATCCTCCAATAAATAGATGATGATTATTATGATTTGGTATTGATAAAAAGTTGCAAAATGGTTTGCCATTTTGGCTTTTGTTCATGACAAGTGGCTGAATTAGCTTTCATACTCTTCTCTCTTTGTTGAATTCGACAACCTTCAACCAGCCCTGACTCAACTTCATTTCTGACAAAATTAGGCCGGAAAAACCTTAAGTGAGAGAAGATGGAGGGCTGCTTTCTCTCCTGAAGGTCATCTTGATATGAGCAAAATACTCGGTCGAATTCATAGAGGGGTAAGCTAATTTGCATTGACTGCCATTAGTTCTAGCTGCTGGTTTTCTCACATGGTTGGTTATCTTTCTAAAACTGAATGTAGAAGGACAACTTATTGAGACTTGAACTTTTGATTCCTGAAATTACCTGGTTTTGTTATTCCTTAACCTATTATTGTTTGAACTTCCTCTGTATGCATATTTCATCCTTTTTTTCTTTTTCTTGTTTAATTTATTGGTGCATTCTTAGAAATTTACTGTTGCCTGACTGTTGTGTGTTCCATGGAGATGAGGGAATATAGAATGACTCCTTCATGGAGCTTTTGACAAAATTTATGATAACAAATATGATTATTTGTCATTGCTCTTGTCACAAAAACATAGGGGATTCACCCGTCAATTAGAGGTGAAGTTTGGGAATTTTTATTGGGATGTTTTGACCCTCACAGCACTTCTGAAGAGCGACAGGAAATAAGGGAGCACCGAAGGTACTTTTCTTTTATTATCAGGATTCTCCTTCTTGATGATGTTCCTTGCCTTTCAAATTTTGAGAATTATGTAACCTTTTATTTTATTTTCTTTTGGATATCTTGTGTATCACCTGAAAGATGCAATTACAATTCACATCCTTGTTTGAATTAATGTACCTTTCAAGTAATATTCGTCTTCTCTTCAAACATGCATGCATGTTGAACCAAGGCAATAATAACTGCTCTCCAGTTTTTATTTTGAGAGAATTAAAGTGAATTTGATTATCTTTTTCTAGTTATACAAGGCCATATTTTATGTGTTAAACTAATTATCTATCCTTGAATTCTGTTGATCTTTTTGTTGATTTCGTAGTAGAACTAATGCCAATTTTGTGCTCCTTTGTCATTTGTTTCAGAGTGATCAGAATATGAATCTTTAAACCATCCATTTCGTTCATATTTAACATAATTATCATATGCTTCCTGTGTATGTCCAGAGAGAAGTATAAAAGTTTGAAAGCAACTTGTAAACAATTGTTCCCCTTAATTGGAAGTGGAAAGTTTGTCACTGCACCAATAATTACAGAAAACGGAGATACTACTCAAGATCCAATTGTGATTCAGCAAATTAAAGGTAAGAAAGGAATCTACCTGATTTCTTTTATAACAATTCTAGTCAAGGAGTATACTGAAACAGAAACAGCAGCAGCACATTTATTCTTGATGTTTTGATGTTGCATCTTGCAAAAACAGAGGTTGTGGGAGATACACCAATGGAAGATTATCCCATGGACAAGAAGGAAATTGATTGGAAACTCACATTACACCAAATAGGTTGGTGGTTAGTGAATTTGATACCAAAAGCTTCTAATTTTACCTCCCAATAATACAGGCAAACATGATGTGTGTGCATGGGAGAGAGAGTCTATGCATGTTTGTGATTTATCCAGATTTTTTTTTTCTGACTTTCAACTGCTATATTATGGAAGGTCTGGATGTGATCCGTACTGACCGTTCACTGGTGTTTTTTGAGAAGCAAGAAAATCTCGCAAAACTTTGGGATGTCCTATCTGTATATTCCTGGTTCGATTCTGATGTTGGATACGGGCAAGGTTAGTCTCATATAACTTCTTATCATAAGTAGGAAAGACACAATAATGCATTTATGGAAGAGGTCAATGCATTAAAACTTCAACAATGTATAAATTTGAATACTTAATGCACCATTCCTTTTGTATTAGCAACACACCAAATTTATTACTTTGTATACATCTGGTAGTTCTAAAGTGAAGCCTCTTCTGAAACTTTTGCATGCCAAACAGGTATGAGTGATCTTTGCTCTCCAATGATTATTCTCCTCGAGGACGAAGCAGATGCTTTTTGGTGCTTTGAACGCTTGATGCGAAAATTGGTATCATATTTAATTATTCAGTTCATCTGTGATAATAAAGACTGCCAGGATTTCTTATGGTTTGAGGATTTCAAATTCTCTGTCATATCCTGTTAATCAAGAACTATCTCTGCTGCTGTATCGTTGTCATAAACAATCATTATCTTCATCTGTGCTCACGATGTTTATTGTTCATTGTAATTCCTTTATAAGAGAGGAAATTTCAGATGCTCTGGGAGCTCTGTAGGTGTGGAGTCACAGCTCAATTGTCTAGCCATGGTAACACAAGTCGTCGATCCTAAACTTCATCAACACTTAGGTACAATCTCTATTAATCATCGATCCCAAATTCTCGACTTGTTAAGAGCTTCATCATGGGAATGTATTTAGGCATGAACTAATAGTTTTTCTTAAACAGAACACTTGGGTGGCGGCGACTATCTGTTTGCATTCAGGATGCTCATGGTTTTGTTTCGTCGTGAGTTCTCATTTGGTGACTCGCTGTTCCTTTGGGAGGTAAACATTACAATCCGTCGTGCTCTTACATATTCATTAATAGTGTACAACTTTGTCTAGCTCAACAAATGTCCATTTCTTGTCATCATCTTATCTTCTTAACAGATGATGTGGGCTCTTGAATACGACCCGGACTTATTCTCCAACTACGAGGACAGCAGTGATTCCGGCAGCGAGAGACCAGACGCGAACAAACCGAAGCCCAAGTCGAGGAAACAGATTGGAAAGTATGAACGAGAAAACATGAAGAATGGAGCTGAACTACCTATTACAGTTTTCCTCATTGCCAATGTCCTTAAGGAAAAGAGTGCAAAGTTGCTGGCTGAAGCCCGGGGCTTGGATGACGTTGTGAAGGTTAGTTAAACTCACTCAAAAACTAGAGTTACATTTAGATACTTTTTGAAAAAATTATAAATTGAATTCTCAGTAAGTTCGACAGTAATCCTAAGTTAAACAAAAAAACCAATTTTTTTATGTAATATTTTGAATACGATAAAATATAGATTAGTTTAGAGAGAATTTTGAATGAATAGTGCAAAAATATGAAATAAGTAGATAGAATGTTGCTATACCGCTAAGTTCCTAACTAGCGAATCTAACTTTAACTAAACTACAACTACCATACTATACGAGTTTTTTGGCGAATAAATTATTAGTGATTCTATATCGATGAGTTGTTCGTGAAACTGAGAGTGGAGCTTTACGCAATGAATTTACAGATACTGAATGACTGCAACGGTAACCTCGATGCTAAAAAAGCTTGCGCAGGCGCGATGAAGCTTCATAAGAAGTATCTGAAACAGGTGATAAACATTCGACTCATTGTTTGTTAGGATCGAACATTGCATTAGAACAAATATATTGAGCTCTATCTTGTCGTGGCAGGCGAAAAATGCGTGACAGATTCGAACAAGGAACAGCTGCCCTTACTGATGAACCTAACAACAACAACCTTTGATTTGATATATTTATCTGTTGATTCAATCTATGAATATATATGAACGTATCTACGTATGTGGTGGAAATTATGTGTAAATTTGTTTGTAGAAGTTAGAAACATTGGTTTACCGCTCTATGTGTTGCTCCTTCATTAACTCTGATCTTTTGCTAAGTGTAAAAAGGATGGTTTTTGGGGGTGTGCTTGTTTCTGTTTACAATAAATTAATTGCAATTAATGAGTTAATATTAAAAAAAAAAAAAAAAAAATAGATATACCTTGAACTTGAACCAATAACTAGCCATGAGAAACTCTTATCTTAATTCAGCTTTGTCGGAAACTCTAATATTTCTTTTTTACTATTTCGATTACACGTTATCCAAATAAAATGCACTGGCATCTTTGGTTTGAGATTGGAATCAAACAAACCAAATTATTTGAAGAGAAAAATAAATCTGCTTGATGTAGATATAGCCTATTTCTGTTGAATCCTAACACTTTTTTAAAAAATAATTGATTCTGATCTTACACCACTTGTTGAATATAATATCCACAAAACTGAAAATCAATTTTTCATTCAAATATCATGAGTCAAATTTGTAAAAGAAAAACATACTGCTCCATTTATGGGCAAATTTTATTATTACCAAATCAAATTAAAACCTTAATAAAAAGAAAAAGGTCCCAATTGAGAAGTAGAAGGCAGGAAAATTAACTGACAATTACAATGGACATAGGCAATTCAAATCAAGAATGCAACTCCAATTCAAATCAAGATAACTGAAATTCAAATTCAATGACAAGGAAGGTTCAGCAACCAACACTAGAGACCAAAAAGGCAGCAAGGGCGGAAAAGGTATCGATATCAAACAGAATAAGCAGGAGACACTCTTCATGTTGAGAGTTCAGATATCATAGTTTTGAAGTAAATAAAAGATTCAACAATCAAGCATATAATACAGCATGCAGAATTGAAGACCCACAATACGATGGATGCTGTCGGCGGGCTCAGAAACCATGAATCTTGATATTCTCCTTTTTCACAATTTCTGCCTGTAATCCAAACAAAGAATTACATTATAAAAAATCCAAGTGTACACACATCATAAAATGTCGACAGCATCTCATATATTTTTCACAAATTAATAAGGTATATCTTCTCTCCAGAAAAATTAATAAGGTATATCTTCTATTTCTCACATGTTCTCTGAATCTATTATGTGTCAGCATTCGATCAAGATAATCCAATTCTGGTAAAGAGTAACAAAGTAATTCACCTGAACGAGAAATGTAGAAACATTCTTCCGCTGATCACCTTGGAGTTGAATAACCTTTAGGTAAAAAAAAAAAAAAAAAAATAGAAAAAACTCAAGTCATTTCGAAGATATAAAAACAGAAGGATAACAAAAGACAGCATTCGATTCAGCACAAACCTTGCCTAGTTCAGGGTCCTGAACAACAGTTCCATTGCAGCAAAATTCTTTCTTAAGATCCTTCAAGATTTTGTTATAGCTGAACTCCTTATTCAATCCCTGCACGGTTGTCAGGCTTTTCCGACCATTACGCTGCTGTATGCGGATATGAATGTAGTCCTTTGACCCAGCACCAGAATTCTCAGCATTTGCATCAGCAAAAGGATCTATGCATTACATTGGGAAGACAACAGCCATTTTTGTAAGTTGAACAAAGAGGAAGGGGCAACGATCTATTGCTCTTATTACAGATTGATTCACTTTGCCATGATTCTCTAACAACTAAATCGAAAGGAAGGATTAAATAACTTTTCATGAGTGCGCACACACAGTATGATATCATACCAAAGGTAGTAGGAAGCTGGGTGTCAAGATCAGACATGAAACTTGGTTGATGCAGCAAAAGCGACCAAAAAATTGTGATTCCTTCAGATTAAGCTTGAATCTTTGGACCTGATCAAAGGGGAAAACAAATAGTATCAATAAGCTGAAACCGTCAAACAATCAATTTATTAATTTGATAAATTGGCACAACAGGGCACATGTCATTCCCATCCTTATTGATGATTCTATTTTAATTGGAGATTCCAAGACAAAATATCAATGAAAAAGGCAGTCCGAATGATATCGAAAGAGTCATTCCAGAATTAATTAAAAATAAAAGTGTTTTCTCAAATAAAAATAATTGAAGATTCCAAGACAATATATCAATTGCCAAAACTCCCCAAGAGTTCCAAACCTCTTGTGTAAACTCATTAATCTATGAGTCCAAATTAGCAAGACCTTGAGAGTGGCAATTTTTTAAATCATCCTCATGATTAAAACCACAAAAAAAAAAAAAACCTTTGGGCATCTTTCAAACTTCTTATTCGATCGTACAGCTAAGAAATATAAGGAAAGAAACGGAATATATAGCTGGCATACACATCGAAACATGTGAACAGGAAGCATCAACGATCATAAAACCAAATCACAAGAACGTTATGTACCCCCATCACAACAATTTCTTTCACTCGAAATTTAAGAAACACGTGCCTACACAAGAAAAACACTTAACACTAGAATCAATCACGATCCACGCAATAACAAAATATCTTCAAACAACTAAAGAAAAAAGATATATATATATAATTAAGCACCACCGAACAAAAGAAACTACGATTCAGAGTCAAAATCACTCATCCCATAAACAGATCTCAACCACAACCCCTAAAATAAAAATAAAGGTGAAGCAAGGAGAAGCACAGTACCCAACCGAGACAAATTTAACAGATCAAGCACGAAGGAACACCGGCGAATCAGTAAACCTCTTGCAGTAGAATTCAATCAAGGGGTTTCCAATACGCGTCGATGAAATTCGGGGAAGATTATACGAAATTTAGGTCGGTCGAGAGAGAAAAGAGAGAAGTCGGTGACTGAACAATATAGGAATTTGGGTTTTTATCTGCTCCTTCGCGGAAGGGCCACGTGACATAGGAAGAGTGCGCACATGGGCCGGGCCTGGCAATTCATATTGGGCCCATGCTGAATTTTTAAGCCCATTAAGAGTATATTCTTAATGAGCTCAAATGAGGACAGAGGACAAAAATTCAGATAGTAATTTTGGGTCATAACGTAATGTGTTAATCAGCCTATTCTAAACTAAAACTAGATAAAGTGGAACGGTCAAATACAACATTAATTAATAAATTAATTAGATATGGAAAGTTTTATTAAACATGCCTTAAATATTCAAGTTTAATTTATAAATTAATCAAATGTATATATGGTAAGTTTTAACAAGTATACCTTAAAATTCAAATCTATTTGATAAGTTAATTATTTATATGGTAAATTTTATTAAAATTAACCAATATTTGTCGGGGAAGGATTGGGTACTGATATTCTTACAATAAGCACTGGTACAATAGATGCCAAGTAAATATTGGCATCCAAATATTGGGATGCCAAATATTGGTCAAGTGTTTTTGGGTTGTCAAATATTGACGTTCGATATCCAATTGTTTTTTTTTTAAAAATTTTATTTATGTTTTCTAATTAAAACACACGATTTTATTTTATTTTGTTCTAATATATCTTAAATTCAAGTTGTAACTTGTTTTTGTGCACTAGTTATGCATTGATGCGTCACAATCAATCGTTCTTCTCTTATAATGGATTGATACTCATATCTGTATTTTTTGGTACAAACACAACAGTATTGCATTGAGTCCTCTCATGAAGGGTTTTTTTTTTTTCGTTTTTCTTTGGTCAAACTCTTGTCAAATCAAATGCTAAAGTTTTTCGCTTTTTTATTTTTATTTTTAAAAAAATAATCTTTAAATTAATGATATTTTGGTTCGGGTTTTGGTTCGAGTTCGGTTGGGGCTATGACTCAGGTGGCTCTGGTTTAGGCTCAAGTCTAGCTCGGTCTAAAATCGGGTCTAGTTTATCTCTGGGTTTCTAGGTCGGGCTCTGGTCTAGATCAGGTTCCATTATGACTACGATTCTTGACTCTCACTCAGGTGATTCTGAGTTGGGTTTGGTTCTAGCTCTAACTTAAGCTCGGGTGATTCTGAGATGGGTTTGAGTTTAGTTCCAACTCTAGCTTGGGTCTTGATCGAGTCTGGCTTTGGTTTCTCATGTGGTTATATGTTGGGTTTGCGTCTAGTTCTGACTTAGTTTAGGCATGGTTCAAGTTCTGGTTTGGATTTGGCTCTAGCTATGGCTCAAGTTTTGGCTAGTTGAGGCTCTAGCTTGAACTTTTGCTTTAGCTCTGGTGTTGTCCTTGTCTGGATCAGATTTCCGTTTGGGTTCAGTTCAGCTGTGAACGTGGCTGAGGTGATTTTGGGTTAGGTTCAAGCTCTAAGTTTTTTGTGATTGGGTTTGGGTCTTGTTCAAGTTGCGGTTCTTGTCTGTTTAGATTTGGTTCATGTTCTTGTTCTGATTTGGTCCCATTCTGGTTTTGCATCTGGTTCACTAAGTTGGGTAAGTTTTTAGTTTGCTCTCATCCTTGCTATGTCTAGCATATATTCCTATTTATGAGTTAAAATATTTTTGGTTTCGAATCTTTTTTATCCTTGTTTGTATAGGAATTCACACTTCTACCCATCAATGCAATTTAATTCCTAAATGTTTAACATTCATACATTGGTAAACATCTTCATTTATTTTATGCATGTGCCGGATCTGATGTGCACGTTAATAAAATCCATAAATATGTCTATGAAGCATTCAACATGTACAAAGATTGTCAACTTAATATTTCAATCTCGAGCACCATAATTATGATATACTTAGTTTGTTAGAGGGACGAGCCAGCGGATTCTCTCAAGTTACAATTTGAGTAAGAATTTTTTTCTACTTTTTTTTTCCATACCATTGTTGAAGACAGCATACATGTCCATGCACTCACACACATAAGTTTCTAAATGGACTTTTCATTATCTTATTTCAGGAGATTGTGATGACAAAGAATCCTAAAGTTATGGGAAGCTGTTACTAGTAACATAATATATTCTAATTATGGAAGAAACCATTCTTGATAACTGTGCTATTTTTTTTTTTGTTTGTCTATATGTCTGATATGTGTGTATGTATGTATTTATTTATATGTTTTTGTATTATATGTGAGTGACTTATGAATATATGTATGTATATATTTATTAATATATGTGTGTGTGATTAGTTTTTTTTATTATGTGAGTGGCTTATGTATGTATATATGTATATAATGTGTGTATGTATTTATTCATATATGTGTGTGATTATTTTTTGTATTGTGTATGTATGTGATTAGTTAACTTTATTACTAATGTGTATGTATATATTACATTTCGTAATCTTTCTTTTTACCGTAATTTTTATTGTAATGTCTTTATAATGTTGACTAGATGAATTTACTAAGATGCACTTAAGTGAATTTTTCATTACGTAGTGTATGTATGCAGGTAATGAAGAGTTTTTGCATAGTTTTGACATACATGATTAGTTGATGTCATTATTATTATCATGTTTGTGTGTATTATTTGTTTATGCTTTTTCTTTTCTTGTGTGTGCACTATATTAGTTTTTGTATCATTTTTTCGTGCATTCTTAACTTCATTGTTAACATTTAACACTAATGTGTGTATGGTTGTATTGTGTATATTTTCTTTTTGTAAAATGTTCGTTCGTTTGTTTGTAATGTATTTGTAATGTTAATCCTATAATGTAAATTTGTATTCATGAATAGTATATAGTGGTTTTTTTTTAACTTGTATTCATGGATAGTATATAGTAGTTTTTTTCCTAGTGCAGGCTTACTAGAATGGATGATATATTATTTTTGCTTATGTATGCATGTATTTAGGTGATTAATATTTGTATTGGGCATGGATGCATGATTGGTTGGTTTATTATTATTATTAATCTTTATCTTGGCCTCTTTGATGAATTTTACCCTGATCGAAATTTATCTTCTTCTATTGCAATGATTTGTAATGTTGGCTCTTAATTTATTAAGATGCACATAAATGATTTTATTTAGTGTGTGCATGCATGTATGGATAATTAAATTTTGTATTGTGTGTATGTGTTCATATTGATTTTGTATTGTTGTGTGTATGCTAAACTTGTTTGTGAGTGTGTATATGTGTGCATGTTATATTCGGTATATTTTTTTTTGTATGCTTGGTTGAACTTTTGTCGATGCTTGTTGGAGTAGGTGTAGTTTTTTTTTTTTCCACAATGCTTGATTGTTCTTAATGTGTCCTTATGTGAATGAATGGTATATAGTGTAGAATTGAGCCTATATATGCAAATAGGCATGTCTGATTATGTTTTGTAGCGTTCGTGCATGATTGATCGACTTTTAAGATATAATTTAGTATTTCTTTGGGCTTTTTTATTGAAATTTAGTCTTTTTCTACTACAATGATTTGCAGTGTTAATTTTTATGATTTATTGAAATGAACAAAAATGTGTGCATGAACAAAGTCACAAAGTTGATTTTATTATGATGTATACATCGTATGCATGCAATAATAGGTTTGTATTTCTATATTATGCATTATGTATGCATGTTGATGATTAATTTTGGTATTATGTGTATGTATAGTTAATTTTTTTTTGTTTTAAAAAATGATATCTTATTATTTACAAATCTTGCCATTTATGAAAAATATTTCAAACTTAAAATAATAATAATAAAACCAAAATGGATATAAAAATTATCAAAATGGCAATATATCACTTACAAAATTGTATTGGAACCAAAACTAGCAAATAAAATTGATCAAAAAGAAAGATAATATTATTAAACTATATATGGCAGGATGATACGAGGGCGTCTAAGTTTAAACAAGTTATCACCAAATCATCCTTTACAGAACCACAAGTGGCTTTGTCTTTGCGCCTCTTCAATATATAGGCGCAAGGTTATCGCCTGCACATCATCCAAAACCAGGAAGTACATGTGCGGGCGCCATGGCCAATTATCACAGTCATCCTCCACACTATACTTATCTTTCAAACAAATTTCAATGCATCACAACATTCCAAACTTATTTTCATTAAAAATACCTAAAATCCAAAAAATTCAAAACAACAAGATTCAAAAGCAACAATACAGTAATATACAAGATAATATACTCACTATTACTCAAGAAGAAAGATTGTAATGTTTGTGTACGAGTGAATTACTTCAGAATGACTAAACAAAAAGCTATTGTACATACTTCCAATGCATAAGGCAAGTATGCCGCAGACACTTACCGGCAGAATTACGGTAGAAGCAAAGCAAAAGTTGTGTGGGGGTAATTATGGCAAGACAGCATCATGTATAATAATGATGCCCGGGCAACCGGCAATTTACAAATTATCGCATCAAGCAGGTAATGGCTCCTCCAGTACTGCATTTAAATTGGTATATTTATAAAAAATGAAAACTTTGAAAGAACTAAATAACTCAAAACATATTCTAATTTGTTCAGTATGTGTGTGTAAGAAAGAGAGACCTTTTTTGCTAGCAGGAGATTCAGCCACTTCGTCGCGGATGGATGGAGCTTTAGATGGTACATCTGGAAGATCCAGCTCATCCTTCTCTTCTGCCAATGGTGTTGCAGAAGGAACATCAGGTAGATCGTGAACAGCCATCTGTATATAGCCAGAATGTATTAATTGTGCATTCTACTCGATTAAGTATATATATTTTATGACAATGGTTATTCACTCGTACAAACAAGTCTAGAAAATTAAGGGGGAAGGATAATACTATCATAAATCAAGAAGACCCATTTATGATAACCCCAAAATTGGTTGTTTTATGATGTCGAAGACCATCCCCATGATGTGAACAACAAATAAGGCAGTAAGTACACAAGGATTCATTCAGAAAAAACAAGATCTACAACCGATACAAATGGAGACCAGTTGCAATTCGTCACAACATGATTAACAAATGTCTGATTGATGAAGAATTATTGTGAGATTTATGCAGATAGCTATTCTAGGTGCTGAAGAAGAACCTCAAATTCCAACAGTGGAGCTTTACAATAAGAAATAGTGCGACAAAATTAAATAAGCAGTGCGCAGGCCAAATGCAATCGAAGTAGCATCACAAACACATCAACAACAAAGGGTTAACACATCAACAACAAAGGGTTAAACTTGTGCATTATGAATCACATAGAAATACTACCATCAAATTTTCCAAAGTTTGAACACAACAAAACAGAAACATATACTTACACATTGTTTAATATGATTAAAAATTATGAACTGAAACCACCAACTTCCAATAAAATAAATTGTAACAGAACATGTCAAACAAACCTGGCTCTCTAGATTTTCAAATTCCGCTAAAATGTCCTCTTCATCTTCAGCAGATAGCTTCTCCCCGAGAATTGCATTGATTTCCTATTTTAAAAAATGATTGTTAGAAGAGGAAAAATCAATGAATAGATTTCTTGCAAACTAGGAGCTACACTGATAGCATGCATTAGTTTAACACTTCATATTTCTATTACTTTCAAATTAAAAATAACTCGAGATTTAGTAATAAGCAATAACAATAATAACAGTAGACTAATGATGGTAGTGAGTTTATAAGTTAGCAAGATTAACAATAGCATGAACAATCCCAAACATGTACACCCGGCAACCAGCATCTTATACATGGGATCTCAAGTTCGAGTCCACTAAGTGGGTAGGTCATTACTACTGAGAGTGAAAGAATAATAAAATGATACCAAATTCATTGTATACCAAATTGCCTACTTACTCCTAAAGTCAGACTAAAAATATAGTTCGGAAAACAGTTGTCAAATTTATCTAAAATACCCAACCATCCAGCCTCATCACCTCTAAGAAAAGGATTACAGACAATCATTAGCACATAGTAACATTAGACTAATGTGATTTTACCACACTACTAAATGATACAAGCATGAATGTTTGATGCATATATTAAGCATGAAGAGAAGTGAATTTTATCGAATGGAAGAATGATGCAGAGCAGGTATGATAAAATAGAAATTTTTGTGGACAATGAAAAAGTGGAGGGTAAAAAGAAGAAAAGCACACATCTTGGTAAGCTTTAGCCTCAGCAGTATCATCCATCAGCTTTTGAACATCGTCCAAGTTGATTTCGCTTTGTATTGCCTTAACAGCATTGTGTCCAGCTTTCAAACTCTCAAATACTGCTTTTTGTTTGCTCGCGAGTTCCACATCTGCCAGCTGCAGCATATCCCATTCTCAAGAACAATGGTATTTGGTCGATGACAAACTGCTAGTAGACAATATGGAAAAGAAAACAGAGTAATGGAATTAACTCGATCAAACTCAACTTACTTGCTGCTCAACATTCATAAGCCATGCATCAACTTGCTTCAGTAAGCCTTCTTGCACTTTCTTTTTCTTCAACGCTAACAACGCCCTTTCTTTTTTCTTTTCACGAAGCAAGTCTTTTGCTGCTTGTTTTTCAGCTTCAATCACAACATCTAACTGAAACAGCGCAAAATTGATATATGAATGAATATAGGAGAGTCGCCAGCAACTATCAGAGAAAGTTTACTTCATGTATGTATAAAGTCGAAATTATTGCCCATTTTCAAGCTCCGTAGAAATGCGCATAATACATTTAAGTTCACATCCATCAGACAACCAATAAAAAGCATCACATATACATCAAGGACCACGTGAATGGTTGATCAACTAAGATCTGGGTAGGCAAGAACAAACACAAAAATGTTCAAATCAATCAAAGGGGACAAAAAAAATTCCAATACTAGCATACTTTTTGTTTATATGAAAATTTTGATCATATAATAAAACACAGGGATTATGCAAAAAATTCAAAATGTAAGACAAAATTGAATAAAGAAATTCACAAACCCAACAAATAAGCACGCAATAATTACTACATGCAGCCAAAAGTAAGAGCATTCCAAAACAAAAACAGTACTTGTTGCTGGTATTGAGCAAGCTTACGCCTCTGGGTTTTGAGGGAAAGAATTGCTCTGTCCACTTCCGTGATCTTTGGCTTCTTCACGAACATATTCCCCATCTTTTACCACCACTATTTGTGCACCCAAATCACAGTCTAAAGTACGCTGGCGTTTCTCACTCAAGTTGTATGAACTATGAAACCTCCTTCGTCTCAGTTCACTGTCATTGCATAGACATGCCGAGAAAGACTCCAGAAATCAATTCACAGATCCTAAGGATTCACAATTCAACAAGCTGCCTTTTCACCGGCCAAACAGCAAAAGTAGTAGGAATCAGAGTGTCAAGATAAGACACAACACTTGGTTGATGCAGCAAAAGTGACCGAAAATATAGAGATTCCTCAAATTATGTATGAAACCTTGGACCTGATCAAAGAGAAAGAAAAACAAATATTAATAAGCTGAAATTGTCGAACAACCAATTTACCTATGCATTTTGCAGATTGTCACAAAGGACCATATGCATCTTTACTGATGATTTCAAGACAATATATCAACGAAAAAGGCAATGGATGTCAAAAGACTATTTCCAGAATTAATCAAATATAAAAGTGGTTTTCCCAAAAGATAAGTGCCAAGAAACAGCAGACACAGAAAACGCAGCACACTTCCACCTAACAAACTTGTAGTTCATGTAATAATATTTTATTAAAAAACAAAAGTTGGGAGGGATGAGACTAAATCACGAAGTTGTTCATTAACCTAATCACTCAAGAGACTAAAACTGAGTATAATTTTTTGAAAAGGATTCTCATGATAGACATAAAATCATCAACCGAACCAACAAATACATCGAAAGAAACGAAACAGCATATAGCTTATTCATACACATAAAATCCATCTCACAGGAATCAAGAGTCGCAAAACCAAATTACAAAAAAAGGTTAGCAATACCCAACATACCAATTTCATCTAATCGTAAGTTTTCAAATCACGTGGCTAGGCAAGACAATTATTAACCAAGTATCTTCAAAAACTCATGAAACTATTAAGCACAACCAATTGATTAGGAATTCAGAACGAAACAGTCAAATCATATCTCGGAAGCAGATCTCAACTGCACTGAAAATAATATCTGATGAAAAACAAAAGCACCGAACGGTACTCAAAATTAATAGATCAAACCACAAACCCGATGAAGAGCAGTGACCTCAGTGCGATTCAATCGATGGGGTTTACAATACTCGTCGATGAAGTTTGAACAAGCCTATCGCAAGGAAAGGAAAATGATAGAAATCAGTGAATCCGTAAATCCAGTTCGGAACCGGCGGTTCGGGTTTGCCATCGAACCGCAATCGATATCGAATTTTTTACGGTTCGATTCGTTTTCAAACCGTGAACCGCCAGTTCCCTTTTTTCCTTAAAAATTAAAAAATAAGAACCTACGATTCCATCAATTCTCCACGCTGCCCTTTTACCCTTCGGAGTTCAACAACAGTTGGTGAGGAAGAATAATGAAAGGGAAGAGATGGTGCGGCGGCTAAATTTATAGTGGAGTATTATTAGGGTAAAGGTCACACTATGTAGGCGAATTATGGTAGCGGACTATCCTTTTTCTCCTCTCTTTAGAAAAAAAAATTGTATTTTTATCTATTTTATTTTATATAACAATATAAAAGAACAAGGAATCGTAATAGTTATAAGGTTTCCATTTTATTCTCATTTCCTGTGTTTGTGACCGAGGAAATTTATAAAAAATATACATTTTGCGACTAAAAAACATTAAATATGCAATTATTTGAATAAAATTTTAATGTCATCATCATCATCATCATCATACAATATTAATCTTCTTTTTTTAATATATCACAACCGTTGGAATCAATTTGGACCACAACTCCGATCGAAAAAGTTAACACAAACATCCATTCAATGGAACCAACAAATTTCTGGGCGTTTGTTTGGTCATATATTCTTATCTTCGAGAAATGGCCGAAATTGAAGCAAGCACATGATGATGATATTTCACCACAAGGCAAAAGCAGAAAATAAAGAGGCCATTTAACACAAGAGACGGACAATTTTATTCAAACAAAGCAGCGGACGGAGGAACACGAAATGGAAGACATATAAACAGTTCAACAAACACATAACAATAATTCATCATATCATAGCAGTGACCCACCAAACAGCAAACCAGCAGCAGCAGAGTTGATCTGCAACTCAACCAGATGCACAACCACCATAGATTCAGAAACCACCACGGAGACGGAGGACAAGGTGGAGGGTGGACTCCTTCTGGATGTTGTAATCAGCAAGGGTCCTTCCATCCTCCAACTGCTTCCCTGCAAAGATCAGCCTCTGCTGGTCCGGGGGAATGCCTTCCTTATCCTGGATCTTCGCCTTCACGTTGTCAATCGTGTCCGAGCTCTCCACCTCCAAGGTTATGGTCTTCCCCGTCAGGGTCTTCACAAAGATCTGCATACCTCCACGGAGACGGAGGACCAAGTGGAGGGTCGACTCCTTCTGGATGTTGTAGTCGGCCAAGGTTCGGCCGTCCTCCAGCTGCTTTCCGGCGAAGATCAGCCTCTGCTGATCCGGGGGGATGCCTTCCTTGTCCTGGATCTTGGCCTTGACGTTGTCGATGGTGTCGGAGCTTTCAACTTCAAGGGTGATGGTCTTGCCGGTCAGAGTCTTGACAAAGATCTGCATACCTCCACGGAGACGGAGGACCAGGTGGAGGGTGGACTCCTTCTGGATGTTGTAGTCGGCCAAGGTGCGGCCGTCCTCCAGTTGCTTTCCGGCGAAGATCAGCCTCTGCTGATCCGGGGGGATGCCTTCCTTGTCCTGGATCTTGGCCTTGACGTTGTCGATGGTGTCGGAGCTTTCGACTTCAAGGGTGATGGTCTTGCCGGTCAGAGTCTTGACAAAGATCTGCATACCTCCACGGAGACGGAGGACCAGGTGGAGGGTGGACTCCTTCTGGATGTTGTAGTCGGCCAAGGTGCGGCCGTCCTCCAGTTGCTTTCCGGCGAAGATCAACCTCTGCTGGTCTGGGGGAATCCCTTCCTTGTCCTGGATCTTAGCCTTGACGTTGTCAATGGTGTCGGAGCTTTCCACCTCCAGGGTGATGGTCTTGCCGGTGAGGGTTTTGACGAAGATCTGCATCCCTCCACGGAGACGGAGGACCAGGTGGAGGGTGGATTCCTTCTGGATGTTGTAGTCGGCCAATGTACGGCCGTCTTCCAGCTGCTTGCCGGCGAAGATCAGCCTCTGCTGGTCCGGGGGAATCCCCTCCTTGTCCTGGATTTTAGCCTTGACGTTGTCGATGGTGTCGGAGCTTTCGACCTCAAGGGTGATGGTCTTGCCGGTGAGAGTTTTGACGAAGATCTGCATCTGTGTAATCAAAACAACATAAAATCAGAAACGTTTGATTCCAATTCTCGAAAACTTATATAGAACAGCACCGGAACCAGATGAATTAACCAGATCTGACACAAACACGTAACAATTGATCTCCGTGAACGAGACTACAACGAAATACACTCAAATCTCGCAACGCATCAACAAAACAAAACCAGATCTCGAATTTTTTTCGACGAGATATGCGTATAACGAAAACCTAGAACCTAAACACCACACAAATTGCAGCTACCTACAATCATACGCAATGAACCAAAAATAAAAATAAAAAGCTCAAAGAATCATCCGCGGATGCATACCTTGAGAGGAAACGAAGAAAACTTGAAGAATGAACGTAGATTTTTATCAGAAGAGATAAACTATGAAAACCATGGAAGAGGTGGTGGTTTATATAGGAGTTGATAAACCGACTTAGGGAGAACCGCCCTAGACGGTAGCCAACCAGATGAAGACACGTGTAGGGGTGAGGTGGAGCGCACCATTTCAACACGGCAAAGGCAAGTTGTTCATTTCTTTTGAGTGACGGAGATAATTAGGAATCGGATGGTCAGTCGAGTCGAGTACCACCCACGCGCTGCTGCCACCGTTGGACCGCTACTTTTTATCATTTGCCAATATTTTTAAAATTTTATGTAGAAATAAAAAAATATTTATGTCAGAAAATTATTTATTCCCTCGATCCTTCTTGTTTACGTGTTTATTTAGGAGATTAGATTTTAAATATATTATTTATTTTATTTTTATAATACTAAATTAAATATTTATTTTATTTTTTATATTATATTAAAAATTAATTTTATATTTAAAATATTACATCAACATTTATCAAATATATTTTTATATTTTTTAATATTAATATTATAATTTTATTATAGTGAAAAAGACGAGAATATTTCCATCATTATTGTGTAATATAAAAATAATAGTATTTGTATAATATAATATAAATTAAAAAAATATTTATTATATTAAATAGATAGTAAAATTATTAAAAAATAGTAATTTTATTTTGAGATAAACAAAAATAAAAATCATCGGAGGGAGTATAAAAATTAACTTAAGTTTGTGTTGGGTGCAAACACAAAATTTACATAATTAAATATTAGGTGATTGTTTGTGTAGCGGTTTAATTTATTTTTTTAATATAAAAATATATATTGAAATATAAAAATAATAATTTAAATTCAATTATCATTTTTAAAAAATAAATAATATAAATATTATATATATCGAAATAGTGGGGCGAAAAATATTAACAAATATTTTTAATAATAATAATAAAAAATAAAAAATAAAAAATAAAAAAAAAAGTTGATGCACAAATCCGGTTACTAATTTTAGCGGTGAGAATAAAAAATTTGATAAAAAAAACACTACCTCTGGTGACGCGCTGGGGCGAGCGTGGGATTTGGGCCAACGGAAATAATTGCCTGGTCCGCTCCAACCATTCAACAATGGATAGATTATAGATATATCGGTGGGCAATAATTAATTGGAAATTTTATTTAATATTTAATATTTCGGTGGTCTTCGAAAAAGATGTAGATTATAAATTTTACTTATTTTATTATATTAAAATTCAATTTATATTCAAAATATAATGTATTAATATATATTAAATAATTATTTTAATTTAAAATTTTATTACTTAAAATTAAAATAAAAATTTATAATTTTAAAAGTAAACACACCGGAATATTCTTTTGAAAAGTTTATTAAAAGGTAATATAAATAAAAGTATTTTATAATGATAAAATTATTAGTATTTATATATTAAATGAAAGAATAATAATGTTTTGAATAAATTTTTTTACAATAATACTCTTGTTCCAATACAATTGTCTCGTTTATCATTTTTGTTCGTCTCGAAACAAATAATATTTTTATTTCCATAAATAATTATATCATTATAAAATTACTCTTACTTTTTCATTGTTGTTACATAATTGCCACTATTTTTTATATTAATATATTCACATGTAAAACACAACTCAGAATATAATTTTGAGACGAAAAGAGTATAAAACTTTAGTAAACAATAAAAATTAAAATTAAATGAAAAAAAAATGGATGGATAAAAAAATATAATGGAAATCATTAAGGGTGTGTTTGTTTTACGATTTTACTATTCTAAATTTTTTTTTCCTTTTCAAAAATATCAAATTAAACACCCAATTTTTATTTATTTTATTACACTAAAATCTAATTTTACATTCAAAATATCACGTCAATACATATTTATATCACATCAAACAACTATTTCAATTCAAAATTTTACTATTCAAAATCAAAATTCAAAACTAAAACCTCAGAAGTAAACATACACTATGTGTTTGTTTGAGGGATTTGTTTGGATTTCCACTAATCATCCTATTTTTTCCCCCAAAAAGCATCAAATCAAACACTTATTTTTTATTTTTTATATTATACTAAAAATTAATTTTACATTCAAAACATCACATCAACACTTATTTATATCACATCATATAACTATTCAAATTCAAAATTTTTACTATTCAAATCCCAATTCAAAATTCAAACCCTTAACAAACACACCCTAGATAGGCAGACGCTTTATGCGACTCCGAGTTTGTGCTGTTGGATTCATGACAAGTTGATGAATTTGATTTATGTAATTATAAATAAATAAAAGACAAATGAAAAATAGATAGTAGGTGAACCACGGACGGGAGGTTGGTTTGTTTTTAAACAATTATATATTGGTTGATTTGTTTTTAAATCTTAATTTTTTTAGATATTTATATATATATATATATATATAAATAAGATATTATATTTCGCGTTATAATTGAAGTATCACTTTATCCATTTTTATGTTTCATTCAAATTAATAATTTCTATATTTTTAATACAAGTAATTATATACTAACATTAAAATATTTTTAAATTTTTATTTAAATTATAAATATAATTTATATAAAACAAAAATATCAAAACATTTTATATATTTTCACTAATTTGTTCATTTTGTATTCTTTTATGAATTTTTCTATGGTACGTAGTTATGTTATATAGTTAATTAAGTTAATTTATACTCATCTTATTTTTTAATAATTAATCTATTTTTTATTTTAGTCAATTTCATAACAAAATATTTATTTATTTTTTAAAGTAATTTTATTTTTACTTAACATTACAAATATTATTCCAATATACAATATATTATACAAAATGTAATTACTTTTATATCATCAAATATTAATAAGATAATTTAGGACGTGTTTGGCAATTAGCTGATAGCTGATTCAATTAGCTAATTCGATTAGCTGTTCGTATTAAAATGTTTGGTAAAACAACCATTTGATGTTAGCTGTTTATACGTAAAATGACAATTAAGACATTTCTATTTTATTTTTATTTCTAATATATTCAATTATATTCTTTTGAGTTTAGAATGTTTAAAATTTTTTTTATTAGTTATTGAAAATTGTAAAAGTGTTATAAAATTATTTATTTTTATTACAATTATATTTTTAAAAAATAATATATTTTTATTAAAATATATAAATAGTTTTTTATATTGAAAATGACTTAAAATATAAAATAATAAATTTTTCGTATATATATTTATTATGTTAGTTATAAATTAGTTTATTATATTTATAATTTTCAATAAAGTTAATTTATTTAATTTATTTTTAGTATAAAATTTATATAATGTAATTTTAATATAAAAATAAATTATTAATATTTATATTTTCTATTTTATGTTGATTTTAATAAATTTATATATTTTATAATTAAAATAATTTTTATATAAAAATTAATTATTTTAAATTTATAAAAGTAAAATTATATTGTAATAAGATATTCTAATATAATTAATAAATAATCAAAATATATTTATTTGTGTAAAATGCATAATAAATTTTAAAGGGTAAGGAATAATTTTATTTTATTTTTTTTTTCAGAAAAAGCTATTTCAAAACGATGGGTAAATTAATTTTTCATAAATTAGTTTTTTTGGATCCAAAAGGGTAAGAATATGTCTTGAGAAATTTTTCGACGATGGCTGAAAAAAGAGAGCGGTGGCGACGGCCTAGTCGGCGACCGGCGGCGAGCGAGGCGATGGAATTGCTACGTCGTTCAAACAAAATAAAAATTATATTAGGGTTGAGAGAAAAATAAAATGGCTATTAAAATTAAGGGGTAAAATTGTAAATTGTAATAAAAATTTAATTTTAATTTTAATTTTTTAAAAAAGATAAAGAAGCCCCTGTCGCTCTATAATTGGATGGACAAGAGCTATAGGGAGATATGCCGGACAGGATATCCTAACCCTATATTCCAAAAATCTAATTTACAAACACCTAAGTTAGCTTTTGACTGATCAAACATCTAAAACTATTTAATAAGTAAACACTTTTTGCCAAACACCCCTAATCTTTCTATCTTTAATAATTTAATAAATTTACCAAAAATTAGACATTTATGGATTGTTATTGACAAACAAAAATATAAATAATGTTAATTGTAACGAGACATACGGAGTATATGTATTTTACACTAAATTTTTAATTATTTTTTTGTGCCAGAAAAAATTATTTTATAAATGATGTGTTTGTTTTGAGGTTTGGATTTTGAGTTGAGATTTGAATAATAAAATTTTTGAATTAGAATAATTGTATGATGTGATATAAATAGGTATTGATGTGATATAAATAGTTGTTGATGTAATATTTTAAATGTAAATTAATTTTTAGTATAATATAAAAAATAAAAAATAAATATTTAATTTAATATTTTTGGTGAAAAAAATTTAGTGAATAGTAAAACTCCTATAAAATTTGCCAAACAAATATACTCAAAATGTTTTTAAATCAAATCAAAATAATCACACCAAAAGTGTTAATTCTTTCTATTTTAAAAAATAATTATAGACTTTAATTTATTATTATTATTTTTATTATATAATAATATTTTTTTTAACTTAAAAATTTGCAGTCATTAGTATGTGGCAAGTAGACTTTGAGATAGGGTTTGAGCAGTCATCCTTTAATGTAGTGAGTGAAGAGAGTAATATAAAATAAATATTAATGCAATATTTTAATTTTAATTATTTTTTAAATATAATATAAATAAATTAATATTTTAATATTTTTGGAAAAAAAAAGAAAAAGAATTAAGTAAATAAGTAAAAAATCGATAAAATGTAATAAAAGAACTTACCCCTTAATTGAATTTATTACCGGCCGAGATAGGTGTTCATTCCTCCGCCGCAAACTCAGCGGCTCCTTGGTCACGCGGGCACACATGCTGCCATCAACGGCCCGAAACCTAATTGCTCAGCTTCCTTCCGCAGCCAGAATCACCGGAAGACGGTCGGCGACCGCTAGCGCGGCCTCATCTTCCACCAAGAACCCTTCCTCCTCGCGTTCATCATCGGCCACTGCACAGAAGAAGAAGAAGCTCTCTGCATCAGGTACTCGGAAGGAGCCTTCCTCATCTTCCGCAAAAAAGGAACATTCTGAGAAGAAACCTGCATCCGTCTCACCGCCGTCCGCCGCCGGCGATGCTCAGAAGAAGCTTTCAAAATTATCATCCGATGACGCCGCCTTAAAAAGTTACGTTTCCTCAATCGGATCCTCGTCCTCGGCCGATACCTCCGAAACTGTTCAGTCACTTCTCAAGAACTTGAAAGCGGCCCCTCTTCAGCAATCCTCTACTCATTCGAAGTTCACTCTCAGTAACATAGTCAGCGGCAGCTTAACTTCCAGTAGCGGAAATGACAATGGTATATGAATAAATGAAGTAATTGCTGCATTTTCCTTGATGTTGGAGGATTTGGTTATAAATTGTAGTTGTGTTTTTCGTAGATGAATCAGCGAAGCAGCTTTCGGCACACGCCACCGGTCTATTGTACGGTGCGTATTTTTCTATAACTTGTTTTCGATAATATCACACCGTAATTTACAGATAGTTAATATCTACTCGTGATGCATACAAGTAGTTCACAGCATGAGCTCGACATGACGGCTACTGGACTTGCCTTTAATTTCAGATGAGATGGACTTGGATTGGCAAGACGAAAGCGACGATGACCAAGGTGTTGTGAATGTTTTGGACTTCCCATGGCTGTCTAGTTTGTCAAACAACATGATCTCATTGCGGAGGAAAGAAGTCTCCCGGGAGAGGAAGCAGAAGTGGGTTTATAGCAGCTCACAAGATGTTAGGTTCAATCGCCTGGTGCAAATGTGCGCCAAGAAGATGGGAACAGACACTGCCATTGATGTATTTGCTAAGTTGGGAAAAGAAACTGGGCAGAAAGAATTTCATGCCTTAATCAAGATATGCATAGAGAACGCAAAGAATACCACAGATGAAGATGTTTCATTAGAGCAGATTTATAAGGCATATCAGATTCTTAAATTGATGAGAGAAAGGGGTTTTACTATTGAAGAAGCAACTTATGGACAATTCCTAAAGTATCTCATTGATTCTGGAATGGTTGATGAATTCTTTTTCTTCTCTCAACTAATCAAAGATGAGAACCCTGATTCACTTCCTCGCTTAGCCTATTATGAAATGATTCTATGGATAACAGTCAATAATGAAGTGAAAATACAAGAACTTTGTCATTCTGCTATGGCCGGTGCTGCATCTGAAGAGAAATCAAAGTTTCTAGGTATTTGATCTGCAATATGGCTGACACGCTATAATTTCTATTGCTGTACTCTTTTTTTGTGTGTGTGTTTTCCTCTTTCTATATTTCAATCGTGATGTGTTTCTTTTGTGTTAACTCACATGTTAAAATTTGGAAATCTGGTGAACTTGGCTTTTGGCTTTTATTCTGCATGATCTCTGGACATGTTAGGATCTCTGTGTTTTATGTAAATATAAGTTGTCAATGCTGGAATAAATAGGTTTAGATTTAGGATGGAGAGATTAGTTGATGTTTTAAAAGTTTTGTCAGTGTGTGTAATGAGTCATTTTGTTAAATAGATCTGCATATAAATAATTCTAATATATCTGATCAATTATGAACAGAACAAATATTACTTGCATTGGGAGAGAGCGACCGCAAGAAAGAGTTTATGATGCTTCTGAAAACTCTGGACACAACTAAGGTTATGTCACCTACACTTTTAGAGTGCATCTTCGGGTCGTTGGGGAAGTTTGATCAAACAAATTTGGCAGAAAATATTCTGCTGTCGCTCAAATCAAATGGTTAGTGTGAATGACACACACATGCACACATATTAGAGAGACAAACAAGTTTTTGTGAATGTTCTAATTTGATAGTGTGTGTGTGTGTATTATTGAGTGTTGTTGTTTTAAAGGGAAAATTATTTGAAAAAAATGTATTAAAAACAACACTCATTTGCTAAACTATACTTTTTATGATGAATGCACATTATCCTGAACTTGATAATAGCTTTATGATTAAGGTTGACTATTTTAAATCTGTGCATTGATGCTGATGTGCATCTATTTAGATATTTTATTAGGCATTGCTTTGTTTAACTGCAGATAATGGAGTTGACAACATCTCAAACTTCATTGGTGTATATTTGACTAGCACACCTAGTTTAGTGGTAAGGAACCTCTCATGAATTCTTTTGGTAATGCCACTTAAAGGGCCAGTGTTTTTGACTTGGACATGGTTTACAACAGATTAAGTTGCTGTGAAGTGTTCATCAGTTAAATCTCACAGACCACAATTTATTTTGTGCCTTTGGGCTTTTTTTCTTGTGTTATTTACTATCAGTTATCCGGGTGTAGTTGCACCTTTCTCATTAACTGAAGAATCTCTGTTCAGAACACTGGTGACTGGTCAATGTAGTTCTTGACATTTGATTGTGAGAATGCTTTTATGCATATAATACATTTTGCATTTTAATACAATCTATATTCAATCACTGGAACAAGTTGGGTAAAGACTAAATTATTTTTACTTTTATTTTTCACACCTAACATTTCATTGTGAATAATTGGTTATCCATGAGACAAATTGCTCCTTGCTGCATTTTATATCTTATTATTGGAATGAAATAAGGGAAGAATACTTGTTAATGGTTACGACTAACTTGTAATGTGAAGACTGCTGTTATTTATTACTCATTCCGTCATCTAAAATTATGCCCATTTGACCGGGCTCGATTTTTAAGAAAAGTGGGAAAAAATAGAATTTTTTTCCTTTTATAATAACAAAAAATTGAAAAAGTGATATTTTTTTACTGAAAAATGGAAACGGAAATCTTTTTGGATGACAATCAAAATAAGAAAGAGGGCATAACTTTGGATGATGGGGGGAGTACATAGTTTTCTTGTTATTACCTTTTATATCCGATATAGTGGAACGTAGTATGGACTGGTATAATGATTCATTCATCTTCTTAGCTGTGGAATATCCATGTCTCATTTTAGTTGATGCAGAAAGGACCGACTGCAATAGATGAATAAAGGTGTTGGTCACGATATATTGAATCTCATGATTACTTGTGGCAGACTTTTTCCTAATTGGTTTCCCCCTCTTTGGCTGTCTTTCCTTTTGATGGATGGAGAAGGTTGAAGATATCATCGAAAGATTCCATTCATTGCACAATGTTTTGAAGGTTTTGCCTACCTCAGCGTCTTATGAAAAGCTCATCAAATATTGTTGTGAACTCCTCAAGGTATCAAATTTGATACCTGGTTCTATAAATTTAAACTCTGCTAGAAAGATGTCATAAGCGCATTGTGATAGATTTCATCCTTGTGTTGATTTTCATGTTTTCCCCCTTCTAATATACAAATTGCTCAAGTTACACTATATGCTGCTGAATAATTTTAGGTACATGAGGCACTTAACATAATTGACAAAGCATTGGAATCTGGTGTTGCTTTGTCATTGGAGACTTTTCATTCGATTTTGGATGCCTGTGATCAGAGCTTTGATTTTGATCTGGTACATTTTCTTGCTTTCTTCCCATTGATATTACTTGTATTTGTTTTCCTCTAATGCATCATAACTTTCTGGAGAACTGCAGCATGAATTATGATATAGTATATAACATCCATCAAATTGAAGCCTTTTCTTTTCTTCTGATGCTGTTAGTACATTGAACTTATCTGTTATGTCATCTTTTGGATAATTCATTTTGTACAATTGTTTTGTCAATGATGTTGAGTGATCTTTTTGAATTCCAAGGTTCACCATGTCAACTTGAGATTATCATCTTTTCCCAGTTTGAAACCAAACAATGAGACCATCAGGAGGATGGTGCTTCTATGTGTAAAGATGAAAGATGTAAGTGTGTGATTTGGTGTGTAACCTCAACGTGTAAACTTATTTGCTATTATTGACCTTTCCTTTGGAATGCAGTATGAAGGAGCTTACAGATTGATTGACAACCTTCAGCAGATGAATGTGACACCACCAGTTACTGTGTATAACACTATATTGGCAGGATATCTCCGCGAGGTAGCTTAATTTCTTGATCCTACATTTTAATTTTTTTTTTTCTTTCTAAAATTGATACTTTTATCCGATTGTGTTACTGTAATGCCAAGATCTATTTAGCATGTGGTATTGACTTTTTCCCCATGTTTTGTTGATGGTGTACCAGAACATTATGACTGTTTCTTTAAGTTCTGGATAAGGTCTCACACTATACATCAAATCCCCCTGTCCCAATCATCAAATAAAGCACTCATTTTAAATCTAATATCTTACAATAAAAATAAATTAATTAATTAATTAAAGGAACACACCTACAGGTCTTGAACAACCGAATACAATGTTCTAGTTATGCTATATATTAAATGTAGCTGGCAAGAATCAAGCTTGCTGCTTACACTAATATTATATGCTTTTGCATTAAATTTTGGATGGGTTTATTGATTTGATGCTTCTTACGATTGTATACTGTAGAAACTTCTGATGTACTATACATGACATGGGCATTCTTAATATTGTGCTTTGAGTTTAATATTCTTTGTTTATGGAACTATGCAGAAATATTTTGAATGTGCTAAAAATGTTCTCAAGCAAATAGATGTAAATGTGAAGCCAGATGCTCTGTTTACGCTATCTTTTATATGTTTTTTGATGAAATACATTCTGATTTTGTTTGGGTTTCTTGATTTGATGCCTAGTATATTTGTGGAGAATGTAGAAACTTTTGATGTTATACATAACATGGGCATACTGTGCTATGAGCTGAACTTTCTTTGTTATGGAACTATGCAGAAAAATACCAAGCGTGCTATGACTGTTCTCAAGCAAATGGAAGATGCCAATGTGAAGCCAGATGCTCTGACTTACAGCCATATCATAGGCAGCTGTCAATGTGAGAAGGATATAATTAAGGTTGTATACCATTACAGGTTATGAAGATGTTTGTTGCCATTCTTTTCACGTGTAAATTATTTTTGCATGCTGAATCTTTGGCATGAATTTCCAAATTCAAAAGCCCATGCTGCAATCCATTATATAATGTGTTAGACAATAATTAAGCAAGCCTTGCTAAGTTGGATATTCCTTACAGGCTATGATCATATAGGCTAAATCTTTTAGTTACTCTAGTTTGCTTAATCTCTAGTAATAATAGGGCTATCTTAAATTCCCTTTCACTCACTAAGTCTTTAAAGAAGCCAAACTTTGTTTTGTATGCATCTTACCATATTGTTCTTCTTGAGAGGGACGTAGATCTGAATTATGGATTTTCTAACAAAATATCTTCTCATGTAATATGATTTCCCATCTTCATTTAAGTTTTACTTTTTATCTTAATTGTTCTGTTGTAATCTGCTTGCAGTTTCATGATGAGATGATCAGCTTGGAAATAAAGCCAACAAAGCAGGTTTTTATGTCCTTAATAAATGCTTATGCAGCCTGTGGACTGTTCGAAAAAGCTAAACAGGTGGTGAAACTGTACCTTAAGTCATGCTTAGTTTATTCCTTTTACAAAGCTTAGGTTTTGTCTGGTCGGCATCTCAAAACTTTTCCACACACATGCTTTCAAATTTATCATCTCATATTTCTCGATATTTTCTCAAAATGGGATAGTTACAATTTTATATTTCTCTCTCAATAAATAAATATATATGTATACATTTGAAATTCTATTTTTATGAAATGCATTTATGTTACATATATATTTTTACTTTTCTTTATTATATGAAATTTTATTATGTACAAAATGACATTTATTATAGTTATATTTTATTGAGATTTTTTTAGAACACTTCAACACACATTTTACATTTATTTTTAACAAAATATATTGCGGTCATAGTCCAAAACTTAACCAAATACATCTCATTCAGATCATTCAAAAACCAAAAACCCTTCAAAATCCAAACAAATTTCAAATGCCAACCAAACAAACCCCTAAGTTTTCGTACTGCTCATAATTTGGGTCTTGGTAATTGAGATGAGGCTAGCATCTGCAGTCAAAACACAGGAGTGAAGCTCTTTTTTTATATAATTTATTTATCTGTTTGCAGGTGGTATGTGATAAAAGAATACCAGTGGAGGACTTAAGTAGAATAAAGAGTGCGCTCATTGGAGCTCTTGCCTCAAATGGGCACTTTTCGGCAGCTCTTGAAATGTATGAAGAGATCAAGGAATCTAAAGGTTCCCTTGAACCAAAAGCTATTAGATCTCTTGCCGTAAGTTAAGCCTGCCAGTTGAAAATGTCATTTTATTTTTATATATGAACTCATTAGAATGCTTCTTAACTTTGCAGGAACATTTTCAATCTGAAGGAGAACTGAGCAAATTGTTTGGGTTACTGGATGAATTAGAAAATTCACCACATTGGATTGATGCATGCTTCTGGGTCATATCACATTGTGTTCGAGAGGAAAATTTTAGGTTCTTGTACTTGATTGGCATTTTCCTTTCTTTTTACTGTAAACATATTTATTTATGTTATGTTATCTTATTTGTTTCAGCTCAACTGTTGATATACTGAAGAAATTGAAGGATAAGTTCAGTGCTGAAGGTTCCTTAGATGTGCTATTTGATGAGGTATTACATTTTTGTACCTGTCCATTTGGCATGAACTGTTAATGGAACAGTAGATTATTCAATGTGTGACTCTTGCTTATGAATTAATATAGTAACCTTCTTTGTTTGTTGATTGTCTGCTTCCAAACCTAATTACACTCATGAATATCTTTTTTTACATATCGTGCACTAGGTTTTTTGCTTGTATGCGGAGAAAGAGGCAAGAAACATGCAGTTTGGCCTTAATTTACTCCAAGCTATTAAGGAAGAATTTGGTGTTTCCCCTTCACGAAAAAGTCTGGACTTTCTCCTTAGTGCTTGTGTTAATGCTAAGGATTCAGATGCCGCCTTCATGATTTGGAAAGAATATAAGATAGCAGGGCTGCCTTACAATGTTCTGAGTTACTTGTGGTAATGATACTGCTTGGTTTCTTATAATTATGGATATATATATATATATATTCTTTCACGAATATAAAAGAAGCATAAATGTGATTTTTGCATTTGATGATTTAGGTGTTCTTTTCATTAATGTGGGATGCAAATTAGTACCCAGACAAGCCAAGTTTTCTCTGCATGGAATCTGTTAATAATTTTTGTTAGTACATTATGTGAATATATGACAGCCAGTTTAGGATATAAAATTATAATTGAGTGATTGATTTTTATCCTCATTTTACACCATGAATGTGCTACTCTTTTCCAATACATGATCTTAATGTTGACTATCTTGATACGTGCAGGATGTATCAGTCTCTTTTGGCTTCAGGGAATGAAAAATCTGCCAATAAAATACTGAATCAGATGCCCACAAATGATTTTCATGTCCGCTGCATCGTAAAAGCGTGTCAGAATAAATATCTGAATCAGGAGGCATTTGAGCCGAAGGGAAAGAAGATAAAGAAGGCACTGTCTGCCACTCTCAGACTGTTAGATGCTCTAAAATCCAAGTGACGAATGTCACATACATCACATGAGGTTAGAAGCTTATCGAGAATATTACTATATGTATATATATTTATATATATACATGTTCAATCTTTTTCCTCGTATATATAACACAGCCTGTAATCGCCGAGTTTTTAAACAATTTGAGTATGCCATAAAGTACTGCAATAGCTGTGTAATTCACCCATTCGCAATCCATGCTCCCATTAAGTCAGCTAAATATATAATAAAATGGTTGCTCTGGTTTCATTTCCATTGTAAACCACTCCAGAAATGCAACCCGATTTTGTTAGTTGCCATCTACCATTCCTTCTAGAATCAGTAGTTTTGAAAATTGACCATTCTTACATTCATTGACAGCATTTGATATGATTCAGTGTCAACAAGAAAATTTGAAAGTGTCACTAAACACAATAATTCGTTTTGGCATATTATTACAGTAACTCATCCATTTCATTCTTTCTTATCCAGGTTAAAAATTAACACACCACCCGTTTGCGCTCCAGAATACAGCAATCAGTCTAAGACTTTGGCAGATTGATGAAACATTAATCGTCCGAATACCCCATTTTGTCGAGGTATGCCTGCTACCATATATTCTTCACATTCCATTTAGCTAAGAGCTGCAAAATATCTGAAATCAATGACTAACTGCCCTCCACTCTAGTAAACTTTTTGCTGATAGTTAATTTCAAATCTTCTCTACCCCGCGCAATTGGCGCAGACCGGCTGCATCGACCTGTTAGCACGGCTTGTCCTACATAAACTATGTTGCGAAAGGATCGAGCTTTATTAAAATGAGGTAAAGTTCGATGCCGACCTGGAAACATATTCATTTAGATGCATCATGCTTAAGAGGGGTAGGATTGCTAGAAATAGAATGGTAATGTATAAGTTTTTGTAGTCTAATCCTTTAACCAAAAAATTTACTTTATATGTTTTATATATCTTCATTGATATACAGAGAAAAACATGAGTCGGGTTCGTTTGGTTGTAATTTGAGTTTCAAATCACTACTATTTATTTTGTATTTTTGGTTTGTTTATTTATTTATTTTTTTCTTTTTTTATTTTGATTTGTGAACGGTTGAATATACCAATTTATATAGAAAAAAATTATTTATTACATGGACTTGGAAAGTTGCATGAAAAAAGAAAATGGAAGCAAATAAAATCCTTTGTTTTAAAATGAAATATATTTGTGTATTTAGTTAAGTTATAGAAAGGTATCAGTCAGTCATACTTCCAAAATAATTATGTATTATTATTAATCATAATTATTAATTAGTTTGATATATAATATAATAACCTCGTGACTGTGTGTGATAATAGAAGCATTTGGTTGGGTGAAAATGACCTCCACGAGTGATCCACCATACATATAATTTAGAAGGGAATAAAATCAAACTTCATTATTATATAAATATATATATATATATATATTACACGTAAAAAATTTCAGACACTAATTTTATATAGATATATGTAGGGTTTGTTTGTTTGGGGATTGAATTTTAAATTCACTGTTCATTTCATTTTTTTTTTTCAAAAAATATTAAATCAAATATTTATTTTTTATTTTTTATATTAAATTAAAAATTAATTTTATATTCAAAATATTACATCAACGCCTATTTATATCACATTATACAACTATTCAAATTCAAAATTTTTACTTCTCAAATTCTAATTTTTCAAACAAAATAGAATTGCTACTTCTCAAATTCTAATTTTTCAAACAAAATAGAATTGCTTGAAATTGAAAGGATACATGTTAGTTATAATATTTTATTTTTTTCTTATTGCATCATCATAAGAGCTACACGTGGCCAACTGTGTCCATATAATCCGTACCGTGTGACGGTATGTATTCTTTCACACGAATATATTTAAGAATGGGTATTTTGAAAATAATACAAGTTGGATAAATAAATTGGATATAATATTTTAATATTTTTTTATGGATTGTGAGAAAAGATAATAATAATTAAATATAGGAGTTAAAAACATATAAACAAACAAGTCTTAGATCATGTGTTTAAACAACTCATTTGGTGGTTATTTGGAATCAGGGGAATCTCCACCAAATTACTGTTTAAATTACTCACCAAATTGAACTACAAAGCTGACTATTGGCTCAGCACTTCAATTATTTTATTTTTCCGTATTTAATTTTCAATATAAATATTATTTTAATTGAAAATTGTAATTTTACTTTTAAACGAAAACCAAACAATGCTTTAATATAATGAGAATTTAGTTTGGTATTTTATAATGAAATCATAATTTTGGTAAAAACAATTTTTGTATGTTCTATTACTATTCTAATTAGTGGTGGATGTCCAATTGGACATCGAGATTTTTTAATAACATTTTTTATTACTATTCAATTTAATTCCAATAGGCAATCGAATATTAAAGGTACATTTCGGGTGTGTTTGTTCGGGGGTTTGGATTTTGAGTTGGAATTTGAATAGTAAAAATTTTAAATTTAAATAGTTATATGATGTGATATAAATAAGGTTTGATGTGATGTTTTGAATGTAAAATTGATTTTTAGTATAATATAAAAAATAAAAAATAGGTGTTTAATTTGATATTTTTAGGGGAAAAAAATTGGATGAATAGTGGAAATCCACCAAAATCCTTCGAACAAACACACCCTTCAATGACTATCAAACCAAACAAACACTATTGTATTTTTTTTTGCCGCCAAAACGGCGTCGTTTTAATGGCTGCCACCTGATTTTATTTTTAGACACCACAAAGTCCCAATTCATTTAATTAAAATAATTCAGCAATACTAAATGACGTCATGGAAACTTCTATCGTGTACTCCACCGCTACACCTAATCTCCCTACTCCTCCCAAATCTCGACCGTTCGATCTGATCCAGATTCCGCCACCACTCATATACTCACACGTGTCATTTTACCGTTTTACCGCCAGCGGTGAAAATGGAGGTTTGACTTTTGACCACGCAGAAGACGTGCGCCGAAGTTGTCTTGCTTTCGACTCTTCGATTTCGACAATAATTAATTATTAAAAAATCAAAAAGGAAATTCGAAGAAATTTAATAATGTGATTGTGACGTAAATCAGAGGGGATTTTGATTTAATTTATTATTATTTTAATAATAATAATAATAATAATAATAATAATAATTGTTTTGTTTATCCGATACCTAATCTCTCTCTCTAAAGGCACAGCAGTGATATATACAGATATATATACATACAGATAGATACATCTCTCTGGAGGACAATCAATTCTTCCCCAAAAGATCATCGAAACCCTAAACGACGAGAAATCGATTTCTTATCAAAGCTCCTTTTAAGCTGGTCGATTCAATTTGTATATATTCTTTGTATGACTAATTCTTCACAGTCGCTGTACAAATTCTTTGATTTCTTAGGGTTTTTTTCAATTTTTTTTGGTTAGAAATTCTGAGGTTGGATTTTGTGAGAGTTTGCTTGTTCATAATAGGAAGATAGAGAGATATATAGATACAGCCACGGATACATACAGCAAAGGAGTTTTTTTGAGAGGATTTTGTTGTTGTGTATTGAATTTTCCGTGGTTAGTTGGTTGGTTGGTTGGGTTTATGGAGCTTGTTTGTTTGTATGCGATGGTGGTGGGTTAATGTGAATAAGCATAGAGCAGAAGGCGACGACGGGGATTGATTGTGTAGGCGTAATTCGAACACCGCTTCGGGCTTTGGTTTGTTGCGACTTGCATGATTTTGCAAAATTTGCTGATTTGTAAGCAGAGTATGACGACACCTGTAAGGTGGTAGGGTTTGATCTGAGCTGTGGCTATTTATTACTACCATCTCAGCGCGCCTGTATATAAATAAGGGTTGGAGGGTGAGGGTGGGGCGGTTCATTTCGAGGTTGTTATGTTCATTAGAGGGGGAGAGGTGCGCAGCTCTTTGTGGTGGTTCCTTGTTTGGTTGTGTGATGAGTAATGATGGTCAGAGAAGCGGTGGCGATGGTGGAGCAGCTGCTGCGCCTGGTAGGGTTAGTAATGGGATTATTCCGAGTTCCTTTAAGGCTATTTCGAGTTACTTGAGGATAGTTTCTTCTGGTGCCTCGAATGTTGCCTCCACTGTTAGGTCTGCTGCTTCCGCAGCTTCTTCTGCTATCGTGGAGAGGGATGGTGAGGCCAGGCATGATCAGGTAAGGCTTTTGAATTGTGTTTGTGGTTTTTAGAATTTTAGTTTTCTGTTTGCAGCAATTGGATTTGGTGATGGTTATTGACTCTTGATAATGGTATTGCTTGTGATGGATGATTGGGTTTTAGCCTTTTAGGGTTGAGAAAGGATCCATTGATTGATATATGGCATTGCTGTGTAGTGTTACCCTTTGTTAGCTTTTTTTGTTGAATTGTATCAGTTGCCTTACATTTTTTGCTGTGGGTGAAGAGAATAATTGTTAGCATTAGTTCCTAGATGTGTGCATAAGTTGCGTGTAATATAGCTAAAATAGAAGGAAGCTATAATTGGAAATGTGCATTTAGCTGTGTTAGAAGGAATTGTCTAATGAGGGTTTATTGGGGGTGGGGCGGGGTGGGGGGGGGTTTGTGTTATTTATAACGCTTCTGCTTTCCTGATTTAAGGAGTAATTAGGTTTTTGTAATATAAGGGATTATTAGGAGGGGGCTGGTAGAAATGATCACTGCAGTGGGATAATGATAATCTATAATCTATATGCCATATCAATCTTTGATCTTTCCATTTCGGTTTAATCTCATAGATACAGATGTGTTGGTTGGATTGATTATATTGGTTCTGTCGACAACTTCATTTATTTTTATTCCTTGTATGTGCGAGTCTTTTGTCGCCTCTACGACGTCAGTTAAAGCATATATGTTTCCTTTTAGATGTGTTGGGGCCTGGTTGTACTTTACTACACAATGAACTTACCTTTTTAGGCAATTTGGTAGTTGACCATTATTCGGTCGGGTGAATTAAAGACAGACTCCAATCATATTCTGGACTAACTGTTCTATTTTCTCTGCTGGCTGACAAGTTCCGTATTACTTTCTTTTTGCGGCTGGTTGCGTGGAGAATATTTTGTCGTTATCTCCATCTTCAACTCCTACTTGATAAACTTTCCTTGTATTGATGAGATGATACTCGATTGACTAGTTCTTGTGTGCTTGTTCTCTGGAACTTTCTGGTTTTGCATTTATGCAAATTGAGATATTCATGTTTTCTTTTAATATTCCAATATTTCGGTGTTTATCTTAATTCGAAGTAGGGTAACGACAAACTGTGTTTAATATATGATCTTACAATTGCTGCACACATATATGGATATCCAATATTTTTCATGATGATACTTTGACGCTAGCCTAAACAGTGTCTCCTTAGCTACTTCGATCAAAGATGTTATTTTTCTTGTGAATTACATGATATCTGGCTGGTTAATGCCATTATTTGTACTAACTAGTTGGAGTCATCCCTAAGGGCCCAAAGGCCCAAGAATGAGTGAGGTTGCATTTGCTGAGCCCAGCAGCTCCGAATTTGATTTTCTTAATTATTAGACTTTTTTATTAGTTTCTCCTTGTGGATAATCTTAGTTAATGGTTCCGTAACATTTCCTTTTTTTCAGCAAAAGAGAAAATAAATATTGAGTATCTTCACTCAGTCCATTGTTTAATATGTAGTTTGATATAATTTCTTAAGGCTAACACAACTTTCAATTTGGAAGGTTTCTTGGGCTGGTTTTGACAGATTAGAACTTGAAAGTGGTGCAACACGGCAAGTTCTTTTGCTGGGATTCAATTATGGATTTCAAGTCTGGGATGTTGAAGAAGCAGATAATGTCTGTAACCTAGTCTCCAGGCATGATGGCCCAGTTTCATTTCTGCAAATGTTACCAAAACCGATTGTATCAAATCAATCTGCAGATGAATTTGCTGAAAGTCGCCCATTGCTGATTATATGTGCTGATGGATCCTTCAACGGGAGCACTAATGCTCAGGAGGATTCAGGTATTCCTGGCATCGGATCCGTCCAACAACGCCTTGGTACAATTCACGGTAGCTGTGTGCCCACAGTAGTCTGGTTTTACTCCTTGAGATCTCATACATATGTACACCTTTTAAGATTTCGATCGGTTGTCCATTTAGTTCGATGCAGCTCTCGAGTTATAGCAATTTTACAGTCTGCTCAGGTATGTCATTTCTTGCAAACAATTGCACAACTATGCATTTCCGAGCACAAATTCTTCTTTCAAGCTATCTATTGTTTGAGGTTATGCTATACTTAAATTACAGATACATTGTCTCAATCCTTCAACTCTGGCGAAAGAGTATACGATCCTTACAAATCCAGTACCCGGTGGATGTTATGGATCTGGAGACACTGGGCTGGGACCCCTGGCTGTGGGTCCCCGTTGGATAGCATATAGTGGGGGTCAAGTTGCAGTTTCGAATTCTGGCCGTCTTATTCCGCAACATCTTACCTCTTCGCCAAGCTTCCCTTCTCAAGGTTCAAATGGAAGCCTTGTCGCCCATTATGCAAAAGAGTCAAGCAAGCAGCTTGCTGCTGGTATAGTTACTTTAGGAGAAATAGGGTATAAGAAGCTATCAAGGTACTATTCTGAGCGGTTGCCTGAAGGCAGAAAGATTCTGCCTGGAACGGCTTATGCGACGGGGAATGGTATTGCTAATGGTCATTCATCAGATTCTGACAGTGTTGGCATGGTATGTTTATTCCTCTTTAATTGCAGCTTCATAGAAGTAGTTAATGCTGATTTTTATGACTAGTTTCCTTTTAAAGGGTTTGTAATTTAAACCTGACATCCGATTGATGTTATCATAATCAACAGGTCATTGTGAGAGACATTGTAAGCAGAAATGTGCTTGCGCAGTTTAAGGCACATAAAAGTCCCATTTCATCACTGTGCTTCGATCCCAGTGGTCTTCTCTTAGTTACTGCATCAGTGCAGGGAAGCAACATAAATGTGTTCTGCATAATGCGTGGAGTTTTCGGAGACTCTGAAGCTTCTGCTTCGGGACCTCCCTATGTTCATCTATACCGATTGCAGCGGGGTTTAACAAATGCTGTAAGAACAATTACTGCATCATTGTATTTTATTGTTGATTTTATGCAAATAAACAATTGGTTAATGGTTGGTTGGGATGCATAACAGGTTATACGGGACATAAGTTTTAGCAGCGACAGTGAATGGGTTATGGTCAGTTCTTCAAGGGGAACGACTCATCTTTTTGCTATTTCGCCATCAGGTGGATCAGTTAATTTTCAGTCCAGTGATGTGACATCCCATCCAAGAAACAGTCGACTTAGCTCGATGGCAAAGCCAGCAGTTCCTAGGTCTTCAAATTCTGGAATACAGGTGCTGTCGCGACAGAGTATCTGTTTATCTGGTCCACCGGTTACCCTTTCCCCGGTTAGGCGAATACGAAATGGAAGTAATGGTTGGATAAACACTGTGAGTGGTGCTGCAGCTGCAACTGGGCTGCTCAATCCTTTATCCGGTGCAATTGCATCTGCTTTTCACAAATGCAAGGATAATGAAGCGTATGGTGATTCAAGCTCTATGAAAATAAACCACCACCTGCTCGTTTTCTCTCCTGCTGGCTTTGTGATGCAGTATGCATTGCATACTGCTCCTGCCTTCAATGGTTCGACCCCATCACCTGTCCGGAGTATTAATAACGAATCCAATCTTGACTGTGATGTAATTGTCGAGGCAATCCAAAAGTGGAATGTGTGTCAGAAGCAAAACTGCCGCGATCGAAGAGATAATATTGATGTGTTTGGAGTGGACGGGAATATGAATCCTGAAAGAATGAGAGGACACGACACAATTTCTGATTCTTTTGGCACAGTCAATAAGGAAAAGATAACTACCGAAGAAAAGCTCCATATGTACATATCTGAAGCAGAGATTCAAATGCACGATAATGAAAATCCATTGTGGACGAGGCCTGAGGTGTATTTCATTTTGTGCGGTCAACATTAGTTTCCTTCTAAACTAACAATCTTTTGCTAAAAATCACCTTCCCTTTTTCGTACTTTTTGAAACTTTTTATGCAGATATATTTTCAGCCTATGCTGGCCAATGAGTTCAATATAGACGATGAATGCACTCATGGGGGAGAGTTTGAGATCGAAAGTGTTCCCACTCGTATCCTTGAGGCACGATCAAAGAACTTGGTTCCAGTATTTGATTATCTTCAGACTCCAAAGTTACAGACAGGGAGGTGTGTTTTATATACAAGTTTCTTGACATAGTAGCATACCATTCGAGTCATTTATATTATATATTGCATGGTTTCATTCATTTCTATAATTTGTTTTATATTTGTATCCTGGGTGTTCAAGTTCCGATCATGAAATCTTCAACAAAATATTCAGGATTTCTGTTATAGATCAGCTGCATGGGTCCGAGGACAGCAAAGTTGCCTGCGGGACTGGTTCTCTTTCTCTTGACTCCTTCGCGAATTTCAGCATTATGGAGAATGAACGGGATAGCAGCCATGAAAAAACCGGGCAGGATGGTGTTGAGTTTGCCGAAACCAGCAGGGGTCCTGTAAATACGAGCCTCTCCCCAACGGTGTGTGCTCAGTCTGCGACTGTAAATACTAGAGGTGACTCTGCGGGGGAGACTCAAGATAGTTGTGTAAATAATAGAGATGTCTTGAAAACGGAGAATTGGCTCACAAAGAGTGATGACGACGACGGATCCGACGACTAAAAAGGGGTAAATTTCCTGTTAGATTTGGGCTGACCATGGTTTGTGTTCGTTCTAAACAGCATGGAATGAATGATGTGTTTGGTTTTTTTAAAACTGTTGGGATGCCGAATAGGGGAAAAAAGGATGAAATTATTATCATTATTATGATTATTATTATGTGCCTTCTTTGTCTTTCCCTTTGTGGTTGTATTATTGCAACAAAGCTGCTTGTCATACTCTTGACTGATTATCAATAAATCTTTGTTTGGACATTTATTTTACATTCTCTCTCTCTCTCTCTCTTGTTATCCTCTTGTGTTAGCATGTATGCTCCAGATTATTGTGATGGTTTTGTATTCCTTTTCATTTTTGTCCAGTTGTCAGGATTCTTGGCTATATGGAAATTTTGATTATTTATTCACTCTTGAAATGAATGACATTTGTTCTAATGCTAGAAGCACTCAGTTGTGTTAGCATGTATGCTCCAGATTATTGTGATGGTTTTGTATTCCTTTTCATTTTTGTCCAGTTGTCAGGATTCTTGGCTATATGGAAATTTTGATTATTTATTCACTCTTGAAATGAATGACATTTGTTCTAATGCTAGAAGCACTCAGTTGCTCTAATTGTAGAAAATCCCCATAACTATTATGTTTCTAGGTTTATTGCCGGAAACATATGTGCATCTTGTTGACATAAGTAGTCTGATATTATAGTCTAAGGGATTTTGCCCATCCAAAAAGGTAAGAATTGGATTTGTACAATTAATTGTATGTATCCTATTCATATTTAGGGGATTGATTGTTTATCAAATTGGGTTTTTATTTATTACAAATGTTTGGGATTCTCTTATAAAATGATTTCTGCCATAGCTTAGCTATGACGTTGGAGGATTGCATATTACAATGGCGACGAGACTGGTTAGGTTGCTAGTTAGTCTTAATCATCACATGAAATATAGTTTATAGCATATAGTTTGAAAGTTACATAAATGTGTTGTGTAGATTGTTATATATATTGTCCGTTCATGTGTTTAACATATACTTTGTATTGTCAATTTATACCTCATGCGCAGCTGGATTTCATATGATGTTGTCAGCACAAATTCGTTCTTACTTGTTCTTACCAGTTACATTAGAAACCAAATCCTTCAAGAACTTGGCAGATTTTGTGACAGGTGAATTAGCAGCCATGACATTGTACAGCACGTTCTCGACTTCAGCCATGGATGGCCTTGCCCTGAAGCTCGAAACCACCCTCAATTCGCCGGTCCCTTCTTCCTCGACCATAATCTTCCATTTCTCTCCGCTCATCACACCATCTCGAACACACTTAAAAACCACACCTTTCCTCTTGCTCAAGATCCCTCTAACCTCCAATCCTGTAAATGAATAGACAACATCGAACGATCCTATGAACCCATTGTACGCATCTCCCAAGTTTTCCTCTTCCTCGGCCCTCCATTTGGGGTTGAAGATCACTACTGGCTTCGGATTCAAACTGTCTGCAACTGTCTTCATGATCTCGAGCTGGGAAGCATCCGGCGCCATGAACACTGCCATGTCGGAAGAGGGCAGAGTTCCGACACCCGAAGATATACCAATGTTTCGGACAAGAATGTCCGAAGATTGGGAGGAGCTAAAGACCTCATCAGCAGCTTGTAATGAATCGGGACATGGCCAGAGGACAAGAATCTTGATCGGCGGTGACCCTTTTTTCTTTAAGGGCATGTTGCCGAAAACTTGGCGGGCCAATTTGGACAGAGACGAGGGCGAGTCATCGACGACGGGGATCTCGACCCGGAGCCTCAGCTGCTTGACTTTCTTGATCTTTCCAATGGTGGAGAGCTTTAGGTTGTTGAGGGGCTTCTCTAGGGTGGATGCAAGGGAGAGTTTGGCTTGGAGAATGGCTTCTTCTTTGGTGGTGGGTGGTTTTGGAGATATTGATGATGATGATTTTGTGCATTTGCATTTGGGATATGAAGATAATAGTGATGGGATTGTTCTTGATTGGTTGTTAGGACAATGTTCTGTGATGAATGAAGATGGTAGTAGGAGGTTTGTTGTTTGTCTCAGGAAGTTCGTGTGTAAAGAAGGATGGGTTGAATTCTTGATGGGGATTTGGAGAAGTTTGGAAGCAGCAGCCATAGGTATAAGAAAAATGGGCAAACAATTATAGAGAAATGGATACATGGGATGGGATAATGTATATGTTGATAAGAAAGAAGATAATGTAATAATAATACTAGTAGATGAAGTATGGGTGGATAGGATTTGTTTTGTTGGAGGTGAGATGGAGGGGCAAAATAGTCTTTTTCAACACACTGCAACAACAAGCACTAAGACAACACAAGTGTCTGTCTTCAGTCTTCTTGTTCTTAAAAAGTCAAAGTCAACTGATCCAAAGTTGGATGATGGTTGAGCAAAAGCTTTAGTACAGTTAAAAAGCAGCAATGGGGCAATGTAGAGATGGGAAATAGACAATGGAGATGGAAGGTTATGAACAACAACCTATAATAATATTTCCGGCCGGATTAGGCGACCGGAGGGCGGAGGACATGGTCCTGAGATGTGTCGACTGCTGCCGGAGACATGAACTGCCACATGGCGACCCCGGGGTAACTGATGATGGGCACCAATTTGTTGCCGGAGGCCGGGCTTTGGGCCGCGAATGCAGCCGGAATTGGCTGAGGTGGGAGGAAACCGGGCTGTGCCGCCGGAGTGTTCATTGTCTTCAGCTGCTGCTCGAGCTTTTCCTTCTCTGCCTTTAGCCTTTGCTTCTCGTCACGAAGTTCATTCTTCTCGGCCTGCGATCATTAGTAAAGTTTCTTACACTCATGGATCCACAATTTCCCATAATATAATGCAATTTTCAAGATCCAATTTTCGGAATTTACGGAAAATGGAAGAAAATAAAACGACCTATTCTTTTTAAGTGATTTGAAAAGTTGAGAGGAGCATAAAATGGTTCTTACTTTCAACTCCTTAATTTTGTCGTGAAGATTCGAATTTGAGTCTTTCAGCTTCTGAGATTCGGTTCTAAGCTGAGTTACTATTCGGACAGCATCAACCAAGATTGCTGCTTTATCTGTTTTGGGGGGTCTTCCCGGCTCGAGCAGAGCACTCAATTCCATAAACCTTAAAAACCAGCCGATGCAGTCACCGGATGTGAAGAGCAAAATTAAAAATCCGGTAAGGCAAGAACCGAATTACCTGTCATTTAGCCTATCCCTTCGTTGTTTCTCCCTGCATGCTTTGGAGCTTGAAGGAACACATGATTCAGTTCTAGCTCTGCAAACTTATGATATTGTGAGGGGATGCGTCCAATTCGACAAAATTAAGGTTAAGAATTTAAGAAGAGGTTCGACAAAATTAAGGTTAAGAATTTAAGAAGAGGTTCGACAAAATCAAGGTTAAGAATTTAAGCAGAGGTTCTGGCAATTCAATCATCACTTGAACTTATGGGAATTAAAGATTCGATCATTACCGCTTTTTCGATCCACTCTCCTTCTGTGAATTCGACTCTCCCAATGATCCGTCAATTTCCACACTATCAAGAATAGGTAAATACACCAAAGTCATTAAGTAAAATAGTGACTCAAATCCCTAGCTTCTTCGATAAAGAGAGACAGCTAACCAATATATCCAACTACAAGCTGAATAAATCATGAGTTGGTCACAAATCTAGAAGTGAATATTCAACAGTCTAATTGCTCAAAACATAACAGGCTCCCAAAAGAAACGCCATTCTGAAACCATAGATTCAGCATACCAAAATTGTCGTAGCCATTGAAGTCTGAGGAGTTCTTTTCTTTCTTTTTTTTTTTCAACAATGTTCGAACTACTCGTACAAAATCAACAACAAACGCTCACTTATCAACAAAGGTATCGGCTAGATTTAGAGCACAACTAGAAACATTCTCAATTAGTATTAATAACCAGAGAAACAATTAACAGCTAAGTCGCATGAGATCAAACAACATTCAAAAACCACAAATCACCAAATAAATAAATAAATAATTATCATCAGTACACAATCAACGAACGCAAAATCCTACCAACTTAAAGAAAAACCAAATCACTACCGAATACTCAATAATTACACAAAAATAAACTCACCTGGCGTTGGATGAGCCATTCAACGCTTGCATGGGCCACGAAAACCCCGAATTTTCCGCCGCGAAATTACCATCGGCAGCAGATATATCCTCGAATCCGTAATCGTACAGCCAGTTTGTGTTCTCCGGGGAAACCATTTCCGATCAAAACACCCAAAAATGTATAATCTGCCAAACCAAATCGATCGATTCCGAGGAGAAGGGTTTCCGATTTCGCGCAATCGGACGAAGCGATTTGGGGAAATGGGGAATCGGAATGCCAATTTGGTCTGTTCCAAATTATTTAATAATATTATATTTCCCTGTGAATTATTATTACTATTTAATTAGTGCATTACAGTAATTTTATTTTGATAATAGTAGTATTATTTATTTAACATTGCTTTATTTCATTATACGATACCCTTTATTACGATATTATTCATGTTAGGTTTCTTCCTTATTATTATTTGAACACTATTATTCTATACCAAATATGATATATAGAAATGTTAAAAATAAATTAAATTAAATTAAACTATATTGATGCTACATAGAAATTTATAGAGTAAAATAAAATTAAATACAAAAAATAGTAGTCGTACAAAATAAATCAGAAATAGTCATTCATTAAAAAAAATTAAGAAAAAATTGAGAAAATTTTATTATTATTTTTTTAATATTTAAAGTGATAGCAAATAATATTTGAAAAGAGTTTTGTGCATGTAATATTAATATAAAATATTAGAGGAATTTTGGAAAGCTCGCCAAATAAATCAAAGATGCCGGCGCACTATTATCGGCACACATCAATTGGGCTGGTTATTCTAAGCCCATTTAAAAATACCACTCAAAATAAATAAATAATTGCATTTTGGGGCCCAACACCTATATATTTAAAATCAGTCAATCGACCAACAAATCAATTCAACGTTTATTTATTAGTAAATAATTATTTAAATATTGAACATATTCTTTCTCTGTCTGTAAATTCATATCACACAAATTCCATTAGTAGACAACACCCTAATCATCCAAATCCCAATTCCTATCCTATCAAATAATAACAATAATAATAATAATTAATATATAGTAAATAATTCTTCTTGTCATTCAAGATCAAAGGCATATGCATATAGTGATCAAGAAAAACAAGAACCACAAAACAGAAGCACAGTGAAGATTATTATTCCATCTTATCACACACACACACATATATATATATAGATATATCAGATCTGATCCCACCAAGACCAACAACAGCAAATCAAATTTCCTACCCCTGCATAGAATTTATGCTTGCTTGTAAAACACAGACTAACTAACTTCAGCAGTCAGTGAGTAACATTAACATAACATGATGATGAGATGAAACAAACTTACTTATGCAGAAAAGAAAAGTGGGGGCTCAAGGCACCAGCCCCCTGTGGTACCTCAGTAGTAGTACTACTAGTAGTAGTGTATAACTCATTACTCATCACACAGACAAACACAAACAATTAACTAACTCACTCTCACTCTCTCTCTCTCTCTATATTGTCTTGTCATCGCAGCTTCGATTGCGCGACAACAAGCGATGATGATGACAATGATGATATTCCAGTTAGGCGCGCTTTTGTTAACAATCAACTGCAGCAGGAGCAAATAACACACACCCCATTTACTATACTTACTAATTGTCTTATGTAATAACACCAAATCAATCAATCAATACCATAAGATGAGTTTGAGATGAGTTGAGTTGAGTTAGCCTAGCCAATGCTCAAACGAGAATCGATGGATCTTAAACTGGTTTGCCGCCTTGGGATGCCTATTTCGCAAGCATTTACCCTCGCTGCAAATCGTAGCGAACACAGAGATTCGCCTGTCGAGGAAGGATCCGGTGAAATGTTCACAAACATCAATGTCTTCGAGTCTCCTCCTAAGCAAGGCTGCAGCAAAACATAACGAAAGGAAATGAACCCTATTTTTGTTTGCATAAAGCAATGAAAGTTCAGATGAATAATATGGCTAATAATAATTATAAACCTGGAGAAGATAGGTTAGTTTGGAGTTCCTGAATGGCACATGCTCCTCTCTCTTTGCCAACGCGAATATGACATCACTTAACGACGATAAGCTCTTATTAATGGCCTGGTTCATGGAGCATCAAAATTAGTGAGATATGTAAAACTCATAGGAAGAAGATGATTTAAGGTCAATAAAATAAGCTCTGTTTTGATTGATACCTGAGTTTCTTTCAACCGATCACCGGTTGCCCCACTTCTAGAAAGGCGCTCGCTCCCAGCAAGATCAATGAGATTCAAAACACCTTGCACTTGTTGATCGGTGCTCTAACAACACACACAACAAACAATCCTCTCATGAGAATGAAGAAAATGCAGAAGTGAATAGCTATGAATTAAATTAATATAAAGCACTTAGTTAGTACCTGATTAACTCCTGATATTCTGAGAGTGAAGACAAAATGACTCCTTGAAGATTGTTCGTTCATTTGAGTCTTTCCTACCGACCTAAAAAAATTAAGTGCACCCGGCTAAATGAATCCATGGAGTGCAGCCAATTGAATTCTGGTTTAAAATTTGGGAAATTTTTGCAAAATACCTGCTTTGTGATGCTCTCTCTAAAAGATAGGAGACTTCCCGGCTACTGCGAACATCAAAGGTTGTAAGATCAGAAACATAAGTGTTTCCATTGGCATCATGTTTAATGGTGTATTGCTTCCCAGCATTATCTACTCGTGATGGTGCCAATAAGTCACGAATTGTTTCGTTGTATATTTCAAGCATTGACACCTAACAGAAACAAACAAATCAAAATAACGGTAGTAAATAATCACACAAAAATGGAGTGAAAACAGGAAACCACCAGGCAGCATTATACCTGCATTTCATACTTCCATCCTTCGGCTTCAAGGAGTTGCCTAGTCTCAAATACCTGCTCTAGTGATCGTGGTATCAAACCTTTCTCATCTGCTTGGTTTGGTTTTCCCATCATTGTGTACGTCTTACCAGAACCAGTTTGGCCGTAGGCGAAGATACAAACCTGATATAAAGAATGAAAAGATTATTAATGGTTGTAAATTTTCATGCAGCTGCATTTCCTGTCAACATTACAAACTACTTTCATTACATTGTCAAAGCTATAGAGCACATGAATTGCATAGGTTTTGCAGGTAAGGTTCGATATTTTTATCCATGGCAATAAGAGCTCTGTTATGAATGTCAACCACAACTTCCATGGCAGGCTATTATAGGCCACTAACCTTGTACCCATCAAGGGCACTTTGAACAAGTTGTGAAATCTCCACAAAAACATCTTCCTGGGATTCCTCCGGCAAGAACACTTTGTCAAAAGTGAAAGAGTGTTTTTGTCCTTACAGATAGAAAAAGAATGTTAATAAATTTGGAGAAAATTGTGATCATGCAAATTAGTTATACTGAGATTTCAAACTTATATCTGAGGGATTCACCATTTTGTGATACATCAATGGCCCTCCCCATCAGTTCTGTTGATGATGGGAATGAAACAACTTTTGCATCACTTCCGACTCCATCTTCAGACAACAAGGGTCTCACTCTACAAAACACTCGAATGTTCCCTTTCAATTCCTGAGTTACCAAAAGATTATCAGTAGCGACAACTTGATGAAGTATAACCAAAGTTAAAGGACCATATGCAACTGCTAAACCATGAAAAAGATGGGGTACCAAGATTGTATTATGCAGTTTCTTCCGCAGTTTTTCTCCTTCAACAATTTTTGAATCTGCATCTGCCAAACGGTTTTGTAGTTCATGAATCAATGCTTTCTGCCCCTCAAATTCTGATCTTGCTTCCATGTGTGACATATCTGACAGCTAAAGAAAACGCAACACAAAAAAAAAAAATAATAAATTAGTTGTACAGATATAACTACTAATAAGATCAAAAGTTCTGAAACTAAGAACCAGTAAACCAGATAAGCAACCTGCAATTTCTTTTCCGCAAAGGCAAGCTGGTCCCTTAGTCGTCTTATCTCTTCACTTTGGGAAGAGCAAGTGGACTGAAAAAATATACATATAACAGCCAATTAAAATCTCAAATAATCAGTTATTAAAAGAATCAAAGGTATTGAGCTGCACCTTCAGCTCATTGGATTTCGTGGAGAGGCCGTCTAGTTGTGACTCATAATTATCAGCACGCTCCTTGTGTTTGGTTGCTTCGGCTGACAAAGCTTGGACTTGTGACAATTGGCGATCACGATCCTCTCTTGCTTGTTGCAAATCATTTCTCAAACATGCAACTTCACTACCCAGTGCTTCCTTCTGTTTCATGGCCTCATCTTGAGATGCCTTGAGAAGAAAATTTTTACGTAAGTTTGATAGGAAAAAGAGGCACCAGAAAAACAGCAACAGAAACACCACTAAACCTTTTGAAGATTTACTATTTTCACAAATAAAACACTTTCCATTGTAAGCATTCAAGAAATTATTTTATTCAGAATGACACAATGTATATAGCTCTAATTCAAGCTAATCAAAAAGTGCAAAGCATATTGGTTAATCTGTAGTTGAACCTGAAATGCCTATTAAAAATTAAGTGTTAGATGTTGTGTCTGGAAAGAAAAATATACTCTCAACCTCTCAACCAAAAAAATTGCTTACTCGAGATGAAGCAAGTTGCTCTTGCAGCGAGGCATAATGGCCCCTCAAAGTACTGAGGTTTTCAACCACAGCTCCCTTCTCTTTCTCGACGCGCTTGAGTGCCTCATTGGCTTCATTAACCTCTGACTGCAGCCTGGTATTGTACTGCTGCAAACTCGTGTTGTACTCTTGTAATCGCTTGTACATATCATTAAACGACTGAATCTGCAGAAGGAACAAAATAACATGGTGACACTATTGCCAGCACAGCATATGGTTTTAATTTTTGGGAAGGAAATATCATTCCTTAAGCCACTGCTAACCTTGTGGTTGGAACTAGCATTCTCTTCTTGAGCTTTTTTCAGCTCTTCTGAAAGAGAAGCCTTCAACTTCTCTGCAGCTAATCTAGCTTCTTTCTCTCTCCCCAAAGAATCCAATGCTTCCTATTAAGTATAGTTGATATTTTAGCTCTTCACAGTGCAAAGCAGAGCAAACATTTGAAAACCAAATTGCAGAATTGAATTGATTTTTGACCCTGTACCGATTTATCTGCTTCCTCTTTCGAATACTTTTCCTGCAGAGACTCCAAACTTTTTCTCAAATCCATAATTATTGCATTCAATTCATCTTCCTTAGCCTTCATAAGCGACTCTGAAAATTGATGAACAAAAACTTCAGATGGAGAAAACTTCCACATATTTAACACAGTTCTAATTAGGGGGAAATAAAGCAAGTGAAATGCAGACACAATGAAATTAAGTAATGGGCTTTTACCTATGTTATTGCATTTTGTTTCTAATGATTCCAACAAGTTCTTCAATTTCTCCTGCTCTGTAACGTAATTTCCTTCAAGCTGTTGAAACCATTTGATACACTGCTTAAGCCTTCTTATCATTTCAGCCATTTGTTCACTTTTTTCCTGCTCAAGCATCAAAAGCATTCCAATCACAATATTGAACTAATTACCAAACTATTCTAAGTGGTCAAATAATTAAAAGATGGAGCTAAAGAATCTAATTCAATGTACCTTGTGGTTGAATTTATTTTTAATTCTCAACCTCTCATTGAGTAATGCATCAACATCCTCTTTAGTGAACACAACAGTATCAGAACCAGAATTGCTTGGCGGCCCAGAGGCTGGAGGCGGATCTTGGGTCCCGTTCACCACCGAAAAAGCTTGCCGAGTTTGACCCTTTGTCCCAACACTAGGTTGCATCTTCATGTTTCCAATCCTTCTCTTCTTATCCACTAATCGCTCATCTGCAGCATTCTTGCTCTGTTGTGCAAAACCAGCAAGGAACCATTATCACTATTTGACCCAAAAGAAACCAAGAAATATAATCCCCAGTATCAGTTATTTCTCAATACATTAAAATGGAAAACATTCCTGTCATCTTCCCGACATAGATCTACAAATTTCTCTAAACCCTAACACAAAAAAACTGTGGAGCTCTTGTAAGGCCAACCATAACACCCAAACACACACGTCTATTAGAACCTCTTAAACCTAATTAACTACAAATCAAAAATCAACAGATCAAAATATATAAATAAATGAAAGAAATTAGTATCGGGAAAGGAAATGGAAACTCGGTAGCAAGATATGAACAGGAAATTGAACTCACATGTCCAGGACTCGAAGGCGCCTTGTTCTGGTTCCTGGAAGCCATAAGAAACAAGCAAGAAAGCCTGCGAGTTCGAGAGACAAAGAGTAGCGACCTGAAATTTGCCTGGTGAGCTTCGTTTCAAACGGAAGGCTCCCCGCAATTCGAACCGCGCCTCTGATTGCAGGGATTGCAAAAAAAAAAAAACAATATAAACACGCAGGATAATTCGAGTGTAGAACTACAATCCGGGATCTTGATTTTCTTTCAACTCCTAACGATTGTCGAAAGTAAAAAGGAGAAAAAATGGAATTGGGCGAAAAAGAGGCTCACGACCGTTCTCCTCACAAATGCAAAGAGTGAATTAGAAGAAGAACCCTCGGATCTCCACGGTAGCTTTCATCAAAGTGAAAATATCGTTGGGATTAAAGGACTGTAGAGAGAAGAGCTCCGGCGAGAGAGAGAGAGGGAGAGAGACAAAGTGAACGTTAGAATGAAGAAGGGCATAGGTTTTTGAAATTATTTGAAATTAAATCCGGCGGCATTATCAGTGAGAGATCCGTTGGGGTGTGAATTGACTGTTATGCCCATCCATCCGCTCCTTCTCTCTTTATTTTATTTTATTTTTCTGATACGGTCGGATTGGTACAAATGGCTACGTCTTGTTCTTGCCGGGAGTTAGACGGCAAGATGTGTTTACTTTTAAAATTTTCGATGTTATTTTACCAGGTAAATTTTGGGTGCGTTTGTTTAGGCTATTGAATTTTAAATACACTATTTATTTATAATTATTATTATTTTTTTAAAGTATTAAATCAAATATTTTTTTTTATATTATACTAAAATTGATTTTATATTCAAAATATTATCCACTTTTATTTATATCATATTAAATATCTATTCAAATTTAAAATTTTTACTATTCAAATTATAATTCAAAATTCAAACCACAAACAAATACACTCTTTATAAATTTTTATAAATAATGTTCTCTATGCCCAATACAATAGTCTTATTTATCATTTTTTTCGTCCCAAAAACAATAGTCTTGTTCCATAAATAATCATATCATCGTAAAATTATCCATATTTTTTCATTTTTATTACACAATTGCCTCTACTTTTATCCATAGTTTTTATTCATAATTTTTACCAACCGTCCAACCCAATTAAAACTATATTTATGAAATAGAAGTAATATTATTTTTGTTGTATAAAATACTATAGTCACAGTATTGTTTATGGTTCGAATTACTATAAATACAAAATATTAAAAAATAATTAAAAATATGTGAGTACAATAATTATTTTATAATATAACTAATTATATATTAAAAATTTATTAATTAGTATTATTATAATTAAAATAATATATAAATTAAAAATATATTATTTTAAAAAAAACATAAAATACGGAAAAAAATGAGTAACATTTAATCACTATTTAAGCAAATCTTACAATAATATTAATTATATATATGATAAAATAAATTAGTGTTTATTTTATGTTATTTTGAGGTTTTATATATTTAAATAAAATATAGTGAAATACAATGTATTTTTAACAAGATAAGTATTTTCAAATTAAAAGCAATACATTAGATAATAAATTTATTAAAGAAATCTGAAAAATAAACAAATTTATAGTAACAATAATAATGATCCGTGCACTACTTGTAATAGTATAGTATAAGGTTAATTTGGCATAGAGTTATTTATTTGTTTTGAATTTAAATATATAATTTTATAGTCATAAGTTTCATCCTATTAAATCATCCTTATGGAACAAAATATTATGTTATATAGGGAAAAAATATTATTGTATTTTTATTGTCTATGTTGTATTTATTTTTAAATAGTCAATATATTTTTAGTTAATATTCTAAAAATATATATTTACATAAAACACATAGTCTATTATATAATATATTTAATTTTAAAATTAATAATTTAATATAAAATATTATTATTTTATTCAAATATTTTTTGTACCTAATATAAAATAATTCAAATTAAAAATACAAAATAAATTACCATGGTTTATTGTATAAAATTGTTTGAAAATTTTTTTGAAAAAATTAATCATTATAAAATACTAAACAAATACACTATAGAGTTTCTTTGATTTAAAATTAAAATCACATCAATTTTTATTATTGTTCCACTATGTCTCGTTACAAGTGTTAAGGCAATAAGTTCTATCTCTTACACTGTCTTTATTTTTATTTTTTATTTTTTTTAATCCACCAAAGATGTTTATATAATTTTTATATGTTTCATATTTTATGTTATTTTTTTATAATAAGATAATACATTTAAATTTTACTATAAATTTTTTAATTGATATATATTTTAATTTTTAATTAAATTAATAAATACAATATTGTTGAGTTCATGTTTATTAAAATAAAAGATACATTAAAGATTAAGAGATGGTCTGATGTAGCGCTGAATTATGATGTCGAAAATAAATAAATAAATAAATATCTTTAACAATTATTTTTTATTATAAACTTCCAGCAACCAAGGCCGGCCTTGACCGGGCGAAAAGCCGTCCGTCAGACCTCAACAAATAGATCACAATTTACATATAAATAGAAAATTATAAAAAGAAATCACATTGAAAAGATAATTCAATATATATTATTAAAACAATGAACAATTACATAAATAAAAAAATATATATATATATTTAAAAACACACATTTAAAAATTGGGATGAGCACAAATAGATAAAATAAAAATAATGAAAAATAATTCACAAAATTTTGTCGGCTTTGACCTGCCGCATTTCCAAAAGGCAAAGACAGAAAAAAGATTATATCCAGTTTTTAACGGAAACGGGATTTTCTTCTCCGTTCTTCTTCCTTCTTCGAAATCCTCTGTAAATGTTGTACATTTCAATCCCTTTTGGTGGATCTGATCCAACGCAGCCAAAACCTCAAGCGACGGCGCATCAATTCCTGGATTCACCGAAAGGGGATTCGACAACAATCCACATGCATACGTGCATACACATTTGATCGTCGCGTTTCTACCTTGGCTTTTATCCGCCCTTTTGGGATTGTGGAGGCGTTTTGGGGGCTTCCTACGATTCAAATTTGGGGCGTTTGGGCGGAACGTGCGTGTAATTACGGTGTATTATTGATTTTACAATTGTAGGTTTCGGTAGCTAAGGTTGGAATTATATCAATCAATGCTGGGCGTTTAGGAAAGTTCTTCTGAGAGTTGAGCGAATTGTTTAGAATTCGAGGCGTTGGTGTTCCGATTTTGTTTTCAATTTCCGTCTCATTCTTTCGCCGGTGCTATGAGAAACATTTTGTTGCACCATTGGGATGATGAGGAACCAAGCGAAGAAAATCGTGAGCTGGATTTTTCCTTTTATGGCTTTTGTTGTTCTGCTCTTGATTATGGTGGCAATTGGCGTCGATGGCGATTGGAATGAGGAACAAGAACCTTTACTAACTAATCTGGTCGACTCAGGAGAGATTAGTCATGAGATGGTACAGAGCTCTGCTTTTTTTTTTTTTTTCTTTTTCATCACCATTGATAGATATTTTCTGATGTGCTTTTTTATTTACTTCTGTATTTTAATTCACGTTTACATTTGAGAAAATGAAGCTCAGCTAATGATACACGTAAGGAATTCAGTAGGGACATGTTTGCTTTGGTGGATAGGATGAAGATACTTTAGTTGTCTTCTGCTCAAGTTATAATTGCATTTTGCATTGAGAATATCTGACTAAATTGGATTGGATAGTTTTTCACTCCACTTTTCTGAATTTAAGCACAATCCATGGAATCCCAAACTAGGCTGTTTCTTTCACAAGAATATAGTAGCCGGAGATAGTTGCTGATTTCATTGTTCAGCATTGGCTTGTAATGTTTTTGCTTGTGGTTAAACCTTTTTTTTTTTATCTTTCTGTTTTCAAGTAGGTAGCTGTTATTTCATATTTGCAGTTGATATATAACATGCAGCTTGTTCAAGGTTTTGGAGTTCAGTCGCCCTTTGTGTAGTTTGTACCTGTGTTGTTATTAATTTTTATGCATCATTGTTCTGTGTGTGATTGCTCTACCGCACCCGTTTCTCATGCCCTATTCGATTTTTCGAATTCTTTAATGTTTTTGGGAGAGCAATACATTTTCATAAGCATTGAGTTATAATCAAGGTATATCAATGGAAAGTTCCAAGATAACCTTACTTCCTTGGGTGGTGCATACATTTTTAGTTGTTTCTTATTTCTTATGCATATGTGTAGTTTGCTCCTCTACATGCAACATGTACTCTTTTAAGAACAATGTGGTTTAAGAATGAGAGAGGTAAAATGTGTCTCTATTTAATGGAATGAGGAGTTTTCCACAAGATTCAATGGACAGCTTAACATCACTGACTAAGGTTTTCATTTTCACACAGTGGATTAATGGCGTCTGATAAGCTAATATCTTCTGATTAAGGTGTATATATATATGCATTCTGTTGATAAATAAAATCATTTGCCTTTTACGGATTTGAGAAAGTTGCGACGAAGCCTAATGAAGCTATACAATAGCTCATCTTGCATTGTATAAACATGTAGACTGAAGTGCCTAATCAAATGGATTTATTGACTGCAGGCTGAGCTATTGCAGGCGAACTGCAGGAATGAGTTGATACATGCTACGAAGACCTTAGAAGACCCTCAATTATGTCCAACAAAGGGGTTGTTCAATCAGGATGATGACCTTAGAACACTACAAATGCACGATACTTCTGTTGATGCCTGGTGCCCTGAGGTTAAGCAAATCCTTTTAGATTGCATGATGAAAAAAAATCTCATGCTTCATATTCCTGCAGTGGAGAGGGATGTAGATGCTTGGTACACAAGATATTTGGGGTCTTTATTGGCTGCGCAGCATTCTTCTAGCCGTCGCGAATTGGGTGGGAAAAAATCAGGAAAGAAAAAGGCAAAAAAGGAGGAGTCATCATTGCCTGTAGTTGCCATAGCAGCTGCATCTGTTACCTTGATTATTGTTATTCTGCTCCTTTGTTTATGCTGTAAATGCTGCAAGACTGATTCCGATCACAATAAAAATGACGAGAGTCCTCTTCTCACCTTTAGCTTAAGCGACAACTCTATTGGTATGTATGCCTTCTATAGTTGAGAAAATTCATTTTATGCAAAATCCATTGTCTTTAATAGTGATAATTGCACATCTCATTTTGGCATGTCTTTTTGTTTCATCCTTTAGCCTCCCCACAGAAGTCATTCAGTCGAGGATCGTCAATGTGTGAAGAAAAACTTGGTAATGAGTCCTCTTGACAAGAATTTGATCATAATATTATTGCATGAAACCTCACAATTCTCTTCTCACTTGTATAACAGAGATTCCGCTTGGAAACACTGCCCCGGCAGGAGCCAAGTTAGAACAAGGTTCCACACAAATGTCTTCTCTGCCACCACCCCCTGGATCAGCCCCTGGATCAGTCCCTGGATCAGCCCCTGGATCAGTCCCTGGATCAGCTCCTGGAGTGCTAGGTGAACATGGAATAGCTCCACTAAGACCACCTCCTGGCAAGCTCAGCGAACATGGAATAGCTCCGTTGAGGCCGCCTCCTGGAAGGACAAATACTTCAAAACCTCCCCATCCTAATGCAGCTCGTCCCCCACAACCACCTCCTATGCAACCTGCAACTAGCACTTCTTCCGGTGACCCTCTTCCTCAGCAGCCTGGACCACCGGGAGCAGCAATACCTTCGCCACCTGGGGTTCCATCACAACCTGGGGCACCAGCATCATCATCAGCATCAGCATCAGCACCAGCACCACCTCCACCACCTGGAGCACCAGCACCACCCCGGCCACCTGGAGCACCACCACCTCCTGCTCCACCTGGAGCACCTCCTCCACCTGGAGCGCCTCCTCCACCTCCTATGATGGGTGGTCCTCGGCCTCCACCACCTCCAGGAGGGGGTGGGCCTAGGCCGCCACCACCTTTTAGCAAGAGACCTCCTCGGCCCCGTGGACCATCTTCAGGAGATGATGATGATGCTGATAGTGCTGCTAATAAAGCTAAGCTGAAGCCTTTCTTTTGGGACAAGGTGAATGCTAACCCTGATAATGCAATGGTTTGGAATCAAATCAAAGCTGGGTCTTTCCAGTAAGTTCAACTTTCACCCTTGTTTTTGTTATCAAGTAGTTTTCCACGCCCGATCTGTTTGTTGACAAGCAACAACTTATGAACAGATTTAATGAAGAGATGATGGAAAGTCTTTTTGGCTATGCTCCTGCTGCGAAAGGCAACACCGGGGCAAAGAAAGCGTCTGCTTCCAAAGAGAATACTCCTCAGTTTATACAAATTATTGATCCCAAGAAGGCACAGAATCTATCAATTATGCTCAAAGCATTAAATGTGACTACAGAAGAAGTCTCTGATGCAATCGAAGAAGGTGATCTGTCTTTTATATTCGTTACTTAACAAAATAATACTATGTGTAGAATAGAATTATGTGGTCTGAAAACCTGGCCTTTCTATGCAGTGCACAACCAATAACTAAAACATCATCTCAACCCATTTAGTTAAAAATTGGATGCCATTAAAGGATTGAGAAGACATGGAGAAGTATAGATAATTTTAACTTTATGTTTTATAATTGCCACATGATTGTATAACTATGGGTAACTCACCCTTGCCTCTTGACAAGAAATGGTTGCCTCAGTTTTCTCTCTTCATTGACCTTCAATGCCCTGCAAAAAAAAAAAACTAGCTATCATTGGTGTTGCAATCAGATTGCTTGATGTGGTAGTTTTATTTGATGATGGCTTAAAAACGATGCTTCATTACATAAAGAATTTGCTCTTTGTTATTTGTCTTGTGTGGATAGGAATCAGCTAACAATTACAATGTCTCAGGTAATGAGCTTCCTGCAGAACTCATTCAAACATTAATAAAGATGGCTCCTACTGCTGAAGAAGAACTGAAGCTGAGACTCTACACCGGCGACCTCGCTCTACTTGGCCCGGCCGAGCGTTTCCTTAAAGGCTTAGTCGAGATTTCATTCGCCTACAAGAGGCTAGACTCATTGCTTTTCATGTGCACCCTAGAGGAGGACATGACGATGTTAAAGGAATCTTTCGTGGTCTTGGAGGTAAGAACATCCCAACTAAATCCATTCGGCCGGACAAGTTTCCTCTTAGTGAATGTTTGCTGATCATGCTGCAGAACGCTTGCACCGAATTGCGCAAAAGTAGGCTGTTTCTCAAGCTACTCGAGGCTGTCCTCAAGACTGGGAATCGAATGAACGATGGAACATACCGAGGGGGTGCACAAGCATTCAAGCTCGATACACTTCTTAAACTAGCGGACGTAAAAGGAGTAGACGGAAAAACCACATTACTCCACTTTGTTGTCCAGGAGATAACCCGATCGGAAGGCATCCGAGCTGCCCGTGCATCCCGGGAGCTGCGAAGCATGTCCAGTTTCCAGTCCGATGACCTACTCGATGCGCCCGTCCAAGACTCCGACGAGCATTTAAAGAGCCTCGGCCTGCAAGTGATCTCCGGCGTAGGCGACGACCTCAAGAACGTCAAAAGAGCAGCAAATTTAGACTCGGACAGTATAACAGGAACCGTCGCGAAGATCGGGATTTCGCTCAAGAGAGCCAGGGACTTCCTCAGCACCGATATGCAGAGTGTCGACGAAGACAACGGATTCCATCAAACGCTCAAGAGCTTCATCCAAAACGCCGAGGGCGACGTCAAGTGGCTGCTCGAGGAAGAGAAGCGGATAATGGCGCTCGTCAAGAGCACCGGCGATTACTTCCACGGCAACTCCGGCAAGGATGAAGGGCTCCGATTATTCGGCGTTGTTCGCGATTTCCTCGTCATTTTAGACAAAGTTTGTAAAGAATTGAAAACTGCCCCCGTAAAGCCTACCACCAAGAAAGATCAACAGCAGCAGCAGCACCAGCAACGGCAGCAGCAACAGCAACAGCAACGGCCACAAACAGCAAAGCCGCCTCCACCTCCTCAAGACACCAAAACAACGACAACGACGGCAAATCCTCCTCCCAACCCGAGACAAAGACTCTTTCCAGCCATCGCCGAAAGGCGGCCGGAATCGTCATCTTCAAGTTCAGATGAGGACTGAAAGTCTCAACCTAATTCAAGATGATCTCAAGCCTAACATTTTTCTTCCAACCTTGAAATGTGCCTATGTTGCCTGTAAATTAAGTTACTCCTAGGTTAGATGGTATTGAGATTTGAGCCCCATTCCCTAACACTGATGTTATCAATTCTTATTTCTTTATATAACAACCTTAGATAGATCAAAACCTAAACCAATTAACTACATCAGTTACAAAAATGGGAATAACACAACCTGAAAATTAGCTACCCAATATTTTCATTGCTTAAAGAATGTGGCTTTTATGGGAAACTACACATAAAAGAACCCAAGAAAAGCACACTCTTAGGATAACAAACTAATATAGCGTAAGCCCTAAATCTAATATATATTTAGAAATCAATTTTCAAAAGAACTGAAAGGGTAAACTATCAACAGGCACTGAGCTAATCTAATCTTCCTCGTCGGCGGCCGGCTTGGAAGCGCCGCCGGTCTTCTTCGGGAGCAACAGGTTGTGGATATTCGGCATCACGCCGCCGCTTGCTATTGTCACATCGCCGAGCAATTTGCTGAGTTCTTCGTCGTTCCTCACAGCGAGCTGAATGTGCCTAGGTACGATTCTCGTCTTTTTGTTGTCTCTTGCAGCATTTCCAGCCAATTCCAAAACCTGATTGGATTCACCATAGGAGATGCATTTAGGATGGATAGATAATACGTATGTTTTGGTAGTAAATTGATGGTTGGTTTGTGGAATTGAGATTAATTGAGAATAAGATCGAAATTGGGGGATTCAAACCCTAGAATTCGGTAACAAATTACCTCGGCAGCCAAATACTCCAGAACCGCGGCGAGATAGACCGGCGCACCGGCGCCGACTCGCTCGGCGTACTTGCCGGCCTTTAGGAATCGAGCAATCCGACCGACCGGGAATTGGAGCCCAGCCTTACTGCTTCTGGACTGCGCCTTCTTCGCCGACCCAGAACCCAATGTCTTCCCACGACCTGCCATTCTCCGAAACGTGAATTAACCTGAGAAAACCCTAGAATTGAGAGTGGGGAAGAGAATCTGCCGCTGACTGAAGCACACGGAGAAGCCAGAAGCGGTGGAGAAGATTATATAGCACTGTTCGCGGGTTTGCAGATGGACATATGGCATTGCAGTGCACGGATCGTGAATATTGACCGTAGATTACAAAATGATTGAACGGTCAGATGTGAACGAATTTTGAGGAGCCACTTCTTTTTTTTGGTTTTTAAAAATTTCATCTGTGAATCAGTGAATGTACATTTTTAACCCCTGCCCTTCGTCCTCTCTTATAAGGTGATATGACTTTTTTATCCTTTTACATAAAAATTCAACGGACCGAAAAAAAAAAAAGTGAGTAATTATGACCAATTCATTCTGTAAGTATGCCCTCGTCATTTATTTTTATCTGGACCAATATTGGTGACTTTGTTTTATAAGACACCAAAATTATAAATTTGTTCCGCAATGGGACCTTTAATTTTATTTTTTCCCCCTTAAGTTTATATATTTAATATAAATTTATAAAAAATAAATTTTAGATTATATATTTATTATGATTTAAACTGGCGGTAAATCGACCTCAAACTAAAATGGGCTTGTATTGTGACTAATATATGGGCCAGTTTATCCTCATTTAAAAGTTCGAATTCAAGCCCAAATTTTAGCGGGCTTAGTCTTGGGCCGGTCTAAAGCCGGTTGAATCAGACCGGGTTGGACCAAGTTTGGAATAATAGGTGTGGTTTTGTGTTTTTATTTTTCTTTTATAGGAGTATTTTGTTTATCAAGTGCCGAAGTACCTTCTAGACATTCCAAAACCCATCCCCCCGGCCACGCATCGCGAGCTTAAACCCAGGATGGCATTGAAGGCGGCGACATCTGCCAATACTCCGATTGGGAGGGGCTTAAGGGCTTTGTACTCATCATTTTCGAATTTCCCGTTGAATCCTTCACCGCCAAAAGTGGAGAAGCCGCCTCCTGCGGAGCCTTCGACAAATTTGTTCGTCTCCGGTATATGTTTGTGATATTTGTTCTAAATTCTCTGATGCTGATGAATATGTAATTTTTGGCTTAGGTTCAATGTGTATATGGATATATATTTGAGGTTAAGTGTGCGGATTTATATTGTTTTGCCACCGGTGGTAAGGTCTGTAAAGGCTCTGGAGTAGAAATATTAATGCGATGCTTTTTATAGAAAACTACTGTTGAATCCAATCCTGACACTGGAGTCCTTACAATCTGTTATGAGCCCAATCTCTTGCTGTCGAAGTTTCCCTTAGTCCTAAAAACTGCTCAACTGCTGCCATTCTAATATATGCCATTCTTAGAAATTGAAGAGCTATTTAGTGTACATGTTGTGGCTTTAATGGTGTGCTTGAGCCTTTTCAAACAGAGGTATTCATTTTTCCTAACTGTCTTTGTTGAAGCTGCAAATTTTGGGCTATCACTGGTTTAAACTTCTTTTGAACTTGATGCCAGGCAAACGCATAATTCGATTAATTTATATCCTGCATGTTATGGATATTGATTGACACAGTGTACTTATTTTCATTTTTTTTTTTGGGCTGTGTTGCTCGATTGTAGTTCAATAGATTCTGCATTGTGTCCTTTCCTTGTCGATTTTCTGGTTCAAGGGATTAGATTGATATTGTGATTTCTTTTGGTTGTGTAAGTCATAAGGTTACTAGTTTGCTTTCAATTAAACTGTGATGTGCACACTTTTTAATTTCAGTTAGTCAAATGTTGAACCATGATGCAGTGAGGACTAAAGACCTGATATGGATTTACAAAATATTGGAAGAAATAATATTTTTTAAGATGATGTACCTTGCATGTGTTATTATACATCAAGAGCGCTATAAATATACACAATCAATTTTATTTGGCAAATCCACTAAGGGTGTGTTTGTTTGGGGGTTTGGATTTTGAATTGAGATTTTAATAGTAAAAAGTTTGAATTGGAATAGTTGTATAATGTGATATAAATAGGTGCTGATGTAATATTTTGAATGTAAAATTGATTTTTCATTCAACTAGTTTAACAGTATCTGCTACATAACTTGAACTTAGTAAGTGCTTTTGTTAAGTCTCTCTAATGGTGTAGGGGGATGTAGGATGTGCTGCTTATTGGACTTTTTCTATGTTATGATTTAGGGCTTAGCAAACGTACAACAACAGAAGGTCTCCGTGATGCCTTTGCTAAGTTTGGTGAAGTTGTTCATGGTATGCTCTTCTTGTGTTCCTGAATGAGGGTTTATGATTCATATGAAAATCATGAAAGATGATTATTCTTCTCATTGTTACAGCGAAAGTGGTGACTGATCGTGTGTCTGGATATTCAAAGGGTTACGGTTTTGTGAAGTATGCAACTCTAAAAGATGCTGAAGCTGGCATCAAAGGCATGGATGGTCAGGTAAATTTAAAATATGAAGACACAAATTTAAGTAATACAATATCCTTAGGCTAAATTTCAGATAAATGGCTTGGCCAAAAAATTATGGGGCTTCCTTCTGCCCAACGTTTTTATAATATATCTACATGTGCTTATATATTACTATTTAGGTTTCTGGGTAATGTATAGGTTTAGAAATTCCATAATAGATCACACTTGAGTTTTATGGCTTTTATGGCCTTTCCTATGCTTACTCTTGTTAAACAAATATTGTTGCCTTCCACTTTAAAAGCTTTTTTCTGATTAACCTTTCCTCTTTAAACAAACATTGTTTGCCTTCAATTTTTAAAGCTTTTCCATGCTACCCATTCTTTGTTGCAACACTTTAATCGATATATGTATTGGTTCAGTAACAATGAGTTGATTGAGCTCATGACATGGGATGGCCACACTTTTACAGTGTTGTAGAATTATATGTCTGATGATCTTGGAAGCCTTTATAATTTAAAATTACCCAGTGAGTCACCAGTTAACTTATCAATTCTCTTGCCAATGGCACTTATGTTGCAAATAGTCTTCACAAAAAAATTTGTGTTTTGTAGTTTTTGGACGGATGGGTTATCTTTGCGGAGTATGCAAGACCAAGACCACCTCCTCCATTTCCAAACAACACACCTCAGGGCCCACATTGATGCTCGTCGACAGCTCTACTAGTTAATGTATACCATTCATCCAAACAGACAGTAATTCAACCCATTATTTAATGTTCCTGTGTCGATTCAGACAGCGCTAGGTGCTTGTGTGCAGTCGTCGTCCAATTATAGCCTCACCTGATATTTGTGGCAATCAAATTGACAATTTGTTCCACATGTAGCATCACTGTGCGCTCCACCACACATGCTGCCTTGGCATTCTGGAAACATCTATATATGGTTGTTAAGTACTTACTGTTCTGGAAACATCCATCCATCTCGAATATAAAAAAATCGCTGTTATAGCTTGTTACTACAGCCTTCAGAATATAGCTTACCATCTATGTTCCAACTTGTGCATTCTGGAATTGTCTAACAATAAATGCAGGAGGATGATAACCGAACATTGCGCTGGGGCCACTGAAAATCAATGGTGGGAGAATGTGTGTGAATTGGATTACTTCCGTCTGTGACTAGAATTACTGTTGCTTGTCCGCGTTGGCAGCCACTTAACCGCGGCTCCCGGGATTATATTTTTAGCCTGGTATGTACCATTCCTTATCCTTTTTAGTTCTTTGGTTTAATTATATTGGAAATTAGTTTGCGTTATTAATATAATGGATCTGCTTTAGTCTCCTTCAGTTATAGGAATTTGTAGCACATCAAAGCTAACATGATTTGCATAGTCTGGCTTTAAACGTAGGTGATGTCAACATCGGTGCTAGAACTAAAGGACTACACTTTCACATGTAGGATTAATTTGTTTTTAGTTGTATTTTGATATTTTGGACTTAATTTTTTCCATGAAAATAAAAAGTTTGTAATAGTTATATTTAGAACTGTATATGTGTATTAAGTAAATTGGCTAGTGCAACCATAGAATTGAAATATGAACAAGCATAGGTAATTTAGTTGCAAATTTAATTATGTTTATATGGTAACTTATCACTTTTGTCTTGAATATTGTTCCGTTGTTTTGGTCTTCTACCTTAAAAAAAAAATAGCTAATTTTGTCTATCAAATGACAAAAATAGCAATTTTTTTAATTATTATTATTATTATTTGTGAATATTAAAGGACACGAATTAAATTTACAAATATGGTTTGTCAATTTTAAGGAAAACAGGTGTTAGGGATAGACCAATGGAGGGAGTGTCATTGCCATGTTTCTCAGGTTAGGGGTCGAGCTTCGACTGTAACCCGACAGCGTGTGTGTGTGTGTGTGTGTGTGTGATAATATATATCTATAGATGTATGTATATGTGGGAATGGTTTTGTGGTTGTGGTGGTGGTGTTGAGTGAGTGAGTGATTGTGATGAATTAGTTTAATTGATTGGGGGTGGGGTGGGGTGGGGTGGGGTGCAGTTGGGAAGGTTAAATGCATGCGACTGCGGTTTTATGCACATCACTTGCGCTTGCACTTGCACTTGCACCTACTGCTGTAATCTTCTTCCCTAATCTACACTGCACTTGACATCTCTCCTCTTCTTGTCTCTTCATTTATGCCTAAAATAATATCTTCATTCTATTTTCATCACTATCCATCATCCTATCTTATCATTTCATCACATCAATTTCTAATGATGTCGATGCCTACGCCACTTTTGAATGTCTTTTGGGCTTACACGTTTACTTTTGAAATTTAATCTTATCTATGGTTTTTGTAAATGAGAAATTAAGAAAGATATTTACTACTACATGTTATTGTCGTGTGTTTCTATATATAGATAGAGAGAGAGAGAGAATGGATGAGGTTAGGAGTATTGATCATCACCGCTGCTGAATGCTATCTATACTCAGTGTTTAGGGATGCGAATAGGCCAGGCTGACTTTGTTGCCTGATCTACATAAGGTCTATTTACTAAAAATGCCATGTTAAAAAAAAATTTAAAGCCTTATTATTTAATAGAACAGATTTAGACTTTAAAAAAAAATTTTTTAGTTAACAGGTCTGTCTATTTATTATTATTTTTTTTTTTGTAAAAATATTTTTTTATTATGATATATTAAAAATAATTTATATCTAATAATAATATTTATTAAATAATTTTAATTATAAATTTATTATAAAAAATAGAATTTTTTAACTTATATATATAATAATTGTATGTACTTTATTTTTTTTATTTTTAATTAAATTTACAAATAAATAAATAAATAAAAATATTATGTAGTCTTTTTAAATAGATTTGTAGGCTAGACCAAATTTTTAAAAATACTAAGCTCAGACTTTTAAAAAAAAAAAAAAATTAGTAGTCTGGCCTGCCTTATTTTTACCCCTACTCCGTTGTAAATGTATTGACAGTGGAATTGCTTTTTGTATGTACCGAAAAATAGTTCTCTATGTTCCTGCAAGTTATGTCATCTTCGTGTAGGTATAAAAGAAAAAGTATTTAAGAATTGATAAAAATATAAGGTGATATGTAGAAAAAATATTGATGAATTAATTATTACTTTATTAATGTAGAAATAAAATTATTACTTTATTAATGTAGGAATAAAATTGTGAGTAAATAAAATTGTCTACTTTAAATAGATTGTGAATAATTATAGTGGATGGATGGAATACTAATAATATGATATGTATATACTCCCTCTGTCCTATTTGATATTTATACGTATAGGTAATTAGGGTTTTTGTTATAAAATGATAAATTTGCCCTTAATTTTGTGTATAGAAAATGAAAGAGTAAATAAAGTAAGGGTAAAAGAGTAAATTTTGTATATAAAAATAGAAAGAGGATAATAGTTGTTTGACATTCCAACTAGGAGAAAGCATGACGTTAATTTGTAGATTGAGGGAGTATATTTTTAAAAAACGTTATTGAATTTTAGATAGGTTCCATTACGTGTGAATTTATTGAGTTGTGTTAATCAATGTAAAATTATTGTTGAATTTTTGGATTTGTTTGGTGTTTTTGATATAGTAAAAGTTTTGAAAGTAATAAGCTTGAAATTTTAGTAGAGAAAATTAAATTATGATGCTCCTTATTATTACAAAATTATTATTATTATTATTATTTTAAAAGGTAAATATAAAGAATCATATATATTTTTTTTGCGTTGATTGAGGGAATACATGAATAGTGAACATGGACAGGAGAAAATAAAATCATATAAGTCCGAAATTACATAGAATATTTACCTTGTATAGATATATTTAATATAAATTTATTTTTAATATAATATTTTAAATAACACAATAATACTCCATAAGCAATTTAAAATTAATCTAAATTCTAAAAGAATAGATTAATAGCTATGCCTATACTATCGTCTTTAAAATTTTTAAATAAAATATGCTTATTTTATAGAGGATGAGTTATGTATTTCAAAGTGCAGTATAAACAGGTGGAACGCTAAACATAATTAATTACACTTAATTTAAAAAATAACTTATTTTATCCGCCTGACATTAAACTTTGACATCCAATCATTTTCTGAAATAAAATTATCAGCCAATATTAAAAATTTTGAGTTTGGATAAGTATGGGTGTGTTTGTTTGAGGTTTGTATTTTAAATTGAGATTTGAATAGTAAAAATTTTGAATTTGAATAATTGTATAATCGTGATATAAATAGGTGTTGATGTGATGTTTTGAATGTAAAAAAATTGATTTTTAGTATAATATAAAAAATAAAAAATAGGTGATTAATTTGATATTCTTGAAAGAAAAAAATGAGATAAATATTAGATTTCAAATCCAATCCACCAAACAAACCCACCCTATACTAAACCTTAGGCCTTAGTTAATTAACCTTTACGAATAAAGCCGTTACATTAGTCTCAAAATTCTTGGCCGTTTGTGCCCTGCCCTAACCGCCACGGTATTGTATCAACGTGTTTCATCAAACTGCGATTTCAGTTGCCCATTGCCCTATAAATAGGGACCCGGCCTCGCAGCGAAGAGAAGAAATAGGGAATTAATCGAAGGGCGTCATGGAGACGATTCCCCCCATTATTTAGCTTAAATTTTAGCGGCGTGCTCGAGCTTCGCGCCGAAACGTGTTGTTGCTTTTGTAGTGTGTTTCTCTGGTGAGGAAGTTATGAAGTTTTTGTTGGAGCTCGTGGTGTGTGGTGCTGCATCGTGTTCCAGTGAAGCTCGGCAACCGACGACGGAGGAGGCGAAATATCTTGTACCTGAGAGGAGATTTCTGGTCGTTCAAGAGCCTACTCGCCGACGCACGTGGCGGAAGCAAGTCGGACGCGGCGATTGGCGACCTTCGCTTTCGGCGATCTCGGAAGATGTGCTGATGCCGGAGAGGATTAACAGTAGTAAGGTCGAACGACCGGTTGCGGAGTGGCGGAGGGAACTGAAGAGGAAGGTTTCGTCGATTTCGCAGCGAGATAGGAACCGTTCGTTCCATCACGATGATAGAAGGTAACATTCGAATTCGATACTTCCTATTCGGTTTCCATTTCATACCTGGTGAATTCTCCAGTTGTTTTATTCACTATATTTTCTCATACTAGCCATTTTCTAGGTTCAATAAACAATTAAGATCCAGTATGATTCTAGTAAACCGAGACACGTAGAAGCTATATACAACTTTCAATAACGAAAAAATCATTATAATAAGCTTTCAATCTCAACTTCTTAAGTTCAAATTTCTCAAAAACATACAATCATCTTTTCTTTTCCTTGTTCACAAATTAAATAGCGCAACGACCATGACCTAAAGCTAAAAAGTTTGTGCGTACGAGACGTGCACGTACGATGCACGATGACCGCGTAGTAAACCAAATAACCAACTGTTTAGCATCACATAAATTAAAAATTGACGTGACCTACAGGTAAATCGTGATCATGTTCAAATTAATGTGCTTCTCTTCTTTATATATAGCCAAAACTCTCAATCATCGTGTTTGACAGGCAAGAGCCCTAAGAATCATAATAATATCTCATTCAGTTTATTATGGTAATTTTGTTTTTGATCACGGTTATTTGTGGTCGATCATTAATTCCAGGCGTAGAGATTCCGCGGAGATGATAGCTGCGTTTGCTCCAGTGCCTTTCATGTTTTGAATGTGCACCTGTAGACTTTGTCCCCAAATACAATCATCTTTGTAATTGTAACCCCCAATCAGCTTTCAGATATGAACATGATGAAATCTGTGATCAAGTGCTTTTGTACAGCTTCTTAATTAGTTTAACTTCTGTAGAGTTAGTTATCTATTTTTTTATTTATAAACAATATTGTTGTTTGTGATATTTTGTATATATATATATATATTTATAAATAAATTTGGTACTGTATATAATTTTCTTTTGGGTAAATCTGAGAAATTGAATTAAAATATTATACTAAAACATATTTATTTTGAGCTATATTATAAAAACTACTCTTGTGCTTTGCACTGTTCTTAAAAATATTATCTAACGAGTAAATTCAAATGCATAAGATACAATTAGTTCCTAATTTATATTTACATATTTATCATCAGAACTCAATTTCAAAACGGAGACCAAACAAACTATTTAATGAGAAATAGTTAAATCATTATAAAAATTTAATTTATCAAATGTAAATGAATCTAGACATAAATCTTTTATTATAAAACCTTTTTTTAAAAATTAAAATCTTATGTGACCTTATATGAAGCTTGGGCTTAAAACTATTTTAGACATAAATCTTTATATAAAACAATTTTTATAATATAAAAAACTTGGGCTGTCTTTTAAGCAGCCTTGGAGCTTCCTTACAGTAATATGAAGCCCAGTGGGTCAACTAGCCCGTACATTTGGAATTTGTTTATTGGTTATTTTATAAAAATATAAAAACATTTATTTTATATAAGAAAAAATAAAACATAGAAATATGGTTAAAAACTGTAGGTATGACAAAATAAAACATGACATATAGTTAAAAAGTATTTTTTGTAGATAATCATTTATATATAAAATAAAGTACTATATATATCGTCTTACGCTTATCCAAAAAAAACTGCACCATAATGGAAACATAATTACATATAATGATATATATACGAGCCATAAATGCACCAAACATATTCCACGTGTTTTTATTGTGCTTTGTATTATTTTAATTTAAAGATATGTTTAAAATATATAATAATGTTTGAAAATGATAAAAAATATTATGTATATATATATATTAATTTTACACAAAATAAAGAAGAAAATTTAGAAAATGCTTGCTGATATTTTATAATGTCATGTATTATTGTTTGAAAATAACATAAAAATTTAATTAAAAGTGTATTTGGATTTATAATAAATATTTTAAATAAAAAATTATATATACAACATTATCTAAAATTTAAAACCTTGATATTTTTGGTGATAATAATAATAATAATGTAGGTGGTGTAAAAGATGATAGTAACGAATTAAATTGACCAAATGAAAGCGGCGTGACCTCCATCCCACCGACTCCCGGGACTTCAACTCCCTCCTCATTCTCCGCCGGCGGCACAAAACTCTCGAACCTCACCGGAGATCCCATCGGCAAACAGTTCAAACAAAATTTCAGACAGCAAAAACGCAAGTCAATTTTATTTCTAGTCATCATTCATTTCCGGTACATCGACTACGCCATGCCAACAAAGTTCCATGAAATTTAAACATAATAAGTAAGTCAAACCCTAAAACCCAAATCCACATATCAAATCAAAATCCCGAATCAGATCTTCTCCTTCATCTTCTCCTTCTCCACCTCCTCCGCCGCCGCCTCCTCCGCCGACTTCCCTCCGAACATATCCGAAAACGTCGGCAGCTTCATCTCGCCTTTGTACGAAACCGGAATGGTAATATTCCCGACAATCGGCAGGTCGATGATGAGCCCCAGCTCGAGCACGTAGTCGACGTCCCAGTCGGCGCCGACGTCGCGGATCAGGCTCACGACGGCGCTGTGCGGCACCTTCACCGCCACGTCCAGACCGGTCTTGTCGTTGGCCGCCAGCGAACCGGGGTCAGGGATCGAACCGGACGCCACGCACCGGCCCGCGCTCTTCACTGTGTAGGCGATCTCGCAGATCGGAATTGCGACGCCGTACGGATTCGCCACCGATACCTTGGCCAGCAGCCGGAGTCCGTCGAAGCCGACGCCCTTCAGGTCGACGTCCACCACCGTCGCCTCCGGCTTCGGCAGGTCCTCGATCTTCTTCGCCACGAAGTTCCGTGCCTGCTCCAGGAGATCCATGTTATCGATTGAAGTCGTAAGTAATACAGATCGAGTGTTTGATTAATTTAATTCTGATTCTGTTTGGGTGAGTATGTATAAATGTGTGTATATATAGGGCACGGCGGTGGCGGTGGCGGTGGCGGTGGGCGGAGGAGATAAGAAGAGGGGAAAGTGTTTGAGGTCTACAGCGTTTAAAGTACGGATTTTAGAGATATTTTTAGGGTATTTTAATTTAATAAAAAATACTAATAATAAATAAAAGGAAAGTGGTATCTTATTCTTTACCGCGTGGATATTCCGCGTTTCATTTTGGTCGGTGTTTCTGCTTTTTTTAATATTCTTTTAATTTATGATTTTTTAATTTTAGATATTACTTCTTCCAATTTAATTTATTCATTTTTTTTTATTTTGATCTGTTGTATCAAATTTGTTTTTTTTAAATATAAATATATTTAAATTATAATATAAAATTTATAATTTTTAAAATTAAATTATTTAATTATTTTAATTTTAATTTATAATTATTTTTATTAATAATTTTTTAAATTATTTATTAATTATAAAATATTTAAAACTTCGTGTCTTGCTAAAGTGAACAAATTAAAGTACAGAGAGTGTGCGGTTTGTTTGGTATGGTTTTTATTTTTATTTAAATAAAAAAAATTTTATTGTAAATCATGACTTGATTTTGAAACAAAAAACCAAACAGAATTGGGATTCAAGGTAATAGTCCTTTGAATATAAATAATTGTTTAATAGTATAATATAAATAAGTATTACTCTCACCTTTTTTTTAAAAAAAAAATAAAATTTAACAGTGATTTTAATTTGTGAAATGTTTAATTGTATTTATTTATTAATTTTGGTCCTTTATAATAATAAATAAATATGTATATATAAATAGTATAATGATGATAGGAATACTCATTGTGAACGCACGTGAGAAGCATGTGATGAATGAGAGCGAGGGAGGGAGACCACAGAGCACGTGCATCCCACGTGTCCGGCGATCGTGCTCTCCCTCTAATGATGTTACTCCAACTCGTTCTTCTCCTTCCTACGCTTCCTTTTATCTTTATTTTTTGGCTTATATCATTATATACTAATAGTTAATTATGACAAATATTGCAATAATAAATTACTAAAAACAACAACAAAGTGTAATTTTCATTTTCTTATTATTTGCTAAATATATATAATTTATTTGTAATAAATAATAATTTTTTTATTTTAATAAACAAATGTAAACATTTCCAACTAAGAAATCAATATCTTTCTACGTTGTAAGAACTACAATTTGTTGCTTTAACGCTCGACTTTTTACTTTTATACTATAAAATATAATAATGTGTTATTTAAAATTATTTTAACCAATGTATAATTAATATATTATCAGTTTACTTAAAATATTTAAAAATATTTATATAAATAAACTTTGAACAAATATTGTGGTATGAGATGGATTCATGATAGCATTTTTTTGTTTAAATATAAAATCAATTTTAAATATAATATATAAAATAAAAAATAAATATTTAATTTGATATATTTTAATAAAAAAACATTATTAAAAAATGAGTAATATTTTGTAATAATAAATAACATCCATATATATTATTAAAAAAATATATTTTACACATTAATACAGTATATGTTTAATTACTCATATATAAAATCAATAATTAAATATAAAATACTATTATTTTTATATTTTCAAGACCCACGAAAAAACACTTTCGTTTAACAATACAAATAAAGAAACCTAATATATATTAGAAAAAAAAAAATATATATATATATATATATATAAGTAATAGTACAAAATAAATGCAGCGTTCAATTTTAAAACACCAGAGCGGGATGGGCTGCCCGCAAACATGGCTCTATATTAGGGGAAAATAATAATAATAATAATAATCATACAAAAGTAAATTAATAATTGAGGCTATTGTCCCCTCTTTATCAAACAACTATCAAATTATGCGTAGATAATTATACAAATAACCTCATCAAAATTACATATTACTCCCTCAATTCCTCCTACCATGTCCATATTATCGTTTCTTGTCCGTCTCACATCCCATATCACTTTTTTTTTAAAAAAATATTATACACTTTAATCTAATTTTAAAATTATTTATTTATTTATTTATTTTAATTTTAATTAAACTAATTAGTCGTCTTAACTTTAATTTATAATTATTTATATTATATAGGATAATTATTTTCACTAATTTATTCTTAATTATCTACTGATTATACTTATTCTAAATTCTTGTGTCTACGGTCACCCAGACAACCAATGTGAGAACGAGGGAGTAATAATAATAATAAAGCAAAATTACACAAAATTTAATTTTATGAAATTGTGTTAAATATCTTATACTTTTAAAACTGCATAAAATACCTTCATGATTTTTAAATTCTACATCTAATTCTTTCGTTTGTTTGTTTGTTTTTTTTTTAATTTTTTTAAGTGTGTTTAATTTACATGTCTCCAAATTGAGAATTTCTATTATTAGATATTTGAAATTAAATAAATCCGTCGAAGAGATTACAGACATAATTTATGAAACTATGAGAGAAGTTGACGAAATTTCGAAAGTGTAGATATTTAAAGCAATTTCATGAAATAATGAGTGTTTTTTTACAATTTTACCTAATAATAATAATAATAAATATTTATTTTTTCAATTTAATATATTTTTCAATATAAATATAATTTAATTTAATTTCAAATATTACACATCGATCATGACCTTCACGCACGTTCTTAATCTTCACCCAACGTGTCAGCGGTTGAGATTTATATATCCGATTTGAGACCTATAATATATTTAAATGTTATTTAATTAAAAGTGAAATAATCATATGTATTTTTCAGAATAAAATAAATTTTGACTCGGTCATTTCTTCATCAATTATTTAACGTAAAAAACAGTAAGGAGAAAAAAAAACAAGAAGTGGTATCATTAGTTAACAAGTAGTTTGGCTTCGGTCGATAATACAAATCAAAGCCAATTTAATTAAATGACATCAAATCATTGACCTTGATATATAAAAAATGAAATTTGTGACAATTAAAAGTTTTTTTTTATTCTGATAACTTTTAGATGAAATATGAACATTATACATGTATTTGCCAGATAAAAATTATAACATAAATAAATTCATATTTTAATAAATATTAACCCTTTATCACAAGTTGACATTTGACTATAATTTAAACAAAATAAGTAAGTAAATAAATAAATTTTCCAATCTACCACCTTTTTTTTTTTTCTACAAAATAAATTTTCCTTTAACTTTTCCTTTATTATATTTCCTAGAAAGTCTCCAACTTTATCTCCATTTGGTGCTTGTAATAATCCCTCCCCCCCCCCCCCCCCAAAAAAAAATAAAAATTACTTAATACATACTACTATTCTACAACAATATAAATCCAAATAGAAAAAAAATAAAAAAAAATCCAAAAAAAGTAAGAATTTATTTTGTAATTTGTCACATAATTCATCTCTATGTAAATTTAAATACTGCGTAGAATAATTATAATAATTTTTTTTAAAAAAATAATCATTTTTTTTTATTTATTTAAACAAAGGTGGAAATATTTGAGAGATGCTCACATTTTTATTTTAAATTTAAAATTTTTAAGCAAGCATTAAATTCAATCGTAATTTGTAACCGCCATAAACTGCAGAGGGGTATTTTAGGGAATTCAGAAATGTCGTAGTACAGACTTGAAAGAGCACGCGCATTCCCCCGAATTCACTGCTGCGGTGTTATTGTGCGGTCTCTCTGCGCAGTCGCCATTGATGGTTTCGCCAGCCCAGGAAGAATTTTTCATTTCTCTGGAAAGTTGAGAAAAAGCACCAAAATCCAAACGCACTGGTATGTATAAACTTCACGTTTGCTGTTGAACCGGATTCCTTCCTTGCTCTTCTCCGCGCATCATTTTAATATATATATATATATATTTGTTGTGTAGCTACGATTCATACCAGGCTGGACAAAACGTGGAGCAGGATTGATTATTATTGCCGAGGAGAGGAGGTAAATCTCGAATATATGTTGTTTTGATGCTGTGTTTTTTTTTTTCCCCTCTTGTAATTTTGGTAACTTGTGCTTTTTTTGGAGTAATGTTTGTTTGATGAGATTTGTTGATCCGACATGAGAGTTGGTGTTTGGGTGTTTTGCGTGCGGTATAAACTATGCTACATTTTTTTCTTCCTGCTGTAGTTGGGAAATTTGTGAGGGAAATTTGACTTTTTGCCATTTTGGCGAGTTTATGGAAGTTTTTGACCGCAACTTATGAATCGCAGTTTATGAATATCACTGTTGCCCGCTATTTTTCTCTCTTGTTATATTTGGATCTCCAGATCACTCAAGTGTTCAAGCAATATCCAGATTCATACACGCTGACGATTGCTTGGTTTTTTTTTGTTCTGGTACGAATTGTTGTTTGGTCTGAGCATCTAATGGCGAAATCTGTTTTTCTTGTCATGTATCTCTCTATGGTCCTACGATTATTCTTTATTTGTAAAAATTAATTCGAACTCTTGAAGATGTTCTTGTAAAGTTCTCTGAGGTTTCATGGATGTAGGTGTTTTCCTGTATCCTGAGGTTCTGAGCTCACCAGTTGATTATTTCTTACACTAAAATCTGCAGGTGCCAGTGTATGGATGAATTACAATAGCAGATATTAGAAGGAAGAAATGAGAGGGGAGTCATCTGGCTTAATCATCGGATTATCATGTGGAGTGGTGATTGGAGTTACTTTGGCTATAGTTGCCTTTTTATGCTTTCGGTATCACAAGAAGCATTCCCAGATTGGCAATAGCAGTTCTCGGAGGGCTTCTACCATACCTATTCGGGCAAATGGGCTCGACTCTTGTACTATGATGTCGGATTCATCCTGTGGAACTGAATCTCCCAAGTCAACAATATCAAGTGTTGTGCCAATGTGGATTGGCGGAGTCAAGAAGGCCAATGTGGTTTCTGCTTCAGGCATATTGGAGTACTCTTACAAGTATGTATCTGTTGGTATGAAGATTTTGCTGTAGGCACTGATAGTGGTGTGTTTTCCTTCCAAATTGAGTTATCCTCCATTAAAAGTTGCACCATCATCATTAATTATCTATTTTTTTTGGGGCATTATTGCTGATATATATGATAATTATTGGCAAACTCAGGAAGAGATTCGTACTAAGATTCCTACAAAATATGCTAGCATTGAATGTTTTATAGTTTATAAGTTGGCCAACCGCCAATGCAGCACCTTATTTGCCAGAACTTTTTGATTTTATTATATTAATGATCTGTAGAGACTGTCCGGATGATCATAATTTGTATGTTGAATCATGCTTCTTGTTCTCTTAGAATACATTGCATACATGCACCTTGTGCAGTGTAATAACATGTTATTGCTATAGTTTTTACTTTCGAATTTATCGTTCCATTAATAAATGAAACAGGGACTTGCAGAAAGCCACCTATAACTTTACAACAGTAATTGGTCAAGGGGCGTTTGGTTCTGTGTACAAAGCTCAGATGTCAACTGGCGAGACTGTTGCTGTAAAAGTGCTTGCAACTGACTCAAAGCAGAGAGAGAAAGAATTCCAGTCTGAGGTAATGTGCTTATAGCCAAAGCAATTGATGGAAACATGTTTTTCGATTTGTGCCCGGTCATCTTGATTACATCATTTTTAAACATCTAGTTGGTCATTTGAAGTTGTAGGACCTGGCAATTATTTCTAGGATACAATTCCAATGTTGAAGGTTAGCAGTGTGTTAAGGGCCATTAATCTCTAGTATGACTATTCTGATGATATAATTAGAAATATTATAAGAACCACTGACACAAATAAATTTGATAAAATGTGAATTTAGAAAAGGACAAGTATAAATTTCATATTCTCAAATGTGGACTGAAATGACTATATATAACCGGAGTAAGTGAGAAAAAAGACATTGGCACCTATATTTTGGCTCAAGGGGATTTATGCTGTTTCTTTAGCTTGCAAAATAGGCTCCATTCCTGATGTACTACTTTTCTCTGTTATTATTTTTAGGTTATGTTATTAGGACGGTTGCATCACCGAAACCTCGTGAATTTGGTTGGATACTGCGCTGAGAAGAACCAACATATGCTAATTTATGTCTACATGAGCAGAGGAAGCTTGGCATCTCATCTATATGGTAATTTAAATATGTCTGTCTGCTTAACCTTAAATGGATATGGCTGATGCAAAGCCATTACCCTCGAATACTCTCATCCTCTCTCCACACATGCACTAGACGTTCTAAGTGGAGGATGCAAGTGCTGCTGGAATTCTGATATCAATTTAAAAAATAATGATTTTCAGATGAGAAGCTTGAACCGTTGAATTGGGAATTAAGGGTCCAGATTGCTCTCGACGTGGCTAAGGGCTTAGAGTATCTTCATGATGGAGTAAGTCAAGAAATTCAGACGGATACAACACTCAAAATTGTTTTCTTGACATTCATTTTACTTGTAAATTACTTTTCATTCCGATGCTTATATATCCTTTCTTTACTGAGTGCTTTCTTATTTTTTTCAGGCAGTTCCGCCTGTGATTCATCGTGACATCAAATCGTCCAATATTTTGTTGGATCAGTCCATGAGAGCCAGAGTAAGTCCGTTTCTAACATCCGTATTTCTCCTATTCATGACATATCTGCTTACAAGAAAATGACATTCTGTACAATACACAGGTTGCTGACTTTGGTCTTTCGAGGGAAGAGATGGTCAGCAAGCAAGTGTCCAATGTTCGTGGCACTTTTGGATATCTTGATCCTGAATACATTTCGACGCGATCATTTACCAAGAAAAGCGATGTTTATAGCTACGGAATATTGGTGTTTGAACTCATTGCAGGGAGAAATCCGCTGCAGGGTCTTATGGAATACGTCGAACTAGTATGGCTCCCTTTTCCGTCATCTAAACACAAATCTCATTGATTTAATATTTTACCTTACACTTAAATTTGGTTCTTATATGATCACAGGCAGCCATGGATACAGAGGGAAAAGTTGGGTGGGAAGAAATAGTCGATCCTCGGCTCGATGGGAACTTTGATGTCAAAGAAATAAACGAGGTAGCGGCTCTGGCGCATAAATGTGTGAACCGTGTGGCCCGGAGGAGGCCATCGATGAGGGACATTGTCCCAGTGCTTACGAGGATTCTTAAATCGAGACATGGCAGCAAGAAGCATGAGAGCAAGTCTATGACTCCCCGAGGCGATCAGGTAATAGTAAATATCGATGAGTTAGGACAGTATCGGGGCTCAGTGCCGACGCCTCATAGGCATCGGCAGCATGAGAGAGTCGAATCTGTTGACAGCAGCATGGCTGACTCTGTTGATATGTGAAGAACGATTTTGTTCTTTCTTTCTTGATTTTAATGTTTCTTTTAGGATAGGATTCGATTCGATCACTTGTGTTTCTCTGCCTCTGTCTCTGTATTGGCCTTGTTAATTTTCTTGATAGCTTTTTTGGGGTTGGGTTGGGTGGGTGGTTAATTAGGCTATGATATGATATCATATGAATATGACCTACCTTGATTGTACATATATACAGGCGACAGTGATTTTCTTGTAATTTTGAATTGAAAAGTTGGTTGTACTTGTTCAGAAACAGACAGAAAATTTAATTGATTGTTTAGAAATTGTAAGTGTTAACTATAAATTCCGTTTAGTTTAGTTTAAGCGGAAGTTTTGAATTTTATTTTCTAAAATAATAAAAAAAATGACGTATTTGATTGGTATTATTATTATTGTTAGGAATTTTTGCAAACGACAACAAAACAGGGGAGAAGAGCTTTAGGGTCAAGCAAATAGAGCTCTTCAATATTTGCATAGGCTCCCACTTTCCCCGCCAGCGAATCGAACCCCGCCAGGCTCACGCCGCCGCCCACCGGGCGGCGCACCCTCCCGGCGATCACCCTGCACACCACTAACGCCTTCCTCGCCCCATCTCCCACCGCCGCCGACTCGTAGTCGTACGCCCGCCCGCTCGTCGACGCGGTAAACACGCCGACCCCGCCGCGCTCCCTGCCGGAAAACCCTTGCCGGATAATCCCGCAGACGCTGCATTTCTCCGACGCGCAGACGCCGGCGGTGCCCGCGCCCAATGAGCACGACAGACTTGCGCCGTGGAAACGGAGGAGCTCGTTCCCGTCGGCGAGGCAGCGGGAGTGCTTCTTCGGCAGCGCCGCCGCCCGCGCCTTGACGGCGTCGCGGTGGTCCTCGAAGCGGGACAGCGTCGCCGGAGTGTTGTGGATTTTGAGGATCCGTTCGATCCGTACGCCGGAGTTAGTCGTCGCCGTCGTCGTCGTCGTCCAGCTTGATCGGAAAATTATCTCCACGATCTTCCGGGACGAGTCTCCGTCGACGAGCTCCGTCACTGATAACGCCGCCGGGAATCGGAGAATACAATAATGTAATTAACGGTAATGAATTTGGGGATCGGATCGGAGACGACGACGAGGTTTGAAATAGAGATAAATAATTAATTTCTTACCGGCGTGGCGGGAAAAATGGTGGGATTCGAGGGCGTCCAGTTGCCGGAAATGGTCGCCGCATTTCCGGCAGACGACGGCGTAATTATTGAAGTCGTGATCGGAAGACGACGACCGTTTGGAGGTCGGAGTCCTGGTGCAGGGAGTCCCGGGACTTGGAGTCATAGAAGCGTCGGAGTATCTAATTTCGCGATTGGAAGTGGTGAGAAAGACCTGATGAGTGATCGGATTGAGGAAGTCGGCGCTCCCGATGGATCTAGGACTGCAATTCGGGGGCGGGTCCGGGTGCCGCTTGCTCCCGTGAATCACGACGTCCTTGAGGTTCGCTATGGACCTGGAGCACCCGGACCTCGCCGCGTTCGAACTCGTCCTCGGAAGTTGCTTCTGCGCCGTCGGATCTTGGACGTCGGACGGCTCCGATTTGCAGTGCAAAGTCTTCTTCAGAGAGAAACACACTGCAGGCATGTCTTTCTTCTTAATAAATTACCCTTTTGAATTGGAAATTTTTAAAAAAGAATAACATATAACATTAATAAATTAAAGTTTAGTTTGTAAATTGATATGGAAATGTTGAAAGAGGACTATTGAGATTGATTCAAATATCATTAAATGTTATTTTCGTTAGAGAGTCATAAATCAAAGTACTAACTAACACATAATAAATGCAATTGAAATGTGTGTTACAAAATCATCATTTTCTTTTATATATATATTTTATTGATTTTATTTGCGCAACAATCGCGCAAAAATTAACTACAAAATATGTATAGGATGAATACATTTTATTAGACTTTGTAAAAGAATGTGAAATTACTTCTTTTCAAGCATTTCAATATGAGAATAAATCAATATGAGAATAAATTAAAAGAACGATAATCGTAGATTCTATACGCTAGATAATTAAAAATCAAATAAAGAAAATTGACCATGGTTATCAATTTATCATAATGAAATTTATTTTTTTATTTTTTCCCTCTCATCTTAATAGGATTAAATATTATACAAAAATAATGATTTTAATTTTGTTCTAAAAGAAGCTCTAATAACAAATAGAGGTAGTAAGTTTAATTAAAATTAAACATACTTCCAATAGGCTAATTATAAATAGATACAAAAGTGTGTATGCTTAAGTATAATCAAATACTTATATAATGCATTGTAGATTTTCATATAAATATTTATATTGAAAGTATGATATAAATATAATAAATCGAAGTCGAAAGAAAAGTTTGCTGGGATGTCCTAATAAAGTCTTCGTTTAAACACAAATAAAAACTTTAAAAAAGACAATTTATATATGAGATGGGCCCTTTAGCAATTTCAATATTGGTGAATAATTATATGAATAGTATTACCAAAAATACTACCTTAAAAATTAAATACTATAGGCTAGTGACTTGCTAGAGATATTAAAATAATAATTCAAAAAGAAAAACCCATAAATATATGATGGTGATGATTTTATTCAATATATATAAAATATAAGCATTGAAAGAAAGCGGCAAAACGTATTGAATACATTAATTAGATGGCAACGGTAGATGAAGTCTTTTATGACATATGGCTTCCATTATTGCCTTTGTTCTTGTGTATATATATATATATAAACAAACACTAATCTTTCTAATAAAGTAAATTATAAGTATACAGTAAATTATATATTGACTTTTTTTAAAAGTACTGTGTAATTTATATGTCACAAAATTGAAAAGGTTGAATGAATAAATTTAATTAAATTAATCATGAAAAAATTACCCAAATATATATATATATATATAATTGACAATTTCATTTCAAAGTTAAGTGAGTTGGATTATTTTTATTGGTTGGACGGAACTACGAAGAATAATGAGTGAGTAGAGATTTTAACCTGCCTTTGAATAGCTTTGGTTTCGACATTAATTAATGTCGAGTTACCTCACTTCTAAAAATATATTTGAATACCATTTTTTTAAAGACTATAAATATCTGAATCACCCATTAATATTGAATTTAGAGTGTGTTTCTTTGGATTTAAATTTAATTTTTTTTATTTGAATTTTATTAAGTATCTGTCTCTTTCAGTTTAATTTGAAAAAAATTAATTTAAATTTTATATTAAAATAATATTTAATATAATACTTTATAAGATAGAAAAATTGTAGTCCTGTCCCGACTAATTAAACTAAAAAAAGTAGATCATTATTTATTAAAATAAAAACAATAAATTTAAGAGTACATAAAAAACACACCTCCTAAATTATTGAGCACGAGCACAGATTATGTACTTTATAAAAAATTTGTAAAAAAATACAAAATTCAAATACTAAGAAAAATTATACCAAAGAAAACACATAAAAAGGACTTTGTACAGACCAGACCATGAAGCAAGAAACAAAACTACTTCAGCTGCAGGCACACGTAAATTCGACAAATTAATTATTAATTAATTTTCATCATCTTCTTCTATCTCTTTAACCTCGCTTCAACACAATCACTACAATGGCAATAATCGCCAGCCCCACGACAGTCGATGCTTCAGCCACACCCACACTCACACCCACGCCATTGCTGCCTCCCCCAAACATTTTTGCAAAGAAATCCGAGAGACTGTTCATCATGTTAACCACTGTGCTCTTGATCTTGTCGAAAAAGCTGCCTCCAGATTTTCCATCCTCAGAACCACTTGTCCTCGATGCCTGATCGAACATGCTACTACTATCTGCAACCAACTTAGCAGTTGCTGAGCTGGTGTCGTCTGTGCCCACAAAACCTTCAAATATCTCAGTAAGTAAATGCTTGCTGCATATTTGCCACAGGAGAGTTGGGTTTAGCAAGAAAGAAAGAGATCTTACGTACATGATTGCTGCGACTGCAGAAACCCCTGGAGCTCCGGGTTTTGGAGCACAGCGTTCCAGACATTTGGATCACAGGCAACTGAAGCAACGACATTCTACCGCATGCAGGCAAGGGTTGAATATCAATACACACATTATTACAATTAATACAAGAGAAATGTGGTTCCGAAAGATAAACTAACTTTAAAAATACCCATGGAGCTATCTATCCGAAATTCCAAATCTACAAACACATCAACTTTAATGATCACACATTTGTAAGATAAATACTTCTTATTGATGCATGAAAAATGTTGGCGACCAGTCCAATGAAAAGAATAACCCAGCCATATTAGATTTCTGTCAGTATAGGCCTAAGAATAAAACAATAGGGAAGGAATTATAAGGATATTAACGACATAGCAGGAAACATGAAAATTCTTGGCAACCAGTTCAATGAATAAAGTTGTATCGAATTGTTAGAACATATGAAGTTTAGACCAGGCAGTCACGAGCAAGATCAAAGTGCTAGTACAGCAAATGGGATTTACTGCTAATTTACAGGTTGATGTGGGTTTTACTTTCTACAACCTTGTTGGCTACCCATATCCACCCTTCTCTAAATTGGCCTCTGTGTGTAGATATATACACACAAACACACACACACACACACACACACACACACACGTATACACCTGTATTTATGCATAAATCTACAAATTTGAAAATACATAGGTCCTAAAATAAACTACATACAATTGATTATAGTGTGTGTATTTTAATCTTTAGGTATTTAGAATACTCCCAATGTTATTTCAATCGAATGTACAAAATGGGTGCCCGGTGGATTAGGAATTAAACCAGGCTACTAGAGTTACATCCCTACCTACATACACCAAATGAAATAATTTCTAAAAGCCATCAATTTCTTGAGCAATTTAGACAGTAAAATTTACTTAAATTTCATGGAAATGTGAAGAGGTAACACTTGAGATGATCAGATTTCTGAGCAAGTAAAAAACCTGGGCCACAGGGTTTTCCTTTAGGAACTTAAAGGCCATAAGAGTGGACGACGGCACTGCAGATGCAATTCCAATCTCAGTACCAACATATCCTTTGGCTTCTACCATCTGTGAATTTGAGAGGTCTGCAACAACTGAACCCGTGGATGCAGATGAAAAAAATGTCCTGGAAATAACGATATTTGATAGAATTTCAGTACATACAGAAACTACCAATTGAAGAGCTGAATATAGAATTGCTCATATCTTCAGAAAAATAGGCGAAAATCATAAAATACCAGCGGGGTGGGGGATGGAGCGGAAGAACTGAGGCAAACATAGCATGGTTGATTAAGATTCCATATGAAATGCTTGAATATTTAACAAATGAACGAATAAATTACTTCTCGAGAGCCACCGAGAGTTCGGCAGTGGCCTCTTTGGCTTCCTGCAGCGTCGGAGCGGCGCCAAACACAACCCTAGGCATCGAAGCACAGGCCACAAAGTCGCCATCCCCATCGGCAAACACCCAATCGTCGACCGCTGAGGCAGTCCTCTGCTCGCTACCTTCCACATTCGATGCCACAAGCTTCACTTCCTCCGCCGTAGAGGCCGCGGGACGGAGAGAAGCTGCTCTTCGGGATACCTGAAAGTGGTCCCCGGCGACACTGCGGATGCCGCCGGAAGGCACCCCGAACCCCGCCACCTTCGACGCGGCCCTGATCACTCCACCGCCCATGATTCCGGATAGAAAAGATTGGATTCTGCAGATGAACCCCAGATCGATTTTGCTTCGAATTTGGGGAATTTATTAGCGTTAGGGTTTGTAGAAAGAGGCTTGATTTTAGGAATTACAGTATCTTGGATGAGGCGGCAAATGGAAGGGCACGAGACTGGCACGTGTCATATTCTGCTTCGCTTAACGATGAAGTCTGCAAATTGGGCCGTTAAAAGCCCACCCGAATTTCAGGGAAGGATTGATCCCATCATCCCAAGTATTTAAAATAAAATAACTACTAATCACAATAAATGATGCATTTTAATCTAAAATAAAGTTTTGGTCATTTAAATTTTAAATTAAGAGTAGATATTGATTCATTCATTCCACATAATTGTCATGTGGTTCTGTATATAAAATTGAATAAAAAAGGCGTGGACGGCAGGATTCGAACCTGCGCGGGCAGAGCCCACATGATTTCTAGTCATGCCCGATAACCACTCCGGCACGTCCACCTCTATGATTATTAATTTATATAAAATATATTTATTTATGTTAGATCAAAAGAAAACCTTGCAAGTGGAATATTCAACTTTCTTTTAAAAGAAATCGTTCTCATTTTATTAAATTTTTTCGAGTTTTGGTTTTTATTTTTAGTTTATGTTTTGTATATTTACTTTTTGTTTAATAAAAAGTAAATTATGAGTTTGTTTGTTAGTAATTTAGTTTGAAAGTTTTTTTTATGAGGTGTAAAAAATCGACATACTCCACAATTTTAATTAAGATAACTTGATTAGGTTAACATACTCCACAATTTTAATACAATGACATACTTTCAAGTAGCATTTAAAAATATATTATTCAATATCATACATGAAAATTCTGATAATATTACTAAAATAACAACAAATTTACTTTTTAATATAAATGCTTATATATACAAAATATCAAACTAAATTGACAATACATATTAAATGATCTTTTAAAAACAAAATAATAGATTAACTCGGTAAAGCCATTTGAATTTGAAACACAGGAAGGGAGGATCCGATCCACCCAAAACAGTAGTACGTAGCTGTTGACTTCTAGTACAAAGTTGAGGAAAGCAGCAGTAGCAGTAGTACTACTACATATCATCAAAGTACAACAGCACGAAGCAGTGTCCGTGTCAGAAGAAGAACAATGATAGTACAATGCTAAAATGCAGGCAGGCATCTGCAGTACTTCTGCGCATATATATATATATATATATATATCAAAGAGCAATGAGCAAAACCAAAAAGGTAATGCAGCCTGCAGATTGAAAGCTTAAAAACCTCATTGAGTGCAGCGTTGATGATGATGACGATGATAATGGTGGTTGATTTTGATTCTCTTCTTTGCATCATCATCAATGCTGCATTCAATTACGTTTTTAAATGCTTCCGACAGCTCCGACCAAGTTAGCAAGTATTTCAAAATTTCCACCTTCATTTTTGCTAAGAAATTTCGAAACAGGGATCTGATGGATCTTCTCTCAATCATCTAATAATCGTATCATTTGTGATATTTGCAAATTTGTACTGTCTCTAAGCAGTACTAAGTAAATGATTCTCTATCATGTATTATTATTATTATTATTATTATTTTTATTTCATCGTGTAAAAACAGAAAAAATGGCGAAACCAGAAAACCTTTAGGGAGCCATGATGCCTTCAATGGTGTAGAAGAGAGAATCCACCCAATCCACTTTGAAAAGCAACGTTTGCAAGGTGTGCATCACGTCGTAATCTGGATCGAGCTTCCGTTGCCATCCCTGCATGATACGAGAAAAGGAGAAGTGCATCAATGTTTCGAGCAGAATCGATCCTTGCAAGTAAGTTGTAATAAAACATCGAAAAGTCTGTAATGAAGGCAGAATTAATCAATATAATGATGGAGGGAAGGCCGTGATCATTCATGTTATGGCATTCACTTGATCCACATCAATTTCCAGAAGCTGAGATTGAGATTGAGATTGAGATCCAGAGTACACCTCCAACACCATGGTGGTAACAATCACGGTGCAAATATTGCCATCGATGTTGACTCTGTGACGCCTAACTTGCTCGAGCATTTGCTGCATGCAATCAGCAGGATGAACGATTTCGCCTTCATCAGAACCCCAAAACCTGAAGGTATCTTCCACTTCCTGTGCACATGAATTTTTCATATGGATTCAGAATGGAAAGATTGATCACATGATGATTCAGAGACAGAAACCTCATATTGAAATAGGAATGAAACTATTAGCAAAATATCTTGTGAAGAGCACAAAGATAATGTGCAAACAATGAATTACTATAACAACACACCATAAGTAGGACTTCTTGTGTTCTCAAGCTATTTTGTTCTATAACATATCCACATTCCCATCTAATTGATTGTGTTCATCGTATTGTTTCGGTTCACATTGTTGACGGTGCATCGTTAAATAATGATCAAACACATGCTTATGAAACAGCAAACATTTTTCATGAACATGAATTAAGCAGTAGGCAGACAGAAACTTGCCTGAACGAACTCCTCCGGAAACGGGCAGCTTTGTTTGTTAGACAATTTCAGCGTGCACTCAGCAGCCGTGCGGCCATCACGAAGTGCCACAGCCTTGAAGAATTCCACCAGATTGTCTCGATCTTTTTTAGTAAGTTCAGCAGTCATACCCACATCTAGGAAGACAACATGGGGCTTTGATTTGAACAGAGAGTTTCCTGAAGTTTTGCTCTGTTTTTCCCGGACAAGAATGTTTCCGGGATGCATATCTGCGTGGATGAAGTTGTCCACCTGATTAACATAAACTCAGAAACTTAGTTCAGAATGTAGGTGTAAATAAGAAAAACAGTAGATCATGTATAACATTATTCATCCAAAATCAGGGTGTGTTTACATGTAAATTGTAAAACTAACTGATCCTTCGTAATGCCAATTACATCGTCTCGCATGTGATAAGAAGAATTTGATAAAACTTAGGATCAAGTCCAGAAGAATTTGATAAAACTTAGGATCAAGTCCAGAAGAATTTGATAAAACTTAGGATCAAGTCCAGGAGAAAAATGTCTAGTCATCATGATTGACGGGATTTCTTGTAATTTGAAAACAACATTGACCAACCCTTTCTTTTGCAAAGCACGAAAATGAAGCATATATGTTGTATCAAATTTAGCTACAGCAAGCATGAAGTCACAAACCATACCAGAAGCATCTTTAGGAGTGCATGAGTCCCTATATGAGCCAGTGTGGTCCTCATTTGTTCGTGTGCTTCGAGCTTGTCGATGTAATGTAGGATATTTTCTCCATGCTCATAAGTTTCCACTAGAACAGCAGGATGTACCAAAGGATATAGAGGCTTCGGAAAAGAGACATCCTTCCAACTACGGAAATTGTAGATGAATCTGCTCAAATTAGCTGCCTCCCTTGCAAGATCTACTTGAGACATCATGAAAACAGCAAACTGTTGTAGGCTTTCATCCAATCTTAACCATTTAAATGCTGGGATGTAATTCGAAAGTTTTGCAAATACATTGATCAACATAAAATCTCTACGGATTGCCTCTGCGACGCCTGGATGCCTGACTTTTACAGCAACAAGAATAGGCTTAGTCCGCTGTCGAGGATATTTAGATTTCAGAGTTGCTTGATGAATCTGAGCTATACTTCCAGATGCAACAGGTTCCTCTTCGAACTTTTCAAAAATGTCAGTGAGCTTGCGGCCAAATGCCTTTTCAACAGTGTATTTTGTATAGCTATAGCTATGAGCTGGTGCTTTCGTGTGAAGCTCAGAAAGCTCATTGCACAGATCATTTGGGAACAAATCAGGCCTTGCTGCAGCCCATTGACCCCATTTTATAAAAGCTGGACCAGCTTTTTCCAATGTTACACGGACAATTTGAAGCCACGACGTCCTGAACTCGAATCCAAGTGAATCAGCAAAAGGAGCCATCAATATGCAAGGAGAAAACAAAATCGCCAAATATATAGCTCTCAGAACAAGGATCAGTGCCTCTAAAAGAGAAAACACAACTGAAGTCATGTAAATATGCCCGTCCTGCGCACACGAGTAGATAGTATCCTTTGTAGGTAGATACTCTGCCTGAGCAAAACCTCTTTGGTTCCATGCTAGCTCTCCAACAATGAAGGCTACAAGGCCAGGTGCTACCAAATGCGATCGAGATAGTGCAAGGCTTACCGCACATGCTACCCTACTTATGGGTGGCAAAAATGATCCATTGTATGAACATATTTCGTATAGGCGTCTCCAAGCAATTTGGGCATGGTGGGAAAGCCTGTAATTCTTATATGGTAACTGACTCCCTCTCCGCACAAGACTTAAAGAAAATTTCCCTTTAAGTTCATCCAATATAAGCCTAGTAAACCGTCCATGGGGAATATTGGTGTGTGAGTGAAGTTGGCGTGCTAAGTAAAAGAATCCAACTGGAGGTAATCTCCTACCATGGTTTATCTCATGACACCGTGTCCTTGCACTTGGGATGAGGGATTCAGCAATCTGCCTAATACGGCCAGTTGTTATAAATCTGCACATATTTGGAATAATGTCAGACAAATGATGCATACACATTTCATGAAATCCCTAATATTTGGAACATGTGCTGTGAATGCTATCGAAAATTGATCGAATCTCGGAGAAGCGAGTTGAACTACGCAAGTTTCGATAAATATTTCTGCACCTAAAACTCAATTTGCATATCAATTTCACAATTAGCATAGCCGTACGATATATCATGAAACAAATTTTCATGGTTTGTGGATTGCAGCTTAACTTCCTAGCACTAAGAATAAACAATAAAAAGCAATCGTAACAAATTGGTGATACGAGATCAAAGGAGCGCGAGCAGTGACCTCGAGATGGCCATGGGAATCTGTAGGAACCGGGTGAATGACGCGCCGATAGTCACAGCCACGGGAAGGCATTTTCCCAATAGATCACGACGAGATATTCGTGAATTGATGAGGCTCCGACGCAATTCGCATGGTGGTCAATGAGTTTCCGGCCTGTTAAACGCGAAATCGTGCGGCGGAGGGAGGGCGCTGGCGGATCGAATGTCCTTTCGGGGTGCTGCGGGTCAACTTTCGCCGTTTGGTCGAGGGTTACTTATACGGATGGATCCGATTATAGAATATGGGTGGGTCATGGATAAAGAGTTAGGATTCAAATAGATCCAAATTACCATTTGATTACTAAATTAAATTGCATCATCATGCATCCCTTAAAAAACCACACCTAAAATTAGTTATATTTTAATATCATTGACTCCTATCTTACACTGACTTGAAACTTTAGTTAGATCATAACTAATAACTTGAAATTTATAAAATTTACACAAAATCCACCAATATATATACATATGTATATTCAACTAATATATTGATATTTTCATCACCATACTTGAAGCCACAAATAACCACACAGTCTAGTTGTATTTAAATATGCTTTCCAAGTATTTTAAAGTTAGAATATTTTGGCAATATTAAGAGCTATATATAAATATATAATATAAATAAATATTAAATGTTTGCATAAAAATAATATATATATTTTTTTTATTTTTTTTTTTATGTAAACAAAGGCTATATAATCTGTTTAGATTTTTATATGGTGTACCATAGTTATATATGTACATTTTCAATTAGTTCTAATCATTTATGATTTGATTCATTATACTTTGTTACAAAATAGTAAAGTGTGTTTGTTTAGTATTTGTATCTTTTAAAACATTTTAAATTATAAAAATAAAATTTTATATTAAATTATTAATCTTTTAAATACATAATAATATATATTATATATATTGTATGAGAATGTATATATATATATATATTTTGTACTTAATAATATTAACAAATTGTGTAAAAACAAATATTGTGTGAATATATATCCATATAAATTATATTTAAAAATTTATTAATTTTTAAAAAATACATCATTTTTTTAACAAATATTATATCAAAATATTATTTAAATAAAATTAAAACTAAACATTTTTTCAAATTATATATAAAAAAAAAAAAAAAAAAAAAAACTAAAACATGAGTATTATACTGGGCCCGGGCCAATTCAGATAAGCAACCGCATTGGCCCTAACTTGAAGGCGGCCCGAGCCCAGCCCGCTAGTTACCGGCTAGCTTTTCATCGTCCCCGCGCTGACACATATCCGTTAAAATGATCAAATTCCTTCTAGAATGTATGCATTGGACGCCGGTCCCCATACCCATACATTCTTTGGAATACAGACGACCCCAACCGCTCCACTTTCCACCATTCTAATTGCCGAAGACTTTGAGAAAATCTCAATCACGCAACCTGGCACCGAAGGAAGATTTTGAGCGTGTCACTGTCGATTCCTGCCTTTTTTGTCGTCCGTTGAATTGTTGGTTGGGTAAAGTATCATTTTCTGCATTTTGTGATGTTACTTCTCGCTATAAATTTGCTTTCCAGTTATTGATTCGGATACCGCGACTCCGACTGAGAGGAATGGGTTTCATAAGCAGGATTTCGGCGCAATCAGCCAGTACTGCCGCTAAGGTAGCGGCGGGATCGCAGATGATGGCTAAAGTGCTGAAGCAGTCGGTGCATAGTTATTTCAGTAACAAGTGAGTGCTCTTTCAGATAATCGGTGCATTTTGTTAGTTTCCGCGTTTTGCTTTGTGAGTGGATATACTTTGTTTGGAATCGTAGAATAGTTGTTCTAAAGCATATGTATAGATCTCCTATTTCGCTATGGATTTTTTTGTTTTTTTTTTCAATGAGTTGCCGATTATTCAGACTTTTTTATAATGTGGTCAGTTGATCTGCAGATATTTTCCAAATTTACAATAATCGAACTAGGTTATATTGTTTCGAATTATCATCAGCAATCAGAAATGTTCATTGTTTGATATCTTTATTATAACATTTCAGTCAAGAAGCTGAGGGTTTTGATTTAGATAAGGTTGAAATTCTGAAGGAGTACTACATTCCTGATTACATACTTATTCCCGAATCAGTATCTAAAGAAGGTTGGTGTGAGGTTCCATCTTGTCCAGTGATTGTGTTCATTAATTCAAAGAGTGGGGGGCAATTGGGTGGTGAACTTCTGCTAACATGCCGTAACCTACTGAACAAAAATCAGGTTTGTGTATTGTTTTTGCTTCATTCAATTGAGGGGGATAACATGATAGACTGAAACAAAAACCACAGTGTTGGAAACTTTGAGCTATGTCTCTGTTTTTCCAGGTGTTTGATCTTGGAGAAAAGGCCCCCGACAAGGTGCTCTACCAACTTTATTTCAATTTGGAGAAGCATAAACGGAATGGAGACAATTTGGCTTATGAAATTCAGAAAAGATTGCGCATTATTGTGAGTTGAGCAGTGTCCTTGGTCCTCGCTTAACTAGACAAGACCTTGGAAAACTTAATGATTCAACTGTGGTACTGTTAAATTGTTTACACTTCTGTCTGTTTTAGGTTGCTGGTGGGGATGGAACAGCTGGATGGCTGCTTGGAGTGGTGTCCGATCTTAAATTGGCACATCCACCTCCCATTGCTACAATGCCGCTAGGGACAGGGAACAATCTCCCATTTTCCTTTGGCTGGGTGAGATTCTACCTGATGAATGACTTTTTCCTAAGTTCAAATCCTTCCATTTTTTCAGGAACAATTGATGTCATGAAACGATCAAAAGCCTCATTACTCTCAGAACTAGCAAGTGTCCTATAGGCACTATTTAATCATCCTGGACTAATTTCGAATGGATTTTCTAAGTGAACTTTTGACCATCAAGACTTTTTGCATTTCTGTCTGTTGCTTATCTTCCCATCTCCTAGCTACCACAGTATGATAGCATTGGCACGGAAGCTTTGGAACATTCCAATTTTCGATATTTGTCGATAAATTATTCTTTATATTTCACTGAACTCTCCTTGTCTGTTTTCCACCTAAAAATTTCATTCAACATAATTTCTAGGTCTTGATTTATTTGTAATATAATTTGCTTAATTACGTAAGGGGAAAAGAAATCCTGGCACAGACTATCACTCAGTGAAGGCATTTTTGAGACATGTGAAGAATGCAAAAGAAATGAAAATCGACAGGTAGATTATCATCTTAAAAGTCCAGTTTTCTCCTGCCTTAATATATTCTCAGACAATCATGCTTGCCGATAGAAATGCTGAAAACTACCATAGTATTCTTTATTTATATATTCTAGGAATCACAACCTTAATATTGTCACGACTTTTATATTCTCACAAATTTGTGTTGAAAATTGACCAAAACATTGCTGGAGATTTGCGGCAAAAGCTTGAGAAAATTCAAAAAGTTAATTGTTTAATTTGTTTGTACTAAATGATTTGCCTCCTTCAATGTTTGTTCTCTAGCTTTCAGTGTTTGTCTAAGTGCAACTTGGTTCTCACGATTTTATGTTCAGCTGGCACTTTCTCATGCGGATGAGGTCTCCGAGAGAAGGTTCATGTGATCCTATTACACCTCTTGATCTGCCACTCTCGTTGCATGCTTTTACCCATATCCTGCCAACAGATGAAACGAATGAGGTATCATAACTTATCATCATCATTACTTGTCTCTGCTTCACAATCTCCACTTGTATATAGCTGGACACTGTGTCGATATATTACTCACTCACTCAATTGCTTTGCTTCATGATGATTCTCAGTCACATAATGCCAGAAGAACTAATGATTTGTAAACGGAACATTAGGAATGAAATTTATTAATCCTGTTTCTTGATTCTCCACTCCACATGCCTCAAGCAAGCTGATCATAGTTATTCATGCATCAGGGAGGACACCACAAATTTCGTGGGGGATTTTGGAATTATTTTAGTATGGGTGAGTTATTTCTTTCCAAACATGATCCTGCCGAATCATTTTACAGTATCTCCTTTCATTGCACAAATTCATTCAAGCTGGAGGAAGCACTGAGCATTACTGTTTTTCCATTTATTTAAGAAACACGTTTCCTGTTCAATTTGTTTTTCGCAGGTATGGATGCCCAAGTTTCCTATGCATTTCACTTGGAGCGGAAGCTGCATCCAGAAAAATTTAAAAATCAATTAGTCAATCAGGTAATGCACAAACATTCCTATGAAGTGAAGAAATAAATTTCTCTCTTTGTCAAGCAATTGCTACTTACTGAAATACCTGACTACACTTTCCGTGCCATCTCAAAATTCTTTTTTGTAACTATTCTTGATTTGTTAGGGTGCATATGCAAAGCTTAGCTGTAAGCAAGGGTGGTTTTGTGCATCCCTGTCGCATCCATCTTCAAGGTTAGATTACCTACAATTCTTGTGTCTTCTATTATGAATTCTCCTAATATTCAACTTGCCAAAAAGAGTGTTCGGCGTAAATATAACAAGGATGCTGTCGATGCAACATGCATTAGATTTCATCTTTCTCAACTCCCATCTCCATTCCCTATATTTCGATGCAAGCCCGACACAAAAGTGAAACAATGATGCATGGAAATGTTCCCTATGAAATTATTGGGAATGGAAAGGCTTCGCTCGTCTCTTGGTACCTATAATGAAGATGACCATGATTCTAATCTTCATCATTTTTCATATTTTCGTTTGCAGAAACATTGCGAATCTGGCAAGAGTTAAAATCATGAAAAAGCCTGGTGAGTGGATAGACCTTCACATACCACAAAGGTAAATCGATCAAATCCTATCATATAATATCACGATTCCTCCGGGCAGGCAATTCTTTCTCTTATGATCCTTTTTTCTATATGAATGCAGCATCAGGTCCATTGTTTGCCTTAACTTGCCTAGTTTCTCAGGTGGTCTTAATCCTTGGGGAACCCCTACCAAGCAGAAGCTTCATTCGGTCAGTATTCAATCCGTCATAAAAATCACACCCCTAAATGAATAGTCCCGATACTCGGAACGCTAATATATCTCCCTTCCAACTCCAACAGAGGGATCTAACTCCACCATATGTCGATGATGGATTTCTAGAGGTTGTCGGTTTCCGAGATGCATGGCATGGACTTATCTTGTTTGCTCCAAATGGCCACGGCACTCGCCTTGCGCAGGTAACTCGTAGGAGCCACGCAAGCAAAGTGTCGCGTAAAATATTAACAACAACATAACATATCATCCGTCGTGTAGGCAAACAGGATTCGATTCGAGTTCCAGAAGGGGGCTGCCGACCACGTCTTCATGCGAATGGACGGGGAGCCATGGAAGCAGCCCCTTCCTGCCGACGACTCAGTAGGAGTAGTGATCGAAATCTCCCACTTCGGCCAAGCCAGCATACTCGCAAACACACCGTGCCCGGCCCGAAGCATCGCCAATGCACCACCCTCACCCAACCCCAACTCATCGGAAATCGACTATAGCAGCAGCATGAGGATGGAGAATGAGGAAGAACACAGAAAGTTAGGAGCAGCGGATACTTTTAGGTTACCAGATGACTTCTTCCACATTGAGCAGCTCAGTTAGAGTTGATAACTGATATACATTACATACGAACTTACCAAAGTCTGATGCTGTGTTACTTTACTTACATGTTGCGTGTGTATACATATATATATATATATATATATATATGTTGGTTATTTGTTTTGGCTGTTTAGTTGAACTTTCGCTGCTGGGATTAGGGTGAGAGAGTATTGATATCTAATTTTGAAATATGCCAACTAGGCTAAATAATTTAAGAATAGTTACTTAAATTAAAAGTAACAATTGCGGGGATAGCTCAGTTGGGAGAGCGTCAGACTGAAGATCTGAAGGTCGCGTGTTCGATCCACGCTCACCGCATTCTTTTATAGATTTTTCCTACTTTCGGTTTTGGGCCTCTGTTAGAGATTTGGGTCTATTTTGGGCTTTCATTGTTTATTTGGGTCTATTTTGGGCTTTCATGCTTTATTTGGGCCTTTCTCCATCATTCCGTATGTTATGTAAAAAAGTTGTGAGATTCAAAAAATGACCAATACATACACGTGCATATAATTTATATGTACACACATATAAAGATAAATAAAGTTACGTACATGTAATATAAATATAAAGAAATACAGTAGATAGGTATGTATGTATGTATGTATTTCGGATCCATGATATAATATGAAGCTTTGTACCTCTTCCATGTTTCTGACTCTCTCTAATTACACACTAAGCCATGTCCTGAACTGAAGCAGCTTCTTCACCAGGAATATAGCAGCAACTACTATCACACAACGCTATCAACAAAATTTATATATACATACATAACACGCAGATATAGACATTGAGAGTTCATGGAGTGCAAGAAAACTCAGGCCCATCAAAATGATCTCATCACCGCCACCACCGCACATTGGCAGAAGTACCTCATATGGTACCATTGCTCGCGTCGTATCATCTTCGTCGTCATCACGTTGCTAATATTTTCTACTTCTTCTTCCCCCACCACTTGCGCCGATGTTTCTCGGTTTCAGCCTGCCCCGTTCTGTGCACTCTCGCCTTCGCCTCCTTCAACCGAATCTTGTAGTCCTTTTTCCATGCCTCGAACCGGTGTTTCAGTCTCCGCAATTCATCAACAGGGTTTGCTCCAAGGGACTGCCCTGTCTTCGTCTCTACAATCGTCACAGCTTGCTCGTCGAAGTTTTGTCTCGTTTGCTCGAACTCCCTCAGCAGATTGCCAACAGGGTTTGAAACTCCATTTGCATCCCGAATTGGCAAGTCCTCTACGCCGTTGCTGAACAATCTTGCAGGGGTGCAGCCTCCGGGCGTCTGAGTTCCCATAGACATGTCCTCCGAGTCATAATACTGAGGTGATTGGACTCCTCCATCGATCCTTCCTATCTTATTTTCTGTGCCCATATTCTTTTTTGTATTGGCTAAGTTCATCTGCAAAATGCCACAAAAGTGTAAGAACTATGAGGCTCAACATTCCCCTGTTCGGTGGCCATATTTTGTAGCTGCGAACTCTCTTGCTGTTCTGAAACATGCTAACAGATAAAACCGCTAATTGTGAAAATGTTTGCAGAAAGAGTGAACTCACTTGTAGAGATACCATCTGCTTTTGCCACATCTCCTCCATGGATTTCATTCTGTTCTCGTACTCAGACCACTTCACCGAATACTGTTTCATCTGCTCTCTCAGATCAGCGTTTTCCTTTTCCTTGTGTTCGAGTTCTGCTTGTGCCATCAGCATCTGTCTTTTGAGATCTTCAACAACTGAAGGTAAGGATTTGGGTGGCAGGTCCTGTTCGGAAAATAGAAGCAGAACTTAATTAGAAATACACATATGGTGAATCCAACAATCTGAAATGATGGGCAGAGACTTTGCAATGAAGAAGATAAACGATATAATCCATATCAAGAACAGAAAGGGCAAGACACATATATTTTGGGGTAAAAGTACTTGATATGTACCTTGACTTCAGAAACACTCCCATACGGTTTCGCTTGAGTAGAATTTGCTTTGTTTGGTTTACAATTGTGGCTAAAATGCCTTCGGGCCAACCATCCACGAATCACTGCATGAAAAAGCATAGTTGGATTAAGGAGGAAAGCTTCCAAATATTTGTTAAAAAAACAGTCGGTCAATAATACATTCTCTTTATGGCATAAATTAAGGCCTGATGTAATAATGTAATGTAACGAAATGAAAATATGGCCAAAGAAGGAACTTTACCGGACTGAATATGTACAATTGCGCTGTGCTTCTCCAAAATTCCATACTCCTTCCTTGTATTTTCACCACGAACATCTGCAGATAACAGTTTTTTATGATAATAATGTAATATAATTTGAGACATATGGGCCAGGACACTTAAATATACAAAATAACCATGCATATTTCAATTTAGATCATTTGATAATTAAAACATAACAAGTTCCATATAGCCAACAACTAAAAACAGAGTGCAAGTTGATCGTAATGGATTCAGAGAAATTACAGAGCATGAAAAGGTAATTTCTTTTAAAAAAACGTGGGGTGTTGACTATACAATTAATATCAAAACAGGTACTGGTCTTACATGATTGCAATGTTATTGCTGCTCCATTGAATTCATGGGATTCATGGCAGGTAGGATTACCCGGGAAAATCTTCTGCATCTCTTGAGCAGTTTGAAGGGCTTTTTTCCTGACATCTTCCAGGCCAACAATCTGTTTTCCAGTAACCCAATAATTGGGATTTTACAGTCTCCACAATTAATGCATGCCGATTATGTTATCATGTTTATAGATAAAGCGCAGTAAACATTTTGTATGCTTAAGAATGCTATAGATCTTTCCGAAAAAAAGAAAAAAGAATGCTATAGACATTTAAAAACATGCAAACACACCTGTCCAGCTCGGAAGTATAATCTTGTATAACCAACTTGGTAAGTTTCTGGAAGGATACCAAACTGCTGCAGAACAGCGATTGACATACTTAGGGGATCTTGAGAAGCCATGTGTTCTGGAAGTAGGAAGCCATACCTGAAAATCATTGCATTGCAAAGTATGACGGGAAAGTTTTTGTAACATCTAATCATTAAGAAGTTATTTACGAATCAGAAGTGAGATAAACATTTTCACCTTTTTCTGAATTCTTGATGAGTCATGGAGGTGGGGTATCCAAATCTTGAAAATCTAACAACTTCTAGAACTTGACAGCATCGAAGTTGCTGTAAAACATGATCTTTTTCGAACACCCCCGGAATCTGATTTCTATTTGGTTTTATACAACAAATGAAGTGTGGTTTTGTGTTTTCAAGATGCTGCATTAGTTTAAATAGCTGACCCTGCAGTCAAAGATGCATACAACATTTCAGAATTGATAGTTGCGTACGATTACAGAAGGTTTCGTCTAGTAAATACATCAGCAGGACACTGAGATGTCAATTATAAAAGGCAGAAATTCTTGAATTTTCTATGATAAAATGTACTTCCGAAATTTTTTCCTTCTATTTTTTTTTTCAGTATAAGCATCATTTACTGCAACAAGGTAAAGGAGGAGTATGGTGATGGCATAAAAGCAAGATCACCTTGAATTTTGTGGCAACATTCTGATTTTGAAAAGCAAGCATTCCTGGCTGCATCAACATATTTTCTGGATTCTGAGACTGTTTCAATAATGAAGAGGCAAAATGTTGAGGAATTCGGCCAGCACAAGATTGAAGAAGTTGAATAGTTTCAAAAGGCAATGAATCTCTATTCTTTTCCAAGAATTTCCCCATTTCGTAAAGAACCTGAAGTAAACAGGAAATATCAGCAGAGAAAATGTGTCAAACAACATCATGGGAGAGATTAATACAATTATATATGCATATATATATACAGATTATATGAGGCACAGCTTTAGCAAAAACAAATGCATTGCACTTGTAAATAATGCACAAAAGTATAACTATGCACATAGATGCTACATGTCTCCCTAGCATTTGCTAAATGTGAAGATTTTGTTCGGGCCTTTGCTCCATTGAGCCAAGCATGCTTTATATATGTGAGTAATATCCATATATGTATCATTAAGGTCCACATTTTGTTGATTGCAGTTATTCCATGAAATATAATAATGCAAATACTGCAACAAAAGTATACAACAAATATCCTGTGTTTCCTTTTGGACTTCTTGGTTCCATAAAAGAGCAACCACATGCAAAAGTGTGAAACTAACCTCTCCACCACAGTGGCGAATGGTGAATGTTCCACCTCTTTCAACTTTAAAGCAATTGTTGCCATTTAAGCACTGCTTAAGTTTACTGGCGAAGGTTAAATCCGTAGCCTTAGGGGAAGTGGATACTTCATCCAATAAAGATATCAGCCCATCAGGTTTCTGTTCAACCACAGCAATATATAATCATAAAAACATTATAATCTAAGAATGAGAAAGCAACCATAATTATTCCACACAACACGGGTAATGAACTAAGGATAAACTGGTTGAAGTTGAAGAAGAGACAGCAAAGTTTTATCGATGATATAAAATGTGCATCAAGTTTCTAAGACATGCGAAAACCACATGTTCTCAACACATAAAAACACATTCAACTATAAAATGAACATGCCAGACATGTATGCCTGGATAGAGGAAAGCTACACTCTACACTGAACAAACATCCAACAAAACACCACTTATCACAAATTTGGGTAAGTGATAGCGATTTAAGAAGTAAAGTACCTTCTCAAAGAGATCCACAATGTTCTGGTTGTCTTCAAAATCTACTTTTGTTGACTCAACTCCATCTAACTCGTACTCCTGAATCAAATTTTTTTTTTTGTTTCATCAGTATGCATAACATTTCAATCTGAAATGAGATATTCTAAAATGTGTCATGTATATCTTGCAGCCGTAGCAAGCTGCATTGAGTCAAATTCTTGTCAACATTGTTAGATGCAAAGAAGAATGGCAATATATATATATATATATAAACAGGGGAGGGGGGAGGCACAATGTAACTCTTTTCATGGAACATATAAGATGCTTACTTCTTGCTTGAGTTTGAAGAGATGTCGATTAAAATGCTGCCTGAGCCTCTCATTAGCATAATTTATGCAAAACTGTTCAAAACTATTTTTCTGGAGCCAAAAACCAAGATTAAATTAGAGAAAACTTGCACATCATATTACGAACCAGTAGAAAGTTTAACTGACTTTTACCTCACGTGATTCAAATCCGTAAATGTCTAAAATGGTTATGCTTCGACCAGTATCGTGTTTTCTGTTAGCCAGAGATGAATTGATTTCTTGTAGAAGCCAGTCAAATAAGTTTGCATAGATGAACTTTGCTAGTGCATCCCTTGCTTCAATTGCCTAAATGGTAGGAAAACAAAAAAAATAATAATAATTAGCATCAACTTGTACAGTGTTCGTCTTATTATGTGCTCATAGAAGTCACATATCATATCTGATGTTATGCTATGTGCCAAACATCTATGTTGTGTTTGCTTGTGAGTTTTTGAAAGTTTTTTCACTATTCCAAAAAAAAATATCAAATACTTATTTTTAATTTATTATATTACAAAAATTAAATTTTATAGTCAAAACATAACATTAATACACATTTATATCATATCAAACAATTTCAATTCAACAATTAATTCAAAACCCAAACCCAAAATCCACAACCACACACACCCCTAGTTTGCGAGTAGTTCTGAATAAGTTATTCAAGGATATAGAAAAGCTATGATTATATGAACCTGTTGTTGTGTCAGCCTTCTGGTGACCTTATCCTTTCCAGCTTGGATTTTCCGGGTTGACAGTGCAAGCATTAGTTCATTCTCACTGCAGCCTATCAAACTGGCAGCATTGCTAAGAGCTGAAAATAAAGAAATCACATCATTAACAGCATTGCTTACGGCAAGCATTATCTTCCGCACATAAGCATCAAGGGCTGTTTCTTCAGAAAGAAAATCACACAAACTGCACGCGAGAAAGGCGTGCCAAGGAAAACCTTTCAGTGCATAAATCAGAGCTCTCAAAGAAGTTTTCTCATTGTCTTTCTCACTGAACAACTGATATTAATGACTCAAATTTCAAATTTGTGAATTAAATGAATAACTGTCCTCCGTCGTAGATAATTTGTGTCAGCCTCCTTGCATTTTATCCCTTCTCACCCTCCTTGCCACTTAGGTAACAACCTCATACATGACCAGTTCCCCATAGTGTTACAGGTGTTCAAGGACAGTTCCCTAATAGATATTTTGAATTTGACAATAGTATCTTCATTAACAGAATATACTTGACAAAATACTCTTCTGCAGACCAAATGAATGAGAAACAACTGAAAGGGTATTGGTATATTGGAGCGCCAATTATTTAATCTAACAATGAAATATCATTCCTTCCACATATACCTGGATCAACATTCATGGAGAAAGATACACTTTAAATTCTGATAAACTAAAAGAATGCAAGTAATTCAAGCAACAAATCTAAATGTTCGTGAAATAAAGAACAGAAAAATAATGTGATGTAACCACCTATCCAGAAAACAAAACCGGAAAAGAATTTTCAAGACACAGATAACGATAAAAAAAGAAAAGAAGACACGGAATGGTGTATCAAAACATGGGGTACCTTCATCAGCAACAACTTCTACATGGTTTTGATTGTCAGTTACAAGAAAAGAGATGTTTCCCAACCACAGTATAGCTGCAACCATCTCAAAAACATGTTCCTGATCTTCTTTGCCAATTCGGAGAGTATACAATGCTTCCTAGAGACAGAAAAAACTAGGCCTTAGTATACCTTTGTGACAGAAACGGAAATGTGCAAAACAAATAAGAAGTTACATAAATCACTGTTTAATTTTAAGAACTTGCTGCCACAGCACAACTTCCTCACTCAACATTTATATCTCTTCAAATCCAACAGTGCGACCGATAGGGAAAAACATAAGGGTGGTGATGGGTATTCAGGGATAAACGATAATGGGAGTAAATTCTACGCACACAGAAAAGTGAACGTTGTTACATTACCACAAGCGTATGAAACTTCTGAGCATCGTCAATGTTGTGGATCTTCATGCAATCACTCTGATTGAGGTAGTTATAGTCAGAAGCCTTTTTTAACCTCAACCTACCTGCAAAAGAAACCATATGCTGCCTTATACAAGATTATAATCTTGCAATAAAAAAACCTGACAACTATTTCAACTTTTACAGAATTTCTGTCCAGGTTATATTGGACTCTAGCAAGGAGAATATTACAAGAGACCGATAAAATTTTTTATGCATATTAATTCACACTAAGATGAAAATATAAGGTGTTTCATGTGTAAAGTCACAAGAAAGATAATATACTAAACTTAAATGAGAACCAAGTCAAAAATTAAGTTCTCAAGGTAAGACTAAATTAGGAGAGAAAAAGAATGGTATAGGAAATGAAACTTCCAAAAATAGGGGAAAATCCGAAGGCAAACCTCGGAGATCTGAAGGAGCACCAGAGCAGAGCTGGTAGAAAATGTGGTAGGACCGCTCTCCTTGAGCCAATTGGACAACCCTAGACTGATGCAATGGATTTTGCTCTAAATTGTCAGACATAAAATAATAATAAAAGAAATAGGCAAGAAAATCGTAATTACTATCACTTTAGCCAATGCACTGACCTTTTCAAGGAGTACTGTACCATTAATCAGGAATTGAAGTTCAACATGAAAAAAAAAGGTTGAAACTATTCAGTATAGTACAACTGAAATAGAACACAACCAAACAGTACTCTCAAAGTCGGTATGAGCATGCTTACAGGTTTGCACTTTAGCTCCACATATATGCCCGGTTCCACTAAAGTAGACTTCAATTAACTTCCCCTGCACCAAACTTTGAATGGTAAACAACAATTCCTCGTAATAATTGGCAAAGACTGACATGTTCTATTGTTTAAATTAAAGGCACAATGAAAAATGCTCACAAATCTGCTGGAGTTATCATTTCTGGCTGTTTTCGCATTACCGAATGCCTCTAGTATACAGCTCATTTGCAAGATTTCAGATTCTATTGCATCACTGACTCCACTAAATGCCGTCAAACAGAGCAATGCAATCTTAGCTATTTCAGTCTTCCCAGAGCCACTCACTCCACTACAGTAAAAAAAAAAAAAAGAAAATTGAAATTCCGTCTCTCATCAAAAGATTATAATTCATAGCCAAAGCAGTGAAGTTAATGGTATAAATCACAAAAATAAAGAAAAGGCTATGGATCTGGTTTGGTAGAAAGGGGAAAGTAAACAATGAACAAACCTTACGATGATCGACTGATTTGTATTATCTGCAACACTCACAACAGATGCAGCAAGAGAAAAATGAGATCAGCAGTTCAACATAAAAAGACATATCAATGATAGTGAGTAATTATAAAATTATTTTAAGTATTTTTAAACACCTGTCATCATTTCATTGTATGCCGCATTAGCAATGGCATAAACATTAGGCATATCCACACTTTTATGCCTATAAGCTGCAACAAAGCCCTTCTTGTCCAGGTAGATATCTTTAAGAGGATTGACTGATACTAAAACTGGACCTGCTTTCGTCTAGGGCAAGTAGAGAAGAAAGTTTGTTAAAAGCCTGTGCTCAAAGAGTCAATCATACACAATTCTACCATTACCACTTACATATGGCATCTCTTGGGAATATCTATACTGAATATTGTGAATAACTGAAGGCTCATTGACATAACTAAGCTGCACAAGATCGTCCACTCCATCAAGGATGCTTGGATTGGTAGGCAATAGTTCTTGAGCGGGAACCGTCACAACCTATAATGATATCCAGTGAGTACATTAATATGCTCTAACAGTAAGTAAGTAAGTAGTGGAAATATTTAAAAACTATCTAACTAACACTTCCATCCGACAGCAAAACCGATGCTTTTTCTCCAGAAGTTGATTGGATATGCCCAGATCTCCAGAGGTCATCATGTAGTTGACACCAAACTGGAAGTTTCTGACAACATAAAACACTTAAGTTTAGTATCTGCTGGGAAATCTTACCTCGGCTGAAATTAAGTACCTAAGTTTAGTAATACAAAGCAACATGATTGTAGAAGGCAAAACCATAATTAGCATAATTCTAAAAAGTATATATATATATACACAAATGAATATATTAATAAAACAAATACTCAGGATAAATGCTACTCAGCTAGAAAATCTCCCTACACACACCAAGGGGGTCATAGAGGTAGATGTCTCTTATTTGTGTCAAAAGTTTGTATCGAATTTAGTTTTCTCAAACATGGAATTACAGTTTTTTTTCTACAATTTTGTTTTAGTAAATGCACAAACCTTATAATAAGTTGACTAAGTAGTATACTATTAATAGAATGAGACATATAACAGAAAAAATAATAACTGGAATGCTGACATAACATATATTAACTATAGAAGCTAAAGAAAAAAAGAGTTCCAATAAGCATAAAAATATTTTTAAGATTAATCCTATTTAAAATATATTGCTAACACTTGATGGTTAAAATGCCTTGGAAGGCACTGTAAAAAAAAAAAAAAAAAAAAAAAAAAAAAACAAGAAAAATTACGCACCAAGATAGCCAAGTTCACAGGCAAGAAACACAAGGAAAAAAAAAAAGTAACTTCAAGAACAATCTCCTCGTCTAATGTAAATTAATAGCAGAATGACAAAATTCCAATTGTAATACAAATTATGAAAATTATAAAATGTTCAGAACCAAGAATAGCAGCTATGATCTGATTCAGGCATTTCTAAAATTTTAAAATTAAGATAAAATTTACAGATTTTTATCAGAAATGTGTTTCTATAATTCAAAAAGTGATGAACATCGTGTAAAACAGAGGTATACCTCTTTGATGAAATATCCGACGATATCATCCCACTCGGAATCTCTCGACCTCAACGGAGATCTCGAGGCACAATTCTCGACCTCGCCATTGCCTCTAACCTCCGATCTCTGGTCTCCGTCTTCCTCATCAGAACCCACGTAAGGGGATTTCTTAGTTTCCTTCAATTTTTTAACCACCAAACCTCTCGCTCTCATTCCTTTCGGTTTCTCCTTCGTCTCATCACACTTCAACAAGCTCCGACCCGCCGTCGATTCGCCGGCTTCCAAGCTCGTCGGCAGCGGCCGCTTTGCCGACGGAAGGCGCGCTCGCGGAGTCGGCTTTGGCCGCGCCGGCAGAGCCGGCGGCATGTCCCCTGGCTTCTCCGTCTCGTCACTTCGCCGGAGACTCTCCAGCATTTCCTCCAAAGAGCTCCGAACTACCGGAGTCGGCGGCATCGTCATTGACAACATCTTCCTTCCCAAAACTTCCAACTCCAATCCCAAAATTACCACTGATTTTCAACAATACACCATTTCTCAACCCCCTCGAATCCTTCAATTGATCAAACCTAAAACCAATCAATCCTCGAACTCCTCCCCCCCGTGCCGTCCCCCACCTTCCCGATAACCAAAAACTGCTTCCAAACAGGCCAAACAAAATTCTAAAAAATCAAAATAAACAAATCCTTGCTTGGAACCAAAGCAGCCTCCAGACGCAAACCCAAATCTTCGACGAGATTGGCTACACGGCAAGGAACGGAACCTCGAAGAGATGCATTAATGGAAGAGAAGCCACTGAACAGATAGATAATTATTTGAACTCACATACAGAATTGAATTTTTCAAATAAATATATAAATAATTAAAACCGTTGAGATCCGACAAAGGAAAGAAGGAAACAATTATAATCAATAATTAATTAATTAATTTATTAATTAATATTTTCTTGAAATTTTAAATACAGAAATAATTTGGGAGTTTTATTAAAGAGAAGGCAAAAGAAGAATGTTCTTAAGATTTCTATTTGAAATGACGCATTTGCCCTCTCCCATTTGTGGATTCAATTTATTTCTAAAGATATTTATACAATATTTTTTTACCTCAAATTTAAATATATAAAATAAAATAGTGGTTGCAGTCTTTCTACGAGAAAAGAATTTTTGTGTGACTTGTCGAATTTATTTACACTAGAAATAACATATTTTTAAAAAATTAAAATGAATATATTTCTGTGACCCTTAGGCTATGTATTTACAAAGTTTTGACCTGTTCTATATATGTCACTTTAATTTAAAATTTAAAACATGTTGAATAAAAATATTGGGGGATGTATTTTTTTTCTATTAAATTATGTATTAATCATGGTTAATTTAAATTTTTTAAATTTAATACATACGAGAGTAATAAAAGTCATTTTATTAAATAATTAGAAATAGTTTAAATTAGTATGGTATGATTAATTTATACAATGGTAATAATAAGGATTTGTTTGATTTAATTTGAGTTTTATTTATTTTTATTTAAATAGAATTTTTAATATAATATTTTATGATATAAATATAATTTTATTAAGAATGGTACTAACAAAATTCTTTGTAACTTTTGATTTATATCTAACTTAATTATTGAAATATGATTAAGTGATATATAAGAAAGATAAATAGCTATATTTCAAATAGGAGAATAATTCAATTGTGAAAGTTAATTAACGAATTAGTGGATTCGATCTAATTTTAATTTTTAATGCACATTTCCATATACTTTTTGCAACATAAAACAAAAATTCGCATCATATAATTAAAAATGTATGTCGAGTTATTTGTTTGAGTGATTATTTTGTATGACGTGGAAACCTGCCGCCACTACTCGAAAGTGCACACTGGGCAAACCTCCAACCGAACCTAATACTCTGCAAATTAGGTCCGACAAAAAAGTCGTACTAGACGAACTATGTGTGACAGATGACCTGAGGCATGGGGTTTAAACCCATGATCATACTCTCACAAATCCAACTTTTATACGACCACCAGACTATTCCTTACGGATTATTAGAAGAATAAGGGTGTAAGTGATGAAACCTAAAACCTTTGACTGAAAAATAATCTATATAAAAAATAAATATTTGATTTAATAGTATTTTTTTTAAAAAAATTGTGAAACCAAATACGATACTTAAAGAAATAAAGGGTATATTTCTTTTTACCCAAAATGCTAAGTTTTTACTAGTTGGACTATGTATTTTTCAAAAAAAAATATATAATTTTTTCTCTCACAAAACATTTCATCGTACATTATTTTAATATCAAACTCAAACAAAAAAATCCTTTTGTTATTAATTCTATTTATTTATTTATTAATTATTTGTTCAAGGTATCAATATTTTGGTACAATATAATATATGTAAGGAGATTTTGGTGTGTTTGATTTGTTTTTTTTTTTTTAATTTAAATAGTTATTGTATATAATATTGTAAATATATATATATATATACACAGTATATATATTTTTATAAAAGACTTGTGAGAAACCAAAGTCATTATCTGTGTACTGAAATAAATTGTCGTACTTTTTACTTCACTTGGAAAAACACTCTACAAATAATTTCCCTTTGAAAACAATGAACTTATTACATTGAGTATTGTGCACATTTTGTACAAACCTATTCATTGATAATATATCCTACTCCCTCCCTCTCTATTACCACGGGAATTTAGATAAAGTATAATTAATAAATAATTAAGAAATATATTAATAAAATAATTATTATTTAGTAAAATTAAAAATAAATTAAGATTAAGATAACTAAATAGTTTAATTAAGATTAAAAAAATTAAATTTTAAAATTTAAAATATAATTAAAGTGTATAATTAATTTTCCAAAAAAGGAAATAACAAATTATGTGGACAGACAAAAATAGAAAATAGAGACAAATTATGTGAGATGGAGGGAGTACAAATTTTGTGCAGGACTTTTCTCTATCCCAATTCAATTAAATATTTTTAAGTATATTATTTGAGTTTTAATATTATTTATTTACTACACATCGGTTTTTTTAAGTTATATATATATATAATGCCATACATATTTATTTGGAATACATACAATTTTTTATTCTTCAACAAACAAGAAATAGTCAAAATGGCATTTAAAAAAAAAATGAATAGATTTCTAAGAGTGAAGAAATGAAGCTGAAAATTAGGATTATTTGGTAGATAAAATTAAATAAAAATAAATAAAAATAAAATAATGGATGAGTAAGTTGTGAGATGTCGCCCACTATCAAAGCACGAGTCTCTTCAATCATGCCATTAGGTAAAGTTGTCAAAAACATCCAACAATTATTTATTTAACATTAATTATTTTTTAAAAAATTAAAAATGATTAATCGAACCATAAGTGAGTGAGGCGAGGCGGTCGGGTCGGGTCGTGCAACAATGTCAATTTTTATTGAATATTAATTACTGTATGTATTTATTTCTTTAATTAATTAAGAAAAAAAAAAAGGCTCCTCTTTTATAACGGTAAAGTTGTAGGGCCCACTCGACTGTGATTGGCGGAGAAAATGACGCTGGGATAGAGCCACCTGGGCCGTCCGATGGGCCCCGCCTTCCTACCTAATCCCCTCTACCGTTGGATCTTATTCCGTGTTTGTATTTCCCTCCATTTGCTGCTACGGACAAATCTAAATTATAAATTATTTTTACAAAGTTCATTTTGAATTATTTTGAATCACATATTTGTGCTTTCAATCTGATTTTATATTATAGGAGCGCCATTTATTGAAAATTATTTTTTTTTACAAATAATTGTAATATTTAAACGTCACTTTGAATTCTAAATATACAATCATACAATAAACGTTATATATGTATTTGCAATTGAATTATTATATGTGACTATTCGATGACAATTGGCCTGGGTTTCCATGTGTTCGAAATTTAAATATGAATATAAATAATTAGACTCATGCATTTTGTATTAACATTTGAAAAAATAAAAAAATAAAAAAACTCAATCATAATAATAACAATAATAAAATCGAATTCGTTTGAATTTTTGCAAGCATGCAAAGGGGGACATCAGACATGGGAGCATGTCTTTTAAGGTACGATACGACGTCGTCACCTGCGCCTGACATTTTGTCGTCAAACTGTTTTATTCTCTCCTTTCCATATTTTGACTTTTCAATTTGTTCCTTTTTTTGAGAATAGATAAATTAGGGCATTTTTAAATATGTTTTCTAAGAATCAAGAGTATCTTTATTTTAATTATCTATATAATTTTTTATTTTTACTATTTAGCCTGCAAATCATATTTATCTTAGAAAATTACAACAAATATTTGTAAATTAAAACTTTAAACCTCTAAATTCAATGGATAAAAATATTACAATTTTTTTTATCAATAGCAAAAAATTGAATAAAATACATGCATGTATGCGAATATGATATAAACTCATTTTTAATAAACACCACATTTAAATACTTTACTTTTTTTAATAAAACATTAAATCAAATATTTTAATTTTACTATTTTCTAAATTCTACAAATTTCAAAGGTGTATTTGTTTTTTGTTTCAAACACAAGGCAACATTATTCAACCCACAAAATTCAATAAAAACCTCAAATTTAAATAAAAACCTTGATAAATTCTGTATTTCGTAATGCTATTTGATTGATTTATTTATTTATATAAAAAAGTTACAAGAAGAAGGCAATTTAATGAAACTATTCATGAATTTAATTGGGCCCATAAAAAGAATATTTGGAAGCTTAGGATAAAAAATGGGCACAAGGACACGGATTCTCAGCCCTACTTACAGCCTCTTCATATACATACACAATATTGTCCCACCCACCACATTGGATATTCGACCATTCTTAACAAAAAGTGATCTGTATATATGTAAAATGTGCATCAGAGAGGGCTGGTGATCCCATGCCAGCCACAAGAGCAAAGTGGTGAGCATCAACTTCTGAAATGGAATTGCAACTGTATCAAAACTAGTCTAGTCTAGTCTCAGTACAAAAAACAAAAATCTATCAGTTTTTGTCACACCAAATTTCTAATATCATACTTCTTAGAAACTGAATCACAGTCTAGTTGCATTCATTGCCTTCCCTCCGCCCAAAGTGTAGAGAAATCAACATCGCAGACACACATTACCAATTTCTTTCAAGTTAAGTGATTGATGTCTCATATCATACATCAAATAAACTAGGCTTTGCAAAACGATGAAGAATATAAGATAGAAACGATGAACAGACAACACCTACCAACCAGCAAAGTAGCAACTATGGTCGATGCGTCTTCCCTACCATAAAATAGTTTGTTTTCAGCCAAATGAGGTCCTCATGCTCAGGGGCATTTCCGTTGAATATAAGAAGCCCCATGCTCGTCATACCTGCACAACCATACCCATACCCATACCCATTGTAAACATAAACTATTGTCAAACATTCCTCACAATTCAACAAACACACAAATCCAATTCTAAATCACATCTCTCTACTGTTTCTAAATTAATGAAATATTACAACAAACAAACATTCATTTATTAAGCTTAGATATGCATTTGGTCTTTACTTTAGAAATATGAAGAAACTTATTATGATACCAAACAATTTTCTATTTCTTATTTCATTCATTCCTACTTCCTTTTCACTATTTGCTTTCCATTTTCAATGAATACTGCAAAAGGGCTTTAATGCTTACTCAGCCTTTGAGAACCACATCTGTTGAAACGAACCAAGTGATGCTAGTATACTTCCTCCAATCCACACACTGCATCAATTCAAGACAAAAAAATAAAAAACAAATCAAATTTTAAATAATTCTTGTACACACTTTTGTCCTCATCATTATTACTTAACAACGAGAGTATTTGCAAATCATATGATCTATAACCTGAATCTCCTTTCTGTAGCATTTCCACTGGCTAACACCTTGACCCTTGCCGCTTGAGGAGACTCCTAAAACCAACATGTTAATAAAACTAACATTAGAATATCATCTCCCCCAACATTAACTAAAAGCATGCCCTGCCAAAATTTTGGTTCAGTTGAGATCCATGATGTGGTTTATGAATGGCAAAGATAAGCGTTAAGCAAGAAGAAGAGGTCTTTGTGCTTCAGACAGAAAGAACAAAAGTAAATAACTGATTCTTCGCAATCACAGTATGTAAACCAACCCCAAAAGTGGAAGAGACACATTTCATCTAAACGAGTCGGTTATAGTAGTGACATTACCTCCAGCAAGTCTTTCTCAAGGCGTTCCTTTAGTTGCTGCACTGATGCAGTTCCACCAGAAAGCTGCGATGAATAATTGACACAGATTAATAGAACATACAAATTTAGGTACAGAATCATGGGGGATTTATATTTAGTTACAATTTGGTCTTATTTCCTTTTTTCTTTTGTAATATCCTTTCCATGTTAGTGTGGCGCAGTGGATGGGCAAAGAAGTAACTATCATACCAATATGCTACTATAAAGTTCTCGTCGGATGTCAACATCACACTTGTTTATGGACTCAATGACCTGGAAATATTCAGTGTAATTACTTGTGTGGATAAAATGAAAACCATAGAACAGGTATGAAAACAAAGTAGACATTTTTCATTAGAAGCTGTTCACCATTTGCGGAAGACCACGAGCAGAGAAAGCCATCTCGACCGAACTTTCCATACCAGGTATAGTCTGAGATGGACACCAAATTGTAGAAACCAAGTTAACAAATCATGTATAGAATGACATTCAGTTTTGGACTAGTAAGACAACAAAATTTTAACAAACATATAAAGAGCAAAATCCGGATGCCCACCTGAACTAAAGATGGATTAAATAATACATCTGGAATCTTAAATCTGTCGGCACCAATTTCAATCGTCCTACATGATCAAATTAAAAATATGAAGCAGATGATCTTGCCAAAGTGTATACGAAATATATTAGGCGAACAAGGGAAATAAAAGGAGCTATAAGTTAAAAGACAAGGACATGATGCTTTTGATATTGACCCAATTCTTAGAGAAAATGATCAGAAAGAGAAATATAAATAACTTGAGAAAAAACTCACTGTCCATCGGGAAGTTCATAAGCCGTCATGGGAATGTTTGTATATGAAGTTTCTGACCAAAATAAGCAGAGTTAGTAAAGATGTGACTATTTTGATAAACCCAAATTAATTAACAAATACCATAACTGATTTGGTTGGAACATCATCTAGTCACATTAGTCAAATTGCAGTTCATATGGTAGTAGATGGTGCAAAACCTTTCCTATGCACTATCCTATCCATGTTTTGCTAGAGAGCCAAACACTAGAAAATTCCAAAAATTGAAATTTACACTTTCTATTGTTGACGAAACCATAGTTAGATTAAGTTTAAGATCAAATTTGTTAGCCAAAAATAATCATGATTATATATATTGAAGATTCGTGTACAACTATAATAATTTATATTGCCAATGGCACCCTAGATGCTTCCATACCACAAAAGATAGAAAACTCTGGGTTTAGCATACAGGTAATTTGGTCTATGCTACTAACCAGCCATAAAGAATCCCTGAATCTCAATGAATGTAATGAAATGTTGGGGTATTTACAAGGGGAAAATATTATTGGATTCAGAACATACATGTTGTTTCATTAAAACTCTTATACATCAAAAAATTCTTAAAACTACCAAAGTGAGACAACACTCAAATTCAAGTCAAGATCATGCGATAGAATTCAATGCGTAAGAGGAAATAATGTAGATTTAAGGGACACAAACCATCATATGGAGTGTCTGGAGCTCGACATACACATTCTTTGATATCATCAACGATCACCCGCTGTGATGAAGAATGAAATTTAGGAAAAGAATTCATGAAAAGAGAGCATTCAGCTCAAATGAAATATTGACCTGGGAATAGAGTTTGTAGCTTTCAGTTGTCTTCGGAACATCAAGATCGAAAACCTGCATGCTCCAGAAGTAATGGTGGTAGTGAGCAGTAATACAAGAAACCAGAAACTGAGGCCAGACAACATAAAAAATTAACTCAATAGCTATTCACGGGTAAAGTTCAAATTACATGTAAAGAAGGTAGAGTTTCACTTGATTTCAAATATATATGGGACAGGGTGATTTTAACAAATGTACCCACTGTTGTATAACTAAATGTTACCTACAACAACCTTCACCCAAAAACTGCTGCATAGTTATAGCAGAATCAATGAATCAAGATAAAAATGATGTCAATTCTGACAATGCATATAAATTATCTTTCCATTACAGCACAGTAGAAGCTAAATAGTCTACTTACTTTCTTTATGGGACACATAAATGACACCTAATCTAAATCTGATAAAAGAGAAAAAAAACCTGAAATTCTCCAGGTCGAATTTCCTTCCGTTGAAATGCATATCGAGGCTTTATCTGTAATTTTAGATGTTAAGAAGGCTAAAATCAACAAAAGGTATTTAAATGGCATACTGACCATAAAATTTTATTTATATGTGAATTTTACATGGAAAAATAGATAAATAAATAAAATGTACACTCACTGAAATCCCTTTGTGTTCAAGACTTTTTAACAAGCAGTCAGTGAGGAATTCTCCTCCAATGGGAGAAGTTGAAACACCCTGTCCAAAAATAAAATTGAATAAAATGTCACTGAGTAAAAATTTAGAACAAAATCACATTATTATTATTATTATTATTTATTATTATTATTATTATTATTATTAGGGTAAACTGTTTTTTTAGTCCCGTAACTGCTAGGACTGGAGCCTGTCGCAAACTAGTCCCATAAGTGAAGGTTTTTCGATGTTTTAGTTCTCCGGCGCCGGAGACGCCCGCGTGGCTCGCCGGAGGCGACGTTTCCACCAAGTGTCCCGCCAGGTCAACGACACCTCGCGGACACGTGAATTTATTTATTTTTTCATTTTTTTTATTTTTTTTATTGGACTAAATAAAAAATAAAAAAATACAAATAAAATTTAAAATAAATTAAAAATAAGTTTTAAAAAAAATTTAAAAAAATGAAAGAAAAAATACGTGTCCGCGACACCTGGCGGACACGTCACCTCCGGCGAGCCACACGGGCATCTCCGGTGTCGGAGGACTAAAACAACGAAAATTTTTCACTTACGGGACTAGTTTACGACAAGCTCCACTTACGGGACTAAAATGATAAGGGGGTCCAGTTACGGGACTAAAAAACAGTTAACCCTTATTATTATTATTATTATTCAGAGGGTTAGTGCTTCAATAAGCTGAAAAAGACCTTACGAGCTATGTAACCCATAGAATGCTTTGCCACAATGTAACATCAGCCTCTCAATTCATTAAAACTAAGTAACCTCAGCCCTCCCAATTGATACATCTTAACTGAAAAATAATCCAAATGCACTACTGCATAAGGTGATCTATTGAAAATAACCCTTCTTTTTTGTTGTTGTTCTTTGTTGAGAGCATAGTAATAAAAATACATAAATAAATAGATAATAGAAGAAGGATATAGGTGCAAGTGAAAATGTGTAACTAGCATTGGCATGAGCCAAAATGTATATTCACTGCAATTTTCACAACAAAAGGGAGGCACCTTCTGAAGAACATATCCGTCTTGTACAGGAGCCACAACAGTTGACCCTCCACCACTGAATCAGGTAGGAAAGATATTAATGACAACAGTAAGAGGATGATCTCAAGAACATAGGTGGCACTGAATCTCCTACCAGTCAACAACTAAAGCAGTTGATCGTCCTGATGCAAACGAAGTGAGGACCTTGCACAAAAAAAAAAAAAAAAAAAAAAAAAAAGCGCCAAATCAAACTGTATATTCAACATAACAAAGAAAATGAAGTCTTTGAGTTGCAATCAGTGGTCAGATTGATTGATCTTAGAAAATGGAGGAAAGGCTGAAATAGAAGCTCACTGCGTTTTTAGCTAAAAATAATGCAGGAACTTGGAATTTTTCAAACATAATCTCAGCAGTCCTGCCAAACAAAGAATAATTTGGTATAAACTCAAAATCAACGATATCAGGTGAAGGAAATATTACGATAGATACAATGATGAACAACAACTCAAAGTTTTCCATTATTAGTAGACAGCATAACTGTAGTAGTGTAGTGACAATCTGATTTTAACACTTTATTTGAAGATTTGCTATAACTTGTAACAAAACTCTTAAGCATCTTGAGGCTTAATAAATATATATCACTTCACAAAAAGAAAGGACAAGGTCTACATAAAGGAGAATTCAGGGAACACACAAAGTACTGAATAATCCTATGATGTCTCTCCAAAACAAACTCTAAAAAAAAAGGCTACATCCAGAGATATGAGTAACACCAAAAGTATCTCCAGTAGATCACACTAAAATTCAGCACCTAAAAGAAAGAGATTTCGCTACCCTCCTAGCTGCATGGTTCTGTAGGGATGTAGAGTTTTGCATGTGGTTGTCAACTAGAACAATATCATGTTTCACATTTGGTCTAGAAATCATGAGCCTTATTAAATAAACTAATGTAGACATTTGCCTTACTTTTCTCTTTGGTGCTGTGTATTAGAACAAGGCTCAGCAAATAGCATTGGATGTTCCTTTGGATCAACCAAAAGGCATTTCCTGCATTAAAAGAATGTTACCGACAATGTTACCAGTGAGTCGCAAAGTACAATACACTAGAACCAAAAACATGGAAAATGGTTAAAAGTATTAAAAACAAAAAATCGATCATATAAGAACCTTAACTGAGGATGTACATATTCTTTATATATTTGAGTAGGGAAAGTAATGACACAAAGTATTTCATACCTCAAAGCATAGTCCCATATGTTATCAACCATATCCCAGTCCACTACTACTCCATCCTTGATGGGAGAAGACACCTAATAACATTGTATTTACAACTTCAGATCAATGTATAAAGGGAGAAACCAAATCTCAGAAGAATACATTGAGATAATGACCTCCATGTGGTCCCGGCGGAACCCCAAATCCTGTGATCCTATATACAATTTCCGTTTGCCCTTCATTTTAGAATCTGGAGTAGATCCGGCGGTCTTGTCTGAATTATCAGTATTTTCAACTTCCATTTCATCAATCAACCCAACAACCTAAGTTGAGACAGATTCGAAATAAGACCAAGTTACAAATGTATGCAATTATCAAATTAGCTTTTAATTATTACAGTGACTATGAACACAGAACTAACAGCTTATTATAAAACAAAGATATAAGTATAGGTCAATCTTGTAGCAAAAATTCAAAAGCATGTCAATCAGGCAACTAGAAGCTTCACAAGCATTCTCTCTCCATCTCTATTCCATTTCCCCCAGTTTTCAACAAAATTATGTTTCCGGTATCACAAACTCAAAACAAGAACCATCTACCAACAACAAAATCACACTTCGAAAAAAAATAATAAAAAACAGGTATAGTTATTCCCAACTCATATTCGTTTCAACCATTCTCCAATATCCACTTCCGGCACGCTTTTAGTGCTCGTTCTTAACAGCATTAACTAATTCGAACTCAAAGAATTAATCTAATGTTAACTAAACCCTAACATTTGAGTGTTTTGAGCAAGGTCACTCTACACTAATAAATAAGGAGAAGCAATCAGAGAAAGAGAGAGAAGAGAAGCTGTCTAACAGATGGAAAAACAGCTTTAGGGGCATCTTCACCGGCGTAACCCGCCTTGCAGGTGTGAGAGCCCAAGTCGACCACCATCGCCGACACTTCATCTGCAAAAATGAAGGAATGGTATGCATAAGTACACAACAAACATCCAAAAGGAGAGAGAAGTGTGGTAGAATTTCCGCTTATACTAATTCACTCTTACCTCCTCCGTACATGATTCGGCAGAGCGCGGCCGCTCTTCCGCCGCCTTGGTTTGGTCGTCGGAGTGATTCGAAATCGAGGGCGGGGTTGCAGACTTGCTCGACGAACTCGACTGACCTATATATACACACTAATAGATTATATATATATAGATCACATACGCTGCTGTATCGTGCTTGTACTTTTTCATCCCTGTGCATTAGGTAGTTGTACCCTCATTTTGTTTTTATTTATTTATTAAATTGAAATGTGTGATAGGGGAAAATAAATTGTTTGCCATTCAGTTTAGACGAGTTTTTGAAATTTTGAAAAAAAAAAAGAAAAATTTAATTTTGTAAAAAGAAAATTGTATTTGATGTGATTTTTTATTTTATTATTATTTTTTTTATTTTTTTTTTATTTTTTTAAGTGAACGACATATTGTTACAGTTTGTCCTAATTGGGCTAACACTAACTCTAAACCTGAGGCCCAATAAAATTGAAAATACCCCCAAAAGGCCCAGTTTCTTTTCATGCTTTTGTTTGTTTATTTATTATTTTTACTGACAACATTTCCCACTCCAAGATCTTCGGCCTTTGAAGCTGAAGGTTTTTGAACAGCTTCTACACAAATACTTCTTCCTGCGGCAAATCCAACTTGCAAATTCATTTCCAAAGCATTTTAGTGTAGTGAAGATTGGAGGTGAGTGAACGAGTTTATTCTGCGATGCTAATCGCGGTCACGTATGGTTGATAATGGAAGGCCTTCATTCTGTTCGACGGAAGTCCTAGCCGAATTTCCTTTTTCCTTACTCGTAAGTCTGTTAGTATATTTATCCTGGTTTTGTCTTAATTTTGTCCAATTTACATTGAGTTGTGATTCTGTTATGAGTTGGCAATCTGAATAGTGTTTTTTTTTTTTGGAAGTATATTGCCTTGTTAGAAGCATTATTTTCCTGGAAGAATTAAAATTGTGCATCTAGTTAATGTCGTTTTGGAGTTGTGATTGTTTAATGTTTTTCATTGTAGTTCCATAGAAACTGAAAATCAGGCAAAATCATGGTTCATGCTTCTCTTACTGTGCATTTTGGGAGTACTCTAGATGAAATTTTAATGATAGTTTTGTTGTATTAGCCTATTTTGCCAATAACACCGTGGTAGATTAATCACACAAATTAGATGCAAACTTCATTGTATGTTCAATTCAGAGCATCAATCAGTAGGTTGGATGCTATAACTGATGAATGTTGTTTGGTGCACTGTTAGATTTGCTGTTTCCATTGATGTGATCTGAATGTGCTTTGCAGATTTCTTTCCTGAAGGCTAATGTGTGAAAGAAAAACTCACAGTCCGGGCAGAGGATTCGACTATTTCCTTAATTCAGTCGACGCCATCAAGAGTGAATAAGTACAGAATGATCATCCAGATGTTACAGCTTCGACATCGAAGGGATGAGAAGTATAAGTCCGAGAGTAGAACACCCGATCCTTCACCTCTTACAAAAATGCAAAACCTTCGATACCTTGAAGCAAGTCCATGCCCAAATGATCACGTCTGGTCTTATCCTTCACACTTACCCCGTCAGCCGAATTCTCCATTTATCTTTGACTCTTGCTACCTTATCCTACACTATGACCATCTTCAACCTCGTTCAAAACCCGACCATCTTCCTCTACAATACCCTCATCTCATCACTTGTTCAAAAGGGTCAAGTCCATGTTTCGATTTCTCTTTATAACCAGATTCTCGCCTGCCCCGACCACAATCCAAACAGCTATACATATCCATCCCTCTTCAAGGCTTTTGGCGCCCGTCTATTGTTCAGAAATGGTCGAACCTTACATGGCCATGTCTTGAAGTTTCTTGACACCCCTTACGACAGCTTTGTTCAAGCCTCGTTGCTTAATTTCTATTCGAGATGTGGAAGAATAGCCGTTGCTAGATATTTCTTCGATCAGATCAGAAATCCAGATTTGGCGACATGGAACTCTATTCTCTCGGCTTATGCGCGTAATTCTACTTCGAGTGACTTATATGGAAGTACTAGTTCGTCGATGGAAGCCTTGAATTTATTCAGCCATATGCAGATGTCGTTGATCAAGCCGAATGAAGTGACATTAGTAGCTTTGATCACTGCTTGTGCCGAGCTAGGCGCTGTCGGTCAAGGTGCATGGGCACATGTATATGTACTCAGGAATAATCTTAGCCTTAATCGATTCATCGGCACGGCTTTAATCAGCTTGTATGCGAATTTGGGCTGCCTGAACGTCGCATGGCAAGTGTTCGACGAACTGTCTCAAAAGGACACATTGTGCTTCAATGCGATGATTAGAGGACTTGCGATCCACGGCCATGGACTCGAGAGTCTTGATCTATTCAAGATGATGAAACGAGAGGGCTTTCTCCCTGACGATGTGACAATACTAGCTGTAATGTCTGCTTGCTCACATGTTGGATTGGTGGAGGAAGGACTCGAACATTTCGAGTCGATGGTTGTTGATTATAGACTCGAGCCTAAACTGGAGCACTACTCTTGTTTAGTCGATCTTTTGGGGCGAGCGGGGCTGCTGGAAGAAGCTCAAGAACGGATTGCGACGATGCCTATGAAGCCTAATGCGATCGTATGGAGATCTTTGCTTGGAGCTGCTAGAGTTCATGGAAATGTCGAGATGTGTGAGGTTGCGTTGAAGAAATTGGTAGAGTTGGAGCCGGAGACGAGCGGGAACTACGTGCTTTTGTCGAATGTGTATGCTTGTACGAACAGATGGAGCGACGTGAAGAGAGTACGCCAGCTGATGAAAGACCATGGCGTCGACAAAATGCCCGGGAGCAGTTTAGTTGAGGTTAATGGCTCTGTGCATGAATTCCTCATCGGCGACAAGAGTCATCCTCGCGCAGGCGATATATATTCGAAGCTGGAAGAGATGAACATGAGGTTGCAAGAGTTCAGTCATCGGCCGCGAACAAGAGAAGTGATGTTCGACATTGAAGAGGAAGAGAAAGAAGGCGCACTTTCATATCACAGTGAAAGATTGGCTATCGCCTTCGCGCTTCTTGCATCAGACGACGATGATGATGATGGCTCTCGGCGCGCGCCAACCATCAGGATCATCAAGAACCTCAGGGTCTGCGTCGATTGTCATTCTACGACGAAGCTTCTGTCTATGGTGTATAAAAGAGAGATTATAGTTAGAGACAGAACCAGGTTTCATCACTTCAGCAATGGAACTTGTTCGTGTTTCGACTACTGGTAGATTGAATCACATATATATATATATGAATATCTTTCAGTCTGTCAAAATTCAAATTCATATTCGATTCAATTGTAGTCTACAGGTACACGACGATAAAGAATATTTCAATCTAACCAAATTATTATCCCATAAACAAAGCTTACAGCGCCCGGATTTAACACAAGAAATGAAATATCGATCCTCCGTGAATTGCAGTATAGCATGAGCGCAACAATTTCTGTCAATGTTTGGAGAAAAAACCTTGTGTCAATGAGGAGAAGTCGTAATCGCTTCCTGATTGCGAGGAACCTGATGAAAGTGAGGACGAGGTTTGTTTCCCAGCTACAGACGGCACGCTGCCGTTACCAGAAGCAGTAGGCGTCGCTGCATAGGGACTGCAACGCATGAGCCAAAGATTAGAACCCGGCACAAAAGGTTCCTTATTCATTACTGATTCGTCAAAATAAAGTAGCAGTCTCCAATATTTTTATTTCATCTCCTTATGCCAATGAATCCACAAATGAGCATACTTAAACTTCACGGTATTTTGTATGGACATATGGAAAAGGTTATCATATAATTTGAGATAATTAATCCATCAAACAATCAGTTATGTCCGACCCAAGCAAGCATATGGTTCTAAATACATTTTGAGATAATATGAACACCATACACTTCTGACATTTTACATACCTCGGCACAGGGAAAGAAGATGCATTTCCAACCGAATGAGCTGCTCCCATATTCCCCATCTGTTTCCACGGGACGGAGAAAGAAAGATTATTAGTGTATCTCATCTCTCAGGCATTCAATAATACAGAACTAAATGTTGCCCTTGTCTAATGTCTACCTGCATATATTTCTCCAAATCCACTTTTCCAGCAGTAGGCATCATCATCCCAGGAAACTGATAGCCCATGTTTGGCCAACTTTGATTAACTGTGTTGGTTCCATTAATCCCGACTTGTTGGTTCCCAGGAGGCTTTGATGCGCCACCAGAAGCATTTGCTGCGGCAGCTATTAGTAGGGATTGTTGCTGAGCTAGCATAGTAAGTTGTTGTTGATGAAGGGCATACGGTGAAACAACATTCGACTGCAATATAGATGCAGACATAAGACTAGTGGCTCTCAGCAGTACTTGGAAGTGACAAACTAGCACAATGACTGTTTAATTTGTTAAATCTATAAAAGCAACGCATAATAGCATACAAGACCGAACATTAAAACTTGACGCATCACATTTTCAAGTTGGGGCAGGGATGGGATTGTCGGTTATGCAGAGGAAGAGCTTATACTTCTCAAGCAAGGAACATACCTTCTCAAAAAGAGACATTATATCATTTTTGACATCTTTTTGTGGCTTCCCTGCCATTGTAATAGGTGTAATTGATGGTGCATCCTTAAAAAGATCTTCAATTCCAGATGCCGTTTGTGTCTTGTTTTCATCAACTTTTGTTGGGGTGGGCTGTTCTGTTGACGATGATGCATTAGCAGCTGCAAGTGAGCTATCCACCATGTTAGAAAATCATGAAAAGACAGCCTCCACAGTGTCCGCCTACCCACCCCAAACATGCATGGGCACACGGCCAACAAAGAACGACCCAACCCATAATAATGATAATGATATGTAACTGCAAGAGAGCATTTAGTGTACCCTGAAATCCTGCCCATGCATCATCTTCTCCAGATGTTTCTGTTGCTTTATCACTGGAACCATCCATAGAAAGCATGTTAAAGAGATCAGTGGCATAATCAACTTTTGGGGGAGGGGCAGCGGCAGGAGCTTGCTTTGCAGGTTCAGCATTTGCAGTTGGCTCCTTTTTCGGGATCACTTGTTCAGACACTGGAGCTGGAACAACCTGTAGCAATACAAACAAATATATTCCTGTATTTTCAGATTTTACATGAACATAAAAAACTATAAAACAAATTAATAGTGTTTTTTTTTTTTTTTTTTGTACAAGAACTTAAACACGCAGACAACAATACACCAAATTGAGAACTCAAGATCTAAAAACTACTTATGAGTCATCCTTAACTCATTCTCTACATAATAAACTAAGATACTATTCATTGTTCTAATCTCCAATACAAGAAACTTTTCTTCCAAATTCATATAAGATAGATAAATAAATAAATTATGTTGAACAAATGAAGCTGAGACATGAAAATCATTTACAAAATCAAAAACTCAATAATAGAATTGGAAAACTTATCAACACAATAAATGAAGAACAAATAATCATGTAACAGAGCATACTTGTTCTGGTCCTTTAGGAGGCACAGGTACTGATACTCTGGCAGGAATGCTCTCTCTTGTACTAGGTGCTGGAGCATTCTTCCTCAGATTGGAAGGGTTCTCAGAATGTCTGGCATAGCCCTGCCCACTACGCTCACTTGGTCTCTGTTGCTGGACAGAAGCCTTTTCTTCTACTTTTCGAGGGGGTGATTTAGGATTCCCATCCTTTGATACCCATCTCTTCTCCTCATACCTTTATTGGATAAAAATAAGTTGCAGAATCAGCTTGCGGAATCAGGTAGTAAGATGTGGAATGCATGTATTAAAGAGGATAAAACATACTTTGCACGGATGAAATTCTCAATCCCAACTCTATCATAATTTGGAGGAAGCTCGGCTTCCCAATAACTGTTTGCCTTCTCATTTCCCATGGCTGTACTTACAAACATAACATGCACTCAAAAACTTTTGAAATGGGATATTTGAACTAAGTTTTCCAGGCTTTAGAATTCTTACATTGAATAAATTCAACCTGATCAGGAAGCCATGTGTCCAGTGTAGCAGATCTCACCTGCCAAAAATAGAAAAGACACTTCAGCAATCTATGACAAATTTCAATTAAAATTAATAGTAAAGGGAGTAGGAAATATATCAACTCAGAACTGCAAAGCAGTCACTGCTATTTCTCGATTAATGAGGATACAGATATATCAACCAGAAAAGTGATTAATGAAGGCTAACCAAAAGTTCAATATTTATGTTGTTGTTAGCCAGCCAGGTAGATGGGTAAAACTAATGCATGGGCCCCAAGATTGTATTTAGCAATTCAAGCACTTCATGCATTATTCCAATAAACCAATCCATATGCACAAACATGATAAACTTAAACCACCAAGTTCACAATTGTACTCAAACAATAAACGATTTTAACATTATATTACAAGCATCTCTTTTGAAAGTAATCTACCTCCAATATAATCAGAAAACCAATCTAAGAAACGAAAAAAACAAAAAAAAAAAATAACTGTAAATTGAGATTCACCTTTGATATGTGCACTCCAAGACTTCTGTGAATCCCAGAACACTGCATGCATATAAATATACCTAAGTTCACACTCGCCCACCGAGGACCTCTGTTGATTAATAAGAAAATAGACATCAAAGGGTTAGATATAAATAAATAAATAATGCAGCATTTTACATAGGAGATCAATATCTCTCACTACAAGATGCAATATCGTAGAAAATTTAGGGTGTGTAATTCTGTTTTGATGTTTTTCAGGTAAAAATAGAGGACATGATGTTCTATATGAAAAATGAAGCTTGGTGTGATGCTTTTGGAGTGGGGTTAATAGGTTGAATAGTTAAAGAACACAATATTATGAGCAACACTTTTACTTTGTTTCATATCAAATGCAGACAAAGTGAAGTCAGAAAATCAATACTTACTTGCATTTGCAATCAGCACATTCCCTGTTTTCAGGCAATTTAAGAAGCCCTTCCAGAATCTGATAATACAGATATAATAGTGAGCTCGCAGGAGAGAACAGGCAGATTAAATTAAAGCGGATGAACTGTAATAGTGCACAGAATCTTATAGTTCTGGATAGCAATTGTACTAAGCAAATATGAATGATAAGAGCACAATGGAAGACTTCAACAACACTCCTTGCCATCTAAGCTGTAGCGGTGCACATGAATAGAAGCTTGGAACATGAGAAATCATTTCAAGTGATACAAATCTGAGTATATATGCAATAGACGGCATGTACGAGCACCATCTTCACCACATTCGGGAAATGGTTCAGATGCTGTGTAATATTTAGTAATCAAATACTTGATATTGATCAAAGCTCTCTAAAGCTTAAGCTAAGGACCATCATCATTTAATTATTAAAATTGGTCCAATACTCAACGGAATAATATTTAAATTATGACTTGCATAGCCTAATTGCTATCATGAGAGCTTCGCATCAAATTTTATAGATAGAATCTTCCAAACTTAATTATCACAACAACAAAAACGCTTGTTCGAAATTCTCATCAATCCAGATCAAACAGAAAACAATCCTATCTCTGAAGAAAAACAAACGAATCAAATTACCAGAAACTTGGATAAATCATATACCATCTGATCAATAGAATCTTACAAAAATTTCTCAACCATAACGCCACAATCATCAATAACCTCGACACAATATAAACCAGATGCAATAATTCAACCGACATACGTCAACCATACAAAATCAATCATTACCCAAAACAAACAACCAAACAAACAAATCCAGATTTAACCGAGAGCGTGAATCAAATGACAACCCCCGCGATCGGAAACAACAAGATCGGAGAAATTACAATGATCACGAAACAAACATACCTTCCGGTGCTTGGCGTTGAGCTCCTTGGACACGCCTGCCTTCCCGTTCATGGTGGCGGCTCCAATCGCAGCCAAAGGAGAATAGAGACGGAAGAAAGGGGGCAGGAGGAGGAGAAATAGAAGATGGACGGCTGCGATGCTCTCCACTCCCCTCTTGCTCCCGCTGAGAACCGTCGGATTAGAAAATGATGGAATTAGATCGACGAAACTTGGAAATCCAGAGCAATGGCCACCCGGTGGTGTTCCATTTAGAATTTATTTATTTATTTATCATCTGTCTCTCTGTCATCTCTAATTTTTCTGTGTTTCTAAATTATTATTATTATATTTTTGAGAGGTCTTATTATGCGTGTGGACTATCGAACCCCGGCTCGGCGTGTATCTTACTTAGCGCGTGTCAGTATGCGTCACAAATATCTAATTTGCTGTCGACACGAAATTTTCCATTTACAGTTTTTTATTAAATAAAATAAAATATTACATAAAAATATTTTTGTTATATTGTATATTTATTTAAATATAATTCAAATTTTGTGTTATTTAAATTTTAAAATCGAAGTTCAAATTTTCAGTCAAACATATCTTATATATTACTACATTATTAATGAAATTTTTATAATTTACAAAATATTATTCTTTTAAAGAAATTTCTACTGTTCTTTTGAATGGGATTTTTTTTAATTTAATAATAAATTAAAAAATAATACTCAAATATTATTTTATTAGTACTATAAGATATTAACTTAAGTTTGATCAACAAGTAAAAAATAACCGATACCTTAGAGCCGAGGAGGTAATAACATTTTATTGGTTAGGAAAAATGTTAGGGTTGGATTATCGGTTAGGAAAAGTGTTAGGGTTGGAAGGGTCGAGATCCTGGGTCAAAACATTGTCCAATCTATTCAGTTCACCCAATGGAGATACACCATATGTATTTTAGATTTTTTTTTACTTTCTCACCCTCCCTCTCTTGTTCTTCCGTCCAATTCGACAATTTTTTCCTCTCTCTTCGAAATGATTCCTACCGGCCACCAGCCGTGTCGGAGTTGAAATCAGGTGGCGGCTGATCCGGCAAACCAGAGGTGGGCTGGATCGAAATCTTATCTTGGAAATTGAATTGAGACAAATCTGGTCAGAATGATTTCGATGTCCAGTCGAATTGGACGGAAGAATGAGACAGGGAGGGTGAGAAATTAAAGAATTGAAGTACACATGTGTCTCTACATTGGGTGAACTGAATAGACTGGGATATTTCGACCTACGATCCCGACCTGTTGAAGGGTGTGATTGTTGTAGGTTTGGGGTTTGAATTTTTTAATAATAAAAAATTAAATTTGAATAATTATCTTATATGATATAAATAGTCGATGATGTAATAATTTAAATGTAAAATAAATTTATAGTATAATATTAAAAAAATATATTTAATTTGATATTTTTTTAAAAAAAATAAGTAAAAATTAATAATATTTTAATTTAATTTTAAATATAAAATTAATTTTTAATATAATATAAAAAAAAAAAAATAATAAGCAAATGATTTGATGTTTAGACGGTAAAAAATATTTGATTAACAGTTGGGAAATATCCCAAACAAACATAACCATAGTTGATTCGATTAGGGCTTTACATTCGACGGAGTAGTAATTTTACTAAGTTCGCCGGAATCTGTGAACTGCGGCGGCTGTAAATTTATTCGTTATTTTGGCGGAAGATATGGATTCGCAGAATGATGTGGATGTTGCTAAGCAAGAGCGGATTTCGAAGCAGATCAGCAACGAAAAGAAGGATGCGGCAGTGAATGAGGAGTTGCAGAGGATGAGACGTTTGCCTCCCAATAGTAGCTACGCCTCTCACCGGCTGCGCGTCCTCCACAAGATCGCTCACCTCCTCTCCCTTGAGGTTCGATGCTTCCTCTTGAAATTTGATGCAATCCATTAATGTGTTTGGAAACTTAAATTGAGGTTTCATTATGATTCACTCATCCAACTTGTCTATATGCTCAAGTGTTTAAGCAATTAGGTTTGTGATAATAATTATAATATTAACATTACTGAAGATGATTGCTTCCAATTCACAAAATATGGTCTAGAGAGTTTTGATTGAGAGGTTTAGCCGATGTTATGCATATCGAATAAATCGCTCAAAGTTGTCAGGAAGAAAGTGCAAACTTAAATCGACTCATCTTTTTATTCCAAGATGGTAGCAGACGCACACAATTGAATTTGAATATAGTCTAAACATCAGCTCGGATCCTGTTGTAATTTTTGTAACAGTTGAAACCTATTGTCTGGGTGGATTTCATATAGGATTGAACTTGATTATATTTACTTTTCAATTACCTTTAGAGAGAAATTTCCCATACAAATTATGAACTTGCTGAATAAATTGCTCCATTATAATGCCTTGGGTATATGCACTTATAGTCCTCTTGAGTTTCAAGAATGTAATCAACCTTTCTATTTTTGATCAACAGAGAACTTCCTCACAGGATGAGGAGTTGGAGTTGCTCTTCGCCGGACTTCATATCTAAGAAATGGATGCTACAGAACTGGTTAGCTCATCTGGATTTTTCCATGTTTCTGTTTCTCGTTATCTTGGATGTTGCATATATATATATAACTAGACCTACCACACTTGTTCAACAAGATTTTTGTTCTATTTTTACTGCTTCAATATCATTTGTTGGGAGGAAGTTGAATTGGGTATATTATTCCTTTCTAGATTTTTGCAAGCCAACACCTAGTTTTGGTAAGTAATTTGACGAATAAGTTTTACATAACCACATTGTTATAGTAGTATTTTTGTCTATCCTTCTCGCTAATGTGTCGATATAGCCATTGGAAACTCACATAAGCATGAAGTTATTCCACACCCCTGGTGCTTCCATTGTTTACTTACTGAATTCCTATCTAAGTTTAAGGTAGCCTATTTCATTTCACTTCATATACACGTCACACGTGAACCAGTGTAATAAGAGTTGTCTTGGAGGTTACGCACACAGCTAAAGCACGAGATTCATGAGAGAAAAGTGCACGTTCGATTGTCTACAGTTACTAACCATCTGTTTCGCGACTCAACATTCATTGCCTAATAAGATTTTTTGACAGAATTCTTCCACCCCATATCAGCGGTGCTGGATGAGAACCTGAAGATACTACCAAGAATGCGAATTTCGGTGTTTACTAATTGAGGTATGTAGTATATAGGCATTGTAGAGTTATTAAACCCCGATAGTACTGAGTTGTATTTTTGTGTATATTGGTGTTGCTTCATCGTGCCAGCATTTTGTGTTTTGGGCGCTGAATTGTGCAGCTGTGCATGCTCTTTGGATCATTAGATGTATAACATCTTGAACAGAGGAGATTCAATTATAAATAAGAATCTAAAATTATAAATTAATTATTTATGTTCAATAAAGTTCAACTTTTTTTAAAAAAAAAAAAAAAATCTCAGTACAATCAGGATTATTCGATGAAATTACAACAATAATATGATATTCGTATTACTGATATTTTTAATCGCCCTAGAAATAGAATGGGTGCAGCTTTAAGAGCATACCTATATTCACCGGTGTATATGAATGTTGAGAAGAAAATGTTACTATTTAATTGCAATGTTGTATTAATAAATATAGTTACATTTAGCAGAGCATCAATAAAAAGTAGCAGTAGTTATCAGCAGCATAATGAAACAAAGTGGCCCATGTATGGATATGATATAGTATCTATCTATCCACAGTGGAAGCAAAGCAATGACTAATGAGCAAGACAGGCACAGGCACAGGCACTAACATAGAAGACAGGCACAGGCACTAACATAGAGACAGGCATCAAATCAAATCTTTAGTTATCAACATATAAACAATAATTTTAGGATGGATCATTACATTCTTATTATCATAATGATCAACACAGCAGCATACTTAGGAAAAGAATCATCATCTTCCTATTCATCTTCATATTAGAAGAAATTGGCAGACTGCAATGCAAAATGAATGCAAATCAATACCATAAATAAATACATAAATACATACCTCCTCTCTTGCTTTTGCTTCCTTTCTTCTTTCATGGAGAATCAATCAATAATTTTGTATCAATTAAAAACCAAAACTTCATCAGCAGCTGCATCTGCTATGGTGTGGTTTGTATTTCATCCCCTTCACTTAATCTAACTTCCATCTTACATTACCTCCCCCTCGGATTCACTAGCTGTGAGAAAACGGCGCTGGTCGCCGCATCCTCCCCGTCGTCATCCGTCGCAGAATGCGCGCCGCCATCGATCATGCTCACGCTGTTGTCGAACGGAGTCAGAGGGATGCCGGGGATGTGATTCGTGCTGTTGTCGTCCGGCTCCAAGAGAGCTGATGACGTTTCCTCCAATTGAAGAGCGTATTCCAAGTTCCACAGAACATCTCCCATTGACGGCCTATCGACGCCGTGTTCTGCCAGGCACTTCTCCGCCGTCTCCCCGAACTTCTTTAACGAAGCCGGGTTCACCTTCCCGACGAGGTTCTTGTCCATGATCTGATCCAGCATCGCCTTCTTCTGCCACATCATCGCCCACTCGGCAATGTTGACTTGCTCGCGAGGAAGGACGGGGTTCAGGGCGGGACGCGTACACAGCACCTCCATGAGGACTACCCCAAACGAGTAGACGTCGGATTTCTCCGTGAGCTGTTGCCGCCGGAAGTACTCGGGGTCAAGGTACCCGAAGCTGCCCTTTACGGCGGTGCTCACGTGAGTCTGATCGAGTGACGGCCCGGTTTTGGATAGGCCGAAATCAGCGACCTTGGCAACAAAGTTTTCGTCGAGAAGAATGTTCGTAGTCTTTACGTCACGATGGATGATACTTTGGGCTGCCCCGGTGTGGAGGTAATGCAGCCCCCGGGCAGCGCCGATGCAGATCTCGAGACGCTGTTTCCATGGCAGAGGTGGGAGTTCCGTCCCATAGAGATGGCTGCGGAGAGGACCGTTAGCCATGTATTCATAGACGAGGATCATCTCCGACCGTTCGTCGCAATAGCCAATGAGAGAGACCAAGTGACGGTGTCGAAGCTTGGACAGCATTTCGATTTCGGTTCTGAATTCTGCGAGGCCTTGCTCCGACCTCGGATTCCCTCTCTTGACTGCCACTCGAGTCCCGTCTTCGACGGTTCCTTTGTAGACCCGACCAAAGCCACCGACGCCAAGAAGCAAGCTCTCGTCAAACTTATTTGTCGCATCCATAATTTCTTGAAATGTGAAGAACCGGCCGAGGTTGGCGGACGCCAGTGAGATGCCGCTAGCAGTGCCACTCTTTTGGGAAGTAGTCGACATTTTTGTAACCGTCAGAGAGTATAACGGCAGCGGCAGCCATGGGATGCCTGGCGGAGCATCCTTAGATCTTCGAGCTACCACACAGAAGTAACACAGACCGATAAACAACAATACACCAAAGGCACCGGTGGCACATCCAATTATGATTGCCGTTTTCTGCTTCTTCGGAGGCAACACGAGGAGAGCATCCACAGACGAAAGCCCGCCCAAGCTTCTAGCATCATTGCTCAGTTTCATTATCTCGAGCCCATTCAAGATAGCGTTGCTGTCATCCGTGGTTGTATCGGGACCTACACTGACAGTCAGTGTGTTCGAATCAGCCGAGGCTCTGGCCACAAAATCCCAATACACCGGGACGTCCAAGATACCTGCTTGATTCGATAGATCCAGGCTTCCAAGGGCAATGTCTGTGTTGATATACACATTGAATATCAAGCTGTTCAAAGATTTGCTCACAATGTCGCAGAAATGAACTCTGATGAAATATAAGAAGCTCGGATCAACCGGGAAGACCCAAGTCATGTTGAAGTTTCCGTTGACAACATTTGCTTCGCCCATGTTTTCAGCAGTAGCGTAAACATAGTTGGGCGCTATTTCCGGCGATACATTGTTCATGTACTTTATATTCATAGGATCGACTGAAACATTCTCTGCAGAGCTGTTCACATGAAGATAAACAATGTCATTCTCCCAAGTTCTTCCCAATGTATCATTCTGCGCCGTGACAAGAGGACCGCCCATATTCAACCGATAAACAGTTTCTAATGCCAGCAGAGAAATACCGTTGAAATGTCCAGTCGGGGAGACTGACACCGCCTGATCGGGAATCAAGAAGTCCGGGACAGACACAACTTCAATAGCATTGATGAAAGCAACAGAACCGTTCCCGGGAATGAAGGTGACCGACAAGCTATTGGCGGTGACATTCACTGCATACTCCTTGAAGAGGTAAGAACCATTGTTAGAGCTGAAACTGAAGTTATGTAGAAGAACAAAATCCTCTGTAACAACTGTAAATGACGCCGAAGTCAGATTGTGGCGCGGGAGAGGATAGAGATGAAGGCGAACCCAATGCCGCCCTTGTTGCTTGATGTCGAATCTGTAGGATGTCGTGCTTGTGAATATTCTAGCAGAGTGATGAACAGCAAGTGGTGTGGAGGAATTTGAGGTAGCAGAGAAGGAATTCCCCAGCTGGCTTTTGAAAGAGACTGAGGGTTGAATTGAATCAGGAATGTAAGTCTGGCCAAGGAATGTTACATTGTGTGGAGATCCACAGGCAATCAGATAGTTATCAGCAGGAGTAAATGCAGCATGAGATACAAAACTGGAGATGAATCCAAGCACAATTAGGGCTACAACTACACTTCTTCTCCATCTCTTCCCATCCATGGCTTCCCAAGCAACAGAAGCGCCGAATCCACTTCAAATTAGGTTCAACTCAAAAAGGAAAAGTTTCTAAATCCAGCGATGGATCGGGAGGACGCCGAAATTGAAAATTCTAAATCTCAAACGAACCACACCAACACTTAATTTCCTGCTTCGATTCCGCCGAAATAGATAAACCTAAAAAATAAAATTCCAGATCTACTCAGAGAAATGCTCGCTCAACAACAGAACACAGAGCAAACCGAACTAGCAATCGAAGTTTCTAGAAAACACAGCAGCATTGCTTCGAGAAAATGCATCGACGATGCGATAAAGTTAAATCAGATCAAAAGGACGGCGAGGATCAAAGCAGTTACCTCACGTCACGTCACGGAACGAAGCTCAGTGAATCCAGCGAAGGCTTCAGATGCAAAATGCATTTACGCCAACGCCATAACTGAAATAACTCACCATTTTGAAGCAGAAGCGGCAGCAGCAGCAGCAGCCGCAAACTGCAACAGCTCTTTCCAGGCTGTTGATTAAGCTGTCAATTTACAGAGAGCAAAAGGAGAGAGTTGCCATTAAATTATAATTAGAGAAAAAAAAAAAAAAAGGGCAAAGGACCCACACAACACAAAAACAAAGCCTCAAAACCCCATCCTCCTCTCCATTTGCAATTTGCAAACCAGCTGTTGTCTGCAGATGATGATGATAATGTGGCTGTGATTTGGATTTCCCCCTCTCTCTCTCTCTCTCTCCTCTCTCCTCTGTATTTTTTGGTATTAAAAAAAAATAGACATTGAGGAGAATGTGAGTTCCTGAAATTGCCATGAAAGCGCCGCCCCGCCTCTGGGGCCAATTTTCTTTCTTTTTGTAAAATAAAATAATAAAAAATAAAAAATGAAAATTGAGGAGAAGAGGAAATGTGCTTCGCTGGGATTAACGAAGCTGGGGGACCGTACGTTAACGCGTTGCTGGGGCAGGGACAGATATGACGGCGTTAAGTAACGGAGAGGTGACCATGGCCATGTGTGTCTGAATTAAATGAGTGTAGTTAGTTAGTGACGTCTGTTAGTGTAATCATTTTAATTAAGTTAATAATTATTGTGGTTATTGAAGGAAGCATAACATAATTGAACTTTTTTTAAAAATAAAAAATAAAAAATTCGCTTATTTTTTAGGCAATTTGGTGGTTTTAAGTTATAACGTAACTATTTTCTTTAGTAGATATTAATAATTGTTTTAAAAAATATATATCTCAGATTAAAAGTAGTAATATTATCCTCATTTACATTTATGCCTTTTTTCGGATTGTTATTTAAAAAAAAAAAGAAAAAAATATTAATATTATTATTATTAAAGTTTATCCCTGAGTACTATACGTTAATAATATTTCATAAAAATACAAAGCAAAATTTCTAAATGGACTTGACTATAGGTGGAAAGGGACAGTGAAGAGAACGGCGTGAAGACGTTAGGCGCCGTGCATAAAAGGGTACTCAAATATTAATATTATTAAATTTATAGTATTAACGAACATGCAACATCATTTTATTTGTTTTTTTTAATAATTACAGTATTTATTTATTTATTATTATTGTTTGAAGAAAAAATAAAATGTAAGCGCTTTTAGTGTAACCGCTCTCATCTCATCACATGTGCATTCATAATTATCGCCCTTCTATTTACCCATTCTTACCTTTAAATCATAAATAAATAAATTAATTAAATTATATCATTTTAGATATATATATATATATAAATTTTGATTAGATAAAAAAATTTAAAAGTTCTAGAATAATTTCAGAAATATTAAAATTGATAAATAATATCAAAATTTTTAAATTGACATGTATAAATGAAGTCATAATTATGGCATGAATGTACGGTGGAGTGAGGAAATAAATTAATAAATATGAAAAATAAAACATATTAAAATTTAAATTCCAATGGAATGATAGGCATGTCAAAGCCCATTTTTATGAGCTAAAGGCCCAATAAACCTGATTGGCAAAATTTTGTACTTGAAAGTATTTTATCATAAAACGTTGGTTGCAATCATTTCACAAAAATCTAAGGATGGCAATGGGTTCGAGTAGGCCCGAGACCCGACTTGACCCATTTATTTGAGATCGGGTCCAATTATATAGGCATTGGATTCAGGTCCAAGTCGGGTATTGTGTATCCTTGTCGGGTTCGGGTCGGGTCTTTGGTCCAATGATGGACCCTATCCGGACCCGGATCCGACTAATATATTACTAATATATTAATTATATATATGAAAAAATTAATTTTTAATAATATAAATTATATTAAAACTGTGCTTTTTAGTTTTCTTTATTTTTTTTATTATTTTATTATAAAATTTTTAAATAAAATATATAAATTTTAATAATGTCGGGTCTGTCTCCGAGTTCGGGTCCAATTTTAAATTAAATTTTAAAAATTAAAAAAATAATTTCGGGTCCATCGGGTCTTGCGAGTATTATTCGGGTCGAGTCCGGATATGGTCGGATCCGGGTATAATCAGGTCCAGTTCGGATCTCGGGTCCAACTATGTGTATTCGGGTCGGGTTTCGGGTCCGACCCATCTATAAATAAATAAATAAATACTCCCTCCGTCCCAAACAAGGTGCAACATTTACTTTTGGCACGAATTTTTAGGTGGGTAATATTAAGTAGGATAATTTAGAAATTAGGTAATGTGATGGAAAGAGAAATATATATTTTATTTTTTATTTAGATGATGTGAGAGGATAAAGTATGGAATAGAGATTAAATATAATTAATTATTATAAATGTTGCAGGATGTTTGGAACATACCAAAAAAGAAATATTGAAAAGTATTTTGGACGAAGGAAGTACATGAGACCAAATTGACGGAAAATAAGTATAAATTTAAATAATAAAGGAAGTATTGTTTTTTTTAAAATCAAATGTTTAAATTTGGTTTCCATAGACAAAAATAAAAATAAAAATAAATAAAAAAGAAAACCATTGGTCGAAATTAAATTAATTGGTAAGGTTTAAATAAAATGTTGAAATATTCTAAAAGTTGTAAGATAAATTTTTTTAATTAAGTAACAACTTGTGATGCATTAATATTTAGTACATTTAAAAAGCAATAAAAATAAAATTTAGGGAGTGCACTGCTGACTGCTGTAATTTATAACACATTTAGCTAAACCTCTCCAGATGCAATAAAATTTCTACGACCCTTTTTGGCAAACACCACGTGGCGTGGAGTAATGCACCGGCAGCAGCCGGCTACCTACCCTAACCTATGACCCTACCCTACCCCACTGTCATAAATTCATGCAACGTACAACTTCATGAACGCAACGTACAATACAAGTATTTTTTTTAACAAAATCCGTCTCATAATAAAGTATTTATTTTTTCATTTTAATTCGTTTCATAACAAAGTAACCATTTCATTTTTTAATAATTGTACTATCTACCTAACATTACAAATACCCTTACAACTTATAATATGTTACACAAATGTCGTTACCTTTATATCACACATACTAATAAGATTATTTTAGTCGTTTCTATTTTATTCTTACTATATTCCAATATAATACTAATATTTCTAAAACTACGTGCAAAAAGCAAATGGATATTTAGTTCCGGGACGGAGGAAGTATTAATTTTCTTCCGTTTTATAACAAAGTATGCATTTTTCTATTTTAGTCCATCCTATAACAAATTATTCATTTCATTTTTTTAGTAACTATACTATCTACTTAACATTACAAATATTCTTACAACTTACAATGTATTACACAAATGTTATTACATTTATATCACACATACTAATAAAAGTTATTTTAGTCATTTTTATTTTATTTCTACTACATCCATATATAATATTAATATTTTTAAAATTACGTAAAAAAAATAGTAGATATTTAATTACAGGACGAATAAAGTATTTTTATTTTATTTTTATTTTTTTCAAAACTTTTATCCTAGCCTTGAAGGCTGCTTTTACATTATATTTTTAATTTTTCTCTATTTACTCATTTAATTTTATAAGTGGAAAATCGTTTTCATATTTATTGATTTAGGGCCATCGATGAAAATAAAAATTGATTAACAATTTGAAGAAATTTAGAATTGACTTATTGGAACTTCAGTACAAATTCATTAATTTCGAATTTGATAGATATCAAATTTGTAAGTTCAGTCGAACACTTCTAAACCTAATTAATGTCTCACCAACTAATTTAGGACATGTAATTAATTATTTATAGTATATTTTTTTTCTACCTTAAAAAACAACAGACACACAAATTCTATTAAAATATCGCAAAATATATATATATATATATATTTATCTAAAAAAAAATGTACATATTCCAACCACAAATAACTAAATCCTAAATTTATAATTTATAATTTATAATGTTTTTATTTGTGCATAATTAGAAATAGGTCAATTAATTATGGTGGGGTCCATTTGTCACTTGATCGTTATAAAATTGAATGACAATTTGCTCATTTATTAAATTAAACTTTGATTTTCTGGTACCTCCGGCGATATTTTATACTTCCTCCGTCCATATACCGTATATAGTATACTATAGACACGGTATTTTAGAAGGAGTGTAATTAGTAGATAACTAAAAATATATTAGTAAAAATAATTATTTTATAATATAAATAATTATAAATTAAGATTAAAATAACTAATTAGTTTAATTAAAATTTAAAAAAAATAAATGAGATTAAAGTGTGTAATTATTTTTCAAAAAAAAAGAAAGTGACACGGTATGTGGGACCGACAGAAACGGCAACGTGGACATAGTATCTGAGACTGAGGGAGTAATATATTTCATAGCAGAAAATTATGACTTATTAGTACTATTATAATTAATCTATTTTTTTTTTTTAAAAAATAATAATTTTAACAATGTTGCTTTCCATATAATTAGAAGACAAATATTGTTTAAATGATAATATAGTTTAAATATGTTTGTTTTGATTTTAAATTAATATTATTTAATTTCGTGCAGTTTCCAAAATAATGACAAACAAGCTTTATATATATTTATTTATTTTTAAGTATAATAATCTGGTTTATAATAAAATATTAAATTATTAATCATTGAGTTGAACAAATACTAATTCTAATTCAAATAAAATAATTACCCAAAGACTCTGAGTTCAGATAATTGCAATAATATGAAACATTTGAATCACAATGACTTCGTACGCTAACACCGACTTTTTCGAAGAAATTTTGTACAGCGGCTTTTTGAAGATATTGTTATTTAAATATTAAATTGGAAAATAAATATTGAATAAATTTTATAATTGGGTTTTAAATATTAAAATAATATATATAAATAAAGTGGAAAGGAACATGTCTTAATAGACTTTGGCCTTTGACTAAACTTAGCCCGCCGCGATTGCCGCTACCTAATTAATTGTAATTTTTCGTCTTCCCATTTATTTATTTAATTAACGCACTTGAAAATTCTGCAACCGAAATGACCAATATGCCCCTATCCGATATAAAATCATATACCAAAATTACCAAAATTAAAATTAGTTTTTATAAAAACTGAATTTTATCTAATGGTTATAATCGTTAAGAATTTATTCACTCTTACCCATTATTGAAACGTTAGATTGTAATTTAATGGTTAAAATTCGATTGAAATTGGTTTAAATGTATTTTAAATGCACACCAACAGAATAAATGCACCTTTAATGTATGTAATCTTATTTTGGTGATGGAAATGGCAATTAAGGTAGTAACAATTAGGAGTAATTAGCATAGGAAAAATAGTAATTAAGGCATGGAATAAATTTCACCGTGGGTGTAATGTAAAATGAGCAATGGCGAATCTGAAGACGCGTGAAAGTGAGAGAGTGAGTGCAGAATATTCAACATTCTGCTGTTCCCTCTTTCTATTTCTTGGAATAAATTTCTCTCTTTTTCATCACTGTCCATTATTATTCACTTTCTCCATCTTCGTCTTCTTCGTCTTCTTCTTCTTCTGTTAACTGAAAACAAACCCTAAAAAAGGGTTGTTTAATTGCTGCCCTGCTTGATATCTCCATTCAACAAATTACTCTGTCACTTCATTTCATTACATTGGGGGCTCTGATTTCTAGCCCCACTGAACCATCTCTCTCTCACTCTAGAACTTGTCTTATTCTCTCTCTCAGACTGCGATTTCACTGATAACAAAGTGTACTTACTTACACACTTCCTGCTACTCTGTCCTGCTCTTAGATTAGATCTGTTTCCGGACATGGCCGCCCATATATTCATCTAATCCACTCGGGATTTGGGATCTCATCTGATCTGATCTGATCCGACGGCCGGAGCTTCACATACAATGGGGAAATCCAACGGCCGAGATTGGACGCAGATCTACGCGATCTACGGCGTGGATGAATGGCAGACGCCGGCGTTCCTCCTCGTCCACGCCGTCGTCTTCTCCGTCCTCGCCCTCGCCTTCCTCCTCTACTTCGAACCCATCTGTCTCCTCCTCCACCGCCTCCTCCCCCCCGCCGCCGCCCGCTTCGCCGCAGGCTTCACCGGCTCCGTCACCGCCATCTCCGCCGTCTGCCTCTTCTTCGCCGGCGCTAATTTCCTCTACTCCGCCGTCGCCCTTCACTGGGAAATGTCCCAGCGCATCGTCTCCTCCGTCCCCGACTGGTCCTCCGTCAAGCACGCCCTCGACCTCGGCTGCGGCCGCGGCATCCTCCTCAACGCCGTCGCTTTACAGCTCAAAAAATCCGGTTCCTCCGGCCGGGTCGTCGGCCTCGCCCCGACCCACATCCACTCCCTCAACCCGACCCGAACCCTCCAAACCGCCGCCCTCGAAGGCGTCCAGGAATACGTCACTTGCCGGTACCGTAAATCCATACATCCATACATACATATACATATATATACATATAGCTCTAATTCAAAATAATTGTAAACCCTAACTTTTAGGGGCGGCGATCCGACGAAGCTGCCGTTCAGCGACAGCTACTTCGACGTGGTGGTGTCGGCGGTGTTTGTTCATAAGGTGGGGAAGGAGTACGGGTCGAAGTCGGCGGCGGCGGCGGCGGAGCGGATGCGCGTGCTGGGGGAGGTGGTGAGGGTGCTGAAGCCGGGGGGGGCGGCGGTGGTGTGGGACGTGGTCCACGCGCCGGAGTACGTGCAGCGGCTGAGCGAGCTGAGGATGGAGGAGATACGCGTGTCGGAGCGCGTGACGGCGTTTATGGTCAGCAGCCAAATTGTCTCCTTCCGGAAGCCACGTCAGCATATTGTGGGCCCCGGGGAAGTCAGACTCGACTGGAGTTGGAGATTCAACCATCTCGGTTGACTTTGTTTTTCTTCTACTAGTCTTCTACTACTACTACTGCTACTCTACTACCTATTATTATTATTATTATTAAAAATAAAATAAAATAACAGGAAAAATGGATGTAAATTAGAGGATGAGTAGTGGAGGATGGATACGACAAAAATAGGTCTGGGGACGCGAAGTGGAACCAGATGAATAGATAGATGGACATTCATCCGTACACTCACTAAGACAGATTGTTACAACACAAAAATCGATATAAACTTTATGGAATTGATGTTGATATTATTACGCTTAGTATTTTATTTTTTAAATATATTTGTTTTTCTTTTTTAATTGAATTTAAATGTAACGGTGGGTTTGGTATATAAAAATTGAGATAGTAAAATAAAAATATTTAATTTTTCTTAATTAAAATTTGAAAAATAAAATATTTCTCATTTTATATGATCATTTATCTCTTAAAAAGGAAATATAAATGAATATATGATGAGTGTATTGAGTTTAACCCTTTTGGTTCGTTATCTACTATTATCTATCTAATATTTTCAAATATCATTCAAATTTATAATATATTATACAAATATAATTATATTTAAATAGATATGAGATAGATGAAGTATTTATTTACATCTATTGTGAGTTTACTGAATTATACAGTGTTTATTAAATTTTGTAAAAAAATAAACTAGTAGCTTACCTTACCCATAAACTGAAGAATGGAATGCACCATATAAATGATACTTCCTCCGTCCTAAACACCTGCAATATTTTTATTTTTATTTTTTATTCCTAATTCATTGTAATTTTTTTAAATTTATAAATAATATTTTTTGTTTGGGACAGAGAGTAAGTAATATTTTATATTGAGTCATTATAATTATTATTATTGTGAGTAAACAATTGTCTCAGCCGGGTCACTGCGACTGATTCAAAGATATATAAACCACAAACTGTTCATTCAAATATATAAATAAAAAATGTTCAAACATAGCAGGTCCCATGGTCTAGTGGTTAGGACATTGGACTCTGAATCCAGTAACCCGAGTTCAAATCTCGGTGGGACCTTCGACTAAGCATTTTTACAAGTTATTTTTTGATGGAAGGATGATCAGTCTGCTATGGATTAGGCTTTTGGATGAGGCGCGCCAAAACCTCCAGCTTCCATTCATGGCGTTCCCTCTATCCGTTTCCTTTCTCTGCTCCAACAAAATTTCTCCTCAATTCTCCCCCTCCTGCTACTACTACCGTTCCACTCGCAAGTCCGATTCTATGCTCGCGGTTCGTGTAGGTTTTCTTTGCAATGGAGTTCCTCGAGAACCGTCCCGCCGTCTTTGGCCGGAATTCACCCACATTTTGGCGACAAGGAGTGATGCATCAATGGTTAGTCTAACTTGATCCCTTCCGAGAGCACTTGGTTTGTGTGTGTGTGTTTTTCGTAAAGATGAGTAGCAATCGGTGAATATGTTAAATGCAGCTCTGCGTTTTGTTTTCTTGTGTCGGTGATTGTGGTGTTCTGCTTTAGATGTTGGAATCTGCTCTAGGAATTACTTCGAAATATCGTTCGACTTTTGCGTGCGGGATTTCACCTGAAGAACCCTAATTCTGCATTAATAATCAACACAATTGAAAGAATGGCATGATATGATGCAACAACATCTGAAGGAATGGAAATATTTGTGTGGGGATAGTCTCAGATTTTGCGTTGTAGATAGCAACGGAGTAGAATTTTGATTATCTATACTTGAAAAAGCGTCAAGAAGCAGGAATTGAAATTCCACAGTTTAGTTCATACACTACATTGTGGGCTACGAGTTTCTGTGTTTGGAAGTCAATGTTTATGTCTAAATTATAGGGTCTCCTGCCTCGGAGAGCGGCCGGAACTGCAAGCTGTAGGGTTTCTTTGTGTGGATGCTAATCACATCCGGAATTGACATCTCCATTTCTTCACATATATTGTTAGTCACGCAGGAGCTAAGGAATGAGTGCGATAATGGTTCGAATTTGAAGGAATGGATGGAGGGAGGGAGAAGGCTGCTGAAGAGTGCCTTTGCAGCTGTGATTATTTTTCTTCAGTTGTCATTCTCAGTACCTTTGATGGGTCATGAGTCTTGGCTCACTTTTCCTGCTGAAGCAGTGCTTTATTCCCCGGAAACTAAAATTCCTCGGACAGGAGAACTGGCTCTTAGACGGGCAATCCCAGCCAATCCAAACATGAAAGCTATACAGGTCTAAGGGCATTTTTGTAATATAATTGTTGTGAAACTTCATTAATTGGGCAAAGTTAAAAAACCTACGCTTCTGCTAAAGGATTCTCTGGAGGACATATCGTACTTGCTGAGGATTCCGCAGAGGAAACCATATGGAACAATGGAGGGCAATGTCCAGAAAGCTCTGAAGGTAAACCATGAATTGCTTTCTTGTATAATCAAATTTGTATGAAGGATAAGTAATACTTGTATATGGGCAAAGTTAACAATTTAGCTGCTTCGTATAGTGTGCACTAGTTCATTTCCTTACCTTATGTTGACTATATTATTTGAGTTTCAAGATCGTGAAGGCTGATTATGCTGAGACTCCTGTTTGTGTGTGTGTTTCTTCCTGCATTGCTCTTGCATCTGCCATTGGTCTTATTACTTAATATCTATATGGTTGAAAATTGGTTACTTATTATGTGATTAGACTTCCAGTTTTGGTGAGGATTGAATTCTATTCTTCGGGTGTGTTTAGTGTGAATAAATTGCTTTATCCATCCTAGTCATATGTTTACTTTGATGTAACATAGAATCATAATTATTTGTAATCTGGATCACTATGGCATTTTGTATGAGTATCCTATGCTATCAAATGTGTGGGATAGATCATCTTTAAAACTAGAGTTGAAAATGATGATCTCAGTAGTACGCACACCGTTAATCATATGGAAGGTGGACAACCCAATACATACTTTTAAGGAACTGCTACAGATGATCCCTAAACAAGATTTATTTTCACTTTAATAAAGTTTCTCAACTGGAAACGTGCATTTTCATTTAATTTATAGCTGGACATCCTTGTTCAATTGATTCTTGCCTGGTGTTATCAATGATCTATTTGTTCAACCTTATGTTTTATTTATTTTAGTGTTCTGTTTTTCCACTTGGTCTATTTTCACATCATAAAAATTCCTTGTTCTTGTTTTCTTGGTAGATTGCAACGGATGAAAAAGATTCTATTTTGTCCAGCATGCCAGGTGACTTGAGAGAAAAGGGTTCTGTTCTCCATGCATCTCTCACAGATGGGAAGGTAACAACGGCAGAATGAAAAAAGAACTGTATTTTTGTAATTCAATATATATTAACTGGAATGGCAGGATTTTCAGATTCTGTAAACTCCGGCAAGTGTTATAGCCTATGCACAGATTTATGATGCCGTTTTGCTTGATTATTATTATTATTATTTGTTAAAATCTAAGATAAACATTACAATAGATGTCAAAATAATGTCCTGACGCTTGATGTAATTTTAAAAAGCACATACATGTGGGTGTGTAACTATGCTATACATTAATGTAACCTTTGGAATTTTGTATCTGTCTCTGGTTCTGACAGTTACCTTAGTGATTTTGGTTATCCAAGGTCTCATTTTAAATGTCTTGAGTCCAAATTTATGACCAGTGTGGAAGTGAGTCAAAGAAACTCGAAACGAAGAAAAAGATTATATTAATTCCTGGGTTCTGTTTGCAACTGCTTCTTGAATGTAGGATTCTCTTATCCATTTAGGCAATCTTTGCTATGATAGTCCAACATAATCTATGATAGTAAACATGGCCTGTAATCTGGCTGAGAATGAAATCATGATACAAAGCTAATTAGTTTGTTGGTGAAATAATGATGATGAACCTCCTTTGGCTATCAGGGCGGATTAAAAAGCCTTCTTCAAAGCATCAAGGACAAAGATGCTGACAGGGTATCAGTTGACCTCGCATCTACATTGGATACTGTTGCTCAGTTGGAGTTACTACAGGTATCTATGATTGCCTTTGGAAGCTGAATGAGTTAAACATGTTACCTTCACAAAACTAAACATTGTAAAAGACGACATCACTGTATTGTAAATAAAGCAGACCGCTACATTTTTATATCTTTCCTGCTGTTCAGTTCTTTTCTAGATTGACAAGATATATGATTACCACTGATTCGTGATGTTCGTAAATGAAATTTTCAACAGGCTCCAGGGTTGTCATTTTTGTTACCTGAACAATACTTATCGTACCCCAGGTAACTTATGCTAGGAACAACAACCATCAAATATCCCCTTTCTAGCTTACAATTTATTCTACTTTATTTTATTTCTTGCTGTTAAGAGTCCATAACATGTCAGATGGTAACCTGTAGTTCACATGCGTTCCAATTCCTCAGGCTTACAGGAAGAGCTGTTGTTGAATTTTCTATTGAGAAAGCAGATGGCTCAACATTTTCTCCAGAAGCTGCTGGTGAACCGAGAAAAACTGCTATTATTCAGGCACATATACTACTATCATCTCTCTAGGTTGACTTTACATAGGAAAGTGTTATGATCATCGACTTTCATGCTTTTTCCTATTCAACTTTTGATTGCATTAGCTTGGAAAATACATGAAGTGGAGAAGTCGTTTAGCATCCTGTCAAACTTCTAGAAAAGAATCCTTGTTTGACATGTGACATTTATGAAACCTTTTTTCTGATTGTCTTTTCAAACGAATCTGTAGGCTGTCATAGATGGGTATTCGGCACCACTAACCGCAGGGAACTTTGCAAAACTGGTAAGGTAGTGATATCTCACTTCTGTCTTCCAAAATCATTTTAATTATTCATCTTCTAGACAGCTACTCTTCCCCATATCTCTTCCTCCTTAATCAGGTTTTTCACCATGCTCTGTAGTACATGTGAGGGGGGACTGCACAAGCATAATTTACATCCTACAATGCTGTTTTCAACAAGTATTCTGATACATTTTAGGTGTTGGACGGGGCTTACGACGGGGTGAAACTTAACTGCACAGAACAAGCTGTTCTCTCCGACAGCAGCGCTTTGAAGGACAAGGGCTACAGCACTCCCCTAGAAATTAAACCTTCGGGGCAGTTTGAGCCGCTCTACCGAACAATGTTAAGCGTTCAGGTCGAGATTTATCTGTTTCATTACAATCGCACACACAAGACATAACTTAAAACATCACTATTTCATCAGCTAACATTCAAAGTCCCAAGTGAAGGATGGGGAGCTTCCCGTGCTTCCACTATCCGTTTACGGAGCAGTGGTGATGGCTCACAGTGCAGACTCCGAGGAGTACTCCTCGCCGAACCAGTTCTTCTTCTATCTCTACGACAAGAGAAACGTAAGCAACTTTTCTTCGTTCCTCTCCATTCCCTTCAAACAAACCAAGTTTGTCGAACCTCATTTAACATTCTTTCCTCCTTTTACCAGGCTGGCCTTGGCGGACTATCCTTCGACGAAGGCCAATTCTCGGTATTCGGGTAAGTATTTATGCAACCAGCAAGCCCTTTTTTTTTTTTGTTGGTTTTGATGTGAATTGTGTTGTTTGATGGTTTGAGTTGGGAATGGAATATTGTTACACTTTCACAGGTACTCAACCAAGGGAAGAGAGATTTTGGCAGAGATTAAAACAGGGGATGTGATCCGATCTGCCCGGCTGGTGGACGGCCAAGATCGACTTGTTCTGCCTCAACAAACTTAGAAAAAAGGTGCATGCTGCTTCTTTCAACTATTACTATTATTATGTAAAATAGCAATACTCTCGAAGGAAAGCTATATTCGTCTTGTTATTTTACATTTTCGTAAGAAAGGTTAAATGTTAAATTGATTTTTTTTAATCTATTAAGATTTACAAGATATAATTGTAAGAGTATAATTTTAATCCACGCTTCGGGATGGTTACGGTGCTGATTTTTCACATCAGCATATGTTATATATACAAACAATACACATTAGTATAACACACAACACATATTGTGTATAATAAAGGTATGCTTTGTTTTTTAATAATAACAAATGTGTTGTATACAAGTATGTCATGTGCTAAAATCGACTGGTGTGTGTTGTATGAGACTATAGTATATGTTGTTAGTAATACTGTGTGTTGTCCGTAATAATATTTTGTATTGTTGAGAATATAGTATGTGTTTTTTTTGTTCATGTGTTGTATTTATATTATATTAACATATAGTGTGATATTTGTAGTAATATTATGTGTCGTCCTAATAGCAAGCACAGTTGTTCAGCCTGAATTTTAAATTCAGCGGCAGCTCTAAGCTTCTTTATATTATACTGCTTCCGTCCCTTAACGATCTATCTATTTTTCTATTTTGGTCAGTCCATAACAAAGTATCAATTTTTTTTAATAATTGTATTGTTTACCTACTATTACAAATACTCTTCAAATTTACAATATATTACACAAATATCATTAATTTTATATCATACAATATTACAATATATTTCTTAATTTAGTTTTTTTATTTTTATTTCTACTTTATTATAATATTTTTAAAATTCCGTAGATATGAAACATTGGAATATTCTCAAAGAATTTGATCATAAAAAATAGATATGGATCGTATACAATGCTGTTCTTCCTCGAAATTAATACCTGACATAAAATATGATGCTTTTTTATTTGTTTCTTGAGAAATTAATAAATTTGATAGTAAACAAATTCGGTTGATTGTATTCACAATTTTTTATTTAAATGAAGGGAATATTACAATAAATTAATTTATTTGATAAAATAGTAATTTTTTTGTGGAGGTGATGAAATAAAAATTGTGACCACATAGAAAATATAACAATTTCTAGTGGCACAAGAAACCATAAAGTTAATTGCTTATCAACTATTCACTCTTTAATTATTTTCCTCAAATGGGAGTGAACACTGAACACTCTTTAATTTACTAGTATATGCTTTAAGATCAAGATTCCTTTTTCTTATTATTGATTTTATTGTCACATCACACTTAATTATCAGATGACCACTTAACTAATCAAATAAATACCACTATTATCCTTGTTTGTAGAACACCCCCTGCAGGGCCACACCCCACACCCCACACCCTAGTATATATTTATCTATATATATCAAATATTATATATATGGATGTGCATGCATATGCATATTCTCTTTCATGAATATTGATCCAAAGGTATTTATCTGCCAAGTAAAAATATTCTTTCTAATAAATAAATATATTTATATAAGTTCGAAATTCTGTGTGTGTAACTGAACTATGTACAAAATTTTGGGTTGAATGAAATAGAGAAGTGGAGTCAAATTGAATCTCACTCTAAAAGAGAGCTTTTACTATAAGTTCAAACTTTCTAATCCACTTTAAAATTGCAACTTAATTATGTTCAATTATATAATATGTATTAATATATTGGTATAAATAAATTTGATTACCAACTTAATTTTATGATATCCTATGATGATTATGCACATAAGTTGAAATACTTCAATACAAATAATTAGATGTGACATGCATGGTCAGGTCAGCCAATAACGGTAACTTATAATAATAAGACTATATCAAGAACTTATAAAATCATAAGGTAAAATTGATAGTATATCAACAATAATAATAAAATATATATATATATATATATAAATTGCTTAAATTACATATTGCATGCAAATTAAAGAGATGGGCGATAGGAAAGTAATTAATTTCTCTGAGCATTGATTTTGGATTAATTGTTTGTTTGAGACACCACTAGCTAGCTGTACAGACACATACATACAATACAATACATACATACCAAGCTATTTATATTATATTAGCTTAGCTTAGCTAGCATGCAACACAAACCCAAAACGACGACGTACAGTACAATCCCTTAGCTTAATTTCCCCTAATTACATTCACAAACGTAACTTCACTCCATTCCCAAATTTAATTATTTTAACCTAATTAAGCCTCCATTCCAGTCCAGATGAGATCCTGACGACGATGACGACCAAAATTTGCAGACATTAATTAACTAATTAGGGTACCAATTCATGCCCAGCACCTGTTGTTGTTGATAATGATGATGAACATCGTCATATCCCTGCTCTGGCACCATCGTCATCGTCGTCGTCGCCGGCGGCGGCCTTCCGAGGAGATTCTGATTCTGATTCCGATCTGCAGCCTGGAGGAAGAACAATCCAGCAGTAGACAATGCAGAATTATTTTCGTCTTCAGATTCCTCGTTGTTCCAGCTCCACGTGGTGCTCACGTGCCTCGTCGGAGGTATGTAGTTGTAATTGCAATTGATATTCTCAGACATCATCATCGTCGTCGAGTTCGGATCATCACGAAACGGCGTCGTATGGTGCTCCCCTACCGTACAATAACTCATCGAAGCTCCTACTGTACTGCAGATTTCGTCCTGACCGTGATGATCCACAGCTGCCCTAATTTGTGCATTGCTCTTTTTGTAAATCCGACACAGAACCCAATCGTCAAGCTGCACCGTCCGATCAAATCCATCATCAGATCATTCCCAAAATCAATTAAATCAAATCAAATCAATTACCCTTAAGGAGGAGGTCCCCTTCCGGTGGCCATAATCGCCGCAGCCCGCCGGAGCGATTCCGGACCTCTGGTCCGGGAGCCTGTACTCGTGCATGATCCAGTTCGTTTTTATCCCTTTCGGCGGCTTCCCGCCGTAGAATACTAGCGCCTTCTTAACGCCGACTTTCTGCCCGCCGCCCGCCGCCATCACCGGCTTGTCCGTACCCGTCGCCTTCCAGTAGCCCGACGTCGCCGCCCGATTCGGCCGCGCCCCGTTCGGATACTTCCTGTCCCTCGGCGTGAAGAAATACCACTCTTGCTCCCCAAATATAGCCTTCTCTGAAACACACACAGATATAGATACATATAGATATATATTTATATATATATGATTGTACGGACCTGGAAGCTCCCATGGATCGTATTTGTAGATATCGATGTCGGCGATGATGGCGACGGGGAGAGGGGAGGCGGCGTCTTTCTTCTTCAGGTAGTGCACCACCAGCTCCTCGTCCGTCGGGTGGAAGCGGAACCCCGGCGGAAGTAGCGGCTGCCGGCGGACGGCCGCCGCCGACGAATCGGTGCTTTCCATGGCTGCAGCAGATCAGATCTTTACGTGCCTTCTCGAGTGTTATAACAGAATGGTCTGTATGTATGTATATATGGGGTTTCGATCGAGTACATTTCGAGTTCTATCCACTCGTTTCCGGGGCCAATAGAATTTGACCATGTGTACGGAATTTGGGGGTAGAGTAGTTATTTCATATGCCGCCATTGCGAAATGTGAGGCAGCAGATTATGGCTCGACGAAGAGCCGTTGTGCACCCGGAGGCGTGATGGTTTCGATAGGCGGAGCAAAATATCTTAAATTCGAAAATTCGATTCAAATCAAATCGAAATTTTAAAATTTAGTTTGAATTTTTGACAAATTTTGAATTTTTGGATCGGATCAAATTGGTATATTTAAAATTGGAACAAATTTGAAATCCAAAATATAGTATTTTAATATATTTTTTTATTATATATATTTAATATTTTATTAGAAATATTATATTTTAATATAAAAAATCAAAATTATTAATTATATTTTAATATATTTACTTTTATATATTATTTATATTTAATATTATAAAATAATAATAAAATTATTAAAAATTATTAAAAATATTTAAAATTTCGGATTTTTTAGTTTGATTCGAATTTTTTTAGTTCGAATTTTGGATTTTCGGATTTTTGGATTTTGATTATTTCACTTCAGTTCGGATTGATTTTTTCAAAAATTTTGAATTTTCGGATCGGTTCGGACTAGGCAAAATCCGAACCGAAAATCCGAATGCTCACCTCGTGTTTCGACACGCAATTGATTTATTAGCCAATGGCGAAGTGACACGTGGACAGGGAAAAAATTCTGTGGGGCCGAGGGTAGCAACAGTGAAATGCAACGAAGATAAAAATATAATTTATGACAAGACGACGATAAGGGTGTGGGGCCCGACTTAGCGGTTGAAATTCTTAGATAAGGTGCTGCTGATGTTATAATTTTATTGGATAAGAGTTGCATAGATATGTTATATAAATAATCAATATATATATATATATATTTATATATATTTTATTATAAGTTAAAATATATATAAATATATGTTGATTTAGTAAGGCTAATTCAATCGAATTAGTAGTTGATTTATGCTTTTTATCTATAATAGTATATTTTTGGTAGATTTAGATAGCGATTTTAAAAATTTAAATTTTTTATAAATAAATTTGTAAATTTATGCTTTTTATCTATAATAGTATATTTTTGGTAGATTTAGATAGCGATTTTGAAAATTTAAATTTTTTATAAATAAATTTGTAAATACACAGAGTCTTATTCCTTCCGGTCGACTCAATGTGTAGATATCGAAAGATCATATGTGTGGCGTATATATATACACATATGAATCTATACATAGGAGATAAGATAATATGAGAATCTTATGGGAGAAATTAATATTTTCTTTATAAAAATTACTGCATAAAAATAATAACAAAGAGAATGCTTAATTTCCTTTTGGTCCTTTTTATTATATAAAAAAAATAATTCAAAATATTGAAAATGGCTGTGAATAAAAACAATGAGACCGTTAAATATAATTTGGATGGAAGTGACTCGGTTTCTATTTATTAGCTAAATAAAATTTTTAATTGAATAATGACTACAAATGTCATTGTGCTTTTCTTCAGCAAAGAAACTACCCAGCCAAAAAAGGTTTGTTTACATAACAAAATTTAGAATTTTGACTTTTTTTGAAAAAAAATATATATATATATCACATATATTCTAGTATTTTTATTTATTTATTTATGGGTAAAAAAATTTGAAATGCTTCATTTTGATTTGTGTTTTTGTAGAATTTTTTTTTTTTTTTTAAGATTAAATAGTATTTTAATGTGATTTTTTATATAATTAAATAAATATTTCCTTATCTCAATTTATTATATATATATATATATTTTTTTTTTGAGATATTTGCATTTTTTGTACTCAGATTTGTACTTATTTATTATATTTATGGATACAATTCATAAAATAATCAGAAAGAAAAAAGTCACATTGGAACAAAAATTACTGTGCAGTCGGGGCGAGTGTACGAGTATCTCCAGCGGTGCAATACTAATGCAGTACTGCCGGCCGTCCAGGATCCGAACCCGAATCCGAGACCCAAGCTGCAAGCGGACCTCAACTTCCCCCCGGCGCCGCCGAGCCGGTGGCTGTTCGACGAACTCGAAGCCAGTCTGGAGTTGAAGCTGGTGCCGCCGCCGCCTGCTAACTTCGAGGGGATGTGCACGCTGGAGAGGGTGAAGTCTGCACTGCAGCGCGCCATCTCGATGTCTGCCTCAAACTCGAAATCGTCCTCCCCCGGCTCCACCTCATATCCGCCGCCGCCGCTGCCAATCTGTTCCCGCCGGAGGAGAATTTTCCGACAACCATTTCCGCCGCGTGTCCGCACTGCCTGTCCCTGCAGCCTCCGCCAAGAAGTCGCGCCTGGACCTCAACATTTCAATTTGAAGTTTTGAACCGCCCGGTCTGCCCCGAACTATATGAAGATTTGATTCTTTTTGTAAAGATAGAGAGACAGAAATCACATAATAATAATAATAATAATAATAATAATAATAATTTCTGCTATAGACCTTGTTGGTATATATTTTCAGTGTTACTGAAAATGATTTGCCTTTTGGATTTTCAATCCGATATACCAAACTGAATTTCGATTTTTAATATTTTGTGTTCTTCTATTATTATTATTATTATTGTTAATTGTTTGTTTTCAATTTGATTTGATTTGATTCCATTTGTTTTATTCTTTCATGTGAAATGTGTTTTAAAAATTCAAATTATTAGTAATTTTTAATAAAACGCACGTGACTTCTTAATAAAACGCACGCTGTTCGGCACGTGCATGTTTTATTATTTGAAAATTCATAGTATCTACAATAAATGGGCCGAATTAATTTCTTTTAAAAATAAAATATAAAATATTAGAATGATAAATATATTCCAAATAATTTTCTTTTGTAATTTTTCTTCAAAGGACAAGAGAGTTCGTCGGTGCCAATCACGTGTAAATTTATGCTTTTGAATATATGACAATATATTTGGTAAATGGTATACTGTACTTTTTGGAGATATAATTCAAAATATTAAAATGATTAAGAAAAAAGTTTGCATATTTTCATTTGGCACTTGAGATTGCGCGTGTAATTTCATATGAAAAATATATTTAGTGAATAGAAAAAAATAAATTTGTAGATACAATATATAATTCAAAAAATTGAAATGATAAAAATAAAAAGATTGAATAACTTTCTTTTTATTTATTTATTTTTATTTCGCACGCGAAATTGAACGTGTATTTTATGCTATATAAATACTGCAATATACTCGGTAAATAAAATAAAATACAATTTTAAGATATAACTTATGAAAATAATAAAAACACAATAATATTAATTTTTCTTTGTATTTTTGTCTTTCCATTTGACATGTGAGTTTAAGTAGTAGACTAGTAGTATATGTTTTTATTGGAAAGTTCATAGTAAAGTAATCTGAAAAAAAAAAAAAAGAAAAAAAAAAAGAAAAGGTTAAAAGTATTTTAATTTATATATTATTCAATGTGAAAATTTTATAGAAAATAATAAATTTAAAATATAGATATATATATATATGTAATTAATATAAATTAATTTATAAAAATAAACAAATATTCATTTATTTACTATATATTTAAAAATAATAATAATAAAAAAAAAAAGATCAGTCATTTTATTTTAAGGGCATAGTCAGTAGTAGGTGTTATTGGAATTTGTAACGTTTGGCCTTCTAGCCATTTTAATGAGGTACATTATCAGTGCATACAATAAATTCATTGATGACAGAATATTTTTTTAGAGCTGTGTGTTTATAATTGGCACGATTAATTACATGTAAAACAGTTGATTTTTTTTTATTGAAAAAACATTTATATGTTACCATTTACATAATAAATAAATAAATTCAATGATAGAGTTACATTGATGGCTAATTTTTGGGGTAACTAAGTTAATAAAATAAACTGACAAGAAGGAGAAAAAGTGCGACAATTTAAAATGATAATCTTCACATAATTGAAAATGTCTAATTTTGGGCATCAATAAAATATTATTTATATTTGGATCGTATCATTCAAAATTCAATCTTTAAAATTTCAAAAATCTTGTCTAAACAAAGTTTTGAAATAGGACATTCAATGGGCTGAATTAAGAAAAGTAATTTACCAAAGCTAATAATATGTTTCGACCCAAATTAAAATAATGAAATCCCAATTTATGTTCACAAACCATAGATATGTAAGCAATAATAAACATGCATAGTACCTATTAAGATATAAATTACATTAACTCGACATAACATTTATGTTACCAAAAAAAGGTAGAAGATGAGATAAGTAGACACACCTAACAATTTTGCAATGCAACAATGTTCTTACACTACCAAATTCTAAATTCAATTTTTTTTTTTTTTTTTTTTTAAAAAGGCCCATATTAATTAAACAACTAATTAATAATAATAATAATAATAATAATAATAATAATAATAATAATAATAATAATAATAATAATAATAATAATCACTTCTTCAACGCACCGACTCTGGTAAGCGCCAAATAGGCAATCAGACGGTAACCAACAATCATCACCGCCATGGCGCCGATCGCCGTCGAAACCCCCCGCAGCCCCACCGGCTTGATCGCCGGAAAATCCTCCACCAAACAAACCTCGCCGCCGCCGCCGCCGCAAGGATACGTCTCCCCAACCTTATACTGCGCCGCCACCAGGATCTTGAATGTATACTGACTGATCGATATATATTTAATCCAACGGATAAAAATCGGCACGTTCTGCACGAAGAACCCGCTCGCCAGCTGGAACGTCAACATTATCACCGACGCGAAAACCGTCGCCGACTTCAGGTTCATCACCGCCGCGCCGATCGCCAGCCCCAGCCCCTGCGCGCAGAGCACGCCGTACAGCAGCCCCAACAGACCCCAGAAGAAGTGCCCCGCCGTCGGCTTCAGCCCCGCCATCCAATACGTTATCGTGTAGAACATCGTCGGCAGGACCATCTCCATCGGAAGGTCGCCGACGGTCAGCGCCATGAAGTACGACGAGAGGCGGTACATCCCCGACGCACGCTCCTTCTCCAGCATCAATCGTTCTTGAGGGAATGTGAAGATCGCCTGGAATAATGGGTAGAATCCCCAAAAAGCTGAGTAGAAGAACATTAGCCCCACCTGATCTTGCAGATGACTGGTGCTGGATTGCCACCATAACAGTCCGGCGACTATGGCGACGATTAGAACCTGGGCGACTTTGATTCCGGCGAAGGATTCGTGTTTTCGCTCTTTTATACCTCGCCGGAAAAGCACTGAAAATTGATTGACCCAGGTGTTGGACCACCGGCTCAGTGTTCTGTCATCTCCGGCGACGGGAGGTTCGGCGGAGCAGTCGGTGAGTTCGGATTCCACGATTTCCGATAAGTGTGTTTTGTACGCCGCCACCAATGTCTGCTTCACCGCCGCTTGATCTTCGCCGTTCTCACCCGTCGATACACCTGCAATTCAAAATTAAATATATAAACCCTAATTTTTTATTTTGAGTAATTTGTATTGGAATTGGGGGTACCGTTGGCGAGATCGAGGAGGAGATCGGCGGGGTTCATGGCGACGGCGGGGGAGAATCCGACGGAGGAGAAATAGTCGACGGCGGCGGAGCCCTTGCCGAAGTACAGAGGATTGCCGTCGGAGAGGAGAAGCACTTTATGGAACATGTAGAAGAGGCGGCTCGACGGCTGGTGGATGGTCATGACGACGGTTCTGGCGCCGTTAGCGAGCTCCCACAGAGTCGACACGATGCGCTGCGCCGTCGTGGAGTCGAGCCCCGAAGTCGGCTCGTCGAGGAACAGGAGGCTCGGATTGATCAGCATTTCCTGGCCGATGCTCACGCGCTTCCTCTCGCCGCCGGAGATTCCGCGGAGGAGCGGCCCGCCGATGATGCTGTTCCGGCAGCGCGTGAGGCCGAGCTGCGCGATGACGGCTTCGGCGTGAGCCGTCTTCTCGGCTTTCGAGAGGACACGTGGCAGCCGAAGAAGGGCTGTGTAGACGAGGGTCTCCGTCACCGTCAGGTGAGGATAGAGGACGTCGTCCTGGGTAACGAATCCAGTGTTGCGTTTCATAGCGTTGGAGAACGGCCGGCCGTTGTAGGACACGCTGCCGGCGAGGCGGCCGCCGAGGCGGCCGCCGAGTGCGGTGAGGAGCGTGGTTTTGCCGCTGCCGGAGGGGCCGAGCATGGCGAGAATCTCTCCCGGCGAGACCACGCCGGAGATTCCCTTGAGGATCGTCCGCTCCTCCGATTTCCCGGCGGCTTTAACGAACTTTCCTGGTTTCTCGATTTTGATTTTGTAGATCACATCCTTAAACTGCAAAATTATTTTTAATTAAAAATTACCCAAACCCTGTAGAACCCTAGAGGTGAGATTCAAATTAAACAACTATATAGAGAGAGAGAGAGGAGAGAGAGAGACCTTGAGAGTGACAGGGAGAGTGGCTTTGGAGAAGATGGCTGCGGCAGGTCCATTCTCGAAGTGAAAGTTGTGATTTTGGTGCTCCAAATCGACAACTTCCTCCGACGCCATGTGCAGTGCTTCTCTCCTCTCCCGGTCGATATGTATATGTATAAATACAAGGTAATTCAATGAATTGAATAGACTGTACAACTATGACGACAATATAAATAAGAAAAAAAAAAAAAAACCCGAGCACTTGTAACAAGAAATCCTATTCTGATTACCGATATACAAATATGTATATACGATGCACAGAATCAGAATCAGATGGTCAAAAGTGCGCCATAAATGCAAAGGGAGAGAATCACAGGAAGATCGAATTAAGAGTTAATGAGGAAGAGAGCTAGGGTTGATGGAGAAGCCATTGAATTGAATAGAAGTGAACTGTGGAGAAACAATTAATGTCAAATGTAGAGAGAGAGAGATGAATATGAATATGAATATGAATATGATCATGCAGGAAAGATGAGAGGGGAAGAGGGGCGGTTGCGCTGGAGACGACAACTGATTCCGAGCTTTTCCTGCCTCTCTCTCTCCTCTCCTCTTTCTCTATCTAGTTTGGGATTGGTTTTGTATTCCCACTCAAACCAGATTCACAAACTCTCTCTCTCTCTCTCTCTATATCTATATCTATACAGATATATATATATATCATCGTATGTATGTGTAAATTATCACGTTTCTTTGATTCAATAGGGTTTCACGGCTTGAATTTGTTGGCCATACGCTTCTTGCACTTTTTCCATTTCAAAATATCCAAACAAACAAAATTATATACATACACAATCTTATTACTAATTTCCTCACATGATTTTAATATGATAATATAATAATTATTATTAAGATTTCGTCAAAAGTAAAATAAAATATGATTATTTTAGGATTAGAAGCGTTTGTTTGTTTGTTTTTAACTTTAATCAAAATTAACTCTATTTAATTTATCAATAAAAATATATTATTATTTTTATATACGTAAAAAAATCACTATTACAATAATAGTATTCCTAATTCATTTATAATAAAATAATTTTATACACAATAAATTTTACTTACTTTAACAAAAAAAAAAAAAAATCAATTACCACTACATTTTATATTTATTCATCAATTTTTTATTTTTTATTTTTATTGTTTACATATCTCACATTAATATTAAAATATTATTAAGTTTAGTTTCGTACTCAACCAAACTTACTTAATTTTTTTTTATTAAAAAAAAATATTTTTTTAATGAAAATAAATAATATACCACAAGTATTCTTGAGAGTAAACATGTAGAATATATCATCATATTACAAGTATTAATCTATATTATATAATTATATAATATAAATATATGTAATATTTTGTTGTAATATCAGTGTTTTTTCAAAAAGGTTTATAAGTACCCTCACAAAATAATTTCAAAAGATTATAAATTAGAAATAGAATCATTGTAATAAAGTTTAATTAAAAGAAACATTTTAAAAATAAACTATATGGGCTTTGTTCTTTCTCTTTTCCTTCTTTTTTTTTCAATTTATTTTTTTTTAAAAAAATAAATTAACATATTACACACATTCATTATTTTTATATTTTCTACAAAATTCTCTATATTTTATATTAAAAAAAAATTATTTTCAACAATCTTACAAAGCAAACTCAGCAATGGTTGGCCAACAATGAAAAAGAAATGAGAATTGAATAATGATATAATTGTGTAATTACAAGACAATATATAAATTACTATCGTTGTTTAGTCGAACATTTAATAAAACGTGTGAGCTCAATTTCACCTAAATAATATAACCACTCACCATAACAGAAGTTTTGTTACATGAAAAGGAGCCAAGCTTTCAACCTCAACAAGCTCCGATAATAGAAACAAAAATTGACAATAATAATAATATCTTTTTTGCTATGTAGTACTTCCTCGGTCTAATTTTTATTGTCCTAAAGTATATTTGCACGGTTTTTCAGGTGATTGTCTTTTTGTTATGAATTGACAAATTTGCCCTTAATTGTATGGTAGAGATTAAAAATAATAAATGAATAGAGGGTAAAAATGTAAAATTTGTGTTTAAAAAATGAAATAGGACAATAATTGTTGGACGTCCCAAGTAGGAAAGTACGACATTAGTTTGTGGACGGAGGGAGTATTATACTTTCTTGTTTGTCTAATACAAGTTGTAATTATTACAGTGATTTAACTAGAGCCGACAAAAACTGACCCGACACGATAATCCGACACGAAATAATTGGGTTTGGGTCAAACATTTTCAACCCGATTATGTATACGGGTTGACATGAACCCGACATGATAATTAACAGGTCGAGTTAGGGTTAAAGCTCTCAACTCGAACCCGACACGACAACCCAATTATAATATATTAATATTTATTAATATATTTATTATATATATAAAATAATCATAATTTAATAATTTTTTCATAAATTAATTTAAACTAAGTTCAATTTTAAATGATTCAATCTAATTTACAAAAACAAAATAAAAAATTATTTAATTTGAATCAAGAAATTAGACTTAATTATGTATACGGGTCAACACGAGTCAACCCGAACCCGACACGATAATAAACAGATCGGGTTATAGTTGAGTAATTTAACCCATTTAAGTATTCAACCCGACACGTATCGACCCATTGCCGAGTCTAAATTTAACTAATAATTGTGTTACTTTAGATTTTTTTTTATTATTATTATTTCAAAATTATTTTTGGGCTTAATTATTTAGTTATTTTATTCATTTTGAAATTTCAAATATTATACCCCCTCTTACATTTTGCTTTTTGCATGTAGTTTTAGAAATATTAGTATTATATTAAGATATAGTAGGAATAAAGTAGAAATGACTAAAATAACTTTATTAATACGTGTGATATAAAGGTAATGACATTTGTATAATATATTGTAAGTTGTAAGGGTATTTGTAATGTTAAGTAGATAGTACAATTACTTAAAAAAAAAAATAAATAAAAAATTGATACTTTGTTATGAGACGGACTAAAATGAAAAAATAGATATTTTGTTATGGGACGGAGGGAGTATTATCAACATTTTTCCAGAATACAGATTTTAAATTGAAAAATATTTCGAAACTAACGATTACTTAAAATAATAACAATTTCAATTTGTATTTAGGTATTTGATTCATTAATTCATCACCCAAACAAGTAACAACAATCTTAACTTAAAAAACTAAGAAATATTCTCTCTGATTAATTTAATTTTTTTTTTTTTTCTAGAATTTGGCCTTAATTAATCATAATTTAAATTTTAGTTTACAAGCATGGTTTGGTTGGCTTTTACCAGATATAGTTTTCCTAATTTTACACGAACTGCCAAATTATATCGTCCATATTAATCTAATATATTTATGACTTGTTTGAGTATATATAAATTTTTTTAATATTCATCAACAATTTATTTTTTAAATATCTCATCAAATGTATAATTTTTATTTAAAATATTATATTAAAAAACTGTATACAATATATCATATTTAATACATTACTTATACGTCACATTAAACAACTATTTATTTCGTTCCGAATAATTATGTCATTTTTTTTCGATCCGTTAAATTTATGGATAAATTTATTTATAATAAATAATATTATACACCCATAATTTATGATCCTTAATTTAATAAATGCTTATAATTAATCTGCTTTTACTTTTTTATTTATTTATTTTTGTTGCTTTATTATTTCTTCCCTCGGCCAAGTTTATTCTCACTTTTTCTTTTACCGTTAAATTTATAATATTACTAATTTTAATAAAATTAACAAATCAACATGTAATTATTATCCTCTATTCAACACTTATTTACAACAAATATCATTAATTTTATTATATTATCTCTTCATTTACTTTAATTTCTAATTAAATTTCTAAAAACAACCGCAACTATTTATCATTTTTTCAATAAAATATTTATTTTTTTAATCTCTGTGCGGGACTAAATTATGCTAATTTTAGTGGACAGAGTGAGTATTAATTATTTAATAAATTTTCAATAATAACTCTATTTCACTTTTTAACTACTCAATTTTTATATTAAATATTATTTTTTTTTATTTTTGCCTGAATATTGTATCATAATTAGTGCTAATGGAGGAAATATTTTTTTTATTCAAATTTTCCACTATTTACAAAATTTTTCAAAATACTTTTAAAATATATCAAAAAACAACTTATACTTTTGTTAATTTATATTTTAGCAATTCGGAATCTGTTATTTTGTAATTTTATATTTAGATTTAAATTATTAATTCATTCGACACAATTTTTAATAAAATAAAAATATATTATTATTTTTTATAAAATATTATATTAAAATATTATTTAAATAAAAATTCAAAATAAATAATTTATTTGAAATCAATTTCAAACTATAACAAATAGATCAGTACAAAAACAAATAGTTAAGTGATTCTACAAGCATTAGCGTGTGTTTTGAATTTTGATTAGTTTCTTTTTTCTTTTTAAATGAATTTTGAGAAAATATGTAATATGTGACAAGTCAATGGTAAATACTGGATTATGCTATATTTGGAGGATTAAATTCAAAATAAAAAAATGTCGGCCCATCAGATTGGAGTTTTGTTCTACCGATTTATGGTTTGTGTCGTCACTGTATGTAGTCACTTAGCTTCAGCCCAAGTTGAACTCAATAATAATAATAACAAGAATAATGGTGGAAGGGTAGGATTAATAAATAATTTAAAATATATTTATAAAAGTAATTATAATATAATAAAAATATTTATAAATTAATATTAAAATAATTAATTAATATAATTTAAAATTTAAAATTTTTAAATATAATCAAAATGTATACTTTCCCAAAAAATAACTTATCACAGTAAAAAAAAAATCTTTGTGCTATTTATTTGATGTAGTGAGTACAGCCAATCATGCGGGCCCTGCAAAATTATTACTTATGTCGTCAGAGATGAGTTAACAGAGTTTGAGAAGAGAAGGGAGATCCAAAAAACCATCCGCAGATTGATTGTTATATTGTAGCGTCGGGAACAGCGAATCGAAGAACAACAACAGCAGAAAGAAAAGCAGATGCCTACAATGGAACACACATGCATTTTTATTGTTGTTATGGTTGTTTTGGACACCCTACTTTTGCTTCCGCCGACAATATCTACACTCAAATGCTCTGCTGCAGCGGAAGCAGTGGTAGTTGATGTTGAACGCTCGGATTTTCCTCAAGGATTTCTATTTGGAGCTGCTACTTCTGCGTATCAGGTATGCCTTAGGATCATTCATAATTTGATGTGTAGAAACGGTGGTGCTTCATTGCTTTTTGGCTAGGTTGAAGGGGCGGTTCTCGAAGATGGGAAAAGTCTCTGCAATTGGGACGTGTTTTGCCGGATTGAAGGTTGGAATGACTTACTCTGCTATGTTGATGGCGGTTTTGTGTAGTGTAGTGTAGTGTGTCCACCACGGTTTTGGATTTTTGCTTGAAATTTCAGGTGCAATAGCTGATGCAACGAATGGCTATGTTGCGGACGACCATTACCATCGGTACAAGGTATGTTCTAGACCTCCTGTTTTTGTTCTCGAGAGTTGTGCTCTGCGATTGCTCCAAACTAATCGACACTTACAAACCGTAGGAAGACATTGAGATACTGCATTCGCTTGGATTGACTGCTTATAGATTTTCAATTTCATGGAGTAGAGTTGTTCCTAGTATGTATTCTACTCCTAAATTGTGATTTCCAGATTCAGCTTGAATTTAATTTCAACGTCGCTACGACTTTATCGTCACTGTTTTGACGAAGTCTGGATCTGGTCTAATATAGGGATTTGAATTGACTGTAGGAGGAACTTTTGGTGAAGTCAACCAACTCGGTATCCAGTTCTACAACAGGATTATTGACAATCTCCTACTCAGAGGTTCTCCGTAGAATCACAAATCAACTCAATTACTTCACTAGTTTTGTTTTGGTTGATTTGGGACTGACTCAGCACGATTCAACACAGGTATGGAACCTTTTGTGACTATTCACCACCATGACTATCCTCAAGAGCTTGAAGATAGATTTGGGGGCTGGCTCAGCCCCCTGATGCAGTATGTACAGATCCTGCTTAATTATTATGCAGTAATGTTGATGTTTTTAAATTACATAGAATCATTGTTGCATCGATAAAACAACAATGAAGATGATTGTGGTAACCTAAGTGGTTCTTCATAACCTCCTTTGTTTGGCTGAGACTGTTCTTTAGGATGATATTATCTCTTTATGGTTCTTCAACAGGGAGGAGTTTATACACTTTGCAGAAACATGTTTCAAGCATTTCTCGGATCGTGTAAAGAACTGGATGACAATCAACGAGCCCAACATGTATGCACAGCTAGGCTATGAGAGGGGTGTTTATCCTCCTGCTCGTTGCTCGCCTCCATTCGGTCAATGTGCTGCCGGAAATTCAGATGTCGAGCCATTAATAGCAGTGCACAACATGTTGCTAGCACACGCCAAAGCTGCTAAATTGTATCGCGATAAGTTTAAGGTAACCAATCATCAATTTTGTCTTTCCCTTGCTATATACTGATGAATCATGTCTTGTTGATGCAGTCCAAAATCGACAGTGGTATAAGCCTGTCGGTGGCTGCATTGATGTATGTCCCGCTGACAGAAGATGAGAAAGACAAGGAAGCTGCCTCCCGGGCACTAGCTTTTACAGTAGCTTGGTAAATCCTGCTACACATCTCTGTAATTCAGATATCATCAACATTATATATATATAACAACATTCAAGAAATGCACATTTTTTCTATTTGAGAAGGGTATTGGATCCACTTGTGTTCGGGGACTACCCTCCGGAAATGAAACGCTATCACGGCAGCGAACTGCCAATCTTCTCCCCCGAGGAAAAGTTGCTTCTGAAAGACAGCCTCGATTACATCGGGATCAATCACTACGGCACACTCTATGCATCCGATTGTCTCTATTGTGCAGACTCCATATGTCGAAACAGCGAAGGCAACCGTGCCATCCAGGGGTTCGTGTGCTCTTCCCCGTATCGCAATGGCATTCCCATAGGAGATAAAGTACACTAGCTCCATGTCTTTAATTTTCGAAAATTGATTTTTGATAAGTATATCTTAATACATTCCTTTTGCAGACAGGCCAGTCTTATTTTTACGTAGTTCCGAGCGGGATGGAACGCATCGTCGATTATGTTAAGGGAAGATACAACAACAAACCAATGTACATCACAGAGAATGGTAAAAAACACCAATTGGTACATTAAGCTTTTATGTGTTTTTCGAAATGGTTATCGAAAGTGTTTCCTGTTTCGACAGGCTACTCGAGTCCTCTCGACGAATACGACAACTACCATCACGATGTGAAGAGAATACATTTTCATAAATCATATCTTGCATATCTTGCTCGAGCTATAAGGTACATTACATGCAGACACATTATTATCGGATTACCCGAAACCCAAAACCCGATCATAGTATAGTATATAGTATCGTCGCATTTGCAGGAACGGCGCGGATGTTCGTGGATACTTCATTTGGACATTGATGGACAATTTCGAATGGTCGAGTGGATACAAATTGAAATTCGGAATATACCATGTGGATCGCGAAAATGGGACGATGAACAGGATCCCGAAACTGTCTGCTCATTGGTTTCGAGAGTTCTTGAATGGCAATGGCAATGGTGGCAAAAGACTTGTTGTTGGGTAGCAAAAAGAAGAAATACCAATATGAATATGATGCAGCTTAGCAGCCTTTGCACACAAGGTAATTAAGTTGATTATATTTCTATCTATTTTCTTGCTTTTGGCAATGGCGTGTGTATAGTAAGTATTTAAGAGAGTTTTTTAATGTATCTTTTTTTTAATATATATATATATATAAATTAAAATTGTACAAATAAATTTCTAATACTACGTGGTTTGGGAAATGAGATAAATAAATAATCTAATTACACAATAGATGGTAATAGAAATTAATTAGTATTATTATTATTTTTAGTAATGTTGGAATCTCATTACACGGGGTGTCGTAGATTTAAACTTATTACATTAGATTACGAATTTACTAACACTATTATTATTATTGTTTTTATTTATAATGTGAGAATTCGTAATGGTTATTTAAACGTACTTTAGGTAAATTTTTAATTGAATTTAATAGTATATAAATTACATCAGAAAAAATAAGTTACAACTAGATGAATTTGAAAACGACGAGGTCAGTGATTTTTTAAGTACAAGGTTGTCTTTCTTCGTGGGTTTGTGGTGGAGAGTAATCAAATTTGGATCAATGGTTTGATACAATATAATGTGGTGTAGAAATTTTTACAGTGACTTAAAAAAGAAAAAATAAATAAAAATTATTATTATTATGTACATTTAGTTTAATTAAGAAAAATTGATGAATGTAAAATTTGAATTATAAAACCATGAACATATAGAGAGTGTTTCGAATCAAATGTATTACTACTATTAATTTACAAAATATCACTATAAATATAAATATATTTAAACTAAACTATAAATACAATATTTAAACTCAAAATCAAAATTTTCTTTTTCTTTTTAAATATTTTTTTCAATAAAATTGTTTTTTTTTTTTAATTTAATACCATCACAAAAAAAAAAAAAAAAAAAAAACTTTTCACACTCATCAATTGATACTCTCTATCGTATAAATATTTTGCAATATTTTTATTTTGATCTGTCTTAAGTACTGCTATCATATTTCTAAAATAGCAAATAAATATATATTTTATTTCATCACATTAGTCAAATAAAAATAAACATATACTTTTATCTCTCATTACATTTAAATTTATTTTATTTAATATACTATTTATCTAAATTTTCTGATCGAAAATCAAATATTTTGAGGAGTACGATTAACGTTATATTTATATAGAAATATAACACAAATATTTACATATTTAATTTATCTAGTTTTTTGTTTTATCTCAACACAATTAGAGTTAAGAACAAAATTTTTAACATAGTTAACATTGAAAGTATTAATGTAAATCAAATTAAAATAGAAAATAGAACTTTGAACAAAATTAAAATATGCATAAACTTTATTGAAATAATAAAAAATTAAATAAACTAGAAACTAAACAGCCTAACAACATCAACGAAGCAACTGAGAATCTAAAAATCAAAAGACACATTCCTAATCAAATGTATCGACGATTCTAATCTCATTTTATATTTTTTTAATTACCTACAGAGCTGATAAAGTAGAATATAACAATCTAAATTAAAATGATAATTTTGTTTATTCAAATGCAACATAATTTTCAATATATACTATATATTATATAATTTTACAAGTAGTCAAATATTTAATAAAAAAATATCTTTTATATTATTAACACGCTTTCAATACCGCATATAGAAAAAAACATCAAATTTAAGTACAAGACAAAAACGTCTAAATCTTAAATCAAATTCATTCAAATCATCGTATAAAATTATTACTTCCTCTGTTATAACAAAAAAAAAAAAAAAAGTTTATTTTCATTTTTATTTGTCATAAAAAAAAATAATAAATTTATTTTTTAAGGAAAAACTCGTAACAAAAGAAAAGAAAAGAAAAAACAGATCACTACCAAATACATATATAAATCCCTATTCGTCAAAAACTTCCCTAAAAGGATAAATTACAAAATGAAATTTGAGTTGGTAAACCTCTATAGATCATTAGGATTTTATAATTTTCGATTTAATAAATAATTAATTAATTTCTATTACATCATCGGGATCGTTTATAAAGATATTTACTCAATTTATTTCAAATAATCAACAGAAGTTGACACCCATGGCACTGATTTGTTCACTTGTCCTTCTCATCTTTTTTATTTTTTATTTTTTTTTATTTTCTATTTATCTATTACTAGTATTATGATATATATACACGTAATGGTGTAACATATTTAATATTTATTATTTATTTTAAAATTATTAAAATAAAAAATACAAGTAAATAGTTTTTCCGTTTCATTTTAATTGATACATTGTCTCAGTTACCATTTAAATATTTCTATCTTGAGTATAATTTATTAAATATAAATATATTTAATAAATATAAATCAACTTAATTAACTATTTAACATGTATATTGTACGTAACATTGGACTGTTCAAAACTTATTTATTTATATTTCTCTTAAAAAAAATAAATATTTTTATCTATATTTAAAACTATTATCTTCTGTAAAACTAGTTTATTTTAATTATAAATAAGTATTATAGAAAATTCTATTATTTATAAAATAATATTCATATTATATATACTTTTATTGGAATATAATTTGTAAAATATTTAAGCATATATTTTAATTTTTTTTAACTATATAAATTAAATTTATTTTAAAACTATCAATGCTATTAATAATATAAAAATAATAAAATAATATTATAAGCTATTATTGTTAACTAATGAAAATTATTATTTGTATGAATTTTAAATTATTTTAAATATATATTTAATTATTAAATATATTTTTTTATATAAAAACAAATTAAATATAATTTAATGTTAAAAATTTTCAAAACTATAAAAGCTTGTTTTTTTATGTGTTTTTTTTTTTTTTTTTTACGTATATTTTTTCACAAAAATTTAATATATTTTATATGTATTTCTTCGTAATAAAAAAAACAAATACACCCTAAAGCTTTCCTTCAATATATAGGATATTGATTGACTTTGCTTAGTAAAATAATTAAATAAAGTGTGACCACTCAGTCACAGACCAACACTATTTTTATTTTTTTCTATTTCATAACAATTGATATTTTATATTTTGAGTTAAAATTATTAAATCAAAATATATTTAACAAATATATTTAACTCAAAAATCATTTCTTTTTATCTCTCTTTAAAAAATATATATATATATATTTACTTATATTTAAAACTACAGATCTTTTATAAAATTAATTTATATTAATTATAAATAATTTGTATTATAAAAAATTTTATTTTCTAAAAATTTTTATATAATTTTTCAAATATTTAAATATATATTTTAAATTTTAAAATTATATATATATTAAATTTATATTAAAATTATAAATATTATCAATTCAATTATGATGAAACGAGAGAGTAATTCATAAATTCATTACTGTTAGCTTTATATAATATATATATATATGTTTATATTTATAAGTCGTACTTAAACTATACTAGTACGAGGATTTTTTAGAAAAATATACTTTTCGTCCCAATACAATAGTATTGTTTATTATTTTTGTCAATCTGAAAATAATAGTCTTAATTTTATAAATAATTTTTCTTTATTATTATACAATTACCGCTACTTTTTATACTAATACACTCACAAGGACAAAAATAATTTGTATTCATAATTTTTACCAACTATCGATATAATATCAATATTGCTTAAATCGATGCCCAAATACATCCCAAGTCCTGTGACAGAGGGAGAATAAAATAAATCCGTACAAGCTGTGGCTAATTTCCAATATATAATATTAATTCCGTCCCAATATAATAGTCTTGTTTACTATTTTTGTCAGTTTCAAAACAATAGTCTTATTTCCATAAATAACCATATCAGTATATAACCATTATTACTATTTTATTATTATTATTACACAATTACACTGCCTTTTACACTAATACACTCGCAAGGCAACAATGTCTTTTACCTATACTTTTTATCCACTGTCAATCTAATATCAATATTCCTTAAATCTCCTGCTCAACACAACCAAGATTATAGTTCCGGAACGGAGGGAGTATAATACTCCCTCCCTCCGTCCCATTGAAAGGTTACCATTTTTCATTTTCGTCATTTCCAAAACAAGGTTATAATTTTCTAATTTAGTAATTGTATTACCTACTCCACATAATAAATACCCTTTCAACATATAATACATTACACAAATGTCATTACCTTTGTATTACACCATACTAATAGGAATATTTTTATTTTTTTTTTTTTTATTATAATTCAATATATACTAATATTTTAAAATTTACATGAAAAAAAAGAAAAGACACCCTTGTTGCAGAGCGGAGGGGAGGAGGAAGGGAGTATATTTATTTACATGATTTGGGTTGTAGTCTAATCGCCACCGATTCCACGTTACTATTTGTAATTGTAGGATTGTTATTTAAGCGCATTGCACAACAAATTAAAAGCGCAACCGAAAACCGAAAGATGCATAAAATCAAACAAACGCGCGCTTTTATTTTTCATTTTATTTTTTTGGTTGCAGTTCCACCAATAATTCCTACCCTCAAATGCTCTGTGGAAGGGGAAGAAGAAGTGGTAGTTGATGTCAGGCGCTCGGATTTCCCCAAAGGGTTTCTATTCGGAGCTGCTACTTCGGCGTATCAGGTGCGAGTGTGGTGGATAGGATAATTAATTTGATATGTACAAATGGTGGTGCTTCTGCTTCTTTGCTTTCTGTTTTATTTTTGTTTTTTTAATGGATAAAATCGCTTTGGCTAGATCGAAGGGGCGTTTCTCGAAGATGGGAAAAGTCTCTGCAATTGGGACGTTTTTTGCCGGATTGAAGGTCGTATGACTTTCTCTGCAACATTGGTGCTGCCTTTTGGATTTGGATTTTTTGACTTTTGGCTTTCTGCTTGGAATTTTTAGGTGCAGTAGCGGATGGGACGACTGGTGATGTTGCGGACGACCATTATCATCGCTATTTGGTATGTTTTAGATTTACTATTATTGTTGTTAATAATAAGTAGTTTTCGTTGAATCGAGGATTCGATTGAGACTTGAGAGCTGTGTTCTGCAATTGCTCCAAACTAATCGGCAGTTACAAACCGTAGGAAGACATTGAGATAATGCATTCACTTGGATTGACTGCTTACAGATTTTCAATTTCATGGAGTAGAGTTGTTCCTAGTATGTATTCTGCTCCTAAATTGTGGTTTGCAGCTTCACTTTGAATTGAATTTCTCCTTGGCTACGACTTTATCGGCAATGTTTAGACGAATTTTGGGTTTTTGACTAAAATAGGGTCTGGTTGTAGGAGGAACGTTTGGTGAGGTCAACCAAGTTGGTATCCAGTTCTACAATAAGATTATAGACAATCTCCTACTCAGAGGTACACTGTAATTTACAAATCGAATTAACTTAGTCACTTTACTGGTTTGTTTTGGTTGATTTGGGACTCAGCACGATTCAACCCAGGTATTGAGCCTTTTGTGACTATTCACCACCATGACTATCCTCAAGAGCTTGAAGATAGATTTGGGGCCTGGCTCAGTCCTCTGATGCAGTATGTACAGATCCTGCTTCATTATATATATATATATATATGCTTTGTTTGGTTGGAGGATTTTTGACAAGGCATGAAATCAATATCGAATAAAAAATCACAATCAAATGATTCATACGGTCCAGTGTTAATTTGTATGGTTTCATTGAGGAAACAACAGTGAAATGTTCGGTCAAGATTGTTCTGTAGGATGATAAATATCCCTTTAGGTATCTTTATACAGCGGACTATTTGTTAATGTGTAGAAATGCACATGATTCAACAGGGAGGAGTTTGTACACTTTGCAGAAATATGTTTCAAGAATTTCGCAGATCGTGTGAAGTACTGGATGACAATCAATGAGCCTAACATATTTGCAGAGATGGCCTATGAAAGGGGTACCTACCCTCCGGCTCGCTGCTCACCTCCGTTCGGTAACTGTGTCATTGGAAATTCAGATGTTGAGCCTTTAATCGCAATGCACAACATGTTGCTAGCACACGCCAAAGCAGCTAAAGTGTATCGTGATCAGTTTAAGGTAAGTACTATCTTCAATTCCTAAAAGATTTCCGTGGACCAATTTTTTATTCCTTGCCCATATGCTGATCTTGTTGGTGCAGTCAAAACTCGACGGTTTCATAAGCATCACGGTGTGTGCATTGATGTATGTTCCATTGACGGATGATGAGAAGGACAAGGAAGCAGCAGCTCGGGCGCTAGCATTTAATTCAGCTTGGTAAATGCTGCTATATATATATATATATTTGTTATTAGGATTGCAGCATACCAAAACAATAGAACATGGAAGAAATTTATGTTGTCTTATATTAAAGAAGGGCCTTGGATCCACTTGTGTTTGGCGACTACCCTCCGGAAATGAAACAGTATCATGGTAGCGAATTGCCAAGGTTCTCTCCCGAGGAAAAGTTGCTCTTGAAAGACAGCATCGATTTCATAGGGGTAAATCATTACGGCACGCTCTATGCAAAGGATTGCATCTATTCCGATTGCAGCTGCAGTGAGTCCTCCTGTCTCGGTGGCAGTAACCGTCCGATCCGGGGGTTTGTGTACACTACTGGAGAGCGCGATGGTGTTCTCATAGGAGATAAAGTATGATACCATGATCTTTGCTCTGTTTTTACTTTTTTTTGGTTTCAAATTCTTGTCGAAATCTAAATCTTGTTACACTCATTTCAGACAGGCATGCCTCGGTTTTTCGTTGTTCCGAGGGGCATGGAGGATATCATCCGGTATCTTAGGGAGAGATACAACAACAAACCAATGTACATCACAGAAAACGGTAAAATTGGTTGTAGAGGATGATTAATTTGTTATGATTATGTGTTGTTTTCGACGTGCATAAAAATTCGACAGTAATTTCATCTGCAGGCTACGCTACTCCTGTAGATGAACTGGACTACAGGCATGATGTGAAGAGAATTCATTTTCATCAGTCACATCTTGAATATCTTGCTCGAGCCATGAGGTACGATCGATTCCTACAAAAACACACTGAATGCAGAGTTATCTCATGCATGGAGAGAATTTGCAGGGACGGCGCAGACGTGCGCGGATACTTCATCTGGAGTCTGCTCGACAACTTCGAATGGGACAGTGGATACACTATGAAATTCGGAATACACGACATCGATCGCAGCAGCGAAAACGCAAGTATGAAGAGGATCCCGAAACTGTCTGCCCTTTGGTACCGAGATTTTTTGTGCAATGGTAGCTCTGTTGGTGCAGAAAACTGGGACAAATGTGTATCAACGGTAAGTGTTCAATCTTATTGAGATGAGATCGAAAGAGGCCATCAAATATGTATGTATTTTATGATTAATTGTCTATCCAATATTCGGAATAACTGCCGTTACTCTTTGAGTGAACTCTGAATAAACAAAATTTGTACGTAGTTCGGATATATGACTTTCACAATTATGAGTTAATCCCACGCTATCAAGCTATTATTTATTTATTTTTATTTTTTTGATAACGTAAAAATTCGCAGTCGCTACTTGAAGGTATCATGGAAAAAATCTACAGTTAAATGTCTTCTTCGTACCGCTTCGGTTGCTATTAGAAAAACTTGCCAAAAATATTTGGAGGATGAGAATATTTTTAATAATAAATTAATAATAATAATAATATATACATACACGTATGTTGAAATAAATATTCGTTACGGTTGACACTAAACATAGAGATCTTTTATCTGCCGCGTACAAGTATTAATTATTGACGCGTGCCACCGACAGTCACGTCACCGTCCCCCTCCCCCTCCCCCTCCCCCTCACATTTATTTATTTCCCTTTCTTTACATTAATAGTAAATAATTAAATTTATTGTTAATATGAATTGTCATATTAGCCCTTCCAAATCTCCTTCTTGAAGCCGCGGTCTTATTTCATTAAAATTAAAATATATATTTCGTTTTTCTTTTTTATTTTCATATACTTTCTCTTTTACTATCTATTGAATTTCCTTTATTTAAAATATAATACTTTAAATTATTTTAGATATATATTAATATTATATTAAATATTAATAGTATCAAACAAACAAAATACAAAGAGAAAGTAAGATAAAAGTGATCGCCGGGGGCTTTCTTGTCATTTCATATTGAATACAGATTTAAAAAAGAAGGGAAGAGGGACTGGCAATAGCCATTTATGGAGTGTGGATATAAGATAGAATTAATTGGTTAATACTGGGCAGTAAAGCTTAGCAAGCAAGCAATTAATGTGGTGGTTGGTTCCCGTGAGTGTGAGCTGCTCCTGCTGCTGCTGGTGAGTCGGTGGGGAGTCGCAGTCCCGATATTGCTCGCCTTTTCGATTACTCTTCTTCTGCTTCTTCTTTTCCAGTTATATTGCGAGGGACGACTCCAGTAGATCCAGATCTGTGCTTTCAATGGCGTCCAAAATCATTCTCATTACTGTCTTCATACTCGATCTCATCGCTTTTGGTTTGGCGGTTGCGGCGGAGCGGAGGAGAAGCACTGTGAGTTTCTTTATTTTGTGTGTTTTAATATCCAAGTGTTTCTGCGGTTAATGATGTGGAATTAGTTGAAGTGGCTTGGAAATGATTAGGGTTTGAGCTGCTTGGGTGGGGATGCTTTTGAGGGATCTGTGGTAATTTTGAATTTTGTGCTCGTGAGTTGTTGTTTAGGTTTTCCGAGTGGATTTGGAAAAATATAATCTGATTTGAGTGAGTGAATCTAGGTAGATATTATTCATACTCGAGTTTCTGTGTCTCGTCCTTGCGGCTTCTGTATCAATGCCGGATTTGCTAAATCGTTATAAGATTTGTTTAGTTTGTCTCTTCTGCTGCGCTTTTCTTACCTACAATTTTTGCAGAACGTGTGTAAGAATGTATCGATTAGGTTTTGACAGGTTGATGATTGTCTCGACGACTCTAAAAATCCTTGACCTGAATTTTGGTGCCTAAATGTATAATTCACTGTGAAATTGGTTGGTGTATATTGAAATCCATTAATCCCTGTCCATTGATTCGGATCACATCAAGTATGAGAATTAGAAAACAAGAATCACCATCGGTAGCAAATCTCAACGATTACTTAATCCCTAAAAAATCAAGTGCTGCATACCTGCATAAAAATTTCAATGAGTTGTTTTGGAAATGTACACTGATTTGGTTTTGGCCTCCGATGATGATTTTCTTCTTGATATGAAGTCTTAAAGAATTGGTTACTGTCATTGTAATTTTCTTGTGGTTATCGAATTGTTCCATTAATTCGACAGGGCACAACAAAGAGGGATGGTGAGGATAACTATCAATTTTGTGTTTATGATTCCGACATTGCAACCGGGTATGGCGTTGGTGCGTTTCTTTTCCTCATGGTCAGTCAGTTAATGATAATGGCTGCAAGTAAATGCTTCTGCTGTGGATCGCCACTAAAACCCGGCGGCTCAAGGGCTTGTGCTGTCATCCTTTTCATTATGTGCTGGTATACCTCGATGATCAACCCTTTTTGAACTAATTAACCATAATTTGCTTTGAAAGTGCATTTGGGTTTTTAAATAAATCGAGCTGTATATGATCAAAATGCTTACAACCTGCTCATGATGCAGGATAACATTTATCATCGCTGAAGTCTGCCTACTGGCCGGTTCCGTGAGAAACGCTTACCACACCAAGTACAGGTCGAGGTTCTTTGAGAACCCGCCTTCTTGTGAGACCGTGAGAAAGGGAGTCTTCGCTGCAGGGGCTGCTTTCACTCTATTCACAGCCATAATCTCCGAGTTCTATTACATCAACTTCTCCAAGGCCAGGAAAAACTTCACTGCTTACGGAGGAGAAGCTGGAGTCGGCATGGCAGCATACAAGTGAGTCTCACTAAACAAGAATGGTCTTATTAGTTTGCAAATATATCCCATCTACTTAATTCTTCTGCATCATTCATTTGTTGTTCTTGAGTTCTATTACTACTACAACTACTCTATATTGTAGGATTTGGTACATGTGATTGATTGTATCCTGTGAAATACATCTGTGTTTGTCGAGTTTTTGGAATGTCGATATGGTTGTGTTGGGTGTCCTTATCCATATATGCATGCATGTATGTATTTATGTTTGTATATCCATTAGTTGTCAGATAGGGGTGGATCCAACACATGTGGGGTTTGGACATTTTTGTGGGCTGATGATTCTTTCCATTAAATCTGATGTCTTTTCATTGATGATCAATCAACCCTTAGGATTGTTAGCAAGATTAGAAAGGATTTGGTGGGGGCCTTTCAATTTGATGCTTTGACAGAGACACCTTTCGAATTTGGTCTGATCCGATCCGATCCGGTCCGGTCTTTTAGTGAAATAAGTTTTGCTTTTAATTATAAGTTTATTTTTCATTTATTATGATTGACATTTCTGTGAAAAGATTCATTTGCAGCTATTAGTTATGACACCATCAAAGTGCTGATAAAAAGAAATGTCTTGAAAATATACTCCATTTCCTTTTAATAAATCTCTTTGAATATATTTTAAACTTGTATTGGGCCAGTTTTAGATATGCATGTTATCATAATAAAGAAAATAAACAAAATTGTATTCGGCAATTTATATGTTTATATAGAAGTAAATAAATACAAATCAAACAGGCCTTTTTTCTTTATATATCATTTTCATATTTTAATCATCAAATAGAGAACAAACCTATTGGGGTTTGAAACTTGGGAGTGTTCTTTAAGTTTGGATTGGAAATAAGCCAATAAATTTTTTGTATAAAAATATATGTATTTGTTTCTGAAAAATATAGAATCCAAGAAGAAAAGGCCAAAAAGTAAAACCATTTTTTCTTTTTTTATGTTGTTATTTTTAATCTATTGCTTTCAAATTTTATTTATAATATTAGATTTTAATTTAAAAACCATTTTTAAAGAAAATAATACAACTCGTTTGATTTATATTTTTTGAGATTTTTTTCTTTTTTTTTTTTACTTTTTAATTTTATAATTTCATAAATTTATATATAGATATACTATTTTTGTAATATATACTAAATGAATATATATATATATATATAATCTATCGTTAGAATAATTGAACAATACTAGGAAATAGGAATGATTATTACTTCTCTGTCCATCAAATCCTTTCTTATTATTCTTTTTTGTTTGTTCACAAAAATATACACTTTTTATTTATAATAAATAATTCTTATATTTTTTAAAAAAATTTGTTCCGCTCAGATAAGCATAATTCCCAATTGTCATGGATAGAGAAATGCCTTCTTAAAAATAAAAAATAAAAAAAGTTTGAGAATGACCATTCTAACATTTTCTTTTCCCTAATTTTTATGTAATATTTTTACCTGAAAATTATTTGTTATGTTTTCTTTTAAACATACAAAATATTCAATATATTATTTTATTATAAAATGTATAATGAATTAAATGCCAATAAACTGTGCCACATATTAGTCAATATTTGAAAAATACTTATATACAGCGAATGAAATGAAATGTTCCTAATTCTGCATAAATAATACCATAATTATTTATCATTACTATGATATTGCTACACTTATAAGAATAAATAAATAAATATAGAGCAGCTAATGCATCTGTATCTGTAAGTTGCTGAATTTAATAAATAAGCAATTGAAATAATTAGTAAATACCAAATTATTAAATAAACCTTCATGACACAATGATAATTCTTCTTCCAATATAAATTTCCTAACTGTATATTCTTCATTATTATGTTGATTATTGCTGTCACAATTGAAATAATTAGTACATCTACCACATGTCTGCTGCATTTCATTCATAAATCTACATTAAACATTTTCTATAATTAAAATAAATATCTACTTTTAAATTGCAATCTTTTTATTTGGTTCCTGTAACTGTTACCTGTAATATATTTGAAAACTTAGTTTTTATTTTAGCAAAATAAAAATATACATTCTTGTTTGTTTAAACTTATCCTTTTTTTTTTTTTTTATTTATGTGTACTATTTCAATATATATATATATATATATTCAAAATCTATCTTTTGTTATGGGAATCATATATAAATATATATATTTTTTATTTATATGTGTTATGTATTCTCTTCATTGGATAAATTTATTTTAACTTCCTTTGTAATAAGTAATTACGGAGAGAGGAAAATTCTCTTAAAATGATATGTATATTTTTTTATTAACTTATAATGTTTTAACATATATTTTAACTAGCACAAATCCCAAAATTTAAGTTAATATTGTCTCATTATCTCGTTATAAATTCAAAATCCCTACGAAATTCAAAAAACTCGCCTAAAGGCCAACTATTAAGTTCCATTTAGGTAGAATGTTTTGGAGTTTTTTTAAAGATTTTAAAATAATAATAATAAAAAAAAATAGATATTTTTTAAAAAGTAATATTATTAATGAAGAATATCAAAATGTTCAAATGTGTGAATATAAAATAATTTTATAATTGCATTTAAAAGTGGTTTGCATGGTTAAAGGTTAAATATATAAGATTTTATAGTAGAAAATTTATTACAACTTATATATATATTAATTAAAATGGTGCATAAAATCCATAGGTGTGTTGTGTTTGTTTTGTGAAATGGAATTCGAAGGAATAATTTTTTTTTTTATGTAAAGTATACGTAATTGTGTAGGTAATATAAAAATAATAAATATGTGTAATATATTAATTTTTTAAGGAAATGTACGTGTCTTTTTCACAAAAAGAACACACCCCTATATATATATACTTTTGATAGATTAACAAAATGCATTTGACCTAATATGAATGTATTATGTATGTAATATGATTCTTATACAATTATTTAGATAATGGGATTTAAATTAATTAATAAACATTATACAAGATTCGAGGGTGATGTATTAATTTTCAATTTGAGATTCTATTCATCAATTCATCTAATTTCAATTTTATGATATTTAATACAAAAACAATAATATTTAGATAATGGTATATATATTTTGTTGAACTATATATATATATATATTAATAATGTTGAGATGTTAGTATATTTATGCATGTTTTTACTAATTTTATAGTTTTATAAGGAATGAATATATATTTTTAATATCTTATGTGTCATTTGTTATCATTTTAGGCATTTGAGTAAAGTCTACTAAAAATAATCTTATAATTAATTCATAGTCTGAAAAAAAAAAAAGAAAAAAAAAAAAAGTGTTATGGTACCAAAATATTGTAACATGTGTTTGATATAATACATTTAAAATTATTTATAGCAACTAATTCATATTTTTCAGCATTTTAATGGACAATGGAAACTATTTTGTATGTTTTTAAAGGATATGTCCTTTAAAATCAATATCTTATTATGTTGTGTTTTGAATTTTTGTTTGTTTAATAATAATATATTTTAATTTTTTCTATTATTTTTATTTAGGATCTTTAAATTTTTATAATTCTTGTTTATGTACACAATTTAATTTTTTTTTTTAATCCTTAGATATAATTTATAAAAATATTATAAACGAGAAGCAAAGGAAAAAACAAAAAAAAAAAAAAATCAAAATTATACCAAAGAAAACATAATGTCAAATAATAATAATCATAGCAAACAATTCGAATGCAAAGTATTATTATACTCCCTTCGTCCCACATTGGATGTCTAGGTCGTAGACACGAGAATTTAGGATAAGTATAATTAGTAAATAATTAAAAATATATTAATAAAAATAATTATTCTATAATATAAGTAATTATAAATTAAAATTAAAATAACTAATTAATTTAAAAAATTTAAAATGAGATTAAAATGTGTAATCATTTTTTTAAAAAAAAAAAAGTGACATGAGATATAAGACGGACATAAACGGCAATATGGACATAGTAGGTAGAACGGAGGGAGTACTATTTAGTATTTATTGTACATTTAAAAACTTGAAATAAATAATGCAAGTGAAACAGTGAATTCCCACAGTATATATTTCAAATCACTATATAATCTTACAAGTTTCCTTAAAACTATTACATTTAACATCAAATTTTCACATAAAAAAATTATCCCACAACAAATTTCACTTAAAAAAAAAATAAAAAAATCAAAATCTAACAAATATACAATAACAAACATACCCTAAAAATAACAAATAATAATTGAAAGTTAATAGTCCTAGGGTTAGGGTTAGGGTTAGGATTAGGGTAGAGTCCTATTCCTATAGTGGTTTCGTTGAAGTCGCTAGAGAGTAAAGCACGATTATAGGCTAGTAGAGTATTTATATTTATATGTAATATAGTATTATTTAATGTGAATGAAAAATTAAAGTCGTGAGTGTTGGGAATCAACCCACGTGGCATGTCCCCACCAAATTAAATCATTAACACGTTCTGCTTAATTAAATTAATAATATTTAAATAAATAAATCCTAGCTAATATTCAAGTGGACTATAAAACACACAATATTATATAGATACATACATGCAAGAACAACCAAAAATATCACACAAACTATTGCTATCATTGTATTTATTCCCCAACACCAATATTCCTAATTTAAATAAATAAAATCATTTATTTTATCGGTTTTATAATATTTTTGCAAGCTATCGGAAATTAAAGTACACTTCATTATTGGCCTAAATATCAATTCCATATTTTTAATACCATGACTTTGCTATTATTATAATAATAATAATAATAATAATAATTTAAAAATAGAATTAGTGTAAAATTAGGATTTAATTATTATTATTATTATTTAAAATTAATAAAGGATTGATTTATATGAAAGGAGTATATGATATTTATAATTCTAGCATTTGTTTCTTTAATTTCAAATTCTTCAAATTCTATTATTTGAATTTTGCATTTTCGAAAAAAATATATTCCCTTAATCTCATAACTATATATCAATTTGTTTTTTTCACGTAGTTTTAGAAATATCAGTATTATATTGTGATGTAATAGGAATAAAATAGAAATGACTAAAATAACCTTATTGATATTAATATGTGTGATATAAATGTAATGACATTTGTGTAATATATTGTAAGTTGTAAGGATATT